GGGGGGGGTGCGATTGTTTACTGAGCAGTACGACCAAACAACAGGACCCCAACCAAAGTGGTACACGACCGCGAAGATGTAGATTGCGACTAGAGCGACATAGCCCGTCGCTGTGAGGGCTTGATCTTCAACGGGCGGATCAAAGCGGATGTAATGTTTGAAATATGTGAGCCATGTAATTATCTTACTACCTTCTCACATATTCTTGCTGATCAAAAACTAGATGACCCCTCAACATTCCAGCTTTGGTCATTGGCTGGAAACACGAGAATGGGTATCAATAATGAGTAGTTACTTTCCCTGCACTTGACCCCTGTTGGGTACTACTATACTGTCCCATGCATTTATTCCTTTACAGTGTCACTAGCAGGGCCAAGTTCGATTAGAAGCTCTTCTCTTATTAGCTTAATGCTGCTCTTATCTATTGCCTGTTCTGTCCCTGTATTTAAGCCCTTAGTTGGATCGCTGGTTAGAGGTAGGCGGGATTCTTGAGCTGATTTCCTTAGGATGGGATGGGATGGGTACGCTTACGAATGACCGAGGCCGCAAGGGCTCGCAAAGGCTCATTTACTGTGTAACCGAGTAAGTTATCAGCTTTAGGGGGCAGCCTATTCCATGCAACTAGTGGAAATGTTTTGGACACCTTTATCATAAACCCACAGAACTACTTTAAGGCCACGCCAAAATGCTTAGATTACCTTAATAGACTAGTTTATTTCCTAGCCAACAGTTAGGCAGTTTATTAGGCACTAAAATAATGCTTATAAAACTAAATCCAAGGCCAACCCTTGCCGATCCTTTGTTAGCAAACCTTAATAGGCCCTTTCCCTGTAATATTAAATAGGCTCCTCCTTTATCTAGGGCATTTCCATCTTTTCCTAACATAGTGGGAAGTCCTGAATAACAGAATACTAAGTTTGCTGGACATAAATGTGGCATATTACCACAGCGACGCAGGCGACACAACTGAGACCCGAAGAAATAGACCCTTGATAGCAATGATAACTCAAGGTAGACGCCTGGGGGTTCCGTAAACGACCAAAATCCGCCCCAATTTGGCCGTCTAACTCGTTACTATGACAAGTCATGCCTCTTTCCATAATCTCGATTACAGATGTAGGCTTCCCCACCCCTTCACCACCCACAAAACTTCCCTCTAGACCCCTGCATCCCCCGGCTTGATGAAAAACAAAAAGTCCATGGGCTCATCATGGAATCTAGGGATGGGAAGACTCAAAGTACAGGCTTACTACAAGATGTAGCGAAGTTTCACGTTCCGTATAGCCTAGGAACTAGCCTGGACAAGACTACTAATTTATAGGGAGAGCATGCGCATTCAGGATTACACGCTGGTCACAGATTGCACCATGGGGAGAGACCCATTGAATGTCTTCTGCGCGGTAAACCTCCACAACCAGCCTGATGTCTATCGGTTTAGCACTCACACTGGTATGCACTAGCTAGATTTGTTATTAATTAAACAGCAAGCAACGGAGCAAGCTTGCACCGGGCTTTGGAAGACAACCAGGATACAGTGGTGCAAAGTTTACTTTGTCGGGAGCCTCTTTAGTAACCATCCAACGCCAGGAATTTGGAGTAAAGTCATCCTGTGACTGAAGGGCCAGGAGAAGGATGAAAAATTAAGTGTAATTTAAAACAAAAATACGCCTCTGTATTATACTCTTTCCTTTTCAGGTTAAGGTACTTAACTTTGACTGCAGGCGTTTATATCAACTCAGACCCAGATGCCTGGACGCCACTGCCAGTAGACGAATTCCCCTACTCCCAGACTACCTGATCCCTGAAGATTCGATTGGGAAGATTTGATGGTGTAGTATAGAGTGGTAGCCCGCTAGCTAGCTCAACTTTGCATTAAGCCAATGTCGCTACAAATTATAGGGGGGACCTCTCGCACCCCCCGGCAGATAAGCCGCTCCCAGCTCTCCACCATTAGGATTAGAAGCCCAGCCCTCCCTCCAATGGCCCTCAAACCAAGCCCCATCAAAGTTATCAACCTCGTCCCATTTCACCCTTTTCTTCCTCACCAGATTCCCACAATCGTCCAGAAAGACATGCAACACCCCTCCGCCACCAGCCCCAGTCTGCGCCTGCGCGTCCTCGATGAAGAAATGCGTCACCACGCAATCAGCCTGGTAGGACCAGTACCCCCTAGCGACTTCCTCTCCCCTACCCTGGGCGATCAATTCCCGTTCCGCTTCGAATGTGCTCTCCCTCTCCTCCTCATCAAACCATTCCTGGAAGAACCTCCGCAGCTCCCTCTCCGCAAATGCGAGCTGCTCTGGTGTCGACGGATTCGTCACCCGCTCCGGGAAGAGCTCAAGAACACGCGCTATATCCGCATCCTCAAATAGTTCTTTGTCGTCAAAGACGAGCGAGTCGGCGCTGATCACTTGAGCACGCTCTACGTATTTATCCCAGAATGCTGCGCGAGCTTCTTCATTTTCTGCGTCGTAGCAGATGCGGACCCACATGCCCTCGTCACATGTGTAGCCTGCATACCGGCGAAGAGAGTCCGGGCGCAGTGGGCGGAGAATTGTCTCAATCTCGGCCTGTGTGGGTTGGGCGGGCGCGTAGGTTGCCAGCTCGCTGCTGGTGCGGTTCGAGTAGGGCTAAGAAATTAAATAAGAGGGGCTGTATTTATGTGAGAACAGCAGGATGTAGGACTGACTTGTCTCCCAACTGCGCCGAGATTCAGCCACTGGCGGACGAGACGTTTGCGTCGCTGGTCAGGGAGTTCGTTGGGCGTGTCTAGATGGGGTGTGTCCCATTGTTCCTGGAAAGTATTGCATTAGTATTCATTCACTGAATTTACACGTCGTGAGTACGAACAAAAAGATAGATGTCAAGTGGTAGGTGTCCCCATTCTGGAACTGGAACTGGCCCGTCTGGGTTATCCCCTCCGCTTTGGTTCCCTCATCATTTCGGCAATCCGCCGGTTTTCACCGCGGCCAGCACGGGGAGCCTCGAGGTTGTTGAGATACTACTTGACGCAGGCGCAAGTCCATCCGTCGGAGATATACTCAGCGGCTCAACTCCAGTGGATACTGCCGCTAGCAATGGCCACGGTGAGGTCGTCAATTTTTTACTCGTCAAGGGAGGTAGGCCGAGCGCCGCTGGGCTCTTTTCCCTCCTTCACGGCAACAGAAGAGACATGTTCGAGCTCCTTCTGCCGTGGATAGATCTTGCCCAGATAGCTTCGAATGATGAATACGCGCGGGCGACCGTGCTCACCGCGGCAGCTGGATTCGGCCTGCTTCCTCTTGTCGCGCAACTAATCTCCCACGGCTGGGACGCGAATGGGGCCCCAGCCGCTGATGGTTCTGTTTGGGGCAGGGGGGAAATGGGTAATGTCCGAATTCCTCTCGCCTGGGCGGCGCGGCATGGCCATCTAGACGTCTTCCAGCTCCTTCTGGAGCACGGGGCAGATCCCTTTTCCTTTCCAGGCACGGGCGCAGACGATTCTCAACCAAGCGGAATAAGCATCATCCTAGAAGCGGCCATCAACGGCGGCAACGCAGAAATCGTCTCCTATTTACTCAATCGCGGAGCCGACGTAAGGAAAACCATAACACCATACCACGAGCCCATCCTCTTTCGCGCCATCAGAAGCGAGCCCATCTTCAAACTCCTTCTCGACCATGGCACCGACCCTACCGTTCGCGGCGCAGACAACAACCCGCTCGCTAGCACAGTCATCCGCCGCGGAACGCCCGAAATCGTGCGACTGATGTGCGAGCGCGGTATCGATTTCAACTCCCTGCGCACCCTTGTGCCCATGAATGGCGGCAACGTCCCCGACCACGAGCTCACCCTCCTCGAACTCCTCGCAGAGGCAGCAGATGGGATCCCCGTGGTGCATACCTTGCTCGAGCACGGCGGTCTCAACCCCGACCCAGCCACAGACCCTCGACTAAACGCTTCTGCGCTGCTCGCGGCCGTGGGCCAGGCGAATCTCCCCTACCTGCGCTTCCTCCTCTCCCGCGGCTTCAACCCGCGCGCAACACCGGGCCTGGAGACCCACTTACTCTGCGACGCTGCATCCCTGCCCCAGCCCGACAAGGCCGCTATGATGATAGACTTTCTCCTGGCGGAAGGAGGGCTGGACGTCAAGGCTCAAAACAGTCGCGGGCAGACGGCGCTGCTGTATGTGATTGTCGGCGAGTTTTACGATGCCCCCGAGGACGCTGTCCCGCTGTTATTGTCGCGTGGCGCGAATCCTATCTTTAGGGATAGTGCTGGAGATTCCCCGTTGAAGGGGGCTTGTATGCTCCGGAATACGGAGGCGCTAGAGGCGTTGCTGGGCGCTCTTGATACGTGGCAGGTTCCATTTCAAAGTATGGAAGTGCAGCTACGTGAGGCGATAGATATACTTAGGGAGGATTTGCGGCTTGAGTGGAACGTGAACTATCTGAAGGTTCTGCGGCGGTTTTACTGGCGGCGGCGATATCCGTGTTAACCACGGCGTTATTCTGCTGATGTATCTATACATATTTTCTTGTTTGGATTGTGCGTTTATAGAGGGGGTTGAATTTAGCTCTAGCTCGCTGACAACCTGAACTCTATGTCATCAGACCTTCGGAAGCCCTTATATTCCATCCGAAGACTTTGAGGTCAAGTCACCTAGAGAAATGCATTTTAATAGTTTGAGCGCTTTGGTACTGAAAGAGACTGTAAGGGGTGGTAACCGCTGGGTCCTAGGCGACATGGCACCAGCTCTCCCCTCCCCAGGATCCGCTCGCCCGCTGGTGGTCAACTTCGACGAAGAGAATCTCAGGGTACACTCTATCTATTAGATGGAGAGAATGTTCCAGCCCGCAAATGACCGGAATGCTTCGAGTATCACCAGGCATTCCAACACCGTGTCGCCGAATATTGTGTATATGTCGTCTTTAACATGCTCTCTAAGCCATGTATGAATCGCACATCTCTGATAGAAAAGGAGCTTGTGAGCTAAGAAATGACAGGACCAAATTAATCAAGCAATATACTCATCTACGTCCACCTGTTTACTGCGATGCATACACCTACACCGTCCCACGGACGACCAGATCCTGCTCATGCCCCTCTCCACCCTAACCTAGAACCTCATTCTCCGATGGCGTTTATACGCTAGGTCCAAGATTCCCAGGCTCGGTATCTTCTCCTTTATGCGTCAACATTCCCAGTACCAGCATACTCGTACCAATTTCGGTGTTAATCGACCTGTGGCAGAAATCATGGTACCTAAACGCCACAATAACAATTTTCTCCAGTAGATACAAAGACGTGGGCACCGGGATCACATCCATAATTGCGACAATCACAGGCTCCGCCATTCCAGGGACTCGATTCCCTTCCGTGGGCCATCGGGTTGGTAATCAGTGGAGAAGAAAACCAGAGTAGGGAAACCAGGAAGCAACATTAAATGCGAGGTAGGATATGCTCTTCATGGATCTACTGGTCTACATTGGAAGTCGCGCTTGCTGCGGGTGCGACAGACAAGACAAAGAGAGCTCAATCAAGGGCGTTGCAGCTAAACCGGAACCATAATTACACCAAGCCTCGAGCGAAGCCTAATGAGACCCAGCTGTGCTATATGTGCTACATTCTCATTATAGGATCCGTAAAATCCAACAATTCTCAATCCCAAAGGCGCCACAATCGTATCATCGATACTTGAGAGGTCGCCAAGCGATATTCTTTTATCAGGATTCGATGTGATGATTTCTATACCATCAATTGTAGGGCGGTAATCGCCCTGGGCTGGGGTAGCACCAAATGAAACGGACCGGGAAGAGACTTTGACGGATTTTATATATTCACCAGGATCCAAGGTGAGGCTATCGGTGGTGACGCCATATTGAGCAGTGTAAACATCGGAAACGCCCATGTTTGCGGGGCTGGAAAACTGGGTTATGTAACCCGAAAAGTAAGGCAATCCGGATGAGCGGTAGTTCGGAGTCCACAGTATGCTTATACTAGTCATGCGCCCAAGATCAGTAGACTTCTTGGGGAGCTGAGCGAGGTCGGTCCAGGTGGCGCTGTACGTCTGAGAATTACCAGACAAGCCGCTGTGTAGGTACGTGCCGGAGCTTGCAATCCTGGGATGGGACGACCGGTGTCAATGATAATACACCAACCTAGGGGACATGCACACGATGCGAGGGGCTTACTCACTGCGAGGCTACGGCTGATGGAGCAACCGTGGCAGGATTATTATACTTGCGAAGCCACTTCTAGACCTCAAGAGGTCTCGCGAGAAGGAGATTCCTGTCATCATAATAGACCTCGTTCTTCAAGACCTAGTCGACAAGGTTGGACGGCGCATTGAAAAGGAGATACCACTTATAAAGATTCTCGTAAAGGTCTTTGAAAGCCGGGTCATTTCTCTTGAGGATAAAATACTTGTGCTCAAGCCCCGTCAAGTACTCTTGCAAGGTTTGGCCGTCGGAGCGCGTGGTGAAGAAATCGCGCAGGGCACGTATGCGCCAACCACTACCAAGCGCCTGGTCCTTGAGTGCCTCCTTAAATTCCTCCCAGCTCAGCTCTTCAAGTTCGGAGCGGTTCTCGGTAAACCAGTTGCGGAGACTCTCAGTGTCCCCAGAAGTACTGATTGCCCTGCCAGCTGCGCGGATCTTATCCTTGTCCTCTTCATCTTCAAAGATACCCTCGCACGTATTCAGCCAGCGAGCTATCTTCAGCGGATCAAGGGTTCCGTTGAGTGGCTCGAGGTTAACCATCTTGTATAGTAGCTCGTGGTTAAAGGGGATATTTATAGTTTTTATTCCTACCCACTGGGTCTGGGTCCTGGGGGTACTTCTTCTAGTATCTATTGACTATCTTTTCCATACGAACAGCTGGGACAGCCACGGACACGTCAGACTGGTCATCACGGAGGAACCCATTGCTTGCGTATAGCAGCACGGCACAGGATTAAATGAGTGGATAGACGCCGTTTTCTATCTCCGAGTTCCAAGGTGGGACAACTGATCCATGGTAAATCATCTTGATAGTATTACACAGGGCCATACCCTATAAAGTCTTAAAACTTTATTATTATTCCTAACTATAAAAGAATAGTAGAGGTAAAAACTTATTGCAAGCCACGACCACTGACTAACCTATCCAGGGCCGCCAACAAGATACCTGCGCCACGAGGTGCTGATATTTTTATTACCCTTGTCCATGGCATCTGGCTTTTCGCGTTCCGGACTGTGTTTTGGGCAACATCTAGTTATGTCGGAGAATCTATGTAAGCACTTAAATTGGCTGGGGAAGATGGCCGCGTGGGGTGATGTACCTTGCGGCGCAGATATGATGGTAAACGTGTACAAGAATCGAAAACCAAACATAGGGAGCTTTTTACCCAGAATAGACAAGCATCAGGGATACAGCAGTCAGCATGAGGGCCCTCACTCGTACTTTTCACTGTCGTAGGTGAAGATGGAGATTATCAAGTCGTCCACCAAACGCAATCCCCGCAATGGCTTAGTCAGCCACGTCCCTTTTTGCGGGGCTTCTGTGTTGCTTTTCTGATGAGAATCCCTCGTCAGGCTGGAGAACTCATTTCACGCGGAGAGCAGCCCTCGAAACCATGCCGGATAGGAAGATCATTTGAGTCACTTGTCTATCAGATTGCCTTGCCCGCCGCGACGGCCCACCAGGAGCTGACGAAGATGAATTCTCGGAAACGGCTCCGAACCTCGTATGCGGTCAGTAACACGCCGCGACCTCGTCTGCTTCAAGTCGGCTCCGCGCTTGCCTGCTAACGCGCAACAATATTTTAGTGTGACATTTGCAGAGTGCGTAAAATCCGGTATGCCCTCCGGCTATCCGTCGTCTTCGAGTTGGTCCGCTGAATGGATTGATCTAGGTGCGATGGGAGAACCCCTTGCGGCTCATGTCAAACGTCTGCACAGGGCTGCACATATGGCGTGGAGGCTTCATCGTGAGTTCCGTAAAATTTCATCTTCTTGGTTCCAAGGCGGGCTAACTTATGTAGAAGAGGGAAAACCGACATCATACTGGAGAGGGTCGAACACGTGGAGGCTCTCCTAAATAACCTGAATGCGAAGTTTGTATGTTGCAGCTCCATAAATCTTGAGCTCCTTTGACTGATTATTGTTCGAGCTTTTAGGATTCAAGTGTCTCTGCATTGCTCTCTTCCCAAGGAAGTACGCCACCTGTGGCGTTGAATGGCACGTGGAGCCATATATCCCCTTCTCACGACAGCACACAGAGCATCGACAACGCCGTCCTAAGATTCCACACATCGGCCACAGAATCTATTCTTCAATGGCCGTACCTCGCTTCATTCACCTCACTAAAAGATGAGTATATGCCAATCTCCCAACTGGAACAATCGCGCCCACCATTTCGGCACAAGATGAGAATATCATATCCGCGCCTTAACAGGGATGAAGTCACCACCGTGCTGGATGTGTTCTCTCAGACGGTCAACTTTGTGTTTCCAACCGTCTCTGTGGACCGAGTGACGCGCTGCTTGTCTTCTATAGTGGATGCTAGTGTCATGCAGGACGACAACACAGATGCGTGTTTGAGCTTATTGATGATAGCATTAGGTTGTGCTAGTCAAACTGTCTCTCGCTTGCGCAACACCGACTTCACTGTCGAGGATAAAACCTGGTGTGCCTCGCGCCGCGTGTTGGGGGATCATTTCTTTGACTTGGCCATGATGAGGGTGCCGTCGGCACATACGGATACCACAGGGACGGCAGTGCACTGTCTCTTCTTCGTCGGGTAGGCTTAACCTTCTTTCGCATGATTTGTTTGCTTTGTAAGGATAGCTAACCGGATTCATGCCAGATTATACTTTTGCTACCTTCGTCGACCCTTTCAAGCCTGGGAATACATAAACGCTGCCTCGGCGAAATGCCTCCTGCTTTTGACCTATCCCAATCCTGTCTCAAGCGACGAGAGCATTGAGCATTTAAGGAGGATATTCTGGGCGTGCTATATTATTGAAAGGTAACGAGACCCTCTGTATTCACATGGCCCTCAGGTATTTTGCTTATAACTACAAGTGATTATATCGCTGAGCTATCCGCCCTGCCCACCTCTGGAATCGCACCTGTCGAATCCCAGGTCCCGCTGCCAGGCAACTATCGTACACACCAAATCCCCCACGACCAAGAGCAAGCGTCTTTATACTTCTTGGCATGTATCTCCATCCGCCGGCTTCTCAATCGCGTGCACCAACTCCTCTACGACAACACCGACGGGGTCGCTAGCCATCCCGAGCGGTTCCCGCAGGTCGCCGCTGAGCTAGATCAGCAGCTCAGCGCGTGGAGAGAAGTCCTCCCGCCATCAGTGTCATTCCCGCTAGACAATCCAAATACTGAGAACAGCAATGTGACCGACGCTGCGGGTTTCTTGCGCTTACGGTTTCTCGGCTGTCGGAGTGTCATCTATCGCCCGTACCTCACCTTAGTCCTTAGTGGCGAAGGAGTAGATCCCGCGACGGGCGAAATCAGCTATGCTGCGTGGGAAGGGAGTAAGAACTGCATTGAGTCGCTCTCCTTGTTGGTGCAGGCGCTCGACGGATTTCCCCATCAGGTCCTTATTGATACGTGGCAGTCCTCATTATCGTCAGTTGCTTCGCTTTTTTCTTCACTCCGTTCGTTACTTCCTCGAGAAGATGGACCTGCTAACACGCTTAATAGATATACATGCTCCATGCTAATCCTGCTCGCCGCGGCAAACAATCCAGCTCTTCGCCCCCTAATTACCGAAGAAGTTCTGGGCGCGGGTAAACGGTTGGTATCCCTATATCAGAAATGGGAGGGCGCAACTGGAGGCCCGGGTTCTCCGACGGTAGAGCAGAACATTCGCCTTATGGGTGACATTCACAGGTATATCAACGAGCTGTATCTGCTGCCGTACGTCTAGTATACGGGATGATCCACATCTTGCTTTTGTGATTCCACCTTCTAGACCGTGCTCAGCCGGAAATGATCAAAGCCGATCCCAAAAGTCGCGCCTCAGGTCTTCGGACGCCAAGGCATTGCTTGCTTGCCCAGGCAAGTACGGATCGAGTTCACTTGAAGCCTCACGACCTGTGTGCTAAGGACACCTGTAGTTCTTTACAAATGACACACGATGATTGAGCAGCCTAGGTTAATGGGGATTGCAACGAAATTCATGCATCTGCCGTGGCTCCTCATAGAAAGCCTTTAATTGGGCCACTAGCACCTACCTAGGTAGTAGCAAGGTAGTGCGTGTTGCAACCTATCTTGAACGGCACTAGCGAAACGGATAAGCCGGGGGACCCGGAGCCGGAGGTTGAGGCTTGGTTTCCACACAACTCCACCGGACAAAGTCCACCGTGATGACGCGCGAAGGGTGTTGACTCCTAAGAAGCGACAGTCTAGCGGAGGAGTCGAGTCCTGTCGAGCTCCGGGGTGTACTTAACAGACCGTACTCGCAATGTCGCAGGTATCCAGTCGCACCGTACTCTTCTTGATTCATCTCAACGCCCCCTGTGCGCATACACGATGAATTCCTTCCCCGAAGACAAGCCGGACTGGAACAACCTAGCCGTTCTCCATCGCAATGTGCTACCAGCAAGGGCGTCGTTCTTTAATTATTCATCGGTCGCCAAGGCGCTGACCTACGACGAGAGCGCAGCTGAAAAAATCAGCTTGAACGGAGCGTGGAAATTCCACCATGCAGCCTGCCCTTTTGAGGCGCCGGACGAGTTTATCTCGCCTTCGTTCGACTCGTCGCAGTGGGATGATATCCCCGTGCCTTCGTCGTGGCAGCTCGAGGGGTTTGGGGGTCCGCAGTATTTGAACTCGAGTTATGGGATTCCGGTTGATCAGCCGAATGGTGAGTATAACAACTATCTATCCTTCTTTTTACTCTTCTCTTCCTCGTTCACGGACTGTACAGCTGACATGACGCACTATCAATCACATAGTCCCCTTTGAAGACAACCAGACCGGAAGCTATGTCCGACGATTCACGATTCCGTCCGTGTTTCAGGATAGCCAGTTACGTTTACGGTTCGAGGGCGTGGACTCGGCCTTTCACTGCTGGATAAATGGTACCGAGGTCGGATATTCTCAGGGCGCAAGGAATCCCTCCGAGTTTGACGTGACGCACCTCGTCCGCGTCGACGAAGGGAACACACTCTGCGTTCGGGTCTATCAGTACTGCGATGGGTCTTATATTGAGGATCAAGGTAAGGTTTCCAGGCCGCTTGTTCTCTCCATGGCACTAACGCATTCACAAACAAACAGACCAATGGCGACTCTCGGGCATATTCCGTGATGTCAATCTACTGGCGTTCCCGAAGAGCCATATCCAAGACTTTCATGTCCGTACGACGTTTGACGACCAGTACGTTGATGCGGACCTCTCGGTTAGCGTTGAACTCTCCGGGTGCAATGACAGCGAACTGTCAATCGAACTATTCGACGCGACGAAGACGGCCATCGTAGCCCAGCACACTGAATCTATAGACCCTCACACGCACAGCCGAACGATTTCGATCCCCGTGCCGGCCCCAAAGCACTGGACCGCCGAAACGCCGAATCTATACCACCTCGTCCTCCGATTCGGATCGCAGGTGATTGCACAGCGCGTAGGCTTCCGGCAAGTCGAGATCAAGGACGGAATCATCCGGGTGAACGGGAAACGGGTCGTTTTCAAAGGCGCGAATCGCCACGAGCACCACCCGCGCACGGGACGCACGGTCCCCTACGACTTCCTCCGCCGCGATCTGCTCATGATGAAGCGGAATCACTTCAACGCGCTCCGCAACTGCCATCAACCGAGTGATCCGAGGCTTTATGGCCTCGCGGACGAGTTGGGCCTGTGGGTGATGGACGAGGCGGATCTGGAATGTCATGGCTACGACACGGTGGAGGCGCGGAAGCTGTCGCGGACGGAGCGGCTTTTGACTCCGAGGGAACAGCACGATCTCGCATTCAGTCGGGCGGGCTCCTGGATCTCGGATAACCTCGACTGGGAAGAGGCGTACCTCGACCGTGCGCAGCAGCTGGTTTGCCGGGACAAGAACCATCCGTGCGTGGTAATCTGGTCGCTTGGGAATGAAGCGTTTCAGGGAAGAAACTTCCAGCGGATGTATGACTGGGTTAAATCGTACGATCCCACGCGGCCGATTCACTACGAGGCAGACATCAACGCACGAATTGTCGATATTGTCTCGACCATGTACCCGCCCCTCGACGAGGTCAAGGCCTTTGCGGAGAACTGGGATGGAAAGAAACCTCTGGTGCTGGTTGAGTTTCTCCATGCGATGGGCAACGGTCCGGGGAATATCAAAGAGTACTTTGATTTGTTCTATGAGTATCCGTGTCTTCAGGGAGGTTGGGTGTGGGAGTGGGCAAACCACGGTCTCCTGACACTGTATGGCGAGGGCAAGGAGTACTATGGGTACGGGGGTGACTTTGGTGAAACACACCATGATGGACATTTTATCATGGATGGGCTATTGTCTTCGACTCACCAACCGAGACCAGGTCTCCTCGAGTATCGCAAGGGAGCTGAGCCCGTACAATGCATACCCGAGGCCTCTTCAGTTCACTCTGTACGCATCGTCAACCGGTATGACTTTCGCGATCTCAGTCACCTGAAGTGTACTTGTCAGATTGTGGGCGATGGCTTCCACGTAGAGGGGCGTGAAATCGCTCTTCCTACTGTCCTTCCCGGTCAAACCATTGATTTGGCCATCCCGGCGCTCCCACTTGACGACCTCCCCAAGGGAAAGGCCGCGTTCCTCGAGCTCAACTTTACCTTGAAAGAGAACGATATTTGGTCCCAGAGTACAAGTGGTGAAGAAGTGGCGTGGCTGCAGGTCCCCATCACACAGGCCGAAGATCAGCTAGACCCTTCAGAGCCGTTTACTGATAGTACCACTTGCCCGATCCAAATCACCAAGATATCACCAACCCTTCTGGATATCCAGGCCACCGACATCAACACCACCACAAAGTGGACATTCGATCTCGCCCGCGGCCAACTCGCTTCTTGGACCGCTGGCACCAGCAAGGTTCTACACACCGGACCCACACTAACCCTCTGGAGAGCCCCAACCGACAACGATGTGAGCGTCGGCAAAGACTGGGCAGAGAAGGAAGTGAAACACGCCCGTCCATACACGCGTCACGTCTCCTGGACAGTCGACGCCAAGGCCAAACGCGCAGTCATCCATTGTACGCAGCGCGTCGCGCCAATCGCACTCGAGTGGGCGATCAACACCACCATAACCTACACATTCAGCAGCACCGACTCGGTCCTCATTGAAGTGGTCGGAACCCCAAAGGGCGCGAACCTTCCGCAAACTCTTCCCCGACTAGGTCTAACTCTTATCCTGCCGCCCGAGTTCACCCGGGCAACCTGGTTCGGTCGTGGGCCCGGGGAAAGCTACCGAGACAAGAAACACGCGCAGCGATTCGGAACGTACTCATCTGATGTGGCCGATTTATCGATCGACTACGAGTACCCGCAGGAGTCGGGCAATCGGACCAACACGCGGTGGGTGCGGTTCCATCAAGCCGTCGCCGACGGCAGCAGCAGCAGCAGCAGCAGCATACGAGGGCAAACTCTCGAAGCCCAATTCCTCGATCGGCCCGACGGGTTCGATTTCCAGGCTTCGCACTACGACGCACGCGATGTCGAGTCCGCGAAGCATATCTACGAACTTGAAAAGTTTCGTCGTGAGGAGGTGATTGTGCGGTTGGATGCGGATCACCATGGGTTGGGAAGTGAGAGCTGTGGTAAGTTCAAGTGCCGGAGACCATGGATGAGTATTCCGGGATAGCTTGACTAACATGGCGCGTAGGCCCTGCTGCACTATCCGAATACACGCTCAGTTTACGGCCGTTTAAGTTTTCTGTTTTGCTCAGATCGTCATAGCCCAGTTAGTACATGTTGCGGCATTGATCAAAGGTGGCTTTGTGGCTTGGACTGTGCTTCCCGGTGCGTGCTGGGGTGACTCCCAGTGGCTGGCGAACTGCCCGATATTCATCAAGCCTTGAATAATACCTCCAAAATGCTCCTTGACCCGGAGGTACAGAGTATAATTCTCTTTTCATATTGCCTAGTACTAAGCAACATCAATATGATTTCCGTGGTTCCTCCATCCCCTTGCTGAGCACGCGGATTAGGGCAGGGTCTACAAAAACATGCGAATAACAATTCAACAAGTCTCAATTCCATTTAGTCTCCAAGGTCTGTCTGGCTCTGAGTCTCGGCAGAAACTAATAAAAAAGACATACAACAGTATGCATACTACTAACCTAACCTACCGGCGTGTGGCTCAAGTACGGCGGATCGGTTCTCCACACCCTGTGGTCATATGTACCAGAAGGAAAGACCATTGAGCCAGTATATATAGTACAGGTGCCCAGCATCAGTAGAATGTACAAAAGGGGCTTGCAGCGGTACAGAATGGGCAAGGAACCTCGACGCGAAGACCGCATTAACTCTGCCTGTAATCTGGACAGTTGCGCACGCTCAGCAAAGTGAGCAAGTCGCTGCTACTATTATGACCATGTCTTTATTCTATAAATCTTCACCGCTGTAGAGGGCTTGTTGCATCAAAATAATGCTTCAGGGCTTGGATTCAGTTCTTCGATAGACTAGGTGCAGGTGTCTACTCCACTCATAGTTGATGCCTGCTCGACATAGGCGTGATGGGGACGGGCTTCATATGTGGATGCGCATGTACCGAGACGGATAAAGGCAGCAACCAGAGTGACCTGTCCAGGGCGTATTTTCCATCAATGACGCGCGTCCAGGACGGTCTGTAAGACATTCTCCGAGGACTGCAGCTGCAGGGACTTCTTGACGGGCTTCGGGTCCTCGAAGATCTCGTTGATCTCCTCGAGGGTTCGACCCTGAATACCAATGCCAATACCGGATTAGCAAATGAACCAACCCAACAGGCGTAGCGTAGTCGAGTAGCGAGTCAGTGGGAGAACTTACCTTGGTTTCCGGAAAGAACAGATACACAACCAAAGCCTCAAAGCAATCCCAAAACACAAAGACAAGATAGTAGTAGTACCCAATATGGTCGATCGCCACACCAGTGGTATACTGCCCGACGATGCCAGCAATCGAAGCAACGATTTGGCCCGCTGCGCCGCCCTTGGCTCGAGTTTCCAGATCCAGACACTCGGAGATGTAGAATGTCTGCAGTGGCGTGATGCATAACGAGAAGCACATGCTGAACAGGTAGATGAATGCAATCCCCGCATGGCCCGCCGTCCTGTTCCCATCGACACTAGAGGCCTTGGTCAGGCCCGTCACGACAGCAAGGCACATTGCGCATCCGGAGAACCCTGCGAGAAGCAGCGGGCGCCGACCCCATGAATCGCTCAACATGGCACCGGCCATGGCGGAGATCCAGGAGAAGACGGGATTGAGTGCATTTAGCAGCAGTTGCATATGCGGATCGGTGATTCCAGCCTGCGACACGACGACGGGGAAGTAGTAGCTCACCAGGGCGTTTCCCGAGTACTGCCCGAACCAGGCAAAGGCGACGACGCACAGGAGGCGGCGGCGAGCGGGGCGCGCCATGAAGAGGGCGCGGTAGTCCCACCACTTGGTATTCAGGCTGTCGGGGGAGATCTGCGCACGCATCTCGGCCATCTGCAGGCGGACAAAGGGGTTCGTCGCGGAGCCCTCGCCGTGGTACTTGGCGAGGATCGCTTGTGCCTCCTCGTGTCGATTGTGAGCAACCAGCCAGCGGGGCGACTCGGGGCTGAAGAATACGGCAAGCACAATATACCCCGAGCTGACTAGCTGGAGCCAGATCGGGAGACGAAAGGAGACTGTGCCGGCCAGGTAGGCAGTGCCGTATGTGACCCACGAGGCGATGATGCTTCCTAGAAAGTAGTTTGTTTCGAGGAAGCTCCCCAGCGGGCCTCGCCAGTATGGATGGGACATTTCCGTGACGTATGTGATTCCGGAGACGTTGAGGAATCCCTGGCCGAAGCCAACGAGAAACCGGCCACCGAGGAACATTCCGCGGTTGATTGCAGGAGCTTGGATGCAGGTGCCGATGATGACCCCGCAGGCACCGGTGAACATGGCCCAACGGCGGCCCCAGATGTCGTTGACGGGCCCGGTAAAGGGGAGGGCGGCAATTGCGCCGATGTTGAAAATGACGAAGACGAGGCCGGTTGAGGAACCTGCGGCTTTTCTACGCCAGAAATTAGTATGAACAGGTGCAGTTGAGAATAGACGTTGACCAACTCACAAGCCGAAAAACTGTTGATACTGCGGCATCGCATTGATAGCCCCCATCAAGGAACCATCGAACCCCTGGAGGATGATGCAGAAATACCCCACGAGCAGCACAGCGAGAAGCCGGAACATGGCGAAGGAGAAGGCCTTTGGTTGAGCCTCTTGAACCTCTCTCACCAGGTCAAGTACAGACTGCTGCTTCGCAACAGTGCCATCCTCCACAACAGCCTCCACTCTCTCTTCCTCGATAGGTTTAGCATCACCCGACATGGTTGAAAGAATGTTTGCGCGAGCAGTGCTTGTAATTTTGTTGTTGCCTTTGTGGGAGCAGCCATCTGGGCTCTTTAAGTAGTCGACCTTGAATCAGGCGACTCGAGGGATGTTTGAGGATTTGACCCAAGCCTGCCGTGGAGACCCCGGATTCCATCCCCGCCGCGGGCCCTCTACGTTAAAGAGAGAAAAAAAAAAAAAAAAAAAAAAAAAAAAAAAGGAAAAGTCGACGGAAAAGCACATCATAGGCTGAGAATGTGGGTCGGATGGATGTCAGGATTGATCCATTTATGTATCTTCAAGTTGCCCAGGCCCCAGTGGCACCTCATCCAGGACCATCAGACCAAACGTGGACTGGCGCTAAACAGCCTAGAGTGCTTGGCCGGACCAAAAAGGGACAAGTCGGGGGCTATCTTTCACAATCGACTGGTCGCATCTACGGAGTACAACGCAGAGAGCGCTCTTTTATACTGTTTGTCTGCTTTGCAAAATGCCCTACTGGTCAAGAACTGCAAAGGTATCATAGCTGAAGGGACTCGGGGCTAGTCACGCAGTATCTATGTGGTGTGGAACGGCTAACCCTTCGGAGCGCAACGCCATCGCTCAAGGATACGGCTATATCATTGGTAGAATGGAGCAGTTGAAGTTGTCAGATGTCAAAGATGATAGTTTTGTGTTTGGAAAGAGCGACTAGTCTAGTTAACTGGAGGATAGTCCACACATCAAGCAAGTACATCAACTGTCCCAGCAGCCACTGTGCTGGGCATCACCATGGCGTCCCGGCTACATAGATGGTCAATCCGTTTCAGAGCGGAGCAAATTAGAGCTCGGCAAACACCGCCAGACTGTCACGAACCTGCCCATCACCGTCGACAAGCAAGTTATCTTCACAGCTGGATCCTAGTTTCGCGTTGTGAATCCACATGGGCTCCCAGTAGTAGAGCCCAATTCCTCCGGCAGAGCGGACGGCGTCAGCAACCTCTGTCAGGAATGTCACTTGGCCATCCGCCGAGAACGGAATGGGCTGGAGGTCGGCTGGAAAAGTGTACTCTGGCTCGGGGCAGGAAACGGGCCAGTTCGCTTCGACCACCAAGACATCTTGTTCGTATCTTGATACGAGATTGCCAATGGTGGTTTCCAGCGACGAGAGTGTTGCGGCTTCATTGTAGAAGGGGTAGTACGAGACTCCAATGAGGTCAAAATCCGAAGACTGCAGGATGCCGGTTCCCAGGACGGAATCGTAAAAGTGCTGCTGCTGCTCCCAGTTCCAGCCGTTGTCGAGGTGGACCATGATTTTGGGAGTTTGCGCGAGGTTGGAGCACTTGACCGCGGCCGAACCGGCGTGGAGTAGCCTGGCCACGTTTTCAAAGCTGCTGAGATCACCAAGGGGCCAGAGCAGTCCGTTGCGGATCTCATTGCCAATCGAGATCATCTTCACTGGGAGATCGTTTGCCGCAAAAGCGTTCAACACTTCCAGAGTGTAGTCATACACTTGGTCGGCCAGGACATTGATGTCTGTGGTGGACCACGTCCAGGGCGTAGTCTGTGCCTTGTTAGATTTCTTGCGTAGACGAAGAGACGAAGAGAGTCTTGCCTGGTTGCCTGGATCTGCCCATCCATCGCTCAAGTGCAGGTTCAGGTAGATACTGTGTCCAGCGGCATAAGCCCGTTTCGCAAGCTCGACATTATAGTCGATGTCATAGTTTCCCTCGACGGGATTCACCCACAGGCGCTGCCGGATAGAATTGACGCCATTGTCCGCGAGGATATACTCCAAGGGCTGCACTTCGCCGTCGAGGTTCTTATACTCGATCCCGGCTTCTTCCTCGACCAGCAGCGAGGATATGTCTACCCCACGATATGTGAGAGCAGCATGAGCAACCAGGGGAAGTGAGAGAAGAGCTGAAGGGAAGAACATGGTGTGGAGAGCAGCCACTGTAGCGTAGTTTGTGAATGATGGTAAAGAGACATTGCGAGCTTGCTCTTGCCTTCTCTTTATACCTTTCCGCCATCATGAAATGCACGATGCTTATGGATCAACAGCTTGGCTGCTATATCGGTATGAAGAAGCCGTCCCATGGGGAACCAAAACCTGGAGAACCGGCACCCCGCACACACACTCGGTGAGACCAGGGCCGGGGGTCTCGGAGCCGGAGTGGCGCCATGGTAACAGCCACTGAAACATTTTCCGCTTAAAGATCATCTTCCTTCCCTCTTCCGTTGCCTAAGGCCGACTCTTCCCCGCTCCTGTCATCACTCACTCACGGCAGATGGCACCACCGGTCTATGCAAGAGGCCGGCTCCGCGTTACTCGGGCCTGTGACAGATGCAAGAAGTAACTCCTCTTCCACTAATCATTAGCTCACAACTAACTCGGCCCCGTTTAGGAGGAAGATCCGGTGCAGTGGGGTCCAGCCATGCGAGAAATGCAGTAGCTGCAACCAGCCCTGTGCTTACAATGCTCCATATGCCAGGGGCCAGCGTCTTCCACGGGTCCTAAAGGGGCCAGACTTTGACAACCCCCGACACCCGTTTAATTTGGATGGCGCCTCCACGGCAGCTGTCAGCCCCCAGATATCGACGTTGGAAGGACCTTCTCCTAGTAATGACACAATCTCCCCACTTATCCTCGCCAGGCCCGGTGAGCCAGCTCGGCGGCCCACCTGCTCGCCGGTGGAGCTCACCCTGACCGATCTTGACGGACACTATCTTGGTCCGTCCTCTGAAGCTGCATTCATGCTCCGAGTGCAGAGGTCGCTCAACCCGTCCGAATCTTTTTCGCACGTATCCTTGCCGTTTTCGTTATCCGATGAGCAATTGCCCGTCATCGATCCGTCTCTTGACTGTACAGTGCCTGTTGAACTAGCATCTCAGTTGGCGCAGGCTTTTTTTGAGCATGCACTACCGATTGCCCAATTCTTGCACTGGCCGACGGTTGAGGCAGGGCTCTCCGAACTTCAGTCTCCGTCATTTTCGCGGCCACAGAAAGCCTTGATGTACGCCATGTTTACTGTCGCCGTACCGTACATGGCTATACAAAGCAGTACAGCGTCAGTCTTTCTGCCCCAATCTCTTTGCAGATGTACTTAACTAGTTTAGTCAGCGTTACTTTGCCACATCAGAGAGCCTCCTAAATGGGCACGACAAGCCCATCAGCCTGGTCACCATACAAGCCCGATTATGCCAGTGCATCTGGCTACTCGGCGAGTCTCGTTTTGATCAATGCTGGGATCTTTTCGGGGTAGCTGCTCGGCATGCACTCGCGATCGGTCTTCATCAAGCGTCATGCGTGCATCAGGCTTCGACATTTGACTCGGTCGGTATCGAATCCTATCGCAGGACTTTCTGGACCCTCTATACTTTAGACAATCTGTTGAGCATAGCCCTTGGGAGGCCCAGGGTATTTAACAATCTCGATATCAATCAAGATCTTCCATCCCTGGGCGAGGAGTCGGACGATTTCGAGGTGGGGGGCCGGCTTCCTAATTGTACCGCGCCCCCTGCTGCTACTCTCGCAACCGTCGCATATTTCAGGTATGGGACTTGTGCGGACTAATCAGTATCCAACTGACGTACGGCAACCATAGGCTAAGTGGGATAACCGGGAAAGTCCTCCAGAAATCCTACTCCAGTCACCCACTCTCTCTCACTGAGCAGATAGACTTTGTGATGAGCTGTTCAGAGTCCCTGAAGGGCTGGAGAGAGGTCTACTCTAGCATAATTAGCCCGGAGAACTCGACTAATGAACCCCTATCCCCAGTAGTACAGGTCCAATCTGATTTTCTGAACCTTGCCCACTCGCACACTACAGTCCTAGCCAACAGGTTTCTCCTCCTCGAGAAGCTGGCGCCAGACTATGACACTAGAAACAGCGCCGACGAAAGGAGAAGAATCGATACTCTCGTTGGCGAATGCGTGACAGCCGCAATGGACATAGTCAACATTCTTTCTGATATTGATCGCATGGAGCGGATTATTGGCACACATTGGGTTCGTTGTGTGGCCCCTAGATAAGACAGACTTCATCTTGGATAGATCTACTGACGTCTGGTTTGCAGTTCACGCCCTTTATTGCACTGTCCGCTATGACTGTTCTTTACACCTACTCAGCAAGCCAGGGCTCGGAGACTGATAAGGAATACTACCGCTCAGCCGCTGCCCGGTGTCAAGTCCTCCTGTTCGGCCTTGTGAAGGAAGATTCTTTGGTGACAAAGTATTCCTTGTTGCTGGAAGACTTGCGGTCCCAGGTCTGACGTATACTTGACTCGACGCGTGCGAGAAGCCACCTTGGAGTGGGTGTATCGTCAGGTTGGGCAAGATGATTATTGCTCTTCGATTGATACTCTATGCGCAGAATACCCATCCGCCGGCCCAGTGCCAAACCAGGGTTCTGGTGGATAGAGTCCTTTCCTTGGCTCTAGGCAACGGATAATTCAAGGGGGGGGGGGGTTGCGGGGGGGTGTGTGAAAAGACAGTAACCCGGCTCCGATGATTGCTCGGTTCCGTATGCCTGCAGATCATAGACTCGCACTGGCTAGGAGAGGCACATTATCAGCTCCGTGGGAGGATTAGGCCGGCTAAGACTTAGCAAGGTCATGCTCTGGCGCTCAAGCAAGGTATCACCAATTGGGCAGGCCTGATGATAAACATACTTCTTGCCGTCGTATGTTTTTTTTTTACCTGTTTGGCCTTCTAGGAGGATAAAAGAGCACTCCGAGACAAGAATGTCCAAGCGTAGGAGAGGGCTTTCTGGGGGTGGAAGGGCATAGTATCATTTCTAAGATTTGAAGGAGCGTGGGTCATGCAAGCGGATCATAGGGACAGTTTGAGCTCATAAGCCATTAATCATCATATTATACGTACCAAATAGAATGCCGAAATGTGTTCTATATCCCCATCAGGTATCGATATCCAAGAAACATGCCAAGTATCTCGTGTAACCCGACGAAACATTCACCCTCCCCCTAATTGAACACCTCCCCTTCGCCATCCCTGGGCGGCTTGATCCCATTCCTCCTCCTCCAAGCCCAAACCCCTCGATCAACCTCCTCCTTCGTCATCCCGTCCTTAACAAGCACAAACGTAACCCCCAACTCGGTCTCCACATTGCGATTCCGCGCCTCGTCGTCGAAAAAGAGCATGTCCTCGTACGCGATATTCGACGCCTGGTGGATCTTCGCGAAATGCTGTGTCTTTGTCGCGGGGAAGATCTGAATGTAATCAAAGTAGTCGAGGGCGCGGGTTGAGCGTTGGCGCGCCGCGGTGGGGTTGTCGCTGAAGGTTGGGATTATGTGTAGCTGTTTGAGCATGTCGCGGGCGAGTTCGGGGGCTGAGGTGCGCGAGGCGAGGGCGAGTGGAATTGAGCGGGATTTGCAGGATTGGATTATAGAGGAGACAGGCGGGTAGAAGGCGAAGGATTCATTCCATCTATAGGACCAACAGTTAGAACTCTAGTTGCGGGGAGGGAAAGGGGGAGAGGGAGGAGGCGCGTACTTGTCCGTGCAGCGCGAGTTATTGTCCCGCGGCTTGATTGGAGGCGTGACATGAGTGTCCACCCAGAAAGGCCAGAGAGTGTAGTCAAGGTCAAAAGCCATCAGCTTGGGAAGTGGAAGACCGTCGGTGAATGTCGCGGGGGCATTCGAGGTGTCCTCGATTGGCGCCGCTGTGTTTGTTCGTCGGGCACGGATCATTGTGGATATGGTGATGGATAATGATTCTAAGCGTATGCAAGTTCGCAGTGATTGAAAAAACAACAGACGAAGAGAATGTGAGCCAAAAACGAGTGGATGGCTTCGAGGGCGGGGGGTTGAAAACAGGGCAAGTCTTATCGGGGCAAAGGACAAGATTTTGTGGGGAACTGATCACGTAAGCAGCTCTTATCGCCGCTTCTTTGAGGGGTTACGAGGGGTCGTTTTGGATAACTTCAATAGTTATTCTTCTATGAAAGTTTGCTAGGGTCTTATGTCTCTCGATTCGACGTCCCAAGTATCGTCTGCTAAGTAGAAATGCTAGCGACATGAAATGCTCCCAAATCCAAATCGTCTCACACCGATCATCAATCCTATCTCTACACTTCCTCGTCGCATCTCCGTTCCCTCTGATCTTGGTCATCCTAAAAGTACATATCGAAGCGACAAACACCAACTTGAGATGGGTAGTAATACAGACGAAAGAACGCCGACCAAATTATGGGAGCGGTGTGTAGGTGAAGCATCCAACTGTTTCCAAAAACTTCCAGACCTGCTGGTGAGTCTCATATCCCTTGACGGACAGCTCGTAAGCGACGGCCTTCCAGTCAGAAGCATACTGAATGATGCTAGTCTGCTGTTCGATATCCAACACACCGTCAACCCCGACTGCATCAGCGATAATGCGACGCCAGATCTCAAAGGGCAGTCCGAAGCGCCATTCCTGCTTGCGCCCTCTGCTGTTGCGGCTGTTTCCCCTGCCAGAGCGGCCGGGTTGGTTGGGGCTGGTGCTCGCAGAGGGGCTTAACTGGCCCAACTCTTCAGACTCTTTCACCTGCTGTTCCGTTTCCTCTTTGATGGGGTGCAGCTTCCTGGGGGTTGGCTTCGTGAGGGCGGGGAAATCCTCATCGAACATTGCGTTGGCGCGGTCGAAAGGTCCGAGAGAGAACTGGGGTGCTAGCTCGAAGAATAAATTGGCCGGTGGGTAGAAAGTCGGAGCAGGGTAAATGACGGTCTCCTTTTCGGGCTCGACTTCTTTCTCAACTTCCTCTTCCTGGGCATCTTCTTCGGCCGGGGTAGTCTCTTCCTCAGTCGACTCCTCAACGGGGCGATCCTTGTCTTCAAGAAGCAAGGCGCGGGAAAGAACCAACATTTTCAGGGCGGCTATGACAATGTCACTGCAATGGATACCCTCCACCTTGAGAGACTCAAGACGGACGCGCTTCGTAAGTCTGGTGTAATCCTGCATCATCTTGCTCTGCATCTTGCGCTGAGTGTCTTCGTCGTCGCTGGATGCCTCGAGCTCCGACTCGGCCTTGGACTTGAATTCGCGAACATACTCGGCGACCTCGAGGAGGTGAGTAGCGAAGGTCGGTATGCTGTCATTGGGCTTCCAGATAATGCACTTGTCGCTCTGCGCAGCCTCGGGGATATCAGATGCCTTGCCCGGGGGCAGGAAGTTGAGAAGCTGTTCAGAAGAACGCTGGATGGCGAGCATGTGGGAGAAATGAATGGCGCTGCTCATCGTGAGGTCGATGTTGCTCAGAATGAGGTAGGGAATGGCGCGAAGCCCACGAGTGCATGCGAACTTCTTCAAATCACCGGCGGTTATGTTCTTGCTGGCGGCCGGCGAAGTCTGGGAGGTGCCTGTTGTCACATCGTTATTCCAATTCCACCATCGAATAGGATGAGAAGAAGAAGAATGGACGCAAGGAACAATAGAGAAAGAGAAGTAGGAAATAACGGAAGAAGACAAGGAAAACCAGTGCCATACCATTCTGCTTAGCAGCCTTCCCCTTACCAACAGTCTTCTTCGCACGATTCGCACGGGGAGAGTCGTTTTCATTGACCTTGAGAGTGCTGACTTCCTCAACAAGAGTCGACTCATCATCAACGCTCAGTCCAACGATCGCAGCCGCATCCGCCTCAAGGTAGTCGACGTCACTCTTGATGTAAACGCAACACAAGATCTCCAGTCCAGTTGGTCCGATCGGGTTCTCACTAAGGTCAAGTTTGCTGAGCACGTAGCAGTTCTTAAAGCACTCGAGGAAAGCTTTCCAGATAGCCTTGTCCTGGGCACTGGCGACGCATATTTCATTCCGGGATAGATCGAGCTCACGGAGGTCACCAGCGCTGTGGGCCACGACCTCACCAAGCTTTGGGAGTGAGAGGACAGTGAGGTTGTTGCCGGACAAGTGGAACTCGGTGATCTTGGCAAGGCCGGTAGGGTGTTCTTCGCCGCGGTAAAAGATGCACGTAAGTAGGTCATCGATGAATTGGCTAAACCCTTCGTCGGTCAGGGCTTTGCCGGTCAGGTCGATCTCGAGGGTGGGATCGCGAGCGGCGGCTTTGGCTCCAATGCCTGGTGGAATGCGCTTTTTCTGTAGATCGTCAGTAGGGGATTGTAGTAATGCTAAGTGAACTGGAAGCTTACAAGATCCTTGGAGACGGTCTGGCCAGCCTTGACGCCGCCGATTTTTCTCTGCAGCACATCGTCAGCACAACAACGTAAATCAGAGCAGTAAAGCTGGATAAGCTTACAGCAGAGTAAATAAGCCTCCCCATTTTGCCAGCCGGTAGCTGTACTCAGGTTTGAGGACTTGGTTTGTTGTTTTGTTTGGCCGACCTTCATCGCAACACATTAGCATTCGTTGCAGCTTGATATCGCCAGTAAACCCAAAGAACACGAGAGACGTCGAGTAAAAGCAACAATAGTAGAGTCGATCTATAGAGACAAAGACAAAGAAAACAAAGCCAACCGTGCTATATCATCACTCCCTGCACAACGCATCTGAGGCGCCGAGAAAAGCCAAGAAAAATATACAACACCAGATCAACCAACCACGTCGCAGGAAGGTGAGCCACATACCTCAGCCAGGCTCAGCAAGATACGATGTCCTGAGAAGACTTGTCTCTCTCGACGAAAGGTAGGAAGGTTATGAGAGGGTAGAGTGAGATGTGTTATGGTGGGAGAGAACTGGGAAACACTGGGACAGAAGTGCCGACCGTATCAACATCACGGTTCAGAACAAAACCTCGTAGGAAATCCCAGGTAAGAAAGAGCAAACAGAAATAAAAAGAACTAACCTCTTAAAGGCTTCTCAAGTGTGTAGCGCTTGCTCGCTCCTTGTGTTGTGGTGGACAGAGAGAATAAAGAGGAAGAGGACGAAGGGTGAGGAGGAGAGAGGTGGGAGAAAGAGAGAAAGGAGGAAGATGAGGGGCAGGAAAAATAAGTAGATTTCTGGCTGCAAACTCTGAAGACGTTGCCAGGCAGGCTCATGTTCATGTACAAGAAGCGTAGAGGTAAATGCTTTACTTTACCTGTTTATCTGCTCAATGCTTCACTGTATTAAAGTGGGGCTTTGATATCCCTCTGATGGCTGCCTCGGGCGCTGGTTGGCTACATAGCAAGGCTGCCTGCTTAAAGAGGGAGCTCAGTGATTGCCATGGAAGAAGAGTGAATGGGATTATCCTTCCTAGGTTTTGTGATTCTAATCAGTGAAGGGGCAGAGGGAGAGGACGGTGCTTTGTGTCTGAACAGAAGCTCTTTGTATTGCTACGCGTTTCGAGGACTTAAAATGACAGCTACACCCTTTCACAAGCCGAGATTTCTGGATTGGAAAATACAGAGATTGAAGAAATGAAAAATGTAAACAGTGTCAAGCCCATGAAGTCAGAGAAATGGAAACAGCTACTCGGGGAAATGCCAAACGTCAAACGATCAAATGAAAACAACGCAGTCCTTGTACTCTTCCATAATAGCACGGCCAATGTCATCCCAGTCTTGGGGAATCCCCGACTCGTCACGGTCTTTGCTGATTTGGGGCTCAGGCGTCTCCAGGGTTTTGGGTCTCTTGTTCTCCTCGCTGCAGGTCTCACTAACGTCCGCCTCAACGCTCTTGCGCTTGGTGCCCGCACGATTCTCAGAAGTTTGAGCCACAGGACTCATCTCTTGTGGCTCCGGGGTGACAAGATCCACAATTCCACAGTTCTTCCTGGGGGGCGGGGACTCGATCTGAGGCGATCGGCCCGGGAACGGGACTTCGTTGACATCAACCCAATCGTCCCCTGGCTCGAAAACACTCTCATCAGCTTTTGTAGTTCCGAACGCGCCTTCAGGCCCAATTTCCTGCCTAGTGGAAGCTTTCCCGAATAGCAACTCCTCCGGCGAGGGCAGGTCATCAAAGTTCTCGTCTCCGTAATCGCTTGAATCCACGATTGACGAAAGAGGAGGAATGTCGTACACCGTCGAAGCTGGGGGTCGGAGCTCTGGACTATCATCGAAGCTCCCGTTTCTAATGCTCCTCTTACTTTTCTTGTCTTGCTTTGCAGGTTGAACCGCTCTCTTGGCAATGCTGCCGGACAAGGTCAATTGGTTTGATCCCGCGGTTGATAGAGTAGACACGTCAGGTTTCTTCCTTCCAGCCTTGGGAGGGTTGTCAAGGCCCTCACGACAACACAGATGCTTGCACCTGTAATAGTTAGTTGTTACCCAGCACCCCATAATTTTTGGAATACGAACACTGATTTGTCCTTGCACTTGTGGTTACACGCCCATCGACCATTGTCGAGCTTCTGGGGTCCATTTCTCAGTGCCAGATCGCCATACTTTGCACATTCCCTCCTTGAGGAGCTTGTGCGTGCCAATGTGCTCTTTGGCTTTGGATCAGCGCTAAGAACTATGTCATTCTTCGTTGTAGTGCTTGGCTTCGCAGCTTCCTTTCTCGAGGAGTGCGTGCGGGATACTATCTTCTTTGGCTCCGGGACGCAGTGCTCGGCTGCTTCCCAGTCTTCAAAGGCCTCTGCAGTCCGTTCAGAATCTACAATAGCATATGTGATAAGGGGGATGAGATACCTGATGCTAGAAAGTCCCCAAATAAGCGCTCATCGCTATCAAATCGATGAATCCTAGTCTTCTTATGTGTTTTGGGCTGAATCTGGGACTGTGCTCTGTCCACCACAGTTCCATCGTCATCCGGGATTTCTTGAACTCTGTCTTCGCCGGCAGGTTGCCTCAGAAAATATGATGAAGGTAGGTCAATCCTTAGTGCTGCACTCCGTGCCGTTCCCGCTATAAGCCATTAGTATATATCTCCGTTAATATATGGTTGCAACATACCGATTTCGTCGCACATGACATGGCAAGATATATAATGATCCTGGGACTTCAACTCCGCACTCAGTAAAATTTCAAGGTTATTCTCAAGCTTGCTTGCACTGTAGATGATTAGTCTAGCCTTGGTGAGAGGTAGGTCACGAACCTTAGACGTCGAAAATCGATCAAGTGGCCATCTGAGGTCTCTGCGATGAAGCAAACATAAACAGGCCGTCTCTGGAAGAAGTTCGGGCACTTGTCATTCATGAATGCAACTTCTGCTTTGAATCGGACCCTTACTTCACGCCCAGGTTTGGTGTCCTGCTATTCGTACGCTCAGTAATGTTCAACGCAGCGGAAATATATATTTGGGCCACCTACCTTGCCCATCATCTTCAGAGCCACCCGCAACTTGGGGAAATCAGCGAGACGGTTCCGCAACTTCACTCCGAATGGTGGATTCCTGCTTAGTGCCATGTCAATTTGGTGTGGCTCGGCAGTTTCGAGGTCCTCTATGCTGCCGATTCCAGCAGCGGCAAGCTTCCTAACTGCCACAGCGCCTATATGCTCAATCTGTTTCATTTGGAGGGGCGAGTCATCCCAGGTCTTTGCTGTCAAGCTTCGCGCCAGCTCCAGAGCGTTCCGAGTGGTAACTGAGTCCTGGAGGTGGACTTGGCAGTCAATAATACAGCGGATCAAGCGGTTCACATGGGTGAAAACGAAGTTCTTGTCCTGCTGGAAAGAGAATCTGTGCTTTTGAAACTGCTCATGGTTTGGGAACTCAACCGCACCGAGCTCGGCTTGAATCAGAAGTGAGGTCTTGTGGGATGGGAGTGCTATGTCAACCTTGATGGGAAATTTGATATCACTGGAGCGGTTGATTTCCTTGTAGACTGCCTTCTCACCTGATTTCAGGCGGATATCGCGGAATTCTTCTGCTTGGGAAATGACGGACAGCTAAGAAGCATTAGTATATACTTGAGCTTGGGGTTCGAAAAGGAGAGGAACTTACAATTTGGCCGATGTCTGAGCGTGGCTTCAGACCGAGGAAGATCCTCATCGTTTCGAAGCGCACGTAGTATCGAGCCATGGCATCTCCAAATGGGGTGGCTTTGAGGCCGTCAGACGTGACCAGCTCACATTCTTGTAGGAGCTTGATATCCTTCTCGCAAATCTGGCGTAGCATCTCTTTCTCATCATCCTGGTTAGCTCCCTCCTTGAGCTTATAGTGCGTTGGATTCCTCCTCAACCGCACGAACAAGAATGTGCTGGCTAGCCAGTTGACAGCAGTCTCAATGTTGGTTACATTTCCAAGCCCTATCTCGGCATTGATGTGCTCGATGAGGTTGAGGTGCAAGCAACTCTCGAGGCTCTCCGAGCCAGAGACCAGCTTCTCATAGTGCTTGGCACGTTCCTTTCTCGTGAGGATCACAGCCGTTGCAGTGTCGTCAAACTGCGGTCGTCCTGCTCGACCGAGCATCTGCATGACCTCGAGGTCTGAATACTCCTGAGTATGGCCATCCTGCCATCCTGCCGTACCTTTGATAATGACCAGGTGGCAGGGAAGGTTAACTCCAACTGCCAAAGTCGAAGTGCAGCATATGACACTAATCTTTCGATCAAGGAATCCACTTTCAACCTGGTGTCTGTCCCCAAGTTCGAGACCGGCATGGTGAAAAGCAACGCCTGCCGCTGTGGTCGCTGTTCGCATTATTAGTTATGCTATGGCAAGTTACAGTAAGCAGGACAAGCATACTCTTTAGGTCAGCGTGGCTGACTCCCAGAGGCCGGCTTGGCCCTGCCCATAACCGTGCCGGAGCATTGGACGTGGACCATAGCCGTGCGAGTTCTTTCGCCGTACTCATTGCAGAATTCCTTGTGCAGCAGAAGATCATGATAGGTTTCCCTGCAGAATGCATGGAAATGATGCTGGCAAGTCTTCAATGGAATTCAAAGTTAGAGCCATGGGCAAGAATGCACAGAAAGTGAATATTAAACTCACTTTGAATTGCACAGTTTATCAAATGCAAAGTCATTGCCGCTTGCCTGATACCCGTAGACGAATTTCTGCAGCTTCACTGGCCGAAATTCCTCTCCAAAATGCTCCCGATGAGCTGGGACTTGTTGGTTCATTGCATTGCGACCTAACCATGTTGCAATATCTTCAGAATTTGGGATGGTGGCACTCAGCGCAACAAAGCGAACATTCGACCCAAAGGACTTCATCCGGGAAACTACGGCCTCCATTGTTGCTCCACGCGCCTCCTTCAGAGTATGGACCTCATCGATAAGGAAGAGCTTGACGAGCTGCATCAATCTCGCATGATCCTTCCATTTTCGAGTCATGCTATCCCATTTCTCGGGAGTGGTGATGATGATCTGGCTATTTTGGACATTCCTCTGTTGCAGGTAATCAGTATCCCCTGTAAGTTCAGCGCACTGCAGACCAAGGGAGTTGAACTTTCGACCCCAGTCCTGGAATCTCTCAGAGCATAGAGACTTTGTCGGGGCTTGGTATACGACCTTGAATTGTTCATCCTTTAGGGAATTGAGCAAGCGGCAGATTGCCAGCTCCATGACAACTGTCTTTCCACTACCAGTGGGTGCAGCCAAAACAACGTTATCATCACTTCTGTAGACCGTCGAAAAACACTTTGACTGGACGGCATTGAAACAAGGGAAGGAGAACAGGGACCGATAGTTGTCCGGAAGCTCTCGGGCTGATACGAGCTTGATGCCATGACTCGCAGCAGGCAGCTGCTGGAAGGGTGTGGAGGAGGTGTTAGGCTGAGTGAATGCACTGTCTAACGTGCTGGAGTAAGTGAGAGAGCCTTGAGGCCTTCGTTGTTCCTCCAGTTCAAAAGCCCGAGGTAGTGTCATTCTCCCTTTCTGTAATCTCGCGAGTGGACTGGACGCATCCCGGATATCAGTATCTGACGAGCCCGAGGCAAGGCTTCGATTCGGCGTAACCTGTGAGCCTGGAACCAACTGGTCAGCTTAACCTATACATTGCAGAAATTTTGTAGGAGTCCATTCGTAAGTCATTGTCACTCACTTTCAAAAAATCGAGAGACATGCTTTGGAGGTTCCGGCTGCCATGAGTGATATGAAGAGAGCCCCTCCGCGTAGGACGAAGCCTGGAAGCCTCTTGACTGCCGTTGAGACTGGGCCAGGAGCTCGAGATCTAATCCAGTCCCATACAATTAGTCTTCCATCTAACCAACTTCATGGCTGTCTCAAAGTGCAGCGTGCTCACCAAAAGCATCAAGTTGAAGATCACCACCACCACCATAATCCCCGGCATCCGCATCAAGAGAAGGATCCCATTGAGTCACTGCACGATACGGCTCTGAGCTATACGCAGAACTGTGAAGAGAAGGCCTGCAGGCTCTTTGAACGAGTGAGTCGGAGTTCAGGCCTTGGGGCTGGGACTGCGGTGGTTTTCGTTTCCAGGAGGGCACGAAGCTCTGGCTAGAGACGAATGGATGGTTCTCTCGTCGTCTCATGATGGGAAGCGGATGATAGCTATGCTGCCCAACAATTCGACGGTCTTGTGGAGGTGAAGCGGAATGGTCAAGATGGGATGGGGTTGGTAGTGGGTCGGATGGTCTACACGGGAAGCCAGTCACCTACACAGAGTGAAATTTCTCGAGTCCTACAAGTGTGAGTAGTCCGCACGAAAACTAGTCGAAGACAATGTAGCTGCATTATTCTGAGTAGTAGGCCTCGAATGATAAGCGAAGAAGCAAATCTGAGCCAAAATAGAGCTTCGGAGACCTGACGATCAATTTATTATATAAATCAAAGCTAGGCCGGCCTGGGTACTCAGCAAAGCAGTCAATCAAAGGGTATAGTAACGAAGCAAGAAAAACCAAGCTGCAGTAGCACGAATACTAAGCCATGTATGTGGGCAAAAGCAGCAAGCGCACCAGTTAGTTCTATGCGAATTTTAATCCACTTCCAATAACAACCAATCCATGATCAAAGCAGCCAACTCGACGCTCATAAGCATATCATCAGTCTTAGTTAAATCATAATGTCTTTAAAAATATGCACCACCGCTCGCTCGAGAGGCCCCGGATCTCGCGACTCCGGGTGACGTTGGGCGTGAGGTTGAGATACCTGCATCCAAAAAGGGCGTTGTTGGAAGCTTGATGGAGATCTCTTTGGGCGAAGCAGACAATGGAGAAGTCTGATCACTCTTGCTCTCCTTTTCGAAGCGTTCGACGCGAATCGGGGGTGGGCGAGGGCCTTGGCGCTTGCCTGCACTCGGACTCTCGCAGAGATAGGTGGCCACCAAGACCGCAAAGGTGCCAACAAGAAACTGATTTTCTGTTAGATGCATGATATACCAGTCGAAAGGGTAAACTCACAGTAATTGTCGGCTCAAACTCAAACAGCCAGATGCTGCCCAGAGAAGTGAAAATGATACTCGTAGCCGAGGCGAGGTTCTTGGTATCCGCGTGCGCAGGTCCCACGCAGAAAGATGTCGCAATCCCTCCAAAAGCCTGAATGATAATGGTAGACCAGACAACCCAGTTGTAGCCGTCGAAAATCCCACCATTGGCAATTGTCTCGCCATCCAAAAACACAACGCCAATAAACAGCGCGGGGAAGATGGAGTAGACCGCGAGCTGCACGTTGCGGACCCAGAGAGACGTATGCTTTGCACTATCCTTGAGCACTTTTTCAAAATACACACCAGCAAGTCCCGAAGCTGCACAGGCGCCGAGGGTAGCGAGGACACCAACTGCCCCGTTCAATCGCGGGGTTGCGGTCAAGATATCCTCCTCGATGCCCTCGTAGGTAGCCGATCGTTTATGAAGACTCCGGCCCTCCAACTGAACTGATTTCCACTCCTCCAAAGACCGAGGGAAATCGAAATGAGCAGCTGCATTCTCTAGCGAGAACTCGTCCGGCCGAGCATTCGAAATCTGAATGAGACCAACACCAATCAACAGAACCAACAGCAGACCCCATTTGCGCAGCGGAATGCTCCTCCCGAGGAGTATCAAGCCAAAGACCGAGCTCACGAATATCTTCAACTGGTAGGATACCTGAAATGTCGCAGCCTGTAGGTTCGAGAGCGCGATGTATTGCAGCGAGTTGGCCAAGGTATATAAGCTCGCCGGAATAGCGAGCTTCCAGCTGTCGCCCGAAAACACGGTCGCTGTGAGGGAGGAAAGGAGCGATGTCGCGGGGACCGATGGTGGAGCCGACCTCGAGACTTCGTACAGTGCTACCGTCAGGGAAACGGCGAGTTTGACGACTTCGTTGAAGAAGACGGCGGTCGATGTGAGATATCGCTTGCCGCCAGTTGGTGGCATAATCCGAGAATAATGCGCTAACTGTTAAACAAAGGTCAGTTCGTCGTCCGAGTAGACGGGGAGAGCGAGCGACGAACCAGAACGAAAGCAGTATACTGTGCCGTCAACTGCTCCGAGAGGTGGTGGTCAGCAAATATAACACCGCGTCTCATTTTGATGAGAAGAATAGCTCACCAGGATCCAGGAAGTGTGCTTCCAAGCCTTTCCCGGCGTGGTAGACCGGCGTGAGACACTCTCACCCATATTGGTGAGAGCTCTTGGGTAGCTCGTTCGAAGCGGTTTTAACTGATGAGAGGATTTGAGAGGATTTTTGTATTATTGAGGTGCTCTCGTGATTAAAGCTGTCACGCGACAGGGGTTAAATCGGCGCCCTGAGCTATCGCTGTGTGTGTGTGTGTGTGTGTGTGGAGAGACAGTCCGGGCGGCGGTTCAAAAGCTCGCGGAAACGCTCTCCGCGACAATTCCAAGGTTTTCGGCTAATCGGTGGCAAGAAGTAGGAAAGGAAGATGAAGCACAAAGGGGAAACCTTCTTCGCACGACAAAGAAAAATCAGCAAAATCGCAAGGAAAAGCTCAACCTTATGAACTAGGTTATTGGACTCGTCTGAAGCGCCAGGTGAAGCCTAAGCTGGGCGGTGTGGTCTTCAAATGTCCGTGGGTCGGCCGATTTTCCCCTGAACTTGGAGACTCGGCGATGATTGGAGCTGACGTCAGGCCAGCAATTTTGGAGGGATCAACAGAACAGCGGATGATCCAGCATCCATGGGGCGTCTTTGAAACAAGCAAGCTCGCGTTTCGGATCCCAACAATTGGTCTGTGATATGGACCCTTACCGGGCGGGCATTCCAGCATGACGACATGCATTCAGCTCTTGGTCAGGCCATGCTCTCTCCAGGGTTAGGCTCGGGTCGCCGAAGCTTATTAGATGAGGCAGTGGCTGCGATACGGTATACGAGGCATCGGGACTCTTTACAGCCGTCCAGGCAGGATAAATCATGTTGGTGTACCTTTGGATTAGTTATTATATTTCCTAGAAATCGACTACCCAGAACTTCCTCCCATGCATTGCAAGACAAATGCCAAAAAATCAACCACACCGTAGCTAAGGAATGAGACCGCCGACATGAGATAGGAAAAATGGAGTGTATAGAGAGAGTGGATCGTGTGATGTGTCCGTCACATTGAGTATAAAATGGAGAGAGTTCACATAGAGAAAAAGAAAGAGAGCCGTTGATATCGAAGAACAGAAAAGCGAACGGGAGCGCATCAATCAATGCACTGCGGTCATGTTGCTGCTCTCGCTATTCCAGCCGAGCGCCCAAATTGGGAATTCGCTGCTTTCTTTTCGGTTATCGGTGGTGTTTTCAAGACCAATCGCTCCGCTGCTGTCCGTGCGTCTCCTGGAGTGCTGTCTTTGGAGACCGGGAACAGGAGGCGGGGGTCGGCGCGGGGGAGGTTTTTGAGACGGTAAGGGGGAGAAGCGGTGAATAGGAAGGGTCGGAGTCAGAGGGGATGTCGTGCTCGTAGCAGGAGAAGGAAGGCTTTTTGAGGAAATCAGACTAGCCCGCGGCGATGGAAATGAATGGATGGTTTTTGCATCGATATCAGATCCGGGGCCTCTCGGTGTCGAGCTACCTCGGGTTTTCTGGCTCGCTTGGACTGCGCGTGCCATTGCGGGAGAAGGTATTCCGGGGCTGAGGCGTAAAAATGAGGTGTCGGCGCAGTAGAATGAATCTCGAGAAGGACCCGATGCTATAGAGCGGCGATCCGGCTCCACGGACTCATTGAATAAACTTGGGGTAATCTTGCCCTGCCGCTGTCTCACGACTTCGAGGAGACGCTCCTCTTGTCTGGTAACGGCCATAAGCCTGCTCCTCCGATTGATCTCCTTCTGCGACAGAGACGGGGTTCTCGCCGGGACTTTGGTCTGGTCGAATATCGGATCGTTATGCAGGAAATTGGGCTCTTGGATGGCGGGTATCCCACTTGAACGACGTGACCGGCTGACACCAGTTGTAGACGAAGAGTGCTTCGATACCGAAGAGTCTCGCCGGGGCTGGGAGGGCTTGAGACTAGAACGGGACCCTTGCGTGTTGGAAGACGAAGGGCGCTCCACGCTTCTTAGCATGCTTTTCGTCGCTTGTGCAGTCGTAGCTGTGCAAATCTCTGCTTCGAAATCCCCGTATGTAGACACGCTATCCCTTTTGTTCTTGTTGAACCGGGGTGGAGGTATGAAGGGCGGCTCTTCATCTTCATCTTCGGACGAGGAGAGGCACAGGACGCTCGAGTTGGTGAGGTCGGAGTTCTTCAGAGTGCTTTTGCTGCTCTTCTTCGACATCAGAGGATTGTCCTTTTTTGAAGACACATCCTCACGCAACCCAAATCGGAAGGGTGCTGGTGGCATATCCCTCAGGGATTTGTTCGATTGAGCTTCCCGCAGGGTCCTTTGAGAGGATCGTGCGGATTCCCCGGATCTAGCCGATAGCATAGACTTTGAATCGCTCCGTTGGAGATTCCCTCTGCTGCGCAAGCTGAAGTTCATTTGGTTGTATTGAGATCGGTCCGGTGATCGCGGCGATAATTGCACATCAAAGTTCTTCTCGAGGGCCCTGTCGATCTCGCTGGTACGGACAGTTCGTTCCAGTGAAGGGTTGGACCACTCCGGGCCAGTCGTACCGTGCGAAATGGATGAGCCTAGGACGCCAGCTAGTGGTTGATGATTATTCTCTGGGCGTTGCGATGGTCTCAATTGCGGCGGCGTCTTTGTGAGTTTCTTCCCAGGTAATCGGGGCTCGAATTTCCGTGGTTTCATCGTAGAGTTATCTGATGTTGTGGAGATGGCCGACGGCGAGGTTACCATACGTTGTGGTGAAAGAAGAGGGGTATTGTTTGACTGCGGTTTGGGAAATAGCAAAGAAAGATCAATCCTAGGTGGTCGCGTCTTGCGTTTGGTATCCTTCATCGGGCCTTTGGGCTGTTTGAATGCAGGATTCAATCCACCATCGGATATCTCTCCAAGAAGTTCGGGAGTTAGGCCATGTTCCGTCGACTCAAGGCTTGCGCTCGAGGTACCGTGGGGCTCTCGGGAGCTATAACGAGAATATAGAGCGGATGAAGAGCCCGACAGATGCAATTTCCTTGTGAGCTGGACAAGGGGAGGTGTCGAGTCAACGGTATCTCTATAGTCCTGACCTAACAAAGGCGACGAGGCCCGGACACGAAGGTTTGAAGAGTGCACGCCGTCCTCTATGGCTTCATGCTGGGTCAGAAGATCAGGCGCATTCAGATAGCTTTTTCGGGTGTTAGTCTTTTTGTCGGGCCGCCGGTGATAGTCGTGATCAAGGGCGATGTCCGTTGTTCCTAAAATCCTCTGGGCCTTGTGTATAGATCTCGACTTTTGGTCATTTCGATTGCTGCTTTGAGAGTGGATCTCGCCAGTGGGAGCGTTTACACTCGACTTGCGCAGCGGTACGTGAAAAGACTTGTGAGGCATGGTGGCACGATTGGTTGGTTAGCAACGGTTTAGTTGTTGATTTCTCGTCAAAAATGGTACAGCCCGCGGGCGAATTATTGTTGACATATATCGCCTGCCCCTCGGATCCAGTGAGGTCGAAAGAGTGTTTTGGAATTGTTCAAGGGTCGCAGGTCAACGATGGTTCGAGGTGTGGTTGTTTCACCCCAAAAAAGAAGGCTTCCCCACACTACGGAGTCGATGATGAAAAAAGGCGTTTAAACGACTGGCGCCCGCGCCGCTGAGTCTTGGGAGTTTCGAATTCTTCTTCTAGTGCTCGAGAATAGAGAGAGGATTTCTCGGGACGATGGCTCGCAGATGGCAGCGAGAAAGATGATGGTAAACAAAAGAGTGACAGGGGCAGCAAACACCCAGAAAGGAGGAGAGACGGATGGGGGTCGCAGGGAGCAGCGAACACCCGGTTTTATCAAGTGCCGCTGGAGAGGTGGTCAAGTGCGAGTGGATAACAGCTTGTAAGACTAAGATTAACAGCTGGAATAATAATAACTCTCTTCGACAACTAGGCGCAAGGCCCAAGGGACCGGCTGCCGACTAAATGTCCAATTTAAATCCAAGCCCGATCCGCCCGCGCGAGCTTTGCGTGTGCCCACAGTTTGGCAGCAGACACAGTCGCTGTTCAGACGTTCTTGGAAATTGCACTGGCTGCAAATCATTATTCTCCGAACCATAGGACTCCGCGCCACTATCCCCATTCCTCATTCGTTTACTAGAGTCGGCTAAAGCAAGAGTCTTACAAGGCCCGACAATTATTGACAGAGTGGGATCGGTGGATGTCAACTCGAAAGGGGCGATCACTCATCAGGCTCGATTCGCCCACGAAGCCAAAACCGAGCATCGGGAACTACATTGGCTAGCTCGTCGAGACTCCAGAGCCTAGAGATGATGTACGATGGAAACACCAGATGCAGGGGATCCGCGATTGTGCCTGGGTGGAGCAGCGATCATCACACGCCAGAAAGCTGCTCCTGTGCATCCGGAAGAGAACCGTCGGAATGGGCGACGAAGATCGGGGACAGCACTGGCAATCCTGCGATTCTGCGACAATTCGAGTTGAGCAGCTCGGTATGGATGTTCCTCAGGATCTCGCCAAACAAGAATCAACGGGAGCACATGTACAACCCGAGTTTCAGTGATAGACAGAGGGATGCAGCTGATTTTGTGACACCCTTGGATTCGCCAATCCCAATCTGGTGCTCGCGGAGTCGCCGTCGACTTAGAATGATCCTCCAGAGTCCAAGCCCCCAGCCAGCTCTTGATTCCTTCTGTGATGGAAGACGGTGAGTTTAGGCCACAACCATTCCGCCAACCTGCCTCGAAGTGGGCCACTGAACCAGGATAATGGTTGTCAGATGGGAGGAGACTAGTCGAGGTCAAATGCGAGTAAAAGTAGACTAACAGAGCACTTGCTTTTTCCGTGTCCCTTGCTTTCTTTTTTGCACTTAAGGTTTCCCGGGAGAACCTGGAGGTCCAAAGTTCAGGTTCCAGGAGCTTTTCTCCAGGCCATACGGAAGTTATGCGTCGCAGCGCTGGGACGGTTCAACACGTGTGTTTCGGCCACGCGACGCGCCCCTTTTCCTAAAATTGAGGCAAGTAGAGACGTTGAAGAACTGTATCTGTGCAAATATTCTCCGAGAAGGCGAAGAAATTGCATTCGAATCCGCCGGCCAGCATTCGCATCACCCACATGAACACAGGCCAGCCGAGCTGTTCGAACCATGCCCGCTCTGGAGAAAAAGGGGTCAACAAGTCTTAGCCTCTCCACGGGTTCTGGCTCGCACTCGATCGATTCGAATCATTCGATGGACAAACCGCGATCCCGCGCGGACGGTGACGAAGAACGACGGAAAACTCCTTCGCTCACCCAGCCGTCCCTTTCCTGCCAATGAGGCGCCCAGCCCTCTGCTGATCACCCATTCCCCCCATCCCGCTAACGCCAGCCTTGGGCGGCAATGGAGGTGGATCACCAGTGCACCACCAACAATATTATTAACTGAGCGAGATTGATTCAATTCAATAGTCGGCCAAGCCCCTTCCGCAACGCCCAGCGCTGCCATACTCGAACGGGTAATTCATCTGCCCTGGATGACGCCTGCAGTAGCGCCATTGGGGGTGGTTGACATGTCTCCGTAAATAGTGCGCAGGACGTTTCCGATCGGGTTCTCGGCTTGAGCCAGTCGCTGTGTCTGATTGCATCTCCGCAATTGGCAGTGTGTGTACCGCTGGACTGGGTGATGTGCTGGACTATTGCAGGTAGTCTGCTTAGTCGGTTATGGGGAAGTTCAAGGGGAAGAGGTCAAGTTTCAACTTCCAATTGAACCTGCAAAGGCTCGTTCTGGAAGGTGCACAACAGCGCGGCCGCTGCTGCGGCGGACAACAGACGGAGTATTGTTCCATGCCAACCCCCATGTTGCACGGCTATTGGACTCGTCAGCCGCCATCTTCCCTGTCGTCACGACTAGTCCTGCACTGCATACCCCCTGCAGGAGGACGGTGTTTCACACCCTGCACGCCATCTGCGATGTTGATTTGTCCCACTGGCGGACGCCACGCTAACCTGTTGAGATCTGTCCATCGCAGATCTTGTCACTCGGTGACGCTCCGAGGATTTTCAAGAGTTAGTGATCCAAGCCAAGTCCACACTCTTCCTTCAAAGACGCTCTGAGCTCATCACTGACAAATTTTCTCCCATATAGACCACTACCGGAGTATGCCGCACATGTCTCAGTTCTTTTCAGCATAGTAACCCCTCGCGTTATATATCCGCGGCAAAGATTGGAGAGCCAGCCCCCGTTGGAATGGCGCTCAACCATCTCCGCCCAAACAGGAAGAACTAGCCTTACACTGCAAGTCTTCAAAGTTCAATCCAGTCTGAGAAAAAGCTTCAGCTCCAAGAATAACCCCGCTTCCGACTTCACTGCTTTCAACCCTCTCCATAACATATCAAATCACATTTGCCTATTCCAGTGCAGATGCTGAGTCTCAATATATTCTCCTACGGGGTACCGGCCCACTATAGCGAAACTATTGATCAACAGGTACCCGCTTGAACTCTGTGCCTAACCACTCTTCGTAAACCCGGGGTTCATTCAAAGCGTGATGTGCCTTTTGGCCCTTCTCTGTGACCCTGGAGTCTGAGACTGAGACTGGGTAGTGAGGGGGTGAATACTACATAGCTCTGGTGACTTGAGTGTTCCGTATGTTGTGTGCCGTGCTCGCAGTTCTGCAGATCTGTGGATATGTAGCGCTTTCCGCTGATCGATTCACGACAACTCTGCGAGTAGGAATCCCGAAGCAGAAGCCCATCATCTACTTAGGGTTTACCACCCAACTCTGACAATGCCTATGTTCGATTTTCAACGGCTTCGATCCCCAGACCCCAGTACTGGAACGGTTCCAAGGGTCTCAGCCAACGGCCAAACTATTGAGCACTATCCTTACTATCGTCAATGGCCCAGGATTCTTCAGTCAGGAATCAAGCCTTACTGGATGTTTCATCGCCTCACACAAGACTTTATTAGCATGCCTTAATTTTCGCTGCTTATTATTACAGTACATATGAGGAAAAGAAAGGAAAAGAATGATCCTTGCGCCTAGCCGTTTCACCTCCCCTCGACTCAGAGTTTACCTGAACTTTAAACGGATGCTTAGCGTTTCAAATGAGAAGAATTGTACAAACACGCATGAAACCTCTGTAACCTGAGAACTTTCCATCTCCGTTCGGGCTTAGGCCTTCTCGTCGCCACTCGATAGCGCCCCGACATCGATAAGCTTGTTATAGTTACTGATCTTGCGTCGTTTTCTCCCGCTGCGTCGAAGCCCTTCTTCGTCCTGGCCGGGCGTTGACTGAGACGGGGTCACGGAAACAGGCTCCGGGCCAAGCTGTGAAGATCTAGTTCGCTTGCGGGTTGATCTTGGCGTGTCCAGTTGAGAAGACTGGGGTGTTGCTGGGACGACGTCGCGTCGGTCGGCAATCTCACTATCAGTGACGCTCAGTGGGTTCGATCGCATAGACTTGCGCCTTAGATTGTGCGGGTGCTGCTGTGGTGTCTCTGCAGGCGTCTCTGCCTTGGCGCTTCCCGGTGTGGCTTTGGCCTGAGATTGAGATTGGGAAGCCAGTTTGCTCGCGCCGTCGGCTTCGCTGCTCGCTGGTGGGCTGCGGATTACGAGAGCATTATCGGCGTTTTGGCCTGCGAACTGCAGCTATATTTAGCGCTCACTACCGAAGAATATCTGAGAGGGATGGCAAGACTTACATGATGACGGATTTTCACCCTCGGGTCCATGATTTCCGTTCGGATTCTCTCGTGAATGTTTTCTGATAGGGGAATCCTAAATCTCGGCAGGCCTGAATTCCCGAAGCCCTTAACTTTGCTGCCAGGGGTGGATTCTAAGAATCCCTCCTTTGCTAGAATGCTTGTTATCCGGTCGCCGCTTGAGTCTATACAAAATCAGATAACAATCATGAGGGTGGGAATCCGTATAAGCTCACGCAATTTTTCAGTCAGTGTCGAAGTCTTGACTGGGTATCCATCGTCCAAGATGATTCGTAGTGCGCGTCGAGCAACCATTATCTCCTTCACCTGGTCAAAGATACGCGCCTCGTCAGGTCCAAGAAGGCATTTATAGCAAGCGTGGATGTCGGGAACACTAAAGCCAGCGGCGTCGTCGTAGCCATAGCAGAGAGGGTGCTGTCGCGTACGACAGAAATTGCATTCGAGCTGATAAACTCAGTTGACCTGTTCATCAAGGAAAGCCGCAGGCCTTTACTCACCATCGGTTTCTCTTCTTCGTCCCAGTCGCACTCGCATTGGACAGTCCCCGGGATCTGCACATCCTCAGCGCTCTGTGAAGCCAGACGTCTCCTGATTTCTGCTATCTTTGCTTCAGATAGACGGGGCTTCTCTTTTACGGCTGGGGTTTCTGTCTTCTCAGGTTCTGACGGCTGTATCGACTTGGCTGGTTGTGTGGCAACCACGTCATTGTCAGGTTCCGAGAGAGGCAGTTCTTGAGACTAGTGTAGTGGATTGGGTCAGTCAGATCCGTCCAAGGTGACGAGCAACATTTCCTCACTGGCATCATCTGCTTCAATCTTTCTCGTTCAATAGCATCTTGCGTGGCTTCCTGCGTCTCTTTTTGGAGGCTCTCTGCTACACCGGGTTAGAATCCTCAGGCAGAAGGAAGATAAGAGAAGCAATGGTACCTCGGGGCTGTTCGCTGATCAGTTTGCTTCCTTCATCCTCGAATCCGATATCTGCGATTCGCGGCACTGTATCTTTATATTCAATTTGCGCCGGTATCTGCGGTATGGATTCTGGCTCCGGGCCAACCCATTTGAGAGAAGTAACTTTGAGTCCGACACTACTTTCGTCAGTATTTCGCACTGAATTAAGACAAGCGCCACGTACGTATGCCATCCACTGTCCATTGTTCCACAGGCTTGCGATTCCTTCTGCCAGTTCTCGGTCAAGGGATAGTTGATGGTTCCATCTCTCGCCCCAGCGAATCCAGGAGGCTCATACTCAGGAGGACAGTCTTCAGTGTAAAAGAGATGAATTCCAAGGGCACGTTTGTCTGTAATCGTCAGTGACAGTGCAAGGGGAAGTGTCTGCGGTGAAGATTACTTGGAAGAGTAGGAAGAAAGGCACTTAGCGTTATCAAACGCCTGACAATGCTCTCGAGGCCCATACGTGCTGTTTGAGCAGACTTGATATCAGCTACATAGCCAACGGGCTCTATTGATAGGCTCTCCAGGCGACTGTTTAGCTGGCCTGCACCGCCGGTGTACTTGAAAGTGAAGGTATATGATTCGAGGACGTTGTCCGGCTCTGCTTTGTCGGCAACAACAGTGAGTTGGATCGCTTCCAAGACACTCTTGCTCAGAGCATCAAATATACCCGTTTCCTGGGCGTGTCAGTGAGCTGGATGTAAGATTGGTCAAAAGGCATACTAGAACATCGACAATCATATCCGCCTTCGGGTCGGAACCGCGAAGGATGACCTTCAGTGGCTGGCCTCTCTTGCCTTGACCAGAAGCTACATTAGGGCTCCCTTTGGATAAGCTGGGATTCGTATTGCTGTCGATGAACTCGCGGTACGAAAACTTCTTTTGCCTCTGGGCTTCCTTGAGATCGCGATCATCGAAACACGGCAGGGGCAAGAACTCCCTATACCACGGGAATGAGAATCCACACCGATGATAACGGAGCAATAGGTTCAACAAACCGAAGATAGAATAAAGTTCCGAACTGATTATAGCTGGTTAGATTGGGTGGCGCGAAATGCAATCGCAGTACTCACAGTCACATGTAGCATAATCTTCACCATCTCCAGACTCTGCTGCTTCTCCCGACGGCTGTGATCCGCGCTCGAAACCAAGTCGCCATTAAGAGTATTTTGTGTTCCGGCTGTCGCAGGAGTTGTAACTTCTGTTGGCAGGTCGCTACGCGCACGCGATTGTTGTGAATGAGCCGTCGCTGGCGGCGGCCCAGTAAACTTGATCCGGACCATCGCGGAGGAAAAAGTGCCCAAGCGATCGCTTTGGCGTTTCCAATCCGCTAGGAGGGATGAAAATTCACGCTCGCAATCGAGGTGGTTGTGGGAGGCGCGGATTGATGTCAATCAAATCAAAATGAAGGCCGAAAGTTCGGTCACGGGAGTCAAGTCGCCCGCCTGAGACCTCGACTGAGGCAGAAAACGAACCCAATCTCATGCAACCTCTTCTGGCGTGAAAACACAAGTTATTGAAGTTACAATGAAATTAAAGAACCCTTCCACTGGCTTTCTACCTTGCCTTTTTCATTTTTCCCAACTATCAGGCTTTCTAGCTCTACGCGTAAAATCTTTTGTTTACATCCCGACGCTCCTTGCTTAACACAAGCCAATTCTCACATACTCCAAGAATATTCACCATTGGGCTCAAATTCAGTCCACAACATACCCCCATCTCGGCGATGCCTCAGGTCGGAACCGGGAATATTAGACAACCTTACCTCGGGGATTTCTGTATATTATTGACACCCAGGTCGGACCGTGGGGGAGGTCTTCGCTTACCATCCCCGCCTCGCTGTTCAACATGCGCTTGATGTGCCAGCCTCCTTGTTCACTTCCGTCACTTGTTCGCCAACAAACTACAACTTTTTTTTATAGACTAAATATAGCAGCGGCCCGATGAAGATAAATGGGGCGACAACAGGCTGGAGGATCAAATACCTTTCCAGCCCCGACAGCCACTTATTAAGCAAGGCTGAATTCCTCTTCCCTGACACAGCCTGGATGGACCGTACAGGGCCAAGTGCATAGATACTACTTCGTACCTGAGACTGGGAGACGCGTGGGCTATCAAAGAAGTCCCACCACGGTCCGCTAAAGTCGCTGGAACAGACCCTCCGCACCACCCCTTCCCCGCATTTCCACTTCGTCAAGATAGCCACCAGCCATTCCGAGAAGGATCCCTCAATATCATCATTCTCAAACCGGGTAAGAAAGGCTCCTACTTGCTTATTCATACTCTGGGTCTCCATCTCGTGATCCAGCTTGAGACTTTACAGTTCTGCTGCCTTCGACTTCTCTCCACAACACGTCCCAGAGCCAAACTTAACCCCACCATCGCACGTGATTCCAGTGGATGCGGTTTCAGCCACTGGTATGAAATATGCCCTTGGAGTCTGGAGAGCTTACAAGGCAGGAGAGGAGTAACATGTTCAGGTTATCTTGAATGAATCCATCGGGCTCACAAAGGAGCAGAGCAAGGGAAAACAAGAAAACTTGTTTCAAGCAGAGGATGACCTCTCACATGACATTCTCGGTCCCTTGTAACAAGGTAATCATCTCCATAAAACGGATCTCTCTGGGGTCTGGAGAGTCTAGTAACAGCGGCATGATCCGACGGTATGTATAGACAGAGGCACAGACGCTGAAGGCTCAGGATTTGCTCCGGAGAAGACAGAAGGCCGCATGGGATAGCGACGTTATAGTTTTCCTGTACCAGAACTCAACTTTCCATGTGCCTTGCTCGTTGGAGGATAATTATAGGCCTAAAACTAGTATTAGTATTGTCAGCAACCACATGAAGAGTTTTATGCTACCCGCTACCATCCTCTGTGTTGGCGATTCTCTGTCCTACGGATACTTTTTCAGATCTTTGTTCTTTCGGGCTATCGACAGAAAAGACCGTACATCGATGTATACTCTAAAACCCCTCTTTCCCTCCTGATGGTGGGCTTTCTTTAAAGATCTGGTGTGGAGGCTCGGGAAGGCGCCAAGTTAGGCTAGCGGGCCAGGTGACAGTACGGTACAGCACTGCTAAGTCGGACCAGCCCAGGCAAGAAACAACCAACCACCTCCAGCTCCCTCGACTGTTCTCCGCCGCCCAACAACATCTCCTTGTTCGGGGCACGCCACTGGAAGTTTTCTTCCTCGTCTTACCATCATCATTCTCGCCGATTTTTTGGCTTCACAAAAATACACCACGCTGGTGAATATGCTCTAATGAACACTGTTTTCCTTCAATCTCGGGCAGGCACATGGTTTTGACGGCCGTGAACCGTGCTGACAGCGCCCCCCATCTCCCCCATCTTCTCGAAGAAATACCTCCTCTACAACCGCGCCAAACGGCTCTCGCTCTCATCCCTTATCATATGACCGTCGAATAGTGAGCTAAGGGATATCTGAGACCAAACACGACCAACGTCAACAACCCGTGGCCACCGCCCACAACGACGCGTCCGCGCCTCCGGGAGTTTTGCCGAGCCTGAGGAACTTGACAAGCCACAACATGGACGATAATGAGAGCAGTAATGGGCTTATCCCTGGAGCCGTCTCTGGGTCCATCGGTCAATTTTCCTTCGCCCCTGCGACGCAAACCACCGTAGTAACCACCACCACGACTACCACCACGACCTTCCCGCCGTTATTTATCAAACCACCGCGCGCGATTCGAGAGCTTGACCCTAAGGTGTACCCTTTGGCGTCCTCCCCTACACCCTCGACATTAAGAAACATTAAGTTCGAGCTTGGAGGAAAGCCAGTGGTTTTTAGCGAACCTGATGATACCGCGGGGACTCTCGCAGAGGTACGGAAGATCAAATTTCACCCCTTCAAGGACACATGTCAAGTCGAAACTAATACTGCATTCTAGATTAATGAAAAAAATGAGGCTTTGAAAGCTTCAAATGGCGTAGTTCGATCAGTGACCTCTTTTACATCCGAAGACCAGCCGCCCCGTCGGTTTCCCGCGTCCAGAGTCTCAAACCATCCATCTCCCATCCCAACGAGCTCAAAGCGCCGCCCGTTATCGATCACAGAAACTTACCAAGGTAGCTTGAGAACGCATTCGAATCGGGTCCCCTCAGAACCTCTTGTCCGCTCATTTCGTTCGCATGGCTCAACACCCAGGATCGCTGGTTTGGCGACCCCCGAGACTGAAGGCAACAACAGCTTCAGCTCCCAAGACAGTATTGCATCGAGGAGAAGGATTCACAGTTCAAATTTCCCGAGGAAGGAAACTCTACTCCGATCTCCGTTGTCATCTGAAGTTGAGTCTCAGGGAGACCTCTCCGTCCTGCATTCGAGGAAAGAACCAACACGTACGAAAACGATCGTTTCGGAGCGAAGCAGACATTCTGGACGTCCATCTGAAACTGAGACATCGCACGAGGCGGAAAACTTTCCTACACAACAAGAGCCTAGCGCAGCTTCCACAAGCCAGGACACTGAGTACATCAGGGATAACTTCTCTCAACATCGGTCCATAGATTCGGCTTCACAGCTGACGCTGATTGATAATGTTGTTGCTCAAGATATGTGCTTGCCTAGTCCCAGTTTGTCGCCGGTGGCTGCCATGAATGCGCTGCACGCCGATTCTTCGTTCGACTCTGCAGAAGATCCTGAAGATGAGACCGATTCCAGTCTTGAACATAATGACCCTCAGACTACTGATCATTCTCGTAAAAGGGTCTTCAGTGCCCCGGCTCCTTCGGTTGCCGAGTCTATTGCTGGTGCTTTCTCTTCAAAACTAAACATCCCCCGAGCTTCTTCTTTGATGGATGTGCCGAATATCGTGGACTTTTTTGACTCGGTACCGGAAGAGATGAAGACGTACCTGATGTACCAACTGCTCAAACGTTGCCCGAAACCGACTCTGCACTTTGTCGCTGACGTTGTTAACCCGGCCCTCAAATGCGACTTTCTCACCCTTCTTCCTCTCGAATTGAGTCTCAACATTGTCAAGTTCTTCGACGCACAAACCATGTGCCGTGCTGCTCAAGTGTCGAAAAAGTGGAGGCATATCATCAACTCGGACGAGAAATCCTGGAAAGACCTTTTTGAACGGGATGGTTTTGTGCTTCCAGAGGGAGAGTTGCAGCGGGCAATCAGGGAAGGTTGGGGATGGCAGTTTCCAAACGGAGTTGAAGACTACGAAAAAGATCTTAGTCTCTCAACTTTCATCAAACAAGACCCAGAATCCGGCTCTGCTACTTCGCCGCTGGCTGGCCCAAGCGATAGATCGTCATCTGTTAATCGCCGCCCGAAAAGGAAGGCTTGTTCCCGGGCTTCTAGCAGAAAATTCTCCAAGCGCAAGATCTCATCTAGCGGCACCGACCAGTCTGACTCTTCTGACTGGAAGAAAGAGGTCTCGCTTACGGAGGGGCCGTATGCTGCTGCCAATGCCGCCGCTGCTGCCGTTCCATATCCAGACATTGGTCTGCCGTCTCTTCGAGGACTCCATCTCTACAAATCTTTGTATCAGCGGCATTCTTCCATCCGTAAGGGCTGGATGAAACCGGGCGTCAAGCCAAGGCACCTTGCTTTCCGTGCTCATGACCGCCATGTAGTTACGTGTCTTCAATTCGATACTAACAAGATCTTGACGGGTAGCGACGACACAAATATCAACGTTTATGACACAAAGACTGGTGTTCTAGAGGCGACTCTCGAAGGCCATGAGGGCGGGGTGTGGGCTCTTGAGTACTATGGGAACACTCTCGTTTCGGGATCAACCGATAGGTCCGTCCGTGTTTGGGACATTGAGAGGAAGCGGTGTACACAAATCTTCCATGGCCATACCTCGACCGTTCGTTGTCTTCAAATCGTGCTTCCGGTTGAAGTCGGGAAGAAATCGGATGGCACTCCGGAAATGATGCCGAAGGAACCATTGATCATCACCGGATCGCGAGATTCCAATCTGAGGGTGTGGAAGCTTCCTAAACCTGGCGATCCCGGTTACTACCAAAGTGGTCCTCATGTTGACGACACTGACTGTCCTTATTTTGTCCGTGTTCTTACTGGCCACCAACATTCTGTCCGCGCAATTGCGGCTCATGGAGACACCCTGGTTAGCGGGAGCTACGACTGTACCGTACGAGTTTGGAAAATTTCCACAGGAGAGACTCTGCACCGACTCTCGGGGCACTCACTCAAAGTGTACAGTGTGGTTCTTGACCACAAACGAAACCGTTGCATCAGTGGATCAATGGACAATATGGTGAAGGTTTGGTCGCTTGAAACTGGCTCCATTCTGTACAACTTGGAAGGCCATACGTCTCTGGTTGGACTTCTCGACCTGAAGTGTGATCGTCTGGTTTCCGCTGCCGCGGATTCGACCCTGAGGATCTGGGATCCTGAGACTGGGCAGTGTAAGAGCATGTTGAGCGCTCACACGGGTGCAATCACTTGCTTCCAGCACGACGGCCAGAAGGTGATATCAGGATCTGATCGCACGCTGAAGATGTGGGATGTACGAACCGGAGAATGTGTCCGAGATCTTCTCACGAACCTTGGAGGGGTATGGCAAGTTAAGTTCAATGATCGTCGATGCGTTGCTGCCGTGCAACGTGACGGCATGACTTACATCGAGGTGAGTTTCAGCTTTATGATCTTTCCTCCGTCTAGTTTTCTCATTTCTCTTATTAGGTTCTGGACTTTGGTGCTTCTCGAGACGGTGTACCGGACGATCAACTCGGCAGGCGGATTGTCGTAAACCGAACAGGCCAGGAAGTCAGCGACACCGACGAGGATTATGATCTTTCCGATGCATAGCTACCTGCTACATAAGGCGACGGGCCCGCTTTCCTTTTCACGACCCGCTGGTAGGGCCAACTAACACATGGGTCGTCGGTATCCTCGTCGCCATGCAACAGTCGGCTGTGATCCCATCCACTATTCCCTGACGACCCTATCAATCTTCACTGTTTGAACTATTCGACCCAGCACTACTTACGATACCCTTATGGAATGATTTACATTGCAAGGCTTTGCATAGCGTGGTTAGCAGCACACCTCAAGCTGCGGATTATGACGGACAGGCGTCTTGGTATTCAGCACAGTCCCATATCATTATTGTGTTTAAGTTTTATGTCTATATCATTTGTACACCCATCATGTCATGTCCCATATGGGTGGTTGAAACATCTTTTTTTCCCATATTCTTGGTATGTGGCGTTTCAGAGCGTGGCGCGAAAAGCTTGGATCCCGCTCTTTCGTTTCGAATTCAAGGTTTATAGAGAGAATATATGTCCTGTCCCTTCATCAGTGGGAATTTCCATCGAAAGTGGCATCGTCAAGCATTCTGCTGTCAGATTCGATGCTTACAGATCCATGTGTAGACTGCTTGACGCATGTAAGTGATGGTACCTGGGAGATACCATGAATGTTCTCCGACGAGCGCAATTGATGGGGATCATTCAACAGCTCAGCCCAAGTAGACTAAAGCAAGCGGAGACATACCAGTGATGGTAGTCTACAAGATCTTGGTAGGTTGTACGTTGCGACTCCCAAATCTGAAGCACGGGTATCCGATATTGGGTAGGGCCATAAGGCGAGCCCCGACTATTTTCCAGCATCAAGGAGCACGCTTAGAAACGCCACGAACTGGCTCCGTCGAGCCCATGATTTCAGCCCTCGCCTCCACAGTCCCATCCAATCCAGCAGCAGACAAGATCGCCCAGCGAACAGCGCTAACACCTAGAAACCGTTCCGGACCAAGCCGTACCTGCGAGCTGCACGTCAATATCTCTCCCAAAGCGCCGGGCCCTTCGTTGCGGCCGACAGGTTGGATGACGGGTCTTAGGCGTTCCAGGTTAGCCCTCAGCTCGGCCAACTTCTGGGCTGATGGGACGCTTGTGGGCTTGGCTGTATTCGCGACGAGGACTTTATCGACCTTTGATAGGATTATCTGATGCGGAATCGCGTATTGTCGGAATAGGTTGAGGATGTCGCGGTCTGTTCGCTTCACTCCGTGCTCGCTGTCGATCAGGAGGAATGCGCGGCGGAGTCTGTAAAGGCCGGTCGGCCACATAGTTAGCGATGTCCTGACGAGACAAATAGCTCCGCCGGAGCAGCGATTGTTAAAATTAGGCACTCACTGCTTCCTCCCTTGAAGATACTTCATAATCTCAACCCCCCATTCAGGCCGACTCGCCTTTCCATACCCCGGCATATCAAGCAGGACAATCTTCGACTCGCCGCCCTTCGTCCCTCCAATCCCAAACGCATTCATTTCGCGCGTTTTGCCCGGCCTCGAAGACGTCCAGCACATTTCCTTGCCCATAATCGCATTAAGGAGTGAACTTTTCCCGACATTTGATCGGCCGAGGACTGCGACTTCCGGCTCCGTCGAGGAGATAGGCGTGGTCCGGAACTTGGACGCTGACCATAGCTTTATGGGTGCGTGTTTGTTGGGCCTGAAGAGCTTGTCTGCGTAGTGTAATTGCGGTGCGCTGGGGGCTTGCGTGTCCCAGTAGTAGGAGATGTGATCCGGGGTTAGATCGCTGAGAGGGAGTTTTTGTTTCTTCGTTGCGGGATTGGGATTGGGAGTTGGAGTTGGAGTTGTGGCGGTGGTGGCGGCGGTGATGATTGTTCGACGTGCTATGCGTAAGGAGGGCCTTTGTCGGCAGGCGCGACATATGTATAGAGGAGCTTTCATGGTGATATGGACCGGATTGACAACGTACAAAGGGTTGATGTTCTGGATGCGCCAGAGGAGCTTCTCTGATTTTGTCTTCGAAGGGCATGTTTGCCGAGCCAGATTTCTGCCGTTAGAGGCAGTTGTCCCGAGATCCCCGCGATAAGCTCCGTCGGGGATGACAATCGCATCGAGCGTCATCTTCAACTTCTCTGCGATTCCTGTTCTCTCTTCCACAATATACAAACCTTTTTGTCGCATTTGCGTTGCCATTTGTCCTAGCTATATACACCTCTTGAATCTAAGGCAAAGCGCCATTCCTTAAAATGATCAACGCAGTGCTCGTCTTCAACAACAACGGGCAAGCCCGGTTGACCAAGTTCTACACCCAAATCGTGAGTTGACTACGGTCAATACTTACAAAACGCTAGTCCCAACTGACTGGATTTGCCTAGGACACCCAAACGAAACAAACCCTCATCACCCAGATCTACGACCTCGTCTCCCAACGACCGGCAACGGCCTGCAACTTCCTCCCTCTCCCTCCCCTCCTCGCCCGTGGAGCCAGCGCCAATGCCAACGGTCCTTCCGATGCCCCAGCTCAGATCACCTACCGTACATACGCGACTCTCTCTTTTATCATGATCTCCACGTCGACCGAGTCACCGCTTGCGCTCATTGATCTCATCCAGGTCTTCGTCGAAGCGCTTGATCGCATCTTCGAGAACGTGTGCGAGCTCGACCTTATCTTCGGCTTTGAGACCATGCATGCTGTTCTGAGTGAGATGATTGTTGGAGGCGTGGTGGTTGAGACGAATATCGAGAAGATTGTCGGCGGGGTTCAGAGTCAGGAGGGGAACTTGGGGAAGAGGAAGGCTATACAGGCGGCGAGCTCCGGGGTAGCCAGGGGTGGATTGTCAGGACTTGCTGCTTGGCGATGATTTACTACACGAAAGTGCTTTTGCCATTGTTATTTGTCCACGGACGAGAATTGCTTTCATATTTGCATGTAGAGGCGTTTGGTGGTTGATTTTCTGGTTTTGTGGCATGGTGTTGCGCGGAATAGGGTCATCCCATGGCAGTAATCTCTATCAGTCTGATATATCAAAATTGAAACCATTTGACTTCATACCAAGAAACAACTTTGTATGATATACTCCGTAGTGAGTATGTATATCCCGATTGGGATGCTAGGTGGGTTAGCCCTACATCACGTGGTCTGGTGGGACTCCGGAGCGGCTCGCTTGATTTTCCGCACTAGCGCGGCCCACGAAAGCGACGGCGGCTTTTTCTCTTGCAGCTCGAATCGTCTGGTCCTTTTTCTTCCTTTCTCTCTTTGTCAATCCCGTCAACCAGCACACCGCGGATCACAGTCGACAACAATGGTAAGCACATAGCAACTCAGTTTGGCTTTGCGTCAGTCGAATAGAGCTCTCGATCAGCTTCGCGATAATGTCGTGAGAGGATATTTCATTGCGTTTTCGCAAAGCTTTTCGAAGCAATTTCCATTGATCGCACAATTCCTCGAAAGAGGATGCGAGCGTCAGTGATGATTTGGCTGGAGTCGCAGGTCGAGTCGAAAGACTAGGCCTGTGTTCTCTCTAGAGTTCAAGGAAGATGCAGCATTGGTGGACGTATGCTGATCTTCTTTTCTCAATGACAGCCTCCCAAGTCCGGAAAGAAGGCCGCTCCCCTCCCTTACCCCCAGGGCAAGGCTGGTTCTAGCAAGAAGGGCCCCAAGGTATGTGCTTATTTGAAACCCAGTTCAACAAATGGCTTGGTGCTAATTGATTTCTAGAACCCCCTCATCGAGCGCCGCCCCCGTAACTTCGGCATTGGCCAGGACGTGCAGCCCAAGCGCAACCTCGGTCGCTTCGTCAAGTGGCCCGAGTATGTCCGCCTTCAGCGCCAGAAGAAGATCCTGAACCTCCGCCTCAAGGTTCCTCCTTCCATCGCTCAGTTCCAGAGCACCCTGGACCGCAACACCGCTGCCCAGACCTTCAAGTTCCTCAACAAGTACCGCCCTGAGACCAAGGTTGAGAAGAAGGACCGTCTTCACGCCGAGGCCACCGCTGTCGCCGAGGGCAAGAAGAAGGAGGATGTCAGCAAGAAGCCCTACAACGTCAAGTACGGTCTCAACCACGTTGTTGGACTCGTCGAGAACAAGAAGGCTTCTCTCGTCCTGATCGCTCACGACGTCGACCCCATTGAGCTGGTTGTCTTCCTTCCCGCTCTCTGCCGCAAGATGGGTGTCCCTTACGCCATTGTCAAGGGCAAGGCTCGTCTCGGTACCGTTGTCCACAAGAAGGTCAGTTTTTTTTGCATGACTAAGCCTAGGACATACGATGCTAACCATAGTTAGACCGCTGCTGTCCTCGCTCTTACCGAGGTCCGCTCCGAGGACAAGTCCGAGTTCGCCAAGCTCCTCTCCGCCATCAAGGAGGGCTACGGCGACAAGTACGAGGAGTCCCGCCGCCACTGGGGTGGTGGTATCATGGGCCCCAAGGCTATTGCCCGCCAGGAGAAGAAGCGCAAGGCTGCTGAGGCCGCTATCCGTGTCTAAGCATCTCCCGCTTAGCTACCCTCTTGCACGATAATGACGGATACCCTCGGGTCTTGGGCTCTTCAAAAGCAAAAATAGGCATTGTTCAATTAGGTCAAAAAAACAACTGGGATCGATTTGACTGGAGAATGGTGTTATAAGGACTTCTCTCCTCGTTCGACTTAGCATTAGTGATGATGATGGGTGGAACAAGAACAAGACTTTTTTTGGCACCCTATCCCGAAAGCTCAATCCCATTCCATCTTGATGGTCCCCTTGTGTTTTTTCTTTAGTTGCGGCGCAGATACCCATGAATGCATTTCAAACCTCACCTGCCTCCCCTTGTAACTCCATAACCGAAGCATTCATGAGTACTGCGCGCTGTATTTTCCAACGTAGGCTCTCGTACCTCCATGCTGTACGTCAAATAGGTGAAGCAAAATGCTGTACAAATTGGACGCCTTAACAGCTTTCGTATACCCCCGGATCATTCGAGGTATATGGAAACGTGAGGTAAGCTGCGTTACAGAGCTTAAAAAGTTAGCTCAGTTGTGCGTGCAGGCCACTGAATTCTCAGCCGACTGTATTCTCATTATCGAATCTGGAAGAAGCGACCTGCATGGTACAGTCAGTCGTACTTGCCTTGAGTCGGGAGCCAGGATCGTGTCCAAGTAGGAAGGTACGAAGAGGGGCTGGCCAAAGCTGGAAGGAGCGTCCTTGACGTGATCAGTCGCGCTTGCCTTGTGCCGAAAGTCTACTATAAAGCATGATATGGGAAGGGACGATGGGGGGGGCAAAGTTCTTTCTAAGAAGGAAGAAGACAAGCAATGCGAAGTGCCTAGTAGGATCTAAGCACCATCAAGTTTGTGAATGGTAGGTAACCCATGCAGTGATATAGTGTAGACTGGAGCTAAGGCAACCTGAAAACAGAGAAAAAAAAAAAAGAAAGAAAGAAAAAAACAGACCCGACCATTATGCAAACCAGAGATGATGATGATAAGAAGAATTGCCCCGTAAGAACCACCCAGTTTTTTGTGCACACTCTCAAGCTTAAGAAAAAGCAGAACCGGCAAGAAGCTCGCGCAGGGCGATAAAAATCAAACGAAAATCCGACTCGTTAATACAAAAGTCGAAAGGAAGAAAGGAAACCTTAGGCTCTAACCGTACAAGTTCATTAGGTTAAACTGGGAAAGGACGAGGCTACAGCGCTGAGGTAAGAAAGAGGATATAGAGTAGGTAGGGAGGAAGTGAGGTAAGAGAGTAGGATCATTCAGTCGTTAACGTTGTGCGGGTGGTCGTGTGAGTCCTTGCCGGGCCTAGGAAGAGGGTTAGGCTTGGTTGTGCTTCATCGAATGCTTTGACATCCAGGGGTTATATATTCACATACCTTCATCTGTTCAATTCGTGCCTTGAGTTGGCTTGTGACTTCAGCGGCCCTCTTCCAGTTCTCAGCTGGCTCAGCGCTCCTAGTTGATTGTTCTTCACCAGAAGCACTGCCCGACCCGAGCATAGACGACCGTGTCGGGCTGGCTATGCCCGAGTAAGCCGTACCAAACGTTGGGCTAAACTTGCGTCGGCTGAGGCCCGGTGATTCAAGACCATTCTCTTTCTCCTCGCTGGGGCTAGCAGAGGCATAGCTCCGCGGCCGTGCGTTATCAAATCGAGCACCCATGTGAAGACCAGTCCGGGGCAGTGGGGAATGCCCATTGCTGGGGTCCTGATAGATGGAAGCTGGGTCAGGGATGGGCATGCCAAACTGGTCTGGCACGCCGGTAGGAGAGTTCATCGCCCCAGAGCGAAGGGCTCGTGATAGCTCACGCTTAAGGCGATCAATCTCCCGCTGCTGTTTCTGGACGGTTTGTTCGGCAGCTTCTGCGTCACTCCGTGCCCGAACCACCTGTGTTTCTTTCGCCTTGACGCTCAACACATCCCTTGTATGGTCTTCAATGAGCTGTGCATTCTGGTTCTGAAGTTCGATTACTTGGGAATTCAACTTTGTTCTTTCGGATTTCAAATCGTCAATCATTCGGACAAAGCGTTCTTTTTCAGCCCGAAGTTCATCGAGTTCAGCACGTTCGATGGCAGCAATTCCGGTAAGAGCAGGAGCTGCTGGTGCTGGCGCTGGCTCACTTGGGGCAGATGGCTTAGCAATCGGCCGCCCTGCGAGTCCCCGCCCAAGACCGAACTTAGAAACTGGCGGCTGTTGTGGTTGTTCCTCAGATGGTGGTGAGATAACTCGTCTCTGTGGTGAGGCCAGACCCCCTGGTCCACCCAGCTTCTTCTTCAGCGCCCCACCAGGAGTTGGAAGCCCACCACCAGGTTTGGGTAGTCCACCCAGCTTTGATGGAATGGATCTTGTCGCGGGTTTAGACGGGGAAGCAATAGGTGCCGGATCATCAGCCGGAGGTGCAGGAGCTGCGGCAGGCTTTTTGAGTCCCAGTGGCTTCTTGGTCCCAACGGCCTTCTTTGCAGCGGGCGCGGATGCTGTCTTTGGTGGGCCAACAATAGGCTTCGGCCTATCCTTTGCTTTGACCTCTGCCGTTTCAAAGTACTCCTTGATCTTGGTCTTGCGGATATCATCTAGTCCGTCAAGGAAAGGTGTCATCGCACGCTCGCCCATGATCTTCATCAGGGTACCGAGAATCTCCGCACCTCCTGCGCGGTTAACCTCAACTGAATCAGTCAGAAGTTTAGTTGCCGCGTCGGCTATCGACTTGACTTCCGGTTTCGATGGAACTTCTCTGGTGGTTCGAAGACAGCGGATCAAAAACTTGACGGTTTCCTGCTTTACCTGCGGATTCTTGTGCTTGACAAACTCCAGAATTTCTTCCAAGCAGTCATTCAAGCTGGTCGCAATGAAGACCGCATCCAAGGCCTGGCCCAGAGCATCCGCAACAGTTTGTTTCTTCTCCTTGAGGCGTTCCATGATCGGTGACATGACGGTAGAACGATGCTTGACAAATGCGCTCCGGATACCCTTGGCCAACAAATCGATACAGTTGGCTGCAACTGTCACAACCGCGACGTTTGCGTCTTTCATGCTCTTAGCCAAGCCACGAACAATCTCGTCGAATGGGCCATCCTTGATCTTGGGGACATTCAGCACCGTGTATAAAGCATCCAACGCCTCCTTCCTGTCCTTCCATTTTGACGACGCTAGCTGCTCCGAGAAGTCTTTGGGAATCTTGGGGAAGACGTCAACAGCTTCTGTAAGATCAAAAGCATCGACCTCACCACCGTCGTCCTCTCCGTAATCCTCCTCTCCCCCATCGCCCTCGCCGCCATCTGCGCCACCACCTAAACCTGCCTCGGCTTCAAGTTGCTGGGCGTGGGTCAGCCTCTCCTGCTTGGGGGCCGGCTCTTGTTTCACCGCCTCAAACAGCTTTTCCAGATCTTGTTGTTGAACGGGCTTTAGATCTCCCCAGAAGACGGGTTTCATCGCATCCTTCAGCCATCGGTACAACTCCACTGTGAGATTCTGCGCCTCTGCACGGACATTCTTATCGGCGTGTCCGAAGACCTTTGGCAAAGCTTTTAGTACTGGCTTAGGATCGACGATCTTGCACCCAAAATTGTGGTAAATGGCGGTCAACCCGGCAAGCGTAGCAGCGATAACCTTCGGTACTTTGTGTGACAGCACGGGTAGGATCTCTTCGATGACAGGGTCTGGTTTGTCCATCTCAACACATAATAGTAGAGCTTCGATGGCGCTGGCCTTTGCTGCAGGTCTCGTTGATGGCAGCCCCTTCTCGGCAATGCCAGCGACGGTCGCTCCTCGAGATCTAACTCGCGATTAGCCAATACTCCCCAACAAATCCCCATATCTTTGTAACGTTAAATGAGTAGGAAGAAGTACCTCGCGCAAGCAGCGGGGCCACCAAATTTCAGAAATGCACAATATGACGCTAACCCATCCGCTTGTGCTGCGACGTTTGAGTCTGTAACTGCGCCCTTCCAGAGGCCGGGGTCCTGAAGGAATGGTGTGAAAATAGGATCTGATTCATCGCCGGTCTTTTCGAATTGTTGTTTAGCGTCTTCGTAGCCACCTTTTCGGACTTTCCAATTCTAATTCCCGAACAGAAAAATGTCAATATCCGTACGTGTGCCGTAGCGGGGAAGCGATTTGGTAGAAAGCAACAAACCTTGTGTGAGAACCGATCCGGCCACGGCAAAGAGGAGAAATCCTCCTCTCCATCAGCCATTGTGCTGTATTATATATGATGCGCTATTGGAGTCGTGGAGAGTTAGCAGGAGGCGAAGATATCGACGGTCAATGCAAGTGAGGGTGAGAGAGTAGTTGAAGGCCGGACTAGCTGTGAATCATGCCATGGAGGAGATTTTGTGGATGAAGGACCTATCCAACAACGGGCAGCCGATGAGTCTTTATGGGTTCACAAACCTTGGGCTTGCAGGATGTTGCAGATCTTTGTGCACACAAGCGGAGTGCGCAAAGGGGATCAGGTTTCTGGGCGCTCACACAGGAGCATGCAATCGGGGACAAAGCAGAAAAGTCGTGTGTTGCGTTTAGTAAGAAAATCGGGGTCGTCGAAATATGACAGGTGAAAGATAGCCTAATCAGGCGACCAAATCGGTGGATGGACCAGAGGGAGGGCGGGGGATGGAGGATTGAAGATGCGGTGCCTGAGTAAACAAGCGCTGCTGGGGTGACTTCACTTGCGACCCAAAAGTTTGGGCCTTGGCGCATGCAACAACTTTCTCATTTCTTCGGCCAGCCCAGACACTGGTGCGTCGTACGGATTCTGATAATGTTGGCTTCATTCCTAATACATCTAAAATGAATAGTCGGCCGTCTCTGAGATTAATATCTAGTATGGTCCGCCATTGCAATTCCTATGGTTTTGTGGACCGTGAAATCAATGCTTCTCCGTTATATATAATTGCGTCTTCATGAATCAAACATTCCACAACGCCTTTGTCATCTGCTCCTGAGAAAGTCATTGAAACATTATGTTGGAATACCTTATATCGAATTGCATATTGAACACAGATAAATACTATGTAGAAGAATAGTATAACAGTATAATACACTTTATCGCCCGCTTCAATCAAGAGCTATTCCGCACGTCCAGTTCTCTCCGATACTAACCTCCGAATACGTCCAACATGATCTTGTCCATGCACACTCCCCGACGGCGCAGCGCCGTTCTCAACCCTCCTCTGCTCCCTCCGCTCAGCCTTCGCCGCTCTCTTCTCGGCTCGAACAGCATCCCTCTCCTCCCGAGTCAGAATAGCCGGTCTGTCCTCAATGGCCTCACCAAATGGCGCAATGATACGCTCGACGACATGTCGCACATGGCGACTCTTCGGGGCTCCGGAGGAGAATTCAATCACGTCGCCCTCGCGGAGGGAGTTCTGCGGGTCGGAGACGAGGAATCTGGTAACCTTGGGGTAATTCTTGCGGATATGACGGTCCCAGATCGTGTGGCGGTGTTCAACAGTGACGGTGCGCTCCATGCGACCGACAGAGACGACGGTGCCACTCTTCAGGGTATAGGGGTATTTGCGAAGGGAGGGAGGAACGGTAGCGGGTGTACTAGCATCCAACTCCTGTACTTGTTCTTGGTGTGTGATGGTAGTGGAAGAGAGGAGTCGACGCGATGTGACAGCTGATCCGCGGATCGGTAATTGTGTTGAAAGAATTGATGTTGGCCGGATTATAGAGGATCGCAAGGGCTGCATTGCCCGCAGGAGAAGACTTGGTGACATTTCGACCTTTGCGCTCAGGGACAGGTTAAGGAGGAGGATAAAGAGTTTCGCACCCCGTCGGAGAAGGGAAGCTGAAGCCAAGTCGAGCTGGAAATCTGGATTAGAGCTCCGGTAGGCGAAGAGGTGCAAAGCGTCGTGACTGTAGGCCGACGAGAGGAAGCGGCTGGTCCAGAAAATAAGCTCGGGCCTTGTAATTGCCGAGTAAAAGAGATGTTGTTGCAATGGTTTCTTCGTTTTCGATTCTCCCATGAATCTTGAAAATGGTCGGGTCTGGGATTTTTCTTGGCAAAGTTTGCGCTGTTTGCACCTACTCATATGACAGTCGGCCTCGAAGCTCAACTGACGCCTCCCAATAATTGGTTTCTCAATGGTTGTGTAACTCTTTGAGAACGTTGAGCTATATAATGCTACTAGGACAATGATGGCAGAAAGTCTATACCGAAATGGAATTGTATCAAGTCATTAAATACATCAATTAAAGCCTCTAATCCACCACTAAAAGCCAGGAGTCTACCTCATATGCATGACCCCAAACGCCTTCTATCTGGACGACTCATACATAAGTATGGAGTAGAACAACCTCGACTGTATGCTTCAATATTGAGGGGTGGGGCCTGGGGGTTGCCACATGGCTTCCATAGCGTTTTGCATGCATCCATCAACCGCCCGGTGTCAAGCCGACCTTTCTGCTAGATCGTTGAGAAAGGTGTCCCCAAGTATATCATTTTATTACGAGGTGCTGACTGGCTTAGCTTGCGCTGTGCCATTTTCGGTAGTCTCCTTGCTGGGAATTTTATTTGCTCCTTGCGATGAGATTCTCTTCAACTCGGTGACGAAGGATTGACCCCAGAAGGCGCTGGGAAGGTATTTAGTAACTTGTTGGTTGAAAGACCACGATGAGACATACCTTGTATACTTGTTGACATATTTGTCCAGTTTGGAAAAGTTCAGCGCCCTCTGCTCATCGCTCATCGTCACAGCTTCGTGATAGGCTGCGGCCAGCTCCTCGGTGTTCCAAGGGTTAACGATGATGCTGCCATTAAGACTTTGCGCGGCACCGGCGAATTCAGACAGAACCAAAGACCCATGTCGCTTCTCTTGCGTAGCGATATATTCGTAGGAGACGAGATTCATGCCATCACGAGTCGAAGAGACAATGCAGGCGTCTGACACGGCGTATAAAGCGATCAGTTCATCGAAGTTGACTGACTTGTGTAGGAAATGAATCGGCATGAATTCGACAGTGCCTGGTTTCGAATCAGTCATAGCTCGCAGCGGAAGAGGTTCAGCCACACTCACCGAACTTTCCGTTGATTCGACCGACAAGTTCATTGACGACGGCCCTCAAGTTCTGATACTCTTCCACATCTTGTCGGCTGGGAACGGCAACCTGGACCAGAACTACCTTTCCAACCCATTCTGGATGATCGCTAAGGAAGACCTCGAGCGCATGAAGTTTTTGAGGGACACCCTTGATGTAGTCCAAACGATCGACTCCCACCATAAGCTTGACGCCTTGGAACTTTTGCTCCAACATTGCAATTCGTTTCTGAACCTTCTCTTTCTTCAACCCTTCTTTGAACTTCTCCGGATCAATACCGATCGGGAACGCACCGCAAGCGACAATGCGGCCTTGGAATTCAATTCCATTGGGAGTCGTTGGGAGTCCCCTAAAGAGCCGACGTTAGTCACCACGGATCTGCCGCATTCTGCACGAGAGCGAGTACTTACAGTAATCTTGAACAAGCACTCAGGAAGTGCCTTGTGTAGTCATACGTATGGAAGCCAATGAGGTCGCAGTGAAGAAGTCCGAGTAGCAGCTCATTTCGTACGGGTAGAATTCGGTAGATTTCACTGCTGGGGAACGGGGTGTGAAGGAAGAATCCAATCTTGATGTTTTTCTTCTTGTTTCCAATTTCCTCTCGGAGCATCTCCGGAAGGAGCATCAAATGATAATCGTGGACCCAAATCAAGTCGCCGTCTTGCACTTCCTTCGCAACGGCTTGCGCAAATAGGCGGTTTGCATCCTTGTACGCCTCCCACGCAGACTCGTCGAATGTAATCTCACCGGGGTGGTAGTGGAATAGAGGCCAGAGAATTGAGTCTATGAAGCAAAGAATTGTTGTTAGCACAGAAGCCTTAATTCAGGATTATGAGAAGAGACTGACTGGAAAATCCATTGTAGTGTCGGTCTGCGAGTTCATCATCAATGAACACAGGAATAGCCCCGTACTCATCCTTCAGTCTGTCCGTCACAATAGGGATCTCCTCTTCTGGAACTTCCAGGCCGGGCCAGCCGTACCATTGAAAAGTTGTAGTTTTCGATAGACCGCTCAGACCACTGACTAAACCTCCGGAGGACATGGAGAAATCATATTTGCCATCTTCGGAGCGCTTTATCGTAATTGGTAATCTGTTCGAAACGAGGAGGAGTCTCGACTCGTTCTGCGGGGGATCCTCGGCGTTGGGCATTCTGACGGAGGGGCAAGGCAATCACGGATAGTTGCGGAGATTGACGAGAGTCCGAGTCAGGAATAATATACCGGTCTCGAGGTGTTGAAAATGGAGGGGCTTTGAGAGGGGCGTCGAGGTAACCTGGTCTGCAAGGGTTGTTCAGTATGACAGGTTCACCAAGGAAAGAGCTCGCGAAAAAAAAAAAAAGTTTCCAAAACGCGGGTCAAGCGATAAAATAGAAAAATAAGTCAAGGAATTTCGATATGTGAGTGTAGGAGAGAAAGATAGGTCTTTGCTTATCCAATGGCGCGCATTTCACTAACCTCGTCGTTTTCACTGTAGGCGCGGGGGAGCTGTCGGAGAGGACCTCAAGAAGAGGGGCGGGTTTGAGTGGAATTGACCGAGTTGTAGAACGGACGAAAAGCGAAAGAATCAAAGGCTCCTCATTAACGAACTCATCGAAAGGCAAAGGTATGGAGATAGGCGCAATAACCCGCAATGTTCCTTTTGTAGCATTCAAATGGTGATGACGATACTGTGATGACGCTACCGGGAGAAGTTGGTCGATTCTTGCTGGACCGCCGGCACCTCAATCAGCCAGTCAGAACTTCTCGCCACTGTCACTTCCATGGAATTTCTTCTTAGTGCTGTGCCAGGTCTGGGCCTTCTATTTATCCATTCAAGAAAAGCAGCAACTAGGTGTCCACCGCTGGAAATTTCTCGGTGTTTCCTACGGGTAATATTCTCTAGGAGAAGAAAGCCAGGCTTTCTCCGTTTCTGGCACCTGACAAACATACATCATGCCAAGGTCCAGATCATAAGGCTGGCTTTCCAACATTGAGGGTCCACCGGCCCGAATCCGCATCGTGGATTACCTTTCCCTCATCTTCCAGCTTGTTCAGCACCTGTATAACACCATTGGCGGCAGGAAGATGGAGATTTTCCGGAACATTGTGGTAAATGATCTTCACTATCTCCAACGGTGTCCAAGATAATTTTCGCTCAGGTGAGCGTTCACCTTCTCCCACATCCAGTTTCCCGTAACGAAGGACCCGGATGATTTCGTCTTCGCGCTGTTGTCGGTGACGGATATATTCTCCAATCTTCGCCGTAGCGCTCTCAATCACCGCTCCGTGTCCCGGATACCCTCGACCTGAGACACGATCCTGCATTCGCTGCAAACTGTCAAGATAGGCCTTCAAATCCTCAAATACCGCCGTCCCATGGCCCAAGACATCTACAAAGCACGACATCAGCAATCGACAAATAGAACCACTTGTTCTGTCACCTACTGTCACCCGTGAAAACAGCATCTTCTTCCTCAAGCACAAGCATCATATGGTCAACTGTATGACCCGGTGTATGGAACGCTTTGAGCGTTGCCCCATCAACCTTGAAAACCTGCCCGTCCTCAATACTTGTCTGTCCCTCGGCGGGCTGATGTTTGTAAATTGTCGCACCAGGACATAATCCAAGCACATCCGAGATGCCGCCGACGTGGTCATGATGCCAATGTGTTACAAGGGCTTGATGTATCGTGGCATTCTCGTCTGCCAGAACCTTCTTGAGATTATTGGCCCAAGATGGCTTGCCTTCGCCGGTGTCGATAAGTATGCGCCGCGGCCCTTGACCGACCAGATATGTATTGGTCCCTGTAGTACAGTGTTAGATTTGAGACTCTTTCCCATCCAGGATATGGAAGAGCCGACCTTGTAGTGTAAACTGTTTTCCAACCCGGATGGTCAGCTAGGACCTCCAAGACCCAGTAGTTTTCCATGCGACAATGAAAAGAACGAACCTTTCCAGGATTCCCGCCGAGTATCCGCACAACTGAGGCACTGAGCCTCTCCACCTCCGGCAACGGAACCAATTGAGCCATCGTCTAGTCAGAGTGGTTTATCAGCGTGTAGCTATTAAACAGGTTAGCGACATTCCAGAGTAGAGGTTTGAGTTAGTCTAACATATTTCAATTGTACCCAAAGCAAATAGTCAAAAACCGGAGGCTAAGGAAGACGTGACTCGAAACGTGCCGATTCGCTGTTATAGGGCGTGAGATCGGATAGTAAGATGACCAGATGAAGGTTATATCCAAGCTCGGCGATGGAGGGACGCAGTATCAAGAAGATGGGGTTTAGGTTACTAGGTAAGTAGCGCTGCCCCATCAATTATACCCCGGCCGATTATTTGGAGTTCACTGATACGTACGCTCGTTGCGCAAACTCCGAGAGCGGGGCAGGGACGGAGGGGAGTTTGGCCTCGGCCAGTTGGCAGCTGAGAGCACGCGATATTATGTCACCGCCGACCGAAAGCTCGCGGATCAATAATAAGGACTTTGGAAGTGGATTGAGAATATCTGTGTATTCTTGAGATCAAGTTGCTCAAGCGAGTAGACTACGATCGAGGAACCAGGTGAACAGAAGGAAATAGTATATGGTATGCATCCAAATCCCTAACATACAATGGATGGTGTAACAAAAAAGCAAGTGATATATCCATGTAGTTCACCCAATGGGTGCCAAAACAACCCATGAACAGAAAAAGCGACTCGTAAGCATTTTCAGAACCTCACTCCGTGATATCAATCATAGAAATACCATTAGCAGCCATAGAGCTGCTCCCTCCTCTCTGCTGGCTGATCAAAACATGAGACACATAATTTACAGAATGTCGTTTAGTTCTTGCCAGACTTGCGGGCCATGGTGTTGAGGGCAGAGCCGTCCTTGAACCACTCGATCTGGGACTCGTTGAAGGTGTGGTTGAGCTTAACATCGAAAGAGGGTCCGTCCTTGGGGTGGACACGGAGGGTCACGGGCTTGTCAACGGCGAGCTCGGTGCAGAGGAGGTCGACGGTGGCGTCGGGGGGAATGCGGTCGTAGTCGGCGGGGTCAGCGAAGGTCAGAGGAAGCATACCCTGCTTCTTCAGGTTGGTCTCGTGCTGTGGGAGGAGTGTTAGTAGGGAAGATCTTGTCAAATCCGAAAGAGTAGAGCAAACTTACGATACGAGCAAAGGAGCGGGTGATGATGGCAAGACCACCAAGGTGGCGGGGCTCAAGAGCGGCGTGCTCACGAGAGCTACCTTCACCGTAGTTCCAGTCGCCAATGACAACCCACTTGACACCACGAGCCTTGTAGTCACGGGCAGTGGCAGGGACAGCATCGTACTCGCCGGTGAAGATGTTGCGGACCTTGTTGGCCTCACCGTTCTCGGCGTTGATGGCACCAATCAGCATGTTGTTGGAGATGTTGTCAAGATGTCCACGATACTTGAGCCATGGGCCAGCCATGGAGATGTGGTCGGTGGTCGTCTTGCCCTGGCACTTGATCAGGATGGGGATGCCAACGGCATCCTTGCCATCCCACGGCTCGAAACCAGCGAGGAGCTGGAGACGGTCGCTGGTAGGGGAAACAGCAACGTTGACGGAGCTGCGGTCAGCGGGAGGAGCCTGGTAGGTGTCACGGCCGGGGTCGTAGCCCCGGGAAGGAAGTCCTTCACCAGTGGGGGCCTTGAGCTTGAACTCCTTGCCATCCTTGTCCTTGAGGGTGTCGGTGAGGGGGTTGAAGTTGAGGGTACCAGCGATGCTCAGAGCAACGACGAGGTCGGGGGACGTGACGAAAGCGTGGGTGGCAGGGTTGGCATCGTTACGGCCGGTGAAGTTACGGTTGTAGGAGGAGACGATCGAGTTGGGAGTACCCTTCTGAACGTCCTTCCGGTCCCACTGACCAATGCAAGGACCGCAGGCATTGGCAAGGATGACACCACCGAACTCCTCGAGAGTCTTGAGCTGGCCGTCACGCTCGATGGTGGCACGGATCTGCTCGGAACCGGGGGTAACGGTGAAGATAGACTTGGACTTCAGACCGTGGTCAAGAGCATCCTGGGCGATAGAGGCAGCGCGGGACATGTCCTCGTAGGAGGAGTTGGTGCAGGAACCAATCAGACCGACCTTGAGCTCCTCGGGCCATCCGTTGGCCTTGACAGCCTCCTTGAATTGAGAGATGGGGGTGGCCAAGTCGGGAGTGAAGGGACCGTTGATGTGAGGCTCGAGCTCGGACAAGTTGATCTCGATCAGCTGGTCGTACTCAGCACCCTCATCCTCACGCAGGTCCTTGGCGTAAGAGCGGGCGAAATCACCAATGGACTGACGCTTAGTGGCCTTCAGGTAGTCGTACATGCGGTCGTTGAAGGGGAAGAGAGAGGTGGTGGCACCAATTTCAGCACCCATGTTACAGATGGTAGCCATACCAGTGCACGAAAGCGAGTTGACACCAGGACCGTGGTATTCGATGATGGCACCAGTACCACCCTTGACAGTGAGGAGACCGGCAACCTTGAGGATGATATCTGGAATAGTGGTTAATACAGTCATTTCAAAATGCTCGGAATGGGATAATATAACTCACCCTTGGGAGAAGTCCAGCCAGACAGCTCACCAGTGAGCTTGACACCAATGACCTTGGGGGCCTTCAGTTCCCAGGGAAGACCAGCCATGACATCGACAGCGTCGGCACCACCAACACCAATGGCAGCAATGGCAAGACCACCAGCGTTGGGAGTGTGGGAGTCGGTACCGATCATAAGACCACCAGGGAAAGCGTAGTTCTCAAGAATGATCTGGTGGATGATACCAGAGCCGGGCTTCCAGAAACCAATGTTGTACTTAGCGGTGGCAGAGGCAAGGAAGTCGTAAACTTCCTTGTTAATCTCGTTGGCGCGGGCAAGATCCTTCTCACCACCAACCTGGGCCTCAATCAAGTGGTCACAGTGGACGGTAGTGGGGGTAGCGACGGAGGGCATGCCAGCGGACATGAACTGGAGGATAGCCATCTGAGCGGTGGCATCCTGGCAAGCCACACGGTCGGGGCGCAGCTTCAGGTAAGACTTGCCGCGCTCGATATCCTGGTTTTGGGGGTCGTCAAGGTGAGAGTACAGTACCTTCTCGGCGTATGTGAGAGGACGGCTCAGGCGCTTGCGAACAATGTCAAGGTTCTGGGACATCTTCCTGTTGAGTTAAGAGCCCATGTTAGTCAGTGCCACTTAGAGAGATAAATTGCGCCACTCTAGAGTGAAACAATCAATAAGACAGTCCATACTTGTAGTTGATGTAGTTGCCCTGCGATGCGACCGTTAGCGGAAATTGTCTGGGGCACTAGCTCATCCGAGGCAAACCGGAAAGCCACAGTACTGGGAACAAAACTCACCTTTTCGTGGATGGACATCTCGACCTTCTTGTCAAGAGGGTCGACAGCGGTGGCCATGCCCCGGGTCCCGAAAAGCTAGATTGACTGTTAGTATTCCCATAATTCCTGAATCCTCCAGCTATACAAAGCTATGTTGAGCCGAGGAATCCTTACAAGACGGGACTTGGGGGCCTGCAACAAAGAGCGTTAGCTTTCAAGCTCTCCAGGGACTACACGAGCTAAAGGTCCATTGCGCATAAAGCAGCACCTGGCACCTTGCTCGTGCAGCAAACATGGCCTTGGGAGTGACTTACCAGCGCACCCATGCGCGCAAGCCTTGTGGTGATCATGATGCAAGCTCTCTATGCAAGTTGGCTAGCCAGAACACACTGGAGAGCAGGTCCAAGCAGCAACAGAAGCCAGCTTCAACCTGGGGAAGCAGCAAAGATAGAGTGGAGAGTGAAGGGGGAAAGGGGAGAAGGTTAAAACCCAAGGGAGAAGTGTCGATTAAAAGGAAGCTTGGGTTTTCGAGTGCGAGAATTCTTGTTTGACCACGGCGACCCTCTCCTCCTCTGAACCGGAGTGGAGGAACCGTAACCGCTGCTTACAATACAGCCGTCCAAACGCTTTCGGGACGGCCCCGAACTGAAGCATGCAACCGGAGACATGGAAGACCACAACTCAAACACTGCGCCATTGAACGGAATGTTGATTACAATTTTGCCTTGCTTGAGCTTCCAGCACATTTTCGTAATCTATGTCTTCATAGACTGAGACTTTTTCCCAGCTCAAATCGACTTGTTCTACCCATCTGCACCCGAGTATAGCACCTCTCCCCGATTCCCATGGCGACGAGAATACAAGCAGCGTCTCGTAAATACTGTAACGGTAAATCTGGCATGTGAGACCGGTATTTCTACTAGCCAATGGAAATGGACTGATTACATCTGCCTTTCAACAACAGCCTTACATCATAGCTTCTCATCCGGTGGCACAGCACTCGAGATATGCCTGGCGAGAGGAGGTTGGCTCTCGGATTAGCATATTGGAAGCTCGATTAGGAAGCTTCGACGTATAGCTGTTTCTATCAATGCTTAGGAACTCACTAGATGATTACTTTTGGTTCACCCGCAACTGGCCGGCGAAAAGAGTCGGGGGAAGGTGCCGAATTGGAGTGGAATCGTCATAAAATACAGCCCCAGTGATGGCAGTGTGGGATGGCCGTACGGAAGACAGCTGAAGTTGCATGCTGACTGAGCCGAGATAGAGCCGAGGCCTACCGAAAGGACTGCCTCCCGCGGCCCGTCGCCAAGACCTGTCGACTTGGACCAATGAGCGGTCACTGAGTTTTTTTTTTCTCGCAACAGCCCTTCTTCCGCGCACACAGAACGGCTGGAGTTCTTGACCCGCTTTCACGCCGCCGCGGACGTTAGCTTTTCCGTTTATCGGTGGTCGACCACGTCCATACTCAGGAACGACACTCAAATCGAGTTCTGGATCAGCCTTAGGCCGACGTTGATCAAGATGGGAGCTGTGAGGAGAACAAAGACGAAGCGAAGGACTAGGTATGCACTGACATTTCCCACATCTCCCAACAGGCCTGGCCCGGCGGGTTTCTTTGGTATACTAGGCTAACGAATATTTTTTTTTCAGGGATTATGACCAGGTCCGCGCCGATGTCGAGAACCCGAAGCATCTTTCGCAGTACAAGGCGACCAAGGATCCGGAGGATCTCCCCGGCCTAGGAAGGCATTACTGCGTCGAATGCGCTAAATGGTTCGAAAGTGATTACAACTTGGTTGCGCATAGGAAGGGCAAGAACCACAAGAGAAGGTTGGTGTGCCTCTCTGGCGTTTACTAGACGGGCAACTTGGCAGGGTTCTATCAGGTGGATTCAGGCTAATTCATCTCCCTTTCTCGAACAACAGACTTCGCCTGCTGAAAGAAGAACCGCACTCACAGAAGCTCGCCGAAGCCGCCGTGGGATTGGGGACGGACAATGGCGTACGATCGCAAGAAAACGACGAGATGGCCATGGACAATTGACCGTTTCAACGGTTGTTGACATAAACTGGGGTTGGGCTCGCGTGCCTCGGACAAGAACCTCAGCGAAGCAATCGTGTGCTTCGAATCCTCTCAACAACTAGCTTGCGCGGGCAGCAAGCAGGCCACATACGATTCTACACGCTTTATCTTGGGAAGCATGGCGATGGCTCCTCGCAAACAAAAGCTTCAAGCTTTAGATTCTGCTTGAAATTCTTGATGTCTCGTCAGCCAATCACAAGGCCGTCAATTTCGCGCAACACGTGAAGTAAAAGTGCCGAAAGTCGCCAGATTCTCCTGTGACGCCGAGTCCGCCCCCGTATTGCTGCGGGTTCCCTCGGCGGTATCGCCGATTCTCGGAACTTGTACACTCCAGGTTCCACTTTTCCCTGACATCGTTTTCACTTTTCAACGCGAAAAATGAAATTCATTTACAAGCAGCAGCCGCTAGGATACATAATCAAACCTTGCGTTGTATTTGAGCTGTGGCAACTCTCACCGGTGGCCATCATGGGAATCGCCTCCAATCGATACAGCTTGTCGGGCCATATCCTTGTTCGTTCCACTTTGCGCCCTTTGCGTGGTGGCTGTAGTCGTCCTTCGTAGCCGGCGGGAGTTGCCGTGTGGTCTTCGTTCTTGTATCAACCCGAACCCTCGGCCACTTAGGCGCCGGGTCAACTTAGCTGCAGTCCATGTAAAGGAGAGTATGAGGAATTGAGAGGATCCAGGTCCATGGTAGACCGTAGTTAGAGCTAGATGCATTCTGAGTCCATCGCGTTTCTTCACAGACTAGAAGCAGGCTCGTCCTCGGTATACATTGGGGAGCCTCCCCATCGCAGAAAATTAGAAGCATGCCGTTTAACCCGCTAGATCTATGGAGGTTTAGTGCAAATATCTCCGCTGTTCTTCCACCCGTGTACCTATTGTGTTACTTGTATGCGAGCGCGGGATACTGCTCACTATATATTTATATATATATATGCGAGGAGCTTCAAGACCATTGTACGTGTACTTGCAGACGGAGCTTAGGCGTGAGTTGATTGAAGGGTATTCCAAAGGGATACAGATTCTGCTTCCGATATTACCACATTATGGGTTCCAAAATCGCTATATACAAGGATGAATGATGTCTAGAAGTCGAGCGGCACTTGCTAGGGTCTTTATGCAATGTCTTGTAGCGACTGGCTCAGCAGATGACCCTGAAAATACTTCATGAGCCATTCATATGTGGCCCACTGAATGTATGAGTTAGACTTCGATGCCGATTCAGAGCAGGAGTAGGACAAAGGACATACCTGGGCAGCATTTACAATGAAAGCCCTTAAGCTGCATACACCCAAGCCGCGGTAGAAAGGTTTGAGACCCTCCGTTTGATAGACGTGCCTCGCCATTGCAAAGGCACCTTGGCGTTGGGACCCGGTAGAAGATTGTAGTAATGGGCGGGCTTCAGCAGGAGTTTCAATTGTACTCGCCTGAAGCCGCGTCTTTATCATGTCAAGAGGGAAAACAGACGCCCATGTAACGATTCCAGCAATACCCCCACAGAGAAGGACCTTCAGGGCGGCGGAACCCGCAGTTTCCTCTTCATTGGAGGACATGAGCGTCTTGCAGTACTCGTAGGACCAGAAGCTGTCAGAACGTGAGTAAAAGGCGTGACAACAGAAATAGACCGGAAATTATCTGCATACTAAAATCCGTAACCTATAGAGTCTCTCGCGCATGTAACACCACCGGCGAAGTATAGCCCTCTCCAGCCGTGATTCTGAACGATATCCTTCGCGACCGTCCAAGACGAGACTCTTGGACGAGAATCAAGTTGTGCTCGGCATTTGATAAATTCTGTAGGCGAAGAAACAGTCCAGCTGGCAATCCCACCGAGGGCACCAGCAAGCCAGAGCTTATATAGAGCGCTATTTTGAGGGTTTGTAGGATCAGTGACAGAGCTATCCAATAGCATCAATGACCGATTATAAGAGACAAATAACAGGGCATTGAGAGCGCCATATCCCAGAATAGGCGCTGCAGCACCTAGAGCCAATGTGAGTACATATTTACTTTTTTTTTCGGGGTCAGACAATAGCCAACCTACCTCGCACAAGAGAAGTAGCGTTGTCGAAGCGGGCTAATTGCCGATGTGATACAGACGTCTCTGCAGGGCCACTTGCTTGCAGTCGAACCTTGATGAGATCTAGAGGATTTCCAATAATAATACCAATGGCGCCGCTGATATAGCCGGCCCAGAAGTCTGCTGACATGGAGCAAGATTATCAACCCCAGGTACTCTCTGTTGTGATGAGGGGAGCATGCATGGTGGGCCGGATCTGTGCAATGCGGGGGAGGCCTGGGCTTATCGCTGCTTATCTCCACGTGACTGCGTGATCCTTTGGCGTCTGACACGCCATTCGGGCTAGGCAACGACGCGCCTGGCAAAAGAGCAAACAGCAGTTGATGTTCGACAAAGAGTGATCGAGGCAAGGGACTCCCTAGAGCATGTAAGTCCCTCTCCTGCAAGCGTCGAATGAGGACACATTTACAGAGATTAAGGTATCGCCCACGACCCTCGACGCACGGCGGCGAGGCTACTCCCTCATCCAAAATATCGCGTGTTGGTACACCCTCAAACAACTCGATCGACCGCCTCTCGAAACCCTTCAAATGCCCTGGCTCAGCAACGCCAACACGAGCCTCAGAAAAACCAACGAGGAAGCGGAGAAAAGTTAATTATGCCGGGGCGGATGGAAGTGTCGATGATAATAGTGTGAAACCATACACCAACGAGGATCGCCTGGCGCTTGCCACTAGAGATGTCAACAGATTCCCGGTCTTCAAAGCGCGAGATAAGGAGGTAGCATTCAAGCAGGCGTTCAAAGTTCCTCTCATCAACAAGTCGACTGGAACCTACGACAGTTCTCGACCCGCTCCGACTCTGGGAATGAGGCAGGGTGCTACATTCGTGGTAAAGCCGCTGCATGACCCGAGTGGAGAGTTTGCGATTGTCCTATACGACCCTACCGTTGATGACATTGAGGATACCGAGGCGAAGAAGCAGGAGGGAGAGCCCGAAGATAAGAACCCTAAATTGGACGAGCCTCTCGTCCATAAGAGCCTGGCGGATATACTTGGGCTCAAGAAGAAGGTCGAGGATCGTCCAAGGGTGCCCGTCGTGATAGATCCAAGACTGGCAAAAATCCTACGTCCGCATCAAGTGGAGGGAGTCAAGGTGAGTTTGCTTGGGCAAAACGTATGTTCTCTAGAATTGACCAAACATTCAGTTCCTATATCGTTGCACCACGGGTATGATTGACAAGAATGCGAATGGCTGCATTATGGCGGACGGTATGGGGCTGGGAAAGACGGTGTGCTTGGCTATCCTCTTTCCTACACATCTCAGCTAACAAAGCCAGCTTCAATGTATCTCGTTGATGTGGACGTTACTGAAGCAATCGCCCGAGGCCGGCAAAACGACTATTCAGAAGTGTATCATCGCCTGCCCGTCAAGTCTGGTAGGGAACTGGGCTAACGAACTTGGTAAGCAATAAGCCCGAACTATGATTGGCAATTACTGACCGATCTAGTCAAATGGCTGGGGAAGGATGCCATCACTCCGTTCGCGGTAGATGGCAAAGCCTCGAAGACAGAGCTTACAAGCCAGTTGAAGCAATGGGCGATTTCCTCGGGCCGCTCGATTGTCAGACCAGTACTCATTGTTTCTTACGAGACACTGCGGATGTATGTCGACACGCTAAGGGACAGTCCGATTGGACTGCTTCTGTGCGACGAAGGCCATCGATTGAAGAATAAGGAGAGCTTGACGTGGACTGCACTCAACAGTCTAAACGTCCAGCGTCGTGTGATCCTGTCTGGTACCCCCATCCAGAATGACCTTTCCGAGTACTTTGCCCTGCTCAATTTCGCGAACCCTGACCTCCTTGGTTCACAAAACGAATTTCGCAAAAGATTCGAGATACCCATTCTCAAGGGTAGAGACGCAGCAGGAAGCGAGGAAGATCGAAAGAAAGGAGACGAACGTCTCTTAGAGCTCTCCGGCATTGTTAACAAATTCATCATTCGTCGCACCAACGATATTTTATCCAAATATTTGCCGGTCAAGTACGAGCATGTCGTTTTCTGCAATCTCTCAAAGTTTCAGCTTGACCTTTACAAACATTTTATCGCAAGTCCGGAAATCAAGAGTCTCTTGAGGGGCAAAGGAAGTCAGCCGTTGAAAGCTATTGGACTGTTGAAGAAGTTATGCAACCATCCAGACCTGCTCAACCTTTCAACTGATCTTCCCGGATGTGAGCATGCATTCCCAGACGACTACGTCCCACTCGAAGGAAGAGGTCGCGATCGAGATGTCAGACCCTGGTACTCAGGGAAAATGATGGTCCTTGACCGTATGTTAGCACGAATACGGCAGGACACGAATGACAAGATTGTCCTAATCAGCAACTACACCCAAACACTCGACATTTTTGAGAAGCTTTGCAGGTCAAGAGCTTACGGTTGCTTGAGGCTGGATGGTACGATGAATGTAAAGAAACGACAGAAGCTGGTCGACAAGTTCAATGATCCTAATGGTGAGGAGTTTGTCTTCCTTCTCAGCAGTAAAGCTGGTGGGTGTGGTCTTAACTTGATTGGTGCCAATCGATTGGTGTTGTTTGATCCAGACTGGAACCCAGCTGCGGATCAACAAGCACTCGCGCGAGTCTGGCGTGACGGTCAGAAGAAAGACTGTTTCGTTTACCGCTTTATCGCGACAGGATCCATTGAAGAGAAGATATTCCAACGCCAGTCTCATAAGCAGTCGCTGTCTTCGTGTGTGGTCGACTCGGCCGAGGACGTTGAACGGCACTTCTCCCTGGATTCACTCCGTGAGCTATTCCAGTTCAAACCCGAAACCACCAGTGACACGCATGACACTTTCAAATGCAAGAGATGCAGACCGGACGGGACACAGTATATAAAAGCACCTGCTTTGTTATATGGTGACACTAGTTCTTGGAACCATTTTGTGAATGACGGGGAAAAAGGCCCGCTTAGCAAGATCCAAGACTTGCTCATTCGACAAGAGACTCAAGAGAGAGATGTCTCGGCAGTTTTTCAATATATCAGTCATTGAACGGCGAACAAGGTCTTTGTTCTCGGAGTATTGGGGCTCTTACAAATTGCATTGACTATTGGATCGGAAGCCGGTTTTGTCTTTTGATAGAACTGTCCTGGAGCGAAACTTTATGGGATGTTTGACTAGCGATTACTGGACTATGTGACTATCGAGATTTTGATAATAGATATACGCTATTCATTCTGTCTTCTGCATAGTGTAGTACTTATCAATCAGCGGCGCGGCACTTCGTAAGGCTGCAAGGCGCCGATGCTTAGCGTGCCGTCAGACCGGCCGAGCCTCCACTACGATGTACGTCACTCCGCATCCCTGCCTGACAACGCATCGTCGCCGTGTTTGCTCCCCACATTTCTGCTTGGACGACTGGGAAGACCGCCGACGCGACTGAGCCCGTCAACTGGCTTCTTTTATCCTTTTGTCCCCTCCCCGTGTCGCACGCAAAACCCAACCAACAAGCGTCCCCAGGACCACGATAACGAGAGCTAGTTATCGGCCCTGAAGCTCCTCTCGCCAGCTCACCGCCCAAAATCCGACAGCTTTCCATGATGAGGATCGTGATCTAGAGCTTGATCTTGTAGCAATCCATGAGGTTTGAAACATGGATCACTCAATCCAGCGGTTGCTGAACGACAAAGCTTATGATCGGAGGAAGCAAGGGGCCTTGGAGTGCGTACACGATCGCGGGAAACAATCCGGGAGGCTTACTTGACCTTGAGTTACTGACCTGTCTGGAAACGCATAGGCTCGAGAAAGTCGTTCGGGACTCTGCCTTCAGAGGAGATCATGAAGTCATTCAGAAGATCGTCGACCAGCTCTGTCACGACTACGCCTACGCCGTTCACCAACCCCATGCTCGAAACGGCGGTTTAATCGGACTTGCTGCAGCGTCGATAGCCTTAGGATCTGTGAGTTTATCGGATGAAGTTGGAACCCTCTGTGGATACTGAAACTTGCGACAATAGGAGGGAGTAGCTCCCTATTTGAAAGAGATCGTGCCGCCGGTTTTAGCTTGCTTTTCAGATCAGGATGCAAGGGTTAGATATTATGCTTGCGAGAGCATGTACAACATTGCCAAAGTCGCAAAAGGAGAGATCTTGCTTTTCTTCAATGAAATCTTTGATGCGCTTAGCAAGGTCAGTTCTGAGGATGAGTGCTGTGGAAAGGGCGCGCATTAACTTCAGCACAGTTAGCTTCGGACTCTGAGCTGTCCGTCAAGAATGGAGCAGAACTGCTCGATCGGCTTGTCAAAGATATTGTTTCCGAATCAGCTGCACACCATGTGTCAGTCTTACAGCTCTCAGAAAAACAGTCCTCCGACCCCGATGGCGTAGTGGACGAACTCCCAACAGCATTTTCGCTACCGAAATTTATACCATTGCTCAAAGAACGCATACATGTTCTCAGCGCTTTCACGCGGACGTTCTTAGTGTCATGGCTGACTTTGCTGGACACGATCCCTGATCTAGAGCTGGTTTCTTACCTACCAGAATTTCTAGGAGGGTTGATTAAATTCCTAGGCGACCCCAACAGGGACGTCAATGTCGCCACGCAGGGGCTGCTTGATAGGTTTCTGGCGGAGATCAAAAGGATCGCTCGTCTCAAGAAAGGGCTAGAAGAAAGCCGCAAAGGCCAAAGCGACAACCGACGCTCGATCACTAGTGACAGCACTGGCTTGACTACAGACCCAACGGTTGCCATCGATACCGATAGCCAGGATAACGCCATTGAGGACTCGGAAGCGGAATCTGTCGGTACTGAAGAAGATGGTTTGCAGGCCGATGGAGACTGGATTCCTGGCCAAGATGTACAAATCGACTGCCCGAAAATCTTGGATATCCTCGTTGGCTTTGTTGATACCTCTTTTGGTAAGTACATACCCCAAGTACAGTAAATGAGGACCACTGCTTATACCGGAAACAGACGAGGAGATGCAGTTGACTGCGCTGCGATGGATTGATAGCTTTTTTGAAATCAGTCCCGGAGATATCCTCCCATTCGTTCCCCGTCTGCTTGACCAAGTGCTCCCAGCCCTGTCTAGTGACTCGGACCAAGTACGACAGGCAGCGCATCGTGACAACACCTCGCTATTGGATTACATCTTCAGCTTATCCCTATCTGAAGACAATTCAGACGAGGCCCGGCAGATGAAATTACACACGACAACCACGAAAGGATTTGCTGAAAGAAGAGCGTCCACGCCAACTAGTAGACCGGAGGCCTCAGGAACCGACTCCAAGAAGGCCTCACCGCGAAATAGCATCCTATCCGCTGCTCCATCGGCCCCCGCGGATCTCGACTATAGCTCGGCTGTCAGTTCACTTACTCTACAGTTCTTGAATGAACACGAAGTTACCAGAGTAGCTGCCCTGTCATGGCTGCTAATGCTGCACCGCAAAGCTCCAAAGAAGGTCGCAGCGTTCAACGATGGGATATTCCCGGCCCTTCTCAAGACACTGTCTGATCCAGCCGAAGCTGTTGTTACCAAAGACCTCCAGCTTCTGTCACAGATATCGAGGAACAGCGAGGATAGTTACTTCAAATCGTTCATGGTGAACTTGCTGCAGCTATTCTCTACCGATAGGAGCCTGCTCGAGAACCGAGGAAATCTTATCATCAGACAGCTATGCATGAACTTGAGTCCAGAACGGATTTATCGCACCCTCGCAGACTGTCTCGAAAAGGAAGATGTAAGCTCAGTGCCCTATGTTTAGCCTTCCAGTGCTAACCCGTGTCTTATAGGACATTGAGTTCGCAAGTATCATGGTTCAGAATCTCAACAATAATTTGATAACTGCGCCCGAGCTTTCAGAGTTACGGAAACGATTGCGAAACCTGGACTCGAGGGTAATTCAAATTGTGCCCAACTTGCTGACCCTTTGAGCTGACATCAGTCATAGGACGGCCAGACATTCTTCGTAACTCTATTCAGGTCTTGGTGCCACAATGCCGTGTCAACATTCTCCTTATGTTTGCTTGCTCAGGCATACGAACAGGCGTATAATCTCCTTCAGGTTTTGTAAGTTGAATACTAAGTACCACGATTACCACGTCTAACAGTTTGCCAGCGCCGAGTTAGAAATGACAGTCAACATGTTGATCCAAATCGACAAACTAGTACAGCTCCTTGAGTCTCCCGTTTTCACCTGTATGTTCTTTTCTTTGATAACGGCCCTTTGGAGACTGGCTCCCAAATACTAAACGAGCAAAAGATCTCCGTCTTCAACTTCTCGAACCCGAAAGATACCCATACCTCTACAAGTGCCTTTACGGCGTTCTCATGCTCCTCCCTCAGAGCTCAGCCTTCGCAGCGCTCAAGAACCGACTCAACAGCGTCAGCAACATCGGCCTGCTCCATACCGGACCCCGTCTGTATGTCGATCCTTCTTTCTCCCCCTTTCCCATCCTTATCAAACTCAAATACTAAATGAATATCAAACAGAACCTCAATGGCCTCAACCACGACCTCAACCTCCTCCTCCTACGACCGAAGCAGCACGCGCCTCAAAAATCGCGACGAAAACTCCATCCGCTGGGTCGACCTCCTTGACAAATTCAAATCCGCCCAGGAGAAGACCCGCTCCTCGCAGCGCCCCTCCCAACAACGGCTTTTCGATAATGACACTACAGCATCATCAGCGTCGGCTCTCCAAAACACTACACTCACATCTGCCGATCAGATTCGAAGAGATAAGAGCTTACCGGACCCGCCACGCCCTGGCTTCGGGACGGCAGGAGGTCGGGCTTCACCGGCTGACAGTACCGGCGGTGCGCAGAAGGGGAGGCAGAAGTCGGGGTTACCGAATTTGTCGAGGCTGAGGCTTCCTGGAGCGAAGAATAAACGATGATGTTTATATACATATAGCTGGTGAATCGGAGATTGGGTGATGGCAATCTACGATTCGCGTGCACGAATCCGGGGGTTTGCGCACTCATCTGGAGTATGTAAGAAGATGATGATGATGATGGCGCTACTCCATTGTGAAGTACTACACTCAATGGACTTTCACCATTTAGGAGCAGCTGCTCAAAAGCCAGAGACAATGCGAATTAAAGCCCATAAGTTTTGGAATTTTGAGTAAATTGGATAGATTGTTGTATGCTGAGCTTGCTTCGAAGTGTGAGCTGCGTATTTCACCGTCATCTTAGAACGACATTCTCCAAGTAAAGCTATATAGAGCATAGTGGTGTGAAGAGTATGGAAGATATATGAACACGATATCAAAAGTCGCTAAATGGTCTGCAAACCAAGAGAAGAACTGGCCATTATATATAGGCTGTGAAATCGTGGCCTCTAATCCCCTCCAGGAGGTTAGAAGGGCCGCGAGATTGTAAAGGAGAAATTGGGAGAAAGAAAATAATGCAAGCATATACAAGAACGTCATATAATCACGTCAAGGAAACACCGAAAGCAGAACGTCAAGTCAGACTTGACCACAACGAAAGAAGGCGAGTTGTCTGCTCTAAATCGTGCCATATAAAGAGTGAACCGAAATAGAAGGAAGGCGTGAAATCCTCGTCCTTAACTTTTGATCATCAAAGGGCCGAGGGATGAAGGAACGATATCGTCGCTGTCCCTACGGGAAACATAACGTAGAGAAAGCGTCGCGGCGACTGTGCTGGAGATTGAGCGCCTGCATGTCACCGGGCACGCGAGTCGCTTGATGAACCCCAAGTATGGGACTTCCAATGGGACCCGGTAGACTGCTTAGACACGGTCCCCGACGAGGAATTGGATTCGTTCGAGTAGATGTATTCTCCGTCGACATATTGAACCCCCGAGAATGTGCTGCGATGTTTGCGGCGGGCATAGCGCTGTTCTAGCCGGTAAAGCTCAAGTTCTGCATTGACCAACGATTAGCATTGTGGGGACATGTCTAATGTGAGCCCGCGATTCAGTCGAGTCAAGGAACGATCCGAATCGTTTGGCCAAGGTTCATAGGTGACCTACTGGCTTGCAACTTCTCAATGAGACCCATGATTTCGGTTGTATAGTATCCTTTCAAATCCGGTGTGACTGACCCGACAGGTTTGGAATTCCAATGATAATGCTGACGGAGGGCGAAAGAATCAAGAGCGCCGCGGATATGAGACGGTGGAAGCTTTCTATTGCGACAGTGGGAGATGTTAGCAGATGCGCATTATGCGTGATTTCAAAGCTTGTCGGCGCCCGAAGGTAAGCCGAGACAACCGATTACCAAGACATACCAATGCAAATAGCGAGTCTTCTCCAGAGGTGAAAATAAACAATAAATCCTTGAAGCCGAGCAAGCAACGGAGAACGATCTAAAGGAAGCAAGGAAGCCCAGTTAAAAGGAGAAACGCCAGGTTTTGAGAGAGGCAGGATGGAGAGGGGAACGCAGGGACAAGGATCAGAACAATGGAGCTAGCAGTTGTGGGACGGGAACGCTTCAAGCAAATGGGGGAAGAACGGACTAACAACCGGCACTAATGGATGAAGACGGTTAATCTAGGCGTTCTGGACTCGATAGTGTTGCAGAGTGAGATTATTCGCGAGGTTTCGTGCGTCAACGAAGCCCAATGGGAACAAATTGATGGCAGCCACAGCAGACTATGACGATAGTGGTTCCAAAAGAAAGGCTTGGGCGGAAACGGCTGAAAGAATGGAAATCCGACCGGATGGGGAATTGATACGCAAGCGGCGATAATAATGAGAACGAGTGTAGCTGTATAGGACGAGCAATAACAAGCCAAGGAGGCAAGAAGAGGAGTGAGAACAATAGTAATTAGCTAGCGAGAGACGGGGCAGACGGATGTCAAGAGAAAAGAGGGTCAGAGCACTCGAGTCGAGATTCGAGATTCGAGAAGAAGAGAAGAACGGATGGATCATGGAAGGTTCAGCCAGAGCCAGTCCGCACCAGTCACGGCTGACCCCGACAGTGGCAGCCCACATAACGTGATCAAAACGTGGAAGAAGAGTTGCCCGCTAGCCTGCTTGCGGTCTAGCCAGGGGTTACAGCTAACTGCTTCGGGCCGCCGAGTCGTGAGGGAGATTAATCGAGATTAATTGGAGTCGCACCATGTGGCATGCATGGGCTGTGCAGTCTAACCGTCTATTCTTTCATCTGTAAGTTGTACACTTATCCAAGCCCAATCTGGAGAGTATCGTAACACCCTCGTCCTCTTACTTCCGATTCGGACCCATGTCCTTGGCCTCTGTCAGTGTCTCATCCTCGAGCTCCACGTTGCGTTCGTACTCTGGATCTTGCGCCAGGGACGTTTCTTGGGCTGTGGGGACATGTTAGCTTGCCTTCAAAGTTCCCTAGTCAACCAAACTTCGAGAGATCTCGTACCGTTCCACAATTCAGCATAGATTCCATTCAGATCAAGGAGCTCGCGGTGCGATCCTAGCTCCGCGACGTGTCCCTCCTTTAGGACGAGAATCTGGTCGCAGTCATTGATTGTCCGTAATCGATGCGCAACAAACACGCTTGTCCGCCCCTTCTCTTTCAAAATACTGTTGATATTCTGCATCAGGGCTTGTTCGGTGTATGTGTCGAGGGCGGACGTCTATAGACATATGATTAGATCAAGACAATTGCTGGCTCGCAAGTCAGTTACTTACCGCTTCGTCGAAGAAGAGCAGTTGAGGATCTTTCAACAGCAGCCGCGAAATAGCCAACCTCTGCTTTTCTCCGCCCGATATCATCATTCCACGCTCGCCAACTTTGGTACCATACCCCTCGGGAAGTTTCTCAATGAGTTCATGAATATGTGCGCGCCGAGCGACTCGGCGAACCTCTTCATCAGACGCCTCAATCCGTCCATAGCGAATATTGTGCTCGATTGTGTCGTTGAACAATGGTGTATCTTGAGGGACAACACCAATTGCTTTCCGCAAGCTGTCCAGGGTGACGTCTCGGATGTCTTGGCCGTCAACAAGAATGCGGCCTTGCTGGACATCATAGTATCGGAACAACAGCCTCAGAATTGTGGACTTGCCACAGCCACTAGGTCCGACAATAGCAAACTTCTGACCAGCAGGGATTGTAAAGGTTGCGTTCTTGAGGATAGGGCGGTCTGGATGATACCCGAAGGTAACATTCTCGAACCGGATCTCGCCTCCCTGTTTAAGCTCCAGTGGCTTGGCATCCGGCCGTTCAGTGATGCTCACATTCACCTTCTGCAAGTTGAACAGCGTTTCCATATCAAGTAGCGACTGACGCAGCTCCCGGTAGACGGAGCCCAAGAAGTTTAATGGCACAGAGAGCTGAAAGACCAGTTGGTTCACCATCACCAAGTCGCCAATAGTCAAGCTGCCAGTAGCGACCCCATCAGCAGCCAGATACATCATAGCGGCCAGCGCACTCGAGAAAATCATGTTCTGGCCGGAATTCAGAAAGGCCAGGGACGTCGTAACTTTGATTGAAGCATCTTCGTAAGCCTTGAGAGCCTTGTCGTAGCGTGCAACCTCGAATTTTTCGTTATTAAAGTACTTCACGGCCTCGTAGTTGATCAACGAGTCTACGGCAACCGTGGCTCCCCGGTTGTCGGCTGCATTTGCCTGCCTCCGAAACTTGGTTCTCCAGGCCGTCGTTGTGATCGTGAAAGCGGAATAGGCCACCATAGTGGCCGCGGTTATTGCGGCGAATTGAGCACCATACTGATACGTCTGGAATATTTGTCAGTTGCGCTCAGAATATACATCAGGCGAAGGTTACACACTAAGATACCGCATACGAGAGATATCTCCAACGCGGTTGGTACGACGTGAAACACCATTGACGTCAGCAGAAAGCTGATACCTTTAGTTCCGCGATCAATTGCTCTCGTAAGTCCACCGGTCTGCCTTGACAGATGGAAGTTGAGGTCTAGCCGTAATAAGTGTTCGAAGACATTACGAGCAACCTTGCGGATGGCCTTTTGAGCGACACTTGCGAAAACAGCATTCCGCAGCTCTTGAAACAACGTGGCGCCGATTCTAGTTGCACCGTCTATATTGACGTCAGATTCCCGTGGAGTTGAAGAGGAGTCGCCCCAACTTACAGGCAATGATCATTGACCCGGCTACTGTGTACGCTGTCCCACCTAGGGAGGCGAAATCGACGTTCATCGAGTCAACGATGCTCTTGAAGTAGAAGGGAACTTCAACATTCAGAATCTGAAGAGCACGTAGTTAGTGAGAGCTACAGTAGCCGTGTGCCTTTTTTGTGATTCCCGACCTTTGCTCCAACTAGCAAGGACAGAGCTGTCCCTACACGAAGCTTAGTTCCCCAATCACCCTGTGCAATACCGATTAGCCAAAGTACATAGGCCTCCAATCGTTCGGCCAGAGGTTCACCTTCGGCCAAAGGTATTTCGCCATTTCCCGCATTATTGCCCAATCTGCTTTTCTTTGTTCCTTGTTTGCAATAGTGCTCTCGCTGAGCAGGTCCTTCTTCGGAGCTGCGGCATTTCGTGGCTTGTTTGGGCCAGGGGAACCTGGCTTCGATGATAACGATGATAATGGTCCAGCTGCCGGCGTTTTGCTATCTGTCGAAGTGGTCTCGTCCGGCTGTTTTTTCGTTGAGGATGTTCTGACCTGAGCTCCGCGGAGGGCAACCGGTAGAGGACTTGATCGCGGAAACGCGGAACGGTGGGTTATCGAGCGCGCGGGGATGCGCCAGCAAGGCGATCGGGCTGCTTGGAGCAGCATGGCGCCGGATCGCAGCTTCAGAGAGACCGATATCCAAAAATGCGTCGATTCTCTGCTCAGTGAAGCATTGTTCTGGTGAATGTGAGGTTCGCTGACTTGAACTCTCAGTCCGCGTTGCGGAGCGCCGGGTTCGGAGGGGGAAAAAGACGGCGGGCGAGGATAAAGTGGTGAGGACCCCCGGATTAGGTCACCTCAGCCACGAAACGCGGAGAGACCTTGGAAGCAATCACTTCAAGTAAGCACAACAGAAGATGGTGCGTGGGGGCAGTCTGAGAGGATGAGGCAGAAAATAAATGTGAGGAGCTCACGGTGATTGCTTATTCTGTTGCAATCGGTTCGCGGATGATGCAATTCAGAGCCGGAAGCCTTCCCTACTGACGGCTCCCTGGACGGACCTTTGATCTCAGAGTGGCCGAGGCATCTACCTGCTGTTGTCAGGACCTTTTTCGACTCACTTTACTTCTGAGTTATTTGTTGAACAAGGAAGCTGTCAGCGCGCTCCTACAAACCTGGGCGCGCGGCCATGTTCTACTACTTGTTCAAGTAATGAAATGGAGGCAGACAGCCTTCTATATCCCATCCTTTCACAATGGCAAGAAGACGCTAAATCGAGGCTCTAGAGTAACCTTATGCTGGACAACGGAGCCTTCGACTATGGGACACCCTGGACTCCTTCCCGAAAGAATGGCCTCAGTCGCGGCACCTCGAAGAGGCCGAGGAGCACCTGGCAGCTTCCCAAACGGGAATTGGTCTCAATTGCTCGTAAGATGGTCTTCAGAATTTCCCTGGGAAGCCTCTGATGAGACTCTATGTTCACAGCTTCGGTATCATCCCCTTAGGTCTCAACAGACATCTTGTCCTCTTTTGCGGACAAGATGAATGTCCGGTGCATTATCTGTGGTCTTAGGATAGCCCGTGAAGGCGAGCCAAATGACTCCTGGCTTCAAAGATACCGCATGAGTGCGTCAATCCCTGACTGATCGGGTGCTATTCCAAAAAAAAAAGTGGTTACTTACTGTTTACAGTTTATCGCACGAGTGATGGAGTCTATCTGTCCGACACTCTAGTGAGAAGGCGCTCCGGAGACGGATCGAGTTTCCAAGTCCCCCTGCAGAACTCGATTTTCGCAAATATTCCAATAATCCAAGAAACAAATGGTCAATTCGGTTTTGTCATGCACAATGCGTGCTGGGATATCTTCAAGGTCAGGGCCGGGTCTACCTCGATCTCTCTGCACAGGATGGTTGAGGTCTTTGAGTCAGTTCCGAGAGCCCAGGGGTCTGCACGATCGTCCTGTTACGCATGGGGCCACATGTACAAGGGGTTAATCTGCCTCGCTCCTGGACGTTGGCCGTGGGAACAGAGAGAATGGTGCACTCCACCCCGTACGCCCATCGAAACACAAACAATCAACAGAAGCCCGTTTGCGTCACCTATAGAGGATATTCTAAAGACAACTTCCTCTCAGTCTCAAGCATTCGACATGAATCCAGTGAAATATCGCAGCTCGCCTGACAAAGACTGCTTCGCTGGTCTACCTCTGGAGATTGTGGAGGAGATAGCGTCCTATCTATCAACCACAACCGTGCTCACGGCTAGACTGGCCTCTCCGGCATTCACCCAGTTGTTCTATGACCAAATGTTTTGGTCTTCTAGATTTCGACCAAACCACGAGCGAGGTTTTCTTTTCGAAGTCTGGGGGAAGCGTGTTGCCCGCGATTGGCGCTGGCTGTATCGGCAGACAAGAGATATCGCTGCAACCTACCCCGGCCTAAATAATAGACTGCGAATCTGGTGTATCGCGGAACTGATTCTTGAGAAATTGACTATTACCCGCGGAGACCCCTCCACACACTTGTCGACTGGCCAGCGGCTATCGAGATACCGCAAGGGTGAGGTATATGGAGGCCCAACAGTTGCGAAGACTCTCAAGACGAAGACAGCAGCCCAAGCGATAGTTCCAGAAAAGACAGCGGTGCCGCCTGACGTCTATCGGATCGGAATCTCAGTTATTGAAGATGGGGAAACGACCTACGTTGCGGGAATACATCTCTTCCATGGCATGTCCGGGAATGTTATTCGCTTGGGATATGTCACGGCGCCTGGAACAACAAGCTACTCTGACATCAATTCCCTGAAGGGCTTCGTTGTTTCCGTCGGATCAACCGGACTTCATGCGCTCCAAATTGTCCATCGCGATGATGATAGTCTGTCTACTTGGCATGGAAACCCTAAGCTTGGGGCAAAGACCAGGCGTCTTGTGTTTGTTGAAGAAATTGTTGCCTTGTCTGCTGGGTTCGATGTAAGAAGACATTCCTGCCAAGCAAAATCAAGTCTAATAAGCGAACACAGGGATATAAAATGGTGTACATGGCCGCCTGGGGTACCCGAGCGCCCAAGTCCAAAGGATCGAAGCAGATTGACCTAATCAGGAATCATTTCCTATGGTACCCCGAACTTCCTACTCCTAAGGAACTCATAAATGAGACTTCCGTTTTTGGGAAGCTGGAGTCAAGCTCGAAAGGATTTCGCCCTGTGATATTTGCTAATTTCGGGGGTTCCTCTGGATCCGGTCTGCGGCACTTGGTGTGTGTGTCTGCAATGTTTGGCCTTGACCGGCTACTGAATGTCACGTTTTACTTCGAGGCGGATGGTGTTTTATGTCGACCTGTGCATCTTTCTCAACGCCAAGCCAACGCTCTAGGTATGGCGGAGTTCGAAATCCATGGTTTTGCGGGGGAGTACATCGAAAGAGTTGAAGTCGAAACCTCCACAGTCTCAGACTATATCACTGGAATCAGGGTATGTTTACCAACACCACAATTTGGTCTTGCTGCTCACATAACTAGTTAACAACAAACTGGGAGGACCAATGGACAGCCTCGGGCAATTTATTGGGCATAACAAAGTACACAGTTCTCCAAACGGCGCCAGGAACGATCCCCACTGGCCTCTATTCCACAGAGGTAACGCGCAAAGTGCCCTCAGAGAAAGGCAAAATACTAATCCTGAAACTTAGGGAAGAGGCGGGATCAAGAATATGGGAATCATCTCGCAGCGAGTCAAGCCTTGGGGCCGACATCATATATGAGGCGAGCGTCGCGGGTAGTGCTCCATCAAGCAGACTTTTTAAAGCGCATCTATATGGGCGGTAGCCAAGAGAATATGGTATATCAGCTGCTCAAGAGATATTGAGATCGGAAATCGGCGGGATGTGTATGATAGTTTTCATGTTGTACGTCCCTTTGACAAGGAATAAACTTCGAATTGCCCTTTAATGCGGGATGGCGAGTTCTGTTCAGGACAGGCACCGAAAGCAAACAAATATTCTATTCGGAAGCAGGAATGAATACTAGTGGTTGATGGAGCATGCTTACTTTTAGTTTGAACCAAGCCATGGATGGTTCAAAGTTCTTCATGACCGGGGAGAAGCAATGGCTGGACGGCTCGTGCATGCACTTTGCATGCGACTCCGAGGTCGTTGGACAGTCCAGCGGGTGGCTCGCGGGAAACTTAAGATAGCATACAGCTAGAAGGATTTGCTTCAAAGAACATCTGAGAATGTTTTCTCAGATGGTAGGACTGAGATCGCCCGGCACGGGTGGCCACAACCGCCTCCCGTAGCCGTAGCCATCCGTGTTAGTGTACGAGACAGAGTAGTCTGGACTCCTCTCAACTCGCCAGCACAAAGGGCTCTGCTGCCAGTGGGATAAGCTGTCGTTTTTGCTTTTCCGCCAGGGTACTTTTCTTTTTCGCTTTCTCGGTCCTTATCGCCCCTCGCCTCGTCCTTACTTTTGTGACCAGCAGACGGCCGCTGGTGCTCAATCGCCTCCTGATTGATCTCCTCCAGGCCCAGTCGGGAGCCCTTCCCTACACTCCACTAACACTCGCGCCTACTCAGCCTTTCCCCTCAAACCTCTCCTGAAGCCACCGCTTCTTTTGACGAAACCTTCCCCTCCCCCTTCCTCTCCTCAACGCCCCCTTTACCCCTTATATTCACCACCTTCCTCCATCTTCTCCCTCGACGTTCATCCAATCTCGGCAGTCGGGAGGGCACTCTTTCAAGATGGATCCCAACAATCGTCCCCACATGAACTTCGGGTACAATGAACGTGCCTTCAACAATGCGGCGGCAAACAATCGCGCGTATCCCACCACCCCTTCCGCGTTTCCCCAGCCGATCTACCAGAATCAGAGTCCGCAGGACTACGTGGAGGCTCAGAACGGTGTTTACGGTCAAGGATATTTCATGCCGAACCACTACGCTCCCCAGCAGGCCGCCTACGCCCAGCCCCATTACGGCCAGCCCAACCTGCAGTCCCCTCAACCGGCCTACCAGTCTCGCATGGGATACAACGCCCCCGCCAATGATGGAACAAACGGCTTGATCCAACAATTTTCCAACCAAGATCTCAACTCCTCCAACCGGACCGGGTTCTTCAATCGCGCCGCCTCGCCTGCTCAGAGACCCCGTACTGCTGGCTCTGCGGCGCCTGGACAACAGCAGCAACCCGGTCATTTAGCCCCACCAATGCCTCGCAGCCCTCGAACTGCCCCCGAGACTGAAGAACTCCAGCGTTACCCAGAGCGCTTCTCGGAGAACGTTCATAAGCGCGGAAAGGCCGCCAAGGAATTGATCAATGTATTCTTTCAAGAGAATATTGAGCGCGCGCGTGATCGTAACATGCGGTGAGTCTCATTCCAATGTTTTGATAAGCGGTATTTGAATTTGCTAATTCCCGGTTCGTGGATAGTTCGGCGGAACTCGACAAGATGATTCGCGAGCCTAGTATCCCTCAGGACGCAAAGGTTAAAGAAGCTGAAATGGTTGGAAAGAAGGAGTCGACCTTCCTCCGATTCCTTCGAACTCGCGAGACTCCCTCCAACTTCCAGACGATCAAGATCATTGGAAAGGGTGCTTTCGGTGAGGTTAAGCTTGTACAAAGGAAAACGGATGGCAAGATCTATGCGCTCAAGTCGCTGATCAAGTCGGAAATGTTTAAGAAGGACCAATTGGCCCATGTCCGCGCAGAGCGTGATATCTTGGCCGATTCAAAGGACAACCCATGGCTCGTCAAGCTCCACGCCTCCTTCCAGGACACTGCATACCTGTACCTGTTGATGGAATTCTTACCCGGTGGTGATTTGATGACGATGCTGATCAAGTACGAAATTTTCTCGGAGGATATTACCCGCTTCTACATGGCTGAAATTGTGATGGCTATCGAAGCTGTCCACAAGCTGGGTTTCCTTCACCGGTAAGGCTTCTTAATAGATACACACCACGTGGTTTTGATGACGCCCACTGACATGACGCGTCTTCCAGAGACATCAAACCTGACAATATTCTCCTTGACCGTGGTGGCCATGTTAAATTGACTGACTTCGGTCTTTCTACTGGCGGCAAGAAAACTCACGACAACTCATACTACCAGAACCTACTGAAGAACTCCACATCTAAAGACAAGAACCGAAACTCCGGATATTTCAATGATGCAATCAACCTAACGGTGTCGAACCGTGGACAGATTAACACGTGGAGAAAGTCCCGCAGGGCCATGGCATACTCGACTGTCGGAACTCCGGACTACATCGCGCCTGAGATCTTCAACGGCCAAGGATACACCTACCTTTGCGATTGGTGGTCAGTCGGAGCCATCATGTTTGAGTGTCTTGTGGGCTGGCCTCCATTCTGTGCTGAAGACACCACAGACACCTACCGCAAGATTGTTAACTGGAGAGATTGTCTATACTTCCCTGAGGAACTGACCCTGTCTCGTGAGTCCGAGGGCTTGATTCGAAGGTATGATCATCCGCGAACTCTCTGCTTGCTAAGCTAACCTTTCTATTTAGCTTCCTTTGCGATGCGGAGCACCGCGTTGGAAACGAAGGTGGCCAGTACGGTGGCGCCACTCAGATTAAGAATCACCCATTCTTCCGCGGAGTTGTCTGGGAGCAGCTCCGAAAGATCCGTGCTCCCTTCGAGCCAAGACTCAGCTCAAATATCGATGTGTCCTACTTCCCGATTGATGAAATCCCTCAGGAGGACACAAGTGCTATTCACCGCGCTCAGGCACGTGCTATGCCAGAAGAACAGGAGGCCGAGATGAGCTTGCCCTTCATCGGTTACACCTACAAGGCGTTCAACGCTTTCCAGGCCACTTAAGAATAGATTCAGTTTCCGAAATTTTGAGCGAGCCGATGGTGATTGTCCTTGGAAAGTTTGAAAGCGGGCGGGCTTGCGTTGATACCTTTTCAATGGCTCATCTAGGCTAGCGTCTCGGTCGGTTTAGACCCTGTTGATTGGTTGTTTATCAAGCATATAGCGCATATCGTGTTACTGGGCACATGAGCATCTTCTTTCAATTTGTGTACGCGCTTTCCTGTTCTTAGATGTTTTGCGTCCATGTCGCAAGCCGACAGTCGCTGGCTACACATTGTACCTAGCGCTGAAACACTTTCCCCGGTGTTTTGGTTGGAGGGTTGAACTTATCATACGATTACCTGCATGCATATCATGATTGACCGGCTCTTTGAACCTATCAGGACGGTGCGATGAACATTGATGGTTATGAAATAACAATTTACATGCGTTTCAGACGCAGATATTCCCGTTTTTTAAAATGCTGTAGTCAACAACCTGGATTTTGCTTTCAATGAATCCCGAGAAACGCCTAACGCACACCCAATAGAGCTATAGAGACAGCAGCCCAAATTCCTGGCAACCCTTGTCCGCTTAAGCAGCCCCCAACGGCGCCAATCCAGGCACACCGCTAAACCTCTCCTCACGCTCCGTCTTGAACATAATCTGCACCCAAAACTCCTTGCTATCCTCGTCAAACCACGTCCAATACCTCCCTTCACGTCGATCAATCTCCCGCGCCTGCAACTTGAACCCACAAGTCTGATACGGCTCGGCCGCAACAACCAGGTACTGGAAACTCTTATCCGGCGGCTCCTCCACCTTCTGCTCAAACGCACTCATAAACCGCACCCGCGGCTTTACACCAGGCGTAATCTCCTGATACTGCAATTGAAACAACAACCCCAACTGCCTCGTCAGCGGATCCCGCACCTTCGTAATCTTATAACCCGGCCGCCCAATCTTGATCGTCTGCTTCCGGACCTGCACTCCCATTGCACCAGGTAAAGAGTTGGGATCTTGGTTCTTCCCTTCGCGCTGCTCGCGGGCGGCACGGCGAGCGAGGTTCGTTTGATGCTTTCGCCCTTGGGTGTGCGCGAGGTACGAGCCGTCATTTTGGTGGACGGTCAAGCAGAGGCGGCACTCAAAGCTACCGACATGGTTCTTGAAGAAGTAAGGATCTTTGTCGAGGTCGATGGTTTCGAGGGCGAGTTTGCGGAGCCGTTCGCGTCGGTCTGCGTTTGTTGCGGAGTGCGAGGCGACGCCGCCGCCGCCGAATTTCGAACCTGCGCGGTTCTGTTACCTGATCAGTATACACATCGCATTATCAAGTATGTTATTGGTGTAGTGTGAGTGCGTACCTGGTAATCCATTTTGGCGATGGAGATGTAGTAGATGAGGGACGAGTGGAGGTGTTTGATATGTCGCGGAGTTGAAGCTTTGCGGAAATTCGAGTTGGAGATTACATAAGCGGCTAGACCGGGCTCCGATTGGAGAGGATTCAGCTTCGATCAACAAAGTTATAGACGGTCTATCTCAGAATAGATTATGAGGATACATCTTGGATCTTTCGATTCAATATGGCGCACCATGAGCTGGTGAATCAGCGTCGGTCCTATAACGGCGATCTGTGCACGATCCGCTATGTCGGCAAGGTTGAGGGAACCTCCGGGGAATGGCTTGGTGTCGAATGGGATGACCCAACAAGAGGAAAGCATTCGGGGCAACATCAGGGGGAGAGGTATTTTACATGTACGTATTCCCTATAGCTGACATATGCTCGGTGTCCACACTATAGCTACATCAGCTTTGAGTTGGACATCAGCTCACAATCGAATACAGGCCTGAGAAACCACCCCACGGCAGGGTCATTCGTGCGTCCGTCACGACCAGCAGACGGCCCACGGGGCTTCATAGAGGCGCTGCGTGAGAAGTATGCCTCTGAGTTTGAGCAGAGCCGCGCAAGGCAAGCTCGTGCGGATGCAGATGCTGCGCAAGATTCAGAAACACCCATTCAATTCAATGGCAAGATCGCCGAGGAAGTTGGCTTCGACAAGATTCGGAAGCAGCTTGCCGAGCTCGAGGAATTGAAGATTGTCCTCCTGGATGGGTTGCGCGTGGCGGGCGTCCTGGCGCAAGAGGCTAGCCGCGAGCAAATCGAGGAAGCACGGGGCGAGATTGCACGGATCTGTCCGAAGATTACGGAGCTGGACTTGAGTCGGAATCTGTTTACCGCTTGGGAGAATGTGGCAGATGTTTGTGGTTCGCTTGAGCGGTTGAAGCTTTTGAGGTTGAAGTGAGTATCGCATGTTGGTGAGTGAAGAGGGTCGGAGTATGCTGACGCAAAGCCTGCAGTGGTAATCGTTTTGCTTCGGCTGTGGGAGAGTTGCTCTTCAAAGGGATTGAGGAGCTTCACCTGGATGATACGCTTCTTCCTTGGGATCAGGTATGTGGCTGCGGTTCTTTTGCTGTGCTAGATTGACCAGTATAGATATCTGCGGCAGCCGCTCGATTTCCAGCACTCACGTCTCTTTCGGCTTCAGCAAATCAGCTTTCGTTGATCTCAACACCATTGTCGAATACGATAACTACCCTTATCCTCGGAAATAATGACTTTACTTCATTAGGGTCAATAAAGACCTTGTCCTTACTAAAAAGCCTCCGGCACATATCACTCAGGGGGTGCCGCATTGAGACGGTAGCCGAGACAGGGTCCAAAGAAACCTTCCAGTTCTCTCCCAATCTCCAATCCGTGGACCTATCCCGAAACAAAATAAACTCGTGGCAGTTTATCAATGAAATTCCGCAGCTCTTCCCCGGTCTGCAGAACCTCCGCGTCTCCGGAAACCCTCTGTACAATCAATCTGTGGCCCCGTCAGCTGTCACCGGCTTGCCTGAGAAACCTATGACAGTGGATGAGGCTTATATGTTTACTTTATCTCGGATATCTGCATTACAGGTGCTCAACTATAGCACCATAACAGAAAAGGATCGCAGCAACGGAGAACTCTACTACCTATCGCTTATCGGAAAGGAGCTGTCGGCATCTCCAGAAACCGCAGAGTCTGATATTCTTAAAGCGCATCCCCGATATCATGACCTTTGCCAAATATATGGCGAACCGCTAATCGCACGAGCCTCTAAAGCAGCTGGCTCGACCGCCGCCATCAACCCCCGGTCCGTCGCGGCGCGCTTAGTCCGGATAGCTTTCCACCTAAGCTCAGGAAACACTCACGACACGAGCTCTGCTGACGGAGTCAAAGTAAAAGAAATCCCTCGCTCCTACGATACATACCAAGTTAAAGCCATCGCCTCCAGACTCTACGGCCTGACTCCGTTTGAGTTTCGGCTGATTTGGGAAACGGATGAGCTGGATCCCGTCAGCAAAGAAAACATGGACATTGAGGATGAATGGGATAGTGAAGATGAGGATGGGCAAGGATTGAGCACGCTACAGAGTGGTGAAGATGACAAGTTCGTCAAGAGAGAGGTCGAGCTCGTGGATACGACAAAAGATATTGGGTTTTGGTTTCAATCGGATCTTGTTGAGGCGAGGGTGCGGATTGAGCTTACTTCACGCTCATGAGAAGAAACCTCCCTATAGATGATGAGTTAAATGATGAATAATGAGATATATAAGGTGCTTTGCATTTATATGCTTTGTTAGCATAAAATATTGAGTCCCTATTTCTTGAAGTATATATTTGTGCCAAACTATATGTACAGCACTGCCACAAACCAAATAATTGAACAATCGAGTTCTTATAAAATAGACCAAAAAATATTTTTTATTCATTAGAGGTAAAATAAGAATACCAATCTTTATTTCAGACGTACTAACATAGACCCTACAATGAAGACTGCGACAATTGGATCGGACGTGATGCGTAAAAGCGGCAACATCCAAACCAGATAGGAAACTTGACTGCGGCGCGGCCAGATCGAGCTTTCCACATTCAACTCTGCTCTCAACTCTCAATCAATTCTCAACGACATCTATAGGGCTCCATCGCGGAATCTCTTCTGCCTCGAGTAATAGAGCGGGAGGTCGGAGGATTAAGCTATGGCTGAATACTGGAAATCAACGGTAAGTTTCACCTCTGCTATTCGAGCAACGAGCGCACCCTACAGACCCATCTCTCCCAGCTCACTTCTAACACCTACACAGCCGAAATACTGGTGCAAACAATGCCAGATCTACATCCGCGACACAGCCTTTGAGCGAACCCAACACGAAGCCACGGGCAAGCACCAAGGAAACCTCAAGCGCTTCCTGCGCGACATTCACCGCGACAACGAGCGATCGCAACGAGACGCACAACGGGCAAAGGACGAGGTCGAACGATTACGGCAATCCGTATCTGGGAAACCTGGGGACAAAGCGCCATGGAAGAACGGCGCGTCGTCAACACCAGCGGCCCCGCCGCCACGACCGGTGTCAGTGGAAGAGAGAAAGAAGCAAATGGCACAGCTTGCGGAGATGGGCGTTGCGATTCCTGATGAGTATCGACGTGATATGGCGCTTGCCGGAGATTGGCAGACGGTCTCGGAGAAGGTTATCCGGGCGCAGGATGAGGAGGAGACACAACAGTCTACCCTGGGGGTGAGGAAGCGGAAACATGATCTTGACGAGGAGGAAGAAGAGGCCAAGCGCGAGGCTGAGCGGTTTGTGAGTAAGGGGTGGGGGTCGGCTACGAGGCGGTATCCTGGTGCTCAGGAGGATGAGGACCTGGATGCGCTTTTGGCGTCTACGAAGGATGCCAAGAAGGCGAAGATTTCTGGGGCAGAAGCAGAGAAGGGTGCATCTGCTAAGGAGGAGGACCAGGCGAATGAGGGAGCTCCAGTCAGCGAAGACGCTGATCAAACGCATCTACCGAAGGAAGAAGACACCACGGGAGACAAGCCGTCTATTCCACCCGCATCGAAAGAGCCAGAAGAACCAACTGTAGGCGTTGTTTTCAAGAAACGCAAACCAAAGGCCATGAGGAGATAGCCGTCTGAAAAATATCCCTTATAGTCAGGCAGACTTTGCATTCTGGCCGTGCAACTCACAGAACATCCATATTGCAGCTAGATGGTTCATCAGCGGATTCCAGGCCAAGGAGTCCAGGGGCATCCTCGTGCTTCAAAAATCCTCTCATCAGCATTGGGATTAGAGGTCCACGGTTCGCTACGCAACACCGCATTCTGCAAACCGGTCATCGGCGGCCTGGCTTGGTTGTAGCCATCCTATGCAGAAGGGCCCATGTTGCGGAACAAACTCAAGAAGTTTGAGAAAGTTTACCTCGAGCACTGAGTTGTTATCAGTCTCTGTGTGAGAACAGAGAGCTTCATGCTTTATATGTGAGTCATGCTTGAATTTTCTTGCCGTCAGGCTCTAACAAGCCAATATTTGAGGTAAACTTGAAGCGCAAAGGCAGTGAAGCTACATACTGTAGAACATAAGATACCTAGCATTTGTACCACTGCGGTGGGGACCAAAAAAAAAGGAATTCAGCCTCAATATGCGGAACAATTTATTGTTAGTAGAAGCTCTCTAAATTAGGTGTTGATGTGAACCAAAGTTGCCACAGCCGGGGTCGAAAAAATTCTCCGTTGAGGTTCTCTCGAGGAATTCCGGAGAGTCGGCCTGTTGTTCGTTCTTCATCGGCGGACCCGAAGAAGCTCTTTGAATCTTCGCTCTTCTCTTCTCTTTTCCCTCTGATCGCGCAACTTCCCTCGTCGCAACGCCGCCATTCCCCCTACCAACCCGATGCGGACCTTGTTTGGTGCCGAATAGAGCGTCCTGGTGGAATAGTTCTTTCGGCTCGCTTCTTTTCGCTTATCTGACCAGTGCATGGTGAGTAGCAGAGCCTCGAACGGCCTCTTTACCTGTCTCCCCGATCCCTCCCCCAACACCGCGACTTTGTTACCTCTCCACTTTATCTTCTTCCTCTATCAGAATTCAGCCGTCGGCAATACTGTGGCTAGAAGAGAAGATCATCCTGCTCAACATCTGTCGGAATGCCGCGGACAGAGAGTGCATCACGACCTGCGCAAAAACTGGCCTACGATGCGGTCGAAAAACCTTCCCCGGTCGCATTCGAGTCAATTCGAGGCGGGCCAAGTCTGCAGACTCCATCGTTCGGATAATGGGCTTTCGGACTCGGAAATATTCTATGCGACTCTTTGTGGAAATATCCGCTTATCGTCGATGCGCTTACGATGACCACGACTCTTTCGATGCACTCTCAGCGGCCGGCTCGACGGAGACCCTCCATACCTCTTTCGTCCTATGGCTCATGGTTCATGCCGACGGCTGTTCGGTCATACGTGCTTGTTGGACTATTCTTACTAACTGCTTTCTTGAAAAGTTCGGACTGGGCCGTATATCGCCGACATAACTTTTGGGGAACGGACAAATTCTCGATTACACATCGACTACCGCACGCATTGAACCCAAGGCAGGGAAGCCGCTCTAGTTTACTGTTTTGGATACGTTGCACTACTACACCGACGCGATGGCCGATACAGCAGACGCAGCTCAACCCTCAGAAGAGCAGTCAAAATTGGCTTCTGAGTCGGAAGATGTTCCTACCTCGGAGCTACCGAATACACATAATTTCGAGCATTCTCACTCGAGTATTGATGTTTCCCTTCCTCCAATCGACAAGACTCTTCCGGCCGAGGACACGTCTCTGCCAGCCATAGATACATCGCTGCCGACGTTTGACTCGACGATACCAGCGCTACCTCCAATCGATACTTCATTACCACCGTTGGACACTACACTACCAGCGATGGATGGTCTAAACGGCTCCGATGAGCATTTTTCGTTCGACAGGTTCGATGACCACGACCTTCACGACTGCCACGAGGGTCACGACGGGTCAAGCAATGGCGTAGCTGGAAACGGGACGCTAGGCCACGAGGATCATACTACGGAGCAGCACAGGCCTTCTTCGACCCCTGCCCCGAACAGCGCGACACCTTCAAATGGTATACACCCGCCGCCTCCTGGTCAGCAACAACCACCGCAACATTATGAGCAACAGCATGCTCCGCAGCACCATTATTCTCCGCAGCAGAACACGGCAACGCAACACCATCCTCAGCAGCCACCGAACCAGATGCACCAGCAGTCGCCGGATATGTATCATAACCATCATAGCGCTTCCCCTCCCCTAAATAACCATTCGATGCAAGGGCAACCTTCGCATATTCCGCAGGCACCCATTGGATCGCCCATGCCGCCGATGGCATCAGTCAGCCAATACATGACTGGATACCCATCGCAAATGGGTATGAACTCGGGCGCGCAGATGCACTATCAGCTGCAGGGCGATTCCAACAAGATGCTATCGGGAAGTAGACACAAGAAGGAAGTGAAGCGCCGAACGAAAACAGGGTGTTTAACATGTCGCAAACGACGCATCAAGGTACGTAAATCGAGTTCCTATGATATCGCTTTTGCAAGAGAAAAAAATAAAACACCATTGAGAATAAGGGATGGGTGGGTGTGAAACGCGCGAAGGGCTTGCGAGGTACCTAGGTAGCTTTGTGTTGCGCTTCGCTTGCGTTGCCAAAAATCTTTCGGCTCGCGTCCAGCCCACCAAGACCCCGCCATTTACTGTCGCTTGTTGTCGCCCTTGCCCCAACTTCCCTGCCCGGCGCAGCTGCCTCCTACCTATTCTTTCTCTTATTTTTGGTCTTACCCATTGATTTTATTTCATCGCTTCGTTGCTGCAACTTCCCCCCCTCTTGCTAATACCCTCCCGCAGTGTGACGAGGGACATCCCGTCTGCCGCAACTGTGTCAAGAGCAAGCGTGAATGCATGGGCTACGACCCTGTTTTCAAGCAACCGACTCCCTCTGCGATTCAGCCTGCCCCTAATCCCCCGCCGTCGCTGGTGGTGAATCCGCAGGACCCTTCTGCCTCTTTACCCCAGCCTCAACCGCAACCTTCCTACCCTGCTGCTCCTCCCGGCTACGTCCCAGCATCGTCTCAACCTTTTGCTCCGTCGCAATCTCCTTCTACATCTGCCGAGCGCTACGACTACGGCACTCCCATTGATCACACCTACAACAACCAGAATCATAATCAAACTCAGTCAAACAACATGGCTAGTGTGCAGAATGTTGCTGATGGGGGCTTACAACCGACTGTCAACCCGGCAACAACGACGGGGAACACGGAGACAACGAGCTTCAGGTGTAAGTTCTCGCTTCCAACTTTGTCCTGGAAGTCATTGACATATGTTTCTAGTAAAACAAGTGCAAATTAGCGACCTCCTCGCCCTACGGGGCGTCCCACCTCCCCCTCCCCATCCTATCACTACCCTTCCGCCGAACCGTCTTGAAGAAATCCAAGCCGTTTTCCAAGCGACATACGCGCCCGCTATTGATAAGTTCTTTGAAACGCGGTGGTTCACTGAGAAGGCCATGAGCCACCTCATGGCCAATGCTCAATTGATGGCAGAGTACTCTGCATTGATCGAGGCGTTCAACGGAGATCTGGGCGATCCTAACGTTATTGCGCAACTGGAAAGCTTTGAAGCGTCTGTGGTCTGGAGTACCATGACGCTATGCCGCCATGTGATGAACGTCTCTAACGGAAGCCAGCAAGACTATGACCTTTTGGTCGCGACCAAGCGGCTTGACGTGATTGAAGCCATGATTACCGGCGACCACCTAGATTCAAACCCGCTTTCCCAGTTCCCGACGCGAGAGCCCGCTGCTGATCCGCCGACAATGCCTGATCAATTGGTGCGGCGACAGCTGGATTTCTGGAGCGCGATTGGTTTCTTCTTGACCCTTCACGACAACGAGGCAAGCGCTGCAAAAGAGATCGATGATACACTGTCGCGTTGCCGAACACTGCTAGATACGCACGAGAACCGGGACGTCATCTACTCGATTGCGATTGCGCGACACTTGGGCCAGCGATGGGTCGACTTCCCGCACAGCTTCCCTCAACCAATCACGACGAATGAAAAAGATGCCGGCGCGAAGCTTTATGTCGCGCAAAAGTTCCTTGAACAAGAGGCCGGCGGCAAGGGCACGACACAAGTGGTCAAACGCTTATGCGGCATGGTCGTCCGATCCTGGTTCGTTTCTCGAGAATAAAATATGGGCATACCATATATTTCTCATTCCATCCGATACGAATCTTCTTAATTGTAACATGAGAAAAAACAGCGTCTTGTGGCAGGCTTTGCCGTGTTAATGATTATCTGACTTAGGACTACCACGACTTGTTTGCGTCGACCTATCATCACTGGTGCTGTGCGCTTTGGCTTTGAATGCCTATATATCCCATTTTCGATATCATGTTCTTCCGTCACTTTGTCTACTTTGAACGGAAGATGTTTTCATGGGCCGGAGTTTCTTTTCTTTCTTCGATTCTATTCAGCTGGGAGTGACATGGTACCACGAAGGCGTTCCGGCTGCTGTGCTTTTAGAATGCATTTCCATTTCCAAGTTCCAGACCCACATGGTCGTTTCATGTGATGCCTTGGCTACCACAAACTTCAATCAAACGTTTCTTTATAAAGGTTATCCAGAGCTCAGATTAGCTTAGTTGGAATCTATGTACAAATCTCTAGGCCCGGCAAATCTCTATCTATACTCATAGATCTGCCTGCTCAAATACGGGACTCTTCAGCTTCCCAGTCTCAAGCGCCAGGCGCACGTTCTCAATCGCCCATTCCTCCATAGCAGTTTGTGTCTATGCGCGGTACATCAGCTCCTGTTCTATAGCTACCCCCCAAAGTCCGAAGGACGGCAAAGAGAAAGGAAGGGAAGGAAAAGTTTACTCACCTCAACAGTCCACGTCCCCATATGCGGCACCAGCAAGACATTTGGATTTGCAACAAGTCCCGGATGGACCTTAGGTTCCTCCTCGAAGACGTCCAAACCAGCGGAGTAGACCTTCCCGCTAGCGAGGGCTTGAACGAGGGCGTCCTCGTCCATCACTGCGCCACGGGCAGTGTTCACAATGACGACGCCGTCCTTCATCTTTTCGAATTCGGGCTTGCCGATGATGTGCCGGGTGTGTTTCTGCTCTCGTTAGCAAGGCAGTCTTATAGAAGAAAAGCAAAGAGGAACCCACATTCAACGGCAAATTCAAGCTAATCACATCACTCCCACTCAACAACTCCTCAAATGACACATACTTCGCACCGGCCGCAAGCTCCTCACTCAACTGCCGCCGATTATGATACACAACCTTCATCCCAAACGCCTCGGCCTTTTTCTTCAGGTTGCGGCCAATCCCGCCCATGCCCAGGATACCCAGAACCTTGCCCTCAGGGTCGTGGCCAAGGCGTGGAAGCGGAGAGCCCTTGAAGGAGCCCTGCCGCAGATGGTGCATGCCGTAGTTGAAGTTGCGCAGGGCGCCGAGGATTAGGAACATGTTTACGTCGGCCGTTGCGTCGTCGACGGCTGTGGGAACGTTGGAGACGCGGAGGGGTGGGTTCCGTGCTGTGCAGGCGTGGACGTCAACTTGGTCGTAGCCGGCTCCTAGAAAGTGCATTAGAGTGCGCTGCACGCGGAGAAGAGGAGTATGAGGAAGGGATGGGGAATAACGCACCGCAGTGCGCGAGGAACTGCAGACTCTTCGGCAGGACACTGACGAGTTCCTCATCGATGAGACCTGTTATTGAGACGGAGTCGAAGGTGCGGTATGCGACGACGACGCCGTCAAGTTTCCCGGACTTGCATTCTTCGATGAAGTCAGCGCGGTTTGTTGCAGCTGGTGTGACGAGCTCCGCGATTGAACTGAGGGAATCCCAGGCCTTTTGGGCACTGGATAGTTCGAGACACGTTAGGTCGCGACTTGGGGGAGCAGGAGGGCTGTTGTGACATACTGGTCGAATTTGCCGAGGAGGAGTGCTTTTGGTTTTGCGCACATCTTGAGAATATTTAACCTTTGTCGTCTATCTGCAGCTTGTTAGAATAGACTGGAATAGGGCCGATTGAGTCATGGGGTATCAGCTGGTGACAGGTGTTTATACGTACCTGATAGAGTGATGAGGGGTAACGAGGGGCTAATTGCAGCGCAACGCGTCAAATGAACCTGAAACTGGGTATATATAAGAACGGAGAAGAAAGACACCGACAAGTAGAGAGCAGTGAAGAATCAAGAAAAAAAACAAAGAACGGCAGGCGAGGGTGAAGAAAAGAAGAAGAAAGTTGGAGAGCCGGCCTCGACTCCCCCGCGGGCCCACCCTTTGCTTATCGTCGCGATGAAATCCCCCGAAGGTAGGCTGCTCGCTCCGCGCTCTGTCGTCGCCTCTCTGACTCATGATTCGCGATTGGAGTCTTCTCTCCAATAGGCGCAGTTATCGGCCGGCAGACCGGGGGTTCTTTCCGCGGCAATCTATTTGGCGATAGGAAATGGTCATGGTAGAGGAGAGAGAGGGATGTCTACCGTATCGGAAGAACGCCGATGACGCGGAACTAGCAATTCTGGCGCAGTTAGGTATATATTCAATGCTTCGGAGGCAAGCGCTAGTTTCAGGGAAATATTACTATACAAAGTGCGTATTTCCAGTGCGCCAGGGTGCTAGTTCACCCTTCTACAAGAACCCTAGTCCAATCGAACTTCCTCCATCGGCTCTGGAACCCGGCCACGCGCCGGTCTCCTCCTCGGGTCCAGCGCCCCTGCCGCTTGATCACCTCGGGGCCTACATCCAGCATTCCACCGATGACTTCACGCGCGAAGAGATCGCCCTTTGGCCAGCGGTTTGAGTCCTCGACGATATGCCCTAGCCCGCCATCGAGCTGGAACCAGACGTGGAAATACGGCATTTCCTTTGCGAGGGTGCGTCGGAAGGCGTTCCGGCCGAGACCCTGCTTCGACTTGGCAAGGGTGTCGATCAGTTTGCGGTGCTGCGTCCACTCCTCGTCTGCAGAGAGGATTGCTTCTCTAAAGAATGCGGGTGATGTCTCTCCGAGGCTGTAGGGGAGGGGCACAGCTTCCATGGATGCGTGCCGCTTCCGGCTGGGCGCTGCGGCATTCTCGTAGAAGATGACATCGCGGCCTTGTTCGTGGTACATGCGGGTGAGGCTCTTCATGAAGTTTCGGATTTCCTCCCATTCGTCGTCGTCGCATTCTAGGAGGTTTGTTCGGTGCTGGATCGGGACGATTGTCGCACTTCCGGGACTTATTTCCGGCTCTGTAGGGAGGGTCATAAACACACGCGTGGCGAGTGATACTATAGGTGCGATTGGAGGGGTGTTTGTTTCCTCGTGGTGGCACAGAGGGCAGTTGTCTAGAATGTGGTTCATCTTTCGTAGCTCGTTGATCGTGGTGTTTTTGATGTCAATTTCTGATCGGTGTACTCGCCGGGCGAGTTTAGACGCGTTGTCATCCATGTACTCCAGATCGTTCTGTGAAAGTTAGCAGCACTCAACCTACAAAGGTCATGGCAAAAATACCTCGAACTTCGCATCTTTGGATATCCGTTCCGCAAGACGTCGTCCCTCTCCGCCAAACTGGCCGCGGGTCCTGCGCTCCTCTTGCACCATATCCTCAATTGTCATATCTTCGTTCTCCTCCACCTTTCCTCGTTCCAAGCCTCGCCTCGTCTCGACAGCCTTAACCTCATTCCGCTTCCCAGCAAGCATCCTGTTCTCCATGACTCCTAGAACCGTAACGTCCGGTTCCTTTTGGTTCGCTATCAAGGCAGCGGCGGCATTATATCTCGCTTCGAGCTCAGCTGCATCCGGCGCACCCTTGAGTTTTGCTTTCATCATCTGCGCCTTCAGCTTGTTCAGCGCTGTCAAGTCGAGATGTTGCGTAGTTCGCACGGGAGGCTCCGTCTCCATGGTCATTCCCTGCCCACGAGCACTAAACTCCTTCTCCGGATCCCGGAGATGTTCATGCGGATCGCGATGAACATTCTCTTTTAGCTTTCGCTCCTGGAAGAGTTCTCCCGACGGTTTCTCTTTCCCGACATAACCCTCTCCGTACGTCTCCCGGCGATCCAACTCGGCCTCTTCCTCGCGGGCATCGTCGAAGGAACGAAGGTCGCCGAAGCGCTCGATAGCAACTTCTTCCACAGGCCGTCCACTCTCTTCCGCTTCCCGATACACCCCCTTGAGCTTCGTCATCCTCCATCCTGAGCCCCTATCACCGAATGTATAGTTGACCTCGTGGGCTGCAGGCTCATTCTCAATCTCCTCAAGCACTTTTCCATCCTTCAGATCCCGCAAATGTGCATTCAGTTCGCGATCATGGATTTTAAGCTCAAAGTCGGCTTGTAGCATCTGCGCCTTCGGTTCCTCCTCTAACCGCGTCGTGTCGCGTCGGTGAACATAATCGATGTCTAGCGCGGAGGGCGCTTCCATCCACGCATCGCGCTTCAACTTCGTAGGCTCTTCCTGGACAACCTCCGCTACCGGAGCTTCCTTCTCCTCGCCGCGACTTTCCCGGTGCCGACGTTTGTGCTCCCGGTCGTCGTGATCGGATGTATGCCGCGACCGCTTATGCCGGTGACCATCGTCATCCCGATGCCGCGATTCCCTCTCTCCAGACCTTGAACGGTGTCGATGAGACCGATGGTGCCGATGCCGACGCTCTCTACTTCGATCCCGATCTCTATCTCGGTCCCTGTCGCGGTCGTCACGATGCCGATGCCGATGTTTCTCCCTATCACTCTTCTCATGCCTCTTCTCCTTCTCGCGCTCCTCGGCAAGGGATTTTTCGAAATCCTCGAGCGTCATCTTCGAAGTGAATCAGCTCTTTTGTTGTTGTGGTGATGAGGTGAAAGCAGAGCTGGAATAATGACGTCGCGACACGGTCGAGACCGTTTTTCTTCTCACCGCCTTCCGGCACTTTCCCCTCACTTTTTGTCGCCAAAAGACATTTTTATCGTCATCATCTTTGCGTGGAGAACATAGTCGATTGACTTGAAATCTGCGCTTTTTGACCCCGGATATCTCGAGCCTTTTAAGTTCAAAGGAGAGCAAACCCCGATACCCACCATCATGGCGACAACACCCGTCTCCGTCGTCTGCGTCGGCATGGCCGGTTCGTACACCCCTCGCCATCGCCATATATCTCAGAAAGAAGACATTTGCTAAACAAACACTGCCCCAACAGGCTCAGGGAAAACCACCTTCATGCAACGTATAAACTCACACCTGCACTCGAAAAAACAACCCCCCTACGTCATAAACCTCGACCCCGCCGTGCACACCGTCCCCTTCGAAAGCAACATCGACATCCGCGACAGCATCAACTACAAAGAAGTCATGAAGCAATACAACCTCGGCCCCAACGGTGGAATCCTCACATCCCTCAACCTCTTCGCTACAAAAGTCGACCAGATTATTGCGCTACTTGAGAAACGAACCGCGCCGAACCCGGCTACCCCGAATGCGAAAACCCCGAATCATATCCTTGTTGATACCCCCGGCCAAATTGAGGTCTTCGTGTGGAGTGCCTCGGGCAGTATTCTGCTCGAGACGTTGGCGTCGTCGTTCCCGACCGTTATTGCGTATATCATCGATACGCCGCGGACAAGCTCGACGAGTACGTTTATGAGTAATATGCTGTACGCCTGCAGTATTTTGTACAAGACGAAGCTACCCATGATCTTGGTGTTCAATAAGACGGATGTGCAGGATGCAGAGTTTGCGAAGGAGTGGATGACGGATTTCGATGCGTTCCAGCAGGCGCTTCGCGAGGAGGAAGAGTCGGGTCAGTTTGGGACGGAGGGCGGAGCAGGAGGATTTGGGTCTGGAAGTGGATATATGGGATCGTTGTTGAACAGCATGAGTCTCATGCTTGAGGAGTTCTATCGGCATTTGAATGTTGTCGGTGTCAGCGCGATGACGGGAGAGGGAATTGACGAGTTTTTCGAGGCCGTTGAGGAAAAGCGCCAGGAGTTTGAACGTGACTATAAGCCGGAGCTCGAGAAGAGAAAGAAGGAACGTGAGGAGAAGCAAGCAAATCAGCGAGAAGTGGAACTCGGCAAACTCATGAAGGACATGAATCTCTCAAGCTCTCGTCCGACAAAGGGCAAAGACGAGCCGGAGACAGTCAGCGAAGCCGAAGAAGAAGAGGAAGAAAGATCAGCAGCGATTGGGAAAGCCTATGACGTGGAGTCAGACGATAGCGACGACGAGTCGAATGTTCCTCCGGCTGGTGACGACGAAGGCCTCAGCCAGCGGTATCAGAGTGCACTGGCGGGTTCAAATGCTGGGCCGTCCGATGAGGACTTCAGCTTCGCGCGGTACTTGCACAAGAGCAATCTCAACCGGTAGTGCTGTGTTTTTGGGTTGGTATGCCCTTATTTTGTCATTCCTGGTGCCATGGCGTTTTCCGTTCCGCTCTGAGGCGTTCATCCGTTTAGCATTCACGTTAGAAGGAATTATCTTTTACATAGAAAAGCACTCTAGTAATGCGTCCTCAAAGAAATTAATCAGCTAGCTAGACATAATCTGGTCAAATACAAAGGCGGAATTGCTCAGAGCCCCCAAAAAATCACGGAGGCCTCAATAAAGGTCTTAAATGTCTAAGGAAAGTTTTAATGTATAAAGGTTAGTCGTAAAATTAAGAAGTACTATGTTACAGTAGATGTATAGAGACCTAGACTGGTGAGGAAGCAGTTTATCTTATGTGTTATCATATAAAACAGGTAGGAAGTGCATATCTTTGCTCAAACTAGTTACAAGGGTGGAGGGGTGGCGTAACAACCACGCAAATAAAAGAAATGCTGCAACAAGACACAGGTAAGATACCGTCCACCTCTCATGGAAACACTGCCAGTAGGAACATCACCGGGCTGAACTCTTGGTACTTCTGAGGGGATTGACTTGCATTTTCCAGACTCGCACTTGACCGTCACTTGATGCGCTTGCAAATACAGATCCCGACGACGAACAAGCGAGAGCCACGGCCTTGTCCGGGTGCGCCTTAAGAACCGTATGAATGACGCCGGTCGTCGTGCTCTGTACCAAGACATCGCCCGTAGACTTGCAAGATAACAGCCAGCGTAGATCCGAGGTGAGACGAGCATCTAGAGCATTCTCACACTGCCCTTGAGCAGTACGTACAGTACCAACCCGCAGCGGACGTCCGCTGTATTCAGGCTTGAGATGACAGACCCTAATCGACCCATCGAGTCCGCAGCTAACAAGATCGTAGCCCACTGTTGAGAACGAGAGAGAGTCAATTTTCCATGTGCGGCTGTCCGGATTTGGAACACACGTGGGAGGAGCTGGGCCAGCAGCCAAGTTCCAGAGCCATATGGTTCCATTCGGGGCACCGATAGCGAGATGTCGACTATCGAAAGAGATAGCCATGCTGAGAGCATGATAGCCAATGTCGATAGTGTGGACGTGAAAGAGCTCTCCGGGAGAGGTATTCCACACGCGGGCAGTTCTATCACTTCCACAAGTCACAAGATAATGTCCATTGGGAGTATAGCACACGGCTTCAATGGGCCCTATATGGCTGGTTGTAAAGGTAGAGGTCACCTGGTTGAGTATCTGCCAAAGCCAGAGGACGTTGTCTTCGCCTCTACCGACAAGATGGTTGCCATCGGGGCTAAAATAAATGCCCTGCAAGACGAAATGAGCGCCATGATTCTCACTGACCTGGGCGCTGTCAATTTCATTCCCTAGCAGTGTACCATAGAGAAAAACCCGTCGCTTCCCGTTGACTGCCAAATATCTGCGATCCTCACTAAAGGTCATACCATGAACACCTTCGGAGCCAAGAATAAGAAGTAAATCGAGCTCGACGACCGGCTCTACGTCTGTATTGGGAATCGCGTACCAGCTATCAAAAATAACAGGGCGGTGTTCGCCAGACGAGACAGCTGCTTGCGGCGCCAAAGCTGCAGCACGAACTGCCTTTTCATCCCCGCCGACGGCAGCCTTGTATAGGGAACGAGGATCGACGGGAAATATCCCCAAGCCAAGCAAGCAGGCCGTCACATTCTCATTGTTCTCAGATGATGCCCATGCAAACAGGGCTCCCGCTTGTGCTGGGAACATATCAGCAATCTGTTTGGCGACCCCCAGATGGCCTCCCCGAATAGCAAGATGCAATGCGCTTCGGCTAGGCATGTCTCCAAGATTAGGATTAATTCTGTTGCTGTCGATCAATAGACGAACGGTTTCAGCATGTCCGTTTCGAGCTGCTGCATGTAACGGGCCCAACCCATTGCATGGCTCGTTTGGATCGGCTTGTGCCGCAAGTAGAAGCTGCACAACATCCGCATATCCATGCTCAGCTGCACTGTACAATGGCGTTTCCCAGCTGAAATCGGCTGGTGATGAAAAGCGCGAATGTAGATATAAAGGACTTGGATTTGCGTTGGCGTTGAGCAGAATCTGAACTATATCTGCATTGCCGTTCCTGGATGCCATGTGTAGTGGTGTTCGTGACTTTGTATCCGACACGTGGGCGCTGTTTGCCCACAACACGACATCATTTAATGACTGACCATTTTTGAATCTCCAGTCGTGATGTCTTATCATCCGCCAATTGGCCACGTCGGACGGGTCCACGTGGGGTTCTGATTCACTGAATCTTAGAAGGAAGCTCACTGCATCAACATGATCCATTCCTGCTGCTATCACTAAAGCATCTCCCAAGTTCGATACTCTAGATCGGCTGTCGTGGCTATCAAGGATCATCTTCAAAATCGGCCGGTTTCCTGATCTCGCTGCGTACCATACAGCCGAACGATGGCCATCTTTATTTATGGCGCAGTCCAAAGATAGTAAATAGCGAACAACATCTTCATGCCCGTGCATGATTGCAACTTTCAATGCAGTCTTCGTTCGAGGGTGTCTTCCATAATAATGCTCGTCGAGTAACTTGGCACCATGCTTTACAAGCATATGGCAAATAGCAAGATGCCCTTTTTGAGCTGCGAAGTCGAGAGGAGTCCGAATTCCCTTCGCGCGAGTCGGTTTATTGACGTCTGCCCCATTGTTGATATGTTTGCGTACCGAGGCTAAATCCCCCCGTTCTGACGCACTCCACAGAGTGTCTTCTCTGTGGGATCGAGGTTTCGGAAATGTAGGTTGAGTGCCATTGTGGGTTGAGGCATGGTAGCGTCTGATGTGTTGATTCAAACTTGACTCGGTATCGAATCCGACTTCATGAAGGGGGCATTGGTCGTCTGGACAGATAAATGGATTATCATGTTTATGAACATGACGTTCCCGATCTTTAAAAGTGTCAAGACCGTTTTCAAAGCGAAGGCACCAAGGCCGCGGGCACTTGAAGGACTTGAATCCGTAAATAGTGTTCAGCGTCCCTCTTTTGTCTTGTTGCAGGGAATCATCGCTGCGGACGCTCTCAAGAACAGATCTGAGTACGGATGTTCGCTCTTCTAGGTCGAACAGTGCATACCTCTTGGCAAGGTCACTCGGTAGGCGTCGCTGAAGCTCCCCTATGTCACTGAGTTTATCCTTGAACTCTGGAGCTTTCCCATACTCAGCGACGAAGGACTGCAGAGCAAGCCAAAGTTTATCCGGCAGCATTGACTGATCATTTGCTTTTTTCTCAGAGGCTGCAATAAAGTGGTCGAATATGCTCGAAACAACATAATCTTGCAGGGCGTAATACCCAGCGAGCATATGCTTTCGAATCTCGCTTTCCTCGATTCTCGGGTTAAACGGAGGTGACAGTAGGTATTTAGAGCAGAAAAGTGCAACGCTTCCATGTTGAGCCACGTCGTCAATGACTTTAGTCTCGATAAGATACCTTGCGGGCATTAGCTAATTCCGTTGAGGCTGAGAACAAGTCCCAAACCTTTGCGCCGTGCTGTGAACCAAGCCAAGGGTAGCCTCAAACTGGTCTCTTGTTGTTCCAAAATGTAAGTCCACCAAAGAGCTGCAGAATTTCTTACAGGTGAGCCGTAGCCTACGCTCCTCGTATTGTGATGTGCTGGTTTCCGAGTCGATGAAGAATGTAGCTTGAACTTCTCGCCATTTGAGCGGACGTGTGGCACAGATCACCCAACTCAATATCTGCAAAGTTATGCGTTTTCGATTAGCCGGCGCTTTGTCAATTATTGTTGATATGACACGTTGATATCTACTCCAATGATTAGCAAGGAGTTACATAATGGCTTACCGGGTTGATTCTCACGCGGCCTGTAGTCCATGAGGAAACACTCTGGGGTCAAGCTCCTTCATTAAATCCTCGAGGGTAGATTGGTCGGCAAGATTGTCCAAGACTACCTTGGCGTAGAGAAACATGCCTGCAATCCTGGATATCAATATGTGATGCCAGAGAGAAGGAGTATGGAATAGTTAGCGTAGCGAACCGTTTGCCACTCCTGAAATCTTAGCAACGATACTATCTTGGATGTTGGTATCAAGACTCAAATCATCAGAGATGCTCTGCATCCTTTGTTGAATATAGCGCTCGATGTCGTCTTTGTGACGTTGTTGAGTGTCAAGGGAGATGTCAAGTCCGCTGCAGAGCGCTGTCTGTAGTAAGTCTGTTCGCTGGCCGAGGCATAGAAGACGAACATGGCCGTCATTTCCTAACGGCGCCTGCTTCTGACGTGAGATCAACCAAGATAGCACTTTATCTGCTTCAGAGACATCGCACTCATCCAAACCGTCCAAGACCACATATGAGACACGCTGGCTGCTGAATGCCACCTCCGCAGCTTCCTTGACTACGCTGGCGGAAGCGAATCTCCTTTGATCATAGGCAGAGTAGGTTTCAGACAGAAGGGTGGCAAGTGCTAAGTCAATGCTGAGAATTTGTGCCAAGAGCTCACGGAGGACATCAACAAAGGTGCGCTTTCTTTTTTCCTTTTGCCTACAGTAGAAGAACAAAACAGGAGCAGCCTGCATTGAGCCAAGCGCATCCACAATGAAGGAAGCTAGAGTCGTCTTTCCTGATAAGACGTCAAGGCCATTTCTCGGTCAACTATAAGACAAAGTAAGACATACCTGCACCTGGGATTCCATGAATGTATAGGAGTGGATTTGACCCAACAAGGGCCTCACGCCACTGCTTGAAGTTGACATTGTCCAACACCCATTTCCCCGACTCTGAACTGTATCTTTGGTCTAGAAAGTTGCCTTGGTCTGGATAGCAGTTTGGGGCATTGATCTTGTTGAGAATGCCGTTGAGTCGAGTTTCATTGAACCGAGCTGCTTCATCGTCGCGGAGGTTCTGAATTTCATAGACTGTCAAGGAGCTTTTTTCGCTCTCGACGAGGCTCTTGTTACGCTCGAGGCTATCGAGAATGCGCTTGAACTTCGAATTGAAAACCTTCCAAGAAGAATTGAACAGCTGCTTCCACCCTTCGACTCTGTCAGCTGCTGTCCGGAAGCTGGAACAAGCGACTCACTAGGCCTGGTGAGAAACTGTAACGCGTGAAAATGGAACTCCAGTACATCACAGTACCATCTTTCCAACATATCTCGCATTCTCGGGTTGTTTTCGAAAACGAGGCGATACTGAAGGAATGAAGGAGCCCTGGCACCGATGTCTTCGTAGGCGCCGAGAAGGATATCGAGCGAATCGCTCCAGGAACTGGCGGTCTGGAGAACAAACTTGACTGGCCCCTGTGAAACAACATGGTCAGCATTCGATGAGGCAAAGAGTGTAGAGTATATACCCATATGTACGCGACAAACGGAGTGCAGTTGAGAAACACCTCAACAACCTTGCCGTACTCGTTCATGGCTTCAAGAAAGCTTTGGACACGAAACATATTTTGCATTGCTTTCGGCTCCCCATACTGTCTCTGGATTCCATCAATAGCGTCTTCGACATCCTCGTATTTGGTGACAGCCCAGTCTCGTTTCTGTTCCTCGGATAGGCTGTTTGTGAACCTGCCCAAAGCCTTTTGAAAAGCGATACTTGGCGCCTGTGGGACGTTAGAAGTCGCCATCCGTTTCACTCGACCAGGCAACGTTGGAAACTATCATCCGGGAATTGATAGTATTGATGGCGGGGAAGAGAGAAAGGAGGACAGAGGGAAGGGGAATTGACTTGTCTGGTGGAAAGAGCCTCGCACCGCCGGGTGTGAGCGTAGCCTTCAGAAGAAACCACTCAGCCCCCAAAAAAAGCAAATCGTTGGAGAAAACGCCTTGCCCAAGGCGCCCATTCAGTTGACGGTGACCAGCCACAATGGGCGTACTTCTTGTGGACCTGTCCAATTATAGGCAATTGCTGCCGCTGCAAACCTGCAGGTCGGCTGTCCAAGCCGCACTCTCGCGAGGTCAATTGCCCAGCTCTCTCGACACTGAAAAACCTTGACTGGCGATCCTCCAGAAGGAGGGAACAGCGCGCCGTGAAGTTTTCAGAAGGGTTGATATTTTCATATGGGCAGCTTCGCAGACCCTATGGATCTTTCATCCTGCTTGTTCCTTGGTGAGCGGCTAAAAGGAACACGGTTGAGGCATAACACCGAAGAGGATCGGATGAGCACTGAGAGAAAAGGCAGCGTCAAACGCTGTCGAAATATCCATCAGGATGATGGACGAAGTCATTTTCAAACAAAAAAAGTGGCAACTGACGGAAGCACAGTTCACAACGAAGAAATGCCTAGACAGTAAGCACTCTGCAATCTCCGTCCTAACTTCATTGAATGGCATCCCTGACTGATACCGGATCAATAGATGTGCGATGTCCGCCCTGAGTTGCACGTCTGCCAGGGACGTGGAGATGTCGGAATCCACGGAAGATACTGCCTTGACACCAACTGGCCCCAGTCAGCCCGAGGAAGTGATTTGCTACGGCTCTGTGAGCAGCAGGATTCAATAAAGTGATCTAAGACTAGTACGGCTGATTGAATTTATAGTTGTATGAGGGCCGGGTGGCGCACCGGGGCAAAAAGGTCTCCTTCCAGAAGTTTTGCAAGTCTGCTGGTTCTCTTGAACAGTTTCCTGTGTTACGAAAAGACGACAACTGCTTTACTCTGAAAGACAAGGGAGACAATGACTTCGCAATTCTAGATACTTCAACCACTGCTGCGTTGAACCTGTTGCAAGGGCTGGCGAACCTGAGCTTTTGTGCCATTCCTCGCCCTGTAACCGGCAACCAGGGCGCGAGTCCTGTGGTTGAAGTCTCAATAAACATTTACGGCCCGTTTTCGCATTACCGCCAGGTCGGTTCTCGGTTGGCTACGCAGAAATACTACCTCCAGCATCCAGATGTTGTTGAGCCTGGAGTACGGTATGACAACCCTCAATATTTTAAGCGGTCTGATACGCCAATGGACATGCACCAGTTCATCAAGCCTATTTACCGAGAGAAACAGACTCCACAGTCTGTTCGAGCTGAGATAGACAGCATACTCGCTACACTTGACACGAATTATTCGGACGGTAATATTCTATCCAATAGCAAACTGATAACGCCACTTCTGAAGTAAGTAGGCTGGAGAAGCCAAAGAAAATCACGGTGCTGATATACCCAGACATCAAGAAGTTGCCGTCAATTTTATCCATAGGAAGGAGAGTTTCTTGGAACGATCCCCTTGGTGCCAGGAACTGAGCAACTCAAGGTAGTTTTTCTCTATCAGCCATTTGAATGGGATTACTCATGGGTGTTAGGCAACCCCTTGGCGGTATTATAGCAGACGCAATGGGCCTAGGCAAAACCCTGACCATGATCAGTGCGATTTTATTCTCCCTTGACGATGCGAACGACTTCATGGTATCTGCCGGCAGGTCTGTTACTCATGAAGGCTATGCGATCCCAACCAAATCAACCCTGGTTGTTGTGCCGTCAACTCGTATGTACCCTCATGCTTCAGGGACGCTAGCAACTAATATAAGCCGTTAAGAATTAATAGATGTTTGGTTATCAGAAATTGAGCGGTCGGTTATCCCAGAACTCACCCCCTTATGGAGACTGACCGCTATGCAGTCACGTCGCTCCCGATTCGATGCATGTTTCTATTTTCCATGGCTCTCAAAGGGAGCGTCAGGCAAACAAGTATCTTATGTCGGATATTGTGCTAACTACATATTCCACGCTGGCGGCTGACCAGAAGCTATTCCAGACCCTGCATAACCTGAATTGGTTTCGAATAATACTAGATGAAGGTGAGTTCCATCAGCAAGTAGTCTTTAACAACGCTATCTAATACCGCACAAAAACAGCACACTGGATTCGGAATTCGAGTAGCAGGCAATTCCGTGCGATCAATCAACTGCAGGGAAGCCGGAGATGGTGCCTTACTGGGACACCGATCCAGAACAAGCTTGAGGACCTGTGCGCTCTTATAACGTTCTTAAAGATCCCACCATTCGAACACAATGCGCAGGCAAAATTCAAACAGCACATAATCGATCCTCTATTTTCTGATACGGAGAGCCCGTCTCGAAACCTGCGGCTACTCCTTCAATCACTATGCCTGAGAAGGACTAAACAAGTCGGCCATAGTGTTACGGTAAAGACTGAACTAGTGACACTATTATTGTCGCCAATGGAGCAGATGGCATACAACGAGATTCTCTATAAGACGAGACAAGAAATGGAGGTGCTCGTCAGTAATGGCCTTGGTAGCAGCAAGTACACCAAGCTTTTTACTGCAATTCATAAACTCCGCATGCTGTGCGTACAAGGCGTGAACACCAAAGGATCAGATGCCCGGACACCCTATCTCTCACCAATTACAGCGGCCGCATCCCCTTATGTTGACATCTATTGCGAACTATGCTACGCAGACGAGTCTCTTGGTCTCATCAAAGCTGGAAGTGCTTTTTGCCCCGACTGTGGCAGACTACTCTCCAGTACGCAGGGGACGCCGAGAAGTGGAAGCCGTTCTCCGCGACCAGCAAACCCCGTCTCTCCAGCGTCTGATAGACTGTTACAATATTCCTGCAGCATGGCAGAATCAGAAACTGCAACTAAACTCACTGCCCTAATGGAGAACTTGGTACATCACACTTACGGATCCAAGAGGTAAGAACTCCAGCACATTGACCTTGGCGTTCTTATTAACCCTCAGAACAGCATTGTGTTTACGTTTTGGACGCAGACTCTCGACATTCTGTGTCCGAAGCTCGAAAGGCGTGGGGTCCAGTACGTACGGATTGACGGAAAAGTAAGCAGAGTAGATCGAACACGGCTTCTTAGCCAGTTCCAAAACTCGCCACATTTCACAGTTCTTCTCATGACATATGGCACGGGTGCTGTGGGGTATGACAATCCATCATTGGGTCTCAAGGGGTGCATCGACTAATAAGACTTTCATAGACTGAACCTCACTGCAGCAAACCGAATTCATCTTTTGGAGCCGCAGTGGAATCCATCTGTCGAGGAACAGGCAATCGGCCGAGCAGTGCGGCTCGGCCAAGCGAAGGAGGTGACTGTGATCAGATATGTTATGGAACACACGGTAGAAGAGGTATGTATCTCTGACATTTCCCTGGCGCTTCGCTGATTGTGCAGAACATCCTCGCGATCCAGAAAAATAAGCAGCAGCTAGCGAGCTTGACCTTGGAGAACGAGTCTAGCGACTCTTTGACGGGACGAACAGAGGTGAGTTACAGCGTACGGAAATCTTTCAGCTTCTAATAGGTACTAGGAACTGCGGAAGATCTTGTTTGTCACGCGGTGAAAAGTTTGTTTTTGGTCGTCCCAGATATAGATGTCCATGTATAGAAATATAAATCGCATATATGGATCACTTACACCGTCATTTCCTATCCCGGCTAAAAACGGTCTCTTTCGAAGACGTGTTGTCTTAAGCCCGAAAGGTTTATTAAGCAGGTATTGTCTCCATGAGTATTTGAGCGTTGATTTCATCGCCGGACTCGAAGAGTGGTGTTTCACATGTGTCTATGAGAGACAAAGGCATGAATGGCAACAGTCTTGTATCACCCTTAAAGAAGCTTATGGCTTCTTTGTACTTATTGTTAGAGATCTATTGTTCTTCGCATTCATAACTTACAATGAGCGACAAGAATTGGAAGGAATTCCTCTCTCCGAGTATTGATTAACAAAGCCTTCTAATATATATCAAAGCCACTCCCCTTCTCCTTGTCCATCCTAGTATATAAACCCCTCGAAATCCTCCTCCATCACGTCCTCCAACCAGACCACCACCGGTACTGCATCCCCCCCGCAATCCTCCTCAATTGCATCTTCGCCCGCTTTATCGCCAGCCCCGAGCACAAACCCAGGAAAGTACTACCTACCCCAGTTCTACATTTCCCCCACAAAAGGAAAATCCGTACAACTAGCCAGGTACATACATACATATAATTCCTCAAAATGTCTCAATCCGGCGACCGCGACCAAACGCAATTCATCCTGGGCATCGGGGCAAAGGAGGTAATTCCCGTGGAAAAAGCCGGCAGCACCGCGCAGCAAGCGAGAAACTTGTTTACGGGCGAGGCCACGGAGCTTATGAAGAAACCCGATGCGCAGCTGTTGATTGGGGCGGGACAGGCGGCGAAGAATCGGAGGGGGAATGCGCAGCAGAAGTAATGGATGGATCTTTAGAGATCTAGCAATACTAGTAAGTGTTGTTTGTTGGACTTGGTTTGCTAACAGTTGCAGTGAGTGGTTGTTTTTTGGCGAGCGCTTCATGGAGTACAGTACCGGTAAGTGGTGGTCTTTTCTATGGTTTGGTTAGACTTGGATCATAGTTATAATCAATGGACTATTGTTTCTAGTAAAGATAAATTATAACATCTTGATTAAATATGGCTTCCAAGTGATTAGGCCTACCTCTCTGCACTAGAGACAAAGTAGGGACGAGGTCTAGTAGTTGATGATTAGCAGTTCTATGAAGTGTAGTATAGAATATAAAATTCTCTAGTATGCTATGGGCAGAATTAAACTCTTATACAGTCTTTGTGTACCTAGGTCGCTATAATACGCATACTTTAAAGGACTGTATTTGCATGGAGGTCCAGGGAAGTTCCTCTGCCGACACCACCATACTATGTAGTAGCCTTAAATTACAAGTAGATACTATAGAAGGATCTTAGCACATATAAACACAGAGTGTGGATCGTGTACCCGCTGTCTGATGGTGTTCTATGGGGTTGGGTGCCCTCCATATCTGTAACGCTGACATCACAGTGCCAATTCAGTCGAGCATCGATCACATCGGAGATGGTAGATACCAAATGATGTAGGTGGCGGTATGGAGTAAATAAACGATTCTTAATCTATCGTGCAGCACTACGGCGATCAGGAAGCGCCGCTTAATTGGGCAGATTTGCCTCGATTCGAGACACTTCGGCGCCCTGCGCATGGCATGACAGGGTCGGGCAGCCATTAGGCACGACTCTTGTCGATTCCACAAGATGCCCTGTATCGAATCAGGACTGTCAAGAAATGGGTAGCAAGACGCTCCACTGATATGCCCCTTAGCTCAAGCTTGATTGTCGGTCTTTCATTGTTACCGGGTGCGATATTTAAAGCAGGGCTTATTCTAGGTCGAGTTGCATAAATGCAGCTACAAGTCCTCCAGCTTGGGGCCGATTTCCATGACAAGATCCTTCTGATATGCCTCCACAGCCAACAGTACAGCGCACCGAGACGATGTCGCTTGAGATCCGCACCACCGCGACCAAGCCCGGAGCGCCACCTGTTTCTATCGTCTTTGCCCACAACCATCCAAATTTTCCAAAGGGCGAAACTATACCGTTGAGCCCCGGTTCTCCATACAAGGTGAGCTGCGAGTATGAGGTGAAAATAACACCTACACCAAAGCAAGCACAGGAAACTAGAGCTACAAACAACCCGCCATCACCGGCTGCGACAAGGGCCCCATCGTCAACGGCGACGAAAGCAGTCCCAACGTCCCACGGAAAGCATCAACATCCCCCAGCAAGGGCGTCAAGTTCCGCAACCCAGTCTACCAGATCCGGCATACCTGCGCGAAATGCATCTTCAACGGCAACACCTGCGACCAAGACTAAACAGGCCGGGGTGGCTCCATCGGTAACAACGGCGCCCAGGGCAAATGCAAACGCAAACGGCCCTATTTTGTCCAGGACCAAGTCCGAAGCGACGCGTGCTATTTATACCAGGGCGGCGCCTGCAGCTACCGATGCTGCTAGGGGCTCGTGTAAAAATGACAGCCGCTCTACTAGTAGTAGCAGTTCGAGCGTACGTTACCCATCAACTGATGACCACGATTGCTACTGGTGCGACTGTCCAAAACTTCCGCTGCCCTCGGGTCTCATTCCTACGACACCGCTCGCGGGCGAAGCTCGAGAGCATTCTCGCCACCCGGTTGGTGTGCCAGAGAGGAGCATGGCCTGGGATGCTCGCTATTCCGTGGTCCGTCCTCCCGAGGATATCTTGCCGCCGGGCCCTGAGGACGAGTATGAGTGTGTGCGAGTCACGCAGAGGCGTGTTCATATCAACTCAAAGACTGTCCGTGATCTCAGTGGTAAGCATCCCACGTACGCACCAAAGATAAATTTCATCTTGATCTAACTCGGCAATAGGACCGCAATGGGTGCATCAGGTCGCCTCCTGGACGGAGTCCAAATCACGAGACCAGAATAACAACCTTCACTTCGTCCGGGAAAGCCATAATCTTGAGCAAATACTCAGGTGATGGAGCTGTTTACCGGGCGAGAAACAGAGTGAGCCGACACGACACTGTCGGATGACTGGGTTTCTTGGTCAATGTGTTGCGCCTTCTCCACCGCTATTTGGCAACTTCCTAGCCACGAGCTCTCTGTTATAGAAATCCGCCAAGACAGCTGTTTGGTTGCCTCTATAGACTCCAGAGATCCCAGGCAAACGTCAATCGTGCACCGGTTCACGTCGCCTGACTGGATAAAAGCCCTAAAAGGTCATTTAGCTGCCGGACAGGAGGATCGCCATGACTATAATAGCAAGGGAGAGTCACCCAGTGAAAAGAAGCCCATGACGCTGTTTGAGCAGATTCTTTCCCTCAAGGTTGGTGAGGCCCTGCTCTTTGCGCCCAGTGCTATCGTCGGGGCTAGGGAGAGCGATGGAGATGAGAGGCGTGGAGTTGAATTTGAGCGACTGGGAGGGAGGAATCTGATGAGCACGGTGAGGGGGAGATTGACTGATGATGGTGGAAAGAGTATTCTCTCACAGTAGGATCTGGAGTGGGCAGGGCTGGGCCTGGTAATATAAGGGGTGCGGGGATCTAACTAAGTAGATGGGGATTAGGTACGTCTTGGTTATTCCGGAATAGATTGTCCAGATTAGGAATCGAGTTTCCCTATTGAGATTTGAAAGACCTGCAATGGTTCCTTCTTCTATCCGGCTGGTATTCATTGCGAGGCTTCCTAATCAGTTGAAAAAGGCCGATGCGCCGAGGGAGACGCCATTCTAGGTTCTAGGTGGAGGGAGGTAAAGGAAAGAGGATTGTCCGGCATGATATAGATGGTGAGCTGTATTCTTTCTCTTGCGAAGCAAATCATGGTCTCAAATGAGACCTCGTAGTAGCAAATTCCTAACCCAGTAATTAGCAGGGTTGCTGGAACTGACCCTAGATCCACCCAAAGGTCAAAGGCTGCTGCGGAATCCACTATTTGACCGGGACTTCATCATCCACGTCGTGTCCCCAGGAGGACGCACAAGGTTGGAACTCCAGAGCCTGGAGACGAGGGCCTCCTGAGTCCTATGAACATCTCATCTTGTGCCGCACATCTGGGCAGTGTTCAGCTTGGCTTTGAGAGATCTATGCAAGTTCATTGGTGGATGGTAGTGTCTCTGCAGGAGCAAGCCACCAATCATATTGCTCGCGACGAGATTACACCACGGATGGCGATATCGTTTTTCAAGTGCAAATGGATATCGCCCTAGTACAATGTGGATACAGTGTCGGAACGGTCTGCCGAGTTCCAGACGGTCGTGTTGTCGTCCATTCATGTCGAACGCCCGCCATTTGAACCGTCGTTGATTGATATTAGCTGATCATGGCCGGAGGAGTACCCCGAGATCCAAAAGTTCAGATTTGTTGGAGCCCATGGGGGGAGATTGTCGGCAATCAAGTCCCATATCGTCAATTGTGGAGATGGCCTCGCCCTGAGAGGCTGAGCCAAGAGCCTAGCCGGCTCGTTTCGGCACTGCAATGGAGATAAACTGGATCTTTGCTTCTCTCCACTTCTTCGCCCTTCTCCTCACGGTCGTCGCATGGCGCCCATATATTTCCATGATATGCTCATGGCGAGCGGATCGAAGCCGTGACAGATCGACGCTGACTGCAGCACGGAAAGTATCCGGTTCGGCGCTCTGCGGCGATCTGGCAAGTTGGCCCCCAACCGCGGGCCACATGGATGTTCTGCAGACCAATTTGGAAATAGATTAGCCAACCATCGCTATTGGTCGGCGCCCGCTGTGCCGTGCATCTAGCTAGTCCCTTTCAGCCCGGAGTTTCTTCATTAAGTCCTCCGTATCGGGAGGAACGGCCCCCAGAAATCCCCATACCACGAACTCTTCGATTTTCTGCATCTCGAATTTCAGTTGCAATCCTCCCTGGATGAACTGTTTGCTGGGTCTTCTCATCAATGTCTGAGCTCCCATTACGCCCGGGGCCATCTAAAGATGAAGGTAGTTTCATGTTCATTAATTTCCAGAGCGACATGTCGCAAACGGTTGGAGTTGGGCGACAAAAAAAGGCTTTTCTGTCGAAACAAACACATCAAAGACGGAAACAAGAGTCGATAAAACGGCTAAAATACTCTCGGCCATTGTGGAAGAACGTGTCGCAGGAGAGAAACCAACTTCAGCGATCGTCGCCTTCAGACTCAGATGAGAGCTCACAAGGTGACGTTGGGCCATTGACAAAATATGTGGGACAAGGGTATGTGGATCCGTTTGACACTGCGTCAATACAGATGACGGATGCAATGAACATGTATTTCCATCATTGTACGTTCATCCGGTGAATCATCCCTGGGAACGAATCCTAAACCCTGGAACTCTCCATAGACAGAGACCGTGTCGCCCCCTCCGCGTTTCCAATCGACGGGGCTCGCATGAGTGTGGTGTGGTCGCACAATGCGCTTGGTTCACCAGGCTTACTGCAGATTTTCCTTTTCTTGGCTGCTGCACATAAAGCAGCGCTCGAGTCTAGCAGCGCGCTCCCTGCGACGGTCGTGCAGAAGTCGTTCCGAGATGCCATCCATTTCCGAGTCAACACCATCAAAACCCTGAATGGTCTTCTGCAGGATCCTGCGACTGCGTCTGCAGAGTCTACGATTATGCTTGTGGGTTCAATCATGTCATTCGAGGTACGCCTTTTTTGTTTCCGACCAGGTGCCTGGCTGAGAGATGGATCTGATTTTTCGTCTAGGCCCTCAACGCGGAATTCAAAGCACTAGAGACGCATATGCAGGGGCTTGAAACACTTATAAGGTTAAGAGGCGGACTAGAAGCATTGGATCACATAACGCTGGAAAAAGTCTACTAGTACAAAATGCCCTTTCTCGATTCCGCATCTGTAGGTTCGATCTAACTCGTTTCACAGCGCGGATGTTGCATATGCGGCTCTGCGAAACTCACGGCCAAGCTTCCCCATGTTGCCTAGATTCCGTAGCGGGGTCCTGCAGGAGGTGCGAATGTTTCAGTTCCACGGGGACAGCGGCAGGGATGACAACTCCGCTCCCTACGGATCTGGATCCGAGTCTGACTTGCCTGCGACCCTAACCTCTCTCGGCACGCGCTTCGCCATAGCGCCCTGGTTTACCGAACTCGATCCATCAATGCAGTACACTATTGACGTATCCCGCCGGCTCCTTGTGCACATTGGGATCGCAGCGCTACGACCGAACGTTGTCATGCCCACAGATAACGACCTCTACCTCCTTCTCCAACACCACCTTGTCTCCCTGGACTATCCGGAGAGACGCACCGATTTGAACGAGCCCCTCCGCCAAACCATCTTCATCTACTTGTACGTGCGCGTCATGCACCTCCAGAGCCTCCCGATCATGCCATACATAACCGATGCGCTACGCCAGAGTCTCCTTTCCCGACTCTCATATTTTCAAGCTATTGCCCCGGACCTGCTCTTCTGGATTCTTTTCATCGGAGCACTCGCATCGCAGGGAAACCAGTCTCGCCATTGGTTCGTGGCTTATCTTAGGTGTATGGCTTCCAATCTCGGCTTGGAGGATTGGAATCAAGCCCGAGTCGTACTTGGGGAGTTTTTCTATACTCCGCAACCTGAGGAGACAGTGGTAGATGATCTGTGGAAGGAGGTTGTGGGCATGCCATATGATTATATACCTCCGCAATTTGCGTCAGTTGATCATAAGACAGATGCAGGAGCGGCTGAATTATGAGGTTTTGAGCTTCGAGGGGGTACTCTGCACTATTTATCAACCCAGTGGGCGCAATGTGGCTGGCTGGTGCAGCGACGTGGGTGGGACCCATTCGTCTTAAGAGACGCTAACCTTAGTCTCTTGACGGCTGTTTTTGTTTCAGATTCATAATCACCAAGGTTATCTGTCAATCTCACCTAAGCACCAATGGCACCTTGCTGCTTCATCCGAGTCTGTACAATCTTCACACGGATACTGCATACTTTGCGAGGTGGCTCAGACCTCCAAAAGGTCCAATGGCTGATTCTGGATGTAACCCCTGAGACACCACACTTGGTACTCCAGTAAGGACTGCTGCATGGTCTGACTTTGAGATGAGACCTTGAGACCGGGGAGGTCTCGGCAGCCAATCAGCAATGACTTTCGACGCCCCAGATTCGGTATAGCGCACCCCCCGGGCCAAACTTAGCCTTTAGGGCCACCGGCCCGCGAGTGGCCGCAAGACTGGCACTCTGGACAGATAGACCTCAAGTGGTTAACTGACTAGCTTGGAATCTCTCTATGTAGCAGATGGTTGGAAGAATATATCACGTTTTCAGTTTATTCCCAGGGGCCTCTCCTGATTTACTCTGGCTTTCACGAACTGGCCATCCGAGCTAGTCATTCTCGACAGGGTTATACTACTGGTCTGCATTTTCTTATTTTGCCAAGAGCAAACATGCACGATCCGTCGAGCTCTTAATCGTGCCGAGAAATGGATATGATCTGTGAAATAACGAGTCTGCTAGAATAAATCTATGTGCCTTGCCCTGTTTTGCCCCCCGCTTCCCACCTCCGATGTTTTAAGATCCACCCAAAGCCTAGCACTGGTCCTAGATACGTGAGACACTATGCAAGAGCCATTCTGAAGCATAGCCCGTCGTAATATTGTACTACCATCAATAAGACAACCGACACCCTTTCTGTCAACCCCTGTAAACCCCCTCTCGGGAAGACCCGCAGGTCTAGCCCTAATTCAAGCGAAGCAAGCGTCTGGAGCACGGTTTCAAAGCACCTTGCTGAGCCCGCATCACCCTAGTATTTAGGATGATCCCACCGACTGTGGATTAAACATTGCCACTTGTATCAAGGTCCGCCTAGAGTATCTCTTCCGGCCGCCCTTGTCATGTGCCACTGTTTCGCCCGAAATAACCACAGCGAGTACAGCAAAAGAAACTATACTAAAGATATTCCTAATAGAATCACTCAGTAGCCGCATCGCAATAGACAAGGGAACGGTTGGTTACCCAGTAGGAAGACAAATAACCATTGCCACTCGGTCATCTATGCAAAGAACAATAGGGAAAACATCCTGCGCCTCAAGGAACTGACTTGACTGTTATCCGTCTTTCTATGAAGCCCAACGCAGCATGCGCACGTTTCGAGCCCTAATCGCGCGATTACGCTCTAACAAGTGGTCGACGGCGAGTCCCTTTTAGCGCCTGGAACACGCCGCACATACGCAGCAATGGGCCTCCTCTATACTATACAGTACCAGGTAGCCTCAAGATCCCTGCCATTGCTTATACGAGGTCGGGCGTCGCTTGGGCTCTCGGCGGGCACTGGCAGGGGACAACACCACTCTCTCACTAAACAGATTTAACATCCAGCTAGATGTTGAGATTAAAAACCACGCGCCGTGCCGATTTTTCAAAAGGAAAAGAAAAGAAAAAGGATAGAAAAACAAAAAGGAAAAGCAAAATTTTTCTCCCTCCTAGGGAGCAAACTAAGAAAGAACCAGAGATATGATACTATAAACAGAGATAGTATCCAGTAGATGTTGAGAGTAAAACCCACGCGCCGTGCCAAACTCTTTAAAGAGAAAAAGAAAAATAAAAGAAAGATAAAAGAAGTTTCCTCATGATGAGCAACCACTCTCGAACCAACACAATACGAATACTTGGTGAGCATGATAAACCTAGCATGCGCAGTCGAAGAACCCACGGGGCATGGGTCCGGGAGGACCGTCGAGAGATCTGTAGTCCGCATCCTCGTCTCCATGTATATCCTCGTCGGGGGCCACGCTGCCGGTCTCAAAGTCTTCATGAAGAAGAAAGTCGAAGCCGATCATGGCTTCGGGCGGAGCATCGAGAGCTCTGTAATAAGGACTCTCGAGGCCCTCTCCATCGCAGTCCTGATACGATGGGTTGCTGCTCGTGCTAAAGTCCCCATGCAGGAGAAAGTCGAGACGGTCCATGAAGCTGGGGGGCAAAGCGAGAGATGCGTAATCGGTCTCCTCTTGGTCCGCTCCGTCGACCTCTGTATCTGGGGTCGTGCTGGTGCTGGCCGTGTCGGAGACTTTGTCCATAATAAAGTATAATTCCGAGTCGCTCGAGTCCCAGTCTGTGAGTCTGTCCGAGTCCGATCCATCGATGTCTGTATTTGGTGTCGTGCTGGTTGTATCACAATCTTTGTCCTTGAGAGAGTCGAACATTTCCAACTCGTTTTCTGTGGGTCCGTCTGAGTCTGATTCATTGATATAAGTATCTGGTGTCACGGTAGATTTATCAGAGTCATCGTCCTCGAGAAAGTCGAACATTTCCGAGTCGCTTGTATCCCAATCTGTGGGTCTGTCTGAGTCTGGTCCCTCGATATCCGTATCAATATACGTATCCGGTGTCACGGTAGTTGTCTCGGAGGCTTCGTCCATAATGAAGTATAGGTCCGAGTCGCTCGAGTCCCAATCTGTAGGTCTGTCTGATTCATCGATATACGCTTTTGGTGTCACGGTAGATGTATCAGAGTCTTCGTCCATAATGGAGCAGAGGTCCGAGTCGCTCGAGTCCCAATCCGTGGGTCTGTCTGATTCCTCGTCCTGATGGATATTCAACTCGTGAGGTTCCGCTTCGCGAAGTGCGTTGAGCCTGTACGACGTTGGTTTCAGCCATACTAAGCTGCGTCTTTGGGGTATGGAAAAGACTTACCACGCAGCGATAGGAGGGAGTCTCAAGTTAGAGTCAATGACAGGGAGGACCTTTGTATTAGAGATCTGAGGGAGTCTCAGGTTAAAGTCAATGACCGGGAGGTGTTTCGTATGAGAGACCGGAGGGAGCTTTTGATTGAACGGCAAGCCACTCAAGGCCAAATCATCCATTCCAAATACCGGGAATGGCTTATTGCACTGCGGCGGCGGCTGCGGCTGCGGCTGCGATGCTACGGCAGGTGCGGCGCGCTGGGCCTCCGCCTCAGCCCGGGAAAGGTCGTCGATTCTTCCCTTGACCAGATCGAGCATAACGTCACCAAGAATCCGATCAAAGTCAGGTGGTCCACCAAGAAGATCGTTGAACCTCTTGTCCTCGAAAAGCCGCTCGTTGGCCCTAAACGCATTCCCCAGCAGTCGTCTTATCTCGTCCGTTATAAAATTGTCCCCGGAGAGTCCTTCCCAATACCTCCGAAACACGTCCATGGCCTCGACCGCCGCGAGGCTTCCTCCTTGGATAAACATCTGGTGGCGCGCTCGAAGACTCAAAAGGGTGATATTGTATCGTTGTGCTGCCCGGTAGGCAAGTACGGCCTTGGTGTAGTCGTCCCTGATCTCGGCCGAGGTAAGCTTCGCACCGGCGTGGCGGGGAGGCCAGGTTGCGTAGTCGCCAGTGCGGAGAAAGTGCAAAAGAATATGGCCGATGGTCTCGTCGATATCGGTGAGGTAGACGTGGATATCGGTGAGGTAGACGTGGTGGTAGCCGAGTGCATCTGCACGGATGGGGAGATCGGGGGCGCTGAGCTCGATGAGACGCTTCTTGGTAGGGTAGTCGGCGCGGGTTCTGCCGATGTAGACGTGAACTACATCACCGGCATACGGGCTGGGGTCGCTGCGTAGTCGGTTAGTAGGATGCTTCGCGTGTTGCGAGCCTCTCAAAGGCGGAACGAACCCTTGGTTGATCTGCCCAGTAGCAGCTGCGGGCTGCGAGGGAGACAGCGATAGCCCTATACCAGAGAGCTCGGCTGGACGAAGGAGACGAAGTGGACGAGGATGATAAAGGGATGGACTTGGACGCTCAGTCTCCAAGGGCGTCTCCGCCTTTCGTTTTCTAGATCCGTTGTCCATGTCTTTGAGAGTGTTTCTGACAAAATAGCCGGAAATTCGCAGTGTTTTGGTGTCTGGGGGCGATGTTTGATGGAATTTTGAAGGTGGTGATGAGACAGGAAGGATAGGCGATGAGGAGAGGAAACTCGAGACGAGGAATCAGAGCAGCAGAGATCTATCTGAAGACACCGTCCCAAGAAGTTTAAAAAACGGTCACTGTTGTCTACAGTTTTGCCATCTCGATCCATGGCCCAACCAGTATACAACCTATGGTTATCTTAGTACCTTAGATCGGAAGTACCAAGCCGCCCACGGCCGAAAGGCTAAAATCAATAGTCTGGAAAAGTTAGCCAATAGGCAACTGCGCGTGTTTGAGCGGGTTACCAATCACCACCCACTGCACTGCATCGTCTCTGCATCCCTTGTATGCAGGCTGTCATCTCAACCGGAAAAGCCACAATGTCAGCCAACACCGTCTCAAGCTGGAAATTGCATGTCCACGGAAATAGTAATATGACCCCAAGGCTGGGGCACGACCCGTAGTTTCAAAATAGAACAGGAGACAATCAGTGCTTTTAAGATTAAGCTCAAACATGTTCCAAGGACAGCAGCCCTATGACTGGGTAAAGTTTTCCTCCTTCCCAGAACACTGTAGAGGCGTCTTGACGGACCAAAAATGATGGGGTCTCATTCAACTGCTCCGTAGGGATAGAATTACAGTAAGAGATATTTGTTTCCAGGAAGCAGTTCGATGCGAGAGAGATCAGGTTCTTGAGGAGATTGGCCAGCGGTTCTATGCGCTTTCCTAAAAATACGTACAAAGCGGTCCTTAGAGGTGAAAGCTTCTATATTATGGAAGAAGACACTCGAGAATAAATAAGAGGCCAAAATATTCATGGCACTATAACACAGCGATGCAGATGGCTGTTCAGAGTGGAAAAGGCTCGGAGCGAGATCAGGTTCTCATGGAGGGTGACAAGCTTTCTAGAGCCCTTCGCGCCTTCCCCAAAAACACCAACAATCTGGGCCCATCTAGCCGTAGTGGCAGTCACACTCGCAGTAGCAGTGGCTTGCGGCGCTACATTTGCACTGGAAAACACGCCCGTCAGCACCGCTCGATATATTGGGCAACAGGCTGGAAAGGAAAGCATACCCTCGACCCGGCACAGTTCAGGAAGCTACATCCACCATGAGTCGAACAACAATACGTCACGCAGTCTGCAAACAGGCGGTCAGCATGCGTCTCTGGCCCATGGCTCCCTCTATTAGGATATGCGATGGGATCCGTGGGAGTGCTGCTTAGACAGTGCTAAGCCACCGAGCTACGTACCCACACATTGACGTTTAATCAGCTGTCACTAAGTTAGCTTGGTTCGGACACCTTGAAATGGTGGCAAACTGCTCTTTTAGGTGGTTACCTCATTGGCTGCTGCATCGGCAGGCGCGCTGTGGGCGATGCTGGCGCAGGCGGCGATGAGGACAGTGTATACTGACAGCCTCATGATGGTGGGTAAGTTGTACTGGTGATGTGTATATAGAGTAGAGATAAGAAGGACGGTTATCTCATGCCTCAGATGTGGGTAATGGGGGTTTATATCTCTTTGCATCGCCCCCGGGCCGGTGCCCACACGGTCCTCACATCTAAAGACACCCTCCAAAACTTCCCCAGAGAAACCTACAGCGTTGCAACTCAAGTCATTCATTTCATTGACGGAAGCCAAATTATCCATCCATGCACATCTACCTCGAACCACTCCATCGAGTAGACAAAACGCAGATCCATCACACGACATGTCAATTCCAACAGGGATCGTGATGAATACGAGGGCATCTCCGGTGGGGATACGGGTTGCTTGACGTTACCATAGCTGCTGCCCAATAGTATGTGATGTTCACGACAATCCGGATAAATACCAACCTTTGCTTGCGGGGTAGGTGCATTAGCGACGTTGCTTCGTCAGGATAAATCCGGGGTGGACGTCTGAGCAATGTTGCTATAACTGCGGGGGATTATGCTATCTCGATCTCTCGCATTATTTTCCTTCTTTTGATCCAAGACCCTTGGATTCAATCAATGACTCCCAAATCTTTGCTGTTTACACTATGACGATAGGTGAAGAAACTTGGATTACCAGGCGATGATGACATATATTCTCACCAAGTAAGAAAAGTTTTGTTGGCAACACATCTTTTATCTCCACTTCTAGAAGACTGGCCTTGATCGATGTTGAGATAAGATGGCGCTGTCACTCGAAACTGTTCATCTTCTTAGATAGTGTAGCAAAACGAGATTCATTACAACCAGCAGAGTCTCCACAAAAACCACAACATGGTCTCTGAAATGAGCGTGCGCAGCTAGGTAGCACCATGCCCCAAGGTATGCGTTTCTATAATGGTGACACGGCTTCTGGAGGGCGACAGACTATCACCATGGTGTGTGCCGGATTACAACAGACGAGGACATGATTGCCATGGATTACTGGAAGCATTTCCAGAACCCGTGCCACATTACTAGTACAAATAAGTTTCCACAGTCGTGCAACTTGAAAGAGAACTATGATAGCTCATCCAACTCCAACTCGTGCGTTGGGAAAGGAGCTATGACCTCTACCCAATCGGAGTTGGAAGTTGGGGCGGCCGAAGTGAGTGCGAATGTTCGCCGCCGCGGCGGATAGCGTCTATTTCCCTTTTCCGCCGGGAATGCTGGGTTTCTGTCTAGCATCTGAAGGTTTGGGTATTTCACAAGGCAAAATAGCACTGCCCACCGCACCCTCGATCGTGTCTTCTTGCCCATTATTAGATGATGGCTGATGTCTTGCAAATACCAAATGGTTTAGCATCCGCCGAGAAATCAAAAGTATCATGTCCGTGCTGACGTTAAGATGGCAACTCCCGACCTCTTAATCACCGCCTTCGTCCCTCAACTTCCGCCGCAAAAGGCCGCGGAATAGCTATCGCTACCATCATCACCATGCCTTGCGGCTGGCTACATATCCCAAGGTCAATCCGTCATCCAAGATGCACTGAATAGCCTGGCGCTGTTCTCTTTGGTGTTCACCTACCTCCTCATCGGTATGGTCTATACATCCTGGTCGATCATGATGCAATGGGTTTTCGGTGAGTTGATGACTAACTCGTCGGTTCGTTCGTGGAGACGGTGAGTCTAGGAAGGTGCATTAGCTCACACGACGGGTTGGTCAGAGATTCGTTATGTTGCGCAGACAAACCCGCAGCTTGTGCTCTATGTCTTCGGGGTGGCTTCTATGAGTCTTGCTGTGGTGTTTTATGTGCACGAGACAAATCATCCACTTGAGAGGGCCGGTATTGTCCTAGAGGCCGCGAGGAGGAAGCTTGTCAATGTGTGTCACTGTTGGACGGCGTTGCGACGGGACCGAAGCGCCGCACATGCAAGCTTGATCTCGATTCCTTCTGGCGTGGTTGTCATTTCGCTGTTACCTGGCGCGAGTATAGATGGGTATAGGCAGCAGTCAAATCAGGGTCCTCTCGATAGGATGTCGTTGGGGTCTAGCGCGATGGAGCCCAAGGCAGCAACAAAAGATTGTCTGAAACAGTACCTGGCATATGTGCTCGTTAATTTTCGAGTCTCGCATGGTCTAGCCATATGCCACAGGAGTTTCAGCTCACCTTTTCTGAAGCTCTTCTCGTCTCTAGAAGATGTTGTGTCGGGTGGGGGCCAGGGCCGAGTGGTCGCGTTTTACGCCGACGCCTTACGCACTCCAGACTCTACACATTTGAAACGATGTTTTGCGCCAACCTGGACTGACTGATAGTAGACTTGCTAGTCTAGGTCCTAGCTGCGTGATCAAGGCATGGACAGACAGGTTGACATCCCGCCGGCCACGGCAGTTGAAGCACAATACACCGACGGCGAAGTATTCGAGAGGGAGATGCGAACAAGATATAAAGTTCTTAGTAAGGCACTCCAGGCAGCAACAATCAACACAGGGGACTCCAATTGGTCAATGGGGTTGAACCCTCCCTGACACTGTGGAGAATCGGTCCCTTGTGGAGACCCTGAGGCACTTTTCGTCGCCAAGCTTCGAAGGGTGCAAGCTCGGAGCTTTGAGGGAAGTCGGTAACCTCATTAGAGGTGGAACCACTCTGCAATGACTCCAACTGAGAGATGGTGACAACGGAGAATCGAGACAGTGCGCAATCTAACAGCCACGAGCACTAACAAGGCCAATTGCGCTGGTCTCATCCACGACATGATTGGGCTGGAATATGTTGAAGAAGAGCGTCATGTTGTTTGTCATACTCGATATGCCTGACATCGGTTATGCCTCTATTGCCTACAGCACATACTCATTACGACTCCCCTCGCCCGGTTTAGCGGCGACGTGGCATTATTGGTCACTGGGACAGCGACATACTGAGCGCTCCCGATAGCCGCGAGACCCCCTGTGGGTCAAGTAGCCAAGCTCAAGGGTAGAGAAAAGGCGACGCCCGATGAACCAACGAAGGCATCAGTGTTCTCCAGGGGAGAGGCCGATTCGGATCCGCATACGCCTGGGGTTCTCTCGAGTTGGGGGTTTGTTCCCCCTGGGCAAGATATAGTGTACAAACCTTTACGCTAGCTCTGGAGGCTGTAACCTCTTATTATATCCATGGAAGGATAGGAACCTGAATCTTAGACAAGTATTTTCACATATGGTAGAGGGAATTATCCTCCAGGTGCCGCGGCACAAACTGGTGCACCACAGGATACTGATACCCTAGTCAATGCTGCAGCCGAGTAGATTATTTGCTGTCTCAGGGCTCCCATTAAAGTGAACGGCATATTTTACTTTTTAGGATCAAAGTAGTGGTGCTAGGGTAGCGTGGGGCGGAGGAGGACCGTGATTGGCCACTTTGGCCTGAGCGAGGGCCCCCCACGAGGCGGTCCACCTGCGCAGATGGTGAAAAAACATTGGCTCACCGGCAACGTCCAAGCTGTTCTTGCAAAAGGTCTGCAGATCCAGGGTGTTCGTCAAGCAAGTGACCAAATATGAGGATTGTCGGAGTGCCTGTGCCTGAGACTTGGTATCGTGCTGAGCCCCGAGGGCGTCCGGTACTCGAGGATGCAGTCAGATCTCTAAATTCACTTTGGCTCGTATATTGGATGGACTGTCTTTAGTCATACTTAGTGTTTTGGACCCCATTGAGATTTGTAGGAAATATCATGCTGCCTGGCGGAGAGGATGAAGCGTTGACCAACGCCGAGGGGGGTCCATGAGCCGCGTAGGCCAACTACGCGCCAGCCAATCACCGTCAAGGATCTGAACTCTGTAGCACCGACTTCTAGAGTTCTCGTCCATAATGGCGGTGTTTTGGTTTTGGGGTTCTTCTAGCGGCCGGTCTCAAGATCAACAAGCAGCTCAATGCGGCGGAGCTCGCTCATCTCCGCGCAGGCGCCAGCCATCAATGGCTCCGCGGCCAGCTATTAAATCGAAAGCCTCGCGAGTCTCCTGTTTACGTCCCATCATTCTGTTCCTGAGGAAGGAACATCCGCGCAATGCTTGTACCGAAACCTCTCCGGCGCTTTGTTGCTGCCGCTATTTTTCTCCTGCTCCTCCTGGGCTGGAAACTATTAGCACGAGACAGGGAGCCTGACTTCAAGCATATCCGCCATCAGTACCCCATGCTCCTGCGGTACATTGAAGGCAAAAAGGGCAGTGGTGGAGGTAAGCCCAACGAACCCTAATCAGGGGTTCAACAAGACTGACCCAACCCTCTCCCATGATACAGCTTGGCACATCCCCGAGTCCTGGACGAGAGACTCGCCAACAACCCCGGCCCCGCAATCCATCATCGGCGCCGCAGACCTCGCCTTGAATCTCACCTCCGAAGCACATCGACAACTACCCCGCTCTGCCATCCCACGCATCATACACCAGACATGGAAGGATACCAGGGTGGAGACGTGGCCAAGCACGTTCCGCAACAGCGCAGAGAAGTGGCTTGCCGTCGTGGACGAGGGTGACCTAGCCTATATGTTCTGGGACGACGAGGGCGTTGCACAGTTCATCCGGTACTTTGAGCCAGATCTCGAGGCGGAGTTCTACGCGCTCCCGACCAAGGTCGAGCAGTCGGATGTCTTTCGCGTCCTTGTTTGCAAGTGGCTCGGTGGTGTTGTACGTCCAGACACCCCATTCCTATCTTCCTATCCTCTTATGCTGTACCCACGCTAACATCATCGCCGCCATCATCTAGTACGTCGACATGGACACCGAACCCCTGCAGTCCCCGCTACACTGGATCTCCCAACTCGACATCACCCCCTGGACAGACCTCCAAACCGGGCGCACCTACGTCTCCTCGGAGCCCGTGCGCGCCATCGTCGGCATCGAAGCCGACAACGACCCCAGCAGCGACACGTACTGGCGCATGGGCTACTTCTACCCCGTGCAGCTCACACAGTGGGCCTTTGCGTTCGCGCCGCACCACCCGATCCTCACGCAGTTCATCGAGCACCTCTTTGAATACGTCCGGGACATCGCCAGGAAGCATGATGGGGATTTGAACTCGGAAGCGACGCAGCTTGAACTCGCGGGCATTGATCCCGTTAATGTGACGGGGCCGATTGCGTTTACGGATTCCGTAAGTAGCTGGTTGAAGGGCAAGGCGGATCTGCGCTGGAATGCGATGACCGGGTTGGAGGATGGCGGGAAGAGCAAGTATGTGGAGGATGTGCTGGTTTTGCCGATTACGGGGTTTAGGTATGGATTTCCGATCTCCTTTCCTCTTCTAGCTAATCCCGTCCTTGGATTTGGTGGGCGGTATCCATGCTAACGTTCGGTTTGTAGTCCCGGTCGGGGGTGGAAAGGAAACATGGGCTCGAAACCAATCACGGACCCCTCAGCACGGTTGTATCACCACGCGGAGGGGTCCTGGAGAAGGATCAGTATCTCTGTCGAATATGGCAAGTTCTGTCGGACGGTGTTTGGTCTGTGTAAGGATTGGTCCAAGATTTCGCATGGCGGGTTCTTTTCATGACTTGTTTCTTTTGTCTATAAAAAATGTATGATATGCACACAGATACCAGTGTAATACTATATGTGCTCAAGGTTCATACGCGCGGCATAGGTCAAGACCATCTCAGCTTTGTGTCGTTACCAATGCCAGACTGCGAGAATGTCCGAATGGTGTCTGTTGGCCTCTCCCAGAAACTTGCCCATGCGTCCTTCCCCGAGCCCAACAAGAGTTTCGGGCTCGCAGGGCAAACTTATGGCTGGCTGGGTGACCGTCAATACCTATCACAGTCCACCTAAAAGTAATATACCCCACCGTTACCCGGTAACTGCCTGCAATCCATTATTAGGGACTTTGTCTGGCCTGAAAGCAATCTCGTAGCCGACGCTCAAATCTTTTTCGAAAACTTCCTGAAGGTCAACAGAGCATGGTATATGGCCGATTCGTCCAGGTCGTATACTCATCTCTGGATCACGCAACATGTGACACGACAGTTCGGAATGAGTCTGAAAGGCGTCTGCATCTTGAATGTGCAGGTCCATACGCGGTTGATCCCCGTCTATGTCAATGGGCACCCGCCTTCCATTAGGTAGTTCAGCCCATGCCGCCGATCCTTCCAAAGAGCATAGGAGCTCTCCATAAGAGCCAACATACTCCTTCCAGCACTTTGTCCCATCGCCTGGGCTGTCATTCTGTACAACTCGAATAACGTACTTCATATCGAAAGTCGGAATACCCGCCAACAGCCCTTCGCCAGCCTGTCCATCCAACAGTTGAATGGGATACGCAGCCGTATCTCCCGCAACCGCATCCACTCTGACAACAATTTCCGTCCTCTCATTAACATCCAATGCGTCCAGAACGATAAACTTATTCAGGTGCGGAAACCGCCCGGAGGTACACAGCGCCCGTGCGTCAGCAGACAAGCTAATCCGTCTCTTCTCTCTATCCTCACTATGGAATCTCCTGATCCGGAGGTTCTCAATCCGAGCCGTAGAGTCGCGAACATCCCATTGATACCGGGGCATGGATAGCATGAAAACCGCCGATCGAAGAGGGAAAGGCTTGCCCGAAGTGCGGTCGTCGAACCGTGATAGTTGATTCTCGCACAGCCCGGGGACCCGAAGACGGAGGTGGTGAAGCTGTCGAATGAGCTTTCGCAGCTCATTGCAGATTTTTGACGAGCCTTGCCTTCTGTAGCGGTCCCAGGGCGGCTGGATGACGAGTGCTGAGAGTTCGAGGCTCGTGACTGTTCGAGGGAGTGTGGACAGGATATCAGCGACGCTGTTCTGGCTTAGTCGGACAGGTCGTGCTGGCCCGGGTGGTCGACGAGATGGTCGAGATATGAAAGAGACCGATGTCATGGATGGCATCATACTGATCAGGGTGTTTGTTGCCTGGAGGAACTTCGCTCCAGGCGCGAGGCTTATCGAAGCTCTGGGCGAAGGGGACGTGGATTGTTATGGATTCGGTTCTGTGGAAAGTACAGTCTGTGAAGCCGGATTTCATGCCGTCGGCTGGTTGGAGGAGCTTGGGGACGTTGGGCAGTTGGACGGAGATGTGGCGGTATAGGATGGATATAGCGATATGGTAGAGTCGACGGGAAGTCAGAAGCCATGATGAAGGGTTGTGAGTTCTGTCGTTTAGGCAGTTTTCGAAGATAAGTGCAATCAGTTCGTCTGGTAGCGAGGAGAGCCCAGCCATAGCGAGATCTGGGCAAAGGAGGATGCAGATGGCTAATCTGAACAGGGTGCGGGATCCTATTTGTAGCCATGACTCATTCGGTTACTGCGCTTTTGGCAGCCAAAGATCCTTGGCCGCCCTGTCTGACTAACACCGAGTCGTCTCTGGCGTTGTCCAGTGTCGCATGCAGTCGCAGCCTCGTTCTTTCCTAATCAGGATACCCAAGGCGCCTCCTCCTCACCGCACGACGCGGGGACGCATCAGCACCAACACCTACACCGCCGATTTTCCATCCCCAGTCATTGCAAGTTCATCGTTGCCACCCTGTCGGAGCTGGTCGAGAATGCTAAACTGACTGTCCAGTTCTTCCCCGACTAGGTTTCGCACGAAATCTTCGATCCCTCTGTGAGAGGCACGCGAGAGGAGAAATGGAAGCGAGACGTTTTTTCTCGGGCAGGGCGGATTTGGGAAATTTGGGACTGTTTGGCTGGAGCGGTGCCTCGATGAAAACGACAAAGTCCGCGCTGTCAAAATGGTCCCTCGACTATCGCGTTCGTCCCATACGATGGACTTCACTCGAGAGCTGGAGGCGATGATCAAGTTCTCGCAGCGTAAGGTTAGTCTACATCCACGACACCAGCAAGCTATTGCTAATGAATTCAGTATGCGAGACAATTTGTGAACTTATTTGGATGGTATGGTTTGCACATCGCGACTTGAAGCCAGAGGTATGCACCGAAATGCATGCTCCCAAGCACTGACACCCAGGTAAAGTCAGCAGAACATCTTCGTCGTGCAAACAGGTCCAGATTGGTGGATCAAGATCGGTGACTTTGGTATGAGCAAGCAAGTCAATCTGGGTACGGCACTTCGAACTAGAGTTGGCTGCCCAGGGTATCTTGCACCTGAGATTGTACAACAAGAACTATATGGAGCGGACACAACTTCTGTCGATTACACGCATGCGGTTGATATATGGGCACTCCACCGCCTATACCAATCCACGAACCAAGCCTCGCATGGTGGGAGCAACTGCCCGGGCTTGAATTGACCAACGCCGAGCCAAGGCGATAAACATTATACGGTCAGTTTATTGAAACTCGTTATAGCCTTCGTGCTCCAGTATTTCCCATGCATGATCTGTATTTAGCTGCACAATCTATACAGTCAGGCTGATATTGGTGATCTGCAACAGACGTAACAAGCCATGTCTCATTCGAATCAAATTTCATAGCGCAGAAGGCCCAGCGCTTGTCAGGGCACGGGCGCAGCACACTCCCCAGGACTATAATCAGTTACCAACGATGATGCCCCACGTAGTATAGCCCTGCGAGAGCCGCTTATCAGGGGCTTGCATTCTGCTCTTTCGTTCAAAATACATTCGCTCAACCCAGGACTCAAGTCCAAAAAGCATCTTCCCCCCTTCCAATCTGCTCTGGGATAGAGTTCAAGACGTCGTACACCGCGTCCTTCAACACAGCCAGCACCTTATCCACAATCCGATCCCTCAAGTACTCCATCTCGCCCTTCAACTCGCCCAACCAGACCAAGATCTCATCATTGAGTCCATCACCAATAAAGCTCGACTGCACAGTTATAAGGGTATCGACCATATCGCCCGTCGCATCCCTAAGGCCTAGGACCGGGTTGAGGAGACCGAGCGCGTCGGAGTTGCTGAGTGGATCTAGCTGGATGATGGTGCCTGAAAGGCCGGCGTAGGCGTCGAGAAGGTCCGTGGAGTGGGTGAGGAGATCGGGCCCCGTGATTGTGCCCAAGGCGTACTCGGTGATCCAGGAGGAGAAGTCGTTCGTCGCGTCTGTGAGGGAGGATATTATAGCTAGGTAGTCGGGTAGCGAGCGTTCTGGGTTGCGGGTTGGTGAGGTGAGAATAGTGGGGATTAGGAAGGCCAATGTAACAAGGGTGGTTGCGAGCTTCATTTTGGATATATCGAGTCAGAGAGTAGCCTGATGAATGGGTCTGATCTGGGTCTTTTGTGGTTACTCAGTATTTTGCGTCGTGTAGCCCATCATCGTGATACCCTCCCTCTTTATACCAAACCACAGTACCTCGGCCTCCCAGATACCGCTCCGTGGAGGACTACCATGTGTTCATCTTGATGTAGGGATGATGCAGATAGACTGGTCTGCAACAACCAGAATACGGGATGCGTCCGTGTGGAACGAGTTAGTGTGCCCTCGATATTAAAAATACGAGACGCATGAGGTCTCTTGAGCGGCTCAAGCCCCGGGAAGAGACGAACACCATATAGACGGTGCGGTGCTCAACAGATCACTGGCATACTTAGGAGCCCTGATATGATATTATTGCTGTGTACGATAACCGTGGCTTTTTTTTTTTCCGAGCTTCCCCCTAATGTCTCCGGTGGGGTACTGGCACGAGTTGCATACCGGTCCGCAGAAAGGCCGAGAAATGCTGCAAAGATATAGTCGTATTTAGTAGGCGTGTCCGAGTCAAGCTCGTCGCCACTGCAGCAAACCAATTTTTTTTTTGCTTGTACCGTCGTGATAAAGCGCAGTATCATGCGGTTGGTTCTTTCTTGATTTTCACCCTGGGCCAAAAAATTAGAAAGGAAAAAAAAGCCCCTTTTATGAAATAAAAAACACTTGCTTGCTCCTTTGTAGCCTACTATGTGCTTTTGTAGTTTGGTAATAAATGGTAAAGGGTGGCTAAAGGCACTAATAATACAGCACGTAGAGTTCTCTAGAGGCAGGAAAGAGTGAGCTTCATTGTATAATCCCGTAAATGTTACAAGGAGAAGGATGGTGTTTGTAATAGAGAAATTAAAGTAGTTGAGGTTTCTGCGGAGGTTTTTGGCGGCCTTTTCTTGATAGATGATTCGAGAGACCGAGCCAAGTTATGGTGATGGACAGGTCTATCTTGGGGTGAACTAAGGTTTTTTTTGTTAAAAGAAAAAGCATAGAGAGTGTTAATTGAGGATTCATAATACAGACGTGGACATGTAGGTATATCTGCTATACCCATCTCAAGTGTTTCCATAGAGATTTGCATCACATACAGGAGGATACAGGAGGATACAGGTGGTGAAGAGGCTCGGTGGTGATGATGGAGAGAGTACTTGGCAGGTAAACATGAGCATGGCGCCTTGAACAACAAGACTCAGCTAGCCAGCCGACTGCCTACCCTGGCCAGGCCTGATCCCCAGTTCTACTTGAGATCACCAAAGCCCTGGGCAAAACTGTCCTGCTCCAGCTCCTGCCCAAGTGCGTCACCAAGCCAACCCAACCCACTATATCCATCCTCTCCTCCGTCATCCTCATCATCATCATCGTCATCTTTATGAACGTCCTTAATCGAGCACTTACGACCCGGAAAAGGATAAACCCCCTTGAACCGCGCCGAAATCCACGTCCAAGCCGGATACATGCCCCTCAGCAGCGTCTGTCCATGATCTTTCCCATGATACCGCAGATACCGCACGACCGTCCCCGCATCGCAATATTTGTCGTACAGCGCATCGGTATCGCTAACCGGGGCCGTGATGTTGTCGTTGGTCCCCTGGTAGATGTATAGTGGGAACTTTGGCGCCTTGCCCTTCTCTATGTACTTGCCCGTAACCCCATAATCGTTGAGGATATCGCTAAACTCGTACAGGAACCTGTCGCCGTTTTCGAACCACGACGAGACGTTCGCGTCCGTTGGGATCTTCGGCGGCGTGATATCTCGGCCCGTACTTTGCGTCCAGCTCGCGGCGCAGGCACTCGTCGACCTCCGGGAATGCATTCATCACGCCGAGGATTGCCCAGATGTTTAGCGGGGACTGCGTCCCATTGACGTGGATGTATGTGTTTGTCACGTTGGGTGGGGGGCCGCCGATTGCTGCGCCGACGATGTTGAGGTCGGGTGCGTGGTGCGCGTGCAGTTCCGACGCCCACTCTGACGCGAGTCCGCCGCCAGAGTATCCAAACATGACTGCCCTGGCTTTCGGGTCGATACCCGTGTACTCTTGCGAGTTGAGCGCGGCCTTGATCGAGTCGAGCGTGTGGTATCCGCTCTGCGGGCCGACGGTGAATGCGGCGTTGTTCCCCTCGTAGTCTGGGACGTTGATAAACGGTCTCTTGCCCAGGGGACCGTTGTTGCTCATCAGGTACGGGAGGATAAGGGTCATCTGCCCAAAGTTCCAGGCCTTGGCGTTCTTGTGCGCGCCCTTTTGGAGACCAAACGACGGCGAACAGTTTACGTCGGGCGAATCGTAGGCAATCTGGTAGGAAAGCAGGCGGCTGGGGTTGGCGTTTTGAGGACGGATGACGGTGGTGACCGAGGTTGTGGGGTGGTTGGAGCCGTTGCGGGTGACAAAGAGGAGTTGGTGCGCTGTAAGGGGGCTTTCGGTGCCGGGGAATATGGAGGGGAGGGTAATTGAGCGGTTCTTGAGGATCTCCCCGGGGGGTAGAGTCTTCCAGCTGTCATCTTCGGGCTGGTAGAAGGGGTCGATGGTGGGCGGCAGAGGTGCTTGGGCGAGTGCTGGTAGGATATGGGCGAGGGCCATTGTTATGGCGAGGATGGATGTGATGAGCGCCATGGTGTTGATGATCTGCTATTGGCGTTTCTGATATGATTCGTTCATGCAGTCGCGACAAAAAAAAAGGGCCAATTCATCGCTGCGCCCAGATGATGGACAGCGATTAAGTATCCATTTGGCAAGCCACCATTCGAGTAGATGATGTCAAGACGCACGTCAAAGTCTTAGCAGAATGAGCACTCGCACTATCCATCCAGACTTGGGCGTTTCGCACAAATGACGCTCAGGCACATCCAAAAACTGCGCGCAGAAAATCCCAGCCGAATGCCCCATCCGCGACCATCCGAAGTCGCCAATCGGGGGCTGATCCGCGATCCTCGGCCGGCCCGTTGCGAGATCGATGATCTCAGTCTCGAACTGAATTTGCATGCGACTTGATGGAATGAGATCGGTCGGTCTTGGTCTGTCCAGAGAATCCTCTTGGTCAATCAGGCCCGTCTCCCTCGCCTGTAGGGCTTCGTGAACAACTAGGGCAGTTCGGATCCCAGGTAAACCTGGAGCCATGGAATGCTTCTGTTGCCCGTGGACTCGGAAGAGCTCTCCCGAACCATTCTTGCTACCCGACCCGGAGTTTGACAGACCGGGAGGTGGCAGGTCCTGCGTTGACCAAATCGCAAGAAAATTGTGGCTGGGGTGTGAAACAGCTAGGCCTCTGGTGACCAGAAGATCAATCGGGCGCTGTCTCCGGTAAGTCACTTTCGTTGTAGCATCGTGCCGAATGAGCCAAGGAGATAAGGTGCTGAGGCAGGTCCTTGGGCCAGAAGTATCTATTGTTAGGGAAGGCGCGAAGCACCCCCTCGAGAACCCCATTCCGCTCCAAACCTCTTTGCCAACGCAAACAACCATCCTTACTTACTGTTGGCATCCGGATTGACACAGAGCAGTTTCATTGGACAACACTTCATCTACTATCTCTTCAAGTTTTCTTTACTTAGGGTTCCTTCCTTGATCGTGCAAGGGGCGCCCAAACTGCGCCGTGTAACTCTCCAAGGTCAGCCATGGCGTGCAGGACCAATCTGCGCGACTGTCTTCATTTTTTGTAGTTGCGGAGGTGATATAGCATGGCAGAGAGCTGGTATCTAGTTTCACTACGTGAGTCACTTGCTTTGCTCCATTGATTAACAAATGGTCCCATTACTATCCACAGAAAAAGCCAGCTGGGCTTGCATCTCACTCCCTCTGAACACCTCTCTTCGCGATGATGCCCTCTCCACCATCGTCTATCGCAGCCCCGAAGTCCGGCGGGGCACCGCCACTCAACGATCCCCATACGTCTCCTGCGTACCCCTCCTCATCAAACCCATGCTGAAAGAGCAAGCCCCAGCCCCCGAGAATCCCCTTGATGACCTCCCGTCCAGCTAAATACAGATTCCGCACCGCGATCCCAAATCCCCCTTGATCCGAATAAAGCAACCCCTGCAACGCAGTCTGCCCCGGGAACGGGCGATCGAAGTCTGACCCCGAGCGCATGATGATGATCCGTCTGAAATCGAGTAGACCGGCTTTTGCGCCGCGCATGAGCGCTTCGAGAGTCGCGTTGTCTTCTTGCTGGCTTATGCAATACACACCCTTCCCACCTGTTAGGGCTTTCGTTGTGTTGGCGAATGTTGATGTGAGGATGTGGCCCGCGAAATACACGTCGCTGGTACTCGTAGCGTACTGCACGATACCTGGTGTTTGCGTTGCGGTGTGGCATCGGTTATCAGCCGTGATATAATTCCTCCGATACTGTCTCGCAGCATCCGAATCCGCCAACGACGCATTCTTCGCAAACCCCACTGCCATATGCACTAACCGCGCTTCACGCTCAAAAACTCCATCCCATACACCGTCTTCGGGAACACTCCGGGCCTCGTCGATTCCTGCGGGATAGACCCCGTTGAAATATTCCCCGGGAGCTCGCGAATATCAATCTCGTGTTGCAAGGCAGGCTGCACGGCGAAGCGGGGGAACGTCACAGACCCCGTCGTCCCGTGCTCGGGTGAGATACCCGCGATGCCCGCGATGAGGAAGTATGTTGTTGTTAGGTTGAAGTGGGTTGAGAAGAGAAGGGCGGAGATCGTCACCGCGGCGTTGATTTCGCCTTCGCCCGTTACGATTTGGCAGATCTCGTGTGTTGGTGTGCAGTGGATTGAAGGGAAGAGGGGGGACAGGCCCGGGAGGGAGATGTTGTGGGCTAGCAGGTTGAAGTCGGGGACTCAGTGCCAGATTGTCGCTTCGGGGGTGAACTGTGTCCTCTTAGATTGTTGCTGATTTGATGGTATGGTGGACGGACCATTGAGATTATAAATACCTTGGGGGAGATTTTGTGGTGTTGCGAAAACATCGCAAGAGGAGGGTGGGAGTGATATCGAGGCTGCATGGCTCAAAAATAGCGAGGCGATGGCGAGCAACGCCTTGATTGCGCAGATTATAAGATTGAAGACTCTATCATATCACTAAGAAAAGTCCTGCCCTTAAGTATCCTCCTCCCCTGCTGCATGTTCGCTTTCCTCCGCCGATCACCGACCCACTATACCCACTACCAAGGCATACATCGATGTAGAGCAGATCCCGTCACATCACCGTGCATATCCAAGCGGGTTTTCATCACCCGAGAATCTCAATGCTGAACACCGATCTCTATCTCTCACTGTAACTGGAAATGACAAGCCACCCCTTCAAGGATCGACAATCTAAGCCCTCTTCCCCACATGCTTCTTCCTCGCCACGCGATTCCCAAACGGAAACCCCGCCGTGCGCTTATCGGCCCCCGTCCGCCTCGAAATCCTCCCATGGCTCGACGCAAATAGCACACACCACAGCCCAATCGCCGCAATACTCGAGTACCCGACAATGGCAATGAGAAACACGCCCTTGGCCGTATCAACATACCGCGTGTACGCATAGAACGCACTCGCGGCGTGGAAGATGGAGGTGAGGACGAGCGTGGGCACCGCGTAGGGCGCCTTGCTGTCGTTTTCGGGGTCCGCGTCTTCGGTTGGGCTCGGGTCCGCCAGTCCCGCGGTTAGCGGGATTGAGCCCGTCAGCATTATTGTCAGCGCGGAGATTGTGAGCAGGCTGAAGCCGTAGCAGCGGGCGAGGTAGATTTCGCTTGCTGGGAGGTGTTAGTGGGGTTGGTTCGTTGGTTTGTGGGAATCTAAGGGGGAAAGAGGAGGGCAAGGCGACGTACGGGTCGCGGGACGCGTCTCTTCAAGGAGCATGGCCGAGATGCCCTGGGGGATAGAGATGAGGGCTGCGCTCTGGAGCGAGAGCCAGGCGGCTGTGGAGTAGGTGTAGGTGTAAAAGACCTGCGGGGATGGATTAGCTCGGAACGGCCAGGATTGTCGAGATCAGGGCACCTACATCCATGATTGTAAAAATGACTTGCAATTGATGTGAATCTGTTGTTTGGATCGTAGATGGCGAGCTTTGGGGAAGCTCGCGGCTTCTTAAGCGGAGTTCGCGGGAGCAGTCACGATGATGTCATTGTAGCACAGTTGACAGCCGATGATGTAGCAGGCACGTGAGATCCTCCAGGTAAGTATAGATCCACATGGCATGTCACTGGCTGTATTGCAATCTCGAATCCAGGCTGGTTCGCAGATCCCGATCCATGTGATTGCTGTGGAATTAACTTGCGGGTGCCCGCACCATCTCCTCGACCACTGCTAGAGCTGCGACATGCAGCAGCGGCTGGTTTGCCGCAGTATCACTATTGATATCTGCCCCAGCGTCCAGGAGGAGTTCCGCGATGGCGTAATACGCCTTCATTCGTTCTTCCTCCTGCGCCTTGATCTTCTCCGCCTCCACATCGAACTTATCCAGCTTGTCGTCGACTGCTAACCCTTTTGAAAAAAAAGGAAGGCCCAAGAAGCAGTGGATTATGGAAGCCCTTGAAAGCTGTATACTGCTGGGGAAGGAGCATGGACTGTTCACCTTTACAAAACAACCTCCCATCTCCATCTCGCATCCTCGCCATCTCGCCACTTTGCAGGAACATTTCACTCCGATGTTCTCAGGGACATCCAAGTTATCGTCATCTTTCCCAGACGTATTGAATATCCTCATCAATCACCATGACCACTCAGCTCGCAGGACCAACGCCAACCCGCCTCTTCTTGGCCCACTCGAGAGAAGAAAAGCGGCCAAGGTGCTTCTTCAGTGATTCAAATCCCCACTGAACCTGCTTTGCCCTTCGGTATGTACGCTGACCACGGGAAAGCCCCCGTACTCTCTGGCCAAACGCGTCGGTCAGGTCAATACTAGCCCGATTCGCGAGCAAGCAGCGGACAATATCGCCATGTTCGTAGCTCGCTCCTAGGACGATCGCAAGCGCCGTCATCCCGTTGTTATCCACGGCATCGACATCCGCCCCATGGTCGAGTAAGATCTTCATCATCCGCGATACTGTACATGACCATGCCAGAGTAATGTCCCAAAAGTGAAACCGAGTCTTGACTGTTTCATGCAACGGCGTTCCCGACATGTATCCGCTCGCATTGACATTCGCTCCATTCTCAAGCAGGAACAGCGCTACACTTTCGTTCCCCGCGCCCGCCGCAGCATGCAGCGGAGTCTTCCCAGTGAGATCCCAGCTGTTGATGTCGACCGCCGCGCCATTTTGCAAGAGGAGCTCGACTGTACCGCGATTTGCTTTCCCCGCTGCAGCCTTGTGTAGAGTCGTTTTCCCCTCAAAGTCTATGCGCCGTATATCCGCCCCAGCGCACAATAACAGCTCAATAATCTCGTTGTCTCCCGTCCACGCCGCCACGTGCAGCGCCGTCCACCCGCCATAAGGACCAGACGCCGCATCTACATCTGCGCCAGCCTCAAGGAGCATCTCGATAATCCCGCGGAGCACCTTTAGCCGCGAATCGACGCATCTCTGCCCTTCGGCCGTCTTCTGCGGCTCAAAGTAGTCGCTCAGTCTGCTCCGTTCCCATATGGTGACTTCAAGCGCCCCTTGATCAATATTTATCCCGGCCTGGATCCAATGCCGAACGGCGTTAGGGTTTATGGCTTGGATTGACACCCATAGCGTCTGATTAAGGGCGAGATCATCAGACAGCACAGCTCGTCGGTACAGGTAAGGGTTTGCGATGGCGTGCAGTTGGCGGGAGGTTTGGGAGAGGGAGTTGATATCGGTACGTTTCTTCAGGTGGTCGGCGATGCCGAAGACGAGCTCCGGTGGGAGGGTGCTGAGGACAACTAATGAAGGATCCATAACTTCATCCATTAAATATAATAATTTAAAAGAAGGAAATGCAATAAGTATTTGGGCATTTCGTTACCTTGGGACGAGTTGGGAGTAAATTTCATGGCAAGGGAGCTCCTCTTATAAGTCTGCTGCATCGTCCGACCTTGGATTCCGGAGGAAAGCGTACATTAATGTAGCAGTGTCACCCTGAGAACCCCGCCAGCTCAACCAAGGTCAGCAAGAAATTACTTGCTGGTCTGATTGTGCGGATACAGCGTTTGATAACTCTAAATCAACCCACAAGGTTTGCCAGAGGGTCACCCTACTCTCAGACAAAGTTTCGGGGAGTCACCAGAGGGCTTGAGCAGAATCTAGCGTTTGTAGGTAGAAGCTTCTGGTTCATTGTCCCTTTTTCCCGCGATAGGTGACACCCTGCAAACGGGATGCCCAGATGCCATGACTGTGACGCCGGCAGTCTGGTTTGCTGGTGGTGAGTAAAGAGGAGTGTTTCTTGTAATCAAAACCAAGGCGACTTTGCCTTCAAATTCGACGGTGGGATCTTGTTGTGCAGGAGTGGTTTGAAGTTCTTGGGATCAAGGCGCTGAGAAGAAGCTTTACAATTGGAAGATGTAGATCCTACCAGGCAAGATATGGAGGGTCCGGCTATTCGCACCTTAGTTATGAGTCAAATTAGTGCGACTTTGCCGAAGATCTCTCTATAATGCTAAATTTAGGGTTGACTCGGGGCAAATTGGGGCTTAGTTTGACAAAGGTAAGGAGTTTTGGTGTGCTATTCTCCAAGATAAGTAATCCCTGGCAGCAACGAATTACATCATTGTATGCCTTGTGGGGTTCAGAGCAGTATGCGTCAGACATGCCGCGTATACCTGGTAACTTGGTACTACTGATTGTTGAAGCATCTTGGGAAGTCTTCATAATTTATGGTAGCGAAGGAATCGATGGTAGGCTGTTCGCAGGGGAGTGTGCGCTATATATTTCAGAGATGCCGTATTGGAGAATCAACATTATAGCTTGACTTTGGGAAAAACCCAGAGTGTAACCAACCCAATCTTTCTCTCTATTCTTTTCATCCCGAGTTTCAAGCGATATCAGCAATGGCTCTGCTTGGCGTCTTTGTTGCGACTCGAGGCTCGAGGGGCTCGAGGGTGGAGTTCCCCAGGTGGGTGGAGTCTTATAAAGAGTTCTAGAAAGATCTGGGTATATTTTATATCGATACCTACCTACACCTTCCCTTATTCTTTGTGGTTTCCCCTAGTTCTCTCTCAGTGGCCAATTCAAGACAAGCAGGCACGTGCCCACAACCGCGGGTTGGACTCGTCACTCAATGGCGATGGCAGCATCACAAGGTTTGTGTTGGCGGGGCAAATCCTGCGGAGAAAAAACGGGCACGTGCCTGATTCTCTCGTTCTCGTTCCTCGTCCTGTCGCTCACCATCGCTCGCACGATCGATGGAATCATGGATGTCTCTTGGCGGATAACAAGCTTCACCAAGCTTTGGTTGCAGCCGGAGAGATTCTTGGCCCCATCACCAGCAGCACGTGCCGACTTGGATTGTCTCCAAAAGCTCGAGTCATTCCTCGGCGACCCCGACGTCGCATTGCAGGAAACCTTACGTCGCCTCCACAATTGAACCAGTCAGGTTGAGGGGATCATGCGACAAAATCAAGAACCTAGTCGGCCTTGGCTCGAGGGCATTCACTCATATATCCTCACCTTGTCCAACAATCCGCTCTGAGAATCGAGGATGGAAGTTCCATGAGTTTCCAAGGTTTCTGAATCCCACGCGCCTTATCTCCGCGAGCCACGGGTCTTGCCTCTTTAAGCCCTCGCGCGCCCCGTCGTGATCTTCACTCGGACCGCTCGCCCATCCCATCGCCCGCCTTTTCTTGAACCTTTTTTCCTTCTCGCCCTAGGAACCTCTTCACCACCAATACATCATTACTCCGGTATCACCATGACCAAAGACGAGGAAAAGTCCTCTGTCGGCGAGGTTCCCGGCCCCGAAGCTGCCACTCTCGACTCCCTCCCCAAAACCCGCTGGGAGCGCAGCTGGCCGACGATTGCCTGCGGGGCCGGTCTCTTCTCCGACGGTTACCTCAATGGCGTGCGTCCACACACATTCACACTCTACGACTACAACCCACTAACATATATCTAGGTCATCGGCTCCGTCAACACCATGCTCGGCATGATCTACGCCGACGCATACACCAATTCCTCCGCCAGCCAAAACGTCTCCTCGATCGCATTCGCGGGGACCGTCGTCGGGATGCTCTTCTTCGGCGTGCTCGCCGACCACTGGTCACGCAAGGGCGCCCTCCTAACATCAACTCTACTGCTCATCCTCTTCGCGATCCTCTGCACGGGCGCATACGGGTACCAGGGCAGCCAATACGGCCTCTTCGCCGCCCTCGCCGCATACCGCTTCTTCCTGGGGATCGGAATCGGCGGCGAGTACCCCGCGGGATCGGTTTCTGCTGCGGAGAGTACGGGCGAGTTGAAGCGGGGGCATCGCAATCGGTGGTTCATCATGTTTACGAATCTGCAGATCGACTTTGGGTTTGTCGTTTCGGCGTTTACGCCCATGATTTTGGTTCTTATTTTTACCGAAAATCATCTGCGCGCTGCGTGGAGGGTTGCGCTGGGGTTGGGCATTATCCCTCCGCTGAGCCTGCTGTACTTGCGACTGAAACTGAATGAGCCAGAGGAGTTTAATCGCGAGCGGATGCACAAGTTTCCGGTTTGGTTGATTATCAAGTAAGTACGCTATTCACTTTTACATCAATTGAACCAAGCTAACAAAACTAGATTCTACTGGAAGCGCCTGGTACGACAATCAACAATCCAAACCCCTTCTGTTCAAAACCAACCTAACCTATCGGATTACCTCTAGGCCGTCGTCTCCCTCATCTGGTTCGTCTACGACTTCTCCGCCTACTCCTTTAGCATCTACTCCTCGGCCTGGATCTCCATCCTGCTCGGCGACAGCTATCCGCTGTGGAAGAGCTTTGGCTGGAACACGGTCGTCAATCTGTTCTACATCCCCGGATCGGTCGCCGGTGCGTTCGCCAGTGACTGGCTGGGTCCGCGCAAAACACTCGCCATCGGAGTTGGTCTCCAGGGTGTCATTGGGTTCATCATGGCCGGGTGCTACAAGTACCTGAATACGCCCGAGAATGTTGCTGCTTTTGTGGTTGTTTATGGGTGAGTCGCTTCCCCACCCCCTCTCCCCAAACAACTTCCCGGCACCGTTTAGACTAATACATGTATATGTGGGGTAGTATCTTCCTCGCAATGGGCGAATTCGGCCCCGGCGACAACATCGGCCTGTGCGCCGCAAAATCCAGCGCAACCTGCATCCGCGGGCAATACTACGGGCTCGCCGCGGCAATGGGCAAAATCGGCGCATTCGTCGGGACGTACATCTTCCCAATCATCCAGGACAACGCGCCCAACGAGACCCGGCGCGGACAGGACCCGTTCTTTGTGTCAAGCGCGCTGTGTATCTTTAGTGCGGCGCTGGCGGTTTTCTGTTTACCGCATATCGGGCAGGATACGATTACGGAGGAGGATAGGAAGTTTCGGGCTTATCTCGAGGAGAATGGGTTTGACACGGGGACGATGGGGAGGGTTGGAAGGGGTGTTGAGGCGGAGCGGGAGTCTTGAGTGTGGGTTTGGGGGTTGAGGTTGGTTGGTGGAGGTGAAGGAGCCCTGAGCCAAGGGGTGCATTCCGAATTTAGTGATGAGAGCGATGGTACATAATATGACCTTACGCATGCCTACTGTACCCAGGTACATTTAAGTTACTCTCTGCCATCCCAAACAGGCACCCGGCGCTTCTGAGCAACAGGGGCCTCTATGGCGGAGAAGCTCACTAACCCTTCGCGGGGTTCCATTCAAGGCCTACCAGAAGCAAAAGCAAAGCAGACACTGCTGCCCAGACCCGGGTTATCGAGTGCGCTGCACAAGTCCTCTAAGGCAGCGGCAGGCACATCTCGTTTGCATCGTTGTCGCCCCACCTCGGCGGGCAAAGAAAGATGTGGATGGACGATGGACCAAAACAGGACTACAAACGCGGAAATGGTGGTGAGTGGTGAGAACAAAGGATCATGAATATCCTACTGGTAGAATCATATTGGGATCCTTTTCCATACATCGTCGGTGGCTGGCCTGTCTACGTGGTATACCGCCGAGACGAGACCTTGGTAGTCAAGTTAGCAATCCCCAAAGAGAGCCATCCCGTGGCAAAAGCACACAGCGAAAATATCCATGCAAGATACAACCAGCAGGCTAGATGGAACAAATCTACCCCGCTTCCTCAACAACCAGCATCCCCAATCTCCTCGCAACCTCTCGTATCCCTGCACTCCGCCACACCTCCGTATCAGGACAATCGGGATATTCTGGGGCCGGATCATTCACACTATCGTAATCATGCATAAAGAAGAACACCCCGGCCTCGCTGACAAACGCCGGACGATCCAGAACGACCGCGAACACGCGGTACGTGCGCGAGATGCTGATTTTGGCCGTTGCGAGGGTGTCTTCGCGGCGCTGAGGCGAGACGCGATGACGGGCAGGGGCGTCGTTGTTTGCGGCGATGGTGTGGAGGGCGCCGAGGGCGAAAGGGGTTGGGTCGTGTGCGGATAGGGCTGCGTGGTGGGCTGGGCGGAGAGTGCGCCAGAGGGCGGGGCTTGGGTCGGGGATGTGGAATGCTAGATTGAGCGTCTTTGATGGGGACAGGTGGGATTTCAGAGCAGATGTGAAGAGGCGGGCCGTGGTTTCGAGGAGGGTCGGTACTGTGCTTTGGTCGCCGAGGTGGCTGAGGAAGGAGGGATAGATTAGGTACTGAATGTCGGCTTCGGCTCCCTCGGGCGTGTTCGTGACCGTAACACTGCCTGCATTGTGAGAGACCTGGAAGGCGCTATCGAGCGTGTAATCACCGTTGGCAACTTCCTGGTCCAGCTGCTGGCGGATCTCGGTCTCGGAGGGCAGACTCGCATCAGAGGGCGAGCCCTCATCGACGTCCATGGCATAGTGAAGCGAATTCTGGTCCTCGCCAAAGCCGCAGGCATTGCCAAAGATCTCTTGCATGATCTGCTGCCCGATATCGGCCTGATTGCGGACATGGTCGACGGTGAACTCGAAAGCTTCTGGGTAGAGCTGGTCCTCGTCGTCGGGGTCCGCATCAGCCGCCGGAAGCCGCTGCACGGGATCAACGGAGGTTCGGGTGCTGGAAAAGGTCCGAGTAAAGTAGACCCAGTCTGGAGCCTCGCCAGCGGCGGCGTACTCATCTGGATCTCCAACGAGGCCAAGACGGTAACTGTGAGAGCGGAGCAGGATACAACACCCGATCGGGTTTTCATAGCGCTCGTCAAAGAACTGCGGAATCAGCGGGGGTGGATTGGTTGCTCCCGAGGCATGTTGCTGCTTGCGATGGGCGATCTCGCGGCGGTTGTGGTCGATGCAGCCGTAGGCGTCGGTCGGGCGGTACGAGTAGATTTCAAAGAGGGGCTTGACTTCCTCGTCCCAGAAGGTGTTTAGAAGATACAGGCGGAGCTGTTCGTGGTTCTCGTCTAGAGGCACGGTGCTGTAGACTTGGATGGGTACTAGATGCACTGGGTCTGGTTCAAAGCCTGGTTCAACGTATTGTTCGAGGACAACGGGGTTGCCACGGTGATCAGCGTAGTGCTGGACCTGCTGCCAGCCTGACATGATGGCTGTTTCTGGGTGTTGTAGAGATAACGAAAGACGAGGGAAGCAACACGGAGGAGAGGAAGAGAAACCAGGCATCATATTATGTAAGCAGGGCTGTGTTTACCCGCGAGGGGCAGGATCAACACATCTGAAACTGTACATCCTAGTCATTTATCGTCTATATATCCCAATTATACAGCACGGCCTACAAGCCCAGCTTCCCCAGATTATTGTCCCCCCACATCCCATACCGGCTCTTGGTATTCGACGCACTCAGCGCCTCCCCAGGCAACGGACTGGCCGCATTGGGCTGCGGGAATTTGAATTTACTCGCCGCCGCAGCGCCAGTCGTCATCGTCTGCGTGACAAAGTCGGTCGCCGCCTGCGTCTGCAAGCCCTGCAACTTGGACTTGGCCGTCGTGTGCCAAGCGGCCTGCACCTGTTCCGCCAGCGCCAGGTGCTTGTCGATCCAGTAGCACCACAGCGTCCGTAACCCCCAGTGTTTCACGTCGCGCGGCGCCTTGGGATATTTGAGGGCTGTGCCCGATGGGGGCGAGGACGAGTACTGCTGCGTGTATTGCTGGTCAAACTCGTCGCAGATGAGTTCGATGTCTTGCGCGGGCTTCGTCCATTTGTCTTTGAGGGTTTCCAGGTAGTCGAAAACGGTGGCGCCCTGGCTGTGTTAGTAGCTGGACTGGGCTTTGTCAGGGAGGGGCGCACCATCATGACCTGGTCTGCCAGGTTCTTCGCTTTGGCGCCCGATCGGAATCGTGACTGGTGGCCTTCGGTGATGGTCTTCTTGAGCCCATTCGGCTTGTCGTGGTAGAGGACCAAGAGGTTCGTGTTGGTATTGCTCCCCAGCACGTCGGCCGTATGCTGAACCCAGTTCTTGCTTGCGGCATTGTTCCTCGACCAGCGAAGACCATTCGCGTCGCCTTTTCTTGTCAGCTCACCGTCCATGCCAAAAAGTGATCACCATGCAGCTTACCACCAAACACCTCCTCACACCACTTCGAATCCGGCCGCGTCCACTTATCCGGGAAGGACATCTTGACATTCAAATCCGAGTACTTAAGCTCATTCTTGCCCGCGCACAGCCACTCAAGGAAATGGCTGACCAGATGCACTTCAAAGACGTGCTCCGTGCGGAACTTGGATGCCGCAAGTGAGCTGATCCCGTTGACCTCGTAGACGCCCGCGGCGCTCTTGATCGTGTCCTGCTTGACGGTTTTTGCTGAACACCGGCGTTTGTCGTTGATATCGGTTGAGCTTGAGAGCATGAATTCGGGGAGGTACCACTGTTTTGTGAGATTCGCCGCTTAAAGGAAGAGTAGGGGGGCGCGTACCTTGGCCACAGAAGAAGGACCATCATTCGCGGCGTTGCACCTGGGATACTTCATATACGTAAACTGCTTCCCACTCCCACCGTTCAGGAAGGAAAGCGTCATATGCTTATCCGTATTCGGATCCGCCGCGCGCTCGACAAGGCTCAAGTCCGTGCATGCCTCATCATCCCCAGAGCCGTAGACAGGGCAAGTATCCTCCTCTTGCCGCTTTGCCAGATCTGATTCCTCTTCATCATCTTCCGTTCCGTACATAGAGCACATCACACAGCTGTTCCCGCCGGCACCGCCCTCCCCAGGACATTCGAGGAACCGGTCTGGAATCGTCACCAGCGGACCTAGGGTTAGCGTGTCCCGCTTTCCGTGGATGCTCGGGACCCCAAGACCTGGGGTGAGGTAGTTCCCCGTTGCGTTGGCGCTGTCAGTCCATCGTCGAAGTTCCTTCTTGGTGTCCGAGTCTCCTGGACACGTCGACGGGGTGATTTGTTTCCGTGGCGCTTCGGCGAGCGTAAACCGCTGCTCGCCTCCCCAGCCGAAGAGCTCCGGCGCCGTGAGCTGCGCGTACATCCTTGAACCGGCGTCGATGCCATAGCTGAATGGGCAGCTGTTGTCGCCGTTGAGTTCCCAGTGTGCTTCTGCGTGCGCCACGACGTAGCCATCGAGGACGAGATCGACGGCGCATCGGTCGACCTTCCACCGGTCGTCGAAGACGATACCAAAGGTCACCGTCGGTTTGAGGTGAAGGACAATCTCCCCGTTGGCCGTTACCGAGGCGTCAAACGTCGGCTTCCCAACTGTATCGGACTTTCGATCGGGGTCATCCAGCGCTTCGGGCGGGTGCTCGTCGCTCTCGGGGTACGTCTGCTGGATCTCCCACGAGGCGAGCGTAACGGCCGCCTCGAGATGCCCCGCGACAACAAGCGACGCATCGGCCGATGCATAAACGGCCAGATTGGGTCCAATCGTCACAACCCCAGGCACGCGGAACGTCGCCCCCGGAAAATCATCCAGGCCCAGCAACTTGATATCCCCCGTCGAGTACGTCAAACTGGCGACAGCATCGAGCTCAAACGTCGCCTTGACCTCGCCCTTGTTCTTGAAATACAGATACGACTTGCTCAAATCCAACCCATCCCTCAGCGTCGTGATGATGGTCAACCCAAACGAGGTCTGCACATCCAGCTCCGCCGTGATACTCGACCGCAGATTCGCCTGCACCTGCGCGCCGCCGACAGGACACGGCCCGAACTGCTGGTCGATCAGCACGAGCTCGACCTTTTCATTCACGCGGTGGTTCAATTCCTGCGTGACTTCCGCCTGCCCAACGGTAATCAGGTTCGCGAGCCAGGTCAGCACGCCCTCGCCGAACCACCGCTTGTGCAGATCCGCGCGCTCCATGCCCCCGAAGTGGTACGCATCGCGCCACTCTTGTTCGATCCAGCGCTTGCGGTTCTGGTGGTATCCCGTCTCGGACCGCTTGGCGTGGTGCGCAGCGCGCTCGTCGGCGTTGTCCGCGGGTCGATCCACGACCGAGTCCCAGTATCCGGGCTGGTTGCTAAAGTCGATGCGCATCTGCGCTTCACCAAAGTCTCGGGGCACGCGCGCAAAGTCATAATCAAACGTCAAATCGTACACCGACGCGCCGCCCCAGTCCCGCTTCTGCAGGTGCCCGGCCAGGGACTGGTTCGCCGAGATCTCGAATGACTTGGCCACGGCGTATCGGCCGGGTCCGCATCGCTCCGGCATCTGGAGGATTGTTCCAGGCACCCCGTGCCCGCGGTGGATATGCTGGCATTTACTGTCGTCGCTCGGATCCCCGCAAATCATCCGAATCGTGTGCGCCTCTTCGCTGTCTGTGTCCGGACAGTCCATCAGCTCCCAGGGGGAGCCATCGCGCTTGTCGAGGCTGACTTGGACTTCGTCGGGGGCTGTCACGACTACGAAGCCAAAGGCTGCTTCCTACACCAGAATTAGACATGTAGCACTATCATCGGAGGGGTGAGAGGCGGCTTACATCAGGCTCATCCTCCTCATCGGACTGTGCCTCGCCGGTGCCCCATGTGTCATCTATTTGGAGATTAAACTCCGGATCGTCCGAGTCGTCAAGGGGCGGATCGGGGAAGAGGTAGTCGAGGGGTACTGGGAGGAAGAGCGACTCGCCGCTTTCCGGGGAGCAGCAGAAGGCCCGCTGGCGGGCGCTGTAGCATACATCTTAGTATGTATCGAGGTTTGTGATGATGCACGAGCTGTCAACTTACGTGGGGAAGCAGTCCTCGCCCTCGCCGTACGGACTTAGGGTGAGCTCGACTTCGATACCAGTGGCGCAGTGGTTGTCGTCGCAGCTGTGGATGCTTCGTCCGCCCCGTCCCTGTTGGAGTTAGACACCCGTCGTCTCCTTCTTGGAAGTCATGGTACGAACCGCCCAGTAACAATCCTTCCAGTTTTTGATTTCTTCTTTGGAGCAGCAATACGCCCGCCGGTTATCCATATCGATATCATCCAGCACATCCGCCAGGGCCTGCCCAACCAGCCCCGTAAAATCCAGCACATCAGACACTGTCGACAAGAAGGTCCCCGCAAACGTCAATATCTCCTGGTCATCCGAGCACTCATCCTTCCACCCGCAATTGATCCCACCCCCGGCGGCCACCTCGGGAATCGGACAGCAGTAGAACTGCCGCCCATCTGAACAGTGGCCATTCCCTCCATCAACAGCCGAGGCCAGCGCAACCTCCCCACCATGACACTGCCCGTTGCACAGACGCGGATTCCCACGCCAGTGGCACGTCTTGGGATCCGGTGCCGACGACAACGGACAGCAGATCCGCGAGTCGCCCTTGTCCCCGCCGTCGGGACACTTGAACGTGTCCATCTCGATATACCCCGTCCCGCAGGGCTTCCCGCACTCGGTCGTCATGCAGTCGCCCGGGTGCTGGCTCTCCCAGTAGCTCACGTCGTCGGTCAGGCTGTCGCTCATGACGAGATCCTGCGGGTAGAGGACGCCGCGCAGGGCATCGCGGTTGCGGTCGTCTTGGTCGATTGCCCAGATCAGTAACCCGCCGAGCCCGCGCTCGTTGGCGAACCGGATCTTCTGCTGGAAGGTTTGTTGATCGTCGTAGGAGATCCACTGGTCCCCGTCCGCGACGATGTACTTGATTGCGTTTTCCTTGTCGTAGACGGGGGTCAGCTCGTCTTGGTGGATGATGTCGACGATCTCGCTGTACGCCAGGATCCCCGAGGCGTCTGTGCACGCGCCCTTTTTCCCGCCGGTTTCGAACCTGCAGCCTGGGATTGCGCAGTCTTTATCCTTGAGCTCAAACGTCCGCGAGTAAAACGCAAGACCCAGGTTCACCTTGTTCGCGGGGACGTCATTCCGCCAAAGCAGATTCAGTGCCTGATCAATCTCCGTCAAGTTCGTATGCCCTAGCACCTGCTTCCCGATTGTACTGTTCGCATCCCAAATTCCGTGCAAATCATAGCTCATCAGGTTCATGTAATGCGCCGCACCGACCATTCCCTTGATATCGAACCACCGCAGATACCAATACGAGGTCGGCGCCGTAAACGACAGCTCATAGTCCAGCCCCTCGTCGTCAAACGCTTCTCGGATCTGCTCCATGAGCTTTACCCAGTTCTTCCCGTCATTCTTCCCGCCCTCCCAGTCCGGCGGCTGGCGGTCCGGTGCACCGGGGTACTCCCAGTCAATGTCGACGGCGTCGAAGCCGTAGTGGCGCATAAAGGAGAGCAGATTCTTGATGAATTTCGCGCGTTTTTCCTTTGTGGAGCTGAGGTCTGCGAAGACGCCCTGTGTGTCGGTGTGGTTGTCGTTGAAGGTCCAGCCGCCCAGGGAGACGCCGAGGATCACGTTGGGGTTGCGTTCTTTCAGGGCTGTGAATTCCGAGAGGGTCTTCTCGGGGACGTCGGGCATGGGGCCGATTTCGTAGTCATTGGGGGATATGTATGCAAAGGCATCTGGACGGGGGTTAGTTGGTCCGTGTTGGCAAGAGATATCAACCCGCAAAGGGAAAAAAGGAGGAGGACAAACAATTAACATGCGTCAGACTCTCCACGGGAATCTGCCGGATATTCATCCCCATACACTTCTTCTCCGCATTCCACGCCTCGTAATACCCGATGATCCGCTCCTGGACATTCCCACTCGACGCCCCGGACCCCGGCTGCTCGCACCCACTCTGGCAGCCCGCGCCGCAAAACTCCTCTGTCGTCCCGCAGAACCCAAACTCACTGCAGCAGACGTTCAATGGACATTTCGTGCCGGGATCCTTGGCGTCCTTGCCGCACTCGGCGTGCGCGTCGCAGTTGCTCCAGCAGTCGTCGTTGGGCGACTCGCCAGTCGTCCCGCAGTATTTGGCGCCGAAGCCGCAGTACCCGGATTTTCCGCAGCAGGCCCCGTTGCTGCAGGGGTTGTCCTCGTCGCAGGCGTACTCGTCGCGCTTGAGGAGGGTGGTGGGGTTGGCTGTGATGCCTAGGGTTCTGGGGTTATCGAGGTCGAGGTCGAGGTCGAGGTCGGTGTCGATGGTTGAGTCCCATGCTCCCAGTGTAGCTGAGAGGAAGAGGAAGAAAAGAACGAAAAGACCCGGTAATTGAGCCATGATGAGCGTGGAAAGGGGACAAAATAAAATGAGAGGAATGACCAAATGACTGTGTTGCCATTGACCCGAATAGAGGGATATGAAGCGCTACATATAACCCTCACTACGCTTCTACGACAACGGAGTAAATGTCCCCCGAGTCTTCTCTACTAGGTGCGGTGCCCCTCTATCCCATCCCAAAACAGAACAATGCAGCGCTCCGCCGCACGAGAGCCCTAGCTGATACATGCACAAACACCTCATCAGCCCACCCGCCCTGCAATTACACGACCGTGGAGGTACCTCGGAGGGCCAAAAGATACTCGGCTGCCAATCGTGGCTATGGCTGTAGCATGTTTGATGATGTCTCGGGGTCCTATGCTATCCCTGCGCTAGTCGCTGCACCGGTCCTGCAGAAATCGATAAACTGGCGCCGTCGTAGCCCTGATGGACAGATAGATTACATGATCGACAGCCGCAGACCCACACTCGTGCATCGGGGCGATGAAACGCGCGAGGCTGAATGTTGCCAAGGACGGGCCGTCGGGGCGCAGCGGCGAGGCACCAACAGAAGGACAGGCTAAGCGCGAGCTAAGATTCGATAAGAGCGTTGGCGCTGTTGGTTTCGGCCCCCAGGTTCTGAGGCCCCGTTCTGTGCAGAGTGTAGTATCGTCGGAATTGCCTCGGCAGGGGTTCGAAACGCTGGTGTGTCTCAGCCCGTGGGGGACATTTTTCCCGAGCTGCGGAAAAGGAGGAGGGGGACTACAGATCTGGGTAGGCTATGCAAGTATATCGCTTTATATAACGCTTTCGCGCGGGTGGTGGCTACCATACCGGCATATCATCGCCGCACAAGATTCCGCTTCATTGTGGCTCGTCATGGCTTCCTCGCGGGTAGCCGTCTGGCAAGTTACTCTGCTTTGTTTATCATCGCTCGTCGCCTCGTGGCAGGCCTTTCCAGGCGACACCGTCGATGCATACGACGACAAGTGCGCCGACGCCCTGGCCACCAACCTCACTGCGTGTATCCCCGCAGTCCGCGGCCTCAGCTCGAACAACTTCTACTCCGAGCACGGCCTCGACCTGATCTGTACCTCCGAGTGCAGAGACGAGCTCAAGGCGTACGAAAAGACGGTGACTGAGGGTTGCCCTGAAGTTACATACACAAACGAGTGGGGCACTGAGCTTCCAATCTCAGAGATTGCCAGCACGCTTGCCTTTGAGTTCCAGCAGACATGTCTCCAGAATGAGGGGCAGTACTGCAATATCGTGCTTGGGAATATCACGCAGCATGGCGGCGACGAGTGCAACAAGTGTTTGCTGTTGAAGCTGCGATCAGAGGCGCAGTATCCCTATGGGAGTGGCCCCGATGTCTACTCGAGTGTTTATCCCAGCTTTACTTCCTCGTGTGGGCTCACGGGGTACCCGGTGACTGTTACGCCGACGCCTGTGCCTTCGTCGTATGCAGACCCTATTGACTTGCATCCAATGTCCCTCAGCTAAACAGCCGTTTCCTTAGTACACCATCCTCCTCCTCCTCCGCGATCCCAACTGCCACGAGCACCTCCTGCGCAGGAACCACATACAAAATCCAACCCAACGACACCTGCAGCTCCATCTCCCTGGGCCAAAACATCGCCACCTTCCAACTCCTCCTCGACAACCACCTACAAGCCTACTGCGCCAACTTCCCCTCAACGGGAACGCTGTGCATCAAAAACACCTGCACCGTCTACACCGTCGAGCCTGGGGACACCTGCAAGAGCGTTGCCAGAGCCCATGGTATCTCCCCGGTCCAGCTCCGCTCCTATAACCCCTGGATCGACGGCGGGTGCTACAACTTTAACCGCACGGTCGGCACGCAGATTTGTCTCGACGAGCCGGGCGACAAGTATCATCCGCCCTCGACGGCAATCGGGTCGCCGACGAGTCCGGCCACGGCGACGGCGGCAGTCCCTGTTCCGACGAATGTCGCGGATAACACGACGAGGAGTTGCGGCGAGTTTTATACCGTTGTCGCGGGGGATAATTGTACCAGTGTTGCGGAGCGGTTTGGTATCCCGAGGACGGACTTTTTGATTCTGAATCCGGGGTTGAATGAGCAGTATCCCCCCCCCCTAATCCTTCAGCCCAAGGCACAGTACCGCGTACCCGGCCTCTAATCTATTGTTGCTAGGTGCACAAACCTCCTCCTCGGGATCAGCTACTGCGTCCTCCCCGTCGGCGACATGAGCAATTACCCCGGCGGCCCAGGGTACATCCCAACGATCTCGCAGATCCCCTGGACGGACCTGCCCGACGCGACATACACGCCCATCTTCAACCCGGACGTCTCAAAAATTGCACCAGGGACGACAACTGACTGTGCGAGCTACGTCGAGGGCAAAGATCTGCAGTTTGGGTTCCCCGGCGTGAGCGACTGCGAGGTCGTGCAGTCGTTCTTTGAGGTCTCGGCGGCAGATCTACTCAAGTGGAATCCGTCGCTCAAGGCGCTGAATGGGAACTCCACGAGTTGTGGGTTCAGTGAGGACTTTCGGTATTGCTTGGCTGGGGGCACTGGGTCAGGGTCAGGGACTGGGAGTGCAACTGCCTCTCCTACTTCGACGCCAGACCCGACTTCGGCTTCAATCCCCACCAGTACGAGCAGTTCGACCTCTGCTTCGTCCACCGAGACGACAACAGCCGAGCCAACCAAGACTCCAACTCCAACTCCAACTCCAACCTCCACTGACGCAACATCCACAAATCCAACAAGCACAACCACAGACCCATCGTCAATTCCCTCCCCAACTCAATCAGACAGCATCCCATCCAACTGCACCTCGTACGCCAAAGCCGTCCAGGGCGACAACTGCGTTGACTTTGCCAAGGCCCATGGCATTACGCCGGACCAGCTGTACGAGTGGAATGCGGTCCTTGGCAAGGGCGGCGAGGAGTGTGGGATGATGTTCCAGGCCGAGACGTATTATTGTGTTGGGGTTGCTGGGTAAAATATGTCCGTTTTGCGGGGATGTAGTGTGTGTGGGTGGAGGTGTCTGTCTGTATCCTGGGTGATTTGTCGCTGCTGTATGGAAATCAATTTTTTTTGCTTCTGAATAATTGTTCGTCGTGTGGGTCCATGACAGGATTTTCTAGGCGGTATTTAAAGAAGATAGACGAGCATCTGCTGATATCGAGAATACGCCGAGGTTCTAGATTTGAGTCCTGCCACTAGGATAGGGCACCGTATAGATACGCCCTCCCGTGGTGGATTTGCCGGTCATGGTTTTCTGTGAAATAACTGCATCGCTGGGATCCAGATGCTCGAGTGAGAATGTATTGGACGGAGAAACAAACTTCCTGTGCTCTCCCACTGCTAAGCAGGGCCCTGCCACAGAGTATGATCCTACGGCTTGATATATTAGGTTCATATCCATCTTCCCTCATTGATACGCTGGTTTTACGGCAGTCTTGATCTTTCCAACGTAGGCCAATAGTCGTAACAGCCCGAAGAGAAGGAGACTCGGACGGCCTACATTTTCGTCTCGCGCCCCTCATCAACCTCCTCCCCATACGTCATCTCGACCACCCCTTCTCCTCATCCCACTACCGATTCCAGTGACTGCAGAGATGAGCAGGCGTTTCCTGTTAGCGGGGCTCCAGAGGACACGACTCCATGTGAGACCCCCTTTCTCTTTCTCTGCTTCTTGACAGAGGCTCAAATGGATCTGCTTCATTTCGACCTCGACCAGGGGTGCGTTTTCGTCGCGGCCTGCGCGGTGGTAGACAAGGATGTCGCTGTCGCGGGCGTCTTGGATGCGGCCTTTGGCGATGAGGAATCTTGGAGTCACAGTGTGAATAAGAGTCATGCCTAGGATCTTTCCTACGACTAACATGGCGTTGATTGTGCCCAGGCGGGCAGATTGGGGGTTGTTGCCGTATTCTTTTCAGGCGGGGCAGATTTGGAGGGCGTTCATCACGGATCCTATACACGGGCAGTGTTTTAGTGCACGATTTCTGGTGTATGAGTGATACAAGGAGCTTACCGTCGTAGCCATTGGTGGCTGAACACAAGATGACGACGAAGATGACTGCATTGAGACGAAGATGATGCCAGGTCCTCCACCACGGGTTTCCATCTCGGGGCAGGACCTGTTGTACAGTCGTAGGTCATCAGTGGTCCGAATCCAATGGGTACGAGACGAACCTGGGCGAACTCCTGCCCGACAATGTCTACATCGACGCTGCTCACCCTTGCTCTGAAACGCATTTTGCTTGCAGTGACCACGTCGATGACTGATAAGCACAAGGCTGCTTCTCTGTAGCAGTTGAGACGAGCAACCGACATGGTATTTATAGACACCTTGACTGCTCCAAGGTTCCCATGGGGTGGTATCATGAACATAAATTGAGGGATTTGTCGCTGTAGATCAGGGTATTCTGTCAGTATCTTCTCCTCTATCCTGCTCAGACACTTGCCTAATCGTTTCGCTGATTCCTGTTTTTGATTCTTGTCGCTACTCGCAATCCACCATGTTGAAAACAAGCCGAACAGAAACCGACGCCGAAGCCTTTGTCCAGCGCCTCACTCTCAAAGAAAAGGTCGCGCTAACCGCCACGGTCGACTGGTGGTGCACGGCCAAGTTCAAGTGGGATGGCGTCTATCTCCCTCAGATCAAGCTATCCGTCCTCAGAATTATTTCCAGAGTATGGGAGGTGCTGAGCTATGCGTTTTTAGACCTCATGACGGACCGAATGGAGCCCGTGGCAAGAGCTTTGTGAGCGGGGTCAAGGCTGCCTGCTTCCCTTGCTCCTCGAGCATAGTTACCTCCTTTGATACGGCGATTGTCCATAAAACTGGATGGCAGATTGCGCTGGAGACGAGGAGTAAAAACGCGGATGTGAGTAACCTGGTTCTCTTGTATACTATTCTGATTCTTCTTATTAACCAGGCGCTTACAGGTGGTCGCAACCACGAGAGATACTCGGAGGATCCGCACGTACTGGGTATGATGGGCGCTTGATATATAATGGTACGTCATGTCTCGAGTCATGATCACAAATCCCTTCTAACAGAAGCACAGGATGCCAATCTGCCGGGGTCGCAGCAACCCCAAAACACTTTGTTGCCAACAAGATCGAAAAGAGGCGGCGTTTCCTTACAGCCCAAGTCGATGAGCGAGCACTACGAGAGCTGTTTTTCTATCCGTTCCAGTTGATTCTGAAGCACTCCGACCCTTGGTGTTTCATGACTAGGTACGGCTGGCGTCATCTCATATACGCACGCATCTAACCAAATCCAGTCATAGCCGCGTAAAAGGCACATACACATCTGAAAGCCCATACCTCATCCAGGGCATCCTCCGCAATGAGTGGGGCTTCAAGCGCCTCGTCATGTCCGACTGGGTGGGCACGTATTACGCCGCTGCGATGAACGCAGGTCTTGTCCTCGAGATGCCGGGACCTACAATTTTCCTAACCTCTGAACTGGAAACGCAGGTCTACCTCTAGTATAACTCTTTACCCTCACCTATATAGTTCCCTGAATACCTGCTCCTGCCTGTAATAGAGTAGTAGTATTTCTTATAAGTAGAAACTATTTTACTATGCCTTAAGACTCCTATATAGACTATTTATTTACTTCATAATCTACCCTAATACTATACCAAGGGTTATACATGCACTTGCACAATATGGGCTATAAAATATAATAATATATATTTTAGTAGGGAAGATTATAATTAGAATGAGTACCAGTATTAGTATTAGTATTATAGGTAGTAAATATATACCCTCTTGACAACCCAGGCTTCAACCCATCTCGCCTTCGCACTCCAGCAGTTCGACAGTTCCAGATCATAGTCCCTCACAAACACTGGGACCAACTTGGCCATCTCAAGTAATGAGATGTTCTTCCCGATGCATGTCCTTGACCCCTGCCCAAATCGCATGAAGCTCTGTTCCATGGCCTTTAGCCGATCGCCATCAGCTTCGAGCCACCGTTCCGGGCTAAACTTAGCTGCGTCTGTGCCGTAGACTCTCGTATCGTAATGGGCAATCCAGCTGCTGACTCCAACATTAATGTACCCCCTCCTCCGGGAAAACTGCCCCGAGAGCACCGCGCCGCCCTTGGGCACAGTCCTGAACATCGGGAACGCGATGCCCTGATTAACTAAGACGCACGGATTCCTTAATGACAGCCTGCAGGTACGGCATTGCTTGGGTTTGCTTAAATCCGAGCGCAGCAGCGTCAATTTCTCTGCGCAGATTCGCCAGGGACTCCGGGTTCTGATAGAGATGATATATGCTCGAGCTTAAACTGATAGCTGTGGTATCACTTCCAGCTCCAACGTTTTGAGCGGCTGTGACAACCACATCCCGTTCTGACAGCGTATGCGGACCTTGTACCTGTGCTTACACTAGCTTCATAGTCGTGTGCGGCGGAAGACTCTCCTTTCAATTGCTTCGCCTGGTCTCTGGTTTTTTGAATACGCTGGGAGGTAAATTTGAGTGACGTATGTCTGGTCAGTGCCGATGTATTTCGTCACTTGGACCATCAAGAGAAGTAGCCAAGTGTATACTTCCAGATAAGAATATCGAGTCGTGAGCTCGTTGAGCGTTGTTATTACCCCCGCCCATATAATTCCCGGCGTCGAGGAAGCCGAAACGGCTGCCAACCTAAGATTCCAATCATTAGTGATCCCTTGGAGGGTGAAGCGGAGCAGATGCACAGTAATCTCTCCAATAACGTCAAATGCATGGTTTTGGAGCCATTGTGCCATATTAGCCATAGTTGTCGGCATAAGGCTCGTATGCAACAAGAGAAGTCATCAAGTATATCGCTGCAACTTTTCTTTGGGTCTCAGCATGCCTCTTACACAAGAAGACTGCTAGATATAGGGATATTTACACTAAGCCATTTACTACTCTATATAAATATAAGTATTTATAGAAGCTTCTCGCTATTAACCCGGCCATGTAGTTCATATTATAATTTAAATATAATAGTAATCTACCTCTCAAGCTTTATAGATAGCTAATATAGCCCCTAGCTTAGGATACTATAGAAGCTATTAATACTTAATAGCTAGAGAGGAATGGCTAGAGGAAGAATACTAGCTAAAGAACTATATATAGGATTAAGCTCACCCCTCTAAAGTAGAAGAACATGAAGCGCCCAAGCACAGCAAGGTATGCAGGAGCATTAAGCATTGAATTAGCTAGGGAAAGATATTAGTAAGTTATTAAGACCTTTGGCAAGAAGGAGCTGAAATTTCAAGCTCACAAGCGAAGCAAGGATCAAGAGCTCGTGACCTAGTAAGGGAGCTTTAGCCTTTACGACTTGCGTTTGTCAGCCTAGTAACTCAGGAGGTCAACCAGCAAGCTGGTAGGAACCTGTCTTCTTCCAGCGCCTCGACCAGTCCTCCGAGTCGTCTACTGTCAGTAGGCAATCTGTTTGTCGTATCAGAGTCCCTTTCCATCTCCATCCAGCCCATTTCGGACAGAAATCGATGTACGAGCGAGTCATTGACACTGTATTCGTGACGAGATCGCAACGACCATGGATTCTGGGATTGCCACAAAAGAACATGATGGTCCATAAATTTGTCAAAGTCAATTCGTGTAATGGCATGGCTCACGGATATAACGCCATTCAGGTGGCCTGGTTTAAGTACTTTGTTGGAATAGTGGCGAATCATGAGGTCAAGTGCTTGCGATTCCCATTCGACCTCTCTCAATCGACCGTTGCTAACCGACTGTCCAGTCGCATCTTAGCACAATGAATATGGTTTGGGGGATGAGAGCCAGGTGTCCCAGCTAAATATTCTTGGAGTGGGTAGGTTTGATTGCCCGAACCAGAATCATATGCGTCTCTCATAGGTATGCCTTTGCTTCATCTGGCGCCATATCGGGAACGGCGTTCGGAGGGTAAGGACGTGCGACTGGGTAGCTTGACAGGGTTAGTACTCTATTGTCCAGATCTGTTAGATCATCTAATTGGCCAGGAGCTGCTATGTCTGGATAGCCACATGCGTGCATCTCCTCGTCCACAGGATCCGTGCAGTGGTTGCTCGAAAAGATACTGTAAGAGTCTACAAGGGGGCTGCATAACGTCGCTAACGCAACCGGGGCCTCTGCAGTGTCCACCAAACTTGGGGATCAAAGATTTTGACCGTTCTTGGCGTGTCGACGAGCCATCACATTGATTTCAGTTATTGTGGGAGTACCTTAGGCTAACCAGCAGGTTAGATCTAATTCTCTACAGTACCATCTGCTACCCTGCATCTAGCGATGCGTATAAACATGGTCTTTAACCCCAAAATCCATTGGTATACTGATTATTCCTCACCCCTTCTGTCACTGCATCTGACCCCATGTTCATCTCAAGCGCGACGTGTGTGGGGTCGTCAATGTAGCGATTGAGGTCATCCTGATTCTCAAACTCAATCACGAACACAACACGCTGCCGACTGTCTTCAAACTGTTTCACAAGGGAATCAGAATCTTTTTTGAAAATAGAAAAAACACAGATATCATAACCAAAACCGAGGTTTCCAGGGGAAAGCAAGTAAAGGTCAGGCTGGACTACTGCTTCACGGCAACTTCCTAACTTACCATTTCCCAGCTTAATCCCCCGGTGAAGGAGAGGATAAATGGTAGTTCTTTTTTCAAGGCAAGGTAACGGTCGCACATCTAAACGGCACTGTTAGTAGATCAATCCACTATAAACAGAAGATATCCCATATGCATTGTGCCAAATAATGGACGCAAGAAATGGGAAAATAGGGATCTCACTTCCTTAATAGACGCAGTGGGGACATCCGCTTTAAAATCCCAGGTCTCAATTCGTACTACTGTCATTTTGCAAAGCTATCAGGTAGTACACGGGATCAATCTTTGAATCACTGTACAAAGTCCGTGAATGATAGGGGAGTTCTCCTTGGTTAAATAATGAGAAAATTCCGACTCAATCTGCGCGGGGCTTGCGGCCGTTGCTGCTTTATGTACTATTGGCAGTACTAATAATATGGCCACTTCCGCCCTATCAGGTAGTTTGCTGATGAGGGGTAAGGTGGGGCAAGCACTATGTGCCCGATGACTTCTAGGTGAATCATTTCACGTATTTGAGATGGTAGCCAGCCAGCCACCTCAGATTCCTTGGAACTAAAGTTCTTTCCGCAACATCGCCGACAAACCGCGGCGGAGGCTTTGAATCAGCGAAGAGCCTCGCCCTGTCGGATTGCAATCACCCATGTCATCCTCAGCAGCAGCGACGTGGCAAAAGCCACCCACCGTCGCAGAGACGTACATACGCTCGCCGGACTCTCACTTCTGTACCAGACTTGACTCGGTTTGATTCCAGGAACTGCTAAGGTCGAGTTTCCGGAGTGAGCACCTCGTCAATCCACCGGCTTGATTTGAAATCCCTCCACATTTAGTGCAGGGGAAGTAATAACGAGACCTCAGCTTTTGTGGGACGGAGCGTAAAGCACGCTGGCCAAGAGAACTATGCGTCTCTTGTGGAATCTTCATGCTCAGGGGTGATAGATCGGCTCCTGGGGGGTTAGAAGGTCGTTTGATGCGACCCAAAGTTTTTCTAAAAGAGGCAGATATATATCTTTATGCAAGTCAGGCGGTAAGAGGGTTGAATAATAACCGGATTCTATAGCTTTATTAAGATTAATAAGGATATCTTTATAACAGCCCTTGCTACTATAGAACTACTAAATATAGAGTAACTTACTATAAACTTACAGGGTCACCATTCCATTGTTTCCGGTTGGTAGACACCAGATTCAAGATACATTATTAGTGGGAGTTTAAATATGAAAGATTGATCAAAAAGAGCACATTAAACGCTGAAAACAAGAGGCTAGTTGCGCGTTGTCTTCGCTAGAGACAGAACAGACTGGATATTGATGACATGTGACAAAGAGCCACCTAACTGGGCTACTCCCAACGCGTTGCCACACCACGTGGACATGACCCGGGGACCCCAGGCAAACCATTCACGCTTGGTCGTCCACCCGCATCAGCCCATCTATCAGCGTATCAATCCACCCACGCATCCAGATCGGATCGATAACGTTGCACAACATAAAGATGAATGTTTTTGACGAAGAAAAGAGAGGATTCACTGCCCTCTACACACCATCTAGGTCGGAAGACGGCATAACAGTAGCGATCCTGCTTGAGCTTTTGAGGTATGTACGGAGCTGGCATCTTTCGTCGCTCTGTCTAACAACAACTTTTTGATTGAATCTTACTTATATACCACTCAGACAGCCGCACAGCGTACACATAGTCGATAAAGTGGAAGCAATCAATGACGTCGAAGCCAGGAACACCGCCACGTTATTACCTGCGATCGTCGACACGGCGGATTCTGGCGTAAAGAAGATTATCGACGGAAACTTGATTACCGAGTACCTCCTCGGTCGCTATGACAAAGATCTCAAGCTCTCTTGTCCAGAAGGATCAAACCAGGCGAGGGAGGTTGATGACTGGCTCTCGTTTCTTAATGGAAGTGCTCATCACTTCCAACCCCCGAGTGGCGATAATCTTTCAGGGGAGGAGACAACGCCTTCCGTCAGAGAGGTATTGAGGATATACCTGCATCTTGAGCAGCAGCTGCAAAAGATGCTGACGCAATATCTTGTTGGCAGCAGACTGTAAGCCAGTTTTCGCCTCCTCTTCTTATAGCCACGCCGATCATGCATGCAGCTTATGTACTAACGTCGAGACAAGAACACTGGCCGACTTGGTGGCATTTCCCTTCGCGGCGACCGCAGACTCCTATGGGCTTGATCTGGAGCGTTTTCCTCAAGTAACTGCGTTGTATAACAGATTGATGAGCGAGCATTTTGTGAGGAGGGCCTTGGCTGCTGTTAAGATAGCTTAATCGGTTATGTGGGCTTACTGGAGTTCAATTGATATTTCTACTTCCGTTTCTAAGGATTTTGTCTTGAAACCTCTGCCTCATCTAGGGTTTCCGGTACTTGATATAATGCAAATTTCTCTTTTGGAGTCTAGAGAAAAAACGCTGAATTTTGTATGCCAAAGTTAATTCGCCCTTCATCTTTCAAAATGAAGAGACTCAAAAGGCCAGTATCCGATAATAGATCTTAGATATCTTCAACAAGTATCCGGCAGCTAGTGAGCGAACGGGCTTAAATTACCTCAATATGTTCGCGGCACAGATCATCTAACCTATCTGGCAGTGCTTTCCGGCATCTATTGGTCGTATGTGGAAACTTCAGCTGGGAGGCACACACATGGCCACTGACTGATGTGCCACATACGCTTGCAGCACGATGGAACCAGGAAGTCTGGGCGAGCGTCGAGAGACTACAACATTGTTCACCGGTCCCAATTCCCGTACATAGCGCAAGGCTCCCCCTATATTGTACGTAGCGGGCTATCCTCATCTTCCCTCAACCTCCACCTATCCCTCACCCTCTCCCTCTAACGCATCCTCCCACCCCTCACCCACAAACGCCAACTCCCTCCTCCGACTATTCCAGCACGGAAAGAACCTCCACGCACCAGCATGCCGCTTCGCAAAGTAAACGCGGATCAGAAAGGGGAGGAAGAACGGGAACGGCGGGAAATTGGTGTGCGCGCCGCCGTTGAAGTCGTGATCGTTTGTGCCCAGGACTACCGGGAGCATCACGTGCTGAGTAGGTAGTTAAAAAAAAGTGTTAGTTAAATAGCTGGTTAATCGAATCTTTAGGCAGGTTGGTGGCTGGGCTGGCTGGCTGGGATGTAGGGCGGGGTATGAGCGAGTCGAGCGAGCGAGGGGCTTCTCTATCTCTACTCCGTATGCGCTTGCGCTTGAATGGGATATTTGAGATAGGGAAGTATTAAGTCAGTGCATACCTTATCCCACTTAGCCATCCCCTCACGAATCAACCTCGCCTCAAACTCGTCCCACACCTTCTTCAGCCCCGTGCCTCCAACTCGCTCGCCGATCGCGAGAAGCTGCCCCGGCTCCTCTCTCAAATGCCGCATCAGCGGCGGCGCAAACCCGCGAATGATCCGCCGCAGCTCGCGCCCGCTATATTCGCTAAGATTCGTCGCCATGGAAATCCGCTCAACATACGCAGCCATCTCATCAACCCCATCCCTGAATGTGCCGTGCTGCTCTTCCGCCTCGCCCATTGCGCCGCTGGCGACTCCAGTGTATTTGTCGAGCATGGGAAAGAGAATCGATTCCTCGCCGTCGTGGTGACCGTGCAGCTCGGTGAGCCAGGTCTTGCAGAAGAAGAGGAAGTCGCGCGTGTCGACGGCCTCAGTGACACCTGTCGCTTGCAGGTAGATGGCGTTTAGGTGGCGGATTATCATGTTGTGGGCGAGGGTCATGGCCGTGAAGACGGCGATGGAGCCGTCGGATGCGTTTTCCTAAACATTCAAGTTGTTAGCTCGAGTATACACTGGAAGCGGATGATGGGGGAAACGGCGGGAAATCATGCGTGCGCTGGTCGATGAGTTTGGTCGTCGACTCACATAACCGTTTGGTAACTCTGTCGAGAGGAGAGGGTAGGGCTGGTCTGCCCAGGGGATGGACATGATGGGATATGGAGACGGAGCCTAGTCTCCAGCGGAGATTCCCGTGAATGAACTGCGTGGGAAAATAAAACTTCCGGCATACGACCACCGTTGTCGCTATTTAATGTTATCCTGTGTTAAGAGCGACTGTTTACCCGCTGACGCGAGATTTGGGTCAGCCAAGCTGCTAGTATTGCTGTGCCGGCGACTCAACGTCCATCTACTTGCGCAGACAGTGTTGTGAGAGATATTTATTCCCCATATTCATCAGGCGTGCCGCAAAAGCGAGAAAAAAAAAAAAAAAAAAAAAAAAAAAAAAAGGAACAAATCCTGCAAAAGCTCAATTTAGTAGGGTAAGAGAAACAGAGCTACTGTGATTGGTTGGCAGCGTATATGTTGGTTAGCACGATGTATGCGAGGCTGACGTGATACGGCCCCTGGGCAGAGGATGTTATCCATTTGCCAGGGGACAAAACGTGGAAATGTCCATGGTTTGGTGCCACGTGGATGCGGCGCCCCGTTTGCTGATTCCTGAACAGGAGCTGAGATCGGCAAACCTTGGCGAGCTGACTGCTGCCAGGGGGCCTAACCGGGTTGCAAGATGCGCTGGGTGGTGGAATTCCCACTTGGTGGATAATATCCATGTGGAGGCCGTGTTTCTTAGCCCCCATCTCTACTATCGAGTACATACTAGCTCGTAGCTTGTGAGTTGCGGGTGCGGGTGCGGGCGCGCACAGAGGTCACTAGTGTGGCTGAGGTTTACACCCAGCTCTGGGATTATTTGAAGTGTCTCGCCAAGCACCCCTTGTGCATGTTTCAGAGAAAGAAGCCCAGGTTTCGTGTTCCCTCAAATTCCAGACTATTACCAGATAAAATGTCGGACGCAGTCAACTCCGTCGTGATCCATTATCCGAAACCGGAGAAAATCCAGGAGGTGCGTTATATCTGGTTCTGGACGGAGTTTACCATAGCGGATTGAGGATAGCGAGGGAGCGTTTCACTGGACTAACGACAACTCCGACTGATAGTTTCGAGACCTCGTCCTCCGCGTAAAGAACACATTCAAGCACTTCCCGGGTAATCCGTACCACCACGCCTTTGAAGTCGGAACGGGCGAGGATGTTGAGATTGTTATTTTCGAGAAGTGTGTTCCCTGCTTATATCTAACGCCCTGGTTCCCCTGAATTTGGCTCAGATCAACCATGATCAACCCGTTCCTTCTCTATATTGCACAAGCGAGGCGCCAGCTAAGAAACTCTTGCGATGCCAGGCACAAGGACCAGGAGTCACTAGACCGCATCCATCAGTCATCAGATTTCAAAGAGATCACCGAGCTTGCCGGACAGCTCATCAGACAACCACCGCGGCTGATTCAGGGCGCGCCGCTGCCTGGGTTTGAGGGCAATAGCAAAACCGCCGCAGCGGCGTTTTTGGTGGATAGTCAGTGGGTGTAGTGTAGGCATCGATAGTGTGCACAATACAACGATAATGGGCAGATGAGACTGTTTTTCTCCAATTCATGACGTAAATTCAAGTTGTTCTAGGATTCTGCATCTATAGAATCGACGTATTATGCTGCTTGGCCCTAAATATTCGCAATAGCGGTCCGCACTTGCACCCGTACTCGCTCTGAACGGCCGGAATCGCGCATTATCCTACACCCATAGGAATTGACAGGGCCATCCGGAATGAATAGGGGAATGGGGGTAACCGTTTTGGATTTCGAAGGGTATGTATTAAAGCCAAGAAATGCCAAAGATAGGGTTGTGTCAGAGGTTAACACACAACCCCGGCCATGAATCTATGCTCAAATATTAGAGGCTCGGGATAAGCTCATTATCGATCGGACAAAGGCATAGAACTGTATATGCTGTATACAAAATGTAACTAATCTCCTTTGAAAACAGCCCCTATATCCCCTTCAATCCACCTCGCCCCAACCGTAAGCAATACGATCCTCCAAGCTCCCCCTTCACTCAACTCGAACTCCATAGTATTGAGACCATACCCATTTGCATTAAGAGTCGTTACACCGCCATCCTTACTAGACGGTCTCCAATGAGCAGCTCGAATCTGAAAATACGCCCTCCATCTCGTTTCCGAAAGCTCGGCCCACCGGCATGCGCCGATAAAGTGCTGGGTTGTTATATCCGGATTTCCAAGACGCTCCGGGTTGGAAACCCATTCGATGAATATGTTCGGTGGACCTGATGTGACTTTGACGCCACCGAGGGCCCCGTAATCAATTGAGACTTCTGGTGCGAAAAGACTGCGCAGTAGAGGCCAGGATTTTGTGTCGATGCTTTCAGCCCAGTCGTAGAGAATATTCTGGCATTGGACTAGCGGAGCGGCTGACATTGGAAGCGTTATATTGCTTTTATTGATTTTATTTTCTTCGCTTGTAAGAAGTGAGAAGTAGAAAAAAAACAAGGTTTAGAAGTTCTGTTTATTGATATAATGGGAATTATGCCAACACTATGATGGGATTAAAGAGGGATACTCATATCAAGGGTCTGGGCTTATTTAAGTATCCAACGTCTCAAATAAATAAACTAGTTAACCTAGCTGGTTACTCAGTCCAAAATTAGAAACGGAGAAGTCGGGTAGAGCGCTCGCGACCTCCAATATTTGACCTGATATTAGTAGTGGTGAGGGACAGCAACACGCGGGGGCCAAGCGGAGCTTTCGGTTGACTTTAGTTTTGGCAAACCCCTTGCAAGCCATACCCCCACCCCACCCCTGACTTCTAATGCTAAGCAATACACAGCCCTGAGGGATAGGTAATGTCATTGTAAGCGGGGTCAACGCGCCAGTCCCGTCCCAGCGCCGCTCCAATGCGTAACCGACAAGGGCGCTATGACAACAAAGCTTCAAGGTTCAGAAGGGATCGATTCGATATGACAGCTGGTAACGAGGATCTAGACACAAACGAATCGCTGGAGGTCTTCTGGGATCCAGTGGGATACAGGGGTTCTAATGCATGAGGGCTTTGTACGCAAGGAGGCAGGCGAACAGTTAGGCAGCAAGGCGCCCTGGCCTCCACACGGGATCTCCACAGTCGCTTCCTAAAGTGGAAGGAGAGGCTGATCCTTAAGGCGGCTTCAAACGCCCGGAAACCGCTGGAGCGGCTGAGTCGGTGAGTGTTTGGAGTGAGGCATCTAGCATCTAGGGTAAGCCAGTACGTTCTAGGTATACAGGATAGAGAGAACAATATCAGCAATAAGCAAGGCGCACTACCAAAATGAAATCTAGACAACTTTGCATGATGGTGCACTTGCTTTAAAGTGAAGTAAGGGGATCAGCATAAAAGGGTCACAGTGCTACTATAGGCGGGATCACCGAAGGGGTTCTATTATCGATAACAGGTATTGGAAGCTCGGTGTTGGATCGAGTAGCAGATCTGGAAGAGTAAAAGGGGCAGTTTTGGCTTGGCTCTCACCACAATTATCTATGGGGACGAGATGAAGAGAATAACCGGAGTGATAAGTGCAAAATAGAGGAGTTGAACTGAAGGTAAGAGAGAGAAAAGAGGTTAAAATGGCATGGCAAGCTTTTATGCCAGAGAAACAGAATATCAGGTTTACAGAATATGGTATTGACGCGCCTAACTCAAGCGGCGAAATGAACCTTGTAGCATAATTCACAGGTCCAGGTATTACATATCATGACCAAACTTGCAGACTTGCATTACTTGTATTCCCTATAATATCGGACCGCAGTGAATACTCAGCCACCATCCCCTAGAATATAGTCTGAAGCTCATGCAGTATATTTGAATGGAGATAGTAGACTCGGTCGAGATAGACAATATATAATATAAGGTTTTCCCATCAGAATATATCGAGCCCACACTTGAGTAGGCCGAGCGAACTGGATGATATCACCCACTTCTCCAGAGACTGGGAAATGCCTATCGAGTAAGATGAAGCTTAGGCGTGAATTTGGCTGAAACACCAGCTTCATGGCGTTGACATGGAAGTGCCTAGCTGCCGCACTTGGATTTCGTGCCGGAGGGAGCGACCTGTCCCATACCGATTATGGAAATCCCTTCCCTCTTTCTGCTCAACGTCTTTCGTAGCGTCCTCACGGGCGCCATGCTAATGAGTGATGTAAAGCTACACTGTATCATCCGACATTCGTCCAAGTATTTGCAATGACCCCGATCCAGTCGAGATCCGCTTGGCATTCAGCAAGTCTCCAATAGTGGAAACTAACACCTGCTGCGGATTGTCTAAAAATTTAACGTCTTCGAATATATTTACTCAACAGCTCTCGGAGATACCGGAGGCGTCTGCGAAATATTCAGACACTAAGCAATGATCTCGCTCTCTTTCTTGATTTCCTGCCACGTCGCACGCAACCAAGTCAGGCATTGTTGGATTCTTACTACCCCGCAAGTTTGCTTCTAATTTATTCAGACGTTCTTGAAGCTGATCCGAGGCTACGCTCATGTTCTGGATGGAGGAAACAAGATACTTTTGGGCCAGTTGCTGGGCTACGCTAAGATTAGGGTTCGCTTGACGTGTCGTGCCATGTGTGCCAGTGGTTTCTCTAATTCTCGTCTCACGTTGGGACTGAACCTTCTCAATATACTCGGAGACCCGGTTATAGATTGTGGAGGCAGTCTATTATACTTTGCTTTTCATCTTCTATCTTTTGCAATTCTTCATGTCCGAGGGTAGCGTCGAACTCGTGCAAGGGCTGGCTGGTGCTTAGCTTCCCTTTGAGCTTGCCTAATTGATCATGGAGGTCCGAGATAGTATTTTATATCAAGTCCTTGTAGTTACGGAGTACTTGGTGGGTGACTACACTAGACTGGCTGATAACAAGTTACGACCGTCCAGGACAGGAGACTCGCCCGTCCGAGTTCTTGACCAACTGGGCGATTTTATAGCTTAACTCCTTGCAGACAGCACCACATTGTGATAAAGGGAGGCATAGGGCCGGGAGCTCTGATTCATACTCCACAGCCACATTTTTCAGGACCTCGAGCGACTGTGAGAGAGCCTGGACCTCGTCCCGCAGTTGTCTAGCCGCCCGCTGACTCGGCCGGAGACCCTCAACTGTCTGGTACAGTAATTTACTAGCCTGGAGAGCAGATCCAGAAAGGGCAGCCACCCCGTGCACAGTTGGTACGGGGTCTTCCATGTTGTTCAACGTGCGAAATCGGAGGCAAACAAGGGAGTTTGCGAAAGCGAAACCACCCAAAGGCTGAGAAACCCATGTGTGCTGAGAGGGGTTGGAAGTTCGGCCGCAGGTTTCCCCGTTTTTGTGTCCCTCAGCCCTATGTACGCCGCATATGCACGTGAGGTATTATGAGTCAAATTATCTTGTAGCGATACTGCACTAAATTCATAAGGCTCATCCGACCAACAGCCCTGGGTACACAGCTCGTCCAAGCTTCCCGCAGAGGCGGTTGCAGGTCAGCCGCGGTCATTATTTCGGTCGCTCGAGCCGTTCGGCCTTAGTAATGGTCTTCTTTCATGGTCCTGGCATCACGTGCTTTTAGAACGACTCAGATGAGCTCTGCGGAAGCTCGAATGAGCTGTGTCCATAGTACTAAGGTTGTGATTGCTTGAGACAAAACCGGCTTACATAAGTCTCTTTATGAATCAGGTGACGCTCAAGCGAGGCAAAATAGATTACAACTCGAGTCACCTCTAGGAGGACAATATGGAAACAAATTACCATTATTACTTTGAAAATAAAAATTGCCAAAATATGGGCTCGCTCGAGTTATTCTGACCTAGTAATCAGCTGTGACACTCATCGTAAATTATGAGCTCTGCGGGGAGTACACGCCTCAACCGAGCTTCTGCAGAGCTCAGCGGGGGTCGTTTTTTTGGTCGCTCGAGACGTTCGGCTTATCAGGTAATGGTCTTGGCATCACCTTTTTGTTTTTGAAACGACTCATATGAGCTCTCCGGGTGGCTCGGATGAGCTGCGTACACCACCAGGTGATGTTGGAGCTCGTGGCGTCTGTAATATTCGGCCCACTGCCAGAAAAATAAGAAGGTCTGGTGTATTGACTCTAGTACTCCGTAGTGATACTATACTACGTCTATCTAACAAACTAAAAAAGTAAAAATAATATAAGGAAATAACGAGAAATAACCAAGTAGGCGCTAAGCTGTGGTCACGTGCTCTCGCCGGCGACGAGTCAGGTGGACCGCTTGGTCTCTCCTACATCGGTGTACATCACAACAATTCCAGTAATAGACCGCCATCTTTACAGATTTCAGTGCTTTTCGAATCACCTAGATGCATTCCCATCAGTTGGCTAATAACAACTACGGCGCAGTCAGTATCAACCCTGTTATCGAGACGCTGGTTGATTTGGGGACCCAGCAACGCACGTGGCAGTCACAGGATCTTATATATGAGGTAATTCACAGAGCTTCCAGATAATCAATTTTTTCTTTGCGAACTAGGGCTTCCAGTGTGCCTATGTACCTACACTTCACGGTTCCTCCGACTATAGACAAACAATGCCTCGAATTTGACCTGAACGGTGAACACAGAATCTCTGTGCTCAGTGCACCAAGTCAGAAACAGCATCGAGGCCCAAAGGACAGTATGTGTTTCACATACTCGACAATCTCGAAGGCCTATGGCCACATGAATGTCGTCGAGCATTGGTTGGGTCAACACGGTTGAAGAGAAAGAAAGTGCCCAAGGTCTTGCAGCCTCTTGAAGCTCCGCCAAAGCCTCATCGACATCCAACATAAGCAAGCCTCAGCGGTTAAAACTCTGCAAATATCGCGTATTCTACCAACAGGATGCCGTCTTCGTTTGTGAATATCGGGAGAGTGTTTCGGTCCCTGTACGGATGTTCGTTGGCCATCGGTTCGTCGAGGCGCGCGAAAGGCTGCGACACAATGAAGGCGTCTCGCACCGGGCAAACTATATTTGGAACGGCGTTCAACATTTGTCGTGCTTGTATTGGTGGCACCGTCCCACGACCAGATGTCAGACTCGTATGTAGGGGTCTGTCAAGTTTTCATCCACATACATTGAGAACTCTCCGCGTTCTGGTAGCCGCCCAGCGCAACCTACCCTGACGCCAGCGCAACTTGGTGCAAGCAAGGCTGCGCGGCAAGAGGAAGCAGGGTCTGATCCCACATCTTGCCTCTATAAATCCATTGAGAATATTTTCGGGAGACCTATTCATTTTCTCCTCCTTTCGATATCCATCTCCAGATCCCTCGATATGACTGTCCCTGCTAGAACATGACGCACTACACTGATTACTTCTTCACCTCCAACCTAACCGACTACATATGCCCGAATTTTGGGACATTCCAATGTCGGCCGCCGAATGCTTGCGCCCGCGAGCCCTCTACGGGAAAACTGTACTGCTGCGATCACATGGACGGCAGTCACAGTGTATGCTGGACGATACCCTCGCCGTGCAAGAACGATGGCAGCACACTTTATTGCTCAAGCTGGGGAGTTGACTGGTGTTGTGATTATGACACGTTCGTTCCACTTCAGCCCTTTTCTCACATTTAAGACCTCGTGTTTTTCTTCATGGCGAAGGTTCCTCTCTAACAACTGTCTACTGATTCTAGAGAGGTCTGCACGCGCACAACTGGCCAGACGAATATCTGCTGGAACAAGGTAAATAGCGAGGTTGGATTGATATACGAGGATACGTTGAACCAACTGTATTCCTCCTTGATGACGGATGACCCGTCCGCGACGACATATGCGTTCGATCTGGCGTCGACGCTTCAGATCACAGTGTCATCGTCGTTCTCTTCGCCTCCACCTTTGTCGACATGGTCGCCAAAACCCGATGGCTCTTCGTCCTCCGTTTTGACCCCCAGTACGCTCGGAACCACGACAACGGATGGTAGCACGACGACCACCCCGGCACTAGGTCCCAACACGGTCAATTCGCCTGACCCTGGGTCCCACCCGTCCTCGAGTTGGTCCGGCGGCGCTATCGCAGCGATGGTGCTCGCAGGCTTTATGGTTGTGGGGACCGTCCTTGGAGTTATAGTTCTCCTGCTAGATCGACGCAAAAGTCGGGACATCGTCAGATCGGGAGCGGGATCGGGAGCGGGAGCGGAAATACCGGAGCTTGATGATACACGACCCGTGCAACAGGTCTGTGAAGCAGATGGCCATTCAATACGCCCTCCACTAGTCCCATTGGGGCCTCATGAATTACCCAGCGGCGCTTGGGCCCTATGATACTGCCTTCCTACTAGTTCGGGTCGCCAGCCGCGGACGAACGAGAGAAGTAGAGAGAGAGTTCACGCGTTCCTAATGCCACAGACATTCCAGTGAGATTAAGATTTTCCGATACGCTAGCGATGATGGAAAAATGTACTTAGTTATTAGACTGCAAACACCTAATATTTTCGCTCGACCCACACAATGTACTTTACCTCCAGTTCGAAAAGAAAAATGATCCTCCTAACTTCCCACCTTCACATCTTCCCACCTTTACATCGTTGGCCACACCCCCCGCTCCTTGTAACCCGAGCCCCGGTCTCTATAGGCACCCGTCCCAAACGGGGTGGGGGACAGCATAGATGACAGCGATGCCAATCCAGTGATGGTGGTAAGCTACCAAAAAGAATCCAACTGATATATGTTTTTTTCTGAAGCACAGCAGCTTGGTCGTTGAGATAGGCCGTCAAGCTGATATGCAATCAACAAGACACGCGAGAGACTATATATAGCTCCCACACAACAGACGCAAGGCTGATTGCCAAAGTACCAGAGATCAGGCTCTTGACTTGACAAACGAGGCGGGGCACTCTGGCCTATCAGACACTCCACTTACGAGTCTCGGAGCAATGAGCGCACGGGGCGTCTTGTATGACCCGTTGTATAGTTATGTAGCGCTCAACGCGAGTGACGATCAGCAGGGGTTTTGCTGGATTGGTCTGTAGGGTTAGGTGTTAGGTACCTGGTCGAGATGGCTCATGTGCAGGCAACATCCATGATCCTATACTGGAAACACATTCGTAGAACAACTTGAACCCAAGTTCCAAAATTACACGTACCGTTGGTATCCTTAAACCCAGCCCGCCGGTGCAATAAGACTGAGTATGACTTTATGGAGACAAATTCTCCTAGGTACCACTACCGCGCCAGACGATTCATTGACGCTGAACGAGCTGAGTCGCTTCTCGTCGGGAAGTGCTACGTTGAAGCTGCCCAGAGACGGCTTGGCCTTGTGATGTCTAGACTTGGGATTATATCTGCTCAGTGTCTTTGCTTAGCTGGGTATGGCTCTTGGGTGGTGGATGCAGATGCGGATCCAGTTCGTCTCGGCGTCTTTGCTGCTTGCGGCATCGAGGGCGGGCCGGCGTAGAGATGCCGCGGGGCTGGCACGCGGCTGTGGAGAAGATGTATGCGGCAATTGGGGTTGGAAGGGCGATTGTGAAGCTTTTGAGGCTTGTCGGGGCGTTTTGGAGAGGTTGTATTTGGACGCTGGGTGGGTGGGCCCCGACGACAGGAGGGGGTAGCGGTGGGTTATCTACTTGATTTGGATGCATTTTCTTTTTCTCTGAAAGAATGTAGATGCCAAAATGGCGATGATATGATCTACTGCTGAGCCATGTTTTACACAGTGGATACTGGCTGTTGCTTTACTTACTTTGGTTCTCGGGCCATGATTCTATACCGGAGCCTTCATCCCCCTCAATTAAGATCCTCAGCCTCGCCCGCTGCACGGGCTACCGGGTCGGACGTGGCCTGTGGGGTGATCTACATTTAGTTCGCCGACAACACCATCGAGAGGGGCATATATGATTGTCCGAAGTGAAAAACCTCGTATGGATCTCGCTCCTATCATTTGATTAGCTTGAGCAGCTCCACGCGAGCCCTGCGGATTCAATCGGCACACTGTATCCATCCGTCTTACTCTCCGAGGGTAGAGAGAATAATCCACTCCGGTGAGGACCTCGGCCGGTGTAGATTTTCTTTCTCATTTACCTCTATGCACGTCAGCTTGACCATGTCTGCCCCTCATGTCGTGATCGCGACCCCGATTACGCCATTGCTGCTGAATTTGTAATCCACCATCACGACCACGCATAAGTATACCTTGAGGTCTCTCCTCATCTCACAGACTCCAATCCCACGGAACTCTAGAAATCAAATATCCAAGATCACCAAAATGCCCGACAAGCAACTCCACCTGACGGCGTTTATGCGCCCCGTAAGCCTGCACACGGGCGCCTGGCGATATCCCAACTCGTACCCCGACGCAAACTTCAACCTGGCGCACCTGAAATCCTTCATCCAGAAGCTTGAGGCCGCGAAATTCGACGCGTTTTTCATGGCCGACCACCTCGCCGTCCTTAACATGCCCGTCGAGGCTCTCAGGCGGAGCCACACGGTTACCTCTTTTGAACCGTTTACTCTTTTATCAGCGCTGTCGCAGGTAACAGACAAGATTGGCCTTGCAGCAACAGCCTCGACGACATATGACGAGCCATACCACATCGCACGGCGCTTCGCGTCACTGGACCACTTGAGCGGCGGCCGCGCGGCATGGAACATCGTGACAACCGGCAACCCAGAGTCCTCCAAGAACTTTGGTAAAGACGAGCACCTGCAGCACAGCGACCGGTACAAGCGCGCGCGGGAATTCTACGACGTCGTCACGGGGCTCTGGGACAGTTTTGCTGATGACGCATTCATCCGGGACACCGAGAGCGGAATCTTTTTCGACCCCGAGAAAATGCACGTTCTCAACCACAAGGGCGATGATTTGTCTGTTCGGGGTCCGCTAAACATTGCGCGCCCTGTGCAAGGGTGGCCTGTTATCGTGCAGGCCGGACAGTCGGAGCCGGGAAGGCAGCTTGCGGCGGAGACGGCCGAGGCGGTGTTTTGCTCCCCGCGGGATCTGCAGGCGGCCAAGGCGCTGTATGCGGATATTAAGGGGCGGGCAGAGGCTGTGGGACGGAAGAGGGAGCACTTGAAGATTCTACCTGCGGCGCTGATTATCGTTGGGGAGACAGTGGAGGAGGCGAGGGCGAAGCGGCTTGCCGTGGATAGTCTAGTGCACTATGACAGCGCGATTGCGTCGCTGTCTGTTGCGCTGGGGACGGATGCGTCCGGGTTCGATCCCGATGGGCCGCTTCCCCACGATCTCCCGGAGACGAATGCGAGCCATACGAGTCGGGCGGGGGTGTTGAAGCTGGCAGAGGACGAGGGATTGACGGTGCGGCAGCTGGCGCAGCGGTATGGCGGGTACTCGGGGCTGGCGTTTGTGGGGACGGCGGAGGGGATTGCGGAGGAGATGGAGACGTGGTTGAGGGAGGAGGGGTCAGACGGGTTCACGGTGGTTTTCCCCTTTCTGCCGCAGGGGCTGGACGATGTGACGCAGAAGCTGGTGCCCGAGTTGCAGCGCAGGGGCATCTTTAGGCAAGAGTATACCGGGTCGACGCTGCGGGAGCATCTGGGGCTGCCCAGGCCGGCCAATCGGTTCTTTGAGTGAGAAGAAATACAGTGGCAGTGGGGCGGAGATAGCTGATAGGAGCTGATAGCAGCTGCAGATAAGCGATGACTGTTTAGCAAACACGAGATAACGGTTGGAGCACTTGGAGTAAGCGGTCCATAGCCGGCGGAGATGCTCCGTGCGGGGATTCCCAGTCCTCTTCCTTCCTCATCCCCAAAATGTCCCTTGCGCAGCCAGTCAAGACCCCCTACCAGCCTTTTCAGTGTCTGATCTGCCAGAGTCGCTTTACGCGGCATGAGAATCTCAAGCGACATGCTCTCCTGCATACCCGGTCGCAGGGGGAGGGTTCGTTGCCCTGCGACTTTTGCGAGGCGACCTTTTCCCGGCCGGACCTGCGACATCGCCACATGAAGAGAAAACACCCAGAGCAGGAGCAGAGACGGGCAAGGAAGAAGGCACAGCGGTCGCCGGAGAAGAGTGTCTCTCCTGCAGACAGCTACAATTTTGACGAGAGCGTACAGCCTGTCGATCAGTGGCAGGGAGAATACACCCAGTTTGACCATGCGACGGAGACTCCTCGCATCGAGGGACACTCCAATGTGATGGACCTGAACAGCCTGCCCGACAACCCCCAGCCAGCCGACAACCCCCCCGCTTTCTATCACGGCCACGACACGCCTTCTCCCCAAAACGAGTGGTCCCCGAGCCCCAACCAAGTCGCTCATGGCTGCGAGCTCTTCTTCGCCCACGTCGCCCACTTTGTGCCCTTCCTCCACAAGCCAACCTTTGACCATAATCAAACGCCTCTACCTTTAATCCTCAGCATCCTCTCCCTCGCCTACCAATACGGCCCAGACCCCGAATCCAACCACCCAAACTCCGGCGCAGCCCTATCCCGCCGATGCTTCCACCACGCACGCACCCTCATCACCCCCGAAGACGCCGACATCTCTACGGTGCAAGCCTACCTCCTCCTCCAGATCTGCGCGATGATGTACCTCTGCGGTGCCGACTCGGCCCACGGCCTGAAAATGCACTCGATCACAATCCCGCTCGCCCGCAACGTCGGCCTCATGCAACCGATCCCCCTCGAGTCCGCCGCAACCCAAGACCTCGACACCCTCTGGCGCGCCTTTGTCGCCGCAGAATCTCACAAGCGGACACTCTTTGCGCTGCACCAGATCGATGCTCTCTGGTACCAGTTCCTCTCCATCCCGCGGTCGATATCGCATCTCGAGATTAAACATGACCTTCCGTGTCCAGAGGACCATTGGAATGCAGCTTCCGCAGCGGAATGGGCGCATAGGCAGCTGATCGCCGGTCGGGGCCAGGGGCCTGGGCTTCAATACGCCGACGCCGTCCGCCGGTTCCTCTCGCAGGATACGGAGCTGAACAGTGTGTCGGCCTTTGATCCGTACGGAGCAATCAACATTGCGCAGTTCCTCATCTCGAGCGCCCGCGAGATCTCCGGCTGGTCCGCGATGACGGGGATGCTGAGCATCGACCGATTCGGCGCGCTGCGGTCGTCGCTCGTCGCACTAAATCCCTTCATTTGCCCGTCTACGACTACAACAATCCCATCTACACCAGATCCAACCTCGGCACCCGCAGCCACAGCTGGAACCGCCCCTCCCCCAGCAAATCCAACCCCACGCACCTCCCTCTGCCCGGCAACCTGGCACACGGCCATGATCGAGCTCCAGATCTGGTCGCCCAGCCACACCTCGGGGATCATCCAATCCAGTCTCGACGCCGTCCTCCACCAGAGCAGCTACCTCAGCCCCTCGGGCGAGATCCTCTGCGAGGAAATCACCGTCGCCGCGATCCAGGTCCACGTCGACTGGTTCCTGCGGTACCTGGACGACACGGTTGAGCCGTGCGGCGAGGCCCCGTGGGTGGCGCTGTATGCGTACAAGGCGTTTTTGATCGCGTGGCAGCTCGTCAAGGGGCGGTTGCCCGGGGCGATGGGGGTTGTGGGAGTTGGGGATGGGGATGTGGAGGGGGCGGTGCGTTGGGCGAGGGGCGTTTTTGGGCGGCGAGGGGGGTGGACGCTGGGACGGTTGATTTTGGGGAGTTTGGAGCAGTTAAATTGATAATCTTTGATAGGAATAATACTAGTATATCTCATGATAATGCTGTGATCTACCTAAAAAGTCTCTCTCACTATATCACAGCTCGCCCGACAACCCCCTCTCGCTCAATACATCTCATACCTCCACCCCAACGCAACCATCTCCTCGGTAACACCCCCCCTGATCGCCTTGGCCACCTCGCCCGGATCCCCGCCATCCAACCTCCGATTCTCCCTGCGGACCAGCCACCGATAAACCGTCACCGTGACGGCGAGCAAGATCCCGGCCCCCATCAGCGTCCCAAACGCCGCGTAGAAACGCGGCGGCGCATAGTACAGATAGCTCGCCCAGATGTTGGACGTGCCGCCAATGGCATTGACCAGCGCCGACGCCGCCGCGCGCTTCGAGACGGGCCGCGCCAGGTGCAGGTTGATCGTCTTGTACAGCAGGAGCTGCGGGCCGACGGAGGCAAAGGGGAGGATCATCATGGCGAAGTACCGCGCGCCGACGTTGTCCGTGCTCATGGGGATGATGTACATGACCACGGTGATGGCGACGCAGATGAGGATCAGCGGGTAGACGGTGTTTCGGGAGTCCGAGAACCACATGATCACGTAGTAGACGCCGCCGGCGAGGATGTAGGGCGGGGCTGTCAGCAGGAGGGAGAGGGTGCGGCCGAAGTTGAGGCTCGCGACGAGGGTCGGGAAGTAGTTTGCGATGCTGCCCTGGGTCTGCGAGAGCATGTTGGCAAAGATCATGAGCAGGAGTTTGGGGTCGGACAGGGCCTTGACGAAGCCGCGAAGGACGGACTCGTTCTCCGTGCCCTCGGCGGCGCCGGCTTCGGACTCGATGCGGTAGACGGCGAGGTCGCGCTCCAGCGGGGTGAGGAGGCGGCTGTTGTGCGGGAACTCGGGCATGATGAGCGCGCAGATGACGCCGATGCCGACGGTGGCCGAGCCCTCGATGATGAACAGCCACTGCCACCCGGCAATGCCCTGGATGCCGTCGAGCTCGAGGATGGCGGCGGCGAAGAGGCCGCCAAAGGCGTTGCCGACTTGCTGCGCAATGTACAGCCCCGCGATGCGTTTGCCCAGTTCGGCCTTGGTGTACCACGCGGAGAGGTAGTATATCGCGCCGGGGAAGAAGACGGCCTCTGCGGCGCCGAGGATGGCGCGCACGGCGAGGAGCTGCCCGTATGTTTTGACCGAAGCTGTTGCCGCCGAGATTCCGCCCCAGATGACGACCGCGCAGCAAATGTACATTCCGGGCCGGGAGATCTTGGTGATGATGAGGTTGGAGGGGATCTGGAAGGGGAGGTATCCGACGAAGAGGATGGAGACGGCGGTGGCGAATTGCTGGGTGGTCATGTTGAGGTCCTCCATGATCCCCTGGAGCTTCGCGGCAGCCAGGTTCTGCCGGTCGATGTAGTTGAGGATGTACAGGATCCCAATGGTGGGGAGGACGACGAGGTCGACCTTGCGGACGACCTTGCGGTTCAAGACGTCGATTTCCATCTCCGTCAGCCCGCGCAGCGACTCGGGCATGCGGTTGTAGGAGGCGGTGCTGTCGTGCAGCTGGCCCTCGGCCGTGGAGGCCTTGTCCTCGTTGTCGAGGACGGCGGGGAGGGGCTCTTTGTCCATGATGGCCATGGCGATGCTGATGCTGACAACTGAGGAGCAGTGAGTGGGCAGTTTCTCGTCTGTCGCGGACATGATTTTTATATGTGTTTGGGCCTGTTATCAGGTGTATACTCCGAATCAGGCCTATCTTCCCCGGACTCGTGACTCCTGCAGGTTGACCAGACTAGTCGGCGTTTGATAAGACTCCACGTTCGCGTTGGGTTTAGCGCCTGTCAGGACCGGAGGAGGATCGGAGGAGCTCCTCCCGTGGGGCGATAAGCGGTCCTCCTCCAGTCCGAGGCTCCTCCTCCCTTTGCTATCGATAATCTGGTATAAAGGACGGGAATATAGATAGTGCATGTCTAGTATACTCATCATTTATTTCTTAATCATCCCCCCTTCTTTTCCTTGTTTAGAAACAAAAAAAAAAGAACAAAACATCCCCCAAAATGTCCTACCCAACCCCCCAAACAACCACCATCCAAAACCCGCGCCTCCGCCTCCTCAACGCCCTCCGCAACAATGAATACCCGCTCATGACCTTCATGGCCCTCCCCTCGGTGCGCATGGCGCAGATCGTCGCCCTCACCGGCGTCGACGGCATCATCATTGACTGCGAACACGGCCACATCGGCGACGACGCCATGCACAACTCCGTCGCCGCAATCTCCGCCCTCGGCGTCTCCCCCATCATCCGCATCCGCGGGCCCGCACACGACATCATCAAGCGCGCGCTCGACACGGGCGCGCACGGGATCATGGTGCCCCAGATCAACAACGCGGAGGAGGCGCGCGCGGTTGTTGCGAGCTCCAAGTTCCCGCCGCAGGGGGTGCGCGGCCAGGGGAGTGCGTTTCCGGCCATCGGGCATGGGCTGACGACGCCCGAGTATATGAAGTCTGCCAACGAGACGATTGTCACCATGGTGCAGATTGAGACCAAGGCGGGGGTGGAGAATGTCGAGGAGATTTGTGCCGTTGACGGGGTCGATCTGGTGTTTATTGGGCCGAATGATCTGGCGCAGAGTCTGCTGGGCTATGTCCCTGCGCGCGGGGACGAGCCGGTGTTTGTCGACGCGGTGAAGAAGATTGTGGATGCGGCCAGGAGGCATGGCAAGTGGGCGGGGCGCATGGTGAATAATGGGAGTGTGGCGAAGAGTGAGCGGGCGACGTATGATACGGTGGCCATTACGGGAGATACCAAGGCGATTCAGAATTGGTACATCTCCGAGTTTGAGATTGCGAGGTCATAGATGGTGATTTACGATGTTATGAATAGACTTGTGCATAGAATTTCAGATATTTGGCATGGACCACGGTACACGTTCAACCCCCAGGAAGTTTACTGCTGAATAGCTACTATGCATTCAGGACATCTCAATCCGCTGGTAATGAAGACGCGGCTTGTTCAAGCGCCTCTGTGCTGTCTCACATGCTTGTTTTCTGGGAAATGTGTGCATTTCGCGGGAGGGATCCGGATCTATCGGAGATGCTCCGATTGAGTCTTCAGGCCAAGCTGGGCACAAATTCCATGAAAGCCCTTACGCCCGAGCCGAATCATAACTCCAGTGCTCTGGCCAAAGAGGGATTACAAGGTCGCAAGATAAGCCTGGGTGCTAACTACTTTGTTACGCACGCCACCAGATAGCCTATCGTTATACATGATCATCTTGTACACGGTGTATTCCCCATGGATGGAATAAAACAACGTCATGCATTTTAATCTATAAACAATCTAAACCTGCGCAATACACTCAATCTCAATCACCGTCCCCTCACCGGGGGGCACAGCCTGCAAGCACGAGCGCGACGGCATGGGCTTGGGCAGGAAATCAATGTAGACCTCGTTCATCGCCGCAAAATCCTTCATGTCGGCCAGGTACACATTGTACTTGACGACCTGTTCGAGGGAGGATCCTGAGAGCTCGAGGACTTCTTTTAGGTTTTGCAGGACGGTGCGCTGGAGATGGTCAGAGTTGGTCGGGAGAGAGGAGGGGCAGGAGACGGACAGTGGCTTGTTTGATTTCTCCAGTGGCGGTTTGGCCGGCGAGGAAGACGAGGCCGGGGACTTTGACGGCGGGGCCTGGATGTTGTCAGTCAAGGAAGTTTGGAAGGGGAGTGGGAAAAGTACAGTTGTGAGGCTTGGGAGGGAACTTTTCGCTGGAGATGAGTTGGCGGGACATTTTGCTGAGTGTGTGTGTGTGTGTGTGTGTGTGTGTGTGTGTGTGTGTGTGTGTGTGTGTGTGTGTGGAAATGTAGTAGTTGGTCTTTGAGCTTAGGGATGGATGTGATTTGGTTGGAGTTGAAATGTCCGTGCGGTTCCTATCGGTTTAAATTAACCCAGTAGTTCCTCTTATCTTGCAAACTGGAGGAGCTCAGTGATCGGCAGGAGGAGCTGCTTCGAGTTGGAGTCGTGGGAGGAGACGGAGGAGCTCCTCCCTGCACTCTCCTTCCCCGCACGAGCTAAGAACCCCGCTAGGCGATAGCACACGGCTATCAGAGGAGCTCTCCAGATATCAAAGTCTGGAGATAGGGGCGGAGGGAGAGGCCATGGTTAGCGCACGGATGTTTGGGGCAATGTCGCATGAGGAGCTCGCGTGGACAAGTCGACAGGCTTCATACGATCCGGATCTGACCATCTTTCACGTCTATATAACAACGAAACTAGACTCGCCGTAGTCATCGCATACTCCAACCTGAGCAATCTCAACCTCAACAGATAGCAAAAATGGCCCCCGCAGCCCCCTTCAACCCTCCGGCCGCCGACCTCCCCGGCAAGCCGTTCGTCCCCGAATGGAAGCCGCCTCCCATCACAAAACAAACCGAGGGCTTTGCAACCCTCAAGTCGATTGATCTGTCGCTGCTCGACTCCGAAGACCCCGCCGTGGTCGACAATCTGATCCAGCAGGTCAAAGTTGCCATTCGCGATGACGGCTTCCTCTTCCTTGAGAACTATGGCGTTTCCCTCGAGCAGCTGCACCGCCAGTTTGCGCTCGCGCAGTATCTATACAACAACATCAGCGAAGAGGATAAAGAGCGTCTTTTGTTTGATCCCGATACGGGGAGGTGGTCTGGCTACAAGCATCCGTATGGGTTCAAGGTACCGACATTCTAACTCCCACACATGCACACCAAATCTCTCTCTCTCATCTCATGCACATCTAACATTCACATTCCCAGCGCCACCGCGGCCCCGCGGACGGAATCGAACAATTCAACTGGTACAACCGCGAATGGTCCGACCGCAGCCGAATCCCCACCTGCCTGCACCCCTTCATGGACGAAATCGAAGCCTTCTGCAACTACCTCACCAAGTCCGTCAACCGGCGCCTGCTCACCCTCTTCTCGCGCGTCCTCGAACTCCCCGACGACTACCTCTGGGAAAACGTGCAGTCCCACGGCAGCCCCACGGGCGAGGGTTACTTCCGGCACGCGCTCTTCCGCCCCGTGCAGAAGCAGACCGAGGAAGCGTCCAAGGGGCTACGCATGCACGGGCACACGGATTTCGGGCTGACGACGCTGCTGTTCAGTGTGCCGATCTCGTGTCTGCAGATTTGGGGCCGCGACGAGCAGTGGTACTATGTGCCATATAAGCCCGGGGCGCTGGTGATTAACATTGGGGATACGCTGGAGATTGTCTCGGGCGGGCATTTCAAGGCGACAAGGCATCGTGTGTATAAACCGCCGGCTGATCAGCTTAATGAGGAACGGCTGTCGCTTGTCCTGTTTAATAGTTCGGTGGGGGATTTGCGTATGACGCCTGCTTATGGTCAGTCACCCGCTCCACTCCCCTGGCTCCTCTTTACCTTACATGACATGACTTGCTGACGAAAACTCGATAGACTCTCCCCTCATCCAGCGCGAAGGCTGCATCGAGGAACAAGGCGTGTACAAGGAATTCAAGCGCCTGACAGAACAGGGCCAGCTTGTCCCGACGAACAAGGAGTGGCGCGAGATCCAGATTGCCACAGCGACAGATCCCACAGATACAGTGCATAACCGGGTCGGTGTGCACCAAGTTGTCATTGGTGGCAAGATTATGCATCAGCGCGAGTATATGGGGGTCAAGGTTGTGCTGCCGGTTTGATTTTCACGGGTGTTTTTTGAATCCATTTCGGGTGGGGAAGAGTGGGAGTGTATGTATGAGGCTGAAATGATGTTTTTTTATTGTTCTTCTTTTATGAATCATGGTTATATCGGAAATGCTTCAAGGTAGATAAGGGGACGTGGACAGAACACTGTAGAAGCTGGTCAACAGAGGGCTGATGTATGTGGCTGCGCAAAATAGGGCCGAGGCGCAGCAACCCCATGCAAATAGGATAGCAAGCCATGACCATGGATTTTAAAAGCCTGGCTATTGGTCAGGTATACACGGAGTATCCATTGCGTCGCTAAGCTTATATTGGTTTCGCCGCCTCGTCGACGTGTTCGTACCCGATACGCATACGCTCCCCGCTCGTCTTCCTCCTCGCAAACCCTCGAGCCACCAAGTAACTACCCCGCGACCATCATCCCCACAAGTAGCTAGTCGAGGTTATATATAGACAATGCGCATCTTTTTCTTACGTAGCCCTTTACATGGAGATGTCTGCCACCACGTTGATAGGCTGCAGCCGGGGCTGATTTAGATGTTTAGGGCCCCCCAGCTTAGCAATCCAAAACTACGGTCACTCCGCTGGAACCTCTCGCAGAACTGCCACTTATCAGGCCCTCTCGCTTCCTCTTGCCGCTGCTCTACACCCTATATAAGTGACTCTCTAGGACATAACCTGCAACCGAACGAACCCATACGCTCCAAAGCGTAGACCCAACGATATCCAACATGGCCGAGTCAGCGAATCCAACCCTAACGGCCCTCTCCATCTTGGCCTCCCAAAACCCCTCGATCCATTACATCCCCCCATCCTCTCCCGACTTTGACCAGCTCCGCGCCATCTACGCACACCCTGAACTCACCCCCCTCGCCATCCTCCGCCCAACAACCGAATCCGCCCTCGCAGCCACAGTTTCCTTCCTGGCGAGCAACAAAATCGACTTTACGCTCCGCGCCGGCGGCCACGATATGCACGGCCGCTCCACTAAGAACAATACCGTCGTCATCGACCTGCGCCTCCTCAACGACGTCACAATCGACCCAGCCACCTCCACCGCAACCGTCGCCGGCGGCGCCCTAATCCACGACGTTGTCACCGCCCTCCAACCAGCGGGCTACATAACCCCCATCGGGTCCATCGCCTCCGTCGGCTATGTCGGGTGGGCCATGTATGGCGGGTACGGGACGTACAGTTCGCGGTTCGGGCTGGGCGTTGACCAGATCGTTGCTGCGCGGGTTGTCACGGCCGCCGGGGAGATTGTCACCGCGGACGCGGGTGCGGGCTCGGAGCTCCTAAAGGCAATTCGAGGCGGTGGCGGGGCGTTTGGCGTTCTTGTGCAGGTTACCATTCGGGTTTATAAGCTCGAGACGATCCTCGCGGGGATCCTGGTTTTCGATTCGGCGGATCTGTCCAAGGTCGTGAGGGAGTTTAGCCAGGGTTATCGCGCGCTTAGCAGTGAGAGAGTGCCTGCGGCGCTGGGTGTGCATCAGGTTGTGCTGAATTTCCCGACGCCGACCTTTGGCGTGCTGGTTATGTGGGCGGACGAAGATCTCGCAGGGGGCGAGAGGTGGGTGGACAAGATCTGCAGCCTGGCGCCGGTCGTTTCGCGAAATGTGGCCCCGACGACTCCGCTGGCCTGGCTCGAGGAGCAGTCCAAGCTCGTTGCGCAGTCTACACAGGGCCGCATGTGGACGGTGAATCTGCGGGCAATCACCGATGAGGTTGCGGGGGTTATTGGCGACTTCACGAGCCGGTTCCCCGCGGATCCGCATGCGCTGTTTGATTTACATGAGCTGCGCGCCGCGTCTCCCTCCGCTACGGCATCCGGGGCCGGGAAAGACTCGGTCTTCAACGCGCGCGATCCGCACTTTGTGGTCGAGATCTGTCCAACAGTTAGCGACGAGGGAAAGCTGGAGGGTGCGTTGGCCTGGGGCCAGGAGTTCTGCGATGCGCTAAAGGCAACGGACAAGGAGAATATCTTGGGTGCTTCGTATGTCTCCTTTTTGGCGGCGGACGAGTTTAATCACCAGAGGGTTTACGGTGAGGATCTGGGCTTCTTGAGGGATGTCAAGGGCCGCGTTGATCCGGGGAACGTGTTTCGCAATGCGATTTCGTATCTGTAGAGCTTGGATGCATTAGACAGCGTAGATAGTCAGGCACATGCAATTGCAGCTTAGATCCATTGAGGCCGTTGAGTTTCGAACATGCCCGCCCAGGCCTCGGTCTTGGGTAGTACAGACCTCCATCATCAGGGCCCCCAGAATTAGCACTGCAGCGCGGCCCCGGACCCCATTCTTCACCCGTGGCCGGGTGAGTCATTCTTCAGCCCCAGGCCCGCAAAAGAGCTCCAGCCAATCAAAGCAGCTTACTAAAGTGGACAGCGTCCAACGGGACCGTAGCTTGACCAGAACGGGTGCTATACAGCGCCCATCGCCGGAGGAGCATCGGATGCAGACCGACGGAGTGTCGGGGCCATAGGAAACGCGTCATCCGCGCCTCGGGGCGATATAAACGCCGACCTTTGCTTTTCTATCTTCCATTTATATTCTTGCAAGCCACAGCTCTATCCACACTCATCCCCGTTGTATATGGCGAAATGTCTCGTCGGAATCCTTCTTACGACATCCTCATAGTCGGCGCGGGGTTCTCGGGGATAACCCTCCTGCACACCCTCCGCCAACACGGCTACGCCTCCTGCCGAATCTACGAATCCGGCAGCGACCTCGGTGGTGTCTGGCACTCGAATACATACCCGGGCTGCCGGGTTGATACAGAGGGGTCGATCTACCAACTCTCCATCCCGGAGGTATACTCGACGTTCTCGTTTAGAGAGAAGTATCCGTCGGCCGACGAGATGCGGCGGTATTTCGCGCACGTGGAGCGCGTGTTGGATGTGAAGAAGGATGTCGAGTTTGGGGTCACGGTTGCGGGGGCGTGGTTTGATGCACACGCCGAGGGGGAACGGAAGTGGAGGGTTGAGACGGGGGATGGGCGCGTGACGCATTGTCGGTTCCTCATTTTATGTGTCGGGTCGAGTTCCGAGAGGTATGTTCCTGATATCCCGGGTCTGGAGACCTTCAAGGGGCAGGTGTGTCATTCGGCAGAGTGGCCGAGGGGCCGGGTTGATGTTGCTGGGAAGAAGGTTGCCATTATTGGGACTGGTGCGTCAGGTGTGCAGATTATCCAGTCCTGGGCGAAGGAGGCGGGGAACCTCGTTGTCTTCCAGCGGACACCGAATCTCGCGCTCCCGATGCAGCAGGAGGCTCTTTCGCCTGAGGCTCAGAGGAACATCATAGAGGAACTCCCACGGATTTTCGCGGACCGCCAAAAGACATGGAGCGGGTACCTCGACGAGTCAACCCCAGAGAAGACATTCGATGCTAGTCCCGAATCCCGCGAAGCCCACTTCGAGGCCCTGTATAAGCGCGGCGGCTTCGCGTTCTACCTCGCCGGGTATAGCGACCTGCTCACGGACGAAGCCGCGAACCGCGAGGCATACAATTTCTGGCTGAAGAAGACGCGCGCGAGAATCATTGATCCCCGGAAGAGAGACATCCTTGCGCCGCTGGAGCCGCCGCATCCAGCGGGCGCGAAGCGGTCGTCATTTGAACAGGATTATTTCGAGCAGTTCAACAGGCCGAATGTGCAACTTGTCAATCTCCGCGAGCCGGGGCAGGCGATCAGGGCTGTGAGGTCTGACGAGATTGAGGTGGAGGATGGGACGGTCTACCCTGTTGATGTGATTGCGCTTGCGACGGGGTTCAATAGTCTTACGGGGAGTTTGACGTGTATACCCGGACTGCGGAATACGTCTGGTGTCACACTGGCCGAGGAATGGTCTAAAGATGGCGCGAGCACGTATCTCGGCTTGACGCGCAGAGGGTATCCGAATATGTTCCTCTGCTACTCCGTGCACGGACCGGCCGCACTGAGCAACGGCCCAGCATCAATTGAGATCCAGGCGAAATGGATCGTGGATGCGATTCGTAAGATTGACGAGTCGGGTCTGAGCTACATTGAACCTACAGAAGAGGCGGAGAAGACGTGGAAGGCCACGGTTAACATGATCACCAGTATAACGCTGTTTCCCAAGGCGGACTCGTGGTATATGGGGGCGAATATTCCGGGCAAGAAGAGGGAGATGCTGAATTTTCCCGGAGGGTTGCCGCTGTATGAGCAGATGTGCCGCAAGGCGTTGGAGAACTGGGAGGGGTTTGTTACTGTATAGACAAAGCGTTTTCTGTCTGTGCATCTTTGCTTGCTCGTGCCAGATTTATGGATACTAGGGTGAGATATGTATCCTCGAAGTATTTATCTACCAACCAGCAATAGCTTAGAGGAATGGTTTATGTACATTCTTTCTATTTCGCATGATATGCGCTGAAAAGCAGCATGTTACAAAGACGACTCCAAGCATTGATCACCGCCACCGTGAATGAAGAGGCCGGCGAATCTCCAGGCTTCCAAACTCTGAGGGACACCATCAGTGACTCTGTTTACTTCAAGTGTTCAACGGGTGGGATTCGCGAAAAACACACGCACGCATTGTATAACAGTAATCAAGCATCCCCATTTCAGCAATCGCTTCGGGAGACAGGCACGGATGGGCAAAGTTAGGGTTTATCGTCGTTTGAAGGTTAAGGAGCGGGTGCGCAGTGGCCGTCCGTCGCAGTCCTGGATGTTTGCTACTGATTAGATCTCTACAGGCTGGTATAAGAAGAGAGCTCTCAAAAGAAATTGAGTTCTTACTCCAGAAACATGGACAATGGTTTTGATCGCGGAAATGCCGATATATCGCAAAGAGGGCGACGATGAGAGCTGGTATTGAGATGAGAAGCGTGACCAACGCGAGGATCGCCTCAACCGACCATGCCATGTTAAGCGAGACGGGTACCAATGTTCTTGCCCAGATGTATATCTCTAAGAAATCGCCAGAGTAGTAACCCGTTTCTAATCAAGTCGGGATAGAATTCAAAACCATTTTGCACTGATACTTATACCTTGTCGTGCCCTGCCAGCCGGCGAGCACTATAAACAATGACGGTATCCTCAAATTTGCCGCTGCGGACTAGATAAAGGTTGAGGCTGCATCCTGCGCCCCGATTCGGGGTTACTGACGGGCTGTGCACGCCCTCGTATTGGCCAGCCAAGCATTTTCCAAACCTGTCGCTCTGCAGGGCGCCAACAAGAAAATCGGCAATGTAAGGGCTCTTGAACTTGCGGGGTGATTTGGGATGGCTGCTGTATGCACAATCTCGGTATCGGTAGGATGGGTCTCGAGATTGGAAAGCTCGCATGGCTTCTTCTTCACCCCTGCATGTCACCAAAAACAGAAATAACACCCAAGAACTGGAAAGAATCTAGACCCAAAGCAACTTGAACCATGTGATCCACGAATACGAGGACAAATAATCAGCCCAGCCCATTCCACGCCAACCTTAACGCAACCTCTTCCCAACCATCTCTCTCCTGAACCCACAGAAAAACCAAGATGCCTTCTCAGGTAACCCAAGTAAGCATAATAGTCCTCAGCGACAGCTGCTGTTCTCGAGGCAGCTTCGTCATTCAGGTACAGAATCAAGCACCTTGGCCAACCCTCTCGCCTCTCACTTTCCCACCCTGCTCCCCTCAACCACACCACGCAATATTAACCCCACCGCTAGTACTGCCAAAACACCTGGGCTGACCTCCGCGGCTACGGCCCCTGCGCCTGGGACACCTGTCGGAAACAGGCGGTGATAGACAAGAGGGCGCACATGCTCGTCTTCGAGGACGAGGTACCATTCTTCATCGACGACGAGACGTACTTTAATTCGCGCAACGTGAATCCGCCGGATGGGTATATCTTGCTTTATGATGCGACGAGTCGGGAGTCGTTTGAGTTTATCGAGAGGGCGGTTGGTGTGATTGTTGAGGGGATTCGAAAGGGGCCGCCGATTGCGGAGGAGAGGAACTTGGGGGGAAAGGGGGGCATTGCTAAGGATGGAAAGACGAAGACGCGCGTCAAGGGAGGGCCCGACTCCGTGGTAGTGCGAATGGGTTCGAAGGAGGATAAAGTTCAGCATGCTGACAGTAATGGTGTTTCGAAATCATCACTATTCCCATGGACTCGCAAAGACCGATCCGGGAAACGAGGAGGAACGCCTGCAAGCACATTTACCTGCTTCCCCCAACTCCCCACTGAACTCCAACTCGCCGTCCTCCGCGCGTGCCTCACCTCTAAAAGCCCCGTGATTGAGGATGCTCCGCACCTGGTAGGAATAAACATCGCCATCCTCCGCGTGAACAAATTCTTCCATTTTGAAGGGACAAGGATATACCAAACTCAGAACCACTTTCTGCCCCGTAGACCCATCTATCTCGTGGCCGATATTACCTGGGTAGGGATTGAGGGACGGGCGAGGGTCATCTCGGTGGATGAGGGGAGGAAGCTTGCGGATCGGCATGGCTGTGTACATTTCGAGTCGTCGTCGAGGAAGTTGGAGCCTGTGCAGGAGGTTGTGGATGGACTTGTTCGGGATGTTGTGGCTAGGAGAGTGGAACAGGGGCTTGAGGATGCCTTGTCGGGTTCTACTCCTCGTGGGAAGTCGTTGAGGAAATCTGTGGCGCAGAAAGTGTCGAGGCTGTTTGATTAGAGGGCAAGGCCATTGCCACTGTGCTCAGTTTCTGTCCCTTTATGCTTTAAGGAGGCCGGTTACCTTGGATATATATCCATCTGCAACTGTTGGCATCCCTCATCGCTCGTCCATAAATCTGGATGAATAGAAGCTACTCTACGTCGGTATTGGTCTTGCCTGAATCTTCGGGCCTACCGCTCTTCTCTTCTCCTGGAATGTCACTCGACCATTGTTCAGGAGGCGGTTGCCTCATAATCAAACTTTTCATAAATTTGGCTGCTCTGGAAAGATTGGAAAGCATTGAGAATCTGCAGGATACTTCGGAGAAAACAAAATATAGTTGAATTTCTAGTATAGAGACAGAGATTGCCTTCCACACATACGCTTACTGACGCTATCTTTCAGCTTAGAATAATTAAACATTATTTACTATCAACAATATCAACAGTGAATCGCAGAAAAGCTATAGTTAACAAGTAGACCCTCAGCTTTGTGCACAGGCTGTGGTTGAAGCCAAAAGAAGAAGAATACAGTCATGCCTATGGATCAGGATTAATGCAGAAAAGGAACAAAAGATGACCCCGCAGAGTGATGGGATGTGTGAGAGCTTTGAACAAGGCTCCATATCCTCTATGTGGTTGGTTGAGGACATTTTCTCCGCAGAGTCAAGCCTCAAGCAGGGGCACAAGAGCCAGAGACTTGAGTCTGAGGAGGACCAACATCAACTGTCTGCGCCCCACTGACCATGGTAACGCTATGGTCGATGCCGTCAAAGGTGCACACCACACCAGCAGTGTTCGACATGATATGCGAGATGCTGAGAGGATTGCCTAATAGCAATTCTTGTCAGCACGGTCTCAAACCCGAAAGCACAATCTACAACCGAATGAAATGAGGATACATACTAATTTGAACGCTGGCTCCATCAATTGGAAATGACTGTGTAAACTGGGCATTCGCAGCTCCGATGAAGGTGATCAGCACTTCGTCACCAACAGGGCCAGGCTGGACTGGAGGACTCGGGGGGGTTGACCCGACTTGGCAGGAACCCTGGACTTGAGTCTGGGGAGGGCCGACATCCACAGTTTCCGCCCCAGTCACAGTAGTGGTGCCGTGGTCGACGCCAGTAAAGGTACAGGCGATGCCGGGGACACTCGAGGCGATATGGGAGATGCTGAGCGGGTTCGCTGTCTTTCGTCAGTATGACCTTGTAGAACGTCGCTACATATGGCTTGGGTATATTTACTGATTTGCACGATGGACCCGTCTGTTGGGAAGTCTTGGGTGAATTGAGCATCGCCAGCACCAATGAAGGTAATTTGCGCTGTGTTCTGCCTTGTAGCAAGGCTCAGGGCACCAGGGAGTATGGCAATAAAAGAGGCGGCTGAAGTAAGTCTCATAATGAAGTGTGTAGTAAGTAGAGATGGTGAAGTAGATGTTAGAGTACAGATGACTCCAGAAAAAAAGAGAATTTGGTCAGAGTCGTAGTGGTCTTTTATAGATTTCTTCTCTCCAACTCGCAGATAATCTCAAGGTACGGCCTCCCCTATTTTTAGCAGAAAATATGCAAGAATAGATGCCCAATAGCATCACGTATTTGTCTCGTCATACTCCGGGTTATATTTTCTCAAGCCCTGAGACGCTAATATTAGCCTGTTCAGTGCAGGATATGATATCACCACTCTGACGACACGAGGCTGACCCATGGTATAGAACCACCTAAACCCAACATATACACCCAACGCAACCAATCAGAATTAATTCCATGATTCTCATACTCCCATGACCATGTGGTGGAGTGGATAAACATAACCGATTCGCGATGTTCTTGAACCAAGCCACCGAAGGTCTATAGCATGAGCTCCAGCTCCAGCCCCTGCGGTATTGGGCAATCGGAATCCGATCGGCCATGGGTGAGATTGTCTTGTAATTGATTTGCTTGAAAGAGTCATTACAACATCATTAGATCCACTACCCAGGCAAAGTGTTGTTCTCGTGCCATGGCAAACTCTGTAGAGATTATCTGGGGTCTGGGGAGCGAGACGTATCGAGCACAATCCAAGGAACTACTAGCAACCCTGGATAACTAACATGGCCATCGTTTACTCCACTTCTGTTTTCTAGCATTGTAAGAGGTCGTTGTGCTGGGCCACCTTTACTAACACCTCCACCACCTCTACCATGCAGGCAACACGAAATGCAAAAGAAAAAGGTGTAGCCGCGGATATAGGCAATCATCAAGTCCAGGGTAAAGATATCCAAGTCCGAAAAAAGCATGGCTAGACACATCATGTATATCCCACTCTAGGTAGGCGCGCCAATCGCCACTTTTTTAAAAGAACCAATGTTGTACAAGAGCTACGTCTGTCGGGATCAAGTACGGGCCTTGTGCGCATCATACTTGCCACCGTCAACCTGAAGATCAAGTGGAAAGGTTCTCTCTTCTAGTAAGGTCTAAACTCGAGGTGCAGCACTACACCTTCTGACAGTAAATTACTGAATACTAGGTAATACCAGCTAGACCACTTGGTGTATATCACTATACTACCAACAATATGGAAGATAAGATAATATAAAAAGGAGCGTATGAGTCAGGCAGTATATATCCGCGTGTCTCTCGAAAGAAAAAAAAAAAAAGCTAAACGAAAACAGCCTCTCGAACAGTCAATCCACTAGAAAACCCTCCCCAGCCCTCTTCAGCAGCTCAGGGCTTACCACCAGGACTTAGTGAGTAAACGGCACAGCACGCTTACGCTGCCCCGCCTCCTTTTTCGAGCTCGAAACAAAGTTATACTGCCCAACAACCTCGCCATTGCTATCCTTCTTCGGCGTGCACGCCTGTCCACTCTCATCAGACGCACCATCACACCCAGAAAGCGTTCCGCGAACGCACGTCATCGTCGGCGACCAGGCAATGTACCCTGTCTGGCCCTCAAGCACCTGGAAAGTATACGAGAGAGTCGAGGAGACCGACTCCTCAAAGTCCATGCCCACAGTCGCGGAGATAATGCCCCATGGGTCGCCGACGCTGCTGGAGAACGAGGTTGTGCGGCTGCTCTCGACGGTCGTGAAGATTTGGACGTCTGATTTGGCGGGGCCCGTGACGGGGTTGGAGACGGAGTGCGAGGGGCCCGTGATTTCGTACTGGTCGTCCTTGGAGAAGGAGGAGCAGTCGCGCTTGATGAGCCTGGGTTCGGCGGGCGTTCCCTGGACTTTGTCGCCCGCGCCACCGCAGTCGCCCTAGCAGTAGCTGAAGCTCAGGGTGGTGGTCCAGGCTTGGCTAGAGAGCTGTTAGCCACCCGAGTTGGATTTATTTCCTGGGGGAGCCTACCGAGTGCAGATCGCATTACTTTACCGGCCCACAATAGTCCCACAACCAGCTCCAGAGCCGATAATGTACTGGCATCCGGATCCAGGCTGCGGAATGTCGAGGTAGGCAATGTAGCCTCCAGCGGGATTCAGCTCGTAAGCTCTAAGCCACAGATAGGCAATTAGATAAAATCGTCACCAAAATATTTGGAACGAGGTTTTCTTACTTGTTATCAAGCTCGTCTGCCTGAATAATGAGGCAGTCGGGGGAATGAGCGGCCTCGATGCTAAGAGGGCAATCGCCGGCGCAGCTTGCATCGGTGGGTTGTTGTGGGCGTCTTATTGGCCTGAGAAATTGGGGGCCTACAGATATTTGTTCGGAGCATCACACTAGGTTTTTCAGCTCAGCTCGACCCCCATGGAATGCAGGCTTTCTACAAGGCACGATTAGACAAGTCTTATTCGGACTAATTACAGAGCGCTTAGCGTTTCTGATACTTTCCCCAACTGCTACCCCCCAACTTCTACGCCAAAATTTCTGAAGGTATGAACGCTCGCGCTTCCCCCGAATGTGTTCTTCGCACAAACCAATGATGCATCCCAACGCTCTAGAGCACCTTTAACAGGGCTGATGGATGGTAATGTGATTAATATTGCATACGCACTACACTATATGATATTTTGGCAGCGCAGCACCCTCAAACTCGAATTGGAAGCTCCTTATGGGGCAGTGGGGCAGTTATATGGGGGCCCGCGGACATTATTCTGCAAACTACATGGAGCAACCAGTAAGCGACGTTGGCTACCTCATCCCCGAGTTTACCATCAATTATCAGTCCGCCTGTTATATAACCCACGGTTCTCTGAGCATATTGTCGTCCAGTCCACTACGTAATTTGATTGAGGGCTGCCAGGCTCCAAGGCATAGCAATGAGTCTTAGCTCGATGGAAGAAACGCTGGTCAACTCAACAAGATAGCAAATCTCGTCCCCTATTGCAAACTCTCAAGGAAAAGTGCTCAGGCAACCCTACACCCCCTCGTCGAGAACATGCTTAGTCAGCATCGGAGCCCTAAGTTAGGTCTTTCCTAATCGAGAACTCACCGTAGTCTTCCGCACTGGACTTGTAGTAGCCCAGGGAACCAAATGCTCTATCGTAGCTCTTGTTATACCAGTATGCTATTCTACTAGTACTAGCATCAGGCATCAGCTGACTTCACTGTTCCAACAGCCTTGGCATCCGTAAGTATAGATTGACATTCTCGCCTCACATGACAGTAGCGCATGAGTGACTCGGGTTCAACGTTCAAAATTCTCGGTAAACCAGTTTCCGAGGTACGCTTGCTACCAGGATTCTAGCATCACATGACTGCTAACACTGGTTGAAAAACCTGGGTGCCTCATATGGCGTGTTAGAAATGGAAGATATCTGGAACACTCCTAGCGGCTTACCAATTCACCCGATTCCAGTACTCTCCGTGGGGATGTGGCGGCACGATGGCACACGGCACCCATGATGGGTCTGTCAGTCGTAGAGTCAGAAGGCGACAAGCTTCGACTCCCGGCTCGGCCTTGTACTACTCCCATGGCAGAACTATACCTTGCTTATCCCGTAGCCGAAGAAAACTCGCTGCAATACACGACTTGGATCTTTCACTGCTCTGATATGCTCGCTTCTGTGGCAATCGACATGTGGCTGGGGCAAAACATACCCAATCCAGTGCCGATGTACAGCCCCCTAGATATAGTGATTAGTATTCATCGACCCGCAAAATGGGGCAGCACATGAGCATGAACGGCTGAATACCGTTCAACTTGTTCCGGCTTCAGCTCCTGTGGTAAGTTTCTTCTGCCTTAAATCTACCTTTTCATCTACATTGTCTTTCTACGACAGTGCGATCTACCACCCTAACAGCCAACCACCAGCAACAACAACAAAACACCATGGAATCCAAAGCATCCTGCAACTGCGGCGCAGTCACGTTAACTCTGCAATACACCGATGCCAGCCAACTGAGTTCTATCCTCTGTCATTGTGTCAACTGTGCCAAGTCAAGCGGCTCGGGTACGTCCTACTCAACCTCAGGGTCAAGGCCAAGGCCAAGGCCAACACCTAGCCTGCGATGAAAACTGCAATGTCTAACCTAATAACTCGGCTACACAGTCGGTGCCAACTACATCATTGTTCCTCGAACCGCCGTCTCCGTCGACGGAGACCTGACAACGTACGTGGATCGAAAGTGTGAATCTGGTCTTCCGCTTCAACGGAAGTTCTGTGGGGCTTGTGGGAGGTTGGTTTCCCTATTCTATTTCCGAAAACTGTTAACGGCACAATGATTGGGCTAGCAAGAGTTTATCCAGTCCTGTCATGGCATACTCGGCAAAACTCGGCGATGCACTTTGCAGTAAGTACTCCGCCGGGGCTGGCACAAATCCTCGGGTGTTCCGAGATATGCGACTAAGCCAGGCATCTCATTTAATACCGTTGTCCGAACAACAATGGTCTCGATCCCGGTCAAACCCGCTGCCCACACGTACCTGAGGGATGCACCAGAGTGGATGCCGCGCGTGGACGGAACTGCAGGGTTCAGGGGAGCGTTCGGCGGGGAGACAATGTGATAGGCTGAGAGTATAGGGCGATGTACAAGATTCGACGTTTGGGTTCTTGATGACCATGGTCGGATACGGTACGGGATGTGCGATTTCGTTCGATGACTGAAAGAACTACTAGGGTCACTAAATATACACGAATCGCACCTGAATGTTTGAAGCCGTCCGACTGGAGTTATATGACTCCCGGTGTTGCGAGCAAGACACTGCATTCTAGTACATACCGACTCTATACATATCTTCAGAACACGGCATGATGTCTGAAATGTATTACAAATAAGCGGCATTTTTGTTGGTCATATGTGATCTTTGTCTTGATCCGCACCTCTTGCGCAGACAGAACCAGGTGGATTTGGAAGCTCCTTCCTCGAAGATTGACCGTCGTCGACAGATTCTCACCATGTTTTCTGGCAGCCGCGATAACGTATCCAAGCTCTTTCCCCTTAGATCTGAATGATCCTAACTGACATTGTAAGCTGCCTTGGGATCGGTCGATTGTACGCCCGCAGCGAACCATCCATCAACCCGCAAGCTGCGGTGCAATGCATGGGCAACGCTTTTTTTTTCACTGAAATCTCTCATGTGGTACAGAATCACCTTTTGTATATCGCCTATCTGCCCGTTCTTTTCCACCCAAGACAGCCTTGGCTTGGCGCAATGCAGCGTGTATTTCGGCCAAACCGAGCATAGTAGAATTATGATTTCCGATTCGATTCAAAACGGTCTATTATGGTCTTCGGGGCTTTTGCTTCCTCCTTTCATGCACTTTCTAGTACTACCGCCAACCAACCAAAAGATACGCCTGGCATCAAACTACAGCCACCCACCACCTTCCGAGCCCCTCATACCTTGCGCTCAAGCCCCAACTCCTCACTCCCCTCATCCAACGGCCTAACCCCCGCGCCAACAACCTTCTTCTCAAAATCCACCTCCTCCCCCAGCACAGGCAAGCCCTCCACCTCCTTCGCATCAGTCTGCACCACATTCTCGCTAAGCACATACTCCTCCTTGTCAATATGCCGGAACAACCAGTAGAAGATGATCGTAAGGACAAAGCCCGCGATGCTGGGCCCGCCAAAGTCCCAGGTGAGGTAGGGGTCCTTGATCACCGCGGAACACGCCAGGCCGATGGCGTAGGCGACGGCGGTATTGAGGAGGTTGATTGCGGAGACGAGGCCGCGCATGTTGGGGGGTGCGCGCGAGTAGGCGATGTGGTAGGCCGGGACGTTGATGAAGAGTTCGGAGATTCCGCCGATGGCGTAGGGGAGACCGATCCACTGTTTGGTTTATCTGTTAGGATTTGGGAACTGCATGAGGGATGGAGGAGAAGGCGGGAAGGAAAAGGGCCGGCCACGTACCCAGACGGTGATGGGAGCAACGAGAGAAACGCCGTTCTCGTCAACACAGGTCTCTGATGATCCGTACTTGCCGCAGGGACCGAGCTTATACGCATAGTAGTTCAACACCGTATATCCAACACCGGCAACGGACGAAAGGAACAGGCCCGTTGTCATGCGCGCAACAGGGCCGTAATGGATCTGATACCGCCTAAGCATCGGGTAGAAGAGGTGGTTGAGAAGCACCGAAAAGATGATGATGCTAAAGGGGTTAAAGTTGTTGATAACGTCGTTGGGCACGCCGTTGGTGGTGAGCATGGTCGACAGGAAACTCGCCGCATTGCCCAATCCATTGTCGTTGATAAACTGGATGGGAAAGAAGCAGAAGATTCCCGTGGCCTGGAACGTGCGGCGCACGTCCTCGACGAACTGGTCGTTCCAGCGAGTACTGACGGTCTGGCTCTGGCCCTTGGCTGCGATTACAGAGGGCTTCGCGGCGTCCCAGAAACCGTGCCGGCCGATGCGGAAGATCCCGCCGTTGCTGAGGCAGATCTTGAGGATACGGATGACGTTGGGGAGGTCGGAGCCGCCAGGAGGATGGAAGACGAGGCGCTTGCGGAGCCAGTACTGGAAATATTCAGCACAAGTACATATAAAAGGGGGGGTTTCTTACCAGCAGAGCAGGAAGGGGAAAGTACAACAGCAGCGGCAGGAGAAAGGCCAGCCACCACCCGACGTACTTTTCCGAGTACGCGGTGGCGACGGACATGAAGCCGCCGATGTTGATAAGAAGATAGAACCAGAGCATAGCGCGCTCGGCAGTGGCTTCAGGGTCGACAATGACCTTTTCGCCGCTGGGGAGGACCTTGGTTTTGGCCTTGGTCTCGGTCATTTGGTCGAGGAGGAGCGGGGACACGTTGGGCTTGAACATGGCTAAGTCTGGTTTAGTATCGTGTGCGTCGGCTGGATGTGATCAAAGGGGAGAAGCTCACCAGCACCCACCGATAGCATATACAGTGAAATAAAGTACGGGGCCTTTGCGTTGCCATTGGCAAGCAACGAGGGCGCAGCCGAACCCACCATCAGTACGTGCGCAATACCAAACACAAGCACACCCCAGCAAATCATCTTGAAGCGACCCGTGTGTGCATCAGAAAAGTACGCAGTGACCATGGGCAGCGTATACGCCAGCATACTAAAGGACTGGTTGACGGCATTCGCCTTGACTGTGCCCATACCAAGAGCACCGGCCGTCTGCTGCGTCCCTTTTGGAGGAGCGCCGTATCCATTTCCGCCAACGGGCAAGGGGCGGTTGACAAAGTTGGAGATGATGCCCGAGATACCTACATACGAGGCTCGCTCGCAGAACTCGACGGCGCAGAGGGTGTAGGCTGCGAGCGGGAGCTTGCCGGGGACGCGGCGGAGGGTCTCAAGCTCCTGCTCCGTGGGCTCATCGTCGTCGTAGTCGCTGGGCGAGCGGACGAGGTCGACGGGGGCAGTCTTCTCGGTGGCTTCTTGGGAAGCTGGGCCCGTTAGTTTGGCGTCAGGAGGGGAGATGTGGGAAGATGGAGCGCACCCATTGTGGAGGTTTCTATGCAGGGCCAACTCGAGAAAGACCAGTTGCGGGACAGATCGTCGCCGTCAACAGAGGCAGACCCCAGACCCCATTAAATAGTGCACCAACGTACTAGACACCCGTCTCTGCCGAGCCAACTCCGTGCTCAACTGCTGTGTTGAGCCCGGCACATGGCGTGCTATCTACGAGATGTAACCCTACCCCGTAGTCGCCGCCCCTGATCAATGTAATCATGACTGGTCAGGCCAATCACGCCATCGACAAGCGCCGGGTAAAGTGATAAGAGATAATGACGTTCCCAGCGACAATAAGCGGGGCCTATCATGGGGCTCCGATTTCGCATGAATCGAGCTGGTGGCGGGCGGGGCTGCAGGCAGGATGCGCTTGGCTGAGAGAAGCTCTCTAAGCATGCTTAGCGTCAAGCTTAACCCTCTAGCGCGCCTCTTGGGCCTCGTGGTTTGTCGCTTTGGCTGGAGCATGTCTCAGCACTGTGGACTGTCGGAGCGCCCCGACGTTACAGCCTCGCTTTTGTGTGCTCGATGTGGCAACTCCTCCGTGATCTCGTGCCGTCGCCGTCAACTTTTTAACAAGTTACAATTTGGAATTTCCGATAGCATCCAATTGACCAATAGTAATGAGTAACGAGCCTACAGACGCCTTCCACATACATCAACGCTCCACGAGTCCACTCAGACTCAAAATAAACCAGCGATAGCAGGCGACGTCTCGATAATGTCATGCCAGAGATCGTGAATGGCCAAGGAATAGAACAAGACTTCCTCCAGGCAACTTCATCATCCTCGCTTTCCGGGTTTTCGTCTTATTCGGCCAGATCAAACCACCACATATCTAGTATAATGACATGAGCGTTTGTAGCCCGTGTATCCACCCCTGGCCCCGTACCTGGAGGCTTCGCCTCCTTGTCCACGAGGATGGCGAATCTATGGTGGACAAAGCCTGTTGAGTACTCTCCATAGCAGGGCTTTATGAGCTCTCGATGGCGTCTGACGGACTGATTGGGGACGGGCCCATCACGAACCGACAATGAAAACGAAAACGGATTGGTTATAGGTACCATGTCGTGGAAAGGGGAGGGGAAGAATAAGTGCTGCGATCCCGCCAGATCTCCTCCTTGGTGCAATTTTCCAGCGCCGGATCCTCAGGCACATTCTATTGCAGTTTACCCCAGATGGCTTTACCGTCTGGACCAGCGTTTGCGGAGCACACGGGTTTCTGTCTGGCGAACTCTTTCATGCGCTCGATAAATTGTTCCGATACCGAATTATCGTCGTAGTAGCAGGCACGGTAGATGACCAAGCCCCACGTCTGGAAGCCATGCCTGTTTGGCTCCTCAAGGACGAATGTGGCATCTGACTTTATTGTTGTGTAAAGTGAAAGCTTGGCTTTGTTCTTATTGGGTTGCCAGCCCACAATATTGTCCGGGTGGTCGCATCACTTGACTTGAGCGATTTCAACTATAAATATTCGGCCGAGATACGCGATGCTGAGCCCCAAGTCAAGTAAGTATAACAGAAAAGTACTTTCAAACAGGGCTATGGCAAGCTTCGTCAGCCAGGAACTTCTAGGTAGATTACGTGGAATTATGTATATGGCTCCCTATTGGTAAGCTTGGTGTATTCGGCCATACTATGGGTGGCAAACAAAGCATTCCGTCTGCTTCCGAAACACGTCACATAAGCCCTAAACATATTACTACTTCATGGGTAAGATCAGGCAAGATAAGATAGGTCAGAGCCTGGTGAGAATATTACCTCCCGGGCTTTCCACATGGTTCAGGCGGAGTAGGTTGAGTTTCTTCTCCCTCCTTCCTTTGTATCCACCACCTGCGGCCGCCTCCCTGAGAAAAACATCTATCTACTAGTAGTTCAAGCTGGCCACCACCGCCACCATCAAATGCTTAGTACAAGATGCATCAACCCAGACGCCCGACTCGTCCTCGACGAGCTCAACCACTTCGGTTAGCAGGCGTGGGGCCTCAGCATATGCCGCACATGCTACTTCACCGACGACGCGCGCTGGAGTCGGTTTCTCAAGCGCTTCGGGGAGTTTGCAAGACACAAGCTACTCAACTCGAGGTCTTTGGGGCCGGATGGGGCGGAACTCGGGGGAGATTAGCTTGGGATAGACAGGAGGGTCCAGTGCTAGAGGGTGTGGAGAAGGGAGTCGTTTAGCAGTATACTCTTTGTGCCCTATATTGCTTCAATAATAATAATTACTAGACGCCATCACCAGCTCATAGAATCCGAATTCGGAAATGACCAATCGATTTTTGCCCATCCGGGCCAGCACCACAACTTTGCCATCATGGTCGACAGAGAAGCACTTGACTCTGTCCTGGCGGAACCCGGTCCGGGACTTGTCACAGTCAGAGATTCTAACGCTTATATCATTGTGATTGATATGGTCTGCTTCGACCAGGCTCACGACCACAACGAGGATGAGGAGGAGGATTAATCCTCCGAGGATTGTTCGTTTGGCTTGACTGTTGTATAACATTTCTTTCTTGCCCTACGGTAGACAATTTTTCATGGTCTTCAAGCAACCCTCTCATGAGTCCTGCCCACATAAACTAGCGGATATAAAGGATGTAGTGAAATCAACACTCCTCAAAAGAGGGAAAAGGCATCATTTCTATCTATAAATCATACTGATTATCCATCATTGGTCATTCTACACTAAAACCCACCGGTCCCCCGCACCCTGTGCACGACTCCCACAGCCCCCTTCGCCCAACTGAAGCTCCCCGGATCAACACCTAGCGAGCCCATTGGTAGCTCTCCAGTATTGGGATCATGCCAACATCCGTCGTCAGGGCTTACAAGGCCGTACTTCGCGGTATTCTGGTTGCGGTTGAGGACGTCGAGCCAGGTGCGGCATATGAGAGGCGAATCGAGAAGAATGTTGACTTCTTGGCTGTGGTAGTAGGATTGGGTGTCGAGGTTGCCGTTTCCTAGACGTAGGTTAAATCCTTGTCATTGCAATTACAATGTGCCAACGAGTGGGCATACCTTGGATAGCTACTTTTTCGTCAATGATCATTAGTTTGATGTGGCAGCTTCGCTTCTTGAACTTGTTGTGAATCGGTTTGGTTTGGTCTTTCGCGACGTAGTTGTATATTCGGAGTAGGGAGCGTTCCTGGTCGGTCTCGAGGGAATCGTACAGCCGGTTCGAAATCATCTCGTTTGTCCCATTTTGGAATGGGAGCAGCTCACCGGCGTCGTTGTACCCGAGGCAGAGATAGCATGTAACAAGTATACCTCGACGCACGGCCTCGAGGAGAGGCTCAATCAGCGGCTCGGCGTTCATGTTGGGTGTCTGTATAAAGATTGAGTGTTCAGCGTGTTTGATCGCAGCGAGGAATGCTGCGTTTTGCGGAACAATCGTGCGTGTATGGTCGGGGGCTATAGGGATTAGCTTCGGACATCGTCTTGAATACATCCATACACTTACATCCGTAAGGCTCCCTGTTCACCAAGGCCATCGGAAATGGCTCGTGCGGTATGTGGAGCACATATGGCTCCATCTCATTTATATGGTCCTCGTCGGGTGCATCGCCGATTGTCGTGGGCTGAAGTGTGTGATCTGCCATGGTCAGCTTGAACACAGCTTAGAATTGATCCGACTTACTTAAAAGACGCGAGACCGATTGGGTGCGCGATTCCCCATCGCGCGGCTTGACTAGCCCATTGACCCTCCTCGTTTCGGCCTTGACATCAACATCGTAATGCGGATCATCAATACTATGTTCGAAAAGCGTGCTTCCCTCTCCAGAAAGCTTGTCGGTTTCCATTGAGAAACTCGGGATAGGAGCAGTAGCCGCCGGTGAGTCCAGCATTGGTAAGGGCGGTTCCAGTGCCTTTCCCCAAGAGATCAGCGCAGTATCGTACAGAGAATCCACAATCGGTCCCTCGACATGAACCATCATTTCCAGGTTGTCATTATCTTGAATATTGCTGCTCTGTAAGAGCGCAATGCGCCGGTCCACAATCATAAACTTTGCGTGGAATGTTCCAAAAATTGGCCGGTGATAGTTGATCACCTGCATATCGATATTCGGAATCTCCTCTGAAGCGGGTAACTGGACTTTGCCCGTCACGTAGCTTTTCTCTCCGACATTTAGACGATTACCCCAGACCTGCAATATCAGTTACATCTGCTCTCAATCCAAGTTCCCACGAGTGGAGACATACCTGCCTAGGATCTCCTCTATCATAGAGAATCTTGACAACAACCTTCTCTCCACGCTCACCAGCGCGTCTCGATAATTCCTTCAAGCCATTGGTAATTAACGTCGAAGCATCAGAGTAGATCCAGTAATTCGTCGCAAGAAAGACCTCCTTCTCCGCGCGGGCGATGCAGTTCGCCATGTGCCGACAGACATCCGGCAGTGGCGCAACAATCGTTAGCGGAACAACACCATTACTCCCCATGAGCGGCGGAGAAACGACTCCGCCAAGTGGGTTTTTGTCTAGCGTGCAAAGCGCATCATGGTAGATCTATGTCTCGGTTAGTCGATGCCCTGGTGGAGTCATGATCGAAAGGCGATTTGCGAAAGACAGAGATGATCTGTACCTTTAGAAACAACCTACTCGGAACCGCACCTCCCCATTTTCCACACTCCGCTGCCTTCTTCAACTCCTGGTCTTCGAGATACTCACTCTGCTCATCACTCGTAACATTGGCTTGGTCTGCGTGTTTCTCTGTCTTTCTCGTATCCTCATACAGCTCCTTGAAAACCTTATACGGAGCGCGCTTGGAATCATCCGCCAATTCCGAGCTCACGGTACGGTCGCCACAACACAAGTTGTAGACGTTCCACGAAACCATCCTTGGTAGTTTCTGAGCGCGGTTTTTGGAAGACCGCTTCTTCAACAGACACATCAGCAGGATAGTTAGCAGAAGGATGCAGAGTGCGGCATGGTCTGTTTTTGGCGAGGGCATAATATTTCTATTCCATCAGTTTGGAAGTGGGGTCGCCCGTTGGTTCTTTCCTCTGGAGTGTTGTTGTAGAAGTAAATGGGCCGGATTGAGGTGGAAACACATGACGCTGACGGCTGCCGATGACATCATCCGGCTAGGCATCAGCGTAGCCCTACAATATAAAATATTGGTTCCAGGTTTCTTGCTCTAGACTATCCTTTGGCAATAGATGCTTAATTCCACTAAGAACATTGATAACCGGTTTTGGAGGTGGACCAGCCCTGCGAACGCGTAAAGATCAGATATTGTATACGTTTGGTTGGTGCTACAACATCCTACGTACAAAGAGGCTACAATGCATATTAATGTGACGTAGTCCAAGCTTCCTATCCGCGGACTAGTTACATCCCCGCCCTCGGCTCAGATCTTTCGCACGTGGCTGCAGGTTAAGGTCTTCGATGTGGCAGCTTCGATATCACCAAGAGGCTTGACCCCGCCGGCTCCCTCTAGCATTCCCGACGCATCCGTCTTGCCAAAGTCCCGCAGTCGGACACCATTGTTGAATAGCCAGTCGACCTGCTCCAATGTCTTGCCCTTGCATTCCGGTACGCAAAAGTAGGTGAAGACCAAGGAGAGAAGCGCAACTGCGCCGAAGATGAACCCTACCTTACTACCCAGGCCCACTTCATCGGGGAATACCAGGTATGGGACTGAGAAGTTGACGGCGAAACTAGGGCCATGATATTAGCGGCGAAAGAAAAACTGCCAAATAATCAGTTGAACTTACTTGAAGCAGACGTTGATGGCAAACCCGAGACGAGAAGTATGGTCTCGTAGTCGTAGCGAAGTAACTTCGGTCACGACAACGTATGTCAATGGTCCCCAACCACAGGCAAAGCCACACCCAAATACAACAATCATGGCGACCACTCCTTTCATCCTAGGTGTCGTGATTGGTTCCTCGACGCCTAAACTCGCCATTGTAATGAGTCCCGCGATCAATACGCAGGAGGAAAATAGCAACAGTTTCCTAACCGCGTCAGTAAACGAAAACCATTTCAACCCACATTAACTTACCGTCTGCCAACCTTGTCGGCAATGAATAGAACACATATCATGACACCAAAACTGATGCAGCTCGACATCAAGGTAAACAGTTGAGGATTTATAATGCCCAGTGATCGGACGTAAACGCCTCCGTACTGGGACGAAAACGCCTGGCCAGTCGCCTGTTGAAAGAAGTTGACCGCCGCGACGATGAGTGTTCGCTTGAGGTTTTTGCCTTGAAAGAGTTCGGCAAATCTGCCTTGTTCTGCTTCGTTCGCCAGTGCAAACTCCACCTCTTTAAGCTCGTTGGTGATCTCTTCTTGCGTGAAAGCTCCTTGGCGAAGCTTCTGTAGGCTCAGCTTGGCCTCTTCCACTCTGTTTTGCTGTAGTAGCCATCTGGGAGACTCTGGTACGAAGAATATCGAGATGGCGATGACTGTAGGGACTATATAGAAAAGACCCAGGGGTATGCGCCACGCCCTGTTGTCATCAATGCGGCTAGTTCCGTAGCACACGGCATTTATGACCACTCCTCCCAATGTCAGACTAAGTTGATACGTCCCGACAATCAACCCACGAATTGGAGCAGGAACTGTAATTAGAATTAGTGGCACAGCAATGGGCCTGGAAAATCTGGCATCTCATACCGATTTCAGATTGAAATATAGGAACCACCGATAGTTCCATGCCGACGTATACATAGTTCAGAATTCGAGCAGCCATTATTTGTTCCTTGGTATTGGACGTGACGGTCACAGTAGCCGTAGCGAGGGCGTAAACGCTCATAACTAACATGCACCAACGACGGCCAAAGCGAGCAGAGATGAAGCTTCCGACAAGGACACCTAGAGGGAGAGAACACATTGGCCATCTTCATTCCAAGGACTAGTGAAGAGAAAAGCCAACTTACCTGCCGCAAAACCAATATAGTTCAAGCTGTTGAAAAGGGACAACCAGCGGGAGTCGAGCGCATATTTACCGGTGCCTTCGTTGTACTCGCCAAAATGTTTCGTGAAGGCATCCATGGCCTGCGTTGTTGCAAAGGCTTGGTTGTCGAAACCATAGTTGAATGTCGACACGGCGATGACAAAGACTGAGAAAAAGAGGGTCCGGTTGAAGTACCGGGCCTCGTCGAATGTGAAGCCCATGATGGATTGTCGGTGTGATCTAAGTCGTAGATGTCTCCAAAGCCACAAGATAAGATGGACATACCAAGCGAGCCCAAACTCGGAGGTGTATAATAGGTAGTCATTGGGACCATCGGCACATTTATATGGTTCTCGGAAGGGGTGAGGTGATTCGCTCCACTCAACACGCGAGAGAGGAGATGAGGAAGATAACTGGGTCAAAATCCTGGGGTAGCTAGACTAGACAGCGCGAGCCAGGAGTCCCACCCCGAGATCCGGTGTTCGTCGGGGGTTTGCCGGCGCACCTTCGGGTCGGCCTACGGCTGAACGCACGGGCCGTGCCTGTGACGGGTGGAGGTGAGACTCCTGCTTTGCTTGAAAAGGCATCACCTCTCTCGAGGATGAGTCCAGTTCTCTTATCGACCTCATTTACCATACATTCTCCAAATGGCGTCATATTCATTGCCTCCGAAACCTCTCCCGCTGAAGGTGTCCTCGAAGAACGGCGGCAATAGGCCCAACTATGTCATATTCATGCCAGACCAGCTGCGATACGACTCGCTAGGCTGCACTACCAATGGCAAATCTGGTATCGACACTCCCAACATTGACGCTTTTCGACAGCGCAGTTCCCTTTTCACTAACTGCTTCACTCAAGCATCGGTCTGTTCGCAGTCAAGATGCAGCATGTTCACCGGATGCTACCCCCACGTGAGTGGCCACCGCAGTCTTGAGAATCTCATCAAACCGTGGGAGCCCAATATCTTCCGGACCATGAAAGAAAATGGCTACCACATTGCTTGTCTGGCGCCCAGGGGCGATACGTTTGCGCCAACGGTTACCGAGTTGAGCGTCACCGAATACGGCTTCCTGGAAACGCCTGAGTTTACACCTAAGTTTGCAGGTGGCGGCAACGAGGATGCCGACAGAGACAACGTCTGGGACCGACTTTTCTACAAGGGTCTGCGAAATGCCAACCAAGCCCTGGACTATGATGAAGCCGTTGTCCGGTCAGCCCTGAAGTGGCTCGAGTGCCCACCAGATGACAAGCCATGGGTGCTGTTCATGCCGCTTCTCTTTCCACATTGTCCATTTCAGGTGGAGGAGCCTTATTTCTCCATGTATAAACGTTCCAAGATGGCCGATGTCGTTTCAAAGCCGGAAACGAAGACCGGCTATGAGCCTCGGTATATGAAAACAATTCGAGAAAGGTACGGAACAGGCCGTGCGACTGATGAGATCTGGAGAGAGATCAAGGCCACGTATTATGGGATGATCACTCGGTTAGATGACCAGTTCGGTCGCGTGTTGAAGAAGGTGGACGAGCTAGGGTTGTGGAAAGATACCGTGACCATGTTTTTCACCGATCACGGCGAGTACCTGGGAGATCATGGCCTTATCGAAAAGTGGCCATCAGGCCTGTCAGAAACTCTCGTCAGAGAGCCTTTGATCATTGGAGGAGCTGGACTTCCAGAGGGTAAATCTATCAACGCAATGACCGAGATGGTGGATCTAGTGCCGACTGTGCTCGAGCTCTCAGGTATCGGCGAGCACTTCCCTCATAATGGCATGTCCTGGATTCCCATTCTCGTCGGCGACTCGACCGTGCATAAGCAGTACGCCTTCTCCGAGGGTGGCTTCTTGACGTCTGAGGAACCTCTGCTCGAGCAGGCGCCCTATCCATACGACATCAAAGCAGGTCTTCAGCACGAAGACACCACCCTGGTTGGCAAAGCAATCTCCCTGAGAGATGAAAGATATGCCTACATTTACCGCTTGTATGAGCCTGCAGAGCTATACGATCGAGCTGCCGACCCGCACGAAATGCATAACCTCGCGGCTGCACCCGAATACCGCGAGCTGGTAGGTAGATTAGAGAAAGAGGTTCTTCGGTGGCTGGTGGGTGGAAGCGATTTCTTGCCGTGGCAAAAAGATGATCGGTTTCCGAAGGTGGACCTGAAGAGCCCAAGGGAACAAATGGAGGAGCGTCTGAAGAGGCCTGGCCGATCACTTGAGAACTGAACTAGAACCTATAGAAGCATCATATTAGCTCGCTTGTTCGCAACAATATTTATTTCTCAGGTAATTGGCGTAAAGGTGCTCTTCCATTGTTGAGTCGACGTCAGTCACATGCCACTAAGCCTGAATCAATCCCTAAAAACGAGCGAGCATCTGAAATTTACAAAAACTTGCAAGAACATACCATCGAATATTGATGATGCTTATGAGCATGGTGGAGAGTGAAGAACAAAAAGGCCAACACTAACGCGGTTAGCGTGCTATCGCCATCGAACCAGCCTCTTGCGCAAACGGCCGACTTCCGCTCTACCATCCGACCCGGTCGCATCGATCCGCCGACATCCGTCATCTCCCCAGCCCGCACCAGACTTCAAATAATGGCCTCACCTCTCGAGCATATCGCAGGCGACAGTGCGATATTCAATGATGCCTCAAGACCTCGATCTGACGGCAATGTCCGGGTGATGAGAACACTCCCAGCCTGCAACCAATGTCGACTCCGAAAGGTCAAATGTGACCGTCTCCAGCCTGTGTGCAATGCTTGTGTTCGGCTCCATCTGAATTGCTCTTATGCCACACGTTCGGCGAGCCCTATCTTTGAAAATAGGCGGGTCTTGGACTTTACGGAGGCTGGGCTCAAAAGAAAGAGAACTCGGCTAGCATGCGGAAACTGCCGAGCGACAAAAACGAAATGTTCCGGGACGAGCCCCTGTGAGAGATGCCAATCGAAAGGCCTGGCTTGTGACCTGGGCACCAGCATAGCTCCGTCAAGTGGGAATGATGGTGCTATAGGCATACCGACGCCTAAAACTGTGGCCAGTAGTGCAACCACCATGTCAGCCTGGCCCTTGGACAAGACAGCAACAAGGGGTTTCATCGATGCCTATTTCAACGCAACGAACACGGCCACTCCGGTTTTTCTGCACAAACCGACTGTCCTTGCTGACTGGAGCAAGGATGCTCTCAACTCAAGCCTGCTTGAATGCATAGTGGCGATCGGGCTTTTCACGAGCGGCTCCCGACCGGAGGGGCAGGCGATGGCTCGGGCATGGCTTCAGAAAGTACAAGAGGATGTTTTGAAACGGATAGGACAACAATCGGTATCACATTTGATGGTCCTGGTGTTGGTACTGCGGTTCCGATACCAAGTCGGCGATTCCGCTGATGCATGGAGCCTCCTGGCTCTTGCCGCTCGATCGGCTTTCACCATGCGACTGAACTATGAGCGTGATGGACTAGACCCACTCGTTCAAGAGTCGCATAGGCGGCTTATCTGGGTTATTTACCAGTTAGACCGGCTGTTTTCTGGGGGTATCGAAGATCTGAAAGTCTGTCCGGTAGAGAGAATGCATATTCGTTTGCCCTGCGACGAACGGAGCTTTGAGCTGGGGATCGCTTCCAAGGCTGGCTTCCTCGGCGAGGCAGCTAAAGAGCTCGGGCCCTATATGCACCCTCACGCCTTTCAGCTTGCACTTTTAGGCACCAGAGACAGAATCCTAAGGTAAGGTTTGTCGAAGTACTGTGATATGCCGGAATTAAGCTGATCACGACCAGATACACAAAAGACGTGCGGAGAAGCGGCAAAAGTCCGGCTGAGAGCCAATCGGAGATGAGAACTCTTCAAGCTGAGCTAGACGTGTTTGAGCAGAATCTCCCGCCTGAGCTTAAGCTCACTCCGCAAAGGCTGGTGGTCGTTGGCCATTCTCGCGAGGCTAGTACTTATGCGGCGCTCCATTCACTGTGGATGATGTGCCATTGTGATCTGTACCGCTTCTGTGTGCCCGGCATCCGCGAGTCAGTGTCCAAGGATGCGTTGGCCATCACACCATCCGATTTCATCGAGTATTGTCAGAGGGAATGTTTGAGTAAAGCCATTCAGCTTTGCGAGTTATGGTCCCATCTGTATCAGCTTGAATCCAGCGAATGTCTTGGCAACGAGTCGCTGCCTGTTTGCATTTACCAGGTGGCTCAGATCTTGCATCACTTGCCACGCTTATTGCCAGAAAGTGGTGACAACTGCATCGCTTCCCTGAAAAAGAAACTCACAGAGGCAATCCAATTGGCCTCCCCATTGACACAGCTATATGGTAACACAAGCAAGTGTCTGAGAGATGCGGAGCGATTGATTGACGCCCTGGGTCGCGAGTCCATGTTGCAATCGTCACCGGAACACAGTACAGTGGAAGGTATGGAGGTTGCTGAGCAGCACCTAGCGTCGCGACACTCGTTTCTGCCCCGCTTGTATAGGCGTCAAGAGTCCAGTGAGAGAGGCGGGTATCGGGCGGAAGGAGAGGATCGCTCGGATGGGGGTTTGTGTAACGCAGAGATGGCAGCACCGTCGTATCCTGGCACAGAGGACAATCTGCTGGACCGTGAGAAGAGGGTACAGCAGGAGGCTGAGCAAGGACTTTCTGACATGTTCTTCTGGGATCCATTCAACATGCAGTTGAATGGGTATTATGATCCAGATCTTGATTTTCCGTTCGTTTGACTGTTGTTGTTGTTGCCAATGTTGAAAGAGAATGGGTGTGACTTGAACGCGGCGTGAGAGAAGAAGGTACATAGTCCAGGCTGTCCAGGCTGTCCAGTCAACATGTGACTCCCTTACCTCCAGGTCCCACCTCGATAGCGACTCCCGAGGTCACTTTAATCACATCCCCAGTTGTACTCGAGCATACCATAGTCTTCATCCAGGCACCAGAGAGCATCCATTGGTCATATCATCTTGGCATCAAACAACACAATCATTTTCTTCCTAACCGCATACTATTTATGTTTTCTTGGTCATTTTCTCATTACGTCTCTCCATATGCTGCATACGACTTGTCCACGAAACCCGAAGCCATCCCGAGAGCAACCATCTCCTCCCCGCTCTCCAGTTTCCGCGAGACCTCATCCATGAACTCTTCGATGCTCATAACATTCGAATTGTTTCTCTTCTTGTTGTCGTCAGGGTCTTCCCGCTCCCGATGCAAGTGCGTCTCCACACTTATTGGTTTTATACACTCCTCCCTTCCTTGGGCGACGAATCTGGATGGAGTATAGATACTCGGGTTTGTAGAGCGAGTACCTCTACCAGCCTACCATGTCATGATATGCATTTCAAAGGCGTTGTTGCGATTTCAATTACCTTGGTCTTCTCTGCTAGTCCCGCCCACGCGATCTGTGTCCGCAGATTCACGCTCCAAAAGTGCAACCACGCCTTGGTCCCGTTGTAAACTAGATTGATGACAGAGAATGGTACAAAACCGAGGATCGATGAGACGTTGATGATGGCTGCTTTGGGTTTCCCCTTGAAGTGCTCGAGCAGCGAGAGGGCGAGGTGCATCGGACCCCGGATGTTGATGTCGATCTCTTAGTCTGCCTTCTGGAGGAAGTCTGATGTTGGAGTCTTGAAGATCTCTAGTGGTCGTTGCACGCCCGCGTTGTTGATGAGGCAGTCCCGCTCCGGGTGCACGGTCATTACCCGTAAGATGAAAGCGGGGATAGAGGCCGTGTTACCTGTGTCGAGGATGTAGTAGTCTGCTGCTCCAATCTCATGCGCTGTCGTCTGCAAGTTTGATTCTATGCGGCCGGCTATGATCACCTTGATTCCCTTGGAGATCAGGTACGAGGAAAGTGCTTTGCCGATGCCGCCTCCACCCCCGGTTACAAGGGCGCAGGTGAATGGAGGCTGGAGGCTGACATTGTTATGAGGATGCCGGAGCTATGGCCTCTAGGTCCGTGCTGAAGTTTTGTTGTCGGCTCCCGATTCCTGAGCGCGTTTAGTACTTCGCCCACTCGCCTGGTCAGCACCTTGGGGAAAGGACTTGAAAGCTTGTATCCATCATGATGTCACACAGACAACACAGGGGGAGCTCGCATATAGGCTTCATGACAGCGAATTATCCCGCAGTCGACCTTTCAAGCCCTGGAGCCTGGGAATACTTTTTCATTCCTCTATAGAGGCAATGGTGACCTGTGGTGTTTCATCCTTTCGTAGCTTCTGGCTGTACGTAGTAGTTTGCGAGAGTACCCACAATGTACGGATATTATAGATCGTATTAGGCTGGGATTCGCATTCGGGGTGATTCCGATTCCCCCGACACAAAGATGACTCTGGGAAACGGCATATCGGCGGAGACGACTTCCAATTATGCTCCTAAATAGAACATACTACAATGTGCTTACACCTTAACTCCGCTATTTCCGCATCCCCGCAGCTACAAAGCGGGAGCTTGGGTTGCCCCTCGCTCCTCGTCAAAACAGCTCGATTCCAAGCTCACAGTTAGCTTACGCTTCACTTCACGATGGCCGCCGTTCTTCAAAGTCAGAAGACTGCTCTTATTACGGGCGCAGCATCGGGAATTGGGTTTGCAGTCGCTAAACTCTGTCGGAGTCGTGGCATGCACCTCGCCCTTCTCGATGTGGACGAAGCCAACCTTGCCAAAGCAAAGGAAGTTCTAGCGTCGACGGACTCCTCTTCCTCTCTCAAGACCGAAGCCTATAATATCGATGTCGGCGACAAGTCGCAATGGGATAACGTGGCGAGCCATATCCGGTTGACGTTCCCAACGGTCGATCTCGTCCTCTTAAACGCGGCGCGGGGAACCAAACCGAAAGACTCTAACCCGTGGATTGACAACGCTGAATACTGGAGAACGGTAGGGGGCCACTTGAGCATATCGCAGTACTTATTAGATCTTGGCGTTTGGCTAATATGAAATATGACTGCCAGATTTTTGACACAAACGTCTTCGGCCCCATCAATGGCATCAGCGCTCTCCTCCCCCTCCTCAAAAACGACACATTGCCCAAATCAATCGTCATAACTGGCTCTAAGCAGGGAATCACCAACCCTCCTGGTGCCCGGAACCCCGCTTACAACGCCTCCAAGGGTGCAATCAAGATTCTCGCAGAGCACCTCGCCCACGACCTTCGCTCTGACCCGGCAACCGCGCATATCTCGGCTCATATGCTTGTTCCTGGCTGGACGTTCACTGGCCTCTCGGGTAACGTCGGGCCAACGTCCGAGAGCGAGGTGCAGAAGCCGCAGGGTGCCTGGCTATCTAGCCAGGTGGCAGATGAGTTGGAGAAGGCGCTGCAGCGAGGGTCGTTCTACATTATCTGTCCGGATGACGAGACGGACCGGGCGCTAGACAAGGCTAGGATGCAGTGGGGGGCGGACGATATTATTGAGGATAGGCCAGCGCTGTCGCGGTGGGAGAAAGGCTGGAAGGCAAAGGCTGAAAATGCCATCCAAGAAGATGCCGAGAGACGACGGGGCGCTTGAGCAGAGCAGCATACTGTTCGCTTAGGGCTAGAGACACATGTATTGTATGGTCCATTGCTCCGGGTCTCGTCGGATGATCGTCAAGGTAATTAATTCGGCCGGGGCGTAGCAGCAGGCCCGCCGAGATTAAGCGTGGGACTTTTCCTCGAACCGTGCAAACGCCGTCTTGGGTAGCTTTGAGAGCAAACACAGTGTTTGATCTAAATTCGCAGTCGATAAGCACCGATAATATCCGAAATATCATTGGTAGACCCTGTCAACCCATTTAATTTGAGCTAAACCTCACTTGGGTGGTAGCTGGTTCCTGGTGAGGCTAAAGGCATCGCCAAGCGGCGGGGATCCGAAGATCTGCAGAGCCAGAATCCTTCTTCCTCCCCTCCTTCACTCTCTAACTCCAAATCTCGCATTTCCCCAGCGACGCTCATCCAGATCGATCGTCCACCATGATATTGCCCGATCATTACCCCTTAAGGCTGCTCTCGCCGCATAGGCCACTGCAGCGCTCAACCCTCAACTACGTGATAACAGTGCGCTCCCAGGGATGAGAACTCCCTGTTAATGGCGACATTTGCGCCAAGATCTAAAATCTCGCCGGAGGTCCCCGTGGTGGATACAAGGTTGCATGCAGTTCAAGAGTTCGGCTATCTTTTGACCGGCGAAGGCATCTGCTCTTGGCTCCCTGGCTGCGTGATTGGTCGTGTCCCGTCATTTGCTGCCGCTATCTGTTGGCGTTTTTTGTGCTCCGCGTGCTGACCTGACCCCTGACCATCGTGGCCACACGACCTATTAATCAATCAACAGCAGCGTGCTGACAGGGGCATGGTGCAGGTAAAGATAAGCATCAGGCCGAGACAAAAACCCTGGAGATATCCATGCTAACAGTCAATTATGTATCTCAGGAGGTATCAGGAGACCCCTTCCAGGCACATGCGAGTTTCGTGTCGTACCATAGACTTGTCACCCTCAGAGGCTCAGGAGGTCTTATCACTGGAATCGCCAGGCTATGCACAAACATGTTCCGTTGAGTAGATGGGCTGGGCTTGGGGTTGTTCTAAGCGCTTTAGCCTCGGCGCTATCCTAGTGATCTGCACGTTCTCTGGGGGCTTGCAACTCTGCATAGGAAAAAGCTCCGTCCACGCCGGCTTGTTCTAGAAATATTCCGGCAAGCCTCCATTGCTCCAGACCCACTCATCCCTGAGGAAACAAAATGCGGGCAGCAGCGCACGTCGCGTGAAGGTGCCAAGCTCATTTAGAAGGTCACACTGAAGACATCAGGACGAATCACAAAACCTTCCCGCCTTCTGAGCTCTCTCGCACGACATTAGCATCGGCTGGGCAATCATCGAATGTACCACCTTCCTGATATGGATGCATGGCTGTGACAATCGGAACCAGGGGTGGGCTGCTTAGAAGCGCCTGGGCGGAAAGAGACTGGGATAGTGGTAGGCGATCCCACGCTGCGATAAAAATCCAGCGGTTCGTCATCGCCCGATGACCCAGTCAGCTTTAGGCTTTTGGACTATGGGGTGGCCGTTGTATTCAGTTGCGTGCTCTATCGGCATCCATCCCATTGATAACGATCTCTCCGATGGAGCACAATAACTCAGCCGTCTAGAGATGCAATGTCACCCTGTGAGTTTCAAATACTTGCATATCCTTGTCATTCGTGATGGAGGATATTAATGACGCAGAGTTGGAGATGGTGGTGGAGTGCACTCAAAACTTATAAGAGACCCGATGCCCGTCGTTCCTTCCTCGACCAGCACAACAGCAACACTCTTCAAGCAATCTCCTCCACTAGTCTTGATCTTCGGGAGCTCTTCAGGAACCCATCATGCATTCCTTCAAGCGCACCATCCTCCTCCTTGGAGCCCTTCTTCCTGCCGTCTTTGGCGCTCCCGTCGAACCTCGTCGCGCCGCTGAGAAGATCCCTGGAAAGTACATTGTCACCTTCAAGCCCGGCCTTGGAGCTGAGCAGATTGATACTCACGTCACCTGGGCTTCAAATGTCCACAAGCGCAACCTTGAGCGCCGTGATCTTTCTGACCGCGACTCATACGCCGGGATCGAGAAGAACTACAAGATCAACAAGTATGCGGCCTATTACGGCTCTTTCGACGATGCCACCATCGAGGAGATCCGGAAGAGTGAAGACGTTTGTGGCCTGATAATTCTCAATTGAACGCGGGGGCACATTGCTGACAATCGCGCAGGTCGCTTACGTGGAAGAGGACCAGATTTGGTATATTGACGCCCTGACCACCCAGAGCGGCGCTCCCTGGGGTCTCGGATCCATTTCCCACAGAGGTCAGCAGAGTACCGACTACATCTATGACACCAACGGCGCCGGCGCAGACACTTACGCATACGTCGTGGACACTGGTATCAATGTTGGCCACCAGGAATTCGGCGGACGCGCCAGCCTCGCATACAACGCTGCAGGCGGCCAGCATGTCGACACTGTCGGACACGGCACCCACGTCGCTGGAACCATTGGCGGCACAACCTACGGTGTCGCCAAGCAGGCGAACCTCCTCTCTGTGAAAGTCTTCCGCGGTGAATCAAGCAGCACCTCGATTATTCTTGACGGTTTCAACTGGGCTGCCAACGACATTGTCAGCAAGGGCCGCACCGGCAAGGCCGCTATCAACCTGAGCTTGGGTAAGTGTCAGCTCGTTTCTGAGTATAAGGAAAATAGGTTCTGATTGTTAGAGATAGGTGGTGGATACTCCAACTCTTTCAACCAGGCTATTGACAATGCATTTGACGCCGGTGTTCTCTCTGTTGTGGCGGCTGGCAATGACAACGTAAGTTCCCGTCTATTCTCCATGCCACGGCGCGCCTAATGAGATCTTTTGCTAGGCCGATGCTTCCAACACCAGCCCCGCTTCCGCGGAGAACGCTCTTACCGTCGCAGCTAGCAACCGCGCCAACTCCCGTGCCTCTTTCTCCAATTATGGCGATGTAGTCGACATCTTTGCTCCTGGTGAGAACATCCTCTCTGCCTGGATTGGCTCCTCCACTGCGACCAACACCATCTCGGGAACATCTATGGCCACTCCCCACATTGTCGGCTTGTCTCTCTACTTGTTCGCTCTCGAGGGACTATCCTCCCCTGCGGAAGTGACTGCCCGTATCAAGGAGCTGGCCACCCCCGGTGTTCTCACCAACGTTGCCGGCAGCCCTAACGCTCTTGCGTACAACGGCAACGCTGACTAAACGACACTTCTACCTAAGTAGGGCTCTATCTGGATAGACCATGATTTGGACGAAGACAAGGCAGGACGGCAGGAGGATAGAATGATGGACAGGATAGCATGATGGTTACGAATGCACATATTTTTACCTTCTATATATAAGCGTTCATGCGTAGATCAGCCTACGCTGTGGTACTAAGTAGCGGGATTCATCCATTCCTCTCCCTGCGCTTATCAGCGACCTACAAAAACACAGCAAATCCTCTCAGTGATATCAAGCACCGACTGATTGACAGGGAATGACGTCGTCACATTTCCTCACATGATGCGTTTTTCGACGTGGGCGAGGAATGCAATGAGAACCTGGAAGTCCCCACTACGCACTGGCAACACCCACATTTTCTGCCCCCTCCCTGGAGCTTGTTCATCCATCATTCCAACATAGACCCTCGTCTCGGTCCTTAACAGACGTGTCCCGACAGGCAACAATCTCGCCGACTGGAGGAGGATCATTCATCCGCTTATCTTGTGTCCACGAACCACTGCTTCCCTGCATGCTCGGGCAACAAGCACACGTCCGCTGATCCAGTCCTGCGAATTTCCCGCTTGGTTCCATCGTCTGGAATGCAGGAACCCCAGAGGCCCATCCAGAATGTTCACGGAAGGCCAATACCATTGCCGGAGCCGTTGGAGTTTACACCAAGGCTTCGGGTGCAACATACAGCCAGTAGGTGCATCACATCGCCCCCCTTGCTTTGGTTTATCCATTCGACTATCCGGCGCTCCCTCTGTCCCTCTGGCCCCTTGTCTTGCGGATGCTAGCCTGCTAAAGTACTTCTAGGAGCTTTCGAGGACATCTGAAAATGGGAGCAATGGCAGCGTATACGTTTCCTCCTACCCCTTTCCTCTCGTCGAGCCGTATCCACTGCGTCCTATAAAGTGGCCCCGACTTCCTCTCGAAAAGCTCTGGTATCGCGGAGAAGGGATCTATGTGCAATGTCTCAGCTAGAGTCCGACAAGGATGCCCTGCAACTCACTCTGGCCCAGTATGGGCTCCGAATGGCTGCGGATGGCTATCACATCCAGTGGGCCGTTGGCAATCCGAGACATCCTCGCAACTGGGACATTTCTCGAAAGATCTATGATGCTTCACTCTTGATCTTTCTCGAATTCTTCACGTATGTTCCGGGCCTCCTGATATGCTTCTTTGGAGGATTAAGCTAACGAGCGCTGTGCATAATAGCACTGCTGTCAGCACGGCCGGTGTAGGTCCCTTGCATCCATACTCCCGCACCGGACGGATATGCTGACACAATCAGTCAACGGCTGCGAACGTTGTAGCGGTGGAGTTCGACTTGTCAGAAGAACTATGTATCTTCTTGTTCGTAACGGTGTTCGTCAACCCCATTTTACCACCTACTACCAGGTTGAGGACGCGCTGACGCTGACATGATTCAACAGGTATCTGCTCGGACAAGCCATCGGGGGAATTATCTTGCCGCCGTACTCGGAATGTTTTGGCCGCAAAAAGCTCTACATCATCAGCTCTGTGACCTACAGCATATCTTGCATCATCGTCGCCGCCGTTCCGTCCATCAAGGGAGTTGTGTTTGGCCGTCTTCTCGGCGGGTTTCTCTCTGCTATTCCGAGCACCATCGTTGTCGGCAGTATCGAGGACATGTTCAACTCTCGAGATCGGGTCTGGATGATCTGGATATGGGCCCTTGTGGCTAACCTTGGTTTGGTTGTTGGGCCAATCATGGGCACATTTACCACAACTGATCTGAACTGGTAGGTGTCAGGAATACCCGCACTACCGGCCAATTTGGGCTAACCTTTGATTCAGGAGATGGCTCTTCTATATTTCCGCTGTCGTGACCGGAATCTTGACTCTCCTCTTGTTGGGAATACGTGAATCCCGCCCTTCTCTGTTGCTGGAGCGAGAAGTGGCCAAGCTCCGGCAAATAACCAACATCGACTGTCTCACGAGTTCCAACCCTGACAGTGCGCCCGATCTACGGACATTCGTCCGCGTCGCGCTAGGCCGCCCCATCCGTCTCTTTTTCACAGAGCTCATTGTCTTCACCGTTTCGGTCATGAGCGCCGTGGCGACCGCACTCGTCTACCTCTTCACCCAAGCTCTGCCGCCAATATACATAAGTCAGGGCTTCACACCTAAACAGGCATGCCTTCCATTCATCGCCATCGGTGTCGGGCTAAGCCTGGGATTGTTGACGCGATACCTGGACCTGCACCTGATCGAACGGCGTCGCAAAGGTGGTCACATCCTCTTACCCGAGCACAAACTAGCTGGGTTCTGGATCGGATCTGGCGTGCTCGCCGGATCACTCTGGGTCTTTGCCTGGACGATCCCCCCGGCAGTACAAGGCCTGCACTGGGTCGTGTCCGTGCTCGCCCTTGTTCTCATCGGGTACGCGCTGAACGAAATCGACTATGTGCTGGGCGGGTACCTCGCAGACAGCTACCTCAGCTACGCAGCAAGCGGCCTGGCGGCCCTCAGCCTGATCCGGGCGCTTCTTTCAGGTATCCTGCCCCTTGTGTCAAGTCCCATGTTCGGCCAGCTCGGGGCCAACGTGGCCGTTTCGCTGCTGGCCGCCGTCGCAACGGCATTCTGCCTTGTGCCACCTCTCTTTTCGCGGTTCGGTGAAACGATACGCGCCAGGAGCAAGTTCGCCAAGTACAGTTTAGACATGTACCACGAGCATAGTGTCGACGAAGACGGTTATTAGATTCCAATTTTCAATATCTCATAGGCGGGAAGAAGGGAGAGGGGTGATGGGGTGGGAACTGCAAATGCAGGTCGCCAATGGACATTTGTTTTCCCCTGCTGCTCGTTCAAGGAGGGTCATGATTTTTTTTGGGTATAACGTGGAGTTTGTGTCCTTGTTACTGTTGTACAAAGCTCGCAGGCAACCTGGCAACATGATGGAAACCCTCCCTTTTTTTTCTTTTTTTTTCGCGTGCTTCCGATACATGACCTGGAAATAGACAAATGAAAAGATAGCGTCTCTTGTTGACTGAGCACGTGCCCATCCTTGTCCTCGGTTTTCTATTTTTTTTTTTCCTTCGTCCGTTTTTTTTTTCCGTTGTTCAAGAGTGTCGGCCTTTTAAGCCGAGCCACCCGCGACGCCGCTTCAACCCCCGCCTTCCATCCACCTCTTCTTAAAAGCAGCGTCTGAGTAGCCGGCGATCCAAACTATCCGCGATTGGGGGCACAAGGACCGACGTTCTTAATTCCTCTTGACAATGGACGATTTGAGACTTCGGTCTCCCGATCCTCTCCGTCCTTTACAGCCACTACTATCCTCCGTTGCGGAGAACGCGTCCTCCCTTACCGCAAGTGGAAAACACCCACACCATCAACACCAGCATTCCCCAGAAGAGCAGCAGCAGCAGCAACAACAGCTTGACGTCGATATCGAAGCTCGCTCCTTGCAACCGCTGCAGCATGCTGTCGCGGAATTCGACCATTATGCCCTGCAGCCGCACCAACATGCGCCTGAGGCGCCCTCGCTTCCGCAGGATGATCCGTACGGGGGCTTGATGGTAAGTGAAGTGGGCAGACGGCTTCGCCATGCCATTGTCGCGGCTTCTCTCGCCTGCATTATGTGTCGCGAACGAGATTGCTGATTTGTCGATGTGAACTAGCCATCGGACCAAACACACCCCCAACAACTCCAATCCTACAACGCGAACGAATCCATCTTCTCCTCGAAAGAACACGGCTATCTCCGAGACGTAGCCTCGATACTAGACCCGCCGGATCTCGAAGCATGGAGAGCACGGCTCTTCAACGTCGAAGATATGATTGTCATGAGCGAAGAGCAGTACGGCTTCCCCTCCCTCCGTCATTGCCCTCCTACAATCCATGATCTAAAGCCAGCCCAACTAGATTCCGAACCTACTTCCCACACGTCGACAACGTCTACTCCCACCGCTCTACCCAGCGCTACAAACGCAAGCCCCTCGTCTCACACTACTGGGACTGCCGTCTTAAAGGCCGACCCCCCGGAACACCCAAATCCGACGACCCGAACAAGAAGAAGCGGAAGCGCACGGCGCGCGAGCGGGACCTCTGCGACGTCAAGATTAAGATCACCGAGTACTTTCCCGGATACGCTGCGGGCGGCGGTGGTGGTGTCCTTGGTAGTGAAGCGGATCATATTCCCATGCCGTTTTCTCCGGGCGTTGGTGTAGCTCTCGGTGTTGAGACGCCGCTTTCTGCTGCGGACCCTTCCCTACCCAATACGAATGTCATGCTGCAGTATCCTTCATCGACTTCTGCGGCAGGTGGTGGTACTGAGAATCAGCCATTTGGGGTTCTAACGCCTAATCCACCGCTGCCGGAGGGACATCCTGGTGCCAATGGACAGCGGTTCTTCACGATCCAGCGCGTCAATGGGAATGGTGCGAATGGGAAGAATGATGGGGTTAGTGGTGGGCATCGGCATACACTGGAGGAGAGCGATCGGGTGAAGAAGAATAGTGTGCAACGGCTTCTGTTGAAGGAGGCGAGAGAGAGGAAGAAATCATTCTCTGTAAGTGAGTTGCCTGATGCTCGTCTGAGTTGATAGCTCGACTTTTTTTTCTTTGTTTTGCTTATCAGTCGACCGGGTTACGTCACTGTCTGGTCAGGCACTTTCCTTCCCCGCTTTTTCGATCTGTCAAAGCCTCTTCATGCTTTTTCTACTGCGCACTTTTGACACCTCAGTCCCTTCGCTCATTCTCATTCATTGGGTGTTATCTCATATCATCTAATAGCACGGTAAAGACTAGGGCAATGTCGACCAACACGCCTACTCAGAAAAATTACCATACACAAGCCACCGGCACCGCGGCTGAGACGGTAGCGAACCACTCCAGAGACTCGGACCTGAAGCTATTCGGGAGCTGCTTCTGGTGAGTACCAGAGTTAAGACAAGCTCCGTAGCAGAGCCCTTGCGCTAACACAGCTCAGCCCCTTCGTGCAACGAGTATGGATAGCTCTGGAACTGAAAGGTATCCCCTATCAGTATATTGAAGTCGATCCTTATCAGAAACCCCAATCGCTGCTAGAGGTGAACCCTAGAGGTCTTGTTCCTGCCTTGCGGCATGGCGACTGGGGCTCGTATGAGAGCACCGTCTTGCTCGAATATGTAAGGGTATCTACCCTGATGTTGCGTAGTAAAGCTGACATGGTCGACAGCTAGAGGACTTGAATTTCGACCCTCCCCTCCTTCCGCCTGGCGATGCGAAGCTGCGAGCGCATTGTCGGCTGTGGGCGGACTATGTGAGTTGACTGTAGCGACTGGACTAGCACTTGAACATCAAAGGCTAACAGACATAGATCAATCGCAAAATTGTGCCCAGTTTCTATCGCCTCCTGCAGGAGCAGAATCAGCAGAAGCGAATCACACATGCAGAGGAACTCCGCGACCACTTCAATACGCTGGTTGGAGCAGCCGATCCCCAAGGGCCTTTCTTCCTTGGTCCAAATCTCTCATTTGTGGATGTTCAAATCGCACCATGGATGGTCCGTCTGAATCGTGTATTGAAGCCGTATCGCGGGTGGCCGGACCCGGAACCAGGAAGCCGATGGGGCGCGTGGGTGGATGCGATCGAGAATAGTGAGGAAGTCAAGAGAACAACGAGCACAGATGACCTGTATCTCGACAGCTACGAGCGCTATGCAGGTAGGTAGTCTCTGCTACGCTGCGGACCAAGCTGACAAGGACCCAGAAAACCGTCCCAACACTTCCCAACTTGCAAACGCAATCAACTCTGGAAGAGGCCTCCCCTAAATACCACCTTGAAATCTGTTTCTCCTCAGGTCCCCTATTTAGGTGAAGCTGAAAAGAAGCGGAAGCAGTAATTCCAAGCGTGGTTTGACAATATAATACAGAGCGCATCATGTATCACAATGTTTCGCCCGTAGTTAAATTGTCTTTCCACCGCGAAATGCCCCAAACCCGCCTCGTCCACTGCCATCGGGGCCCCGCGGGCTGCGGATTGGTTGGCGCGGGGATTGAGGCTGGTCGCTCTGGCCTCTTTCATCACTCTGTTGCCTGTCTTTTCGACCATAGGACGAGTTGGGTCTGGAAGGAGAACTAGGGTCGTAGAGCTGCTTAGACTTGCCTGAGGCGGCAGACTGCTCTCTTCTGTCTCGGTTGTTGTTGGTGTCTCTCCCGTTACCCCGACTCCTACCCTTCCCACGCCCTTCATTTCGCGGCGGCGTTGAGCTGCGTGGAGAGGATGCCCCAGACGTTGGGGCAGACGGTGTGCCAAATAGTCTTTCACGGACTTCTTCGTACTTGCGTTGTTTCTCCTCCAAATTCCGCAACGCGATAGCCTGTCGCTCTTCGGCTGTTGGCTCCGGTCCTTTATCCTCGTCCGAGTCGTCGTCTTCGGCGTTCAGGTCCAGGCGGCTAAGAACCCTGGCCGCGCCAGCAGCCGACGATGATTGTCGAGGAGCGATTTGCGGATTGCGACTGAGAAGAGTGACAGCTGGCTTGATATCTTGTTTCAAAGGGACGTTGGATGTGGCTTCCAGGAAGTGGAACGTTTGCGGCGATTCACTAGGCATAACCATTGTCAGATCGGATTGCAATCTGTAGAACACGACTGCGCAAACTCACGCTTCGGCCCACAATTGACGATTGAATTCAGCCTGCTGAGCCCTCCGTTGGGCTTTGGTAACTTTGGACGACACCTTCTTTTCCGGCGGAGGCGGGGCCGGTTCGGCGTCCAGTTTCTGGCGGAAAATCACTCAGGTCAGATCAACTGTCGGCCAAGGGAGAAGGATAGCGCGTAGAGAGACAAACATCCGCTTGCGATTCCCAGTCATCTCCCCATGCATCATCACCCATTGGAAGTTTCGTTGTACTCATTGCGTCGCGGCGAAAAAATGGTCAAGCAGTAGGGCAGAAAAATCGTCAGACCCAAATGTATAAACGAGTGTAGGTGAAGCGAAAGAGCGCTAACGTTTGGGACAATGAAGGCGGTCTATAAGTCAAAAATTGTAAATACAATGCCCAAATGCACTTCTATAGTTGGAGGATTGTAGTGTGTCTGGCGGCTGGAGTGAGAGGACGGGTTGGGGAAAGGAGGTCAAAAAACACCGACAGTCGCCGAATTTGGCGGAGAACCGCTGGAGGCCTGCTTAGTTAAGATACCCTTCCCCTCCCACCAGCATCTCCAGCATGTTCCAACACCGCGTTCTTCCACTACCAGCGTTCTCTCCTACCTTTAGGCAGTTTCCGCTCAAGCTACAGGCTTGACGTTTGGTATTCCATAATGGCTACAGGTTCGCACCCCGGCTGCATCGATTGATGACCCTATCCAACCCCGCATTCCTCCCCAGTCATCACTCGCCCAGTAACAGCTCCAAGTCTAATATCAGTCTACTAACTCCCATACAGATCCAGATGGCGACTCTCAAATGGCCTCCTCTCCCGAATCCCACCACTCCCTCTCCGACGTCGACGACTCGCAGCCCGGCACCCGCACCCCGACCCGCCTCTCCCAGGCCACCCATCCACAGTTCGCAGGCGCCTCGGAGCTTTCTCCGCCAGGCTCACAGACTCAGAGCACTGCTGTGAGGCCGGATCTCGGGAACATCATACCTGCCACTGAATCGGGGACGGCAGACTTGACACAGCAGCCCGCGGCCTCGTGGATGACCAAACGCGCGGAAGAAGAGTATCAGCGGGCGATGGAATATGTTATTGATCAGGATTTCAGTCTTGGTAGGTGGCTCCTCTTCAGATCTTCTCTTTTATGAGTCTCCGCAGATGTAATGGTCTTCACCTACGTTTAGTGATCGTCATCACTGACTTGGTGAATCTTAGATGAGTTCGGGGATCCATTCGATGAGAGAGATATGAAGGAGAAGCTGCTATAAATCGATTACAGGCATGGCGTTTGGTGTTCATTCGTCACCTTTTCTTCTCGTCTAGACGGGCTGTTCTGCGGACTAGGGGTTGCCAACACGGATGATTTATGAGACACGACCAGCAGCGCGGTAATAATTGAATTAAATGAAAGAGTTATTGTGGATTTTGTGGATTTTCCACTTCACTTTTCTGTCTCTCAGGACTGAGGTTATGCACTTCATGTTGTGTGGTCTTTATAGCCTACACCACAGGAATCTACCGAAAGGCATGATGAGAACAATTACCCCAGAGTCCCCTCCAGATCGTCAGCAAGCCTCTTCTCATTGGCAAATCAATTCTCTTGAGCGGCTTCGCGAAAGCGTCCAGAACAGAGGGTTCTGCAGACTAAGTGTTGGCACGGTAACCAACAAAAGCTGGACGCCAAACCAAGACGTAAAACAACATCGAAACTCCAACGCCTTTCTGCAGTCGTCAACGCGCCACGACACTTCGCGACTCCGCCAATATCGCCGGCTTACGCTGTATCTTGTTGTTTTTATTATTTAACAATCTGTATCGTCTTACCAACAGTTCATCGTTTTGTGATTCCACCCTTAATTCCAGCGTCCTTTGACCATCTCGCGAGGAGCATTCCGCGCGTCGACAAGATGGATCCAGCGAATTCTCTCCCCGCACAACCACAGATACGGTAAGTGCCAATTGTTTTTGATTTCAGTATCAAGCATTCTCGAGACTGGCGATGGACCGACCGCGCGATACTGTCGGTGTCAAGGGCGCAGGAGGAGACAGGCAGACCCCTTTTCCTCCATCTCAAGCATCTCACTCGATCCGCCTTCCAACCCCACGCGACCGTCATGTCACGAGTTTATTGAAGACAAGGCATCTACATGAGGCAAAGTCGCTAACCAGCAACGGCAAATCTAGTCATCTCGACGAAGCCGAAATCCATTTTACGCCGGTCAAATCTACAAACGCACCCCGCGTGTGGGAGCGCAAACCATCAACATCGTTCCTAGCGGCGCGCTCCAAGCCGCGAAAAGTGTGGAAGCGGTTCCGATCCTCATTCAACAGTATGAAGGCTCTGCAGCAGCTGATCAATCCGGATACGAGCGGGCTAAAGGAGAGCGAGCTTCTACTTGAGATCAATACGCAGCGGAACAACGAGGGTCTCCGCGGTGTCAAGAGACAATGCCTTTCGACGCAGAGGTTTTCTACTGAGGCAGACGTAGAGAAGGAGGGTCCCGAAACATCCGCAGTGCGAGGCAGGTCGTTTCTTGAAACCAAGTGGGAGTCGGAAGCCTCACGCAAACGACGTACGTCCCCCACGAGAAATCTAGTGCTTACCGCGTATGGCGAGCGTGTTCGCTGACTAGCTTATTAGGCAAACTGCCCGCAGTTCTAGTCAGTGCAGACGAACAACTGCTTGTTGATGATATGCAGGTCGAGCAGGACGATGTGGACATGGCCGAGATCGGGGCCGCTCCGGGTGGAACCACGTCAACAGACGACCCTGAGGCAACGGGCGAATCCCCGATGCATACCCCGGGGAGCCTGGTTTTCGGGGCAGCCTATCCCGATGCGCTACCTGGTGAGGCCCGGCGCCTACCAACCGAACAGTGTGGGGTGATCGTGAACATAAAACCCCTGGATGAGGTCGACTACGAAGTCGCTACATCTACGACTACAGGTGTCCTGGTTGGCAAAGATGCGACCGACAATGCATTTGATGTAGCAACGGCAGACGAGCAGCAGCTCCGACCGAACGTCGTTACGACTCCTACCAAAACAGTCCAGGATACCGATACCACAATGACAGCGCCCGTGCAGTTATCGGTCGAGCAAGAGTCGACTCTCGTTCGATCAGCGCTCCGCAGCTCTCTAGGCGGAGAAGATACCGAGCTGCTGAACAACTTCCTGTCCAAGGCCAAAGCAAAGCGCGAAGCCAAGGCGGCCGCAGAGGCCGAGGCAGCGGCAACGATGATCGCACAGGACCCTGAAGAGAAGGAGGAGCCGCAGCCGCAGCCACAGTCGGAAGTTGTTGTCGAGATTCCTACACCTGAGCGTCGGGTGCTGGAGGACCTGGACACCAACTCGCCATCACCTCAGAAATCTCCGTCAAAGCCGGTTGAGAAAGGTGAGGTTGCAGATGAAAACAGTTCTGCCAGCCCCGTTGCCCGCCGAAGCACGCGAGTGAGATCGTCCCAGCGAGCAGCCGCCCCGAACCCTTTCCGCACCACACTCTCGCTGCGTCGGGCCAAGGGCACTGAATTCGTCTTTGTTAAGCGAACCGAAGCACAAGAGCTTGCTCTCGAAACTAAACGCAACACTCAACGGAACAAAGGGGAGTCTCTGCTGCCAAAAGCTACGCTGCAAAGCCTCTCGCGACAAACTCCAGATGCAAGCCCTACGTCGGACAGCGGTAGCCAACGGCTAACCAACAAACCCAAGAAAAATGTCTCGTGGAACGACGAGCGCCTGGTAGAATTCGAAGGCGACGCCAGCGACAGCGAAACGACCGGCAGCCAGGGCGCCAAGGCCACGACAGCAAAAAGTCCCGACAAAAAAAGGGCAGCCAGTAGCCGCAATTCTCAGTCGCAGGCGTCGCTTGCGAGTGGTGGTGAAAACGCTGCAGCTGCAGCAACTACTGCATCTCCTACTGCAGCGCCTCGGGGCCGGCGTGTGCGGCGGTTGGGACCACCAAAGCCACTCGACTCCACCTCTTTCGACCCGAGCAGCGCAGCGTCATCCCCGTTGTCGCCCACTGACAGTCCGATTGCAAAGCGTAAGAAATTAACGCCCAAGTCGCCAAAGTCCATGCTGCCAAAGGCACCTTCCACGGTGAACACTACGTCCGAGCGGCCGTCGCTGCTGAGTGCTGGACGATCCGTCAAGACGAACCTGCTCAAGGTAAATGCGGGCTCGACACCGATGCCGAGGCGAGTTCGTCGAACTTAGTTTTTTTTTTAATATCTTCGGCCGTCTCGGTCTGTTGATTGGGCATGAATATTGTCTGTTTAATTGTAAATATGTTCCTTCGTTTGGCTTCGGAGTTGGAGGACGGGACCGGAGTTGGGATGGGTTTGCACTGTTAGCTTCTTGTGATACCAATTGATCAAATCATTCTCGTCTTGCGTGCTTTGGCTGGATTTTCTCATCTCGCCGTTTCTCTCAGCAGCGCACAGATCCCAGGAGAAGGACCAAAACAGGTCCGTCGCTCGTTGGCCGCTTCCCTGGTTATACAACAAACGGATAGTTATAAGATCTGCAGGGACAAAAGGACCAACCTTTCGCTAGCAAGGCTTCGAGCCCGTGAAACACTGAAACTCAGGATCCTATATCCAGGTCTTTTCCGAGGCTGGATATTGCGGTGGCAATGAAGATTTCAAGAGTTGCTCTTTTCTCATTTCTTGTGACGTTCACTCGATGATATGCAGAGATTCAGACTCTTTTTGGAGAACAGCAAGCGGCATCCCCGCAAAAAGCCACCCAGCGTCTTTGCATCCATCTCCCTCACTAATTCCGGCTGTGGCTTGAGCTAGCGAAAACGATTTCCTCGCGAGTCATTCTCGCTGCATCTCGCAAAAGCAAAAAAAAAAAAAAAAAAAAAAAAAAAAAAAAAAAAAAAAAAAAAAAAAAAAGAAAGTCAACAGGGTATCTCACGACATCGACATCATGATCCGTCGGTGCTATAGCCTTTAGGTCTTGGGTCAAGTGTCAACATCACCAGGCCCCCTTCATACAACGATTTCCCTCCGCAATCTAGAAAGGAGCAACTCTGGTCACGCAAGAGTTTTCCGCGCCTACAGCATATCCGCCGCTCGGGAGGCCTGACGACAGTATACTCCTCAGTCGGCCTCAGGGCTGCCCGAGTTGAGCCTAGAGGAGAGGCACATGCAGATAAACAATGCACTATGATATCAGAGTCACTCTCAGAACTCGAAGGTTCGGGAAGATCCTCTCCACCGCACATGTTCATGTTTACGTTCTGCAGGCCTTATCCGTATTGTGCGTAGATACTCCATCCCTCCGCATCATGGCCGAGTCAAGCAAGCCCAAGCTGTTGAACGTGCTCGACGGCGCCGTATATGGCTTCTCCGTAGTGGCGGGCTCCAAGGCCGAAAGGTGCATTGCATTTGCAGTTGCATCTGCAGCCGCAAAAGCACTGCACTGCTCCCTCAATTACCCTCCCATACTACTCTACTCCAGCGTACTCCTACAGTCTACCCAGCTCTGAATATCTTAACTACGTGATCACCATGATCGACATGTATATCGCATCCTCGTCAGAGCCAATTAGACTTTGCTAAGTCCAGTCGGGCAGTTCCGTAGGAAGGTTTGCCAGAGTCGTTCTTCCCGGGTGCAAGACGGCTGCAGAAGAGAACTTAATTGCGAGGAAGAATGCTCGGCGCTTGGGGCTAACAGGGGGTGTGCCTGGGAGGTAATCTAATCTAAATCCTTGGTCTGGCGTTGGTTAGGTAGGGGATCCGAGACCAAGGGTGTGTGGTTTCAAGTTGGGACTCTTGGCTTCGAGGAAGCCAAGGGGGTTTGGCGGCTTAATCGATCTCTTACATCGTAAGATGTTAGTATTGGGAGAGTTCAAAGTTGAAAATAACGGATTGTATCCAACAGGCAGTCAGGAACGAAGAGGATCTGAATAACCTCGCTCAACTTACTCTGTACATTTTCCCCGGCCTTCTCTGCTCCTACAAACCCGATACCCCCCCACGTCCCTTGAACCGATTCCCTCGGGTAGTCTCGAGATTCGAGAAAGACGACAATTATCTCATTCTGCCCTCATACTCGGGAATGGATTGGATTAGCATCTGCACCGCTTATCCATAATCGCAATCTGCGGCCCCACCAGACTGATACACGAACGCCCGAAGCAAGCCACAGCGGCCACAGCGGCGTTAGCCTGCAGTCCTCGCAAGGGGGGCTAATTAGGGCTGTGTGGGTACCATCAGGCCGTTCTTGGACTAGAGCTTGTCTGGATTTGCCCACCGGTGCATTGTGATTCCGTGAATTTCCGAGATGCAACGGCCTGTCTGGAGTAAGATTGGAAGCGGAAGTCGAAGTGTGGGCGGGAACAAGGGGAAGCGGAATGACGTCACTGGCGTGAGGGAAAAACTAACGGCAGACTCCAGAGATGGAGGACTGTCCTCCGTCTTTTCACTCTGTATCCACACTGTCACTGCAGACTGGGTTGCTAATTTTATTGGTTCTCGTATTCAACTTTACACAGAAGAGTTGCAAGTGGTAACCGGGAAACATGCATTCTAAAATTTGTCTCTATTCCAGATTCCTCAACATGTTCCGACGTTCCTGGCACTTCTCCCGCCCGGCTCACATGCTCTCCTACTCCATTGGTAGACAGTAATACCGAGGACAGAGGGGTGTCGAACATTGCGCGCTATGACCTGCATAACGGAGCGGTTTGGCCAATAAAGACGAAAAAGGCGAAATCTCTTCTCGTCATCAAATCTACGCAGACAGGTTCTTCGCGGTCTCCTCGGGCCACACGTCGTAACCAAAGGTATCCTTCATGTTGACGAAGCGGAAGTGGCGGCCCTCGGCGACCTTGTTGACAGCCTCGTAGTCGGCATCGCTGAGCTCGATGCTCTTAAAGTTGGACTCGATGCGCGAAGGGTTCGAGCTCTTGGGGAGGACAACGTATCCGCGGCGCAGACCCCAGGCAATGAGGACCTGGGCCAGCGTGTTTCCGCCCTTCTTGGCAATCTCGTTGAGGGTCGCGTTTTCGCTGACGCGCTCGCCGGTGGTGGGGACCTGGTTCTGGGAGCCCAGCGGGGAGTAGGCCTGGGGCAGGATGTCGTGCTTGAAGCAGTACTGGAGGAGCTCCTCGTTGGGGAGGAAGGGGTGAATCTCGATCTGGTTGACATGGGGGGCGACCTTGGCGTGCTTGAGCAGCTTGTCGAGGCCTTCGATGGTCCAGTTGGAGACACCGATGGCGCGGGCCTTTTTGTCTGCGTAGATCTTCTCCATGGCCTGCCAGGTGGGCTCGGGGTTCTCGGTGAGGTCCTTGAGGGTCACGTACTGCGGGGATCAGCATCCATCTCGTCAGCGAGCAGGCCAGGTACGTACCTTTCCATCGGGACCGATCTTGGGCTTCTCCTGGCCATCCTTCTCGGCGGCGATGGGCCAGTGGACGAGGTATAAATCAACATAGTCGAGCTTGAGCTTCTTCAGGGAGTCCTCGATGGACCAGAGGACGTCTTCGTAACGGTGAAGGTGGTTCCAGACCTTGGTGGTGATGAAGATGTCCTCGCGCTTGACGGAGGGGTTCGCCTTGAGGAAGTCGGCCACAGCATCGCCAACCTCGCCCTCGTTGAGATAGTACCAGGCGCAGTCCAAGTGTCGGTAGCCAACCTCGAGGGCCTTGACGACCGCCTTATAGGTCTCACCCTTTGCGCCCTCGTTGGCGAAGGTACCGAAGCCCACGCCGGGGATGGTGACGCCGTTGCTCAGCTTGAAGCTCTTTCCAGAAGACATACTGAATGGGGTATCAATGCAATTGAGATGAAGAAAGTCTAGGATGCGAAAAGCAGGAAGGTGGGAGAGAGGGGAAGAAAAAGCGAAGTCACAACAGTCCTGGTGCTATGACGAAGGATAAAGGGGAGCTGGTGGGGTTGAAGGGGACTCAGGAGGGGTTACTGGCCGCTTGGCTGTTTTTATCCAACAATGCCTGAATGCGGGCAATTTGCCCACCGGTGCTGGTCCGGAATGGGGGATTAATCTATTTCTCATACAGTGCAGCAGTGATCTGCTACCAAAGTGGCTTTTTGTCTTTCATGTTGTCTCTCACACTGTCGCAAAATGCAGAAAAGCCAGCACAGGCTACCTGACTGTCTTACACCATGCGACCCCACCACGGCAGCAGACCTGAGCTCCCCATGAGGCCATTGCCAGCTTCAGAAAAGGAATTCAGAGCCCGGATGACATCAGAGTCCGTCTTTTTGATCGTCATCGGTCTCCATCGATCTGTGGCTGGTCCACGGGTGGAATTCTTACACGTGCCAATCAGCGCTGCCCACCGACTCCGCCGGCCTGAGCCCTATCCAATCACGGCGGCTCCTGCTTCCATGCGAAACCCAGAGGATCAGTCGCTGAAATTTGTAAAACGTCGCTGTGAATTTCGAAATGTTCGGAGCTCGATAAGGAGTGCTACCTTCCGCATTTCAAGCAGGGACTTGTACGCAGCACCAACAGAAAGCAGCAACACAGCTGATGCGATAGCTTATCTCTCCAGATAAGGCGTGGGAAAGCACGAGGCAGCATCGTTGACGCTCTCTGGCGCAGGCAGTAACTCTGGGTATCGAGACCTGTAAATTACTTATCCACTGGAACCGTCCTCACTGCTCTGCCTGTGGATAAGAGCGCCCGCCAGCTAATGATGATGGCGAGAATCCCTGGGATTCGGAATGAGATGATGATACAAGGGCCCCTTGGGTGGAGCCTGGCTGGCAGTGAATAATTGATGCACGCAGGGAAAATACACCTTTTTGGTTGGCAACGATGCGATGTGGCCACCACTGCGACATGCAGCGACGCATTTATTAGCTATCAGCCTCCCTCCTTTGTCTGATTTTTTCTCATATCTCAGCTTCTTTCTTCCTTTGCTGGCTCGTCCTATATAACGACAGCTTCTTTCCCTCCTTGCCGAGTCCTTCTTCATCCTCATCCTCATCCTCCTTCTCACTCTTGAAGCGGAAGCTATCTACTCGTAGTACATCTGCTCTCAAGTGATATCATCCATCCTATCCACCCCCTCCTCCGTCTTACTTTGCAGTCAATTGCACCTAACCCATCATAATGCCTCGCTTCGAAGACTCTGATTTCGGCGTTGAGCCCCAGCCTACCGTGCCTGGTAACGCTGGCGTTGCCCCCGATGCTCGCTCTCCCAGAGACCGCGGCAGCATGGCCGGCTCTCTGCCCATTCCCAACGAGGCTGGCAACATCACTGAAGTCCCCGCCACCAGAAGCTCCATCAGCGATGCTGCTGCCTTCATGCACAACCTGAGCTTGTCTCCCTCCACCAGAGACCGTCGCGGCTCGCGCAACTCATTTGGCACTTCTCTCCCCATTCCTCGCTCTCCCCGCGTCTCTCGCCTCTCATCAGTCTACACCGCGGATGCAGCTTCCGTCTCGCGCGACATTCTGGCCTCTCAGGTCCAGGACATGTCCCAGGAGAAGGTCGCTGCTGCGAAGAACATGGCGTTTGCCTTTGACATTGACGGTGTGCTCGCCCACGGTAACGAGGCCATTCCCGAGGCCAAGGAGGCTCTCCGCATGCTCAATGGTGACAACGAGCTTGGTATCAAGATCCCTTACATTCTTTTGACCAACGGTGGTGGTAAGACCGAGGCTGCCCGCTGCCAGCAGCTCTCCGAGGTTCTCGAGCATCCCATCTCTACCGATCAATTCATCCAATCGCACACTCCCATGCAGGCTCTGTCAGAGTACTACGACACCGTGCTCGTTTGCGGTGGTGAGGGCCAGAAGATTCGCGAGGTTGCCGAGAACTACGGCTTCAAGAACGTCATTCACCCCAAGGATATCCTCGCTTGGGATCCTACCATCTCCCCCTGGAGGTGCTTCTCGGAGGAGGACCGCGCCCAGGCCAAGCCCCGCGACTTCTCCAAGATCAAGTTCGACGCCATTCTCGTCTTTGCCGACTCCCGCGACTATCAGACCGACATGCAGCTCATTATCGATCTTCTGCTCGCCGAGGACGGCAAGCTCCTGACCCGCGCCAAGGACCCCGTTGCTTCCCGCATCCCCGTCTACTTCTCCCAGGGTGACTTGGTCTTCCCTACCGACCACAAGGGTCCTCCCCGTCTCACCCAGGGTGCTTTCCGTATCTCCATTGAAGCTCAGTACAAGGCTCTGACCGGCGTTGATCTCGAGCGTGTTGTCTACGGAAAGCCCGAGCGTGCCACCTACACCTACGCCGACGAGGTCCTCCGTGCGTGGATGGAGCAGATCCACAACCAAAACACCCTCCCTCAGAACATCTACATGGTCGGCGACAACCCCGCCTCCGACATTTGCGGTGGAAACATGTACGGCTGGAACACCTGCCTCGTCCGCACCGGTGTCTTCCAGGGCGGCGACAACGATGAGCACAACCCCGCCAACTTTGGCGTCTTCCCCAACGTCCTTGAAGCCGTCAAGGCCGCCGTCCGCAAGGAGCTTGGCAAGGAGTTCAAGATGAAGTGGAACCCCAAGGTCAACCCCGTCCTCCACGGTAACAACTCCTCCGCCGTCGAATAAACGGTCTCTCTCCTTGCATCCAACTTTGATATGACAAAAGAATGATTGGCGTTTGGTCTTTGCACGACATTTACATGTCTCATTTGCTTTCTTCAATGTTAGATGGAAACGCATACGATTGCTTTTTTTCATGTTATGGGATGATTATGGGTTTGGACTACTGATATCCATCGTTGCCCTCGCTGTTTCGAAGCGAGTGGACCTTGTTCATGGTTACATTGGGTTGTGCCTCGGAACAATTTGTTAGAGTTTCTTTTGACTTTTCCTTATGTGCTGATGATCCAAGAATCTGATGAGAGCAGTCTCTCTGTTCTACTTTTCTACTCCATGACAACTCTTCAAATGATTCAAAACCTGGTACTTCTTTTCCAGATTAGAAAGAACCAGTCAATAGACAATTAAAAAAAATCATTAAAAACAATATCTTGAATCGAATGCCTCTAGAACCTTAATTGCCCGGTTCATCTTGTTTAGTGGTTTCCGAGTCGTGACGCCATCTTGATGCCACTGGCAACCAAAGTACGGGCCAGTCCAATCTTGTCTTGGCCCGTCCCATCGCTTCCACTTTTCCACTGCAGTTTCAACTGTTTCAGCCAACAACACACTAACGCACTAGTAGGAGTGGTGGTCTAAATCTCGGCATCGCAAGTAGCCAGTCAGCTCCATGGAACGACTTAGGCCGTTTGTTTCGGTGTCAATTCTTTGAAAATCCCGACCCGTGGCAATTCTACAATGTACTCGTCGGGATGTCCTGCTAAAAAACTGTTTGTAGTCGGGATGGGCCGGCGGTTTCTCGGCCTCCCCGAATGGCGGTTAACGTCCGGATGCTGTTGTAGGATTTGATCAGGGACAGGGGCGTTGGGTGATGCAAATCAACCTTTGCTGTTACTACTATGGGTTAATTTGTATTATTTTACTTGTGATTGAAAACAAAAAGAAAACTGGTGAGTTGTATGTAAGGCGTTGTTTTCGGCTCCAGTAGACAACTATATAAATCTCGGAGCATAGTCTACCGTTTCGTCAAGGCCGAGGACCCGGGTAAATTTATTTATCTAACCACCCATCTCAATTGAATTCCAGGCAGCATCCGGAGTATGAACTTGCTCACCGAGAGCCGAATTCAACATCTAATCGACGTGCCTACTCCAATGGCTTATCGGCCTGCACTACAGTAGGCATCTATCAAACCGTCGGAGATACAGCCCGGAGGACAGGAAGTCAGAGCTCAGCTATGTTCGGCAGCGGTTGCTCAGAGAGGGTATCTGACTCGTAAATCATTAATACCTTGCCTGGGGTATCTTTTGAACTTCCAACACAATTTAAACAAAAGCCCACCACCACTCTCTCCATCAAGTACAATGACAGAACGACGACAGACCCCACATATCCTTTCCAAAAGCAGCGATATATAACCTTGGCTCATGGTGTCATAAATTAAATCCTTACGCATCTCAAATCCTCGATGGTCTAACGGTCATGATTTCCGCTTGTCAGATTGTAATTAGTAGTCACAAGCGCGGGAGACCTGGGTTCGACTCCCAGTCGGGGAGATTTCTTTTTGGTTTTGCTCTGGGCGGTTGATTTTCGCTGGACTAGAGGGGAATACTTGCTTTTTTTTTTTTTTTTTTTTTTTTTTTTTTTTTTTTTTTTTTTTTTGGGCCAGCAGTCCAGCACTGAAGAGGCCGGTGGAATGGAGGGCTCATAGGTAGGCGATGGAGGTTTATGTATCTCGTAGAAAGCTTTCGAGATCTCTTGCGAGAAGACAAGAAGACGGTACTGATCATACCCCGAGCCGCAGGTCAGAAGCAGATAAGGATTTCCAGTAATATTCCGCGGATGCTTGTTATATTATAGTTTCCATTTGACTGGCCAGCTTCATTGCATTATTCCTCCTGAGGCCCCGGCTGGTCTGCAACTGGTCTACCTGATTGGGCGGAAAACACTGGCCGCAAATAAGATCAAAATCTGAAGCATTGTAGATCGAGTCCTCGATGGTCTAACGGTCATGATTTCCGCTTGTCAGATTACAGTATGCAATCACAAGCGCGGGAGACCTGGGTTCGACTCCCAGTCGGGGAGACCTTTTTTCTTTTTGCTGTGGCGTTGTTAGCCAAAGCTTCCTTTTTCATTTTTTTTTTTGGGTCGTTTTTCTGACTGCTGGGCTGCCCGGTTGGTAGTTGGAACCCCGGGGCGGCGCAGAATCATCAGGCTTGAGCGTTGCCTCTCCGTCTGGTTAGTTTGAAGGGAGAACATATCTGGTTAGCATGTATTCGATTATAGTTTATGTATGAAACTCTAATGATCACCCTCGTTATCAAACGGCTATGGTGTTATCCTTGTTTTCTTCTCATCACTTAGCCAATGTACTCGCCCTGACTATTTTCCCTCTCATAGGCCGAAAAGTCTCCAGGAAGGCTGAGGAAGTACTCCCTTCACCTTCTTCTGACCTTTGCCGAAATGATTTGATCTAAATCTTCCGCCCTCCTTGCAATGAGGTCCTGAATGGGCGTATTCTCCTAATTGCTGAGAGTTGCTGAGAGCTCCCAAAAACGAAATACTTTACCATCAATTTCCTCGATGGTCTAACGGTCATGATTTCCGCTTGTCAGATTACGCTTAGTAGTCACAAGCGCGGGAGACCTGGGTTCGACTCCCAGTCGGGGAGAATAATTTTCTTTTTTTTGGGGTCCTCAATCTTTTTGTTGTTTGACTGGTAGGACTTGCAATCGCCTTGGATTAAAGTATGGGATGACTTTCCAATAAGTGTATATATAACCCGTGGTATTATTGAAATCCTTTCGTTACGTGACTGGGGTTGTCAGTGTAGTCAACTACTACAACAGTCACCGTGAACTCGCCAGTAGACCGACATTTCTATTTTATTCCGCAACAGGGTCCATAAGATAGATACATAGAGGAGACAGGGACCGGATACTATGTACGATCAATCACCCCTAACGACCCTCTGCCTACTACTCGCAGCACCACCCCCACTCGAAGTCGAGTTCCCACTTGCAGCAGCTGCAGCTGCTGCCTCACTCTCCAGCCTGCGCCTCAAACTCTCAAACCCTCCACTAGCCTCCCCTTCTCCTCTACCGAACCTCGAAATCGAGAACGAACTCCCTTCTTCCCCAACAACCCACCCGGGCACTCTCCACCCCGAACTCCCGCTTCCGGCCGCTAGGGGTAGGATATCTGCGCGCCATGCTACGCCGACAATCCAGCCTAGGACACTGGATAGGATCATGTATGGGAACTGCGAGAGGGCGAGCTGAGCGGCGACGAGGTAGGTTGTTGATTTGTCGCTTAGGGAGACTGTGAGGGACTTTTTGGCTGTTTGTGGTGGTGGGGTTGGTTGGGAAGGAGCAGAGGGGGAGGTTGCTGGGGTCGGCGTGGACGGAGTAGAAGTAGAGATCGTGTAGCGGTATGTCGAGGGTATAGAGGCGTGATACTGGGCAAGGAGGGCAAAGATTGTCGCAGTCGGTCCGGAAGGAAGGTAGTTGACTCTTCCCAGGGAGAGTGGTCTCACGACCAGAGTCAAAATGAGCGGCGGGAGGAGCGTCGTATACGGTAACGTTGAAAGGAGGAATGTCTTGTTAAAGAAGCAGATATTAGCACGTGTCTCTCGCCGAGCAATTCAGTTAATAAACCATAGAAGGAAGACTAACAGCCATCTTTCGCGAGCCCCATGCCCGCTCAACAACACGAACATGGTAGACCAACAACGCGCCAAAAAGCGCTTCTGTCGAATTCGTAAACCCCGCGACCTGCCAGATCAGCGCGCGCCAGAATTGGCCGTAGGGGAAGAAGTGCGGGGAGACGTAGATGGCGGGGACATGTTTGACGTCGAAGATGGAGAGGGCGATGGACGCGGCAATTGTGTAGATTAGGAGAAATCTCGTGATAGGGGTGTTTGTCAAGCCGCTTGTTTGCATGGCGATATGGTGTGATTTGATTGCGGGTGTTGAAGAAGGTTGTTTGGTGGTGAGATGTGGTAAGAAGTGGTGGACACGTGGTAGAGGAACCGTGATTACTACTGGGGGAAGGATAGACCTCGGCATCCCGAAACTCGCATAGTGACATAGTATGTACTACGCGTAACTACGGAGGCATCGGGGATTTCACACTGTACGGTCTTTGAGGGACCATGATATACATTTGCTTCATAAGGTACTAGGTATTGCTAGGATCTATATTCTTAGTCTCCTCAGCCAAAGCCTCCTTGTATCGAGTCAGGGCTGTTTCCAAGGCTCGGATTGTCGGCCCCAATAGTCGCTTCACTGCCTGCTCTCCTCCCGGTATACTGTCTAGATTCACCCGCAGCTTCTTCTTCGTCGCCTGCAGCACCTCGCGTGCATGCTGTTTTACCTTGTTTACCTCGACTTGGCGCTCTGCTTCTGCGTCATGCGCAACGGCGTTGATCCGATCCATGGCGCGGTTCAATGACTCGACGAGTGACGCCACTTCCCCGGCACGTTCCGGGTTTCCGGACAAGAATGCCTGCCAGAATTGATGTAAGAACTCTGTTGTCGTAGCGTGTGTGAGGGTTAGGCGGTCATACAGCGCCGCGGACAACCCGTACGTGTCGGAGCTTGCCGAAACCTGCGCCTGGGCACGTCGGTCTTTGATGACATCGAGAATCTGCTTGGACGCCAAATGTCGCTGCCTCCTTGAGCTCGTTTCTGAGTCCTCTTCCTCCTCGTCTTCCTCCGGGTCGACTAGCTTGCCGAGCGGCGCCGAACCATCGTCGCGGAAATTCCGCTCAAGTGTGCTGCGTAGATCTTGTAGTATCTTGTCCGGATCCTGCTGCTCAACCGATCGCTTTTGCTCGTCCTCGGCGAGCTTGGCCGCCGAGAAGAACCGGTTTTGATCTCGGATGTTCAATAGAATGCGGTTCTGCGCTTCGTCTCCACGTAAATCGCGCAGTTGCAACTCATCATATGTGCCATCGTCTAATTTCCCCACAGGTGCCGATGCTGCTCGATCCGCGGGGGCTACATTCGCCATGATCTTTTCGCTCAAGGTGTTCAATGTACGGATGATAGGCACCTTTTCCACGGCTGAAGGTCTCATGTCCAAGTCTGGCCGATTTCCCCGACGCTGACTATTGTTTCCTTCGTTTCCTTCCAGATCAAGGAAATGCGGCACATGTACCTCACGTATCAAGTTCCCTTGCTCATCGGCCTTGAGATATTTATCCAAAACTGCGTCTGTCGCATCCGAATCTGTGATCCGCTCTCCACGCAGCTTCTTGAACAACCGACTTTGGAAAAACCGTGACCAAAATTGTGATTCACTCAGCTTCGGCACGTTCTCATCGTACACCCGCTTGACAAGCGGATGCTGGTTGAAGATCAGCTGAATCTGCTCCTTGCTGATATTCATTTTCGTCACATTATCTTCCGTCCGCGGCTTGAGCGTCGATAGAACATTGTAAGAACCTCGTGTCTGTGATCGCTCAATAGCGTGCGCCCGTAGCAGATGCAGCCGCGTAGACCAAAACTGCGACATAAACTGACCCGCCGACAGTGTATCCGGTTTTGTATGTAAAGACTCCATGAACATTTTCTGGAGGTTCGCATCCGCCTTTAATAACGACTGTTGCAATTCCACATCAGTCCCGAGCCGTTTATCGTCATCCCACCAGTTCTTCCCCGACCCTGCGGACGAAACCGCGCTCGCCATCGCCATAGCTGCCGACATTCCTCCTCCTTCTGCCGACGCTGCAGCGGGGGTCGGCGTCGCTTGCGCGGATTTGGCCGCCTGTATCGCCGCACTGAGAGCATCTTTGATGGCGTCTGCTTCGGCTCGGGCATTCGCGCCAGCCGTAAACGAGAAAATGTATTGTTCGGGAGCCGCAGAAGGATTGTTCGGAGGGAGGACGAAGATTTTAAGCATGACTTTCGGGCTGCTAGCGGGTGTCTGTTGTAAATCTGTACCTGTCAGAGCTTCCCTCAGCGGATCACAAATCGGAACAGAGCAACGCACTTGTCACTTGAGACACAGAAATCGTGATGGTACCAGATGCACCGCCCGCTGCTGGAATCCAGGACACCGACTGGCGATCCGGTGACATCGTCAGGGTGCCATCTTTCTTCTTGTACGCCGCCGACCCGCTCGGAGGTGCCATCGTGATTGAACTCGACAGCGTCCACTGTCCTGGGCCGCACAGAGCAATCCACCCATCGGGAGAAAAGTTCCCAGTGGAGGCGCAGGGGGGAGTCGAGGAAGGTCAAAAGCCTTCAAGAAGAGACGTGCGCTTTTAGGATGTTGGGATCGTCGAAAGAAGCTAAGAATTTGGGACTGGAGCTGTTGAAAGAGGAGGCACGTGATTGGGCTAGACTCGGATCTATCATCGGCCGAAGTCGTTGCCTGCTAATCTCTTTACCTGAGCTTGGAGAGTTTACAAGATCGATTTAAGCAAATAATAATACTCGATTATCCTAACTAGCACAAATTGAAGCCATACGGGAGCAAAAAATAAAATAAAATAAGAAGAACAAGAGCTAAAGCTAATAACGAACAGACCCCAACTTCTTGAGCTAACATCAGTATGCCATACGCCTGGAATGAATCTTGCTTCGCTATGCAGCCAAAACAAACCCACGCTAGATCCCAAGATCCGCTCACTTTTGTGCCTTATAGTCAAAACCGGAGAAGAGAGTCCCGCCCAGAACAAAACACAGACGTAAATAAATAGGACATGCAAGAACAGAAGGGTATAACATCAACTCATTTTCCAAAGGAATCCGACCATTCGATGCACTTCACCTCTTGAACATGTAGTGTCCATAGAGCCCGCCCACGTCACCATTGGCGACAGGGATTTTTCTCATCCCCCACCATCTAGCGCCCATTTTCCAAAAGCGAGAGCCGTCGTCAAGCGGAGTGTTGGGCATTGACGCGGGGTCGCGGACGTACCATCCACGACGCCCCAGTTCACGAACCGTCCAGTCGGGAGAAGTCTTGGTGTTCTTGGGCTTTTCGCGCAATGGCGTGATGAGCTTGTCGCTGAATTCGATGACCTGCAGAGGATAGCTCTGTTTCGAGAGCAACAGGCAAGCATTGGTGTTGAAAACAACACCCACGCTTAGCCCTGGGATCTTGGTGAGATCAAGGTAGCAGAGCGTAGGTGGCACCCACGCCGCAGTTTCTGACGCCGACCCATCCTCGCCAGCGGGCTGAGAGGGGGTAAAGAAGCGGTTAAGGTCCTTTGCGGATAGATCGGCGGAACTCAAACCTAATTCTTCCAAATGCTTGGTCAAGGGGATGAGAGCATCGGTATGGGCTGATGTAACCTTGGCGCCGCCGAGGTTCAGGGAGCGAAGAGTCGTAGGAAGCTTCGGAAGTAGCTTGTGCACATCCTCCTCCTCCAACAGCCTGTACCGAGAGGCATCGGTCATGACATTCAGAAAAACCAACGAGTCACAGACAGCCGGGTGTGTGGTCAAGAATTCCACCACCTTTGACCCGCGCAGTCGAATGCATCGGGAAACGCTCAAATGGGTAATCTTAGCGGTCTCTGGGATCGCGAACAATGCATCGTCGCTAATCTGTGTGTGTGAGACGTCGAGATGAGTCAAGTTGACCAAGCGAGGGAGAAGGAGCTCGAATGCAGAGGATGGAATGCCGCTGCATTCGTGGAGGGAAATTCGTCGAAGGTTCGGCAAAGTCAGCGGGAGTCCAGCCCCGAAACTCAAAGCCTGCTGGAAAAGAGCGGAAAATGACGACGAGCTGCTACCACAAAAGTCGATGGCATGCAAATTGGGAAGATCTGTGAACAGCTTCGCGATCACTTCCACGCTAAGATCTCCCTCAAGATGTTCTTGAAGCAGACACTCCTTGAGGTTTGGCAGTAAATTTAGGAAAGCTAAAAGCGTCCTTGAGGTCAAATTCTGGATTTCGGAGTTCATCTGCTTCGTTCGCCCCAGACCAACCGAGGTGAAGTGAGAAAAATCGAGGCGACGAACCAGCGTGCCCAAAGCGGGATACTGTGACATGTGATTGAGAGCTTTGGAGAAGATAATAGAGTGTGGAAAGGTCATATTCCTGTACAACACGCTAAGAGTTGCGGCGTGCAACGTTTTCGAGGTCAAAAGGCATGCAACCAAGTCCACATTCCGGGGAGTGTAGCCGTTCGGAGGAACATCCAATGCTAGATGTGATATGATTTGATCTAAGCCACTAGTTAGGTAAGTGAACAATGTTGCCGATTGAGAGTGGCCTTACCAAGGATCTCGGGGGGTAATTTCTCCAAACGGGACGATCCCGGCTCTGGTATCTGTTCCTTCGGTGTAGGTGCCTTGCTGGCTGGTGTAGGGGTTGCTTCCCAGGCCCAACCACGAGCACTCGCATTTCCAAGAGCCCGGAGATCGCTATAGCTTCTGCTGAGGCTCTTTCCACCTAGACGGATCTGCTTCCACCCAAGGAAACCTCCGCATGGGCAACAGAACTCTGGTGAGTGTTGCATTTCGAAGAGGTCCGCTTTCGGACGTTCTTTGTGAGGCTGGTCAAGATGAGTATCCACGAAGGATTGTGCGATTCCTAGTCCTCGATGTTAGAGACAACATAAGCTACTGGGCAGTGACCTACAGCTGGGATGATCCAACCACATCTCTGTAGGTGAAGGCGAGGGAACCCGTACCGTCAACGTCTTCTTTGATGGAGCCAAACGATTCACGACGGCTGCTAGCCTTGGATTGATTTGGGGAGGAGCATGGGGAATGAGGCGACGTGTTGCGAGAATGAGTAGCAGGAGAAGCGGTCCTCAGAGGCGCAGTTGAGAGAGAGGGTTTGTGGATGGGAAGAGACGGAGAAGTCGCGGCGGCGGACATGGTGGATAGTAGCTGGAGCCGGGGCTCTATATAAGCGGACAGCTCTGTCCTTTCACGAAAGGCAATTCAGAAACAGACTCGAAAGGGTTACGAATCAGAAACGATAGAATTCCAGGAAAATCAGACGGTGGGCTGAGGGCAGGGGTTGAAAAAGCTTTTCTTTCCCCAGATTCCCACCGAGCTCTTCTGAGGCAGGTTGCAGCAGGCTAGAGGGGCCAAGCAAGCGGCGTGAGGGGGCAGGTGAAGCTGTTAGTCACAGAATTGGAGCAGATGGAACAAAGGTTCGCCCTGAATGGAAGCACTATCGAAAGGGATGGGTCCGAGAAGCCGGAAAATGACAAACAAGAGTGCCGTGTAATTGCAGAGATGTCGGAGAGTGGTCAGTTGCAAACGAGAGCGCCGGAGCGGAAGCGAGGAGGAAAGACGGATGGGAGGGTTAGAGTGGGAATGGATTGAAGAGGCTGCAGGAGAGTGAGGTTTTGATGAAGTAAGTGAAACAGGGCTTAGTGGAAACGATGACAGGGTGGTCGTTCTGCTTCATCAGAGCCGTGGAAAGATTTTACGTGAGAAGAAGAAAGTTACTTCTAAGTAGAAAGTAGCAGCAAAGCTTTTTTTTTTTAGAGGCGAAAGACTCGAGAGGGAAGAGGCGATGAATGCGGCGAACAGCAAGAATCTCGGGATGGGTGGCACTGTTTACTCTGACTCAACAAAGACCAAGACTCCAGTAATCAGCAGCTCTCGAGGCGAGTATAGATCCTTGATTGCCCGACCTCCTTTGCAGTTCCTCATCCTGCATACTCAAGCATCGTGGCTAGCGTCGTTCTTTGCGATGGTGATTTGATCCCCGGTCGGCAAGGCGATTGTTTTGCTTTTTTTCCGGTAATGATCTAATTTTGATGGTCTTCAACCTCTTCTCATTCGGAGCCAGCTATTCAATGATTGCACTAGGATCCTCCTTTCGAGTCCGGGGTTTTGGTCAGATGATGCCGGCTCTGACGGCCGATTTCTTTCTGACGCTCTGGAAATTGAAGCACTTGACCAGCGGGTTCGCTCATCGCCCTGCACTGACGTAATGGAAACTGGGGAACAAATGGCGGACCGGAGAGGTAGTAACTGTTAGTCAAGAGTTTCGCCTCTTGGTATTCCCGGTACATAGCGCTGTATTATTAACCAGGGATGATATCTGGAGCTGGGCTACAAACTCGGGATAACTAGTAGCAGGGAAAACAGTGTAAAACATAGGTAGAAGCGTGATGTTATCTCTTTACGAATTATAGGTCCATGTTCACTTTTCGCTGCGGCCAAATGCCGACTCTTGCCTTAAGCAGTCCAAAGTTTCAAGACAGCGATACAGTCGACGACGGGCCGCCAAGCAGATTCCGGTCACGAGGACTCGTCGAGGAGTCGGCGGAGTCCCGTGATAGACGGTGCTGAGTGGCTCGAGCCCAGGTTCATCCGTCGCCCGCCGCCTTTCCAGCTCCGTCAACTTTCCCCGGACTGCATGATCAGCAACCCCTGGCAACAAAGTTCAAACTTTACCTGTCCCTTCTCTCCTAGCGCACATGGGCACTAAATTCCAATCTGACTGGGCCCAGATCCAATTCCAGAACCCCCGACAACCGCTGCCATCCGGCTCGGCACACACTCCGATGGTCCTCGCGCACTCGCTTCGTCAGCCCATCTCTCATTCTCTTTACGTCACAGGGAAGGAATTTCCCGTGGAAAACTTTGACCGTTTTATCAAGATGCAGGGAACTCGAGGCAGACCAAGCTTGCGGTACGGAGTACTAAATGAACCTATATGCCAAGGAAAATCCTCCATTCCTTCTCCACCATCTGTCTCCCCAGATGCCCGGAGGGGAGCGTACTTACGAGCTCAGAGCTTTCCCTGGAGCGTCTAAGACTCAGGGTCAAAGTTATTTTTCCTATTTGGACCGACTCATGAAGCCTTGATAACCCCGACGAACTCGGACGAAGACTGCAGGACGCCATCGTACCCTCCGCTCATTGGCTTGAACAAGGTGGTTTTCTTGGCGCTGTCTCATTACAACTTACGTCTTATGTCGTGGACTCCTAAAATAGTAAACGCAATATTCGTCGAGATTGACCAATTCACACGCCATGCTGGCCTGCCAAACCCTGGTGCCTCCTGGCAGGCGGATGACGGAATTCACAGACGTCTGTACTCTCCCTGCGTAACTCGACAACCCCTCACTTGCACTTGAATCGATTTAAGATGCTCGGAAAGGGAAATGATGTTTTACAACCACCCTCGTCCTTTGAGGTCCTTATTAGGTTACTTCCAAGAATGCCGATCTCCGCGCACACTTTCGCCAGGGTTGCTGCGAGTCTTTGCTGGCGAAACGAATCAGTCGCTCGCCTTCTATGAACGGATCCACTGCTTTCCCAAGCTCGACAGAGGTACCCAATGGTGAAGAGTCAATAAACTGACAAGCGTACTCCGGAGTAAGCCCTATCTTGGCACTAATCACCTGATTCTTGACTCTCTGCATGGTACTCTGGTTCGGAATGAAGGACCCTCCTGTCCAAGCAAAGAGCAATGCATTTGTCCGACGGTATTACTGTGTACACTTCACTTTTGACAAGCCGCTGGCACATGGGAAAGACTCTCGATAGGCCGTTCATGGTCCGCTTTTACTGTCCCCCAGGAGACCGTGGGCCTCATAGACCCTCTTTAGTATCTCCCTGATGACCGGCTCCTTTCGATCATTATACTCCATCACTGTCTCATCTGCCTCCCGACTTGCTCTCGCCGCCTGCCTCTTCACTTCCGCGTATGATTCCTTATCCCCCTCATTCTTTGGATCCCTGAGCCAATCTCGAAAGAGTCTGTGCCTCACAACTTCCGGACTATCGGGACCGAAAACATGGATATTAGCGTAGGGCTCCTCGAAGTGAAAAAAGCGATGCTCGTGCCATTTGCGCTCTCGGAAAAGGAATTGAAACCCTGCACTCTCGAGCGCAGGAACGTAGTCTTCTTCAGCTGTAGGGTCGGGAACGACCACGTCGATGTCAATTACGGCTTTCGCGGGGAGGCCAGGGACACTGGTGCTTCCAACATGTTGAACGTAGAGGCCGTCTTGAGGCAAAGCGGCCTTGATGCGTGCTTCGATACGCGCGAATGCGGCCGGCCATGTGGGATCCGGCTCGACAATCTCGATGCGCTTTTTCGGGCGTGTGGACACAATCTCAGTGTTGGTGGGGTCATAGGGAATGTGATGGATAATGGAGCTAGGTGTTATCATCCTGATGAGCAGGCGGGATCAAGCGCTTGAGTATGTTGAAGCAAGTTGTGATTCAAACTAGACGATAACAAATTGGCAGACTCGTGATGCTTTTATCCTGTACCCCGCTTCTGCGTTTCCGTCTCTGCTTTAGCGCTTGAGTCGCCTCCAGGATAAATACGAGGTCAATCTTACTTTCGGTCGAAAATTCCCTTGAAGGAAACTAGATCGGAGTCCGAAGCTGGACCAAGGTGAGGACAAGAGTACAGGCGCTCTGGCTAACCTTGTTAGGTTACAGTAATTAGGTGCCCATAAACGAATACGAGCAGTCTCAAGCTCCGACGTCAAAACAGCGATGTTGACTTTTGTCGCAGAGAACATATCGGACCCGCCAAAACCATGACCTCCTTTGTCGAACTTCCTGAAGATATTCACCTCTACATATGCAAAAGTTTGTACCCACGGCACATCAACCACCTGGTTCGAACATGCAAAGTCTTGCACCATCGTCTGAACTCAGAACTCTGGAAGGCTATATCTGTTTCAGATGCAGTCAAAAAAGAAATATTCCTTGAGTCAGCACTCCTTGGCCGCTTAGCTGTTCTACAAAACCTTGCCAACGAATCCAACTTTGAGTCTGAGTTTTCGAACCTCACAGGGCACGAGGCACTGAGACTTGCTGCGAAAAGTGGCCACAGTTCTATCGTAGCCTATCTATTGGCCAAGGGTCTTGAATATTGCAACGAGGCGAATTTTAGAAATCTGCGGAAAACCATATTACCTGGTCTAGATGATCCATCCGCTTTGCAGCTTGCGGCGGAACTCGGCGACGTTGATACAGTGAGACACCTTCTTGGGCATGGTGCCACTCTCGAGGATAAAGTTGAAGCTCTGAAACAAGCAGTGCACAGCGGGAATGAGGTGATCGTGAGTGACCTTCTTAAGAAAGAAAACCCTGCGTCCTCAGAGCTATTCTCCCTAGCCTCGGATATGCCTCTCTTACAGCTTGCGATAAATGCCAGGTCTGAGGCTCTGGTGTCTATGTTGTTGGATCATGGATTTGACGTCAACATGCATGACTCGATGAGACACATGACACCTTTAAGGCAGGCTGTCGAGGAAGATTGGCCTTGGGCCGTGAAGACGCTTTTGGCTCAAGGAGCCGATGTGAACGTTGCGGACGCACAAAGAAACACAGCGCTACATATAGCTGTGAAGTACTGCAGAACCCACGATTGTCTGGGTATGATTCGACTCTTGCTTCAAGCTGGAGGAGATCTTAAACGCAGAAACAACGCGGGGAGAACACCAGTTGACTTGGCAATGATGAGGCAGAACCTCGATGTTGTCAATTTCTTGATGAAATGCGGGTTTGCTGATTTCAACGATAGCGAGTGCTTAGGTCACTTGATATGTGCAGCAGCTGCTAAGGGTGATAAAGTATTAGTGGCAAAAGCGATACGGCATGGAGCAGACGTTAACAAGCCTGGGCCGTTTGGGACACATGATAAGTGGCCACCGCTCCGCCATGCTGCCTATGGGGGCCACTTGGATGCGATGGACCTTCTTCTTTCGAACGGGGCTATCTTAGAATCGCCAGAAGGTGGCCACCTACCGACGCCCCTTCATCTTGCATTAGGCCAAGGTAATTCAGCGGCTGCCCAGTGGCTTTTGGACAGAGGAGCAGATATCCGCAGCATTTCAAATCGGCTACACCCATGGTCAGCTACTGACACCACCTTCAGACCTTATTGGACCTGTCTGCATTTCGCTGCCATCGGCGGGTCGGAGGCCTTTCGTCTAGTACTCGATGCGGGATACATTCCGGTATTGGATAATCCAAAAACTGTCTCCCTCTGGGAGTCTGCAATCAAGGGATGTGATGGGTCGAATACAGAATTCTTGCAACTCGTGCTCAACAAAATTCGTGGTGATGATGGCGGGTATCGCGACGCGGTTAACCCGGTGACGTACATGTTTGAACTTGGACGCAAGCCTAACGAGGCTATGATTATGGCTATGCTCGGCGATAGCAACTTCGACCTCAATGCAGTCAACGACACCGGGAAAACATTACTTCACAATGCAATCATCTGCGACGACGAAGGTGTTAGCCAGCTTTTACTAGATTTAGGTGTCGACGTCAACGCAGCAGACAACGATGGCCGGACGGCTCTATACTACGCTGCCGAAAACCAAGACCCCAAGCTAGTACGCATGCTCCTCGAAGCCGGCGCGACTCCCCACGCAGACAAGCTTGAAAATAGTCCACTGGCTGCCTGTCTCTTTGGAGAATGTTCATTTATCAGTCAGTGTTGGACTCCTACGGATGAGCTTCTGGCTGCAATGCGCGATGTAATTAAGCAGCTCTCCGAACATGGCGTGAGCCCTAACCAGTTGTTCAAGCAGCGGCCTATTTTCAATGAGCTCCTATCTGACCAGACCTTTGCAACTTCAGTACATGGTGTACAGTCATTGCTCGAGCTAGGGGCAGACCCTAATGTACTCGATGACTCTGGTATGACATCGTTGCATTATGCAGCTTCATCTGGCGATATTCGAACAGTGTCCCGTTTGCTTGTAGGGGGTGCTGACGTGGAAGCAAAGAACAGGAGGGGAGTAACGGCGGTACAACTTGCTGAGCAACACGGTTGGAACTTAGTGGTAGATTTGCTTCTACGAAAGGCAGCTGGATTGAAGATTTCGCCGGGTGAGGTTGATGCGTTGTATAACCGTATCACTTCTCGTGCCGAGGGGTGGCCGTAAAGCTTACCAAATGTCTATACTGGAGTTACTGGGCAGATTGGTTATACTCTGGACCGGGCCCCTTGAGTACCTGCACCTGCTACTACAAAATGTGCAGGTGGCAGTCTTTTCTAAGCTGACCCTCACAGCCAAGAAGCTGCTTAGGCGGGCGCTTTGCGAAGTACTTGATAAGGATAGGGCATTTGCGTACATGAAAAGAGCGCCTAAAAATCACAAATATTGGAGTCTCCTGGCTTCCAGTAATGGGGCCCCTTGAGCAGAGGCTCATATCGACTGGAGCAGCTCAGTCGAACTATGACTGCCTCTTCGGGAATAGTGGATTGTCACCGGAGATAAGATCTGAGCCCCTCACTCAATTCCCCATGGGCGGTGAGTAATCTGCCACTCAAATGGCGCAGATGAAGCGGCAGAATTGGTTCTCATCTTTTTTTTCTTCCCCCCGCCAACTTCTTATCAGTTGAGTCAGGACTTGGTCTCTCGGTTTTTGGGGCAGGTCTTTTTTCCAGTTTTTATAACTCATCTGGTGTCTTCGACCATTCGTCAACGGATCACCATGGCTACCGACACAATTCCTCACAATTCGTTCGACACGATTCTCGTGTTGGACTTCGGTTCCCAATAGTAGGTCAATCCCAGAATGACTGTGCCGTTCTTGCTCAGGCTGTTCTACGGCGCTTCTATCTCAGGCCGCATTAACAACTGTTGTCTAACATATGCTCTACTAGCACCCACCTCATCACCCGTCGCTTGCGAGAAATCAATGTCTACTCCGAGATGCTTCCCTGCACCCAGAAGCTCGCCGATCTCGGCTGGAAGCCCAAGGGTATCATCCTCTCCGGCGGCCCTTACTCCGTCTACGAGGACGGCGCCCCTCACGCCGACCCCGCCTTCTTCGACCTCGGTGTCCCCATCCTGGGTATCTGCTACGGCCTGCAGGAGCTCGCACACCGTCTGCACGCGGACAACGTCGTTGCGGGAACAGCGAGGGAATACGGTCATGCCGATTTGAAGGCTACCAAGTTCGGTGGCCATGTTGATAAGCTGTTTGAGGGTCTTGAGGGTGATATGACTGTTTGGATGTCCCACGGTGACAAGCTCCGTAACCTGCCCGAAGGATTCCACACCATTGGAACCACCAAGAACTCGGAGTATGCGGCTATTGCGCACAAGTCGGACCCCATCTATGGAATTCAATTCCATCCCGAAGTTACTCGTCGGTCTTTCATTTTTCTCCTCTAGTGGTGGTGCGAGCACTAACATCATCTAGACACCCCTCAGGGCGGTCAACTCCTCAGGAACTTTGCTGTCGGTATTTGCGGTGCTGAACAGAAGTGGACCATGGCAGAGTTCATCGGTCAAGAGATTGCTCGAATCCGTTCTCTCGTCGGCCCCGATGGTCAGGTGCTTGGTGCTGTCAGCGGTGGTGTAGATTCCACTGTTGCCGCTAAGCTGATGACCGAGGCCATCGGAGACCGATTCCACGCTGTTCTTGTGGACAACGGCTGCATGCGTCTCAACGAGTGTGAGAAGGTTCAGGATGTTCTTGAAAAGCAGCTCGGAATCAACCTGACTGTTGTTGATGCCGGTGATGAGTTCCTTGCTGGCCTGAAGGGCGAGCATGACCCTGAGAAGAAGCGCAAGTTTATCGGAGGAAAATTCATCGACGTCTTTGAGGACGAGGCCAAGAAGATTGAGGCTAAGAGTTCTGGAAAGGTCGAATGGTTCCTTCAGGGCACTCTTTACCCTGGTATGTGAAAGGAACTTTATTTTTTCCCCCTTCACGCATGCTAACAGACGTGCAGATGTCATTGAGAGTATCTCATTCAAGGGTCCTTCGCAAACTATCAAGACCCACCACAACGTCGGCGGTATCGCAGAGCGCCTGATGCGCGGCCACGGCCTCAAGCTCATCGAACCCCTCCGCGAACTCTTCAAGGACGAAGTCCGTGAGCTCGGCCGTCAACTCGGCATCTCTCCCGAGCTAGTTGGCCGCCACCCCTTCCCCGGTATGCTTCCCAAATCTTTTCTATACCTAGGCTCGACTAATTGTTATAGGCCCCGGTCTCGCCATCCGCGTGCTCGGCGAAGTCACCAAAGAGAAGGTCGAAATGGCCCGCAGAGCCGACGACATCTTCATCTCCATGATCCGCGAAGCCGGTCTCTACGACGACATCGGCCAGGCCTACGCTGCCCTCGACCCCTCCCGCGCCGTCGGCGTCATGGGCGACAAGCGCGTGTACGCAAATATCATCCTCCTCCGCGCCATCTCCACAAAGGACTTCATGACCGCTACCCCTTACCCCTTCGCATACGACTTCCTGTCCAAGGTATCAACGCGGATCGTCAACGAGGTTCCTGGTGTGTGCAGGGTTTGCTATGATTATACTAGCAAGCCCCCTGGTACTATTGAGATGGAGTAGACTCGAGTTTTGGATGGGATAGTATAATGCACTGGAGTAATATCCTGTTTGATAGAAGGGAATTAGAGAAAAAAAGTTTGCAGGTTCTACAGTATATAACAAGGGTCGGATCAGTTTATTGATTGAACGCAGCCAGTTTCATGTTTCGTTCTGATCTATATGGTGTAAGTATACCTGATATTCTACGGATTACTATCCGTAGCAGTGACGCGCACTACATGCATGATATCTCATCTAAAGAAGAAGGAAAGGCAATCACAATGCAATGTTTCTTAATTTGCATCGGGTGGTATAAAAAGCAAAAAGACGTCTCCCCGACTGGGAGTCGAACCCAGGTCTCCCGCGCTTGTAAATCAGTTGGATTTGACAAGCGGAAATCATGACCGTTAGACCATCGAGGAATTGCTGAACTAGTAGCTTCAGAAATTAAAGCATTACAATGCAATGCAAAAGATTAGAGCCGCCGTGGTGGTTAATTCTAAAGACCTATTTCTAGCGCTTTCCCTTACCGATTTTAACTAAACATTCATCGCTCCATACAATCGCTCGCCATTGCTTAATGGTCTAATCACGGCGCGTGAGAGCCCATTGTAATCTATTTTAGCATGTACTTTAAGTAATTGAGGCCTCCTTTTTGCCCTCCAATGACCATATCCAGATCGCGAAGCATTCGAAGTATTGTACTATTCGCAACAAGAATCGAGGTTTGAAGGTGGATTTCAGCATAAGTAATAAAGGGATTTCGCTTGATTGCAAGTAGGATTGATCACTAGTCTCTAGCGCTTAATTTAAATGGTCTGCCACTTCGCTGTAATGGCTTACCATCATTTCGTTGAGGATCGTGATCGAGGGTGTATTAGATTGTTGATGAAGGTAATGCGAGCTCTTTGCTAATCTTAGATCTAGTACAACCAGCAGCAGCCATTCCACATATAAAAGCACGTGCATATGGGCTTAGCTCACTTCCACGCGCCCTATTAGGGTCTATTTGGGCCAATGGCTCGCGTGGCGTTGACATCGCGTAGTTGAATACTGGAAGTTTTGGTGTTGCGCGGCGCGCGACGCGAAATTAACGGAAACTTATGCACGTGACTGTATACTTCTTACCATCTATCACGTTTATATAGTACAGAGGAATTATTTAAATAAATCCTGACTGACCTTTGCTGTCACACTACGGACCAGCCTCAAGTTTGTATCCCTTATATAACGCGAGAACGCGGATTTGAATTCCCACGTCGCATCCTGGATGCCGCAAATGTTGTCCGAAGCCCTAAAAGTGGTTGAATGCATTCCAAATGAAAGAAGGACTATATACAGCCTTACTAGAAGTCCAAAAGAATTAGTATAATGGTCTGGGCAGCGATTTAGGGCGGAGGTTATTTAGATATCTCGAGATCCTACAGGATCAGCTACCTAGTTTTTGGCAACCAGATATAATCTTCATGCAAGATAATGCCCCAGTGCATATAGTAAACGTGGTCAAAGAATGGTTACAGGAGATGGCAATTAAGTTAATTAACTAGCCGCCTTATTCGCCTGATTTGAACCCGATCGAGCACGCCTGGATGAGGCTTAAAGAGACTATCTATCAGCTCGACCCTTATATCGAGAGCTATAGAGGTACTAAAGAGGAGATCAGGCAATATTTTAAAGGTCTTATCGAGCAAGCGTGGATAGAGATATCACAGGATTACTTTGACAACTTGATTAAATCGATGCCGCGGTGGGTGGAGGCAGTAATTGCTGCGCAAGGGTGGTATACTAAATATTAAGTAATAATTTTAACTTCTATCGACTCGCTGGATTTGGAAGGAGCTGCCATTTAAATTTATGTCATTTAAGGTCAGTTTGGTTGCGTGGTCCGAATTTAAAGTAGAGCGATCGATTATATATTTTTCGGTTGTGGTGGGGTTGACGGAAACTTTTGACGTAGAACTGTATATGGCCACACTCCGAGTATCCAGGAACGACCCCAATCGCTATACGGCCTATATCCACAAATAAACTAACACACATAGAAGCTACAGCATATACTGAAGCGTCCCAACAAAGCACGCAAGAGTGGTAGCAGTATAGCCAGCAACTGTGAACCCACCAGAAATATCATCTCGAATCACAGCCCACGAGATCCCAAAGGCAAGCGAAGCAAGGGACACTATAAGCCCAGTAACCCAAAGGAACGCGTAGTCTCTCCCATCAAGAAGCTGGACGCCCCAGGCTTTATTTTCATCAGCACCGTTCAGCATCGTGACCATACTCTTAAGATGCCCGGGGAAGCGAGTTAGACAGTGATCACTGCCACGGAACTCGTTGGGACACTCGTAGCAATGACGCAGGCTGTCATGACCAACTGGTGGTATCATGGTTACGGGAGTAGGCGAGTAAGAGTAGTCGGGGTGGTTATGCGGTGGCAGGCTCTGTCGTTTCTCTGCGTCATTGATAGCACGGGAGTGCGCAAGAATATCGATGAGTTGGTGACGGGTAATGTTGAACTAATTGGAGATGGAGTTGGCTCATGTTCATAATGTGTTTGCGTAGACCTAAGTTGAGGAGAGGGGGCGGAAGCAGCGCGCCGGCATTACAGCTTACCTGAACAAACCTGATATCCTTTAGACTCCGTAGAGATAGGTAACGCCTGAACGGACCAACCAGCTTGAGATACTCTGACTTAAGCTTTAGAAACAGCTCCCCATCTGAATTTAAATCGAGGTCAACCGGGATCATTGTTGTCTTGACGTATCCTCTCGACTGAGAAATGCAAAGAAAGAGGAACCGTTGAGAAAGGGTGCTAGACAGGTGCCTTGAACTCGATGCCTTAGCCTTGACCATGTTATTTTGCTGTGCCCTCGTCCTTCGCCAACTAGTTAGAGTATTATCCAAAGTTGTGTATGAAGCAGTGGCCCAATCTTTAGCTGTTTGGGTAGCGCCCCGCAGAGAACCCAAACGGGGACCACCTTTATTATTTGCCGCCTGGCCTTTGGACGTTCGAGTGACTGAGCTAAGCTCTTTCATGGCCGCCTCAACTGCGCCCTCCTTGAGCTCCAAGAATTCGTCGAATATCATCTGACCACAAGCCTATAACCATCGGTTATCGGAGCACTAGAAAAGGTTGAGATTGTATGCATACACATGTCCATCTCGCGGAGATGCGGCCAGCGCCTGTGCTATAACATGCCCACTTCCGTTGAGTGGCTTGTATATGAGCTGTCGACCACAGGGCTCCAGTGAGAATCGAATAGCTTATCGACAGCATTACAGCTATTATTCTGAGTAGAGCCAATTGTAGGCCACCCGCAATGGATATACCCTGGGAGCGCAGGGTTTCCATCCTGGTAACGAGCGAGATCTCGGAGTTGATGACGCCAGAGACCCTACGCGAGTTAGCATAGCATAGTTCCTCGGCTGCAAGAGAGCCTACAGTTGGGACTTATATATGGGCCATGTTGACAAGGCCGCAGCCCGTTCTACTTTCTCATCATAAAGGCTGCGGAGATCACTCTTCAGCCTTGTAAACGATAACGACTCGGTGATAAAGAGCTCAAGGCTTTGCTGCAGATGAAACACATGGCTGGGAGTAAACTGCGATATCTCGTCGTCGAAGCTGGGTACTTCTTGATTAGTAAGGCTCACATCTTTATTCTCCTCCCCATCGTCGCTGTCATCAATGCTCTGAAGATAACGCCGCACCTTGGCTTCCTCAGGCAAGGGATTCTGTTGAGGAAGCTCTAATCTTTCTTTGTGCTTCAACGCCCTACAAAAAGCGGCGGAAATTCGAAACCGCGCCTTTCCAATCCATGCCGCAGTCTCATACTCGATTCGCTGGGTGGCCTCTCTCCATAACTGCTCCGAAAAGATCGCAAGAAGGTCCGCAAAGTCTCGTTCAAAAGTGCTCGAAAAAGTCGTTTGCTTTGCACAGGACGCGATGTTCATCAGGGTTTCATCTTCCCGGAAGATAGTCACCATCCGTGTTATGCCATCCATACTATCCACAGCAGACATGCTTGTCATAGATGAGATGCTATGATCTGTTGAGAATACTGATGCGGTTTCATCGCTGGTCATGAAGCCTTGCTCACCAGATCTTTCAGCATATTAACTTGACTGGCCTGGAGGTGGGACCAGAGATTGGCCTTACTCTGTAAGTGCCCGTTTCAATAGTCCCTTGGACAGATCGATACTGGAGTCATTGTCTTGCTCTGAGAAACGTTGCGCCAACTCTTCCAGTTTTTTGAAATTAGGTAGACGATTGGCTGCATTTGCCTGCAAGAGCGACAGAATATGTGGAATAAGTATCGAGTCATGAGCATTTAACGGCAATATTAGCCTCGACGCCCGAAGGATTAATTCTGACGCTGTATCAAGTGCGTCCGAGTGTTCTTTGTCGCTCAAATGCTCTAGAAACGCAGACCGAACCAACCGATGCACATAGAATGCATTAGATTCGATCGAGAGATCTCCGACAAGAGAGTATGAAACAAGCTCCCTCATTGGCCTTTAGTAACTTGATTAGTGCTGTTGACAACGTATGTACTTTGTTTGCTCTTACACTGATACTGCGTACTCTGATAACAGAACATGGGGAATTTTGTCAGGATCTAAGACACTGAGCACACCCATCAATCGGAAGGCACCTGGACTCAAGCGTTTAAAAGACAGCAAATACGTTGATGAAAGCGTAAGATCATATTTGCCGTGCGTTCTCGAAAGATTGGGCACTGCCCGAAAACCTGCCAGGCACATAGTCAGACTAGTCGAGGTCCCCCGTATGTTCCGAGCTACTTGCGAAAGAGCCAGTGGAAGTCCACCCAGAAGCTCGCTGAGATTGAGTGCTGCCGTTCTGTCAATGCTGTCATATTCCTTTTGACCGATAAGACTTAGGAGAAGTTCTGCCCCGTCTGATGGGGTCAAAGGCTCGATGGGTAGCTCGATCCCAACTTCCGCTGCGAGTCGACTCCGGGTGGTAATGATTATGGAGCCTCGATGATTTCGAGGTAGCTGTACGTCCTGTAAGACGGTACCATCTTCCACATCGTCGAGAACGATAAGCCACGGACGCTCTAAAGACGTCAGAACTGTTCCAGCCGGAGAGTTCAACTTACTTCTTGCTTGAAGCCAGAATGAAAGATACATCCAGGAAAGATCCCAGGAATCACGAGATAAGCTCTCCGGACCCAGTGCTCGCGAAATGTGTTTGATTCTTTCTTGAAACACCAATCGTGTTCTGCAATTGATCCATAAAATCGTCTCGTAGTAGCCCTTGTGGCGATGTGCATACTCTGTGGCTAGCTCCGTTTTCCCTACACCTCCAAGCCCCAATAGGACGAGTGGTCTGTTCTTCCATCTGGACATACTCGTAGACGTGTGGTCCTCGTGTTTATCGCCATCGTCCGGGACATAATCAGTATCGGGGAGCTCTTCTGACTCTTGCGTGTCGTCTGATGGAATGAGAAACCTTTGCATACGTTGAAGCTCCTTTGGACGACCGAAAAATTCTGAGTTGGACCGTGGAAGCGAAAAGAAATACTTCTGTGAGATTGTCGAGGACAACTTTGTAACAGCTTCGGTGACAGCGAAGAGGGCGGAGATTGTACCGACAATTTCCACCATGCTGGAGATATTCGCTCTGAATTTAAAATGGCGGATGGTCTAACAGAAGAAGGCTGAAGGAGGGTTCAGTCCTTGGACGATCACGACCTTCTTATTATTTTCGCCGGCGAGGCTGAGGCCAGTGACGAAAAGGCGCCTCGCTGACCCCCACACATTCCGGACAATGATTGGGCATCCCTTCTGGCAAGATTCAATCGAGGATGGCCCACGGATGCCTGATTAGAAGAGGTAGGAGAAGCAAAAAGACTACCAGGCCAATCGCTAAAGGCTGCCCAGTGGGAGTTGCATGTTGTCTGCCGGGGCTACTGATGTCCATGGTGTCCCTGGGCCAATGGGTTCCTGCGTTTAGCGGCACTAATGCGTGGGCTCAAATGGGCACGCAGTCACTCGGATAGAGTACCTTATTAAGCGGAGCATTGCTCTTGCACGGTTTGGATAAGTGTCAGGGAGAGGCTTGTCACGGGATAGAGGCGCTGTTGCGGCTGAATAGGAAGGAATGATCGTGGTTGTTATTGAGAGGCAAGCCTCTTAGTGTTATAAAGCAAGGCCGTTAATAGTATATTAATTTAAAAAGCTGACTCAAGAATTCCTCGATGGTCTAACGGTCATGATTTCCGCTTGTCAGATTACATATGTGATCACAAGCGCGGGAGACCTGGGTTCGACTCCCAGTCGGGGAGGTATCTTTTTGTTTTTCGACCCTAGCACTTCGCGGAGGCTGTGCATGTGCATACAACATATAGCAAGCACTCCAAGAAGCACTTTGATGGATCTAGAACCCAGCGTCAACATGACTCATGATGAGCAGTCGAGATCAACCTCTTCACTGGTGCTTAGCAGTAGCTTGACCGATTTTGTCCAGCACAATCATGATTCATTATGTCTCTTGCGCCGGGAGCTCCACTTAGGGAGATGTATGAGGCTGTATACAACAAGGTTGAAATTGCGTCCTATGTTGTTATGTATAAGAACTGCTGGATATGCCGCTCAATAATGAGACATCACATCTCAAGCTTCATCATTGAAAACTACTCGAATGACCATGGGATCGTTATCAGGACCAGTACACGCGCCTGCATGGCGAGAGGTAACCACTTACTCACTCCCAAATAACAACACATTGAGTTCTGGAAAATCAGTACTAACCTGCTATCCAGTTCATCAATGAGCTCGGCGATCCGCTCTTGATGCCCGGCACAACAGTCGATGCCTTATATGGAGACTCCAAGGCCAATATCCAAAAGCTCCTCGCAAAATACACCTTCCCCGAACCCGACTCTAGCATTCAAACCGAGGATATCACACTAAAGGACGGCGTCTGGGTGCGGATATATACACCTCCGGATCTAACAAGCACCGACCTCACGATCTTCATGCACGGCGGCGGTTGGGTCATGGGCAGCGTCCACCACGAAGACGCTGCCGTGCGCGGAATCTGCGCGGCGACGAAGAAGACCGTTGTAAGTATCGGATACAGACTCGCGCCCAAACACAGGTTCCCCGTTGCGCTTGAAGACTGTCTGTATGCGACCCTGTGGGCGCTGGAGCATTTCTCGGCATCGACATCGTCCGCTGTGCTTATGGGTGGATCTGCCGGCGCGAACCTGGCCTTTGGCGTCGCGCTGAGGCTCCTCGATGCTGGGATGGGCGAAAAGTTCAAGGGTGTGCTCGCGCTGGTTCCATGTGTCGTGCATCCTGACGCTGTCCCCGCGGATAAGCGGGACAAGTTTACCTCGTATGAGGAGAACGCCGTTGCGACAGTGAACACGCTCGCTGCGATGAAGTGTTTCCTCGATAGCTATGGCCCCCCGGTGGACGATGTTTATTTCTCAGTGTTGCTGCATCCTCGGATTCGGGAACTGAAGAAGGTCTATATTGTCGAGTGTGGCGCCGATACACTCCGGGATGATGCGAGGCTGATGAGGGATGCACTGCAGGAAGTGGGCGTGCCTTTGAAGTATGATGCGTACGAGGGATTTCCGCATTACTTCTGGTCCTATCCGTCGAAGTTTTTGAAGGCCGATTCGGACAGATTCCATCAGAATATGTTTGTGGCGGTCGACTGGTTGCACGAGTGATTTGGTACTGTATCTGTGTATATAGCAAGCATATAGAGCGTCCTATTAGTAATTAGCGACACTCTGAATCATCCAAAACATCTCCAAGTCAGAGAAAGATCATTAAAGGTCGATGACTCAATATAATGTGCGTAGCAGTAAGCGGTCTCTCGACCAGACCGGTGGACATACGTTCACATGGCCGATTGAAGGATCTACGAGAATGTAAGATTCAAAAGACGAACTTTTGGTGAAGACTGGCGATCGTCGGGATAATCTGTTTATCCCCAGGTATCATGTGTATCATATCGTATCTAGTATATCCTGGTAGTATCAAATTCAGTACGGAACTCAGTGTTGTTCGTTGATATCATTGATATCCGTTCCACCTCATTTCCCCTCGGCACGTTCCACCAACCGCTCTTCCAAGCCCATCGGCTCCCAAACATCTTTCGCTTTCTTGTTCTGGACCCATACCACATCTCCTTGTATAAAGGCAACGACGCCGCCTTTGCCGGTTGCACTGGCTGTGATTCGGAACAAGGGCTGACCGTTTTGTGGGTGTGCCTCGCGGAGTGGAAGCATTATGAGGCCTTCTTCCGCGCACCAGGATTCGAGGATATCCTTGAATGCAACTTCTTCGACGACCTTTGGTTTTCGAGGCGCGGGTTCTGAAGATAAGGGTTGTTGCGTTGTAGGCTTTTGCTGATGTGAGGGTGTTGTAGGTTTTGATGATGTGGCTGTGGCTGTAGTGGGAGGGGGTAGTTCCGAGGCTGCGCGGTCACCCAGTTGAGCCGCAAGGTCCATAGTGTGGAGTGCTTTGTTCCATTCCTCGTCAATGATGGTGAGGTCATTGATATCTGGGGGAAATTGGGAGCGCCACCAGGTGAACCACTCTGCGACCTCTTCGTAATTAGGGTCGTTTGTCAGCCAGATATAGAGGATCTGGTGGAATTTAGGGAAAAATTCGGCCACGAAGAGCAGTCCAAGAACGTTGGGTTGGAACCAGTCTTTCCATCTGAGAGTGTTCTCAAACGGCGCGAGGTCTTGTTCTTGAGGATTGACGTCAAAGTCGTTGCGGAGGTGGGCAGCGAGGCGGGGGAGGAGATGGTTGCGGAGACAAGTATCAAATTCAGATGATAGGGCGTCGCGCCAGATGTCAAGACCCCGGATCGGACCGACACTAAGGTCCCATTTATCAAGAACGCTGCGGAATTTTCGCTTGGCGTCAGTGAGGAGACCTGTGGCTTGTTTAGGGTTCGTGTGCCGCTCGTCCAGGTATTGAAGCCACGTGAAAAGCCACCAGGGGACGGCGGAGTTCTGTTGAGAGGAAGAGGAAGTAGAGCGCCTGCTAGGTTTCCAGGCTTTGAGACCGTTAGTGAGTTTCGGGACGACCAGTTGGTCGAGGACGTTGGCGAGAACAAAGGGTGGGAGAAGTTCCTTCCACGAAACGATGAGTGTCGTGGCAGGTGACGAGTCAAACACTTCCCAATCATTGAGAAGGGCAGACCGTACACGAGGAAGCCAGAGGGTGTATATCATGGTTTCGTAAGGAGACGTCGATTGGCGTTGCGTGGGTTGCCCATCGCCCGGTACGCGAGAGAGCAGGGGCTGGAGACGTCGTAGATTGGAGACGAGGAACGTGGGATCTTTGAGGGGCTCCCAGTCTTCCATGGCCTCGCGGAATATAGGATGGATCGCCGCAACCGCAGTCTCCCAGAGCCGATATTGATCAATCTCCGCCCGATATTGGATTTCGATCGACTCTAACCGGTTCGTTACATGTTCGAGTTTCGCTTGCGGGGTGGCGCTGAACTCCTCAGGGATGTCATCGAGAGCTCCAAAGGCGGCAAGGAGAGCTGTTAGCTGGTCGATTTGGCGTTGATTCGTATCAAGCTGATCCACAATCTGCGACTCTTCTTGTTCGATGAATTTCTTCCTCTCCGTCAGACCTTTCCATTCATCCGCGAACGCTTCCAAATCCTGGCGTGCTCGGCGCGCGATCTTGTGGGCCTCGCTCTGCCCGGTATTCACAAACTCCAGCGGCGCCATGAGCCCGGCAGTCGATGTCAGGACTCTCTGTTCCTTGCCCGTCGCATCGATCAGGGACTTTAGGACGTTCGGGACCTCCAGACCAGCCATGTCCGCCTCGATTTCGCGAGCGGTGCGGAACTGGGGCTTCTTCCTTGCGATAGGGCGGGCTTCTCCTTCACTTTCTCCTCTGTCCTTCCTCTGCTGTCGTTTTTTCTTTCTCCTGATTTCTTCGTCGGAGCTCTCTTCGACCGATTCGCCGCGCATGGTGGCGGCGCGCTTCTCCTCCGCACGAGCCTGTTTGGTCTTCTCGCGAACTGCACCGAGACCGATACCCTGTGGACGAGCCTGCGCCTCGATGGGAGTCACGATACCCTGTCCGCTAGAACCCAAACCCTGTCCTTGGACATAACCCATCTTTGCCAGCATGCGGGCACCGAAGGAACTGGCACCGGGGCCATTACTCGAGGATGACTTTGTCGCATTATTCTTCCTAGACCCTTCGCCCATACCCATCCCCATCCCCATCCCCATACCTCTCCCCATCCCCATGCCCCGACCGCCACCACGAGCCATACCTGAACCCAGACCTAGACCGCCGGTCGGAGGAGATTCGGAGCGCGATGCGGCGCGGTTGAATGAGCGAAAAGAGGCGCGGGGAGGGGAGTCGGCGTCGTCGTCATCGGAGCTCACGTCGCCATATTTCCTTTTGTGGCCCGCAGAGTCCATGATGAGACTCTCGAGCGAGACGGTGTGCCTTTGATAGGAGAAGTGTTGATAATGGGTTGACTGTCAAGAAAAGTTCGGGGCGGTAAAACGCGCTTCCGAGCGGGCGATGACGGATCCTCATGAGCTAAACTAAATAAAATGACGTCTTGCTCCCCTTCCTCAAGCTCTCTTCTCCTCTCTTACTCCAAAGCCGTCGTTAATTGAACTCTCTCCTCTTTACTGTAATATTATTACCCTACACTGTAACCATGGCCTCTCTCATCCGCACTTCTCTGCGCACTGGACTGCGCGCCAGCTCCTCCGCTGCTGCGCCCTTGACTTTCACCCGCGGGAAAGCTACCCTGCCGGATCTGGCCTGTACGTCCTCCCCTCGCATCTCATACGGTTATACGCGGATAGTTGATTAATGGATTGCAATGATCAGATGACTACGGAGCTCTGGAGCCCTCAATCTCCGGCAAGATCATGGAGCTGCACCACAAGAACCACCACCAGACATACGTCAACAGCTACAACACCGCTATTGAACAGCTCCAGGAGGCCCAGGCAAGCAACAACATTGCCGCTCAGATTGCCCTCAAGCCTCTGATCAACTTTCATGGCGGTGGCCACCTTAACCACACTCTCTTCTGGGAGAACCTGGCCCCCAAGAATGCCGGCGGTGGTGAGCCTCCTTCTGGTGCTCTGGCTACTGCTATCAACGAAAGCTTCGGCAGCCTTGAGAACTTCCAGGGCCAGATGAACACTGCGCTCGCCGGTATCCAAGGCAGCGGATGGGCCTGGTTGGTGCAGGACAAGCAGACTGGCAGCGTTGGCATCAAGACCTACGCGGTACGTTTATCTCCTGCTAAGGCGTCGGAAGCCGTAAGCTAACAATGCCGGTGCTACAGAACCAGGACCCCGTTGTCGGCCAGTTCAAGCCCCTCCTCGGTATCGATGCTTGGGAGCACGCCTACTAGTAAGTGTCTCGGCGATTCTCGACCGACCTCGGCTAACGCGCATGCAGCCTGCAATACCAGAACCGCAAAGCCGAGTATTTCAAGGCTATCTGGGAGGTGATTAACTGGAAGGCTGTTGAGAAGCGTTTTGCTTGAAATTTGCGCATATCGTGCTGACTCCTTGGCTATAACCCTGTTTTGACGTATGGTTGTTCAATCAACCGAAATTCACCTCCACATGGTAATTATAATCAACTCTATGGTAGTCTTGGCATGTAACACCAATTTTGGAAGCTTTCCCCAACTCTGGCCGTGTAAAAGCTTATTTATTTTGGTTCTATAAAAGTCTAAGCCTTCTTAAGGTCCTGTAGACCACCTGGGGTTGCAGAGGACCCATCAATTTCTGTGTATCCATGGATACTTCAAATTGGCTGACACCGGAACCGCCGGAGTCGGCAGTCGTCCTTCTCGGTATCTCGTCGAGTCGTCAACGATGTGTTAGTTGTGACCAAAGATTCACATTTTCGTCTAAGAGTGTCCAGGGTCCAGACTCCAAAGACTCTGCATTGAGGGTCTGAGGCTGGCTTATGTGTACTCCCACGTCAGCTTCATCATTGCTTATTCAGTTTCATGGATTAAAATCTTCTTCTCTCGACTCCTCGTCTTCGCCGTGAAGAACGCGCCCTGTCACTTCCAATGCCAAGTCATGTCTGAGGAAAAGCATGGCTTCCGCGCCTTCATCTCCCATGCTCTGCGGCCCAAGAAGTCGCGGCAGGTGCTGCGCAAAAAGAACTTCAGCGCCTCGTCGTCCGACCTGTCCACCACCACCACCTTGAGGACCCTGACCAAGGACGACGATGTCCCTCCCTTGCCGTCATTGGCACCTCTACAGGCCCACAATGCCAAATACCGCAGCGTCCATTCTCAGCAAGATACACAGCTAGGTGAAGTCCTCGATCATACCGCCGTAATCCATGCCATCGGCCTCCAAAACTTCGATACCGACAGCGATGCCGATGGCTTCAACATCCGCGACAACCGGCCACCCGGCGAGCCCCTTATTGCCCTCCTCCCCAACGATCTCTGGATGTCAATCGCAGATTTCCTCACTCCCGCTGACGCTGCCAATCTCGCCCTGGCCAGCAGAACCCTTTATTCCCGACTCGGCCTGTTACCATGGCGCTTCCTTAGCCAACCCGAAAACACCGACGACCGCGCCGACTTTCTTGTCTCTCAAGACAGATACTACCCTCATCACCTTCTTTGCTTCCCATGCGGCCGATTTCACGTCCGCACCAAAGAAGGCCACGAAACACTCCAACCCGCGAACGTCCTAAACCCCCTCTTCAACTGCCCCAACATCCGCAACAACCTCCGCCCTCCTGCCCGCCACCGAATTACCCACGGCCGCACCCTCCCTTTCACCTTCGTCCAACTTGCTTGCCGCCCCGCCCGCTTCAAGTCCCCTCTTTACGGCATTCCCGACCCGACAACCCTCAGCCGCCGCTGGCGGCGCAACGACTGGTCCCACCAGTCCCGATTCCTCGTCCACAATGGCCACCTCCTCATGCGCGTCATCTCCTCTACCTTTGCAGAACCGGGCCTCCCACCTTCCTCGCAGCGCCTCCTCCTCTACTCCCGCGATGACTACTGGCCATACTTCTCCGCCTGCGCTCACTGGCGCGACGGTGAACTAATGTCCGTCGCCAAATGCGCGCTCACACACATCCCCGCTACCCGTCGTACAGAGGCGCTGCAGGGCCTCGAACACCGCGCAAAGGATATGTACCATGGTCGCGCATTCAATCCTAACGCCCTTGCCTCTCTCTGCGGCCACTGTCAGCCCATGCGCCGCTGTCCCGATTGCCCCTCTGAATACCTCGTCGAAGTCAAGCTCACCGAGGAGCGCGAAGCGGGCGTGAAATCTCGCTTTCGGCACGCGATCGTGGTAACTCGGTGGTGCGATCTGGGTAATGGAACTAGCCCGCGCTTGTCAAAAGAGTGGGCGGCATGTAACGGGGAGCTTGAAGGGTATGACTCGTTCAAGACTCTCGGGAAACGAGCTATATCAGGAATTTTCGAGTCGGCGTTTACGGATGAGACGATTCCTGGACAGAGGATTATCTCAATGAATCCGTCTGGAAAGAGACTTGGCGAGAAGGGAAACAGTTGGTACTAGCCCTACGTCCACAAGTTCATCTTATCTCATTTTATGTATCGATCTATTTGTACATGGTTTCGGCTATAATTTTTCTAGTTATAAGTTGGTGTTTTGGTAAGGTTGGATATAGAAGGATACTTGGTTTGTTTTGGACTAGAATGGCGAACGAAAAGTTTGGTTTGACTGTGACTATTCATACAATACATAAGCTCTTTCCAACCTAGATGGTAGCAGGAAAGAAGTAAACCCTGAGATTGGACACATACTGCACATCATAAAAAATCTGGTAACGTATTTAAGACAGATGGAAGGAAGTAAGAGGAACGAAGAAGGAGAAATGAAAGAGTCGATAAGTGACATGTCGTTGAGGTCCAAAACCAGAGGATGATAAGATAATAAAAAGCCAACGCAGTTCGCACTCGTTCTCGTAGGGTATCGTGACGCATTAGATCGGGAGATAGAAAATTATTCAGTCATGATCGATCGTAGATAGATCGTAGAGCAGAGGAACACAGAAATAGGGATCGAGACGTGGCAATGGCATAAACGAGTGAAAAAAATATGAGGGTATCATGTCATGGTCGACGGGACCGTCGCTCCATGTACCGCGGACGCCGTCCCTGTTCGTCGGCTGGCTCTTCTGTCCGAGTTGGGTGTCTGGTCCTGGTAGCGAACTCGTCTGCGACTGGCTCGGCAGACTTCGTGTCAGGAGCTAGGGTAACATTATCGTGCGTTGCTAAGCGCGAGGAGGCACGGACTGTTGTGACAGCAGATGCAGAGGTGGTCGTTGGCGTGCCAGGACTCTCGGGACGCGAAGTAGGAGTATTTGTGAAGTTGGTTGTTTCCGACCTCTTGAGCGACCCCAGGCCAACACTGGCGCCCTTCATCCAGCCGAATATACCCAGGGATCCACGGCGTTTGTGCTGGTCCTTGCCGTTCGAAGTAGAAGGTCGAGCTGTTGCCGAGGAGTTCATAGAGCTGCTGAAGAGGTTGGCCTCTGTGAAGGAACGGGATATGCTGTCTTCTGCATATGTTGGTCCCATTGATGTGCTAAAGTCGAGGCCGTGTCCGGATAATGGGCGGGGGACCTTTGATGATGGTGTCTGATTTCTTGTCTTACGAATAACGGGGGAGGGTGCGCCCCCGTCCGAGTCGACGGGGTCAGACATCACGGGTGGCTGGAGTCGGCGCGCAGTGCCGGAGCGACTGAAGAAAGGTGGGAGGAGGCTGATTCTCCGGCGGCGCTCTGGGTCTGGGTCTGTTGTTGGGGGTGTCGGCGCATCATTTTCTAGAGAGCGCGGGTTTAGGGTTTGAATGATGGGTAGGTCCGGTTCACGGACGGCGGAATCGATGCTATGCCTTCGGCCCAGGAACGAGGACTGGCTTGGCGCCCGTGCACCAACAAGCCCAGAGTTTTCTGGGAGAGGGCCCGTACGGTTCCGGGTCCCGGGACGGGCCGCCTCAATCCAGTCTTCGGCGGTCATGGAGGGTGGTGAGGATCCGCGACTGGCGGATCTGTTGCGCGTGGTCCGTTTGGACGGGGAGTAGTAGTCCTTGTCCATTCTCGCTAGTACTCTTTCGAAGTCGCCGTGGAAGAGTCCTTGGTTAGCTGAGTACCCGAAGCGGGATTGGATGCTGTTCAAGGGGAAGATTGCAGGGTCTTCGTCCCTTTCGTCCAAACTGACTCGGGGAAATGTGACTTCGCTCATGTTGGTATCCATGCTTTGTCTAGGCTCGCTGTTTATGGAACTCCGCCTAGCTGTGAGTTCGTCGGCAGAGCGTGCTCGTGTAAGGCATCGGCGCAAGTCAGATTGACTCTTGTCTGCAATAGTGCTGTTGGAAGAGCGGTTTGCCAGCCCTGCGTAGGCTGTAGTCATTGTGTCTGGAGTTGGGGGCATTCGTGAGCCCCCAAAGATACTTTCCATCCTCGACTTGTGACTTGAGCTGTTGAACGAGCTGCTGGGACTTGAGGTTTCGGGCTCCTTGAAGATATCTGATAGACGTCTGGCTTTTCGGCTAGAGTTGTCTGGCTTGCCGGCATCGTCTGCCTCCGCTGTATACCATTGATCAATACGGACCAGATCTCGATCGGAGCTGCCCAGTGTTGTGGAAGAAAGGCCCAGGGTCAGGCCGCCGGTCTCCTTCTGTCGCACTGGAATGTCAATCGTGTCGAACCCATCTTCTGTAATCGGCGTGTCATCAATATTCAGCTCGCTACACTCGCTTAGAGCGCTAAGTCTAGGTGACTCTGGCTCGATAGTTTCAGTCGTTTCCGTTTCAGCCATAGAGTTCATACTTTCAGACTTGGTTATCTTTGTCGGCTCCAGCACGGGTTTCTCATCCTCTTCAATATCCGCTTCTATGTAAAGACTTCGGAGAGCAGCTGTGCTCTTGCTCTCCTCAAGCAGGAAAGATGGCGCCCGTTGCAGATGGCGGGACCCCGATGATACCCGGCGGCGTTCGGCAAACCTAGCGCTTCGTCTTGAGGACGTCCTCTCCGGAATGTCGAGAGTCGAAAGATTCCTGGGGGTAGCAACATCGGAACCGTCGTCAATATAGGGCCGCGCAGTAGAAGGCCTTGTCGAGCCCGTCCCAGTCTCGAGTTCGTCCACTCTGGCCTCAAGCTGGCATATTAGCTCAACGGCTTCGGTAACGGCTTGGTCTCGCTTATCGATCTCTTGTCGCAGTTGCTCGTTCGATTCTCGTAGTCTTTGGTTGTCCTCTTCGGCTGCTCTAAGCTCCTGCACCTCCTCTTCCAGCCCCCGCATGCGCTCCAGCTCATCCTCCAGTTCTTGCATTCTCTCCACTTTCTTCTCAAGTGTAGAGACTTGTTGCACCCGATGAAAGATCTCTAGTTTGAGGTCGAAGTTTTGTTTGCTAAGTTTGGAGATGTACTAACGTTCAGTCAGTTACTGCCCCTAGTCAAGGTATTACGGGATTACCTACCTGGTCTGTTTCCCGTACCCCCATCTCCCGCGGCTGTCTAACACTCCCAGATGATGACATCTTTGTGTTTGGCTGCTTTTCCGAGCCCGGCTCTTCCTGGGAATGGGATCGGGATTGAGAGTGACACCATTCCGGGGTACGTTGAGGGCTATCTTCCAGCTCCTCAAGTCCACCTGGGCGAGCGCCTCTAGTCGCACGCTGTTCCTTCAACAGGTCTTGTAAAAGGGCTGAGGACGGGTTGACGAGTGACGACGTGTTCGGTTCGGGTGTTTCTGTGATGACCCATCCAAAGTCAGCATTCTGATTGCGGTCTAGCTAGCTTCCCTTTCCTAGTCATAGTACATACGGGATCTCGATCTTTGCGGTGTACGAGGGTTCCTCGTAATCGGGGAGGCATCCTGGAGCCACGACATGTCTGTATATCAATTAACACTATGGTCCGCGTCAATGTTTGAGAGAAAAGTGCGCACCACTGCCCATTCGTGTTGGGGTCTCCATGTCGATTCTGCCCTTGACTCGGGCGAGCGCAGGAGGCCTAAGGGGTTCCGATCTCTCTGCAAAAAGTCAATAAGTTAGTCTAATCAGGGTAACTGTCGCCAGGGAAGCTAGGGATAGGGTTCGAAAGGGCAGACAAACTTTTCGACTTCGAGCTGTGTCTTAGAGACTTGCTTCCGCTTTGGCTCTGAGCTGTTGTCGCTGACGAGGGATATGAACAGTGTCGCAAGGAAGATGGTGTTGTCGCCTGTCCAGCGACACTGCTTCGTCTGCGCGGGTTTTCCTCCATTTTGGCTGCGATCTAACGACGGACTTCAACTAATACGGATCGCTAGCGAGATGCACGACAATCGATTGAGTGCAGCAGAGCGACAGGGACGTCTCCACCAGCTGCACGCCTCTCATAGGTAAGGGCCGGAAAAACCAGACGATAGGAGCGCGCAAGGGTAGGAAATCGATGTCTCGTCCCGATTATGGGGAATCAATGACGCGAGGGTGCGCAAAATCAGAGATCCCAAAGATGGGAAGAGCGCGTTTGATCGATTTACTGGGTGGCGGGGAGGAGGGGAAGGATGCGACGAACCCCCTGGAAGCGCGCCTGACGTGAGGAGCGAGAAGAAAAGAAGCGATGACGGACAAGGTCGATTGTGACGAGTCGATCGATGGATCTTGGAGGGCGGCCAAGAGAGAAGGAGTTGAAACTTGACAAGAGCCAAATCCCCACACTGCACGAGCTCACTGCTTACAAGCCTCGCGTCAGTCTATGCTCATCAGATTTCGAAGACGTATTTAGACGAGATTGGTTGCCATGCCATTGATGCTAGGAGAGGAGTCGTGTATGCAGAGCTGTTGTTGGCAACGTTGGCATGCATTGCATCCTCTCCTCCCTTTGATTCACGCAAGAAAGCCCTCATTCCTCGTCCAGGAATGACCTCAAGAATCCAGACCCAAAGGGAGGATGGGAAAAATACCCCCGGCACTCCAGGGGCTGTCCATCCAGGCTCAGGTGCTCTCTTGCACCAACAAGAGTCCAGGCCACTGGCACTAAAGCCGGCTAAGGTCAGGTACCTCCGCTTAGTGCCGTCCTCAGCATGTTTTGCGATGAGAAGGATTTCCAGCCCGGACTTTTTTTGACGACTGGGATCACGCTTGGGCGGTCCTCTGTTGGATTTGACAGACGTCAGTCCAATCAAAAGAGCAGATTCTGGAGGGTTTCATCCCTTGCCAACGACAGTTGCAGACTCAGGCTTTTTTCCTTTTTCCCACCCCCATTTTCATCACCCACAGGCTTAGGAGGGATAAGAGGCTTGCTATAAGAGCAGACATAAATTCTGGAGGTTGCAGTGCACCAGATTTCGCTATCATTAATCTCAAGAGAAGATTGAAAATTCATCAGTTCACACTCTGGGTTGTTAATCTGATGCATCTGCTCCCAATTTTTGACCACTGCCCCACCTCGACACTCCATCCATGGTTCATTAACGGATGCGTGTCTGGAACACCATCAGTTGAAATCATCAGATTCACCCATCATATATGCACGAGCCCAGATCATTTCACGAGAGACCTGAGCTCGTGCTAAGCAGACCCATCGTTCATCCCACGTCATGCTTCCCGTCCCGCGATCTCGTGCGCTATGAAGGCGAAATCGTCTACATAAGCTACCTGTGAAGTCGTTCATTGACTGGCCGTCCGCTTTCAAGTTATTTTAATGTAGTTGAGCAGGTTGCCCAAAACCTATGGTTCCCTTTCTCGAGGCTCCTCAAAGTTCACCACCCGAGTTTGACTTTGAGATGTTTGCTTCCAGTTGACCTTTATTGGCCTAGTCCCACTGCCTTGCTTTCCAGCGCATAAAGAATTCCCAGGTCCCAAATTTGAGTAAATGTGTCGGTCGACAGCCTGAGTTGCGGACAGCCCCAAGCATCCAATAGTCTCTGTCCATGCGAGCTTTCTCATCCGAGGAGCTTAGTGTCTGGTGTCTTGTTGAAGCATATACCCGTTGCTGAGTCAAATCATACCAATTCATACTTTGAGGAATTTTGTAGTCTTTCACTTTTTCTTGTAATGTAGTCATATCTCATAGCCAAACTAGCGCAGCTCGATCTAAATTATTCCACGTATCAGAGTCTCATCGTTTCTTCGCCTCTCCAGCCCAAACCCGCGTTCCTTTCGCACTATCGTGAGCCACGCGGAACACTAGAAATATGCTTAGCAAGCCATCGGGAAGCAGGTTCAGAGACATGGGTAAACGAACATTGTCTTTCTGTCTCGTCGAGACCTCTTAGAAACTCCACACCATCGCCAAGGGCGCCTTTTGGGTTGTGCGCGTGGTCAGCAATCTCGGCGGCACGCTTCTTGAATGTCTTATTTGGATGCGTTAGTAAAGTACTTCTGTGGGCGGCGGTAGCCGGGGTCAAGCATACATTACTCAGGATATCGACCATCTCTTCCTCCTCAAACAGTTCTAGAACCCTTTCACTCAGGCGGTAATAGTTTGGCGCCAACGAGCGCAGGTCAACGGTCCGAGGATCGGCTTTCAAAGCATTCATCACCCGCTCTGAGAGCGCAGACGGGATATCAAGCGTGACTAGTCGCGATGTTCCTAGCCGTGCCCTAGGCTGAATCAGACATTCCCTCCTCTCGACAGCCCATTCGGTTGGAATCAATTACCCGATAGAGAGCATCTCACCCAGCCATAATGGAAGATCAATGCGTGTCCCCGCTTTGATCTAATGAGTGTACGGTCAGTCATAACAGCTGTCACTTGCGCAAGGATAGTAGTAAGCTTACGTTTTCACCAGGGTTGCCCTCTAAAATACCAAGCCCAGGGACATCAAGCTCGAATGTACATGGTAGTTTCTTGATAGGTTCTCTGGGTTAGCCTTTGGGCGGGAAATCGCGAATCGGGGGCTATGCTGCTGTACCTGGGCATCTGTCAGAATCGAGTCGATGTCATAATAAGACATATCGGCCTTTTAGGACTTTGAATTCCTTACGCTTTGGCAAGATCTGGACCATGGTGTTTGGCGATGAGAGCCCTTTTGGTCGCGTCCCGCACGACGCGGTATCACGTGCTATGCGGCCCTTTGACTGCAGTGGCCAATCACAGTGCATGCTTACTTTCAACCTGCTCCATCTTGCAATGAATTCTAAATTTCTCGGGAGAAGCTCAATGTACTAAGTACCGACTTAGATGGGTATGTAAATAGTGTATTCGTACATTGGCGTTGACATCCAAGGACGGCTATCTGTTTTCGAGGGACTAAACTCCAATCTCGTGGGAATTGTGTCCAAACCACAATTACTAGTAGTTTGGTATTTGGATTGGAACTAGGTAAGAGCGGTCCGAAAATTATGATCATACCAAAGGACTTTTTGGATGGCACTTGCACAACCCGGTCGACAGGCTTGGGAAGAACTCAGGACTATGCACAATCTGTCTATGCATTCGATAAGATCCACAGTACAATGCAAAGTGCTAGTCAGCATTCTGTAACGCAGGTGTGCTGTAATGATGTGCTGTTCAAGTTGTCCTCGGTGGGATTTTATGTAGTTGTCGACGAAAGCCACCTAGTTCAAGGCATTGAATGATCAAAATTTCACGATAATCCCGCCACCACCTCGAAGACCTTTTATAACAGAGAATGATGGTTTCTACCCGTACTCCGTGGAAAGACACAGGTCTTGATTAAAGGTGGCCAAGGCAGATAACTTACTCCGTAGACAGCTTGGTACCTGCACGTTAGATGACAGTGTAACCGCAAGTTGGCAATACTTCTGTACCTTGATTATGCAGTGTTACCATGGAGCAAGGACCAAAAGTACCTACTGCTAGGCACTGAGGAAGACGGTCCGAGAATGATGCTCGCCTTTTAGTAGTAGAATGATCACTGTTATCCATGCTCGCGAGGATCTCAAATTCTGCAGTCTTATGGATACATGGGACAGGATCAGCAACGGGCCGAGTGTTGAGTCGAAGACCAACGTCGACACTGTGATGTGGGATCGACTCCGGAGTAGGTTCCCTGAAGACTCCTGAGTCGATCAGATCCGCAACCATTCAATTCAGCAGGCACATTGCCAACTAGTCCATGATCATCCATTCTTTTCGGCCGTATCCGGGGGACCCTTATCAAGCCGCTCTCAGCAATGTACGAATCCAGATGTATGACCGGAAAGGACAGATAGAGCGCTGCCGTCAGTTGATGGTAGTCAACAGTACCCAGTAGACTAATCGAGGCTCTTAAGCTCTTGCGCCTCCAGGTGATCATCGCATGTTCGCGGGGTCTGGGCTTCATAACCGTGGAGCCGTGCCTGACAATCCAGTCACTCGGCGGGACATCAAAGGCACTCAAACTGCGAGACAAAAAGAGGCAATGTCATCAGGGATTCCCTCTCATCCATTGAGGATGACGGGTGGTTGGGTTTGGATGTAAAACTTGGTTTGAGACAGAAGAACAGTGGAGAGGGTTTTTGCCCCTCAAGATATAATTAGAAGCTCTCGCCCTCCGACTGGCTAGAACGAACGCCGTTCAGGTTCAAAGGCCCGCACATGATGGAATTTCTCTGGAGTTTGGGACCTGGATTCAGTTGGTTTCGAGAGCAAGAGCAAGAATGGAGCAGTTTTTATTATTATAGACGTTGTATCGCGCTCACCAAGGGCTTCCATCCTTTCTTCTCGACTTCTACTTCCCATTATCCCTTCCCCTCCCTCGCAGTCCATGATCACGATCCCGTACTATCTTTGGGGCGCCTTATCTTTGAGCGGACGTTGATCCATTCAATTCCCTTGATTGCCTCGTTCCTCCTGCACCAGCATTCGGTCACACGACAACAAATCATAAGCGCTTTTTCATGGCCATTGCTTGTCCAACGTCTATTGAAAATGGCGTACAACGCCGTTTCTCAAGCCGACCACGCGCTGGCTTCCGATTCTGATGATTCCAGGAGTCCCTCGCCGCAGCCACCCCATCATCCCGCTTCATTCGAGAAGCTGCCTTTGGACGCCGACAACATCGGCGCCGGGAGCTATCTGCAGCGCGCGAAAACCAATGACCCTGAGGACAACGGTCTAAGGCGCCTTGGATCTATGATTCGGTCAATGACAACGCCCAATTACGATATGGTGGAGGGAGACGACTACGAAGTGATAGCCGATCCGCGTCCGCCAACAGGCCCGGGCCTCAATAGTGCCAGTAGCCCCAACGTTAGCCCCCATCGCCCTCTTGCGTCTGCAGCTCCTGCTCCTCCTGTGCCTGTGCCTGTGCCTGATGTTTCTCCGACCGAGGACCGCGCTGACTTGCGAACACCAACCACTGAGAACTCGGTCCCTCTCAGTCACCCGACCCCAGGATTACAATCGCTTCAGGGGGCCTACCTTCATAATGTCGAGAGGTTGGAAAAGACAGCCGAGCGATTAAGTCTGAGCTCCACAGATATCGGGAGTGAGATACGGAAGATGGATCTCGAACAAAGGAGGCGCTCAAGCTCAACCTCTAATTATCCTAATTCCCACAGTGTCCAGGATGGCCAGCCTCACACGGTTGGTTCACGCCGAGGCTCCTTGCAGTCGGTTTCTCGCCTCGCGCAACTCTCAGAACAACAAGCACTCGAAGACCTCCCCGAACATTCAACTACCACGCAACACCCCATACACTCCTACCTTCCTCCGCCCCCTGAACCCGCGGCATACCATCCAGAGATGAACGATCAGGTTGGAATTGAGCGACCGTCGTCGGCAGCGTCTGGTGACACATATCGCCAGGCCAAGATTCTGTTTACAGACTTCGATGGCGTTCACTTTGTTCCCAATGGGGATCGGCGGTTTTCTTTGACCAGACCCCCGCTGGCCAGCCGGTCCGAGCCATACAAGCAACCACAGGAAGGGGAGAACATGGTCTTTTACCCAGCACCCGTGCCAATGATGCTCAACCTACCGCCTCGACTCTCTCAGCGCCCAGATCAAACCGAACGAGAGAAGCGTCGCACACAGCTTCTTGACGTAGTTTCGCCCGAGAACAGAAAATCAGCACCATGGCTTTCCGAGCAAAATCAAAGCAATGATCGCAGACGGACCAAACAGCCGTCAGATCTACCGCCACAACTACGTGCCAGTGTATTTTTTGAACCGCCTAGTGCATCACTCGATATAGATCCGGCCCAGACCTCGGCAGTCGCAACGCTTGATAGCATCCTTGATGCTTCCACAACGGCCCCGGTTACCGCTTTTACCGACCATCCCTTTGCTGGTCATCTTGGTTCAGAGGTGTATGGCAGTTCCAAACATGGGAAAGACGTGTCGGGACAACGGAAGAAGCAGCGACCCAAGAGCGCCCATGCGCTGGGGCAGCAGCCCTCAAATTCGAATCTTCGATCTAGTACGCTTGCAGTGAATACTATGTATCCCACATCGGAGGCCCAGGCGGCTGATACGCATGAAACCACTTCATTACGCAGACACGACAGGGAATCAGGTACTGACACAGACAATGATTCCGAGTCAGGGACAGGGAGCAGCAGCGGAGAAGACGCTTCCGAGGAAGAGGAAGATGAAGAATCACATTACATTGGGCCTCCGGCTACATTGCTCGCAGAATTGGAGAAGAGAAAGCACGACCTGAAACATAGGCGGCGAACCGCAGCCAATGCGGTTGGAATGCACTCAACGCTTCTTGAGCTTGAAGCCGTTGCAGCGAAACAGAGTGAGCACAGGCGGCAGAAGCCCGTTGCCCTGGCCTGGGAGAACCCAGATGGTCCAAATAACGATGAAGACGAAGACGAGGATGTGCCACTCGGCATGCTTTTCCCCGACAAAGCCCAAGCTGCTGATGAGACTCGGCCCTTGGGTCTTATGGAGAAGAGAGAAATGGAGGAGAGTGAGCCCTTGAGCAGGCGGCGAGCTCGACTTCGGGGTGAGCCGCTACCGCAAGCCCTGGATCAGCGTCCTATGACCATGCATTCACAAGCGCCCCAAGGTCCTTTCGCTTCCCCTCCAGAAGATGAAAGCGGCGATGAAGGAGAAACTCTCGGTCAGCGCCTGAGGCGACTCAAGGGCCACGAACGTAACGTCTCGAAAGCCGATACCGACTTTACGACCGAGCTCTTGGCCGAGCTCGACAATTTGAAGGATGACGAGAACAAGGACAAAGAAAATGAACCATCGCAGGAGAACGAAAGTCTAGCTCAGAGACGGGCTCGTCTCAAGAAGGAAGCTGATGCGAAGCGGAATTCAGGCTTGAAAATTCCCCGATACCGACGGAGTATGGCGGATGTACTCCATGCTCGACGCCCGACTACTGCCGGACAACAGTCTTTACAGCAGGAAGTACCAAATTCCAATGGACCAGCTGGCCAGCTTAATCATAGAATGTCCATGCAACAACTCCCCGTCAGTGCTGGGCCTCCGAAGACAGCAGGAGGATACTCGCAATATCAAGCGCCTAGCATGGTCGGTCCTTATGGATACGGAATGGCACACCCCAACACATTTTACAGCGACGCCATCCTGGGCAATGGGCATATGAGTTATGCAATGCCCACTAACGTCCATCCCAATGCCGTGCGACAGGGGGTAGAACCGGGACAACGAGAAATCATCGATCGGTGGAGGCAGAGCATTGTTTAGCCCTTTCCCACTCTCTTATATTCGACTGTTTGTTTTTGTTCGGGTCTTTCGGAGTCGCTTCAGCGTATATTGGGACGATTGGTAGCACCATGCATTTATCAGCGTTTGGGTTTGTAAATTAGCAGCAAGCGATGTTCTATCGTCCTATACTCACATTGGAACGTTCTACTACATATCCATTAGAAGCAGAGTCACGTGTTTTTAGTTCTCAGTCAGGACTAGCACGGGTTTATTTTGTCCTCTTTTCATGTCTGATTGCTGCTATAATTGTCGCGGTGCCTTGAGTGGCTGCACTTTGCCCCACGCCGCGTTTCTTGATGGAATTCTCCGCAGCGCTGGTTGTTCGCCAGAATGGGACGCTTCTGCGCCTCCTGAGCGAATCTTCTCTCCCGACCATACGGAGACAGCTGCAGGTGTCCCGATGCACAGTTCAGAATGCCACCGTCGACTGTGTTCTCCTACTGGCGTCGCCGATCGAATGCGTCCCCTGTTCCTTCCGCCTCACAGCCCACCTCGAAAGTGCTTGGGACCAGCAATCCTCCCCAACTACCGCTGATCGCTGATTCGACGACTTTAGCTGCGACTCTCGACGAAAAGTTCACGGTAGCAGAGAGCCTCGCTGCACGACCACCGGCGCAGAACACTTTCAAATTTGATGGAGAAAACCCGACTGTCTTCGAGTCAAGCGCTGATGCGCCATCTCTCTCCCCTGCCGCCCTTCCAGCCGAATCGTCCTCTGAGCATCGTACGCGACCCCGAACAATCCTTGAAGAGCGCGATAGGGGGCTTTCAAATGTTACTTCACGGTCGGATTATCCACAGCTCTCCCCCACACCAGATACTCTAGACCAGGCCAACGGAGGCCCTTCCAAGACTACCTCGCCTTATCAACCATCATCTGGGAAGAGCCCATTAAGTTCCCAGTCTACCGACAGTCCCCTGCAGCGCTCAACCTCCCCCGGAATGGCGCCATCGAGTCACCGTCGCTTTCGAAGCTCTGCAGATGAGTCCCCGAACGATAAAGCTTCGGCATCACAACGTGAATATCGGTTTGAAGGACCTACCAGTCGCCGACAGTATGATCGTGATATGCACCCGGTGGAGCCTGTACCACAAAGGTCTGGCAAGACTATGCTACATCTCCTGAACCCTATGTCTCTCTTGGCCAAGAGGCGTGCTCATCAGATGGCGGGGCTGCGTGCAGAGGATGTCAATAAAGGCTCCAAGAACTTCGTTCCTGCAATCCCAGATGACTACGATCCCCGCATCCGAGGGAATATTGTCCATGACTTCTCCGCCCCTCGACCGCGGCGTCAACTGTCAAACGCGCCTGTCCCTCTGCGGGAGCAAGCCGGTCAACCGAGCCCATCCAGTGGTACACATCATGGTTATCCTGGGAGTGATCTGAACCTTCGCAGTAACGATTCCGGTAACGCCTTTTCTCCCGTGATAGAACACGGGAAGAGACATAGCGATCATTCGCCGGTATTCAAGGAGCATTTCGAGGACGATAAAAGAACCCTACAGGTGGAGAATAAAGCGTATCTGCAATCTTCTCTGTTGATGGAGTCCAGCCTGGATCGCAATTCGCACTCAATACCTGTCTTTGCAAGAAAGCTCCCTTCGTCAATCACGGATGATCGTGCCGAGTCTGTTCATGAACCACAAAAGCCGAGCTCCCATAATGAAATCGCGGTTGATGATGATGCGGCGACAGCCGAAGAAGACAACGATACATTTGAGCTTGAACCGCAGCAGGCTTCTGGGTTGCCGAAGCACTTCAAAAGTAACGCTTCTCGGTTCAGCTTTGATATGAATGGGGTAGGCTCCTCAACGCAGGAGAAGCTGCTGGAAGAGAAGCATAAAGAAAAGGAAGCCGCGCGAAAGGCCCAGGCGCGGCTTAACGGGGATTTCAGTGACGTTGAGGATGATTATGACAATGATATGTTTGACGACATCGATGGCCTTGAAGAAGAGATCCCCGGAGTCAATGTGGATGATGAGGATGACGAGTTTCGTGACTTTTCTGGCCCGGGTAACATCTTGAATAAGTCGTGGCTCGCGCCTAACCTTTCTCCTGTCGTCGCTAGTCCCATACACATGGAGATGCCGAAATCTCAGAACGACCAGCTTCCATCTCTCGTGCCGGATGAAGCAGAACAAGATCCAGCACATCTCGCCCAAGATGCCCCGTTAGAGACAGATGAAGCATCAGATTCCTCTAAAACTTTCTTCCGAGATTCTAGGGATCTTTCTAATATCCCATTACAGGCAGTCCCGGAGGACGATGATCTCTATTTCGACGACGGGGAATTTGGCGAGTTAGACGCTGAAGAAGCTGGGGATGATTTTGATGAATCTATCTTTGATGATCCAACCAGCCATCTCTATGAGCGGAAACAAGTCTCAAAACCGGTCGTTGCCGACCAGACCGGGCCGGAGGAGCTTGGCTTGGAGGGAGACCCTGATGATGCGCTGAAACACGCTCCAAGCATGGCGAGTGACCATCATCAAGGCTTTGCTCCAAGGAGGTACGGCAGCGTTGCCGGGAACATGCCTAACCCGGAAGTAGCGAGGTCTCACAGTGGAATCCTGTCGGAGCATAATCTGGAGGCGTTCCATAACGCTCTGGCAGACGCTGCCAACCAAGCAGCTACAAAGGGCCGGTTGGGATATACAACGAGTCTTAGCGAGCGCTCCTTGGGCCAAGAAAGTGTTGCCCATACTCTGGATTCCCAACCGGGCCTTGTATCGGATGAAAGTCGTATCAGCCAGGTTATAGACCCGGTATCCTTTGACGAGGTCTTTGAGGAATTTGACTTTGATGACAATGACGATTTGTACGATGACCCGATAATAGCAGCTGCTAACGCCGAAGCTCTCGAAAACGATGATGAGGGTATCTACGGACAAGAGTTCGGCTTTTACGCACAAGCCTATGGGAACGGTTCAGAGCTCACAAATGGGGGCTACTTCGGTCCCAGAGGTGTTGAGGGTATCTCTCGCAGCCACAGCGGTCGAGGAAAGTTCCGAGAACCCAGTCTGACACCCATTACTGAGCGTAGTGAATGGAGTACCCGCAACTCGATCATCTCGGTAGCGGCTCACGGAGTCGCTCACTCTAACCAGTCGTTACCAAGCCCCGGGCTCGCCCAGTTGGTCGATATAGGTAGCCTTGACGATGAACTATCGTTGGGCGCTCTTATGAAGCTACGACGGGATGCCTGGGGCGGGAGCAATGGCAGTCTCCGGAGCAGCAGCGGCAGTCCCCCTCCACAACAGAGTGCTACCTCTAATAGAGGCAGCTTCACCTTCTCTGATGTGAGCCCTACCGTACATACCGTTCCTCCGGATTTCCTCGGCGGTTCGAATTCCATCGACTCCCCTGTTAGGGAGTCTGCATGGGCGTACTCTCTCCCTCCACAACACAATGATCGATCAGCGACTGGATAGGAATTTTCAGATTTGACCACTCGCCTATAAGGTTGATCTTACCCTTCTACATATCGTATTTACTATACCCGGATCTTTTGAGGATTAGCGCTTTGTATACACATGACGTGATGATTTAGGAATTGGGTTGGTTTCTTGGACATGGTAACACCTTCTTCGCATATCAGCTGCATAATCATAATACCTATTATCTATTGATGATCTCCATCAACCATCTAGGAATCTAGATACATAATCCACTCAGTTCCGCCCGCTTACCCGGCGCCCGCAAAAACCCGCGGATGTGGGAAATAGTAAAACCGTCATTGGCGCTATCCGCTTGCTGAGTCTGCCAGAGTCAGTGGCACACTAGTCCTATCACGGCAACAAGCCATGGCCGCCATAGCCGATTGAGTGAGTGTCTTGACCTTGCTTCCGAGTCAGTTCTTTTGCTTCTTCTTTCTTTCTTGGTCGCGACCTTTTCTCTCCGATCTCCCTCCCAAATATAGTTCATTATTGAGAGCCTGTATAGCTCTCTGATGATTGCGTCCTTAATCGGGTGAAGGCAGTTTCACCTCCAAGCGGTTCGTCATTCCTCTGGAAGTTTTTCAAGGTTCCCTTTGGCCCGAATAATATGCCTAAATATGCCTCATACAGAGTCTTGTCTGCTGACTTGCGTTTCCGAATGACTGAATAGATTTTGATTATCCTCAATTCCTCCCCACCATATACCTTCATTTCCCATTGTCGTGTCTTCCACGACTTTTACACGTCATAACCAAAGCTCCTGAACTCGTTCGCATCGGCCCGAGAGCTCCCCAAGCACGGGAAAATCGCAAAATGCTTCGTTCCACTGCCGTCAAGGCCACCAGCAGCGGCATGCTGCGCGGTCCTGCCTGCTCCGCGTGCAGACGGTCAATGTCTCTCGCTTCTACAGCTAGACGTTCCGCCTCCAGCTCCAGCTCAAAATTCAGCTTGGCTACCCGACGACCTCTTGCCCTTGTCGACCGGTTGTCGAATGGGAAGAGACATTATGCGGCGCCCGCCGAGGGCTCTGGCGTGGTAAGAATACTTTCCCTCCCGAAGACCCTGATGCCAATCTCGCGATATTTCGCCTGACTTACGTGTCCTTGCTTCTAGGATGCCAGCGACTCCTTCCTCCAGGGCAACACTGCCAACTATATCGATGAGATGTACCTTGCATGGCGCAAAGACCCCTCCAGCGTCCATATCTCATGGCAAACATATTTCCGCAACATGGAGGAGGGCAAGATGCCCGTCTCCCAAGCCTTCCAACCTCCTCCCACACTCGTTCCCACACCCACTGGTGGCGTCCACCAAGAGATGCCCGGTGTCGGTCTGGGGCTCTCTGCCGGAACTGATGTCACGAAACACTTGAAGGTCCAACTTCTCGTTCGCGCATACCAGGCTCGCGGTCATCACAAGGCAAAGATTGATCCTCTGGGTATCCGTGGCGAGGCTGAGGCCTTCGGCTACAGCAAGCCCAAGGAGCTCGAGCTTGATCACTACGGTTTCACTGAACGCGATCTCGATGAGGAGTTCGACCTTGGCCCCGGTATCCTTCCCCGGTTCGCTACAGATAGCCGCAAGAAGCTGTCTCTCCGCGAGATTATCGCCGCTTGCGAGAAGATCTACTGCGGCTCGTACGGTGTGGAATATATCCATATCCCCGACCGCAAGCCCTGCGACTGGATTCGTGATCGGTTCGAGGTTCCCGAGCCTTACAAGTACTCCGTCGATGACAAGCGCCGCATTCTCGATCGTCTGATCTGGAGTTCTAGCTTCGAGACTTTCCTCGCTACCAAGTTCCCCAACGACAAGCGTTTCGGTCTGGAGGGTTGCGAGTCCCTCGTCCCCGGTATGAAGGCTCTGATTGACCGCAGCGTCGACTACGGTATCAAGGACATCGTTATTGGTATGCCTCACCGTGGTCGTCTGAACGTTCTTTCCAACGTCGTCAGAAAGCCCAACGAGTCCATCTTCAGTGAATTTGCTGGTTCTACTGAGCCCTCCGATGAGGGCTCCGGTGATGTCAAGTACCACTTGGGAATGAACTTCGAGCGTCCCACGCCTTCTGGCAAGCGCGTCCAGCTCTCCCTCGTCGCAAACCCGTCGCATCTTGAAGCTGAAGACCCTGTCGTGCTTGGCAAGGCTCGCGCCATCCAGCACTACAACAACGATGAAAAGAACTTCGACTCAGCTATGGGTGTTTTGCTGCACGGTGATGCTGCCTTTGCTGCGCAGGGTGTCGTCTACGAGACCATGGGTTTCCATTCGCTCCCCGCTTACTCCACCGGAGGAACCATCCACATCGTCGTCAACAACCAGATTGGTTTCACCACTGACCCTCGCTTCGCTCGTTCCACTCCTTACTGCTCCGACATTGCCAAGTCCATCGATGCTCCCGTCTTCCACGTGAACGCTGACGATGTTGAGGCTGTCAACTACGTCTGCCAGGTTGCTGCCGATTGGCGCGCTGAGTTTAAGCGTGATGTTGTCGTTGACATTGTCTGCTACCGTAAGCAAGGTCACAACGAGACTGACCAGCCCTCTTTCACCCAGCCTCTGATGTACAAGCGCATTGCCGAGAAGAAGCACCAGCTCGACTTGTACGTGGAGAAGCTCATCTCCGAGGGCACTTTCACCAAGGAGGACATTGATGAGCACAAGAAGTGGGTCTGGGGAATGCTCAACGACAGCTTCGACCGTAGCAAGGACTACCAGCCTACCGGTAAGGAATGGTTGACCTCTGCCTGGAACGGGTTCAAGACTCCCAAGGAGCTTGCCACTGAAGTTTTGCCGCATCTCCCCACTGCTGTCGAGCCCGCTGTCTTGAACAGCATTGCCGACAAGATCTCTGGCGCTCCTGATGGTTTCACCCTTCACCGCAACCTGAAGCGTATCTTGTCCAACCGTAAAAAGACCGTGGAAGAGGGCCAGAACATTGACTGGGCCACTGCCGAGGCTCTTGCCTTTGGATCTCTCGTCAACGAGGGCTACCATGTCCGTGTGTCTGGTCAGGATGTTGAGCGTGGTACCTTCTCTCAGCGTCACGCTGTTCTGCACGACCAGGAGACCGAGTCTACTTACACCCCTCTCCAGCACATCAGCAAAGATCAGGGTAGCTTCGTGATTTCCAACTCGTCTCTGAGTGAATTCGGAGTGTAAGTGCCTTTGCCCCTATTTAAATTAACGTACCGCAGCTGACCCATTTACAGCCTCGGATTCGAATACGGTTACTCTTTGACCTCCCCCAACGCCCTCGTAATGTGGGAAGCCCAGTTCGGTGACTTTGCGAACAACGCTCAGTGTATCATTGATCAATTTATCGCTTCTGGCGAATCGAAGTGGCTCCAGCGTTCCGGCCTGGTTCTGTCCCTTCCCCACGGATACGATGGACAGGGTCCTGAGCACTCCTCCGGCCGTATGGAGCGTTACCTCCAGCTCTGCAACGAGGAGCCTCGCGTCTTCCCCTCGCAGGACAAGCTCGATCGCCAGCACCAGGACTGCAACATGCAGATTGCCTACATGACGAGCCCTGCTAACCTCTTCCACCTTCTGCGTCGCCAGATTCACCGTCAATTCCGCAAGCGTACGTTAATGTTCCCCATGCTCGAAGATTATCTGAATTAACAATGATCCAGCCCTCGTCATCTTCTTCTCCAAGTCTCTCCTCCGTCACCCGATTGCTCGCTCATCTCTGGAGGAATTCACTGATGACTCTCACTTCCAATGGATTATCCCTGACCCAGCTCATGGCACCGCTATCGACGAGCCCGAGAAGATTGAGCGCGTCATCATGTGCACTGGTCAGGTCTACGCTGCCCTCCTGAAGCACCGTGAGGCCAACAACATCCGCAACACCGCCATCACCCGTGTTGAGCAGCTGCACCCCTTCCCCTGGGCTCAGCTCAAGGAGAACCTCGACAGCTACCCCAACGCTCGCAACATCGTCTGGGCCCAGGAAGAACCTTTGAACGCCGGTTCTTGGAGCTACGTCCAGCCCCGTATCGAGACATTGTTGAACGCGACCGAGCACCACAACCGTCGCCACGTCATGTACGCTGGTCGCGCACCGAGTGCCTCCGTGGCCACCGGTCTTAAGTCCGTTCACTTGAAGGAGGAACAAGAGCTCCTCCAGGACGCTTTCTCCGTCCACCAGGAGCGTCTCAAGGGCGAATAGATCATCTTTACGCGAGATGATTTTTTCTTTTAAATTGCTTGTTTCAGAAAGGAGCGGGCTTAAGCGTCTACTCATTTTGGCCTCAATTGTATGACTGATTTCCTTTGTACTATGTTTTTTCTTCGTTGTTTTTGCATCGGTCCGGTCCTGGTTGCGCTGGGGCATTGGTATCTAGGGTTGACCCTGGTTTTGTAATTCCTGGGCTGGCCTGTCTATACCTAGAGTGTCTTTCTGCGTATATGTAAAATAACTACATGTTGGTATATTATGATTGTTCTCCGATTCCTAAGTTGATAATAAGTGACGTCACAGTACTTTTCACGTGATATGAATCTCTGCTCGGGGTCTCCTCGCAGATAACGATGAGTTTGCCTCAGGCAACAAATAAGGTCTTTCTCCGCACTGGTCGGTTTCGCTTCTGCTTTTACCCCCATCACTCGCTCAATCTCCGTCTTGGTCATTTTTGTCGTTATAATTGTTTGCGGACCTGTCACTTGCTTGCCACAATCCCCAGTCTCTTGTCTCTTGGCAGAATTTCACGTTGGACACTCTTGTCAGACAACAATGTCCGCCGTCGCTTCGTCGGCCGTCGGCTCTCAGGGTCACAATGCCCGTCAGTCGGCGCGCCAGACGAGGACAAACCCCTCGCGCACATCAAAGACTCTTGGACGCTCGTCGTTTGCCTATGGCCATGGATCAATGATGGATCAAATTTCGTCGCCTCCTGTACCCCATGGATTCTATCCTGCGCTCACCCATTTTACGGACGCTATAACCGCCCTCCCACGAGAGTTCCGACGGCATAATTCGCTGCTGAAGGAGGTTGATGCTAAAGCTTGGGCGCTGGAAGAGAATCTACTGCAGCTACTCAAGGCTTCCTCTGAATCACAGTCGGCTCCTTATCCCTCTAATCCTGCTCCTGTTATCGGAGGCGTTATCCGGGAAGATCTTTTGCCTACGGTAAGTTTCAGTTTCAGCGCAAATGTCTAACTGCGTCATACTAATATTTTGCGACTCCAAGGATATTACACGAACTCTTGAATCTCCAGAGAGTAAAAGCCGCCGCGTCCTTTTCGATCGTGTTCGACATACCCTCTCTGATCTTATGCTGACAGCCGATGAGAAAAACCATGTGATCTCCAATGCGAACGATGAACTAGACCGCCAGATAATGCGGTTGGATTCGATCTTTCCCTTCATTGCCGGCGAAATAAGCGAAGAAGCTAGACTTGGAAGTCTCAACCATTGGGCATATTCGAATCGGAATGCTCCCAAGACCACCACCAGCGAGCGTCCTCGCAGAGACGCTGCTTCGAATAAGGATCTTGTCCATGCTCTGCAGGAGGCAGAAGCTGCTTCCCGCAGCGAAGCGAGACGGGAGGCCGTGCTTGCACGCAGGCGTCGTGCTCATGCAGACTCGGATATTGAAGAAGCGCGGGCTGCTGGCACACGGAAAGGACAGAGCCATAAAAGCCGCATTCCTGCCGACCATGGCTCTCTGGGCCACAGTCAGTCTGCGACGGGGTCATCGGGTCAAGCGAAGCGTCGCAAGGTCGAACGGCCAGCGACTGTGGAGGCTGGCGCGGCGATGGAGCGCTCTGCCAGCGGCGCAGGGGCGTCTGTGCGGGGAGGGGCCAAAGAGGCTACCGATGCAGTCAAGAAAAGACCACGAGCGCCCAATGCCAACGCAGCGGCTCGTAAGAGGTATGTCATGATTGTCGTCATTCTAGTTTGAGGTGCGTTGGCTAACTGTGATTAGAAACAACACGGGAGCATCTACAGCGGACTCGCCTGTTCTTGGTGCTTCTCCGCTAATTGGAGCTGCTACAGCTGCCACAGTCCCTCGCAGTGCAGCCAGTCCTGGCCCCGGTGTTTCGCGACCACAATCGTCTCGGGCACAACAAAATGTGACCCAGGCGAATGCTCGACAACGGCCATCGTCATCTGCATCCAACCGAGTTCCTAGCTCCGGTATGCCTCATCAAAACACCCTTTTCTCGATTCAGCTAATATGTGCAGGTAAAATTACCGAAAACAAAGCGCCATTGAAGGAAGCACCGCCTAGGACAGAGATGGTACCACTGCCAGATAGTCATCGAGCCCCTGAGCCCGAGAGCATGGACACACTGAAGACAGCTCCGCCCATTGGTACTCAGCGAGACGATACAGACCGGAAACCTACCGAATCCATCGAACCCTCCGACGCGCCGGTTTCGGCATTAACCGCTGCGCCTAAAGGCAGAACATCCAAGACCTCAACCCCTGTGCTTCCCCCTGCAGAGCCTGTCCAGCCACGTTCGCGACCCACAAGGAGCACAGATAGCAGCGCACCGAAACGTACGCAGAAAAAGAACGGGGCCAATACCGTACCTGTTCTGCCGCCCCCAGCGCCGGCATCGGATGCAGAGGAATCACTCCACGAAGGAGACGACGAAGACGAGGAAGGTGAACCGCGGTACTGTTACTGTAATGAAATCAGTTTCGGCGAGATGGTTGCTTGTGACAATGATGCTTGCCCTCGCGAGTGGTTCCATCTCTCGTGTGTTGGTCTTACAAAGCCTCCTGGACGAAATGGTGAGTCCGCCCCTTCGCTCCTGGTAGAGAGCATAGCTAACGATAGACAGTTAAATGGTACTGTAACGAGTGCAAGGAGAATATGCGACGGAGTCGAAGTGGGCGGTAAATCATGCTATAAGGGTGGAGAGGTCATTATTGCTTGGTGTTTAGGGGTCGTTTTCTCTTCAGCATAATCTACGCGGATACCTTTGTTTTCAAGATCTGATAAATATCAGCTATTCGACGTCATTTGAGAGTGCGAGTACATAAAGACTAAGTAGGTGTTCTAAGCGCGTGTAGATGTGTCAGGGAGCCACGAAAGGGCGGGAATGTGCCGAAGATTCAAGGCACGGCTAGGGCATCCCCTTGAGCAGTTGATCGCGCCTTCCTCCTACGCGGTAATAGACCAGAATATTTGGAAGGAAGGTGCGACCGTTGTGCCTCTCCTGTGGGTGACTCCGTGCGCCTGCCCAATGACTACTTGAGTGCCTGCTCTGCAGTGCGCAGTATACACGACCATTCACACAAGTGCTTCACGAAGCTTTGAAGAAGGCGCTTGATAAAGGTTGCCCAAGGATCTGCCAAGGTTGATATGATTGCTTCATATTTGATTCAAGGGAGCTTTCGTTAACAATGTAAGAGTGTCATATCTATATACAACTGAATTAAAGCATACAAGAAAGTGAAAGAAATAAAGATAATAATTATATACTTGTAATTGAAAATCAAAAACCAAGGCATCATTCGGTCATGTTGTTGAACGTGTAATTTTTGACTTGAAGTTCCTTCCTTCCCTTTCCCTTTTTTCTCTACCCAGCATAACGTCATTATAAGACATAGGCTCATGCCCTGCTATTGTACTTCTCATTGAAAGCATTGACAGCTGTAGAGATAGTTAGTAGTTGTCAATGACGAAAGAATGAGGGCCTTGATTTTGGCTTACCGATTGCGATCTGCCTGTATAGCCAGTTTCGCGCGCTCTCGTCTTGTACGGGGATGAACGGTCCGTTGGCGCCTCCCTTGAGCATGATGCTCATTCCTGTGCGCTCCTTTGAGATTGTTTGTATGTCTGTCAGACGGATGTCCCAGTCGGTCTCCAGCTTCTTGCTGCGCACGAGCATGATGCGGTCGTAGGTCAACATGACTAGCATGTCGCGTCCCGGAAGCTCGAGGTGGGCAATGTAGTCCTCGTTGAAGTACTTTCCGTCGTCGGCTGTCTTGAGCCAAAGCTGGCCGAGAGCTTCTCGTTGGGAGTATGGCCGCACGATTCCGTCCATACCGATAAAGCGCGTCAATCGGACACGATCGAGTCCCTCCGCATCGAATACAGTGGTGGTGTTTCGTACACCTTCGGCAAGATCTGCAGAGCCGTCAGTATCATAGACTTAAAGCAATTCAGGGGTGGCATACTGGAGGCAAGGTCAAAGGCACCAATAGCTGGCTTTGTCGCCAGGCCGAGGAAACCCTTTCCAACACCCTTGAAGAATCCTTGGATTCCTTCTTTCTCTGCTCCCTGGAGTGGATGGCGTGCGATGCCCTCAATGCCACTGACAATACTGTTTCCAAAGGCTCTACCACCCGCAGTAATACCGTAGAGTGCATGCTTTGGCCGATTGCGGGTCTTCGACATCCGCCGCTGGTCCTGGAACTCTTTGTCGAGAGTGGCAGCTGCTAACCCCTTGGACATGCTTCCCGTGAGCTTCGATATACTGTCGGAGAACCCGAACACAGTATTCTTAGCGAAGCTTCCAACTCCCTTCGCAATACCGTAGCCTAGCTCCTGAGGCCGATCCGTCATAACCAGGCCCTGGTACGGTTCGTAGAAAATGGCGGCCACACCAGAGCTTACGGTATTGAACAGGCCAACAGGATTTCCGAGGAAGTCTGCGGATCCGAGAACGACATGGATCTGGCGAAGGAATTCCTGAGTGTAATGTCTCTGTATGTTACTAGCAAGCACAGGAAAAGAAACTCGAGCATTCTCGATCATCAGAGCATTCAGTCTAACGGGTGCATCGTTGACATTACCCATTGACATTGTCATGACATCAACAATGAACATCAAGGGGTTTGACGGTTGTAGAGTATCTTCGACATTGACACGCTCAGTTCGCATGAAGGATATGTCGAGCTGCATGGGTTGCAGATGGAGAAGCTCAAAGTAAACATCTTGACCAGCATCTTCACTCTGTGGCTCAGGAATGTTCAATTCTTCTTCGCAGAGCTTACCTTCTTCCTTCTCTGAAGAGGTAGCACCTGATGCTTTGGTGAAATCGAGCATAGAGAAGATGAAATCCTCGTCAAGTTCAAGTGTCATCTGCTGAAGGAGTACAGTAGCATACTTGATGTAAAGGACACCATACGAGTCATCCTTCACGCGTGTAATCATAGTGTGGAAAATTGGGTGGGCTTCCATCTCCTTGCCGGTCTTTGGGACGACACTGGGGTACAGCAGCATTGGGAAGATTCCTCCATAGAGCTGGTTGTCGATCTGAATCCATTTGATTGTGGTGTTCAGAGTTTGGTAGGCCTTCGACTCCTTGAGCTTAACCTCGATATCACGGAACGTCATATAAAGGAGCTCCTTCATCTTCTGATTGATTAAGGAGATACCAATGCCTCCCAGATGAAGCTGAGCTTTGAAGTTAACCTCAGAGTCAAATTCCTTGACCTCAAACCCGGTGCTGATACTGGACTGCGAAGCCTGTGCTCGCTGTTGCCGGTACATACTCTTGGAAGCCTTAAAGTTCGACAGAACTAAGGTTTGTGTGGGACCATCGGCGGCAATATTGATATCGATGATCTTCTGGGGCTCTCCGTACTGGGATGGAGGGATCCTCATGGGAATCAAATTTCCTATTTCAGCCAGCTTGATCCGCCTCTCTTTGCCCTTGCAGGTCAACACAAGAGACTTATTCTTTGTCGCTGGATAGTCCCATGCATACGGCATAATACTGCGGGGCGGTAAACGATAGCGGATTGGGCGCCATGTATTTGTACGATCTTCCTCGTCGTCTTCCAAGTTTGGGTTCTGGAGTGTATCAGCAAGGCTCACAGTCTCGAATTTACAATATAGGACTCGCTGCACTTACCGTCTGGTAAAACATGAAATCCACATCACTCTCATTCCGCATAGAAAACGGCCAGTTACGCTGCTCAAAGCTCAAGTGAACGAAAAGAGTCGCTGCTTCCATGATGACATCGACCTTGATCAGCCGTTGTCGTTGGTTCTGCCTCGCAAGCTTGACATGAACCGTTCCAATATCCGCGATATTGAAAGGCGAAGACCATTGGTTGTTCACACCAGGGAAACACAGACACAGCTGCTTCTCTCCAGCCTGGCGTAAGAAATGAAGTGGCACAAGATCCCCAGTCTTGATTTCTATGACATTCGATGAACCTGGCTCTCTTACCAAGATGTCTTCGGTGAGTTTGTTTTTCAGCACAAAGCGAGGTGCGATGGTGACAATCTTGGTCAGCTTGTATTTGCCTTCACCTTCGGCCACTGACACTCCAGCATGGTACTCGGATCTGCCATCCCTATCGGGTAGAACGACTTCAAAGGTGCTTCCGATGGCCTCGAAACTCTGCGGTTTGCTCCAAGACGAGTCGCCTATCCTGAGTATGGATCGGTTTTTTTGATCGTCTGTCGGGTACGAGTACATGTACGGAAGAACACGCCCTCTTTGCCTTGAATCAGCTTCAGCCCTTATACCTTGTCCAGCAGCTGAGCGAGCCGCTTGCAGGAAGGCTTTGCTTTGCACTTCCATAGTAAGACCAGTCCTGTTCAAAATGAGGTAGGGGCTGTAAACCGACACTCTGAATGCCCCTCCACTGTCCGGCACATTGAAGTAATGCAGTTTCAGTTTCAGCTGAAGGCCTCGTTCATCCTTCAGGGACAGTGTATGCTCTCTTCTGAAATCTTGCGCGTTGCCATTTATGATAGAGAAATCGCTTTGCTTGAACACCGTATCCTCCAAGTCAACGCTTAGCAAGAGGAGATGGGACAATTCAACCACATGGACCGGGCTGACGCCGCCCTTTCGCAAAAAGTTTGTCCAGTCTTTTCGCGTATTCTTGTCATAGATTCGGTACTTGAAGTCGTAAGGTAGAAGATTCTGGATTTCGACGGGCGCAAAGATTCGGATGCGCATGTATGGGTATACTTTGGTAAGAGGATCTCGTGCATTGAAAGTCGCGTTTGTCTGGAAATAGAAAGGAGGAGCTTGCTGCCCGCCTTCACTGAGGCACCTGATAGTACGAGTAGGCCGGCGCATAAGGTCTTTCCAGTATAACTGTTCGTGCGACCAATCATACCCAAAGCCTTGGTCGGGTCGAATGACGAGTGAATGCATATATGAGGCCCCCACAGGCGCAGGTCGAGCATCTCCAGGAAGGATCTTCTCGATCTTGAGGAGATGGCCGTCTTGGGGGTTGAAGATGCCTAGCTCCACAGGTATTTGGGTGTTGTTCTCCACGAGGAGCGGCGAACGTATGGTGATATACTTCACGTTATCGGGACCCAGCTTGACCTCGACTAGAAGTCGGTGCAAGACACCGTCCTTTTTCGGCTTCAGGTTATACAAAAGCTCACCTTCCCGGACGACCGGAATACGCCCCACGCTCTCGAAACCACTACCTTCCAGTTTGACCCCAACAAGACCAGCTTGACCTTCTGGAGCAAGTGTCTCACGCATGGACGTCGAGTCTTCGAATCGCCAAGGATACTCTTCACCATCAGCCAGTTTAGCAGCCGGTCCATCTTCGCCTTGAGCAACATCCGCCCACACATGGAGGTCGAAGCCAGTATAATTCCGGATCCGATAGGGCGCGTCTGCTCCTCTTGGCTTCGAGAGTACGTCCTCGTCGGTCGAGAAGAATTTGAAAGACTTGGAGAATAAGTCTATTGTAGCTGACGTAACCGTGAGCTCCATTGTCTTGTGCGAGTAAACGTCAACGGAGAAGATGTCCGGGTGAACTTCCTTCGCCATGTGGAAGCCCAACTGCCAGGGCTCGATAAGAGGCTCCCACGCCGACTTGGAGAAGTTATACACATTGACAAATGTATCAAAACTGGTATCAGCAGTAAGGGTAGATGACCAGTCGCGAGCGTCCACGTTGAATTTCTTCACACTCCAATCCAGCAACGGAAGATCGTGGAGATCGCCTATGAGGATGACACGGACGCCGTCAACTTGGGCTTTCAGCTCCTCCCGTTTGAGGAATACGGAGCGTTGATGACTGGTTTTGCGCCCAGGCATATCTGCGGCACCACTAGAACGTCGCTGTGATCGTGTGGCGGCAGTTAGAGTCCGTCCGGCAGCCGACGACTTCCTTCGTGACTTCGGACCTGAGGTACCTCTTCCTTCTGGTATTGCTTTCGCCTCACCGGTCTCAGCAGGGAGGGCTGTTCTGGCACGCATCTCAGAAGCCTTGTTAACAATCTGTATGGCCATCAAGATATCACGAAGTGAAAGGCGGAGAACCAGCGGTTCCACATGGATATCAATGGATGTAAGCGACGCGGCTTTGTCCTGCGGGCGGCTATCTATCGACAATTCAAGAGTGAAGTCATCCAGGATACGGAGTCTGCTTGTCTCAAACTTGTCCATGCGGCATAGAAACATGCCGACTTTGTTGACATGGAGAGTCGAAACATTTTGGTGCGAGAAAAGGACTTCCTTTGCTCCTAGAACTATTGCCTCGGTGTGTGGGATGGCAGGGTTGGCGATTGTAATAATCTGGGCATCAACCAGGCTCACCCTGAATGACACTGTCATCTGGTTGGGTGTAGTTGTGGTAGGCTCCTCTTCTGGCGAAGGAGAGAGTAAAGACGTGTCGGTGCTTTCCGCCATACTGGACCTGGGTTCCTCCTCATCAGGCGAGTCGTCAGCTTCGTCCTCTTCGACCGGCTCATTTGTTGCAAAGACTGAATTGGCGAAGCTCTGTAGGGCAAGCAAGTAGTCTAGAGCAAGTATAATCCGGGGGCTATCGATCGTCAACATCGCAATGAGGTGCTTTTCTGGTCCCGGGCTCATAGAAACACGCGCCATGAATTGCTGCTTGACATCATTGTTGATAAGCGACATGATCTTTCTAAACTTGTTAGTGTCCTGCTTCCGACTATCTCGAATAGAGAACGAATGGATCAAAAGTTCCGACTCCATCGAACCGTCAGTCAGCATACGCAATTTGACTCGAGTGTCATTGAGTGAGAACTTGGACAGGCTGGAGTCATCGAGACTGCCAATTGGCGCGTCATCTTTCCCTAGGATGAGTTCCAAGCCCACACTATCCGCCTTGAATATCATGTCAAGCCGCACCCATGTGTCCTGTCTAGCAGCGGGGTCGTCGGATTTAGCGGTTTGCTGGCGCGTATTCTGAACAGTGCTGCTAGGTTGCAACTCCATTCCAGTTTCTGTGAGGGAAGATGGAAGAGCCTCCATGGCCTCTAATTCCTGCTGCTCAGAATCAGTCGCGAAGGCGCCAGGTGCCGTCCGGGAAATGTCCAGAAGGAACTTGAGTTGTTTTTGTGATACACGGAGATTGATAGGTGACATTGTCCCTTCGATTTCCATATCCGGACGGGGGTTATCTTGCTGATGCTCGAGGTAGCAGATGCTAAAGTCCAAATTGACCTTCTGGATCATTTCGAGCTCCTCAACTGCACCTCCCTCATAGTGGAACTTGGAAGTCAAGCGGATATTGCGAATCCCAGAGGATATTACATTCACAGCCGGACTACCCTTTTGTTCCTCGAGGGGCACGAAAGTATTCTTAGCATAAATCTCACCAAGATGAGCAGTTATCGTATCATAAGGACGATCTTCTTTCATAGTACCAGGGAACACCAAGATCGGTGTCATAACCACCACGTCAAAGCGCATCCGAGATGCATTCTCCTGTAGTTGGCTTGCCTGGTTGGCTGCGGCTCGGCGGGCAGCATTGAAAATGGCTTGCATCTTGCCAAATTTGACCAGGAAGTTGATTATCTTCCGGTAAGGCTCTTCCAGGAAGTTGATTTTGATCGAACCAGACCTTAGGAAGACCTCCGAGTCATATCCAGGATAACTCGAGCTTTCGGGATCGAATGTCTCGTACTTGAAGTCGGCGAAGTTGTCACCCTCGATGGTCAGGAGCCTTCGGAGATCAGAGGTCTCTCGCGCCCCCGTATTGACATCGTCTACTAATGTCAAGCTTCCGATACGCGACTGTATTACCATAGTCCGGCCGACCAAGAAGATACCGACGTCAGCTGTATTTAGACTAAGTGTGGCAAGTCTGACACCGTCATTGTTGAGGATCAGAGCAATACTCTTCATGTCAGCCTTGATGCGAATTTTGCCTGGTTGCTGTAGTTGCTGCGCGGCATCGTTAGCATCCTCGAGGGCACGGTCTGCCTGGGTTTCTTGGTCGGGCGTTTGTTGCGGGTTTGTGAATGTCAAAAGAACGAAATCCAACAATGTCAGAAGAGTCTTCCTCGTGACAACAAGATTGATGGTTGAAACAGAAATGTCTAGATTCATTGCCACGCCCTCGTACGTTGAGTGAAATTCTGGGGACTCGGGCTTCACTCGAACGAACTTGAGGTAGAAGAGGTCTTTGTCGTCATCTGCATCGAACCCTGTGGACGATATAATCTTCTTGAACTCTGGAACTGGGTTTTCTTCAATGTAGTCGTCCACACTGAGAGACTTGAGGATTACTTCAGCCACCATGTCATAGGGTCGCATATAGAAGTCCAATGCAAATCCTTCGGCAACAAGTTCCACCAGCAGCTGCTCCCGTAAATGATCGTTCGGGTCAGAGCGGAACAAAGAGCCACGAAGGCAGCCAACAGTAAACTTGAACTCAAAGTCACGGCGATGGATATCAGGCAACTTATCAGCACTTTTACTGACTTGTTCGCTGTCTGACTCGTCCTCTGACTCGTCGTCAACAACCGGGAGCTCTCGCAGCGCGATAGGATTGAAAGAAGATGATCTAGCTCGAGTATTACTCATTGCCACATCCTGCGTATTATCAGGGGACTTGGTCGTTAAGTCTCCATCTTCGGAGCGTGGAATGGCGATATCGATCAGCTTCATTAAGCCTTTGTATTTTGTGTCGGAAATGGACGCGTGAAGCTCCGGAAGATGGCCAGATATCCGTGTTCGAGTGAGCTCAGTAAGTTTGGGGACGATGCACATTTCCAAGACAAAGTCCACATTTATGCGGTCAATAATGTGCAGGTTTCTTGACTCCACATTCGGTCCAAGCTGAGTTTTGGTGGTCTCAATCCCAGGTCCAATAAGTACTTGCGTGGAGTCAAGTTTTATCAAAAACCTGTCGTATAGCAGGTGCTCCAGTTCTTTATAGTCTCCGGTGTCGTACTGTCGCTTTTGCTTCGCTTGAAGATCCTTCATGGTCTGCCTATCGACCAATTCACTGTTCACACTGACATGACCAGCATCAACGATCAAGCAAAGGGAGCTCTCATGAGTGATACTTTCAGGGACGATAATCAGAGGTGCGTGGATATCAAACTGTACGTCAACCTTCTTGTGTTCCTCCAAAGCAAACTCCAGTCCAGCTCGGGTTTGCTGTCGAATCCCTTCGACGGTGGCACCTGCTGTGTCCAAGATAGCCCCGATGGATTCCATATGTCGCTCAGGCGGCTTGAAGAATCTCACAAACTCAACAACAAACGTAGGGTTGTAAATAACCTCGATACTCTTGAGTTTGACCTTGACCACTGAGTCAGCATCACTCTCGAGGGGGTTCTTTTCAAGTTGCAGGTGGAACAAGCTATCCTCGTCCAAGTCATCGGTGCCATCCTCTGCGTCATTGAACTCTTCACTGCTGGAGATTTGTGACAAACGGTTCTTCGGCTCCGGAAGGGAATCCTTGACCTTCACGATTTGTGGGTAAAGACTGCCTTCGGTTGTTCCATCATAGACTCTCAAGCCCCCAAGATCGAGATCCACAAAGAAAGAATCTGGACGTTGCATTGCCTTGGCTCGGAAATTATCGAAAACTAGCTTCATGACCTCGTTCGCTCTTCCATGAGGGCTGCGTATCAGGGTTAAACTACCAGCTTTGAGGCCAGCATTGACTTGAAGTTTGACCCACTCCCTGGGAACGTCGACGCTTTCTGAGATGGCTTTCTTCTCGTCCCAGTCAATGGCGCTGTACAGCTCTTGTCGTTGCTCTTCGGTCATGGCAGTTTCTTCCGAATCCTCCTTCTTAGAGCCCCATATCCACTCGGACCAAGTTTGCTGCCGCGCGGGTTTCTGCACGCCCACATTCTCCTTCCGCAGCTGATTCCTTGCCAGAGACCTCCAGAATCGAATATCCTCATAGCTGAGTTTCCTTTCGAGTTGATCAAAATGTTCTGCGTCTTGCACTGACAAAGTTTCCTCACGCTTTTTCTTCTTGAAGAGGTTAATGTATGCAATACGGTCGTCTCTCCTCTCTTTAATGTATTCCCAAGTCCAGCGCCTATTGCGATCGTGGATCTTGCTCAGAACCGCCTCTCCGGCGTATCTGAACCAAGCGCGAGGGTCTTCCTTCGGTCGAGACTTTGGTTGCAGTTTCTTGTACTCCTGGTGACGAATAAAACAGTGGAAAAGGTCGACAAGCATCAATGCGTCCCGGTATTGTTCATCGTCCAGAACAAATCCAATCTCGTCGAACAATAGGCGTGCATTGACAGCCGGTCGGTCGTGTTTTCCGCTTTTGTCCATTTCCAAGCCAGCGCGTCCACTAACGGGTCGAAGTATGAACTGATTACCATCATCACTGTCGATTCCAGACCTTAACTTCTCCAACAACTCAGCATGTTCGATCCCTTGCGCCTCCGCGCCCACATCAGAGCCTCGACCAGTGCCTAGGAGTTGAGCATCCGTGTTCCAGTAGACGGAAAGGGCACCTAGAATCGCCAGCTTATGTGTCGTGTCGGATGTTGACTGGATGAAGGTTGGCTTCCACTCCGAGTCCGTACTAACGGCACTGAGCTCCTTCAGGGTCAATCCGGCTGCGAAAGGGTGTCCCGGAGAAGCTATTGAGTCCTCATAGCGGAAGTGCACGTTCTTGATGGAAATCTGGAGGTTGTCGATCACGGCCGTAACAAGGCTTTGAGTAAAACTCTGGTTACGGCGCTGTTCTTCATGGCTCATTCCTTCTGAATTGCGCTCTCTCAGAATCTCTGCGCTCTCGATCTTATCCATCTTTATCGCCTGTAGCCGTCTTTCCTCCTCCTCCGGGTCGTAATTTACGTCTTCCTTCGGCGCAGCGAGCAGGAATACATCTTCGATGTCAACTTTGACCGGTTTTCCTCGCAGATTTGACCAAGGTATTGACAATGTGAGCTCTCCAACATGTCCTTCAACAACGTTGAGGGGTAGGTGCAGCTGATCGAGCGCTTCACGTCGCAACTCGAGATTCCGAAGCTTCACATCTCCAGACCATATACCGATATTCAGCTGCTTCGCATCAAAGTTCTTGACGTATATGCCCAGAAACCGGTTGAGCAGGTTAGCGACCACGCCTTCCAACATGGCAGCGAACTGCGGCCGTGTCCCGGGCCGGGATAACTAATCTGAAGGTTTCGATCAAGCGCCGACGCGGGCAATGTGTTCAAACGAGGTCACCGAGCTAATTGTGAAATAAGACGTCCGTTAGTCTGGTTTTGGCAGATAGGTACTAGATAGGTCTAGACCAGCGAAGAGGGGTATCGGCGAATGAGAAACTCAGATAAGGATAGCTAAAGTAAAAAGATCAGAGGGAAGATACCTAGGCGCACATGGGAGAGGTCTTCTTTCACTTGCGACTATTCAAGGAAGACCCATCCACGAGCTGGAGGTTTTGAGACGCATGCACGCGATTACCGAGGCGGACGGGCTTTAGGCTGCTCCCAGCCGCAGTAAGACGCTAGAAATGACGAGACCGTTGGGATTCAAGAAGAGGTATCTATATCTGACAAGCGGAAGAAAACAGGGAGCAAGATATGGACCAGTTACTCTGTAGTCAAGAAAAAATTGTGTTCAAAATAGAGCAAAGCTACTAAGTAACTATGATGATGCTGTGCTACAAAGCAGGTGTGCCTGGGAAACTAAACTCGTGACTGGCAGAAAAGGGGGCCAGCAGCAAAGAGTGACGTCGACGCAGCTTCACCCGCCTTCCCTTGGTTGCCCGCTTTGCTTTGAGGAGCCTGAATAAGGTTAGAGCAAAAGGGCAGCAGGCCTAAGATTCCATGCTGAGTCACGATTCCGGAGCGGGCTGTTGCGGAAGAATAGCTGCCTGAAATTTCCGACAGCTATCGGGGAACGTGCGAAGCTGGCTTACCTCGATTACCCTAGAGAACGTTCAACTTCATTATTCCGTTGGCTTCAATTGCTTCAAGATCGTTTGCTGTTCAACTTCGAAAATCTCCGCTCTTCCAGGTTCGATCTCTACCAGCTTCACGGTGAGTAAGTTGACTGCTAACCCTCGAAATCTACCACCGTTCCTTATCCGCTCAATTGGCGCGAAACCCGTCCAGCAAATCCCATCCGGACGTTCCCATGCCGCTGCTAACAAGATTCCGGTGAAAATCTAGCTGCCGACGACAATGCTGTACAGACACACCGCTGCCCGCTCTGTCCTCAGGGCCATCTCGAGCTCCAATGCCTCCGTGGCCCGCTCATCGCTGGTGAACAATGTGTTCAAGGCCCAGTTGACCTCTTCCGCTCGCTATCCCGCCCGCCCGACCGTGTCGCCGAGCATGGCTCTTGCTACTCGCAAGCCTGTCACAACCGCCCTTGTCCGATACGCCTCTAGCTCTCACAAGGTGGGAAATGCATAGAACTGATGGGTTGTGGCCAATTGCTGATCTAAGTTGCACTGCAGAGCGATGAGGATATTGATGTCATGGCCGGTATCAAGGGTGACGCAGTACGTATATATCTCATGCTTTCCCGGGAGCTATTGGACCATCGCGCGTCTTTGCGCTTTCGCTAACCAAACATCTACCTCGAGTAGAAAGTCATCAAGGAGACCTTCAGCCTTGCGGATGTGCCCAAGGATGCTCTCTACCTCGGCATGGCTGGTGTGATCCCATACCTGGTTACCTCTCTGGAGACCGTGTACCTGGCTTACGAAATCAACCACGCCAACGTTCACGGTGATGGCCTCATCTTCTCCGGCCAGAGCGCTGAACTTATGCTACACACTCTCGAGCCGATCCAGGTTGGATACGGTGCTGTGGTAAGTACGCCCGAGCTCCAGCTCGCAGAAGCCGAGAACTGATCAGTCTTCATGAAGATCCTCTCCTTCCTCGGAGCTGTGCACTGGGGTCTCGAGTGGGCTGGGTACGGCGGCCGTTACGGCTACAGGCGCTACGCCGCCGGTATTGTGGCCCCCGCTGTTGCCTGGCCTACTCTGATGCTCCCCGTTGAGTACGCCCTCATCTCCCAATTCCTCGCCTTCACCTTCCTCTACTACAACGATGCCCGTGCCGCTGTTCAGGGCCGCGCCCCTCACTGGTACGGCATGTACCGCTTCGTCCTGACCTTCATCGTCGGGGCCAGCATCGTGGCCACCCTGATTGGTCGTGAGCAGATCTCTGGCCTTGTTGCCAAGGACCACAACATCTCCGAGAAGATCAGCGCCCTGCTCTACCTCCAGAAGAAGGAGAAGGAGGAGGCTGCTGAGCGCCGCAAGGCGGAGCAGGAGGAGTCCGAGTAGTTGCCTTACCCCAGAAGGCAATTGATGGTGCGGATATTGGATAGATGGTAGAGGCGTGGCTGTTGATATCGGTCAGCAAAGGTGTGACAGTATAAAGATGTCGTTCCTGTCCTTTTTCTTTGTCATACTCCAGTTCCTTGTAGATTACGTGCGGAATCAACGATCCAGTCTAACCTGGTGCTTTCTTTTGTTTGTGAATCAGTTCCGGTAATAAAAAAGGCGGACGGACTGCTCCATCTCGGAAATATATAAAATGGTCGAGGCTACACCTCACCGGGGGACCTTGCTGGTCGTCAGGCATGACCGCTCTGTTCTAAGATCTAAATACCAAAATCACCGAAAGCCGGAGCAATGAACTCACAATATAGCCCCTCGAATGCTAGGATAGCTCGGACATAACTGCCCACCGGAGTCGAATGCAAAGCTCGGATTTGCCCACCTTGGCACCACCGCACGGTCTCACTCTCCAACTCTGGAAACTCGGTTCTGATTGATAAGATCCGATCATTCTCACATCATCCTTCCAAATTCCCCTCTACGCTTCCGAAACTCCTTTTCACATATCGAAACCTGATTCCCCATTGCCCCTCATTTGCTCTCCTGGGAAAAGTCTACCCAGTTATAATTTGAGTTTTAATAACCAGCGCGCTTGGAACCCGAAACTGCGCAACAACGAAGAGCGAATTGAAAAAAAAAATATACATATATATACTAAGGTATAAATAATAATGCAGTCATTCCTCCGACGCGGCGCGTCGCTCTTTTCGCCCTCGCCCTCTCCTTCCACCGCATCGAACCTGAAGCCCGCGATACTCAGCTCGGAGGACTTTTCGAAGGCGCCTACGGCCGATACACTCTTTTCGAAGACTAACCCTTCTGAAGATGGAGAGGAATGTCTGCACGACTGCGCGACGTGTACGATCAAATACCCTGCCAAGTTTGATGTGGACCAGGAAGATGAGCTTTACGGGCATGTGAATGGCTGGTCAACGCATTTACTTGTCGCAACGGGCAAGACAGACTGGGTGAGGGATGTTGCCGACGAAGAGGGCAGTGTCATGGAGGCTATTGATCGAGGCGGGGTTTTGCCGGGCAATGGGGTTAGTAGTCGCGCTTCCCCCGAGCTGGATGCTACATACATACGTACAAAGATGCGGATAGGCTAATGTTGGGACTCTACGTTGCTTGGCGGTGCTGGTTAGAAATTGAAGCTGTCCGCGAGTAATATGCCCGTGCCGGATGAGTACCATCATCATGAGAAGGGGCAGCAACCAACTACAGTGCTCCTCCTGCCGAGCTTCACGATTATTGAGCATGTTACGCCAGCGCTGGTGCCGGATCTGATCCGCGGATTTGTTAATCCTGCTGTGACTAACACCACACCGTTAAGTGTACCGCCAGCGCCTGTCGAGAGGAAGGATACTGAAGGGGGACCGGAAACAAAAATCATGACGCCGCTGCGGTCGCGTCCATGCCCGCACGCGGCCGTCATTCTTCTCTGCTCGCAGAAGACGCGCGACGCAAGGTGCGGTCAGTCTGCGCCGCTACTGAGGCGGGAGTTTGACCGACACCTGCGTCCGCTGGGTCTGCACCGCGACCTGGACGATGAGCGCCCTGGTGGCGTGGGAATATATTTCATCAGCCATGTCGGAGGACACAAATACGCGGCGAATGTCATTGTGTACCGAAGAAGGGACTTTGACTGGTACAAATCAGCAGAGAAGCGGACGGGAGATGAAGGCGAAGAAGCTTATGCTGCGGACGAGGGCGCCGCGCAGTGTATCTGGCTGGCGCGCGTGAGACCAGAAGACTGTGAGAATATTGTCCGGTATACGGTCTTGCAAGGGAAGGTTGTCAAACCGGGCACACAGCTTCGAGGAGGATTTGACCGGGAACGAGTGCTGATCAGCTGGTGAAACGTCATCAGAACAAGCCTCAACTAGATATAGAGCAAAATATAGGAGTCTGTCTTCAACGCACAAATCATTGTTCCAGCGCTGGTCATGTTATCTGCTCACCTGCTCTGCTCCATAATCCTTCCTTCCTGCGTCCGAAAAACATCCTCAACCCATGATCTAGGCGTTATCTTATTTCACTCGGTTATCGACGGACAATGGCGCCTATCTCCTTTCAAACCAATCGGACTTGCAGAGTCATCCGGAGTGTACGTAGACAGCCTGCAAGATAATCAGCCTCATAAAATCCAGCTTTCATCAGGTCAGCAATGCGACTCACCTCTCATCATGTCTATCGGAGTTCCGTGCCCAGTAGATTCTCGTACAAGGCATGCAAGAGGGTGCCCTCTCTATGATTTGTCGACGAAGCATACAGCAATCGCAAGCTCGAGTTATATCACCAGTGGACTCCTCTGAAGCTCGATCCTGGGCGGGATATATTGCGAAAACGCGATTGATGGATACCATCGGCGGATGTATCAAACTTTTTAGGCCGCGATGCATTGCTCAAAGATCGTCACAGCTGAGCTGAGGTAATCCCACCCATCCTGCTTCCTGCTCACGAAGCTCTAGACCCTTCAAGTTGTTATTCTTCTTGTATTTTGAAAATTGGCAAACAATGTCAAGAAACAATGCAAAAATACAATAATATTGAAGGCGGAACGAAGCGATCCTGCCCGATTAGTAATTACCTAGTGCTGTACTGTGGAGAAAGGCATGGGGGATGGACAAAATTCGCGGAGGAGCAAGAGCTTCGACGAGCAAGCGGCATGTGGGGGCACTTGCTTTTTCAGCCACCCCCGAGGAGAAACACAGCATCATGCAATATGACGACTGGGGCGCTTTCAGCATTCCTATTCCTACGTTGAACGTGTTGAACGTGAAGGTTTGGACTGGGAGTGGTTGGAGAAACCAGCCGAAGGGGGCTACCGAGTGCGCCACAGTAAGACGACCCCAGTTGACTGCTTCGGTCCCTTAGTGTTGATGTCAAATGAAGCCAACTGCTTCGAAATGCTGTACATACGGAGAAAAAAAGGCTACGAAGGAGTACTGATGTGAGTTACGAGGCGAGGCGCCTAACTGATCGCCATCACCACAGGAAACAGAAGCCAAGCGGCAAAACCTTAAGGCGTTGCTTGCCAATGCTTGGAGAGCTCGAAACCCAGTTTGATGGTCAACCCAAAGAAAGACGACGGGAAGCATTGACCAAATCCCGTTGTTGCCGTTCCCGGGGTCGATTCCCCCACGCACCGAGAACCTGAATCATTCAGCCACACAACGAAACACTGTCCATCATCTTAATACCTCTGTAGTGCTTCGTGGACTCTCCCTCTCTCTTCACAATCCAGGACAGCCTTCCCGTATCCTGAGTGGCAGATCCCACTTGAGAGGTCGAATTTTGTCAACTAATTTCCCGGCCCCACGAGGCTCCCACAAGCCAACCTCTCGACCGAGATCATGCGAGATAACAGTCAGCTGGGTTACGAGTTTTCCAGACTACGTACTAGTCGAAACTCGAAAGCACGAGTCAAAGCCGCCGGATGTGCATTTCTGACATTTTTAGCTTCTTGCCAATCAAAGCTCGAGCGAAGTGGACCAACAGTCTTGCCGCAGTCATCGTGCCTTAGCTGGATGCCGCTACGATAATTTCTTTTTCCAGAGACCTCCTGGTCTGGGAGCTCCTGTCACATCTGAGCTATGAAAATGGTCGCATCATGCTTCCAAGGTCCATCAGTGTGTCTGCCGCTACCACCCCTGCAATTCGCATCTCCTTGCCGGTTGTCGTGCTTGACCAAGGCTTTGTGCTTATCAGAGTTGAGCGCTGTGGCTTCTTGCCGTCCCCTCAAATTCCCCCTAACCCCGCATAATCTTTCAAGCTAGGAGCTAGCTCCCTCGATCCCGCGCGAGATGAGTAAAAGTGCAGACCCCATATCTCAAATCGGATACTACTAGCGGACAGGATCTAGGGACAAAAACGTCCATCTCGACGATGGTGTTGTTCCTCGTTTCAGGACTATTCTAATACTTCGGAGATGAGAGTAAATCAAATGGCCCATTTTTGATTTGGCATGGGCTGTCACCTTGAAAGTTTAATGCTTTGCGTATCCGTGCCTTCTCCCCGATAGGAGATTCAAAGCGAAAGAGCAACGAACATGTGGGTTGACAATTGGAGCAGAGGGAGCTAGCTCCACAATAGACGACCAGCGCGGCAATTAGTCACTACTCCTGGAGATTCGGCGAAGAGGAACCAGAGGACATTATTGATATCTTCCCATCTCCTGATTTCTGAATACGTAGTAATACCTTCGAATTACTTCGTGCTCCAGGATGGACCTTCCAAGCCCCTGGGCACCGCTTCAAGACAGGGATCAACCCAGCAGCTCTGCCATCCGACCCGTCCCCCAAAATCGAACGAAAGAAACGATCATTGGCGTACCTGCCCCACTGTCTGATACATGAAATCTCTCACCCGAAGTATCCATCCTTCGATTATTTCTCTCCTGGCCCCTTGGTGATGAATAGATGCTAGTTGGTGCATACTTTTTGTCCGACGCCTCTGACTCGCCCCTGCCTTGGTTTTCGAACATCGCATCACGCACTAATTGCTGCTCCACAATTAGAAGTCAATCAGGGCAGTCTAGTCCGCAAGCGCCAGGAATCGGTCATTGCATCCAACGCCAATCCATCAGATCCCGGGAAAGGGGTGTGCTATTCGAGACGAGAATGCCATTGACGATGATCAGCCCTTCTTTCTTTTTCGACCTTACCCATTCCTGCTCGATCTCCCCCGGATTCTATATCCAAGACGCACTGGTGGATCGTGACCTCGTAACTAACATTCCAATCACCAGGACTTTTTGCTAACAGTCCGGCCCTGCCTTTGCGAAGGCAGAAGCAGCAGTTGGTCACGGTGCCAATAATACTGCCACTCCACTCGCTAACGACGACTGTCCGCTCTTCAGGCAGAAGAGAAATAATGAGGCATACTACATGATTTGGGTCATACTTCCCCTTCCCACATGGAGTAACGAGGTACAGCCGATCCCAAGCCACCCCCGGGGATGATTCGCAGGGGCACTGGCCCGGAGGCGGCGAGACAGTGCCACAAAATTCGCGTACATATGTACGCTGTGGCAGACATACTCGAGGAGGAGCAGGGTGAGGCGTTCCGAAGAATCTCGGGATGTGACATCCAGCACCGCTGACACGGCCATCGACCTTGGCGGGTCTCGAAGCAAGTCAACCTTGAGCGGGTCTGCCTTCGAGAAGTGTACCGCCAGTCCGAGTGGCCTTTGCATGGGTTTCTCAACAATAATGAGTTGCCTGTGACTCGGTGACTTGTTGTCTTGACAAGTTAGAAAGCTGCGAAAGGTGAAAAAAAGAAGTGGGGGATCTTTTCGAACCCAAATTGGCGCGCTTCTCAAACTGTTCCCACAACCTGTCGATCCTTGGCTGACGTCGTAACGAAGTTCTCTCGGGTACGTACTACGATTTCTGGCGTACGGTAGGAGCCGGACGTTGAATTCTGATTATTATTGTTTTCCTGTTATCCAATTTTTTACGTGCGAGGGAAGAGAGCTGGAAAAAAAAGTTAAGGAGAATCTCACTTTAGCAGGATATTGGCAACGCCGCGCCAAGCCCTTGACATGGTCAACCTTCCTGTCCGTTTACATACTACGGAGTAGTCGATACTTGATTTCTAGGGCCTTAGGCAATCTCGAAAACCTGGTGGGACACTACCCAGAGCCCAGCGCCAAGGAGGGTGTGGAAATCGGCATTATTCGTTCGTCCGCGCTGGATATATAGCCGCCACACACGACTGACTAATTTACTATCATATGCGCCAGGCTCTTGACTTTGGCTGGGCATGCGGTAGACTAAGCCTTGGGACGCCTCCCACATGAATCGCCTCCGTTGACGTTCCAAATCCCGCAGATGCCGATTTCCCGACGTTCACCGAGGGAAAAGAAACTGTGGGAGAGGCGAAGGCCGGAGCTTCATTGGACTGTTGATTCAATAATTTGACTAAAAGACGAGGTTGTATAGTATCAAAGCATGAAAATACACCGGATGACGGAAACGCCTCTCCACTGCGATTTAGATCCAAATAGAGTGGCGAAAGTAACGAACATAAACCAATATCGAAAGTGTGGAGATTAGAACAGGCTGGCTCAAACAAGGCTGGTATAATAATAAAAGTAAGAGATCCAAAGTTGATTTCAAGCTTCTGAAGGCAGTCGTCATAACGTAGCGCTGAGGTCTGAAATTGCGAGAATTTCCATATTTGCCTTTGCGAGAGAACCCTATCTTCCGATCGCGACCTTTTTTTTAGGCCTAGGGCTAACGTGTCTTAGCCCAGACCAAGGTAGCTCCAATCCTTTCCCTCGTCCTGGCCTAACAATCGCTCAGCAGGTTCCTTGTAGTCTTGGTAGTTCGGCGTGTACGAAACCATATTGACAGGCGGAGCGTATGTCGGCTGCTGATACTGCAGGCGGTTTTGTTCGTGGTGTTGGTGTTGTTGTTGCTGGTGTGGCTGGTGGTGGTGGTGGTGTTGAAGTTGTTGTTGGAGCTGCTGCTGTTGAAGTTGTTGTTGCTGGTGGTGATGATGATGATGATGATGCTGCTGCTGTTGCATAAGCAGATATTGCTGATGACTTATATTAACCGACGAGGTCACTGGGATAGTATGTGCAACAATTGGCGGCTGCTCTTGGACGGCAATCGGAGCCATTGGTAGATTTTGATGGGGATAGAATTCGTGTACCGGAGCTGGGTTATTGGGGTAGTACGCTGGTTGGACAACCATGAACTGTTCGCTAGGTAGAACGGTGGTACCAGCAATGGGGGAAGTGGCCGAATGTTCTGAATCTGTTTCTTCTGAGGGCGTCTGGACCACCGATCCTGGTGGATGGATGCGGTTCTGATGTTTCGTGAGAGTAGTCTTGCGACAAAAGCTTTGAGACATATTAGACACCCCAGGTTCATTAGGTAGTCAGTCACTTGGAGGTTACCTTCTGTCGCATGTAGGCTCTTGGCATATGTACGGCCGTTTCCCTGAATGGACTCGGCGATGACGAGCTAGACTTGAAGACTGGGGAAGCTGTTAGCACCGTCTGTGATAAGATAGAAGGGCGTGGGGTCATACATCGGAAAATGCCTTATTACACTCTGCATAGTCGCAAACATGAGGCTTCTCGCCCGTATGAGTCCGTATGTGTACAGTCAGCGCACTTCGTTGAATGAAACTCTTCTGGCAGTCTTCATGAGTACACTGGTACGGTCGCTCGTTGGTGTGTATCCGGTGGTGTCGGCAGAGGTCTGATTTGCGGTTGAAGGACTAGATGTTGCCGGTTAGTAAACCGGCGCGGCAATACCGACGGATAATCAGGAATTGACTAAAATTTAATTACCTTTCCGCAGTCTTTCCAGGGACACTCAAAGCCACGTCCGCTACCAGGAGCCATGGCGAAGAAGTTTATAGAAAATGGCAGGATAGAAAAAGATGATGATAGTGGGGACGGTACTGAGACAGCGATATTGGAGGATAAAAGTAAAAGGAAACGAGACACCGCGATAGAGATCCGAGTCTCGATAAGAGTAGGTGGCAAGAGGAATACGAAGAGAGAGAAAAAGTGAGAGGGAGAGAATGTATCGAGGGGAGGGGGGCAAATCAACGGCCGCAAGAGTTGCAGAAGAGAGAAAGTCGATGCGAAGACAACAGGTGAGCGCCGGCCGGAGGGGTGCGAAGAAGGCGAGAAGAGGTCGTAAGGGAGGAGAGAGAAAGCCACAGGAAAAAGGAAGCACAAAAGGATCTGGAGAGGTGACAAGGACAAGGTTATCACAGAAAACTTAAGTCCAGGATGTGGTGTTTGGGGGGGTTCTGGACATGGGCGATGGCAAGCAAAGCTCGAGGAATGATGGATCGACAGGTGTGAACGGTGGTGCTGCTAATGGTGAGGCTGGAACACAATAATATATGAAGGTTTCGCCGGTGCTAACTGGAGATGAGGAGCAGAGGATTATTATAGAAACGGATAATAATATGGGATAATATATAGTAAATAAGATGGCCAAGGGCTGCAATTCGGCGGCGGTGATATCGCAGGGCAAGAGTTGATGGGGAGAGCCCGAAGCAGAGAGATGCCAGTGGCAGGAATAAGTTAGAGGCAAGAGAGGGGAAGACAACAAGATTTTCTCGCAGGCCAACAGATGAAAGGCATATGCCGTGTATTTCAAAGCTGCAAGAAAGTGCCTCAGTCTGTCTCGTCGCCGTCAGAAGCAAGCCTGCCGACTACTTAAGTCACTTGTCAGTGGTGACTTGGTGGTGAGCAGAGGTGAGATCCTCAGGCAGAGGATAGACTCAATCAGTAACCCAAGTCGGCCTAGTCGTCATTTGGCTCCTCCCTTGACCCTGGGTTAGTCGTGCCTGGGCAGTCTTGCGAGACAGGTGGAGTCTGGGAGAAAAAAAGGAAAGAAATGGAAATTAGATGGTAATAACAGGAGGTAAGCTAGTGTGTAAATTACCGAGTAAAACTCGAGAAGGCAAATTATATTAATAATTTATACAGTGAACATTGGATCAAATCGAAGAAAACCGCAGCGTGAGAACAGAGGGGGTGGTGGACTGACTAACGCCCAGCGAAAACGCCGATGATTATTTAGTGAAGGACGGTCGATTAGCGCAGAAGGCTAAACGCTAGGCACAGATTGGCCTATCCTCGATCCGGGACCAGGAGGCTCGGCAGTGCCCTCCTATCTTGCAATCCTCCAAATTGACAGCTGGGCTCTGGGAGTCTGGGACCGTCTTTGGAGTGTCGGGGAGAGTTCCAGTGGGACGTGCCCGGGGTAGACGGAAAGACTAAGGGAGAGGCCGAGTTGTACCACTGCTCAATCTCCTTTGCAAGACTAGCGGGGCAGCACCTGCACTATCGAACTAGGTACCAGCTCCCACCAGTCACCGGCCACGTCCGGTGGCAGGAGGGAACACCAATTCCCCACCGTCCTGCAGTGCCTGGCCAGACTTCACAGCTCAACAGACGCTCGACTGTCGCGAGCCCAATCAGCGCCCAGTGAGACCCGATGCTGGAGGCCTTGGCCCAGTGGCTCTAACCCGGGGATGGCTTAGTCTCCTGCGCCGTGCAACATTGGAAACTGCCAGCCAGGCAGGCAGCCTTCCAGACTGACAGAAAATGGGTTACAGGACGCTTCAACTGCCTCGGAAAATTACGCATCAATGTTCTGCTCTTCCTATGGTCACTGGTGAGGTTGGGTCCGAAGACATCGATCTCTTGGGAGTCTTGTGTCGAATGTCCAGTGCTTTACTACGAGTTTGTACCGCCAAACGATTAGCTTTTCGATGACAGGAGCGTCACCTTCTGAACGATTTCCCAGCCCAATGCTACGGTGTCGGGACCAACAAAGGCAACAATTCCACACAATAGGAAGAAAGACTGAAAGAAAAAGAAAGCAGTCAAACTTCCCAAATCTTCGGGTTGGACTTGAAAGACACGGGAGGCACAAGAAGCAAACAAACTGATCAAGCCCTCGACTTTTCTGGAATACAAACCCTGGGCGGCAGGTTGCCTTGTTAAATCTGAGACTCCAGCAGTCAAGGTGACTTGACGGCGCATCCGCGAACATAAACCCCAGCTGTTTCAGGGATGTCCTGTCCGAAGTGTCTCTGAACTGTCTCGTCGTTTGGTCAAGAAAACAGGGTCCGATGCCCTTTATAGGCGAGGAACTTAATGTCGCGGATAGACCGGGTCCTCAAGTCTAGACTCCGGCAATTTCGACACCCAAAAGACGTTCTTTGTTCGTCTTCCAAGGCCGGAGCAGAGATTCCCGCAAGTTGTGCGACCCTCAATTTCTCCAGCTGCTGCCGCCGGTCCTTCGGGCTTCTCTTCAACCGGCGCTTCGTCTTGCGACTCGGAAGAAGAAATCGCAGCTGCATCGCGGTTATAGAGATAACCGCGGCCTGGCCGTTTTAGCTGAGGCTGCCGGGGATCTCTCCCGACCTCGGACTTGAACCCAATCGTACTGGTAATTGGTTCGAATCGGCCTATCGCTTCCGTTGATGTGGCTAAGATTCGAGCAAGTGGACTCCGAGTTGGAATACAGCCCCTCAAACTCGCCGGTGGCGGCAAAGGAAGACCAGACCAAGTCTACCAGCGCCATGCCTTGATGCATTCCCACGTGGCTGGGTTTCGAATCTACATAATCCGTATATACATAGTCTGATACCATCGGAGTATAGCCGGACACTCGGGGAGAAGTAGTATCTCAACGCCAGGCGGCTTCGCAACCCACTTTCCGCGCCTTTCCAATCATCCTTCAGGTGCATTGCTAATAGCGTTTCCGTCATCAGCGGGAGACAAGCTCACGCTAATCCAGACCGGCTTATAAAAATAGCCGTCTTATCCAATAGTATGTTATCTGCATCTGTGGCCCAGTGCACCTTTCCACTGCCTCCCTGCTCCTCTTTGTTACCGCACAGCCAATCTTCGAAAAGGAGCATCATTTGCCAGACCTGCGAAAAGTTACGAGGCACTGCGCCCCGCGGAGTACTTCCAACGCGTTCCCGTCATCCAATGTGCAGCTTTCATCGCTCCCAGAGGACTGCTGGTTCCCGTCGATCTCAATCTTCTTGGCGGTGTGTGCGAATTAAAAGCTCACGCTCGTCAACATTTCAGCCGTCATGACTATACTAGCCCGCCAGCTTTGCTACTCGAGTACATTGCTAAATACCGAACAGACAAAACCTGTGAAGCGGCGGGTGCACCCGTCACGGTAAATCACGAAGCTTTTCGTTAAGGGCCATCACTCCAATCTCGATAGATCACTGACTCGGACACATCGCCCTAATGCTTACGAATGATACTCTTACTTCAAAAAAGAATGTACTCAGTCGTCCTCGGTTTTTTTTTGTGAATTGAAGTAGTATCCCACACAGGATCACAGGCGTGAAAGACGAAATCGACAAATGGACGAACAACAAGAATGATTTGACTATATTCCCCTCCGTGCCTTCCGACAATCCAAGTTTTGATATGTTCATGTCAATCCTGATCACTTCTCTTCCTCTTCTTTTCCCTCTGTTCTTTTGCTTCTCTGCAGTTGCACGTTTCATCTGCCACTACTTTTCCAAGTAGAGCGGCTCCAAGGTCAAGATCAGGCTGATTAGCAGACCCAAAAAGAAAATACCAGCCAGAACAGGGAAACTATATCACTTACTTCTATTAACCATTGGATATCATCAACGTTCCCCAAAAGCCACACATACGTACTCCAGAGTAGGACACTAGCGTTGCCACATGGAAGACCGAAAAGGGGTACACGGACCAGCGACGATCAGTGACGAGGATTTTAGGCCCAAAATCCAAGATATTCTGCATAGTACCATCTTCCCTATCATCACACTATACACGAGTTAATCGGTCAGTCTGGTTTCGATAGTCATTTCTCAAGCTGAGATATTCAAGCAGAAAATAGACGACATCAGCATAGTCTCGGCGCGCCACCAACATTAACCTGACCTTCACACTACAGACGAGGCTATTTCGTCTTGTCCCACACTGTCCGTTGCATTGGGACACGCGTTCATTTGAAAATTTGGGGCGACTCAGCGAGTTCAGCGACAGATTCTCATCCGTCAAATGAGAGATCAGCGTCAATGTTGGTCTTTACCGTCTCTTCCGTGCAATGGACGCCACACTTTTTCCAGACCTGGGTTGTGATCCTCGGGGCTTGCGAGTTTGGAGCTGGGGGAAGAGCTCATGGACGGTTTGTCAGTTGGTTATCTACTGACATCCTGACAAAGCCGGACTTGGACTAACTCCGAAGCTCATCGACCCGCAGGATGGTCCAAGAGAAGATTGCCTTTCGTGCTCGTCAACGGAAGTGGACATGACAATGTGACACGGGCAACATTGACGGACCAAGTCATAGCAATTTTGAGTTCGAAGCGATTCCAGAACTCAAACCCAGGAACCTGGTTATTGGCCCTGTCAACCAACCGAGGTGGGAAGCATTATGCGCCGACTCACACGCAAGGACTTTGTATGAGTCCAAGACGAAGCCGCTCGTGTTGCGGCGTTTTCCCGAGCACTGAGAGGACTCTCGCCTCGAGGCACGACTCTTGCTCCTTCAGGACTCCAGGGCTTTCTTCATCCATAGCCATTGGTCAAGTGAACGTGAAAGTATTGGCCCGTGACCAAAGCCTCAATTATATCACGCTTGGAGTCGGTCATTCAAACTGTAATCCGCTAGCTCAGGCTAGCTCAGTGACAACCTCAGTGGCGTCAGTCTGGAATTAACCAAATGGTTTGGCCCGTCGAGACTAGTCGTCAACTCATCGAAACTACTGATGGTGACAATCGGCGAGGGGAAATTGTCCCAAGCTGGCTCGATTTTGTTGCTCGATCGATGGGCCAATCATCGCTCAATCAGCCCCAATCGTGACCACGCCATGCAGCTTCAGCTGAGAGACATCCAGGAATAATAATACGACTCCTAGATACTACTCTCGCTCGCGAGTCGCATAGCGCCGTCAGCCCAGATGTTGTTGCTCGCCGGATAAGGAAGGTGCAGTTTCTCGTCTTTCCATCAAGGCTTCTGTAATATTCAGGCGCTCCGGAGCTCATTGGCCTCCAAATCATACGGTACCCCGCTTTGGAACGTTCCTGCCTCGGACTTGGAGCTTTGGAGTCACGGATAGCTCGATTTCTCCAGCTCTGGATTTCTCCCCGCAACACCCAATCCACTTCCCCAACTTCAGAAAAAAAAGATGCACTTCCTATCGTCCGAAGCCCGCCCAACTTCATTAGTGCTCACTACTGCTCCTTTGATGACTCGCAGCAGCCTTACCTGGCCCACCTCGCTCGGATTCCAGCGGTTATCGCCTATCTTACACCAATCCTAGCAACGAGCCAGCCGCAGATCGCCACCAAGACTATTGCAGGTGCGGACAAAATCGCGACAATAGCGATGACTTCAGAAGATGCTCCGGTGATGCCCGTTGTCTTTTGCAGACATCTTCATGACGTGACGAAATGTGGCGGTTTGAGCCAGAACTCTCCAATTCGCTGGCCTTGCGACTGATAATGGGCTGGGTCGGCTCGGCAAGGGTTGGCGATGGACAGAGTGGGGACAATCAATCTCGACCCTTCCAGCTTACCATGGCTTCTGCAACAGAAGGCTTGGAGCTTGAGACCATTATTTCGATAACTGACAGAGGCATCCATGGACGGTCACCAGGCTGTACCGCGCTGATGGCTGAAGCTAATCGTTGGCGTTGGAAACTAGCAGACACAACGGCTCTTTTGGTTGGCATCGACAATCAACTAGTATCCGCATGTTCCACTCGTGCTCACCATTGTTATGAACATGTACAAGTTAGATACAACGCAAGAATGGATTGACTGCCTCGCTGACCGAAACGGCAACCTGTACCCGTGATTATACTTCCTCTGAGTTGTCGGTGAGTCCATGAGACACCCAAAAAATCCCACTTCCCCGGACAAGACGAATTTCTAGCCTCTACCCCTTGCAGGCTGGAGGAGGGTGAGATTGCTAAGACGGGCCCCAGGCGCCGTGGTTGATTTCAACCCTCGAAAATTGAGACAGTGACTCGCTCGCTATCCTGCGCGGTTTTCCTCGACTTGCGATCTGACATGTTTTCAGCCCTCGAGTGGCTGCTCAAAAAACTCGGGGCCACCAATAGGTACCGAGAAGAATCGGCCAAGGAGTTGGCTGAGACACCTGTGGCTGGCTGCGATGGGCTGTTTTGACTCAGATCGAATTCACCTCTTCATTCACTCCCCAGCACAAAGACACGGCAACGAGAGGGGGATCTTGAAATGTGGATGACAAACAAATTGTGGACGGGATTCCCATCCTTCAGAGAAACGGTGTAGACAACGGATTTCTCTCCCACATCCGCGAAAGGTTAAGGGTCGGTCCGCTGTGGATCGACTGTCCCCACGATTGTGTCTCTCCTTTCGAACCAAGTGGCAGGAACAAGAATTTAGCGATTCATGCTGAATTGATTTTCAATCAGAAACGCGTCCCACATTAAGGCATATCAAGCGTCTCGCATCGGATTCAAAAGTAACACGCCTCTGGCCTTCGATACATACTTTCCCAACCCCTGGTGCTTCCGCTCCCGCTTATGCGTGCTCCTCTAACAATGCATTACCCCGGTTTTTAGCGCTGTCCTCCATTTCACTCTTGTTGCTTTCATCCACCCTCCGACTCTCCGAGACCGGTTGTGCGAGGAGGCCTGCTAGTGCTACCTCCTACGAATTAGTTTCTCGCTTCAGTCCGTCTTGCGGCCGGCCGCTATTCATGCAGGACACATGGGACGCATTGAGTACTTTGCAGGTAGCCGCCAACAGCTCTTTTGCACGGCCAATTAAACCCCTGATCGCTTGTCCTGGGATTGCGGATGAGGCATCCCGAGACTTGGTATAAACAATGCCGCGCATTCCGGAGCACTATGATTTGCACATATCCCCAGGCGGTTCAGTCTTGGACAACAACGCTCACAGTGACTGACTGATGGGCAAAACATCTGCTGACCCAGCACAAATCCACCAGTTTAATCTATTATTTCCAAGCGAGAGAAACTCCGCGGAGCCATCTCTTCATCCCTGTACTCCGTAGCTCGTCCACGGTCTGCACAGAGTCTAGAAAGCTCGAATACGAGGCAATTTCGGTAGCGTCTCCTTCTGATTGCAAAGCTGGCGCCCTCCAGTGTGACCATCCCAGTCAATACCTTACCCCAGATATTACCAGTGTGGGGATAATCGGCTAATACCAATCTGGCCAACTCCCCGCGACCCTGGATCTGACATCAGAATCACTTTTTTTCCGTCCCTCAACATACGTGGTAGTGACGTGGGACATGGACGTGAGCTGGGTTCGATCGGTGGTGACGATCCTGAAAAGTAAGTTCTTCCTATGTAGGCTCCTCAACCATCGTCTTGCGGACTATGTCTGGACTCTGAGCCCGGTGAACCTTCGGCTTCAGGCAATCATAACAGGGATCTATGGTCTCAGGTCTCTGGATGCCATCTGTGCCTGCAGCAACTGGAGAGTGGAGAAGGCTTCCCTTCTGGGAACCTCGGTGAACGGCCACCAGATCTATTCGAGAGCGAGGAACACATGCAAATATCCAACCTGAGGCACCGAGCTGCTTACATCATCCGCTCGTCTTTGGTGCGCCAATCCTTGAGATTTGTCGATGCTACGCCCCTTGGAGGAGGTCGCAGTGAACCTTCCGCCGACGTTGTCAGCTCAATTGAACCGCCATGGCCGCTAGCGGGACCAATGATGCCAATGACCAAGTCATTGTGCTTGTGACGGGTGCCAACAGGTATGTTGTTATGTCGACCTTCATCGCACTGTTCCGTCTCTTCCCCCTCTCACTTCATAGTGATGGATCAATTGTTCCCTGACATTCCCCTGCGATTACTTTTCCTCTCCGCAGTGGACTCGGATACTCAATATGCTGCCGACTAGCGGATGAATTCTTGACCTCTCGTCACAACGATAAGCGGTCATTAACCGTGATCTTCACCACACGGAGCACGAAAAAGGGCAACGACACCCTTCAAGGTCTACAAGACCACCTCCGCACCTCCGCTCGCGATTCCGCCGCTACTGCTCGAGTCACCTTCCTCCCCGAGAATGTCGACCTCTGCAACCTTCTCTCCGTCCGCGCATTGTCACGCCGATTGAACAAAACGTTTCCAAAGCTCGACTCGATCGTGCTAAATGCTGGCATTGGCGGATGGACGGGCCTAAACTGGCCCGAGGCGATCTTTGGCGTGCTCACCGACCTTGTCCATCAGGTCACATACCCTACCTACAAGCTCGCGCCCGCTGGTATGATAGTTGATAATCAGACGAAAACCCTCACGGACAAAGAACCCCGTCTCGGAACTGTGTTCTGCGCAAACGTCTTTGGTCACTACATGCTCGCGCACAATGTCATGCCTCTCCTCCATCGCTCCGGCTCCCCCAATGGGCCCGGCCGCGTCATCTGGGTCTCGAGTCTTGAGGCATGCTCGAAACATCTCAAGATTGACGATATCCAAGCTCTTCGAACTCTCGCACCCTACGAGGCTTCAAAAGCCCTAACCGACATTCTATCCCTTACCTCTCAGCTCCCCAGCACCGCTCACTGGGTGAAGAGCTTCTACTCTATCAACTCCGTCAACGACGGCGACAACAACAACAGCAGCAGCAGCGCAGAGACCCCCTCCACCGCACCAAACACCTACCTCTCCCACCCCGGAATCTGCAGCACGGGGATCATCCCCCTTCACCCGATCCTCTTTTACTGCATGCTCGCCACATTCTGGCTCGCCCGCCTCCTCGGCTCCCCCTGGCACACTCTTTCCACCTACCTCGGCGCCTGCGCCCCCGTCTGGCTCGCCCTCTCCCCGCAGTCCGAACTCGACGCCGCCGAGGCACCATACATCGCGCACGGCGGCGGTAGAGTGAAATGGGGCTCCTCGGCTACATTGTTCGGCGTAGATAAGCCGGCTTCCTCGGAGGTCGAGGGTTGGGGCCACGGCGGCGTGGTCGGTCCCGCTGTCGTCGAGGAGGACCGGCTTCGTCGGCGCAAGCGCGGTGCTAGGGATGCCACGGCTGAGGAGAGGGAATTGTTTGAATACCTCGGGAGGAAGTGCTGGCAGCAGATGGAGGAGCTGAGGCAGCAATGGGATGAGATTCTCGATAAGGAGGAGGCTCAGGCTGCAAATGGAGAATAGATGCACCGCTTCGCTTCGACTGATCTTGTGCGGTTTTGCTTCTCGGGTCTGGGAACTTGTTTGTGATTCCCTGTCTTCTTGATCTCTACAAAAGATTATAATTCCAGATACCATGTACACTACTCTAGCTCACACCCTGTGTTAGCTATCATCATCTGTCTACGATGATAAACATTTTCGGGGAAATAGTACTAAGTAATCAACTGTGCGTCAACATTTCTTTCTCGATTCCTTGCTCCGTATTTACATGCCTCGTCCACGTACATCATTAAAAAACAGTAAGGCTCAAGAACCAATTTCCGGCATCCTTGTCTGTCGGACCTGAGATGACAAATGAGGATTGAGAAGGAAGGGGACAACCCAGGTTTTTTATAGGTGGTAACAAAAAGGCAACAGGGGGAACAAGAAATAATTATGTATGTAACCACGGTTCAAAAATGAAGAAACCAACGGACTGGTCGAGATGTAGTGTCGAAGTCCAAGGAAGATATGTCAAGAAATCAATTACTAAGACTGTAGAAGGGGGAATTAGAAGATAAAACTGGATTTCAAGCATGTAATCACCGTCAAGGTGCTGAAGGTATGCAAGTGAACGGAGGTTCTAGGTAGGTGGAGCTGAGAGGTGTGGAGGGTGAGAAGTCAACCGAGAGGCGCTGATAGCTTGAAATCGTCGGAAGTAAGGGCGCAAATGGACTCCGGTTCTATGCATCTGATGTGTTTGTGGGCGTGTGAGTAGGTTGACAGGGGTGGTGATAGGGTAAATATTAGGTTAACAAGTGATTCGTCGGTTACATGATAATCGCAGGGACTGTACCAAGTTAGGGGCTTGGATAGAAGGAGAATCCGGGGGAAAAAAAACTCACCATCAACGTTCTGCTTGATGCTCTTATGCGGCAAGATGGATCCACCATTGACGTAAACCTCGTCAGCGATTGTCACATCGTCTCCGAGCACGGTTACATTCTCCAAGCGAGCCCATCGGCCAACGGAGCTGTTCCATCCAACAATGGTGGACTTGATCCAGGCGTGGTCCTTGACCTTGGTGTTCTCCATCAGCACGCAGCGCTGCAGACGAACACCGTCACCAATCACGACATTTGGGCCAATGACGACGTTGGGGCCGATGCGGCAGTTCTTTCCAATCTTCGCAGACGGGTCAACCATGACATTCCCACCGTATACGTAAGGCTCTGAACTGGCGGCAAGTAGTTTCGAATTGCGCTTCGTCAGCGATGTGAGGTAAAGGCAGGTGCCGGTAAGGAAATCCTTGGGTTGACCGACGTCCATCCAGAATCCCTCCAGGTCAAACGAGTGTAGTTGGCCATCTTTGCAGACAGCAGGGAATGTTTCTTGTTCGATCGAGGTTGGGCGTAATTCGATGCGCTTCAACACGCTGGGGTTCAGGATATAGATACCTGCGTTGATGCGATTACCCACAAACTCGACAGGCTTCTCAACGAATCGGTCAATGCGAGAGGGGTGGTTGGGCTTGTGGACGACCACTCCGTATTTCGAGGGCTCATCCACCTTGGTGACAACGATTGTGCCCTCGTCGCCGTGCGCCTTGTGGAAATCGGCTAGTTGCTTGAAGGGATAGTCGCAAATGACATCGGAGTTGAGGACAAAGAAAGGAGAGTCGTCTTTGCCTAAGATCTTCTCTGCCAGTTTCAACGGACCAGCAGTTCCGAGCGGTTCGGACTCGACGGAGAATTCAATCTTGACATTGTATTGCTCTTCGTACTAGCACGTCGAGGTGGAATAAGTAACGGGGTGTATATTGGTGCTGTAAGACATTCATACCTTCTTCAGCGCTGAGACCATGACATCTGGGCGGTAGTTGACAGCGAGGACAATGTCGGTCACACCAGCAGCAGCGAGACTCTCGACTTGGTGCAGGATCATAGGACGGTTACCGAACTCCACGAGGGGCTTCGGGAGAGTAAGGGTCTAGTAACGATACCGAGCAGGTCAGCTTCAAGTTCATCAAGCTCCGCGATGCTATATCCAGCAAGAGAAGATCATGGAGTGGGCTCACCAGAGGCCGCAAGCGGGTACCGAAACCACCGACAAGAATAAGTGCTGTAAGCAAGTGCAGGTCAGACCAAACATTCTCCCCTCGTTCGCACTGCTTGAAAGAAGCCCGTACCCTTCATAGTTGCGGTAGAATAATATCAATGGGTGGTTGGTAGTGTTAGGGGATGGAGCTCGAGTCGGAATGCGGGCGGGGAGGTCACAGGGGGGGAGCGCGATGTCCGCACGTCGGAGTGGTTGGCGGAGGTAAGATATATGGGAAGGAACGGCAGAAGGTAGTCAATTGAGATACTTGAGCGCGGGAGAGACCCAGGTATAATCCCAAAGAAAGAGGCCGAAAAGATAAACGACCAGCGCGGTATAAAAAGCTAGGAGAACACGTTGAGCCTTCAAAAATTGAGAGCACTGAGACGCTGAATTGTACTGTAAGGTACCACCTCCTCCTCCGATCGCACCCAATTGCAACCTCGTCCAGCGAACGACGCTTGCGGACAACCGCCACAGGGGCACTAATGCGGCCCCTCATTGGCTTGGTATCTTACTAGTACACTTCTGTTACAGGATCAGGTGCGCAGCATAATATCAGGTGGTCTTCGTGGGGCTCAACTTGCCCCTGGATCAATTCTTCGCATTCAAATGGACAACCGCCAGTGTTCTTGCACGATGGTTCGTTCAATCATTGAAACCACATGGATTGAATGATTTGAACCTGGCGCAAGGCACATCCTTAGAAAGTCTGTGACTGGATCAGCTCCGAGGCTCCCGGCTACGCCTGAGAGCACTTACAAGGTCCTACTCTCTCAACTCAACTTCATCTTGTGACCCTCGAGCACACAGTCATGCAACTTTCGGGACAAAGAAGACACATGCATATGATTCAGGGGTAGAGTGTCACAAAATCCGTCAATTGGGAATTGGTACTCCGTATCCTGGTTCGAAATGACCAAATTAGACGTTGTCCCATAACATCGGATTCGAGGTGACGGTGACATTGACCCTTCAACTCAACCAATGCTTTGCTCTCATCCTGGAGAGCACCATCTTGATCTTCCTAAGCTTTCATCCAGAAGATGACGTTCACGTTTCTAATTATAACACATCTTCCTGGGTGTCAGGGGGCAAAGTCACCACAGTCCGTCCAGGTCTGGTACCACCGCCTGCTGGATCCGGAACGGAGTCCACAAATCGTCTGATCCACTCTCGTACCTTGCTCACTTTCACCAGCGGCAGATCATCATTCTTGGCCTCGTGGTTCAGTATGTCCCGCAGTTTATAGATACCGCTTGTATCCGTTGCGTCCACCTGCCGTCGGTGTAGAAGCTCGATCTTGGTTAGCCCTCTTCGCAGACTTTGCCCATAGACCCGTTCCCGGAAACAGCCCAGTCCTACCGTGCGTAGCAGGACAATATCCCGTGGTCGAAGTCGCATAAGCGACGTTCGAATGTCCTTTCCGCTGTCATCGCCGCAACCGTGAGCGGCAGCGTCGTCGCTCGGAGGAAGCCAGAATGTGACCCCAAACCCGGTCCGAGTTTCATCCCCAACCACAGCTTCAACGATATCCTGTTCTCTCCTCCACTGCCTTGTCACAATGCGCCGTGGTGGTCGTATTTCGATAACCGCAACAATAAGGTTGACCGTCATAGTCTGTGGCATAATCGAATTCAGATAATCTGCGTTGGGTATGTCTTGTAGGTTTGTGAGGCCACCTGAAACAGACTGCCTGAACTTCAAGGTTTCTCCTTCATCGTTGCTCACAACAGAGGTCTGAGTGCTTTCAGTCCAAAGACCACTCTCTATACCAGATTCTCCAGCGGGGGCGTTCGCAGATATCTCTGATGTCTCGTGCACAGTGAATGAGTGATCGTAAAACTTGGAGAGTTCCGATTCCTCTGGCCCGGTTGTTCGTGTACCAGCAGACGTTGCAAGATGATGAGTTGTCAGGAATTGGGCTCTATCAGTAAGAGTCGACGAGCGCTTTGGAGGAAGCGTTTCTGCAATGATTGGATTTTGCAATAGCCTCCACTTTACTGAATCGGTCTTGAGAAGTAGCTGGTGTGCTTCATCATGGACACCGTGGATATCAGGGTCTTGAAATGGAGGTATGGATGTGCTCAATAAACCACTTTCATCCCACTGTAGGCTTGAGGTTGTGGGAGCGCCCATGAGGAAGATGATTCTTGAGGGCATATTCAAATTGAACGGTGTTAGGGCATGCTTCTGTCCCTCCGGAACTGTGGATCAATATATATACTGGTGAAGCCGACACACACATATATATATATGCGGGTATAGCCTATGCTAAACCACCGGAGGCACGTTACCAAGCGGTCATATATCGAACGACCTCGAGGAAAGTCTATGACAATTCACGAGTCTTCGGGTTTGAACTTGGCTCATCCTACTCGCCAGTAAATCGTCATGTCCTGCAGAACGGGGTACCACAAATAGAGACAAGGCTAGTCGCAGTCTGATCTGAATAAACGTATGGAAAACCCATAAAGTTTGCGCCACCAAAACCAGGAACATAGATTGAGAATATTGAGTTCGAGTCTCGCTCTCCCTCGCCCTTGAGATATCATCGTGCAGGTGATCGAGAGCTGCTGTGAAGATGCTCGTTGGGGACAGACTAAGCACGTGATTCGAAGTACGGCATGCTGGTCACACCACAATGGCAACGATTAGCAATTGGCATTCGCCGCCGCCTCTCCGACAAGCAGTCCGGAGTCATCAAACAGATGCCTGTTACCTTGCCATCCGCTCCCAGTCAGTGATGGCTTTTGTCGCATCCGAACGATAATTTATATCCTTATTTCTCCCTCGTATCCATCGACCGCCCTACTTGAGAGTTTGCTTCTCTGATTGTTGCGGCCCAGCGCCGCTCTCAAAGATGGCCTTTCAACTTCCGATTCCCAAGCTGGTAAGATACTCTCCCATTCATACAAGCCTTGCGCATCTCACACTTTGTTATTCGGTTAGAACATGGTGGTTTCGGCGTCAAATTCTTTGCCTTTGATGTCCAGGTTCTTTAGGTCGTCCTTGAACCGCACCGGACAGACCTCCGCCACCCCAAGGATCACATTCTATCACGCATCGCCATTCTCATTCCGAAAGTATTCGGCTCTGGCCACGCCGCCAAATCGTACCCATCTCCCCTCACCAACTAGCAACACACCCATTCTCGATCGGCAACGATTCATCTTCGGAGGACCGTCTCATAACTTGCTGGCGCAGAAGGAAAAGACGGCAAATAACAACCCCAGCAGTGCAAATGCCCAAAATGCTTTCTACCAAGCACTTCTCCGCGCTAATATGCCGGCTATCGTGATTGAGCGTTACAGAAGTGGCCATTTCGCTGGCAATTCGCTCTCGGAGACTATCTATCAGAAAGCTTTGGAGCGTGTTGGCGGGGCCTCGGTAGCAGCGGCCTCAAATGCGACACAGGGTCTTAGCCAAGATCAGGTCCAAGCCGTCGGACAAGCAATCGCGGCACAAAACCTTGGTGGAAATGTTGGAGTCGCTTCTAAGCAGACTGGTACCGGCGCCAAAGAGGCTCCCTTGTACGTTGTCGTTGAGGAGTCCTTGGGTAGTGCCGTTTTCCGCTGGGTCAAATTCCTTCTCTACTTTGCTTTCTTTTCGTACATGTCTTTGGTTCTGGTTACCATCCTCGTCGAGACCACAGGTGTTATGAAGAACATCAAAGGGCCGCAAAACAACGAGGCTCAGCCCCAGCATCAAACCGTCCGCTTCAGTGATGTCCATGGATGCGACGAAGCGAAGGATGAGCTCCAAGAGCTTGTTGAGTTCCTGTTGAACCCGGAACGGTTTTCCTCACTAGGTGGCAAATTGCCCAAAGGTGTTCTGCTTGTTGGGCCTCCTGGTACCGGAAAAACGTTACTCGCCCGCGCTGTTGCTGGAGAGGCTGGAGTTCCCTTCTTCTACATGTCTGGCTCCGAATTTGATGAAGTGTATGTGGGAGTTGGTGCTAAACGGGTCCGCGAACTCTTCACACAAGCGCGAGCCAAGTCACCTGCCATTATCTTCATTGACGAACTGGATGCTATTGGCGCTAAGAGGAACGAGAGAGATGCAGCCTATGTGAAGCAAACACTGAATCAGCTACTGACTGAGCTTGATGGATTTTCTCAAGCAACCGGAGTCATCATTCTTGCGGCCACCAATTATCCACAGCTGCTAGACAAGGCTTTGACTCGTCCTGGTCGATTTGATCGAAAGGTCGTTGTCGACCTCCCAGACGTCCGGGGTCGAATGGAGATCTTGAAACATCACATGAAGAACATTCAAAAAAAAACTGATGTCGATGTTGGAGTGCTCGCTCGCGGTACTCCCGGGTTCTCCGGCGCCGATTTGGAGAACTTGGTCAACCAAGCCGCCATATATGCTAGCAAGAACAAGCAGACCAAGGTCACACCGACAGATCTGGATTGGGCTAAGGACAAGATCATCATGGGCGCGGAAGCTCGCAGCAGGATCATCCAAGATAAGGACAAACTCCTCACTGCGTATCATGAGGCTGGTCATGCTCTTGTTGCCTACTTCTCCCCGTCCTCTATGCCACTTTACAAGATCACAATTGTCCCTCGAGGAATGGCTCTGGGATTGACCCATTTCTTGCCCGAAATGGATATGGTCTCGAAGAACTATACTCAATATCTGAGCGACATCGACGTCTCAATGGGCGGCAGAGCGGCCGAAGAGCTCGTTTTTGGTACTGATCAAGTTACCAGTGGCATAACTCAGGTATTCTCCCTAAATCTTTTTGCAATTCACAGTATGTTAATTACCTCTAGGATCTCCGACAAGCCACACAGACAGCCTTTACCCTAGTTACCCAATTCGGGTATTCAGAGAAACTTGGAAATGTTGATCTGTCGACGAATTACGATAGCCTGTCTTCAGAAACGAAGCAGGAAATCGAGGCCGAGGTCCGACGATTGGTCGAGGAAGCCCGCCAACGGGCTACCAAGATCTTGACGGAGAAGAGAAATGAATTGGAATTATTGACCAAAGCTCTCATCGAGTACGAAACGCTTACGAAGGAGGAAATGGAGAAGGTTCTGAAGGGTGAAAAACTCGACAAGCTCGTCCTGACACCGGACGCACCGCTCAAGCTGCCCGAGGCGCTTCAGGCGACAAATCTGGGTTCGCCATCGGGGGTGCAAGGGTCGCCGCGAGCTTCAGCGGAATAAATATCATGTTTTCTGTTGTATACCTCTGCACAGTTTTCGTCTTCCCTTCCCCTACAATTGCCTTATATCTTGTGCATTTGAGAGGGTAACCGCAACCGGCCAAGCTCATAGCATGCTGGTTAACGAGCATCTCTCCATGTCCCTTGACTGTATTTGTATCACAAATAGCTTACATATCGAAGAGACCATTTTGCATAGATTTCACCGAGCGAATGGAGTTGTCAGGTCCGGGAGAAGTCCCGGACGTCGGGTTATCTACGATTTACCCCAAAATCCACAGAGTCCAGACTCCAGAAGCGGCTAAACTTGGGGGGTAAAGTGTTCGGGAGAACTCGTGGATCTCCGGAATAGAAGGTTAAAGGTAGGTCGGAGAAGCGGCGCCAAGGCCGAACCGAGTCAAATGGCTTATCTGGAGGAAGAATTTGGTTTCAACATGTCAAATTGTCGAATAATTTCTCCGTGAATCAGAGGACGAGGGGCTGGGCAGTCAGCAGGGGTCTAGATTTGCAGAGGGGGAAATTCTCGACTGTCAGGTGCACAGACGATCAATCGAGCCCAAGACCGGTTTATTTACCGGGCCCAGGGGTTGGGTCACAAGGAGTATTAATAGTTTTATACTGCTGCTGGAGAGTACCGGTGATTGACCCGAGGCGCAGGGAGAACTGTCTATAGTAGAGTGATGGGCGTGATAGTCAGGATAGTCTTCTGCAGCGCAATCGAGGGACCGTCATGTGAGGGGGAATGGGAGGGCCGAGACCTGGAGGGCTCCCTGGCCAGCGGCTAACCTTCCGCAACGGGCGAGGGTCCTTGACCAAGCATTCGAGGACTCGCAATCGATGTCAGGGGAGCATGAGCAAAGCTGTCTGGAGTATGGAGTAAGCATGGTCGTCTGATCAGAAAAAAAAGATGGAAAACGAGAGCCTGGATTTGAGAAGCAAATAGAAAACCCGTGAGCGATCGCGTTTCTTCCCCACGCCCCCACCATTCTCCGTCATGGAAGTAATGCCTTGAATTCTTCATCATCTCGGAAGCAGGAACCACGTCTAATCTGCTTGTATAACGCCTGCTGTTCATGGAATCCGAAGGTGATCCCGGCCCAGTGCCCACTCCACTGCTGGGCTACTAAAGAGTCCCCTCGTCCCCTCTGCCCCTCCTCGACAGCCGGTTTTCCTCTGCCCTTCCCTCTCGATGATCTCAGTTGTTGCTCAGTAGACCGTTGAACAGTAATACTCTAATTCATATTCCCCTCCTCTCCTAATCGGGCTGCGACTTGCCGTTTCCATCGTCATATCTTCTTGTTCTCTGCCCTATTGATCCTCGTCGCCACTTTCAGTGCCAACTTTCAGTCCTCTCCACGCGCCGTTCCTCCGTCTTCGCCTGGCTACGTCACCATCCTTCGCAATTGATCTTGGCCGCGTTCCCTGTCTCTTCTCTCTCTCTCAACTTTCTCCTCTTTCTCCTCACTTATCCGCCTTACGCTTCCCCGGACTGTACTCTTGTCACATCACGTAGCTCAATTCCCGCACACTCTTCCCCTCCTCTCTCCGCTCCGCCGTAACTATCACTCTGGTGGCGTAATTGCTCGAACTATCTTTCTCGTCACTTTTACCTCCCCCGGAGATTATACGCCACAGTCACCATGCGCCGAAACCCCTTTGACATGTCTGATCTCGACGCCGAGATTGAGAGTCAACAAGAACAGCATCATGAAGTCAGAATCCGCGCCAGCTTCTCACACGACGGCCCTCGTTCTCTGATCCAGGACGAAGACCGCCGCAACGACAACCTGAAAGACCGCTTTATTGGTGCAATTGACCAGGGTACCACAAGTACACGTTTCATCATATTCGACTGCACGGGGAATCCCATTGCGAAGTACCAGTCAGAATTCCGTCAGATCCATGAGCACTCAGGGTATGCATATCTTCAGACTCGAACTCCCCGACCTTGGTAGCCGCTTACACCTCTCTCCTCTTCATTAGATGGCATGAACAAGATCCTCTCGAGCTGGTGGATTCAGTGTACACCTGTATTGAAGAGGCCATGAAGACATTCCTTGCCCTCGGCCACTCAAAGTCAGATATCGAAGCCATTGGTATCACTAGTCAACGTGAGACGACGCTCTGCTGGGACTGGGAAACGGGTGAGCCTCTGTGTCACGCAGTTGCTTGGCCAGACACTCGAACAAAGGGCCTTGTTCGGGAGCTGAAAGAGGAGAAAGGTGCAGATGATCTGAAGAACATCTGCGGCTTGCCGCTCTCCACATACCCATCCTCGGTCTCTTTGTTGTGGTTGATCCGCAACAACGAGGCAGTCAAGCAGGCTTACGAAGAAGGGCGACTCGCTTTTGGCACCGTTGATTCTTGGCTCCTATACAACTTGAACGGTGGTCCAGAGGGCCGTGTCCATGTAACTGATGTGACCAACGCTTCGAGAACCATGTTCATGAACCTTGAAACTCTTGATTACGACCAGCGGCTTTTGGACTTTTTCGGACTTGATCGCAAGAAGATTCGACTGCCCCGGATTATTCCTTCGTCTGATCCCGACGGCTACGGCTACATCCGGTCAGGTCCACTTGAGGGCGTACCGATTACTAGCTGTCTTGGAGACCAGTCTGCGGCGTTAGTCGGACACTGCGCGTTCACACCTGGAAGCGCAAAGAACACATACGGCACAGGTTGCTTCCTTCTTTACAACGTTGGCGAAAAGCCCGTCATTTCCAAGCATGGTCTGCTCGGTACAGTCGGATTCCAGCTCGGACGGAATCGAAAGCCCGTCTATGCACTTGAAGGAAGTGTGGCTGTCGCTGGAAGTGGTGTCTCATTCCTGATGAACAACATGGGTTTCTTCCGAGATTCGCGAAAAGTCAGTGAGGTGGCTGCAACAGTCCCAGACAGTGGAGGCTGCGTTTTCGTCACAGCCTTCAGTGGTCTCTTTGCGCCGTACTGGATTGATGACGCCAAGGGAACTATCTGTAAGCACTATCAAAACAAGCAGATTGATTACCACTGACTGACCTTGTTCTTCAGTTGGAATCACGCAACATACACAGCGCGGCCACATCGCCCGTGCTACCATGGAAGCTGCATGCTTTCAAACGAAAGCCATTCTCGACGCCATGGAGATGGACAGCGGCCACAAGCTTTCCGAGCTCGCTGTTGATGGAGGGATGAGCAATTCCGACATTTGTATGCAGGTGAGTTACACACGCAGTCTGAAACAGAATCTCCAAAAAAGCTTAGTCCGCTAACCTGCCCCGCCTCCAGACCCAAGCAGACATTATACAAATCCCCGTCGAACGACCGGCAATGCACGAGACGACAGCACTGGGCGCCGCAATTGCCGCCGGTTTCGCCATCGACATCTGGAAGGAGTTCAGCGAACTCAAGAACATGAACCGCGCCAACCGAACCTCCTTCGAGCCCGCCATCTCCCCGAAGCAAAGCGCGAAGATGTACAAGCAGTGGTCGAAAGCGGTCGAGATGTCTCGCGGCTGGGTGGACACCGCGGAGATGGAGGATGAGTAGACGCTTCTCTTCGCTCTCTCTCCTACACAACGCCTCCCCAATTTATAATTCATCGCCCGCACAGACCGAACGAAAATATAAGCCAAACCGAGCCGGACCGACTGATACAAATCTTCTGCTTCTGTGTATATTTCGCATACTCTTCTACTTTACGATTGAGCGCTTCTTCTCCTTTTATCTCTATATTTACTGCCTATATGGTCTTCGGTTAGATTCATGGGTTACATGGGATACTTGCTTTTTGGGACGGTTTCGGTGGGTAGATGAAGCATCTACCCAATTATATATCTAGACAGGTACATAGGCGTATAAAATCATCATAGAAGTTCCAACAGAACGACGCAATGTACATGACGTCATATCGGGATTTCATCATTTTCGTACCTCTCGTTCAAGGTGGTCCGTCGGGAGTCATTCAATGTTAAGAATGAGAGGAAAAAGAGAAATATGTACAAGATTATGAATTAAACCGAAGTGGAACTCGGTATCGAACGGTAGAACCAGCTACCTATCTATTATTATGTATAACGTACGGCAAGCCGGAGGCGTTCTCCGCCCGAGCATCAGCCAGGCGTATCACACTCCCTCCCGATCCCGACCCGGCGCTCGAACTCATGATCGACCCTGAGCCGCCGGAGACATGCGACCGGACTGGCCTGAGCGAGTGTGTCGAGGGTGTCCGGCTCGCCCGCTGCGGTGAGCCCCTAGACGCCCCATCCAGATTCTCGTTTGCGAACCGTTGATGACGGGCGAAGCCGTACGCCGGGGAATTGGCGGGTAAGGATATAGACGCGGAGCCGAGGGTGTCTGTCTCGGTCTCGCCCTCTTCGTCCGAAGGCCCGAGAATGGATTCGGACTGTGTTTCGGAGGCGAATAGTGATGTACCTCGCCTCCTGTCTGGATTCATGTCCATATCCAGAAATTGGTGATCGGGGTCTAAGTGCTCTGGAGAGAAGCGCATGCCTCTCAACACATCCGCAAAAACTCCCATTAGCTCGCGGAACTCGGACTCGTGGAGGTCTCGGCCGGAGAACCGTGCGCGCTCGTAGAGGGAGAGGAACTCGGTGCCTGATTCGGGCGGGTTGATGACGCCCATCTCTGTAAGATGCTGCATGTAACCCCGGAGAGACGTTGTTGCGGAGCGGCGCAGGATCTCGACGATGCGCGTGTCAGGGATGTTGCCCTCGATTTCTTCTTCCGATCGCGCCCAGTCGTCTGTGTGTAGGTGGCTCGTCGGTGACGAGAAGATTGGATCTGGCGGGGCAAGCGAGACAGCTTTTGCTTCGATGAGGTGCGGTAGTTCGCGGACTACAGTGCGGTAGCATAAATCTGGTGGTAAATGGCCGCCTACCGCAGAGGGCGCGGCCGAAGGCGCTGACCACCCGGGATGCTCGATAATTCCCCAAGGTGGATGCGCTGGGTCGATGTCGTAGTCAAACCCTCGCAGTAGACCCCTAATCTCTTCACTATCATCTGCGCCATCTACTACGGCGCCAGCGCCATAACCACTATCATTCCCTGATACGCCGCGCGCACCAGCAGCCGTATCCTGTGTAGATAGATCCCTCGGCCTCGCACCGTAAGCGACAAGCGCGCTTCTCCTCAGCCCTTCAACGACAAGTCTTCGCACAGATTTTCCAACATCCTCCCTCTCAACCGGAATCCAGGCCTTCGGAATCCCACTAAGCACAGTCCTATTCGTGTAGATCAAAGTAGAAAAAATAAAAAAAAAAAAAAGGAAAGTGACCACGTATCCGCCGGTAATGATGAAGATATTCGTGAGGCGGTGGGTAACATAACATTGATAGATTGCATCGGCGGGGGTCAGAATGATGAGGCAGAGGAGGATGATGGAAAGGAAGGTGAAGACGGCGTAGTTGAGGAGGGTTGTGGTCAGGGTAGATGATGATGGCTTTTGGGAGGTGGGTGTCACATGTGTCGATGGGGTTGAGGAGGGTGTCATTTGTGGCGGTAATATAGACTGGCACCGCAGTTGCGTGGCATCGTGCGCTTGTTGATACCTCTACTGCGTGATGGGAGGCGGGCATAGAAATGATCCATGGATTTCGCCCAGATGGTGACGCGGAGGATGGATATGATTATCACGTGACTTATATGTAGTGAGGGATACAACAAAGGCGTTGGTTCATCGCAAAGCGTCCATTAGTCACTCCCTGGGCGCTTGGTTGATAATTAGATACATAAAGACTATCTCCGCGAGCCCTACCTCAATCCTGTTTGAACATGCCATTTCACAAACTCAGCGTATTAATCGGGAAGTTTTAGAGTATATCTAGACACTGGCACCAGATGCCTCGTCTAATCTATTGGATTTCCTATCAGGAATATACAATAAATCAAGATGCAACAAGAGAAGATAAGGGAAAGTCAAAGAGAGGACCAAAAAGCTTAATCAACAGGATCTTCTTCAAGAAGGGTCTTGAAGCTGAACGGCGTGAAAGGCAAGCCTTCACCCATGAAATGCTTGCTCATGGCTTCGACCCAATGGAGACGGAGAGAGTGCAGCATAGCGCTGGTACCCTCCATGACACAGAGAATGGCAATGGTAAGGGTGAACCAGAGGTAGAATGTAACCACAATCATAATCGCTCGCACGGTGGGCTGCTCCTGTTCAAAGGCAGTCCCAAGGGTCATATCCCAGAGGACAATAGAGAGCTGTTGGTGTGCGAGGGATAGCGCCCAGAGACGCAGGTACGACGCTGTGTGAGAGATACAGTTCAGGCAGAATTCAATGGTGTGGATGACCTGGTGGATCATGACTTCTCCAAAGTCAAATTCCTCGTGCTCTTCCTCCCCCAGATCCTCGGCGATCATGGCGACGCCTTCACCGTCACTGGCGATGCTGTCGCGGCCGCCGGATACCCCGCCGTCAACATCACCTTCTTCGTCCAAAGCGCTGACCCTGGACTGCTCTCCAAGGCCACGATAGCCCAGGGCGCGGGCACGGTTGTGCTCACGGCGAAGGTAGAACGGCTTGAAGAAGAGCATAATCGGTACCTGCACCACGGCAAGAAGCAGGAGAATAACCTGGACAGTACCCTGTCCACCATAGAGTTCCTCCTCCACCGTACCCGGAGACAAAAACATGAAAATGAGCATGTTGAGCAGGCCTGGGGGTGACTGTCCCCTGGCAGGCCAATCAACTGACCACTTGTAGATGATAGTGAGGACGAGGTAACCAAAGATGGACTGGAAGAAAATCAAGCCTGGAATGAAGTTGCCGATGATGTCGACTTTGGACTTGAAATGGCGGGCGTTGACGTATTGCAGGATAAGGGCATAGGACATATGCGCCCATCCAAGAACAATACTCATCTTCATCTTCAAGCTGTTGGTGAACAGGAGACTGTTCTCAGCCTCGTGCCAGTTCCAGTCAAGTCCAAAGGGAAACCGGTAGCTGCCCTTTAGTGATGCTTCAACGGCCTGGCCCTGTTGGATGTCATCAGGCCATTTCCAGGAACTTGGAAGGATAGTGAACGATTTAGAGAAGATGTCGTTGTAAATCAAACCAGTGTACATCGAGAAAAGACCCATCATCAACATAATGTAGCGACCGTAGAAAGCCATATAAAATAGTTCGTTGAGTTTGGCCTTTGAAAGCTGTCTTTCCCAGAAAATCATAGCGACTGCAGCCAGGGTCATCAGACCACCGTGGCCAAAATCACCAAACATGACGGCGAACAGGAACGGGAAGGTGACCACGGTATACAGACCAGGGTTGGCTTCGGAGTACCTCGGGATTCCATACGCATTGACAATCGTCTGAAAGGCTTCGGTAAATTTGTTCGTGCGGACATAGGTCGGGGGTGTCTTGTTAGTACGAATTTGATTGACAATAGTTGGCACGCTCAGTCCAGCACGGTCGTTGACGTCTTGCAAAGTCGATTTGATCAGAGCTAACGAGCTCGTCGGACACCAGGCCTCTGCGATAAGTGTCTTCCTCGCCTGATCGTAAGAGAACCTGTTGAGCGTGTCGTAAACGGCCTTTTCCTTTTTGACTATAATCATCCATGCCGCCAACGAGCGAGCAATCTGGGAGAGTTCGGCATCGAGGGTATTCTTCGTGTTCCGCAAGACATTGTTGACATCGCTCAAGCGTGTGTTGACCTCGTGAATCTGGTCGCGCCGCAATTCACTGTTCTCGTCCACGCCGTAGAGCGAAGCACCAAGAGATTCCGAGATTTTCCTAATCTTTGCGATGATATTCTTTCCATGGGCGAATATAACGAAAACGTTCTTCTGAATTTCCTCGTTGGTAGCGGGGTCAATGATGGGGTCCGGGATTTCCGATTGATTCATGTAGAGGTTACCACGAAGCGTCCGCCAAAGAATTCGTTCAAAAGCGCCAATCCGATCGCGAGGGATGACACCAGCCACGAACCCGATGTTCATCTCTAGAAACGACTGTTGACCATGCGCGTCACCGTTCGCGCCGTTGGCACGGGGAGTCTGCTGCTCAACGTCACGGAGCAGAGGTGCCTCATCGTTGTCAAAGGACTGGCGAATTTCCTCGGTATGTGTATGCGCACGGTCGAAGAAGCCTCCAGTTTCCCTTAGAACCCAACGCCACTCAGTCAGCTCCACCTCGCGTTTCTTCAGTGTCTCATAACTGTCGTTCAAGGAGGCGATTCGCTGTTCGAGGCTCTCGCTACGTTCAGCAAGCTCATCGATTTCAGAAGCTAAGGGAGCAGCCAGAGTATCGGAAAACTCATTCGAAGACCTCATCTGGATTCCAGCCTTGTCCATTTGCGCATGGAAGTAACCTAGCCAGCAAAAGCAGGTTAGCTAGGGGATCAAGCTCCTTGTTGAAGATGTTGGACATACGCAGCTGTCTCTCCACATTATCCAGTCGCCTGATCTCCTTCGTGAACGTTTTCTGGAAGGCATTTGTTTCGGAATTGAGCTGTCCGGAAAGTTATCGTGAGCAACCCATCACGTCAACAATCAATCCTCCACCCGCAGAGTCAACTTACATCTCGAAACTCAACTTGCCCAAGCTCACCCAGCGCACTGACAACTTCACGACCGATCTCGTTCGCGATATAGAGCTGGGTCAAGCTCATTTCCGACGAGCGGAAGAAGGTGTCTTTGGGAGCCATGGCGGCGAAGTTTTGACACCAGAGCAATCAGAGATGCGCAACTGCGCCGGAGTCAAACGGAAGTAACAGGAAATTTGCGGATAGAAAGTAAAGATAACGGGGTGAATGGTTAAAAGGTGGGAGGAGGAAATAACTCCCTCGAGCTTGACCCCTAGGATTGATGATGTCTAATGTCCGATGGCGGGAGCCGCGTGGCTGTTCCAGTGTCACGTGGCATACATTCCCCAGCACATCCCCAAACTTTCGATCTTACACTATGTTCAAACTACCTCCGTCCTCGAGCGCCTATTTGAACGCATTGGTCATCAAACAAGTGGCCTCACCAAGCGTGTACTTACTTGGGAGCAGTAGGCGATATAGAATGTTCAAACAATTATGTAGGAAAAAGGCAAGAACCAGGGCCAATGTGACAACCAAGAACGTTCTATTTGCCAGTTCCCAGAAACAGTATTCATATCTCATTACCGCTATGGTGAAGATCAGGTCAGGGAATGCCGTAACTCCGGTCTCAAGATGCAAAAAAGTATCACAATAAGATAATTGAGCCACGCGGTTTATGCTGGACACGGAAAGGGTAAGCACAGGTAAGCACAAGCACTGCTGCCCGTGAGCCTGATAAGAGGATAAGAACAAATGATGCTAATGATATCAAAATAGTTTCAAGATGTTGGTTGTCACTCATACACAGAGCGGGATTATCATTATGTTCCACACTAGGCGGTTCATAACCCAGTGAAGAACTGGCAAGCTTCGTTGAGCTCCTCATCGTCGCCGACAAAATCCCATACGACGATTCGAGGGTCTTGGCTGGCGCAGACTATCTTGCGGGCATCAAATTGAAGCTTAAATATTCGAGATGTAGGTGATTGGGCTGGGGGTCGTAGATGGAGATTGGTGGCAACGAGGTTCATGAAGTTCGCATAGTTCGGTAGGACGGGGGATTCGTCATTTTGCGGTGGGTTTTGGCCTGTGTTTAATGGCTCGGGGTTGCTTGGGTTCCCTTGATGATTCGAGGCGGTGTTGCTGACAGGGGCAGATAGCAAGGGTTGTGGTGGCGCTGGGCGAGCTTGTGCTGCCAAAGCAGCTAGCTGAGCAAAAGCATTGCCTCGCAAAGGGCCAGACCGTGAGGGTGTGTTCGTTTGGGCGATGTGAGCTGCTCTGGCAGCAGCATCAGCCTGTCGCAGTGTCTGACTAACAACCCACTCTCCATTGCTGTCCTTTCTCCAGATAATGACGGACTCGTCGTACGAGCCGGAAACGATTTTCCCCCATTTGCTTCCACCTCCTCCTGGTGGAATGAGAGCACCTACTGCGTTGATGTCGCGTGGGTCTCTTGATCCAGCCGTGTTCTGCCGATAGCCAGCGCGTCTCATGGCAGCAGGCCCGAGATCGACGGCTTGGCCAGAGCGCTGAGCATCCCAAAAGTCCTGATCAACCGCCAGGGCTTCGAGTCTGAGGGCCTCTTCCGAGCCGGGAGGGTCTCCAAAGCCGGCTTGAACAGTTCTGACCAGATTGCTATGCCCTTTAAGACAAGCAACTTGCGCGCCGGAGACGTGGTCAAAGATACGAACAGTGTTATCGTTGCTCCCACTAACAATCCGCATGTCATCCGACTGAACGCAAGCTATGCCTTTTTCATGACCAGGGATTACCCTTTTGCAGACACCATTGCGGACGTTCCAGACCCTGATCATCCGGTCGCCAGAAGCTGAAACAATCTCATCATTGTTCAACTGAATAGCATTGACGGCAGCTGTGTGCCCGGCGAGCGCCATCAGCAGAGAATACGGTGCGAGAGTACGGATATGGTTTTTGGCGATCTCAGCCTCTAAAACCGGCGACGGTATCTCGCTAGTGTCAATGATATACGGCGGGTATGTAACTCCAACTCCGTGAGAGACATTAGGATAGGCCTCGTCGAGCGGCGATAAATGGCGTCGGTTCCAGACTTTGATAAGTTTATCCTTTGAGCAAGTGACAAGATACCGACTGTCAAATCTGAGGTTCAGCACAGAGTCATCGTGCGCAGGAACAATTTCATGGATCTTTTCGCCGGTGGAGAATCGCCATACGATCACGCTCTTATCGCTGCTGCCGGATACGATAATATCTTCAGACGGGCTAGGATCAAACTGAAGACAAAGCACTGATTTTTTGTGTCCAAGGAGCGGGCGGTGCCACAGCCTCTTTGTCTCCAAGTCCCATACTCGAACGGTTTTGTCCCGGCTGCCACTGACTAGCCATTTGCCAATAAACTGGATCGCATAGACACATTCCCCATGAGCCTCGTCCATATGCGCGGGGTGCGGAAGTTGGAAATTTGTGTATCGTCCTTTGACCCAGTTATCTTCCAAGCGCCGGCGTTGACGGTATAAATAAGGCCAGTCAACCTTGGCGGACCCATTGGGCATTCGGATAAGAAGGGGTGATTTGGCTGATAGTGTTCTTTGGATCGCTTTTGGCGGGTAAATTTGGGGACCATCCTTGTTCTCAGTCTCCCGCGGATTAGAGGAAGACGTATTTTGTAACTCAGATAATGGAAGGTCGCCGTCTATTTCGACCTTCTGGGCGACCTGCAATTGTTGGACCTCTGCAGCACTTACGCTGTTATCGTCGGATCCCATAGACCGCGAGTCCAGCCACCCAGAAGGTACGCGCTTTTTCAGTTTCGGCTCGCCTAGGTCTGTGTCTGCGTACCTCGAGCGCGATTTTCGAGATTGGGGCAATGCGGAATGTTCCTGCTCGAAAGCGTGGATCGCATCAATATCCACACGCCATCCCTCACCAATATATAGGTCTTTCCACAAGCGTGAATCAAAGACACGACTCCGCCAGGCCCGTGAGGCCAAGGACGCTGTCAGCAGTGTCCGAGGGTCAAGATATGAGAAGATTTCGGAGGTGATTTCCGGTGGGAGCTTGAGGACGGGGTCCATATGCAACAGCGGGGTTAATCGCTCCACGACTGAAGCGACAGTAGATGTGCGCAATGTGAGGAGAAGGTTGTACGCGATCTCTGAAAATGAGTGACAAGTAAGTAGTGAGTAAATGTGGTGTGCTATCCTTGAAGCCGGCACGCGACTGAGAGGAGGCGCCACTTACCAGCTCTTTCGACCTCGTTATGAGCAAGCACCCATTCAGGAATGGACATCACATCGTCCGAGGGAGTACGCGAGAGCTCCTTATCTGCTTGGCTTCGAGAGTCATCCGAATAACCTTCATCTAACCTAAACGGCGCTGTGGATAGAGAGGGGGTGGTCAGGTCAGAGCGGTAGAGACGAAGAGGGATCGAAATCTCAAGCCCGTCCTTGTCTCTCGCCATGGGAAATTATCCACCGAGAAAATCCGGCAGCGGAGAGGTTAGTTGTCCCTCAACACTATGTTATTCCCACCCGCTCTCACGGAGCTGCCGAGAGACGCGCCCTTCTGCCTAAGGCGGTGGGTGACTCGAAGGCTCCAGTTCGCCTCCTCACTCCAGAGTACGTTGTGTCCGAGGCTCAGTTGCGTGGAAGGGCAGAGAACAAGGTTCCTAATGGAAAGTACTACGTAAAGGACAAGGGGGGCGTCGGGATGACGGAGTCGAGCCGTTCCAGAGACAATGAGACACTGAAGCGTGGAATGTACCTAGGTACCCACCCGCATGATCTAGATAGGATACTACTAGTAGATATGGATTAAATAATGGCCTACGAGTGCCCCATCAAACACATCATTACAATGACTTGATTTTGGAACTATAGAGATGGGAGTAGACCGAGAGCAAGTATATGTCTCAGCGAGTTGGCACTCTCATGACAAGGCTTAATACTTCCTAAGATTCGAGGCTGGGTTTTGCGGAACACGAGGGACGAGTTTTACATCTCATCAATATTATCCTTCTTCCAAGTACGTCTTGAATATGAGAGAGTCATACAGTCGTCGAGCAGTTGTTGAGGAAGCCGGGTAGGAATTCGGTTCGACTGGCAGCCCAGCTTTGCAGCGTTTGGGGTACGAATTAGTAGATACTCCTGTAGGTACTGGGTAGAACCTCGGATATCTGGACACCTTCGGCCGATAAGCAGACTTAGGAACTATGAAGAGAACAGCTGTTCTTTAGTTGCATCGCTAAGAACAGTATGATCATTATTATTGAAAGAAGGACTGCAAACAGGATGTATCAGATTGCCGAACCGACGCTTGTTGACTTTGAAACTGGCCATCTTGTGTTTCCCCACCCCGCTAAAACTGAATCGCCTTGCTGCATGAGCTTAAGGTTCTTCTTTTGTTTCTTCTCACAGCCGTTGACTCGGTAGTACTAGCGTGGGAAATGAGCTTGGCTATGCAAAAGAGATTACATGGCCATAGAAACCGCTTGAACAAACCACTTTCTGAAGCACAGGGACCGTAACTTCCGGTGGGAAGAAACTATGATTCGAGACTTTGTCGCCCGTGACAGGGCATGAGAGTTCTGACGCAAGTCCTCCAGGATCAAGGTGTATGCAGAAGACGTTGGACTAGTCAGAATCTCAAACACTTGGTGTGTGAGAGGCGTACGAGGCGTGTTCATGCATCCGATGCAGCACCCAATATTCTCAAGAAGCCGAGCTTGGGCGTCTGACACAGAGGAGAAGTGTCTTCCGGAAGCAACACTCTCAAAAGAGTCCAGTGTGCAGTCTGCGTTGTTGATGGGTAGTAGTAGTAAGATAGTAGTCAAGTTTGACCCCTCGTTTTGCCCTGGCCTCCATCGTCCCAAATTGGTAACAGGACCACATCCCGGAGCTGCCTGGAAATTCAGGTTTACTTCCATTCGCCCTCCAGACTCCTTCAGTTTCTTCCTAATTCTCCTTCGTCGTGTCCATCTTCTTCTCTTTCCCTCCCTTCTTGGATTTCGGAGAGCATAATTATTTAATCTCCTTTGATTCTTATATCTGTCTGCCCAACGTACTTTCCAATCCCCTTACCGTAATAATACTTCGGCGCTCCTGATCTCCTCCAGGGTTCCAGCCTGGCTGCAGCGGCAACCCCACACCCACCCTCTCTTTTCGATCTCGATCCCTCCCAGTTAACTGCAATTTTGAGCTGGCCAGCAAGGGGCATAGAGAGCTGTGTTGATATTTATAATCTCAAACTTCGAAGCGTCGATCAAGCATTCTCTTATCAAAGTATGTTATGCCTAACTCTCCATATTGCTGATCTGGCGGTTGACTCAGCTTTGGAAGCATAGTTACCACCACCACCGCTTTGGCATCTCCACTCCTTTTCTTAGCTGCTCGCTTGCGCCATCCGTCCCGCATCGGTCCACTGGCTCGCGTTCTTCAGTGCTCCATGCTTGACTTGACGACTCTCGTACAACCTCCGCTGGCCGCCACGACTGTCTTTGCCTCTTCCATTCCTTCGTCTGCTGTGCAGATTTGAGCCTCCTGTTCCCCGTCGCTAGCCGATTGCCCTTTCGTCCTTTTCCACCAAACGGGCCCAGTCGGTGGACGTCGCCATGGCTGACACCGCTGGCCTGAACGGCGGTCCCGTCGCCGAAGACAATATTATAAACCGCCGCGGCAATGAGGGTATCTATCAGAGCTGCGTCAACCTCAAGAAGCGGCTTGCAGAAGTCCCCGATTTCGAGCCTTATCTGCAGGAGATGGAGGAGGAGGATAGGGTGCAGGGAACCGCCGATCCCGTCGCCTCGCTGTGGAATTTCCTCCGACGTGGCTACCCTCTGTTAGCCATCTACAACGCGTCTCTCCCGAATGAACCCTTGGAGGTCGACACCACCAAAGTCCCCGAAGCGAGACGCCCCAAGGCGGCGACCTTTAAGTTCCTCCAAGCTGCGATACAGGAGCTGGCCTTTCCACAGCAGGACTGTTTTCTCATCACGGATCTGTACGGCGAGAACACAATCGGGTTTACCAAGGTGATAAAGATGGTCAATCGCGTCCTAGACATCCTGGAGATGCAGGGCCAGCTGAATAAACCATCTGACACTGGGATAGCCGCTCCGGCGACAGGAAGGAAGCTCACCAAGCGCGAGCACATTTTGAAAGAGTTGTTGGAGACGGAGCGCGACTATGTCCATCATCTTCAGAACCTGCAGGCGCTCAAAAAGGAGTTGGAGGACACCGGGGCTCTGACTGGTGATGCCAGCCATCAAATCTTCTTGAACCTGAACAACCTCCTTGATTTTGCCCAGCGATTCTTAATTCGGCTGGAACAACACTATGCTTTACCCGAGGAAAGGCAAAACTGGGGTGATTTGTTTACGGCCCAGGAGGATGCTTTTCGTCAGTATGAACCATTCATCGCGAATCAACTACGGTGTGATCAAACATGCCAGAAAGAATGGGAGAAGATTCGTTCGGCGCCGCGCTCTCTTGATCTACAGCAGATGGTTGCGCAACAAGCTACTCTTAATGGGTTTTTCGTCAAGCCCTTCCAGCGCTTGACCAAGTACCCACTGATGCTCTCAGTAAGAACACCCCTGCATTATAATCTTTTCAAGTGCTGATACAAGTGAACAGGAATTGCGCAAACAGATGGAGGACCCGGAGCTTCAGGCTGATATTTCGCGCGCTATTGACGGAATTCAGTCTGTGCTTGATTCTGCCAACGATGCTATTGACAAGGAGCAGCTAGCCTCCGCATTTAGAGATCTCGACGAACGAGTCGACGATTGGAAGGCCCTCAAAATCGATTCCTTCGGCGACCTCCTCCGTTTTGGGACATTCACAGTCATCAAGGGTGACAACGGTAAAGATTCAGAAAGAGAGGTTGGTACACTTCCATGCGCCTATGCGCTAAACTGAGTAACTTGACATTCGCCGGCTGACTTGTTGTGTTTTGGGATCTAGTATCACATATATCTCTTCGAACGGATTTTGCTCTGCTGCAAGGATATAAACCCAAATAAACAGAAATCCAGACTAGTCGTGGGCAGCAAGGACAAGCCCAACGCAGGCAAGAGCAAAGCTCGGCTTCAGCTCAAAGGCCGCATCTACATGGCGAATGTGACTGATATTGTCTGGCTGCAAAAACCAGGTAAGAGAAATCGTGTCATTTTCTTTTCATTTGCTGACGTCCTTGTTCCCTCGCACAGGGTCCTACCGTATCCAGATTTTTTGGAAAGGAGACCCTGGAGTGGTAGACAACTTTGTCATCCGCTACCAGAATGAAGACATAATGCGCAAGTGGTACAAAGACATCAACTATCAACGTGAAGTGCAAGCAGAGCAGCGGATCTCCCGACATACTGGCACCTCTGATAGTGAATTCACATACTTGAGATCCATGACCAACATTCCGAACCCTTATCAGCAAGAATATGATGCCGAGGAATTGGCCACCAAAGAAGCGGGCTTCTTTTCCGAATTTCCCATGAGCCGCAATGCCTCAAGTACCAGCCTCCGAGCCCGATCTGCGACAGGCGGCAGCGGCAATTCTGGCCCTCCACTATCCACAAGTCGGCCCCGCTATCCAGCAATGCCTGACTCAACACTTTCGGTACATACACAGTTTCCTGGCGGCAGTGCATTCCCCGGGTCACCAGCCGAAAGGAACGCCAGTTCATACTTTTCACCAGTCGCCGAAACCCCCTCAACCAGGTCAAGCTCCCAATCAACAGCTGGTTATCCATATAACCGCCAGTTGACTCCAGCCACCACATGGAGCGAGGATAGCAACCGATACACGGCCCCTGCTTTGTCTCGTGCGACGTCCAGGGACGGCACCAACTCGACTTCATATTTCAATGGCGCGCCGCCCAATGGGCGAAGCGCCCAACGCCCCTCTTTGCCTCCCTTGTCAGCGCACAGCCAATCGTCCAACGGCACTGCGCAGAGAATGCGCTCTGCCAGTAGCCCTGACATTCACCATCACAACCCTGAATCGCGCCGTTACATGGGCGCACATACAATGCAGACGGTCGATAATGTGCCTGTACCACCTATTCCTGCTCATATGGCCAACATGAAGGCGCCAGTCAGTCGCAGCCAGAACAATTCTCCAACAAATCATAACCTTCCGATCCGAACTGCGAATCATCTTCCTTCGAATGCCCACGCTAATTTCACCGAGCCACAATACTCCGAAGGGCGACCGGGCGGGCCTAATTCTGATCAGCCAACATCACCATTGAGTCACGAACCCGAGGAGGAGCCTTACATGCCTACGCAGCTGAAGGCGAAGGTGAACTTTGACGAAAACTACGTCACGTTAGTGATCTCAAGCAACATCATGTTCCGTACGCTCACCGATCGGGTCGATGCCAAACTCGCCAGATTCACCAATCGCTCGATTGGCAATAAGACTGTTCGTTTACGCTATCGTGATGAAGATGGGGACTTCGTGACTATCGACAGTGATGAAGCCGTCCAGTTAGCATTCATGGAGTGGCGAGAGCAGCATCGGGATATGCTTTCTAGAGGTCAAGTAGGCGAAATTCAACTCTACTGTCAAGCGGTTGAAAACTAGCTACTGTCTCATTTAACGACCATTTATGGAATCTTGTTTTCCTCCCATATTACCTTGGCTTCCATGTCTTGATCTGTTCTCCGAACAGACGGAGGCATGCCTATGATATGATGATGTTTGTTTCATATTGTTCCATTTACTTCCCATCTATTCGTCGTTTGGGCAAGTTGCGATGTTTCCAAGTCCACGGACCATGATTGCATGATGTATGTATAACGCTGCACGTTTTCCCGCAGGCTTTTCCCAGGTGACACGATGTATAGTGTTCTTGCATTGTTAGGGCTGGATTCTGTTGTTGACCTTGGGCGGCCTTTGTTACTCTGTCCTGTCGGGGCTGCCGGGCTCTGCTCTCGTCAGCCGCCGTAGCCGGCTGAGACAATGTTTGATATTGCTTTTGATTTCATTACGGACTAGACTTGCGTATTATTGCATATGACGAGATTCAGCTTTCAGTGAATGGGGAAAGTTTCATACCAGGACCGAATGCGCCTTAGGAGGCGGTGGACGGGGAGGAGAAAATTTCACGCAGGTCATCTCATTATACTTTCTGGGAAGCACACCACCGTTTCTGATTCGACGCTGCCACGGGCTGGGAAGAAGCAAAAAAACGGGGCCTCAGTTTGGCCAAAAATACCTTTGCTTTCCGATTTCCATGGTCCATCTCGTCTTGTACGTTGTATATCTTGACAAAACTCCAGGAACATTTGAGTATCGGCTTCCAAGCCTCTCGGATCCTCTCCGACGGGCCCAGCCGATCGGGATTATAGGCCCAGTATAAATTAATTATAGAACCCACCTGGCACCAAAAGGCTTGTGAAGATTCAAGACACAGTCCTCTGTAGAACAAGGCAATGAGGCATTTTCAGGAGCTGACGAGCCCGACGCCCAACGCGAAAGACAACTTGGCAGTGCACTGTTCAACGCGCGATTAAGCACGATGAGCTCAGGAGATGTCAGTCCTTATAAAGGCAATACGTGGACGGAGCCCCGGCCTCTGCGCTGTTATAAAGTCTGGAAGCCTCCACCTGGCAACTGCAACTTCTTGACATTCATATTTTCAGACTCTTCGTCTCCGCACTGCTCTACTGAGTCTACATTTGTCACGGTTCAACGAGATACGTATTCTTAATCATACTCATTCACCATGTCTTTCTCTGGACGTCGTGTGAGCATTCTGCGTCCCTCCAATCGCCGCTTCTCTTTAGGCAAGGAGCTGTCCACAAACGGTGCGTTTCTTGGCTTCTTTGCTTTTGTCGGGCATTTTCCCTGTCTCTACTCCGTATCCTTGACCCCCCTGCTTCCATGTTGCTGGGATCTCGCTACACCATGCGGTCCTGAAAACTCCATCGGATCCTGCTCCACCGCTCTTCTAGCTTTTCGCTCTGTACACAACAGCACCAAACTAATGAGTTGAAAAGAACTCCAGTCCGAAACCCATCGCCAATTCCGAACCGCTCATGAAGGCCACCGACCCCATGCCGGTCTTGACGCCTCCCGTGCCTCCACTGGTGTAGTATGGTGCACCGAGCGTGCCACAGAACACGGCTATGCAGAAGATCCCTCCGCCTGGGCCAATCTCGGTCAGGGCGCCCCCGAGGCCGATGACGAGATTGAGGGCAGTTTCCCCCGCCCTGAGAGCATCCCGATCACCTCCGCTGCGCGAGAGTACGGGCCGACCGCCGGTATCAAGCCCCTTCGTGCCGCCGTTGCGCGCCTTTACAACGAACACTACCGCCAGGGCAAGGAGAGCCAGTATACATGGGAGAATGTGTGCATTGTCCCCGGTGGTCGCGCCGGGTTGATCCGTATTGCGGCCATTCTAGGCAACTCATACCTTTCGTTCCCTATCCCTGATTACTCCGCATACTCCGAGATGTTGAGTTTGTTCAAGAACATTGCTCCTATTCCGATGCCGCTTGCCCAAGAGGACCATTACCACGTCCACCCCGACAAGATCGCCGAGGAGATTGCTCGCGGAACCTCTGTTATTCTCACCTCAAACCCCCGCAACCCGACTGGACACTTCCTGTCCGGCGAGGAATTGGCGCAGATACAGGACATCTGCCGTGACCGCGCCACTCTCATCCTAGATGAGTTCTACGGCGGTTACAACTACACCACCGACTGCGACGGAACCACAATCAGCGGTGCCGCCAACGTCGTCGACGTTAACAAGGACGACGTCCTCCTCATCGACGGTCTCACGAAACGCTTCCGTCTGCCCGGATGGCGTATCGCCTGGGTTGTCGGACCCAAGGAATTCATCGACGCCCTGGGCTCCGCAGGCTCATACCTCGACGGCGGCGCCAACGCCCCCTTCCAAGAAGCCGCAATCCCCATGCTCGAGCCTTCGCTCGTGCACACCGAAATGAAGGCTCTGCAGAGCCACTTCCGCGAGAAGCGCGACTTTGTCCTCAAGCGCCTCCACGAGATCGGCTTCCGCGTCCAGGATGTGCCCCAGGCGACATTTTACATCTGGCTCGACCTGACCTCCCTCGACCCCCCTCTCCCCAAGGAAGCCAACATCTCCGACGGTCTGAACTTCTTCAACGCGCTGCTCAGTGAAAAGGTCATCGTCGTCCCCGGTATCTTCTTCGACCTCAACCCGGCCAAGAGACGTGATCTCTTTGACAGTCCCTGTCACCACTTTGTGCGTCTGAGTTATGGGCCCAAGATGGATGTGCTGAAGAAGGGTCTCGATGGTATTGAGCGCGTAATCCGCCGTGCGCGTGGCGAGCACTATGAACCTGCGCTGGAGGACGAGGTTGCCATTGAGGATTAGATGTCGCTTCTTTGTCTTCTTTTCTCTCTCTGCATTTGATTCCGGGCGTTTCACTTTATATACATAGAAGCCTAGACATTCTTAATACACTTGCATGGACGCTTTACGAGGAGCTTGATTGAGTAATTGTTCGACCAGTATGCTTTCAGTAAGAGGCTTACCGAGTTGCGCAATGATATGCTTGGTGAGAAGTTCGATCACTAGGGTGCTTCGTGTTGGATCCCTTGATTAGTTGTGCTTAGGGTGCTTGTTGAGGTGCTTACATGATGCTCAGTAAGAGTCGGGCTGTGTTAGAGACAAGCTACTGGACTACTGTTGCTGGACTGTGTATTTATGAATTTTCATCATTTTTTATACATATCTAAGATGCTAGTATGTAACAGACTACCCGAATATTTCCCCCACAAGAACTCCGACCGGACGCCGCACGCAACGTTCAGCCAAACATGAATCAGATCGTCACATTCATTTCTTGTGCTTGTTGTATGTATCAATGACCTTTTGCACCTCGTCCTTAGAGCCGAGGAACACACCGCTCCGGTCGTGGATGTGCTCAGGCTGGACAGAGAGCAGGCGCTCCATGCGCGAGTTCACAGCGAGACCGCCAGCGTTCTCGAACAGCATCGCCATGGGCGCGCACTCGTACAGGATACGGAGCTTACCCTTGGGACTCTTGGAGTCGGCGGGGTAAGCAAAGATACCGCCGTAGAGGAGGGTTCGGTAGGCGTCTGCGACCATGGAACCGATGTAACGGGCGCTGTACGGCTTGCCGCCCTCACCGGGGTGCTTGAGGGAGTGGAAGTAGGCGTTGCACCAGTCGTCCCAGTACATGCTGTTACCCTCGTTGACGGAGTAGATGGCGCGCTTGGTGGGGAGCCGCATGTTGGGGTGGGTGAGGATGAACTCGCCGAGGGAGTTTTCCAGCGTGAAGCCGTTGACGCCGCCGTTCTTCATGGTGATGACGAGCTGCGCGGAGGCGCCGTACATGGTGAAGCCCGCGGCGACCATTTCCGTGCCGGGGCGGAGGATGTCCTTGGCCGTGACGGATTTGCCGGGGCCGAGGATGTCGTCGGGGAGCTTGAAGATGCCGAAGATGGTTCCTACCGAGACGCCAGCGTCTAGGTTGGAGGAGCCGTCGATAGGGTCGCAGACCACAGCGTAGCGGGCGTTGGGGTGTTCGTCGAAGATGATGGCCTCTTCTTCTTCCTCGGAGACGAGGATGCGGCACTTGCCGGAGCCCTTCATGGCGGCGATGAAGACATCATTGCCGATCACGTCCAGCTTCTTCTGGTCGTCACCGGTTGTGTTTGAGGATCCGGCGAGACCGGTCAGGTTGATCAATGTGGCACGACGGATGTAGTATGCTATGGACTTGAAGGAGAATTGCAGAGCGTGGCAAAGTAATCTGAGTTCAAAGAGAAGTTAGCCAGGATAGCCCTTTGTTGCAAAAGGCAGAGAAAACTCACGTGAAGTCACCAGTGGCTTCAGGGACCTTGGTCTGCTCCTCAGTAAGGAACCTTGTGAGGGTGACAATGTCAGTGTTGATGTTCTCATTGCCTACAGCACCACTGTTGCCGTTTGTAGCCATGATTGCGGACTGTGTGTGAAGACTGAGATATGGAAGAGTGGAACTGAGAGAGTTCGCGGGGTAAGAATGTGCTTTATAGCAGCCGACCTCGGTTCAGCGGGGAAAGCAGGAGAGTCGCCTATCAAAGGACTAGATCGGAGGACGGGGAGGAAGGAGAGAAGAGCAGAGATATATACGGCTCGCAACGAAGTATAACCGGAAGATCGAGGAGACCTGCAGGATGAGTAATTTCTAGGTACGGAGGAGAAAAGATGGAGAGGATTGATTGATTGCGGACTCCTCAAGTCCGCCCGTGGAAGAAGCATCACATTATATAGAAATGCAGCGCGCCTCCGAAGAGGAGCAATCTTTTACCGGGCAAGTCGGGCAGGTGAACGAGCCAGAACGTCAGAGCTCAGCCTGCTGGTGGAGCGGTTTGACGCCATGAATTCGAGAGCTGGAGTCGATCGGGTTTTCGTCATACAAGAAGGTTAACCGTGGTCACGACCCCGCGCTAAGCCTCTTTGGGACCACTGCCGGCTCTTCCTTTTGCTGAAGCCGAAAGAGCCCCCGATTTCCCCCGCGAATGTTTCTCATTGTATGGCCAGAGAAGGCTAGATACGGAGGCTCTCGCTTGCAGTGGTGGAATTATTATTGTTAGCTCCGGGTTATTTTGCAGCGAGTTGCGATAGGATTGAGATAGATTCACGATGGAGAAGAAATGCAGGGGACCAGTGATGATCAACAACAGGCACTTCACCCACATCCAAGTTCCAACAGGTCCAGCAAGTCCACCAACACGTAATACTGATAATGCAAGTCGGACAAAGGGTCGAATTATTCAAACGACGACCAGGAACTGGAAGAGTGGATTTCACAGGTCACCAGACCGGCAAATTTGACCTCTGGTCGAAAACTCTCGCTAGGCACATGATACGTTTTTCATGAGTAAGAATCGATAGTCGAGCCCCTCACTGCTGCTACTTCCCCTGATCCTCTACTCCCGCGTGACATGGCTGGATGCTGACAACCTGAGGTCCAGAACTAAACCTCCATCTTCGCATTCCGCGATGCCGCAGCAGCCTCGTTGTGCACCTGCACGTCTGTCTTGTAGCTCTTGAATTTCCTCGCCGGAACTCCCTTGGCAAACATCTCGTCCAGTTCCTGGAACGAGCGCCCACTGGTTTCGGGTTGCCACAGCCACAGGTACAGCAAACACAAGCAGCACATTCCCCCAAAGATAAACGCAATCTTCCCGCCCAGGTTGCCCTTGTCTGGATTGAACATGAAGGGGATGACAAACTGCCACATCACATTGATCCCGCTGTGCACTGCATAGCCGATGGCAACCGTTTTGATGCGCAGCCGAGACGTGGCGACTTCCGACAGCAGCGAAAAGGCCGTGGAGCCGATCGAGGCATTGTACCACCAGCTGTAGATAAGGATAAACGCGACGGTGCCTCTTATTTCAGCTGGGGATCCTCCGACCGCGAGTCCACCAGTGATGAGGAGGAACGCTGTTAGGATGATGAGGCCATAGAAGGTGAGGTTGCGTCTTCCGACGTAGTCGATTGTGGCGGCGGCCATCAGGTTGCCGACAATTGATACAACAGGCTGCGCAATCTGGATTCGGTAGCTCAAGTCGGTCGAGTACCCAGCCAGCTGTAGATAGTATGTGAAGTAGCCGGCCACGAAGCTGATGCCCGAGAAAGACTGAATGCAGTAGGGCATGATGGCGATGATGGTCCGGCGGAGGTTCGATTTGCGAAAACATTCCAGATACGTTACGCCCTCGGTCTCAGCGCGGACATCCTCCAGCGTGAGCTCGATGAGGGCCAGCCTTCTTTTTCCTTCGTCGCCAGCGAGACTGAGCTTGTTGAGACTTCGCAGTGCAGCCTGGTTTCGTCCCTTTGAAGCCAGCCACCAGGGAGATCTATCACAGAGGTCAGCATCTATAGTCTCCACTCCTTGAATGAGCACACTTACTCTGGCATGAACGGCACGAAGATGGTTGCAATACCAGCAAAGCCGAACTGAGCACAGAATACGGCTCTATATGCCCAACGCGAATCCAGCTGGCCCGTGTATCGAATGACGATGAAGGCGACTAGTGGCCCCAGTCCATAAGCCACTCCGATGCAGCAAGTGAAGATACCACGCAAAGCCAGCGGAGAGATCTGTTAACTGTCAGCAAGATAAACACTTGGTGACCCAGTTTGATATCTAGCATACCTCTCCGATATAGGTTATCATGACTGTGGCTACAGTTCCTACCATGAACCCATTGAGGAACTTGCCAGCGAAGAAGACGGCATTTGACGTCGCGACAAACTCGATAGCAACAGCAACATAGGAGATGACCAAGGCAGCCATAAGAGTCTTCTTCCGGCCGAACATGTCCGCGGCCTCGGCAGCAATGAGCGACGAGATAATGGCCCTGCTGGCTTTTAGAACGACATATCCAGACAATGAATGCGAAACAACGTACGTAGCAATAGGGGCACCCCCAAATGCCGACTGCCATCTCGCGGGAAGCACATAGTCACCCTCGTACTCATATCCAAAGTCCTTTCGAAACTCGGGTATTCCAACAACAGCTCCAGCGGCTTGTACGTCGAAGCTTAGTAGGGTGATGCACCAGATCGCATAGACACACCACACGCACGCGCCCGGGTAGCGGATGAAGGATTGGTATATGCCCGTCTGGTGCTCTTCATGGTTGGACATGTGGGCTTGTTGGTGATTTTTCGTCAGCTCGATCTCCTCGGCAGCAGGGCCATCGCCATGCTGGCTGTGCACTTCTTCAGGATTAACCATCTTGTTGGATTTGGTAGTCTAATAGGAGGTATGTGCTTCAGAAACGTTAATGATATTCAAGGTCAAGGGCAGAACTATGGTGTTTTTATATCGTAGACCCCCTAATTCACCACTGTATGGCACTAACTTCCTCTCTTGCGCAGGGTCATGACCCCATGGGGTTGACATTCAGCCAAGCCCTATACGCTTCCCAGCAAGGCATGTATAGCCACGCGAGGCGGTTGGGATTTCCCATTCAATAGTGATGCTGACGTCGAGTATCTGGGCAACAGGTTAAAGGGTCTCCAAATTGTAGCTTTGGAGCCGATGAGTGGTGGCATTATTCATCCCGTACCGTAACCCTAATCCTTCCCCGGGATTTTGTCAAAGCCAATGAGAAGCTCCCAGGAACAGCCACGAGCGCGCCTGGCGATCCTGGCCAGATGGAGTTGGAGATATCCAGTTCTCCTTCAGGGCTTGAGCTTGCTCTATTCAGACTGTGTAGTCGTGTCGAGTGAGATATTGTTGGTGTCAGTCACTCCTCAGGTCGTGAGAAGATAGCAGAAAGGGACTCAAGATTTCCTCGGTTTAGTGTACTCAGACTCTCATTATCGGAGGATTGAACTTCCACCATTCATGATATTGTGGCTGCAGTAGGAGTAATTGAACTCAATGAGACGGAGCCCACTTGGAGTTGGTGTCTGAAGAAGCATACAGCGACTGCCCAGGAAGGAGTACCCTTTGCGCTTAGAGTTGCCTGTAGGAAGCCGAGCAAAGAAGATTCGCCTTGTGAGCTCATGAATCTATAAGTTCCTTCCAGCTGCTGCTCACTCCGATCACATTTCACGCTGTCAAGCCTCGCTCTTTAACATACCACAGCCATGGCCTCGCCCTCATCCACCTCTGTTCTTTCGTTCTCTACCAAACACAGAGTCTTCATCCTTACCGACATCACCAATGAACCAGACGATGCAGAGTCCTTCGTCCGGTATCTCACCTACTCAAACCAATTCCAAACGGAGGGAGTTGTAGCCACTACCTCAACCTGGCTGAAGAACAAGGTTGCACCAGAGAACCTACACGAGATCATCGATGCATATGAGCTCGTGGTTGATAACCTCAACAGCCATGCTCATCCAAGCTCCCCCTATCCATCTGCACAGGAGATGCGGGACCTTGTCCGCTCCGGTCCTCCGGTAAGATAGACCACACATTGAACCTCGAGAATGCGAACCGAGGTAGCTGATGGATTAATAGGTCTATGGAATGGCCGCAGTCGATGACGGCATCCCCCTCAGCCCAGGCGGCGAGCTCCTCCTAGAGCGTCTGCAAGCTGACAACGACCAACCCCTCTGGGTCCTAATCTGGGGCGGCTCCAACGTCCTCGCTCAAGTGCTTTACAGGATTCGAGACCGGCCCGACGCGGCGCAGTTACGTGCAAAGCTGCGCGTATATGCCATCTCCGACCAGGACGACACGGGCGCTTTCATCCGACTTCGTTGGCCTGAGATATTCTACATCTGTTCCGTACATGGTTGGTCGCAGTACCCTAATGCCGCTTGGACGGGAATTTCTGGAGAGCACACTGGAGAGCAAGGTGGGCCGGACGGCTCAAAGGTTACCCATGAGTGGATAAAGGACAATATACAGATTGGCCCCCTGGGCGCTGTGTATCCTACCTTCATGTTTATCCCTGAGGGGGACACACCGACGTTTCTGTACCTTATTCAGAACGGACTCGGCGTCCCTGAGGAGCCATCGTATGGGTCGTGGGGAGGACGATATCTCCCAGTGAATGTAGGTAAACTGGGTTATCCACGGGGCCACTTTGCCGATGCCGCGGATGAAGTTGTTGGGATAGACGGACGGAAATTCAGATCGAATCGTGCGACGATCTGGCGGTGGAGGAATACATTTCAGGAGGACTTTGCAGCGCGCATGCAGTGGACCTTGACGGGTGACTTTTCCAAGGTCAATCACCATCCTGTCATATCAATCAATGGCGAGGCACCTGGGATCCAGCCTATATTTTTCGAGGCGGAGGCAGGATCGACGATCACTCTTGACGCCTCGTTAACCCATGACCCAGATGGAGATGACCTATGCTTCCATTGGTTCCAATACCGAGAACCGAGTGCTACCCAGACTTATCACACCACGAAAGAGGTAGCTGAGCTGGGAATCAAGGCGCTGAACGATACTAAAACCAAGGTTGAGGTCTCAGTTCCACCGTGGGAACGCTCGTGCATGGTTATCCGTGAGAAGACTCCCCTTGAGAAGGGACCTTTGCTTCACTTGATCTTGGAAGTCAAGGATAGTGGCTCGCCTCCGTTGACGAGCTATAGGAGGGAAATAATCCAGCCGTACAATAGTAACTACAAGCCTTGATAGATTGGGATTTAGTTGTCACGTTTCTATGAGATAAATGGATATACTTACTTTTCGACCAAGCTAGTTCCTCAAGGTACGTGGAACGTGTGAAGTGGGTGGGAGTGCTGGGATGAAGGTGATGGGTTGAGTGATCTCGGTGGTGTTGGATTCAATGTACTGATGTACCGATCTGGAGATATTATCCAATCTTTATCCGCCTCGTTTCGTCGTGGGATCTTGAAGCGGCCAGACATCCTCCCAGAACGCCCTCTCTTGCTCATTCGTCGACTCGAGTCAAGTAGCTCTCCTTGGCCTCGGCAAGTCTCCTGACCACTTCGTCGTAGTCTTGAGGAGACACTGCACCATTCCAGCCTGGATAGAGGCATATCTCATCAAGTATCCGTGCCTTTCAACGTCCCTTTCCCACTTGGGATAAGATCTTGCCGTTTGTAGAAGGCCCCATGGCATGGGAACTGAGATCGTGCAAGGGTCGATGTAATGGTGGCGGCTTGCTTCACAATAGAAAGCTTCTCACGGGGCTTGAGCTCATCCCATTTTTAACTGAGTTCTATCCCCAGGGCCTTTTCCATCAGGATGTATTCCGCACCGATCCTGCTCTCAAAAGCTTTAGAGCAATAGGCTAGAATTTGCGGAACAGGAATTTGAAGTCTCTCTTTGACCTTGAAGTATTATGAGTATACCATTGTTTTGACCGAAAGTTGGACTGGATTTTCACATATTGCATAGTAGCTACCTCAGATGCAGTGGTGTAATAGGTGAATCCGCATTGGGGCCTGGAATTTTTACAACCAGCTCCTTTCCACTGCGCATCATTGCAAGAAAACGTCTTGTTGGAACTCCCCTCTGGCGGTTTTGACACACTCACGCAAACTGCATCAGATCCCGCAGCATCTTCGACAATGCCCGGGGAGGGCGTTCAGATTAGATTGGAAATATCTGCGTTGCAGCTGTGCTGGCTCGTTCCATAGCCATCTCTGAGCGAAGTATGCCTTGAAAGCCTCTTGGTCAAGATCTATCGACTGGTGAGCCGTATGCTTCTTGGTGTGTGAAGAAGGTAGCCTACTGCATAGGGCGAATATAATAGACATCGTCCCTGTTTTATGCACCGAAGTATATGAGCGAGTGATAATGTGAGATGCAGGAGGACTGCAGTGTTCAAGAATCGAGCCACAACTTCTGGGAGCTCTGGATGGCATCTCGGGATCACCTGTCTTTAGCCCCAAAGGATTGAGACTTGGGTAGCTTGCACTGGCTCAATGATGCCAGGTTAGTAGGAAGCGAGTATCCTAGGCACATTGTTGCGTTGGGCCTGAAGTTCATAGATTGCTGGGACTCGAGAGGATTAAGCCTGGCTGGGTCGGCGCCTCAGGCTACCTTGGTACTAATAGGAGCTAGCTGTAACGGGGCTAGCCTTAAACTAGCGTCTCGGTAAAACTAGCTCCGGTCGGCGCAGGTCAAAAACTTCGTGAAAATCTCCCAGCTCTTTCCTTCAACCAACACTCTGGATATTTTCATCCTCAACCTCCGTGTCATTCAAAATGTATGGGATACGCGGCTCTCATGTTTGAGACACTGCGATTGCAGTCCGATCACCTCCCAATCTTCCACTAACCACCGCCGCTCTCATGACAGTGCTATTTGGTAAGTCTTCGTAAATATCCCTGTCTCGGCTTCCTTCAATCCTTCCCTCCTGTATGATGATAACTAGAACCATATTCAAACTAGAGTCTTTGACCCTTCGGGGCGTGAAAACTCACTTCTTTGCACGTCAGTCTGATGCTTTTGAGGACTTTTGTTTTCACTTGACTGCTTTTTGGCAACATTCGCTAACTTGCTTCAAGATTTAGGACTAATTCTCGGCTGCCTCGCCCGACATGAATGTGGGATTGACTTGATTGGTATGTATTGCTATCAGCCCTCTCTTCGCACTGCACAATACCTTGAATGATGCTCTTCGTATTTTATACGCTGGAAATTACCGACTGAGACCCTCTGGTTTCTGAACGAAAACAAATGGCTATTTCTGACTTGGAACTCTTCTATCCTGCTTGCTTCGAAATCATCTTCCAAGGCAATTGCTGACTATTGCAAGAACCACCTAGGAACATACTCGATCGGATGGTAAGCTCGACATTTTTCTTTACACACGGATGCTTTCGAAGATGAAGCGGCACTGGGCTCCGACAGCGTTCGACAAAACGTTTGGTCGTGACGGATAAGCCATTTTTGTGGCAGGCCTAGAAAACCTCGCCCACTGAGATACTTCTCCAAGCACATGTTTCATGCACCACATGTCTTGCCGAAGGCTAATACCCAAGCCAGGGTTGCGACAAATCGTAATCATTCTCCGAGAACGTTTCTAGGTACGACTTTCTGAGTTTCGTCGGCCCCCCTTCCACATGATGATTTCCTAGATGACGAGTCTTATTCGAGTTATCGATGCAGACAACATCTTTTTTTATACCATTCATGCTTTCCTGAGCTGGATCTCTCAATTGCACATTAATCGTTCTCTTTGAGAAAGTGTTGCTGACTGTTGATCAGATTTAGGTAGGATGACGACAGAATCGCTTAGCACCACCTTGGAACACTGAACTGTACGTCCTGACCGTTCTCGATTTTCCAAATTTCTGCAATGATGAATCGACATCAAACAAAGACAAGCATATGTCCAAGTTGGCCTCGCCGACAAAGACGACAACTGTCATGACTGATCAGTCGCCATATCGCTTCTGCTTGAGAATCGGGTTGGTCTCAGTACTGACGGCTCGTAGTATCCAGACTAGCTTGACAACCTAACTATTTGCAGCTTGTAAATCAAACGTGAGTTCCATCTTGTCTCCCCCGCTTTCCTTTACATGATGATTTTCCTATATTTAATCACGACGGTCAACATATGTCTTCCTTGATGACCACCGCCTGTGACAGGGCATGTATCTGAAAACAATTATTCGATTTGATCTTTCAAGCTTGTCAGTCGTTGAATCAAGCTAACGTATTAAAGTGGCTTCAGGAACCAGCAGCACATCCAGATGCGAGCACCCAGTTTTAGAATCTTACTTCACTATCTAGACGAATTGAAACCATTTCTCGTGGGATCTGTATTGGCTTTCTTCCGCTTCATCTAATCAGGGTCGTAGAACGTGCAGTAGTTCGAGCTCGTGGTCAGACAAGAAAGACCTTGTTCTTGCCAGAGTCAACACTCAACAGCGGATCAGCAGATGGTTGTCGCAAGGTGTGCCTCGATGCTTGTCTTGTCGGCAAGTCTAGCCCAATGGGACAATTGGGTGATCCTACGCTACAGCAAGTGCGGTTTAGCTCGGGCAATCTTTGACAGTCTCCTGTGATCTCAGAGCTGGTTTGCTGAGGGGCGTGGGGAGGGCAGCGACTTGGGCCTGTGAAAAGGCGCCAATGCCAGCTCTAAGCGCCCACTCGACGCCGTCTGTGATGGAACATCCAAGGCTGCAGACAACGGCGCACCTCAAGCCAGAAAAGACTCCGCTCCGGCTTCTGCAACCACGCTGACGGATCCTGACCTGAGGCTGTGTTATTTTTATCTCTTTGCATCCAACAAGAGGCAAGTCTCCACCACATCTGGTTGGCTTGAGAAGTTGAGAATCATCCCGTTGGAGTTGCCCGCTCTTTGTATCGTGCTCACCTCCCCTGGAAGGGACCTGTCGTGTGTTGCGAGGCTTGCGCTCTTTGTGGTCCCTGCTCAACTTTCGTATTCTTCCCCTATTTTCAGCACTGCGCGGATATTCACCATGGCTCCGTGTCTGGTTGGTTCGTGACTGCGCCAGTATGAATAGGTAGGCGCCCGCCCCTCTCCCTCCTTCCCTCCGTTCTTTGTTCTCTCTTATCTCCAGAGAGCTCGCGAGGCTGATTCCACGCGCTCTGTAGCTGGCGGTCTTCGAGTAACACGGGCGACGATCCGTCGTCCAGTCCATATACAGCCAACAACGGCTGGCCGACACCTCGGACCGTGACCAGCAGTCAACCTTCTCCTCGTCGCGAATATGCCATTCAGCCGCCTCCTCTAACCACTGCTTTCAACAATAACCCCCAATTCCAGGGACTCGGTGTTGGACTCGGTGCGGGTTACGCATCAACTCCTCTTTCGACCACATCCTTATCCAGCCCGTTCACTCAATCTCCTGCTGTGAATTCTGCGACTGGTGCAGCTCCAGGATCGTCTCCCATGGCGGCCAGACAGTATAATGTCCCTTACAATAATGTTCCTTACAATCCTCAGGACTGGGGGCCACTCAATAATGGCCCGATGAATGCGAACCAGCCGGCATATTCCTCGTCGGGCAGCATGCTGCGGATCGTGCCACACCAGCGAGCACCTCAGTCAGGTTAGTGCGGAATCTCCACCGCTTGGCCTTGTTTGAAATACATATTCGAGATTGGAGTTCAGGGATAGAGCTGATACGTTAATGTTTAGAATTGTCGCCACCACCTCCACCGTATTCTCCTCCTAGTCAACAACAGCAGGCGGATCTTGCAGCTCACACAACGCCGGTCCTTGATTCCACGTCTCCCAACACCGGGTCGCCATATCTAGGTACAAGCCGGCAACAGTCAATACCTCGCACACGTCCACTCTCGACGGTCCGTGGGGATGGCGGCCACAACAGACAGGTTTCTCTTCCCCCACCTCCACCTTTACCACATGGGGCTCCGTCCTCAAGGTCATCTTCCCATAATCGGGCAGAGGTATACCACGACCAATCTCAGTATAATTCAGGATCTCGGCCTTATATAATGGTTTCGGAGGATAACTTGCAGCATACTCAAATGAACGGCTACACATATACAAATGGCGTACAACGCGATGAATTCGGCCGTGCTCCAAGTGCTAGACGGGCGGTGTCTGCTGGTCCTGTTGTAGGAAGCGCAAGCACGTCGAGGGCTACAAGTCAGTCGAGAAGCGGATCACCCCAGGGACCAGCCTGGGAGCCAGGCATGCCTCTCCCCCCACCTCCTCCAGGACCGCCCCCAGTTCCACGATCGCAGAGCGTGAGCGGGTTAGGTGATGCGTCCTCATCTCGTAGCGCGCAGTCATTCACCAGGGTTTCACGCCAGCCTCCGTCTCTAGGAACGGGGCTAGGGAGTATCCCACCGACACCCGCTGGATGGGTTGATGAAGGCCCGGCCGACACAACGTCAAGGGGGAAAGCTCCGCTCAACATAGACACATCAAATCAAGCAATTTCTCGAGATCTCAACGGCTCTGCGTCAAACGAAGCTTCGAACTCTTCCCGGAACTCCACTAGTGGTGGCCTTTTTCGCAGCCCTGCGGTTCGCGATACCAGCGCGAAGGGAATCCGAGAGCGAAGAATTGAGCGACGGAACAGGCAAAGCCAGATATTGGACGACTTTAGCGCAGTGTCAAACAGCACCAATCCATGGGCTGATGCACTGGATCTAGTGAAGCCCTCTAATCTCGTCCTCGAGGACCAACATGCCGAACAGTCGCGTTCAGATGCGGCGACGAGGTTCACTCCGCGCAGCAATCACAGCGTCACCTCGGATATGCCCACTTCCCAATCACGAGCATCATCGACGAGCCTCTTCTCAGCAAACCGCTCACCCTTCTCTACAGCGCGAGCTGAGCCGAGTCCCCTTGGGCCACCATCGAACAGATACGCTCAAACACCGCCCTTTTCGCCGAATGCTGAGCATTCGTCCACCTTCCCTAAGAGCGCATCACAGACGGTCCCTCCGAAAGCCCTCCCAACTCCTCCGCTGCAATCTGCGCAAGACTCGCGACCATCTTCGGGCCTTGCACGCAGAGAGGAACGACCGGTATCACATATTCTTCATCTACCGAACGATGCTGTAAGCTCGCCGACTTTGCTACCGCGGCGATTGTCAACCCGTAGTGGGCAGTCGCTGGATTCGGTTGTCAATCAGGACACAGAGCTTATCCAAGCCGCGACGCGGAGGCACAAGGAGTTCATCGAAAAAGAAGCTAGCGCTACAGATGAAGCAGAAGCCCTACGGCTCTTTACAGAGTTCATGATTACGGAATCTCAGATTCGGCGTGAGAGATATGCTAAAATTTTCGAGTCTGGCTCCTTCAACGCGGAACCGGTCCAACAACGACTCTTCCAACTACCGCCGAAACCAGCACCCGTGCCGGCAGCGGCCCCATTAAACAGACGATCATTTAAAGCACCTAAATTGGACATTCCCCGCGGAGAATCGTCGTGGAATAACTACCAGCCCTGTCTTTCGCCAATTGCGAGTCTCGGGATCAGCAACGATGAGATGAGCTCTCGTGGACGTGCACCTAGTCGATGGTGGGAATCAAGAACGGGGTCGGGCAGTGAAGGAGGTGAACGTAGAGTTCAACGTTCGAAGCGCGAGTCAAAATACATGGGATTACCGCTTGGGCTCCGAAGTCAAGGTTCGACCGGTAATGGAAGTGTTGATCATTCCTTCGACCACTTCAACCAATATTCAGCATATGGACCGGATGAATATCCGCCTGAAAAAGTGGGATGGCATGAGGATCAGACGATTCCTGAGTATCCTCCCCCTGCGAGCGTGAGCAGCTACAGCGCTTCCACCGCTGAACCATGGCGAATGGACGTCTCGCGGCTTATCACACTTCCACCTCCTTATCCACGGCACTATCCTGCCGTCAATAACAGCCACCCGGAGCTTGTAACATACCGAACAGTAGTGCGGTCAATCAGCGACCACTCCGAGATCAAGTCCACCCGACAACGCCATGCCTCGGATTCGGAAGCCCTATGGGCTGCCCACCACCAGCGCATCAAGGAATACCGCCGCCAATTCAAAACCAACATCCAGAGCCAGATTCAAGACGGCAGCATCAGCTTCGCCGAAGCCGCCGAGGCAGAAGCGGCCCTCATTGAGGATGAAAATCAGCGCGAGCGAGCCCTAACAAAGCAGATCCTCGACACATACCAGGAGTCTGTGCTCAAGCCCTTGCAGGCAATCCTCACTGACCGCATCGACCGCGCAACCGTCTGCATCGACGAACTTCGCAGCAAGCTGTTCGATGACGCACAGCATGAGACACCCGACCAACCTCAGGAAGAGGGCGACGAGAAACCCGAACTCCTGGAGAAACTCACCCAGCTCAAATGGCTCTTCGAAGCCCGCGAGCAGCTTCACCGTGAGATGTACGATCTCATCAGTGCCCGCGATGAACAGTACAAAGCGGTCGTCATCCTCCCTTACAAGCAGAAGAACATCGAGGACAAGATCCGCAGCACGACAGACTTCTTCATCCGCGACGCTCTGGATCGCCGTGCGAACTACGAAGTGAATGCCCTCGCCCGTCTTGAATCGTTTCAAGAAGTCATCGAGGAGAATGTCGTCCGCGGCGTGGAGATGCAACTCTCCGCCTTCTGGGACATCGCTCCTTCCCTCTTAACGCTAGTACAGCAACTACCTGAAAACATGAGCGGGTTCCAGGTGCAGATCCCGCCTAACGAGTACGAGGAGAATCCCAGCTACCACGCACACCCATTGCAGTACCTATACACACTCGTCTCACATGCCGAAAAGTCGAGCTACCAATACATCGAGTCCCAAATCAACCTCCTCTGTCTGCTCCACGAAGTGAAATCCGCCGTGATGCGAGCGAACTGCAAACTCACCGAGACCGAGCGGATCCGCCGCGGCGAGCTCGAGGACGCAGTCACACGGGAAATGCAACATTTCCGCGCGAGCGAGGAACGCTCGCTAACAAACGACTTGAAAGAGAAAGTCGCCACAGTCGAAGAGCAATGGGCCGAGGCACTGGGAAGCCAGATCCAGGCGCTGAGGGAGCGGGTGAGGGATCAATTGGAAAGGGAGGATGGGTGGGAAGATCTAGAGCAGCTGGAACAGGCTTGATTGACTGAACAAACGTGATGTCACCCAGAGCAAGAAATCTTGATGAGAGATGATATGTTGTTGTCTTTATCTGTTCGATTTTGCGAGTTATATCGAGAGATACCCGTATTCGTTCGTTACAATACAGTCTACATGATGTTTTGGGCTCGTGGCAGAGCCTCATGGGTGAACTTGGAGTTCCATCTAAATAAACCAATCATGTGTATGTGAACATGGCGCAGCGTATCCGGGCACGTCCAGTGTGTCTTCTAGCATCGAGGACTTACTAAGTAGTTGCTTGGGAATTCAACTGTGTGCGAACCTCATGAGCGGCCACGTGCCCCTTGGCCCTACTTATGGCGAGGTTAAATTCCCCCGAAGATGGGTCTCTGTGGGTGTGAGTTGACTTCTGGGATGGCGCCCATCACTCAAAGTCAGCCTTCTCTTACGCATAGGTTTAAGATATTCCTGTGCGCCGACAAAAGCGCACACTCTACATATCGAGGCCCTCCCTCCCCTTACTCTCCATCCTCGTCTCCGCAAGTTCAAACCAGGTGTGCTACTACCGGCAGTATACCACGCTCAATGTCTCCTGTGAATGAAACTTTGCATAAACCAACGATCAGGAACCACTCAGCCGTACCTTCCTTGCTCGATAAATTTGAGCATACAAGGAAGGAACGACCGAGTGCTCTCGTTTCTCCTTACTATTCTGTTATAGGAAGGTGCAGGTCGTTCCTTCCTCAGCACACTGTGCATCTTAATTGAGGAACGAACGACCTGCACGAACTAACGTAATTCCCTTTCGTTCCGCCCACCCCGGTCAATCCGCCCACCTAATACACCATATAAACTACCATTTTCTAGGTCATAATATCTTAACCACTTTAGACATGTTAGCTATAAGAGTAAGTATATAAACCCTAAGTCCCTATAAGAGTATGTCAAACTATTTTCAAGCACTTAAAGGTATCTAATCCCTAGAAAACTCTAGTTATGATAAAATACTATAAAATACAGTGTAATTTAAATTACTATAAGGAGTACTTAGTTTTAGAAGATATAGGTAAGGTATATAGTAGGGCTATATACCTAAAGTATATATGCCAAGCTATATTATATATAAGCCTAAGACAGTTAAGATATCCATGTTTAAAAACCAGCAGTTTGTATGGTAAAAAGGGTGGGCGGAGCGACAGGGAATTACGTTACTCGTACCTTCCCGTTTCTTACTAATCTAGCAAAGAGCATCATTGCCACTTGCATAAACTCAATCAATAGTAACGAGTAGTTTGAATAGTATGGTACAAGAATTGATATGTGCAGACTGGGAAGACAACACCGAGATGGAGACAATGCCTAACCGCCAATAGGTAACAAACATTAATATGTACGAAGAATGGTATGGTATAGTATATCCACAAATGCCGCAAACCAGACAGACACCAGAAATAAGATCCGAAGGTTGAATGAGAACTCGAAGAGGGAAAGAGTGGAAGCTGGGTAGGGCGAAAGGGGGAATAATGTAATCATTAAGCCGGAGAATTTTGGCAGAAGCGAGTCGGTTTAGCGGTCTCTATTTTTGTGTTTTGGGTTTTGCATTTTTGAGGATCATTATGGCGTAAAGTGTTGGCTGAGACCAGATTTGACGCTGAGATTCGCTTGCTCTTTCTTCAGGTTCCGGATTATCGTCTCGAGCCTTCGGCGCTCTTCTTGCTCGGCCTGTTGCTCGAGTGTTAGTTTGATCGAAAGCCACATAAGAGGACGTCCACTCACCCTGAGTATCTTCATATTCTCGGCGCGAGTGTCTCGCATCATCTTCTTGAATTCATTCTTCAACACCATTGTAGACGTGGTCTCATACGGTCCATCTCGGCCCATCGAGGAGGCGCTATTGTGGCTACCCATCCAGCTGATTCGTTCCTCATTGATTTGCGTTTCGAGCTGCTCACACCGATCACGAAGTCCGTCGATCATGCTCTCAAAATTCTCGCGCTCTTTCTCAAACTCGATGCTTGCCTTGGTCATCGCCTCGTAATCATCGACGGTTTCACGCAGCTCTTTCTCGAGCGTTTCGACGCGGTTATGAACATCGCCGCTTCCGGGCTTGCCAGCCTTCAAGGTTGCAAGCTCTTCAGCCATCTCAAAGTTTCTATTCTTCAAGTCATCGAGTTCTTGATAAAGAGCTGGATTGGCGGCAGCTTCGGCGGCTCTTTGCGCACGTGTACCGTAAGCACCGTCAAGCTCTGCTTTGACCATAGTAAGCTCTGTGCGCATTGCTACAACGTCGCTTTCCATTTCGCTCAGTTCGTTCTGTAGGCGGGTAGCAGTTTCCTCTGCATTGGCTCGCGCTTCAGTTGCTTCTCGAAGTCGAGACTTAAGTTCCGCGCGGAGCTGGTCCATCGACTCCTCTAGCCGGGTGATTTCAGCGTCGGCCTGCGCGCGCATATCACTCGCTTCCTTGACGCGCATGTCAGCGTCATGGCGAATCTGGTGGATGGTCTCTTCTAGTTGCGCAACTTGCTGCTCAGCACTCTCACGCGACTCCGTGGCATCCTGGAGCTGGCTAGCCATCGCCTGTAAGCGTGCGACTTCGCCCTCAGCGCGGACCCGTGCCTGATGGTGCTCATCTTTCTCGTTTTGGGTTTCTTGAATGGTAGCCTGGAGGCGTGCGATATCGCTCTCAACGCGGCCCCGTGCCTCGTGGTGCTCATCCTTCTCGTGTTGGAGTTCTTGAATGATAGCCTGGAGGCGTGCGACTTCGCTCTGAGTGCGGTCTTGTGCCTCATGGTGCTCATCTTTCTCGTGTTGGACTTCTTGAATGATAGCCTGAAGGCGTGCGATTTCGCTCTGAGCGCGGTCTTGTGCCTCATGGTGCTCATCTTTCTCGTGTTGGACTTCTTGAATGATAGCCTGAAGGCGTGCGATTTCGGCTTCTGCCTGCGCACGAGCCTCTTTATCAGAGTTGTCTAGATCCCTGGTGGTATGTACCTCCTGGGCCACTGACAGCTCTCGTTGCACAAGCTCTAGTTCTCGCATTGTCCGATCCAAATCCTCTCTTGATTGTTGCCCTTGACGCTCGGAGTGCTCAAGTTCCTTACGAAGATGAGCAAGCTGCTCAATCAAATCGGCAATCTTGGCGTCTCGCTCGGCATCTGACTTTGAGTTGAGCTCGCGCTGTTGCTGGATTTGAGTTGTGAGGATGCTCTTCTGATCCAGCAATTTCTCAACTCGGTCCTCCAAACCTTGAATGCCAACGCTGAGGAACGTCAGGTGCTCGGCAATGTCGCTGTTGGACGGATCGGGAGTAGGGGGCAGAGTTTGAGAGCGAGGCAATCCGGGATTCTCCATGATGCTGAGAAGCTGCGCCTCCATTTCGACCAATTGCTGTTCGCTCACACGATCCAGGCCTTGATTCTGGGGTACGGCGGTTCTGGATTGGGAGCCTATCAGACCGAGTCCGTCCACAATATAATTCAAATGAGCATCCACAATTGCCGAGAGGTCAGCGGGCTTTCCGTTGCTTGAAAGTTGCGGGATGTGGCTTCCTTCCGTATTCGGATCCGCCTCTAGTAACATATCTCGCACGCGTCCACTGAGAAATTCCAGCTTCTTCTCTGTTTCCTCGATCGTACTCTGCGTGAGACTGTCAGGTACTGGTTCAGGCACTTGTGCTCGCGTTCCGTAGCCGTTGACTCCTTCGTGGTCAGGTGATTTGTACAAGCTCCGGTCGTCAAAGTCGTCCACAGTGTTGTTGCTAGAGAGGCTCTCGGGCGTGTGCGGGATGCCATTTTTCAGATTTTTCTTCAAGCCCTTATGTGTCAACTGTAATACTCCAGCTGTGTGCTCCAGCAATCTCTTTTGTGCCTCCTGTACCTTGCGCTCAAGGTGCCAGACCTCCATAGCTAATTCCTCACACTTCCGATTGCTGAGCGCCAACCCTTCGTCCGCCGCGTTGTGATCCACCGCACCTTGAGTGTCGTATCCATGGCTATTTCGTGGGCTTTTGTGATTGTGCAACCGGCTCAACGACATGGCAGCATCGCGGAGTTTCAGCTCCAGGGCCAATTTCCGCTTCGTGGCGTTCGTGCGACTCGTCAAGACACGGAGCTCCTTCTTCAGCCCCTCCACCTCCTCAAACGTCAGGATCTCGTTATTCATGCTATCGCCCATGGCGGTTTCGGTGAGTAGGTACATGGCAACCGGATCGTTCGCACTCGGAGGAATGGAGTTGCGAGGGTGCGATTTCTGGGAGAAAAGGCAAATTTTAAAGTCAGCTGAATTATGACAGATCATCCAGGCGGGGCTACTACACACCGGGCTGTACAACGACTTCTCTGCATTATTATTATGGGGACTGAGAGCATCGCGATAACCGGCTAGGAGAACCTTGGTCGGAGGCGGCTGGGGGCCGCCGTACGAGACGGCGGAAAAGTGCCTTGGGTCGCCATAGGAGGACAGGCTGGACCGGAGATCTAGAGCGTTCATCGTAATGAGCGGGGAAGGAGGAACGGTATCGTTCAGTATAGAAAGGAGCGTTGCGCGAAACCTGATTTATCAGGCAGTATACATGCTTGGTTCTCCGTAGCCTCCGGTTTACCGCCAGGGGGAACGGGCAAGATACAGGTCCGACAGCTGTGGTAAATAGGCAAAGAACGAGCTGTAAAGAGTGAAAATACAGCAGAAGGAAAGAGAGGAGAATTTATTAAAGACAAGGCGCAGAAGAAACGACGAGCTGAAGGAAAGTGAGGCAGCAGAATTGGTGGAAGGGAGAGGTGAGATTGAAAGATCAAATTGGCGCCAGTCACGAGAGGAGGATCTGCAGTGTCGAAAAGGCGCTGCTGAGCCAAGCCGAATGAGGGCCAGGAACAAAGAGATCAATCATAATGAGGTTGCTTTAGAAGATGGTCTATATTTTTTTTCATGCAGTACATATTTGATCAATGAGGGGGATTTTTGACAGGTTCACAGTATAAACGGAGTACGGCCGATTCCCTCAAGCATGAGACGCTTGTTTCACACCTGACAAACAGCCCCAATAAACTAGTTGGGACTATCATTGGAAGGAACCATTCCATCTGCAAGATATTGAGCAAGAAAAAGTAAAAATGAGATGCAGAAGAAGAATCCTGATTGCTTGACAAGCGGCATACCCCTGAAGCATAGCGGGACGTCTCTTTCCCAGTCACTTTTGGCCAAGTGAGAGGAAGCAGAAAAGTGAGAACTAAATCGAAATACCCCGTTGCGGAATTGGCTTCCTTCGTCTCCACCGATCAGAGCCTTAAAGTTGGGCATTTTAGTATGGAAAGTGGGCTTGTGAAATGCGGAGAACGAGCATCTGATCAATGTAACAGAGGCATCGAGCGAAGCCTCGGACCAACCAAGCTTGAGCCTTGATCTTCCCCTCCCAAAGGTGGTCCGTGTCTGTCTAGTTAACGAAGCCAGCTAGTTGAAACCAGGCCATGCCCCTTGTCTGTGTCTTATCGCCTGACTGGATCGTGGGAGAGTTATCTATCCTTCCGTGTCCTAAGATGGTGGCTTAAATTGGCCTGTCCCCCTCCTATGTCTCTCCCCACGATTCAACGCTTTCACTATGGGCTTTAAGCGCTCAGAGATCCCACATGCAGTGCATGATGGCACCACGGCAACTGAACTGCCCCCGTCCGGCCCCGGATATAAAGTCTACAAACGGCGGTTCTGGGGCCTAGCGCAGTTGGTGCTCTTGAATATTGTAGTCAGTTGGGATGTGAGTTAACAACCATGTTCCAGGAACAGTCGTATAGCACTGACCCTCTATAGTGGTTGACCTTCTCCGCCGTTTCAACGACTGCCGCGGAGTATTATGACGTCTCTGAGAGCGCGATTAATTGGTTGAGCACAGGTTATCTGTTTGCGTTTTGTGTCGCAAGTCCGTGAGTTACCTTCCATGCCCTAGATGGCGAGCAAGGTCGCGCGATTAACCATATTTCGGTCAGGGTCGTCATCTTCACACTCAACAAGGGAGGTCCCAAGCCGGCCATCATAGTCACCTCGACTCTTCTCCTCGTGGGCAATTGGATTCGGTATGCTGGAGCGAAAGCACAAGGCGGGATCTTTGGCGTCACCATGTTCGGTCAGATCCTCATCGGCCTCGCCCAACCTTTCTGTCTCAGTGCTCCAACAAGATATAGCGACCTGTGGTTCACAGATCGCGGACGAACTAGTGCAACAGCTGTCGCAACTCTGGCAAACCCACTAGGCGCTGCCCTGGGGCAATTGATCAACTCATTTTGGGCCGAGGAACCGCACCAGGTGCCAGGTATGGTCTTGTACCTAGCAATCATGGTAAGCACACGAACCACACAATCTCAACAAGAAGACTTACTCAGGATTGAATCGCAGGCAACAGTTGCGTCCATCCCCTCGTTCTTCATCCCCGCCACACCCCCAACACCACCCAGCGCATCCTCGGCGACCACCAAGACACCCCTCCTCCCAGCCGTCTCGCAGATGCTCAAAACGCTCGAGTTCTGGCTCATCCTCATCCCGTTTGGGGTCTACGTCGGCTTTTTCAACAGCGTCTCCTCCCTCCTCAACCAAATCCTATCCCCGCACGGCTTCTCCGAAACCGACGCCGGCATCGCCGGAGGGATCCTCATCGTCGTTGGGCTCATCTCCTCTGCCATCCTCTCCCCACTCACAGACAAATACAAGCACTACCTCGGTACCATCCGTATCCTCGTCCCCATTGTCGCAATCTCTTACATCGCCCTGGTCTTCGCCCCGCCGAGTTCTGCAGGCATTGCCCCGTCCTACGTCATCATGGCCATCCTCGGCGCCTCATCCTTTGGTCTGCTCCCCGTTGTCCTTGAGTACCTTGTTGAAATCACCCATCCCTTCTCGCCAGAAATCGGAAGCACCATCTGCTGGACAGCGGGGCAGTTGCTCGGCGCCGTCTTCATCCTCGTCCAGGATGCACTCAAGGCGAACTCGCGCGCTAACCCACCGTTGAGTATGCGCAACGCACTCATCTTCTCTGCTGTCGTTGCGTGCGTGGCCGCGCCATTCCCGCTTTGTATCGGGCTATTCGGTCGTGATGTTAGGAGGAGACGTCTGGATCTCGACAGAGGTGTGAACCTAGATGAAGTACAGGAGGAACGCATTGAGAACGTCGACATAACAGGTACGGGCACTGATTCGCGAAGGCTTCGATTTGGGTCCCGCTTCAAGCTTCCGTGAAGTGGAAGAGAGTCGTTCTAACCTGGACTACATAAATATCCTGCCTGTCGTTCACCGTCAGCTTGCAGTTTTGGAGCATATGCGCTATCCACTTAGCTTACCTCACACTGAGTATTTATATAGTCAATTTCAACACCATGATACCCCATCCCCTATCCTGTGCTTTCTCCGATCTTTCGGCGATTTCCTTAATATATTCACCATAGATACTATCCATGGTCTGACTAGTGCCCAAAACGAGCAGCTGCGTCTAGTCTGGCCCAGAGCACCGGGGTCGCACCTTCCTCATCAGGCAGGTTCAGCTAAGGACCTCGGAGAGAAGGAGCGACTGGTCTGTAAGGATTAGGAAAGCACGCGTAGCCCCGGTAACAGCATGCCTTCCGTAGTCGGCATTACCCGGTGCATGCCATTGCACCTTCCTCATTCGTGTAATCGCTGCTGGCAGTGTGGGAGGAAGGAGCGACCCAGTAGCCAGCCAGTTACTTGGCCAAGCACCAAGGCCCTCCGGCTGTCAACCAGCCAGTCACAATGACTCTGATGTATCCTAAGATAATGATAGAACTGGCCATATAGATTGGGCCCAACAACAAAGGTCAACCAGTTTGATTAGAACTTCTGAGCTTCATGAGAGCAAAACACGCGCAGAAACGACAAGTCTAGAGAGAAGTAGCATTCATCTAAAACACAAGGAGATATAAGAAAACAGGCGGAGACCAGCTATCTGTACATACGCATCAAAGGATGCACTTCCTAACATCCTTCAACCGTTAAGCGCAAAGTCGGCAAGAAAGAATTTGATACATATCCCAATCCCAGACGCAGTAAAAAGGAGGTATATTTACTGCTTGCTTTTATAGTTGCAGGCGTTCCGGATGGTGTCGTTGACTGCGTCTCGTTATATCCGGTAAAAGAAACCGAGGTTGGGGATCGTTGCAGGGCGTCTCCTTTATTTGAGGGCCTTCCAGAGCTTGGGAGCGGCGCACTGGGTGGCGCAGTGGGCGAGGTGGAAGACTATAAACAGAATGCGTTAGCATGGGTTATATAACCATAAAGTAGCCCAGACGCAGTGGCACTTACACTCCTCGACACAGTCCTCCTTGGGGCCCTTGTAGTCCTCGTCCTCCTGCTGCTTGGTGACGCGCTCAACGCACTCGTCGTAGTGGTGCTTGTAGGGGGCACACTGGGCGGAGTTGGCGCATTCTATACGAAAGGCGATGTCAGCAAATTCAAATCCAAGGTCGGCTTATGGGTATAGCAGGTGCTGCTGCGTCAATCGATCATGAGATGCGGCTGGCGATCATTGTTGACTCAATCGGCTAACCGAGAGATACAAGCGAAGCGGGCGGCGCGGACACGCTCAATATAAGACGAGTTCTTTGGAGCCAAGCGAGTACTCACCCTCCTCAATCTTGGGCTTGACGTCCTCGGGCTCTTCTTCCTCCTCCTCTTCCTCCTCTTCTTCCTCTTCCTCCTCGGCTTCCTCACCACCCTCCTCGGAGCTCTCCTCAGGGGTGTCCTCAGCGGAGTCCTCGCTCTTTTCAGTGCTCTCCTCAGTGTTCTCCTCAGACTCGTCGGCCTTCACCTCTGGCTCAGCCTCGGGGGCGCTGGACTCCTCGGTGTCTTGGGCGGGAGCCTCAGCGAGGGCCTCGGGCAGCCAGGAGGAAATAACGTCGGAGAAATAGTCGGTGATACCCATCCTGAGCCGTCTGGAGGTGTCAATTGATGAGACTGGGAGGTCTGGGGTCCGGTGGTGACGGGTTGGGATCGTAAGGAGCGAGGTTGATGAGGTTTGGTGGTTTTCACGAAGCTTTGGTGTCCGTCTGCGGTCCAGGGAAAATCGGAACACCCCGGCCGCCGGCGAATTGTCAATTATCGCACACGTGATTGGTCGGCGCTTCTCCTCTATTGACGCTGAGATCATAAGGTCTCTTTCTCGTGGAAATTCATGAAAATAGTATACATATATAATTATTGGCATTCTTATTCCCCTGAAAAATATGATTCGAAACGCCATCATTCATTTCGGCGCTGAATCTTGCAAGGAATGGAACCTAAACAAGTAGAGAGAATTCTACAGTTGCTCTAACAACTTGTTGGAAGATAGAAATTGACCCGTATGGCTCGGCGTCTGGAGATACCGCTGCTGCTATCCAACTTCAGCTCGCTCGGCGTAACCTTTCTTCTAGCTCGTTGGTAACGCTCTGCCGCTGCACCTCCTCATAGTCTGGTGGGGGCTCCTGAGGTTGGGCACTGCTCACCGAAGGACTCCGGCGAGTAGTTGTTGGATTGTTATCGGCCGTGGCAGGCATTAAGCTGCTCTGTGGACCAGAATAGGCCGGCAGGTCCTCCAGATGAACATTGGCCATGTCGACACCTCCAGCTCCACGGCCAGTACTCTCCCCGGAAACTTCAAGAGCTTGCTGGAACCGTTCTTTCATTCTTTCGAACTTCGTGTGAAAATCAGATGCTCCACCTTCTTTAAAAGTGATCTTTGCATGGACTGCAGGTAAGGACGACGGGATTCCGCCGCCAGGCACTGGTTGGACAACTGCGTTCCATGCGTTGGGCCCAAAGAAGGGAACCGAAACATGAGAATCATGTAGGTTGAGAAGAGGAGCAGAGAATGATTCTAACCCAGGTGTTCGTTGATTTGGTATGTATACAACCTGAGATTTCCGGTGTTAGTCGAGCATTATTGACCTAGAAAACGCAAACAATAATGCAAGAGGGGGATGTTAATCACCCGCTGATTGGTGAGGTATAGTTTTCCATCACTGCTCTGTAATGATAATTTCTCGCTGCCAGTATATGAAGGGAGTGGTTGTAAGGCAAAGCTTGTGCGGGGAGGAGAGGTATATAGCAGACGTTCGTTTGGAAGATAAACGAAGCCTTTAGCCTCATCAAGCATAACCCAACTATCAAGCCAAGTAGAAAGCGATCAGTACAAGCACAGGGGATATCCGTATTTGGGGTGGTCAGGGGACTGAAGGTGATGTAGTCATCTGAGGTTGATTGTGTTGGGCAATCGAAAGCCAGATCCTGGATCACTTCAGGATGAATCTGGATTGATACCTAGGTAGGAGTGGGGCTCATCACACGTACTTGATCGACATCTTTGCAAGGAATATTCATCTGATATCCGGAAAATGAGGATATGGTGGACTCTGAAGACCAGGAGTAGGAGGAGTAGTCCGTAGATTCCGGAGTACAGAGTATGCGCGGCGCTAAGCGGGGTCTGTTTATTGCGATAACGAACGGGCTAATGAACGAGCGGTATGTAAAGGTCTGGAACGCGTCGGCTGGCTGGCTGGTTTCAAGGGTTCGAGGACCCGAACGCTTTGACTTGTTTTCGTTCTTGTTCCACCTTGATGCTGTTTCTCAGAGAACTCAAGGGTACCAAGAACAGCTAAAGTTGACATGCAGCTTTCCTGCTGTGCGCCGCTTTAAGCTGCTACGTAATGACGGCAAGGCCCACGGCCCATGACCATTATTCTTATTAACCTCGAGAGTTATTCTTCGCAGATGTATCTACTCCATACTCCATATCTGAGGTATCTAAGTTTGACAACCACCAACAGATCGAAGCGTACGACTTGGGTTTAACTTTAGTTTCGTAATGTGGGCTATTCTTCAAGAACATTGGTAATGACACCACCATGCTTCATCCAATTGAACCCCTCCTAGGTGGTTCCTCAAAGTCACCCCTTTGTGGCAGATATCAAGTGGAACTTAAAAGCGCCTACCTTTGAGCCCTTTTTGTGACCCACTAGTTAAAGAAGGGTATTTCAATTTGGAGTTATATTTGCCATAGTAAGATTAAGGCATTTATATCCTGGAGCAACCAGAAGTTGGACTTGGTTGTGCTCTTTCCTGTACTAAATACTACCTACAGGTAGAGGTTGTAGTACTACTATCCTAGTTGCGATAAAGGGTGGATGAGAGCTTCAACGTGAAGAGCTCTGGCAACTTTACTGACTTGCAAGGGCGAAGACGAGGAGATGGTATTGTATTTCAGCGAGGGACTTCAAGCGAAAGGTCAATTAGAGACGCGTTTATGCCGAAAAGTAGAACAACTTCCTGTAAATTCTCCAGGATTCCATAATTATGGGTTCATCACAGCCAGCTTTGACCCCCCCACGAGTGTTGGGACTTTATCTTCTGTGACTCGGTCAGAACGATAAAGGTCTCAGGGCAAGCAAACGAATATCGGAAAAGTCGAGAGAACAATATGTTGTATACGTCTCCGTCGTTGCCCGAGACTCCAAATATATCAGGTCCTTCGAGTCGCGGTTTCATTGAGTTTATTCTTCTACCAACCATTCGAGGGTCAAAGTGGCCCGATCGTTGTGAGCTTGGCTATGACCTCTGAAGTCTGAACCGAGCGGTACCGTACCAAACCCCACCACAGAAAAATACCTCCGTCGCAATCCAGACTCTCTCTCAACTCAGCACTGTCACGTCACATGCGCTACTGCCATCCCTGATTCTGTTGAGCCCAACCTGCCTTGTCTCTTATGCAAACGAGACAGAGCTTTCTGTGGCAATATACACCTCAAGTTCCTCATAGCCTGGGCTATACAGCTTCAACCGAGCTGTTGACGGTAGCAGGACATGCGTTCGCATCTATCTTTGTTTCGACCTGCCACTTGCGGAATCGGGAATTAATCCTCGCCTCAACGCCGACGGATCACTCCTGCAGCTCTGCGCCCAGCTTCATTATATTCGCCTACCTATTTTCTACTCCCAAACACAGCTCTTACCTGGGAACTGCCTTGCTATACACCCTTTGACGTCATGGCGAAGAAACCCTATATTCCGCCCTTAATCGGGTGGTTGTACGATCTAGTCTTATGGACTTTCTCAGTCTTGATAGACCTTTTCTTCCGGGAGGTTCATCCTCGTGGTTCATGGAAGATTCCTCGAAGGGGGCCAATGATCATTGTGGCAGCTCCCCACGCCAATCAGGTACAGTAGTATACTTTGCAACCGTCGTTTCTCATGCCCGCTTGGCCGTCGAACTGACGATTGCTCGAAACTGTAGTTTGTCGATTCGTTGGTTCTCATGCGTGTCCTGCGCACCGAAGCGCATCGCCGGATCTCATTCCTGATTGCGGAAAAATCGTTTCGACGCAAGTTTATCGGGTTTTTGGCAAGAAACATTGGGACTGTGCCCGTGTCTAGAGCAATGGATATGTTGAAACCTGGCCAGGGCACGGTATATCTACCAGACCCTATCAATGAGCCTACTTTGTTGCGCGGTGTGGGGACCAACTTTGAGGGACCCGGCTTTGAGAAGGACGGCACAATTGCGCTACCGACGATCAACGGGACATCGCATAGCGAAAGTATTGCTGCGATTCGCGGACCGGAGGAACTGGTGTTGAAGAAACCCTTCACACACAAGGATGCGCTATTCCAGCTAACGGGCCGAAAGGATATCACGGACGATGGTAAATTCACTGGAGAGGTGTCAGACCAGGATCGCAAGGAGTTCAAAGGCTCCAAGTTCAAGGTTGCACCACATGTAGACCAAAGTGCAGTGTACGATGCAGTCTTCGCAAGACTTCACTCAGGTGGCTGTATTGGCATTTTCCCTGAAGGAGGAAGTCATGATCGCCCAGATCTGCTTCCCTTAAAACGTAATGTTTCACTACCCGAATACCCGCATGAAATCGAAACTAACCTTGCTTTAGCTGGTGTGGCTCTCATGGCGCTTGGTACTTTGGCTGAGAATCCAGACTGCGGTTTGACTATCGTACCCTGTGGAATGAACTACTTCCATGCGCACAAGTTCCGTTCAAGGGCGGTGATTGAATTTGGCAATCCCCTAGAAGTTCCCAGAGAGTTGGTTGAGAAGTATAAGAACGGGGACCGCAGGGGGGCCGTCGGCCCGTTGCTAGAGTTGATATATCAAAGTCTTGTGGCAGTGACTGTAACAAGTCCTGATTATGAGACGCTGATGGTAAGTTCACGTTGTCTGCAGCAGTGTATAAAACCAAGACTGACAAAACATGCAGGTTATCCAAGCCGCTCGACGCCTGTACAACATCAAGGGAAAGAAGCTCCCCCTTCCGATGGTGGTTGAACTGAACCGTCGTCTGGTCAAAGGATACTCCCATTTCAGAGACGACCCACGGATCATTAGTTTGAAGAAGTCCATCGCAGACTATAACAAAGAGTTGCGGCTTCTGGGACTTCGGGACCACCAGGTTGATTATGCGAAATTCTCGTACATCCAGGTGATTGCGACACTGATCTATCGTTTGGTCAAATTGGCACTCCTAGCAATTGGAACGTTACCTGGGCTTCTTCTCTTCGCGCCTGTCTTCATCGCGACGAAGATCATCTCAAAAAAAAAATCCAAGGAGGCGCTCGCTGCTTCGACGGTCAAACTTCAAGGTCGCGATGTAATGGCGACTTGGAAACTTCTCGTCGCTCTTGCATTTGCCCCTGCTTTGTACGCGTCTTACACTATAGCCTTCACTTACTGGGCCTACCGTAACCGCATAAACGGACTCGTTCCCGACAGGGTACCGTTATGGACATTTGTACCAATCGGCATGATTCTTTTCCCAACCATCACATTCGCAGCTCTGCGCATTGGTGAGATCGGCATGGATATTGTCAAGTCTTTGCGGCCGTTGATCTTGTCACTCAACCCGTCGTCCGCCAACACCTTGGTCAAACTCCGCTTGCGACGCGCTGCACTCGCAAAGCAGGTCACGGATACCATAAATACGCTCGGTCCCGAGTTGTTCCCAGACTTTGATGCCGCTAGAATTGTGACGGATCCCTTCCGCGAACTCAACAGGCAGGCAGGGAATATCGAAAACGAACACCCACCAACTGTGGAGATCAGAAGGGCAAGTACGGTGAACTTTGACGAAGGTTCTCCTTCACAGGAGCCACTTCCTCGGAACGAGTCTTTCCATAACCTCTCGAATTTTGGATTTTTCTCAACCCGACCATCTAGCCGCAATCGCAGCCGCAGCCATAGCCGCAGCAGCTCATTTGGAGGGTTGTCGGGTACATCAGGACAGCAGCTGAAGCCGCTCAGTCAACTAAACTCCAAAGATGGTTATGAAGAAGTCAGCTACAAAATCCGTGACGCAATGCGCGAACGGGGAGAACAGCGACGTCGGCGAAGCGAGGACAATAGCAGCTGGGATATGGCCAGCACGGGCCCTGGGACCCCGCAAAGCGAGGAGAACCGAAAGGATATATAAGAGAATGTTTCAATTATCAATCAGGCCATTGGACGGCCATACTGCCCTCAATGACAGCGGCGGAGTTTGGCGTTTTCGTTCGTCCTTTTTTGTTCTTCCCCGCCTCATGTATCTAGTACGGAATTGAGCTGATCCAGTGGTAAGACTTGATCTCAACACTTCAAGTGAGATGTCTAAGAGGAGATCTGCTCGAGATTCAGCGATCATGATTCATAATCTGACGATGAGCGGAAGTTAAGAGCCTCGGACCGCAGCGTGAGGCAAGCCTTACATGTGGTCCACATCTCGACCCACTGGGTTTCGCCGTCTGGAACTATCTACGAGATAATTATGGGCAAATGTCCTTTGGTCGCTTGCTTTAGTATAATAAAATATAAATCCAGTCAGTCGCTTCAGTCGTTGGACCAGAGGTCAGCTCCAGGTGGTATCTCTCCGCTATCAATTCTATTCCTGGGATCTATGTATGTCATCACCGCTTTCTGCCACGCTTTCTCCTTTCCCCGTCAAATCAACGCAGAAGCAAAACAGTGCAGCCTGATGGGCCACTGACGACTGCGCCCTGTCCAGCCCGAGTTCTCTTTCATTGACTCTCTGCCACTTGTTATCAGCTACATTATACCCTTCGTCATAGATCGTGTCTCATGCGGCGTGACTTTTCTCGTGCTCGCATATCTCGACACTTTTTTTCTGGTTCGCACACGACAGTCACTGCGGAAGTCACACTCCTTCTTCACGTTTAAATCACGCCTTCTCAGTTTATAGCATACCAGTTCTCAGATAATTGCTGTACAAGAAAACGATCTTCATCATGGCGACATCGATGCACCTCTCGCGGCTTCGGAATTGGTTCCTTGCTTCGCCGCCCATCGAATTCGCGATCTCCAGACTCCGGGAGCTGCTGGTTGGGGCGATCAGACAGGGGCCAGTTCCACAGCATATTGCATTCATCATGGATGGGAACCGGAGGTTCGCCCGGACACACGGGATCGAGACAGTCGAGGGGCACAACCTAGGCTTCGAGGCGCTTGCTCGGGTGAGTTTCGTTGCATTACTCGAACCGGCGTTGTTTTCTCATTGGCGCTCTGGCTTTCCTTATCTTTTTACTTGCTTGTCGGGGTCCCCTGTGATACTAGCAGACACTAATGTTTTACTTGCGTGCTACTAGGTTCTCGAGGTATGCTACCGGAGCGGAGTACAAGTCGTGACCATCTACGCTTTCAGTATCGAAAACTTCAAACGCTCGAAATTCGAGGTGGATGCTCTGATGGAGATGGCCAGGGTCAAATTGTCACAAATGGCTCAGCATGGGGAGATTCTAGACCGCTATGGGGCAAAGGTTCGAGTACTTGGTCGATTGGACTTGCTAAGACCCGACGTGCTTGCTGCAGTGAACCGCGCAGTCGACATGACGAAGGATAACGGCGATCGCGTCCTCAATATCTGCTTTCCTTACACATCGCGTGACGAAATTACCGGGGCTATCCGAGATACAGTATCGGAGTACAGCCAACCGCTTCGGTCGACTCGCTCGACCCTTCCGCTTCAGCGGACACCATTCTCAGAGGACCATATCGCGCAAAACATTCGCGCGCGGACAACGAACGGGAAGTTGGACGATTCCAGCACCGAATTCGATTCCGTTTCAGAGTCATCCACACTCGCGGAAGATGATGTCCAGAGATCCAACCAGCAGAATGATGTCTACCAATCCGAAACTCCTCTGTCATCTGCCGACACGCTCCATTTGGCTGAGAAAGCCGCAAAGAACCGCGCCTTGGAGACCACATCCGAGGCGGACCGTCCTGTGTTCAAGTCCCCCGAGACAATCACACGCCAAACTCTGACAGACCACTTACTTACGCGCGACTGTCCCCCTCTCGATCTAATGATCCGCACGTCTGGAGTAGAACGTCTTAGTGACTTTATGCTTTGGCAATGCCACCAGAACACGGAGATTGTGTTTCTGGATGTTCTATGGCCGGAGTTCGACCTATGGCATTTCTTGCCGGTGCTTCTCGGGTGGCAGCGAAGGGTATCCAAGGCGAAGAAGAACCCAGATGCTGAAGGAAACTTCGATGGCGAGTTCCAGGAGTTTGGAGAGGAAAGCAAAGAAGAGCTCGTGGTCAGCTCTGGGATTAAGGCGAAGAGCTTATGATTTAGTCGTTTCCCATACATATTATAGCAGCAATTGGGTATAGCATTAGAGTACATGGCGTTTTATGGCCTTCCTTGCAATGGTTTCCTGGGACATGGGAGAACAGCTTGTTTGATACCGATTTGACTTGCGACTGTTCATAAGGATATCTGTTGGCTTGTATATAACTTACATGCACATATAAGAAGAAGCTACTGTTCAACCACACCAAGACCGTGCCACTCCAGTACTCCAATTGACCGTATGGGCAAGTGCGACCTTCCACCTGCACCTTCCATGTATGGGTTGGAGTAGGTCCGATACCGCTCCGGCGATAAGCTCACGTGACTGACTCGCACAGAGCGGCGGGGAGCAGTCAGTAAAAGTGTACTCGAGTGACTCAATCGCCCTTCTTTCGACTGAATTGCTTCATATATCCTTCCAATCGCCATCATGGTTAATCAAATTGCTGGTTCCAAGGTTCTCCTGCTAGGCTCAGGCTTTGGTACGTCCCACATTCCATAATTTCCCTTTTCCCCCTCTATACAACAACCCCGCATTGCGCATGTCTATGACTATAAATGGCTAATGAGATTTTGTTTCTTCCTCTCTATAGTCACCAAGCCTACTGTCGAAGTTCTTGACAAGGCTGACGTTCAGGTTACCGTCGGTACGTATCCGATTCGCAATTGCTCGAGGAATTTGTCGTTCTATACCCCGCCATCTTCCCTACCTCGCATAGAGATTGCCCCCAATTAACTGCAATGATCAAAAGTGGTACAAGAGTCTAACGGCTTTCTTTGATTGACGTATAGCTTGCCGGACTCTCGAGAGCGCCAAGAAGCTCTGCGAAGGATTCAAGAACACCAAGGCCATTTCCCTCGACGTCAATGACGACAAGGCCCTCGACAAGGCCGTGAGCCAGGCTGCCCTTGTTATCTCGTTGATCCCCTACACCTACCACGCCCAGGTCATCAAGTCGGCCATTCGCTGCAAGAAGCATGTCGTCACCACATCTTACGTTTCTCCCGCCATGATGGAGCTGGACGAGCAGTGCAAGGAGGCTGGCATCACCGTCATGAACGAGATTGGTCTTGACCCTGTGAGTTTTCTTTACCTAGGTAGGCTTTTAGGGTTGAATCACTACTTATCACTATCTTAGGGTATCGACCACCTGTACGCTGTTAAGACCATCCACGAGGTAAGAACCTGAGCCCCAATTATAACACTGATTCGACCTCGAATCACCAACGTATATGTCCTCAGGTCCACTCCGAAGGTGGTAAGATCACCGACTTCCTCTCATACTGCGGCGGTCTCCCCGCCCCCGAGTGCTCCGACAACCCATTGGGCTACAAGTTCTCCTGGTCCAGCCGTGGTGTCCTCCTCGCCCTCCGCAACGCCGCCAAGTTCTACAAGGACGGCCAAGAATTCAGCGTCGCCGGCCCCGACCTCATGGCCACCGCGAAGCCCTACTACATCTACCCTGGCTTCGCCTTCGTCGCCTACCCCAACCGCGATTCCTGCCCCTTCCGTGAGCGCTACGGTATCCCCGAGGCGCAAACAGTGGTCCGCGGCACCCTCCGCTACCAGGGCTTCCCTGAGTTCATCAAGGTCCTCGTCGACATCGGCTTCCTTAACGACGAAGCCCGCGACTACCTCAACTCCCCCATCCCCTGGAAGGAGGCCACCCAGAAGATCCTCGGCGCCACCTCCACCAGCGAGAAGGACCTTGAGTGGGCCATCCAGTCCAAGACCGCCTTCCCCAACAACGACGAGCGTGACCGCATCATCTCCGGTCTCCGCTGGATTGGCCTCTTCTCCGACGAGAAGATCACCCCACGCGGCAACCCGCTCGACACTCTCTGTGCCACCCTCGAGCAGAAGATGCAGTACGGCCCCGAGGAGCGCGATCTCGTTATGCTCCAGCACAAGTTCGGCATCGAGCACAAGGACGGCTCCAAGGAGGTCCGCACCAGCACGCTCTGCGAGTACGGTGTCCCTGGCGGTTACTCTGCCATGGCTAAGACCGTTGGTGTTCCTTGCGGTATTGCTGTCAAGCTGGTGCTTGATGGTACCATCAGCCAGAAGGTTTGTTTATTTGTTTCGCCCTTTTCATTCGCTGCTGTAAGCTGACTTTCTGGTTTAGGGTGTCCTTGCTCCCATGACCTGGGACATTTGCGAGCCTCTCCTCACCACTCTCAAGAACGATTACGGAATTGAGATGATCGAGAAGACTCTGTAAACTGATCGAATATCTCAAAAGGTGACGATAGCCAAAAAAAAAAAATGACAATTGAAACCATAGAATATCACAACTTGCACAGAATGATATATGACCCATAGACGCAATGCCGATTCGTAAAAAAAACTTGAGTTTGAATATCTTCATCTTCATTTCGTTATCCAGGTCTGGCTTTACAGTTAAGTTATAATCGTAGGTGGTTTCTATCATATAATCGTGGATGACGTGCCCCTCATCGATGGGAGACAAAAAGAGATGACATACCCGCCATGGTGTAGGTGAATCGAGTCGCGAATAAGTTTCCGGTAGAGAAAAAGAAAATCAGGATAATATCCAACTCGTCACTGTTTCGAAACGCAGGAGTCCCGAACTCCATGTCACAGAATATCTATTTCTATTTCTCGAATTTGCCCAAAGTCGTTCGTATCTGTTCAGAGAATAGTGCCAAACCTATACCAAGGAAAAGAACAAAAAGTGTAATCAGCAACTGTTTCCATGCAAACGAAGCAGAACGAGATCTGGAAGGATGTGAGGAAGAAATTGATTGGGTTGCAAAACCGGGAGAGGGGGGGGGAGGGGTGGAACATACCCGAAGGTCTGCTTGATGCTTCGCACGTAGTAAAGTTCCCAGTTTTGCTTCGTGACGTCCTCCTGGCCGACGGGGACGCCGGTCCATGTCACGCGCATTTGGGTAACGCCGTCGAGATCGTTCTGCTCAAAGCTGATCTCGAGAGTACTGAAGTGGTCCGCGGGCCACTGGGCGAGGCGCCATTTCTGAACCAGCAGCTTTGGCGGCTCGAGCTTCACGAATTCTCCGGTAACATTGCCATCGAAGATAGAGAACTTTCCACCGACCTGGGCGCCGTCGAACTGGCGAGGCGCTCCCCGGGTGAAAGCTGCAATGCGCTGGGGGTCTGTGAAGGTCTGGAAGAGCTCTTCCGCTGTGGTTCGGAACTCATCTGACGCGGTCACAGTAGTGGTGTTGACAGCAACCTTGTTGGTAGAGGTAGTAGTCGTGGTCTTGGGGGCAGAAGTGTCTTTGGCAGCGCTCTGGGGGTGGAATGCGGGCTTTGGGAAACCGCTCGAAGGGTTCACACCAGGAGCATGTTGAATATCTTTCCCGTGTTCAGAGATCAATGCCGGGCGGAACTTGGCCAATTCCTTTCGGATTTGTGGGACGAGCTTGGAGCGCACGAGATCCTTCACGGGCTGCTTGGAGGAAGAATCGGAGTAGTTCTCGATTTCAAACTATTACGCAGGGCATCTACTTTAGTACAATGCCCAGAAGCAGGATTCTTGGGGCGAGTTAGGGAACATACGACATACTCATCCTCCTCTGTGTCGTGGGCTACCTCGGGGATGGTGATAGTGCCACTAACAGACTCTTCCTCCTTTGTCTTACCTACGACGAGACTTAGCTATGACTCGAAAAACAGAATTTTCAAATCACCGCTCCGGACGTACCTTCATACTCCAACTGCAGCTTGACATCGAACAAAGTGATGACCTTGCCCTTTCTTTGGCTGACATCTACGTCGCCGTCCATGGTCAGTAAGTTGGAAACCTTCGCAGTGACACCATCCTCCTCGGTGGAAAGTGTGCGAAGGTTCTCCGAGAGGTACTCCTTGGCCCAAACGGAGACATCCTTGTTGACCCAATGCCAGTTGTTGGGGTTGTGAAGAACCATGATGCCGGTATATTCTGGTTTATTTTATATTTCTAAAGAGTATCCTGGTGTAGAATTGCAAGTCACCCGGAGGTCAGGGTAGGTATAGTTTGGTTTATGCTGTAAGGGTTCTGCTAAGGAACATGCGAATTAGCATCGAGTTTTTCTGAAAGTTGAGAAACGAATTCTTGAAAGCACGTTCAAATTTTCAGGATCCGGGTAGCGTTCCCAGACCGGTAAGCTTGATCAGCAATGAAAATGGATACGAATATCCAAATTCCTCTGACTGGTGCCAGCTGGTTATCTCATCATAAGAGGGCGAGCGCGGGGCAATTGAAGGTAGCGAAGGGGAAAAGATTCGGTGCAACTTACAGTTTGGGCAACGACGTCCTAGTTGCAGGATGCTGTAATGAAGTAGATCAACCAAATTCTACCCGCGGTAAAGGTAAGGGAAGGTATAGAGAATACCGCAGAGGGAGGGGAGTGGTGGGTTAAATAAAAAGGCGCGATGCCCTGGGAATCTGGAAGATGAAGCGAAAGATTCGGAAGGAAAGCTCTAGAAGGTAAGTTAAAGAGTCATGTGACTTCTTTGTTACTTGCTGAGTCAGGCCATCGGCCGCATTGGGATAATTTTTGGCATCGAAAAAGCGTATGGAGTAACCCTCACTAAAGTCAGGCCTAGGTTTATCTGCAGTCACGAAGCCGTGGTTCCAATAATATGAAGTTAACATTCTGTTCTTTATCCTAAAACACTTTCCTCCAAAGCAACCTTGACCAAACAGACATGGACGCTAATAATATAGGGCTGTGTATTTACACAAGAACCGAGAACCCAGTATATCATGTTCCAACCTGATCTTCAGGCCGAGGCTGTTGAGACTCATTCGAAACTTGACCTCGCGCAGTTATATAGGTATCATGCGTTGCTGAGTTTGGCTGGTGACCCGGCTCAACCGCAGTCTTGTAGCAACAGCGAAAAAGAAGAGCCCCAACCCGCCGAGCAACATCACCCCAGCTTTGCTTGGGCCGACTGTCCCCGCTAGTTGTTGTCTCATGTGGATTGGTCGGTGTGGTGGACTGTGTTGGTCCCAGAAAGCAGGCCGGTCCATCGGGACCCTCGCCAGCAACCTGTCTGCTTGGGGCTTGTGGTCTCGAAACGCACGTCTGGTAAGAATCCGGTCGACTGGGTTTTGTCGACGAAGGTGGCGCCACTTCCATATCTGCCATAGCGGCTGTGATCCACGCTGGAAGGGAATCAGAAGATTCGGAGCTGTCGGGCTCCGTGAACGGTTCCTCGCCGCGCTCTGTATCGCAGTCTGCACCAGGGCCATCACACTGGGCGAGAGAGAGGTTTCTGTTATGAAAGGGGTGGTCCCCTGCACCTAGCATGTGTGCGCCGTGGCCGCTCTGGCGTTGAGGGAAGCTTCCCAGGACTGCTGTGCCATCCTCTGCGAAGATTCGATGGCGTTGGTTTCGCTGAGGCCCTGATGGATTCGGTTGAGCACGCTGAAAGAGTCTCCGCAGCAACGATTCGCCACGGGCAGGCGCTTGTGGCCGAGCATTGAATCGAAAGTCGTATGACCTAGCTTCTTCGCTGCCAAACGACGGTATACCTGGAGGCGTGGGTGATCGAACAGGTGGTGGATACTCCGGAAGAGTAGGGCTCACGGGGGATACGACATTCTTTGGCCACCTAGGAGTCTGAGATTTCGAAGTCTCGCTTACAGAGGCGCTCACGTTCTTCGTGCCGATGCCATTCCTGTCGTTGCCATCCTCAGTGGTGTCTCCCCCAATGTCATTCCTTCCGATATAGTCGCTGCCAATATCATTCGTATCAGCGTCGTTTGTAGCAATATCAGGAAACCTGTCTGGCAGTGACCATCCCACGACCTCACCCGTCCGCGCGACTCGAAGCTTATCAGTGAGATGGACCTTTGGTGGCCTATCGAGCAGCAAGTCTGTGTTGCGCCGAGGGCGGCACGGCGCCTCGGAGGAGATGGAACAAAACATGGCAACGTTGGCTGCCATTCGACGGTCGACATGCTCAGTGGGAGTGGGATTGGCTGGTGATGTGTCAGAGCTCGCTCTGAGGGCATTGTAGATTGCGCTCCCGCTACTCGAGTCCGAGGAGGTTGGGTCGTCGAGCGTCGCCATGTCTTGAATAAAGTAAACGCTACAGAAGGGGTAGAGAGGCCATGTTCGTGAAAGCGAGCTCGGTGTCAACAAGGTTGAGGCATGGATGGCCACTGTGGTGCCGCCTTGGTCAGGCCTTCCGAATTAGGATTCCTAGATGGGAGCTAGATTGGAAGACGCTTCCGAAATACCGGCGTCTAAGTTTTCGAAGGGCTATTTTACTTTTCTTCGTCATTCGCACAATCTGACCACTTCACACACCTGTCAATCACTCCTCCTCCTGTTCTTCCTCACTACCTTGAATCGCCAAGTAGCAGCCCAACATGGGTTTCAAGACCTTCATATCAAAGTGCCATTTCAACTACCAAGTCGCCAAAGCCAACCGCGACCGCAATGCGCGGCCATCCTACTACAACGGAGATCGCAACGTGGCAGAACAATGGATCCCCAGGTGGTCGAAAGAGGAAAACCTAGGCATCGCCATCCTACAGCGTCTTCAGCATCTTAGTCACTTGGAGAATAAAGTCTCAGAGCCGAGAACAAGAATGGAAACGGAGACCAAGACCTCAAAATCATTCAAAGTGAAACAAAAGAGCTGCGAGATTCGCTCATAAACCACCACCGTAGACTGGAGGAGCTGCTGAATGACAAACCTGTGCATGGTAAATGGATTCGCGCGTTTGATCTGGAAAGGCTAAACACGGATCCGGTACATGGAAGGCCAGCGATTTGGTGGAATGATCGAAGGAAATGTGCAGAGTTAGGAGGGTGTTGTGGAAGTCTCTGTGGATGTTGAGAGAAGCCGCTGAGGGAGTACCTCGATCCAGAGAACAGGATGATGGTTGGTGTGTATGGCCACTGTACATCGGAGTGTGGGTGCTGTATCCGTAGTCGGCGCTGTTATTTGGCGGCTAAAAGCCTCCCCAATACTACCCTGGGCAAGTATGCGTGGTCCTAGCTGAGAACTATTGCGTTTTCCTTTGATTTGCTTGGTCGAGTTATCGGCTCTGCTTCCTAGAAATTGGAAATTGTTGGTAATTTCAAACATTAAACGGTCTTGTGATGGATCTTTAAGACTGAGAGACTATATGACCGTCAACAATCCTTCCAATAATTACCAGACGGGTCATCAGCCTAAACTAATATACAAAACAAGAACGCTTGGATGAGCCGCCAAAGCAACCCAGACGCGCATTCTGCAAGAATCCTCTTCCACCTCTTCTCCTCATGGTATCTAGGCAAAATAGCTCTTCCAAAGGACTCCCGAGAGGTCCTCAAGCTGATCCTGCGTAAATGCCTATAGTAGATTGTTAAATCAGCTACTTCAGTATCTCTGGGCATTTGTGAACTTACCTTTGCATCAATATGCCACGTATCCTGTCTCGTCTTCTTGAATTCACTAATAATCGACTTCACACTCGATCCCACAATGCCAGGGTCACTGGCGGCCCGGACACTGAGCGTAGCCAGTGCCTCAGGTATCCACGTAGGAGGTGGGCTGCTGTACGGGAATGCCTGGATAAGTGCGCCGAGGCCAAGGACAGCTCCGTGCCTAGAAATGATGAGCCGCGTGTGTTCGGGCGTAGGTGTGCCGGCTCCCGAGGAGATAGGTGTGGAAATGCCGCTGGTACTACGAAGCATCTTTGGCCGCTTGGGAAGAGGGTTCTCAATCAAAGTTTTGGCGAAGCGCTTCTTGAAGCGGTCAACTATTTCTTTGCGGAGGGACTCGGGCGAGCAGCGGACCATTCCCGATAGGGTTGCTGAGGCGCCGGCTCGGACTTCGTGCTGGGGGTCTTCGAGCATGCTTGCGACACACTCGAAGAGCTTGTCACGGTCAGCCGCGGAGAGTAGGAAGAGGCGGCGGAAGTAGATAATTTGAATATTGATCATGATGCGGAGCCGCTGGTGCCAGGAGGGGGATGTCTGTCCGATGCGGATGAGGGTTTTGATGAATTCGGAGTTTTGCTCGGCGGGGTATGGGACGTTGGGGAGATGGCGGAAAACATGATATGCGAGTGATTGGAGCTCTGGGTCTTCTTTGACATCCATCATGTGCAGTAGTTGTCCGGTAAATACCTCTGCGAAGAACGGGGCAAGTTGAGTGCACTCGTGGGAGGACAGCGTGGAGTCGAGCCAGAGGAGAATGGTCTTGCTTCCCGAAGTGTAAGAGGACGGTGTCTGTTGACCAGGTGTTCGCTGACCCCGCCATTCCTCAATCTGTTTGAAGATACCATGGATCATCTCGGAAAAGTCCTTGCTCGGTAGATATGGATACGAGCCGACCGACGACGCAGACTTCTGATCAGTAAGCAGACTCTTGATGTCCGCATAAGACTCGTGATATCTCGTACGGAAGATCGTCGCAAGCGTTTGACCCATCGCTTCACGAACGCCCTTATATGGATGATCAAGGTGGGCAAGGTAATCCTCGACAATTGGCTTCTCAAGTCGGAAATGCCAGCCTGCGTCAATGATTGACTGGTGCAACAGGTTGATCTTAGAGCTCTCCTTGAATGCTGCATTTGTCGACATGTCCAGTCTGAAGCTTGCCAGCCAGTCAACCAACGGCCAGACCCGACGCGGGTCGCGGCATTGGAGGATCATATGGAGGAAGGTGGTCCAGTATCCAGAATTCTCCGGAGTCAACCCATCAATGAAGATCTTTTGTACAATCGGGAACGCGTACTCCCACACCAATGTCCGCTTTTCAACACTGGTATCTGTGACGGAGCTGACGAGCGCTCCAAGAATCTCAGCAGTGGCTCGGTGCTGGTGCTTATCGCTGCCATCTTCAAAGACAGCCTCGATTTCCTCCTTGATGTCGTCAAAGGTCGCAGCTGTGAGGCCATCTCTAAGCATCAACTCAAAGGCATAGAGCAGCAGCATCGCACATGGCATGCGGAACTTATCCGCTGAGGGATCGCGAGGCTCCTGTTTTAGGTACATAAAGAACTTCGAGAACCACGCGCGGTTGAAAAGTTTCCCCATGTGCGAGCGAACCTTCCATTCCACGCCATCGTACTCAATATCACGCTCAACATTGGGCTTGTAGCCTGGCATATAATCCGTCCACACAAGCCATCCAGGGAAATCATGGTCAATGTAATAGTCCGTCTCGGGGTTCGCAAAACTGGCAAGGAATTCTTCGGTCCAGCCCTTTTCGTACCGCTTTGTGGCAACCCTGATCTTGGCGGGGAAGTTCTGGTTACCCAGGATGTAGCTCTTGTAGTCGTGGTTGCAGATTGCGCGCACATCAATCATTGTGAAGAGCGCAGTGAGCCCTTGTGAGTACATACCGCGCAAACCGGGGTGGTCGTCGATAGAGCCTAGCGTGACGAGCTCCACTAGATTCTCACTAGCGATGTAATCGAATCTAAGCCCCATTGAGATCACAATGGTCGCTGCTCGACTGGCGACCTTCCAGTGGGATACCTTGGCTAGATTTACCAACTCCTCGGCTAACGCTGCCTTCTTCTTCTCGATAAGAGCACGCTTGTGGTTGAGCGCATTCCGCTTCTGCAGGACTTGCTCATTGACATCTTGCGTGGTTGGAGCGATAGAGTCGATGATCTCCCGATCCAGTATGGCCATCCGCTCCGAAGGACGGCCATAATCCATTATCTGGTACACCACGCTTGAGCATATTCGCTGTACCGAAGGCTTATCCACCGCACTCGCATCGATGAAAGCTCGAACCAAAGTGGGTGCGTATTTCCAATGCCGGCCGACAGTCTTGGCGACGCTGCTGAGCAATAGAGAGAATAGCGAACCCTTGATCCGTGCATAGTCATTCTCCTTGATACCATTCTGAAGAGCTTTCAGAAGCGGTGGTATAACAAGCAGACGAGAGCCCCATACAGCCTTGAGAGCGGATTCTCCTGCTGTTTGAGCGTTCCGTCGAGTCTCCGTATAAGCAGACACGCACGACTCGGCGAGATCCAGCAGCAAGATTTCATCTAGTTTAGAACGACACCGAGGAGCTGCGTTGTGCCTCAGTCGTTGCAAGTGGTACATGTTGGCGCGCCGAATAAGCAGGGGTCGCGGATAGTCCTTCCGTATTCCACTCATTTTGTAAGGGTGAATGTCGGCCAAGAGAAGGCGTGTCACTCGATCAAGAACATGAGCGGATCTCTCAATACCAACGTCAATAAACCAACATTTGTAAGCCGAGTAAAGCGCACTGAAACAGGGCACATCATCCTCCTGTTTCTCGCTCAGATACTTGTGCACGTTGTGGAGAACCCAACCGGCTCGTTCTCGAATATCATGAATAGTAGTGTAGACAGGGTCGTTCTCTTGCAGTGGATAGCCGGTCGGGTAGTTGAATGTCTCTCTTATGGTGTCTTCCTCAGAACTGTCGAGCGAGGAGTCAGGTTCTTCATCTCCCCGGTCTGTACCGTCGACGGCATCCGACATCTCGACGTCCTTTGACTTGTCCAATACTCCATTTGCCCCACTATCCTTCGTAACAGACGCAGCTTTAGCATCAAAAAGCACAGAGATACCCGACAAAATCAGCCGTAGTAGAACCAAGTTTCTTATGACCTCATCTGACCATTCCTTGCCGATACCGTCACGCCTAACACTGGAAGAGTCCTCTGTCAAAGCCGAAAGTTGTTTAAGAGCAGACTCTGCTTGGTTCTGAAAGAGTTCTGCAGCAAATTCGATCTCTGGCCGCTTCGGGACATGCCATTTGACAGTCAAATTCTGTGGGTCGGGTCGATAATTCCAATGCTCGGGCTGTATCCCGTTGGCAATATCCTCCGGTTCATACAGTGAGTAGTCCGAGGTATATGTTCCAGTGAGATTGAGCAGGAGATGATGGATAAAGTTCGAGACATGGACTGTCGGAATACCCCTGCATTTCTGCTGCATGTAGACGGCGATATCGAACAGTTCCTTCTTGTGAGCCAAGACGGCATCCCCAACGTGCACGACACACATGCTAAGCATGCTGACATTCCACACCAGACCCCGATCGCGTGGAAGCACATCTGTACCAGTTGTACGAGTTGAACCGGCTCCGTTATCATCGATCTCCGTACGAATCGCCTGCGTCAAGACAGGGATGAACCGCTTCAGAGCCCTTTCAGGGTTGACTTTGCAGACAGCGTTACAGATAAAGGCCATTGCATCACGGGCTTGATGAATAACATGGTTAGAGACAAAGTCGACGACCTTGGACAGAGCAATCTCGTAGTAATCGGGAGATAAGGAGGAGAGCAGAGGCATGAAGGTTGCTGGAAGTGTATTCACGATATTTTCTTCGGGAGACCCGTTTCGCACTCTTGAGACGTCGGGGAGGTTTTCTAACAGGGTGAACACTCGACCCAGGAACGAGATAATAAAATCTCCAAAGCCACAGGTGGACGAGCGGAGGATCAGTTCTTCAGTCTCATCACTCAGCTCTGTGTCGTAGTTCAATTGCACTTCAACACCTTCTGCCTCCATCCTCTCCATCTCCCCGGGAATCCATTGCATCGCAAGCATATTACTATTGATCTCTTCTCGTCCCTGGGTCAAGTCTGCCATCGGGATATTGTAACAAGCAGACTGCATGAATGTCAAGGTATGAAGAGACTTTTCAAGATCGTTTGCGTCGATGCCGGGTAAGGCCATTCCCAACAGGGTGGTAAGATGGCAACGGTATCCCTTTGTTCTGGCGATAATCCGTGCAAGAATCTGAAGAGCTCGAAGGGATGAAGTAGTACGGTGAACCTCTACTAGGCCCTGAAGGGATGGGTAGATGCGCTGCAAAGCTCCGGGAAGAATGAGATGTGGTTCCAAAAATGCTAGGCCTTGAAGCGTGGATAGCGAGAAGCTCATCGCGGTAGCACTTTTAGAATAGATACCCATGAATATAACATCACGCATGCAGAGCACGAAGCGGCGCTTTAAAGGCTCGTTGAGCCTCCGCTCTTCGGGCACCTCCATCTCTCCGCTCTGTTCTCTGTTCCACCGCATCACAAAGAAGTCCGTCAGGTAGTACACGAGCTGAGCCAGGGTCTTGGTCCAGCTTCCAGAGTTTGACGGGTGGAAGAATGTCTCTACAGCTTGAATGAGACCTTCGAGTTGAGTGAGAATAGACTCTTCCTTGTCCAGGCATGCTGGCGAAAGAGACATTACAATCCACCTTGCAATGTGATGCGCCACAGGATGTTTGCGAGAATCTCGATCAAGCATTATGCCTAGTCCGGATGAGATATCTACCAGAGCACTGTAAGGGGATGTAGACTGTCCCACTGGAATCTCCAAAAGCCTCAAAATGGCTGTGAAGATGAGCGACGATTGCTCCCTTGTGAAGATGCCGTACTCGGAAAACGGAATATGACCGGCAGGCAGTGCATCCCGGGCCAAGCGAGAAAGGTAGTCTAGGAATGTCTGATCAAATGTCTTGGAGCGGCTAACCAGCGACCAGAGGTGGAAGTAGGTTGGCATGTAATGCTGCGGGAGCAGGTCCTCTCTTGACTCTGGCGGCGGAGATGTGGGAAGGAGTAGGTTGATCAACCCAACCACAACAAAGGCACCCTCGGAGAACGAGGTGCTGTAGTGCGGCAGGAACTCCTCCAGCATGGCTGGTAGCTCACATGGGTCAATATAGAGTTGAATAAAGGCACAGAGTTTCGTCAAGGTTTTCACGTTTCGCTTTAGGTTTGACGAATGTACCAGTCCCGACTCTGTTGGCAGAACGAAGGCCTTTATTTCTCTGTACAGAGGCTTCCAGTCTAATGTGAGGTCCTTGATCGGTCTAAGGTAGTGCTTGCGCCTAGGACTACGTCAGCATTGGCAGGCGAATGGTATGTGCGGCTTGGGGAGGCCACTCACTTGGTTAGGAGCATAAACATGCTGGCAAACCGCTCGGAGACATTAGGGTCGATTCCAGGAGCAAGAGTGAGCTCATAATACAGCTTGACAAGCTTGATCCGCTCGCTGCGAGTCGGGTCGAACTTGAGTGACAGCCATCCTCTTAGCTCCCGTGTCCAGTGCACCGCACCAGGACTGAAGTCGCCTGATTCCACGGCGACATAGAGATGAGTCAGTATGTCCCGCAAGTTTTGTTCTCTCTGTGCTTCGTCCTCAAGCTCGTACGGCAAGTATTTGAAGTAAGGGTATGTGCGAGGTCGGACCCGTGCCTTGGGCTCGCCTTCTCCGTTGATGCCGTCAGGTTCACCACCCGGAGAGGTGGCTCGTGAAATCATATGTGCATTGTGGAAGTTGTCGGGTGTAAGGATCGTTTTTAGGTTCGGATTGTCCATAATCGTGCGGCTCGTGCGACGATTATCGTAGGTGCAGAAGTGAGGAGTTTGGGTGGTGCGGGAAAGCTCTATTATCACACACTGATGTCAGCTACCACGGCTTCCAGGAAACCTAACGCAACGCAACGGACGGCACTATACAAGGAACATGAAGCTTGTATCCAGATACTAGGCTATAGAGTTCGATGCCCAACAGTAACCTGCTGCGAGCGTTTTATTCGCATTGGCCAATTTCAGTAGGCCTTGGCTATGGCAGAGCGACCAGAAATGGATAGCTGTGAATATAGGGACCGCGGTGTGGAAAGTCGTCAAAAAATATATTCCCAATAGTAGGAAGTTTCTTGGAATAAATCTCTCTCTAATTACAAAAGAGTAATCCGGGAGATGAGGGATAAAAGAAGCTCACGCGCGACAGTTGACGAGAGCATCCATGAGATCGCTTTGTGGTGTCAGGCTGCGGATGACATAATGCATCCTACGTAACGAAGCTCGCAGCCTAGACCTCCGGTTGATAAGCACGTGACTTGCTTCGGTATATAGTAAGGTAGTACTTCAGAGGAGCACGGACGACGAGTTGAAAAGGTCCGTCTGGCCTTCAGTAATTGGTCCTTCGATTTTGGCTCACACTGCAATAGCTTGTTCATCGTGCTTGGGAAAGCGCTCAACCAGACGCTTGCCAGAGTGAGCAGGTTGGTCAAGCTAGGGTACGAAGGGTCGACATAAATTTATAGAATAGTGGAGACTCTGCTTCCTCTCCCTTACTTTGATAAGTGACCATTAGGAGTTTCAACTACACCACCCAGCTACCTTCCACATTGTACCATTCACAATTCGTGATTTAACATATGTACTAGGTATCGTGACTTTTGCATTGATATCATAAGTGCTGAGCTACATTCGCTCGTATATATGCATGCGCCATGCCTGTATGCAATTGCCAGGTATAATTGAGAGGAGACGGCCTGCGTGAGCAGACTATGTATGATGGGTTTTCAAAACGCTGAGATATGCAGAATAAGAAGTTCATCCACTACATAAAGCACCAGGCTTGTTTGAATGTGCCAGGAGAACTTCTTCCACCTCTTCAAGAGGGTTGAATCAAAAATTTTGTGCAAAATTGGAGCTGATGAGCTCAATCGTGATGGTGCCCGCCTTTTCGAATCAAGAAGTCGAAGAGGTTACTGAAACGGTGTCGACGCTTGCCTTTCGTCGGCCGCGGGGTTTCCGATTGATTACTGGGTGTCTGTCCGTCTTGCTTTGAACAACGTGTTGATTTGAGTTGCGCGGGTGTCAAATCGAGTTTCGTTTCTTCCCTCTCCGCTTTTCGCTGTTCAAATCGAGACCTTCCATTTCGTCGAGTGGGCTCGGCTGATCCGTCATACGACTGACGCGGGCTGCAGAGCGCGTTATGCCGAGTGCTCGATGAATTACGCCTGTTGGTCCTTTCAATGAAGGCCGCGCCGGTGGAATTGGAGCGCTTTGATAAACTATTATACTGAACTGACCGATCCGTTGTTGGGCTCTGGTGAGAGGTCCGAGTCCAGGTGACTACCCGGCGGTTCGAGTCCGTCGGCGCTTGCTTATCCTGATCGCTGTCTCTTCCGGAGATGGCTCGGTCGTCCTCGCCTGTTGATGTAGGTTTTGAGACACTCGGAGAACGGACAGCTTTCGGACTCGTGGCAGCGTCATTGTAGCGAAAATTGTGCGACCACCCTTCCCGGAACGCAACCCAGATCCCCGTAACGATGATTAACATGCGGAGAGCCTCATCAGTTTCAATCACCTGCTGGTCCAATGGATCATCAAACTCGGAGTTATCACTAATGACCGACATGGCAGATGTGGGTGAAGAAGGCGCAGTAGAAGGTAATGAGTATCGGTCGTATACTTCAAGATTATTACGGGTCATCGATGCAATAACCGGGTGACGGCGAGTGGTGGGGTCAATGATGCTAAATGTGAAGCGTCGAGTAGTGTCTTCCGGTAATATCGAACCCGGAGGAGCGGATAAACGACGCTTCTTTGGTCCGCGCCGTACCCATCGCAAGATCATGAGCCCCGAGTTGGTATTTGCGGCAAATTCATATGAGCCATTGGGAAGGGGTGTAGCCTCCCATACTGCCCCAGATTCGAGGCATATTTCTGCTTTCCCCTTTGCCAAGGCGTCCTCCTTGAGCAGCTGGCAAATCGTCCCAACAACGTCGCGGTGCTCTCCATTTTCTTCGTCTGAGCTGAGGCTCTTCTCTCCGTCTCCCGCTGCTCGCTCGTACAGATCGCTGGTTGTGACTATCAAATCGTTAGGGCCTAATCCCCGCTTACCGCGAAGGATGTTCGGAACTTTGCGCGCGAATCTCGGCATGAACAGAGTTGACGGCAAGACATCAAAGACAGGTACCGGACGCGAGGTAAATGACACGCGCTGGAGCTGTAGGAGAAGCTTCGGTCTAAGCTTTAACCGCTTGTGGCGTGCATTGGTTGCGGGATGGGCAAGCTGATACGTAGTTTTCGGTCGCAGGGTTGGCTTTGATGACTTCAAGTGGGCGAACTGAGATCGGACTGGCGAAGGTCCGGCGGTTGAATAACGGTCATCGTCGCTCGAAGAGATAGGCTCGATAGCGGTGACTGGCATTGAACGCCGTTGCTCATAGCGAGGTCTCTCAGGCTCTGCGCTTTTCTCTCTGCCGGCGCGACTGCTGGATCTCCATGGAGGCAAACTGCCGAATGAAAAAGGACTAGGTGAGGCGTGGCGGGATGGGATAGAAAGTTGGGTGTCCGAATGAGAGCTAGCAAGCTCGTTGTTATGTGCGGCAGCGGCATCAGCTGTCATGCCGAGGTTGAAAAGCATTATCCCCAGAGCACAGCCCCTGACAGATGAAGAAGACGAGCATCGACACCGGGGAAGTAGCGAGGTAGGGTTGATGCGACGGAGTTTGAGAAGGTGTGGTTCGGGATCGTCCTCCAATCTATACAAAATCTGGGGCATACCAGCCAGGCGGGAAACAAGAAAGGTCAAGTAGATTGCCGCCGATTGATATGTGAAATGCGAAGATAGGATTGGGAAGCCTTATTAATGCGACATAGAGGCTGACAGAAGAAGCACAAGGAAGATCCCAGTGTCCAGGTCAGCAGCAACCGCCAAACGAACCGGAAGGATGCTTCAGCTGCGTCACGTCAGACTCCTGGAGCTTGAGAGAAGAGCGCAGACGCAGGCGGGAAAATAAGCACAGGAATAGGAATAGTGGGAAACAGGTTATAAATAAAAGCAAGGGAGGTAAAAGAGCGGAAGGAGAGGAGTGGCGGGCGCCTGGGGCTTAATATTCTAAATATCCAGAACTGGAGCGAGTGTGTGTCACGAATGATTTTGGAAAAGAAAAGGCAGCATGATTAGTATTCTTCGTCTGAACTGGATCTCTTCATGTCAGATCAGAGGGGCCGTCTCTGTCCATGGGTTCCGGTCGGTCCCACCGTAAATGCACGGTCGGGGTCGGTTTTGAAATGTCGGACGGAGATTTCAGGAAAGGAAGTCGTCAGACAAAAAGAAAAGGAATAATAATAATGATTTTTTGAAGCTATGATCTTGGTGCGTCACCCTAAAAGCAGTTCTTTTGATACGATCTGAAGACCAGCTCCAGCAGCAAATAGCAACCAGGCTGACGACCCCAGCAAACAGAATGCACTGAATTTAGTCGCCGATCCTTCTTAGGCTCGCCATCCTCTGCTCTTGATTCGGGCTTTCTCACAGGCCCGACGCCACGGAGGCCCTCCCCTCCCTCCCCTGCCAATAATGCACAGTAGGCGCCCTTCAGGTCTGCCTTAGGTCCCTCTCCAGCCAAACCATAGGCTGCGTCGGCTGGCTGTGCAAGAGCTGAAGAGCCAAGGCTTAGAAACAGCGTAAGACCCTGAGCAGATAAGAAGCACCCATCCTGTGCTCGCGAATCCTTCGTTTCGTGTGGGAAATGAGCTGGAGCTCTGTTTGGCGGCCTCGTCGTCGTCTGACACGAGCACCGAAAGTTGCAGAACAATTCCCGCGGATGAACCAAGCAGGCCGGAGCGGACAGTCGGCGTTTCCGACTCTCCGATGCGGTTCATAACTCAAATTTTCTCTTATTTCCGGACTCCGGCGCCAATTTCTCGTTCAGCGAGCGAGGTTCGATTCCTGTTCAGGTCTAACTCCGGCCTTGGCAGGCTCGTTTCCAATGTGTCTCTCGTGAGCCATCCACTCAGTGGCAACGCTGCAAAGCTCAAGCATCCACGGCCACAGATGCAGGCTCCTTGGCTCTGCCGCTCTGCAAGATTCCTTACCAACGGCTCACGGAAGTCGATGTCGCTTCTTACATAAGAGTAGCGAACTTCAGACCAATTGATTTAAGCTCTGAGGGTTGAAAGTTATCTACAGGTCATGCACGGATGATTGACTTTTCACCTCGATCTACTATCTGGAGTACTAGTCAGGAGTTTCTATTGAGCCTACTCCGATGTGATTTCAATGCATCACACTCCTCGAGCGTGGGACTCTCAGGCTCAGCTTCTCTGTGGAGTGTTTTTTTTTTTACTTGAGCATCAGAGTGATCATCTACGTTGTAGATACCTCGGCTTCAAAATGGGTCAGAAATCGCAGGCCATATGGGCTATGGAGACTGGGAGGAGTACCTGGTCCATATCTATAGGGCTGAGCGGCCGACCCAGGGATTCAGTTTTCAAGGCTGCCCCATCTATTTTTATGATCCGACCCTGTGGACAAGCCGTAGCACTCATGTTTAAAGTCCGGTGCCTGGATCTCCAGGCTGTGTACCTTAATATATCGCAATAATCAAGACGATATACTTCTTACTGCCCACTTCCATGCTGTCGATTTGCACTCATCCACCCCGCCAAGATGGCAGGGATAGTTCAAGTTATGCGTGAGCTGATTAAGCGGGCTTTCTTATGCCAGACTTCCGAGAGAGCCGGGCGATCGACTTGGCCTTTCGCCCTTGGCCCGCCTGGGCCATTCTTTCATGCTCTCATGCTTCAGCCATCATCAATCAAGGACCCATTTATTATTAATTTTACTCCATTCAAAGTTGCCCTGCACTGGAAGTTTCTACACCACTGTCCTCCGTCCAGCCCACCAACTTGGTCTCATGACTGATCGACCAGACCGCGATTATGACTCCAGCGCCCCCGAAGTTGAAGCCGATTGCTTCCGGTGTCCCGAGCTTCCTTGATCCCAGCCGGCCAGTGAAAAGCCTATCGGTTGCTTTCTGGGTCTGGAAGGCGATTCTTTTTGTTGTCATAATCAGCTGCCCCGGACTCGGATACGACACTTCCGCAAGCCTACTTCCGTTCCAGCTCAACGGCTCGGCTGAGGTCATTTCGTCTGCAGAACCCAAGCATGTGTCCCTGCCAATACCTCTCAAGTTCGTGCGCTGGGATTCAATCTATTTTGTACACATAGCTCAATATGGCTACCTCTTCGAACAAGAATGGGCATTTAGTTATGTGTACGGAAGTCTGGCCAAATTCTTATCTTCTTGTACACTCCTCTCTCTCGTACTTTTCAACTCCAAGGCCTGACAATCCCTGCAGTACTTTCTCTCTCAGATGACTCAAGTGGAGTGACTCAAGTCGCAGTGGCAGCGACTGTGTTGTCACATGTATCACACTACCTTTCAGTTTTGGCTCTATATCGACTCTCTGCCAATGTCTTCGGCCGCGACACTGAGAGGAGCCGACTGGTTTGCTTCCTCTCTTCAGCCCTGCATATTGTCTCTCCTGGAGGTGCATTCATGTCTGCGCCGTACGGAGAGTCTTTGTTTTCGTTCCTCAACATAACCGGTTACTACATCTACTCTTCGTCTTGCCATGACCTGAGTTCAAAAAAGTACCTCTTGAGCCATGGAAAGCTGCTCCTGGCAGGCTGCTTCTTCGCGGTAGCCACTTCAGTACGCAGCAATGGTATCCTCAGCGGAATTCTCCTGGCCTATGATGCTATCTGGCAAGCATACGGCCTTGTATCTCGCCGCTCTATGGGCACTATGGTCGTTCGCCTTGGCTTCACTATAGTCAGCGGCTGCATTGTTGCGCTAGGCCTTTTAATCCCCCAGTACCTAGCTTATACCTCTTATTGCACGAACAAGGATTATATACGACCGTGGTGCCAGTCCCTCCTTCCCAGCATATATGGCTGGGTCCAGAGACACTACTGGTTCGTCCCTAACCAAGAACCCTCTAATTTAGCAACATGCTAACCATTGTCAGGGGCGTCGGCTTTCTCAAGTACTGGACGGTCCCGAATATCCCCCTTTTTCTATTAGCCACGCCCATGCTCCTGATTCTTTTTCTATCGTCCTTATGGGCACTTGGCGCGGGTGTATCTCCTCGTTCATCCGGGACCACGCCTAAGACCAGCTCTACTATCTCTTCAAGCCCCGCGTCCTCATTACTAATACAACTCGCCATTGCTCAGTTCATACTTACAGTAATGGCCGTCACAAGTTACCACGTCCAGATCGTCAACCGAATTTCCTCGGGCTACCCATTGTGGTACTGGTACCTTGTCTGGCGCGCCCTGTGGACTTCAGATGCTACTCAGTCTGCCAAGAACAGAACCCAAGTCCTGCTTGTTGTGCAGCTCATGGTGGCGTACGCACTTGTCCAAGCTGTTCTTTTTGGATCATTTCTTCCGCCGGCTTGAGCTTACTCAATTATTCTTCTATCTATATATTATATGAAAGGCGAGATTGATGAATCGTATATAATATCAAACAAATATCATTCTTCAAATCACATAAGCATTATATCATACCTAAGTCATAACCTAATTTCCTAGACCACCTTAGGTGGCACGTAGCTGTCGATCGTGATCTAGCCTAACATAGCATAGCATCGCATGGATATTTTTGCCCGAGGTAATTGTCGTACTAGCTCGTCGCTCAATTCACTCGTAGTTGTACAACGTCATGTATCCGTTAAGGGTCAAAACTTGGACGCAAGGCAGCACTAGAATATAAACCTTATTTTGCAGCACAGGTCGAATCGCGCGCCGCTAGGCAGCTTGATTTCTGGGCATATTCAGTAGTGACGCTGTGGTTGAAGATCACCGAATGGGTTTCACGGTTTGCAATGGACCCTGCCGAGGAACTCTGTTGCGTGTCGATTTCGTTTTCTGGGTGTTGGTTCGCTTCATCGCTCGCTTCCAAATATAGTGGTACCTAGGTAATGAACAAAGTTCCATCCGCCCTTCTACTACCTGGTACTCGGTTCTGTCCGTTTCCAATTTGTTGATGTCTCTGCTCCTAATTGTGGTGGCTTGGTACTCTAGGGTTCTAGAGCGTACTCTGCCGATTTATATCAAGTAGCCTGCTAGATATCTCATCAGGTATCTCATTAAGAACCTAATTGGACACGAGCAGATCCTCAATAAGGCGGTCGTGAAGTGTCGAATAAACTGCCCAGATGGAGTAGGCGCTCGGGGACTGAACTATTCTACCTAGTATAATTGACACGCTACTAATCAGACTCGACACACAGACCACTTACCTAAACTTGTTGAGACAGCTGGCTAGATTACTGGGCTTTGCATGTCCATGAATCTAAAATTATAAACATAATGCGTACCAACTGAACAAACCTACCCAGCCACTACTTCTCCAGCGGCGACAATGTCTTAGGCACATACGGCTCCTCAAGGTACGCAATCTCCTCCTCTGAAAGCTTCACCTTGATCGCTGCAACCGCCTCATCAATCCTCTCTTTGCTACTCAACCCCAGAATCGGATTCTCATTCTTATGGCTAAGCGACCACGCAATCGCCACTTGCGCCATACTAACCCCCTTCTTCTTCGCAATCTCCTCCACGCGATCCACAATCGCCTTGTCGGCCTCGGTTTCGCGGTTGCGGAGGAGAACGTTGAGTGCCCCATCGGTCGACTCGCGGAGGGTGGGCTCGGATTTCCAGGACCGCGCGAGGAGGCCACGCGCCATGGGAGACCAGGGGATGAGTCCAATGCCGGCGTCGAGGCAGTAGGGGATCATCTCCCGCTCTTCTTCGCGGGAGAGCAGATTGTGATAGTTTTGCATGGAGATGAAGGTGTGCCAGCCCTTGCGTGCGGCGACGTTGTTGAGGGATTGGAATTCCCAGGCTGCCATCTGTTATATACCGCAAAAGCATACAGAGTTAGCTTTGCACTCTCTCGCAACTGTACTTGGTGCATCGAGGGATATAGATGAGGACAACATACCGTACTAGCCCCAATATACCTAACCATCCCACTCTCGACAACATCATTCAACGCCCTCATAATCTCCTCACGCGGCGTCTCCCGATCCAACCGATGAATCTGCAGCACATCAATATACGTCCCCAGTCTCTTGACGCTCCTCTCCACCGCATCAAAAATATGCTTCCGACTCAGTCCCACCCTATTCGTCATGAGCCCATCGTTCCTCGAGCACGCCGCAATCATCGGCATCGCACCCCCATCCGCCTCATCCGCAACACCGTAGAAACACTTCGTCATAATCACCACGCGGTGCCGCGGGATGTTGTACTGCTTCAGCGCCTTGCCGATGATCTCCTCGGAGCGGCCGTGCGAGTAGACATCCGCCGTGTCCCAGGTGTTGATGCCGGATTTGTAGGCGTGCTCGAGGAGTGGTAGGGCACGGTCTTCGTCGAGGACCCACGGTTGCCAGCTCGACGTGCCGTAGGACATGGCGCCCAGAATGACTTTGGAGATTTTGAGGCCGGATGTGCCGAGGCTTTTGTTTGGTTAGCCATTGGTTTTGGGAGGGGGAGGGGTCTGCGTACGTGACGTATTCCATTTCGTTGGACGCCATTCTTGTGGTGCTTGTTCAATTGGCAATCAATTGCGATTAATCTGCTATGAAGTTGGTGAGTTGAAATGAGTCTGTTGTTGAGTCACAAAAAAAAAATCGACTGAATGCGGGGAAATGAGGGGTTCCACTCTTCACATACGAGGTTGACTGTTGAAGGGGTTATGGTGCTAGTCAACGAGGTCAATCGCATTCGAAAAGGAGGATCAAGATTAGATATATGGTCCTTGTACCCCGGAGCTTGGAGTCTGGTTCAATCTGCCGAGATCAGCAAGCGAAGCCGACGAGTTACCGATCTTCGTGGTTCGGGTCGGGGGCTCGGGAGTGGGGATCTATGCATTCTTGGGGATCTCGAAGAAACTAATTATTGGTATCCAGGCTCAAGGTCAAGCTCAACAGCTCAGGGATATATTGTTTCGACTAAGCTTCGGGCAGGTCAAAGTTCATAGTTTATTCCTTCTCAAACTACTTGCTAGTGCTGAGACTTCGTTTGGAACCCACTATATATAGTGGGTACTTGTGGATATATGTTGTTTGAATAGTACAGGTGTTTTGGAGAAAGAGACATTCTATTTCATCCACTATAGTATATTTTCCGCGTGAAAAATGCATAACAAACGTTGTAGTCGCCTGATTGCCTAATGCGCAAGATCACCATAGGCCGGTTCAAATACCATCTACAAGATGTACCTAAAGCTCAAGTTCTGAATATCCGTCTCATCCACTTGATCTAGACCCTCATCCGCGCGGAGATCGATCTTCCGCGTCTCCTCAGGATCAATGTAAACACCCTGAGCTTTGTCACGACTACTATTCGTCCAGGCAAGGTACGCTCGAAACCCAGCAGCCATGAAAATAGCTATCGCAAAGCAAGTCAGGATAGTGGTGTAAGCGGTCTCATACCCGGGCGCCTCATAGTCCTTGAAGAACTGCGGGCCAACAAAGTTTCCAACGCAGTATCCCACAAAGATCAGGGCGACAACGGTCGATTTTTTTGTGAAGCCGGCTATATTACTCGCGAACAGGGACATCATGAGTGGGAATGCTGGGGCGACGGCTGTGACGAGCCAGTAGCCGGCGAGACGGGGAAGTTTTCTGTGGTCGGGGAGGAGCTTGACCATGAGAATTCCGGCGATTGCCATGACGAAGATAACGACCATGGCGATTAGACGGGATTTCCGGGTGTAACTTGTGAAGAGGGCTGTGAGGATGACGGTTGTCAATTGGAAGGCGGAGGCGGGCATTCCCATGAGGATTGTTTGAAACTCGTCGTAGCCGAAGCTATTGATGATCAATGTGTTGAACTGTTAAGGTTCGTTGGTTAGTTTGATGCGTTTAGGGAGGTATATCGTAGACGTACGCTGGTTGTACCACCATTCGGCACGCAAATAACAAACGAGAAGAGCAGGAACCACCAGGTCTTGACGTCTTTCCATGCCTCGATGAACTGGCCACGATCCCAGTGCTTGGTCTGCGTGGTGTGCTGGAACTTCTTCGGCCGCAGGGAGGCGAACTCCCGCTCGGTGGGAGTGAGGAATCGGGCATTGGAGGGAGAATCAGGTAGAAAGAACCAAAGTAGTACGGACCATGCAACAGTGATGAGGCCAAATATGACGAAAAGCATCTACTGATGTTAGGGCGGATCGAGGTCAGCTTGAAGAATGTGCATGCGAACCTTCCACTGGCTTAGAGGACCTGTGTAATGTAGAATACCATATGCAATTCCAGACCCGATTAGACTTGCGCTGGCGTTTCCTGCGAACCAGATCGAATGGCGCGACATGTGTTCCTTCGGGGTATACCACATTCCAGTGATGAGCGAGAACCCAGGGCTGATTGCACTCTCAAAAATACCGAGGAAGGTTCGAAGGATCATTAACCCGGCATAGTTCTCAGCGACGGCATGTAAGGTAAGAACAACTCCCCAGCAAAATCTAGAACTTGTTAGATAATACGACGACGACGCAGAGCAGAGTGGTATACATCAAACAGCTGAGGTATCGACCCAGGGGAAATCGGACAAATCCCAGCGAAATTGGATATGAAGCCGCAAGGTAGCCGATGTAAAAGATGCCAGATGCCCAGTTGTATTCCTGTCCATGCAGATTCTTGTCGTGGTCAGAATTGTCCATTTGCGCGGAGTAGTATGTCTTACCAGGTCTTGTCTGATACCAAGGATAGCGCTGTATGACAAGCTGGTTTCTTGAAGCAAGTTAGTTGAGTAAACAACATTCAGACGGTTGGAGCATACTGTCAAGGTACTGAAGGCCATAGCTGACAATGAGCAGGGGCATAAGGCTATCTCGAGTCAGTTTGCTCTTGAGGTTGTCCAGCCAGGGAAGCATACTGCATGTCAATCTTTCTCACAAGTTTCTTTTCGTCCTCAGTGGTCATAGTATCCGCCACCCCATAATCTTTGTCACCGCTCATTTCGTAAAGATCTGTCTTTTTGGTGTCGATATCTGACGAAGGTTGGATAGCGTTCTCCATCTTGAGTCTATCCCTTGTGTCGGTCAGTTCAAGCCATGGGGCGGAGAACGGCCATTGATATATGCTTGCAAAACCGAAAGACGGGGAAATGGCCGAGAGATCAACCTCGCAATGCGGAGAATAATACTGAGCGCCTATCACTCGACAAAGACGAGACGGTGACGCCCCTGATATGCAAAGATAGTCCGCTGTGGGTTGTTGATTGGCCAGATTAATCGACGTGTGGGGAGCCGATCTCGGGGGTTGAGCGATACCCCAAGCTTTTAATCGACCAAAGGCTTGTCTGGAGTCTCTGGACTCTGCGGCAGACAATCTCGCGGCCAATCACATTCGATTTAGTCATGATAATCAAAGGAACGGAGAGACGGCCATAGCGGTGATTGTCGACACCATGAACGTCCGTTTGCACTACCAATTAGGGCTAATGCGAGTATGACACTGGAATCCTTCGTCGATAAGAGATCGAATCATGTGCATAGTGATACTTCCATGTGATTGTTCTTTCAGGGATTTGATATGGTCGAATCCGGCTCTGATTGCAGGGTCAGAGATACTGTTGCCTATCCACTCCTTATGGACTGGGTCTGTGGTTTCTAAGGCGGCGATGAACAGAGACCACTGAAAGCGTTCAAGAAGCTGCATTGGCCCTGCTTTAACAGCGTAGTATGCTGTTGACACCAGTGAAGTGAGGAAGTTCTGAAGTCGAGTAGGTAGCGGCCTGGTTCCGAACGAAGACAGGCGAGCACGGTGATAGTATATCTGAAGCGCATAGTAGAAAGTCACTGCGACAAATGCCATTAGCGTGCATTGGCTATGACACTTTGGATCCGTGACTCGGTGAAATAGTGACGCGTACTCCTATACATTCACATGAGCTCCTGTACGTACGATATGCAAAAGAAGCGATTTTACCTTGTGAATGGTCTCTAGCTGTTGTTGTAGTCTCGATTCCATGATCGTAGACTGAGTTGCGGAAGCTTGGCTGTATGCATTAATCTCTTGATGCAGGGTTATGAGCTCAAAGTAAACATCGAGGGTAGCGGCATCGTCCATTTCAGTCTCGACGCAACCAAAAGAGCCTGATTCACTAGACAGCAGAAAAGCAGTACGCGAGCGTAGCCATATCCTTCGTCGTTTTCGAGGGTCGCTGTTCAGAAAGTTTGCAAAGTCTCCGCCGCATCCAAAGAAGCAACAGAATCCATCTCGATCGTATAGATATATGATCACTCTGGCCAACAAAACCTGCTCCGAGGCGGTTATCATACCGGAACAAGTGCCTACATCATCGCTAGCACAGAGAGTGTCCAGCCCATACGTTCGGACATAAGCGAGGACTGCTCTGCTCAAGTCCTTGAGCTTCATGGGATCCAGCCGATCTCTCCGCATCCAAAACATGTACATGTACAAGAACGATAGCATCATGCCAACATGATCGGGAGACGCAAAGGGGTTATGAGCTTGCAAGAACAGACGGGATCCCCGCTCAAAATGCTCCTGTGATTCACGCGGTGGTTGTGAGCCTCGGCCATAATAGATAGCCAGTTCGCTATGAGAGACAGCAAGAAGGAAATGCAAAGCCATGTCTCTATTGTACGCTTTGTTGAGGAATAGGGTGTGTGCCGAGCAAGCCCAATTACGCGTGGACTTCAGAGGAGCAAGAACCTTGCAGTGAAACGAAGCGGCTTGCTTATCATCACTGCCGAGGGCGGGAGTAAATCCAGTTGCATAAGCAAAGGATAGATCAGAGGCAGCGAAGAAAGGCCCCATTACAGGGGCCCTCAGCAGTCCAAAAGCACCTAGCGAGTTACTCGAATTATTCTCGGTGCTGATAGCCAGTGCCTCCCATGGCGTTTCAGGATCTTGTGGCACTTGGACTGGAAGAACGTCGCTCAACGGCAAATAATCCTCACCAGAAAGATCCTCTGCCAGAAACTCGTCTAGCTGGAAACGATTCTCGGGTGTAGGCGAAGGCAGGCGACTTTCTGGTGTCATGGTCGACTCGGGAGCCTGGACCCTCTCATCCGCCTTTGACACAATGGAAGACGGCGACCACAGGCTCGAATCGCGGTCTTTGATGGGCCCAAAGCCACGTCGTCTCGAGGCCAGCGATGGTTTTGGTATACGCCATTCGCAAGTCAAGTGTAGCCGGACACACCTTTCACAGTACGGCCGAGCCTCATCGCACTTGACGCGTTTGCTAATGCACGTCGAGCAGCCTAAGTATCTAGAGTCAGAAAAGGAACAAGCACTGCAAAGGACGAGTAGTAAAGTGGTTACCATTGCGAGATCGCTTGCCACGCTCTACACGGGCGCGACGCACTCGATTTACCGAACCGCCATCACTGCCATTCTGGCTCATGGTGGCATTCTACGAAGTGTCTCCTAGTCGAACATCGGGGAAGTTGCCATGACCCAGGTCAATACTCCGTACGAGAAAGTTGTCACATTGAAGTGGAGATTTTGGGGGTGGAGTTGGGCCAGGGAGAGATAACAGTTGTCTGCCTCAGGCACCAAGAGATGCCATCGATTAAATTGACCAATCACTGACAAGCAGTAACGAAGCATAGAACGAGCCCCAAGGCCGAGTAATGCCACTTCTACCTCCGACTGCAGGAGGTCTATTCTCCTGGCTGAAGTATTTCTGGGCCCTCATTTCATTCATCGCTTGGCAACCTGCAGGCCACCATCCTCCAACAGCAAGATGGGAAACACGCTCTCCGCATACAAGACTTCTGAATGCGAGGTTGAACTCGCTGGAGACAGAGGCAGAATCAAAGGTCTGCAGTTCGATAGCAAGTCACGACGCTTTGCAAACGTCGCGTATGCTCTCCCACCAATTGGTGATCGAAGATGGCGCAAACCACAGCCGTTGCCGCAGTCGTACTCATACTCAACAGAAGGACAGCCCTTCGATGGGACTAAGTTTGGCCAAGTGTGTCTGCAACCAAATTACTCTGCTTCAGTGAAGAAAAACATTACTCAGCATGAGTTTGGGGAAGACTGCCTTCGGCTGAACATCTGGACACCGGTATCCAAGGATGAGAACGCGGCGCCATGGCCTGTCATGGTGTGGTTCCACGGCGGCTGGTTCCAGATGGGCGACCCAAGTCATGAGGCGTCAATGGATCCAACAGAATTGATTTCTACCGGAAAACTCAACGCCGTGTTTGTTGCGGTGGGCTATCGACTGAATGTGTTTGGTTTCCTTGCAGGAGCTCCTTTGCAAGAAGAGGGCGGAGAAGGAGAAGTTGGAAACTACGGACTATGGGACCAGCGACTGGCCATGGACTGGGTTTATGAGAACATCAGTGTATTCGGAGGAGACCCCGAGAATATCACGCTCTCGGGAAGGAGCGCAGGTGCTTATGCTGTACAGGCACAGACGCTCTATGATTTTCGGGGTTCTCTGCCTGATGCTTCCAAGAATCGGTTCCGTCGACTGGTGATGTATTCAAATGCGATCCCAACCCAACCTAAGATGCCCGAGGATTGTCAACCGCAGTTTGACGAGCTATGCGAGTACTTTAGGATCCCTTCAACAAGCCCAGGGCCAGAGAAGCTGAAGCGTTTGCGTGAGATAAGCGCGCTGGATTTGCGCGACGCCATCATGAAGCTCAAACACCACACATTTCGTCCTGTCACTGACGGCATTTTCATACATCCGAAAATTTTTGACTACTATCGTGACGGCTCGTTCGCACAAGAGTTTAAGCGACGTGGGTTGCGAATATTCATCGGCGAGGTCATGAATGAGGAGACATTATATGCCGTAACCAACGGACCAGAGGCCAGCCGTGAATCTCTCGAGACACAGATCTCGAATTATTACTCACTATCTACCACTTGGCGCTTGCTTCAGCACTATCCACTGCCTGACTCGGATCAGAGGAAGGATTGGGAAGCAGTGTTTGGACAGATTATATCGGACGGGCAGGTCAGGGCACCCTCGCGGTTCCTTGTCAACAACCTTTTAGAGAATGGCGTGAATATTCAGGATGTCTGGCGGTATATAATTGCATATCGATTGTCTTTCATCACAGAAAATGTGGCGCCCGCCTCGTTCGGAGTCAGTCATGCCATGGATCGGCCATTCTGGAAGTAAGTTATCCCTATTCTCGTTGAAACCAGTTGTACTGATAGCGAAACAAGTTACTCTATTATGCACGGGCCATCGCAAACAGAGTACAACCTTATGAACGACTGGATCCGTGATCTGGTGGCGTTTGTCCATAACGAAATGGAGTACAAGTATGGAACCAGCAAGGGAGACGAGGTTAAGGTTGCGACGCCATCCGGGGAAATCGAGATTCAACCTGATTCTCGATGGAGAGAACTGCTTGACTTGATGGAAGTGTTCGCAGGGTCCGTTTGAAGAGTCGAGTGTAAAAATGTCTGTAAAAAAAAACAAATACTTCACGTCGTGCTCACCGACCATTTATGCCTTGATGCCTGATTTTTATCGAATCGAATGTGGGGAAATTTTTTGATAGCGAAATCGGCGGGACCGATTTTCATCGCGTGTGCCCCTCGGCAACTCTTGACTCATTGTGTCATTCTTCTGGATCATCTTTATTTCCCCAGTGCAGCTGGACGCCCCAATTCATTGAGGGCACCTTTACTGCAATCATGGGTGCCGAAACAGTTCCACTGCAGGAACGCCTGGAGCGATGGGCTCAAAGGCTGCAAAACCTCACCGTTTCCCCTCTGACCCGGGATTATCCCGACACCCAGAACCAAGAGGGACCTAAGAGAGCCATTGAAGCTTTTGAGTCACTCAAGCTCCCCAGTGACACGACATCTGCCCTACAGAAGCTCTCGGGGACCTCCTCAGGATTTACTGTCTTTCTGACAGCTTTCGTGGTCCTTGTCGCTCGCTTGACCGGTGATGAGGACATCGCGATTGGCACCAGTCTCGGGGACGATGGCCGTCCTTTTGTTCTAAGAGTCCCAGTTGACTCTTCAGAGACGTTTCTTCAGCTATATGCTAAAGTTCAGAAGGTAGGCACTCCAATCGCTCCGACCTCAACTGTTTCTGACCAGTCAAGGCCTACGATGAGGGGTCAGCCGAAATCGTACCACTGGGCAGTCTCCGATCCTATATCCAAGAGAAATCGCAATCCGAGCGACTGCCAACCCTCTTTCGCTTCGCTGCATACGATGCTCCCGCCGCTTCACAAGAATACCCTGCCAACACGTTCGAGACGACGGATCTGGTGCTCAACGTTGCGCCCGCGAGCACCTCGGGCCGGTCAACGGAGCTGGGAGCGTACTACAACCAGCGACTCTTTTCCAGCGCCAGAATTAGCATTATGCTGAACCAGCTTACCCAGCTGGTCCAAAATGCGACAAGCAGCCCAGAAACCGCGATTGGCCGCATCGACTTCATGACCCCCGAGCAGCGCGCTCTGCTTCCAGACCCGACTGCCGATCTCCACTGGTCCAAGTTTCGCGGAGCTATCCACGATATCTTTGCCGACAATGCTGAAAGGCATCCGGATAAGCTTTGCGTTGCCGAGACCAAGTCCGCCACTTCCCCTCATCGCGAATTTACCTACAGACAAATCAATGAAGCGTCGAACATTCTTGGCCATCACTTGGTCCAAGCCGGCGTTGAGAGAGGAGAGGTTGTTATGGTATACGCCTACCGTGGTGTTGATCTGGTCGTGGCCGTCATGGGTATCCTCAAGGCCGGTGCTACTTTCTCTGTTATCGACCCCGCATACCCACCGGAGCGGCAATGCATCTACCTTGACGTTGCGCGCCCGAGGGCTCTTATTAACATTGCAAAGGCGACAAAAGACGCCGGAGAGCTTTCTGAGAAGGTTCGCAGCTTCATTGATGAGAATCTCCAACTCCGGACCGAGATTCCCGCCCTTGCCCTGCTTGACGACGGTGAGCTTCTAGGCGGCTCCATCGATGGCCAAGACGTGTTGGCCAAGCAGGTGCCGCTGAAGTCAGAGCGGGTGGGCGTTGTTGTTGGCCCAGACTCTACCCCCACGCTGTCGTTCACTTCCGGCTCCGAGGGAAGACCCAAGGGTGTTCGCGGTCGTCACTTCTCCTTGGCGTACTATTTCCCGTGGATGTCAGAGACATTCAAGCTCACCCCTGACGACAAATTCACAATGCTTAGCGGAATTGCTCATGACCCTATTCAGCGTGACATTTTCACACCTCTCTTCTTGGGAGCCCAACTTCTAGTACCGGCACGTGAGGACATCCAGAACGAGAAGCTTGCTGAGTGGATGCGGGAATATGGAGCTACAGTTACCCATTTGACCCCTGCAATGGGTCAAATTCTTGTCGGTGGTGCTTCTGCACAATTCCCTACTCTGCACCATGCTTTCTTTGTCGGGGATATCCTGATCAAGAGAGATTGTCGCTCTCTCCAGGGGCTGGCCCCGAACGTCAACATTGTCAACATGTACGGAACCACTGAGACTCAGCGTGCGGTCAGCTACTACGAGATCCCGAGCTACTCTAGCGACGGCGGATACTTGGATACTATGAAGGATGTTATCCCAGCAGGTCGAGGAATGGTTGATGTTCAAATGCTCGTGGTAAACCGCTTTGAGCCCAGCCGCATTTGCGCTGTGGGCGAAGTTGGTGAGATCTACGTTCGTGCGGCTGGTCTTGCAGAAGGTTACCTTGGTTCGCCCGAACTCAACGAGAAGAAATTCATTACCAACTGGTTCGTGGACCCCAAGACATGGACGGAGAAGGACAAGGCGGAGTCGCAAGGTGCGACTGAGCCCTGGAGGGAGTTCTATGTTGGGCCTAGGGACCGCCTGTACCGCAGCGGTGACCTTGGTCGATACACTCCTTCTGGAGATGTTGAATGCTCCGGTCGTGCCGATGACCAGGTGAAGATCCGTGGTTTCCGCATTGAGCTTGGTGAAATCAATACTCATCTCTCTCGCCATCCTCTCGTACGAGAGAACGTGACGCTTGTTCGACGCGATAAGTTTGAGGAACCCACCCTTGTCAGCTACTTTGTGCCTGAAATGAGTAAGTGGGCCTCGTGGCTGGAGAGCAAGGGCCTGCAAGACGACCAATCCGCCGAAGGTATGGTTGGCATGTTGAGGCGGTTCCGACCTCTCCGTGACGATGCTCGTGAGCTTCTCCGTAGCAAGCTTCCAGCTTATGCTGTGCCCACCGTCTTCATTCCGCTTAGGCGTATGCCATTGAACCCCAACGGCAAGATTGACAAGCCGGCTCTACCGTTCCCTGATACTGCTGAACTCAGCGCAGCCGCACCTCGCCGCAAGTCGTCCGTACTGCAAGCTCTCTCAGAAACCGAACAGGCCCTCGCTCAGATCTGGGCTCAACGGATTCCCAACGTCACAGCTCGCATGATTGGTCCTGACGACTCTTTCTTCGACCTCGGAGGTCACAGTATCCTCGCGCAACAGATGTTCTTCGACCTCCGCCGCAAGTGGCGCGGCGTTGATATTAGCATGAACGCCATCTTCCGCTGCCCTACCCTCCGCAGCTTCGCTGCTGAAATCGACCGCCTGCTCAGCTTCGAGTCCTTCGCGAGCAACGACGACAAGAACGCCACTGCCGAAGCCGCCCCGGACAACACGCCCGACGACGAATACTCCCGCGACGCTCGCAAGCTCGTCGATTCCCTACCCGAGTCTTTCCCAACTCGAACAGAGGACATCCTCGCCAGCGAACCCACAATCTTCCTCACTGGCGCTACCGGTTTCCTCGGCGCTCACATCCTGCGCGACCTCCTTACCCGCAAGTCCCCTTCTGCAACTGTCATCGCGCTCGTCCGTGGTAAGAGCCCCGAGCAGGCCCTTGAGCGTGTCCGCTCTACCTGCCGCGCCTACGGCTTCTGGGAGGACTCCTGGACATCCAGACTCGAGTGCATTTGTGGCTCCCTCGGTGATGCTCGCTTCGGCCTCACTGAGTCAGCCTGGGATGACCTGACCCAACGCGTCGACGCTGTCATCCACAACGGCGCCCTCGTCCACTGGGTCTACCCATACTCCACCCTCAAGCCCGCCAACGTCCTCGGAACCATCGACGCCCTCAAGCTCTGCGCCACCGGAAAGCCCAAGCAGTTCTCCTTTGTCAGCTCGACCAGCGTGCTCGACAGCGACCACTACGTGGAAGAATCCGAGCGCAGCATCGCCGCCGGTGGTGCAGGGATTAGCGAAGACGATGACCTGGAAGGCAGCAGCGTCGGCCTGGGCACGGGTTATGGCCAGAGCAAATGGGCTGGCGAGTACCTCGTCCGCGAGGCTGGTAAGCGTGGCCTGAAGGGCACGATCGTTCGCCCTGGTTACGTCCTCGGTGACTCAAGCAGTGGAAGTAAGTCCAAGCCCCGTACTACATTAACTGACTACCTTCCCCAGCCTATCATTTCATCGTGATCATTCTCCGAATACCAGCAGAGCCTCACAAGACTAACATTGCTTTTTTTTTTTTTTTTTCACTTTGTACAGCCACAAACACAGACGACTTCCTAATCCGCATGATCAAGGGCTGCATCCAGCTCTCAGCCCGCCCCAACATCAACAACACCGTCAACATGGTTCCCGTCGATCACGTCGCGCGCGTCGTCATCGCCGGCGCCTTCCAACCACCCGTTAGCCCTATCGGTGTCGCCCAAGTAACAGGCCACCCGCGCCTGCGATTTAACCAGTTCCTCGGCGCTCTCCAGCTATACGGGTACAATGTGCCGCAGGTCGACTACGTGCCTTGGTCCAAGCTGCTGGAGCAGTATGTCAATGATGGGAAGCACGACGACCCGGAATCTCAGCATGCGCTGTATGTTTATCTTTTCCTTTTTTTTTTTTTTTTCTCTCTCCCTTTGTTTTTCTCCCAGAGCGCCTCATACTCTGCGTTCGAGCTCTATTTGCGAGGGCGCGGATCGCTAATCGTATTCTCCTATTCTAGCATGCCACTCTACCACTTTGTCACGGCGGACTTGCCGTCAAATACGAAGGCTCCGGAATTGGATGACGTGCATGCGGCCGCTTCATTAAAGGCAGATGCTGCGTGGTCAGGTGTAGATGTCTCCAAGGGCGCCGGTGTAACGGAAGAGCTAGTCGGGCTCTACGTTTCCTACCTTGTTTCGATCGGATTCTTACCCGCGCCGTCAGTTTCAGACTCAGCTTCAGCCTCGGGCTCAGCGGTTCGTCCGCTTCCTGCTGCGAAGATCACTGATGACCAGAGGAACGCCCTTGCAGGTGTCGGTGGCCGAGGCGGCACATCTTGATTTTGCTTTTTATGTTCCCTCTAAGATCTTTTGGATGATGATTTTTTGATTGGTTCTCAAAAGCTTGCTGTTTCGGTATTTATTGTCCGTTTGAGGCAAAAGACAGGGATGTAGCGTGTTTAGAACGTGACTGTACATATGAGATACAAGGCTGAGCTGATAGAATAGGGGTAGAAGGGAAAGAAAGAATACCACCTCATGATTACCCATTGCCTATCTGCATCGCTATGATTGATCACAAGTTCCGAGGGTATCACCCAATTCCCTCCAGATTATGAGAAACTTAGTCGGGGCGTTATTTATGTGTGTGTGGCATGCTCCCTGCGCCCGCCAAGACGTAGTAGAGGGTGTACATTGTGGCTTGTGGCAGAAGTACCAGGCTTTCGTGCAACATAGCCCTGATATCGAATATATTATACTCGTCGTTTTCCTCTGAGATCGGTCAGTTTTCTCATCTCTATTGTGGTTCATGAAACGATTCTCAGCTCTCATCATTTTTCCACTTGATTCAACTACTCCAAAGTAACATGGCGAACTCAATAGCGGCCTCAATGGTAACTCCAGGTAAGCATACCTTTCCCTCGGTGCTCTCATTTACCTGGCCTCTCATTCTGCCTCCTGTTCGTCTTTCCGAGAAGAGATCCTTTCTTAAAGTCATGTCGTCGGTGATCTGCCTTAACCATGGAACTTGTTCCCGTTTCCTCCGACGTTAGCCGGCCTGCTCTCCATACATTTTATGTTCTTCACAAAATGTCGCCTGGGTACTCTATACCTTGACAATGTATCCTTGATCGGAAGTCATGGCAAAGAGAATCCAAAGGACTCTGTCCTCACGGCTGCTCAGACCTCTCCAACGCACAGCAGACCCTTCTCCATTGAGAAACCTGCCGCATAAGGCATTGTTGTGCTCAGCGCATGCTAATCCAACAACTTGCCCAGATACATTGGCAGCCCTCCTCAAACGGAACAAGGAATGGGCAGCCAGAACGGCCTGTCAGTACCCATGCCTCTTCCCCGACCAGGCAAAAGGCCAGAAGCCCGATATTCTCTGGATTGGCTGCTCCGACTCTCGCTGCCCCGAGACAACCCTCCTCGACCTGCAACCGGGCGACGTGTTTGTCCACCGGAATATCGCAAACTTACTGCACCCAGCCGACCTCAGCTCCACTGCTGTCATCGAGTACGCTGTCCGTCACTTGAAGGTGAAGCATGTCGTCATCTGTGGCCATAGAAACTGCGGAGGTGTCGCCGCGGCGATGGAGGACAAGTCGCTTGGTATTCTCGATCCATGGCTCCTGCCTCTGAGGGAGCTCCGCGAGGCCCACCAAGATGAACTGGACTCGCTTCCGGAAGAAATGGCGGCGCTTAAGCTGGTTGAGTTGAATGTCCTCGCTGGAGTGAAGACGCTGAAGCGAACGAATGTTGTGGCGGAGGCGATGCGGAAAGGCCTCAAAGTCTATGGACTTGTTTATGACGTGGGGAGCGGTATCCTTCAAGAGTTGGTGGCGGGCAAGTCCGACAAGGTGATTAAGAGACAGTTCACTTCGGAGTCCTTCAAGACGGACTTGTAGATTTTGCTGGGTATTGTGGTTTTTTCGTGATCACGCGGTTGGCATTTTGGACATGTAATTAAGCGTACTTGTGTTGTACTGGCGACTTGTTTAACTGTTCAAGGAATCAAGTTTCGAGGTTTTTTCCAGATGTTTGGGTGTTAGTGCTTACATAGTTTTGACTTCGTTGTATTGCTGAATGGTGAGATGCAGGTGAGATGGAGCATCAGCACGCCATGCAAGTCTAGATCAGATCTATCGACTAGGCTCTCAGCCATCTATCCTCACTGCGACATCATGATGTCGTCCAATAAGCGATCTCTGTTATTCTGGAATAAGCAGCAGTAGGACAGCGGATGAACACAAAAGTAGACAGAGCGTGTTAGAGAAGATGTTGAGCGTGGGCTGGGCAAGGCTCAGATGATCGCACCTGCTGGTGCCATCGTCGCTGCCTGAGAAACAGGGCACTAAACTATCTACATACATGCTCACGGATGTTCAAGGTGGAATTGAAGCAAAGACAACGATATTATTTAAATACAAACGAGACAAACTAGCCAGCGCAAGAGCTATTGCATATTTTACATACATAGATCACAGCCCGGGATCTTAGCATGTAGCAACTCTCACTCCAGGTCCGGCAGGTATACAGACTCCTCCAGGCCCCCACTAAAGGCGTGGTCATCGTTTTGAACCCATTGGTCAGGTCGTGCAAGTACTCCAGCAAGTCCGCGTACGCCGTGTTGGCTATCCCAGTCATATGCGTTATAACCAATGGGCCGCGCTGCAATCGTGGTTTCACCAGCTGAAACGTGGGTAATGCGAGCGCTATCCAAACTATAGTACAATTGAAGCCAGTATTGAGACTCAGCGAGTAGCGCATTGGTACATGGAAACGAAGGTTAACTCACCGTCCATAATCAGCAAATCAATCTCACCAGTCCCTTCCAACTCTCTAGGTAACGTCTCTAGTAAATCTCCATCGAGTAGTGAAATCCGCGGCTCAACCTCCTCACCCGCTACTCGCCAATGCTGTCTCGATATTTCCGCCTTGAAAGCTTCTTTCTCCGTCGCGATGATCTTTTCCCAGGGCTTACTATCACCAGGCTGTGACCGAGGCAGAGAGGCAACGTTCTGTCCGGCTCCCAGGGCGAGATAGATTGTCGAAACTCCGAAACTCGTTCTGGCCTCGACGGTATTTCTGGCCCCCGACGAGCGGGCAAACAGGTAGTTGAACTCGCATTTCTCGGGCTCGAGGGCGATAAATTCATCACGCATGTAGTCGTCATCGCTCTTGGTCCAGGAGGAGATTGAGAAAAATCCAGTGTAGAGCGTGGTGACCCAAAAGGGGTACATTGATGATGTCCGTTCTTGAGACTGAGATTTACTATAAAGGACACTGAGAAGAAAGAGAATCTTGGATGAGGCTTGAATGGGCTTTGGTGGAGGTGATGTATATTGGCAAGCTGGGATCTGCAGATTGATAAGATTACAAGAGATCCTGGGTACTATGTATACGTCTAATGCCCCGGTAGCTAGCCACAACAGTGAGCATATCCGGCTGAATCGGTGCCAGCTACAGCTGACATTGACATCGGGCATCTTTCGCAAGGTAATCCAGATTCGTTGGTGTTTCCGAGGTCGTGTGCGGGGGATACGAACAGTTGGGAGCGCGAGACGACGGTCACTGAACCTAACGGGTCTCCGAGAAAGCCGACAAACGTCAGGTCTAGTGGTCCAATAATAACACCAGCTCGAGTGTACACGACGGCTCAGGACTCATGTGGGAGCAAGAGGAGGAAGGCCGCGGGTCAGACGTCTGCGAGGCTGATGCGGCTTTCGTCGTCGAACCATCACTTCTTCGGCTGCGGACCTAGAAAGTCCTTTTCGCTCTCCTCCCACTTCTTCCGTTCAACAATGCTCCGCGCCCTGCTCTACATTAGCCTTGATAGATGCCAGCGTTGCCTCGGGGACACGGACCTATATGCCTTCACAAACTTCCAGATCTCCGTATCTGCCATATTCCAGGCCTCTGTCACACTTCTAATGTTGACTCGGTTGGACTTCTTCTTCAGCAGATCTCTAGCTTGCCTGATGATTTCATACTCCCTTTCCACACCTTGAGTACTCGGATTGGCATGCTGCATCGTTTCTTTGCTGTGGCCCTCGTTCTTGGCATCAACATTGGTATCGCGAGGTATCTTGAAACCGAACTGCCACTCGAATTCATCCAGCAGGGTACTCGGAAGAGCTTGACCAGCCTCGGCCGGTAACGATTCAACGGTCATCCAGAGCGAGGTACCAAGGGCTGGCCGTTCGGCTATAGCTTTCTTAGTCACGACTGCTCGAGGACCACCGCCTAGTTCACGTCCCAACTGCTGACTGGTCACCTCCTTAAGCCACTCATCTCGGGCTGTTTCCCTCCGAACGTGGCGTGTTGTAACCTCGGCGGAATTCTGCAGCAAGCTAATGAGAGTATATGGGTGTGGAAGGGTTGCAATCGTGAAGGTCTGAGAGTTATTCTTGTACGTGGCGGGCTGACTGATCTTCATCGGCCTGCGGTCATCGCAAGGGTGGCATTTTAGCAAATTCGGCGGGCAAGACTGGGGCGCAATGGAATGCGCGCATTGACCGAGTGCTCTGGCCAGGCGCAATGCTGGCTCAACCAAGGCTGTGGTATGTTCAGCGAAAGGTTTTAGGACAACCAACCCTCCTGGGAAGGAGTTCTGGAAGGTTGTATGCAGGTGAGAGTTGATGAGTTCCGCTAGCCGATCAGCAGTTGGCGAGGCCGTTTTCTCGGTGACGGCAGGGTAATGATTAGCGATTGTTGCCGAATCATAAACGGCCAGAGAGTTGGTCTGCTCGGGTTTGATCAAACCGTCCGGTAGCAATTCCACCAACGATCTTGACTCTTTCCTGGCGTTATTGACTGCCGTCTTGATCACACCATTAATTGTCTCCTTTTTGCCGGATAACAGTGCAGCGCTAGAGAAAGATGTAATATACTCCGATCCGGGACCCCGGCGCAGCTTCGATAGAGTCGCATCATCATATCTCGCCATCGGAAAGCAGTGCCAATCAGCAAGGAGCCCATCGCCCATGTGGCCCCATGCAAGCCACTTGAACACGTCATCCTGCAGTTCGGGGCTCAAATCCAATTGTTGGACAGACTCGTATAGTGGATTGGCCAAAGCTTCGCTGCGACCAAGAACTGCCGGTCGAAAGCCCTGAGCGTACCAAGCTCGCCGCCAAGCAACGAGAAGCTCCGCGTCTGCATTATTTCCTTCCCGATCCTGGCCTTTCTTTGGATTGTAGTATGTGAAGATCCACGGTCGCTCTGGGAGGGGCGGAAGCACGGATCGGTCTTCGTCAAGGGTGATGGAGGATGAAAAAGGGTTCAGCCAGGCCCAGTTGTTGAACCACTTCGTGTCTCCGCTCGAACTGTCCTCCTGCGGTTCCGGGGGTTTGTGCGCTGGCGGACGAAAGGTTGGGAGATGCACATCGTTGAGAGACGGAAGCTTCGGTACATATTTGGCAGCAACTGATATCTCCTCGTTGAAGGATTCGGGCTGTGTCGAGGAAGAGAATATCACTAACAGTAGGCCGACAGATATGACGATGGTGAGGAGCGTTGTGCTTCGACGGGCAATCATGATAGGCTATAAACGAAAGGATACTCGAACGGATAAGGATGAAGGAGCTCGGCAGGTCTCTACATCACACGCGTCAGTTTGCCAGCTGAATGAGTTGCGGTAGGAAGGACAGGGGAAGGGGAGCTAACCAGGGGTGAGATCGGGAGACAACAGATCAACCCATTGAAAACGAATCGTACATAGACTGGAACATGCAATCTACCTCCAGTGAGGTCGCATGACTGATAACGGCGTAGCCGTCCATGACCGTCAGATCGATGCTTGTTGCGTCGAATTGATCCATGATGTTCGCTCAGGTTTCCGGATGCGGAGGAAGAACTTCATCACGTGACATGATATGTTGCGTCTCGGCGAATGCCTCAGCAGTATCAAGTGGCCGGACTATGTTGTAACTTGAGTTTACGCACTGGATGGCATTGAAGGAACTCTTTATGATTACCTATGGTGTCTTGTTCTCATGTTGTATTGAATAACAGAGAGATTCCAGGCCCGAACTATATACTTGCGGACGATGCTAAATGAGTTTACTCCGGAGTACAACAAGCCCTTTGTTGTGTTCAACGGGAACAAAGTACTGGGCCATAAGTATTATTGGATCAGACCTAAGAAGCTCTAATACAGCTCCCCACTTGTGGCAAACAAGCTTGCAAAGCCAAGCCGTGAATGATCATTAACAGACAGGGACCAAGCCTGTGGACTTCTTGAGTAAGAGAAGAGTTCATTGTTCTCGCAAAAACCAGCAGTATGCTGTAGAATTTTCCGCACAAGAGAAACTTTACAAAATCTAGACAGGAATGGCGTCATTGAAGCATTATGTTCTTCATCCAATGGTTGCGCTAGACTTATGGGGGATTAACTAAGTTGTGGTGCTTGGAGATCACTAATCGGCAGTGTGGCCGGGGATAACTGCGAATGTCGCGATCTCGGCCGATGAATCATCTCCAAATTCCCCATCCATTGTTTCTGTGCCCCTCTTCTACCGGACCTTCTCTTCTCCCTTCTTGCTCTTCCCTATGCTCTCGCGGTATCGCTATTCTACTGCGGTTGTCGCCAAATCCTTGAATTCCTTGAGCCCCGTTCCCCTCCAACCCAGCTCTAGGATTACACCCCGCTTTTCGCGTTTGCGCGTCGGAGTTCGAGCGATGTCGGCCACCGCAGCTCGTGCAGACCCTTTCAAGCCTGCGGCAAGAGTCGCGGGCCAGCGACAGGATGTTTGGTACGGGAAATCTGTCCTAGACGTGCCATGGACGCCTGTTTTAATCGCGCTCCAGGTCCATCGTCAATGAGGCCGCTGCCGCCTCCCCGGTCCAGCCTATCGTGAACATGGGCCAGGGTTTCTTGTGAGTGGGCTTCCATAGCATTAGCACAGGCGCATATACTAACTACTCATTCCACAGTGGCTACAACCCGCCAAAATTTGCCCTCGATGCCGCAAAGGCCGCCCTTGACCGAGTCGACTGCAACCAATACTCTCCGACAAAGGTACTCATCCAGCAATGCGATGGTCAACTCCGACTCACCATGAATAGGGTCGCCCGCGCCTCAAGAAGGCTCTCGCCGACGCATACTCTTCTTCCTTTGGTCGGCAGCTGAACCCCGATACTGAGGTCACAATCACTACCGGCGCAAACGAGGGTGAGATGATCTCCGGTGTGCAATAGTTGTGAGCTGACTCGAGAAGGAATGTTGAGCGCTTTCATGGGATTCATTGAACAAGGAGACGAGGTCATTATTTTTGAGCCATTCTTCGACCAGTAAGTCGGGCGGTTTGTTACTGCGTCTTCTAGGTCTGATAGTTTCCAGGTACATCAGCAACATCGAGATGCCTGGCGGCACGATTCGATACGTCCCACTGCATCCCCCGAAGGATGGAGCTACTCGGACCTCCCCTGCATCCGAATGGACCATCGATTTTGATGAATTAGAAAAAACCATCAACTCGAAGACCAAGATGATTGTGAGTGTTCTATCCGTCTTGTTAGTTGTCGATTACTAACGGGATTTTCAGGTCCTGAACTCCCCGTAAGCTTCACACGTACCATAGCTGGACAAATTACTGATGAAGTAGACACAACCCTGTCGGCAAGGTCTTCTCGCGCGAAGAACTCGAACGCATCGGCGACCTCGCTGTGAAGCACAACCTCATCATCCTCTCTGACGAAGTCTACGACCGCCTCTACTATGTCCCCTTTACTCGAATTGCGACCATCAAGCCAGAGTTCTATGAGCGAACACTTACAGTCGGCTCCGCCGGAAAAGCCTTCTACGCTACTGGCTGGCGTGTCGGCTACCTTATTGGACCCGAGCATTTGATCAAATACGTCGCCGGTGCACACACTCGCATCTGCTACAGCAGTGTCTCTCCCCTCCAAGAGGCAGCAGCTGTTGCCTTTGAGGAAGCTGACAAGCAAGGATTCTGGGACGAGAGCCGAACGGAAATGAAGGGCAAGATGGAGCGGTTCTGCAAAGTGTTTGACGAGCTCAACATTCCTGTATGCCTGTCATTCCCGTTTCATAAAACACCCAGGCTAACCTTAGCAGTACTCTGACCCCGAGGGCGGTTACTTCGTCCTCGCAAACATGGCCTCTGTCAAACTGCCCGAGGACTACCCCTTCCCTCCACACGTCGCCAGCCGCCCGCGCGACTTTAAGCTCTGCTGGTTCCTGATCCACGAAGTCGGTGTGGCTGCCATTCCCCCGACCGAGTTTTACACTGATGGAAACGCTCACATCGCGGAGGATTACCTCCGTTTCGCCGTCTGCAAGGAGGACGAGGTTTTGGAGACTGCCAAGGAGCGGCTTCGCGGCCTGAAGAAGTATATTGTGCGATAAATGGTGTTTATGACTCTAGAAGGTCGGGGCGTGCTATATATCAAATTGAAGAAATAGACGACTTTTTATTTAGTTGGTTCGAGACGAGTGGATCTAAATTTAGCTGGATAGACTTTTTTTTCCATTTCCCAGTTCGCTGTTATGTCCGTTAATCTTCTTACCAACATACCTGGTATGTACTTGTCGTCCTTCCAAACCCACTAAATGCATGTACAGATCCGCTTCGGCTATTTTCCAGCACCCCAATTTCGGCGAAACATATTTACACTCATACACAAGAAGAAAGAAATAAAAGAAAATGAAAGAAATCAAGCATTGAACCCCTCAACCTCCATCTCCCCAGCACCAGCTCCATCCCATCCATCTCCCCTACAAAAAACCCTACGATCCTCCTCCGCGACATCCTCAAACCCAACACCCCTCATCCTCTCACCCGCATCCTCGACATCTGGATGGGTGGTCCTCGCCGCCCTGAGAATCCAATATGAAGCCTCCAAATGCTCAACGAACGCCTCGTGCCCGTGCCCGCCCAGCGAACCGAGCAGACGACGGTACTCGGCGCGGCAGACGGGGTCGGGACAGTTGCGCCTGTTGGTTCCTGTCCAGTCGGTTTCGCATGCGTGTCTCTCGCCCGTTATGCCGGGCAGGATCGTCACGCCGGTCTCTTGGTGGAGTTGGTGCTTTAGAGAGGCTTCGAGGGTGGGCAGGGAGGTTGTTGGGGGGAGGGGTGTCGTGCGGAGGTTGTCGCGGATAAGGCGGAAGAGGTAGTCGGTTAGGGCGTGGGATTCGAGGGTTACTATTAGGGGTTGGTTGGTTTAGTTAGGGTTGCTTGGTGGGAGAGGAGCAGGCCCGGAAGTTGAAAGGAACATACCAAAGAGACAAGCAGCAAGAACCCGTCTAAAGCAATCCTTGGCCTTGGGGTCCGTGAACTTGACGGCGAGGAGAACTCGATTGGAGCATCTCAAATTCAAATGGTCATCTGGAAATCCCGCCTCAACCATATCCACAAAGTCCGAAAAGATAAAATAGTCTCCAACGCTTGAGTGCATGTTGAAGTACACAGCCTGCCGGTGGCGCTCGGGTGTATCATACGGATGCAAGCATGGGATCAACGGAGGTCCATCTCTGACGTCCTTGGGGATTGTTGACTCGCGGCATGGATGCTGGAAGACATTCTGGCAGCAGGTCGCCCAGTGCACCTTGATATCTTTGAGCAAATGCTCACGGGAGCAGTAGCGCGTTTCCGAGAAGGGGCCACAGCGTGGACAGATGACTGTTGCGCCGTCCCAGAGGTTGCAGCGGCGGTCGCAGTCGGATCTTGCGCAGGGGAAGCCGTGGCTGTCGAGTTGCCAGAAGAAGCCTTCGGGTTTCTGGGTGGTGATTCTATGGCCGCGGCTGGTTTGGATATCTTTGGTGATGGTGGACTGGGAGGAGGGAGAGGGGTGTGCGTGCGTGCTAATCACCTGTACGTGAAGGGTGGAAGAGGAGGGGGTAGTGGCCACTGAGCGAGCTGCCACGGCGCTTCTCTGTTTGCTGCGGCGTCCGGTAGATGGCGCAGAGGCAGCGGTGGTTTGGGGTGAGAATGAAGCATATGGGTTGGTTGTCCAGCTTGTCGCGAGAGAGCTTTCAGTCCCTGTAGACTTGGGAGTCGAGGCACGGAGCTCTGGCGATCCGCTGGTCACACTGCCCCGGTTTACCTGACCTTCCTTTGTGGATGGGAGCTTCTCTTTCATGGGAATTGAGCTGCTGCGTGGCTGCGGGGGTGACGGAGCAAAGACTATAAGGTCTGATCTGTTAGTCAAGCCCTCTGCGGTGGCCTTGAGGAGCTAAAGAAATATAGACTGACCTTTCGTCTGAGTTTGAGTGACCTTGGGGGCTTTTGGTGCTTCAACAGACTCGTTTGCAGTCGAGGGCTGAGCTGAAGGCAATGCTACTGCATCTTTCTCTAAGGCCTCGCTCTCTGAGCATGTTGCAACTTCAGAACTTGCAGCGGCTCCCTTCTTTTTTTTCTTTGCCTTGCTCTTCTTCTTGGGCTTCTTCTGGGTCACAAAGTCCATGATGCTCGCCTCTCCGCGGACCATGGCGTCAGGCTGTGCTTCAACGGAAGCAGAAGCAAGACTCGATTTTAAAAGACCTTTGATTAAGTCTTGTGGAGGGTTATCCGAGTCGGAAAGACGACTAAGAGTGCGAGCACGAAGGAGAGTGACTGCCTCAGAACGAGTCTTGTATTTCTCCTCTAGAGATCGGTTAGTGCTGTTGTAGAGAGAGGGGCATAAGTGAATAAACACAGGACGAATGAAAATGCATACCAGTTTTGGAGCGAAAATCTGCAGGTAGTGAGCAACTTCTCTTTCTCGTATGATTGCGTCCAGTCGAAAGGACTTCGCTGCTGTCACCGGGACGACAGAGGGAATTGAGAGCTGAGAGCTGCTTTTGATCGGAAGCCTGGTGACCGTCTTGCTGCTGCCCTTCGCGCTCATTTTCTAGAGGGCCGGAAGCCTGCTCCAACACGCGTAGGCGCTCTTCGTAAGCATTCGCAGCCGACTTGGACTGGGACGCTTCATCATTTCCACTCTCGTCGTTCGTCTTTGCTCTTCCATCGCGGCGTGGCCGTGAGGTCTTTCCAAAGCCACGAAAAGCCATTTCGGGCGACTGATATAGAGCTCCAGGGCTCCAACAAGATTGAGAATCTCAGTTACCATATCAACGATAAAGCAGTTTGTTCTCACTCACCAATTCCGTTAGCCCTTCTCGAACTCACCGAGTAGAGACTCCGCGCTCGAGAGCTGCCAGTATCGAGATCCTCTTGCTGGATTGCTGTGCTGTCGTCTCAACTTCCTTCTGAAAGAAAAAGGAAACGAGAAGATGCTGGAGAAACCCTGAAAGAAATGGGGAGTTTCTGTTATGAGTTTGCGATTCACAGTCATGGCGACTAATTTGCGTCTCAGTATGTTCCGGAGCTGTCTATGAGGGGTCCTGCCCTGGGTTTATGGTTGTGACTGAACAGAATGTAACAATTATAGATTTCGATGTTGGAAGAACAGAATCGACATAGTCTGACTTTAGAGCAGGCACAGTGGTCTTTATAAGAGTCAGCATGCATACAAAGGATTGCAGCGTCCACCACGAGAACCTTAGTAGTGCTACCTGCCTGATCGATCACCCCGTTTTCGCCTAATTGGAGGCCTCATATCTCAAGTATTCGATTGGGCCTAAAGACAGGATCTTGGAAAGGGGTTTCTGACTGCGTTGACAGAAACGGCGCTCCACATCATGCCCAGCCTGTCATGTCAAGCCATGATTAGAAGTCTACGTTTACAAGAGCCTCCACTTCTTTCGCGCCAGCCTTAGATAGAGAGGAAATGCCTGTTTTCGCCAAGGAAAACCGTCTTCCTGTATTAATCGAAGGCTCAAGAGATCCTTTGGTCGCAGAGAAACTGCCCTCCCAGAATAGAGATGGCATTTGTTAACTGTGGATCCTGTGATTCTACAGGACGTCCGTATAGTTGTCGGCGCTTAGCGACGCAGCTATCGGTTTGACCAGCCGTGTCGTCGGCCAATAGCGGTCCTGAAGAGATGTATGCGTCAGACAGGGGTTATCTTGAAAATTATGCTCAAAGTCATGATTTACACTTGTTTTTGGAAGGAAACGACGGCAGTCAAGCTTGTCTACGACATGCTCTGGCGGTGGTTTTACCGTCCATTACAAAGCGAAATGAACAATAGCTAGCCCCTTATAACTGAACAAAGAGTTTCAGAGAACAAAGTTCAAGACAATTACTCTGAGTAAAAGGGGCCTTTGTTGTGTCTAGGAGTATCACGTGCTGATGTCTTTCTTCAGATGAGGAAGTTGGACTCCATCTCATCCTCCACCCCAGCAACATCGGCAGTCACTCCGACGCGCATCCGTGATGATCTCATTTCACTCAAAACCATCTAAATATAACGCGGTCACGAAGCGTCAAGAAAGCCTTCAGCAGCTCTGCACCAGTCAAGTGATGATGCCTAGCCCGATCTCCGGCAGCTCCAGCGGCAAGTGAAGCAGCAAGCGCCCCGAGCTTGAATTCATCAAGATGAACAAAGAAATCCCCGACGGTTTCTGTTGATCAGCTGTCAAAGAAAATCTTGTGGGGACTCCAGGGAGCTCTGTTTCACTGGGAGCCTAAATGCTGGCGCCCTCTGTGGAGCTCAAGGGATTGGCTGACGAGAGGTGCGATCCTAAGCGCCCACGATGAGGCTATATTTGGTCTACGCAAGCGCTCTGCAGAATCCACTGAAATTCCTGAAAACGACCGCTGAAGAGTTCTCGCGCGAGATGAAACCTACTATACTTTTGCTGAATGCTCATTCGGCAGTTTGTTTTACTCTGGATTCGCATCCATTGTTTTGCATGGAAGTGTGACGCTTGTCTCAATGGCCACATGCCTATTGAAAGACTAGCTTGATCTTTGATTGACTCACTTGTTTCTTGCGTTGCACCATGGGTTCAATAAATAAGTACAGAGGGAACCCTCCGTGGAACGGTCGCTATTCATTCTATTGTTGTTTTTTCCCTTTTCCTATTTGGCCGCGACCAACACTGCATTCTGCTTCAATCTGCTTATACCCAATAGATTTCCAGGTGGCATGGTTTCCTCATAGATTGCATCCTTTGGTTCCTCGCGTGTTGCTGCTGGCCAGCGCCCTTTGTACTACTGCCCTTTTCTTTGTCTTCTATCATCAACTCCTTTGACGCCAGTTCGACTTTATACGGCTTGTTCCCTCCCTCGATACCAACCTATAATATTTTCGGACACTCCTTTCCACTATGATCTTTGCAAGATCCGCTCGATCTATATTTCCTCTCCTTCCTCCGTATGGGGCACATCACCCAAATGGAGGAGGGCGAATTATCCCACTACATCCGGACGGCATCACACCATACATGGGCCTGCGATCTCGCCTATCGCAAATATGGATGAACCGCTGGACCATTCTCCTCCTCCTCGTGCTAGTCAGGCTACTAATTGCCGTAGCCAGTCTCAACACAAGCATGGGCTCGGCCAGACGTGAGGCACTCTCCGCATGTACCTCTGTTGAGTCCATGGGTAGCGCCATGGCCTCGACACCTCATTACGCTGCGCGTGGTGTAAACGAGCTGACCGCTGCCAGCGTCGAGACGGCGGTTAGTGCTCTCAAGACAATGCTCATTCTAACAGTGACGGGAGTTGAGGAGATTATCGTTTTTATGATTAAGATGTTGTATCAGACTTATCTCTGCCTCATCACCATGGCCATCCGTGGCACCGTTGACACTGGAGTTGGTCTCTTGAAAGACGCTGGCGACTTTCTGAACTCGACTATCAAGTCCGTTGGTGACGACCTCAGCGACGCAGTCGATACGTTCCAGGATGGCTTCAACGATTTCCTCGGTCTCATCAACGGAGCAGCGACAACGCTTTTCGGATCTGAGATCCCTGAGTTGAACATCAACAGCTTCATTGAAGAGCTTGAGAATGCTCAACTTCCATCCTCTATCGATGAAAAACTCAACAAGCTCAACAGCTCTGTGCCAACCTTTGACGAAGTCAGTGACTTCGTGGAAAACATCATCCGCACTCCCTTCGATGAAGTGAAGAAGTTGATGAATGAGTCAATGGGAACCTTCACCTTTGACCGTGACACGCTACCAGTCCCTGCACGGCAACAGCTGAGCTTTTGCCAAGGGAGTGATGGTATCGATTCGTTCTTCGACAAAGTCTCTGACATTGCCGAGACTGCCAAAAAGATCTTCATTGCCATTCTCGTCATCGCTGCGGTCCTCGTCTGTTTCCCCATGGCATGGCAGGAAATCCGCCGCTGGCGCTCTCAGAAGGAGCGCTCCCAGCTTGTCCGCAAGGAAGCCCATGATCCAATGGATGTTGTCTACATCGTGTCTAGGCCATATTCCTCTGCCACAGGAATTAAAGCCGCGAGCCGATTCAGCAACAGCCGAAGGCAGATCCTGGTCCGCTGGGTCGTCGCCTATGCTACTTCACCTCCTGCTTTGTTTGTGCTCTCCCTCGGTGTTGCCGGACTTTTCGCCTGTCTCTGCCAGTACCTCCTCCTACAGGCCGTTGAGAAGGCCGTGCCTGAGCTCTCCGCCGAAGTTGGTGCCTTTGCCGATAAGATCGTAAGTAGCCTAGACGAAACCTCCGCAGAGTGGTCTCTGGGCGCCAACAAAGTCATCGGCGATGTGAACACTGACCTAAATCAAAACATCTTCGGCTGGGTCAACACAACAACGACCGGTGTCAACGACACACTCAATGCCTTCGTCGATGAAACAACCGGCGTCCTCAACGACACCTTCGGAGGAACCGTCCTCTACAGACCGATGATGGACGTCTTCAACTGCCTCATTGGCCTCAAGGTCGCTGGAATCCAACGCGGCCTCACTTGGGTGCACGACCACGCCAACATCGAATTCCCGGCCCTTCCCAACGACACCTTCTCCCGCGGTGCCGCCGAAAGCCTGAACGACGGGAACAGCTCAGACAGCTTCCTCTCAAGCGCCGGCGACTCCACCTCCGACGCAATCACCGAGGTCGTCTTCCGCGTCACAAACGCAATCGGCGAGGGCATCGCCGTCGAAGCCCTCATCTCGGGCGTTATCCTCCTCCTCTGGTTCGTCAACCTGCTCTTCGGCGTTATCCGTGCTCTCTCGCTCTTCCGAGGGCAGGAGCGGAACCGTGGTGATGGCGGTGGCGCCCCCGCGCCGGGGCCTCTGGGTCCTGACCAGGATGGGTTCCATGATGTTCCCCTCACGGCGATGCCCGATACGAGCTCGAGCTGCCGCGCTCAGCCGGCGCCCCAGTATGAGCCTTCCACGCGCACGTTTGCCACTGCGGGGTTGCCCGCGGCGGTGACTGCCGAGACAGGGTACGAGGATGAGAAGTTAGGGTTTGCGGGCCAGAGGAATGCTCTGCAGGTCGAGGCGCCAGAAACCCGTGGGAGTAGCTATGCTGAGTATGGCATTGAGAAAGGTCGGATTTAGTGGATGATACCTCCTAGAACAGTCTCTCTTTTCTTTTCTTTCTTTCCCTGTGTACACTGGTGGTACCTGGCGTTGGGATATCAAGCATTTACATGGCAAGCGTTGACAACATACCCAAAATCACTGCATCAATCACTCACTCACTGAAAACTAATACCCAATGTACTCAAGACAAACAAAACATGCTTATCCCAAGTGGGCAATTTACCAGTAAACCATAGCATACTTAACCCCCTAACCAACCTTGGTTTGACAACTCTGCCCACCCCTCACTTATCCCATTCCTCCTCTACTCCACCGGCCCCAAAAGATCCCACTTATTCCCCAGATAATCCGAAAACACCACAACAGTCCCATACACCTCCTTCCTGGGCTCAGACGCAAACTCCACTCCTTTGTTTCTTAACCTCTCATACGTCCCCCAAAAGTCCTGCACAGACCAAAAGAACCCAACCCGTCCACCGAACTGTCTTCCCACGAGACTCATTTGCTCAGGCCCGTCGGCTTCCGCAAGGAGGATATTTGCGCCCCCGACTTTGGGGCCTGTTGCTGAGGTTGATTCTCCTGGCGTTTGTGGCTGTGTCTGCGACGGAGGCTGTACGACGACCCAGCGCTTTGGCTGCCCGTCATTTGTTAGCGAGGCGCTGTCTTCGAGAAGGGCGAAGCCGAGAGTTTCGGTGTAAAAATTTATTGCGGGGTCATAGGCGGGGACGAGGAGGGTTACGAGGTTTAGGCCGGACATCGTTGTTCGTAAATGGAAAGACTGCAGTGAACCTTGAAATTGAGAGATGTTGATGTAGGAATTGTGGAGGTCGGATAGTACCAGCTAGTGGATGGGCTAGATTAAGCAAATTCTGAAAAAGGTGCGTACATGGTTAAGGACCGATGGTGGCTGGCCGGTGCTCGGCCTTAAGTAAAGGTGGAGTTCGAGGACTGGGTCTAGAATGGATGAGTACGAGATGTGTCAGCTCGTCTGGGACACATGAATTAGCCTAGAAGGAACCTATGAGCTCCCGAGCAAAATTGTTGTATGTTATGAGTTTGTGTTTGCAATAATTGCTTTCATAGACAGTCTGGAATGACTATATGCATTATAGGACATTACCAGAACCAGGTATCAAGAGTCATAAGACATAATTCCAACCCGTTCAAGCAACCAACCAATATTTCTCGCTGGCGCGCTCAAGCTCAAATCGCAACAAAGAAACTCTTCTCTCCCTCCTTGGGCACAACACGAACCCGCTCAATAATCGGATCTGCACAGCTAACTCTGATTCTCTCAGGTGTGGCAGGACTCTCCAGCCGTAAAACATCTGTAACACCCCATTCTTTCCTCGCGGCCTTGAGTGCATCGCGAATAGCAAAGAATGCCGCACTACCCATGAATAGAGGCGGCTCTCCCACACCGCGAGACCGTTGGATCGTGCGCAGATTCTCCCACTCCACGTCCTTCAAGAGACTAACGTTGAAGATTTGGGGGATATCACGGAAACCAGGGATCTTGTAGTTACCCGGTCCCTTGGTGAAGATTTGGCCAGAGCCGCGGTGCCAGAGACTTTCCTCTGTTGTGAAGAGACCCTGGCCCTGGACGTAGGCGCCCTCAATCTGACCATAATCGATGGATGGGTTGATTGTACGACCGACGTCCATCTTGATGTCGGCGCGAAGGGGCGTCCAGTCGCCGGTGAGTGTGTCAATTTCGACCTCGGCGGCTGTAACTCCCTGGGTGAAGTAGAAGAACATCTGGCCCTTGTTTTCGCCCCATACGTAACCGATGTCGGGGGTGCGGTAGTAGCCCTGTGCGGAGAGGTTCACACGGTCAAAGTACGCTGCGTGGGCAAGCTCTTTCATAGTGGCGTTGGGCATCTTTTCGCGATAAGGGCGAAGACGCTCGTTGAGTTGCTCGCAGGCATTGAAAATAGCGTAGCCGTTCAGGTCGGAACTGGCTGAGGCAGCGGTTGATGAGGTGTTGGCAACGGTGTTGGTGGCCGTTTCGGAGATGAAGACGTCGGACTGTGGTACGCCAAGTGCCTCGGCTGCAATCATGGTCATCTTCGTGTGCAGGCCCTGTCCCATTTCGACTCCACCATGGGCAACAAGGATACTGCCATCGTGGTAGATGTGGACTAGGGCACCGGCCTGGTTGAGAAACAAAGCCGTAAAGGAGATACCGAATTTAGTTGGGACAATGGCCATCCCGCGCTTTGACCACTTGTGTGTTCGGTTGTATTCCTCTACGGCCTTCCGGCGCTCTAGATAAGAGCTTTCCTCCAGGACTTGATCAAACATCAATGGTACGTGCCAGTCCTTGAGTTCTTGGTTGAAATGCGTCTTGTCGCCGGGTTCGTACATGTTTAGTATCCGCAGCTCCTCTGCCTGCATGTCGAGATGATCGGCGACTTCGGAGATGATACTTTCGGCAAAGAATAAACCCTGAGGGCCACCGAAGCCACGGAAGGCAGTGTTTGAGACGGTGTTCGTCTTGCAGATGCGGCCGCGGACGTACATATTCGGGATACTGTACACATTGTCAATGTGCGACAGACTGCGCTCTACAACAGCACCAGAAAGATCTTGGGTGTGGCCGCCGTTCGCATATACGTCCGCATCGAGTGCAAGGAGCTTGCCCTCCTTAGAGACACCGACCTTCCACCGGCAGTAGAACGGATGACGCTGCCCTGAAGTCGCAATATCCTCATCACGATTGAGCATGCATCTCACTGGCCGTCTTGTCTTCGCCGCAGCAGTAGCGCAAATGCCGGCTAGCTGGACAGAGCGGGTCTCCTTTCCACCGAAGCCACCACCAAGGCGTTTGACCCTTGAGACAATCTTGTTGGCTGCCACGCCGGTAACCTGTGCGACATATGATTGTCTGTCGTTGTCAGCAATGCTCCATATGAGATAAAGATTGAAAACTTACGTTTCTGTAGGGTTTTGTGTACTGCTCCAGATTTCCATCTCACCATCTTCAGGCTTAGGTATAGCCACACAAGCCTGCGTTTCCAAGTAGAAATGCTCTTGACCACCCATTCGTGACACACCTTCGAAGACGTGGTCGGCTTCCTTGAACGCGCTCTCAGTATCTCCATTTCTGATGTAGCGGAAATGCTCAAAGAACGATTCCTGTTCAATGGCCTCTTCAATCGTAAGAATAACAGGCAAGTCTTCATATTCGACCTTCACGGCCCTAGCACCCTCCTCAGCAGCCTTGGCCGAAGTCGCCAGAATCATACCAATCGGCTGTCCAGCCGTGGTAACTTCGTCGACTGCAAAGAAGACTTCGTCGCAATTGGGCGCGCCCCACCAGTTTGCCCTAGGAGACGGGAGATCTTTGTGATTCACGTACTCAACAACTCCAGAAACCTCCAGGGCGGCTTCCGTGTCAACGCTCAACAACTTGGCATGTGCCTTTGTCGACAGGACCATACACCCGTATAGTTCGTTCTTTTGCACAGGGATATCATCCGTGTACTGAGCTTCACCAGTAGCTTGTTTGAGCGCTGATACGTGAGGACCTGCTCGGCCCAGGACTCTTTGCTGATAAGCTGCTGAAACTTCTTGATCCTTCTCGCCGGTGGAGATAGCTCGTTCGATTTCGGCGATCACGCTTTCATCAATGTCGGTACTCTTGACTTCAAGCTGGGCCAAGACGTCGTGGTAGTATCGGTAAAAAAAGCCCAACGCAAGGGACTTGCGATAAGTTGCCATTCCACCTGGAACACCAAACTTCAGATCGAAGTCCTGCTCCAAGGCTCCCATTGTGCCCTCAAGAGTTGCCGGGTCGGTAAACTCCTTCCCATTCAAAAACTGTTCGGCATTCCGGGCAGATACTGTCATGGGCGCCAGACCACCAAAGACAAGGTTCACGCTCGTAACATCGTTCGAGGGGGAGAGAGAGACGCGCAAGGCAGCGTTTACAATCGCGATGTCATCATCCTTTCTCTTTGATTGTTTGTATGCTCGCAAGTATTCTCCACTTTCCGCTGCAACGGGAATCCGGAGGCTCGCAATGATAGCATCTGCCGGAAGGGCTGTTGAGCGGTAGCCCTTGAAGAACTCGACCATGGGAATCTCAGTCTCCTTGTCCAGCGACCTGGCAACAAGTGTGGTATTGGTAGCCACAAATACAGGGTTGAGATCGGAAATTGGGGACGCGGTTGCCAGATTACCAGCTGGTGAGGCGACGTTCCTAATTTGCCTGCCGGCGAAGTAGCGTAGCTGCTTTTTGATGGCGACGAACGGTTGACCACGTATCGGACCGTATCGCTCGACGGCTTGGTCGCAAACAGACTCAAGGTCGGTCAGCGAAATATTGGCACCAATCTCTAGATGGTCATCGTGGAAAGAGAACTGTCGGAGTTCAGCCAGATCTCCAAGGTAAACAGACGCGCCATAACGCATTTGCTTGAATTTGATCTCAATCTGTGTCTCGGTGCTCCCACCGATTAACTTCGCGTCGGGATGAATGCTCTTGATCTCCAGGAGCTGCTGCACGGTAACAGGCCTGTACCACTTCTTCCGCTTGTTACCAAAAGCCAAGGGACGCAATTCCTGTTTCCACAAAGGCGGAGGAAATATCAACTCGGTATCGGGTTTGTATTCGATGAAATCGGGCGACGCAAACTTGTGTGTGACCTCATCAGCGCCATCGGTCGACGATTCCTTGCAGCATCCGCCCGCGCCGTCTTCTTTCTCCATGCAGCATCCGCTGCCCCCATTCGCACGCGCTTTCCCACATCCTGTAGGGCTTGTAAAACTCTGTGCAGCGTCCAAAATCGGCCGATATCCAGTACAGCGACATAAGTTTCCATCAAAAGCCTCTTCTACCGCATGTTCGGAGGGTTGAGGGTCGTTTCTGAGGAGAGCATAAAGGCTCTGAACTGGTCAGTGCAGTCTTTATCTGGAGATATGAGGACAACATACCATTACAATACCCGGAGTACAGAAGCCACACTGACTTCCGTTCCCGATAGCCAACCGCTGCTGAACAGCATGAGGATTCTTGACGTTACCAATACCTTCCACAGTGATAACGTGCTTTCCATCAATGCTAACCAGCGGCGCAATACAGGCGTTTACAGAAGCATGGTAAAGCTTCTTCGTGGTAGGATTGAGTTGTGAAACTACCTAGTCGAGGTCAGAAATAGATGACGACCTTAGCAAGAGAGCGACATACCACCGTGCAAGCACCACATCCACCCTCTGCGCAGCCTAATTTTGTTCCTGTCAGGCCAATACCTCGCAGGTACTCCAACAGAGTAATCTCCGGATCAAACGAGTCGAGCACGACCTTTGTGCCATTGAGATAAAAGCGGATCGTGTCGTCCCAATCTTCTGTAAGCTGAGCAAGGGATGTAGCAGGAACTTTGTCTGGGATCGAAGCTTCAAGCTCCGAATCCGATGGTGAAGATTGCAGTAAGACCCCGGGAGCCATAATTTAGACTTTCTCGGCTGCACCGGGTGAAATGTACCTGGGACAAAACATGGGAGGAGTAGAGGAAAGGTGAGAGTTTAATATCACGAGTGCCTGATAAGTAAGGGTCTGGACATCGCGGGGATCGCCACCATCCGATGGGGAGCGCCACGCTTTGAGAATCATGATCGTCCAATCGCGACCAGCGGAATGCGGCGTTTTGTCAGACGCAGCGAAAACAGGCTCGGAGGTTACAACTGCTTTACTGTTTTCTGAGAGTCCATCGCTAGCTCGCGATATCAGTCAAGAAGCATGATCAAGGAGGTTATTCCACACTGCAAAAGCATGTGAAGAAATATACATTAGGTAATCGAACCTTATCTTTGAGATACATCGTAGCTGCCTTAAGATCATGTTTGTGCCTGAGGCATAAATGATTTTGACTAATCGCGTCTGCGCGCGTGCACGCGTTGGAGAAGTGACTGCTCATATCCAAGTCAAACAGTCCTTCAGAGAAGATCTAATGCTACTGTCCCTCCAGTACCTCAATCGGACATATAGGTCGGCTATCGGTGATTGAACCATGGTGTCTTGCCCCATCTGTGGAAAGCCCGTCTCCTCACTTAGGATCAACGACCATATCGATTCCGACTGCCAGCAGTTTATCGAAGAGCCCACATCGAGCGTTGGCGACCCCTCACCTTCCCAGAAAGCTCCAGTCCCAGCCTTTTTCCAGCCATCTTCAACGCGAAAAGCTTCCTCTCAGCGCGAACCTCTCTCCGATGCATCTCCCCTCCGCAACCTCAACGGCAAGAGAACGGTGACCGTGTCGCCGAATGGCAGCTCATTGTCCGAATATAACACTGCCAGCTCTCAGCGGGATGACGTGGTAGAGTCAGCACCGAAGAAACCGAAAGTCAATGCCTTTCAGAGAGCTGCACCACTAGCCGAGCGTATGCGCCCTGGGACGCTCGACGAAGTATGTGGCCAAGAGCTTGTCGGTCCAGCTGGGGTTCTACGAGGCCTTATCGAGGAAGACCGGGTACCAAGCATGATTTTATGGGGCGGCCCTGGCACTGGGAAAACAACGATAGCACGGGTTATTGCATCGATGGTGGGAAGCAGATTTGTCGAGATCAACAGTACTAGCACTGGTGTTGCTGAGTGCAAGAAGATCTTTGGAGAGGCAAAGAGTGAACTCGGCCTAACCGGAAGGAAGACGATCATATTCTGCGACGAGATCCATCGATTTTCAAAGTCTCAACAAGATGTCTTCTTGGGACCGGTCGAGAGTGGTCAGGTCACGCTAATTGGAGCGACGACTGAAAACCCATCCTTCAAAGTCCAAAATGCCCTGCTTTCCAGGTGTAGAACTTTTACCCTATCGAAACTCACCGATGAAGATATCAAATCTATCTTGGACCGTGCCCTGCAAACCGAAGGGCCGAACTACGTACCGTCTTCCCTAGTGGACGACGAGCTGCTCAATTATCTGGCAAAATTTGCCGACGGAGATGCCCGCACTTCACTCAACCTGCTAGAGTTGGCGATGAACTTATCGAAACGACCAGAGATAACCAAGGATGAGATAAAGCGAGCTTTGACCAAGACGCTTGTGTACGATCGGGCTGGGGACCAGCACTACGACACTATTTCTGCCTTTCACAAATCCATCCGGGGCAACGACCCCGACGCTGCGCTATATTATCTCGCCCGCATGATTCAATCGGGAGAGGACCCTCTCTACATAGCTCGGCGCTTGATAGTCGTCGCTTCAGAGGACATAGGGTTAGCGGATCACAGCATGTTGACGCTCGCGATCTCGACTCACTCCGCGGTGGAGAAGATTGGACTTCCGGAGGCACGGATCAATCTCGCACATGCCACAGTGGCCATGGCGTTGGCGCGGAAAAGCACTCGTGCCTATCGCGGGCTCAACAATGCTTTTGCTGCTTTGGCGGAACCTGGCGTTGCAGGTTTGCCAATTCCCATTCACCTGCGCAACGCCCCTACACGATTGATGAAGGAACTTGGATACGGTAAGGAATACAAGTACAACCCAAATTATGTCAATGGCAACGTGGTACAGGATTACCTCCCGGAGCAGCTACATGGACGACAATTTCTGGAGAGTCGCGATCTGGGGACGAAGATTGATCCAGATTGGATGGAAAGAAGCTCAAAGAATTTCAAGCGTGATAATTGATACAAGCTCGACTGTCGAAATTTCTCGCTAACAGAAATTACGAAACTCCGCTTGGTTAACTTGTTTGATATCTGCGTAGACCACCTGGCGTACTGTGATTTTGGCAGAAGGCTTAACCCTTGTTTCATAACTTAATGATACCCCTCCTGTACTGGATACACTTTTGAAACACTAGATTCAATGATTAGTACTCGGCAATCTGAATCAACATCTTGACGAGGCGTCAACTTGTTGTATAGAAGCGCCCAACCAATCAGCGCACGGACCAGCCACCGCTCCGCGTCGCGTCCGCAGATCAAATCGAACCTGCAACAAAGCAACAGAGCAGATCAATCCTGACAACCACCCCTCCCCCGCTCTCCCTCGCTGCCAGGTCATTCCCTCTGCCTTACCAAGGCACAGAATACGGCAATTTCAACACCCACTACCCCATTTCCAGCGAATGCTTGTCAGTTCCACTATCACCACACCCGACGCCGCCTGTCAACAACCACAAAAGCACCGGCCCTCGCCATGGCCTCGTCCGGGCAACCATTCGGGTCGCGCTCCTACACAGCCGGCAAACTCCCCGACCGATCACTCAACAGCAACACGATCCCATACAGCGCCTCAACGTTCACCCGCCGCGGGCTAGGAGCCACTGGCGCAGGCGAGTTTGGAGCCGACGTCGCGAAATCAACCCAGCAGGCGCCGCCGCCGCCGCCGCAGCAGGTTCATGCGCAGACACATGGGCAAGCGCAGGAGTCAAATCCGCTTAGTCGGTTGACGGAGGAGCAGAGGGAGGAAGTCAATGAAGCTGTACGCATCCATGCAACCCTCCGTCTGTCTACGTTCGCTACTCAAACCCGGCATGGCATGGCATGATCAGACCGAGTATAATATAACTGACATATCTCGCTGATAACTAGTTCACTCTCTTCGATCTCGACCGCGACCGCCACCTCGACTACCACGAACTCCGCGTCGCCTTTCGCGCCCTCGGCTTCACACTCCCAAAGCAAGAGCTCATCTCCCTCCTAACAACCTACGGCGTCCCGCGCCCTCAAGTACAAGGACAAGCAGGCGCCGGCGCCGGCGGCCCACAAGCACAACAGTCGAAAGCCACCGCCCCCGCCGCGAACCCGCAACACCCCTCGAACCTTCTCATGCCACTCTCTGCGTTCCAGGCCGTCACGGCGGTGAAGATCCTCGAGCGGGACCCACGCGATGAGATCCTGCGCGCATTTGAGCTGTTCGACGAGGGCGGGAAAGGGTACATCGATCTAGAGGATTTGAGGCGCGTCGCGAGGGAGCTTGGTGAGACGGGGCTTGAGGAGGAGGAGCTGCGGGCTATGATTGAGGAGTTTGATCTTGAGGGCGTTGGTGGTGTTACGAGGGAGGCGTTTGTGAGTATTTGCTGGCAGTGACCTCTTCCCTCGCCACCTCCTCATCTCATGTCCTTGAATTTCAATATTCCATCCGCTAAAACCATGAATGTTTGGGCTGCCTGTCTGGACTCCAAGCTTGATTGACGTTTATTGTTCAAACCTGGGCATTGGTAGGCGCCATTGACTGAATTTTTCTCCCTTTTTTTGCTTACCTGTCTTGATGTGTGTTGCTTGTTATATAGTTTTTTTCTGGTGCTTTTGTGCTGTTTCTTAGCTTTCTCCTACGGGTTTAGGAATCTTGGATCTTTGAATCTGTTTAGTGGGTTTGTGGCAAATATCTGCAGACTGTAATCCATACATATCCTTTATCTAGCCTGATCGGAATGGTAGGGCAAAGTTCGGAGGGGTGAAGACTACTTTGGTACAGCCCTTGAACTAACATGTGGGATCGCACTTTGGAGTTGTGGCGGTTTCGAAGTGCGAAGCATCATTGAGTATACAAAGGTACAGATTGAATTATTAGAGCGCTATGCATGATATTCTGCTAATAGTAGGCTTGTATCGAAGGAAGTTACTGTCCAAAAGGGTCCTGACAGTAGCGAAAATTTAACCAAACAAATATCCAATATCCAGGTAAAAAGAAAACCCTCAATCTATGCAAGCGCCAAACTAAACCTGGTTTATCCAAGATCTCCAATGCAAAGCAAACATATATATACAACTCATGCATATCGCATCGTCTGCATATAGCCTGGAGGCGGACCGTCATCGTATCTCCGCTCAGCAGGGTACACGGGGTATTGAGACTGGCCAGTGTAAGGCCCTTGCGGAGGGGGGCCGTCGTAGAGACCTTGCTGCTGAGGCGCCGGGTAGGGGGCGTGATATGGACCGGGGTAGGCGGTTTGCATCGGCGGTGGTGGGCCTTGGCCTGGTCGGAAGGCGCGCGATAGTCGCCTGATCGGCGTTTGTTGAGGTTGGGGAGGTGGCATTTGTCTGTTGTACTGGCCGTATGCGACTGGAGGCACGGGCTTCATGGTGTAGCGGGAACGGCGGCAGCGTCTGAAGATGCAGATCAAGATCGCCAGGATGATCAATCCGCCAACGCCGGCGGCAACCGGAATGATGATGTTCTTGTGTGCTTCGATCCAGCTTTCTTCACCTTTGCAGCGGCCATTGCTGCAGCGTCCGCTGTTACCGCACGGTGTGCCATCGAGGAAGTTTTGCTGGTTGGTGAAGCACCTCTGAGTCATTAGGCTACTCGCAGAAGAATCCTCGCAATACAGTTGACACGAGTTCCAAGGTCCATCGCACGCACGCGTGTTGTTCGTGCCCGCCAGCGAGCCCATCATGCTTTCGCACTGGGCGTCACGGCTTGTACACTGACCACTGGCGCAGGCTAGGCCGGAGCCACTTCTGCCGCAGCTGTCTCCATCCTTCTTGAAAGAATCCGAAGGGCAACTGCTCGAGTTTCCGCTACACGTCTCTTGTAGATCGCATTCACCCGTGCTAGGGCGGCAGACAGTGCCCGCCGCGGCGAGCTTGCAGGAGTTGCAGCAGCTATCATTGGCATCGTCACATTCAGATCCTGTTGTAAACTTGCATGTACTCGGATTGCAGCATGAGTTATCCCCACAGCCCTCTTCTCCGCCGCAATCGCAGTCCTCGCCTGACTCGACAATACCATTTCCGCATTGGGCGCCGGTGAAGGTTTCAATGTCTCGGTTCGCGGATAGACATGTCGATTTGACGCTGTTTCGCCCAAGGGCAGCACAGATATTACCAATCGAGCATTGTGAAAACTGAGTAATATCAGAAGCGGTACTCGGATTCATCATGTAATCCCCGCCGGCGTCGCAGCTGCTTGAGCTGTAGGGACAGCATTGCGACGAGGCTTGTAGATTTTGTTGGCATGCCTCGGCTGTGCAATCGTGAATTGCTCCGAACGTGTGGCCAGACTCGTGAGCAAATATCTGCCATGCTGCACCTCCTGTCGCAACGACGACGTTAGTCCCACTGACATAACTGCCCTCGTCACTTGCGACAGCGGTATTGCAGAGCTGTCCCAGCCATGCCAGTCCAACCTCCGACCCAGTTGGGCAATCTGTCATCAAAGTCCAATAGGCGTTGTCATCTGATTGTTGACCGCGCCATTGTGAAAAGAGATCTAGCCGCTGTGTGATGTTTCCTTGCGTGCATGGCATATTCCATTGCGCAGCAGTAGATGCGCTCTCGGTGCAATCCCTGTCCGTAACTGTGATGTTCCGGAGGCCGATGGAGATGTTGAACGCATTCTCGAAGACATTTGATGCGCTGTTGACCATACTGATGACCGACCGTTGAACAGCCTGGGTGCCGTTGAACTTCTCCCAGAGGGCACAATCCGTTGCGACACCAATAAGCGCGACTTGTTTTGTACTCGGGCAACCGCTGGTATCGCCGATCGTAGATTGTAGGTTAACTCCCCCGCCTCCGTTTCCAGACACTGTCCCAATGTCGTCGGATCGTTTGCTCACGCCGAGCCCAAAGAGCGAGTTGATTGGCATAGATGCCCATCTGTTCGTTTCTTGCCGGGTAAAAGTTTGGAGGACGGGATGGTCAGGGTTGCTGTTGAAACCCAGCTGGTCGGCCTGACACGACGAGTCCGAGATAGAATGGTTCGAAGATAAATCTCGCTTCAGGTCTGTATGAGAGGTGTCGGCCGACCTCAGCAAATCGGAGTCACGGTAAAATACCATATAATCCTCCTCTTGTCTGCGAATGTCGACATCCTGGGGGCGTTTATCTCGTAGGTACGTCGATTGCAGTTCGACATGGTGACTATCACCGTGGATGTTAAAGACTCCCTCAAAGAGCGGCTCGGGACCGTCCCTCGTGATATATATTCTCGCCCATCCTACTGGATCCCACATGCCTCTCCCTGTCCCCCTTCCGATCAAAGTTCTTCCCTTGAAGACCTTGTGTTGGTGACGTGTAATAGGCTCTTCGGTGTGAACCATGCCGTCGGCACCCAGGTATTGTACAAATGCATCCTCGGCTATAATGTCATGGTTTGGTTCGAGCTCGAGTTTTATTCGTTGGTCTCTGTCACCTATACTGAAGGTGATATCGAAATGTGAGAGGTGATCTATACGGTCTGTCTTCGAGGGGCCTTGGATCGTTGGCCGATCGAGTGTTGAAACATGTCGGATAGCATGTGGCGCCTGCGACCGGGCTGCGCAAAACAAAGCCGTCAGTTTAAGCTGGATGGTCAGAGATCGGAGGAACCCTTGCCTTGTACGCCGACTGTGAAGAGCGAGAGGGCACCTGCAACCAGCGGTAACACTGGATTGAGGATTTTCATGGCTGTTGAGGGCGAAGGACAGCCTTGGAAAGACCAGACGGTTCAGTAACAATGGCAAAGATGGACTGAGAGGAAAATTCCAAGAAAAGGGGCGAAAGCAAAGCCAGTCTGCTTCAGCAATTCATCGCATACCAAGACTCAACACTAGGCAACAACGAAAGAAGAAAGAATCGACGATGGTTTCTTGCAGCAGATTCTGGCAACCCTTCCGCTCCCTGACAAACGAACGCTCCGACCGCAGCTTGATGACTTCCCCGACAGCTTCCGGCTCAGCCTTAACAGTGGAGGAGTGATTCCAAATGAGAGGCACGGCTGACGATCGGAGTCGGCGGAGGGAGAGGCTGGTGCTCTCCGCGGAGGATTGGGGCGCAGCAGGTGGCTTGGCGGATGAGTGATCAACAACCCACTGTCCTACAGAAAGGAGAACTTCTGGAGAAAATCAGGGGATTGATGATACCGGGGCGAAGACAAAATCAGAAGAGTTCATCTCTGAGAAAAAGAGGGGGGAAGAGCTGACATTTTTCGAGCGCAGCCAAGCGTTGGTTGGTCATCGCAACGGCGCTTAGAGAAACAGTTTCAAAACAAAGGATCATGAGCACATCTAATATTAGCATAGCGGCATAGCCGACATGATGAGATGCAGTGCTTATTGCTGACAGCTGCTGCGGTAGTACACTTAGCCCTAATATTGTTGGATGTGCTTCACAAGGTGCTTAACCAGCCCATTAGAAGACTAGGACTTAAGCGGGCGCTTGACGAACCACCGCTTACAGGAAACTCGATAACTGCTGAAAACGCCCGCTCCTTGGTGAGGTATTTGATATATATATGTTTTCAGGGAGGTGCCTGATGTCTCTTGAGCCAACGCTCAGCAGGCACCTCGAGAGATATATTGAAGCGAGCGCTCAGTACGCAAGAGAGTCTGCAATAGGATTCTTTAATGCCCTTGGAAAACTGCTCCCTGGGAGGCATCCGCTGCATTGGGCGTATATCATTGACCAGGATTAGTATGATACACCTCATGTGCAACACGCGCAAAATGGGGTATCAGCGCTCCGCAAACATTGCAATGTACACCAGTCATGTTGTCCTCCTCATCACTCTCCTCCCAGACTGCTTCTGATGCTGCGGCCGGGGTAGATTCAGGGACCTCGAGATCAGTTACCAGTCCAGACTCAAAGTCCATGTGGCTTTCCTGATGCCTTACCTCCTGTCGCTGGAACATCTTCCCAATGTCACAACCGTTGCTATGTTTTCCTATCAGGTCGACCATATTCGTCACTGCGAGATTTAGAACTCGCAGGTTCCACCCGGTCCGCTCGCGATGAAGCTTACGGAACATAGTCACCGTCAAGTCTCGAACCAGTCGCTCTGCTAGAGCGTCGACAGACTCATCAAGGTTAAAGACGTATTGAGGTAGAGGCGCAGAGTGCGATATGCGAGTATGGCTGACGCCGCTATTCGAGTCTGGCAGGGATCGCGGCAGTGTGGACAAGCGAATGGTACGGGGGCGGGCCAGCCAGCGAATCTTTGTGTCTCCATGTTCCGCGGCCGTAGTGGATGTCGTTTCGGCATCGGTATACTTTTCTGTCAAATCGGTCCGCATTCGACGTATCAGGCTCGCAGCCAAAGCAAGCATCGCCTTGCGGGCCGCCTCGAAGTTATCCAGCGAGCCGTAGGAATCCTCAATGCTGATCTGGGTCGGTACATCTCGAGCTTCGCCAACTGGAGTGTTGTCGACACCATGGAGAAGCTCCCAAATTCGCAATCCGATAGCTCGCGGAGCCCCGGGTGCACTGAGAATCCTTTCCAAAACGGAGGGTCCCATGCCGGGAAACAGTCGGACATCACGAACTGTTAGTCCATCTTCAGCCTTGGCAGGGTCCGAAGCTGTAATATAGGATATGATTTTGCGTGAAAACTTGGACCCTATACCAGGGATTGCCCGAATCTCACGTTGGTCGAGGAATTTTAAGACATTGCTCTCTTCGCCATTTTTCACCGTAGTATACGGTGGGAGGAGCGTCGTCTGGCTATTTGGCTTGTGAACACTGCCCACTAACTTGGCGAGTATTTTAGAAGTGGAGATTCCTGCCGTAGCTGTGTAGCCCTTCTCGTCTTCGAGTTGGCCTCGAAGGTAGCCCGCTAGATGAGAAGCAAGCAATAGTCTCGTTCGAATCTGGGAGGGGTCTGATTCTGTCGATGGCGCCAGATCTGCAGCAGTATCCCCATCCGGATAGACAGGCCCATGTAAATTGGTGGCGTCAAATTCAAAGCCAGCTGTAGGGTCCTGGCGGTCGAGGTGGAAGAAGGAATGAGTCAAGTCATTGGGGTTCAGCAGCGCCACATTGTACGCTATCATATCCGTCACGTCCATAAAGATTTCGTCGAACCCCAGCTTCTCGACTCTCTCGCCCCAGATAAACCCCCGGAGGAAGAGGTAGAGGTCTTTCGATGCATCTCGAAATTTTGTGAGGTCTTCCCCGAGGACGATGACCACGTCTGGGCAGACCTTTTTCGCCTCTTTAATCAACTGAAGCTTGTGTAATCCTCGTCTTCGAGCTTCGTAGTTACAGGTAACTACGATTTGCTTTTGCTGAACAGCGAGGGGAAGTGTTTTCAATACAGGCTGCTCAACCTCGAACACTGAAGCATAAAAACAGTCGTAATCCTGCATGGTCAGCGAAAAAAAAAAGGATAAAAGGGTGCAGTTATACTGACAAAATGAAGTATGATACGCTGGTCGTCTCTGGATAGAGCGGCTTCCATTTACCGTATTGTGGCAGCTGTTCAGCATCTCAAGTTAACTATTTCGAGGAGCAAGCGCTCATGCTTGATGGTTGTTGCAGAGCAACGAACAGTGCCCAGTCACACGCCAAGTCACTCGCTCACAAACACCAGTGTATTAGTCATACACCACATCAGCAGGCCCTGATGTGGAGGATACTACGGACTGGTGTTTATCCACAGCTCCATCCAGCTCAGTACCTGTCTACTCAATTCCTCACTTTTCAAGTCAAACATCCGCAATATTGTTTAATGATCTATGGCCCAGTCCCAAGATATCTGGGTAAGAACCACCTAGGTACCAGGCTCTTGGGGAAAATGGCTTCAGCTGAGCGTATTTGACAGGATATAGCCACTGGTGGGAAGGAGCAATGGGCTGCCTACCGAACATCTACTTCAAGTCGAACCTTTGAATCCGTTATCGACTTCTTCTTCTGCGCGCAGCCATCCTTATCCTTCCCCATACGGCTAGGGTGGTAGTTCCGAGCAAGCCATTCTTCTTGTATTCATTTGAATCCTTCTTACACCACGATTGTCTGGAGTACTCCGTTTACCAATCCCAATCAGAATGTCCAAGGAAATTGATGAGATCGGTCTTCCGGCCTTTTCCTTGCCTCTTGACTACGCACCGGACGCCAGTTTTCCGAACGCGTTGATGATAGATGACGCTGACAGCTTTGCGTAAGATAGTATACAGCCAGATTCTGGTACATCATTGCCTGACGGATATCTAGGCGACTTGACACGTACCGAGAAACTTTGATGCGTCAAGCCATGAACTCGATTATCGACAAGCCGGAATGGTATCGCAAAGTGAGGATCACCGTCGGCGAACGCGCTAAGAATCTGCATTGACTCTCACTTTCTCGTGATCCAGGTCTTTGACGACGAAATCACGGCAAAATGGCGCCAGGAAGTCGCGGATAGTGGGAAAGATATCTCTCCCAAGATGATGGACTGGATCATACAAGAGCTCCGTTGGAAGGCAGATTATTTTGACAAGCACGGGGCAATTATGGCATTTGATAACAGTTCGTCATATCCGATACGGCGATCTCACCAGAGCTGCAACAGGAGCTACGAGACGCGGTGAGGGCACTAGAGATGAACACGAAGAAAGACTTCCACCCCGGCTCAGAGGACAAAGTGGTTGACCTGGCGCATCCTTCTCTATTCCCTGTCATTTACGGCCGCTCGCGAATTTTTACAGACCGTCTGATAAGTCTTGATGATTGTCTGAATCATGTTGGTGATGGGATATTACTACCAACACCAACAGATGACCGCATTCATGGTATCACAATTTCTATTATCCTTATCCTTTCAGCACAAAGTTTCAGTGGATGCCTTGCAACATTCACTTTACAAGCGACGGTGGCTGCCGTATTATGTCGTATATCAACAATCTTCATCCGAAGAAGAATCGCTCACTATACGGAGTGCTCGAGAAACTTGTCGCACAGACCATTCCTTTGTGGAACATCACCCTGTCAAATCTGGTCAACAATAACCGCCGCATTAACGCGAGTTATGTACTACGATCCCCGAAGCCCGGACTTGAAATCCCGGTGTGAGAAAGCCTGGTGAGATTGGAGAGAAAACCGCCAGGCAATACAACCAGAGCCTGGCGACTTTGATGCAGAAAAAGTGACCCCAAAGGATGATGTAGATCTACGTGAAGACTACCCACAGGGACTACAGGTTATCGTCAAACTGGCTAACATAGAACTGACACCTGACAAACCCGTGTACCATGGTGGGACGTGGCATGTTGAAGGAGCACAGAACTAGCACATATGTGCCACTGGTATCTATTACTATGATAGCGAAAACATCACCGATAGCAGCCTTGCCTTCCGCCAACGTGTCCTCCGATACAAGATTGGGCGTGAGTTAGAATATCCCCGGGACGATTTCGAATTTCTTCAGTCCATTTATGGACTCGATGAAGATGTTGTGGGTTCCGGTGAGACTCGTGTTACCCAGGATATTGGTAGCATATCAACTCGGGAAAGGCGCTTGCTGACCTTTCCGAATATACTTCAACACCATGTGTCGCCATTCGGTCTTGCGGACACCTCGAAATCCGGGCACCGGAAAATCCTGGCATTGTTCCTTGTTGACCCGAACTACCGGATTATCTCTTCAGCCAATGTGCCTCCTCAGAGCGAAGAGTGGTGGGAAGAAAAGTGGGAGGCTATCTTTAACGCCCTGCCAACCAGGCTCCCGCGCGAGCTGCAGGACATGGTGATGCAGTATATGGACGTCGGCCATATCACGATGAGGGAAGCTCGCAAACATAGGCTGGAGCTGACGGCAGAGCGAACGGTGGATACTCAGTTTATGAACGAAGCGTTCGAGTATGGGGACTTCAATCTATGCGAGCATTGATCACGCCACGGCTAGACCTGTTGTTTGACTATGATTTGACATTCACTGTCGCAGGGCGTTTATAGATCCGCCTCCTAATCGTTCTCTGCCGAGGCATCTTCTCCAGGAACCAACCTGGGGTATGCCATGTGACCATTCGAGGACATTTGGGCGCTTTGATATAGAAATTCGGTCATTATTGGTCAGTTGTGTTGATGTTTAGTCTCCGCTTAAACGCCCGAAGCGGGGCTGTGCTTGATGGGGTTTGGTCAACTGGGATCAACGACCCTGGAATACTTATAGGGCAGCATGGGAACCTACAAAGTTCACGATCGATTCGATTCCTTCCTTCCATGTCTTTCTTGAGGGCAGCAATGATTTCCGCAAAATGGCATTTCGTTACAACACCCCCGACCCCGAACTCAGCATCAAGCTAGAGAATCCTAGACATCTTTCTCCTGGCCACCTTCCGCGGTACATCCCGGGTGAGACAATTATCGGTGTTGTTCGTCGCACTACACCTGGCGCCGTTCCAGAGGCACGAGTAGTCGTCACTCTTCACGGGAGGTGTACCTCCAAGATCAAGATCAAGAGGGGCAATTCCGAGAGTCGCTATGAGAGTTCGTTCAACTGCCTGAGTACCCCAATGGAGCCTGAGATCCTGTTCTCCAATGCACCATTGCATATTCCGGAGGGCGAAGGAATGTCATGGCCCTTTGCAGTCACGATCCCTCCAGTCGTTGAGGACGTTCGGCGTGCCGATCAGAGAAAGCATTATACTCTCCCAGGTGGTCCTACGTTCCCTCCTCCTGGTTCTTTTGCCGTATACTCGGAAAGTATCTGGACAACCGGCGAGAAAGTCAGGGCCTCTGTCGAGTACTACGTGCAGGCGAGGATAGAGCTTTCTCATGTACATCGGGGAATCACGAAGAAGGCCATACATACCGCCAAGGCCCCATTTCGGCTAAGAGACGTCAAAATTGGACCACCTATCACGAATTTCAACCTGAAACGGCATCAGATGACGCAAATGATTGCTGCGTACAAGCTTGTCCCAGGTATCGGGGAGCTTACCTTCGGTCAGAAAACACGCCAAGCCTTCATGACAACAAGTGTGCCCAGGCTCACATTCAAATTCAATGTGATTCTTCCACATACCCTGCAGCTTGAGAACGAGAGCCCCATTCCAATCTATCTCTCCGCTGAGCCCGTTTCCGGATCCACAACCGATATCATTCACGATGTGCCACAGACAATAATCATCAAATCGTTCGTGCTACGGCTCAAGCAGCAGACTATGGTTCAAGCGGAGAAGCATAATTCAGTCATTAGTGAGGCAGTAAACCTCATCCCGAACACCGCCGTCAGCGCGCTGGGACGGGAAGTCAGCCTTACCGTCATCCCGCGGACTAGCGGGCAACCCGAAGAATCTCCGCAGATAAATCTCGGCGAGATGCTGGATTTCCGGATGCGCAAGCATGGCTTGCACCCGACATTCAAGACATATAACGTCGGTCGCACTTATAATCTGGCCTGGGAGGTGGAGGGGCGGGTCGCGGGGGAGAAGTTTAAGCTTGGTTACACGCATCAGGCTAAAGTGTTGCCGGGCCCCTCCGATGTGCCAGAGTTTGAGAGCCCAGCGCCGCGGCCTGAGGCTTTACCAGAGTACCTGGAGCTGAGCGAGGCGCCGCCTGCTTATTCTGCATAATTATGAGTCGTTGTGTTGGAGATACCCTCATCCTGTACGGAGTATGAATTTGTATGAATTTTGACTGAACCTGGTGAGCTGATCGAGGACGCCTGTTACCTCAGATTCTCATGGAATTTAGAATGAACTTTAGGTGATGAAGATCGATGTTTCCTCAGCCTGTGTAAATTCTCGGAGCCTGGCGAGACTGGTCGGATTACCGTCCGAATAATGGGTAACTATGGGTCTTGCTTGGAGAGGAGTCGAAGAATTGGAGTGATTGGCGGGGATTGCCACCGCTAAATGGTCACTGACAGGAAAGCGATAGTCTTCCGAGCGGCTTGTATAGTCTAGACCTTGGCGCCTATATTTAGAACTCATAACACTCGATCGTTTGCCCCATCTGTAGTCTTTACGGGGGAGGCGACGTTTTATTTTTCGATCTTCATGATTCAGACGTGTGGAATAAATCTGCCTGGTGACCGCTGGGTTTGCCTCTCTTTTTAACCTTCAGTTGGACGGCGAGGACGGAGATACAACGTAAGGTCGTCGCGTTCAAGTCCCCGCAGTTCTAAAAATATTAGAGAACCTCGTACAGTGCCACTGACGAGCGCCCACACCTCGTTTCTCTTGCTCTCGCTCTCTTTTCATGCTTGTCCGCTCTTCTGTTGTGCTACATCTCGAGTTTCGACTTTTCGAGAAGTCTGCCTGCTCTCGTGTTCATATATATTACTGACGGTCGGCCTTGTCGTCTCCCAGCCACTCTCTAAGCGCTCTCATGCGGGTCGCACTGCCTTCGACTCCTCTCGTCTTCTCGCTGGCTGCGCCAACCCTGTTCTTTGTGACATCTCTGCGTCAGCGCTCCCGCACTTTGATGGACATAATAATCCTAATACTATAATTTCGACCATCCCTGCTCTTGCTGCGGACGACTCGCTGTTTGTCTGCGCCGCCTTCGCCATGCTCGCGACTGCAATGCCCCCTCAAGCCTCCCACCAGCTTCCACTCTCTTCATCCTCGTCTGGCGCAGAAGCATCTGCTTCGCTTCCGATCATGTCTGCTTCATCACAGACCTCATCAGTGTCACATTCCAGCATGTCTTGCGCCGTGGCATCGAGCACAACGACAACCCGGCCATCCGCTCTCACACGACCGAAGCTTACCCTCCAGACCTCATCGCTTCCTGTCACCTTTGGCAGCTCATCAACAGGCCTATCGCTATCGTTAGCTGCCGGCTCGACAGCCTCTCCCACAGTCCGAAACACCTTTAAGAACGCCTACGATGTTGTATATCCGTCTTCGGCAACAGCTTCTCCGTCGAGAACCTCGAATCCTCGCTTTCCCAAGCCGTCATCACCATACACTTCCAGCAACCCGTACCAGCTACCACTTGGCGTGAAGAGCATTCTTCGCAACTCGCCCCTGGAAGCGAAACGGCGGGCAAACTCAGTGGCTCCGAGCGGGCCGAACGGAGCCTCAACCACGCGTCGGGTATTCTTCCCGACCAAGAAGCAAGTCACCTACCGGTATCCGCTCGAGGAGGAAATCAAGACCGTCACATACACCACGCGACATTCAGATCTTGTCTCTGAGCCCGAGGCGGACTCACGCGAGACAAGTTCCGACGAAGATTCGGATTACTCGAGTTCTAGCGGGGTTTCATCTGAAACAACCCCATCCGATGACGACGCGGGAACCGAGTCCACGGGGTCCGGCCCAACCGGCGATAAGAAGAAAAAGAAGCGAAAGTATCGCAGCGCCGAACGCCAAGTCCGCGCTATCGCCCTGATGGAGGGACTGGAAGACCCGTACGCCCCGTCAACGCCTCAAACACCGCGACAGGGTCGCCTGAAACGCCGTCGCGAATGGAGGTGGACTCTGGGACCGTTGGAGAACATCAACAGCACGGCAGAGACAACACAAACAGACCCAACATCAACCACACAAACGTCTACCGTCTCAGAACCAGAACAGGAACCCGCCATGGAACCAAAAACTCCCATCATCGCTTCGCCCCGACCCAAACTGTCAAAACTCTCGCCCCCAACCTCCGCCACGCTTAGTGACACATCTGAAAGCAACACCGCTCTTTCAAGAACAGAGCTCACGGACCCCTATCCACCGCATTAACTAGCCGACGGGGCTTATACTTGCAGAACTCCCCCACCCACTGCTATATTCTGCATCTGCATCGCGTGTTTCGCATTTCCACTTACGATTTATGCATCATAGATGGCATTCACATGAATCTGATCTGACCCTACTTTTCTTGCATACATGACACAGATTTGTCTTGGACTTGGACATCCAAGCTTAGTACTGTCTCGGTTATTTATAGATCCTGTTTCGATATCCCTGATCTCTCTTTTCTTTTCTCTTATATATATTTATCTATCTCTTAATCATTATTATTCACTATTTTCTTATTCTCTATGCCACCGCCGTCTGAGTTGTCTGGGACAACCATGGCCATGGCAGACGAGCATCGCGTGCGCAAGCGCATGCATTGCATTTATCTCTACATGCATACATATTTTACGAATACGAATCCCACCAAATCGAAACTCTATCTTCAAGAATCAAAGCTGCTCCCACTTGCCTCATCCTCTCAGTAAATCAAGATTGCAGTGCATGAGAGACGTGGGCCGCATCTGAGCTCGAATCTTCCCATGCACCCAGTTAGTACTATGGTATTTATTTTCCCATTCATCCTCCTGCCCCCCCACACTCACACTCTCACAGGGAACCAGATCGACAAAGCGATACTCGCACCAAGCGTTGGTTACGAGGTCTGTGGGATTCAACCCTGAACCACGGATGCGGAATACGAACACGACTTCTCGATCCATGTTGATCCCGTCAGCCGAGGAGTATCTCGCTTATCGACTTGGTAAGGCAGCCGACGTCTATGGTCCACAGTCGACATATGCACACCCAGATTGAGTCTAGTGGTGGGAGGCCGTATCGTATTTGTGGATATCGGCACAATAGAGGGACTTTAGGCTTGGGTTCGGGATTTGATACTGGAATCGGATCGCTGCTTCTCGAGGAGGGCTTGGAAGCTCTCAAGTGATTCAGATTTAAGGGTCGTGGCTGTTTTTTGCTTGGCTGGCCTGTTACTCATATTCTCTGCGAATGCAGGCTTCTCAGGCATCATCGGTCGCAATTGAAACAGCGTGCCCGATGTCACAGTGTAGCCCATACTCCAGACCAGTAGTAACACTACTCTTGGAATCACTCTCATCTCCTCAAAACAGCGAATACCAGCTACTGCCCTGGAAGTTTTCTTCCATGATATCTATAATGTGTGAAAAGTATGCTGGACAAAATGATGTAAAATCCACATAGAAGACTTCTTTCTAGCACGCATTTCCTTCGCTATTGCCGCAGCGCTTAGATTAAAACAGGACTACTCAGTCATTGTGTTATCAATCCTCAGTCGAAATGTACAACAAGTCCTTGAGGCAAGCCTGACCAAGACTCTCGCACAAGAGATCCGAGCCAGATTTGGTATCGAAGCAATCGCCGATGACCCGGACAATGATGACCACGCTCATCCAGCATCCATTGAGGGGACCAATGTAGTTGGTCGGGTGCTATCACCATACGGGGAGGGAGTCCCCCGAGACAATGCTACCGAATTTGATAAGTTTTCGACAACTCTGTCCCAAGACGAATCCTCGCCAAACAAAGCACTCGAGGGACTCGAGTACTTTGCTTTCGGTCTCGGGAGCAAGGAATATCAATACTAGAACAACCGAATTGCCGACATCGCCGATGACTCTGTAGTTAATTTATGACATCCATTGTCGCAGAATGTGACCGTTGACGTCGCTTGGTGAGGGTTATCGCTGAGGCAGATACGCCTGACTGAGCTGGGATGAGGCCCGGAGGAGTTTGTTAAGAGGGGTCATAGAGGACATTCTCGGTAATAAAAACGCTTGGAAGGTCTCTGGGCCAAGGCCGAGAGTTTATAAAAGGCCCATTGAAATACACTGCCCCATTATAGATGGAGAACAGAAGACGGTTCAGTAATGCTACAGAACCCAGTTGTAATTAGCACGAGGTCATGTTTGATTTTGGCCTCTGTGCCCAGGATCTTGACTTTTCTATATCGTCCATGTCAGGATTGACACCATATCCAACAACTAGGCGAGCGAAAATATCGACTTACCTTTCGCGTTTCACGCGAATTCTTGTTGCCTGCCACCTGCACCTGGGATGGTACAAGGACGAGTGCTTGGAAAAGAAGACCCTGACCGGGGCAATGTCGCCAACATCACTAGAACTGTTGTGTGTATTCAAAGCCAGATTAACTTCGAGAGGAGCTCTGATTCCTGCTCACACTTGCAGAGACGGTGTTCGGCAACGGCACCATAAAAGGCCTTGACGTGAAAAGTCCAGTCCTCGATTCCTTCCTCTAGCAACGAAGGACCCGAGTCAGTTCTAGTGTACCGCTATTGGGGCAGCTCGCTTCAATTAGCCGTGCAAATGCTTCGAGAGTATCCAACAGCCGCCTACGGTTGTCTTCCATCCTGGACGTGGTGGACTTGACAAACGATCGAAGCCCTGCTAACGAGGCATCAGATACGGCGGTGCGCCGAGCGATGGCGAACAGTGTTGGGTAGTTGTAAGCCAGCAGTGATGATGCAGCGGTTTTCTATCGGTGCAGATTCCTCTCTATAGACTTTGCGCGATCGCGAATCAGGACTGAATATCACTCAAGTGACAGCCCGGTTGTCTCGTACTTTACCCCAGCTGCAAACTTTCTCCAGCTTTCTCAGAAATTTGGGCATATGTCTCTGGGCTTCCCCCATTCGTCCATCTCTATGTCGCTCATGGACAAATTGATCCTCCTCAACGCCAAGACGAAAACGGCGCAAAACCGTTGGTGTCTGTTCTGGTTCTCATTGGCCAACCTGATCCCAAAGCCAGCCAGGACTCTTGTCCCGTCGATTGCAAGTAGGACCTCACTCTTTGAAACGGGTTTATAACCCATTTGAGTTAAATAGTAGTATGCCACATGCCACAGTGCTGCTAAAATGGTAAGCAAGGAAATGGAATGCAGCCTGGCCGATCTGTTGGTGGCCAACGGCTGGTGCAGTACTTGTGCTGGGCCTGAAAGACTGAAAGTCACTAACCCTAATCACTTGTTGGGTTAGGGTTTATCTTAAAGCCGAGGAGGCCAGTAAGAGATCATGAATCATTAATGCATTATACAAGCTAGTATAGGATCCAAATCTGATATAGTACAACAAATGCAGTTGACACTAGAAAATACTCCAAAATTACAAATATTCAGAGTGAGAATCTAACCCGTCTCAGTCTCGATATCCGGCTCGCGGCCAGACAAATCACCACCAAACCTTTGCCTCACCTTTCTCAACGCGTACTTGGCCTCGTCCTTTGCAAACACCGCATTTCGAGCGGGCTTCCACTGCATCATACCACGTTGCTGACGCTGCTCGCTGCGTTTCGCCGCTCGCTTCGAGGGCGTCGTCGAGCTAGACGCTGTATCTGCAATACTGGTGCTTCTTGCGCTGCCGCTGAAATCCATGGAGAGTCCAGGGACACTGCTTGAAGTTTCTGTGGTAGAGGGCCGGTTGGTAGGGCTAACCTGCCCGTTCTTCTCCTCCACGTCGGAGTGGCTGGAATCTGAATCGGAGGCATCTTCGTCGTTTTCCGGAAGGTGCATCATTCCGTCTTCCTGTGCCGGGTGAACCTTGGTTGTATGGCTGCCATCATGGTGAGAGTTTTCGTTCTTCAGATTATTCTGAATCTGAGCGAGGGGGTCTTCGCCGAAGGCGCCGCTCCAGTCATGGCCCTCTTTATCGATCCAGCGGCGGCGTTCCTTGGGATCTGCGACCTTGAGGATATCGCGGCCCTGTAGGAGCGATTTCTCGTGCTTTTGCTCAGTCTCCTCAGGAACTTCGGCAGTGATGTGTCGGGGTCGTACGCCCTCGGCAATGCAGGCTTCCCATGTCTCGAAGGTTTCCCGCGAGTTGTTGTCGACAACAAAGCGCTCGTGGGACTCGTCGATACCTGGAGTAAATGTGCAGTTGAAGTGGAGGCGGCCAATCTCGCGGAGGTCCTCGAGGCCTGGGGAGCGCTTTTCCTGGACGTTGTTTTCTGTGATATAGTTTTGTGTAAGGCGCTTGCCGTTCTTCGTGTACCAAATGGGAATGTCAATAGGGGTGTCTTCGTTGTCAACGAGGTGTTGCAGCCAGAGGCAGGCGTAGCCCGTCACGCCACGCTTGCCTTGAGTCACAAATTCGAAGACAACGGGTGACCTGTAGCGGTGCTTTACAGGGAGGCGGATGTTGGCCTGGGCGACGTCAAAGGAAATGCTGTCGAAGTTGACGGTACATGTATGGCGAGGAATCTTGCCGCTGCTTCCGCCAGTTCGAAGGCGAATCTTGGCTTTGGCATTGAGGCCTGTGGCTGTGACGTTGCCCGAGGTGAACTTGAAGGTTCCAACATCCCAGCCGAGCATTTGTGGAGGGAGTTTAGTCTCGACGTGGCGGAAGAGGCAGGAGATGCGAATTCGGCCGAATCCGACGCCGCCATCGAGAGGGTACCAGCGGGTGACTTGGGATCTTCTCTCGAAAAGATCTGAGAGCTTCAAGGGGACAACACCAAGGATCGGATCGTGCTCCCTGTATCTCGAATCTCTGACGGTGACAGTGACGACGGCGGAGCGCCAGTCGCGGACGAACCGCTCGGTTCCAGCGTTGAAGATGGGCTTCGAACTCAAGGCTTTAGCTCTTGTGCGGTAGATCTATGATTTTGTTAGCTTGGACGACAGTATAGAGGAAGATCAAGGATGAGAGGCTTACCAGCTCATCATTCAGGATTATCTTGCAGTAACTGGTTGGTAAATCGTCACCCTGTTCCTCGGTGTTCTCCCCAGACGGCTTAGCGGGCTCATACTCTCTGCCCTTACGGTTGCCGTTGCTGCCTTTGATATTAGCAAGTTGGAGATTGACAATTTGATGCACAACGATGCTGAGGATTCCGCTTGGCCATAGAGGATCTGGCGGCGTGTGCGTGATGGCATCCTCCTCATCCGTTGTGATAACACCCTTTTCATCCTCAAACGCAGGATTGTCCTTTAGATTCTCTGGAAGATCCTTCTTTTTGCCATCGGTTCTCAGCTCAGCCCTCAGCTTCGGCTTACCGAAGAAACCAACTTCCCAGTGCAGCTCTCCTGGCATCTCGCTTCCTTCGTTCACGCCCTGGAGCTTGGAGACGTGCTGATACATTCGGCATGGATGCTGAATCATCTCGCGAATCGGCAGCTCCACCTTACCAACGACGTCATCTGCGGTATGTCGGTCCGAGTCCCAAAGCTCGACACTGAGGTTCTCGTCGGCTTTGATGAGTTCGGCGTTCACGAGTAATGCCGCTGTCTCTTCCCAAACCGGGTTGAGATCGTCGGTAATCACTCTTGTGCAATACATCGGCTTGCCGTATTTCGAGAACGAAAGGTTAATATAAGGATCACTGCCTCCTCCTTCGCTGCCGCGCTTGTCTTGCTTGCTCAGACCGACTGCCTTATGGATACGAACCCACAAGATACCGAGAGCTTCGGTTTCTTTGACGATATCGTCACCCTTGGCCAGCATGCTAAGATCCATTGTCATCGATTTCGGTGCCGCAAAAAGACCGCAAGCGGTAGCGATGGCATAGTTGACAAAGTTAGAAATCAGAGGGAGGTTCAGAATGTTGACACCAGTCTTGACCATCGGCATACAGCCAGCTCTGATGTGGGGAATCCCAACGAGACTGAATGTCAGGTCTTTTACGAAAGGTGCCTCAGGAATGAGCTGGAGTCTTCCACGGACGGTTCCTACCATCTCAATAAGCTCCACAAAAACCGGGAATGGTACGCCAAAAAGCCCTCGGACACCAAGGTAGAACACAAGCTGCATGTGCATGTTGCGTGCCCTAGCGGAGGTACTATGGCCGGTTGGCTTTGCGTGGTAGGCAAAGGAAGCTTCGAAATTGTAAAAGCTGCCTCCTTCCTCCAGAGCCGCTGCTTCCTCTGGTTCCTTGTTCTCCTGGTTCTCCCGGCGGACGTTCTCTTGCATCTGTTGCACATGCTCATCAGGTAGTGCGCGCAGACTGAGAAGTCGGATGGGGTTGTTTCCCTGGTCAATTTCCGCGATGCGAACATTCTCAATCACGTTTGGTGAAGATGCTTGCATAATATCTTCGATTGTATCAGCAACAGGTGCTAGCATATCAGGGTTGATCAAGCCCCAGATAATCGCCAAGAATGTATTGATCCACTCCACTGACTCTGGGAGTAGATTCGCCGTTGCCTGGAACTCTTTGTCAGTATTGTCAATCATAATCGTACGGAGAGCCACCTACAACTTGTCCACGTAGCTGTTCGCTGCTCCATTCCATCTCACGACCACTGCGAATTACTTCTTGTACCCACAACCATACACCGCTTGTGATACAGGCGGCCAGAGGAATGAGGCCCCAGTATGAGGCGCCGAAAGCCCGGCCTACGACAATAATACCGAATACGATACCGATGCACAGTCCAGTTCCACGCCTTTCCAATGTTTGAAACATGGGCTTGTATGAGATTGTCGGGGTGGGGTAGAAGAGGATATTCGTTCTTTCGCCATGGATAGGGACGTCAGAAGTCGTTCCCTCTGCGATGGGATCCGGAGGAGCTGTAATATCTTGCTTTTCTTTATATTCGGAGAGGGGTTGATTTGAATCGACTTTTACTGGCTTGAATACACTGTCAGCAACCATTCAATCTCTTTTGAGGGGGCATCGAGCTTACCGTTTCCTTTCCAAGGTTTGCATTGGGAACAACCAGCTATATCTCCCTGTCAGCGTAGCTCTATTACGAGTGTAAGGTACAAATACCTTTGGATCTTTCACAGGGTCCATGGCATTTTCATCCAAATCTTCCACCTCAATCTGTCTCCCCGTTGTAGGATCTGTAACCTCGCGAGTTCGGCCCTCGCCTACTTTGCGTGGTCGATGAGGATAAGTGTCCTGGTCGGCTTTGTTTTGCTTTAGTTGCGCATCCTGCCTTTCCTGTCTCCTTGAGGCCATCAATTGCTCATGAGCTTCACGTTCTTTCTGATCAGCTTGCAGGCGTTCAATGAATTTTCCGATCGTTGGGACCGGGTTGGTTCCGCTCCAATGCTCCCCAACCCGGTGCTGTTGAGGGGAGCTTGACCCCTTTGGATGGGGAGGCATGCTGGGTAGGTGCTGTAGCTTCGGGATGGCAGTAGGCGTAAAAAAAGAGGTAGACGTAGTCGAGGTTTGTTGTTGACAGTCAATCGCCGTCCTAGCTCTGAGCTAGGGTTTCGCGGACCTGGATAGCAGCGAGGAAGATGGAGCGTCAGATGTTAAGAAAAAGACAACAGCCTTATCGGTAGCGGAGCTACGTCACTGGAGCTGAACTGGCAGGGAAAGCCGATCTTGTCCCATGGACTCGCGATGCGCTGTGTTGCAGCCTGCCTAGGCCCAGCGATGATGTCACCACCACAGCAAATCAGCTCCTCCAATCTCGCAGCAACCTTTCAGAGGCCGCCTTTTCCGACTTGAACCAGGAATTATGCTCAATGGACTTGTTGATCTTGCAAATTACTTTTGCCAGACCTGCTAATCGATTCAGTTGCTCTGTTCTAGACGATGTTGTGCAACCTTGCATGTGGGTTGATGCTATCCCGCTTCACAGTTCTGGGCCGGGTCCTACTATATTCTGACGTTCTGTCGTCAGCCGAGAAATTTCTAACTGGATACGCGTTTTAAAAACAAAGTATAAACCCAGTTGCTTTCCATGAGTCCATTAACAGCTTCTTTGGCTTGCCCTACATCATTCAGCGATCTTTTTGTGCTGATGCATATGGTTTCGTCATCTGTTGTCATACCACATCAACTTTGGTGGGTGCTACTAACCGGTCATTGCTTTCCTCTCATGATTTAATGAGTGTCTATCGCATTCAATGTAGCTCCGTGGTCTACCACGTACTAGAAACCTTCCGCTCGCCTTGTGCTAAGCTCCTTGCGCAGAAAGTGTGGTCGCTTCAACCTTTTGAATTCACAGTCCACAAATAATATATATACTAGTTTCTGGGTCAGCCTACTATTCGGTCAATATACAGAGATGTAGTGTCCAGTATGTTATAGCATCTACATCTCTTACTACTAGCCAAGTTTTCTAGCTATCAAATCAACTCTGCCCATACCTATTCTAGAAGGACTTGTACACGTTATAGTCAATGAATACGTTCCCTGCCGCTTATGCTGCAAGTCAATCATGGGGACGCCGAATGACTGAGTGATGCGATTTCTGCGACGACTTACGCCAGCAATATACACCATGTCGGTGCAATGTACTTTCTTGCCTGTACTAATTCTTGGGTAGTACATACGATGTAGTGTCGAGAACTGAGCAGCCCAACATACTGGGTACTAACAGCGGGCATCGGCGACGGGACGGTTCATTTAGAGACATTTCCATAAATCTTCAACTCTACAATTGGCATAACTAACTCGACTCGAAGCCTAGATACATAGTCTATATTCTTATTGATTCACGGAAAAATGCGTGTTGAGGAAGCTCGAGTCTATCAACCTGTATATTTAGCCGCTATACCCGATTTGGCAACCCACGATCTCGCAAACGATCGGCGAATTCCACACCTCCGACGAACTTGACGTTGCAAAACAACCACTTTTGCACAAACCGACAAGTTACCAAGGTCCGTCTCAGAATTAGTTCTGGTCCTCCCCTAGTAGGATTTAATTTGCACTTCTCGCATACTCTACATCTCATCGAACCTGTTCGAGCCGTCTCCAACGCACTACCGGATCGCACAACGTCATTGCCATCCCTCTGGTGTGAATTCGTCATGTCTTCAACAGAGGAATCTCCAGCTCAGCGGGCGGCTCGCCTTCGGCGCGAACGCCGCGAGGCCAAGATCAAAGAAGGGGGCGCAGCTCGGTTGGATAAAATTACAAGCTTGAGTGGACGCACACCATCAAAAGGTGAGATTCGAGTCGGTTACCATGCGGATGCAGACGAACCCCTTTTTCCTTCTTCACCGTCCAGGATCAACGGGATCAAGGATCAGAAGGCTAATAGTTCTTTGTACAGACCGTGAAGAAGCCGCTCCATCCCCTTCGCTACCCCCGACTGTAATTCCTTCCCCCAGTCCCGAACCACGAGCAGCACCGCGCCAACCGCCACAAACATACATGCAATCACCACCGGCTCCGAGCGTTGAGGATGCAGATGTGGTGCGTGAGCAGCAAGAGGCTCTCCGTGCTCTTCTTCGACAGCCCGTTCCCTCCCAACAAGATACCGAGGAGGACCCGAACCTGAAGCTCTTCCAGGCTCTTATGGGAGGAATGGGGGGGATGCCGGGTGGAGATCAAGGCCCCGATGCAGGTGCAGGCGCAGGAGGGATTCCGCCGGAACTTGCGTCTTCGCTCGGCCTTCCTCCCTGGATGTCGAGCATGCTTGGCGCGGCTACACAGCAGGAGTCTGAAGATCAGAAGAGGACTGTCCTGACCTGGAAAATCTTGCATACTGTGTTCTCGATTGTTCTTGGAGTATATCTGGTTTTCCTCACTAGCTCGTCGGTTGCGACGTTCGGGAAACAACCCCCTCCTCCAGCTACCGTGCAGAACCCGTTCCTCTACTTCACAACTGGGGAGCTTGTGATGGGCGGGGCGAGGATCTTGATTAAGAGCCAGAGCGGCGGACTCTCTGGGCCGTTCTTGTATATTCAGCTGTTGAAGGACTTCATTCGAGATGGCAGCATTGTCCTCTTCCTCTTTGGAATGGGCGCTTGGTGGAATCAGGGATGGTGATGGCAGGCGGGATTTGCTTCTGTTGTCTTTTACCGCTCGCACGATCTCATGATAAGTCTACTATTGCAACATACTCTGAGCACGTTACTCTCGATAGGACAGCTACTTAGATACCCACAATTCCGGGCCTTCCAAAAAGGGATGATACACAGTCCCACCACCCTCTCGGAATATCCGAGTACTCTCCACACAACTTGGTACTGGATTGACAGTCCGTACCTACCCCTTTCAGAGCTTCCCACAACGACAAACACATCTCCACAATCGCTCAGTGGGATGATATGGCAGGTCTGATATGACAGCCGTCCAACCAGGGAAGTCGGTGTGGGGAAGAGCTTAAACTCATGACTACTGATACCCACGTGCACTATTAGCATGCCTTCTGCCCCGAGACAGTGAAATGAGCTACTAGTAGAAGGGTAAATATGGCGGCCTCTTACTAGTGTTGAGTGTATGCTTCTTATCCGGCAATCCTCGGTCACTATCAGTGACTATCTAGATAGGAGGTACTTCTCCCCGCACTTTCCCCGCACGCAGGTGCAGATCCCTCGACTCGAGCTCCCTTGGCGAGCAAGTCAAACAGCCTAAAAAGCCGGAGCTCGACCGTCATGCCCATTCAATTTTTACAATCGTTCAAGAACACTGTCACAATGAAAGCTCTTGTCTATACGGGACCCGGAACGGTTGAGGTCCAGGACCGACCCAAGCCAACCGTCCAGGAACCTACAGATGCCATTGTCCGGCTGCTCCACGCCTCGATCTGTGGTACAGACCTACATATCCTCAAGGGTGATGTGCCTAGTATTCAACCCGGTATTGTCCTCGGCCACGAGGGTGTTGGGGTGATAGACGCCGTAGGCCAAGCTGTGAACGGGTTTCAGGTCGGAGACCGAGTCCTGATCTCATGTATGACTGCGTGCGGTGCATGCCGGTCTTGCCAGCGGGGCATAACCTCGCACTGCAAAGCGGGCGGATGGACCCTGGGAAACCACATCGACGGCACGCAAGCCGAGTTCGTGCGTGTACCCCATGCAACGCTCTCACTACACGCCCTCGCTCCTTCGATCCCCGCGCGAGCTGCACTAGCCATCTCCGATGCGCTTCCTACGGGTCTAGAATGCGGTGTCTTGAGTGCGAATGTCCAGCCCGGCGGGTCGGTGGTAATTGTGGGCGCTGGGCCCGTGGGCATGGCTGCACTACTGACAGCGCGACTATACACGCCCGCGCTAATAGTCATGGTGGACCTTGACGAGATGCGGCTCGCCACGGCACGGAAATTAGGCGCGCATGCTACGGTGAAGTCGTCTGACCCGAAGGCTCTTCAGCAGCTCCTGGATCTGACACAGGGTGAAGGGTTCGACTCCGTCATTGAGGCGGTCGGCGTCCCTGCGACATTCGCGCTCTGTCAGGAGCTGGTGGCTGTGGGAGGACGAATTGCAAATGTTGGCGTCCACGGAACTAAAGTGGACTTGCATCTCGAGAAGCTGTGGGATCGAAATCTCAGTGAGTTTTGCCTCGTGGTGAAGCGAAGGAGACAAGGGCATACATACTGATTCTCAAGGTATACACATGATGCTGGTAAATGCGACCACAACGCCGCAATTGTTACGGCTGGTAGAGTCTGGTATGCTGGATGTTGGCTCGCTGGTGACCCATAGTATGTTTTCTGCCCTTCAGTTGACTCTGGTCGAAGTTCCTGATCATTGGCAGACTTTCCCTGTGCCGAGGGTGCTACGGCTTATGCGACTTTTCAGGCGGCGGCGCAGCATCAGGCGCTCAAGGTGGCCATCGACTTCGATTCGGCATGAATGACTATCCATGCATTATAGCATTAACCGGAATCTTTGTTTGCTGATACTACCTTACAAGTTACCTAACGAGCAAATGTGATTAAGAAGTGGATATCCCCGTTCTATTATGCTTAGATGACTCCGAAGTGTTTCGGGGAGATAGTGGAAGAGCCTGGAGTATTCCGAGTCGAAGCTTCACCACTCATTTCAATGGCCATGTCCTTTACTGTATGAATGCCTTTCTATTAGTTGCCAATCTTCTTCGTCGTACAGAATGCTCTCAAAACCAGTTTATGACCAGTTTATCCACTGGAAGGGTCTCGACCGGGTTCCACGGGTCAGCTTATGTAGGATTCCAAGCGAAGCGGTTGTACGGGATGCCGGCGGTTTCACTGCCCCAAACATTCGGAGAACTTCCGCTAAAATGGCACGAAAGCGGGGTACGCAGCGCCGCCAGCCCCGGTAGTACTACTTAACAGGATTAGGCCGCGCCCTCGATGCGAACCCCAGAAAATCCCCAGACAAACTTCGCCTCGATGGACGGGATGAGCACCAGCACGAGCACCAGCACCAACACAAGCACCACGCGCCGACCGGGACCCCAGCGTCGCATCAGACCATCTCGCGGTCGCGGGTTGAGAACATCAACAGGATGGTGAGTGAACTCACGGCCCCGCCACTACGCGAGCATCGAGCAACACCTCGCTTACACGCACAACAGCCTCACTTGCAGAGAAAGACGTGTCAAATGCGACGACGGCAAGCCCCAATGCATGCGGTGTACCAAGTCAGGTCGCGTATGCCGGTATCGCCAGCCCGCTGAGCAGCAGAAGAGCTTTACGGAAAACGGCACCGGCGCTGGCACAACACCAGGCGTCGCTCAAGAGCAGAGTGTTGGTACGCCGTACTTTCAGCCTTCATCTGATGCCGGTGTGTCACTTCAGCTCAGCGGACAAAACGATACTAGTCCGCAGTCCAGCCTTGATCTGGGCTTCTCCGCTCCTCCACTCGCCCTTGGCGAGCTCTCCCTGCTGAACATCTCCACTCCCTTTGAGTGGTATGACCTACTCGCACGCGATGCCATCAGCAACATCCAACGGCTGAACGAGGCCTCAGCGGGTGAGCCGCGTTGGACTTTTCCTGAAATCACCCTCTCGCGGAAACCCTCGCCCGCTCCAGAATCATTTTCTGCGCATCCTGAGCAGCGAGACGATGGACCTGAAGCCCCCTTACTCGGTTATCACCATGTCTCCGAGCCTTGGAATACAGGGTATCGGATAGAACTATCGGTAGTGGACCTCATCTTCCTTCGCTACTACACCGAAGTGGTCGGGCCGATCCTCGACCTGTTCGATCCCGATCGGCATTTCACGAATGTCGTGCCGCATCTTGGGCTGCGAAATACCGGCCTACTGAAATCGATCCTTGCAGTAGGCGCTAAGCACATGTCTCTCGGTCTCGATGTACCAGGTGATCATATAGCTCCGAGCAGCCCAAACCCGGTAGCAGACCACCCTGCACCCGCGCATATGGCTACACATTACTACTACGAAACGCTCCAGTATCTCTCGCAAACCCTCCTCTACCCCTCCTACGCCGACTCGCGTGAGCTGCTAGCGACATCGACCATGATCAGCACATACGAGATGTTCGACGCCGACACATCTACAACAAGCGGTGACTGGGAACGACACTTACGAGGCTCGTTCTGGATTCAGCGCTCCCAAGACAACGACGGCGAGTCTGCCGATGGACTTAGGCGAGCCGTATGGTGGGCCTGGCTCCGGCAGGATATCTGGGCGGCATTTCGAGCGGGACGACCAACATTGACGATCTGGCGAGCACGGAAGAAGCTCGAGGAACTCAACTCGGATGAACTGGCGAATAGAATCATATACATATGCGCCAAGTGCGTTGAATTTGCAGCGTCGGATAAGATGGTCCCTGGCAATACCCAGGACCCACGGCTTAGAATCGAACACGGCGATCGGCTCCTCCGCGCTCTGGACGACTGGTATCGTGTCCTACCTACCTCATACCATCCCGTTACAATCGCCCTAGACCCGGGAAGCGCACGCGCACTGAGCAAGACAATACCACCGCCAATAACCAGTCCGAGCGGATTAAGCTGGGACGGAACGGCGCCACTGACGAACCCCGCCGAACTACAAGAGCAAGGCCCAAGTCCAGGTGCAGGTGCTGCAGGTGCAGGTCCAGGTCCGAATACAACACCAACTAACACAGTGTTCTTCCCGCCCGTCTGGATTCACCCACCCAGCCACGCCGGCGCAATGCAGATGTACCATTTCGCGCGAGCGGTCGTGCTTCTGAACCAGCCGACGATGGGCGGTCTCAGCGCGTATAACCTGCGGGAGAAGCAGCTTAGCGAGAGTGTGCAGATGGTCTGTGGGATTGCGAATGCGTGCCAGGAGCATGAGAGTGCGATTGCGTTTGTGAATGCGCAGGCGCTATTTGGTGGTATGTATCCGTCTGGGATGTGGCATATGCTGGTATTTCTTCTTGGTTGTTCTTTGCTAATGGGTGTCCAGTTGGCCAGTTTGTGCAGGCGCCGGGGATGCGGGCAGAGCTATTGAGGATTCTGGAGAATATGTTGAGGATAAGTAAGATTCCGGCGCAGGGGCTTGTTGCGGAGTTGAAAAAGGTGTGGCAAGGGTAGTATAAGGAATCAACTATAGAGCCAAAGACGCAAGTCATCCCGGATAACCTTTTGCATGGGAGCTACATTTACTGAAGACATAGGTAGACTCAGATGAATCAAAAAACTCCGTAGTATTGATCTCTATAAATTCTAACATGCCTCATAAAATCTATCATTGACCACCCCTACCACGCTCCAACAATGCCAGCAATGGGAATGTCAATTCCCGTCGTATACGACGCCCCATCGGAAAGCAAATACACATACGCACCGCCCAGCTCCTTGGGCTCAGCCAATCTCGGCATGCCGCCGTAGTACTGCATCTTGAGATCCCAATCAGGCGCCTGGTCAACAAAATACGTCATGGCCGTCTTGATGAACCCAGGGGAAATCGAGTTAACACGGATCCCATGCTTCGCCCACTCCATTGCCAATGTATGCGTCATGTTGCGCACAGCAGCCTTGGTAGCTCCATAAGGCGCCGAGGGCGCAGCGCGGTTGGGGCGGTAGGATGTCATGGACGCGGTGAATACAATGGAGCCCTTGATTCCAAGCTCGATGAATTTCTTCGCGACGGTTGTTGCGCAGAAGTATGCGCCGAAGACGTTGAGGTTGAACAATTGATCGATCTGTGCGCGGCTGAAATCCAATGCCGGCTGGTGCTTGGTCATTCCAGCGTTCGCGACGAAGCCGTGGATTGCGCCCTGCGCGCTCACGACAGCATCAATTGCAGATGTGATGCTCTCCTCCGAGGTGACGTTGCAGTTGATATAGTGCAGGCGCTTCGGGTTGGCTTTTTGGATCGCGGCGAATTCCTCGCCCGGCTCAAACAGGTCGAGACTGTATACTGCGGAGGCTTCATTTGCGAGACACACTTCGGCGATGGCGAGGCCGATGCCCCGGTTTGCGCCGGTGATGGCGATGACTTTGTCTTTGAGGGTTAGGCGCCAGTCGTGGTTGGGGCCTGGGAGAGTGTTGAGGAAGGCGGGGTTTTCAGCGTCGCTCGTGGCTGCGGCTGCGGCGCCGGTGATGGCTTCTGAGGCGGAGGGAGGCATTGCGAGGGATCGGTGAGCTGAAGGATTTGAATTGGAGGCACTCGGAGAGAAGGAAAAGGATTGATTGACTTGCGCTTGACCAACACTGCAACGGGAGGGGCCCTTTTAAACCCCGCCATGGCTCTTATCACTTCAAGCCAAGCATCCCCGAGTCTCCGAGACTCGCAGCTCCTGGACGATCCATCTCGGATGCGAAGTGCGTATACTCCGCACGGCAGCCCGGAATTTCCCCGGCGTCATGCAAGCCAGGATCCCAGTGGCTGCAGGACGTCGAAGCGAGCCAGGGTCCACTTCTCGCATCGAGGCCCGCGCTAGAGCTTCGCCACGAGCTTGGCCGCCTCGTTCCGCTCGCTGATTGGCTTCCGGGCATCTACTGTGTCTCCACGGGGTAACCCCATGGGGGAGAACTCTGTGCTCTCGCTGCACTGCCGTAAATAAGGGAATGGACGTCCCCAGGTCAGCATCAGCACGCTCGAGACTTGAATCTTTACTCCTCTTCCTTTTTGTATCTGTTATTGAGTGCAATGTCAACTCTCAGCATGGAGCCCGTCGACCAGAAGGAGATTGACAAGGATGGCCAGTCGAACCACATCGAGGCCTCAGCAGAGCAGGGCCAGGAGATCTTCTGGACCGAAGAGGAGGAGAAGAAGCTCGTCCGGAAGATTGACTTTTACCTTTTGCCGAATATCTGGATCATGTATCTGCTGTCCTACATGGACCGGACGAACATTGGTAATGCCAAAATCGCAGGCATGGGCGATGACCTCGGTCTCACCTCAAACCAGTACAGTGTTGCTCTTGTTGTGTTCTTTGGTGCGTCTCCCTATAACTACCTATATCACAATCAGACCATTATAGTCCCAAGCTAACAAGACCAGTCGGCTACGTCGTCTTCGAACCCCCATCAAACATGATCCTCATCCGCACGCGCCCCTCGCTCTACCTGCCCGCAATCATGACAGTCTGGGGCGTACTCACGTGCATCATGTCTGAGATCAAACACTACAAGCACCTTATCGTGCTCCGCATCTTCGTCGGAATCATGGAAGCCGGTTTCGCGCCGGGTATCCTCCTCATCATCTCCTCCTGGTACAAGCGCAAGGAGCAGTCCAAGCGCTTCGCCGTCTTCATGTCCGCTGCAATTCTTTCTGGCGCCTTTGGTGGTCTCATCGCGGGAGCTATTACGGGTGGGCTCGAGGGTGCCCATGGGATTCGTGGATGGCGGTGGTTGTTTATCGTTGAGGGTGCTGCGACTGCCGGGTGGGCGATTATCTCCAAGTTTCTGCTGCTGGATTTCCCGGCAACCTCTAAGAAGTTGACGGAGAGGGAGAGGGCAATTGCTGTTGCGAGGTTGAAGGAGAATTACGGGCCTGCGAGGAGTGCGGATGAGAAGATTGGCAAGGGGCAGTCGTTTATGCTGGCGCTGAGGGATTGGCGTACTTGGGGGTTTACTCTTGGATATATGGTATGTTCCCCTCTGCTTTCTTCCTACCTGTTACTGTCTAGGTATTGGCCCTAACTCTCATGCACTAGGTCATTGTCGGCTCCTCGACGCTCTCCTACTTCTACCCAACTCTCGTTGCTGGCCTCGGATACACCGACACCGTGCAGGCCCAGTACATGACCGTAAGATCCCTCCTGACAATCCTTAACAACCATTTCAAGCCAAAACCTAACATAACATGCATTCAGGTCCCAATCTACGGTGTCGCCTTCGTCTGCACCGTCGCAACCTCCCTCTTCGCCGACAAATTCTCCAACATGCGCGGGCCCATCATAGCCGCCTGGCTCGCCTTCTCCATGATAACATCCATCATCGTCTGCGCCGTGTACAACTTCACAGCACGCTACGTCCTCCTCGTCCTCATGGCGGCAGGCCTCTGGGCGTCAAACTCCACCTCGCTCTCCTTTGCCTCGTCGACATTCGGCGATATGGATCCCGAGGTGAGGGCTGTAGCACTCGCGCTTATGAACGCACTGGGGAATCTCGCGCAGATATATGGCGCTTACCTGTTTCCCGATGACGATAAGCCAAAGTATCTCATGGGATTCGGGGTGATTTCGGGGATGTTGGGGGTTGGTGTTGTTACGTATGTGGTCATGTATGTGCTTGTTAAGAGGAGGGAGAGGGGGATGGCGGCTTAAGATCGCTAGTAAGTCAGCCCAGGCTAACTTGAGGAAGGGACCCCAGGCGAGGCTATGCGGATGAAGAGGGCGCTAGGCGCTCTTCACTTTGGATAGTCTACGGGAGTAGATTACGTTGGATATGTATCTATCATAGAGCTGAGCTCAATAGGACCGTTTTGCCATTGGAAATGGACATGATTATGAAGCTACCTAGTATCTCAGCAGAGTACAATCTCTCAAAGTAATCCCATACGCTCGGGCATGTAACTATTTCTGTCAAGCTCTAGGCGGCCGAGACAATCTGCCAACAAGGTCCTTTAGCTACGTATCTGCGAAAAATAAGATTCTCGTTCCTTTGAAACCAGCTCTGCCTTGTGTAGTCAGGTATATTTTCGCCGAATCACTCACGGTAGACGTCCTCCTCGGCTCTCGCCCTTGTCTCTTTTGCTACAATGCCTGATATGTTTTCGGAAGCGAAAGAGCCAAGTAAAGATGACAGCCTAGTACGGATATTAATGATCATCAAGACTGTTTACCTTATGTACCGCAGTACATGGAAGATATGATGTGCCGAGCTCTGCGTGGTATCCAGAGGTAGACGGTCCCAACGGAAGGTTATCACCTCTCTGCAGATATCTCTAGGGCGTTTCTTGGCCAACTATTGGCCGACCCCAAAAAAGTCTTTACCTGGGATTAGTTCGGGTAGCCGAAGTGGCATGGTTGACAACCTCTAAGACAAAAATCAGAGCTTCACCACCCTAAAGTGTAGGCTCCGTGATTGAATCATTTTTGACACAGTTTGTGAAATAAAATAATCAAAATTGTTCATTCTATAGACATTACATGCATGCAATCATTTCTAAAAAAAAAAAAAAACCCTAATGGTGAGCACCAATCGTCAACGGCCCATTAAACTCCCTAAAGTCGCCCCTCAAGATCCCAATGCCGTCCCGTCGGACTTCCTCAACAAGGTCGCTGACCTTAGCAGCAATGCTCTTCGGCTCGAATCCATAGTGGGCGTACACGTCCTTGCAAGGAAGGGCCTTTCCGAAGCTGCTCATCGTCACACCCGCGTCGGCATATCGCTCCCACCCGTTGGCAGGGTATGCCTCGATGACGACGGTGGGCTTGCCTGCGCGGGGTCTCAGGACAGACTGCTTGTATTCGCGCGACTGTTGCTCGAAGAGACGGGGGCAGGGGAAGGAGACGATTCGGGCCTTGAGGCCGTACTCCTTGGCGAGGAGGTCGCGGGTCTGCACAGCGTAGACCATTTCGGAGCCGACACCAATCAGAGTCACGTCAAAGTCATCGGGGCCTGTTGAGCCTTCGGCTTCCGTGAAGACGTAGGCGCCCTTGAGGACGCCCTCGCGGGAGGAGTACTGTGGGTATTGTGTGAGGCTTTGACGAGAGAGGGCGAGGGTGGTGGGAGTGTCTTTGGCTTGGAGGGCGGCAGTGTAGGCGCCAGCGGTTTCTTCGGCATCACAGGGTCGGATGAAGAGGAAGTTGGGCATGGCGCGGAAGAGAGCGGCGACAGCAACAGGCTGGTGAGTAGGTCCGTTCTCGCCGACACCAATGCTGTCGTGGGTAGCGATGTGAATGGCTTGAAGGCCTTGGAGCGCCCCCATGCGGAGAGCGGCAGCGGCGTAGAGATGGAACATTAGGTATGTACTTGTGATGGGAATGAATGTGCCCTTGTTGAATGCGGCGAGACCGTTGGAGATGGCGCACATGGCATGCTCACGAATTCCATAGCGGATGTATCGACCGCTGTAGTTTCCGTCTAGGCCACAGGCTGTTCGGAGATCAGGCTAGCGTTTTGTCAGTACCCTGCAAGCATAGCAAAATGGAACAACAGTCACTCACAGACTGGAAGTCAACCCTGTTTTTGTAGGCGACGTTGACAGAGGGAGTAAGGTCCGCAGTGGCAATCATAATGGAGTTGATGTTTTGTCCAAGGGCGTCGGTAGTCGCAAAGGCCGACTTTCGCGAGGCAGTAGGTGCAGTAGGGTGGTCTTCCTTGCGGGGGATGCACTTGGTCCAGTCGGCAGGCATCTTACCAGCGACACGGAGATCAAACTCGGCAGCTAACTCAGGCTCTGCCTCGCGATACTTGGCCACAACCGACTGCCAGCCGGACTCGAGGGCCTCGCCGCGGGCGGGGATGTCGCTGAAGAAGTCGTAGACATCCTGGGGGATGTGGAAGAACTCTTCGGGGTTGAGGCCGAAAGACTTCTTGACCCGGGCCACCTCGTCGACTCCAAGGGCCGCTCCATGCGCATCGGCTGTGCCGGCCTGCTTGGCCCCGAAGCCAATTGTTGTGCGGATGTTGATGAAAGTGGGTTTATCGCTTGAGCGGGCGGCAACAAGGGCGTTTGTGATGCCTGTTGGGTTGGTGTTAGTAAAGTTGCCATCATGACCGAGCTAGAGGATTGGCCTACCTTCGACGTCCCAGTCGCCGTTGTACACGTCCACCACGTTGAAACCAGTAGCCCGCATTTTGGCGTTAACATCCTCAGTGTTGGCAACATCCACTGTTCCATCACACGTAATGTTGTTGTTGTCGAAAATCACGCAAAGGTTGTTGAGCCTCCAGTGGCCAGCAAGCGAGAGAGCTTCGAGACCAACACCCTCCTGGATGCAAGCGTCACCGACGATACACCATGTCATGTTGTTCACCACCTCGTGGCCGGGTCTGTTGTACGTGGCGGAAAGGTTCTTCGTCGCCATGGCAAGACCAACTGCATTGGCGATTCCCTGGCCAAGGGGACCAGTTGTGACTTCGACACCCTCGTTTTCGATTTCGGGATGGCCGGGGCAGAGTGAGTCGGGATCTGTTGAGTGGTAGGACTTGAGCTGGTCGAGGGTCATGCTCTTGACGCCGACGAGGTGTAGAAAGGTGTATTGCCAGAGGCAGGCATGGCCTGTCGTGTTTGTTAGTGCCGTCCACAAAAGGTGAAGGGGTCACATACCGTTGGAAAGAACAAAACGATCACGGTTGAAGTAATTGCAATTCGTCGGAGAGTACTTCATGACATACTTCCACAGGGCGATACCAATGGCAGCCATGCCCATTGGGGATCTAATAGTCTAGTCAGCACCATGGTTCGAACTTGTTCAAGGTCAAGTTACCCAGGGTGGCCATCGCCATATTGCTGGACGAGATCGGCGATGAAAGCTCGGAAAACGTTCAACACCCGCTGGTGCTTCTCCTGGCTCTCGAACTTGAGGGAAGACCCATTGCTGATGGTCGAGACCGACTTGGTCGGCACAGGCTCGACGGACTTTGGGAGGAGTTCCAGCGAAGGGGCCATTATGTGAATGTGAGATTGTTCTTTGAAAATGATGCCAGGCTAAGTTGAGCTGGCGCAGCCTGCCAGCCCTTATACTCGAGCATCTCTCAATCTCCATCGCGTACCAGACAGTCATTCCTCGCACTGAGTCTGATGATCAAACGTGGAGGGCCGGGATCGAAGCGAGACACCATACCTCCTCCACAGTGTCAATGGCCAAAAATCAGGTCTGGGGAGTGGCGGCTCGCGCCGGTTGTTGGTGCGGTCCTCGCTTCGAGGCCACCTGGACTCGAAGCGAGCCTCGTCCCCACCACCTTCATGGAGAAACACCAAGTCGAGAGCAATTCTGGGCATCTGCTCTAGATAGCTACGTATGTTGCATCGGGGACATGGAGCCCTGTTGATCCCTTCACTTCAAGGAAACAGTTGTCCGAAATTGTTCTGGGTCAAGAAAGGGTATTGGCATTCGATGCAAAAGACGTTTGGAAAGCAAAGAGAACTAGAATGAAACGGATCGTCTAGTATCTTTTCACCAAGAAGTTGTTCGAGCCCTATGGTAGGAGCAGGATCAGGCAGGTGCTTGGCCCTTCGCTCCTTCCTCAGCAGTGCTCGTACAAATACCACTTTCACCTCCGGCTCCAGCCGCTGTGGCAGTTCTCCCGTTCCTCTTCTTCTCACTCTCGTCTATCCCCGCAGCTCGTTTCTCCCTCCATCCCCGGCCAAATACATACTCCACCCATCCCATCGCGCCACCCAGTCCGAAAACCACGCCTAAAACCACGAAACACCAACCGAGCCCCATGTCCCTAAGCATATTCTCAACCACCGCTGCACCTAATGCCCCAAGCCAGCATCTCACAAGATTGCACGCTGCCGCGGCCGTCGCCGGCCTATCAGGGAATAGGTCAACAAGCAAGGTATTCAGGGCGTTTGTTGTAGAAATCGTCGCGAACCCGTTGAAGAATTGTAGCACCAGTGGTACAGAGATGTGTGCTGAGGCTTGCAGAGCAAAGCCATATGGTATAATCGTTGCAAGGCATAACAGGATTGCTGGGAAGAACGCTTGAAGACGGGCGTGTTCGATTGGAAAATCCCTGAGGTCTGTGGTCCGATTCGTGTCTAGTGGTAAGGAGAGGGCGCTGGCATGCCTTCGGTAATTCCAATCTAGGATCTTCCCAGTGATGATCGCTCCAAGAGAGGCGCCTACACCTAGTGGGAGGAAGCAGAGGCCAATTTGGAGGGTGGAAAGGTCGTATATGACCGTGAAGAGGTATGGAGTGCTGGTCAGAATGGCAATGTTGCTGAACAGGAGGAGACCAATTGTGCTTATCAGGATCAGGGCATCGGCGTGCAAGAGGATGGATAGGGCAGAAAGGGGGTTGAACAGATGAAGCCTCGCGTTTGTTGATGTGGATGCTGATGGGCTTGTGCCATTTCCCTGTACACGCTCTGTACGAGGGAGAGCCCTATGTGTACACCACTGGACAACAGGCCTCCTCCACCACTCCTTCGGCACAACGCTCCCATCCCCAACGATTCTCCGCGCAGTCTCCGGAACGAAAAGTACATAAACCGCAAGAAACACACCACTAAGAAGAGCCAGGAACAAAAACACTATGCGCCAACCAAAAAAGCTCGCGATGAGCCCTCCAATCACCGGGCCCAACGCCGGCGCGATCATGACCCCCGCCGCCATGATACCAGTATACGAGCCTCGCTCAGCAGGTGTCGAAATATCAGCAATGACTCCATACCCAAAGCTCACCGTTCCACTACCTCCCGCACTTTGCAAACAACGCAATGCCATAAGTGCCGCGTAACTCTCCTGCAACGCAAGCCCATTATTTGCTGCCGTGAAAATAATGAACGACAGGATATACGCGAGTCGACGACCGCAAGCGTCGGAGACTGGTCCCAGAATCACCGGAGCAAGACCCTGAAGCAGCATATAGGTTGTGATCGTCAAGTTGATGGGAGCCATGGAGTTGAACCCGTAGGTATCCGCGAGCATCGGCATCACAGGGTAATATATTTGAGCGGAGAGGGGAGATACGAATGCCGCGAGTGTTACCATGACGACAATAAAGCGTTTCTGAGCAGTGGTAAACACAGAGTAGTTCTGAGATGGTGAGACGTCGTTAGCAGGAGGTGTCAAGGCAAGTGGCGCTGGTGCTTCAAAGAAAGGGTTCGCCGCTACTGGAAAGCGAGGTAAGGCTGCAGCTGGAGACTGAGGCGAGATTGAAGCTGGAGAGGCCGAAGACGAAGTCACCGCGACCTCGTCGATGACTCCGTCGGCAGGCAGGATTTCATCGAGAGAGGGGCGTTGTCGCTGGTGGCAGACGTCTCGATAAGCCATGGCCGTTGTTTCAGCTAAGGGGTGTTGAGATATACAAGTCCGTCACAGTGTGTGGGGTTGACGCAAAAGTGTTGTCAGTAGTGAGGAATCTGACTGCAGGACTAAGAGGGGAGCAAAGTGCTTCACAGGCCTAGGACAGATCTGACAGAGCAAAAAAAAGTGAACGGGGATTTATTGAGGCAGTTTCACAGACTCTTGTGTGGCCTCCAGGCAGCCATATGTTGCCTCTCCTGCCCAAGATGAAACTGCACAATCTAACTCAGTACAGTAGGTTTTCTCTTTGATAAACATTGGAATAACTGGGAGTACCGTCAGAAAATCAACTTGACGCATGAAAACGCCACTTAGGGCAGCCGTAGGGCATCCCGTATAGGGGAAGTCGAACGCCCTCTTAGATAATTTGGCAAATAAATTCCGCAAAAAGAGTAATAACGTAGATTCTCCTACGAATACTACAGGACCGAGTACGACTCCTTTTCAAGGCGAAAGAGAATAAATGCACCTGTCTGCTGGCGATTTGATTACCTATCTACATGCAGCCCGAGAAAGGCCGAGCGGAATGAACCGAGCGAGCCTTAACAGCTCGTCTGGAACACAACAAAAAAAAAAAAAACATGCCCCAATTGGCTTTTGGATCAACAGGCTGGTTTACAGGGCTACCGTTAGTGACGTACTACGAAAAAAAAAAGAAGAAATGGGGTCAAAAGTTAAGTATTCATCTACTAACTGCTACCTCTGAGCTTACATATGCAACTTTCTCCGCGTCCATCCAATATGGCTTCATCAACTTGGAAAAGATAAAAGTAAAAAGCAAGCTAAGATACAGGATAATGCAAGGGTACAAGGGAATATAATCAATAAGTGTCTGCGATTCCATTCAAGCGCAGGGTGGGAGATGGGGCATTTCGAGACTGAACTGAAAAAGACAGGGGGGAAGGCACAAGATAAGATAGTAGCGAAAACACACGAGACGAGTTCTAGATTAGAGTAAGATCCTTAGTATCCCCCAGCCATCACAACGTTATAGTACCGACGACTCATCTCTGCGGTCTGGACTAGGCGAGCGTCGCCTGTCAGAGGGAGTCGGAGGACGTGAGAGAGTTCGATTGCCTGGTTGTTGTTAGTGTGTGGCTTTGTGATGAGAGGGAGGGAGACTTTACCTTTGCGTCCTCTTGCGCTGTCCATCCCGCCACGACACGGCTCATCTCCTTGAATGCGACTCGCTCCTCCAATCCTTCAACACCACCCGACCGACCAATCGTCTCCCCCCTTGTGACCAGGGCTTCTACCAATCTGTTCAAACGTTGAGGATCGCGGCCGCCGCGGGCCGTAGCCAGACGGAGGAAGTCTTCATAGACACCACCGCCGCTAGCCCATCCTCGTACCTTGCCCTGTGGTGATTCTCCGAAGCCAGAAAGTAGTGTCTCTAGGGTGGCATAATCATGTTCAATCACCGCGGTTGGGCCAACGACACGGCAGAATGTCGCGTGGGCATCATTCCAGCTCTTTCCACGGACAAGGCAATCAACCTCTCGCGCAGCGTCGCCAGTGTCGCGTGCATAAAGGGCTTTACACATCCAGATCCAGCTCTCTGAAATTTGAAGATCGCCCGTGAGGTGCTGCCACAATGGACTCGGTGAGCCTTCGGGTGTTAGCGGCTCCGGGAGACGGGCGGCGAATCGTGCTAGTATCTCCTTCAAAGCCCGCTCACGATCTGCCGCACGAGACAAGTGAATTAAGACAAACAGAGTTTGGCCAAGGTTGCCGGACGCGCTCAGTTCCCAAGCATAATCCCATACCAGTTGATCCATTAGGGCGGCGTCGATCTGGAGGCGTTCGTGTCGCCCAAGGGCAGCCGAGAGTGCATGGCAGAGCTGGAAGGACAAGCGGTTGGATAGCTTGTCCCCGCTTACAGACTCTGGCAGCAACGCGGCAGGCAGTTCAACTGTAGTGACAATAGGGCTCTTAGCTGCACCGAGTGTTGCCGAATAGGTCTTGAGCAGAACCCAGAGAGGAGATTCACGACCTAGAGTGTCGTTGGACGTCTGCCGCACACCGCGTTTTTTATCCTGATGAGAAGGGGAAGGGAAAGCAGGCTCCTGTCCACTCTTGAGGTCCTCGGTGAATTTTGAGACTGCAACCTCGAGCGGTTCATCATCACTGATTGCGTACCAGAGACGGAGACCAAAGGCTTGGAACCAATCCAGCTCGAATCGCTCAGAGAAAGTAAACGTTGATGCACGATCTTCGAGTGCGCCACCCGACTTGCCTTCGCTGCGGAGGGCATTACCCGCCAAAAGCTCGTACAAGGCTCGAATCGGCTCGTTCATCTCAGAATAGACGTTGTGCTGTCGCCACATCTCAACTTGTTGAGCCATATCACGGCGCGTTGTCGGGTCGCGACCAATCTGGGAAATGAGAGTAGCGAGGTGGAAGTTTTTGCTGGCCATCAGGACACCACAGGCTTCTTCAACTCGATGCGAGCAAAGCAGGTAGATGGCACGCTCCTCTGGAGAGCTAGCCTTGCTCACGGCATGCGAGTTTCTTTCACGGACGATGTTTTCCCAAAGACGGCTCAGACGGTCTTTCCTGATGCGGTGCAGGTATTTCTGTCGGAGTTGTGGTGGCACGCCGGCGGAAATATCGTCTTCAATATCGTCGTTGAACAAAATGTTCGCTAGCCGCCAAATCACCAGCTCCTGATCGGACTGGGCAGATTGTGGAACTTTGGCGAACTTGTCAAAGTCGGGTTGTCCCAGCCGGGCGAAAGGAATTCCGTCGATACGAGTGATGATAGACTGTTTTCTTTGTACCTCGAGCATTTCATGAGGCTCCGCTGTCTGCCCGGAAGCGAAGAGCGCGATATCTCTTCCTTCGCTAGTAATTGAGAATTTTTCTCTCCAATGCAAGTCTCCGTATCGGTTCTCGGCGATATCGCTTGTCGCGCAAATCAAGGAATTGACAGGACCCCACCGAGGTTTAAACGAGTTGTGGAAGTCCAGATCATCCTGGCTCATTTCATTCGACTCTCCGGCGAACGTCTTGGGCTGTTTATTATAGGGCCACTGTAGAGGTCGAAAAGTTAGCTCAATCATATCTCAAAAATGATCACAGCCAGACACCACCAGTTGGGTCTAGAACGGAAGAAAAAAAAGGAAAAGATGAGTCGAACCTCAAAACCAGTACGTTGCGCAGCTTGGGCCTTTGGCGGAGATTGTTGTTTTCGTGTTTTGCGGGGTTGTTGGAACAAAGAATTCATCAAGTCGATACTAGTCGCGAAGCCCTTTTGTTGAGCATTCGCTACGGGTTTTGTCGGCGTTCCATCCGCAAGCGGCCGATCATTGAACGCACTCGCTTGAATTTCACGAAGAGCGTCGCGGTTTTGTTTCCTTGGACTGATAGTTCGTTGCAGCTGCTCGGCCCAGTCACCAGTAAGATCAAGGCGGGCCTTGGAAGGGGTATTCCAGGGTTTCAGCGAAGGGTGGGTGAACTCAGTGTCCATACCCTCATCGTCATGCTCCACGGTACGATCAAGGTTTGGAAAGGTGCCCGCCATGTCCATTTCCTCGCCTTCATCTAATTCAATTTCTGACTCGCCAGATTGCTGGCTTTCGGTGACGTCGTCGTCATCCTGTTCAGTTGAACCCGTGGAGCCGTCCTCTAAAAAAGACTCGTCTTCTTCGTCTTCAGATCCCATCTCGTGCTCCTCCACCGTCTCCATCGCCTGGTTTCCAAACGCCCCGGGGATTATTTTGCGCTTTTTGAAGTCAAACGTGTCGTCGTCAACTCCCCCCACCGAACTCGCAAAGGAATCTTCAATGGAGTAGGTGGACATCTGCTCCGAGCCAACGGTCAGGTCGTGGTCGGCAGGGAATCGATTCTTCAGAGTCGGGGTGTCAGGAGCAGCACTCTGAGTGCTTTGATTGAGACTCTCACCTTCAACTTGTTCATCTTCATCATAATCGAGGCCATATGTTGTGTAGTGAGCCACACGGAAGATCCACGTTCCGGTGTTGGTTTCGTAGCTGACGAACTCAGTGTTGTGCACCTTTCTCAGGCGGTCGATGTGCTTCTCAAAGAGGGGGCCGCTGGTGAGTGGAGAAGGTCCCTTCTTGTCTCGCCCACGGGGCCAGGAGTTTTCGATGCGCAGAGTAGAAGGCACATTCAGACCCTTGCCCCTCGCCGGCTTCATTGACTCGTCAGGGTAGACGGTGATTTTACGCACGCCGATATCGATGAGACCACCAAAGAGATTATCCAGATCAATCGCTGTCAGATCAACGGGGTCATCAAAGGTGACTGAGCCGCATCGCTCACGGCCGACAGTCAGTCCCTTAAACTGCTTCAGCTGCTCACGGCTCAGCTTGGCAAGCTCAAATCGTGTGGGCTTCATCCAGTACTCGCCGGGGGTGGGGTCGGGACCAGGAACGAAGGGCAGTCGAGAGCCACCCTCGTTAGGCGAAGCAGATGACAGACCGCTCTCGCTAGTAGTGTCTTCTGGGACAGCGAAGAGGCTCCTGGTTTTGAGCGCCTCCATCTCCGGGCGGGAGTCAGAGGCCGACTTGGTGCCATTGGTGATACTATTAGGAGGACCATTCTTGCGAATAGAGCGCAGGAAACCCAGTTCTTCCGGTGTAGGTTCCGGGGACTCAGACTCAACAGGGACAATTTCGCCACCAGTTGTGTTGTCAGTGGTAGACTCAAAGCTGACCTTCTTTTTGACCTTGCTCGCGGAGTGGCCAGCGTCATCGCCATTGGTTATGGCGGCAGGTGGAGGGGTGTTACTAGCTGCGCGAGTGAAGAGGTCATTCCTCAAGCTGCGGTCGATTGTCAAGCGTTTCAGGTTGTTGCTTGATAGACGCGAGCTGCCAGAAGAAAGGGCGCCGGGGGACAAGATGCTATCTGCTTCAGGGTCGAATGACCTGCGCAAGTTGCTCGTAGAGAAACTTTTGCTAAAGGTACTACGGCCCAAGCTGCCATTGTAGCTACCACGCAGACTTCCTCCTAGAAGACTACCACCAAGGCCGTTAGGAGTGCTATTAGTACTAGAAGGCGATCCGTAAGTCGAATAGGAGAATCCGTAGCCTCGGGCCTTGGGGGTGGTGATGAGGCGGTTGGAAGCAGTAGGCGTAAGCTTATATACTGGCAGCGGCGTGCGTTGCTTCTGCTTGTTCGCAGAACCAAGCGGTGTTGCCAGGGGGCCGGGACTAGGAGTGTTTGGTGCGGGGAGACCAGAGAAGATGGACTGATTGCCGTATGGGTTGCCCTCGAGAAGGGAAGCCTGGAGACTGCCAGGCGCAGCTTGCTGAGATTGTTGCATCTGAGGCTGCTGTTGCTGAGAGCCGCCGAAGAGACTAGAGGTTCCCAGGCCTCCCGTTTGTTGTTGCTGGTTCTGGGTTGTACCGAAAAGCGACGAGCCCGTATTCTGGGTCGCAGTGTTTCCGCCAAAGAGGGAAGAGCCGCCAGTGTTAGTTCCACCAAATAGGCTGGGTTTCTGGATTTGCTGGGATTGAGCGCCACCAAAAAGACCAGTTCCAGACTGCTGGTTCTGGGTGTTTCCGAAGCCTCCAAACGTACTGGTACCGGTTGTACCCGTTCCACCGAACAAGCCCTTTTGGCCCTGTTGTTGGTTCCCACCGAAAAGTGAGCTGGTTCCGGTTTGTTGGTTATTCCCTCCTCCAAATAGAGAACCACCGGTCTGCTGTTGGTTTTGCTGATTGTTTTGCCCAAAGAGAGAGGTTCCGGTGTTTGTAGAGCCACCGCCGAAAAGGCCCCCAGTAGTGTTGGTCGACGGTTGGCTATTTCCAAAGGCGCCAAACAATCCCTTACTCTGAGTCTGGTTCTGGGTCTGATTTTGGTTCTGACCGAATCCACCGAAGGCACTGCCAGTCTGCTGCTGTTGGCCTCCACCGAATGGAGAAGCTGTAGCCGTAGTATTGCCGAAGGGCGTAGAAGAGCTAGTGTTGGTACCACCAAAGCCACCAAAGCCCGTTGTGCCAGTAGTCCCAGTGCCACCACCGAACAAAGACTTGTTTTGCTGCTGTTGATTGTTAGCACCAAATGTTGAAGTGCCTGACCCAAACGCATTGTTTGTGGAGGATCCGAAGCCAGTGTTGTTTCCAGAAGTACCAAACAGGCTAGGCTGGGTGGTACCTGAAGAGGCAGCCCCACCAAACAGAGAAGTCGCAGGCTTTGAAGCTCCAAACAAAGGGTTGGAGCCAGTTGAGCCGAATCCGCCTGCTGTCTGAGTCTGGCCAAACGCAGAGGGAGCGCTGGTGCCACCACCGAATGGGGAAGAAGTACTAGCACCGAACCCGGTAGATGGTTGAGTCCCTGTGGCACCAAATCCAGAGCCTCCAAAAGCTGAGGAGCCAAAGGCACCAGCCTGGCCGCTGCCATTTCCATACCTGCGGCCGGCGTTGTAATCAGCCAGTCGAAGTTCCTCAAAGGAGTATTTGCTGTATGGTTGCATGAATGAGATGCTTTGGTAGTGGTTTATGACATTGGAGGATGTATCCTTCTCGGTGAAAGGGCTGAAAGGAGTGCTGCCGGTACCGTCAGAAGGAGGAACTGCTTGCTGAAAAGCAGTACCTGTTCCGCCGCCGAAGGCCGAGCCACCGCTAGCGCCGAATCCAGTGCCAGAACCAAACCCGCCGGTGGTCCCTGTTGAACTGCCAAAGCCGCCGCCTGCTGTTGTTGTTGTTGTTTTTCCAAAGAGGCCGCCACCGCCGGTGGACGAACTACCGAAACCTGAAGTTCCAGAGCCGAAACCACTGCCGGTACCAAAACCACCACCAGTACCTGTAGTCGGGGCTGCACCTCCGAAGATGCCTGTGCCCGATGTATTCCCTGCTCCAAAGCCAGTGCTGGGGCGGTTTTGTCCTCCGAAGAGTGAATTTCCTTGGTTCTGAGTGGTACTTCCGAATCCTAGAAGGAAACAATCCGTTAGTACCGAGAAAGGTCGAGAACTCAAGGCACGCATGTAGAAACATTGAGATAGAGAAACAAAAAGAAAAGAAAAGAAAAAAGGCCGTCCTCTAGTAAGAATCCCTGCTTGTCCGCACCTGCCCTGATAAGAGCATTTTCGGGACCAATTGGAAGAACGGCTAGGAGAGGATTGAGAAATTCCGATCCAACCTGTAATGCCGACTGACTTCGCAAGAGGGCGACATGGAGACCGTTTAAAGGTGGCCAGAGAAAGGATCGCAGCGCATCAACATGTAATGTAACCCACTCGGGACATACCTCCACCGGAGCCAAAAGTGCTGGTAGTACCCCCACCAAACGGGGACGAGGTTGTTCCAAAGCCTAAAATAATAGGATAGAGGCTGTCAGAGACTGTCATAAAGCTGAGATCCTTTCTCTTGTCGCACTGCCGAGTTGCTCGGCGTCGAAGGCCTGCGCGCAGGATGATTGAGTTGTCGAATGCTGCACAGAGCCCATCGCGGGTCGACATCACAGGCACCAGCCGAAGGTAGACCGTGAAAGGAGATACCAGAGAGCAGAAGAAACGGAAAAGTCGAATCAAGGATACATAGAATGTTGTAGCGCCGAGAACGGGTGATTTAACCTACCTCCACCAGAAGAAGAGCCGAACCCAGAGCCTGCTCCAAAGCCGGAGCTAGACTGGTTGTTCTGGCCGAACCCTCCTCCGCTTCCAAATCCGCTGAAAGCCATGATAATGTTTGTGATTCTCGAGGATTTAGCGACTCATCTGTTCAGTCGAAGAATCGGTCGTTGCGAGTACCGTCGCGAAAAATGGCGAGCCCGTGCGAAAACAAAATGAATGGGTCACTTGATGTAACTAAACTGACGCAATGATTGCCGCGATTGGACACAGTGCGCTGTGGTAGAAATCGACGCGCGGAAAAATTGCGAACAGGTTGGGCAGAGAGGTGTTTTGTTTTTTGCTCAACGTTGGCCGACTGCAGAGCGATGGGAGAAGGAAAAAGTGAATTAAAAGTGACCTGTGTCAAGCCACCTGCCGGGGAGTCCACGTGCGAGCGAGGATCTTGACGAGTCCAGGAAGAAGTGAAAGCAGACTGAAGAGGGATGAAGGTAGGGACTCTTGCAAAGAGCAGACGCGCACCGGGTGTTAAGGAAAAGAGCCAGCAAGAGTTGCAACGAGGGAGAGCGGGACTAAACTAGGTTTAGTACTGCCTTCGGATGACCGTACGGTACGCCGTGGTGTTACCAATCGCCGCACAGACCTGCTATCGTATGGTAATCAGCGGTACTGCCGGCTTGGTGCTGTCCGCCAAAGCTGGCAATGCTCACGTGACAGTGCTGCCTGAATTACAGCTGCCAATAAACGTGATGGAAGACTGCCAAAATGAATCATCTCGGGCGCTGCCTGCCAAAGAAGTTTTAGGACGACACCAAAGTTATTGGATGCAAGAAATCGTGTTGGTATATCAGACTGCTCACATGACCCCTGCGGAAGGGGCCAAGCTTGGACTCCAACAAAAGCATTGTCAGTGGTCTATCAAGAACCAAGCACAAAGAATAAACTCCGCGGTCCCAAGGTTCGAGCTTCGACTATTCGCCTTCACTAACTATCTACCTAGGTACGATGTCAGCGCACTCTGTGCCCAATCAGCGGTTAGATTGGCATTGACTTCACTGCAGCCCGATCCAACCTTGAAGCAGGAAGCCACTTTGACCTCGTTTTTGCAACAAGGTCGAAGAGAATTTATATCTTAAAAGAAAATCGATAAAATCGATACCGTCAAATTATAGCTAATCATTTAAATAACATCCGCTCTGAAAGGTTCGCAAACATGGGAATCACACGAGGCGCCCGAATAAATATATCCCCCACTGGCCCAAAAAATCGACCAAGCCCGGGGTGGTTTAACGTCTACATCGATCCATATCGAATGTGGTAGCCATCATCGTGACATGATTTTGACCAGTATATATGCTTTTTGACCAGACTTCCTTACCATCTGTGATAATGGGTTTATTTCCCTCGGGAAGCGTGGACGGTGGCGATGATCTTGTTCACCACCGAGGGGTCGGACAGCTGGAAAATACAAATTAGTCGCAGACGACTCGACACAGAGTACGTAGATTGTCTTACCGTTGAAATGTCACCAAGGCTGTCTTCCTCGCCACTCAGGATCTTGCGCAGAATGCGCCGCATAATCTTACCACTGCGGGTCTTAGGCAGGTCCTCGACCACGAACACAGCCTTGGGGGCGGCGAAAGGACCAATCGACTTGCGGACTTGCATGATGAGATCCTTGCGAACCTGGTCGTTTGTCTCGTTGCCTTCTTTAAGCGCCACAAAGGCGTTCACGGCTTGGCCAGTGAGCTCATCAGCGATACCAACGACGGCGGCTTCAGCAACCATAGCTATTGATGGATTAGTAAGGTGTATTCGCTCGTAGAGTAATGCCATGACTTACCGTGCTCAATGAGCGCAGCCTCAATCTCAGCTGTTGACAGACGGTGACCGGAGACGTTGACGACATCATCCACACGTCCCCGAATCCAGTAGTAACCCTCGTGGTCACGGCCAGCTCCGTCCCCGGTGAACTATTTCGATACAATATTAGCATCTATACACATAGCTTGATCGTCGGGTTATAGAGCCTTACGTAGTAGCCCTTGTATACGTTCAAGTACGTATCCATGTAGCGCTTGTGGGCGCCCCAAACGGTGCGGGCCATGCTAGGCCAGGGCTGCTTGAAGGCAAGCACACCCTCGACGTCATTGCCCGAGATTTCCTCACCCGAGACCGGGTCGATGATGGCGGGTTCGATACCGAAGAATGGTAGTGAAGCGCTACCGGGCTTTGTTGGGGTGATACCGCCAAGGGGAGTGATGACGTTGGAACCCGTCTCGGTTTGCCAATAGGTCTATATGAATCGGGTTAGCTATGCATAGAAAATTGCAAATAATCAGGTCAACTTACGTCAACAATGTGAGCCTCTTCCTTTCCCACCTTCTCAAAGTACCACTTCCACACCTCAGCGGCGATGGGCTCGCCAACGGATCCAAGAACCCGCAGGTGCGCCATCTTGTGATGGATGTGCTCATCTCCAGCGCGCTTCAGCAATCGCAGAGCCGTGGGAGCCACGTAGAACTGAGTCACGTTGTGCTTCTCGATAACATCCCAGTAGCGGGAGAAGTTGGGGTAGGCAGGGGTACTCTCAAAGACCACTGTGGCGCATCCCAGAAGCAGGGGAGCGTACACCACGTATGTGTGACCAGTGATCCAGCCAACATCACCACCACAGAAGTAACGGTCATCATCATGAATATCAAAGACGTATTTACCAGTCATGGCAGCACCTAGCAGGTAACCAGCAGTGGTGTGCATGACACCCTTTGGCTTACCGGTAGAACCGGATGTGTAAAGCAGGAAGAGGGGATCTTCGGAGTTCACAGGCTCGGGGGCAAGGTATGACGGGTACTTCTCGACCTCATCGTGCCACCAGATATCACGGCCGGAAGTCCAGGGGACCTCGGCGCCGGTACGCTTGTAAACAAGGCAGGTCGACACATCAGGGCACTGTTTAAGAGCCTCGTCCACAATCCGCTTGGTTCCAATGATCTTGCCTCCACGCTTTCCCTCGTCTGTCGTAATAACGACCTTGGAACCAGCATCAAGGACGCGGTCGCGCAGAGAGTCAGAGGAGAAACCGGCGAAAACGACGGAGTGGACAGCACCAATACGTGAGCATGCGAGGAAGGCGACGATGGCTTCCGGAATCATGGGCAGGTAGATGGCAACTGTGTCACCCTTCTTAACTCCGCGCTGCTTCAGAACCCAGGCAACCCGCGATACTTCTCGGAGAAGCTCCCCATATGTAATGTTTCGGCCCTCGTTAGGCTCGTCGGCCTCGTAGATGATCGCGACTTTGTCAGGGTTCTTAATGGCGTGGCGGTCGACGCAGTTGAATGAGGCGTTTAATTGTCCCTCAACGAACCAAGCATTGTCGCCGTTCTCCAGAGAGCCGATGTGAGTGGTTTGGAAGTCTCTGTCGAAAGTGAGGAGCTCTCGGGCCATGCGGGCCCAGAAAGTGTCGGGACTGCGGATGGACTCTTCATAGAGCTTCTTATAGTCGTCCAAGTCTTTGAGATGAGTGCCCGTCGGGTGCTTGTCGAAGAACGCCTTGGGGACGTGGAAGGTATCAACCTCGTGGGCTTCAGCAACCTGGAGGTGTAGCGTAATTAGTTTAGATCCATTGGTCGATCCGGGTCGAGTAGAGAGCAGATGCTTACCACGGCGGGCTTGGGTGGTGAGATAGGGCCGTCACTCATGATGAAGAATTTCCTCGAATTGCAAGCTTCCTGGAATTGGCAAAGTCAGAGAATGCCACAGAACGAAGCACGGCGACCAGAAAATTCGCAAGAGGGCTGGGGCTGGTGGGGAAGCTCTGGCGACAGCAAGAGCAGCGGCACGTGAGACGGTGGGATTTAAGCTTACCGTTCCAAGGGATTATTCGCAGTAGCCAAAGTAAGGCAGAGCTCGGGGTGGTTGTGGTGGGGTAGGAGAGCTAGGAGGGGTAGCTAGCAGCCCTCTCGAGGATTTGGAAGAGGGTAGGGGAGGAGTAGGAGAGGGGAGAGGAGCAAAAGTAGGATGGGATAATAATCGAGGAGAATCTCAAGATCAGTCTGGGAGGAGACAGTTATTTAATGCTCAGTGCGCTAAATAGGATAGTTGTTGAGGTCCCGCTCACCCCGGCTGTCCGGCGGAGGGGATGCTTGCTCCTTATACGGCGAATTATCTCCTGTCGCAGCGAGAGTACTCCGGACTCCATCTCGCTGGCTGCGACTACTAGGTCGATCCTTTTCCGGGCGACCGTGGGCGTCTCGGTCCTCAGCAGCCTGGTTCTCGGTTCGTCCATGGTAGCTCCCCAAAGCTCAAGCCAGCATTATTGTTGTGTAACGGTGCTGCTGCTGCCTCTCGCGCACAACATCAAAAGTCGCAGAGTCAGAGACGAGCCCATTGAATTCCCCACTCGAGCGCGCTGGTGAAGCCGTGCGCAAACTATCCCAATGGACAGAGGATCGTCTCCCCTGCATGAGCGAAGCCGGAGTGGTTGACATTTGCCCCCTCCACAATGTCGCGCACTGAAAGGTTGGGCTCGGCCATGCGGGGCTTGGCCCCCGTTGCTTTTCGTTTCCGTTGCCCCGGGGCAGATCCGCCACATTCCCAGACCGAGCGAGATTCCATTTCCAATCACATTGCACAATCAAAAGGAAAGAAACAACCATCGCTGGCCAACGCAGTGGAGGTATCCTGGCGCATCCTGGTATCAAGTACACGACAATCTGCAAGGCAGTTGGATACCATCCTCCGCTGTCCCAGCCGTTCGCTAGAGAGAATAGTCAAAGCTTGCTCAGAAGCCTGCAATCTCCAAGCCTAAGAAGTATGCCACGATTCTTGATTTCCGAGAACTAATCAGCGCGCACCTATCTACTCTGGAGCCCCCGGACGGAGGGATCACAAGAACGCTGGCCAAGCGCCTGATGGAGGGGTAAATTCCATTTTCGCTGGGCTTGAGCCGTGCGGGGGCGCAGGACCGCGACACTCCTTCCTTGATCGGGCAACATATAAGCGTGAGGAGGTGCATGGTTCTCGATCCCACAGGGCAGTACACAAGCAATAAGCCATCAATGGATGGCAGCGAGGTGGGCCGGGTGTCCAATCCGCTTGCTGCTGCTAACCTCAAAGTGATTCAAGTGAGGGATGGCATGATATTCTGTTTGCGGAAATCATCCCAGCTGCTACCCGTGCCGGTTTCGACGTAGGTCCTCTTTGTCACAGTTTGGAGTCGCATTACTCTCGATCTGGAGAAGTTTAATACACTCGGTCGTCATAGGCAAGAATTTCACTGCTAGGTGAGCCCTCTTGAAGTCAATTGGCCGCATTCGGAGTACTCTCGGAAATCCCGAGTCTTACCTAGGTAACCTCACCACTGGCACTGGCGCCAGCATGCAGAACGTTCTCCTTGCGCTGTTTCACGAGCACAGCCCCTGCTCCTTGACTACAGGGAACCGAGAGCCACGAGAGGAAACGTTGCTTAGCTCTCCGTCATATAATTCAGGTGTCGTTGTAGAGGGTTCCATATTCCATACTTAGTAATATGCCAAGCTACCCACATTATTCGGAAGATGTGCATTGTACCTGAGTTTGACGGACCCCGGATACTATGACGAGGTATGTTCTGCGTTCTAGCCGAGGGCTCCGTGTCCCCGGCTTAACCTAGGTAGGCAGATAGATCTCTGGCGCCGGGTGTAGAACGACAAGCACTTCCTTTCCGCTTGGAGGTGACCTAGAAAGGGCGATTCATCCAGGCCACGACGCATACTTGATCTACCGTGCATTCGTTAGGTTCCTTTTCTCCACTGTAATGGACGAGCTGCTTGATCATCAATCGCAAGACAGCTTATTACACACTTCAAGAGGAATGTTAACAAGAACTTCATCGAGAGCCCTGTTAAAGCATCGAGTAACACAAAAAAAAACAACGCCTTTAAGCACTCGTTGACAGGGTATTCATAGTTTGAGTGAGTAGTTACGAGACCTCGGATAAGATTAAGATATTCATTGCCGGATTCGAAAACTGTACATGATCAAAACCCTAAGACAGGACGCACGCATTGACAAAAAAGAAAAAGAAAAGTGTAGATATGGCATGGCAAGATGGTAAGGATATCCACGCGTACATGGAAATGAATGGGAGAATCTTGATCTATAGTATGATTCACTCTTTTGCAGTAACGTAACGAAAAGGAATAATTTACATGCCAGGCGAGATGAGCTTGCCCTCGGCCCGGCTGTTGGGGTGCCAGCCACCGGCAAACGGCCTCTCACCGTTCAGCTCCTGTGAATACTCCTTGATGCGGGCTTCCAGCTCGGGGCGGAAGTGTCGGATAAGACCCTGAATGGGCCAGGCAAAGGCCTCACCCAGGGCACAGATGGTGTGACCCTCGACCTGCTTGGTCAGTTCCTGCAGCATGTCGATCTCACGCTCGCGGGCCTGGCCCTTCTCCAGGCGCTGCATCATCTGCATGGTCCACTTGCTGCCCTCGCGGCAAGGAGTGCACTGTCCGCAGGACTCGTGCTTGTAGAAGGTGGAGAGACGGGAGATGGCGCGGATAATGTCGGTAGACTTGTCCATGACGATGACGGCGGCGGTTCCGAGACCGGTCTGGGAGTCCTTAAGAGCGTCGAAATCCATGAGCTGGTCGTCACAGACGGACTTGGGGATGACGGGCGTTGAAGAGCCACCGGGAATAACGGCCAGAAGGTTGTCCCAGCCGCCGCGGACACCACCACAGTGCTTGTCGATCAGCTCACGAAGAGGAATGGACATCTCCTCCTCCACGGTGCAAGGGTTGTTTACGTGACCAGAGATACAGAAGAGCTTGGTCCCTGCGTTGCGCTCACGACCAAACCCGGCGAACCAGCTACCTCCTCGGCGCATGATGGTGGGAGTCACGGCGACCGTCTCGACGTTGGTGACTGTGCTGGGGCATCCGAAAAGACCGACGGCGGCGGGGAACGGAGGCTTAAGACGGGGCTTGCCGGCCTTGCCCTCAATGGACTCGATGAGAGAAGTCTCCTCACCACAGACGTAGGCGCCCATTCCACGGTGGATGTACACGTCAAAGTCGTAGCCGGTTCCGCAGGCGTTCTTTCCGATAAGACCAGCCTGGTAGGCCTCGTTGATCGCGCGTTGAAGGACGGTGGCTTCGTGGTAGAATTCGCCACGAATGTAGATGTAGGCGGCATTGGCGTTCATGGCACGGCCGACAACGAGACAGCCCTCGATGAGCTTGTGGGGGTCCTTGCGCATGATCTCGCGGTCCTTGCAGGTTCCGGGCTCACCCTCATCGGCGTTGACAACGAGATAGCGGGGTCTAGGGTCCTTGTCCCAGTCCTTGAAGTTCATGAAAGACTGGCAATCCAAGTTAGACAGGATCCGACCCGCCGGTGGAGTAAGGAAAGGTAACGTACGTATTTCAACCCAGATGGAAAACCAGCACCACCACGGCCACGCAGACCAGAGGCCTTAAGTTCTGAGATGAGCTACTCAATAATACGCATTAGCGAATGGCCACTCGATTGCTCCTCCGTCTCCTTCCGTCCATAAACCGGTGAGAATGCCTACCCAATCATGGCCCTTCAATACAATCTCCTTGGTCTTGTACCAATCACCATATTTCTGCGCTGACTTCAAGTCTCCGCCATGTGCTCCGTAAAGATTCGTGAAGATACGGTCCTGATCCTTCAGACCACCATAGTGCCTGACCGGGGGTGCATTGTCCTGAACGGTCGCGAACGAGCGGGCGGCCGGGGCCTGGAGACGGAGGGAGCGGGATGAAAGGGTCGCGAGGGGGGAAGACGAAGGAGCCGCCGCTCGAGATATCATGGTGACGATGGCCCAATGGCTGTGGGGGAGAGATTGAGGAGGGAGGACGGGGAGGTTCGGTGATGGCGTTGAGCTTCAATTCCTGCCGTTGCTGAATATCCGGCTTTGAGTGGGCCGTGATTGGACGGGGTATGTCACGTGCTATTAATCAGCACTCTATACTCACGTGATACTACATTACCACCCAAAAGGGAAATGTCTGCATCACCATCCATACATCATTATCAAATTTTTAGTTTTGGTTAGATTTGGCTGTTAAGATGGCTGGGGATGATTTGGCTGCAGGCTCAAGGTAAGAATTACAATACGGCCGTGGTAAATTGTCTAACGAAATCAGCTTAGAGACCTACTCAACACTACTACAATGGATGAAATCTCACGGCGGAGATCTCCATGAGAATGTCCAAATCACCTACAATGAGCGACAAGGAACACATATACGTGTCTTAAAGGAGGGCGTGCCCAGCAACACACATATAGTCAAGACCCCAGTCGCGACTACCATGTCGTATTTCAACGCCATTGACCATCGTGTGGGCGATGTCCATTTCCCCTCTCATGAGGTCAAACTTCCCCATTCATTTGTGGAAGCTGCTGGGCCTGAAGAACTAGCCATATTTTTCTTGATAGGCCAGTATCTACGAGGGTCCGAGAGCTTCTGGCATCCGTATCTCCGGACACTTCCTCAGCCGGGGGCCTTGACTACCCTCCCTTATTATGAGGAGGAAGATGATTTGGAATGGCTGGAAGGGACGAGCTTAGTGCAGGCGAGGAAGCAGAAGGTTGCACAGCTTAGAGAGAAGTATGAGGCTTCGTACGGTGAACTCCAAAAGGCTGGTGTTGAGGGCAGTGAGAAGTACTCATGGTAAGGGTTCCATTCACTTTTTTGAAATATATCAATACTGATAAGTAGAAGGGACCTATACCTTTGGGCATCGACTATCTTTGTCTCCCGAGCATTCTCAGCAAAAGTGCTTTCTGGCGTGGTCCCTGAACATGGACTGCCCGAAGAGAATGTCTCTGTCCTCCTCCCCTTCATCGACATTCTAAACCATCGACCATTAGCGAAGGTCGAATGGCGTGCTGGAAAAGAAAACGTTGACTTCGTCATCCTGGAAGACGTCCCGGCAGAACAAGAAATTGCGAACAATTACGGCCCTCGCAACAACGAGCAGTGTGAGTTGTAACACATTCTCCTTGCATATCCCAGCTAACGCGAACAGTAATGATGAACTACGGTTTTTGTCTCCCAGATAACCCCTGCGACTACCGTACTGTCGCTTTGCGAGCACCACCGGGGAGCCCCCTCCAAGTTGTGCGCGAGCAGCAACGACAGCTATTCCCCAATATGAACACAGACAGCGAGGACCCTTACTACGTGTTCAACATCTTCTATCCCCTTCTAGCACCGGGTACTCCCATGGAACACTCAATATTCTCGCCGGCCCTCTTCAACGCAGTCTCAATTCTAGCCGCAAGCCAGCGCGAACTGGAAGCATTGGAAGTATCAGAGCACGAAATCCGAATCTCAAATGCATACGGCAACTCTCGGGCCGCTCTTGCAGCCATTAGCCAGATAATAATCGAGCTGATTACACATATCGTGAGACTGAGGTCTTCTGGACCCGGCTCACGAGAGCCAGCGAATCTCAAACAGACGCACGCAAAGATTTACCGCGACAGCCAGATCAGACTATCCGAGTCTGCTCTTGTCATCGCGGCTTGGAGCCTGAAGCGTGCACGCGTTCACGGCCTAAGAGGAGACTGGGAGGGAACGAAACGTCTTCTCGGAGAGCACATGGCCCGCATTCCCAAGGGAAAGTTCCCAGACGCAGTACAATCCCGTATCCAAGTCAGAATACTGGAACGGCCGTCTATTCTCAAGGCAACTGGCGAGCTGTTTTCATTCGATGAGCTACTTAGCCTCCTACCGGATGAAGTACGGAAGCTTTGCCAAGAATGTTCTAGTACCGTTCTCAAGAACGCCTCGCGCAATATTCCAGCCCTTAGAGGCATCACAGTACAGGCATCGCCGTTCAGATTCCCACTATTCGTCTGTTTCGTGGTCGCAGTTCATATCACGAATAGACACAAGCATGACATAGGGTCTGGAGAAAGCCATAACTTCCTCCCTCCGCGGCTCTCTCAGTGGGCTAGCTTCATGCTCGATCATTATCTCCCTCCACCAGACGATGTTGCATGGGCAGTTGAAGATGAAGGCGATGAGACCTTGCTCGGCGAGTTCGACGAAGTCCTCGAAACAATGCGTGCGCAGAACTCTGAGATATTCTCCAAGCTGGAACCATTCACTGGCGGGTGGCAAGGAGATGCTTGGTGGCTCTCGCCCAACTGGGTGCGCTGGGCGTGGATGATGACGGAGCAGGAATGCGTGCAGGCCCCAGAGGACCCACTGGCACTATTATCTTCTGAAGGCTCCGGGAACGTAATGTTATCAACGGAGACGTACTTGTATATACCACAACCTTTAGAGTGAGGCGTTGCTCTCAGTAGCATGAAGAATCAAATCTCAGGGAAATACCCCTTCAATAACGCTCTCATCTCCTCGCTCTGCGCCAGCCCAACAACCCTCTTTGTATCCCCCTCATCATGCGGCCTAAACCCCTTTTCTAGGAATAGCTGCGCGATCTGAACATTGTCACAGTCAACAGCAAATCCGAGCGGGTGCTCGCCGCTCTCAGTCTCCTCCCGTCTCTTCTCCCTCCACAAGTCCACACCCCCATTATCAAGCAAAACCCTCATCATTGCCATCATTTCAGTCCCCTTCATATAGCTAATATACTCCCACGGATCGTCATATCCGTGATACCAGTTGAGTATAATATCCAGACTCGCACCAGCCTTCAACAAAGCCTCGGCAATCTCAACCTTCCATACAAGGATCGCGTACCCCAGCGGCGTGTTACTCCGTAATTCGGACTCATAACTGTCTGAGTCACTCATGTCTTCGAGCTGCGGTTTATACTCTAATAGAGCTTTGACAGCATCTAAATCGCTCGTCACTAAGGTCAGGGAGAGGAGAGGCACTCCCTTGTCGGTTGTAGATGGATCAGCACCGAGTGAGAGAAGGTAGGACATTGCAGCTGGGTAGGGGGTTGGTGTTGTGCATGTTATTAGGAGAGTGTTTAGGCGGTGTCGCGCTCTTTCGCTCTGTGTCTGTCCCGGGTGTAGATGTTCTTTCTGCGCGGTCCTGCGTAATGATTCGAGGATAAGGCCTGGGGATGCATGTGCCTCAGTTATAAGTGTTTCAACGGTATTGTTTTGCATGAATGCTTCTCGAAGTAGCTCGTTCCAGCTCTCTGGGGTGGCTGTCAGTGTTGGTGAAATAGACTCTGAACAGGGGGCGCACTCGAGACAAGGAATATCTTCTGCAAGTTTTGTTTATTCGAAGTGGCAACGGCAAAATTGGGGGCAAGATGCTCGAAGATGAGTCGGTGGATTTCAATGGGGAGATCGTCCCACGACATGGTTGAGTTTAGGAGCACGGTAGAAAGGGGTGTAAGTTGTTGTGCCAGAAAGTGTAATGAGGTCGGTTACAATACGACCAGCGTCCGTAGAGCTCGAACTGGAGAAACTTGGCGCCCGCACACTGGATATACTTGTGCCCTAGAAGATTTGCTCATAATCAAAAGCATCATTCGTCTAATCAACTATCGTACAAGACTCTGCAGACAGAAAAGACCACTTCAGTCTCCGAGCAGTTATATCCTCATAGACAAATGCAATGCACATGCAAGAACAGCATCCAGTCATAAAACGCCACTAGATCAATCGTATAATTTCCGTCATTCAGCATCAGCGCAATGTCCAAGCCAAGTGGAAAACAAGAAAAAAAAACTGAACCGAGTGCCGCCGCTCAAGGCCACCGTTTAAACCTATCCAACAGGCCGTATTCGCTGTGCTCCTTGTCGTCGCGTTGGGATATACAATGCCATGCAGTCAAATAGTGTACATCATCATTATCATCATCATGAATGTTGTTTGTTGCTGGGTTTCGTTGGGAATCAAGTTAGAAAAGAGAGAGAGAGAGAGAGAGAAAGAAAGAGTATGCGGTTAACGTTATCACTGAGGTTTTCTGCTGGGGACTAGAATCTCGACCAGACCCTCGTCTTCCTCATCACTGCTGTCGTTCTGGTCGTCGCCGTATGTGGAATGGCCCATCCGTGAGCTTCGGAAGTTCTTATACTGCCCGGGCCCGAGTTCCGGGTATCCCAGCGACTCGTTGAGGATGGCTTCTTCCTCTTCGTCGGAGTCCATCAAGTGCGAATCCATCGATGGACCCACCATTTCGCCCATGTCATCGTCATTGTCGTCGACCTCGAGCGGCACGCGCTCTCTCCGTTGGCTCGTTCCCATCAAATCGTTGTCATCATCAGAGGAGCCGGTAGAGAACGAGTCTGACGTGTTGAACCCAGTGTCAGGGAAGGTTGGCGACGCGACGTTACCCGAAGGGAAGTCAGAGGAATGACCTCCTCCCTCGTTCAGGCCGGTACTCGCAAAGGAGTCAGACGGCCACTGAAACTCCGTACTCCCGTGGGATTGCTCCTCATCTCTGTGCTCGCCACCTTCCGCATTTTCAGCCGCCTGTTTCTGAGCGGCAAGTCGTGCAGCGAGCTGTCTCCGCGCTCGAGATGGACCAGTACTAAGGGGAGCTGGAGGCGGAGCAATGATTGGAATTGGCTGACTTGATGCCTGTGAGTTTCAAGTAAGTAAACAATCGTCCGTATGATAGGATGCTCAGAGGCGGTGTGGGTGAAACATGACTAGAGCAATGATGACAATAAAGAACGTTTGCAACCCACCCAAATATAAGAGTAGACAACCAACACGATGAACAGGAAGATGAAGAACGAGAATTGAGCGGAATTGCTCTAAAAGTGGCTCTTAAAGGTCTCAAATCAAAAGTACCACTTCTGTTATCATGGACCGACCTCTTTGGCCGCTGACAGCAAACAACCGAATACATGCAGTAACAGAAAGAATACCGGGGTATCGAAAAGCAAAGCATATAGATGACAGCGTAAAAGACAATCAAATATCACGCATCTCAACGTCATGGGAAGGATTACCACCTACATTTTCAGTGCCGCCTTCTGTGGACTGCTGTTCGAGTAGATGTCGGTCATCTTGGTCCTCCATATCCTCGTCTTCGTCGTCGTCACTTGAGCTGGCGAATCCGCTTAGTAGTGAGTTGCCTCCTGTGCCGAATGCTCCACCGGACACACTGCCTTGGTTGGCCATGTCGAATCCTTGGAAGTTCGAGTTTCCAGCCATTCCGTTCAGTCCGGCTTCGGCCAGGGCTGAAGATTGACCATTACCCAGCATGCCCTGGCGATGTCCGATAGAAATATCTGGGCGCACGCCGCCGAGGATTGCGTTGTCACGCTCTCTGGTCTCGGAAAGCGTTTGCTCCACGTAATCTATCCATTCTGGGTTGAGCACGCTGTCCATGACTGTGGGAGAAAGCAGCTCGGGAGGGTGGCGCTCGCTGAATTTGACAACTTCCTCAGCAATGAGAGTCAAATGTCCCATGTAACCGAGTCGGATTCGCTTGGCCTGTTGAGTCTCATCGCTTCGTTTTTGGCCGTCGAAGATTGTTTGAGTGATTTTGCCGGTCTCAAAAACGTCGACGGCTAGGATTCGATTGTATCCGCGATCCATAGGGCCGTTGAAAACTTGTTGGATGACGTCGTAGACAACATTGTGAAGGAAATTGTTCCAAGGAAAACGGAAGAAGAAGTCCTAGAGCAGAATATTGTCAGCAACCTTCAGATGAAGAGTGTGGAAGTCGGCTTACCAAAATCGTCGGCACAACTCGGTTTTCAACAAACATTATCTTCAGATAGTCTCCAACAACGGGTTGGCCGTTGATATCCAATTGAATATCTGGATGTAAGGGTTGCGGTGCATCTCCTGTAGTGCCTCGTGCGGAGTGTGTCTCAGGCACATTTTCCGTCGGCTCTGTAGCCTTAGTTGCTTGATCAGGAGCATCAGCTCTTGCAGGGGTAGCCCCATTGTTTTGTTCCTTGGAAGCAAACAGAGGAGCAGGGATGGCATCCAGATTGGAGGACATAGGGGCGGAGGCTGGAACTGGTTCTTGCTTAGTAGCAGACTCGTCGGAGTTTGATTCCGAAGGTTTTTGATTTTCGTCATTGCTTGGAGTGGAGTCGAGCGACACAGCACCAATCTGCGCAGCAAGCTCATCTGTAGCTGAGAGGGGCTCAGTTGGAGGCGTGCTCGGCTGGCTGATGTGTGGCTGTTCCTGCTCCTTGAGTTCTGCCTGTGCTGCCTTCTCCTGAGGTTGCTTTGATGCAGCAACAGCTGACGTTGACGCGGACTCGGACTCCTTATGGCCCGTTTCTTTCTCCTTGTCTACAAGGACAGTTGATGAGCTGACATCCTCAAACCCTTCATCACCCGCATTTGCCCCCTCGTAGTCCCTGGAGTCTTCTGGGGAAGCGAATCCCCCAATAGAGCCATTGACAAAGTCAACCGTAGAGTCGTTGCCATCGAAAGTCGAGTTACCATCATTACGTTGACCAAACGCGCCTTCTTTTACGATTCTTTCGCGTTCGGCATCCCTTTGAAGCACGTATTCGTCACTCCCTGGCTCGTTCAAAAGTCCCATGTTGCTGCAATGAAGTAACTCCGCCATGAGCTCGCATGTCTTGAACCTATCGAAACCCAGCGGCTCAATTTTGGCGCCCCAAGCAGAATTAAGTTGTCCTCGCTCAACGGTCTTCATCTTTCCCCCCTCGGTAATGGTATGCTTAGAGCTCTGTATCAATGCCATAAAGTCGGGTATATGTTTGGCAAAGACGCGAAGCAGAGAGCCGAGATAAATAGGATCGTACATTGACGGCATTAGATCGGGGCTATTGAGGTGCTCCGGATCGTAATCGGAATTATTTTTCCGGATAACTTCAATGACGATTCCAACACCAACAGTCAAAGGATTCCCACCCTGTAGCATCGCCTTAACAAGGCTCTCCACGCAAGGTACGGAGACCAGTTGACGAGTCAGACTGTTAGGACCAATACAAGATTGGTCATTCTGTGTTGCGTTGGCGGATATGGTGATGATAGCCTTCAGAAAATCGCCGGCGGAAGTCTGGACGGAACCCGGCCATTCAGGCGAAAGGAAAGAGAGCAATTTGGGTATTAGATCCTGCGTTTTGAGCCACTAGATGATGCGAGTTAGATCAGACAGATTCATCCGGGCCGTATGCGCTTACATCAACAATGCCCTGACCACCTTCGGCCCTTTCCAGGCTGATCAACTTCAAAAGAAGGTCCATAACCATGGGGTTGTCGACATGCTGCAGGATTGCCGGGACGATATCATCCATTGACTTCAAAAGTTCTAGCATCTCGCCTGTTTTCTTGTCCAGGAGTGTTTCGTTCACTTTCGTGAAATAACTCGCCTGGATAGGATCCAGAGGTGCTGGCCGACGGATGAATCCCCAGAAACCGCGCAAATATTCTGGGTTTGCCATTATAGAGTCCAAGATTGACCAAACCTCGGACGAGAGGACCTCACACGCGATATACGCTCGCTTCAGGCGTTCCTTCTCCGCTCGCTCTAGATCTTCGGGGTCCAACAAGGATTTGAGGGGGTCACCTTTCTTCTCTGTGGCGCAAACATCGTTTTTAGCATCATCATTACTTGGGGTATCTTGCTCATCGTCATCGTCGTTATCATCCACCAGACTAGGGGCAACCACATAGTCCATTAGCTTCTTCAGGACATCATCCTCACGTAGGTATTCTATAAGTTTCGTGTTGAGTTGCTTGAGCTCTTGTATTAGCTCGGACTCGTCTAACAGCTCTTCAAGGCTGACATCAGGCTTGTCCAGAAGAGAGTCGATAGTGGAGATACTCGAATATCCCCCGAAGCGCCAGAACATATTGAAGTATATAAGCGTAAAAATCGAGTCATGGAAAAGTAAGGGTAAGTTGCAAAGCCTTTTCGGCTGTAGTTTTTACCCAGGCTTTGTTGTCGAAAAGCTGCAAGGGTGTAAGGCGGAGGAGGTGGGGAAGGGATGGAGTCTCCAGAGTATCGCGGGTGATCGCGCAAGCTTGAAGTTGTGGGTAATAGACTGTATTTCCGGGCACTGCTAGCGGTTGAGGCTGATCGGAGGCTGTTTTATCACGGGAAAAGAGGATCGTTCGACTGCTGGTAGGACGATGTGGATGCTAGTCGGTGATTTATGCCCTGCCGGAGCGTCCAGGCGCTGCAAAGGAGGAGTCCAGTCAGCGATGATATTCAAGGCGAAGCGTCATATCACGAGACAAGTCGCGGTATTCTTAACAGCCAGGATTCGTAGGATTCGGCCTCCGAGTATGCCAGAAGAGCAGGGGTTGGCAGTGCTTGGGGCTGGCGGATAGAAGGGCACTTGACATAATTGCGTGGGGAGGGAAAACAATCGCACACAAGCGGCACACGTACCTGCAACGAGCTCGGGAAATGAGGAAAGGAAGCTGTGGTTGATCCCACGCGGATATCGTGAATCACACTCGTGGCCCTGACGCACGGCACGAGACCAAATGGTCAATTTAGGGAGGGGGAGACTGCCAGTCAACAACACTGGACAGAAAGTAAGGCTGGCGGGCTGACGTTCGGCGAGGAACGTCGCTTGTGGTCTGTTGGAGCGTCTGGATCGACCGGCAACTGTGATCCTGGACAGCGGGCGAGATACCCAACAAGCCCAATCGCAGGAGCGGAGGAAAGCTCAAATGAAATAATTAACGGCGAGACAGAGGATCAGAGGAGGAGTGAATAATCCGAGGGGTAGGACCGCGACCGATTGTTTCAAGTGTGTCCGCAGAACAGTGGACTGCGGAGTGGGTAACTCCAAGTTAACTGGCCGGTATTCAGTATTATTAATATAGATCGGGCTGCGAACTACAACAACAGATTCAAGAAGAGCCGCGTATAGATTCAAATAGTTCCACAGGGATCTTATCGAATCTCTGACGAAAGCCAAATCGAAAGACTGGCCTGGTACAGGGCTGGCCGCTGGCGAGCACGCATCTTTGGTGATAAGCCCTGGCGCCTAAGGCAGCAGGGACGACCATAGTAGGTAAAGCTGCAGTGCCGCTCTAGCAGGCGTCCACCTACCATAACAGGGAAAGCCGTAACCAGCGCAAGGCCCCAGTGAAGTCACAGCCGCAACCTGGGTACACACTCCTTGACTGCCACCCTACCTTTTCACAAATCTCTGTTGTCATAAACATGAATCGACTATTTGGCACGAAGAATGCGGCCCCAAAGCCCACACTCGACGGCGCTATCTCAAACGTAAGGCCACCTTATCTCCGCCCCTCCGAGCAGCCTCAAACCACAACCTGCCCGTCGCATCTTCGATAAACTAATTGATGCTACTTAGGTCGATAACAGGATCGCTAGTATCGATGTCAAGCTCGCAGCCCTAAACTCTGAGCTCGCCTCCTACCAGTCCAAACTCGCGAAAATGCGCGATGGCCCCGGCAAGAATGCAATTAAACAAAAGGCACTTAAGGTTTTGCAGCGCCGTAAACAATATGAAGGCCAGCGAGAGCAACTATCTCAACAGTCTTGGAATATGGAGCAAGCAGGCATGATGCAGGATAATCTTAAGAACGTGATGACGACGGTCGATGCGATGAAAACAACCACGAAGACTCTCAAGAAGCAGTATGGCAATATCGACATTGACAAGATCGAGCGAATGCAGGATGAAATGGCAGACCTTATGGAGATGGGAAATGAGATTCAAGAGAGCATATCGCGGGCGTACGATATTCCAGACGATGTGGACGAGGCGGAGCTCGATGCTGAGTTGGAAGCTCTGGGTGAAGAAAGTCTGTTTGAAAGCTCGATGGCCGAGAGTGCGGTACCCAGCTTCATGCAAGACGAGGTGGCGCCGCCTCAGTTCATCGATGAGCCTCCGGAGCCGGCAAAGGTCAAGGAGCCTGCCTCTGGATTGGGCTGATTACGAGGAATTCAAGCCAGCTGTTGATAATATTGGAGCACCGGAATTTAGATGCTTGTTAGCTCAGCCTATGATGGTAGCCGTTCTATATTGCCCATCTGCCCTTCTCTTGAGTATGTTTTGAGGTTGTGCATTCTCGCAACGGTGTAGACCAAATGTCACTGTGGACTCGTGGAGGACCATGCCAGTGGTCGCAAGGCGGCCTCTCCGCAGATCCCCCACTCAACAACCCCACATGGAACATCACCAAACAACCACTCTTCCAATCTTCATCTCCTCCGAGGACGTAACTCTCCTCTCAATCCACAACCATGGCCGTCAACTACAACCCCGAAGACGTCCAAAAGACGATAGACAAACATGTCGAAGCAGGAAACCTGCACACGGGCTGGGAAGAACTTTGGGCCCAGGGCGACAGCATCACGCTCCCCTGGGACAAGCACAAGCCCAACCCGACCCTGGAGGAAGTCCTAACAACCAAACGAGCGATTATAGGCGGACCTCTTGCTTACAGTACTGAGGGAGATGGGTCAAAGACGAGGAAGAAGGCTCTCGTGCCGGGATGCGGGAGAGGGGTTGATGTGCTCCTCCTCGCGAGCTTCGGGTACGACGCGTACGGATTGGAATACAGCCAGAGTGCGATAGAAAATTGTCGGCAGGAGGAGCAGGCTGCTGAGCAAAAGTATCCTGTGAGAGATGCAGAGATTGGCAAAGGGACGGTCAGCTGGGTTCAGGGGGACTTTTTTGAAGAGGGATGGCTGGAGGGGCTTGGGTTGAGTAGAAATAGTTTCGATTTTATATATGATTATACGGTGAGTCTCTTGACTTCTGGTACCTACAGAGATCTAATGGGAGCCAGTTCTTTTGCGCATTACCTCCCTCACTGCGCCCGGCTTGGGCTCTACGGCACACACAGCTCCTGGCCCCTTCGCCGCAGGGCAACCTGGTCTGTCTCGAGTTTCCGCGGCACAAGGATCCCCTACAGCACGGCCCCCCATACAGCAGCCCATCTGAGGCCTATATGGAGCATCTGAGCCATCCTGGTGAGGAGCTTGCCTACGACGCGAAAGGGCGTATCAAGAGCGATCCTCTCCGCGAGACTAGTCCTTTCGGTCTAGAACGCGTGGCCTACTGGCAGCCGGCCAAAACGCATGATTTCGGTACGAGCGAGGAAGGAGAGGTATTCGACCGGGTTTCAATCTGGAGACGTCGATAGTGCGTCTCGCAAACGGGATTCTTGGGCTTCAGAGCGCCAAGCAGACTATTTGTAGCTTAAAATCCGGCACGTGTCTTGGCACTCGCCATACTCCAGACCAGATATTTGAGAATTGGCATTGCTTTGCAGGCGCAAGGACCTTGGGAATTAATCTCGGCAAGACACTAAATGCCGGCCATAGCTTTTACCCTCCTACCTTAACCTTGTTGCCTGTTTCGGGCGAGACCGGGACATTTAAGGCTAGAGCTAAGCAATTGCCCACAAACTCAACTTCTGACGTTTCCCTAACTGATCGACGGAAACTCCTCATCGGACAGCCATTCCGGCCTAGAACAACACTGCCTCACCTGCTTGCCTCAATCGCAACCTCAGTCTCGCCATCTTTCACCATGAACTGCCCCTCACGAACTGACGATACCCTGCAACACCCTGGCTGGAACCAGAGCCCACCCCCGCTCAATGCCGACTCAACCACGCGGGAAGACTTTAACGGCATGGCCAATTCCAAGGTCTATCGGGGGCACACACCAGAAGGGGGAGGGGAAGGGTCTATGTCAATTATAGAACGGTCAAGCCCCAGCGACGGGGACGAGCCAGATCGCAAGGCAAGCTCCGGGGGCGGGGCGGTGCCCTCTGTTTTCTCCGGCCATCAACGCCAGAGAAACAGTAGCGAACCGCCTCGCCATCCTCAAAAATCTTTATCCCCCTCTTCTTTCTCGACCAGAATCCTACAGAGTATCGTCAAGTTTGGCCGATTTGTTGGGCCGGGTTTTCTGATTGCTGTCGCTTATATCGATCCGGGCAACTATGCGACTGATGTCGCTGCCGGTGCGGAGTATCGATACGCGCTGCTCTTTATTGTTCTTTTGTCGAATATCTTTGCGATATTCTTGCAGTCGCTGTGTATCAAGCTTGGCACAGTGACAGGGTTGAATCTCGCAGAGAATTGCCGCGAGCACCTGCCCAAGTGGTTAGTTCTGACGCTCTACGTGTTTGCGGAGGCAGCTATCGTGGCCACGGATATTGCAGAGGTATGAAACCCCATAAGCCTTGTTGCTCATGTTGTCTAACATATGTTCAGGTCGTCGGATCCGCAATTGCTCTCAATCTTCTGCTCCATATCCCGCTCGTCGCAGGCTGCGCCATAACACTTGCAGACGTTCTCTTCATCCTGATCTTCTACAGGCCTAATGGCTCAATGTGGGGTCTACGTCTATTTGAGTTTTTCGTCATGGGCCTCGTGCAAGGCGTTGTGATCTGCTTTTGTATCCAGCTCTCACTCATTCAAGAACAATCCGTCGGAGATGTATTCCGAGGCTACCTCCCCTCATCCGCTATAGTCCAATCAACCGGGTCCGCTACCCCCGCCTCTCTCTTACTCCCTCGAGATACATGAGCTACACTACTAATGGATTGTTTCTAGCCTCTATCAAAGCTGCGGAATCCTCGGCGCAACCGTCATGCCGCACTCCATGTTCCTAGGCAGCGGCATCGTGCAAGCCCGCCTGCGCGAATTCGACATCACAAGCGGCTACATCCCGCCAACCGTCTACACAGGCAGCACAAACGGTGTCGTTGAATACCGCCCCTCCCTCTCTGCTATCCGCGGCTGCATGAAATATTCCATCATTGAGCTCGCTCTCTCCCTCTTCACCTTTGCACTCTTCGTCAACAGTGCAATCCTCATCGTCGCAGGCGCCTCCCTCTACGGAACCCCCTCCGCAACCGATGACGCAGACCTCTTCGGCATCTACGACTTACTTTCTTCATCGATTTCCCCGGCCGCAGGCACGGTTTTTGCGCTAGCCCTTCTACTCTCGGGTCTGTCGGCGGGCATTGTATGCACGATGGCTGGGCAGATGGTTAGCGAGGGGATGTTGAATTGGAGTTTAAAGCCGTGGCTACGGAGACTTCTGACGCGTTCGATCAGTATCATTCCAAGTATCATCATCGCGGGCGCGGTGGGGCGGGATGGGTTGAACAAGACGCTGACGGCCAGCCAGGTTGTGCTTAGTGTCATTTTGCCATTTGTGAGTGCGCCGCTGGTGTATTTCACGTGTCGCAATCGATATATGACTGTGCCTGTTGAGAGGGTGCATGATGGTGACGGTTCCGGCGATGGGGATGGTGGGGTTGAGCGTGGGGAGGTGAAGATGGGTAATGGGCTGGTTGTTTCTGTGCTCGCTGTGCTTGTGTGGTTGGTAATTGCTGTTATGAATATTGCTTTACTTGTTCTGGTTGGGATGGGCAAAGCTTGAGATATCAATACCAGTGTGCTTGCAGAGATAATGATACAATAAGCACAATTACACGGATTGATGAGTATGCAGGGTATATATTCGATATTCAAATGAATATAGGAAAAAGTAATATGACACTTTGATGCAAATCATGATCTAACCAAGGCAAAAATAAGAAGAAAAATGGACATCAAGAGCTAAAATCATGACTTGAACTGATCCTCCGTCACACCCTTACCCATAGCTGCAGTACTGCTCACACCGCCAGTGACCATCTTCAAAAGGTTGTCCACGTAGTTGGCGCCACTCCATTTCTGGTGCGTGACAACGTCGACACCCTGTTCCATCTCGGGCTCTTGGACGAGCTCTCCGTAGGCGCGCATGCCGTGCTGGGAGTACGCCTTGGCGAACTGATGTGTGATCAGGGCGGTGGTGTGCAGACCAGCCAGGGTGATGAACTGCCAGGAGTAGCCGAGGGCACCGAGGCGCTTGATGTAGGTCTCTTGCTCGTCGCGAGGCATGGCCTTCTTCCAGTTGAAGGAGGGAGACAGGTTGTATGCCAGCCTAGTTTGGTTAGTGTTTGTTGAGACCCATTATGATGACAGTGACTTACTTTTGCTCGGGCCAGACGGCGTGAACACCGTCGGCGAACTCCTTAGCCTGGGCGTAGTCGGGGAGCTTGCTCTCCATCCAGATCAGATCGGCGAACGGGGCATAGGCAACGGCGCGGTTAACGGCGCATTGAGTGCCACCTTGGTAGCGGTAGAAACCTTCACGGGTACGAGGAGACTCCCAGTCGAAGTAAATGTCCGTGCCAACAATGCGCTTGGCAATGGCACGCGCCTCGGAGTTGTTCTTGCCCTTGGCCGCCTTGAGGTAATCTTGGATATTCTTCTCCTTGTTGGGCAGTGGGCTCTTGTTGATAGCGTCGACGACAGCCTGGTCGAACAGCTTCAGGCCAGCTTTGGCAATCCACTCATCCTCAATGGCCTGTAGCTCCGCACCGTTCTTACCCGCTTGCTCGGCACTGACCATCAAATCATTGAGGGGCTGGATGTCGGGATTGGTCGAGCCGATGATGAAAGCATGATCACGGTGATCGATAGTAGAAGTGATGAGAGTGGCGGCTTCCGAGTCAGTTCGGGCAATAGCCAGGAGGTCGGTTCCTATAATTCGTTGTTAGCCGACGTGGCCCGCTTGTAACCGAAAGCGACAAATCACATACCCATGATGTCGGCCTGTGCACGGATAGCAACGAGACGGTTGATGTGCTCGCTGATGGGCACGAGAACCTTTCCGGCCATGTGACCGCACTTCTTGGTGCCAGGCGCCTGGTCCTCAATGTGAATACCAGCAGCTCCACGCTCCACAAACAGCTTCGTCAACTTCATGACGGCAGTAAGACCACCATGGCCAGTGTCGGCATCGGCGATGATGGGGCGCAGGTAATCAATATTGGCAACCTTGTGTCGCTGGTCCTTGGGGGTGGTGATGCGCTCCTCGCGCTGTTTTCGGTCATGGAAAAGCTGGGCCATGAACAGCTGGTTCACCTTGTTGGGCACGGTGTTCTATATTGGGGTCAGTCCACGCCCATGCTTTAATTTGGATGGAGTGCGCATACCATAGGGTAATCTGCAAGATCGGGAGAGGGTTCGTCGGTGGAAGAGGCAGTGGAGGAGCTTTGCCAGCCAGACACATAGACGGTGTCTAAAAACTTGGCCATCTGGGTGACCATTGTTGGCTCGAGGCAGCCATATGTGAAACTAGCTTCTTTGTTCTATAGAAGGTCAGTAGCAGTACAGGCAGAGTCGTCAAAAAACAAACCTTGAAGTTGCGCTCCACAATCTGCCAGAGCTTCTTGGCCTGGACGTTTGAAGGGTAGTCAATCTTCAAGTTTCCACGCTTGGCCACGATCTGCTCTGCGGTAAAAGGACGCTTGGTGTGCCTCCATCGAGAGTCCTTCCACCAATTCTTCACAGCCTGGACGTCGTCCAAGTACTTCTGATCTTCGTCTTCGAGGTAACCCATGATGGCGAAACTTTTAGGAGTGTATAGTGTACAATGCAATGCTGTCTCACTAGGAGAGGTAAGAGAAAAGTGAAGCACGCGACAGGGATGAGAGACGAGGGAGGGAAAGGAGGGAAGTAGAAAAGTAAAATCGACCCAGCTCAGAAGTTGAGAATCACAAGCCAAAAGCTAGGGACCAAAGCCATCATATATGAATGCCGTCACAGACGAGCAATCCACCCAAGTATGACTCTTTGGTCGGTAAACGCTCGGCTCAGCGGGACAGACAGGAAGACAAGGCGCCGCCGGCACATCTTCAACCGGGGAAATCTCGCAGTCGAGGGCAAGAGCAGCAAATAATTAGGTTCAGATAGTTCCCCGGTTCACAAGCCAGCTTCCGGGTATGTGAGTGGCCCATGTAGTTCGGAAGACAGGATCCAGACTGCGCGAAGATCCTCGGTCTAAAGGACCTCTTCTGCCTGAGGCGCTTGCCACCGCCGCTTAACTTTTGGTCGTTGCCCCAGTCCCCGGTACCCCAGAGAATTGATTTTATGGCTACTCAGTGGCATGAGGCCGATATAACTCCGTTTGCCATGCTGTTGAGGCGAGGGCAGCAGGACTCCTCAGTTAGTAATTGAGAGATGGAGGTGTAAAGTCATTTTGAGGAGAACAGAAGGTGAAACTGGTGGATGACGTCAATACATGTGATACGTGACAGTACATGACACCAATGTACTCGCATTTTGCGCATTCTCAATCTGTATTTCTGTACGTAGGATACGCCTTCCTCTCCAGTTCAGGGTCCTAAACCTCGATCGACATTCATGCGCTTTCTCTAGAATTGAATTGGTATTATTAGTTCTTGTGCGAAGTCAGAAGCCTCATACTCCATAGTATACTACAATGTAATCCTCAATACACTATACGACTACACTGTGCCTAGGCATCTCACCCACTCATTCCACAATCTGGTCCTCTCTAACCAAAATAGGCTTCAACCTCGGCACAACCAACTCTGCCAGCCATGCGCTCCGAGCGCCTATCAGAAGCCGGTCGTTGCAGGCCCGAGTCGCTCAGTGCGGACTTGGATTGTATCGGCTAGACAGCTCACGAGTCACCAGCTTCAGCCCTTACCTTAGCTCGGCCCAGATCAACAAAGACAAATGAAATGTCTTTGGTAAGACTCCCCAGATGATCGCCGTCGAATCACCAAGCTGTTTACGTGCTGCCACGAGAACTGCCTCGGGTGAATAAGGAGACCTGTCCCGTGTTATTGTCGAGTTGCTGATGCGATGCGGTACCTTTTGGGTCACTCTGCTTGATATCGGGATGGAGGTGGTGCCGGTCTCGGAGGGTTTGAAACGAGCTATAGGAGGCTAGAGAAGCTGAACGATAAGTTGATTTGCTTCTTTTTGCTAGTGTTCGTCGGGACAATCGTGCCAAGGTTCTCCCCCCTGTCCTGCGACAACAGCCATTACTCGAGACGTATATCTGGGGATGTGATAATATACAAGAGCTGAGAATGAAAATATACTTCGCGTCAATTATCTTGCTCGTTGGACAACTGCTTCTATCTCGCAGTCGTCCTATGTTATCAACATCATATTTTTCGAAACCAATGATTATACCTATATTTCAGCAGACAGTGCTGCCTTTCCAGGGCGTTCATTGGCCCCAGGCCTGCTGGGCCTTCTGGAAGAGAGACGATTTTATTCCGCCAAATAGATGCAAGAGCCCAGACGGTTTGCCGAGCGAGATGACTTACTGTCCGTCGCCAAACACGTGGTCACCTTGCGCGTTAACAGCCTTGTTATATGTTTCCCAGGGAGTAACAGCGCCAAGGGCACGGCGCTGGTGGGCGTTCAGAATATCCAGGCCGTAGACATAGCTCGCGTTGACCCAGCCGAAACTGAAGACAATAGAGTTAGCAAAATGATTACTTGAAGAACAAGTTGATGTATAACATACCCTTCGCGGGGAGCGCCCTTGAAATCGACGCCCTGGTTCCCGTACTCGGCATCGACCCGATGAGGATCAATAGGTCGGGTCACGTCGTACTTTTCAACGACAACTCCGTTGAAATCAACGAAAGCTTTAGTGATCATGTACAACCATTTGTACGCGAGCCGCTCGGCTTCCTCCTGGTATCCGTATCGGAGGAATCCTGTCCACGCAAGCATTTGCTGAGGCGCCCAACCATACGGGTAGTCCCACTGCCGAGTAGGTCGGTCCAATCCAACAGGACCCCGAGACTCTTCCGTTCCCGAGACCAATCCACCAAACATCTCAAAGCGAGGAAGGGCCTTGGTGATCAGCTCGGAAGCCTGGCGCGGGGTAGCAAGGCCAGCCCACATCGCCCAGAAAGTCGTAGCACTCTCGTAATTGGTTCGTTCCTGCTTCACTGTATTATAGTCGAAATACATCCCCTTCTCTTCGTTCCAAAGATATGTGTCCATTCGCATCTTTCTCCTGCGTGCCCGGCGATCCCAGACGGATGATGACTCGCTCGCGATATCTTTTGTGAGTGGTGTCCGGAACTCCGGTGGGATGTCGAGCCTATCCTTGAAGTGGGTTCGTATTACTCGAGCGATGTCGACTTCGTACTTGTAGAGAAGAGAGTTCAGGTCGACTGTGGCAAGGTTGGCACACACCCTTTCGAGACGGTAACTCGTATCATGTCCGGATTCACGGACTGCTCTGTCGTGCAAGAAGTACTCGTCCAGTTCTGGCTCCACGACTTTGCCATTGTTATATGCCTCAACAAACTCCTTGAACTCCATGCCATGCTTTTCGGCAAAGGGTGTGAGAAGGTGGGTGAAGTGTGTGGCTTCGGTCTCTGGAGGCACTCCAATTCCAGTTGGACGATACCGCGATAGACCGGACACCGGGTCAAGTCGCGGCTCAGACGTCCAGACGCTGTAATATTCCTTGATGGCTGCAAGGATTGACAGTCGAAGGAACTCCAACGAGTCGGGTTCGGTCTTGATGCGGTCGTACACGCGCAGAGCCATATCAGTTAAGAAAGGTGGCTGAGATCGCGTGAGGTAGTAGGAACGATTGGCGTTCAAGATTTTTCCATAATGCTCGATGCAGAAGCAGAAATTGATCACCATAGACTTGGCCAAATCGACCCTGTTGCTGGCTAACAGACCCAGCGATTCCATGTAACTGTCCCAACCGTACAATTCATTGAACCTTCCTCCTGGGACCACGAAGGGAACGCCAGAGAAGTCTTTCTTTCCAGTGACTTCATCAACTTTCTCCTCCATGGCCAATGCAAGGAGTCCAGGCTTGCCATTCAAATCTCTGACATACTCTGGTGTGATATTGCTGGACAGTTCTTGCACATCAAGGCGCAATTCAGGGCGCTCTTCGGCAATTCGCCTGTAGTACTCTAGCTGTTCAGGAGCTCCAGGTGGAACATAGATTCGTGGCCGAGGGTCATCCGTCCAATCTTTGGGATCCCTACCGGCTACCTCGATATTGGACCCATCGATCCTTCTAGTAAGAGAAACCCAAAACGAGTTCTTGATGAGGCGTGAAAGACGTGCAACCGGGTTCTCCGATAGGCGGTCCTCGTCAAGCACGATTTGCTTACGCCCATAATCTTTAGCAATCGTCAACTCTTGGAGAAGGTTCGAAAGCATGTATGTGCCCCGAAGATCAAACCGATTATATCCAGAGGACGCCGCTGTCCCGACGGAGAAGGTCTAAGCAATTCGTTAGTGTTTCGGTGCTTTACGATAATTTAGGTCCCGCACATACCTTTGGGCCAGCATCCTCAATTGTTATTTGCATATTCCGATCGGAGTCTTCTCTTTCTAGCAGATTTTTAAGGGTAGCGTCCACGTCAATGAGGAATTTCCGAGGTTGGCCGGATGTCGGGTCTGCAATCGGCAATGATTAGTACTCATGAATGTTTCCAACTCGATGGGATAGACACATACCTAGGCTACCCCGCCTGGTGGAACGGTCTCCTATCATATCACTGAGATCCTGACGATTGAAAGATTTCAATGACTAGCACATAGGACCCGGTCAGCAAGCCATCCTTGTCATTGTATCCGGACCATGCCAGCGCTTACCGATGAAAATGCGCGCCGGCGGTTCTTGATTCTGTCAAGGGCTTCCTTATCTCCGTAGTAGACATCCGGGTGCTGAAATGGGTCATTCCCGGAGCTAGACCGTCGGTGAGAGGCGAAGCCATTTGCCTTGGGCGGGATCGTTGAGTCGTCCATCCCGCCTGCTCGGTGTAGGTTTAGGGTCTTAGATTGTAAGATATTCGGATTCGGCGGAACGAAATATAGCTTGACCGGCAATTACTGAACAACTCTCTTTGTGACTTCGAGTTCGCGTGATGTAGCCCCGATAGCGGTGGGATGGATAAGGTGTTCGGTCGAGTTCGTGAAGAATTGAGTAACGGGGTCGAATATGTTTCAAGTGACTTGTAAGTGAGGACAATGTCAGCGATAACGGGAATGACTGGAAGATGTGTCTATATAAAAAGATAAGAGAAAAGTGCCGGGCGTGAAAGCATTGAAGTAATCCCGCCATTTGCGTATGACGGCATGGGCCCCGCCATGGATGACATAACCTACACACAGTGAACGCTTTTCCGGTAGGTGAGACAACAGCAACACTCCCCAGTGTTGTGGCCAATTCTGCTGATCGTGAAAAATCTTCAGAAATACTGTTTAACCTCTTCAGTCTGATGGTGATTTCTCTTGTCTCATTCTTCCTTTTAATCTAGGAAATCAGCAAGGGGGGAACCAAAAATGGCTTTGTCACATATTTGCACGTGACCTTACACTTGACCTTGTTGCCTCCCATTATTACCCACTCTTTTTGATCGCTTTTCAGTCCACTCTTCCATCATGATCTCCATTATTACGCAGGCTTACTGAAAAATTTTGCCTCACATTCCTGCAATTGTTAGGAATGCTCTATATGCTGCAGTCACTATAAGAGCTCGAGCTGAAAAAAAGAAAGAAAGAAAAAAAAGGGAAAAAAAAATAACAATAAGAGGTGCCCACCACGACGCAGCCATTGGCGCTTGGTCATATTGCCCAAGTATAGAAATCATATCTGTCGAATGAACCCATAAGCAAGGTGCTTCATTTATCCTGGCACGGATTCTCTGTATATTCATAATGACATGCCAACATCCACCCTCTATCAAACTACTCTATTCATTAAATTCACATATTATTGAGTATGATACCGTCTTATCAACGGCTTCGCGACAGATGTTTTAAGACTCTTGGTCCTATACAGTGTTACAGCCTCCGGGTTGACATGGTCGTCATCTTCCACCAAACGTTCACTAGGAAGAAGAATAGCCCGGTCAAGCTGGCTCGGCAGCCCACGGTGGCGACCCCGGATCATCAAAGCACAGACCACGAGTTTACTGAAGATCGAGAACTGTGCGCTGAACGATGTCGAAACACCGGGGTATCCTAGGCTGAGGCCAACATTTCCGCTGCAACAGGTTAAAATCGTGCATGTCGTGATTAAGGGTAGAACATGGAGAACATTTTCACTTACTATGCGGAGACTGCTTCGAAGAAAATCGCGAATACGGAGAAGCCCTATCTCGACAATTAGTTCTCAATTGTGTTCTCGCTTCTGTTCTCACTAAGAACCAATGGCCAAACGTACCGGCTCGGAAGGATTCATTATCCTCTTCGACTCCGCAACACATATGCAAAAGATACCCAAGAATATGTACCACAGGTCAAAGCTCAATTGGTTCCGCACGTGGGTTAGGACATAACCTCTACCGTTATTCTCGTCGGTCTCGGGTTCGGTAGAATAAATACCGAGGGCTTTCTCCTCGTATATGTTCGAGGCACGAACACTAATCGCAATAGGGAAGACCGCAATGTACATCATAACGAGGAGACTGAACTGAACGGCCGGGTTCACATCCGCTAGGTTGAACGATGCAGTACCCGTATGCCGCGCTGACGCGGCTTGGAAAATTGCTGCCATAATCCTTGGACCGGGAGAGATGCTGTTTACGGCGGGGTTGTCGAGGTCGAGGAGGAGAATTAGAAGAACGTCGACAAAGTTCATGATGAAAATGATACCGAAGAGGAGCCATGTTGGCCGGCTGCGGAAGAGAAGCATGTAGCAACGGCGTGGATAGCTCAGGAGAAAGTTCAGCGGTTCTTTCATAGATGAGTCCTCTGGAACGAGTTTGTACATGGTCCAAATCACAAGCCGTAGAAAACATGGATAGAGCGTGTTTCCAGCATATGCAAGGAAACTCATGATGAACAAGGGGAATACCGCGTCCTGGAATGTTACCATCGAGTCTGGCGTCAGGGTGAACCCTAGATTATCGGCCATGGTTTGCGCAGAGTATATAGCCCTAAAAGGATAAGGACCGGAAAGAGGTACAAGATGTGTTGAAACTTACCACCAAACCTTGTTCTGCCCGCATTCATCGAGATAGTCTCTGTACTTAGGGTTTGCGTGCTGAATCCAGGCAACTAGACAAACAATCCCAATCAAATGAAGCCCGAAAAAGTACCCTGGTACAAGTTAGTCTATGCCACAACTTCAGAAGCAGGATCCTACCCATCACGATCTTCAAGAGTAATCGCAGACTACGATACTCAATCCCACCAAGCCGTTCTCGATCCTCTGCGGTCAAGTTCAGAAATTGCGAATTCCTCCCCAGAGTAGCCTGCGACGAGAGGCCTGGGAGGTTTGAGTCCTTAGAAAGTGAGATCGCTGGTCGGATCTGCGATTCGCGGGTCTTAGTAGGGGTGTCTGCAAATGTCACAGCAGTAATTCGATCGAGTGATGCGTTGCTAAGCCGGCGATGGCCTCGTTCATCAGGCTGTACTTCGTCATCGTCTACACTGCCAGTCAGTCGAGCCGTTTGTCAGTGGTTCAAGAGAGGTAAAAGCGAGACGACTTACTGTGCTCACTAGGGCTAAGGTCGACTTCGATGATAGGGTGACCTACTCCCATCAGTACAGCACTCGCGTACGTCCCTGATCAGGTTGTGTACCTCTGTCGCGTTCACGAGGCGAAGGGATGTACAGGGCCTTTGACGTGTCGCTGAATGTGATTGTCCTCTTGAATTCAGCATCAGCGCTGTCGTTCTCCAATGACTCGGGCCGAGAATGATCGATCGTGCCCATTGTGCTATAGAGCAGCATCAGACCATATTACCAGCCCCTTGTATCTCAATTTTCACTCACACTTCTATAGAGAATTTCTCCGCATTGCGGTTCTCAGATTCGGGGTTACTGTCACCACCTGTCTCTTTCCCAACCTCGTCTGGCTGCGCTTCTTGATCATACTGAGTTGTTGTCTTATCGGACTGATCAGGCTGTGGACAAAGAACAGAGGGCGCTACAAGAGAAGGAGATTCTATCAGCTACACAAGCGGTAGAGTAGCAACGCATATATAAACTTACCAATTTCCTTCAAACGTTTCTCGAACCAGTAAAGTCGTACTACAACGATGAGAATATTGACAAAGCCTAAGTTAGACACCAGTGGAACAAAGTATATGAAGAGCTGCTGGTAGGTCTTTAGATCCTTCACATCAACCCTACGGTATCATTGTCAGCGAGATTCCCTCCGGGTCAACTCTTAGGATAGGCGCAGATAAGGTTGTGCTCACGGGTTTAGGCCTGATTCTGTAGAAGAGCTGGCCCCAAAGAAGTAGGAGTCGATCGCGCTCACGTTGCCATATGGGTAGAAGACGACTATTCCAAGGAGCCCGAGGAAGATAATGTATGCATCTACGGAACCAAGGTCAGTAACTCAGAGTGTAGGATACAGGGTATCACAAGCGTACAGTGTAAGACGATAAAATTCAGCGGTATCTTCCACATCGTCAGCCGTAAGTAGAGTGCCTCTCGTCCGCTCTTAAGTGTAAGTTGAAGGCTGACGCTGAACTGTTGCCGTTGAATGTGGGAGACGGGTACCTGACGAGGCCCATGAGCTCTTAAATAAGGTAATCGATAACATCTTGCAAAAATTTTCATTGTGATCTCCATCAAAGAATATTAGCTCATTTTGACCCTGTTGGGTGATGGGGAAAACACCGCCGAGCTGGCGGAGTGTGAGGCATTTACCCAGACCAATACAACAGTAGCAACTGGCCACTCACTACCCCACGGCAGCCGGACTTGAACTACCTGTAGGTATCGAGTCATTTTAGCATATTGTAAGCGGGAATAATTTCACCCAATGGTTCTAGCTTCCGCTGTCATGCGAATCTGATAGCAGCGTAGTGTGGCACTGCTCAGCCCTCCACAAGCTAGACGATCTACAGTCGAACGTCAAACGCCAAGTAGATACAGTTCAAAGCTTCGAATTAGATTAGTTTGTCGCCCTCGTGGTAGTGACCCATGTACAGCCACCTGGCGTATCTCCGAGGGGAACCTTGCCGGACGGATTAACCTATATGCAGGAAAGCAACATGCTCTCCGGCCCAGTCGTTGAGCTCCTCAAGGCCATGACGTCTATGTGCATATGCAAGATCGTTCAGAAGTATACTACTGGACCGTGCACAGAGCAGGAGTTGCGGTCGGGCCTTGGAAAATAGCACCAGCTAGTTGTTGATATTGGGGATAAAAATGGCGTTTATTGGTTGAAAATAGGTATAAGGTTACACCTTCTGAAACAGGCGATGCAAGAACTCTTGTGTCACTCTCCACGCGCCTCCACTCTAGTCACGCGAGACTACCAATCTTTCCTATAGCTTAGCAGCAACAACACTGCCTCCATCGACTGCGATGGTCGCGCCGTTCACATAAGCGCCTGCTCGGCTACTCAAAAACAGGCAAGCACCGGCAACATCCTGAGGGGTGCCGATACGGCCAAGGGGCACGCCGGACTCGATCTGGTCCCGAAATGATTCCAGCGTCGCCGCCATCATCTTGCTCTCGAACGGCCCGCAGGCGAGCGTGTTCGATCTGCAACATATTAGCTTGAATTCGTCGTTCGGATTCCCGCGGCCGGAGCACGTACGTAATATTCCTCTTTCCAAGGTGGTTGGCAAGGACCCGGCTCATATGATGCAAACCGGCCTTGCTGGCACTGTATGCAAATGTCTCCAGCGCGGGGACCCTCAGTCCATCGATACTGCCGATGTTAATGATGCGGGCTGGGTTGTTGGTTTCCGCGGCCTTCTCGAGCAGGGGTGTGACGAGCTTTGTGAGGTCGAAAACACGGTGGAGATTCAGGGTAAGGACTCTAGTCCAGGCAGAGGATGGGTATTCATCGTAGGGAGCGCCCCAGTTTGATCCTGAATTGTTAACGAGGACGTGCAGCTCTAAGAGAGAGCGAGAAAGATTAGTCTCCTGCAAAGCATGATCGTATTCGAACCATGTATTGGTCTAGCAACTTACTGCTTTCGCGCTTAGCAAGCTCCTCAGCAAGCTTCTTGATGTCCTCTTCCTTGTAAAAGTCGGCCGGGATAGCGTGCGCCTTGCCCTTGCCGAGCGCGTTCAGCTCTTGGACAACTTTCTCGCAAGCCTTCGCATCCCGAGACGAGATGTAGACGGTAGCTCCATTTGTCACATATCCCTCAGAAATCATCCGACCGATTCCTTTGGCTCCTCCAGTGACCAGCACCACCTTGCCCTAGCAGATCCGTCAGCAACGTTGCACATCAGTCAGTGCAATGCGGAGTGAGTGTGTGCGGACGAACCTTGACATCGAATAGGCTCTGAAGATCCATAGTGAATGATTTGTTAGAGAGAATGGGAAAAAGATAGGATTGACCCCAAATGAATATATTAAATGGTGAACAAAAGTTATATACAGATGTCAGCAGCCCCCTCGCCTCCCGAAGATCGATAATCCCCAGAGACAGCCGAGATGGAGCCTGGGAAAGAAAGATACCGAGGCTCATGATTCCAGGAACAACGTTGGTCCGACCAGTGCCGGGACTCGACTTGGAGAAGTGGTCCTAGTATCCACTAGTCTTGTTCGGGAATACAGATATTCGTGGGGCAGAAAGTTTTGGATGAGACATCGCCTTGTCTTCAAAGCTTCATATTCAGATTTACTGCTGCAAAACATTTTTAGTGCTGTAAGCGTTGTTTTTCTGATAAATCACGACATTTTTCCCGGCCCGATTACCCCAATCCTCAATAAATCCACCCTTTTCTAGTATTGTTGTACCCCGCGTGCCCCTCTCGAGCAGAAGTATAAAATGGAAGACCTCCAAGCTCGACATCGAAAGGAGCAAAAAGACTTGCAAGCACGAATTACACAGAAAAAGAAATCCGCGACCAAGAAAACTCGCCGAGGGATCAATGATGAGTGCGACAGGCTCCAGCGCGAGCTCACCGACCGCCACCATGCCGAGATTGCAGAATTAAACGGCGAGCCGAGCGAGCTTCCCGTTGACGGACTGGAGGATCTCAGCATTAACGATGAGGCAGCTAACGGGGTGACAGAGGCTTCGAAGAACGGGGTAGATGGGGAACCGACGACCACAGAATCTTCTGTTTCGAGCACAACGTCACCAACCTCGAACTCTCCAACATCAACGCCACCTACACATACCAAGAAACCGAACCGCCAAAAAGCCCGTCTCGCCCGACGCGCAGCAGAACAAGCTGCGCAAGCTGCGCAGGCCGAGGAAGAAGCATCGAAGCTGACAAACCACCGTGGGAACGAGAAGGAGGCGATGGAGGCGGTATTCAAGCGATTGAAGCTGAAGGAGGTGGACATAAACCCAGACGGACATTGTCTCTTCTCTGCGGTCGCATGCCAGTTGGATGAAATGGGATTAGGGCTCAAACCGGATCCTGGGAGGATTGTGCTTCAACCCACGACCCTCTCTCGAGTGGAGACGGTTGCATCGCCTCGGCATGATGGGTATAGGGCGGTGCGTGCGGTGACGGCGGACTTCATCACGGAACATAAGGATGACTTTGAGGCGTTTCTGGAGGAGCCGTTGGAGCAGTATACGAGAAAGATCAAGTTAACTGCGGAATGGGGAGGGCAGTTGGAGCTGCAGGCTATCGCGAGGGCATATGGCGTCAATATCAATGTTATCCAAGGGGATGGGAGGATTGAAAAGATAGAACCGGGTGATGCAGATGAGATTGAAGACGAGGAAGAGCGAAAGAAGAGAGTAATTTGGCTGGCATACTACAGGCATACCTACGGGCTTGGGGAGCATTATAACGCTCTAACGACACGGGCTTGATTGCTGAGCAGCTAAAAGCCACATGACCCTCGGTCAATAAATAGTGTCTGAATACACTACAAAGGATATTTTCTACTTATAGTCGACCGAGAGAATACTGTGACATTGTTATGGTACTGACAACCCAGTACGGTCAAGATATATTTCCACATTTGAGAAATCTGGACCGCCCGACGTGACTGAATGAATACCAGTAACTCGGAAATGTTGATAGCACATTAAAGTGTTGGACAATCCTTTTCAAAACTCGGCCCTCTTATTCCACAGCAATAGCAGACTGTCTAAGATGAGCCACCAGAAGTTCAAGTGAAAAGAAGCAGGAGAACCCTAGACAAAAAACACCTGATATCAAGAACTCCGGTTCCTGCCCACTCCTTGCTTGACACAACAGAGACGAGAGAAAACAGAATAAGAATATAGCATATTAAGATGTTGAAACGCCCATCAATGCCGTATCGTACGTACGCCGGAACATAATCATTGCCCATCCATATGTGTATGGCATTATGTCTCCTCCATAACAATATCTCCCTCCGCATCGGCCTCACTTCCTTCCATGTCGCCGTGGCCCTCGCTCATTTCAACGCCTTCGTCTTCCGCAGGTATGAGCATTTCAATCTTCTCGACCACAGATTTTCGACTCACGGAGCGGGTTAGTTTGGCGTTGCCCTCGGGAGCCTTCCCCTTTGAAGGAGTAGTTGGGCCTTGCTGCTCTGTCGCAGCTTCAGGTGCAATGGCACCATTCGTCAAGGGCGCCTCGTCATCCTCGGCTGGAGTCTCGACCGCGTCTCGAAAGTCGGGCTCTATCGGCCCGTTAGTGAGGGCAGCGGTGTCTCTTCCACTGTTTGCTCCTGCTTCTTCTGAAAGGTCGAGTTGATCAGCTTCCAATCCGTTGGTTGCGACGCTAGTCGAGTCTACCGAAGGGGAATCGAATAGTTTCGCACTTCGACCCCGTCTTACGCTGGTTTCGTTCGCGGTGGGCGTAGCGGCCGATAAAGAGGTTGCCTTCCGAGGAGTATTGCGACCGCTAGTGCGTGCGGTAGTAGGAGTGATGGCTTTACTCTGATAGGATTTGCTCCCAAAAGGGCGACCAGCACGCTTTTTGGAGACTGGGGCTTGGACTGGGGGGTAGACTTCGAACCGCCAGGCGGGAATTGTACTGACACGGTCCGCCTCCGCTTGCGCGCTAACTTTGGCTGGTGTTGCATCCGACGTATCTACCATGCCATGATGGCGCACGCCATTTGCCTTGGATAAGAGCTCCGTTGAAGGAGGCCCTGCAGGCTCAAGCGGTACCCCGCCAGTTGCAGCGATACCCTTTCCATTGGCCAGCGGGTTACCGATCTGCTTTGAGGTCGTTGGCTCCTTTAGAGGCTCTTCGGCTACCTCCTTCCCTTCGTCACCTTCTTCATCCTCTAGCCCTTCGCGAGGTGCAACAGTATGTATTGGAGCGCGGTCAAACTGCGACTGGTTATTTCGGCCCATGATGTAGGGCGTCCAGACCAATGCGTCCGGATTAAGTGTAACGTAGCCCTTGCTTTCCCAGCTGCGAATGCATTCTTCGAAGTAAGTATAGTCAAGACGCAGAGCGTACGTCCTCGTCACAGGATCTCTGACTAGAGCGCGCAAAGCTTCTAGGCCGGAGACGACATCGTCTGCCGTCATGCCTGTTCGCTCTGAGAGATCTGCGATGCTGATTGGGGTTTTCTGGTGCCGAAGATGATATGACAAGATGAGCCGCCAATAATTCCGATAGGACACCAGGCCCATATCTGACAGAGGCTTCTCCGGAGAACCTGTCTTCCCCTCAATGCGTGTGAGTAGGTAGGAGAAGTCGATAAGAAGGTTACCATAACCCTTCCGTTGGTGGATTGGTAAAGTAAGAATGCAAGAAACGTTATTTGCAGAACTGGGTCGTTTCTCTTTACTGAAATAACCCACAAAGTGGCAACCAAGATCGTCGAACTCAGTCATGACATAGAATAGGAAGGGCTCGACGTCGTAATATAGCGTCTTAGACCCCAAAAAGAGTTTGGCGAGCAGGCATAGATTTTGGCAGTAAACCGGATTCTTCCGTCCGTCAACTTCGAATATTGAGATGGAGCCGTGGCGGTAGATCTCGTCGCCGGGTGGATGTTTGGCGGGACATTTGAGTTTGTGTCGCCATGCAACGTAATCGGAATTCATATACTTGAGGCAAAATTCGCAAATGTAAAGGACTCGATTTCGGCTGTACTCCTCGGGATATGGAGCTGCATACCAAGTCTCAATCTCGAAACCGCCAAAATTAATATACTTGATTCGGGACGGAGGCCCAGAAACTTTCTGTGAAGCGTGGTGCACTGTATCAACCCCACTCTCGGCCTCTAGTAAGCGCTGTTGCCATACTTCTTCGGCTTTCTGTCGTGCGATCTCGAAGCGTTCGCGGTCCAGATGTGTCGGTAAAGTCTTAGATGTATCGGCGTCTGATTCCGATAGGATACCTCCGTAAGGTTTTGATTTTGATGACTCTTCCAGCTCACGATCGCTGAAGGAATAGAGAGAAGGGAAATATGACGCAGGCGTTATTGGCGCGAAATGTGTCTGCGGTTCTTGTACTGCCGAAGGTGGTTTTGGAATCTTGCGATTCCTGATTGAGGACCGACTGCGCGAATTTAAGATCTTGGCGAGCTTGGACTCGTGTAGTCGGAAGGCCACAATCAGCTTCCCAAACTGCTTGGAAACAATGCGGCAGTTATCTTGCTCTTCTTTCCGAGTAGTAGTAGTGCGCCGAGAACGGGTGCGCACAGGAGAAAGAGAATCTGCATCTTCTTTGGCCTGATCTTGGGAATCAGACTGTTCGAGTTGCTGTGGAGTTTGAGTTTGTCTTTGTCGTTTGCGAAGAACAGGGGTGTTTTCCTCTACATCTGCAGATAGTGTCTTTCGCTTCCTGAGTGATCGTGAGCTGTTCAGTAGATCATCATCAACGGTCACGGTATTAAAGATAGAGTGGAAGTTAGAGCCGTCTGTACCGCTATGAGCTGGCAAAAGCTCCTTGCGCATATTCTTCGGGCCACTTTTCCTTCGCGGCGAAGTGTCTTCTTTGGAGCCAGGCTCTAAATTCTCTTGATGACAGGTTGGACATCTCCAAGGAGCAACATCTATAGAGCATTAGACAGACGGCAAGGGATAGGTCAAGTTGCATAATCATACCTTCCGCTTCGCTAAGCGCATTGTTTTCGCGGGCACATTGCCGATGAGCTGTCGGGTTGCCGAGTCAGTACGAACACTAAAATTCGGGTTCTTAGATTTCATAGGGCCGCGAATCAACATACAGTGATCGCCGCAAACAGCGCAGCTCAAATACTCTTCGTACTCCTCGCTCGGGTCATGATCTTCGTCTTGGTTGCAGAATCTACTCCAATTCCGTTAGTCTTCTGCGCAGCACACCGAAACATAAAATAAACATACATGCAGTTCCCTCGGACAGTGTTGTGATCGCCTTCGACCTCCGCACCCCCATTGCTTTCCGCTTCCCACTCCTCATCTGAGTCGCGACTGCTGGACGAAGAACTCTCCGCTTCCCGCTCACTATCACTGTTCTCATTGAACTCCGGGTCATCTTCCGCCTCCGCGTCGTCCTCGTTATTTGGCGATGAAGCTCCTTCCGGTATTTTCACAGCACCAACAGGTTCTGCTTCATCGACCACGCCATTCGGAATGACGTCGGGATCTTCCTCTCCCTCTGCATCCAAGTCCTCGTCGAACTCTGTAGACCCCGTCTCGCCTGCGACTTCGCCTGTGTATGCGCGATGCACAGCGTCCTGCAGCTGCTGGTCCATTTGATACAAGTCGGTTTCCTCTCCCTCTGCATCCTGATCACTGTCAATGTTTTCCGCGCGCGGCTTCAGTTTGGACTCCTCGGCGGCCGCCGGCACGCTTGCCGGCATGGTGTAGGTCAACGCGGTCGCCAGTTTGAATGATGATAGCTCTTAAAGCTATTTAACAGTCGGTGGATTTCGTCTTGAAGAGAAAACAGATGGCGGGCCCGATATTTGAGACGTCATTCATCGGGAGCCGCATGGGACGGGTATCGGGGACATGAACGAGCGGCCTTGGACACCGAGTATCCGATATTCCCAGGCACCAATTATTTCGCGAATCAACAGGTGATTCCGATATTTGATCCCGGTACAGCTAGGACAATGACCATCAGTGATGCCCGGATTTGACGAGATGCGGACAATGGGACGCAACGCGTTACAAGATGACCGGAAACGTACCTCTTAGACAAGGGGATCAGCCGCTTTAAGCAGGGAGCAAATAGACGCGTAAATCAGTAGCGTGAAACTCGTCCGATGGGCTTTCTTTCAAGAACCAGAGCGCTCGGCGACGACCTTCTTTGCCCCCTTCTCCTGCCTGTGAGGTTGGATGGGGAGATTGCTGACTCAGCCGGCTGGACCGCCCGCGACGGAGCTAAGCTGTTTCGGGCCATCCGCCAGACACTGAGGTCCCGAGTCACGAAGGGTGAAAGCACATTACTCGCTCCGGCTTCACGACGACATTGCCCGCATTGCTCGCCCGCTCCCTACCCGTCGGCATCGACTTAGTTCTCATATCCGTCACTCTTGATTGACTTAGTCGTCATATCTTGTCACTTTTGCCCTCATTGATCCATTCACTAATTCGCCATGGGTGTCCCGTTCGAAGCCCTGCTCCCTTACGGGATCGTTGTTACTGTACGTCTTTTCCCCGGCCGACCGATGAATATCATGGAGCTTGGATACCATGCCGCAACTTGGAAACGCTGGATAGGGAGCTATTAGAGATCCAATCGGCTCCTTTCTCACTCTGCTATATCGTCTTGGATGGCCAATGGGTATTTGAGGACCAGTTCTGACATCACTACATGTAGATGTTCGGCGTGACCGGTGTCGGTCTATGGGGAGTGAAATACCTTGCGAATGATGGAAAGAAGGCCCGGTGGAACAGGGATCTTTGGGATAGAGTAAGCCCTCCTTGGTTTTATTCCGCTATTGTGAGCCGAAGCTAACTAATGTATAGCAAAGTACGTGACTACGATCGCTAAGTAGCAGCTTATTGCATCCAATCTTCTCCATCACCGCCCAATAACTGACATCAACGTGGAAAGTGATGGAGCGCGACCTCAGACTCACAGGATCTCTCCGAGGTCAATCGACAAATGTGGAGGCGCCAAAGGGATTCGAGCTGTCTAACCCATGGAAGGTGAGCTCCTCTACCATGACTATACGGCTATCCTTTCTTCTCTCCACATAACTGACAGCTGCCATAGGTCGAAAAACGCCTCTATTAGATTTATGCCTCATCTTTGTTTCACTTTTTGCCCACGTTTCCCCCACATCTCGGATCTGTGCTTGACCGACATTTACGTCTTTCGCGACAGGATATGAAGAATCCGCTCTCGCCAGAATCCTGGACCTAAAACGCCTGACCGCTCTGATACCGTGAATCTTCCGGGCATTGCGCTGGGCGGGCATGTTGTATGCATGCCCACTTTTAGGGGAAGTCCTTATAGATCCTGTTTGTATCATATCAGCAATACCAATGACGTCTCTTCGGTATCCCTCTCACCTTTCTTGCGTTATCCATATTTGCCAGTAAACGGCTTTCACTGATAGGCTTGTCCTGTCAGAGCACCTGCAGCGCAATGACTCCGAAACATCAAGTTTTACGCTGGGGGTCGGGGCTAGTGACGGATAGATAGAGCGAACCCAAGCAGGGCTTTGTGTATCATTTATCCGTGTCATGGGGAGAAACGTGGGTATCCAAATGCTAGTCCGGGCCTTTTCTCTATGAGCAATCGTACACCGTATAAGCTGGAGAACTCTCCGCTAAGATCCAAGGATAGTCGTCACAGACATCAACCAATATGGCGTAGAACAACAAAATAGATCCATGTAAATGCAACCAAACCTCTAACATCTCCTTTCTATGCCCTGTCGACTAACACATAGATATTTAACTCCCTTATATGGTTTAACCCCTTCTCCGAGCCCACGACTTCTGCGCTGGTCGATGTTTAGGCTCTCCACTTTAATGCCAGAGGGAAGCCAGCCCCGTACTGAGAATGAGACGGATGCAGAGTTTGGCATAAGACTGGCGTTGATTTGGGTTTTGGTCTTGCGTGGCGCGGTATGGAAGATTGAGAAGGGTGAATCTTGTGGCTGTTGTTTTGGAGGTGGTGTGAGAGATGGTGTTTGTGGATGTGACGGTGGCTGGGAGGTAGAGGGTTCAAGTAGCTGGCCGGGATTTAAATCTGAGGTGGGTAATTGTGTTTCGTCGAGATTCACGTCTGTCCCAGGGGGAGATGTTATGGTAGCGGAACGGCGGGATGAGGAGGATTTTTTAACCTTCTTGACCTTCTTCTTTTTCTTCTTTGGTTTTTGCTTCATAAGTTCAGGTTCGGCGTTTTGCTGATAGGAGACAGCGGCAGAGTCATCGTAGTAGCCTTGGAGTAGAGTAGCTTGCGCATCGGCTTCTGGGTCATCCGCTTCGTCATCATCGAGGTCGCCAGAAGAATGTCCCATCACCGTACATCGAAGAGTAGCCGTTCCGGACACGGTTCCTGCATCTTTGGTTGGGACTCTCCATTCCAGCACGCCCCTTCCGGGCGTGAAAAGAGCCTCTCCCCGACTGGCTTTCATGTCTGTGACATTCCGCACTGATTGGGGGATAGGAACTGTCACGACCACATCCTCGAGTACCGGTGCAGAGTTACCACTGTTGCCGCCACCCAGAAATGATGGCGTCGAGGACCCAGAACCACCTCGACCAGTGCCCGCTCGGCTTCCCACAGGTTGCCCCGGAAAGTTTGTATTGAGTGTCAGTCGGACCTCGAAATCGGCACCAGCAGGTCCGAGGGATTTCCGAATATCGACGATAGTTGGCAGGAAAAGCTTCTCCATATGACTTGGCGGTTCGTCAAGACCAGGGTCCAGTGGGAGCAGGTCAACCTCGTACCCTGCAAGGATGAATCTTCCGTCTGGAGGAACAAAGCTCAATTCACCTGGGCGTTCTCGCCACCTTGCCAGTCGAACGCATGGATGAAATACCGGTAATTCCATCTTGCGCGCTACCGCATGTTGCCCACCTGGCGCCGTGAGGGAGAGCAGTAGATCTGGAACACCGGATACTTTGGCCGTAAAGGCCACTGTGCCCGACACCAGAGCTGAGAGTAGGCGCCCAGATGGAGCCATTGTGACTGTAAGAGATTCTACGATATCAACGTAGAGTTCGTTGGATGTATGTCGGACATTGGGCCGCCTCCACGGGATAGCAGGCCCTTGGGCTGCGCTGGACGATGTTAACGACTGCCTTTTGAGCGCCGAGGGTTGCCCTAAAACTGGCGTCGATGACCTATACAAATGACACTATGTTAGCACCTAGACAGCTTAAGAGGCCATAGCGAAATGCTTACCCAGGCAAACCAACATTGCCTAATAGCTTGCCCATCCACCCCGGCATCTCCACCACCTCTTGGAGAGCATTCAGCTCGGTATTGCACACAATGCCAGCATCGCACATCTCATGGAGCAACTGAGCAACGACATCGTAATTTGCTTGAACCTTAGTGGATAATAACGGCGCCCCAACGAACTCTTCCAGTATATCGACGACGCGGTGCAGGAACTCGAGCACGAGGAGGGGCTCTGTATCGGTTTCGGAGAGAGCTAGGAAGTGCAGATTCGACTGGACGATAGAAAACACCGTGACCGGTGGCGATGTATTGGGGAAATAAATCAGCGACGGGCGCGGGGCCGGATGGGCGAAATAGAGGGGCCGGATGGATGCCGCGGAGGGCGGACGAGAGCGATAGACCTGCTCGACAAGAGGCTGGCTAGATAACCGGAGAGTTAGAGAGAGAAGGCGCATGAAGACAAGACACCACCCACTTTTGCTCGTCGTAGATATACAGAGCATCGATCTTGCCGCTCATGGTGTCGACGCTTCCAAGCTCGAGCCTCAAAGAATGGTTTAATCCAGACTCCAGCGACGGTCGATCTTCAACATTGCGGACTTGATCAAATGAACTCATCGCTGGTTCTGCCGCCGATAGCCGCCTTTATTTATTTTGGGGTCGTGTGCATCATCTATGTACATAGATCCTGTCCCATAATCACACCTTGTCATTTCTCCTGGATCCATGGCACTTCCTTCACAAAGCACCGAATGGGACGCCGAGTCCCAAGAGGCGAAGCGCCTTTTGGCAAAAGACTCATATGAGGACTGTTTGTCCTGCAAAGTCATGGGTAAGTCAGTGACCAGACTAGCTACTACTCCTGGCTCTTATAAACTTCATTGCGTACATTTTCCGACTTTCGCAAGCTTAATAATGACCATCTTGCTAGGCTCTGCCGCATTTATCGGCCTCGGCGCGTACAGCTACCATACCGGTATGGCTAATCTACGAAAGCAAGAAGAGACGATCATGCGAAGCGCAACAAAATACAAAATGGGATCTCGCCGACTCGGGATTGCTACGATTTCTGCGGCTCTAGTTGGCATGGGTGTTTGGCGAGCATTCAACTGATATACGGACGGGGCGTTGGCAATATGGCATGGCCTTTCAGAATAATCTTGTTGAGATAAGCGTGTGTTTATGAATATGTACAATGTAATGAAATCAGGCGTCTTTTAGACCAGATGTTCTTCGGGTATCATCATGTCGGATAAACTCTATGAAAGTAATGCGGATGATCCAAGAAGACCAGAAGAAAGATACAAGAGGTTTCCGCGAGAGAGAAGCAATAAGAAATAATCAAATGACCGCAGTACTCCTACTATATGCTCCCAGAATCGAGATGATAACCGCTGCGTGACTATGGCATATCGAAGTTCGTCCAAAGGTAAAGACCGTCTCTAGGCGAAACGGCCGCGTTTGCCGCCTCCAAACATATCCCGGTTATTCCCCATTCCGGACAGGTCGAAGAAGTCTGGGAATTGGATTTTCCGTTTCGAGCCGATTCCTACCGGAGAGTCGCGTGTCGAGGTTCGAGGGCTTGGACGGGACAGGTTGCCGTGACGGTTCTGCTGGCGGGGATTTCGGGACAGAACTGACACACTGACGGGTGCGTCACTCTGAGGAGATGGGGATGAGTCCGAATTATGCATGTCCATGTCTTGTTCTTGAGCTTGGGGGAATGTAGGCCCGGCAGAGAAGGTAAAAACGGGAGGTCGGTCGTGAACGGTAATCTCGGAGGGTTGTTGGGTGGCAGGCGTTGACGGCGCTTGTTGCTGTGTGGAAGCCTGTTCCTCTCGCTGGGGCGAGGTGGACTTGAGCGTTTGTCGGGAAGTTTCTTGCTCCGAGGTCTCTTTGCGTGGCACGGCTGGAGTAGCACTGCGAGTTCTCCTTTCCGTCTCGTCATCATCGCTCGTATGGCTGATGCCGTCACTTCGCTCCGTAGCCCATTGCCGAACCCGCCAACCTTCGCCATCAGTTAGACCAAGGTTCTCCCTGTCGAGGAAATGCAGCAAGTCTTCAATGGCCTCCTGGTAGCCTGCCTGCCTGGCGTGCGACTCCGCGTACACGGCATTCTTGTAGAGGTTGGTGACTGAGAGCGCAGCGGTTTTGAATTGCTGTAGCAGCTGCTCAGGGGGCTGAGTACGGGGAGTCGAGCTTGGTAGTGAGGTGTTGAGAGACTTCATCGAGTCCATCTTGATTTTGGCCGCTGGCGGAGCAGCTTTGTTCCTAGTTTGGCTCTTCGTTTGTTCTTGAGGCGATATTTTTTCCGCTTCGATCTTGATTTCTCGGTACCGAGTCCCAGAAAGAGAGGGGTGATTTGAGGTGTGCTTTCAAGAACCTCAGAGACGGAAAACACCTCAAAATCAAAAAATCAAGGACTTGTAACAAAGGCCAACTGGAAGGCAATCCAAGCAAACAAAGAAGTCCCACAAGAAGGCTATAAAAAGTGACAGAAGGAAGATGGTGCTGGTTATTGCAGCGTTCCAGTTCTTTCTGCTACGGCCTTTGTCATGGTAACGTGACCCACCGCGGGGAAACTTGTCTTCCGCATAATGACTCAGCTCTGATCTAAGCCACTAAGCCTGGACAGCGCGCCTCTCTTCTCCAATCAACGCGCGTCGTGGCTGCGCTCCCCAGCGAATTTCCATTATTTGCCATCTCGGCGCGACTCTCGTCCTATGTTCTTTCATCCAACTTCCTTCATCGTCATCATTCATGTTTGTTCGGACTAGACGGTGCCTGGTGTTACATCTCCTTATTTGACCTTTACTTCTCAGACGCCCAATTCCCTAAACACACTATCCGCACATAGCTCACTATTGCAATAGCGAACTACATAGTTCGATTTCAGCTGCGATTGGAGGATTCGTGCGATATCCCGGCCTTGACTTTGAAGCATAAGCCTGATACTGGCGCATATTGCGCAGTCGACTGTTATGGCGCCTGCAGCTGTCCCAAATTCAGACCCACCGTCTCAGGCAGATACTCCCATGACTGATGCACACGAAGAGCTATTACCCGTGGATCCTATCGACGCGAAAATGACCGTATGTCTAAGAAACTTACCCCCACAATGCCGCGAGAATCGCGTACTGCCAGTTTATTCTCGTGCTCTCATAGGACAGCCGTTGCTAATCTCTTCAAGCAATATCAGGACACTCCGGATTACACGGTAACTCACCTGTGACTGCCACACTCGCTGCTTTGCGCTGCGTCACTAATACCACTCCTTCCAGGACTCGGATACAAATCCCAATACCACTGCGAGCAGTATTGCAGGCGATGCAATCCCAATGGATGGGCGGAGACGGAAGTCCGAAGCAAATAACATGAGAAAGAATGTGCTAGGCAAGAAGCACGGCTCTTTGAATGAGAACAAGGTTTGATACAAACATGTCCCATTGAACTAAGACGATCATGTTCTTACGCGTATATGCTCTACAGGAAGATGACTCTATTCGAAGATTCCGCTACCTACTCGGCCTCACCGATCTTTTTCGTCATTTCATCCAAACAAACCCCGACCCCCGCATCCAGGAGATCATGGCTGAAATAGACCGGCAAAATGGCGAGGGAGACTCGAAGCCTAAGCGCAAAGGTTCATCGCGAACAGGGGGCGCCAGCGGTGATCGGCGGCGACGAACAGAACAGGAGGAGGACGCTGAATTATTGAACGATGAGAGGAGAGGCAGCCATACTGGCACAATTTTCCGTGAATCGCCGCCGTTCATTCAGGGCGAAATGCGCGACTACCAAGTTGCTGGTTTAAACTGGCTGGTTTCCTTGCATGAGAATGGAATTTCGGGAATCTTGGCGGATGAGATGGGTCTCGGCAAAACCCTACAGACGATCTCCTTCTTAGGATACCTCCGACACGTCTGCAATATCACTGGTCCTCACCTTGTCGCTGTACCAAAATCCACGTTGGACAACTGGAAACGCGAGTTCCACAAATGGACGCCCGAGGTCAATGTACTTGTCCTACAGGGTGACAAGGAGGAGCGGCACAGGTTGATCAATGAGAGACTTCTTGACGAAAAGTTCGACGTCTGCATCACCAGCTATGAGATGGTTCTCCGAGAGAAGTCGCATTTGAAGAAGTTCGCATGGGAGTACATTATTATTGACGAAGCTCATCGAATCAAGAACGAGGAGTCTTCTCTTGCCCAGATCATCCGAGTCTTCAAATCTCGGAACCGGCTTTTGATTACCGGCACCCCGCTTCAAAACAACCTGCACGAACTTTGGGCCTTGCTCAATTTTTTACTGCCGGACGTCTTTGGTGACTCCGAGGCCTTTGACCAGTGGTTTAATAACCAGGATGCCGACCAGGACACCGTTGTGCAACAGTTGCATCGTGTCCTACGGCCCTTCCTGCTTCGTCGTGTGAAGAGCGATGTGGAAAAGAGTTTATTGCCCAAAAAGGAAGTCAACCTATATGTTCCCATGTCACAGATGCAGGTGAAATGGTACCAAAAAATTCTGGAAAAGGATATCGATGCTGTCAATGGAGCCGCTGGGAAGCGCGAATCCAAAACCCGCCTGCTGAATATTGTTATGCAGCTGCGCAAGTGCTGCAACCATCCCTACCTTTTTGAGGGAGCGGAACCTGGACCTCCATACACAACCGACGAACACCTTGTAGACAACGCTGGCAAGATGGTTATTCTGGACAGACTGCTCAATCGCATGCAGCAACAAGGGAGTAGAGTATTGATCTTCTCTCAAATGAGCCGTGTACTTGACATTCTGGAGGACTACTGCGTGTTCAGAGAATACAAGTATTGCCGTATCGACGGAACGACAGCTCACGAGGACCGAATTGCCGCCATCGATGATTACAACAAACCTGGATCGGATAAGTTCATCTTCCTTCTGACCACAAGAGCGGGAGGTCTCGGTATCAACTTGACGACTGCAGACATCGTCGTTCTCTATGACAGTGACTGGAACCCTCAGGCTGATCTGCAAGCTATGGACCGTGCCCACCGTATCGGCCAAACCAAGCAGGTAGTTGTTTACAGGTTTATCACCGAGTCGGCTATTGAAGAAAGAGTGTTGGAGCGTGCCGCCCAAAAGTTACGGTTGGATCAGCTCGTTATTCAACAGGGCCGCGCTCAGCAGCAAAGCAAGAATGCCGCGTCCAAGGACGAGCTGCTTGGTATGATTCAGCACGGTGCCAATGAAATCTTCCAGAACAAGGGTGCCACCGGTACACTTGCTGAAGGCAAAGCAATTACGGATACCGACTTCGAGGCGATCCTGGCCAAGGGTGAGGAGAGGACGGCAGAGTTGAACAAGAAATACGAGAAACTGGGTATCGACGATCTGCAGAAATTCAATTCCGAAAGCGCCTATGAGTGGAACGGCAAGGACTTTGCGGACAAGAAGAAAGACATCGGAATCAACTGGATCAATCCCGCAAAGCGTGAGAGAAAGGAACAGTTCTATTCAATTGACAAGTACTACCGTCAAGCTCTCGCAACTGGTGGACGAACCGCCGACCCCAAACCCAAGGTGCCCCGAGCACCAAAGCAGATTGTCATCCATGACTGGCAGTTCTTCCCTCCCGGTCTTCAGGAACTGCAGGAGAAGGAGACAGCTTATTTCCACAAGGAAATTGGCTACAAGGTTCCCCTTCAGGAAGGACCCGATGAAGAACTCAGCGAGCGTGAAGCCGAGCGTGACCTAGAGCAGCAGGAAATTGACAACGCCGTGCCATTGACGGAGCAGGAGGTGATCGAAAAGACAAGAATGTCCGAGGAGGGCTTCTCACACTGGAACCGTCGCGATTTCCAACAATTCATCAACGGATCCGCCAAATTTGGCCGCACAGATTACGAGGGCATCGCAACTGAGGTCGATAGCAAACAGCCTGAAGAGATCGAAGAGTACGCAGAGGTCTTCTGGAAGCGATACACTGAAATCCAGGATTACCCTAAGTACCTCAAGGTTATCGACCTGGGCGAGGAGAAGCTCCGCAAGATGGGTCACCAACGCAAGATGCTCCGGAAGAAGATGGAGATGTACCGGGTGCCTCTGCAGCAACTTAAGATAAATTACACCGTGTCCACCACGAACAAGAAAGTCTACACCGAGGAGGAGGACCGCTTCCTGCTCGTCATGCTCGACCGATACGGCGTCGACGGTGAAGGTCTCTATGAGAAGATCCGTGATGAAATTCGCGAATCTCCACTCTTCAGATTCGACTGGTTCTTCCTTAGCCGTACGCCTGTAGAGATCGGTCGCCGCTGCACGACACTGCTTAATACCGTTGCGAAGGAGTTCGAGCCGGAGGGCAAGGCTAACGGAGAGAGCGGCAAGGGCCGTGGCCGGGACCGGGATGATGACGAACTCGATAATGAAGACGAAGCCCCGGCGAAGAAGAGAGCCAAGGGTGGTGCAGTGGTAAGCTTCACATGGTTGCTTCCATACCTTTAAGAAACAGCTATCACTAACAAGAACAACAGAACAAACAAGTCAAAGCCGTCAAGGGCAGCAAAGCAAACTCCGCGTCCACCTCCCGAGCCTCATCCACCAACCCTCCCAAGTCGAGATCCCGCAAGAAGTGATTCTGAATTACATGGAAATACCTAATTACTTACCTCGCCTAACCTAACCGAACTACACCACCATATGTTGTACCATTGTATGTGATTTTGGCAAAGATTATCGTCTCGGATTTGTAGAAAGAGCGCGCTGGACGGTGGTTGTCTCTGTTTGCTTGCTTGGTCAGGGGAATCTATCTAGTTACTTTTATATTTTCTTTTTCTCTTTTCACTTTTTCTATCTTTTCCCCCTGTTGTCTACGTTTACTCTTTTTTCGCACTTTAGGACTAGGTATTCTGTATCGGGTTCGGCGTTGGCATAGATGCCGCTGGTTAGTTCTATTGATTAGGTATCGTTTTTTTGAGATTCACCTGCACTTGTACGGTTACCTCGATTTGTCGTAGGTGAGGGTTGATGGACCGTGGCAATGGTCTGTCGGTATAATGAAAAGCAATAGATATGGTTTTTCCAGATCTAGTGATCTACTTGAGGACGAAGCTTAATAATATGGGTTGAACCGTGTACAAGTTGTGGTAAGGTATAGATGTTCTCAGAGAAAATAGCGACATAGTAATAAATATTTCACCAAAAAAATCCAACGGAGGTGAGATGGAAATTAAGTAGAAGTTACAGCGAAGATTATTCATCCAAATTCATATCCTAAAGCTTCGAGCTTCGTCGTTCGAGGATCTTCATGATGAGATATGCGACTGAAAATGAGAGACAGGTGAGTAAGTTATTCATGAATTGATGGAAGAAAAAAGCGTGTATTAGAGAAAGTAAAAAGAAAAAAGAGAAACAAGAATAGGAATTAGGTATCAAAAGTATTCTCAACAATGAATCAAGGGGTATTTGGGTATAGGTGTGGTAGATATTACAATCATATATAACCTAATAAAGGGGAAAGATCGAAGAGGAGAAGAAGAAGCTGGAGGAAAGGTACAGAAAGTCCGTTTACTCACCAGCAGCGATAACAGTAGCGCGGGCAGCACCAGCCTTAGCCGATCCTCCGCCCAGCGTGAGAACAAAGCGTATCCAGCCGAGACGAACCTTCTGGCCGGAGCGGTCGAAGTCCGGGACGAGCGTGCTAGCCGACTTGAACTTGGCCAGCTTTCCGGCATAAGGCGGGTATCGAATAGCCAGGAGAGATTCGAGCCAGCCTGGGCTAGATGTGATCGGACGACGGTGCACGAACACGTCGAAGCTGGAGCGTCCACGGTAGGCACCGTAGCCACTTTCGCCGACGCCGCCGAAGGGGAGTGTGGGGATGTGAAGCGCGGCGTCGTTGACGGAGACTCCGCCGGAGCGGGTCATGGAGAGAACTACGTTGGTTAGCCCTGGGCGGTTATGAGCATGGAGAGGGGCGCGCTTACTTTTGTCAGTGTCGGCTTTTGAGCCGAACGGGTAGATACCCAGGGGTGTGCTCTGGATGCCGTTGGCAATGCTAACAGCCTCGTCGAGGTTGTCAACGGGGAGGATGGGGATGAGAGGACCGAAGCTTTCTTGCACAAGCAAGGAGTCGTCGGGAGAATCAACCTGAATGAGAGTGGGCTCGATGAAGAGATCCTTCTCGTCCATGGTACCACCCATAAGGATCTTGCCCTTGGAGTTATCAATCATGCCCTTGAGACGACGGAAAGCACCCTCGTTGACAAGGCGAGAGTAATCCGGCGAGGCCTTGGCTCCACGGGGATAGAACTCCTTGTATGCCTTCTTGAACTCCTCAACAACAGCGGGCACGAGGGTCCTGTCGACCAAGAGGTAGTTCTGAGAAGTGCAGACCTGACCTGCGTTCATAAGCTTTCCCCAGAGCAGTCTTCGGGCGACAAGCCTGGGGTTTGCAGACTTGGTGATGATGGCCGGGTTGATACCGCCCAGCTCGAGTACAACAGGAGTCAAATGGGGAGCAGCTGCCTTTGCAATGATGCGACCTACGGTAGCACCACCCGTGAAGAAGATTTTATCCCATCGCTCCGCAAGCAGGGCCTGAGTCTCAGGGACGCCTCCTTGAATGACCTTGTAACATGAGGGGTCAAGCGCAGCCTCAATGATTCGCTGCATGACGACAGCACTCTTGGGGGCATTTTCGCTGGGCTTAATAACCACGGTGTTTCCTGCAGCGATGGCGCCGAGCACAGGACCGAGGGTCAACTGGAAGGGGAAATTGAAGGCACTTCCAACCTATTAGCATGAAGTCGCCAGAGAAATACTGAATAGCATATCGCACCCAATCACCAACACCGTTCCCAGAGGATCCTTGCGGATCTTGGGGTTCATAAACTTGAATGTGAGATCGATATCATCGGCCTTCTCATCCTTGACCCATTTGTGCAGATTTCGGGTGATGAAGACAATGTCGTTCTCCAACCAGATAGACTCCCCAACCTCAGTTTCAAAACGTGGCTTCCTTAGATCGCTCTGGAGGGCTTCGACGATTTGTTGCTCATGGTCCTTGATACTGTGTAAAAGAAAGGGTCAGTGCATGACACCACCACAGGGGATGCGGAGACTTACGCCCAGTAGAGCTTGCGGAGCTGGATCAGTCTAAACTCAACATCGCGGGTCTTGTGCTCGAGGAAGGTCCGCTTGACGCGAGCGACGCTTTCCTGGATCTCCTCAATAGGGGTGTATTGAAGCTCGGGAATGTCGGATGCGCCCATGGTGAGGAGACGCGAAGGGGAACCGGCGCGGAGACGTTGGCTAAATCAAGAAAGTGTTTAGTGAGGTAGAGACAGATCTGGCGAAGAAAGATGAAACCAGAAGCTGAGCAGCTTACCAGCGAATTTATTGCCTCAGCACATGCACAATGGAGCTTCAGGCCCCTCAGTTGTTTCAACCGCGGCTTTGCAGTGAGGGTCAACCACTAGTCGGCATCCGGGGAATAAGCATCTTATGCACAGAAAATCAGGCTCTGATTGGCTATGGGAGCTTTGCGCTCGCAAGCACTGCTCGTTTTGTCGGTGGCGCACATGTCGATTTCTGGGGAATATTTTTCCAGAACACTGAAAGGGTTCGTTATTGTTGGCGTGAAGACCTTGCATATCGGCGACGCATGTCATCCAAAGGCCATCAACAACTTCTCGTCCTCCTTTCTGGGGGCATCGCGACGAATTAATAATAAGGGATGGCGTGGATGACTGATTGATGACTGATGTTTGGTTCTAGGCCTCGTATCAAGAAAAATATACATAACGTGGCTTCTTTAGGCGTGCCCCCGTTATTAATGGAGCGTACTTGCGGCTGACCCTAGATCCCTCCTGATTATTACCATCATATAACTGAAAATGACGTCCATTTACACTCCAGATCAGGTTGAAGCCTACCTGAGGCGCATCAGGTACGCAGACTCCGCCTTAGGCTCAGGAACAGGCACAGGAACGCAACACCCTCGCCTTGAGAAGCTCAAGCACTCAATCGATGAAGATGCTCTAGCTGCGCTCTCAGAGCTTCAACGCCGACATCTAGGCTCAATTCCATGGGGGAACTCAGCAATCCATTATTCGCAGCATCATACCATCTCCACCCACCCGTCCGCCGTCTTTGAAAAACTGGTCGTTCGTCGCCTGGATGGATACTGCATGGAAAACACCAACCTGCTCTATGGTATCCTCCGATCAGTAGGCTATCAGGTTTTCCCAAATGCAGGAAGAGTGTCCAAGACACCAGCGAATCCGAAGGTCCTCGGTGCCGATGTTCGCTATAGCTCTCTGTATGTCGTCTCCTGCCTTCAGCTATCGCTCGTTGTTGCTAATCAACATATTCAGATCTCACATGGTGCTGATTGTCACCATCGATCAGCGTAGATATATGGTAAGAGCCTCATACATATTTCGCAACTCCAATTAACATCACAGGTCGACGTGGGCTTCGGAAACAACGTCCCAACCAGGCCCCTACCGCTAGAAGAAAACACAGTTTCCATCAACATCGCACCATCAGAAATGCGATTGATTAAAGACTCACTTCCCGAGCTCGTTGACCAAACCCAAAAGTTCTGGATCTACCAGATTCGGTTCAGCTCAGATAGCGTATGGATCCCGATCTACGCATTTTCCGAGGTCGAGTTCCTGCCTCAGGACTTTGCAATGATGAACTACCAAACCTATCAGCTGCCGAGTAGTTGGTTTACACAGATGCTTGTCTGTGTCCAGCTTATACTTGATGACGCAGGACAAGGGCTTAAGGGTCTCTATATCCTTGCTGGAAAGGAGGTGAAGAGGAGGGTTCATGGGGAAACAGAGACCGTGGACACGCTAGAAAGCGAAACAGACAGAGTGAGGGCTCTAGAGAAGTGGTTCGGCATGCGCCTTTTAGATCATGAGATTGCGGGGATTAACGGGCTTGGTTCTGCCATGCGGTAGTCAATACGTACTCCATGAACTGAGATTAGTATATAGTGTATATAACTCTGTAATATACATCGATGGATACACACCTACAATGCGATAATTGGTATGATTAAGGTCATACGGAATAAATGATGTCAGGGGTGGTCGACTCGAAGCCGTCCGATCCTCGGCTATTCGCGCTATCGGAGCTCACGGAGTATACGAAACCACCGCATCTCGCCATCCCGTCCCATTGTCTCCAAGGAAGCTTTCAACAATCGAACATCCTATGGAACCGGCCCGTCTCATCTCGTGGCTCCTACCTCTTACCCGTCCCGTCATTGTTTCCCGATATACTCCAAGGACTTCCCCCAGATTCCCCTCCAACTTCCCCGCACCACGCGCCATGTCGACCTCTCTGCAAGAGAAACTTGATGCTTTGCAGAACTATTCTGCTTGCGATGTATGTATACCGCTCAAGAGAGCCGGACCGTGACTGATTCTGAATCAGGTATCCGATGCCCTCCTCAAACTCCAGAAACCAGGCTCCGGAGCCCCAAGGGCAGGGTATTTAGCTGACCTAAGTGTGCTCTCCTCCCACCTCTACACTATGAATACTCATCAGAAACCAAAGCTCCCTTCTCTCCAACCCTGGGCCGAAGCACCACCACACCCAAAATCATCGCGCCCGCCTCAACCATAAAGTTCATCCCCAAAGACTCACCCTCCCACTCCCTCACACCCGACCAAAACCAACCCCCTGCATCGACCGCCTTCCCACCAGGAACGCACTGGGTCGACAACACCGTCCCCAACACAATCGTAGTGATCGAGCAACCAGCCGGTCAGCACTGCGCCGTCGTCGGCGGCATCATGGCCGTGCGCATGAAGTACCTGGGTATCCGGGGCGTTGTCGTCAATGGCAGGATCCGTGATCTCTCGGAAATACAGGGTTGTAGTTTGCCCGTTTGGGCGAGGGGGACGTCGACGGTTGGAACGGGGGCTGAGGCAAAGGCGGGGCTTAGGGAAGTTAGGGTTGAGGTTGGGGGTGTCGGAGTTGAGCCGGTATGTTTTCGCTTTCTTTCTGTCTCTGCTTGACTTTCTGAATGGGAAGATGGGAGGGCGCTATCGCTAATGTTTGTGAAGGGAGATATCATCTTTTGTGATCCGCTCGAGGGCGTCGTGGCTATCCCGCGGGACCTACTCGATCAGGTCCTGGAGATTATGCCGAAGCTTGTTGACATGGACGACAAGGTCAAGGCGGCGGTTGAGAAAGGATCAAGTGCATTTGATGCGTTCCAGCAGTTCCGAACCAAGATTTGATTTGCGCAATGGAATCTACAATACATTTGAATACCCTCAATATACACTTAATATCGCTGCATGACAAAAAAAAAAGAAAACATAACGGGGAATCTAATGCTACCAGCTCATTTTATTTTACTTTACTCGGCAACCCAGACAGCAGCCATACCCATGCCGGTACCCACACACATACTGGTGACACCGATCTTCTTGTTGGTGCGCTTCAGCTCCGTGAAGAGTGTGCTGATCTGTCGGGCACCGGTGCACCCGAGCGGGTGGCCAAAAGCAATGGCGCCGCCCTTGGGGTTAATCTTCTCCTCTGGCAGGCCGAGTTCGTTGATGCACCAGACGCACTGGGAAGCGAAAGCCTCGTTGATCTCGTAGATGTCGACGTCGTCCTTGGTGATGCCGGCCTTCTCAAGGGCAACGGGGATGGCCTTCCAGGGGCCGATACCCATGAGCAGGGGCTTGACACCGACAACGCTAGCAGACACAAACTTGCCAATGATCTTCTGGCCCAGCCGCTCGGCAGTGGAACGCTTCATCAGCAGGACGGCGGCGGCGCCATCAGAGATCTGGGAGGCGTTACCGGCGTGGATGGAGCCGTCCTTGGCGAAAGCAGGGCGGATCTTTCCGAGTGACTCGGCGGTGATGCCGTCACGGATGCCGTCGTCGGCCTTGACAGTGATGGTCTTCTCCTCGCTGGTCTTAGGGTCGGTCCACTTGACATCCAGAGGGAGGATCTCCTCGTTGAAGAGACCGGCCTTTTGAGCCTTGACGGCCTTTTGATATGAGTTGGCGGCGAACGCGTCTTGGGCAGCGCGGCTAATGCCGCGGTCCTTGGCCATGTTCTCAGAGAGAACACCCATGGGGACCTTGCAGTTGGCAGCTTCCTCGTGGTTCTCGAGGAGATCGGAGAACTCGGTGACAGCGCCGGGGCTGTTTATTCAGGTTAGCGTATACTTGCCGCACAAGGTACGCGAAGAACTCACCCATATTGAGAAGTCATGCTCTCAACACCCGCACCAATACCGACGTCAATCATACCCGCCTTGATAGCATTCGCAATATCCACAACCGCCTGCAGGCCACTAGAGCATTGGCGGTTCAGACCCTTGACGGCGGTGGACTCTGGGAAGCCCGCCACCAGAGCAGCAGCACGGAACTCCGTGGCACCGCCACCAGGGGCAAGGACAGTTCCAACCGAGATATCCTCAACGAGGTTGGGATCAATACCGCTGCGGTCGATCAGGCCCTTGAAGACACCAGCCAAGATATCGGCGGCCGCGGTGTCCTTGAAACCTCCCTTTCCACCCTTTGTGAGAGCGCTGCGGAGGGCGCAAGTTACGACAACATCGTCGGGGTTCTTTTCGGTAATAACGGAGGGGCCCTTCTTGGACCCGATGTGGTGAGCCACCTGGATCAAACGTTGTTGAGCTGCGGAAAGTCAGATCCCACTCGTACAATTTGCCGTTCAAAAGATGAGGAAACGCTTACCACCGGACATAATGACGTCAACGGATATCGAAGAAGAGGAGGGAGATTAGGATGGAAGGGGTGAGCAAAGAGGTTACAAGAAGATGAAGATGCGAAGACAAAGTAACCGAAATGCAGGAAACGTCAATTTATAACCGACAAGCAAGACAAGATGCCAGCTGTGGTCCCTGGGTCTCACCCCAGTCGATTATGTATCCAACTTGTGAAAGTGCCGAGGCACATGGATTATCGTTGTTCCTGACGCCAAAGTCACGAGATCTCATCTTGAACGAGGGATTCATGTGAAAATGGGCGTTCTGGGCCAGCTGAGCCTATCGGATGATTGATTCCTCTTCGGTGTAGTGGTCGCTGTCGAAACTCGGGACTTATTCTCCTGACATCACTTGGCCTGGGGAGGCCGAGTGTCGGTGATATTATCGTTTCAGAGTTCTCGCGGAGCGCGCTCTCCGATATATCATCCTCGGAACCGTTTTACATGATAGTTCCGAACAGCACTTTGCCTCAAGTCTGAGTCGTAAAGACTCAAGAGCGATGGATCATTGAAGTGAAGTTGAGATGCAGACCGACTGCCGTGATGCTTCGGCACTTGGATTATGCATAATTAGTCATGTACATAACTATAATCAAATATTGCATAAACTTAATAAGAGTGCGCTAACTGCATCTGGCTTTTAATCTTCTTCTTCATCTCGTCTCCAAGAAGCATCAAGTTGACAGTCCTCTCCGCAGTATCACTCCACCAAACGCAATGCGCAGAATACCCCAACTTCTCTGTGCTGCCTCGCCAGCCAGGTCTATTCCGTCCTGTCTTCCGACCACAGCTAGCAGATTCCAACAACTCCAAGCTCGAACTGTACGCTTCTTCTCCCACTAGTATCTTACAGGCCACTAATTCAACCATAGAGCCCCCTCTTCTCAATACACGCCATTTCCTCTCAGACACCCCTCCGCAACTCCTCAACATCGAACTCCCCTTTCCGCCTCACAACGCAACCTACCCCTGCCCGCACGGAACCCGCAGATCCCGCCGAACAACAACAATCACAACCCTCGCATGAATTCCCAGAAGAACCCCCCTCCTCCTCCTCAGAAGTCTACTACAGCCCTTACAAGCCAAAACGCACCTGGCCACCGGACATGACAAAGCTCAGCCCAAAACACCAGTTCCGGCTCGAGCGCAAATACCGCCGGCGCGCGGCGCTCAAGTATGCGCGGCCGAAGTGGACCAAGGCGACCAAGTTGGCGCAGGGGGGTGCGATTGCGTGTATGTTTCTTCCGTAGTTTTCTTTCTTTGTTGGCTTGCGTTGTTGTTTGTGTAAGAAGGGAACTTGACTGACTGACCTATTTTTTTCGTGTTGTGCAGTTGTCATCATATACGCGCTACTGTTCATGGAGTGGGATGAGAGGGGGGCGACTCCTATCGAGGAGGTAGGTTACCAAGTTCCCATTGTGTTCTATTTCATTGCGTGGTCTATTGGCTAATCTGTCTTGTAGTTCCGCACATATATTTTCGGCTCTATCAAGGATGCTTTCTCGGCGCCTCCGTCTCCGGCTTCGATGAGGCGTCCTGACCGTTCAGTTAAGGATTGATCTTAGAAAGGGAGGAGATTGTGCTCTGCGCATTTAGCGGCGATATGAGATGAATCCACTCGTATATACTGTATATTATGTACATTATGTCAACAAACTACATTTAAACATACCAGACTTGATGCAAGAGTCAAGCAGGGTGCATAGTGATCTAAAAGGGTCGACTAGACATATACACCTGGGGATCGAGTAGTTGACAATCTCGAGGCCTTCATATACGCTGGTAATTCAACCCTATACACAGATTTATTGAAAACCCTATCAGTTCAATTCATTCATCGTTTGTCTGTCTGTACTGTACTACAATAATCAGTCAAGGCCGGTCTGAGATGCATGCATGCAACAATAGCAAAAACGAACGTTTCAGAACTGATCAAGTCTGCCTGGAAAAGAGAAGAAGAGAAAAAGGGGGGAAAAAAAAAAACAGCCCCGTTATTCATAAGATCATTTCGCCGTGGCCAAAAACGAAGGAGAGAGTTGAATATGATGATGAGAATGATTCACGGATGCACCCAAAACGCCAAAATGCCAACGCCGGAAAGGTTTGAGATACCCAAAATAACAGTCTGAGGTCTGTAGAACGACAAGGTAATGCAAATGTTGGGAGTAAGTGAGGGTGGGAGGAGAGTTGAGGTGGGCGTTCTTGATAAATGATGTTTATGGAGGAGACAAGCAGAGCGGGGGGCGCGTTGAGGAGAAAAATAAGCTCATAGCCAGTTCCCAATCGGCTCGTTTGATTGAGATACCCCGTTTTTGGGAGGGAGGTTGAGGGCTAGGTCTAGTTTTGGGGGGGCGTCGGCCAGTGCGCTCTTTTTAGGGCTCGCTTTGATGGGAGACTTTGGCGGGGACCTGTCCTGTCTTGGTGGGCCTTCGCGGACCGTAAGATGTGGCCACTCGTCTTCTACTGCCGCAGAGACCCAGGTCCTGAGACAGTCATGGACGGAAGAATAGAATTTCTCTTTGCAGGTTCGGAGGGTGCCGCCCATGACCTTTTCGAACCCTGATGCGCGGAGTTCTGACCGGAGCTGGTTGCGCTCCTCCGCTGTGGGCAAGCATGCGATGAGCCCGTTGAGGAGATCGATATGCGATGCAAGATAATTAGTCGCGTCCCACTCCACCCCGCCGACGTAGGGCGCAGCAGGGACGGGTGGTCGAGGCGCCGGAAAGTGGCGCTCACGATAACTCTCAGAGGAGGACTTGTCGGATTCCACGACTGGTATCACGTTGAGGTGATGCAGGAAAATCCAAAATACCTCTTTGGTCACGTTTGTTACTTCCTTGCACCAGACTCGGTATGGGCGCGATTGATATATGTTCGCGATGAATGAGAGGGGCTGGTTCTCTTCGGCTGGATCTTTGAGATATGATAGGATTCGCCCGGCACGGACTGCTGCATCTTCGCTAGACACTGCCGTCGAGAGCTGAGTAAATATTAGGTTGATGATGATGCCACGAGTGGTGAACTCGCTGGGCCCTTTCTTGTCCTTGTCAAACAACATGCTCAGCAAAGCAGGGAAGAGCTCCGCTTCAATGCTGGTCAAGCGCTGTAGCGCGACGGATGTTGTGCAAAGGGCCTTTAGGCATAGCAATGTTTCATGAAGAAGGTTGTCTTCGTGCTCTTCCCTGTTCAGAGTTAGCCGATGTGTCAAATCTGTATTGGAAGATATATCGTACCTCCACTCCACCTTCATGATACGGTAAACCAGCTGTACAATCTCATCCATGCCCCCTTCAGCAATAAAGCTATCAACCCAGCTGATAGTTTCATTCCGAAGAAGAATCCGAAGCTTGTGTATTTTGCCAACCTCGATAATTTCAGGCTTCCGTATCTCCTTGAGATAGTGGACAAAGTCCGAGGGATCTGTGGCTGTATCATGACGTGCAGTCGTGGCGAGGGAAGTGGTAGACGTGGAAGGTGTAAGTATCTTGGACAGCCCGTTGGGAGTACCGAAATCCGCAGACTTAGGGCGCCGGTGAGAGCCTCCACTCTCGGGCCGTGGCTTCTTCGAGGGCGATGACGAGTTGCCTCGGAATGTGAACCCACGGCTTCTGGATCGTGATCGGGACCCCTTGCTGTCGTAGCTGTCATGGTCTTCCTTCTTTTCCTTTCCACGTCCTCGACGCCCGGAGCCTTCTGCTGCATACGAACTCGCTCCGGCGCTGTGGGGTCCAGCACTCTCAATCTTGTCTTTCTCGATAAAGTCAGCCTTGATGTTGGTATCGAGCGACCTCATCTTGTCCCTCATGTTGTGTGGGATGTTCCTTGCGTCCTATCACAGGTTAGTGATACACAATGCTATAGGGCGATAGGGAGAGGTGCACTGACAAGAAGCTTCTCAAACTCGCTCTCAAGATCCTTCGCATTAAGCCGCTTCTGCAGGTCAGCTTCACGTTCCTTCGCATTGAATGCCGAGATGACTTCCTGCACCCGTGAGGCTTTCTTTGGGCTAGCTGGCGGCTGCAAGTCCAGTTCGGGACGAGCATCAGGACTCGAAAGTCCACGAGGCCGCCCGCGAACCATCTTGGACGACGAGGGGGACCCTGGCAGATCATTCGAAGTCTGCTTGCTTGACTGGAAAGGACCAAACAGATCCTTCATCTTGCTGCCCCCTACAAAAAAGTCCGACTTTGGGCGCGGCTTTGGATTGTTGCGGCTCGTCAGGGATGGTTGGTGGAAGTCATAGAAATTCCGTTGTTGGGCCGGCGAGTAACCTTTGGGGGTGTACAGCGAGACCTCCTCTTGCAGGGTTCGTCGCCTGTTGCTTCGCGCTGGGGAGGGGGCATCATCGCGGAATGATGGCGTCGGCGTTGAGGTCGACGTCGTCTCGTATTGAGCCCAGATCGGAGAAGGCAAGGTGTCTGTAGGATCAATGGGACTCCTGTTCTCCTTGTCGCGGATCCCTTTTGGTTCCTCCGCTTTCCTTCCGTGTTGGGACCGTTTCAAGATAGCGGTAAAGCTATTCGTCGACTTGGCCTTCTTCGGCGCGTTGCTTGGGTCGTCAAATGCTTTCTCCGGCTTGCTGTCCTTGCGCTCCATGTAGTTCCTGAGAGACTTTAGAGAGACGGCGCTCTTAGTCTTCTTGTGCAAGCCTCCCTTCCCGGGCTTTGTCGGTGAAACAGGGTAGAACATGCCATTGTCTGGCGCATCGTGGTTGGGAACAATCTCGCCGAGCGGTTGCTGAGCCGATGTGGCCGGGGTCGGACTCTGTTCCACTGGGGCAAGAGAGATAGTCGAGGGCTGGCTCGTGTAGGGCTGTGAGCGGGAAGCGTCGTCGGCGGACTGGTTCCGCTTGTGGCCCTTGGAGGACAGGAGTGATCGAAAGACAGAGGTTTTGGTGGGAGAGCGAGAGGCATCATCGAAAATTGCAGGCGCCTGAGCGATGCGAGCCATGTCTAAATCGTGTCTAGCCTGGAGCGAGGCAATGAGGATCCAGAGTATGAGACAGCGCTTGTAGAGCGGGTAGGCGCAAAGACTTACAACACCAAGAATTCAATAACACGGGACGATGCAGAAACCGACCAAGGGAAAAGCAAAGAAGATCAGGAACAAGCGGCAGGAGAGAAGATAAGGCGACGGAAAGAAGAAATGCAAAGCAACACGCGCAGCGACGATGCAAAAGACATTGAACGAGAAGCAAAGGCAAAAGCGCAGGAATGCAGCAGCTGGGGGAGAACTGAGCGGGAGCAGCAGCAGCAGCAACAGTTACCGCAGGAGACCGAGCGCGGGCAGCCAGGGAATTTGAAGCCTTGCACAGAGTTGGAGGGGACAACAAGCTTGAATCATCATCTATTGCCTGAGCCAATCTGTCGATGCCACTGCATTACAACGGCGACAGCGGGTTAGCTGCAGCCAGAGGAGGTAAACACGATGAGGTTGCTGGGGGCAACTCATTTAGTCTGCCGGGGATGGCGGATCACTGGCCATCAACGGTCCTCCACAGCTTGATCCATCGAATGATCATTCGATGTTCGAGTCACTCCTGCAGTCCTGGCTAAATCTCGACTCCAATAATGGGGTTGATCGTGACACAATGGCGGGGTGGGAGATCCGTCAATGTTGTTGCGTCGCTTGAAGCGGGCAGCGCGATATTATTATCTAGGAGGTTTATGCAGTCTGAACCGAAATAAAAAGATCAAGATAAAGTAATTGCCATGTTTGTGCCCAATAGAATGAGCAAGCCGGGACTGTAGCAGTTATAGCACAAACAGTAAATTTCGTGGGGGTTTCCAAGTTTGTCCGAAATGAAGCCAAAGTCTCCCCAGGAGGGTCACGGGGTGCCAAGCAAAACATGCTCACCCCATACTACGGAGTAAGTCCTCGTCAGATTATTGACAGAGGGGTTCGTCTGCATTGGTACCTTAATGCCATAAGCCTTATTCTAGAGTAGTCTAGACCTTTAGCGCCCCAATCCTTGATTTCAACAAGTGATGTTAGTGTTGACATGAGATAACGTACTCACATTCGTCCGTTAAGTAGGTCAATCTGACTGATATACAAGAAATTTGTGATATATAACATGGTCCCAAGAAAAGAATAAGAAAAAGCAAAGCATGTAGTAATGTATGTAAATGCAGACACCGGCTATGCACGTCTCTCATCATGAACTTTGAATGACTAGCTAGTATGCTCCTTCCTCGGTACAGCCCCAACAGCTGCCGGCAATCCTATTCCAAAATGCAAGGTACAAAGTGTTGAACGGGTCGTGTAAAGTTAATAATGCATAGTCTGAATGAGTAATGTTATCGTATCAGTCGTATCAATGTGCGGTGATTGCTTTGAAAATGCCCTTGAGCTTAGCGGCAGCGCTCGGCGGGGGAGTCGGATCGCGCCTCCGACGATGATGGCGGCGTCGACGTTCAGGATCGTCCCTTGATCGATAAGCCTCCTCCTGAGGTTCTTGGTAATCTTGATGTTCTTGCGTCTCGACGATCACCTCGGACTTCCGCCGGGCTCTTCGTGTCTCGCGGGGAGGGTCTTCTTCCTTGCGACGAGAGCCACTGGACCGCTCATGGCTATCCCTCCTTTCGGTCGAATGACGGTGGCCATGAGAGTGGCTGGCAGACGATCGCTTCCGTTGCTGATCAACGATATTCGCAAGAGCCTTTGAGCCGCTAAGCTTTGGAAGCGGTCCGTTGCTTGTTACCTCCTCCTCGGACGGAGCATACTTGAGGAAGTGTCGAGGCTTAGGGACCGTGGATTGCGAATGTCTCGACGATGATTCCTCATTTCTGTCCTCCTCATGGCTACCCGAGCCCCGATGTCTTGACCTGTGTCCACCTTCTCGCTCCCTGGTGCTCATGGAGCGTTCCATACCCTCCGCTCGCCTCGAGCGTTCATGTGTCCTTTCTCTTTCCATAGTTGGGCGTTCTCTCTCGGTATTAGACCGGTGGTGTCGTCTGTGCTCCTTCTTCGACTTCTCCTCGTACTGTCTTCTTGATTCATCGAGGGCTGACAACCATCGCTGGCTCAGTTTGTTGCGTTCAGGCTTCGGCTGGGGCGGTGCGTGGTGGTGGTTATGGCGACGTCCTTCCGATGAACTCTTCGAAGGGCGTCGTTCGCCGTAGGTATCGTCCACGTAAGATCGTCTTCTCCTTCGTCTAGAGCGCTCTAGAGCCTCTGCGGCGACAAGGGCAAACCGATCACCAGGAGCATCTTCAGCACCAATCATTGCTGAGGTTTCTGGGATGAATGTTCTCGGAGAAGGTTCGCCGAAAACGTCCCTTTCTTCAGCATCCAATGGATCGTCAAGGGGACCAACTTGGGCGGAGTCTATCGGGACATCTGAGATGTCCAACGCCCTGGAAGTTTCCTGAACATCTAGATCAATAGGATGTTCCTCGACTGTTGAAGGTTCTTCAGCTGGAGCCGCCTCTGGGACTACCTCTACATGGGCCGGCTCAGAAGCAACAGGCTCGTCTGCAGGAGCATCCTCAGCTGGCTGCACTGGCTCAGGAGCTGGCTCTTCAACCGGTACTTCCTCAACAGCAGGCGCTTCCGCGGGTTGGGCCTCAGGCACCGGCTCTTCTGCGGGCAGGATTTCAACGGGTGCTTCGACGGGTTGCTCTTCCGGAGCCGCCGCTTCGACCGAGGGCTCTTCAGGCGACGCTTCCGCAGGCGATGCTTCTTCAGGAGCCTGCTCGGTGAGTGCAGTCGGCTCTTCGATTGGTACTGGCTCTAGTGACCTGGCCGCATCGTCCGGAACATCCGCCGCCGGGGCAGTCTCAGCGACTTCTTCAGCGGGTTCAGCAGGGGTGGGATCCTCCGCAGATGCTGGGACAGAAGTCTCGGGTTCCTTGGCCTCAACTTCGACTGATGGCTCTTGTGCTGGCACTTCTTCCTGTGCTGTTTCCTCTGGAGCAGGCTCGCTAGGCGCGGGCTCTTCAGGTGTCTGCTCTGGAGCTGGCTCCTCCGCGGGGGGCGATTCAACTTGTACTGGCTCTGGAGTCTCGTTGGCCGCGACAGGCTCTTCAGGTACTGGTTCATCAGCTTGGGGTTCGGCTTCGATGGTTTCGGGTGCGCTTTCTGGTGTCTCATCGACAGGCGCGGCGGCTGCTGCTGCTGTCTCTTCTACCGAAGCGGCTTCTTCGGCAACGGGCGTCTGCTCACCTTTGTCCTCGATTTCGATACCTGGTTCCTCGGGGGCGCTCTCCGTGGGATTCTCCTCTGCAGCCTCAGGCTCTGGGGCTGCTGCTTCAACGCTTGGTGCAGCAACTTCGGCTTCGGCCACTGGTTCAGGTTCCTTCTCTTCTACAGGGGGTTCCGCCGCTGCCTCTGGTTTCTCTTGCTCATCTTCGAGGTCAATAAGTGACTCTGCCTTTCTAGCTGCTTCCTCTGCTTCCAATTTGGCGTCCTCCTCGGCCTGCTGTGCGGCGGCTTCTTTCTCGGCCTCAACTTTATCGAGTGCAGCTTCTGGGTCGCAATCTGGAAAGTCGTCTTCCATGATTGATTAGCAACGTACTATAATCATTTGAAAATGGATACACACCGTTTGTAGGCCCTCCAGCAGCCGTGACCACAGGCTGCTCTTCAGGTTCCGCTGCGGCAGCTTCCTCTACTGGCTCCGGGGCTGCTTCAAGTGTCGGTTCTGGCTCAACGGGTGCGTCAGGAGATGGCGTTTCGCTGACTTCGGCGGCTGGCGCCTCTTCAGTTGCTTGCTCAGCAGGCGGTTCCGGGGTTTCACTGGGTTCCGCTGCCTTCACCTCCTCCACAGGCTCTGGCGCAGCGCTCTCTTCAACCGATTCCACCGACAGAGGCGCTGCCACTTCACTTGGCTCCGGAGCAGGTGCTTCTTCAATAGGTGCAGCAGCAGGCTCAGGTTCATCCTCAACCTCTGCAGCAGGAGCCTCTACTTGAACGGCATCCGCAGAAGGCGCTAGCTCCTCGCTCTGCTCTACAGCTGGTGCCGCAGCTTCTTCTGTGGGTGGTTCTGTGTCGGCCGGAGCCGGGACGGGCACCTCTTCAGTAGTCTCAGGTGGAGCTGGCTCATCTGCGGGCCCTGAAGGCTTGTTGTCTGGTACAGGCTCCTCGGCAGGGTTTGGCACCTCAACGGACTCGGCTGGCTTTTCTTCAGTTGGTTCTGTAGCAGGCTCGGCTTCAACAACCGCCGGCGCATCTTTTGGCTCGTCGGCTACTTCTGCTGCACTTTCCTCCGGAGCGGGCTGCTCTGGTTCTGTGACAGTCTCGGCCACTGGTTCTTCGGCGGGGTCTTCGGCGGGGTTTTCAGCAGCGGGCGCCTTTGGCTCCTCGGGAGCCTCCGCGGCTGGTTCATCTTCGGTGACTGCCGTAGCTGGAGGCTGTTCGCCGGCAGGTTCTGCGGCTGGTGCCTCTTCAGCGGGCGCTTCTGCCGGTTCGGGAGCAGGCGACTCTGCTTCGACGGCGGGACTGGCCGGGGTCTCATCTATGGAATTTGCTACAGGAGCTTCTGCGGGCTCGCCTGGTTCAGCAGCAGGCTGCTCAGGTGTCTCTACCGTGGGATCCTCAACGGGAGCCTCGGCGGCAGCCTCTGGTGTTGAATCCCCTTCAGCGGTCTCAGCAACAGTAGTCTCTTCCTTTGATTCCGCAGCAGCAGGTTCATCGCCTGCTGGCTCTGTCGCAGGAGCTTCGTCGTTAGCCGGGGTCGCAGCAGGTGTATCTGGTTCCGTAGACTCGGCGGTGGTGGGCTGTTCCTCGGTTGATTCAGGCACCGGTGTATCAGCCGGCTCGCTTGTTTCGGCCGTAGGCTGTTCTGCCTCTTCCGCTGGATCTACAGTTGCGGCTTCCTCAGTAGGCTCCGAAGCTTTCTCTTCCTCGCCAGCTTTCTCAGCAGCAGGCTCTTCCCTAGGCGGCTCCGTTGGAGGGACTTCGGCGCTGGCAGCCTCTGTACCTGGTGCATCCGGTTCAGTGGTCTCAGCTGGTGGCTGTTCATCGACTTGTTCTGGCGCAGGTGTGTCAGCCGGCTCGCTTGCTTCAGCAGCAGGCTGCTCTGCGTCGCCCGCTGACTCGGCGGGTTCCTCTTCCGCGGTAGGCTCTGGAGCAGGATCTGCGGCAGGCGCTTCTGCCTCTGCAGGGGGTTCCGACTCAGAGGTCGTCGGCTCCTCTACAGGGTCTGGAGGTGTCGTTGCTCTCGACGAAGCTATATATGGTTAGTGAAAGATTGCAGCGAAGGGAAAGGTACAAGCGCAGTGAACTGGTTCAACGAAAGACCAGGATAGCATACCTTCAGCCTCCGTTGCGGTAGCATCATCAGAAGAACTAGTGGATTCATCCTTTGGAGGGTCTACTGGGGCATCTTCCTTTGCGTGCTCGGCGGGTTTGTTGTCCTGAGTATTAGGTGTCAGACGAGAATCCGCAGTGATAGTTTTATAAGAGAACTGAGCCGTAGCTTGGTCGTAGGTCTGATAACGAAGGTAATTCTCGAATGAGGGATACTCATACGTGGGGAGCTGTGCGTACATCGACATGGTCCTCGGATTCCGCCGGGTCGGCAATGGGGTCGGAGACCTTGGACTCTGGGTTGGATTGAGGGTTGTCGTTTATCGGGGCTCGTTTGTTGTTGTTATTCTTCTTCTTATTATTGTTCTTCTTTTTGGCCATGGCAGGAGGCTAGGGGTGTGGCATCTAAAAATATGATAGGTTCGGATGGCGTGAGGATTGAGTAACGAATATAAATCAATGAGACGTCAGGTCTCGGACGCCTGTGTAATCCTCGATTGAAGGGGGGCGTTCGTTTGAGGGGCAGGTGAGCAGTCAATTGCAAAAAGGAAAGAAATATGAGGCGACGAGACAGGATCGAATTGAATTGTGAGAGAAGAAAAGATATTGGATGGCAGGGTTGAGCAAATATTCATGCTCTGGCGGATCGAAAAAGAAGGGAAAAGCAGCGGGAATCCCGTCTATCCGCCAACCGCAGTAAGGTCCCTGTGGAAGACCAAGGCGAGGCGACGTATCGTAGTTCGTCCAGCATCCAGCTGTTTGGGAGTCACCCCAAATTGTCGAGATTTGGGCTTGAAACTGAGGATGTCATCTACGAACTACCCAACGGCATTTGTTCTCATTGGGCCACGTCTCACAGGACCCATGCCCTGGTGGGCCGATTGACGAAGAGGAGACGTGCCCCTCTCTTCGGGGACATTGCAAGTGCAATCAGGGTGCAAGCAGGTATAGGCTGGCCGCATGAGAAGCGTGCAGTAGGAGGCAATAGCGTCCGAGTGATAGACCGGGCAGCGATACGGCAGCGTTGGGCGCGGTGTGCGCGGTGTGCGCCGTATGCGTGGCTTTAGCACAGTGGCACTACTTCTTGCCTCTCGGGCACTTCGGGTTGCTTTTTCTCCAGTAGTCCTTCGTCGTTTGAGAGGCTGGGCCAACAGGTAAGCGCTGATGCAGACCGACAGTCACGAGTCAGGCCCGGAACGTCGAAAAGATTCCCCTGTCGCAGCCCGTTCCCTGGAAGACGTTGATAGAGGTCGAAATTGTTGCTGCCAGACCAATTCATAATTGACAAAACTGGCTGCGATTGGCTAATAGTACCGATTCAATGGCAGACGGACTGTTGCGCTCCTGAGCTTGGATTCGTGAGCATTAAGCAGAGATGTGCTCATCTCCCCCACCATGAGTTCTGCCCAACACCTGCATTCGGCGAGCGACAGGAGACTGCATGGGTCCAAACCGGGGCTTGGCCGGAGGTGACGGTGTCAGGAGTCTGAGGAGTGTCATTCAATTGTGGACGAACATTTTCCGGAACCTTGATGACAAGGGGTTTACTGGAGTAAATCAAAGAACATAATTTTGATGCAAAGAACTGGTGATCCTGGTTTGTTGATGGTTTCGAGGGCGTGGAAAGAAGAGGAGGAGGGGAAAAAAAGGAAGAGTTTCTCCACGGCGGACAAATCAGCAGCCCCGCGTCGATCACCGGACCCAGCAGCCAACTCAGACTCACACCGCGATCTCTCTTTCCTGAGTCATCATTTCTTCTCACCATCTCACCATCGAAGAGCTTGGAAGTGAGCAGCAGTTTCCAATATCAGTCATATCATGATCAGCATTCTCAATGGGCAGCGGCAACATCCACTCGAAGTAAGAATTATCCGAGAACCTCTCTCGAGGATCTTGGTGGCATCTTAATTTGACAAAGTGAGGCGAGGACGTCCGTTTGGCAACCGATTCATGTCCGTCCATGCATCCGAGCATTGCACCGTTCTTTGATTCGAGAGAAACCTTGATAAAGCTCAAACCAGCTAGCCATTAGATCTCAAAATTATTCTTAGGCTTCTCGGCCCAAAATCCTGAAGGAAAATTTGGCTCAGCAATCCTTCTATTTTGTCGCAGAGTGCATCAATGCATACAACATACATAAGGGCTTGGACAGGCATTGCGGAGGCGAAACCTTCCCATGCTTTCCACGTTGCTGGAGATGCTCCGATCGTCAGGCAGAATATTCGCGGTCAGCAGAGGGGACAATGGACATTGAACACGAAATCCCCGAAGAGCAAGACTCGGGTCACAATGACATCAAGAAGTCCTTGTTTTGTCGAACAACCGGTGTCCACATGAGCGCAACTGTCCTACCATGTCATGAACTTGCTCTTATGGAGTAGGGCTATGAGGTGGCGCGGCTGGCTGAATGCCGCAACTCTAGCTCCATCCAAGACGTACTCCAAGTCTCTGACTGGAATCGTTTGGAGGCGACGCAACTGCCTGAATAAGCCCAATTTTTTTTCTACTCAGACTAAGCGGCCTGGGTGAACGAGCGCGAGTCCACAGACCAAGTACTATGGAAGAAGCTCAGACATACCATTACGCTGGCCAGGTTCTCACTACTATACTTCGAATATCCGTACTAAGCCCATTCACCACCCAGTGGTCTAACAGCATCAAAGACTCGACATTACGTTCTAAGATCACATATTCTATCATGAACCTGAATAGCATCCTTACTCTTCGCGCACCGTGTTCCGCGTATTTCCAATAGTCCATGACGTCTATCTGGTTTGTAGGATAGCATGACATGTCCGGATCCTGTTTATTTACCTATCCCCGCATTCCTGCCAAAATCCCTCAGGATGGCAGGAATGCTAGCCCTCTATAAATGACGAACATGAATGTTCCCGAGAGCTTAGCCCTCCAACTAGCAATCTTCAGTTTATCTTCCATTGACATACAGCTCATTAGCATCACCTTAATACGCGCAACCCCTCTATAACCTCAAGATGAATCCCACGACTCTCCTTCTCTCCTTCTCCCTCCTCGTTTGCACTGGCCTCGCGGACAAGATCTGCACCCCTAGCTTCGACTACTGCGCGAGCGAGTTGATCAAGTCCAAGGGTACGTATCTATTCTTCTAATCTCGCCCCTCATTGCTGAGATACTAATCAACGCACGTACAGGCTTCACAGAGGCGGACCTCAAAGATGCACTAAAGGGCACGGAGTATGAGAGCGCCGACCCAAACAGTATCCTATACCACTGCACGAACCCCGGGGCCATTGGACACCCGAAACTCTGTCCTTCCGGATGTGCGGACTCGGTGCAGGAGGGAAGTAAGAAGTGCTAGGGAGGAGATGTGTACGATTAGATTGACAGGTATCGACAGATATGTATTCGAAATTTGAATTACTCGCATGCCAGACGCCCACTAGTTTTTGGAAATATCCTTCTCAAAGAAAACCCTCTCATACCCATCCTGCACCCTCCTCCCTACCTCCACAAATCCCAGTTTCCGATAAAGGCCCAGATTCTCCCACATCTTGATGTTCGTATAGAGCGTCAATGCCCGTCGTCTCTGCGCTCGCGCTCTCTCCTCCGCAAACTCCATAAGAAGTCGTCCGTACCCTCGTCCCTGTGCCGCAGGGTCCACGACTAGGCTGCCGACTTCTAGAGTATTTGATTCGTTGTTTGCCTTGAGTATGATAGAGCCTTCTATGGTGCTATTGTCTTGGAGGACGTAGACTTCGTGGGTCTGAATGATCTCGGTGTATTTGGCCAGCATTGGAGCCGGGGGCTTTCCAATTCGCTCGATGTACTTTGTGAATGCTGCGGTTACCATAGTTTGTATACGGCTGATGTGGACGGGCGTTGCTTTGATAATTTGGGGTTGTGGGGGAGAGGTTGTCGATGACATTATGCTGCTGCGGCGCGGACTTTGGCGAGGATAGATTTGAAATTTGCGTACGAATCTATTCTTATCGATAGATGACCCGCGGTGGATATATAGGTATACCGCAGTCCTGTGATTTTAGCTTGGGGATGTGGTGCGGTATGTAGTGTGAGTCATCCCGAATACGCTATTGAGTCTCAGAGCAACCCCAAGATTCATAGGACCAGACATTTGTAGACCTGATATCAATAAGTAATTTACAGTGACCGTGCCTCTCTAGCATGGTAGTGATGACTTCTCCTTTATATTTATCCTGTATGTGATAACCCTAAAATGCAGAAGGGCAGCCTCGGTCCCAAGAAAGGCAAGAGCAGGCCATGGCTCCTTCCCTCTAGGTATCTCAACTCGCACCTTCCTAAATCCTAAATAGTACGAGTCATATCACTCGAGGCAGGTGCGATGGACAGTCCTCGTCCATCGTACCTTCCTTCTCGCAAGGGGTTTGCCTTCCTAATACTTCGATAGCTCTTGCAAGGCAAGTGCGACCAGGCCGATCTATGCCCATCGTTCCTTCCTTTTTGGATGTAGAGTCGTACCTTCCCAAAATATCCGTGAACAATTTTCGCCGCGGGGAAGGTGCAATGGAGGGCTGTCACCCATTGCGCCTTCCTTCAATCACTTGGTAAACAACCGCGCCCTCCTTGTATCTGGTGACCTTTTGCAGGGAAGGCGCGATCCTGATGCTCCAGCCGCTCTTTCCTTTTACGTCAAAGGTCGTACCTTCCCCGAATGGTCAAGAGAGGTAGTCCGTTGCGCTTTCCCAACAGAGGCTCCTTCCTAAACAGCCATAACCTTCACGAGGAAAGTGCGATGAGCCCAAAGAGGATCTTAATATATATGGAAAGTACTACCAACATGGTCGATATGACTGAAATATGTAGATGGGTCCTCTGCATTGGATTGGCAGCCATAACCCTAACTCCGCGATATATTCACCCGCAGAACCGGGAACCGGAGCACATGAACCACGGAAAAGTGCTCTATTTTACCCGGATTTGGATCTTTAGTAGGCTGCAGAGACCCTGTCCTACTCATGGAGTACAACAAATGACTCAGTAAATGTCTGGTTCGATCCAGACTCTGTGTCCCGCCTCTGTGACATCAACCCCAGATCATTACATACATAACCACTTCATCACCTCGCCACGAGACTATATATAACCACTTCTGCTAATAAGACTCCATAAACTTCTCTTCTCATTTTACGAATTCATCTCCGGGCTTTCCAATAGCCTACGGAAAAGACGACTAAGGAAAATGACAGACCCCGAATACCGCCTCTTCCAAACCCTCCCCTCCGTCAACTCCTCTGCCACCTCCAATCGCAGAGACGCAGGACAAGCCGGTGACAATGACGCTGACATCTACGACTATACCGATATCATCACCGACACATCCACATCCACAGCCGACCGTACCGTCAACGAAGGCTTGGTTACGGAATCTATTGCGTCCGACAATGGCGAAGGCACCACCGTTTATGACCCTGACATCTTTGTACAATCGCAAAAATCATGATGATGATGCTTTTGGGAGGTATGATGGAGTGCCTACTGGCAACTCTTGACCAGGTTTTGGCCGTGGAGGAATAATGCTACTAGCCTTAATACCTGTCTTGTCTAGTTAATACCTAAATTGCACTTTAATCATGCAGTAAGCTCGCGGCTACTATTTAAGAACTTGCAGGTTGCATGATATTTAAGGTAGGTCTTATAGGTCACTTTACTAGTCCTTGAAAATTCCCTATTTTTAGGAGGTTTACTTAATATCTAGGAGTATGCCTGTATGGATTACATACAAGCCTTATCTCTCCTTTCTCCTCACGAAAAAAAGCCCACTCTACGGAGATCTTTTAGCCCTAATATTTATATTTGAAATCCAAGTACTATATATCCTGTAGGTAAACAGGAAGAGTTCCTTTTCTCTAACGATCATCACATTCCCTGTAAAACCCCATAGATAGGGTTGGTTTCCAATATGGACACTTAGTATTTTCCGTTTCTATACCGCATGCAGCGCAATTTGAGCGTTTGGCCCTGCCACTGACCAGGAAACGGTTCCTCGGGACGATTCTGGCAAGCGCTTTGAAGTCAAGGATATTTTGCCTGGCGAGTGCGGCCGTCAGCTTCACACTAGTCAGCTACCTAGCTACTATTTCCTCTTGACCTAATCCATATCAAGACTCCGATCAAAAGGTGGAATGAAGGCAGCAACTGTCCTCTTGGGACGAGTCTTCTGGACGGCCTGAGGGCCTCATGTGCGCTGATAGGTCCCGCCTCCATGGCATGTGTGTTGCCTCACTTCAAGTTCTGCGACAGCTTCCAAGTCTTTACTTCACTACCTAATAATTTTTCCAGGCTGACTCCCACCTCGAGAGGAAGCGAGAAGCCTAGCTCCAATTCCCTAGCATTGTTAACTGATAGTGCAAAGTAGGTCTGGTCTAGTTTACTTTGCATCCAAATGTCTATCAACGGCGGTTCCAACCAAGACTAGACCCATATCAAACCAACCCCTTCAGCACGCCAGGCCGAATGCTTTCAACGATCTCACAAAACTCATCCCAAACCCTTTTCCCTGCCAAGCCACCATCCTTACCTTGAACCCATTTGCCGAGGGCTTCCGGCGCAGGAATCCCATTCACCATAAAAGCACCATGCGATTCCCTCCCCGCTGTCACGCCGGCAATCACAGTCCGAGAACCCTGCTCCGCAGTCCTCGCAAACAACCTCTTCCAGAGATTAAACGCCACCTCCTCAATCCCCTTATTCTCCCTCGACAGCTCCGTATCACAGAATCCCGTCTCGACCAAGTTGATAACCACCCCAGGGTCATTGTCGAGTCGCGAGACAAGTTCCCGGGTAAGCAGAACGCCGAGCAGTTTCGTCACGGGGTACCGCTCGTCCATCTTCGCTGTCTTCTCATCGCTCAGCGCGACGAACACCCCGCGCGGATCCTTCCACTGCGGGAATTGCGGCCACGCGTGCACCTGGCTGGTGAGGATGGTGAGATGCGGGGGGCGGAACCGGTTCGGATACTCGGCGCCTGTCTTTTGGAGCTTTGGAAGTAGGATGAGCGCGAGGAGGAATGTCGAGATGTTGTTTACCGTCACCGAGGATTCATACCCGCCCTCGGCGAGACTGTAGACCTTTGTCGCGATAGCTGCATTCGCGATGAAGGCGTCAAGGCGAGGGAGCGCGAGAGCCTTATCCGCGAAAGCAAGCACGGATGCTGTATCTGCCAGGTCGAGATGCCAGACCTCAATTCCTGAAGCGCGGCCCGTGGAGGACTCGATGGAGGCGCGGGCGGCTTCGCCGGAGGCGAGGTTGCGGACTGCGAGGATGACCTTTGCCGCACCGAGGCGGGAGATGTGTCGGGCTGTTTCGAGACCGATGCCTGTGTTGGCTCCGGTGATGATGACGACCAACTGGGCGAATGAGTAGGGTGGTAACTGCGGGTGGACGAAGAGTTGGTTGTAGACAAAGGTTGGGAACCCCATTTTGATATGTGGACTATTTTGTATGGGATATGGGGTTAGTAATGTAAGGAATAATGAGATATAAAGTGAGATGGTAGTGAGCTTACAGTCTTATAGTCCATGGTTCGGGTCAACCTAGCCCTACCCTAGTAATACCCGGCAACAGGCAGAATGGGTGACGACTAACGAATGACTCGTAGCCCGTTCAACCCTCATTACTCCCAAGGTTCGTATGCGCTAACCCAATTAGAAGTAGGGCTGCTCAGCTCAATGACCCTTTTGCAATCACATATACTTTCCCTGTCATTGCATAAGAGAATCCATCTTGTCTCTCCATCCGCCCCCGAAATGCCTCATTGCAACTATGACCAGACTACTGGCAAAAGCCGCAAACCCAGCAATCGTAAAGAGCCACCCATTGCCTATCCCATTGATAACAGGCACCGTGACAAAAGATCCCACGCAGCTGAAGATGTTCCTGACAAAGTTATTCAGCGCGACCCCCTCGCTAGAGCGTCGGGGGAGCATCTCCGTTAGCATTGTGGTTACGACAGCAAAGATTAGCATAGAACCGACTCCAAAGAAGAAATTCGCGATCATCGGCGCAATCCAGAAGACGCCTTTTTCAACGGTCCAGCCGTACCAGATTAGGCCGGCTGGGTAGAGCAACGCGCCAACGACGGCGTTTTCGCGCATGCGGTCTTCGGGTCGGTATATCAACTTGCCATTTTCGTCGTAGCGGTTTGCTTTCTTGGCTTCTCTGATCATGATATTATCGATCCATTTGCCGCCAAAGATGCTAGAGATGAAGTAGCCGAGGGAATTTGGGATGTACAGCAGGCCGACTATCAGTGTGTCAAAGTTGTAAGGGTCTTTGACGAAAGAGTGTTCAATGCTGATATTTAAAACGTAAAGTAATCCAAAGGTTATCGCGGCGTAGTAGACCGTTAGCAGAACGGGGACGTATCGGAGGTATAAGATAATCTTCAGAGGGTCTATGAAGACGACCTTGAGGAGCTTTAGCCACCTCGCTGCTGCGCCAATGACCTGTCGCGAGGAGACTCGGCTTAGACGCCGTCCAATCGGTTCTTCTTGCTCTCTTTGTTCCGGAAGTAGAGGCTTTGTCGATAATAGTGTCTCTGGCAAACCAAATATGATCAGGACAAGGATACATCCCCCGTACGCGGAGAAGAACCACATTGTAGCTCTCCAGTGCCAGCGCTGGGCCAGAGCTCCGCCGATGATAGGAGCAATCAAAGGTCCAGCTAAAGGGCCCTGTTCCCATTAGCCCTAGCCATTGGATCTTATGTTGACAAACTTACCAAATAAAATATCGACATTGCGTGCCCTCTCTCGCGCGTATCCCAGATATCAGCAATTGTGCCAGCGCCAACGGCCTGTACTGACGAAGAGGCACCTCCAGACAAGAGGCGCAGGATGATCAGCATTCCGATAGAGGTAGACACGGCGCATAGGACATTAAAAATGACAAATAAGCAAAACGACGCAAGGTATACGGTCCTACGTCCGAGGCGTTCACTGAAAGACGACCAGAATATGGGAAACACTGCCATCGCAAGCATATAGAGAGATATCGTCAAATTCGTGATAGTGGAAGTTGCCCCGAGGTCCCCGCTAACCTGCGTCAGAGCAGGGAGGAAGATGGCACTCCCGAACGGGGCGACAGATCCTGCAACCGCAACGATGAATGTAATAAACCATTTTTTGTTCCGGGGATACGTCTTGGGATTCTCAACTTCTTCGAGCAGTGTGAGTTGGGCGAGGAGGCCACGTCGCTTGAGTCGAGGAACCACTACCGGCAGGTCATCCTCTGGCTGAGAGTCGGAGACGACAACCCGGTCCTCTGCGTCTTTCCCCTGAACAGTTGGAGTGCGGTCTGAGGCCTGCGAGATCGAGTGGTCGTCGTCTGATACTGTACTGGCAAGTTCATGCTGCGGTCCCTGGGGGTTTTCCCGGGATTTCTCCTCCATATCGTTCTATATTCCGTCTCTCATAAAGCATAAGTCGATAGTTTAGGTCCGGTGTTCAGGGTCGCTATCTATATTCAGTCCCTCATCAAGCGTAAGTCGATGACTCGGGTCCGACTTTCCAGGTCGGTATTGTATATATATACGTCCCTTAGTGACTGCATCAGAACACCAAAAGTCAAGAAGAAGAGAGGGCAGAGAAGAAGAGAAACAAAAAAAACTTATCCCAGTCGCGATATCAAGCATCTTGACCTTGCTGGGTCCTGTCCACTTTCAATGAAGCGGGTGGGCCCGCTTCTGGTCCTCAGAGAATCTGAAAAGTCCAGACGACTTGCCGTTCCAACCGAAGAACCAGTAGGAAATGGTGCAGCATTCTTGGGCAGAAAAAGTGGAAACGCCGTCGGCTACGTATCTTGAGATGGCGCCTTGCCGAGGTCCTGCTGGATAAATATCCGTCTTCATAGTCAGCTTAGCGTTGGCTTGCGTCAACATTATTATTCTTAAGCGTTTCTGCGGTCTGAGGTCGGGGTCTGCAAGCCATAGAGTTTGCTAAATAGATAGTTGAGTTGTGATCGCTGCCAGGATGTCGCCGTCACTCAAAAATTTTGTATGGGGCACTGCAACCCATTCTTCCATGGTCCCGTGACCCTCGCCTATCTCGTCTTGACCACTGCAAAGAAGACTTGAACCGATACAGGAAGTAATGACATTCATAAAGCTATCCCGTAGCGATACAGATGGTAATGAGAAGGATTTTTGTCATGAGGAAGAGGTCTCATGAAGATCAAAGTATTTTATAGAGGTCATTGGCCCTTCGCTCCTTCAGGCTTCCCTGACACAGATCCCATAGATTATTTGAGAAATGGCGTCGAGTAATGGCCGTAGGCCCATTTGAAGACATATCGAGGTTCGTATAATGATGAGTCGAGGCCGGAAGAAGGATGCACGCAGACCCCCTTCTACCCTGCTACCCCTACCACGTGCCTAAAGAGGGGGAAAAGATTCTAACCCCATTGCAGCGAGGACCTTGCACAACGAAAGCTCTTGAAACTGGAGAAATATCAACTATGTTGGGGAGCAAGCGAAGGGCCAATGACCTCTATAAAATACTTTGATCTTCATGAGACCTCTTCCTCATGACGAACATCTTTTTAATGACAATCTGTATCGCTACGGGATAGCTTCCTGTATCGGTTCAAGTCTTCTTTGCACCACCTTGTCTACGGTCTCGGAAATAATCAGCTTTTTCTTGACAGCGTACTATCGTCTAACGGGCCTGCGTCAGCTCATTACGAGTACACATTCCAAGGGATATGTGGATTGACCAGCTTTTATTGAATGACGAGCATCTTCTGGCAATTTCTATCGATCTCGAAGCTACTATGTCTAGAAGGGAACTCATACTTCGACAAAACGGATCCTACCATCTAGAAGAGGCTTCACAATCGGCAAAGAATCCTCAGGGTTTCGACCTACAACGGTCACAGCCCGAGCACGCGCAATGTTCAATGCGTGAACACCATGGGGCACCTCCTCATTTCCCCCAAACATCGTAAGCAGCAAGCCTGAGTCTGTTACTGCCGCCTCATCGCTCACGAGCGTCTCGGCCGCCGCAAACCAGGTGAATCCATCGTACCCAAGCGCGATGAAGGAGGGCATTGCGACGGCATACTCTCGCGCTGGGTTCAGCGGCTCAAAGCCCCCATTGGGTCTCTCAACAAGGACATCTAGAACACGAGACCCCTCAGGACGCTTCCAGCAGGCTGTCATCCTAATCCCAGAAATCTGTAGGAACCGGCCATCCGTGTGCATGTCTGACACGCTATTCTCCAGCGCGAGCCGCAAAATCTCACCGGAGATCTTTTGCACTACCAGGGCATTGCCGAACGGGCAGACATCTACGCTGTCAGTGCTTGGTTAGCGCACAGCGTGATCAGGGCTTACTGATCATGTCTCGGACAAGCAATGGCTTCCCGTCGGGAACGGTTGCATTGAGGACTTGATCGATGCGGATTGCGCCGCTGTTGAACAAGCCAATTTCAGAGTGGTAGAATGCGCGGATTGCATCAGCGAGCATGTTGCCCAAGTTTGTCTCTTGTCGGCGGATCGTGAAGTTGCGGCCATCGAGGGGTATTGCACAATGCAGGAGCGGCTTCTGAACGAGAGACCCAACGCGCTCATGAATGCGCTCTATCGTCTGGACGAGATGCGCCGGGGGCGAATCCGGCTCGCCAACGGCAGCCTTGATATCGGTATACTGCCGCACTTCAAGGGTGTCTTGGGATCAGCTGCGCTGCGCTGCGGTCTCTGCACAGCAGCGAGCTACTTACATGTCACCGTCGATTTTACAGCAGCGCCATGCTCATCCCTGTGAACGATCAGCCGTATCAGCGACATCGCCCTCCAGTCAGTACCTGACTTTACGATCCTGATGTTGCTGCTCTCGACGTCAGGAACCATGCCGTTCTTTCCAACGTCGGCAATATGCCGTCCTTGCTCGAAATGATCGGGATTGAGATCCGTGTCCGCTGCAAATCTTCGCAGCACCTCATGATCATGCCCTCCGAGAAGCAAATCAATCCTACAATCTCCAGTCGCAGCCACATTGGCGACATTCATATCCTCCGGAAGCCTCATATGCGTGAGCGCAATGACCACGTCGCAGCGCTCGTGAACTCGAAGATAGCGAGCTACCCGCCTGGCGACTTTCCCAGGTGACTCAATCTCGCACGGCGGGAGGTCTTCGCAGTTCGAGGGCCAGTCACTGTATCATCAGCATACAACCCTTCCCAGCAGACCAAATCACCAAGACAAGATCAAAACCGGTAGTACATACGTCCCAGCAAGCCCGAGAAATCCGATGCGAAGCCCATTCTCCAGCTGCTTGACGAGGTACTCCTGTGCCGTTCCCAAGAACAGCTTTTCCTTTCCATTCGCCTTTCCATCGGGTAGATGGTACGCATTCGAAAGCACCCAGGGAAACTTGAGTTTTCCGCAAAGCTCAATGAGCCGAGCATTGCCAAAGTCGAAATCGTGATTACCGGGTGCGGCGACTTCAATCCCGACGAGGCCCAGAATTGGACATATCTGCTCGCCCTTGAGGACGCTGGATTCAAGGGAGGGGGAGAAAGCGTCGCCACTGAAGAGTGTTAGGGTTTGGGCCCGTGGATTAGAAGATGCGAACTCCCGCTGGATGTTCAGAAAGCTGGTTAAGAGGGAAGGGGAGGGAATGTGGTACTGAATAGTCAGTTGCATCATTCTTGAGAGTCAAGGGTCATGGTAGACACTCTAGTTCTTAGGAAGAGTGCACTTACAACATCGTTGAAATGAACGAGCTGGACCTCCACTGACTGCATAATGTCAGGCTTCTCTTCCTTCGGCACCCTTGAATGTGGAGAGCCCGGGAGAAGAAAAGATCGATATCAGGATACAACGGTTCAACGCTGATCTTTCATGGTAGAGCAGGGATCTGGAGGTGAGGCTGGGGTCGGTTCAGAGGATTTTTTTGGAGATTTGGGAATACGTCAAGGACGGGGACGATTTTTGACTCAATGCAAACGCATTCCCGTCTTTTTTTTTTTGGACCTGCTCTTTCAGGTTTGAACCTGCAGATTTCTTCCTAATATGAGTCAGAAAGGTCAACAACCAAGTCCGAGTCCTATGTACCATGAGGGGACGGCGTGTAGGCGGTTACTAACGGCAGAACGAGGACACCGTAGTAGTGGCTATCTGTGTTGTGGGTACGTCCCATAGTAACATTGATAGGCTTTTGCTAGAGCTACCTCTCGTCATCTCTCCTACTTGGATACGAAATGGCTTTTTGGGCAGAGCCCAAAGCCTGTTCTAACTGTGGGCTGATGCAAGCAGGTCACACACGAAAAAACTGCCCGGTGATCAAATGTTTTCGCTGCCACGAGCAGGGCCATATAAGCGATGACTGTCCAAACACCAAATGCAGTTACTGTCGCCGAATGGGACACTGCAAAGCCGAGTGCCCAAAGCTCAAACTGAAGAAGTCTAAAGGCCACAAAGCAGTGAATCACCCTTTCTCCCCTTCTCTGTCTACAGATCTTCGTTGAGATATCACGCTGACCTCTCAAAACACAATTGGGCCTCAGCCTCCACATTCGCCACCCACTGGTCAGAAAACTGGCATCGTGAGTTCTAAAGCTGCCTAGAGAAAGCTTGTCTACTAACTTGGATTCAGAACTCCTGGGAACTAGTCCCAAATGTTGTCTTTCCAACCCTTCACAGCACGATCTCTCAGTTAGCTTCGCGTCTCGTGGCCGATTCCGACGTCTACCTGCAGCGGCTTCCTTATCGCTCTGTAATTACGAGACTTGGAGGTCCACAGAAGGTAGCTCAGATGCTTTTAGAGTGGGTCGATCCTCAGATCAAGACACGACCACGGAACCTTCACACTTGCCGTCGAGGCTCTAGTCGCACCATGGGAAAAAAACAACGCCTCGTGCTGGTGCTGGTGGTCGAAGCTTTACTGTTGGCGACAAAACCCGAGAGGAACTCCTACAGGGCCGCAAATATTTCGGAACTCGGACGAGAAGAAACAATCTCTTTGTTGTGACAGTGCATTCATTCATTGAGCTTTTCCTTCAAGTTGAGAAGCCACCAGAGGAAGCCATTGTCAAGGCCGAGATTAAACCACCCGGGCAGCGGCACGCCCACGTGTGGGCCCGGGAAACCCTCAGCACAGATCCTGGGTCACGGTTGGCTTTTCGCGTTACGTACTCAAGGGATGCGGTGGAAATATCGTCGTATGCGACGTCGAATCTGGTAAGAGATCTCTATAAAGCCAATTCGTTTGTCCACTGGATGGAGGGAGAATCCGTTGCAAACATTATTACAAGACCAAGGCAATTTGTTACTGTGAGCTCATTGACCAGAACGCTTCCCAGGGGTATTTCGCAGCCCGGCTCTTTCTACACTAATGACCACATTACCTTAATTCCCGCCAAAGAATTTGACCCGCGCAAAAAGCACAGAATGGATACAATTTGAACAGGAGTCGCGGCTCTTGGAAATCTTGGCAGCCTTACTAGTAAGGTTGAGACGTGGTGTGATACACAAGCCGTGACTCGAAAAGCGATCAGGCTCTTCTTTCTCACTTACTGCTCAGTCGGGCCCTTGCAGCAGAACCTCGCGACGTTGGGCTTGACATGTGGCAGGCAATGTTGATTTGATATACTGCATACCCAACTTGATGATAATACATACTAGTGTGACTTCCAAGAGAAACAAAAATTAGTACCGCGTAGATCTGGGTAAAAGGCGGACAGTTCGCAAAACCCTAGCTAGCTAACAGCGTGCGTTGATAGATACATACTCTCTCTAATTCTGCCTGACAACCAATCCTCGGGGTACGAAAACAACCCTTCAAAAAAATTGAATCTGGCCCGAGCCGCGGATCGAACGCGGGACCTCTCGCAGTTATGCTAAGGGTAGACCCCTGGAGAATGTTAGGAAACTTAAAGACGTATTTGATTGTATTGTTAAAGATGACTTACTAAGCGAGAATCATACCACTAGACCACCCGGGCGATTGATATTTGACTGTACGATCTATAGGTACTATGACCAGTGTAAGAGGTGTACAATAAGTTGACCAGGTATAAGGTCACTACACCAAGAATAATGATTGTGCAAGACTAAACCTTGCTCCAGCAAGGTGATTGGGATTCCATAACGATACATAAGTGAAAGGAAGGTAGTATGCTAGCGTTACAATAGGGGGTCAATGACAGGACCTTCGCCGAACGCGGATATTTCATCGGAGACCTCGGAGGTCATAGCAGATGGCCTGTTTCCTCAGGCCACTCCGTGACAACCAGGGACTATGTGGTAGTTACACAAAGGAAACGAAAAAGAAAAAGATAGGCCCGAGCCGCGGATCGAACGCGGGACCTCTCGCAGTTATGCTAAGGGTAGACCCCTGGAGAATGTTAGTAAACTTAATTAAAGACGTATTTGATTGTATTGTTAAAGATGACTTACTAAGCGAGAATCATACCACTAGACCACCCGGGCGATTGATATTTGACTGTAGGATCTATAGGTATTATGACCAGGGAATATGTGTGTTACGGAAGGTTGACCTCTCAAGCCTTCCTAAACCTTGGGATCGTCTTGACCTAAGCCCTGACAATGGATTGACTTACTCAGGTCTGCTCAACGTCCAACTAGTATGAGGACTAGTCGCGGTCGGGGTTGGCTAAGGTGGAACGAAGCAAGGCCAGCCTTCACCACGTATGATGAAGCCTGTCAAGAAGTACTAGACGAAGTGTTATTACAAGAGTCTTGAGTCAGATTGATCTGAAGGTAGTACTGGGGATAACAATAGTATTGATCACGTAGAACAAGCAAACTAAATACAGGTGGGTAATAAGCGTCCTTATATGTCCTTCGTTTCCTACCATCCCCCTACCATCAAATGGTATCCGGGTGGTATATCTAATGAGCCGTCACTGTGCTTCCTACCATCTGGTGGTCCTTTAGATGGTATACGCACGTGACCTGTCGGCGTGCTGGGGTGCGGCCACTTTCAGCATCAGTTGCGCAAACTAGAATTCTACTTTATTAGAACTTCGTTTCCTTGGGCCACGGTTTGTGGTCCCCGCAGGTCTCGTATCCTAGGTTTCTAGTCAGCCTGGGTTCACTGTCTCTAGATCGCGATCCAGACTGGCTTGTAGTCTATGAGGGTTCTTGGTCTGTAGTTGTTGGTCGTCTGGTGTTCGTGGGCGCTTATTGGTGAGGTCGACCATACAACGGTCAGAGTATGACCATGGCCTCAGGTCCGCGCCTCAATGCCCTGGAGTAGCGGTTCCTTGTCCTGGGTCACTTCTGTCTTTGCCCTGAGGCATCCCCTCATTGCCTTGGGGCCTGTTTCTGTTGACCTGGGGCAGAACCTCCCCGCCCGGGGCAGTTCTGCCGTTCTGTACCGCCCTTGGGTAGGTTCATAATAATGTGACACACAAAGAAAACCAAAAAGAAAAACATAGGCCCGAGCCGCGGATCGAACGCGGGACCTCTCGCAGTTATGCTAAGGGTAGACCCCTGGAGAATGTTAGTAAATTTATTAACTAGAAGTTGTTTAGGAACTTACTAAGCGAGAATCATACCACTAGACCACCCGGGCAGTTGATAAATTTCGAGCAGAATATTTGACTATAAGTACCAGGAGTCTTGGGCACTCAAAACGTGTGGTAGGGCCAGATTTCTCCTCTGAGCACCATGTACTACATATACAACTAACCTTCTTCCAGAATAGCTCGAGGCTATTCAAAGCTTTTTGAAAGCTTTGACTGTGAACGTTTGATTTGGCTCCATCATTGTGTGGTCAGAATAACAACTGCTATGTGTGGAAGCAGAGTTGTATCTAAGAGCTCGCCTGACCCCAGCCGCCCTGCGCCGCTCCTACTCGCTTAAAAGATCATGGAATGACTAGGAAATACGGAGTAGTTACAAATGAGATTGCTTGAGGAACATAACGCAGGCATGGGACAATACATTCTAAGTACAGCTCAGGGGAGTTGGAACGAGAGAGGGGTTAGTACTTCCAATAATCAGCGGAATTGTACAGCCCCTCGCGGCTCACAGGGAATACCTAATCAAGAAGCAGATAACGTTCTGAGATTTCACCGGGGGGGAATCACACTACAGCAATGCGTGCAGGATGAAGAAGTTGGAGATCGATGTAACCAACAAAGAGATGTATCGTAGACTAACAATTATGAATAAAATCTTGAGGCTACTCGGATATTAACTGCCCGGGTGGTCTAGTGGTATGATTCTCGCTTAGTAAGTTCCCAAATAACTTCCAGTCAACTTAGTTTCTAACTTGTCTCCAGGGGTTTACCCTTAGCATATTTGCGAGAGGTCCCGCGTTCGATCCGCGGCTCGGGCCTGTACTTTTTTTTTTTTCCTTTTTTTCATCCTCCCATTCTCTTTTCCTCTCTGACTGCTCTTTTACAGCCGTACATCTGGGGCAAAGCGTTCAGTGGCCATGCCCAACCTCCAACGCTCGACGTCTACTGGGCCATAAGCCAAGGTTACTCTTTGTCCTCGCGAATAGCCTTTGTCCTCTACCATCCTGCTAACATGGCAGGCGTATGTAATAATAAATATCTCGAATACCCCATCTAAATGTTACTGGAACCACGTTATGGGGTAAGCGGTCCATTTAGCTCGCTAAAAAAATATATATGTGTGTGTAGTGTCATTCTTCTACTATATTCTAGGGCCTTGCAACCCCACCACAGCTATCTCAACCAACACAAGTAGTATACGACATGAAGCTTGGTTCGATGCACCGAAGACAATGAAGAAGTTGGTTGTCGAAGAGGTCTCATGAAGGCCGAAGGTACTTGTGGAGGTTGTTGGTCACCCGTCGCATATTCCCCAACAAGATCAAAGTCTTTGCTCGTATTCATTCAGCAATGGTGGCTTAACTACAAAATCAGAGTACATCTCCGGCAGTCGTCAGAAAGATGCCGCTTTTATTCCCCCGAATGCCAAAATGAAATCAAAACCAACACTAAGACGCCTTTTCATGCTTTGCAGGAATGGCTCTATGACACCAACCGCATCCGCCTCTCACATCTCCCTCCTCCTCGCGTGTTAGGTACTCACCAGTTTCTCGTTCATCCTCGTGTTCCACGACGCAAGCGGCAACCCTGACCCTCTTTTTGGTAATCTGTTTCATCCTTCCTCCGATTCCAATAATCTCCTGCCTCAGATATCCTGTTTCTTCTCCTTCGGGATCTTCCCATTTATGGTTGTGAGACCCCGAGTGTGCCTGATCAAATCGGTGGCCGAAGTGGTAGCCATACTCGGGGGGGCTATTTGCCATGGACTCATCGGCCTCGCACTCTACCTCTAGCTCAATCTCTTGAGCTGCGAGACAGTTTTCCCCTCGTCCACACTTGACTCCCTGGCAGCCTTCGCCAATTCCTGTTCCGAGTCCGCCGAGGTATGTGCTGTATCGGGTCCGCCATGTCCAGACCCTGCGATATGTGGTATCATTCCTGCGTAGCTTCTGTCCGCATTGGTTGCAGAGCCAAAGAACGTCTTGACAGGTACATATGTCTCGGACGGCCACGGCAGGTTTGTTGGCATTAGACAGACTCGAGGAGATCGGAGCAAAATACGAGGACCCGAGCTTGTCTAATGGCGCCTTGCGACAAGTGGTACAAAGTCGACGAACGCGGTTCTTCAAAGTCGCGCTGTTTGGAGGTTTGGCCGTGCAATTCTAGGCAGGATTAACAGACGCCATTGTTAATTAGCGAAAGAGGCAGAGGACGTACCCTGCAGAAGGTTTTAGAACATCCACGGCATTCTGCAACCATATCCCTAGCACACTTGGAGACCTTTCCACTCGTGAGCTGTCCGGAATTCATAGCACCGCGGCTCAGCAAACGAATCACGGATTTTACGCTGTCAGGGAGCGCGGTGCCGCTGTGAAGCATATCCGAGAGCGTTTCTATGTACTCATTCTCGCAACGCAAGGTCTGCTTCGCGAGCTGCTGCCGATAGGGGGCTAGGTTCGCGTAGATTTGACGACACGTTCCGGACAGCGCATGGAGGGTATTGAGATCGATTGATCTGGCAAGCTCCTTGGCAATCCTGGATTTGCGAGTTAGCAAACTCGGGGGGAACCAGGCACCAGTGCCTTGGCTCAAAGCAATTCATACGGATAGCAGCCTAGAGCAGCTGAAAGCCCATTATTTCGATTCGCAATGTGTGGCTTATCCTCACCCGACGTGTCTGGGGTTTCCGAGGGCTCTTCGGCAGAGGTTTCTTCGCCGTTGGGTACGCTACCGATATCGAAACCGACACTCTGTTTCGAGAACATTGGCTTTCCGGGTTCCGTATAGGAATGCTGATCCAAGCCTTTAAGGAGGCTATGACTCCCAGGTGCGTTGTCGTCATAGTCAATGAAGACCACCATCTTGTAGGCCGGCGAAGCTCGATGAAGGTGAAAGGGAGTTAAGACGTTTTAATGACCTCGATCGAGAAGCTCGGGTTATCGACTTGAAGCCCGCAAACAGAGTATGATCAGATTAGCAGGTTGATTTCTTCGCTGAGCAATCGGCGACGGCCGGCAAAAGAGAGGAATAACTAGAAGACGAGAGCACAGTAACAACATGGGGACAAACCAGCGGTAAGAGAGCAGGATCAGTAGTCCAGCCTGAAGTATGAACAACACTTATAAAACGAGTATAAACGGCACAGCCGGTTCAGAGAAGCAGAAAAAGAACATCGAATGGGCATCAGGTCAAGAATCAGGCTGCTCCATAGCTCTTTAAGTATGAAACCAGCCGGTGTATACGACAGGAGGCGCCTTCGTCGGATGATACGGGTGTTGAAGCTTCCAGACTCGCTCCTCCGAAGAACGGAGCGGGGTGGAGCACTGAAGCTCGTCCTTGTCTCGCGAGTCGCGACTCGATTCGCCCTGGCGATTCAGGAAGCTCTGTCTTTCCCCGGTCCCACCGAGATGAGAAAAAATCTGATAAGATCTGTTGCGGATTCGGAACGGCCGGGCTTGGTCAGGGGTTGAACTCTGAAGTTGAGGTTGCCGTGTGCAAGATCCTATCACTAGCTGCAAGCCACGTGAGGTGAGTTGGGGTCGCGTCATACTCCTGGTGGAGAGAAAGGTGGCTAACTCAATGAGGAAGCTCCATCGACCCCTCATCCACGTGACGTATATCACAGTTACTCCGTTGAGTAGGACTCGATCACATGACGAGCAAATCGCGGGGATATGGAGGGGGGGGCAATGAAATCGTACGACAAGAGCCAAGTGCCAAGAATGCTTTATTGACTCGTCTAGGAGCGTATACTTATCCTAAATACAGGCAAACTGTCATTGTCTTCGTTGCGGATTCAATTGCAGTGTGTTCGTATGTTCGGTGTCCTCCGTTTGTCCATCGCGAACTGACCCATCGTCACCCCACCAGAGCCGAGGGAGTTGGGGTAACCAAATCCACCAATTTATAAGAGATAGCCCCTCTGGTCTGATCGCCATCTTGCCAGTGACCGTTCTCCCCTCTCTCACAAGCCATATCTGAACGCCTTGCACGCCAAGAACCATGCCCCTCAACTCCCGAGCTGTCTACTCCCGGCAGAACCCCGACTTCGCACCCTTTGCGAGTCGGAGAAGCACCGTCCACAGCACAAATGGTATCGTCACTTGTACACAGCCTCTTGCGGCGGCCGCAGGACAGAAGATCTTGAATGAAGGTGGAAATGCAGCGGTATATCAGTACTCCGTGCTCGCAGTGAAGTTGAAGTACTAATTAGATACAGGACGCGGCAGTCGCCGTTGGTAAGCACGAATGTCAGGGCAAACAACATATACGTATCGCTAACAAATAAATAGCTGCGGCACTAAACGTCACAGAGCCCTCATCCACGGGAATTGGAGGTGACTGCTTCGCCTTGTATTATGATGCCGAGACGAAGAAGATCCATTCTCTCAACGGCTCTGGTCGATATCCTGCAAACGTGACGCTTGAGAAGATTCGCGCGGATCTCAAGGCTGGTCCTGATGATGTTGGCGGTATCCCCATGCACAGTGTCCTTGCGGTCACAGTCCCCGGCGCAGCTGCAGGGTGGGTAGACACGGTAAATAAGTTTGGCAGTGGGAAGGTCTCTCTAGAGCAGATTCTCGCTCCGGCGATTGAGCTTGCAGAGGAGGGATTTCCTGTCTCCGAGCTGTCTGGATACTTCGTAAGTACCTACGTCACGAGAGAAGCATTTATATTAACGGCCTACAGTGGCATGAAAGCGAATCCCTCCTCCGCAAAGCCTCACCCAACTTCCGCGAGATTCTCAAGAAAGACCCCAAAGCTGTAGACGGCGTACGCCCGCCGCTTGCCGGCGAAATCATGAAAAACCCCAACATGGCACAGACTTTCCGGGCCCTCGCAACCGAGGGTAAAAAGGGCTTCTACGAAGGCCGCGTGGCGCAAGAAATCGTAAAGGTCATCCAAGACCTCGGCGGCTACATGACCCTTGAGGATCTCAAGTATCACGCCGAAACAGGAACGCAAGAAACAGAAGCCATCTCTCTCAAATTCAACGGCCAGGACATCACGGAGAAACAGCAGGCCGGTACAGATGGCGAGGAGCCGAACCAGGGCGTCGAGATTTGGGAGCACCCGCCCAACGGGCAGGGGATTGTAGCCCTAATGGCGCTGGGCATCCTGCAGGAACTCGAAAAGACGGGTAAAATCCCTTCGTTCAAGGAAGAGCAGCACAACTCCGCCGAGTACCTGCACGCTATCATCGAGTCTCTCCGAATCGCCTTCGCCGACGCCTCATGGTGGGTCACAGACCCGGACGTCGAGAATGTACCTACAAGGGACCTCCTCTCCCGCGCCTACCTCGCCGAACGCGCCAAACTCTTCGATCCAACAAAGGCCTCTGGCATCCTTGACCACGGCAGCCCAGCGCACAACCACTGCGATACAGTGTACTTTGCCGTAACCGACAAGTTTGGAAACGGCATCTCCTTCATAAACAGCAACTACGCGGGCTTCGGCTCAGGCATAATCCCACGAGGCTGCGGTTTCACCCTCCAGAACAGAGGAGCCAACTTCTCCTTAGCTGCAGACCACCCTAACGTTCTGGCCCCGCGCAAGAGACCCTACCACACCATCATTCCCGCAATGATCACAAACGTCTCCGACGGCTCGCTGCACTCCGTCTACGGCGTCATGGGCGGTTTCATGCAGCCGCAGGGCCACGTGCAGGTGCTGCTGAACATGCTGGCGTTCAACTACCACCCGCAGGCGGCGCTGGACGCACCGCGGGTGTGCATTGCGGCGGGAAATGCGGAGCTGGGCAAGGCGCTAGACCGCACGGTTTATGTTGAGGAGGGGGTTAGCGAGCGGGCTGTCGAGGGGTTGCGGAAGTTGGGGCATAGGGTTAAGGTGTTGACCGGGTGGGAGAGGGGGATGTTTGGTCGGGGGCAGATTATTCGTGTGCACTATGATGAGGGGAGGTTGGTGTACTCTGCTGGGTCAGATCTTAGAGGTGACGGGATGGCCATTCCGGTTGTTTGATATCAGGTTGGTTCTGGGGGAGTAGCGGCGGAGGGAGCAGGGAATGTTTGAAACGATTGGTTTGAGATAACTAAAGCTTATCCAGTAAGGTAAATGCAATAGCACTCTCGATGAGATGATTTCGGCATCAAAAGTTTGTGATCATGTTTGCCGCGACAGAAACAGGGCAATAAATATACAACGGTAGGTGTGGTGTATTAGTCTATTATGCAACCAGAAAAGGAATCTAGCACGAACCCTTGGCCCCAACAGACCAGCAGAAGCAAAGACGCCTGGCATAGACCAATCTCGACGCACCGATATGCAAAGGAGATCCCCAAAAGATGAAACGTATCAGAGAAGAGAAATAGGGGTATAAGATTCGTAAGTCAACAACCTCGCGTACATCCGAAGTGCATGTATAATGTAGTATCACAGGACTCGAGATAACAACCCTTGACAACCTTGAACAACCGACCTAGCCTAACCTTCTGGGTAGCCATGGTGTATGCAGAAAAAAAGAAGAGTAGAGAAACAAAAAAACGCCAAAAACCCTATCCGTAAATTCGTTCAAAACCAACGCTGCCTTCTATGATCCGGTTCTGGTAAACAAAGGAAAGAAGAAGAAGAAAAAATCGAGTAAGAGAAGAAAAAAGAAAATCGTGATTAGAAATCGTTTCTTGAGAAGGGGAATCGATGCATCATTGCCGGGCACTCGCATAGTGTTGGTGTTTCAAGGTGTTTTTTTTTCCTTTTTTTGTGCTTCCTCCTCCTGGTCACCGGCATCGACGGTTCGATCAAGTGTTCTATGCATGAGCGCTGCTGCTGCTCTTGCCATTTCAGGTGGTCCGTCGGGTATGACAAGGCTGCAGCCCTGAGTTCGTGTAACTTGGCCCATACGAGACTCGAGGGTCCGCTTCGCTCCATGCAGTGAGATTTTGTGGGCGTGGCCAGGTGGTGGTGTTGGCTTTTTTTGCTTTTAATAGATTGTCGGAATTCATGTCATTGGTTCGCTCTCGGTTCGATGCGCGTTTGTGTGTAGATCGTTTCGGGGAAGCAGTCCAGAATAGAATTTTAGGCGAGAAATGTGACTGGGGTGCATGCGATTATTTCGTTACTAGGTTTCGAAGGTCGAGTTGAAAATAGAATCACTGGGTCCATGACCGGGGTGCGCCAGCTGCTTGGTAGGGGCTCGGAGCTTGTGGCAGGAACTCGTCGCTGTAGCTCATTGGCTGTGAGATGGACCATGATTGAAGAGCCTAAGCGCGTTCGTTAGCGAGCCTTCATGAGCAGATTTCGGTATCGCTCTCTTACCGGATGGATGGGGAAGTTCTGGATTGGGAGCATGTTAGGCGGGGGAGCGACACTCGGCTCAACTCGCTCCCAGTCGAGATTTGCATGCATTGGGGCGGGCGAAGATGTCAATTCCGAGTCGATGACTGGGTCTGGGTATGAATCAACGAGGCCTGGCGAAGTAGAGGAGATGGAGGAGCCGGAGTACGAGGGAACGGAGTAGGTTGTGCCGTCCGAGGACGGAGATGGGCAGGCCTCTGGAGTTGAATAGAATCGAGAGTCTTCCACGGGTTCTTGAACCTGAGGACCAGAGAGAACGTGGATCTGCTGCTCTGGACTCTCCATTGGGTTCCATAGTAGCCCGTCAACGGCGAGATCGGGATGGATCGCTGGTGCCTTGATTGAGATCGGCTGCGTCACGGCGAGATATGGTGCTGGCGTTACCATGGTGTATCTGGGAATGTACTGCTCCGAGGATGCTCTGGCAGATGCGTGGCGTTCCCACCGCGCTGAGGTCTCCATCTGAGCTTCGAGATCGCTGCAACCGACTGTTAGCCTTTGATACACAGAGTGTGCGTAGTAGACGTACTGTCGCTCCATGTGGCGCGTGAGCAAGTCGGCGCGGTGGAATGACTTCTTGCAGCCAGTCTGGGTGCATCGGTAGGAAGCTTCTGGGTTGTGGTTCAACTCATGGCGCCTGCAATAGAATTAGTATTAAAAGAAGGCGCAATGGCAGCAATGAGGCAGGAATCACCTTCTATGCTCAGCTCGTGTAAAGACCTAAACAGCTGTTACTGAGAGCTCAATGCGGGCATACTCTACGGAGAAACATACCTTGTTGCATCCAGGAAACTCGCAAGCGTGAACGCGCTTGCCCTTCTTCGCTTTGCTAATGCGATGGGTGGTAGGAGTGTAGGTGATGGGGAGAGGGATCTCCGCAGGAGCAGTAGTGCGAGGCATGATGCTAAGCTAGTCTCAGTGCCAACAAGACGTGAGGTGAGCAAAGCTTTAGAGCTTGATAGCGTCAGGCAGGTTGGTCTTTGGTGGAATAGTGAGAGAGAATTCAAGAAGAGCGTTGATAGTGGAGTGATCGGAAGGATCGAAGGATTGGCGATTGGGTCCAAGATATAGTTTTGGGACAGCTTGAAGAAGATCCCGTTGAATGACAAGCGGCCTCGTGCTTGTCAGGAACGGCAAGGACAGGCAAGGACAAGCTGCAGGAGGTCTGTGGAGACAGGATGAGATGAGGGAGTGAGTGCCAGGATACTAAGGTGGGCTGTGTGAAGCAGGACTAGTGAAGATCAGATACAGGTGGTGAAGTCAGACTGCTGGGCATGGATCAGGATGGGACGAAAAAAGAAACAAGAGATTCTGAAACAGCCGGAATGGTGGCAGTACTGTATCTCGAAAGCAAGAGGTGTGATATCAGCGGGCCTTGGTATACCAAGGGTCGAGTAAGACGATGCAGCTTGACTTTTGACTTGGGGGAGGATGGGAAAGGAATGCTAGCCAGGCGCCGGCCACTTGGATATAACGATATAATAAGATTGTCCATGAAGAAAGCGTGCAGTCCCAAGCAGCGTCTGGTCCATCGGCGTGCAGAGTGATCGTCAGAGGGCAGGCTACAGCCACCCAGACTACTGAGACTACGAGGGAACGGGGTCGGCAGAATCGTGGTTAATTGTCCAAAAAAGTGATGAAATTAAAGGAAGCTTCAGAGTGCACAGCGCGAACCAGCCAATTGTCCGTCTCGGCCGGTGCGGCTGAGGCGCAATCAAAGACGGGGAAGCAAAAAGGCGCACGTCGTGTATGGAGAATTATTTTTAATTACTTCCCACGCTACTGGTGTCTGGACAGGGGTCTACCAACCAAGCAGGAATTTGACTCCAACGGCTGTCTGTTGGTTTTTGCTGGCAACTCATTTGTCCGTTGGTGCACGCGCTGTTGGGTCCTGCGCCGTAAGATCTAGCCGGTTTCGGCCCTGCCTGGGCGAAACGGTGGGTTGCACAAACCCACGAGGCCCTCCCCACGAGACGACAGCATGAGGTTCGGAATTCCAAATCAGTTCCCAGACGCCGGGGCCTGCTGCAAGGGAGAAAAAGGTGCGGCGGTTTGCTGGGGATGGGGGAAACATGGGAATGGAGATGGAAGTGGAATTCCAGATTGCGAACCTTGGTTGAGCAGTGAGTTGGAGAACTGTTGGTTGAACGAGGCAGCTTATTGGTCCTCCACGGAGCTGGGGCAGACACTCGTAAATTATGAGAGAATGGGCGCTAACAGCTGGCAAGAGGTATTCATTGGCCTGAGCAACCGCAGAGTGGGCGCCGGGGAGAAGGACGAGCGACGTTAAGGCTTGGACGTTAGTCCCTCCGAGTCTGGAGGACATCAACAAAAAAAACACTGCCTTCAAAAGATGGCGATGCGGCCTAAGAATAACAACCACGAGCCTTATGCAAGGGAACCGGCAGTCGGCAGGGCACGTAGAGCAAACCGAGCAGCATAGCTTGGATTCACAGCCTTGAGGCTTCTAATTCTGTACCTCGATGATGTCTTTGGAGTCTTGAGAGAAGCAGAAGTCGACTTGCTGGTCGATCGGAAAGAACGGAAGCGGGTCAGCCTTCTTGGCAGGCAGACTCGCGATCGGCCAGATTCTCCGATCCCTCCAGAACTGCTCCGTCGCCATGGCTCAGGCGACAATTGGCACCTCACTCACGATTCCGACGAGACTTAGCATCAGAGGCAGAATACGAGATAAGCACTTTACATCCTTCATTGACAGTTCCTGCGGTACCTCCTCTCTGCACGACTACAAGCAGGTACAAGTTGGTGAGTACTCCTCGTCGAGGCTCGACAGAGTTCGTACCAAACTTTCTCTCTATTACATTGTTAATTCTTCGGAGTCGCCATCCGAAGTTTCTCCTGCACACCGACAGCCAGCACTCCTCCGTACTGAGTCCTGACAGCCCTGTGGGTCGGCGACTTGGGCTCTGCCTCGTACCATGCCATGGCCTTCCCTCGTTGATTTCAATTTCACCTCAACTTGCACCAGAAAGAAACAGGACTGCCAAGGATGACCCTGCCTCCAGAGTTCAGATCATGGATCTCATCAGTGTTTCATCCTCTATCCCAAGGCCTGGTTTCCATCGACCTTCCATCAGCATTCCAAATCTTATTCGCCTGTCTTGGCGGGGGTTCTCTTTTTATCGCATCTGCTTTCTTTTTCCGGAATCCCCGGAGCGAGCAAAAAGCAATGGTCGGCGTCTCATTCTTCTCCATCTCCAGACCCAACCCTTTTTGAGGCAAGCCTGAGCCAAGAGTCGCTCAAGACTGTTTCGACCCCTTTCTGGGGAAACTTTTCCGGAAGCTACCATGCCATGGTTCTCTCCACCATCTCCGCCAGGCCGATCCATACCTCGCTCTGCCTCTGCGTCTCCAAATGGCCGGCGACCTGGACTCAAATGGAGCCTGCCGAATTTCCAAAGAGTGTCTTGTCGAGGCCCGCGAAAACGACCGGCGATGCCCGGACCTCTCCGCTGTTAGAATAATCCGCTGGAACCTTCAAACTCAATCTTTATCGCAGATCATGCCTTTCTCATGGTGGTGCCGCCGCCATTGTGACAACAACCGGTATCCGAATACCAAGAAGGCTTCCGCGATCCACTCTCAGCCACCAGTTTTACAAGTTGATTACAGAGCAACTGCAATGCGTCATTAAAACCTCATCTTGGACGAAGTAGCGATAATCTTATTTGGCAGCCTGTCTCTTTCCTTTGGCTCTTCGAGGCTCTGAGCCCCAACGGTCCAGAGTATAAGCTGCTTGACCTTGAGCCAGTCAGTCCGACCTTCTCCGAACCCTTCAGAGTTTGATGATCGATCATCCACCCCGGCTCCAGCAATAATGGCTGGGGCAGTTGTCTGCAAGGTGTTTATCACGTGTCCAGGAATCGAAGCCTGCTAATCACAATCGAGAAGGCTAGGCTGAATCTCAGCCCTTTGCTTTTGTTGAACAGGGATTATTCCCCTTTGCTTTCCCTTTCTTCTGTGATAATGGATCGCGATAAGGCCTCTCTCGTGGGCAATGGGCAGGTGCCATGCCAACGAGCCGCGACCGTTGACGGCGGAGCCCAAGTTTGAGATCAGTCCCGACTCTGGGGCAGTCGCTGCCCGCGAAGCTCAGCCAACAGAATGCAGCACTGCAGCGACCCGAAACAAATCCTCCCGTTCGTTTGCTGAAATTGATGCGCCAAGCCATAATTTTCCTTCAGTCTCAACTTGGTCGCGACGATGCCACTGTGCGGAATAACAAGAATTGTCTCTACCAAGGACAAAGTACTTATATTGCTTTCGCGGCGTGGCCATGCAACACATATAATCCTTGCCAAGTGCCAAATAGTTGCCATGAGGGAGCAAAACTATGGGTTACTCATGGAAAATAGTCACCTGCCAGAATTCGAGTACTCCTCCTAGAATATGTACATGCATGGAATGCAAGTCCCACAACCTTACCATGCACGCACTAGCCACTCCTGGATCAATGCGTATCCAACACTCAGGTTCAATCGCAATTGGTCCATTCAAGCGAAGTTAGAGATCATCCCCCCTTCCTCAATCAAAGTAGTCATTCCAGCAAATTGCAATGCTTTGTCGGGACTCGGGATTTCCCTTCTTTGTTGATCATCCCCAAGGCTTGAGCTGCAGAGAACATGACCGCAGCAGTTATTCTTATCTTCTGGCTAACCAGGTATAGACGTGCTGCGCTTAACACACACAGTTACTGGAGTAGTATGTTTTGCAAGTGCCGTCTGCTACTTCCCTCAAGTAACGCGGCTCCAAGGAGGTCTTCGTGACGTCCTGGCGCGCCATTCCAGAGCCTCGAGGTTATCAACGTCAAAGCAACCAACTCGCAGATTACCATCAAGGAGACAAAGTAGCCATGCTTCAGGAGTTTTGAAACGACTAGCAGCAACATTCATCAACGGGATCATTTCAGTATGTAGTTTCGAGCTTCGACAGATCCAGACTCCAGGATGATACTAGTGCCCAGGTCGAAATTTGAATGGACTGTTGAGGACTCTGCTAATTTTTTAAGAGTGAGGCGAACAATCCGATTCGGCCGCCAACAGAATACGTTGGTCGATCATTGGAAGGATTAATATTACGCAAGTTCATCTGCAGTCCGGCACATGCGGTTCAAGAGACTCGAGAGTCAGGCGACGAATATCATCTCACAAAACTCAACGGGCTTTTTTAGTGAGGGGCTCTTCCACTGATCCAAGCTCTCACGGCCGGCGACAAGAATAGATTTACCGTTGGTCTCATCACAGCATGGCCATGCAAGGGTCGCAAAAACCTGAAACACACTTGGCCTCATGGAGATCCATGTGCTGCGCCCTGCAGTTAAGCTTCCAGTTCAAACACAATCGAATCTGCCTTGCCTCAGGCGCACCCAGGTTTGCTTATGTAACGCACATTGCTTGCTTGACTCAAGCGTCACTCGACAACATCAGAAGTCAGATCAACTGAGTGTGACTCGTGAGATGGAGTCATCCAGGTGCCCCAGTGCGGGAGCTTCAACCCCTGATTGGCGGATATGGAATCCCATTCTCATCACCATCTTCCAAGTTTTATTGTCCAGCGCCCCTGATCGCCTCTTGCCATGTCAAGGTTTCAGGGCCCAGGCGTTCAGATTTCAGCCTAACGCGTGGAACTTAGAGGGCTTGGATTCTTGTTGTCCTTTGCCTTTGCTTCTCAATCTCGAGACCTCGCGCGTTTTTCCGAACTTCATCGCAAGCTCCACCTGTGGGGGTGTCAATTCGAGGTGGGAACGGAACCGCAGGTTGAGCTCCTGAACAGAAAACCTCCGCTCGGATCATTGGCCTGGCCAGAGTCACCAGGCACTGCAGTATTTCCAGCTAGAAGAGCCGTTTCAAGCTGGGCTACGCTAACCTCAGACTAACTCTCTCGAACTCACTCACCAGATATTTTCGAGCAGCCAGGACTGAATGCAGATTATTGGAGTTTGAGTTTTGGGTGGCTGAAGCATCCGGTTCTTCCAGAGCTTCCCTTGTGCTCCAAAAGACACTCGTCGGCCAGGCCCACTCGCTGAACACGACTCAAGCAATAATAACCATCGGGTGCCCGTTGTCGGACAATCGATCGACACAAATGTTAGCGAATCGGTATCGAACTAAGCGGAGCCGGTGCAAGCCGGTTAATAAGGTTGGTTTGATCCGTCAGCTCTGTAAGGTCCCACACGACCTCGCGAGACTTGCAAGAACTCGACAAATGAAGATTCGTCACAGCCGAGTTGACAATTTTCTCGCTTCGTGGTGACTCTTCGGGATTTGAACCAGCTACTAGGTGACCCCGATATGTCTACCTCTCGACTCTAGTCCCTTTTGAAGACGGAACTTGGAATCCTCTCCCCGGCCCGGTTCTACTTGGACACCAACGACGGTTTGACATTGTAAAGAACACCGCGACGGGGCCCTTCTTTGTCTTGGTCCACTGCTCGAACTTACAGTACATACTACGGAGTGCATTTTATGGAGGAGGGAGGTCTAGGTTTTGAGCTAGGAATATCATTAAACTCGGGGTCGCTTTCATTCTCGACCATTGGTGGGGTCTTCCAGGCTTCCAAGTCCAAATGGCAGAAGCTCACTGAGACCTGTTAGGAGGTTCTTCAGAAATATTGCGGCCTTATCGATCGCATATCTCTGACCAGGCAGATAACCAGCTTCCTCCCAATTTGGGCACTGGGCGCCTAATATCCTGCAGCTGGGATGGCCATTGTCTGCAGCCAGCAATTTCAGGAAGCCCACCCAGATGGCAAAGCTCGACTCCACAGATTATTGCCTGCTCTGGGCTCACGATTCTCTCAACTCTCAAGGCCTAGCGTTCCTTTTCACCTGCAGATTACCCACGGTATGAAATCTTTGGATCAGCAGCCACAGGAGTCAGGGCGGAGTTAAGAAACACTCTGTACTTCGGCGTTATCGGCCATCTCCAAGGGACATTCAAGTCCCAACCTCCCTGCGCCAATGCAGATTCTTACGTTTTTACATTGAGAAATCCTCAGACCTTTACCTTGGCCTCCGCCACGGTTACAGCCGCTAAGGGAGATGTCGAAGGATCCGAGCCCCAGTCTGATTACTATGCACCTCCTTGCTACCTCGATGCATGGTACCTGCTCAGGGAGATTGTGGTGTTACTTTGACCTATGTTGCCTTCCAGGTAGCGCCTTCGCGCTAAGCACGATCCATACAACACGTGCTGTTTGCCAACCAGTCTGCTCCTTCTGCAGATGCAGAGTGGTAACCTTCCCAAGTGCATAAGTCCATGTGGGAGGAGAACCAACGACAACCGGGTAAATGGACCATAATTTACTCAGTAATTCCGATATGACCTGCCAATCAAGCCAACAATTCGCCACCGCGAATCTCACGGCGCGTTGGGACCATCCCCCACGAAATGGCGCTGGACTATCATCCCCCGTTCCTAGCGATAGTCAAAACGCAGGCCTGGTCCCTGGAGGAACGGGTGACGATTTTAGTTGCCTATCAACAAGGTCACTTTAGAGTCACATCCGCTCGATCCTTCAGGACTTTGACAATCAAGCCCTTGTTTTCAATCGATATTGCAGAAATCATCGCTCAAATCACTTGGCTAACTATCCAATGAGATAACGAGATTCACCAACAATAACCAACAAGCCGACTTTCCAACCAACACTTGCACTTGGAGTGACGTGTATGTTTCGGGTTTTCTGCATTCTCGATGCTCATCGCCAACCAATTCAGTCTCACTTACCCAGGCATTCGACCTCTGAAGACGTCACAGACTGCACGCGGAAGACTAAGTCCACGATTCGCTCTGCGCATAATGCTCTTGTCTTCGGAGACTATGACGATACATTGCCCCCTGCACAGCTTCAAAGCCCCAGGCGGATGAGGTCAGTGGCTGGGGAACGATCAGCGTCTATCATGGTCCCCTTCATCAGATCATCGCTTTCAGATCATGCGACCCGGAACACTCCTTGCTCGCAGTATGGGCGACGCTATACTTCGAGTCCTCGCTGCTCTATGTTGAATCCCGTGGCTGCTTCTGGGCACGATGTTCCATTCATCCGGAGTACCTACTCTACGCCAGGTTAGTACCTTGTCGGTCGGGTCGTATATGACATTGGGCTCTTACCTATTATTGAGAAATCTGCCAGGTTAAGTTTGTTCGAAATGAACCATCATCCTCAAGCATCCACGGGACTACCTCCTCGCAACTTTACAGCCCAGCCACACAGCCAGCGCACGATTCCAACGGTGCTTTTATTTTAAAGGCATACATTGAATGTTAGCAGGGGACGCCTTGCGTGAGGATCGTCTCGACTACACTACCGGGCTACCAAGCGCATCCTATCAGTGCACCATATCCGTATTGCTATATGCACGAAACGAGACTCCTTCGCATCCACAAGTGAGGAACAGACGTTGTGGAACAGCCGCCAAATGAGTGTCAAGCCTCTCACGCTCTCTTGGTGCGCTCTCTTGGTGTGTATGACAGCACATACGCAATCAACTTAAGCCCGGGAACAACAGGCAATGGGTGAACTTTGTACGACATAAAATATATACATCTGCTAAAACATCAGGACCTTTGACGCCGGACACCCCGCCAATTCCCAAGGGTACTACTGCATATACCAGGTCGTCCCTGATAACTGACTATTTCGCCTCCCTTTAGAGCTGTTCATTGGCAGAAGACTCCTTTTTTTTTGCAGTTTCGGTTAATAGAATAGAACGAGGCCTCGACCTTCTCGTGCTGATCCCTAGCCTCGATGATCTCAATTACCTGCCAGCGATTTGAACCCTACAGTGAAGCTAGCCGCCAGGGAGAAACCTCTCGAGGGTTATACCTCCACGCAACACCAAACCCAGAGCACCTGCAATAATTCCGAGTACTCGAGCCATACATCCTGCTAGCCCTGTGTCTTATCTAGGAACACGGCTATCAGCAACATCCTAGTCTTAGTACTCTTGATATCAACGCCCAAGCAGAGAGCCGAGAAATAGCGCCTTCTTCCCACACCAACCCCTCTCAGACATGAAGTATATAATATGGAATCAACATACGCCTCGTGCGCCAGTGCCATCCAGAGATAGCAGAAACAGAAAAGCAGCACAGGCACCCGTCTTAACCCAGAGCACGAAACCAACATTCTACGCTCCTCACTCTCACCTGGGTCCTTTTGCATGATAGCCACAAGTCGCTTGGTAGACAACCATGTATGATTCTCTAGCGCGTGGGCTAGACAATGTAAACTCTGTCTGGCTTTGTAGAACATTACATGAATATATCAATATGGCATTTTCGTGGTATGTCAAAGCCATGCCCTTTTTTTTAGACAGATGCCCTCGCCATGCTAGAGCCACAGCAAGCATATATAGAGATATATAGATATATATATCACACAGGCGCCCGCTCAGGCCCGGGCGTCTGTAGGGGAGAGCCGGAAACCAGGAGAGGGTCCAAGAGCGTCCCGTATCTCTACTACTGACCACTCACAGAATAAGCATTGTTCTGGGCACTAGCACGACTCAACTTTAGCTCAAGTAGTGCGCTGGTTAAATCATGTATCGAGGAGAGCTCGAGATCATGGGTGTGGACAGAACCACAAGCAGAAAGCTATATGCAGGTAGGTAACGATTTTGAAGACCGCAACCCTGCATAAATCAGCTACGCGCTTCGAGGCGAAGTGTATGGGAGTTACAGCGGAACGAAGTACCATGTATGTTTGTGTGTTTATATATCAGGCCAGGAATAACGCTCGGTATGGTGCTAGGCGGCTCTAAGAATAATTGGTGGATCAACGTATAAGTTATATGTATCTACAACCCACAATGAGACCCTGAGGATCCTTGAGCAGGCAGTGTTCTAGAGGAGTGTTCATATAAATCAGTGAAGCCATTTTTTTTTGCCCTGGACGTATACACGGAGTATATATATAGGCTACCGTGCAAGGCACTTAGGGCCTGGTATCTTGAACTGGATGAATCCATGGGCATCCGACGACGAGACTTTGGTCGACATGAACTGCTGCCCTGGATCAGGTATAGTTATTACGAGATAGATACGCGGAGAAAGAGGCATCAGCATCATGATGGTGGGTTAAATAATACCTTTGCTTACGGTGCTGCCCTAGACTGTCTATGATATACGGTAGCATGGATACGGCACGAGTTCAGAGGTAAATGAGCAATATCATACAGTATGAAGCAACGTAGGAAGCACGGAGGTCTAGGTCCCACTTCAAGAACATATACAGTAACGAGATGAATATCGAAATATTTTCAATTAAAAGGTCAACCAATGTAGAAACGCCTTCATGTTGAGATACTCATCGTCTTCCTGGTACGGATGTCGTTCATAAAGCAAGGCCTACAATACCCAAAGAGTATAGGCGGAGAATGCCCTCACCGACGTTGGTCTAGCGAGGAGAGACCACGGCAATGGTGACATTTCGAGGCTGCTGGATCCGACAAGTTCCGGTAAGGAAAACTAATATCTGACTAGCGAAAGCAGGCCGAGAATGAGAAAGGTAGTAAGCAAAGCCAAGGGCGTGGGTCAATCGTCATATGTCGGAGAAAGGATTTGGCGGTATACAATTTGTTTAAGGAGCGAGGGTATCTGGCCTCCTAGTAGTGTCGGTCAGGATTTGTCACCTGCAGGACTCGACGTGAGAAGCCTCGGTCGTCGTCAATACTGCCATTGCTCTGGCGTCTTTGAGCCGCGAAGTCTCCATCGAAGCGAGATTCGGACATGGAATCCGAAGATGTAGGCTTGCCGAACTGCTCCACAGTGCTCATGTCGCGTAACCGCTTGTCTGCAGGGTGACGAGTCTTGAAGCGGTAGAGGAAGAAACCTGCACCCGCAAGTGCAGCAAGGCCGACCACACCAATAACCACACCAGCGGCGATAGCGGCTACGTTGGGTCCGTCGTCCTTCTTATCCTTGTTGGAAGATTGCGAAGTGGGCGTGCTGGCAAAGGTTTCAACCGCCTGTTCTTCAGTTTCTGTGCTGGACGACGACCCGCTAGTTTGCGTTGTCGTCGAATTATTGCTGCTGGTTGTCGTGGTTGAGCTGCCGGTGGTGCCGGTAGAGTAATAGGGAACATTGTCTTCGAGACCGGTGAGGTAAACCGAATAAGCGTTGTTTCCACCGCCTGTGAGAATGTTAGCTGGTATATGCGAGAGGCTGCACCATGGAGTCCTTACACATGACCGCTGGCCATGCCGCGCATGGCTTGTTGCACTTATCATCATTACTCTCCTTGGTTGACTTCGCTGGGAGCTTGTTACCACAGAAGCAGTGATCAGTCTTGTACAAGCCGAAGACAGAATAGCCTTGTGCATAACATTCGTTCAGGCAATATCCGTTACTCTGAAATTGGTAGCTTCCTTGATCCTCAAGGGGATCCGAGCTGGTGAAGCAGCCGACGTATGATTCTTGTTGAGCGGCGGCAGGTGAGATTCCAGCGAAAAGCATGAGGGAGCCGGCGAGGACCGAGGATACGTTGATGGACTTCATTGTGAAAGGGATGTGGCGAGAGCCGAGGTCGGTTGTTGGAACGTAGAGTTGTATATTATTAGTCGACTATTCGGAGAGTAGGGACGACCCGCGTAACCCTATTGATCTCTGAAGCGATAGATATTCAACGGGAAGAAGGCAAGTGAGAGGAGCGAGAGGAAGAATTTGGAGAGTTCGGGTGAAGTTTTCGTGTGATTTTCTGGGGGTGAAGCGGGATATTCGCGTGTTTCAGATGCCCCTTTCGGTCGGCAGGGACTTTGCACCGCAGAGGTTCGGCAACGACGAACTAATTGCGAGAGCACTCGAGGGCCGTCCAAAGAAGTGCAAGAGATAAAGGCGGAGTCGGACCGTTTGATAGTATCTGGGTTTGCGAGGAAGATCCTGCCTTTGGCAACCGAAGGTGAGTTCCTGAGCAAAACAATCAGGGGTAAGATTCAAGAAAGTCAGGAACGAGAGTGAGAAGCAGGCACCACAACAAAAGGTGCAGAAACCAGGCAAGAAGAAGAGGAAGAACGAGCGTGTGTTCCCGGGTCGATGCGGTACCTCAAGGGAGAAATGATTGGGATGAAAAGGGAGAAGCAGAAGCAAGCGACCGAGCGACCGAGAGGGTTGAATGAGATGGAGTGAACCCATGAATCCCTTGCCTTGCCTTCATCTCGACGTACCGTACCTGACCCCCGTATTTTATGATGATCACCACTTTTACTATAGGGTTCCGGACGGAACCTGACCCTGGGATGTGCAACTCTGGTAATATTTCATCCCGCGTACCACAGTTTGCTGGACCAATCATCAGCCAAGATATTTCAGGATCGCTTTGTCTTTTCCTATCATCGGTGTTTGGGCCGCCAGAGTGGGCTCTTCCAATCCCACTAATCCCGCAAAAGAAGACGAAGCGACCCTGAGGAAGCAGATTTTGAGGGGATGTTTCTTGTCTTGACGATCAGTATTAATGTCGGAGCCCCTCCAGAAATCTCCCAGTTTCACCATGAGGACATCTTATTACTGCTTGGCGGCGAAGACGATTGCCCTGGCTCGCTCGGCTGCCAGCCGTTGGCCAGCAAGCACGAGATAAAGACCTGTGTCACAATCGGAGTCCAGACGCAGCCACAAATTTCGATGTCTCTGAGTCCGAAACGCCACTTATGCAACAGAATCTGTCTCCAAGGTTTATGTCCTCGAAAGGAAGAAAGGCAAAGCCAACCTGCATGTGGGAGATTTCACTTGGCCCTTTTTGATCCTGATGGGCGGAAACAGGCCAATGATTAAGAGATGATGTGCACTTGACAGGCATCGTCCAGTGAAAGGGCGCAGAATGAATGAAAGGACCACTGCTTGATGACGATCTCTGGTCGGTGGTCACAAGAAGAAATGACCCCTCGTCAAGCATGAAGTCAGACTGTCAGTTACATTGTGAACTCGACATTCCACCACCACTCACAGATACGCCTTCAAGGAAACAGCAGTTTCTCTCATCTCCTGTAAGCCCGCAGCTGGTTGTTGAAACATCTTAAAGTTAGCGTCATTATTTTTGTTAGTTTGTGTGGGAACCAAGGGGTCGAGTCCATGGTTTTGCCCAAGCGGCCAGTCCCGTCCCAATCGTGCTGTCCCTTGGCTCACAGGGACAAACAAAGTCACGTGCCTCATACTCACCAACAAGAGGAGTCAAACCTGCTTCAACTTGGAGTTTTCAAGGTTCCTTTCGTCGATGTCGCTATCTTCGAATATAAGCAAACCAGCTATTTACATCTTGGTGGTTAAGCCCGGGAGTGTGTACTGGCTCATCTCTACTCTATACGTTTCTCACTGGCAGGCCTTGACTCCAAACTGTCTATCAAAGTCGCAAGCTTTGGACACTTTGGACTCGCTATATATGCAGGCGGTCATAACAACACTGACAGTGGCAAAACCACCACTATCCTGCCTACAGTCCCTCTTCGCCGGCACTTGAAGAGCAGACCTCCACCTAATGGAGGCCGATGTGTGTACGAATTCGTGAACCAGCAAGCCCCTACGGAGTACTCAAACAACCCCAAACACAGAGGAAACATCTAAATACGACTGGTCGAGGTGCTGCCATCAGATTCTGGACTGGGCGTCTCCTTCCCTCTCCTAAGTGGTTTCGTTTCCACATCAAGTCAGAATCACAATCGACCTTTGCGCGCTCTGCACTGCCCCAGATCGCAAATATCCCAGCGTGACTTGACATCGTAGTATTGAACTAACTGATCGCCTGACTCATTGCTTCAGTCAAGTGACCTAGCCCTAGGGTCTTCTTGACGGGTCATCCATCAGTTATGGTTGAGGATTTGAAAAGGACCAACCGCACCCTAAGTAGCCTCGAGAGAGAGCCTTTGTTCTAATTGCCTAATCGGAGATTGTCATGCGAGATGGTTTGGATAAGCCCTAACACGATTCCTTGCTTCCAAGTTTCTCTCAGCATTGAGCGCTGTTGTCCTTGCGACAGCTGCACACAAGACTGCCCATGCGTTGCCCTTGATAGGCTGTAAACACAGACGGCCTTGAATAGATCTGAGATTTGGGCTGCTCATAATAAAACGCTGAGAGGGCCTATGCAGGTTCTCCAGGCTTCCTCTATTGTTTATCCAGTCTCACTCTAACTTAATTGCCTTTTCGACAGTAGTATCTATTGCATTTTTATAAATAATAAATACTAAAATAATACACATTGCAACGACTCAGCCGCCTGGTCCAAAAGAATGCGCGCAGTTCATATCAGTCGTTTTCGGCCGGCTTATCTCTAATGAATGCTTCGTGTCCTCAGGGTGTTTTTTTTCATTCGCTCCACTTCGCTTCCCGTATGCATGCTCATGATACATTTCTATAGAGAAATGGACATCCAACAAGGAAAGTAGTTTGCAGGCGCTTTATGCGCCTATGGCTTCGGGATATGCAGGGTCTTGCTGACCATGAGGCACCCATGCAGAACAAAGAGCAGAACAATCGGATGAAACTCAAACATGGTGCCTTGGGCGGCGACGCCCAGAGGTAGATCTTCCAAAATCCATTCTTGCGAAACCCAGTAGGCCATGAACCCAGCGATAGACAGTGTAGTGGGAATGGGCGTGCCCTCGAAGTACTTTGACTTTCCGGTCTTGTCTTTAGGGAGAACAGCGGCGGTCACGTTGAATCGAGCGAGGCGTGTCAAGCCGCACAAGACGAAGAAGGATAGGAATAGGTGGTCGAGAGGCGTGCGAATTCCTAGAGCGAAGGCTGCCGCAGCCGGAGCCATACCGAAGGAGATCTAAAAGACAAGCGATTAGCTAGACCCACTGCATAACAGTGTGTTTGGCCTACCAAGTCTGCCAAAGAGTCCAGTTCCTGCCCCATCAATGACGACTTCTTCCTCCACCTAGCAATCCGCCCGTCCATGAAATCGAAGAAAAGCCCAAAAGGCATGAATCCGAGGGCAAGCCAAATCGCGCCGTAATCATGAGGGTCGCCGAGACAGTAGCGCAGGGAAGAGAAGACGGACATCACTATGATACTGGTCAGCTGCCCCGCAGGGATACCCAGGAATCGACAAGAAATGAACTTGCCTCCGCAGAGTCCTAAGTAACAATATCAGCGATAGATAATCCAGCCCTGGATAGCTTTAGGACTTACCATTAAGCTCAGTCACTAGATCCGCCAGGTGAAGTGCTCTAAAGTATCAATGGTGGTGAGCAGATTGTTCCGCATTTTATCGGAACCATGACGCCTAACCTGACCATGCTGAAGTGACCTGTATCCGATGAAAGCAGCATCTTCTGCTTTTCCTGACCTTTATATATCATCGTTAGTTGTTTAGACCAAGCATGCCCTGCGTCCAATCGACTCTGACGTACCTCCATCGGAAGAAGCTGGGACACCGCTGTTTGTAGACGGATTCGAAGGCATAGCAGACGTCCTTCGAGACATGCTCTTTAGAGAAAAGAGAGGGAATAATATCGAGAGGTAAGTAAGAGCCTAGAAGAAGGCTATAAGTTGTTGATGCGAAAGGTAAGAAGCGAAATAGGTTGGCAATTGCAGTCTGGAGGAGGAAGTGTTGACACTTGCACGTGCAGAGTCTCGCTACGTTTTCAGGCTTTAAGCAGTGCGACTAGACGTCATTTCTCGGCGGTGTTCTGCTGCGCCACAGCCACTACTACTACTAGCCACATTTAGATTCCTTTTTTCGTCCGTACTCGTATCGAAGTGCTCTTTTGTATCCAACCTGGCAAAGGAATGGATATCATGCTACGGAATCTCAAAAGTCAAACGAGCAATTGATTTCTTTTGGATCGGCAAAATTAGATCGACATAAAACGGTCCCTGCAGAATCTCCCGTATTCCCATAACGCCGTAATAAGACAGGACGAGGCAAAGACAGACGAGTCTAACGACGGAAGCCTCCACGAGGCGCTCCGCGGCCACCTCCTCTTCCACCGCTACCACCACGGAAGCCAAAGCTTCCACCCCGGGGACCACCGCGACCCCTTGGAGCACCGCCGCGACCGCCGCGAGAAGCACCGAAACCACCACCGAAGCCACCACCAAAACCACGACCACCGCCTCGGCCGCCACGAGCGCCACCGCGGGCACCGCCTGCTCTCTTGGGCTTCGCGGCACCTGCTTGTAGGTTAAAATCGGGCGTTGAATGGGAGATAGGGGAATTGCGAAAATACCTGGTGGGGGCTTGGGCTTGGGAAGGAACCTATTGCAATTCAGTCAGCATTACTCATTTAGTCTCCCACGCATAAGATGAAACGTACTTCTCAATAGGAAGGAGCTTGTCTCCACCGATGTAGACCTTGTCGCCGGCCTTGAAGGATGTTGCGACGATGCCATCTTGGGGTTTGATGGTGAAGTATACTTGGTTGATGGGCCCGAGGACTTCGTCAATCTTGCCGATAGGCGTCTATCAAGAGTAGCTACCCGTTAGCTATAGCCGCATGGCACCTTTGATGATTTCGAACCTTGTTCTCCAGATAAATCGGAGCATTGAAGTAAGGAATCTTGGGATTGATAGATTCGCAAACCATCTCGCCTTCACAAGCGTGCATGAAGGTTCCCATTTCTGAAGCCACGTTAGTCGACCCTAGAACTTAAATGAACTAGAGCGTCTTCAATCACCTAGCACTTGGTCAGGTGGCCCAAAGGACTGTTGGAAGCCTCCACGACCTGTTCAGGAAAAATTTGTTAGCTCTAGCTGAGCACCTCCCGGGAGTCGACTGAGACTTTTACTCACCTCCACGGCCACCGAAACCTCCACCACGACCGGAAAAGCCACCGCGACCGCCTCCGCGAAAAGACATTTTGACGTTTGGATTGTAATGGTCGACCTGTTGCGGAGTGATCGCGGAGAAGTTTTCAAACGGTGGGAAGCTCGAAAGGGTAAAGTGTCGCTAGCCGGAGGGCAGTTTCAAATCACGTGCACTCACCGCCTTCCATATGATTCACAGTTTTGAGTCAGGACCGAAGTGATAAACCAGGTATCGTCGCTGCGGAACTCTCTTACCCGTTGATCATTTTTCCATTCAGTTGGTCATTACCGTGAGAACCACCATGGCGTCCGACGGCCCAAAGGATTTGCCTGTCAGGCCCGCCGCGGAGGCGAAACCTTCCAGTGAGTATTATCTTACCCCGCTGAATACTCCTCAGACCCCTCCTGCTAAGGATGATCAATTGTCTTAGGTGCCGACTCGCTTCCCGACTTCATCATTGAGCGAAACAAGCTTTTTGAGGAGCTGTGGCAGGAACATCTCGAGGAAGTCAAAAATAAGCCGCATCCCGAAATCAATGTCACCCTGAAACTCGGCGACGGAAATACCACCACCATCCCCGCGAAGGCTTGGGAGACCACTCCTGCGCAACTTCTCAAGCACGTCCCCAAGGAACTAAGTGCTGACATTGTCATTGCCAAGGTTGAGGGAGAAGGGCTTTGGGATCTCGGTCGCCCACTGGAGGGTGATTGTACTGTGTCCTATGTGCCGTTTAGCGACCCCGAGGGTAGGGAGGTCTTCTGGCACTCCAGCGCTCACTGTCTCGGTGAAGCTTGCGAGTGCGAGTATGGGTGTCTTCTTTCCCACGGACCTCCCACCCCTCAGGGTTTCTTCTATGACATGGCCATGCCGGACAAGTATGCCTTTTTTTCCCTGCAAAACTCCGTGCTCTAGAGACCACTAACATTTCTACAGTCGCGTTGTTAAGGAAACCGATTGGAAAACCCTGGATAACAGAGCGTCCAAGATCTTCAAAGAGAAGCAGAGCTTTGATCGGCTGGAGGTTACCAAGGAGAATCTAAAGAAGATGTTTGCCTACAGCAAGTACAAGCTGCACTACATTGACAAGCTTGTGACTGGTGAGAAGAGCACTGTCTACCGATGCGGTACTTTGGTCGATCTTTGCAGGGGTCCTCACATTCAAAGCACTGGCAAGGTTAAGACCTTCAAGATCATGCAGGTCAGGATAAATGCAAAATCCTCTATGATTTGCGTACACTAACCCCTTTGACAGAACTCCTCCGCCTACTTCCTCGGTGATCAGACCAACGATTCCCTGCAGCGTATTCGTGGTGTCGCATTCCCCGATAAGAAGCAGATGTCTGAACATCTCAAATTCCTAGAGGAAGCCGAGAAGCGAAACCATTTGAGGCTCGGCAAGGACCAAGAACTGTTTTTCTTCGACGAAGTGTCACCTGGGTGCCCGTTCCTGCTCCCCAACGGTGTCAGGATTTTCAACTCTCTTCAGACCCTCCTGCGCTCCGAATACCGCAAGCGAGGATACCAAGAAGTGCAGACCCCCAACATGTACGACGTGGGCATCTGGAAGACTTCCGGTCACTGGGAGCACTACAAGGATGATATGTTCAAGCTTGATGTTGAAAAGAGGGAATGGGCTCTGAAGCCTATGAACTGCCCTGGCCACTTCGTGCTCTTTGGTCACCGCGAACGAAGCTACAGAGAACTTCCGCTGCGAATTGCGGACTTTGGTGTCCTGCACAGAAACGAGGCGTCTGGTGCTTTGCACGGTCTCACCCGTGTTCGCAAGTTCCAACAAGATGACACCCACATTTTCTGCACCCAAGATCAGGTGAGTGATTTTCTGCGACCTGGCAACGCCCTATAGGTTGGCTGACTTGTTCAAGATTGAATCTGAGATTGAGGGACTTTTCGACTTCCTGCAGTCCATATATGGGCTTTTCGGCTTCACCTTCAAGTTGAAGCTGTCCACTCGCCCAGAGAAGTACCTCGGACAGTTAGAGACCTGGAACTACGCCGAGGAGCAGCTCAAGAAGGCCATGACCAAGTTCAAGGGTTCCGACTGGGTTATCGATGAGGGAGATGGCGCCTTCTACGGCCCCAAAATTGACATTACCATTGCTGATGCTCTCAAGAGAGAGTTCCAGTGCGCCACGATTCAGCTTGATTACCAGGCTCCTCTCAACTTCAAGCTTGAATACATGACCAATGAAAAGAGCCAAGCTACCACGGAAGATGCGAAGAAGGAAGGTGATGCCAAGTCCAGCGAGCCTGGTCCTGGCCGTGCTCGCCCTGTTGTCATCCACCGCGCCATCATTGGCAGTTTCGAGCGATTCTTGGGCATTCTGATCGAGCATTTCGGCGGCAAGTGGCCTTTCTGGATCAGCCCTCGCCAGATTCTGATTGTGCCCGTCATGCCCGCTGTATACGATTACGCCCAGGAGGTACAGAAGATTCTGCGGGACGATAAACTGCACGCCGACGTTGATATCAGTGGCAACACCTTGCAGAAAAAGATCCGCACTGGTCAATTAGCCCAGTATAACTTCATCCTCGTTGTTGGTGCTGAAGAGAAGGAGTCTCGCTCTGTCAACATTCGCAACCGTGATGACACGGCAACTCAAAACAAGGGTATTATGGTCCCTCTCGAGGAGGCCCGTGTCAAGTTCCGGGCGCTGCGTAAGGAACGTCGACTGGTCAACGCCCTCTAATCTTCTCACTACCTTTCTACTTTCCCCCTCCGCCACCTTGACATCGTCCCGCCCCACTTTCATCTCACTATTCCCTCACATTTCATATCTTTTGTGACCTCAGCCTCCTTCCGAACCTGGGGATGACATCATCAATCTCATCAATCATGGTTATGAGTTCTACGCTTCGTCGGTGTTCTTTTGGTGTTGAAAATAGCGCTAGGCCATGAAGCTATTGAGAGATAATTTATCGGGTTGAAAATTCTGTTGAGTTCTTTCTAGCCATGCATACTACTAGTTGACATAGAGAGCTATATGGTCTCTGTACATATTTCATAGGATGCTTGTTGGCACGCACTTCCCCTGGACGATAATATTGTACGAAGTCACATGATTAGACTTGTCCTCAGCTTGGCTTCTGATCCTCAGTCCTTTCCAGCCCCATTAATATCCCAAGCTATCATTCAAACCCTCGGATATGCCCGTTGTTCCATTACTCTGATCAAATCTGGTCACGACGAGTGATGGTCATAGGCATGTTACTCTGGTAAACGAACCAAGCATTTCGATACGTCCACTCGTGTTTGGGATCAACTAGGCGGAGCTACATCCGTGTTAGCCAGTCCAAATTGAAGAAATTAGAAAATCGATGCAAGGAACGACCTACGTCAAAGGTGCTATAAAGAGTTGCGATCAATTTCGTGATCTCCAACACGGCGAGGTACCGGCCCATGCAGATGCGTCCGCCTCCTCCAAACACAAAGTCACATGTGTCATTCATACGCCTATGGCGCTCTTCGTACTGCTCAGCAGTCTCATAATCTCGTCTCAACCAGCGATCTGGCCGGAAGTCATCCGCATCTTCACCGAAGATGGCGTAATCCCGGCTCGTGACACCAGGGTTGATGCCCACCTTGGTTCCCGCTAGAATATACCGACCGTCAGGCAACGTAAAGCCGGCTTCCGGTGGGACGCACTCGAAGACCATGGCGATTCCCGGGTTAAGGCGCATGCTTTGGCGGATGACCCCATCCAGATAGGGCAAGTCACGGATGTCTTTCCATTGAGCGGGTAAGTCCAGCGAAGTAGACGAAAGCTCTGAGACTAGCTTCTGATACGCGTCTGTGTTCTTGGCCAAGTAGTAGACAGCAGCGTGCATTGTGGCAGAGGTGGTATCTCCCCCCGCAAGGATACTCAGCATAAGCCAGTTGACGATTTGGACGTCATTGACCATGTCAGGGTAGGTCTCCTTGAGTTGAACATATTTATCCAGAGTGTGGTCCACAGTGCCGGCTTTGACCTAGTTCTCCTTAGGTTCGGCCTGATACCCAGCAACAACCTTGAAGGCGTAGAGCACGCCTGTGAGGGTGGGTTTAGGGCCAATGCGAAGAATCGAGTTCTTGTCTAGGAGATGATCAACCCAAGGAGTTTGAGAAACCTGTCCGAATAACTGTCAGTGGGATGCGAGACGGTTGGCTGAAACGGGTGCCTCAAGCTCACGGGGGCAAAATATTCAAGACCCATGGTCGAGTCCGTGATTAAGCTATTCACATCTTTCTCCTGGTCAATGAACCCATAGTGCCGTCCGAAACTGATGTTCGCAGTCACATCCCAAGCAACTATTCCTACTGTTACCCATTGTTGGTCGTTACAAGCTCTTGGGTTACTCACCATATCCAATCCATTCATCAGCAGGGCAAACCTGGCCTCCACCAAACTTGGCGCTAAGTTTGTCCACAAACTCCTTCAACGTCTCATCGATCAACGGCTCATATTCTAGTACTTTGGTCATCCGCCACAAGTTGCGGATTGGTAAGATATTCTGGTTGTGCCAATTTTCATCTTGCGTGTTGAAAAGGTTGGACATTCGCTGGCCATTCGGCAAGACATCGTTGGGACGGTACGGTCACTCTGCAATGGAAATTGGGTAATAAGTCAGCGGTGTTCCTCTGCTTTACCTTCGTTGATACATCACATTCAAAGGGCGAGGTCAAGTACCTTTTTCCATGGGTTGCGGGTGGAATAGATCACTCGAATCATGCTTGGGTCTGAGATGCTCAAAGCATTCGGCCCTATTCGGACTACAGACCCATAATGTCGATGCAATTGAACCTGATTCCGATCGATGTGGCCTTCGAATGCTTGCCATGCCCGCATATTAGTGAATTTGGCCGGAATTGGCCTGCCAAAGACCCTCGGCGGCGACAAGAAGGCGTCCCAGATGAGCTTGGAAAGCAGCAGAGCCCCAAATGCAGCAGGGATTTGCATCCACAAACTGGCAAAAAGTACGTACCTCAGCCATGTCTGTGATTCGAAAGACGGTGAATGCGCGTCAGAAAAGAAAGATGTTAGCGTCTTGTTTCACCTTCAGCAAGGATGGCAGCTCGACAGCTCCCTTCAACCAGGGATCTTGAACGATATTAAAAAAGGACATTTTCGCACTGGCCGCACCAGAGGATCCTCTTGCCAGGGAGGGGTGGCCATGTCTTGCCAGACCAGTCGAATTACTGGCATCTTCCATTGGCTACTCCAACCTCTTCACGAAAGTACCGGAGGAGTTAACCTTAGACGAAGCTTGCTACGGAATGCGGAAATTGGAGGACTCGTCACAACTTGGATCCATCTTGCGGGAGACGCCGTCGATTTGACAGGTGCCAACCAACCCGCTAACCAACGGACCCGATCCCTCAGTGGCAGTTCAGCCTTGGTCCATGCCGATCAGATAGATTTCATCAAACGGTTGTCTCACTCGTTCCAAAAGGTTCTTTCATGACAAGTTGAAGAAAAAGAAAAAAAGAAATGAAGCCAATACCTGATGTGCAGTGCTGGTTCCTGGCGTATCTTTGTAGCTTCATCGCTACCAGGGTCATTGTATGTACACACAGTCCGAATTCAGTGCGATGACCAGACTTATGGACTCGCTACCTATCACTTTGCCTCATCCTCCCTTCTCTACCATATATACGAGGCCTGCCATGACACTTCTCCGGTCATAGGCTTCATCCGCAAGATTTCCTCACCTCACCTCAGCATTTTCCATGGCGGCCGAACCACCATCTCCTGAATTCCTGGCGGAAAGCCAGGGACCAACGGTCAAGGCCGTAATGTGGTTGATGTCGGGGCTCGCAGCCTCGTTTGTGATGCTTCGCCTTTATGTGAGGCTGCATCTGAAGAGGGTTTTTGGTTGGGATGACTTGATGGCTGTTGTTGCTGCCGTAAGCCAACCGGAAGTTGAGAATGCACGCACTCTGTCGAGTCTAACATGTATGTCTTTTCTAGGGTTGCCTTCTCGGTTATGCCGCCGTTTGTCATGCTGCAGCAGATGTTGGAGTAGGGATGCACATTCAAGTAGAATCCCAAAAACCTCATTGCAGCCGCACGGTTCAGCAGCATCAGTCAGACTCTGCCCATCATGTCTTGTGCACTCGGCAAGACTGCATTTGCCGTTACCCTGTTGCGAATTGTCGTCGAGCGGTGGATGAAGTATCTGCTCTGGTTCATCATCATCACGATGAACACCGTCAACACCTTGGCAGCATTGTTCGTCTTTGTGCAATGCAAGGATCCATGAACCAACTGGGACCCGAGCATTGTATCCGAATGCTGGCCAACCGACGTCTTTACTAACTATTCTCTCTTCCTGGGAGGTAGGAATTCCCATAATCACCGCTTGTGCCTGTCTGACGTTTTGCAGCATACTAAGGAGCGCAGGACTTTCTCCTCGCGCTACTCCCATAGACCATCGTGTGGAACCTCCAGATGAGAAAGAAGGAAAAGATTGGTGTAGCCTTTGCCATGAGCTTGGGTATATTGTACGTTTTCCCGTCTGATGATCTGGGCTTCCATATTTACCAAACAACTCGCAGTGCCGGCGCAGCCGCAATCGTCAAAACCTGCTACCTAGTGAAGCTTTCAGAGAAGGCTGACTTTACCTGTACGTCTCGATATCCTGCTCTTACCAGATGAGTGCTCACTCTAGTAGGGGAAATGACCCCGTTGCTCAACTGGGCCGCGGTCGAGTGTGCCCTTGCCATTATTGCCGGCGCGATTCCGACCTTGAAACCGCTCCTCACAAAAGTCTTCCCAACGTCAACCTCGCAAGAAAGCTACAACATGCTCCCGCCGCGCGCAACCTACGAGAAGAGAAGGATTAAATTCGACACCTCAATCTATGCCACGCAGACCGACCCTGCGACAAAAACGCGCGATAACAGCAGCCAGCAGTCGATTCTCCCAGCTGCGCAAGACAACAAGATCAACCTGACCACAGAGGTCTCTGTGTCATACAAGGCCAACGCCCCTAACGATAGCGTCTGAGCTGCGAGGGTCAAAAGTGGTCTGTGGATTTCGGGTATTAGATTCGATTGCATGTGGCGCTGGAAACTATTTCCGCAATTAATGGGATTTTTAGTTGGATATACCAACTAATAAAAGCACGGAATCGCCTCAGTTTCGGTTACCTTGTGATACTTCCAAAAGAATCCATGATTTCATATTGAAAGTCCTCGCTGTGTCCTCTTACTATCATATATATCATCCGGCTCAAGCCTCTAGCTCTAATTTCACACAAATGACCTCAGTATCTGGAAAACAGCCTCATGCACAGCCCGACTCTACCCCAGAATATAGACCTATTTCTCTATTTCGGAAAGCAAAGTAAGGAGAGATATCTCCTCTTTAGGCTACGAAAACATGACCCTCGATGAACTAACCTCACATTAAATAGATGTAAACGACAGCATACAGTACACATACACACACACACGTTGTCTGTACTGTATATTCCCAGCAAACCACTAAAGAGTGTGCATGCATGTTGCATTTCTAGTGAGCACAGTCCTCCAATCCAAAACCTCCGTCCGAGTGACAGAGTAAGTCCAGACTCCAAATCCAACTCCCAAGACGGCGAGTCCCAACCCAGCCCCCGGCCTGCAGAACGCTCAGACCTACTGTATCGCGAAGTCATGCATGATGCACCACACGGAGACAAAAGTACTAGCCCCGCCCGGGGGGCGCGCCCCTCACTGCTATTCGACGGTCGACCTCTTCGGGCCCATTTCTTTTGAGATTCGATTCGGCACCTGCAATCTATGTACTGCACTCCGCAGGATGCAATTGCACTATCACCTGTGCTCTCTCAGGCCTCGAGCCTCGAACCCATTCCATAAGGCAAAGGAGTACGATTTCGTGTTGTAATGCGGCGGCCATGTATCCCGCCAATTCAATGTAAGTGAGTTATTCTTCCGGGTAGAGTTTCCCGGTGAGAGTCGAGCAAGATGTATCTGTGCAGTGTGAGATGCGAGGAAAGCAGGATTTTAGAGGGCTGGGGCCAATAATTGATTGAGATTATTGTACTTTAGAAGTTTTTAGAGAAGAAGGTCAAAACATGGAAAGAGTGAATTCGCTGTTTCCCAAAGAACTTGAAAGCGACGAGGCCTCTGTCATGCGGTCCCTTTGTCGGGGGGCAGGAAATTAGGGCTTGCTCCGCTGGAAAGGCAAAATTATCAACACGATTCCCTCCTTGCCAGGAGCGGAGGGAAGAAATATTCGTGCCTCATACAACAGATATGGAAGTCGAATCACTCACCGCTCGTGTTCAATCAAAGAGTTGTGGCCCTCAACCTCTCTGAAGGGTCATACAGTAGAAGAAGCAGGCGCGATCGCTCGTTCTTTCCTTTTTCATCACCACGCCCGGCCAGTCAAGGTCACGCAGCTGCCCTTATTCGCGTGGAGTCCGCGAGTACTACCTACTAGTAGTAGTACTCTACGGTCATATACCCTCTGTACTGTTGAGACCCGAGTCGTCCCTCTGATGGTTTCTTCATGCCGGCATTGCTCTGTTGACACTAGAGCAGAGCCTTCAAGCCAGTCAATAAACCTGAGACCACGTATGTCACGATGACCTATTCGTCAAAGGTTAAAGATAGTCTCACCTTCCTATCCTTAAATTACCCTATTATGTATTTCCCCCGGTCCAGAAAACCCTAATGCAAAACCAATAATGATATTATACAAGAAGTATTCAAGTCAAATCACTCATCCACATCCAGAACACGCCAAACAACCTCCAGAACCCGCGGAGGTGTTTCATCCGTCCCATTAAGCACGTACACCTGCCGAACCCTCTCCAGCTCCTCATCAACCAAAACCCCTCTCAACCTCATCGAGACCTTATCGGCATCGACCCGCCTCAACGGACCAAGACTATACGCAAACGGATCTGACACTGACCCCTTGTTTTTACTCTTTTCCCAGGTCTGCTCCATTGGCCGCGGGTCATTCCACAGCGTCGCGTCCTGAATAACAGAGTACCCGTTGACAAGGAACCAGTCCTTGGACAGGTGGAACCTCCGCAGGAGACACCCTTCGCCACAGATGGATGCGATCTTGCTGAGCGCAACCATGTCGGCTTGGAACCAGGAGGACCAGTGGTGGACGGAGAGCGGGAGGGGTCGGCCGGACTCGAAGAACCCGGATGCATCACCGCGGATGTTGAGCTGGTAGAGGCCGCGCTCCCAGGTGAATTTTGTGCTTGTGTGTGCGTAGATGCACGAGGCGAGCATGCGGTCGCCGCGCTCTTTGAAGGCGTGGCAGGTTTCGAAGACGTGTTGGAGGTCGGAGAGAAGCGGGAGGGAGAGGAAGATTCCGGCGCCGCCGTAGGCCATGTAGCCTGTGCTGGAGATGTGGGAGAGGTCTTCGGTCATTGCGCCGATGTATTGAGGTATTGACGGGTCGTAGGCGGAGGCGAGTCGGGAGACTAGGTTCGTCATGCTTGGGAAGAAGGTGTCGTCGTCAATCAAGACGGCCCACTGCGTTGAGGCATCGCGGTGCTGGTATAGCACGTGTATGAGGGAGAAGTATCGATCTAGCTGTTCATCTTCGGTTTGGGTGATTGTTAACCGGATGCCCAGGGTCTCTGCGCGGTCTTGGATTCTTGACCGTGCCGAGGACCCGCCTTGTTCAACGACGGCGACTATGTGAGCGCTGCTGTTGCTGGCCCAGTGGGCAAATGCATCGAGCGAATCCTCGAGTCCCTTAAGGGATGTTGCGACCCCAAAGATCATGTGCGATGCATCGGGAGGCGAGGGAGTAAGGGGGGCTTCGATAGTCACGGATGTCGCACAATCTTTCTCGGACTGTGTTTCTCGACTAGCGTCGGTATCAAGATGAACTGTGCGGTAGGAAGGAATCGAAACATCGAGGGAATCCGTAAAGGCAGTGAAGTTCTCGGTTTTCGAAACGACTATGTTCAATCGCGCATACTCGACCGTTGAAGCATTCCCCGCATAGAGTCGGAGAAGATCGAGGTCGGTAAAGCAAGCATTACTGGCGCCATGGTTGGTGTCGTCGGTCTTTGCATTATTGCTGCTGCCAATGTTGCTCAGGGACGGCTCAAGAACATTAGTAGGAACACGATTGTTTCCCAGGACACTGATGCTTGAGTAAGTGAAGATGATCAGGCCACCAAGGACCAGGGCAGCAGCCAGGACCAGGAGTCTCCAGGAGGCCAGCTTATGTTGTTGGAGAGCGTGCAAGAGCTGGCGGAATTGCGGCATCATGGGCGGGCATGACGCGATTTCCGTTTCATGCGAAGAAGGCTGAGCAGTTTCTTGACGCAGTGGCCATCTTTCTCACTTGGAGTTCCTGGCCTTTTTGCTCCTTTTTTCCTTTTATAGTGTCGTGTCTGGACCTCGAAAGATGCACAAAAAGGGGATGAAACGCCCACAGGCCCACCAGTCAGACTGTGATTGGTAGACCAGCGATTCATGCTCAGGAGCAACAACAATTGTATCGAAAAAGTACGAACATCCAATATTTGCATTCACAAACTGACAACAACGAACCCTGTACTACCAAGCTTTGTACTGCTCATGCAACTATATATGTGGTGTGATCTAGACAACCATCCCCTTCTAGGGAGTCATAAACATCATCAGACTAGGCATCCATCCCCCGCTGCAACGACGATTCCAGATCGTTAATGGTGCCGCCCGCGGCGTGTGCTTCTTGAGGCCTAGGCTCTTCCTGTCGCCACACTCCCTGCTGGTGCTCGGGAATTGGGACATTGGTCTGCTGCGCTATCTGCTGCTGCTGGGCCAGGCTCTGTGCGTGTGCTGGTTGACGCACTTGTTGGCGAAAACGAACAACTTCCTCATAGATCATGCGGCGCATCTCCTGCACGTCGTCGACAACTTCAAAGTGGAAATCAAAGGTGGTGGGGCACGAGGGTTCATCCGAAGCATCGTGCCAAATCGCGAGGTAAGGGTGTTCCAAGGCCTCTTCGACAGAGATACGTGCCGAGGGGTCGAAAGCAAGCATGCGGTCGAGAAGGTCAAGGGCATCGGGATTGGCATTTGGGAAAAGACGCTGGAAAGGAATCTTGGGCATGAAGGGCAAGTTGCGCACATACTCCTGGGCCCGCGGTGAGCCAATTCGGCTCAGGGTTTCTTCATTTGGAGTACCCAGGTAGTGTAGAATCTGGTTGAGCTGGTCGACATAGTCGCGACCCTTGAAAAAAGGACGGCCACCAAGGAGCTCGGCCAGAATACAACCCACCGACCAGACATCGACTGGAACCACGTCAGTACACATAGCGATGGGACGAAGAATTGACACATACTAGCTTTCGTATAACTCTGGAAACTTAACATGATTTCCGGAGCGCGGTACCATCTTGTCGCAACATATTCAGTCATGTAGCCTGCGTTCTCCTCGGGATCAATCGAGAATCCACGGGCCAAGCCAAAATCGCAGATCTTCAGCTCACAATCCGCATTGACCAGCAAGTTACCCGGTTTCAAATCTCTGTGGAGGACATTGGCGGAGTGGATATACTTGAGACCGCATAGAATCTGGTAAATGAAGGACTGGTAGTGGGCGTCGGTCAACGGTTGTCCGGAGCGGATAATGGCAGCGAGATCACATTCCATAAGTTCTATATGAGAATAAGATGTTAGTCTCGAGCATCACCATCTGATAATAGCTATATTACCTTCATACAGATATGTCTCATTGAAGTTGTCAGGTCGAGGAATATCCATATCAAAGAGGCATGTGATCTGGATCTCGTTAGCCAAACATATCCCTATGTGGAGGACGGTCGATATACATTGCGATGGCCTCTGAAGTGCTGAAGCAGCTTGATTTCTCTCAAGGCGCGCTTAGCCAAGATTTTCTTGCTGAAGACATTGGTGACCTTCTTGATGGCAACGCCCTCACCAGACTGTCCATTGGTAGCAGCACTGTTTGAGCAATATCAGTTAGCACCTGATTATAGTAGGCCATATCCCTCTTGATTAGGTGATTCGCAAACGGAGACGAAGCTGCAACACAACCCCACCCTACCAATGCAGACAACAACAAAGACCACGCGAATTCAGGGAGCGGGACACTGCCGAAGCACATACCAAACGATACCATAAGCACCTTGGCCCAGTTCCTTGGTCACAGTGTAGCGGTCATCCACGATAAAGTCCTGGTTGAAAACCTTGAAGACCTTCCGTCCTTGTACTTGTAGGTCAGACATGGTGTAAGATTTCCCAAACGATCGACGAGCGGTAGAGAGCGAGGACGATGACCGAGCGGAGCACGATAAGTGAGGCCGAGAAGGTATCGGAAAGATGGAATGGAAAATGCGAAGATTACGTCGCTTTTGCTCGTATAAGGGGATGGCGATGAGAATTAGCGCCTTGTGGAGGAGCTGAATGTCAAGCGCGGCTGCAGGTGCGACTGCAAGTTGTGAGGACAATCAATATTGATGCCCCGCAGTGTCACGGAGACAGCTGTACAGAGAGGAGTAATGTAAGCCAAGTTGCTCAGTTTTCTGCTCCGGACAGGGTTATGTGAGTATACTCACAAGTGAGATTACTTTGAATAAAGGGCGATATAAGAACAATCAAGAATGTCAGGGGGAGAGGAGATTGAGGTGACCAGGGTCAGCTCTTGTCAGCTCTTGACTCGATTGATTGGACCGTAAGAGGGCAGCGCTAGAACCTTGAGTGATGTAAATGCAAGCGGGCGACAAAGGAGTGGGATTCGCCTCTTTCTGCTACTACACATGAAGAAAGAGGGCCTTCACGAGTCGTTAAAATTATCGTGGTACAGGCAATTGCTCGAACAAAGAACGACAAGTTGCGCCCTTGAAACTGTGGTTATCGCGACCCGAAGATGGAGGAGTCGTTGCCTAAGGCAAACAGCGGGGCAAGTTCAAGTATAGCAGAACCAGCTGAGCCGAAGGACTCGAAAACTCATGTAGAAATGTCGGATACCCAAATAATATGTACGCCTTAAGTCTTAAATAGCACTGTAAATCCCAATGACATATCCATAGCCCATAAATCATAACTTCCACCAATCTCGCTCAGATATGGTATGCAAAAAGAAAGAACCAAACCAAAAGAATCTACGGAGTTAGTGCAAAAAAAAAGACCACCTGTAGATCATATGAACTTCAGGTCATAAGCCGAAAGCGCAATGTCCTCTACCAGACAAGTCGTAGAGAGACTATGCCTGACGAGTAGCGCTGAAGAATAGAAACACCCACAACAATGCAGGGCGCATGCGTAAGCTAATAATAATAGCCCTTCCACCAGACCGTCATACAAGCCGCAACAACCAAATCGAGCATCTTGATACCTTCATCCTCAATAATGAGCTTTCCAAGTTTAGCGCTGTTACCACGCATCCCACCACCCGCCTTCTCACGCGCGAGCGAAAGATCTATGCGGTCTTCATCAATCGGACGGCGGGGTAGAGGGGGTGGTGGTTCATTGGCGCCTGCGCTGCTTGTGCTGCTGTTCGAGCCTCGCCGGTCAAATTTGTGGTTTATGAAGTTGGCAATCGCTGCTCGTTTGGAGGGGTTTGTGGACGGGTTGTAATAATATGGGCCAGACGGGTCGGCATGCTCGGAGTGGTGATGATGCGCATGACTGCCCTGGAAGGGAGTGTTGAACCGAATTTCGGCAACCGTCACCGCGGGATTTTCTTGGGTTGAGTTTGGCGAATGCGGGAACCCGGGGGAAGGAATCATATGTTTGCATTTTAGACTCCGGCCATTGACACTGGTCGAGAATGTGCAAGTACCGTTCCATGGTGAGGTGAAGGTGTAGTAGCCGCTTTTGAGTTTCGAGAAGTTGGAGGGACTTCCAGGGCCACCATCCAAGGAGGGACGGCTACCTGGTAAATCCAGCGAGCCACGCGACTCCTCTGGTCGAGATACCAGAAGCTTGCGGTGAAATCGTCGGGGTCGAGACGTGTCGCGAGGAACTGAAGGATCATGTGGTGTTGCAGACGGACTAGAGGTATGCTGTTGCCTCGAAAGTAAACTGCGAGCCTCAGCGGAAAGGTTCAAACCCAAAGACTCTAGAGAGAGTGGTTCATTGTGACCCGAAAATCGACTATACCCGGGTGTCAAAATATCAATATCAACACCAGTACCATCTGTACGACTCGGAGGTGTTGACATGGTTGCGACGTTCCATTGGCTGCCGTGAGTTGGGTCGCGACGGATCAGCGTGATATGGAAGCCTGGTTGTTGCGGAGGAGCATTATCGCGTGGTAAGCGACTTGGGGACTGTCCAGGAGATATCGGAGGAGGGGCAATGGCAGAATAGGGTGGTGGTAGATCATGGGATGATTGAGGCCGCATCAAAGGGCGCGCGCCGTCGAAGCTGTGACGAACCGGCGAAGCCGCCTCATATCTCTCCCTTCCACGCTGGACCTGGTTGGAGACATAGCCAGAGAGCGCACTCCAGCGGTTATTCTTTTTGGGTGGTCTGTAGGTGTCGAAGACGGTTTCATTCTGCGGTATACTCGATACAGGCCGTTGGGGTAAAGGTGGAGGGGTCTCCTCTCCCCTGGGCAAGCCAGAAGCCGAATAGTCAGGAAGTGTCGGACGGGGGGGTAACATGGGTGGTGGTATCGAATCATCCAATGAAATCGGCGCGGTATTCTCGAATTGCTGGTCTGAAGAGAACGAGGGACGAGTTGGTAGAGGAGGGGCGTCAAGGCTGACCGTCTCGTTGGGCGCGCCAACAGGCTTTCGCCGGACATTGTTCAAGCGTGCAATCTCAGGCGCGGGCAGAGGAAGGTCCGGATCTTCCATCAACCCTTCCTTGCGCAGTCTTGCCTGCTCTTCGCGTTCCTGCTCGTATTCCTGGAGAAGGATGTCATCATCGGGGCCGGCAACATGGAGGTAGTAAAGCGAGGCGTTGATGGCTTCTGCGGAGACGCTGTATTTTGTCGGCGGTTTGAGAGGGGTAAGGAAGACATCTGCCAAACTCAAAATGTCAACGACCGTCTGGTTTTCGAATGCGACGAGAAAACAAGAGCCAAAGTGATGCAATCATTGGCGCGGGGCAATGTTCAGCCCGGGTGTGATCGCGACAAACCAACCTTTACTTCCAGGTACTCTCACAATATACAGCACCAGAGGCTCAAGCTTCTTTTGCGTGGGATTCCGAGGGTATGCTGGCGGGTTCGATGCGATGGAGGTGATGGAGGAGAGAGAGCGAGCCTCGACGGGCCCTCCATACAATGGCGCGGGGAACGAAGCGGACTCCCCATCCGCCGCGTCGACCTTGGCCATTTACCACGATATGAAGAGCAAAACAATAATATGTCGCAGACGTATGAGCATGCGAGGCGCGAACGTTATATAAACAAGCTATCAGCCACAGGTGTCGATATGGGGGTGGATGAGTCGGAAAGCTGTGGAGAGACCGCCAAGAGAGGAACCATTAGGCATCGGCAATAACCCGTACAGTTCCATAGGGCTCGCTGAGATAATTCAAGTGAGGTGTAGTCGTGAAGAAAATCGGAGAGAGGATCCTACTACATTTTGGGGGAACGGAGAGTGGCTGTGGCTGGGTAAAAATCGACAAGACCGTCAGAAAACATAGCTGCCTATTGATGGCAAACTATTTTGAAGCATTGCGCACGTACGCCAGACACGCATCCCTTGCGAGCATTAAAGTCTATCCAAATTAAGCCAGCGTATGTCTTTTCAGATTGGTATCTCTAAAGTTGAAAATAGCTACAAGGTAAGTGTGTGCGGTGCCATGCTGAAGCCGTGAAGATAAGAATGGAAATAACAATAAGAAAAATCACTCAGGGTGCTTCCTATGCTGCACGCAGAGATTGAATAATGACAATTAGACAACCGTCTCGGACCGCTCGTTCTCAGCAATAACTGGAACAGGAAGCCCACGTTCGGGGCTCTGCAAGACCAGCTGCTCATGGCGTCGAGCCCGGAGGAAGTCGCTGATGGCCCGAATCAAGACAAACCAACCGACAATCATCAAAACATAGGAAATCCACTCGCTCGTGGTAATTGTCGATACACCTCCTCCTCCCCCATCACCACCTGAGCTCGCACTGTCAACCACCTTGCTCGGATCAAAGCTGTGGCTATTAGGGTCTGGTGGTGTCACGTATTCGTCTGTACCACCACCCCCTCCCGACGACTCGCTACCTCCTTTCATGTAGAAACCATACTGAACTAATGTGAGGCCGAGACCAGCCCGACTTCCGTTCTTTGCCGCGTGTGTGGTGTGAAGTAGGTATGTGAGGAGGAAGCCGACAAGTTGGAACGACATGGAAATCATGGCGTTCCAAACAAACGAGAAGATCGAGCCGACCGGCAGCCCATCCACATAAACCTCGTCTGACGAAATCCCTGGCGCAACAATAGTAGTCTCCCAATACGGGGGTGTCGCATCAGCGGCCGCTTCCTCGTATGACTATAAAACAAAGAAGTTAGAAATCACGACGACGAAAATGACTAGACAAAGAACATACCGGAGGCAGATCCTCTGTCTTCTCTCCTCGTTCCGGCTTCGCCGCCAGATTCGCAAAGACTCCATCATTCGATGAGGGAATAGCACGGGCCGACCCTGAGCCGGACATGCCACTGAAAAAAGGCAACAACGTTTGCCTCCGCTGAATACCACCCATAGGCTGAACATTCGACTGCGACTGCGATTCACTGCTTGCACCAGATGATGATGATGCTCCAACCGTCTCTGCTGGTATCGATGTGTTGCTGGTGTCTACGGCCGCCCAGGGATCCGGCTGCGCCCGCATTAGCCGCTGGCGGTCATCTGGCTCATCGCCGGCTTCGGACTCGCTGTCATCAAACGCATCGGCAAGGGTTTGATCTGTACTGGGACGGTGTAACGGGTCATCGCGGAGGAGATGCCTTGAGGAGGGCGAGGCAGAACGTGAGCGGAACGAAGGAGGCGGAGAGGAGGGTGTAGGCTGTAATGCGATCGACGGAGGGGCTTCGTCGTCGTCTTGGGCGTTAACCTATAATATAGCCGTTTAGTGGAATTTCTTAAACAGTGCGTCCCAGATCAAGGCCCAAAACGGCGGCCTTGAGTTCGCAGGCGAAGGCGACACTTACCCGTTGATAACGCTGTGAGCTCATGACGAGCTGAGCGAGCGGAAGCCCCGGGAGAAGGCGTAACCAAGTCTAGAGGGCTTTACCAGTCTAAAAAACGTAGACAGGTCCGAAACAAGGGAGCGAAAGGGGGGTAGAATATGGCAGATGAGACGATGAAGGGAGAAAGGGAGAATGCACTCGAAAGATGAAGATGGATGACCAACCGACATGCCTGAGGGCTGACTATGATTGCCTGGGGCCACAGGGCCCTGGGGCCCTTGGATGCTCCACTGCGTGTTGATTCGCTGTGGCTGAGCAGGCGGTGAATCGCTCTTAGCGCCCCGGAGTGTCCGCGGCTCCCGTGACCTTATTTTTGCCGCATCAAATGTTCGAGAGAGAAGGAAGAGAACTACATCGTGGTGTTTCATCACTAATCAGCTGATTGCTCCCCATTGCAGCTTGAAGTACTCGGCACTGAATTCGAAACCTTTTTCAGCGGCCGTGGCATCATTATTCCAGCTCTAATAAGCTCTTCCGAGCTCCGAAACCACCCAAGATGGCTCGACCGGTATATACTCAAATCTTCATGAATCACCACATATGCCGAGCTAAATGACTTTAAACAGGCTGCACAGGCTCGCATCACTCACCTACTGAAACACTGGCCCGCCGATCCCATCCGCCCAGCCTCCGTATCCGTTCACACCTACCTCCAATCTCACCTCACCCCTCCTGCACAACAATCCAAAGACTCCACGACACCTACGACAACAAACAATATTTCAGAGTCATCGCTTAAAGCACTCTCATCACTTCTAGAAGACCGATACGCGCGTCGCTACCCGCTATCGCCGAAGCTAAGGCGACCGGCGAGTAACCCCGACCATTATGACAATCTTATTCGAGAATTCGAGGAGGCGCCTTCGCGGGATTGGCTTGGGAGGCTTTGGAAGCGGCTGAGTGGGCAGTTTAGGTTTCAGTAGAGTGTGGGAGCTGGAGCTGGAGGCTTGCTGTTTGGGTGTACGACTATACGTGTATATTATGGTATGTTCTTGGGGGCTCGTTTTGATATTGGCTATATGTGTGAAGTGCATTTCTTCCAGGATTGGAGAGACTAAATCTTCAATGAAACACTATATGCTTGCTCCAGACACCTCATAGATAATTTGATGATGGTTGAATATCATGGGCCGTCGTGGAGTTGACCTACGGCGTCGATCTAAGACCAGCAGCATGCGAGTTGTACTCTGTATGCTGACAGCCTAGTTGGGTGCAGTCACTTAAACTTACATCGTCTGATTGATTCTAGTTATATACGCAAGACAAGCGCAACTCTCAAACCCCGCAAGTACGCCACAAAGATGCAACAGGAAACGAACCACTATTTACAGCCGCCACATGCCGCATTTACAGCATAGGCTTTACATCATCAGCAACCTTGAATGGTGCCTCTGTCTTGGAGCGGACCTCGTCAACAGTAACGCCATCTGCCAGCTCAATTAGGGTGAGTCCGTTTGTGAAGTCGACGTCGAAAACGCAGAGCTCGGTGATGATACGGCTAACGCAAGTCCTGCCCGTGAGAGGGAACTCGCACTGCTTGACAATCTTGGGGTTGCCCTTCTTATCCGTGTGCTCCATGGTCACAACGACCTTTGTGGCAGCAGGGTTGGAGACGAGGTCCATGGCGCCGCCGAAGCCTTTGATCTTACCGGGGAGCATCCCTATTCGTGGTTAGCCGGTACAAAAGGAAAGGATAGCTGGAAGACTTACAGTTAGCGAGGTCTCCCTTAGCGCTCACTTGCATGGCACCGAGGATAGTAAGATCAATCCGACCAGATCGGATCATACCGAAGGATTCATCACTGCCAAAGACCGCGGCACCAGGAGCAAGCGTCACAGTTTCCTTGCCTGCGTTGATAAGATCGGCATCTTCCTGGCCCTTCTTGGGGTAGGGGCCCAATCCGAGAATACCATTCTCAGACTGCAGCTGCACTTCCACTGAAGGGTCAACGAAGTTTGGCGCTAGCATGGGCATGCCAATTCCCAAGTTGGCATACATCCCGTTCTTGAACTCCTTGGCTGCACGTCGGACGATGCGCTCACGCTTCGCAGCAGTGTCACCCTTGCCCAAGGCAGCGGTATCCTCGCCCTCCTCTTTTGCGAAAGTGTATTTTTCAATGTTCTTAGGCGTTGTGCTCTGAATGACGCGCTTCACGTAGATACCCGGCAGGTGAATAGCGGCGGGGTCAATCTCGCCCACCTCAACAATGTGCTCTGCCTCGACGATTGTTGTCTTCGCGTTGCGACCCATGGCACCGTTGAAGTTGGCGGCCGCATAGCGGAACTGGCAGTTACCGAGCTTATCGGCCTTCCAGGCCTTGACAAAGGCATAGTCTCCCTTGATAGACTCCTCCATCACGTAGCTCTTTCCGTCAAAGACCTTGACATCGCGAGGCTGACCATAGAGGGCGACGGTGCCATCGGAATTATGCTTTAGTGGTAGCTCTCCAGTTTGTACGACTGTGCCGAAAGCAGCGGGTGTGTAGAAGGCCGGAATACCGGCACCACCAGCTCGGCATCGCTCAGCCAGGGTTCCCTGAGGTGTCAACTCGAGCTCGATTTCACCACCGAGGTACATGCGCTCAAAGGTCTTGTTCTCTCCGACGTAACTGGCGATCATCTTCTTGATCTGCTTCGACTGCAACAGCAAACCTAGACCAGCACCGTCGACACCGGCGTTGTTGCTAACCGCTGTCAATCCCGTTATTGAGGGGTTATTTTTCACTGCGTTGATCAGAGTGTCTGGCACGCCTGAGAGACCGAATCCACCGGCGAGTAAGGTTGAGTTGGACTTCATATCTTTTATGGCGAGGTCGGCTGACGAGACCACCTTGTTGATCTCGGACCGACGAAGACTACTCGAGAAGGTCCGCGCAAGCAAAATTTGGTGCTGTAGGACTCATGTTAGTTTTGACAATCTGGTGTCAACTAGCGTACGTACCTTGCTCTGGTTGAACGAAGCACGCCTGGCAAAGCGCAGGCATATCGCCGCTGGAGAAGGCATGATGAGTAAGAAAATCTGCTGGAGAGGTGGGAGAGCTCGTGGAAGAAATCTGCTAACGAGCGGCAGACGCAGTGAGGGGAAGACTCCAATTATGTCCGAAGTGACGGGCGGCTGGAAACGGAGCTGCGGAATGCGATCCGCCCTGCGCCCCCAACCCCGGAGAATTCCCCACAAAAGGGACGCCGATCAGCTACGGAGTACAACGTGATACATACTATGCACATGTCGAGGGACGTTTGCTTTCCTCTAGTGGCAAGGAACTCTTCTTACTATCTTCTAATGAGCATGCCTATCGCAGTGTAAGTACAATCGGTTTTGTCACCGTTGACTCTACTCCATGGCCTTCAAGGTTCCCAAGTGTGCATGCCGAGTGTAGAAGCCGAAGAAGTACGGAGTAATGCGGGCGGATCTAGCCACCCGGTCCGCGGGCCATTTCGGAAGACCCGAATAGTCCCAAGTCGAGACTACTATCGCAGGACGAAGTGGTTCCTCCAAAAGTTGACGGGTTAGGGACGGGTCAATCCAAGAGTGAGAGACATTATTGCCTCTGCTGTCTCAGTCATGATCATCATTATCATCATCGTATTCACACTTATATTTACAAGGAAGTGTGATCAAAATCACCTCCAACTTCCACATCTATCTAAGAAAATGCTATAGCGACGGATGGTATCAATAACTGCCCAATGCCTTCTCAGCATCCCCACGCTCATCTCTAATTGATGCAATGCCCACCTCAGAAGCCGCACATGACCAGATACACGACAAGCCGGTGCACGGCCGGCGAGAATACGGATTCGTCGTGCGGCTGACTCTAGGACCACGTTTCATCACACTATCCCCGGCGGTTGCATATCGTCTAGCCCCTTGCGCTTCAACGGATTCGGAACTGCAGAAGTAGTCGGCGATGTCCTCCCCGGGCCTACCAATTCACACCACTCGTGTCAGTCCCATCATGTGCCCATGGTCCAGTTTTGCCGCGCTCAGTGAGCACCGGTTTGTCCCTTCCCGCAGTAGTTCCGGAATCAGCGCCCTCACCTGTTGCAGCGTTCTCGGCAGATGCTTCCTCATACGTCGGTGGGTCCATATCTACATCGTCGGGCCCTTTCGTGGACGGAGTGACCCCTTCCATGGCAGTGTCGCCCAGGCTTAGACCTGGATCGGGCGCGCCGATGGATGGCGTTTCGACGATTTCCCTGCATACGGGATCGACCAGTCGGTCTTTTATCTGATCGTTGACGTAGACCAGGAAATATGGCGTCGGAGGGTTGTGGCGGTCCTCGCTCTTGAAGATCTCGTCGAGGTCGCGCACTTCGGTCACGTACGTGTCGTTGTATTTGCGCCAGACGTTGCGCTCAAAGTCAAAGATGTAAATATAGTAGTGGCCGAATTCAACGGAGCCATGATGGACAAAAACAGCGTAAAGTCGGTACGGTAGATGCTTGTAATCGACGAATTGGCTAGAGATCATGGTCTGGGTATTTTTGATTTCATGTTCGAGGTCTGTAGCCCAGTTAGTTGCTGGCCCGAGTTATTTCCTAGGAAAGGGGTTCCTACGCTTGAGTTCGTCTTGGGCCGCCTGCGACAGTCGATCAAGCTCCGGAAGGAGTTGAGGATCAACATCGATGGCACCTTCTGTGGTGTCCTCGTTGTCTTTCATGTCATTGAGATTACTCAGGACCTCTTTCGCTGTGCTCAGCAGGGTTGCCGTGTCTAGACCATCGGATTCCTGTGCTACAGATTAACATATACTCTTGGGATAGCGAAGGGGGGGGCCATGCCTCCTGCCGTAGGAGCTCCGCTCGGCGAGCCTCGAGTCCTCTCAAGGCGTCTTTCCATTGCCAACACTCCCTTCGACGTTTGAGGATCTCGGGGTGTCGAGTGTCCATGTATCGATCTAGGTAAATGGTCTCTTTGAGGTCCAGATGGTGCGTAGACTTGAATGATCGCTTCTTGACAGCGTCGAACTGAACCCGCTGGACTTGAATTTGAAGGATTGGAGGGAGTTTGCTGATGGTGGCATACTGCTCAGCGACTGAATCTTCGACATTGACCTTCTGGATATCAAAGGCGCCATCGATCGCTGCGTATATATCCCGAGGTCCTGTTGCCACATCTATCTTGATATCGCACCACCACTCCTCCTTGGAGCGTTCGCCCTTGTCAGAGAGGATATATGAAATTGCCCGACCATAGAAGAGGCTACACAACGGGTAAGTGATTAGAATGCTTGACATATTTGATTGTGGTAAACTCACTCTTTGACTTGATCAAGTTGCTCTCCGTCTTGGGCGATTGATATTGGGCGAATGGCACATTGGCTTTGGAAGAGGACGTTATTGATGACCTCGGTAACATCCTGCTGTGCCCCTATTTCGACCTCTTCAATAAGCTGCCGTTGAGGGTCAACTTGCGGCATAGGTCTTGGGGGTACTGGGGGAGGTTCGTTGGCGGGGCCAGCAAGGGCTATAGGGCCTGGAGCTTTTGGAACTCCAGAGGGCGCTGCTATTGATCCATTCTGGACATCGGCCATGACCGTGTCGGTTTGAGGCTGTTCGTTTTCTTTATCGTCACTCTGAGGGGGCGACACATTATCGCGTTTCACAATTTCAGAGACCAGTGTTACCTCGCTATCCTGGTCACTAGACTGTTTGGCCTTTTGGGGTTCTGTTGAGGCTTCCTCTTTGCTGTCTTCTTCCACAACCGTCTGCGGGGGTCCCAAGGGTCCCAAGACCGGCAGCCCGTCCCTTTCACCAAGACCTCCGGGTCTGCCTGCAGATATTGTCGACCTGCGGCGAATGGCGGCTTCATTAGAGGGGCTGATTAGGGTTAATCGCGCAAGCTCCTGTCCTGGGGTGACGGATGGATTCGGAGATGAGATCATATCTGAAAATAGTGTGCGCAATTCCCTGAGGACTGCAGTATGACGCAACTTGTGAGCCTAGTATATCAACAGTTTGAACTACTGCAGCACTTACACCTCTGGGAACGTTCAATCTCCTTTTTCGAGACTTTACGAGAGCCAACCTGCTTTTTCTGGCAGCTTTCGTCGTTCAAATCCATCCTGAAACTTTCAAAGTCCAGCACCATGTTTCGGTATGGGCGAATTGAATAATAAAATTGCAATAAACTGTTGAGATAGCAGGTATTGCCGATATTTTGCAAGCCGACAGGCCACTCGGATAGATTGCGGTCGGATTTTGCTGCGTCACCAGACACCATACTACTCAACAGGGGACTGTTCGTTTCTTTGGCGAGTATGCTCAAGGCCAAGTTGTATTTCTCGGCCTGCGCTGGAGCCTCATCGACGCAAATCGTGTATGCCGCCATAATGGCTCCTTCGTCCGCAGTGCGATCAGGTATCTGTAAGAGCCGATATGCGTCACTCACATCCATCTCACCAGACGTCATCTCACCTGTCTTGACAAAGTGTTTGAGGACGTCTGATTTTCGTGATTCGGCTATAAGTTCAACAGCGCGCCGCGCAATGTCCCTGCAGGAGGGATTATCGTTGACCTGCAGCACTAATTAGTCCTCACGTTCCTGGATCTCGAGCCGATGAATACGGCACCTTAGCTGTAAACATTGCCATGACGAAGTCATCCGCAGTATTATCGCTCACGCCAAGGAAGACTTGGGCCTGTTCAGGGGTTGCAACTCCTGTAACAAAGTCAGCGAGAAGGCAAGTGTAGACGAAGAGATGAATGCTTACTATCTTCCGCCGCAGACTTGATACGCTCGCTCTTCCTACTATCGCCTATTCGCCAGAGCTGCCTTCGAGTCTCCGTCTCTTGGGTGGTAGAGCTCAGATATGCGTAAAATTTGCCGATAATGCTGTCATCGGTGAGCCGTTGGTCATCATGGCTAAGACCAAAATATTTGTATGCTTCGGCAACGTCTGAGTCAGTGTAAAAGTTGCCCTCTGCGGCCGCCACCTCAGCAGCACGGCTGATGGTTTCCGCATCTTCCCCTCCTCTGAGAGACCCTATCTCCCTGAGACATTTCAGGTATTCAGCGGCCCGCCCAACATCTCTCGAAACTTTGTGGTTGAATGTCTCGATGATGGAAGACGTCGACATATCTTCCATGACCCCCAAGTCTTCATAGCAACTGCCTTTGATTAGCACGTAACACACAAGTGATTACTGATTAACAGGGACTAACGGCGCAGCTGCCATCTGAAATTCGTTCAATCTGGGGGCTTTAGGGTCTAAAGTATTGTTAGCCGGCGGCTCTCAGGCAAGACACCTAGACACCCACAGTCAAACGCATCTACAGCGTAAAGCAAATCGTCAAGTGCTGGATAGTAGGGATATTCGACTTGATTCCCTTTCTTCTCCATCAAAGGCCGTTGGTCAATTAGTGCCGATAGCTCATGGCATACATCGTCTAGGAAAATCTTTTGCGCGTCTTGGTAGGGAAACTCTGCCCACGGGTTAGGTCGGGGCGGCTCCCAGAAGCCGTTACTCTAGACAATGAATTAGTTCCCCGAAAGCCAGCCTCCCACAGACCGAGCGCTGGTACGCACCTTGAAAGTAAATCCAAGAAATTCCAGCAAGTCCTTACATGGCTTTCCGTCAACTCCAAAACTAGTCATGAACCGCTTGTTGTTTGCTGCTATCGCTTTGCTCTGTGGGCTGTTGCGGAGAGCATTCTCTACATATGTGCGAAGGTTCTGTAAGACGGTGATGGGTTGCGGACGGGCCACACCCTCCAGTCGCTCTGGATCAGCTGCAAGCGCAGCATCCGTGCGCTTCTGCAGCAAGCTGGGATCGGTCAACAGACTAACCATTTCACTGGAAAGTACCGGAGAAACAACCCGTATTGACACCTTTGCGGCACATGCGGAATATGAACAATCGAAATGGTATACCTCCGCTAGCTGCCCCTTGTTTGTGTATTCCTCCGGATCTTGGCCGCCTTTATGTCTCCCGTAAAAATACACAAAATGGTGTATGTGGTCAGAGAGGCTCTGAGTAGGTTGGCCGACCTGGGCAGAGTCCACTTTTAGCTGCAGATGATGTCGGCATTTTGAGCATACCGCGGAAATCTTTGTAGGCGTTGCCGAGCTCGCCCTATCCTCCCCAGGTTGCGGGCGTATGGTTTGATTTGGTTTCGTAACATAGCTATGGCGGCAAGCTGCGGGGGAAAGGAAGTGTGGCGGTCCTTGATAGTGCTCGGGATAGACTGGAGGTACATCTGAGAGGAGGTTGCGGCCTGTCTCTGGCGGGTGGGAAGGATCGTAATCGAGCAGGTCTTGGACAAGACGCGGTGCAGTCTTGCCTAGATTGACGGATTTGGAGTATAAGCATGTGGCTGTCCCAAGGTTCGGCAAAGGTGTCTTACCTGAGCTGCGAACGGACGACATTGAGTGTATCCGCACGTCACCTCACTAGAACTTTGGCGAGAGGAACGCGTTGGAGGATGTAAGTGTATTTATAACTTTTCCATGTAGATGCAAAAGGCTATTTGTTATGCGCTTAAGACCGACGGGCCCGGTTTCTATCTAGAAACTCTTCGACGTTGTTGGAAAGCTGTCAGAGCAATAAATCGCGGGGAGGCGCTGGGGTAGACGAGAGGTAGGCAGACGTGCGGGTACACACCGCCAGCGGCTATTGGGTCAGAAGTTGAAGGGTAGAGAGAGTCCTTTTGATATTATGCAAGGGTATGTCAGGGAATGAAAATAAAAGGCCAAGGGCCTGAGATCATCTCCTGGAATCAACTGCCGACATCATCTGGAGCTTCAAAGAAGGGTGCCTGGGGCGGTATTCCGCGGCAGAAACTCCAAATCGCCCAAAATCCGTCGTCACGATCCACCGCAGCCGACTTCATTCAATTCAAGCTCCAGTGCACCTCTTCCCACACGCGACTGTCACCATGGGCTCGTCCTCTGAAGAGCACGCTTATCACGCCCAAGATACGATTGGGAGGACAATCAAAACCATTGGGCTTACGGGCTCCGTGGGTCTGTTTGCATCAGCTGTTCAAAACACCCTCGCTCGACAGAACGTGGGACCATGGGGAATCTTCGTGAGAAGTGGCGGTACCATCGGTATCTTTGGTAGGGCCAATTGAAGTTCTCTGCTGCCTGGCTTGATACTGTGCTAAATTTTACCGGCAGCTGCCATGGGAGGTACATATGAATTCGTTAAGACTGCGTCCGCCAACCTCCGAGAGACCGAAGACTACTGGAATGTCGCTCTTGGAGGCTTCTTCTCTGGTGCAATTCTCGGGCTGCGAGGTGCGTTCTCGAATGCTAGATACATAATGCGGGGCAATCGCGCATGCTAACTCACGAGCAGCTCGGACATTCCCCGCTCTTCTCGGTTACGGCGCGGCACTTGCTACCACAATGGGTGCGTTCGAGTACACTGGTGGGACGCTGTATGGCCGTAGGCCGGAGCGCAGCGAGGACGAATTTGAGCGTCGAACACAATTGAGGACGCAGTGGAGGACTCCTGGTGAGCAGACACTGGCTGAGCTCGGTGAGGGACGTGGTACGTGAAACCCCATTAATAGGTTGGATTTGATATCCCTAACTTCTGCGTCTAGGTATCTATGGCCCTGGATATAAGGAGCGGCGAGCAGAGAGGATCAAGGAGGCATACGGAATTGACGTTCCTACCTCCAGCGTCCCCGCTTCATAAAATCTTTTGGGTCGGCGTCTTTATCCAGTCTGTAAAATCACTTGCAATATATCATATGGCCTCTTATCGAGCACATCTACAATAAGATTTCCTTTGTCTTGGTTCAATATTGGCAAAGTTCGAAGTATGGAGGTGTTCTGGCCAATCAGATAACAGGTTTATCAATCATATCAGAAAGCAAGATGAAGCACTGAGGTGATTCATGAATGTCCTCCACGGAAAATGAGGGAAGGGAAAAGCAGAACCTCTTAGATGAAGATGATTTCAAGGTCAATTGATGTTAAATCGAACGACACTTGCGGCATATGCTCTTGTACAGGACCTCTATGCCCCGACTCTACCTCTTAACCCATCAACTACTAGGAACAGTCACCTTGGAAGTGTCCAAACAAACACAAATACCGCCGGCCATATCGATCGCGAAGTATGCACATGTCTAAGGGTCACAATGCTCGCCCAAGCCCAAAGATCGCCATTTCCTGAGTATCTCAAGACATGTATTCCGTGGTCTGCACTTCTAAACACCGGCTCTCCCCTGCCAGCGACAACCAAGTCCCTCGGAATCTCGCAGGAGCAACGAAGAGTCCGAATTTTCTGGAAGGCATCCACCGATCCCCCCGTCCCGTCTCATCAAGGAGAAATGAAAACGGTACGGACCTTCATTCTACTAAAATTAGGTGTGGAGTGCAGAGGCACAACGTGCGTGGACCTGCACTGTGATATCAAATTTAACCCCTTACCACGATTGAGACAATACTAGATAAAATAAACTTCCAGGGGAATGATAAGTAGTCAGACAGTACAGTACTAATTGGGTTAAAGTGGCTGGTGATAATTTAGATTGAGGCGTTCGTTTACCACGCTAATGTAGTATATACCCCGTACACAAGGAGTGGATGGAGGATGTCGACTTCACCCATGGTTCATCGCAAATCCAGCAACAAGCCTCGAGGTGAGCTCACCCAACCCCAAGATTGGGTACTTACGGAGTAGCACTGCAGTGCAAGCAAGCAGAGCCGATCGACATGGGATCGAACCATGATAGCCCGAGATCGATGTCGGATGCACAATACATGACGTCGAGCAGCTCTTAGATAACCCAAACGGGAATGATCCGCCAATGGTTCTCCCCTTTTCCCATGGACTCATGGTGAACTCCGGAACTTTAAGATGAGACTCGCCACTTGTTCCTCAGGAAAAGGGATGGATATTCTGGAAAGAGATGAAGGAGAACCGCTGTGGGCTCACGCTCCACCATTCCAATTGCCATTGGGCCTCACTACAGGCCATAGCCACAGGCTTCAGTCCTTTTCGATGGAGTTAGCTACTCCAATGTATGTACAAGCCACGCTGGGTCGGAACTATGTATGGGTAAGGGGGAAGAAATTCAAAAATCAATTATTATTGCGATAACGATCTCTCTGAATAATACGAGCCCTGGTAGGGAAATGAGACCAGGTGGAATACTTCGGGTCATGGCAGGCAACGGCATTTCTTCTGGGTATCGCCGGCGTTGCTGGATACGCAATGCATCCATCATCCCGGGCTGTACCTGAACTGGTAGAACGAGAAAGTGTTGACAATTTGGTACCAGTACTCCGTAGTCGCGATTTTGCTTCTACATCATGTAGGATACAACACAGTGCAATCACTGCATTGTAGCGAGTCAGGACGCCAGACCTCAATGGGTCCGAAGATTCCGCCCGCACAGGTTCAACACTTCAAGGTTCGTCTTGGGCGTCATCAAAGGTCGCATCGCCCAGTGTCGACGTCATCCGCATCCGTCTTTCTTGTTCTTCATAACCTGAGAGCCCCTCTTCCGTCTGGTCCTTGTTCAGCTTTTCAGCCCTGCATCGCTGATTTCGAGACCATCTTCATGATTTTCAAGTCTCCCTCTCTTCAAGGCCTGGGGGACATTCCTCCTTTAAGCGGGTGGAGTCATACATCACAGCATTGAGCATTCCGATCGCCCGCTTTATTATTGACGGTTCTCCTGATATTTATACGCCGGTATCCTTTCCTGTTAGGCTATTCCTGCCTGACTTCTAGTTTCGATTTCCTGCGCGGGAACAACCCAAAAGAACCCCCGCAAACAGTGCGCTCCAGGCCCTTCAAGCCCGTTCGCCTGGTAACCAAATCTCCCATTCCTAAATAGTAAAACTGGAAAGGGTCACTCTCTCCTATCTTGATTCTATTCATATCCTCTCGCTTTTCCCCTGCAACTCGTTTGCCTGCTTCTCTCGCCTTGTCCCTCCGCCTCCTCTCACTGATTGGGTCGGTTGATGTTGATGCGCACTCGGGTCTGCACCGCCCCTGTTCATCTGCTGCTACTGCTGCTGCGTGGACTCCTCTCCGCGCCTCGGTATTCACGCGCTTAGTACAACCCCGCCATGGCAATGGCTTTGCGCTCACAAACCCCCGTCCAGGACGGGTTTGCCTCTGCATCACAGCATCCAGATCCGCTGTTGACCACTCGGGGCTATGGTGCACGATCAGGCTCCCGCCCTAACTCATTCGCCGCCAGTGGTTCTGGTTATACCGCCGCACATGGCGCCATTGAGCCCTCTCCGCTAAACCACTACGGCCGCTTTCACGAGGAACTAGACGCAATCAGCAGGCGCGGTTCAATGGATGGTCCATCGGGAATACAACGATCAGCGTCTCAAATGTCCCAATCTCGTTCTGCAACCCCAACCAGATCAGGCACTCTGAAGAAAAAGTCGTCCCTAAGCAAGAGGGGCAGCATGCGACGCAGCGGAAGCCGGAGGAGCTTGCGTGCTGGGAGCGTGAGAAGCCTGGTACTAGGCGATAAGGAAAAGTATCCGGTGGATGGTGATGAAGACATCAACAGCGCATTTTATATTCCCGTTCCGACGACTGGAAATCCCACTGAGGTTTTGTCCAACCGTTTCCAAGGTAAGCTTTCACTATATCGGAAAGAATGACCACTAACACATTTACTAGCCTGGAGGAAGGTTCTCAAGGATTTGATTGTATTTTTCAAGGAGCTCCAAAAACAACATGAAGCTCGAGCAAAACTGTACCTTTCGACGACAAATATCATGAATAACACGTCGCTTCCCCCAACATTTCTCAAGTCAGGCGGCCTCGGAGATGCGAATGAGATTCTAAGAGATTTCCACCGCCAGGCGCATGATGAGGCAACTAAGGCAGCACAGGTGGAAAGCGAAGTCATCAACCAACTCGTGGGACTGCGGATTGATCTTCAGAAGAAGATCAAGGAAATCAAAGCGCTTTCGGGGGATTTCCGCAACTCTGTTGACAAAGAGGTCGACGTCACTCGCAAGTCAGTCCGACACTTGCAAGAAGCGTTGGGCCTAGTCGACGAAGATCCTTCTGCTACATCTGGGAAGGGCGACCCCTTCATTGTCCGTCTGAATGTAGAAAAGCAGATTGAAAAGCAAATTGAGGAGGAAAACTACCTGCATCGAGTATGTACAATGTCGTTTTCGCATGATCTTGTACTAACATGTTGCTAGGCCTATCTGAACCTTGAAAACTCCGGCCGTGAACTCGAGTCCATTGTTGTCAGCGAGATCCAAAAGGCTTACAATGCCTATGCCGGTATTCTCAAACGGGAAGCGGACGAGGCCCTCGACACTGCAGAGAAGCTTCGCGTAGGCCCAATTTCGATGCCGCACGACCACGAATGGAACGCTTTTGTTGCCGAAACTGACGAGATGGTGGACCCGCGTGTACCTTTGCGAGATGTTGACAATATCACGTTTCCAGGCAAGGATCATCCCGCAGCAGCCGAGGTCAGGTCTGGAATGCTGGAGCGCAAGAGCAAGTATCTCAAGAGTTACGCTCCTGGATGGTTAGTCTTGGTCATTGTTGTTTCGTCCGCCTCTAACTGTTGCAGGTATGTTTTATCGCCAACCCATCTGCACGAATTCAAATCGGCCGATAAAGTTGCATGGCAGACGCCAGTGATGTCATTGTACCTTCCGGAGCAGAAGCTCGGATCTCATTCGCAACCAGACTCAACGTCGCACAAGTTCATGCTGAAAGGACGACAAACCGGAACCATGCACCGCGGTCATTCATGGGTATTCAGGGCAGAGTCTTACGAGACGATGATGGCCTGGTACGAGGACATAGAAGGGCTCATCTCCAGGACGGGAGAAGCCCGGAATGCGTACGTCAGGCGGCATATACGGAGCGTGAGTGGCGCCAGTTTCCGAAGCAGCAGTGACGGGGCCATGGATGAAGACGAAGCAGATCGAACACCCTACTCTGCCGAATCAGTCGTGATGAGCCAAGAGCGCCCGACGTCCCAACCCCGTCAGCCAGGCGGTCGTTTCCCGAGTGATGTGCACATCGACCGTCATATGCAGGCGCCCATGTCACCTTCAAGCGGAGAGAGCTCCGGGGAGAGGGATCTGCTTGCGGCAGCAGGCTCGCTGCCCGATGGTGGGCACTACTTTGCTGCTAATTCAAACAACCGCTATCATTCTGACAGAGATTCAGTTTCGCATCAGAACGCGAATCCGAGCAGATCCGCAAGCAGTGCTGGTCAGCGGTTCCCTATTGACGGGTACGACAACTACCAAGACAAGTGGATGGCTTCATCCGACTCTTTTCGCCGCAGTCAGCAAAACTCACAATCAGTTCAGCCAGCACCTGCCCCCGCATCTGTTGACAATCGCGTAACCATCGAGTCTCCTAAGGAGAACCCTTCAAACACCGTCTTCATTGCCGGTCTCGGTTCCACCTCAACCCAAGACCACGCCGCACAGCGCCAGCGCAACCGTGGCGAAAGCGCCTCAACCGCCTTTACAATCACCAACGTGACCAGCAACACACATAGCACGGTCCCGACATCAGTGGGTGAAGATGAAGAGTCAGACGATGACCTCGAGTCCGTGAAGCAAGGCCCTCGGTCTCCCCGTTCCGAGATGTCGTCTCTCCCAAACAGCGTGCGGAACTCCATCGACGTTTCCAAGAGACCCGCAGCACAGACCAAGAACAGCGTCTCCACGATCGAATTGAACATACCGGGCCACTACCCGCGTCAACAAGCCGCCGTTTAAGCTGGTTTTTTCCCGTCACGGGTGTCAGCTAGGTAGAGCTTGAAACATCTTCTTGTTCAAGCTCTGCCTTTTCTTTGTTTCCTTTGTAAATAGTTGATTTCCTTTGTACTTGCTCACCACTGAGCTATCTAATCCTCCCGCGAACCATGCCCAGGTCGGAACCGGGGCTGAGGCGAGAAGATCAGATAACTAGGTAGGCGACGATTTCCCTTTGTCGGATATTCCCTTCGCTTCGTCGGCCGTAGATATGTGGTCGCTTTCCGTTTCCTTCACCTGTACAATATTGTCGATATCCCATCGTGCTGGGCTTGGTTTGGTGTTTTGCTTTGGTTTTATCTCTGTTTGATATAACTCGCCTGCAAGGGCAGAATATATGATTGTTACGCCCTGCCACTATGACACTGGTTTACATATGTGATGATTCAAATACTATGGTGTCTATTCAGTGATATCTAGAAAGTACCAGGATGTCAGAGTGGATTACCGGGCTACCTAACTCAAGTCCCAGTTGCAAAGTAGTTGGGTATCTATCAACCACTATGACGGCCTTACAAACATCTATGAAATTGCTAGACCTTTTTTGGTTAGTACCTTCCAGTTTGTCTCCAGTGATACGAGTCAATGTTTCGACATAAACAAGTACGTAGTCCGATTTATGTTATCCCACATGACCAGATAGAAAATCAAGCAGCAAAGGCGGCGTGTACGTCGAAAAACAATTTCAGTGTGAAAACAGACCACACTGGCCCCATATAAGCAATCCCATCCATCGCCTTGAAAAGCAACTTCGAATACTTTTTTTTCCGGCCCTCCGGGACTCCGAGTCATACTCATTCTCGTGAGAGGGAAAAGTAAGCTTAGGAAAATACAATTACATGATCTGGTCCTGGGTGAGACCACCGGTTGGTGGGACATCATCCATCACGTCGCCCTGGCCCTGCGAGGGGGTCATGTACTTGACAAAAGTGATGCCGAGAGGGCGGCCACCATACTGATATCCAGTGAACTTGGCTGTGAGAGAATTAGCGAACGAGCCGAGTGCAAAAGGGAGAGGTTCATACAAATGGCAGTCTCCGCCGTATCGCCGCTGTCGAACTGGACGACACCAGTTCCACGAGAGCGGCCGTTAGGCTCATATTGAATTTCGGCACGGTCCACCTTTCCAATGGTTGAGAACAGGTCCACCAAGTCCTCATTGCACGTGGACCACGGAAGCTACGATCTGTCAGGCTCTGTCCAGAAAAGACACTGTTTGCTGTGGGACACTCACGTTGCGCACGTAGATCACAGGACCTTTGTCGCCTCCGGAAGTAGCGAAATCCGTGAACGAGTTGGGAGGTACCGAGGCGGCGCCCTCAAAGCCGGGTCCAGTAGGGGCACCGCCATAACCACCGCCATAGCCTCCTCGGAAGCCACCACCAAAGCCGCCACGGCCACCAGCAAAACCTCCGCGGCCGCCGAATCCGCCACGACCACCGAAACCGCCGCCGAAGCCACCGCGGCCCATGCCGGGTCCCGATCCGGCGAACCGATCTTCACGGACTTCCAAGGTACGTCCTTGCCAATCGTATCCATTGAATTGCTGAATAGCGTTGCGCGCATCGTCGGGCGATTCAAAAGCAACAATTCCGGAGCCCTTGGGGCGACCGGAGGCGTCGGTATGAACATCGGCACGGATTACGGCGCCTTGTTGAGCTATGTCGCAGAGGACGGTCAATATCAGAACGTTTTGAGACTTTTAAAAAGGGGTAGACGGCAGGAAACAGCTGCAGCTGGTCGGCATAAGCCTGACACCTGGGCTTACCTGCTTGGCGGAAAAGATCCTTCAAATCTTGCCAGCCAACGTTGAAAGGGAGCTATAACACGTCAGTTCAAGAATGCCTCGGCCAATGGCGTCGTATCATAGTCAAGAGCAAGGAAGAAAACATACGTTCGAAACGTAGAGCTGTCTTCCTCCAGCGCCGCCGCCGCCGCCACCACCACCGTAACCGAATCCACCACGGCCAAGACCACCACCAAAGTCTCCACGGGCAGGGCCGCCCGAGAAACGAGGCTCAGGTTCCCGATCCTAATGAAAGGAGTGTCAGTATCGGATACGGTAGATAGCAGAGCCAAGGTGAGGTACCTCGCGGACATAGACTAAGCGTCCCATAAGATTCTGGTTACTGAGAGTGTTGACCGCATTCTGCGCTTGCTCCCTGGTCGCGTATTCCACAATCCTTTTTTGAATTAGCCTTTCCGTGGTCGATATCTAAAAAGGAGGTAGAACTCACCCGCATCCCTACAATAATCCCGGACAACCAGGCCCAGCCCGTCAACCCAAACAGTCCAAGCAAAATCGAACCAACGGGGGTGAGAAAGGAAACCAGAAACAAAGGAAAAAAAGGAAGAACCAGTCACGCTACGCATTGGCGCCCACCTTCGACATTCCATTAGGAAGAAGCAAGACGTCGGCAAAGATGACTTCTCCAGCTGTAAAGACGACGCGAAAGACGAACCCCCAAAGTCAGCCACAGATTCCAAATCCAACAAATGCTCATCGCACTGCCGACACGATATGACCCTGCTCACCCTGTCTCATAAAATCTTTGAGATGATGCCATTTGACATCGTAGGAAAGGTTGCCAACATAGACCCGGCGGTCCTGCTGGGACGATTCGCGCACTGACTGCATCATTTGTTCTTTCGCGACTGCACGGTCTTCGAATGACCTAGGGGGAGGCGGGTAGCTACCGCGCCCACTGTATCCCGAACCTGAATGACCTCCTGACGGTCCCTGGGCAGTACTCATAGGAGAGCGTGAACGGCGATCGCTGCGGCGGTAGTCGTCACGATCACGGCTGCGAGATCGACTGCGTGGCGAATACGAACGACGGCTCCGTCGAGGACTACGTGATCGACGACGAGGAGAACGAGACCTCTCGCGCTGGAAGCGGTCAGTGTCGTAATCACCGGAAGACATTGGAAAATAAAAAGAGAAAGAGAAAAAGATCAATAAAACGGAAACGAAAGAGAAACGGGATCGGAATTCCAAGGAACCGAGTCGAGGAGAATATGGGCAGGATGACTAGTCTGCGACAACCGCTTTGCGCGACGTTCAACCTTGGGGACTTGGGCGGAACGATTTCGGAGCTGAAGTCATGTGACCGAAGATGGGGCACGGAGCTCCATATTGAGTTACCTCAGGAGGGACCCGGGGGGAAAGGCGCATCCGAGACGGCCCTAGCGCGGAGGTTCCAAAGTGTACCAGGTATAGGTGCAACGAAGAGAATGCACAGGGAGAGCACGCGGGGAGCAAGGGAGAGGCGAATCCCTTCCCGTGTACATTGTTTCCATCAATAAACGGAGGAGGACATATTCTGAGCCCTCCAGCTAGCTGATAGCTATTAAGTCCGTGGATTCGGGCAGAGAGAGGCAAGGATAGAGAGCGACAACTCGCATGATCCGAGAAGAGCACAGTAAATTTTTCCCACCACACAAAGGATCGCCAAGGGAGACGAAATAAAAAAGACGCGACTTACTTGATATGGTCGATAAACGTCGGCTGAAGTGCACTTTAAGTGTAAGCCACAGATACAGCTGCCCTTTTAACACGAAGCAACGAGAGAAGGTTGAAAACAAAGTGGTAAAAATAATAGTCGCACACACAACACCACACAGGGGAAGGGGAGGGAGGAGGGGAAAGAGGGAGAAGGAGAGAAGGGAAAATAAGAGAAAGGATCGAGGGCAGGGAGGACAATAGCGGGGGAGCGAAGGGGGGGGACAAAAAAGAAAGCACAGCTCCAGTGCTCCGTAAGAGCTGCTGTGCAGTTCAGCCTGTGTGTCTGACAGACCAGCTCGGACTGAACGCACGCCACAGTGTGATTGGTGTTTCCGTAGAAATCCGAAATGCAGCAACGACAGTATTTGGTTGGGTTGGAGTAGGGATCAGAGGGAAGGGCTCACAGTGGCAGCAGCAATGGATAATGATAATGGTAAAGGATAGGAGGAGGAAGAGAGAGTGGAAGAGAATGTTGGTAGAAGGTGCAAGCACAAGGTCCCTATCGCATCAGCCCTCGATGAGGGGCCGATAGAAGCCAAGCCTGAAAAAGGAGGGGGGCATAATAAAACAGAGCCCAATAATAATAAAAACGGAGGAGTAATAATAGAAGGCAGGAGTAAGTAGTAGGGTAGTGGAGAGGAATAAGGCTGGGGAATGGAGGAACCAAGGAAGCAGCGCCAGATCTGAACGTCGAGCCTGGACTCTGGAACCTTGGGGACCTCTGGATACTCTGATGGAGTACAATGGAAGAACAGACGATGTAGAAGTTGTGGTGTTGATGCTGGTTCTGGCATTGGGAAGGCAACACAGGGTGCGAGTGCTGGACGAACTTGAAGAGGAGGATCACATACCCATGTTGATAACAGGCGCGGTCGGCGGGTCGGAAAGAGGGTAGAAGCAAAGAAGTACAGAGGTACGGAGTATCTCTGTGTTAAAAAGGAAGAAGGGAAGAGATGGGGAGGAAGAGAGGAGAGGCAAACGCAGATTACGATGCTTGATTTGACGGTCACAGAAGGTTTGGAGATTTTGGCTTCTGCAAAGACAAGCAGAGAAAAGATCCAATTGGAGAGTTCTCAAGGAAAGTGCAACAGCGGAATGCACAACATTCAGAGGGGAAGAAGAGAGGTTGGAAGTCGGGATGGGAGTTGGAGAAGTTGGGGGCAGATCCGCTGTGTTTTAACCAACCTGACAGATAACTAAGATCTGATTGTTCCAAGTTCCAGCACTATTCGAGGCCCTTTGTTATTTAATTTGATACATCTCCTCTGTTTGGCATATTTGCGTCATACTGTATTTGACAGAATGCAATTTTAATTGCCCAGAGGCAGGAAACTATTCCAAATCTCATCCAGTCTTAGATTAGTTCTGATACAAGTTGTTACAATTCCATCCACTATCAGAATACTAGCATCTGATATGTTGGCATTGTTCTTTATATGTAGGAAGAAGCAAGAAACTGGTGTTTTGCCCGAAGCCCCAACCAAATGTCTTTACCAAGAACAATTATCTACGGAGTATTGTATCACTATAGTGGTAGTTTATGCATATTATTACTTCAATATCCTTGCCCTTCCTTTGCAACATCTGGTGAACTTGGATTAAGCAGGTCCTGCTGCTCGAACCTCTCTACTTGAACCTGTTGAACCTTCACTTAAGCCCTTTACTTAGTTAGACCGGCCTTGAAGACCCCTGCTATTGTCGAGGTTCTTTCGACATCCCTATTAGCTTTATATCGTCCTGGCTGTGGTCCTTCTTATTCCTTCGCGACAATACATAAAAGGTACCTTTTAATCTCGTGGACAGTATCCCAATTACACTTCAGCTAGCGTAACCTACACAACCAGTAACCAGAAGAATGAGACCAAGTGAAAGAGGAGAAACTCCTACATATAGTGTACTGTCTCTCGGATTGTCTTCAAGTTACCGCGTTGAGGCACATCCTTGGCTCCGCTCGGACCACCGCTTGTACAGAGTAGTCCGCCCAAATTTCGTCCCATCTCCCAGGCGGTGCTCCATATCCGTTACAACGGCCTGGGGTCAACCACCATAAATCAACATGGCACGTCCGCTCCTCCGTCCACTGCGCTCCTGTCGCAATTCGAGCCTACACTCTTTCTGCCGCTCCCCTCGCATATCACTAATCCCGGCGAAATCCGCCGTCCCCAACCAACTCCGCCAACCATCTCGCGATCTCCCGAGCCACCAACACCGCCTCTATCACTCCCAGCACCACCCCGAACCCCCACCACACGAATATACAAACTCTCAAACAACGATTCTCACCGCAGCCCTGAGGCATGTCCCCACGCACGGCTTTACGCGAGACGCTCTCACCCTCGGTGCCCGAGACACAGGCTTCCTAGATGTCTCCATTCAGCTCCTCCCACGCGGCGAATTCGACCTCATCCTCTTCTGGCTCGCGAGTCGCCGCGGTCTCCTCCGCGCAGCGGTCGAGCAGAATGGTCTTTTGAAGTCTACAGACTCCAACTTGGTCTCCGTTGAGGAGAAGACTCGAAAGTTGATTATGGAACGTTTAAGAATGAACACCGAGATCAAGCATCAGTGGCAGGACGTACGTCTTTCTCCTCCTCAGAAGCAAGAAGATCGATACTAACAGTATCAGGCCCTGGCGCTCATGTCCCTTCCATCGCACATCCCCCTCTCCCTTTCCGAACTCCACGCCCTTTCCTCCGACATCCTCCACCTGGCGGGCGATACCTCCGTCGACGCATCCTGGTACACGAAGCGTCTCTCTGTTTCTGCAATCTATGCCTCTTCCGAGGTAGTCATGACTCGAGACTCGAGCCCCGATCTCGCGGCCACAGAGGCCTTTGTCACGCGGCGGATTGAGGATAGCAAGGCGATCGGTGATAAGCTTACTGGGGCGAAGCAGTGTTTGGGATTTATGGGGTCCACGGCGGTTGGACTGGGGAGGAGTTGGGGGTTGAAGATTTGATTATTGCTGAATAGTCTGCGTGATTATTGAGCACGGGTTTACCCAGAACGTGGTTCTGCTGTATGATTATTGAATGGCGTACATGTATACTATGGAGAAGTAACTTCCTCTTCATACGCATTCTGGGACCGCGGTCTAGTCTTTGAATGCGTCAGTGTATTAATTTATCTATGAGTTGTGTGATTCTTGTCCACCATGTTGTGTACATCTATCTGGTACGGGGCCGGAAAGGCAAATAGGGAGCAGCATATGTCTGATTTTATACCTGCCCCCATAGCGTTCGGGATCGTTCTCTCTCGCGGCGGGTCTGGAATTCCAGCTGCTCTCTCACCTGTTCAATCCAGCCACCATCTCCATCCAAGTCGCGCATGGCTTTGCGGATTTGCGGTAGGTCCCACCACAATCGACCAGCATCAGATAGTTTCAGCGATTCCAAATCTTTCTTTCGCTGCGCCGAGATCGATTTAAGGAGAAGCAGGGTAAGCTTGTTTGGGGAGAGCCCCAGCACTTCCATCTCGCGCAAGACGGACAGCACCTCAGGAATATCGTGGCGACCACGCCAGTAGAAGTAAATCAACTCGTTGTACAGCTCCATGGAGCTACCAAGTACAGCAGACTCGCGACCGAGAGAGTTAATGGTGGACCGGAACTGCGCAATCAACAAAGATTGGGGGAAGTGGAGGTTCAAGAGGCGGAATGTCGAGAGGAGCATCCTGGGATAGAGCTCAGTGACGACAGCCTCGATGGGGATAAACGGTGGGACATCCAGGATGGGAGTGGTGTCAGTTTTGGATTGATCACCGAGCTCGCGTCTACCGGGAAACTCGAGCTCATCAAGCATAGACGAGGTGGCCTCCCGCTTCCCATCTGGTACAAGGTGTTGTATCATTGAGAATATACTCTCCTTGCATATCTTCCAAATTCGAATTTCTCCCTGTTGCTTATCCTCAGCCGCGCGACAGAGGGCCGACTCAATCTTCAACCCTTCCCGGTTGATAGTCTCTTTGAGCAACTTGAGGTTAACTTTGCCTTTACCCTTTCTGCGGGAAGGTGCCTCTACCTCGAGCCCTCCGGAATCCTCGAAGCCCTCGAATTTCTCAAACTCCTTATACTCTTTGGACACCCCGGGCCGCTCAAACCCCTCGCTGTCAGAATGTAAAGAGCTAGAAGTATTTCCGGGCTCCACAGCATCCATGATTTCCGTCTCTGAATGTATCTCGGCCTCGGACGTCGGACCCTCTGAGACGCCCGAGTTGTTCAGCCGCATATTTGCATCTTGCATGGCGGCATCGAAAATTGAATAGATTTCTTGCATGGGATTCCGATCCGCCATCGACACCCCATCGTAATCCAAGTAGTCTCCTTCCATAACCGACTTTGCATCCACACCTGTATCCTCTTCCAGCTGCTGAAAGAGGGATGCCAACGTTCGTGTCTCGTCAGTGGTCATCTTAGGTTCGATCGTCGTCGCAAGCGGGTCGACTTTCACAACAGGCCTTAGATATTGCTCCACTGACTTGTTCGTCGGATCCGCTGCCAGTCCTTTGTGAGCTTTTCTACGCGCGGCCACAGAGGCTGCTTTCTTTTTGATAAAACTGGTTCGAATAGCTGGAACAGGCTCGCTCGGCAAGTTAAAGTTGTTCTCATGAGTTGGTCCGGATGAGCTGTCATTTTCTGCCCCGGCCTTTGCGGACTCAAAGGGTGAATATTGCGAATAGGGTTGGGACTGGAGTCGCAAGAAGCGCGGCGAGGTGGTGAGTGTGCGGGTTTGATAGAGAAACGGGACAAGAGAATGGCGTGTTTCCTGGACCTGGGCCAGCCAGGTCCAAGTTATGCGCCGCGAAAAGGTCATCTTGTCTGAGGAGATTCCGAATCGGAGGTCAGTTTTTTTCGCCGACGACAAACAAAAAATCAATTTCGGCCAAGGCAATACCCACGTGACCACGTGGCTGCCTGCAACGCGTTATCTCTGAAACCCGCGATGCCCACGAGGCGATGATGGCAAATCCTCCAATCCTCATTCCTACCGATTGCTAGTATTTATGTCACTCACTGCTTGGACATATTGTCTTCTTCATCATGGTTACTGAGGAACTCTCTGAATTTGAGAAGCAGCGTCTCGCAAACATTGCGGAGCGCGATGCGCTTCTCAAGAAGCTCAGTCTGGACGCGCAATCAGCAGGACTGTTCCCGTCAAAGCCCAAAGGACCATCCGCCGATCAATCAAAGTCCAAGAAGAAGAAGCCTGCGCCCAAAGTGAAGAAGGAAGAATCGCCACTTCCGCGCCGCACTTCATCCCGGCTTCGAGGCATTGCGGCGGATAGCGAGGTCGCGAAGCGGAAAGCGGATGAGGAGTATGATCGCAGGCAGGAGGAGCAGAGGGCAAAGAGGGTCCGCAAGTCGGACCCCTTCTCCCTGAACGACATATTTGTTTCAGGCCAAAAGCTGGACGGAGACGCCTTGATTGGAGTGGACGTGATTACAAAGGGGGTCGCTGTGCCATACCAGCGAACTTTTGGAGATGAGGACATCAAGTCCACAACGGATAAGGATCTCAAGGCCGTTCGGAAGGAGATGAGTGGTCTGAGTCTGTGGGAAGCTTGGGAACCTAACCGTATGAACCTCTTTATCTCTATACGAATTTGACGCTGACCACGAGGCGCACCTAGGTATCAAACTTACCCCGGAGAGAATATATTCGATGACATTTCATCCATCGGAAGCGAAGCCATTAATCTTTGCTGGAGATAAATTGGGTCACCTCGGAATCCTAGATGGCTCACAGGAGAAGCCTGTATCCGCCTTGAAGAACGAAGAAGACGACGACGACGACGATGATCCCGACCCTGTTCTTGTTACCCTCAAGCCACACACGCGCACAATCAGCTCAATGACCATACACCCTTCCAAACCTACACATCTGTATACCGCGAGCTACGACAGCTCCATCCGCGAAATGGATCTTGAGAAGACTTCATCGGTGGAAAAGTATGCTCCAGAATCCACTTCAGAGGACGTCCCAGTATCCGGCATCGATATGGCCGCGGATGATCCAAATACCATTTATTGGACAACTTTAGATGGCGCATTTGGTCGGTACGACATGCGTACCAAGCGACAAAGCTCGGTCGCGACCTGGCAGTTATCCGAAAAGAAAATTGGCGGTTTCTCACTTTACCAGACACATCCGCATTACTTTGCTACCGCCAGTCTCGACCGCACAATGCGCCTCTGGGATCTCCGCAAGCTCTCACATACTGATCCTGCCTCAATCGGCGAACACACGAGCCGCCTATCAGTCTCACATGCCGCCTTCAACAGTGCGGGACAGATAGCAACGTCATCCTACGATGACACCTTGAAGATATACGACTTTAGTTCTCGAGGTATATCTACTTGGAAACCAGGGCACACCCTGGATGACTCGCAAATGAAGCCTGATACCGTTGTAAGACATAACTGTCAAACGGGCCGATGGGTTACCATGTATGCCGCTCCTCCATTCTACCCCCGTTCATCGGTCTTACTAACATGTAATGATTAGTCTCCGTCCTCAGTGGCAACTTAACCCACAATCGCCCATACAGCGCTTTTGTATCGGAAACATGAATCGCTTTGTCGACATCTACAGTGGCTCGGGAGACCAGCTCGCTCAACTTGGAGGCGAAGGGATTACTGCCGTTCCAGCCGTTGCGGTATTCCACAGGAGCAAGAATTGGGTTGCTGGTGGCACAGCGAGCGGGAAGATCTGCTTGTGGATGTAGCAATCTCTGTCTCTTTCCTATCATCTTCATCTTCCGACCTTTACTAAATCCAATCTTGGTGGGATTATTGCATTCGTTCGCCTTTGGAGTTAGAGCCTCTGATCTATTGTACCCTCTAGTGTATCATCAATATACCTGCCTATCCCACCTTTGCTACGACAGTCATTTCTTCAGTCTAATATGAGGCAGCGCCAATTGAACCTTGCGTCTTACGACGTCCTTAACCATCTTGTCCAATGGCTACACTTTACGGAAATGTGAAAGATCAAGACCAACCACAGAAGTGTCTAACCATCAAAATCGCATGCTCATTTCATCTATGCCAACAGAAGAAAAGCTCGTAGACTATTTACACAGCATATCTAAAGACAACAGCCCCATGTGCAGTGCGCAAACAGAAAGTCTGCTCTGTCTGCTAGTGACTCATTGCTAGGGGTAACTCCCGATCCTCACACAGAGGAAGAAACAGCCATCACAACTGCCAGTGGGTATCAACACCATGAGAAAATGCTATTCAAGAAAATGTGGAAAAGGCAGAGAAAGGGAAGAGCGTTATTCGTGAGCAGGTATGAAGAGGGTGAGAGGTGAGGGAGAGAAAAGAGAGATCAAGAAGTGGTGAAGCATATACAACCGAAGATGCCACAATTTGGCTCGTGTAAAGCTCTTCCTGTTATACAAAACATTGGACAGGACCAGAGTAGAGGCCCGCCCCGAGCTCGTCTGTATTCTGTTGCGTCAGGCTCGGTAGGGGGTGTATAGGTTAAGCCGCAGCATACTGTCACTGGGTTGATAGATTAATGAAGCCGCGCGCGCCTGTCGATCATTGAACCCTGGAACAGGGTCCATGCACACGTAGTTTACCGCACATGGGAAATCATTTGTATTGGATCAGAATTCGTTTCGCAACTCTTCACGTGACTGCTGCTGGCTAGTTTCTCGGTCCTTGCCTTTGCGCCTGGATGGCGCAGGCACAAAGTCGAAGAAAGCCCTGTATTTGCTCGTGGTCTCCCTGGTAATACTGGATCGGCGGGACTTGGCAGCGTCGGGATACTCAAGAGAATAAGTCGACGAGTTTTTCGAGCTCCCAGTACTATCCCGAGGTTCAGACCATCTTGGGATAGAGAAGGGTACCCTGGTCTGGTCCCAGGTTGCGGATGACGAACTGGGTGGAGTCTCTTCATCACCCTCGGGGCCATAGTCAGTAGATCGGCGGGGTAGAGAAGGGCGAGAGGTAAAGTATCCGATAGAGTTGCGATGGCTTCCGGTTAGAGATGCAGAGACGGCCTCCGGAGCTGGGGTGGCGGGCTTGGATGGGATTTCGGCATGTATCGTGGAACGCTCCAGGTTATCGACAAGTTCTTCCCACTTTATTTCCAAATTACCGTTGGGACGTTCTGCTTGTTCCGCCCTACTTAGGCATTCCTTGGTTCGTTGTTGTAGACGGACCGCCAACTCGTGGAATTTCTGGATCGCGGGGTCGACTTCTTCCAGCGCTGAAAGTCTGGCGGGCGCAACCTCGAGCCATATTCGAATCAAGTTGGCAAAGCTTCGTGCATGGTCAATCAGGAAAGGAAGGCTAGGGAAACCTTCGCGTGATGGCGCGGGTAGGCGGCCAAGGATTTGAATTGGCGTGGCATAGGAGGGCGTGACAATGGGTGCTGGGCGGTCCGCAGGGATTGCGCAGATTGAATCAACAAATTCCCTAAACTCAGACCGATGGCTGACAAGAAACTTGTTCATCGGCTCCATCCAAGGCTCCTTGCTCCCAAATGTCGTCATATTGGCCAAGCCTTGCAGGGCTTTGGCAATTAGGGTCAGAGTGCGTTGGGCGCGGGGACGGGGATGATCTGTCATATAGTTAGAATGTAGAGTATATAACATGGATTAGGTATACCTTTGAGCATTCCGAACAACTTGGGGTTCAGGATTGCAGGACAAAAGAAGCGAAGGAAGAGAAAGCCAGAGACACTACTGTACGTGACCGAACGAAGGAAATCCCCGTAACGATCATCAGCACAGGCTCTGATATGCCGAAAGATGAGTCGTAACTCCGCAGGACATCGTGATGCAGATCCAGCTATAGACCTCCAAACACTAGTTGTCAAACTGACAAGGTTTTTCCAGTTGCGCTCAAGATCGTCGGACCGATGTATACGAGAAGGATCGACTTCGCATTCCGGGTCTGTGTCATCAATCTCGTGGAGCCGCTCTCCAATTGTTTCCTCCAGATATTCTTTTCCTAAGCGGCGCATGTGGTAATCAAGTGCCTTGGTGAGAAGTGAATTTCCCCGAAAGAGAAGATTCGCCTCGACTGTCGCAGTACGCCCAAGGTCGCGCACCAGCACCTCGCGATCCTGGCCAGACTCTTGCGAGTTGTTGGAATGCAAACGGGTTGTATATCTTAGTCTGTTAGCTGTCGATTCTTTGTGGATACCGTCAATCTCATCTTCAACAAGCGCTGATATCCATTCAACCGTACTTCCAGAGACCTGATAGATGTTCAAGAGCGCCTCGGACAACAAGTTGAGTTCGGAAGACAGGATTTGGGCCATGTTCACGGTGAGTCCGTTAGCGAACGAGTGCAAAACCTCGGACATTGGTGTGTACTCGTGAGACATGAGGACAACCGTCTCATCCATCCGAACCCTCATCAACATTTCACCAACACACTGGTCCCTATCATCCAGTATCGGCCACCACTTCTCGGCCTCTACACTCGGTTCAAGATCGTCCAGTCGGATATCTACCCTGCCGTACATGGCATCGTGCGAAGATACTTCGACATCGTCTAATATCCGCATTGGATTTGTATCCTGATTCAAGGCATATGCACCATGTGCTACCAGTGACCAATCACGTTGCGCTGGGTTGAGAGTCTTCACCCTGATAGAGGCCTGAGATAATACAGGAGGAAGGTCATTGAACGTGAAATCTTCTCGCCAGAACGGGTTCGCGGTGCGGTATTTGATCGCCGTTTTTGCTCGGACCTCTCCATCCAAAAGTATCTCTGTGTAATAATCATTAACTGCAACAGTTGTAGATGGGGTGTAATGAGAACGAGATTGCTTCCGACTCCTTGGCGTCTCTTCCGACTCCTTGGCGTCTCTTCCGAACCTTGGCCGAATAACTTCGCCTCTGTAACCTTGATAGTGAGCAACCTCTCGATTCGGAACATGTCTGCAAGTGTATCTCTGTTCGTATCAATTGAACTTGGTGTTTTCACGGTCTCATCTTCAGTTGTATTGGCGGGGCCATATAGCTCCGGCGTCGTGAAGGCGCGAAGAAGCACAAACCAGACTTCAAAAAGGACACGGCTCTCTAATGCAAGATAAATTGGGCGAGTCAAACCAGACGCAGAATGCGCTGCATATTGTGGGTATATCGCGATGCAAAACTCGTCCTCTAGGACAGAAGATTCTAGCTGCTGTATTGCACAGCGGGAGAGTTGAGATAGCTGGATGTATGCGACTAGGGTGATATCCGTCTCAGTAAAAAGCCTAAATGCGCCGTTCTCCTGCAGCGTACAGCTGACCTTTTGCCAGGACGAGGACAAAGCGCGCTGCTGGCGAAATGTTGAGATTCTGCGTTCGGAGGACGGCCGCACACCAGAGGCGCTTGGTCGGTCCCAAAGGAGCATCTTGCCCACTTTAATAATAGCGGCGTCCTTTTGGACAGTGCTTTCTGAATTTCTCCGGCGGTCCACCAAGCGACGATCGCTTATTGTGACGGACTGCGGCTTTGTCATCTTATTCTGCACGCCTTTAGGGCGTATTGGCTGCCAACATAACAGAGCCGCAAGCCATGAATCGAAAGTTTCGCTTACATGGGGCCGTAATTCCACTCCAAGGCCCGAAGTGAACGTTGATACACTGAGATAATTGGCTCGAGTATCGGGATCGACGAGAGACCGGACTTGACAACCACGTAGATCCGGTATGAGAGTCTTTGCCAGAGCGGGTTCGCCTTTAGCTTGATATATCAAGCTTCCCATAGCGACATTGATTGCACAGTAACCTGAAGTCCAGGCAGTCGTGGAAGATGTCCGAAAAGAAAGAATCCCATGCATCCTCCCGCACGTCGTCTTCATGAGCTGCAGCACTTTTGAGGCATCCGTATTTGACAATGATGAACCGGGATGACTTGGGACTAACGCTGAGCTTCCAGGAGACCTACTCAACCGCTGGCGGCTCGGTGTTCGAACAAAATATGTGGGAGATTGTATTGACGGGAACCCAATGGAAGATGCAGCTTGTTCCTCCGGCGTCTTTGGCTGAGGAGTAGTGTTGATCGAGCCCAAGCGGTTTCGTGTCCTGGTGATAAAGGAGCTCGAAGATATATCGCTTCGCTGGTCATCCAAGGTGGTCGTGCGGGACCGCGCGCGTTGGCTCTTCAATTCCGACGGAGTCTCATCTTCGTCCCCGGTTGAGTAATATAAATTGAAATCGCGTCGAGATTCTCGATCGGGGGCTCTGGTCCGGGCGGTAGCACGAGGGGACGGGGCAGCGCTTGAAGGGAGATACTCCACTTCAGACAGAGGCGAATGGTTTCCGGGTTCAGTAGAATCAGGCGTCACGGTTCTAATGGTCGTTTCCCTGAAGCTATCCGGATATACCATGCCGTGGCGGTCCTTGGAGGAGGACTTTTTGCTCGGCCGACGTTCCACTGGCCGGCTGTATGCTCCCTGATGCACCGAGTTTCGCTTGTGCCCATTCGAGCTTTCCGACTCCATGTCTACCCAGTGACGCTTCCGGCGAAGTCGCTATAGTGAGACGCAGGCGGGCGGACGTACATATATTGATAATGACCTGGTTATGTTACCTTGCAGCGGCAGGTTGGGATCCAACACACTGCGCAACGGACCTCGAACAATTGAGAGCCTTGGTCGTCCAATGGATCGCTAGATGAACGCATGGAGTCCGGATAGGGGGGAAACTGTAGAGTCGCACATTCGGTCGAGGCCGGGCGTGTCAAGGGTACAGGCGAGAGCTGAAGAAACGACACGGACCACCGGGAGCACTGTGGGTTTCAGGGGGGCGTCGGGTTTGGAGAGGGACGAGGTGAGCAGAAGGCGAACGTTAACGACGTGTGATTCGATGGGCGACAGATTGTATGTCAGAAATAGGGCGGTAGGCGTCGGTCTTGAACAGTCAATTTAACATTGTGGTGTTGGTGTTCTGGTTTGAGCGGGTTAGCTTCTTGGGGAGGGGAAGAATGTGGAGGAGCAGAAAAAGTGGTACGGAAGCACGACAGCCGGCCAGCGCCAGAGTCTGGTTCAACAGCCCGACAGCGTGATATCATTGGACTTAGTAGATGGGGAGGGAAACGCCATACTCGGTGCTCTACTCTATCCGCAGGAGTTCTGGTCTTCTCTGCTAAAAAAGGACGATGTACGAGATCAATTGGTTTGACTGTAGAGGGTGCGACCAATCGATTGATTTTAATTTCGTCCTGATGGCGCGGGTTTGGAAAGCTGCAGATCCCACGTCAAGACGAAATGCCGGGGGTGAATGTTCAAGTACTTTTTTTCCTGGAGATCTTGGTACTTTAAGATTCCTCCCTCTGTTGGTACAACAGGAGGTTTCGGTTGTCGGGTAAGCGAGCGAAGCGGGGGGGGGGGGGGGGGGGGGGGGGGGGGGGGGGGGGGGGAGGAGAGAAGGAGAAAGAGGGTGAGTGAGATGCGATGGAGAGATGTTGTTGGGCGAAAGGCGAAGAGGACCGAAGATAGCGACACTACTAATTGCTTGTCACGGTATAGCAGAGGCAAAAGAGGGGACCTCAGAGTCAGCGACTCAGGCTTCAGCACACCCCATAGACTCCTCGTCTGCCGTCTTCTCGAACGATATCAGGCACTCCACTTCCAGTATCCCTTATTCCACTATCGAAGAGGCACAGTATTGTTTTCTGTTTTTCTGTTCCTCGTGTACGGATACACCTCTCTGCAAGTCTTCATACCTTTCCTTCATGCTGCTCAAGCTGACAGGAGTCGATCATCTCTCACTCAAGAGCTGTCAGCATAACAGTGGGATACGAACTGGATGGTTAGTGTTGGGTTCAGGCCTTTGATGACGAGATCCACAGAATGGCAATGGGTGAAGTTTGTCCCCAGCTAGTCCACAACGATAGATGGCCACAATTCCATGAACTCAATTTGCTTCATTCAGAGTCTCGGAGTGCAGACAATCGGGAGATGCTTGGTAAGGGATCTCGACCCGGTGGTCGCAGCAGCGCAACCAGACAGATTATGAATCGTTAACGGCGTGATTGACGATACTGCAAAGCAGGAATCCAGGACTGAGTCGGTGTGTTGAGAGAGTTGATATACCGCTCTTATTGGAGCCCACTTTGCATTCAGACCCTTTCCGCTCCTGTTCATGGTCGAATCACACCCACTCTTCTGCAGAAACCTCCCACGTCGCCTCCGATTTTGAGAGGAAGAGAATCCCCTCCCTTTGCCGCTGTTCCGCACGTCCTTCCTTCTTCCCGAACATCCTCGGAGAACAGAATGTGCAGACGGGAGGCTTCAGCTGATTGCTGCTACTTCATCTGTTACCATGCAGGGCATGAGACAAGCTTGAGTGGCGCCGATTGAGACAGATTGATCCATGCCACACTGTCCAAGATTGGAAGTTGGAACAGCTAGGTAACTCGGTAAGTATAAATAATTCTTTGTAGTTTGCGCTCTGCAGGTCATCGCGGGACGAGAGTGGACATTTCAACGAGCAATCATAACGAAGACTACCCACTCAACCAATCCTGACGCTGGGTATGTCTGCCGCAAGGTTGATTCAGGTTATGGGTTTCCGGGTTGAATACTGATTCATTCAGTCTCCTTCGCAGTGGGCACGTAGATGGATTGCATATCATATTCCGTTTCTATCTACAACATACTGCTGTTGCAGACTAGAACTCCCTGACTCGCCATATGCAGACGGCTAGACTCTGGGATATACAACTAACGCGGAGGCTGTCTCGCAATCCGCACGCCGTGCCTAGTGATAAAGCTAAACAGAAACCTGATGTCCCTCATCATATATGCGCTTCTCAAGATGAGCGTGCAGTAGGTATTGCTCCAAGATTTTGAAGAATCTTGCTACATAGGTAGTTTCTTGCTGCCGTGGCTGAAAGCCGAAATCGGATCAGTTGTGGAGTAGCACGATCAATCAGATAAACTACGTGGACGAAAGCGCCCCCCCGCGCGACCCAAAGTCCAATTTGATTGCCTGAGTTTATTGGTGGGTTGCTCCCACTATCTGACTCGTGTCGTCAGTGACTCGCAGCTCTCGTTCTTAAACAAATGAGCCTCGGAAAAGACTCTATTAGTGATGAACTCGTATCACGAACGATTCCTTTACCAATACGTAGCTCCTTACTACTGATATGCTCACTGGAAGACACTTTGCTCTGCACACATTGATGGTCTATCCCAGTCACATGACTGACTGTGATTCATGCCTCAGGCGCCAAAAACCCCAGGATCCCAACAGGTGACCGCCTGCATCATTCCTGGCGGTCTTGCGGCTCCTGAGCTTCTCTCAATGTCATGAGATCGAGACTGGTCATCAGTTGCCGCTGGCGGTCATCTACGACTACTAGAAATCTATAGGCAGCATATCATTTCTATTAGCGAGACAGACATCCTTTCTCATTATCATTTCGCCTGCAATTTACCTCAGGATTCAGCTCTTTATCGTTCTCCAGGAATCACCGCCAACTTTTCTTTCAAAGCTAGAACATCTGTCCGCTCGCTTTATGGCCACCTTTTGAGGGATCAACCTGGCTTATAGGCAGTTCTTTTCACTAATGACTTTGCCTGTGTGCGCTGATAATAGGAGCGTCCCCCCAGGACTTTAGACCAAGATGATGGCCTCCAACGTTCTCTCTCGATTCCTCCCTCCGAATGGACCTGCATCCGTTTACGAAACGATCCGGCAACATGATGACAACTCGGATGGCTCTGATGTCGAAGAGCGTGCAGGTCTGGCATTTGATGGCGACGTTGACGCAAGGGATCGATTCAGCGATCGCGAGCTTGTGGATGCGATGGCCGACGCCACGAGAGAGGAGTTGTCGAGCCCTCACGATACATTTCTTACTATGCAAAGCACACAGAGGGACCCGCAAGAGATCGCAGAAAACTCTGGTCCTCGCCGCCGTAAATCGAGCAATCCGCGATGGATGCAACCTGCCGAAGATGATGATAATGACGACGATGACGACGATGACGACGTACCAGCTTCGCTTTTAATGGAGGGCCATCAGGATGACCACGACCTCAAAGCTCGCTTGCCTCCCCCGCCCTCAAACCACTTATCCGATCCAGTACGACGCTCCACTCCTTCTCCCCGCCGCGAGCACGTTCGATGGGATCGGCCACCAAATGACTTGCGCCGGCGAAGTCGTCCAAAGGGCTTGTGGTCTGCCGGCCATCCCAACATGGCCATGATAGACCCGAAAGAAAAAGCTATGTGGATGTGGGCAAATGTCGAGAACCTTGATAACTTCTTGAAGGACGTGTATACATACTTTCTCGGAAACGGGATTTGGTCCATTCTGCTAAACCGAGCATTAAGTCTTCTGTACGTCTACCTTTTCAACAAATCAGGATGATATCTGCTAACTGTCTGCAGGACCTTCGCATTCGTCATCGGATTTAGTACTTTTCTCCTGAACTGCATCAATTATCCTCAAGTCCGCGGGAGTAAAAAACTAGATGAAATCCTGCTCCAGCAGTGTACTAAGAACATGTCCTTGTCCTCTACGTTTTTACTTTGGCTATTTTGCCTTTTCTGGATTTGGAAGGTTTTCCAATGCCTGCTGGACATCAGGCGACTCAAGAACATGCACGATTTCTACCATTATTTGCTCAATATTACCGATGCAGAAATACAGACAATTTCCTGGCAGGAAGTCGTTAGCCGACTTATGACCCTGCGAGACTCAAATCCCGCCACCGCTGGTGCGATATCAGCAAAGCACCGCAAATTCATGGGCAGCCAATCGAAACAACGAATGGACGCTCACGATATCGCTAATCGGTTAATGCGGAAAGAGAATTATCTGATTGCATTGGTCAACAAGGACATCTTAGATCTCACACTTCCGGTGCCATTCCTGAGAAACAGGCAACTGTTCTCCCGAACCCTGGAATGGAATATCAACTTGTGCATCATGGACTATGTTTTCAACGAGCAAGGTCAAGTACGCACGCTGTTCCTGAAAGATACCCATCGAAAAGCCCTAAGTGATGGCTTGCGACGACGCTTCATGTTTGCCGGGATTATGAACATATTTGTAGCGCCTTTTATCGTCGTCTACTTTATGATGCATTATTTCTTCCGCTATTTCAACGAATACAAGAAGAACCCTGGCCAAATCTCCTCGCGGCAGTATACGCCACTCGCTGAATGGCAGTTTCGCGAGTTCAATGAGCTGTGGCATCTCTTTGAACGGCGCATCAATATGTCATATCCGTTTGCGACCCGCTATGTGGATCAATTTCCCAAAGATAAAACCATCCAGGTTGCTGGCTTTGTGGCCTTTGTTTCTGGCGCGCTCACGTCTGTCTTGGCTCTGGCATCCATTATCGACCCAGAATTGTTTCTAGGCTTCGAGTTGACGCACGATAGAACGGTCCTCTTCTACCTGGGTGTCTTTGGATCGATTTGGGCTTTCACCAGAGGAATGGTTCCCGAGGAGACAGACGTATTCGACCCGGAGTATGCCCTTCTCGAGGTTATCAACTTTACTCATTACTGCCCAAGCCATTGGAAAGGAAGACTACACAGCGATGGTGTCCGAAAGGAATTCGCCGTATGCTATCAGATGAAGATTGTCATCTTCTTGGAGGAGATTTTGAGCATGATATTCACTCCCTTTATTCTGTGGTTCAGCCTGCCCAAATGCAGTGAACGCGTGATTGATTTCTTCCGAGAATTCACTGTCCACGTCGATGGCATGGGTTACCTCTGCTCTTTTGCAGTCTTTGATTTCAAGAAGGGCACAAATGTTATTCCGCAGGAGCACAGCAACCGCAGCACGAGACAGGACCCACGCGCCGACTACTTTTCCACAAAGGATGGCAAAATGCTTGCATCTTATTACGGGTTTCTGGATAACTATGGCGGAGGTCCGCGCACTAATCATTCAAACAAGCGCCAATTCCATCCCCCGCCCACTTTTCCCTCACTTGGGTCTCCATCACTAGCTGGAATGGGCAACATTGGAGAACGATACGACATTTCACAGTCTCGCGCCAGGCCGGCCCCTGCTGTTGCTGGCCAACAATCGATGCTTGGTGCCGGCCGGTTTGGGCTTCCTCCCGCGGGCGATGCTTCGTCGCCTGCTCCCTCAATGCTCCTCGATCCACATCATCAGCCATCATCGTCAGGGTTCCGAAATGTGAATCGAATCACAACCCACCAACGCCACCGCCCTGCTCGTCCTCCGCCGCCACCAGTATCCGAGTCGGTTGCCGATGATAATGATGAATCGATTCTAGCTACGCACAGGCCTACTTCAATATTACGGACAAGGCCACTGCATGTGACTTCTGGATCGAGTGGTGGTGTAGGTCCCGGCGATAGCAACCTGGAAGACTCCTGGCGAGATAATCTGGCTGGCGAGACAGAAGAAGACGAGGAGGACCCAGATGGCGAAAATGTAGATGCTATTGTAAAGGGTGCCGGGGTTCTAGGGCTGATACAGCAGTTTCAGAAAGCGAACAAGGATAATCGGCCTCGTGCAGCCGTAGGTCTGTAAATGATACGTTTGGATATGGAAGCACCAAGAATCAAGACAAATATATCTATTCACGGTCAATTTGCTGTACTCCAAAGATGTTGGTGAGAGGGTGATACAAGATCCAGAAAGCAGAGGCTTGTAGTATATCCTCCTTATATACGGTATATGCGATTATGAGCCCAATATGAATTTCTAGAAAGTTGCTGAAAGCAAGACGAAGCACTACTGAGGACACGGCGGTTCTGTACTCCGTAACTGTGTCTCCACGTACTCCATCCATGATGGCTCCAAGGCACCTGCGTTTTCTGAATTCTACTATTAGTACGCCTAGAACTTGGTAGTACCTAGTAATAGATCTCTGATTCTCCGTACGAATCCCTGGCGAGGACTTAGGAGTAAATCAACCTTAGTAAGGCTCTCAAACAATCAAGAAAGGCCGATTGGCCATGTCAAAATGCAATTCTGCAATCTCCTGTGTTTTGACGCTTCTCATTGTTCTCATTGTTCTGATCTGCCGTGGAACCGGTCGATCTTGGATGTCTGAAATACCGTGTAACATTCAGGGTAAAAGGCCTTATCGAGTGCGCAAGGCTGGTTTTGGCCGGTAATATTACGAGGGTCTCAGGGTCGAGTACTAGACCCTTTTTCTTGGTACTGCGGGTGTCCAGTAAACACGAGCAGATCTCAGGACTTGTGATGCAAACGGATTTTACGCCGGAAAGCTCGCTGAAGCTCAATTGATGTAAGGTCCTGTTTACATATTTTCTTCAACTCTCCGAGTCTTGTGTCGACGTACAAGATAGCTCGCTCATGTCTTTGGTGGCATCGCCTTAGCAGCTCCAGTGTTCAGCCACAGGGTCTGGGCGCTCGGCTCCGCTCAGTGCTGTTGCAAACTGACAGCCTTCCAAGAGTTTTAATTAAATCACCTGCAAGAACACACAGGCAACAACACTGCAAACAACACTGCACCGAGGATCTGAGAACCCCCAGACAATTCTGTTCTCGTCTCGGCCTTGCAGCCAGCCCTGTGTTCCAGTCCTTCGACCGAGTCTTTCTTGCGGACCCTGAATCCGCCTACTGTCTCAATTCGATATCCCGCAGCGACGTCGCGACCACAGATTCTAGTGATCGAAATGACCTGAAAAAACTAGCTCTATCCTATTTTCATTCCCATCGTCGCTCCTTACCAGTCTGTGTCCTCGGTCTTCAGCATTTCGTCTGTCCAGCGCCGCAGCACCGTCGCCTTCATTTCCTGCTTCTAATTTCACGACTCGGTCCCTTCTTGCCTTCCCCTGAGCACCCAGTCGCTTCTGGCTTCATCGTGGAAGATGATGCGTGCCCGTCGATACCGCATTTCCTTGGTGTTTGCCGTCGTTTTTGTCCTTCTCATACTTCACTTTAGCCGGTCCCACGATCAGCCTGCGGCCTTCCAAGTCCCTCTGCCCGCCCCTCCTATCGATCATAAACCTCCGTTCCCTGGTCAGAGCATCGACCGTCCAGTCAAGGATGACGATTATAGTGTCAAGAAGCCAATTGTCCCTCCCCCCGCTCCGGCTCGTCCGGCATCCTCGGAGGAACCTCAACAACAACCGCCTCAGCAGCATCAATCGCCCTACACCTCTGATGAGGTTTCGTCTCCAACGATAAACCGCCCCGACTCTTCGTATGATACACCCTCAGAGGATGAGGAACTAGGTCATAAGCCCCAGACGGGCGCGCAGACCCAAGGTATACACGACCATGAAATCGATGAGGATCTTCCTACGGCTCCTCACTGGAAGCCCACACCTGAGCAACACCCCATTGATCTTAAGACGCTAATTAAACTACCTACTGGATCATCCAAATCGCTCCCGCAATTGCAGGCAAAATTCGCAGATGAATCTTCCGCCGACAAGATGCAGCGTCTCCAACAACTCAACACCATCAAAACGGCTTTCCTACATGCCTGGAACGGCTACAAGGTCTCTGCCATGGGCCATGACGAAGTGAAGCCGCTTCGTGGTGGATTCAAGGATCCCTTCAATGGCTGGGGTGCAACCCTTGTTGACTCCTTGGATACTTTGTGGATCATGGATCTGAAGCAGGAGTTTTCCATGGCAGTAGACTTTGTCAAGAAAATCGATTTCACAGTCAGCAAGCGAAAGGAAATTCCGGTATTTGAAACCGTTATTCGCTACCTTGGTGGGTTGCTTGGCGCCTATGACGTCTCTGGCCACAAGTACGACGTCCTCTTAGAAAAGGCCGTTGAACTCGCCGAGGTTTTGATGGGTGCTTTCGACACCCCCAATCGGATGCCCACCCTCTACTACAAATGGAACCCGGATTATGCATCTTCTCCTCGCCGAGGAGATTTCAAGGCTGTCCTTGCAGAGCTGGGCTCGCTTTCCCTCGAGTTCACGCGCCTAGCGCAGCTGACGAAGGATGACAAGTACTACGATGCAATTGCTCGGATCACAAATGAGCTTGAGAAATATCAGCATAAAACAAAGCTTCCTGGACTGTGGCCTTTGAACCTCGACGCTTCCGGGTGCCGAAGGCCGGTATACGAACCAGAACTGGAGACTGATGAAGAAGAGGCTTCCGTGGGGCAGCCAGTCAGAGGCCCAGCCATGACTTATGAGACTAGATCCAATTCAACAAGTCCCAAAGCTCTCTACTCAAGAGGTATTCACGAAGACGCGGAGCCCGCCTATTACGGAGATGACGATTCTTCCGACACAGATTCGCTTGGTACTCGGACACCTCCACCGAAGCAGGACTGCTTTGAAGGGCTCAACAACCAGCTTTCAAATACCGACAGGTTTGGTCTTGGGGCTCTCGGTGACTCCACTTATGAGTATTTACCAAAAGAGTACATGCTTCTTGGTGGTAACAATGAACAATACCAGAACATGTACACAAAGGCCATGGATACAGTGCGCGAGCAACTTGTTTACCAACCAATGCTTAAAAACCACCGCGATGTTCGGTTCTTGGCTACTGTCACAATGACCAAGAACCTCGATGCGAACCCCCCGGGTCGCACGACCTTTGCCTACGAAGGTACCCATCTGACATGCTTCGCTGGCGGTATGTTTGCCATCGGCGCAAAGCTCTTTGGGCTCGAGAAGGACCTGCGCCTAGGCAGCCAATTGACGGATGGCTGTGTCTGGGCGTACGAAAGCACCAAGACTGGAATCATGCCGGAAGCGTTCAAATTAGTTCCTTGTGAAAAAGGCGAGCAGTGTGAGTGGAGCGAAGAAGCCTACTATGCGGCCATGGATCCTTACGCTGAAAAGCGGCCGGGGCCACTTGGCAAGCGATCTGCCGAGCCCGAAAAGGGGAATTGGCATGTCAAGGCGATACCCGACTCCCCTACATCAACCGGCAATAAAGGAACTAGCTCAGCTGCCGTTATTGAGGACTTCGATAATCGAAACCCTGACCCAGTCCCAGTCAAGGGAGTACTTTCTCATGAGGAATTCGTCACAGACAAGATTCTCAACGACCGGCTCCCGCCAGGTATGACTGGGATCTCGTCACGCCAATATCTCCTTCGCCCAGAGGCGATTGAATCTGTATTCATCATGTACCGCCTCACGGGAGACTCCTACTGGCGTGAGAAGGGCTGGAAGATGTTCCAGGCTATTGATAAAGCCACGAAAACCGAGTTGGCCCACTCCGCCATCGCCGATGTTACAGTTGACGATCCACGACCTCTTGATAGCATGGAGTCTTTCTGGCTGGCTGAAACTCTGAAGTATTTTTACCTTTTATTCAGCGACCCGAGCCTGGTGAGCCTTGATGAATACGTGCTGTAAGTGGCCTGTTTTCCACAAAATGCTTTTCACCGATAGCTAACTTACTCCTCCTTAGAAACACTGAGGCGCATCCGTTCAAGCGCCCTGAATACTAACTGATATACCCCATTAATTTGCGACGACTGTGTTAACTGTATGTAAAAGCATTGATACCACTTCGCCAGCATACCTGAATTTTGCTATTGTTCATTTTGAGGGCCCCAAAGGAAATCTTTCTTTCCCTATATATATTATTTTTGTTGTTGTTGCATTCTTACCCTTCGGTCAGCATCCGGCTTGGACTATGCACTATCTAGCAAGGAACGTGTACATAGCTTAAGATCAACTACGATTGAGACCAGCAAGCCGTAAGCGATCCAAAGGCCTCAAAATCATACGTTGTATAGAGTTACTAGAGAGCAGAAGAAACTGGTAGGGCGGGGAAATGTGGGTTTCAGCCACGCGCTTTATTTAGTAATTATTCTTGTCATCGTCATCGCCATCGCCAACCGGGCAATTCTGCCTTTCCTTCTTTCCCTCTCTCTCCCTTCTCCCTCACCCGCTGCTATCTGGTGGCCTACCCAGTTGCTTCTATTCGCGCTATTTTGTTTTCCGCCGTCTCCAGAAGCGCCCCCACACCCTCGTCCTCCTCCAAAACGGGGCCCACTGCCAACTTGTGTGACGGGCGCAAGACGGGATGAGTGCAGCAGAGACCCAACAGGCCCGAGGACGACGACGATCGAGTTGCGGGAAATGGAGCTTGAGGTCTCCGTGGATAATGAGCAGCAATTCTGGACTGGTACGGCTTTTAATCATCTCTGCTGTACTTCCCATCCAGTCTCGCAACTAACCAACTCTGATACCGCGCAGATATCCAGGATATTGTTTCCGCCCCTTGCTCCTCGGAGGACATAATCGATAATGCTCTACGGGCGTATTTGAGTTTGACTACGCAACATAAAGGTAACCAGGCCTTTTCCTTTATCTACCGCTTACTGGGTCGCGTCGGCTAATCTTCCACACTTTTCGAACAGAGCAGTATCTCCGTTCGGAGTTGGAGGTCAGCCGATGTTCGTTCAAACTATTATCGTCCGCGATCTTCGTCGCCCATACGGACTATGTCCGGCGACAAATGATATACGCTCTGTTGCAGGTACGACAAGCTTCCTTTCGTTCCAACGAGGCGCCTCTATTCACAACCGAGATAGGAAGATGATCCCGTGACCCTCCAAATCATCACGTCGTTTCTCCTCTTCGACGGCCGGCAACATGAAGTTTCACTCCATATGATGAATGAGGAAGGTGTCTTCCCAAGACTGCTCGAATTGCTTCATGCGCAAACTATAAACAGAGAGGACGGCGAGGCCGGCTTGCATCGGCTTTTAATGGACCTCTTGTATGAAATGTCGAGGATACAGAGGATTAGGATCGAAGATTTAGGTATGTTGGCCTAGGCTCCAGCTGCGGAAGTCCGTGCAGCACCCGCTATCCGTGCAGGCAGGGTATTGACATGTCTCGTGTGACGACAGTTCTGGTGGACGACGATTTTATCCGGGGACTCTTCGATCTTATTGAGCGTCTATCATATGATGTCAATGATCCTTATCATTATCCAGTTATTCGCGTACTGGTATGCCGCCTTTTCAGGTTATTAGTGGAATACCTGCTAACCCGATGACAGTTGGTTTTGAACGAGCAGTTTATGCTCTCCGCACATAATCCTGACGATGAGCAATCGCCCTCCAATACCCTGACGAACAAAGTCATCAAAGTCTTGTCTGTACATGGTTACTCTTACAAGACATTCGGCGAGAATATAATTCTGCTTATCAACAGAGAAGGTAGTGTTTATCCCGTTCGCCACTTCGCATAACACTAACGGATGGAACAGCGGAAACTTCCCTTCAACTTCTAACTTTAAAGCTTTTATACCTTATTTTTACGACACCTAGCACATATGAATACTTTTTCACAAACGACCTTCACGTCCTGGTGGATATCCTAATCCGAAACCTTCTCGACCTCCCAGAGGAGGCCGCGGCGCTCCGACACACCTACCTCCGAGTGCTCTATCCATTGCTCGCTCACACGCAGCTGAGGTTACCTCCTCATTACAAGCGTGATGAGCTCAACCGTATGCTTAGTTTGCTTGTTCGGGGTCAACTAACGGGTGATACCGAAGTCGACTGCGAAAGAATCAGACACTTTGATGAAGTCGACGAAACAACAAAAAGACTTGTTCTCCGATGTGCGTCCGTTGAATGGCTACGGGATGAAGCAGGACCTGACAGGCTCTTACCATTACCGCAACGCGAAGATAGCCTGACTTCATCCATACCCACGATTGACAGTGCTCTTCTATCTGATACCGATATCGGGACCTCGGTAGAATCTTCACGGACGATGTATTCTACCGCTACGCGCGAAAGCTCTTCAGAAGATCTATCGCCTACCACTGCCGATCTAGTAGAATCGCCGGTGTCTATGAGTGCGACTCCACGGAAGCATAACCAGATTGAACGATTAGGGATGCATTTTGATCCAGCATCGTCGTCTTCTCTTAGCGTGCATGAGATCGCCTCTCAGCGCGAGAAACCTGGCGTTATCACACCCAGCCGCCATCACGGACGCCCATTGACGGAAGCCCAAACAGGCCCTACGAAACATAAAGTGAAACCCTTGCCCCCAAAGACAAGGCGCTGGCGGGGTAGGCGAGCAACAGGGGACGAAGAAAACACTACTCCCGTTGCAGGCGAAAGCATCGCAGAGGAAGATGGCATAAGTACAGGGCCGGACAGCCCCAGTCCATTTCCATCTACCCCTATCCTGACCTCAAACGAAGTCATCCCCGAAGCTGAACGCCGAGATTCAGCGGCAACTACATCTACCCTTGTTCCCTCCGCCTCGCCTTCTCAATATAACATAATCAGGCGCTCCGTATCAAACCCGCCCCCCGCGGTGCCACCACCTCGCCGCTCCGCAATTCACCATAACCTCTCAGCCTCCAGCCACTGCACGCCTTTGACTAGCCCTTCACGCCCCCCTGGTATCCAGGGCCAAGGGCAGAAGCAGCCTCAGAAACCAGAACCACCCCGGACAAGACGGTCTGGGCGCAAGCACACCAATACAGATTCCTCGGACAAGTCAACGGGCAGCCACAACAGTTTCAGCAGCCTGAGCAGTACTAATACCACGGGAACTGCTGCAACTATGCTGCATCTTGACTATCCATATGAGACTCCCTCTGCCGAAAATACAAAGGATACAAAGGATACGAATGGACACGCAACGATAAGCGTTGAGGAAGCTGTGCAGAATGTCTCGCTGCATTGAACCGAGCACTGTATCTGACTTTATATAGACTTTATATCTAATGAATCCAAGTAGCCGATGCTTGTGTGTTCTTGTTAACCCACTATTGTTGCGGGGTGAAGGCAGTCAAGTTGAAGTGTTGATCAGCTCCCAGAGGGGGGACTTGGTGGGGAAGGTTGCCGTGCCAACCAAGATTTCCCAGGCCGCATCACAAACTCCACGGCAAGTGACCAACAGGTCGAGCTCTCTCGTTTTTTGTATCTGCAACCCCATCAATAGCGTATCGGAAATATAAATACAAAGCTGGGAGAAAGGGGCGGAGCCGATTGAGAGTCTCCATCTTGCGACGCCTCACATTCCATCACCAGAGACAGAAGGAGCGACCCACCGTCAACGCAGGTTGAGAGACAAGAGGGACGAAAATGGCCCGACTCAACACGAGACATCAGACGAAGCACGATGAGCAGCCGCATGAGAAAACAAGGGCCCCGCGCCTGACTGAAAGACACGCCATTACCCAAAGCCCCAACCCACCAACGCCGAAAGAGCGCCTCAGAGAACAATGGCCGGCAGAGAGGCCGACAACACTAGTGCGCAGCAAATCGACAAGGACGAGAACCAAAACACTGTCTGAGCAGCAATTTGACATCTTTGCCGATAGCGACGGGGCGAGTGAGCGGGACACGCCCAAGGCGAAGAAAGCAACGCCTTTGAAAGTCGGCCTGGCTCGCGCGAATTCCGTGATTCTACCTCTGCCCCAGCAGCCTCGGGCTCGAACAAACAGGAAGTCGGAGTTGTATAACTATGATAAAGAGAATGACCCGGCTGAGGAGGAGTTGGATCCTGAACCGCCTTCTCTATCCAGGAACCCCTCCGATGCATCATCCTCTACACGGTCACCGGCGAGGGATAGGAACACCCAGCAATTCAATACATATCGCCAACCGGAACCTGAATCGGAAAATGAGAGTGATAGTGACAGTTTTGACTCTCTCGACGACTTTATTGTTAGTGACAATGAGGAAGTTAGCTATCATGCGTCTTCTTCGTCGGAGGATGAAACAGAGGAGGAGCAACACAAAGTGGCTACTCCACCAACACAAAAGAGACGACTATTTCGAGGCAGGCGACCGAACCCTGCTGTTGAATTGGAGAATGCTCTCCGCGAATCTGCACGGCGTCCAAACCTTCGATTGGAGCCCTCGTTGCCAGCAGCAATTGCGACGCCATCTCTGGGCCCAGACAGGGTTTCTAGGAAACTCTTCCGGACCGACGTCTCCGAGAAGATGAACAAGTTGAGAATAGAGGATGATGACCCATCATCCTCACAGCTTCAAAATGACCTTAACGGGTAAGCCCTGCCACCGCTACTTTGCCCGCCCGGGTGACCACAACATGTTTCTAAACTCCGGGCAGATCTACTGAAGAACAGGCCCGCCAACTGCAGCCTGATGATTCTCTATTCCGCACTCCCCCTTCGAGCCCTTCGAAGACTCTTCTAAGATCGCCGATGAAGGAGAGAACCATAATTCCCCCAAGTCCTCATCGCGAAAGCACCGACGCTTTCTGGAGTGCAGAGATTACCAACAAGTGGATTGACGAGCACTCGCCACGCAAGGCCGCACTATTGCTACGGGAGTTTGACGAGTCCGACAGCGAATCCGAGACGATGGCACTGCGCGCTAAGTCAACGAAGCCGGCAAAGCCTTTGAGCAAGACGGCACAGAAAAAGGCGGAATCTGAAGCTAAAAAGGCTGCACTCGCGCGCAAACGGTTATTCGACAGCAGGAAAGCTGCTTTTGCGGAGCACTTTCTCAAAACACTTGATGATGCTGTTTGCGAGGGTAAAGTCCAGAAATACTCCGCAGAGACCGGTGGGGTCCACATTCTTTGGAGCAAAACACTGCAGACAACGGCCGGGCGAGCAAGCTGGAGGCGAGACAGGTCCTCGGGCTCCATATCGTCTAGTAGCGATACCTCATCATCTACTACTTCCACTAAACACTTCGCTACCATCGAACTAGCGGAGCGTATCATTGATGACGAAGACCGGCTGATCAACACAATGGCTCACGAGTACTGTCATCTGGCAAACTATATCGTCATGGGCGTTCGCGATCAACCGCACGGGGCTAGCTTCCAGGCTCTAGGCCGAAAGTGCAAGGAAGCCCTAAAAAACCACCCGACATACGGCGGCCGCATCGAGGTAACCACCAAACATAATTACAAGATCGACTACAAATACGTGTGGACATGTGTCGACTGTTGCCAGAACTATGGACGCCACTCGAAGAGCATCGACCCTAGCAGACACCGGTGCGGCAAGTGTAAGGGTCTCCTCCAGCAAATCAAGCCTAAACCAAGAGCCGTCTCGCCGAGGAAGAAGTCACCCCCTCTTGGTCTAGTGAGAGAGACGTCGAAAGACTTGGATCCGATTGTTTTGAGCCCATAGTGGGTTCACTTCTTGCGCAAAGTTAATATTGAGTCGGCTTGATGTTTCTATGGCTGGGTACATGGGGAGTTTGGGTTTTGGAAGGTTTACTTTACGACCCTCATTAGCGAGGAGTGTCTCTTTTTTCTAGCAGTCGAATTTTCCTTCTTACTTTCCTTCGATTTTCTGGCTACATGGGGATGATCTTGTGAAATGCCAGCCTAGCTGAGCAGAGGAGGTGAATGTACTATGTACATAACGTATGATAATTCCACCACTATTCTGCCACTATTTCACCATGGCTTTCAATCTTCTCACTGCCCGCTATGCACTCACTAGGGATATGAGGTCTGTAGACTGATCAAATCTTGCCTCATACATTAACAAGAAAAATCTTCTACCGCAAGGTGTTCCGCCAGAGGTGGTGGGCTACTAGTATACAGGTGTGTAGGTAGGATACCTAGGGCCTCAGGGCCTTCCCAATCTCGAATGCCGAATCCAGGTTATGTAAGTATCCAAAGGGAGGTGTGGTCCTAGCAAATTAGACTCACGAGAAAGGGACACACAATTATTGCACTCTTTAAGGAGTTTTTTTTTTTTTTTTTTTTTTTTTACCTGCATTCCCAGCAGCCCATATATATTTTATGGTTAGCGAGCAGTGACAACTTAAATCTAACACATGGAATCCGGGGCTACTAGCTCTACTCGTAGCGGGCCACATTCAGCATGCGAATCTGGATTGTAGATAGAATGAAACTTATATATTGCTCCGGAGTGAGGGTCAGGACCAACGCTCTCAGACGTGCATTTGATTACTGTGAAATCGTATGGCACGATATATCCCAAAGGATCCAAAGATAGACATGAGCAGTCCACATAAAGCCAACATTCGACTGAATAATACTTCAGCATCTAACTAGAGCCACGGACAATAGTGTCCAGGCTATTTGACTATAGAAGACCGAGAGACACGGCAGGTATAATACATGTCAAACACAAACATAAGGACCATGGTCGCAACATGATAGAGATAAAATAACGAGCCACCTATCTACCACACACCAGACCAAGGGAAATCAAATTAATCAAGCGCCCATCTAGAGCAGAATCATCGCAGCACCGGCAAACATGGCCGTAGCGACGTAAGCTCCAACCTGCCAAGCACCAACATACACACTGTACGGCGTAAGCGTGTAGCCAGCGCCATCGGAAGTATCAGCGCCGGTGCTGCCTTCGACTGTATCTCCCTGAGCACCTGCGGCCGTGGGCGATGCAGTAACAGTGCCAGTGCCCTCTGTACCAGCGGCATCGAGCAACGAAGAGCAAGCGCTAGTCGGCTCAGATGTGCTCTGTGAAGAGGCCGCACCGTCAAAGTCACACGCATTGTCTCCGTTGCCCTGCTCCACCTGGTCCTGATAGTACTGGTCCATGGCAAAAGAGAGCTGCTGCTCCGGTGTACAAACACTATAGGCGCCGTACTCGCCGGTGGTGGCGTTGCCGGTGATACCGTCGCAGAACTTGCCGCCCTGGTATCCGCAGACCTCGCTGAAGGTCGAGGAGAGGAGCTTGCCCGAGATGTCGGATTTGGCGACGCAGGTCAGGGACTTGAGCATGCAGGTGCAGAGGTCGTGGTTCGGGGAGGGAGGGAGAGGGGAGTCAGTGGCTTGCCAGTTCTTGTTGAGGGCTGGGCAGGAGGCAAGGGCAGTGTTCGTGGGGTTGTAGTCAGACTTCTTTGTGCCAGTGGGAGTTGCACTGGCGAGTTGCTCGGAGAGGTAGCTGTAATCGGCGCGGGTCTTGACCTTACCGTCGTCGATGGAGACGAGCCCTGTTTCTCATTAGAGACATGCGTGAAGAGACATGAGTAAAGAGACGAGTAATGAGACATGAGTGAGAAAGACAACTATAGCACTTACCATAATTGTTGGCCTCCTGGTGGTACATGTAAACGATACCACCGGACCAGACCTCGGCCATCTTGTCACCATAAAGAGCTTCGACTTCAGTGAACTTGCGAGGCTCAACCTCATTGCAACCATACTCGGCGAAGAAAACGGGGACAGAGTAGTCGCGGAACTCGTCAGTGCGAGACTTGAAGCCGGACTTTTCATAGTTAGAATCGCCACACCAGGAGTAGACGTTGTAGCCCCAGAAATCAATGCTTTCTTCCTTGCTACCGCAGTTAAAGTAGTCTGCCATGTCCACACGGATTGACGAGTCATCGTTGGTAGCATAACCAACACCCATGGTGCGGTAGTTCTTGGCCTTAATATACCGCTTCATATCGCGAACAGCGGCCTTGACAAAGGCGCTGGCACCGGTTGTCTTGGGGTCATTCGAGACCTCATTTCCTGCGAAGAAACCAATGACGTTGGTGTATTGGGAGAGCTCATCAACGACGGACGCATAGCGACTGAACAGATCATAGTCCCACTTGGGGTTGTTGCGGATAATCGATTCACTGGGGGAGGACAGGTCGGCAATAACGTATATTCCAGCATCGCTGAGCAAATTCATGCATTCTGTATGATCGGCCTTGGGGTCGACGGCGTACACACGGATAGTGTTGGCGTTAAGCTTCTCAAGGTAAGGGACGTCGCGCTTGCATGCTTCAGCATCTGCTAGTGGATCCTTGTAGTTGTTCGTGCCGGATTTGGGGCCGGTGTATTCCTCTGTCAATCGTTAGATACCGTTCCTCTCACTTCATGCCATATGCGAACGAGTAGTCCGGCCTGTGCCCAAAAGAGCCCGCCAGACGTAGTGGCCGCGGCGGGAAAGGAGTCAAGCACAGTGTGAAATATCATCCAGACGTTCACTTTACTATGATATTTGCACTCGTTGTGAAAGGTAGACAGTCGGGTTGTGGATGCGCAATCGGTTCCCGCGGAGGAAGAAGGACTTGAGGTAGTCAAATACTCACGCTGGTAGGCGACACCACGCATGTAGCTGCAAGAATGGGTTAGCTGTGAAGGACAGAGGCTGAAACGGAGGGCGTACAATTGGGTGTCATTGCTCTTGTAGAAGAACTTGGAGCCCTGTGACAACAGTCAGCCTGTATTGCCTTCGTAGATACGACATGCTGTACCTTGATAATGATCGGGTCCACGTCAGCGGCGACGGCGCTGCTGGCGAGGGCAGCACCCGTGATGATGCTGGAAAGCTTCATGCTGAGTGTCTGGGGCGTGTGTGTCTGATACAAAGAGTGGCGCAAAAGGCTAGCTTTACAAAAGAAGGAACGAAGAGGTATCTAATCGGAGATGCCTCGATAAGTAGACTAGAATGAGTGTAAAGAACGTATAGCATCAAAACAAAAATAAGAGATCATGTAGAAGGACAAGAGAGTGTTGGTTCCAGAGAGAATGGCAGGAAAGAGAAGTCACAAACCGGTCCCTGGGCTCAGGGAGGGATTTCATACTTCTCCCATGGGAACCCCAGGCTGCAGGGTACCAGAGCCCACTCAAGCTCAAACCAACGTAGCATTCGATGATGAGGGCTGGGGAGGGCTGGCAGAGCCCACCATTGCGTGCTTCTAGCGAAATAACCAGATGTTGATCGTTGGAGATTTTCAGTGATGTGCACTCATGATTGCTATCATTTGCGCAGACAAAGTCTCGGCATCTCCACGACGGGAGGCGCTGTTATCCAAAGGTACAAAAACACGCAAGCTGGTTCCACAAGCGTCGAGATTCAGGGGACAAGGGTCTTGGAAAAGCTTATTCTCTCCTCACTTGAGCCCGCCGTATATAAATAGAGACATTGGGATAGTCCCTCCACGATGAAGACTATCACGATTGCATCGACGTCATCCACTGGTTTCAAGCCTGGACTATGGAGTGAACTTGATACTTGCAAGATAGACTTTACGGTGTGCATTTAGACGGGGGCCCATACTGCTGATGGATTGTCGATGCGATTTGAGCGAACATCGATCTGCATGGGCTTGAATATCTGAGTGATGGTTTCGGACATGCCATCAGCAAGAGGAACCGGCCCTTGAATTCGACATGAAAGGCCCTAGACTCCAAAGACAATGAGTTCGAAACACCTCCACCGTATCCTATGTTCCAATTAAGGGCCCAATGTTCCCTGATTATTGAACAAAATGTTTTTTTTTTGTGGCAAAGCAGGCCGAGCTTTGGCTCCAGATGGCTGATCCAGTATTTAGTTGACAATCTTTGCCCACCACCGTGTCTCAGGGGATCAGTCATGAAATCATCAAACATCAAACACACGACTGTTATCCACGCTTCACGCTCACAAGTAGCTGTTACCAGTTGTGACCAGTGCTGCCCAGTTGCCTCGTTCAGCAACAGCAACAGCAACACTGGACCAATGGTAGCTGTTTCAGCTACTATACAGGCACCTCAGGGATGCGCCCAAACAGAGAGAACTCGCAGCTACTCTGTAAGAACTTGAAATGTGCTCTAGTTAGACAGCCGCAGGATAAGGATCTGGGCAACGCGAAGCTTTCCTCGTGTTGATCAAAGAAGCTCTTTGTGATCAGCCTGCCAAGGTAGCATTGCTTCAAGAGACTCTACCAACCTCCAAGTCACACAAGCCTTTAAATCAAAATTCAAGCCGCACAAGAGGATGCTTTCATGACCTTCCAAGTTGTGCCCCTCTCACTTTTCTGTCAGTTTTTGATCATTTGAGCCTCAATAAAATGTCAATTTGCACCTCCTTCCTTCCACAGTGCTAGTCGCTTCCGCCTCGCAGGCCTCCCGCGCAAATACTGTCAGGTATTCATAAGCCAATGTTATGCACGACTCGAGGCATAGCTTCTTGCCTCAGAGGGTGCTCAACATGACTCGACCACAATAATGCAAAGGCAGGTTTTCAATATTCAATCTTGCATCTCTCAACTGTATCCGTATCTTTGGTCTAAAATTGGAAAATACCGTCTGACCCGCAAACGCCCCTATTTCAACCACCGGCAGTTATGCACTCGCCACCCGTAATACCGGACGAAACCTGTCCAACCTCCGCACCGCCACCCTTGTTTCGCGATTGGGTGCAAGTTGACATTCTGAAACAATGAACTCGCCCATGCTCCAATTGGCCTTTGAAATTCGTGGAGAGAGGACAGGAAACTGGACTGAGGCTTGAGCTGAATTTGACTCCTGCCTAGAGGCGAATTCGTACGCATTATTAGATCTTCTGCTTTGCGTCGCCATCATGTTTTTCTTTTGTATTGTTATACTACTTGTACTCCGTAATCGTGCTGATACCAAGAAAAGAAGCTGGATCCAAGTTCACCAAGTCGCCGACATGGCCGAGTCCGAGACGGGAGTAATGTCGGCATCCCTCGTCTTGACCAAGTCACACCCGCAACCGGCACGAATGTGGTTGACTGTTGACGGCAGTCTCCCGCATGAAATTGTGGACTATAATCATTTGAAGTATATCATCGACCGATGGATTTTTTTGCTGTGATATACTGGACTGCAGATAGAGAGACAACGGGGTTGTACTAGTTGAGCCTGGCCAGGGGTGTACGTGGTGGCCTACGCCATCAACGGATCCCTCAGCTGAGTGGCGTTCCGTCGAAGCCGGGCCACAGCTTCCATGGATCTCAAGATTTTTTGACTTTCCTCTTGAGATTTGTCTTGCACTTTGGGTCGCTGATCCATGAAAGAGAAGCGCTCATGCTTATATTTAGATCTTTCCAGAATCTCGCATACTCCCTTACTGACCTTACTGACCTTTGAGGTGCTCCCTGGTACTCCGTAGTCTCGAAGACATCAGAACGAAATGAAATTCTAGTACGTAGTTTCAAAGTGCGGGGCTTACTCCCACATTATTATTATTAGCTTGGCAGAAATCAGGACCGTGGACGGGTGGATGATGATTTCAGGAGAAGAAAAGCCAAACAAGGACAACTCACTTCAAGCCAGCCAATCCCACATCAACAGATGGATTATCATGTCCATGTTCCTGCATCAGCAACTTGGCCAACGCTTTGAGTTTGCAAAAAACCGAAATCTTGACACGCTTAATCCAATGAAACTAACAAGAACGAACTTATGAAGGCTTCGAACTTCGAAGTCTCACTCGTGGGCTTTTGCTTAGGGGCGATCAACCGGAGCCAGAAGGCGGCCACTTCATCAATCAAGAACTGAAAGTTAGGCCACAGTGGGGTTTTTTAATTTTACTCGGTCTGATCCCATTTGGGCATCGGTGATATCGATTGTCGAGAATCGCGCTTATTGGCTGATTTATCAATACATCGGAGCGATTCAAAATTTTGAGATTGGTAGTTGCCAGTTACCTGGAACTCGTTACTGTAATAGCTACCAACGTTGACAATAATTATAAAAGGTGCAATGAGAGATTGAGGAAGTCACGAAGTGCATGATATATATATAGATAGAGCCAGGGGACTGCAATGCCCCAAGCTCGAGGATTGACGGCGGAAAACGCTACTTTAAATGATAGTTAGTTCCTGAAACCTTGTCATCAGAACTCTATCTCGAGGGTTACTGATCATCACTTAGTCTGTCGTCGAGCAATTCAATGGTAGCAATGCAGCATCCCATGGGCACCTTGATGAGCTCGCTTGGACGAGGAACAACACCTCTTAGATTTGGAACCCCAGTTTCTTTCAATTATCAATATATGTGTTCATCACCAAGAGCTCATAAAAAAGCGCAACTTCAAACTTGAAGGCCTCTCTGGCTCAATCACATAACATGAGCAAGAACATAATGCTTGACAAGCAATCTTTGCCCCTTGTGAGAGCATGGTGGCCTGAAAGCTGAACTATATAGTTCTACCAAGAATTACTGCTCGAGGAGCTATCCAAGTACCCTTTCAGTAGCATACGTTCTATACAACGGCGGGCAGACTTACTCTCAGCAGAGGGTTCACCACAATGGCATAGCTACGCGTGTATTGACCTGTCACCCAGAAACATGATGGGCTGAATGCTGTCGCATGGCAAGGCCACTGTGAAGAATGAGAGAACACCCCTTCATACCAGGGTAATAAAAACCTGGTAAGCGCTGTTACATCCCATCAACGGCGAGCAAGATAGCTCTTCATGATTGGCCATGTAAAAGGCACAGTGGATCTGGCTCAGGGGCCGCTCCGGCCACTTCCATGGATTCTTGGCCTCGCGCTTTGAGTTATTTGTTGCCAAACCCACCAGACCGAATACATAAGCTGGATCTTGATAGATGCTTACCAGAGGCTTTCGTAGCATCCACAAAAAGCGGTTGTTCGGGGCCCAGAACGTGAATACCGATATTAGCAAAGAAGAAGGCAATGTAATCTGTACTATTCGTACTAGTTGTACCATCCTGATCCAGCGACCTTATTCTGAGAGCGCCCAATGACCTTAGCGAGAGATGGCAGCCTTCGGCAATCGCACGATACCTAAACTCAGCAAACTGCGAGCTTCAAGTCGAAGTTCTCAATCAAACCACTCGAAGACTATTAGACGAAAATTACTCAGACTGGCTTACTGGTGGCGCTATAGTTTCACGCTCATACAAAGTTTACATTTAAAAACCGTCCTTACCAAGGTATCGGGCTGGTATAAGCTGTACGAGCAGCGAGCCGCTACGTATTTGCGTATCAGGACGGTAATTTAGCAGCTCCAGCGCCCAAAATAGTCACAGCCCCCCAGCCAGCCTGGCCGGTTTTCCCTGCTTTGGAGTTGGACAATCAATTCCCTTTTCACGCTGACCGTCCAACTCAAGCCTCCTCCCTCCCTTCGTCCTTCGCTTGGTTCCCTTTCTTTCTTTTTGCGGCTTCACTTTTCCTTTCTTCCTTGTTTTTGAGTCCCAGTCCGCTCTTTTATCTTGGATTCTACTGTCGACACTTACGGAACGAGCACTCCCCTTCCTTCCTTCTGTCTTTCGTTCGAGGAAAGAAGAGGAGGCGACTCGCTCGGGAGACTTTCGTGCTCCTTCCTGTCTACCTCGCAAACGGGCCTCCGCTCGTTAATCTACTACCTCCCTCCATTCGTTTGACAACATTCGACCACCGATCGACAGCTCTTCGCCTCGTCAGGAGCAGGACGGCGATTTCTTCTTTCGACCGAGCTTGACTCGTACACAGGTTCGCGGACAGGTCCGGTGCCTCCGAAGCGGAAACGCCCCGAATTCGACGATAATCGACGACGCGCCTGGTGCATTATCTCCGAGATTTCCTCTTCTATAATTCCAGAACCACCGTTTGTCTATGGTATAATATACTGTGAGAACTGTCAGATAATCTTTAATGGGCTGCTGTTTCTGTGAGTTCGTGGTCACCGGCCATTGGCGGTTTCTTGGAAAGAGGGGCTAATGTTGTCTTCAAGAAAAGCTCAGTGATCGTCGTTACTCAATATGTCGGGCTATCAACAAGGCTCCGGCTACCAACAAGGCCATTACGATGATGGCTATGACCAGCCTCATGGTCAAGGGGGAGATGCCTACTATCAGGATGACCACAACCAAGGTTATTATGACAATCATGACTACGGGGATGGCTACTATGATAACAGAAGGTACTTTCGCCTGGGAACACAAACACCTTGAACAGCATTTGCTAATATTTTTTTTACTCACTATTTAGCGGTGGCGGCGGCAACGGCTATAATACCTATACCGATAACAACGGTGCTGCCTACCCACAAGATGGCGGCTACTACGATTCCGGTCATCACGATGACTACTATGGTGACCAGTATTATGATCAAGGAAACGGCCAAGGTTATGGCAGGGGAAGACGTGGCCGGGACTCTGAGGAGGAATCCGAGACTTTCAGTGACTTTACCATGAGATCCGAAACCGCTCGTGCTGCAGACATGGATTACTATGGACGTGGAGACGAACGGTACAACAGCTACACTGATAGCCAGTACGGACGCGGCTACGGTTATCGCCCCCCTTCGTCACAGGTATCATATGGCGGCAATCGATCCTCTGGAGCCTCAACACCAGTGTACGGCATGGACTACGGAAATGCTCTCCCTGCTGGCCAGCGATCCCGCGAGCCATTTCCGGCTTGGGCATCTGATGGTCAGGTTCCTGTGTCCAAGGAAGAGATTGAAGACATTTTCATTGACCTGGTGAATAAGTTTGGCTTTCAACGGGACAGCATGCGCAACATGTACGACCATCTGATGACACAGCTGGATTCTCGTGCCTCCCGAATGACTCCAAACCAGGCTCTTCTGTCCTTGCATGCGGATTATATCGGCGGCGACAATGCCAACTATCGCCGCTGGTATTTTGCCGCTCATCTGGACCTTGACGATGCCGTTGGCTTCGCCAACATGAAGCTGGGCGAAGGTGATCGGAAGACCCGCAAGGCACGCAAGGCCGCGAAGAAGAAGGCGACCGAAAACCCTGAAGATGTCGAGGGTAACCTTGAAGCTTTGGAAGGCGACAACAGCTTGGAAGCCGCCGAATACAGGTGGAAGACACGGATGAACCGGATATCACAACATGAGAGGGTGCGCCAACTCGCTCTATACCTCTTGTGTTGGGGTGAGGCAAACCAAGTTCGTTTCCTGCCAGAATGTCTCTGCTTCATCTTCAAATGCGCAGACGACTACTACAACTCCCCAGAATGCCAGAACCGGGTTGAGCCTGTTGAGGAATTTACCTATCTCAACGAGATCATTACCCCGCTCTATCAATACTGCCGCGATCAAGGTTATGAGATTCTCGATGGCAAGTATGTCCGCCGTGAGCGTGATCATAATCAAATTATCGGTTATGATGATATGAACCAGCTTTTCTGGTACCCGGAAGGTATCGAGCGTATCGTCCTGGAGGACAAGACTCGACTCGTCGACGTCCCTCCCGCCGAGAGATGGGTCAAACTCAAGGAAGTCAACTGGAAGAAGGTGTTCTTCAAGACATACAAGGAAACTCGTTCATGGTTCCATCTGATCACAAATTTCAACCGTATCTGGGTCATTCACTTGGGTGCTTTCTGGTTCTTCACCGCATACAACGCCCCTACCCTCTACACACCAAACTACCAGCAGCAGTTAAACAACAAACCCCCGGGATCAAGGTATTGGTCTGCAGTTGGTTTTGGTGGTGCTATCGTCTCTTTCATCCAGATCCTCGCAACGTTAGCTGAATGGTTGTATGTGCCTCGTCGCTGGGCAGGTGCTCAACATCTTACCAAGCGATTGCTATTCCTCATCCTGGTCTTCGTCGTCAACCTCGCTCCCGGTGTTTTCGTCTTCGGATTCTCCGACGGCATTGACAACAAGATCTTACTCGCTGTAGGCATCGTCCACTTTTTCATTGCACTTGCGACGTTCTTCTTCTTCTCTGTCATGCCACTTGGTGGTCTATTTGGCAGCTATCTGAAGAAGCACGGTCGACAGTATGTTGCCAGTCAAACGTTCACTGCCAGCTACCCGAAGCTGAAAGGAAACGATATGTGGATGTCCTACGGTCTTTGGGTCTGTGTCTTTGGTGCGAAATTGGCCGAATCATACTTCTTCTTGACCTTGTCCATCAAAGATCCCATCCGGTACCTATCGCCATACACTATCCACCAGTGTGCCGGTGTGACGTATATTCCGGACGTCCTGTGCAAGCACCAGCCTCAGATCCTTCTTGGCCTTATGTTCTTCATGGATTTGACACTGTTCTTCCTCGACAGCTATCTCTGGTACATTATTTGCAACACCATCTTCTCCGTTGCACGCTCTTTCTACTTGGGTGTGTCCATTTGGTCTCCCTGGCGAAACATCTTCTCGCGTCTTCCGAAGCGTATCTACTCGAAAGTTCTTGCCACCACGGACATGGAAATCAAGTACAAGCCCAAGGTCCTGATCTCGCAGGTTTGGAACGCTATCATCATCTCGATGTACAGAGAACACCTCCTTGCTATTGATCACGTTCAGAAGCTTCTCTACCACCAAGTCCCATCCGAACAAGAAGGCAAGCGAACTCTTCGCGCACCTACGTTCTTTGTCTCGCAGGAAGATCAGTCCTTCAAGACGGAGTTCTTCCCATCCGGTAGTGAAGCAGAGCGCCGTATCTCCTTCTTTGCCCAGTCGCTCTCCACCCCTATGCCCGAGCCTCTGCCCGTTGACAACATGCCAACTTTCACGGTCCTGATTCCCCATTACAGTGAAAAGATCCTTCTCTCGCTGCGTGAGATTATCCGTGAGGATGAGCCTTATTCCCGTGTCACTCTCCTGGAATACTTGAAGCAGCTCCACCCTCATGAGTGGGATTGCTTTGTCAAGGATACCAAGATTCTGGCAGATGAGACCTCTCAATTTAATGGAGAACCCGACAAGAACGAGAAAGACGCTGCAAAGAGCAAGATTGATGATTTGCCGTTTTATTGTATTGGGTTCAAATCGGCTGCCCCTGAGTACACCCTTCGCACCCGCATTTGGTCCTCCCTGCGCTCTCAGACCCTTTACAGAACTGTTTCCGGGTTCATGAACTACAGCAGGGCCATCAAGCTGTTGTATCGCGTGGAAAACCCCGAAGTCGTCCAAATGTTCGGCGGAAACTCTGAAAAGCTGGAACGTGAACTAGAGAGAATGGCCCGCCGCAAGTTCAAGATCTGTGTTTCCATGCAACGTTACGCAAAGTTTACCAAGGAGGAACGTGAAAACACCGAGTTCCTTCTCCGTGCTTATCCGGACCTTCAAATCGCGTATCTTGACGAAGAGCCCCCAGCAAATGAGGGTGAGGAACCCCGCCTCTATTCTGCTCTTATTGATGGGCACTGCGAGCTCCTCGAGAACGGCATGCGAAAGCCTAAGTTTAGGGTTCAGCTCTCTGGCAACCCCATTCTCGGAGACGGCAAGTCTGATAACCAGAACCATTCGATCATCTTCTACCGTGGCGAGTACATTCAGGTCATTGATGCCAACCAAGATAACTATCTTGAAGAGTGCTTGAAGATCCGCAGCGTTCTCGCTGAATTTGAGGAGCTGACGACGGACAATGTTTCGCCATACACTCCTGGAATACCGGCCTCAAAGGAGGCGCCTGTTGCCATTCTCGGTGCCCGCGAGTACATTTTCTCTGAGAATATCGGTATTCTTGGTGACGTTGCCGCCGGTAAAGAACAGACATTCGGTACACTATTCGCTCGTACTCTGGCTCAGATTGGTGGAAAATTGCACTATGGTCACCCTGATTTCCTCAATGGTATCTTCATGACGACTCGAGGTGGTATTTCAAAAGCCCAGAAGGGTCTGCATTTGAACGAGGATATCTACGCTGGTATGAATGCTATGATCCGTGGCGGTCGCATCAAGCACTGCGAGTACTTCCAATGTGGTAAAGGTCGTGATCTTGGATTTGGCTCCATTCTCAACTTCACGACCAAGATCGGTACTGGAATGGGTGAACAGATGCTGTCAAGAGAGTACTATTATCTAGGCACCCAGCTGCCCCTTGACCGGTTCCTGTCCTTCTACTATGCTCACCCTGGCTTCCACGTTAACAACATGTTCATCATGTTGTCTGTGCAAATGTTCATGATCGTTTTGATCAATTTGGGGGCTTTGAAGCATGAGACCATCAACTGCCACTACGACTCGGACTTGCCCATCACTGATCCACTCCGCCCAACATACTGTGCACCTCTCACTCCAATCGTCAACTGGGTCAACCGATGTGTCATTTCGATCTTTATCGTTTTCTTCATCTCGTTTGTTCCATTGGCTGTCCAAGAATTGACCGAGAGAGGCCTTTGGCGCATGGCTACCCGTCTGGCCAAGCACTTTGGCTCTTTCTCTTTCATGTTCGAGGTGTTCACCTGCCAGATCTACGCCAATGCAGTTCACCAAAACCTTGCCTTCGGCGGAGCGCGGTACATCGGAACTGGTCGTGGTTTTGCAACCGCTCGTATCCCCTTTGGTGTCCTCTATTCTCGATTTGCGAGTCCATCAATTTACGCTGGCGCGCGCTTGCTGCTTATGCTGCTTTTCTCCACCTCAACCGTCTGGACCGCAGCTCTGATTTGGTTCTGGGTTTCGCTGCTCGCCCTCTGCATTTCGCCCTTCCTCTTCAACCCTCACCAGTTTGCCTGGAACGACTTTTTCATTGATTACCGCGATTACATCCGCTGGCTTTCTCGCGGCAATTCCCGCACCCATGCATCCTCGTGGATTGGCTTCTGCCGCTTGTCTCGTACCCGCATCACTGGTTACAAGCGTAAGCTTCTCGGTGTGCCCTCGGAGAAAGGATCAGGCGATGTCCCCAGAGCTCGGATCACCAACATTTTCTTCAGTGAAATCATTGCTCCTCTCGTTTTGGTTGCCGTGACTCTTGTTCCATACCTCTACATCAACTCTCGAACTGGAATCCCGAATGCCGAGCCAGCCAATGCCATAATACGTATTGCGGTCGTGGCATTTGGACCTATTGGTATCAATGCTGGTGTTGCTGGTGTATTCTTTGGCATGGCTTGCTGTATGGGACCTTTGTTAAGCATGTGCTGCAAGAAATTCGGCGCCGTGCTGGCGGCTATCGCTCACGCCATCGCTGTTATCGTTTTGCTGGCTATCTTCGAAGTCATGTTCTTCCTTGAGGGTTGGTCTTGGCCCCGATGCGTGCTGGGCATGATCTCCGCTGCGACCATTCAGCGTTTCATCTACAAGCTTATCATCTCCCTCGCGCTTACTCGAGAGTTCAAGCATGACCAGTCTAATATTGCTTGGTGGACAGGCAAGTGGTACAACATGGGTTGGCATTCCCTGTCACAACCGGGGCGTGAGTTCCTCTGCAAGATCACGGAATTGGGTTATTTCGCTGCGGACTTCGTCATTGGTCATATTCTGTTGTTCTTCATGCTACCCGCGCTGTGCGTTCCGTACATTGACAAGTTTCACTCTGTCATCCTCTTCTGGCTTCGACCAAGGTATGGCCTCCGACTTACCCGTCCTGATTCCTTCCTTTTTTCTAACTTGAGTATTAGTCGTCAAATTCGCCCTCCGATCTATTCTCTGAAGCAGTCTAAGCTTCGAAAGAGAAGAGTGATTCGCTTCGCCATCTTGTACTTTGCAATGCTCGTTCTATTCCTGGTCTTGCTCATCGCACCGCTTATTGCCAGGAACGTGATCGATGAAGCCACGCTGCCCAAAATTCCCTTGACGCTCCTTCAGCCGATTGACTCAGACAACAACGACACCATGAGCAGTTACACCGGCTCTGGTCTTGGGAAGGGTTTCGAGCCGGTTGCGTCTCCCCCCTGGTAGACGCTGCCCTTTTCCTCTCCCCCGCTCCCCCACCACCAACTACATTCTGCTACATTATCTTGAAATGGAACATGGAAACGAGATGTATAAATTACCCAGCGTCTTTTGAAGTTGCTGCTAAGCCCCGTTGACTGTTTTCTACCTTTCTATATTCTTCTCCCTTTGCCGGAATCTCTACTTTGAGGATCCGCTTGAGAGCGTTAATGGATCCAATATCTATCGGCTTGTTTTGGTCTCCGTGAGGTGTCTTGTTGTTTTTTTTTTTTGTGTTATGTGAACTCATTAGACTAGCAAATTTCCATCTATTGCTTTCGTTTGTTCATTTCTCCTGCCACTGGTTTTGTATGCCTGTAGAGAACACTGAGTGTTGCCTTGTATCTGCGGAGTTTGAATGAAGTCACGTGCCGGCCCTGCTCGGAAATCAAAATCGCGCGCCGCGGTTTGAAACAGACGTCAGATCCAGACCCCTGATACAATTCCATCCGACCCCTTTTCTGATTATTGCTCTCCAATCCTCGTTGACTGAATCTTTCTCTTGAATATTTTTGTCCCCTGCGCTACGTGCGCTCCGTTTGAATTCCTCTCGCCATGGATGTCCAGGACACCCAGCGCCTCCTTTCCGAGTACCTCCATGAGCTCGCCAACCTCTTCCATCGCGTCCCGGGCTCTGCCATCTTCTTGCGTTATGTGAAATCCAGCTACCAGAATGACCCAATTCGCTCCGCTGTTGAGCTGTTCCTGTTCTTATTCGCCGTTCGCTACCTTCTTGCCCCAAAGTATTCCACCAAGCCCGGCGTTGTTCAACTCTCCGAGGATGAAATTGATGATTTGGTCGATGAGTGGACGCCGGAACCGCTTGTCGGGAAACCCACCGCTTTGGAAGAGATGGAGATTGAGAAGCGGACGGTCATTGTAGGGTAAATAACTTCCTGGAGCCATGCTGCTGCGCGTCTTGGCTTACAGCTGCTGATTCTTTGATAATTGTAGGCCTGTCGGTCCCAAGTCGAAACTGTCCAATGGTCGAACGGTGATGAATCTCGGCTCCTATAACTTCTACAACTTCAACACGAACGAGTCTATCAAGGAAAAGGCAATCCAGACCCTCCGCAACTACGGAGTCGGACCCTGCGGACCGCGAGGCTTTTACGGTACCCAAGATGTCCACATGAAGACAGAAGCGGACGTTGCGTCCTTCCTCGGCACCGCGTCCTGCATTATCTACTCCCAGGCGTTCTCAACGATTTCTAGCGTGATTCCGGCGTTTTCCAAGCGAGGCGACATTATAGTTGCGGATAAAGGCGTGAACTTTGCTATCCGGAAGGGCATTCAGATCTCTCGGAGTATGGTTCGTTGGTATGAACATAATGATATGGATGATTTGGAAAGGGTTCTGGCCAAGGTTACCAAGGAGCAAGCGAGGAAGCCGCTTACCCGACGATTCATCATTACTGAAGGGTTGTTCGAGTCGTATGGTGACATGCTTGACCTTCCTAGAATTGTTAGTTTCCGCTTTTTGACTCCTATCCTTGGTATCCGCATTACTGACGAGTCCAAAGATCGAACTGAAACTCAAGTACAAGTTCCGACTGATCCTGGATGAGTCGTGGTCATTTGGTGTTTTGGGAAGAACCGGCCGTGGTATCACCGAACATCAGAATGTTGATGCGGCTGAAGTTGATATGATTGTGGGCTCGCTGGCCGGCCCGCTCGTCGCAGGTGGTGGTTTCTGTGCTGGCTCAGAAGAGATTGTTCACCACCAGCGTATCTCAGCCGCTGCATACACGTTCTCCGCCGCATTGCCTGCTCTTCTGTCTACCACTGCAAGCGCGACAATCAATGTCCTTCAAAACAGTCCCGAGACGATCACTCAACTGCGGGACCTTACCAAGGTTATGTGGTCGCAACTCGATCCTCGCAGCGACTGGGTGTATTGCACTAGTGCACCTGAGAACCCAATCATGATCCTCGTCCTTAAGCCCGAAGTGATTGCGGCAAAAAGGCTCTCTCCTGAAGATCAACAATTTGTCCTGCAGGATGTGGTGGACGAGGTACGCATATCACAATCATGAATTCGTCCACTACGGAGCAATGCTAATTTTGTGTCTTCTTTTGCAGTGCCTCGCCAATGGCGTCTTGATCACCCGTCTCAAATGCTTGGACGACAACTTTGAGCCCAAGCAAAAGGTTCCCGCGGCGCTCAAAGTATGCGTCACAATCGGATTAACGAAAAAGGAAATCGAGAAATCAGGAACTATCATCCGCCATGCGATCACCAAAGTTCTTAGCAGGAGAAAGTAAACCGCCGCATTGGTGTTTCCTCCTATCTCCTTGCCCTTCAACGACGTGATCATGACACGTTTGACGCGACCATGCTTTTTGCCGTCTCAGCCTACTTTCTCTCCCTCCACCATCCATCCTTCTACCTGACGACCATAATTAAGCCCTTCCTCTACCCTTCTTGTATAGAGTAATTGCACGCGGACGCCCCAGCTCACGTACGATTGGAACTTGCACCCACTTAAGGACATGCACAGCGTCTTCTTTTCTTCTCGGCCGGCGGAATCTGTGCCTACCTACGTACCTACCTAATATCTCGCTGTTTTGGTATTGTTGCATTATTAGAGCTCATGCTATTATTTAATGGAAACGGATTTCTTTGGTATTTCCAACCTTTGCCTACTCATGTACCACGTAGTAGAGCCCTAAACTATGGTAGATGCGTCATTCAAGCGGACTACAATGGCGCCCTCCACCTGTTAAAAGGGAAGGCGCGACCTTCGTTGTGCTTGCCTCTTGAGGTCTAAGCATTAGGATGAAGTACAAAGGCAGGCGCGATAGTGCCGACCTGGCTGCTAATAAATGCAAGGGGCGAGCCTCATTTGCGTCGTACCTGCCTTGCGCAAACTGGTGCCCGAAAAGGAAGGCACAATAGACGGTTTGGGAAGGTGCGACGGTGTGCCTATGTAGGGCCCGGCTCATTGAGGTACACTTCTCGAAATGGGAGCTGGTAGTAAGGTACATAGACTAGTCCCGAATTCTCCAGCTCTCGAAGCCAAACCACTGGCTGTGGTCTCTCGTTTCGCATGCTCGGATCAGTAGCGGCGGCACACCATACATTATTCCATAAGCAAACTAGCATAGATAGAAAGATTCATTTGTGGTTCTCATATCAGAGGGGTGGCAGTCTAGTCTAGCTATGACACAACATGATCTAGCAGTTCCAACTTCCAACCCTGGCATCAGCAGAATTCTAGCCAATTCACCGTCAAGTTGCATTGAATTCAGCCGGGATCATAGGCACAGAAGCATCAATTCGAAGCCAAATATCACCGTTGCCGGCACAGTGAGAGACATGTAGACATGCTTGATCGATTGATGAGGAACATGTCATGGATGGGCAATATCGAGCATCTAGCTCAACAACATCGGACGAAATCAGGAGATAAAAAGAAAGAAACACAGAAGGTAGGCCCCGCTTTTCAACTGAGAGAAGTATGACACTGGTAGAAGGTATAAAAGTCAGGCGAACAGTCACCGAAAAAGTCAACGACGTTCAAAACCCCAAAACTTTTCTGCTCCAAAGGTCCACTGATTGTCCTCTTTCCACATGTCATCAAAGGCACTGAAGAGAACAAGGTCGGCAGGGTTGCGCGAGAAGGACCGGCGCAAACTCTCAATGGCCTTTCTCTGATTCTCTAGTGAGGGCACAGCCCTCCCATTGGCCTGCCCTGCATGTGGCCAGCCAGACTCCGTGATGATGGTGCGTTTCCCGCCGGAGATTGACGAGAGGCGATGAGCAATGTCGCGGACGTAGTCCCCTGCGTTCTCGGCCGTCTGGTTATTGTCAAAGAAGGCATGGCAGTTCGCGGCGCAGTAATCCGAGACGTGGCAAAGTTCAGGGTGTTCGAGAAGTTTAGAAAACGTATCAATAGTCACGACAGGGCCGGTGTAGCCTAGCGAGTGCAGGTAGGCCCGAGCGTCGTGGACGGCATTTACAACGTCACCTGCGGAGTTCTGTCCGCGGTTGAGGAGCTCGTTGCCGATAGAGATGGTATGGAGGATAGACAGATCGGGTGCAGCAGCGTCAATGATGGTCTTTAGACTTGCGTGGAGATTCTGTAGGTCGTAAACGCCTGCGAAGACCTTCATATTGTGGGATTTGGCTGCGTTAACGACTTTCCGGGCTTGGTCGCAGTCTACACCGTAAATGCGGACAAATGCATAGTGGGTTAGTCTGGCGATGTCCTGATCTACTTGGGCTTGGTTCTTGCAGGTACTGTCGGCATTGTAGGGGGAGTAAGAGATTCCGAAGAACTTGGTGTTTTGCTGAGGGAGTGGATGGGTTGGCACATGGGAGGTAGGGTTGTGGTCAGTCTTGACATTTGCTCCGAGAGTGGGGACAAGGCCATGAGGGGCAGCGAGGTCCGGGACTGCTAGAAAAGGAGGGAGGCTGGTAGGCTCCTGTACAGCTGCATGAGTACGGTTTGGCATGTGCTCTAGGGCTTCTGTACTGACCCTGGCGACGGTTTTGGTTGGAAAGTGCGTCTCGGCTGAAAGGGATTGTCCATTCTTATCCACCCAAACGGTGACTTCAATAATCACAGGCTCTGGTGCAGCAGCAATAGCTCCATGTTCAAACGCAAGAGGGGCATCTTGTAGATAGTGAGCTCCTGGGCGTTCTTCCGTACTCTTTGTTGGGGTCGTAATCTTACCAACAGGGTAAGCTTCAGCAAAAAAGCTGAGCAAAAGCACGACAAAAAGAGTAGCAGTCCACATCGTGTGGTTCCTGTTCGGCAGGCCGTTGGGAAGCGCGTTGAGAGGCGAAAGAATCGAGATTCCTCAGCTCACGAGGCGTCGGAAGGGAGGGAATAGGTGAGGAAGAGGTTTTTAAAGAAAAGCCAGCGGCCAACACAGATGAATTTAGCAGGGTCCCTCCATGGCCTAGCGCAAACTGCACTCATTCACCTTAACCGGTCTTGTGTTGTGGATGAGGGCTGCAGGTTATTATTCACTCAAGGGTGGAGCCACTGGGGTGAGACTCGAGGGAACCTACTGGCAGCAAGTCTAACCCATAAGAAGAATGCAATCGAAAGAATCTCGATCTGGTAAGAATGTTGGCCTCGCTCTGGGCCTCGGAGGAATTGACGCCGCGAGGAATGGAGAATCAAGCATAGTGCCCCTTCATTTCAAACCGAGACACACCATGGGTTGCGAAGCGAAAAAAGAGAAGCATGATTCTCGCGAGAGTCATCCAGCCGAGAATCTATAGAAGATGAATATTCCAGAATTTGCAGGTCTTATCTTGCTGCGAGCATTGGTTGTTTTACGTCTTCTGAACATACGTTCAAGGGTAGGTATCGAAGGAGGATAGCTTGAGCTGATGGTTGTCAGCGAAATTGCTCACCTTACAAGTTACCAGGTGTAACATACCTGACAGTGCTCAATAGTGGTTTCGAACTTATTGTCGATTGTTGCAAGGTCGCTTTCCAGAAGCTCAACGTCTTGGGCGCCCGATCTCCCATCAAACCATCCCATCCCACGATCAATCTTGACCTAAAATAAAACTGAAGCGCCACTAACGAACTATCTATGTAATGAACTCGAACTAGCAAAGAACTCAGCCGCCAAATAAACCCCAGTCCACAATTTCCAACTGCCTTATCAAGCCATTAACAGTCTCACTCGCCAATTCCTCCTCCTTCGCCAGTCCCCTCGGTTCCCCCTTTTCATGAAATTCTTTATGCGGCACATTGAAGAAAATCAAGATGTCCGTTTCCTGATCTTCAAGCCTGACAAGCAAATAGTGCACGCTGGTGCTGGATCCTAGCGCCCCATCAACACTCGACCCCGCCGCCGCACCGCCAATGGATGATGCTGGGACTCCAGGGCAAACCCTTCCCAGCGTAGTCATCACGACGAGACCCTTGTATGCCTTTGCGCGAGGCAGCTTCGCCAGGGATACAGGTTGGGGCGGAGTCACGATGCGGAGTATATCGGCATCGGCGTCGCGTATGTCGTTTAGATGGTATAAGGCTGCTGCTTTGTCAATTGTCTCTGGGCTCGCCGCGGGGTTCGGGCCTAGGATGTCGGGGTTCGGGTTCGATTGTAGAGAAGAGAGGGCGGTCTCTTCCGAGACGCGTTCGTTGATCTCAATGATGAGATTAGAGAGGGTTGTCGGGGACAGAAAGAGTTCTTGGTGGTTGGGTATTTGGCGGAGGTCGCTGGTTATGCGTGCAGATGTTAGTATTTATGTTTCGCTCTTGAAAGGATTGTTGCGGAGTTGATAAGGTACATATGGTGGGATGGTTGATGGCGGGGTAGTGGGGGATTAACCTTGCGTCTAGCCAGCCTTCTGGGATAACGGCGTTGATTGCGCCGCCGTAAAGCTCTTTGTAGGTGTAGGAAGCCATGATGGTAGTGAATAATGAGCCTGTATCTTCCGAAGAGCTCAAGAAATTGGGAGCGGAAAGGAAACACAGTCAATTTAAGCTCGAGGCTGGATCTTTGTGGCAAGAAAGTTTGGTGGATCTCGGTGGGGCACTTGAAAGCGCCGCAAGTCCCTGATCACAGAAGTTGATTCCCATTTGTAGAGAAACTCAAATCTATTCTAGGCAACTAGATGGAGCTAGGCTGCCATCCACCTAATGTAGGCAACAGGACTGATTGACTCAACATTTTAAGATTCGCCAGTACAACTACGAGTTGATGTGTTGAGCAGACATATACTACTGAAGTTCGAGGATTCGAGATCGAGATAGGTATTCGAGATTCGACCGTTTCCAGGCCAGGTACCTGACTTGGTTTGATGAGTTCCTTACATATCCAAGAGCTCCTCAAGATAGTCATCGAGGGCAATCATCTGGAACTGATCTCCCCACCGCGAACGAAACTCCTTCCTGCGATAGGAATAGCTCGTCACCTGAGCGAAGCTAACCAGCTCAACCTTCCAGCCGCGCTGCAAAGCTCGCTCCACCATCTTCAAGAACCCACCAGAAAACTCTGCTTCGGCAGCGTCTCCAGTGGCTAACACGATCGTTGCCGGCTCGTCCACATCCACTAGGCTTTCCAGGATCTTCAGGTGTAGAATTTCGTCCACAGCTTGCTCGACCCAACGCTGCTCAGGTCCATCGTTCGTTTCAGAACTATGACCAGCATTATGCAACGCCGCCTTAGGATTTCTGCGAAACTTGAGCTGACGGGGTGTGAGTGTTTTAACTTTATGAACTCGATCGAGGATGTTCGCCTCGTATCCAAGTTTCTCGCTATCGTTTATAGCTGCATAACGATCTGAGCCAACAAGAACTCTTTTTGCTGTGGGCCGACCCCGCTCGAGTATCAGGGAGAAATTTTGAAAGGCGAGGGGAATACGCCGGATCCTAATATTGGAAGGAATATTCCGCGAGATTTTCATCGTATCGTGGAATCCCACCATGATCTTTGGTCATGTTAGACAACGAAAGCGAAGCTTATGAGTCAGGGAAAGACTTACATTGGACATATCAATGAATACGTGAATCGGGCGTGACGGGATATCCGCTTCCTTTGGTTTCCTAGAGCGTCCTGACCGAGCAAGAAGCTCCGCATACTCTGGGAAATTGCCCAGGAGCTTCGTCAGAAGTCCAACCTGTTGATCGGCGGCTGTCTTATACGCAAGTGGCTGTATACGGGTCATTTTTGAAAGATGCTTGACAGTATCCGACAAAAATCCATCCGACTCGTCAAAAGAGGACGGAGGTGTTTCACCTCTCCCTGCCTTAGCCGGCGCAACACCCAGCTGAGGCGGAATCATTGGTGAGATGTTGTGTGGCTTTGAATGCGGAAGATCGAAAATGCTGGGTGAGTCGGACTCTCCCAACGCATTGCTGTCAAGCGAAAGGGATTCATTATTGGTATCATTTTGGTAGCCGTGCCGCTCGGTGTGTGCGCTACGTCTGCTGCACAGAACAAGGCTGGTGCCAGTGCTGCTGAGGTTTGCAACTGGTATCGGTTTTGAGGGAGTCCCAGGTGTCGGCGGGGCTAACTCAACCGAGTTGTCTGGTATGGGTCGTTTAAGTATCACAACGGGGTTTGTTGGTCGCAGGGTATGTTTTGACTCGTGCGATTGCCTGGATATATCGGCAGCAACCTCAGAGGGAGTTAAGGGGAGAGGTTTGCTCAAAATCTCCCAGATTGTGGCAAAATCTCCCAGCTTCCGCGCGCTCCGATTTGCATCACCCAAGAACTGCTCCGTGGTGGCCGGCTTCTCTACGTCATGTTTCACAAGCGTGTGTGATAGTAGTGAAGGGGCCGGAGAATCTGGGGAAGAGGAAGAAGAGGCGAGAGTCGGCTGATCACCACTCCGAAATGTGGGGGACCGTAACAGGTTAATCACCGCAGTGAAATCCCAGTTTGATGGCGATGTAGGAATTTGGGTCATTGACAAAGATCAAAAGATGCCAGGCTTTTGTGTGTATGTTTGTAGAATCAGGCACTAGGGCGAATGATAATGACGGCTGTCAGCTGTGGCGGTCGATGGCAGGGAGCAAAACGCAGACAGACTAAAGGGCAGGTAAACGGCTGAAGGCAAAATCAATAATGACAAGACCAAAGCTGTGCAACATGATGATGGTCCTGAGACCTCGAGCGAAGGTAGGTAGCAACTATCTATTAACAGAAATAATGAGAGAGATGATGACTCGAAGGAGGGGATGAGGATGACTCGTTCATCATCTGCGAGCTGTGGCGGAGTTCACTGTGATAGACCGCCATATTTCTGCCATATTTTCGTACCGCTGTTGTAGGCACTAGACCTAAAATAGAAAAGTATGGGTTCCATCGGAGCCGGGATACGATTATTGACGTTGTCGCCAAGACGTCGGCGCGCTAGACTATTCTGGGAAATAGCTGTCATTCAAACGTCATACATCCCCAGACTCAAACGATGCAGGACACGCAACCCAGCCCAGCGCCACTATGATGGAGCGTGGATTTTCAGGAAGCTCAGCGGCTGATGACGGCCGACCCAGGTAATCGCTTCGGCCGGACCCCGCGGTGTCAACGCCGATTTGTAGCTCGATTCCGTGACGTGCTATCACGAGCTTGAGAAGACGCTGCGATCTTCAGCATTCTCAACATCATGAAGCAGGGCCTTTCCATTCGGCTCAGGAAATATCGACGTCATCCCAACCATCTGATTGCGGAATAAGACCCCAAGGGGAGGGACCGGAAAGTTATAAAAGCCCCTTTCTCGACCGGGTCAGTCGCTTCTTCTCATCAGCTTCAAAACCATACAACCACATCAACCTGAACAGTCAAAAACACTTTCCATTCCAAATACCAACCGTATCAACCATATCAACATCAACATGTCTGACACCGGTCGCAAGGATTTCTCTACCAGTAAGTCCATCTGGTCGACCCTCACGCAGACTTTGATACTAATACACCTGTGCAGAGGCCAAGGAGGAGTTCACTCCTGACTCCACCAAGTCCACCCAGGACAAGGTCAAGGAGGGCTTCACTGATACCACCGACCGTGTCACCCGCGGTCTCCAGCCCGACGACCAGAAGAGCACTACCCAGCAGGCTTTCGACAAGGGCCAGCGCAGCCATGACAACAACGTTCACGGCGGCTCCACTGAGACTGTGTATGTACTCTTGATCCCTTGCTAGTGGGTTGCATATGCTAATGACGATAATAGCGGCCAGAAGCTCAAGAACGCCGTTGGCCTTGGTGACCACTAAATCATCTGCCTCAACGTTTTGACGATACGGGACGCCTATGTCTTTTTTAGTTTTCTGTTATGAATGTGCTATAATGAGTCAACGATACCTTACCTTCGGGTAGTCTGCCTGTACAATAAATCAATATCACTCATTGAATTGATTCAAATCACTTTACACCCGTCTTAGTAGTAGCTCCTATCAGCCTTCGACCAAGTGTTCCAACATGGAATCACGCTGCTGAATAACTTGGTTGAGTTCCGCCTCGAGCTCTCTATACTTCGCGCGGGCACCTCTTAAGTCTTTGGGAAGGTCATGAAACATTTGGATCCTGGCCTCGAGAGACTTGACAGATTCTAGCATCGAGCTGACTTGCGCCTCTTCTGAGACGACATCCTCAAGAGTAGGCCCTTTATTCCTACTCCGCTGCAATGCTGCTGCCCTATCCTGATATTCGCCGACTTTCGCATTGAGTAACTTCGTACTCCGTGTCCACTCTGCTGTAAGTGCGGGGAGGTTGGCAGGCGTCTCGAAAGCTGGATTTGACTTGAGCTCTTCGAGTTGCTCATGCAAAGCGGCCAGTTCCTTCTTCAGGTATCCGTGCATAGTTTCAACTCTTTTCATCTGTTCTTGCATTTCAAACTCCTCCCTCGTCAATTCGATGATCAACTGACGTACGTCCTTTGTCCTGGCTCCTAATCCACCCAAGACAGCCGCTGTCTCCGCGAGATCCTCTAGGTCTCGCATGCCCTTATCGTTGAGGTAATGCTCTACCTCGTTGAGTAGATCCACCTTATGCTTTTCCTCTGTCTTTTCCCTTGCTTTGAATCCTTCAATGGTTTCTTGACGCGCATTATGGAGTAATTCGGCTTCCTCGTCTGCCGCTTCGTTGGCCGCAGCGAGTGTCAAAAGCGTTCGTAGGGTGTCTTCATTTCTCTCAAATCTGGGGACTGGCTTCGGTGCGTATTGTCGAGTCAACCAGGAGTTCACGTAGGCCCAGTCTTTGGCTTGGATTGCTGCTTGACGTGCCTTCGTCGGAGACGCTAGCGGGCTATCCATTATCTCAGTACACAGCTAGGGTTAGCCCCGTGTTTGCTGGAGAAGCTTCTTGGTGTGGTAAGCGGCAGCAGACTGTATTTCGCGCGAGTTACTCCGTCGAGAAAGCGATGTTTGTTGATCGGCATCGTTTCCTCGCCGCCTCTAGGCTGTCTTTTTGCCTGAGGCACTCAACTAGCTTCCCCTCATCCCGGGGAAATTCTTCAACTTCCTTTCTGCAAGCTCGATCTCTCGACTTTGGAGCAAATATAGCCATTGATGAGTCGGGTCTCTTGTATCCAGCGCCGCTTGTTCTCCGCAATGTCTGCCTCTTACGCTCCAATCTCATCACCATTTACGCGGGCTGTGGTGAGCTCGATGAATAAGCTGTAAGCTCTGTCTCCAGCTCCAAGCTCTTTTATCTTCTTTTCAGGCTTAGAGAATGCTCATGTAAAAAGCTACCCAGAGTCCTTAGCAGATAAAAGCTTTGACAACACTGGCTGTAAGGCATCAACTCTCTTCCGAGCTACAGTGCAGCTGACAGTCGTGGAGTACTTCTCGAAGCCCCCTTCAACCATGCCCGAAGGCAACGAAACTCGGTCCTCTTGGCTATTGATCTGACGAAGGCTGTCGCCGACGAAGCCATCTCTCGAAAAGACTCTGTCGTGGTTGCATACCGTACGTGGGCCATTCCCTACCAGAAGCCCTAAACCATTGAGACAATGGCTCATCACGCCTCTGAACAGACCCGATCATCTTCCGCGGTCTCAAATCTCTCACATTCAAAGATACGCAACAACAATCTCTCCTTCGACTCGCTCAGGAGGGTATAAGCGTATATTCCCCGCACACAGCCGTCGACGCAACCCCCGGCGGAATGGGCGACTGGCTCTGCGACATCGTCACAGGAGCAATCGCCCCATCCTCTACCGCGACCACCCCGGAAATAACTCCCTCTTCGTCGAAGAGCTACTCTGCACCTATACACCCGCAACCCGGGCCCGTGTCCTCCTCTCCCTCATCTACGATCCCTCACATCAAGACCACAATCCACCCATCCCCTCAACCTACCCCGGCCGGCCTAGAAGACGCCGGAATGGGCCGCCTCGTCACCTTCACCGAGTCGCAGCCCCTAACAACGATCATCGATAACATCGCGCGCGGTGTAGGTTTACCAGCCGGAATCCCCGTCGCAATTCCACAATCCGCGTCCGTGGATTCGATCAAGATCCGCACGGTCGGTGTGTGCCCGGGCTCTGGGTCAAGTGTTCTGCTCAAGGACGTCTCGCAGATCCCAGATCTCTTGTTCACCGGGGAAATGAGCCATCACGAGACGCTGTTTGCTATTGAAAATGGGTCTGTGGTTATTGCGCTTGCGCATTCGAATACGGAGCGGGGGTATCTTAGGGCAGTTATGAGGGAAAAGTTGGAGAAAGCTCTGAAGGACGAATGGGAGAATACGCGGAAGGAGAGATTGGGTGCGGGGAACGAGGAGTTGAAGGAGATATTTGAGGACACAGCATGTGAGGTCCATGTTAGTGGCAAGGACCGTGATCCTTTCGGGATTATGGTGCGGACAACCTAAATTGTCGTCTAATCCCATACCATGCAACTACGCGGGAGCATAAGCTTGAAAGTTAGCCCGAATGTTCATGTGCGCATAGTCTTAAAATATTATAAACAGAGGGTTTGATGGCCTTGTCCTATCAGCTCAACAACACGCGAATCTCCCCGGTAGTACGAGGGAATAGTCTCTTCAGAATCTGGCCATCGCCCCCTTCATCACTGCTCTCCGCACTCTCATTCTCATCGGCCTCATCAGCCTGCGCACTCTTTTTGCCAACGTTTTGAGCCTCATCAGCCCCGATGATCATCCCCTCTACAAACTCGAAATCGCGACAAAAAGCCTCAACTGCTTCTTCTGTAACACTCTTGACAAAAGCCGCGCTCTGCAGGCGTTTCAAATTATCCGTGGCATCCATCAAAGCGGATGGGAGGAAGTCGTCGAGTTGCTGGCTGATTGCGATGAGAGCTTCTGGTTGGAATTCTGGAAGATTTGCGATGGTCGCTAGGTCCTGCTCTGTACGCATGGCAGATGTCTTCGAGAATGGTTCGAGGGCTGTTAGAAGGACCTGAAGACCCGAAGCCTCAAGGAGGTAGCGGTGTTGAATCTCGAGGAGGTCCACGCGGATGGTAGAGAGTGATGTTGAGAGTGGGGTCAAATGGGTTGCACTGGCAAATGCGTAGGGTGTAATGGCTGAGCGGGTGGTGATGTGAATGTTGGCTAGGTAGATTGCCCGTGCGGTGGGGTTGGGTAATTCGGCTGCACAGGACTTTGCCAAACCTAGGTAAGGGTCGAGGGCTGCGCGAAGAACGGGAGTGAACTTATTTCCCTGGTCATCGGATGTATCATCCGTTCCGAGTGAGGCGTCATGGGTCTTCATAAGCGAAGTAAGGACTTCTAATGCGTCTAGTAGGAACTGTGGCGCAGACAGATCCTCTGAAGGGGTTAAAGCAGAATGATCTGCTGAGAGTCGGCCGACTTCTTCATGTGTGATTGTCTGAAAATGGTTCAATGTGAACTTCTCAAGGCTCTGAAGTAGTTCCGCCAGATTCGATTTGGGGCCCACCAGCTTGGAAAAGGTGACCTGATAAAAGGACAGCAGATTCACAACCTTGTAACAAGTAACGGGGTCATCGTGGCCTTGAATAATGAGTTCGACTCGCTGGCGCAGAGAACGAGCGACCCCTATAAGGTCGCGGTTCACAAGATCACTGAGGGCTTTCTGACCATCGAAGGTGATCTCTTCGTCTTCATCGATACGTGCCCACGGCTCGCTGCTGAGGCCAACCTGTATACCCTTGGCAAGTGCTTCTCCATCCCCAACGAAGAGAGATTCCAGAGCTTCTCGCTCTGACACTGTGGTGGAGTGAACCCAAGCAAGCATGTCACCAATATACCTCAACGGGTCATGGGCGGAGAATTCAATAGGTTTCACTGCACTGTCGCCACCAGAGACTGCATCGGTTAGGGCATAATGGAAGGCATCTGACAAGACGTAGTCTCGAGCTTCCGCGAAGAAGTCCAGGCAACTATGGAACAAACTCGGTCGCTCCGCCAGCACCCGCAAGGCCCTTCGGATCGTGTTACTAATCCGAGGGTCCTCAAGATTGAGAGATTTGAACTCTTTCTGAATCCATCGGTAGAGCTTCTGATAAGCAGAGTCCAGGCTCCTAGAGCTTTTCTCCATGAGCTCCAGGCCAAGTCTCTCGTTCTCCGCTCCCAGAAGAGCTTCGCAATCACGGTGCACCTGCTTCACTCGAGCAAGGACGTCAAAGAATTCATCGTTGATTGGCTCTTCAACAGATGTCAGTATCAAGAGCTCGTCATCCGATACTATAAAGTGTCTCGTGAATGCGTCCAACAGGTGCTGCTTCGTTTCAGCTTCCTCCTTTTGGTTCATCAAAGCAGAAGCTTCTTCCAGCACCGGTGCAGTATCCTGCTTGGCTAATACGATATGCTTCCGCATTTCGTCGCATGTTTCCTTCAAGCTCGAGATGACAATGCCGATGCGCTCCAATTGCTGTAACCCCGTCAGTGGCTGGGTTGTTTTCAGCAAGAACTGAGGGGTCAGCTTACCTCGGCCACGCGACCAAAGTCCCTCACAATTTCTGCATTGCAATCTGCCACCTCCTTCTGCACATCCACTCGCAATTGCCTCCTGACCTCCGCGGTATTGTGTATCCCTCTTAGGCTGAGCGTTTCAAGCGCATCGCGAATATCAGAATCCGCATAGGAGACGGAGAGCACGCTTGTCAATCGGTTTGACAAGGCATTGGATCGTTGCTGAGCCGGAGGGGATAGCGGAGAGGAAGCCGGAGTGGGGAGCCGAGGTGATAGGCTAGAAGCAGCCCCAGACGGAGGAAAGTAGCTGCCAGTAGCCATGGGGGTCGAGGTTGGGTGGGTGGTATATTGAACTCCGTGGCCTCGGCCGCCGTGGCCACGTGCAATATACCGCCTTTGATGCTCGCTATCTAATCGCTTTCTGCCGGAAAAACAATGACGTTTTTGCGTCTGAACCCTAAGGACGGGTTTCGCTCCGCTGGAGTAAAATCTTATTCTCCTCTGCTATAGAGGTCCTTTGAAAGTCTATTGAGTGGAAGCAACTCCTGAAGGCCAGGCACCGGGGCTTCGGCGAAATCCCAGGCCGGGCTACATGGCTTCCCTCAGGGCCTTGTTCGCTTAGCCAATCAGCATTAGTATAGCGAGGCTGCGGAAGTATGACGATTGCTCGAGGATCAAGCAATTATACTTCCTAAATCGGACTGATTGATAAGCTCTTATATACCGGGTCAATACTACATCGCCTTCGGAACTTCAATTTGTATTCATTCTAGGAATCGCATCTCGCTGCGCCATACTACACTTCCCCCAGACAGGGTCTCAAAATGACAACCTCCGCCGATATTCGCGAGTTCAAAGTCGACATTCCCCGTGAGGAAGTCGAGCGACTAAAGCGAAAGCTGAATGACACAAGACTTCCTGGGCGTGAAATCATGCCTGGCGCCGGAACTCTTTACGGTGTGTTCCTCAAACTTTATTTCAAAGTTAGCGATGTACGGAGGTAACTGACGATCCTGTAGGAACATCTTACGCCTGGGCACGAGCTGCTCGAGCAATGGCGACACAACTTCGACTGGTATAAGGCTCAGGGCCAGATTAATGAGTATCCGCATTATCTATGTTCAATCGAGGGATTGGACATCCATTTCTTGCATGCGTGCGCAGAAAACCCCAATGCTATCCCTCTACTTCTTGTGCGTGGCTAGCCTGGGTCTTTTTACAAGTTCAGTAGAGTCTGGGGTCCACTATCCCAGCCGGAAAACGAGAATGATCCGGCATTCCATGTTGTCGTGGTCAGTATGCCTGGGTTCAGCTGGTCAGACTGGCCACCGAAACCAGGGTAGACTCTTCAAGACGATGCCTGTGTTTCCAACAAGCTAATGAGCAAGCTGGGCTACTCCGAATATACGGTGCAAGGAGGAGACTGGGGCCATTTTGTTGCCAGGGAGCTTGGTGCTAGATATGCGGATTCTTGTAAGCTGGTGCACTTCAACTTCGCGCCGGCCGGTCTACCGGACGAAAGGGAAGGAAGAACAGTTGAGGAGCAGAATTTAGCTGTGAGGGCAGATGATTTCCTGAAGAAACATCTTGGCTATGCTGTATGCATGCGGACGAGGGTAATTATATACCTTGCAACTAATGCTGCGCCGTGCTGATCTTTCATCACTTTCAGCCCCATACGATCGGACTCGCACTAAGTGACATTCCCATGGGGATCTTAATGTGGGTTGGGGAAAAGTACAACGAAGCCGCCAACCCGGAGAACCAGAAGCATGCATCGTGGAAGGAAGCTATTCTCACGACAGCTTCGTTGTATTACTTTACTGACTGCATTATGCCATCCGCGCTGTGCTACTATGAGAATGTTCGGCATGAGCATTTTGCAGAGTTTACACAGGACACTGTCAACCGAGTCCAAGTGCCGTTCGGATACAGTTCGTTCCACTGGGATGTAGATTTCTCTTCAAAGCGTGCGGTCGAGAAAACGGGCAATTTGGTCTTCTATAGAGGTGACTCTGTCCGGTCACTTCCTAAAGGCATTGCTAATAGAAGATCCCGGTGAAAGAGCATAAGAACGGCGGACACTTTGCGGCGCTGGAGTGTCCTCTAGAGATTGTTCAGGACCTGCGAGAGTTGGCTTCGCAAGAATGGAAGAGCTAACATGCGCTCACAACGGGATATACTTGTACGAAAGGATGAGACATATTGGATCGTTCCACTTAAGGAACAGCTACAGACAGACAGACTGGCATCGAGAGAATATCGTACTACAAGAGTCTCGTGGCCTTGTAGGCTCCTCGCGGAGTAAGCTATCTCTCTGTCTTTGGCGACCAATGTGTGCACCAGAGTCAGGCAATACACTGACTTATTGAAGCATTTCTTATCTACTTTCATTTCCAGTATCCGCCGAGGGAAATGTGCTAACAAAACACTCACAGAGTCACCATGTAAGGAATTTACCTGTAGCGTCTCTGTATACTTCCCCACAGTGGATTCGGCTGGACCCGACAGCCAGCCACAGACGATATTTTGAGGATTTTGACGTCACACGAATGGCGGATCCATGGCAGCATTATTAATCCTGCTTCGATAAGGGTCTACCATACTGCAGACATATAACGGTAGCAGTCACATATATGTTGTTCAGTGGCTTTGTCAACTGCTATAACTATTCCTGGTCCGCGTGTGTGCTCCTAGCATCCCACTAGTTTCAAAAAATGTCTTTCAGAGGGCAGAATGTTTTGATTGTAAGATGCTCTCACAATGAACCTCCCCATTGATCGAAAGTACTGACATTTATGCAAAGACCGGAGCTTCCATGGGCATTGGGGCAGCAATTGCGCGGAAAGTCGCTGCGGAGGGAGCGAATCTTGCCCTATTTGCACGGTCAGAGGTGGATACCCTATGCTCCGAAGCGGGATAAGCAGAGCTAATCTCGTAGGATAAACTACAAGCAATCACGATAGACCTACAGAAGAAGCACCCGGAGGCAAGGGTGGTCTTCAAGGCTATAGATCTACAGAGCTACGAAGCCATCGAGTCCGCAGTCAAAGAGGTAGTCAGCGAACTCGGTGCCATTGACATCCTGATCAACAACGTGAGTACCATGCCTACTATGTTTGTTAGCTTGGTCTTTATAGGTATTGACGAACAAGGCCGGGCTCGCCCTCGGCGCCCCCGCCGCATTCCCGGACCTCAAGGTTTCCGACATCGTAACAATGAACAGCACAAACATCAATGGCCTCATGTTTGCAACATATGCCGTCCTCAACTCATCTATGATGAACCGAAAGGCAGGCACAATCCTCAACGTGACCTCTGTCACAGGGCTCGAGGTGCCTCCGTTCGCCGGGGAAGCCGTGTACCACTCTAACAAGGCTGCGCAAGAGGCATTCACAAATGCGCTGCGCAATGAGCTTGTTGGGACGAATATCCGGGTCCTTGCGTTGCGCCCGGGAGTTGTGACGACGAATTTCCACTCGCTGAGGGTTGGGCATGATAAGGAGATGTATGACAGTTTTATTGAGGGGTATACGTGAGTTGTTCTTGGCCCGAGTACGATATAATGCAAGGAAGACTGATAGAATCTCTCTGGGGTTAGACCTCTGGAAGCCGACGATATCGCAGGTGCTGCAATCTATATGCTCAGTCAACCGTTGAATATTTCCGTCAAAGCTTTGGATGTGGTTCCCTCCGGTATGTGGACACATTGACCTGGACGGACTCTAGCTGACTATCTTTAGCCCAACGCTCGCTTACTGTCTTCGACCGCTCGTGGAGTGAGCGAAATAGTCCTTAGCCGGGTCGGACTTACGGCGCAATGTGTCTAATAGCCGGAGTTGAACAACTAAAGGAACCCTGGAAAAATTCAGGGGAGGTTCAATTGCCTAAAACTAAAGCGTTTACTTACATATTCATCGCGAAGTTGATCTCAAGTACTAGCAGACTAGCAGTTAGCCAGAACTATTCCTGCCGTGTCTATGTCTTCTCTTTCCCTGCGATGGCGCACCTTTCAGCTTGAAATAACCAGGCTGAAGGTTCTGGTAGACACCGCGAGGGTCATACTTGAATGCAATCTCCTGCAGCCTCGCCTTGTTATCCGTTCCGTAACTAGAGATCACGTCCTGAAAACGACTCGCATAGTTCATGTAGACGAAGTCATTGCTCACACCTCTCGTTTCCGCCTCAGTAGCAATCGCAGTGAAGAATTCGTCGACAAACCGATACATGGTGTCGTCATCGGAAGTGTTGTTCCACTTGCAGAGGATGTGAATAATAAGAATTGGACCGTTTGACGTATCCAGACCCAGAGCGTTCCCGCCAGCGCTGGACATCTTCTCGAGCATCGGCTCAGTAATAGCTTGGAAGACCAGCATCGGGAGCGCGCCAGGGACGTCGACCACGCGGGAGACCATCGCGAAAAAGTGCAGGACTACCCAATGCACAAATTCGTCATTCAGTTTGAACGTCCGGTTCCAGAAGACCTGCCGCTGGCCGTTTCGGTCTTGCGCGCCTATCTCGCTGCAGTACCCAGCCAGAGTTCTCGTGCTGGTTGTGTCGGAGAGAGCAGGAATGGAGCGGTATTTCCTAAAAATGGGAGGGTCGCTTACGTCCTTTGTATAAGTCAATTCGGCCGAAGCAATGTTCATTCCACCTGCATGCGCGAATACCACATATTGCTGAGCATTTCTGTCGAGACTGCCTTTTCTTGCGATGTCGGTGAAGGCATCGAGGACATGCAAAAATTGGTCTTCACTGTAGACTCGCGTGATGCCTCTGAGCAACGAGCTGGGAATTGTGTACAAGTTAAACTTGGTCACAAGTCCTAGGTTGTTTCCTCCTCCGCGCAGAGCCCAGTACAGGTCGGGATGCTGGGTTTTACTCGCTGTGAGGATTTCGCCGTTGATTGCACTGACAATCTCGAAACTTTCCACGTTGTCCAGTGCCCAGCCATATTCGTTCGAGTAATAAGAGATGCCACCGCCTGTAGTGAGGCCTCCAACGCCGATGTCTGACAGGCGGCCACCTATAACGCCAAGGCCATGCGGTTCTAGGGCTTTGTACACCCGGCCCCATTTATTACCAGGACCGACCGATGCAACGGACTTGTCCTCGTTGAGTAAGACTTCATTAAGGTCGCGGAACAGGATCGTTATCCCTCCTGGGATACTGGAGGCTCCGGCAAAGGCAGCATGGCCGCCGCTCTTGGCTGCAAACGGGCACTCTGTGAGTTGGGCAAGAAGAACCAAAACAGACACATCAGTGTCGACCGAAGGAATGAAGATGCAGGTAGGCTTGGCTTCTTGCTGCTGAGCGGACCAGTAGGATTCGGTGGCGTTCTGATAGGCCTCGGTGCCTTTTGCTATAACTTTTTGAGATCCGTAGAGATAATCCAATGCACCGCACTGATGAAGAAATATGAAATTCAGTACATAACACAGGCATCATGGTATGGGCTTTTAGGGGATACTCACAGCTTTCTCGCAAGCGTTGCAAGAGGACCTATTGTTCAAGGAAGGAATAGTAGTCACATCAACTCCCAGTTTTGCCAGAGAAGCTTCCACTTCGGGTATCTCTTCTCTGTTAGCAAGAATTGAAGGACCTGGGCCGGAAGTGATTGCCAGAGCTTTGGTAACAGCCAATGCGGCGAGGAGGGTTGCTTTCAGGGCTCTCATCGTTTTGTTGCGAGTACGGTCCGGGAGGACCTGAGCAAACAACAGTCGAGGAGGGAAAGCTGGTGGGGAGGAAGGAAGGAAACTGGAAGGGTAGCAGCCGCATAATTTCGAGTGTGTGGGCGAGATCTTTTGGCCACAGTATTCTGCTCATTCCAGCTAAAGTGAAGTAGAGATGTTTGCGAAGATCACCAATCCATCATGGTCTGTTGCTGATTGACTGGTTACCAACATGCAGAAACCTGATCAATTGCCCTACCATATCCTTATACCACATTCTTTCCTTGCTAAATATCGCTTTAATATCATTAGCTGGAGATTGGATGTATTTGGACTTGGTTGGCTCATTTGTGATCCTTGGTCTCGTGGAACTGACTGACTTGATTGAAGATGCCGATGATCGACGATGAATTCTGAGACTGGGATTGAAAAGAAAGCTGCTATTTTTATAGCTCCCCCTTTACTGGAAGCTGGAGCAGGCCTGGGCATTCGTAAATAAAGAGAATGTAGATCTGCCCAAGTATCGGCCTCTGGTTCTTTGTATACTGCAGCCCTCTTGGATTAGCGCGATTTGAACCTGAGTTCGGTACTCTAAACGATTAGAAAACTCTGCATGAATCTCGTTGTCTATTGCCGGTCTTTCCGGAGATAAGCCGTACGTCGAAACACGATACTGCTGCTGATACTACCTGGACGGCAACCGAGAAGGGTAAGCCAATCCTCAAGGCGTAGACATCCATTTCCAGTCAGTCACAGAAGCTGGAAGTTGTCGAAAACCAGGGACACTGATGTAAGCATGTGAGAAGTGTTGGCTTTGTGTGATAACCCCAGTAAGCACAGTGGAGGTATGAGATGCCTAGCGGCGTAGTTCAGGAACCAGAAGTTAGATATCCAAAGGCGCTTCCAACGCGCAGGAACCAGCGGGGTATTCTTGGCAAGCCATATCACGCTTCAAAAATCCCGGATAAGTTCAGTTGGAGACTCGGAGTTCTTCGAGTTTCAGCCCTCAAGAGTCAAGACCAGCCTTAAGTGGTGGGTAAAGACACGACGAAACAAAACGACCCCGATTGTAACCTAGTCACGTGATTGTTGATGACCAAGCGTCCAAGATAACTAACTATCCCAATCCGCGTCGCAGTCCACAAGTTACTCCGCATTTTCCCTTCATCCATTGCAATTCCACCTGTGTTGCCGGATTTATCCAAAAGATTCGCCCGAACTCGAGATCGCGGCGACCCGAAACACCAGCGCTTGATGTACTCCCGCACTACGACCTTGCTGAGCAGAAGCTGCCGATATCTCCTGCGGTCTCCGGTCCCTCAGAAAGCGACTTTCTCGATTTCCACGCGCTCATTTGCGGCTCTGAACGCAGCCATGGCTGATACGGCTCCTGGCGCTGTTCAAGTTACTCCCGATTTGTTGCGAGGTAAACTGGTTGAGCAGCTGCAGGCGCAGCATGTTGAAATTGAGGATTTGTCAGGTGCGTCATTGGTCTTGGCTTCTTTGCTATGCTTTTTCCCTGAACTTTCTACGCTGGGGAGAATGAGATCTGACCGTGTCGTGGATATATAGGAGGCTGTGGACAAGCATTTCAAGCCGTCATTGTTTCACCCCAATTCGAGAAGAAGACTATGCTCGCCCGCCACCGGCTAGTAAACTCGGTCTTAAAGGCAGAGATCGCTGCTATTCATGCTTGGACACCCAAGTGCTATACCCCCGAACAGTGGCAGGCACAGCAGCAGGGATCTACTTAGAAAAGCGATGGTAATTGCGGTCCTGCCGCTGGTGTAGGATAAGGTTCGGCATGCCCTTAAAGTGCAGGCAGGCGTTGGACGGTTGATTCTTGTACATTTGTCTCATTTTTTATTCTGTTTCGGAAATGATACACTATATAATGCATATCATCTATCACCTATTGGTAGATGTAAGAGTTCGGCCATGTATCGCCGTGAATGATAATGCTCCGTAATATCTCCGATGTACTGATACTCCTTTACCCAAGCACGTTTTCGGCAGCGGAGACTAGTATTCTCTGTCAATATCCTCAGATAGTGCTGGAACGAGGCAATTACCTTTGACTCCGGTGTTGTCGGGCTCAACAAAGGCCTCCTTAACCTTGCCGTCTTCTACAAGAAGGGCATAGCGCTTGCTGCGCTGGTTTCCGAAGATGGAGACGCTATCAAAGGACACATCCAGGGCTTCTGAGAATTTACCAGTCGGGTCACCCAAGAAGCGAATCTAATAGATGTCAGTGCTCTGCAACTTTGTCCTGCAGCATGAGTACGAATCAGAAGAGCAACTAACACCGCTCTTGCTTTGGGGATCGAGAGATGTACCCCAAGCCTTAGTCCTGCTCACTGTTAGCTGCTTTGCATTTCAATGCTTTGGTCTAGGTGGGTTACATACACGAAGGGATCATTGACAGCAACCACGAAGACCTGGCCAGCCTCCTTCAACTTAGGGTGCGAGATGTACCCAGGGACATGAGTACTGGAGCAGGCGGGGCCTATAGAGCGCATTGTTAGACAGCTCCATCTTTAAGATCTTCAGGGAGCCCGAGTCCAAGCTTCGTTTTATTGTGTACATACTGAAAGCGGCAGGGACACCAATGATGACGCCCTTACCCTTGAGCTCCTTGGCGAGGTTCACCTTATTGCCAGGAGAGTTCTCGACGAGGACATCAAGGTCTGGAATGGCATCGCCCTTTTGAACGAAAGCCGGCGCAGTGCTGTGGAACAGAGCAGCCCTTTCGCTAAGGGCGCGGGGCGCGGCGGTGGTGAGGCGGCGGGCGGCAAACATGGTTTCTTTGGGCAATTGAGTCGTTATTTAGGGTATTTAATGAAGCGAATCCAAGGAACTAGGTAGATTTGCGTTTCAGGTACGGTTCCTGAGATCTGTGTTTTGGATGAGGTCCAGGTGTGAGGAACTTGAAGTGACCTGAGTCAGCTACGCACGTCATAAGTTTATCTATCCAGGTCCCAGGGCAACCCTGTCCGGTTCCGTCGCACAATAATCAAGCTATGCCTCTTATTTGGAGGAATGTAAGGCAAGAATCTTATCAGAAGGTGATTTAAAACCCTTCTGGCAGTCATTCAAGCTCGCGTTCTGAGAAGAAGCCTTCATGAGATGACTTGACTACTACCATGATGTTATGGACGTTGTAAGTATTTTCTTCTTCTTCTTCTCTGACAGAGCGCGAATCTCAATACAGGAGCTATTTATGTTGCACAAAAACGCCATCCAATGCATTTGAGTGATAGGCAGATGTTGAGTGCGCTTCCTATACCCAACTGCGCGATTGGCTCAGACTCGAGCGCCATTCGCTCAGTCTGCCTCTTGATCGCTGCTAATAGTTGCTAGGCACAAGACAAATGGATGGGATCAATAGCCTGAAGTCGAGTGAGATGAGCGGAAATTGTCGGCCTTCACTTCGTTTCAGATTATTTCATGAAGTCATTGTCTGCATTATTAAATGAGTTGGGAATGGAGATATAGCAGAGATCTGCATGATGGGCGAAGCTAACGTCGACCGACTCGCGGAGATGCCTTATCGGGTAAAGCATAGGCCAGCTCATGATTTGACGAAGATGCTCCTGACTCCTGACTCCTGCTGTCCAGGGCAGAAATCTCTTCAAAGAGAGAGAAAAACTAAAAGAAGCATGGATGTCAAATCGGCGTTTCTGACCAAGACTCCCGGCGATAAAATCAAGGCTGTGTTGAACTGTTTGTGTGGATCAAGGCGTTGAACTTGGGCCCCTCCATGTCCCCTCCATCTTCAAGGTCCTAATGCATGCTCTGCTGCAGGCGCATTGACGGTTTTTGGTCTCATTCCCTGCAAGTGCGTGAGAGTTCAATTGTAGCATTTGTCCCGTAAATTATTTCAAATTTTCGAAAGGACTTTTGTCATCAGGTGACCGACAATGACAGAGTGGACGAACTGTGTTGACAAGGATTCTCAGTGGGAGGTTTGGGTGGCATTGGATTTCTCCTTCTTTGCCCCCAATCACACTCTAAAAACTACTGCATAAAGAACGAGTTATAGGCAGGAATTTAAGGAGGAACTTGAACCATCAAGTAGTAGAGTTGAGCAAAAATACCAGACAAAAAGAAAAAACCAACGGCTGTGGCTGGTGCGCCCAAGAAAAATGGCTTTCTATTAATATGCAAGATTATTCAACGCCGTCCAGCGAGAGTCAGAAGTTGCGCCCGTCCCACCAAACTACTACAACCGACTCCTCCTCCTCCCCTCTACCTTTTGCGACCGTCTTGGAGGTTTGCGTTCTTTTTTTCCTCTTCATCTGCTTCGCTTGCCCTTTTTCGCTTCCTCTCAGAAACTCTCCCTGCGATCGGCGCCAAAGATTACGGCCCTTCACTCGACTTTTCTCCCAGTATTTCTCGAGTTCTGCACAGTGCTGAAGTCTGTTGCTCGTTCGATCGGTCGCGACCCATCTAGCCCATGATGGACGGTGGCCAGACCACCTCCAGCACCGCCCCCTCGGGCAACTCCAGCGATTTTGTGAGTATAATCGTCTTGATCATTGTTTCTTTGGGGTTACGGCTTCATCAGTTGATCTATTGTGTTACGGGATGCTGATACAATGTATAGGTTCGGAAACTCTACAAGTGAGCCTCCCCTTTCTTTTTCCTCTTGTCTCGGAATTTTTACTCCAATATTTCTCCTCACCGTGGTCAACACCCTCTTTCCCGCCCAACACCTCGTCTTTTGCTCGGATGTTTGCTTCGTCTCGACTTGGATGCCTCGCTTGTTGGTCAGTTCATTTTCTTACTGATGTTGTCGCACAAGGATGCTGGAAGACCCATCGTACGCGGAAATCGTGCGGTGGGGTGACGAGGGAGATAGCTTTGTGGTTTTAGAGGTAACGGACTTTCGGCTGCTAAAGCCAACCAGCGCAATCGCCTTCCACTAACCAACTGCAGTGCGAAAAATTTACCAAGACGATACTGCCAAAGCATTTCAAACACAGCAACTTTGCCAGTTTCGTGCGACAGCTGAACAAGTACGACTTCCACAAAGTAAGACAGAATAATGAGGAGAATGGCCAGTCGCCGTATGGACAAAATGTGAGGATCCCAGGTTGCAGTCCGTTTTATCTCAGTTTCTGACGAAGCTTTGTCCAGGCCTGGGAGTTTAAACACCCCGAGTTTAGAGCAAACAGCAAAGAGTCCCTCGACAACATCCGACGAAAGGCACCTGCTCCACGAAAGCAAACACAGCCTCACGATGATTCGGTTCCCACACAACAGATCGACCTTCTCAATCAGCAGATTGTTGCGCAACAACAGCAAATCCAACACCTCTCCGATCGCTACGCCCAGATGTCCGTTGACCATCAACTCATGCTGCAGGAGGTAATGAGGGTTCAGAAGACGGTAGTGAATCATGAGAATGTTATACATCAGTTGGTGAATTATCTAGTGTCGATGGACTCTCGGCAAAAACGTGATGGCAAACCTGGCCCTTTTCAAGCTCAGGCTGGTTCAAACTTGAGCCCGTCACAAGTCCCCTCGATGGATGACGGGGTCGCTACTCCGTTACAGCAGGCCTCAAAACTTCTTAGCGATATGAATGCTGAGATTCAGTTTAACCTCGTTGGGGTTGACTCCATAGGCGAGCCACCAAAGCCGGCTGGTGTAGTTTCCACGCCTACGCTGGAAAACGCTCCTCGCCGGGTTCAACCTCCACCCACTGCTGCGGCCGCGAACGCGCCCCTAGTCTACACGAAGATGACCCAGGATATGGAGCCTGTTGTCTACCCGGTCGGAGCAACCAATGGGATTGACCCCATGTACAGCGAGCATGTCAATAACGTTCCGTATGCCATACCTCCCAAACAGGAGATGGACGACCGAAGGCAGTTCCCGGACAATCGGAAAAAGAGCAACCATGTTGACCCGGGCTGGATGCGCAGCCCGCGGATCTTACTCGTGGAAGATGACGCTACATGCCGTCAAATTGGCGGGAAATTCCTCTATTCCTTCTCTTGTGAGATTGATACTGCGGTATGTTATTTTACACCTTTGGTCAAGTTAGTGTTACTAACCGATTCTCAGCTCGATGGCTTGGAAGCCGTGAACAAAGTTCAGGATGGATCCAAGTACGATTTGATTTTAATGGATATCATAATGCCCAACCTGGACGGCGTGTCTGCATGCCATCTCATCCGTCAATTTGACCGGACACCCATTATCGCCATGACGTCTAATATTCGAAGCGATGACATCCAGCTTTACTTCCAACATGGTGAGCAGATTATCTCGGATTCCCGGTTGTTGATTATTTTGCTAACCTGGACTAGGAATGGATGACGTGCTTCCAAAGCCCTTCACCCGGAAAAGTCTTTTGGATATGTTGGAGAAGCATTTAGTCCATTTGAAGACAGTCCCGCAAGGCATGGATGCCCCTCAGCCTACAACGCCTGCCACAATGGCCGGCCAAAGTTCTGCCGCGCAATCGGTCACCATCAAGGACGATAGCTCCCCAAGCCAGTCCCCCGCAGCCGCCATGAATGCATGGCAATCCCCGAACCAGTTCCAGACCATGGCACCAGTTCCGCCCAACATGCAGCAAGTTCAAGGGCAATATGTGCAGGCTGGTCCAGCTGCGGCGGCATACGCCATAGATCAGAATGGAGTGCAGTACCCTGCACCTTCTGGAGTTCCGTTAGGCGCTGCAGGGCCCGGTGCAGCACGGCCACAACCGCGACGGCATATCTCTGAAATAAGTAACGGGGCCGACAATCCAACCCTCGCCAAAAGACAACGCATGTATGCGCAGGCGCCTCAACCCATGGTTGGTTCAATGCAGGCGACACGTACTAATTAATGACACTACTCGACTATTCTATAATGACACTGAACAGCTGTTGTCCATATATACCCCTTCGCCATCGACCCTACTGGCTCCCTCGCTATGACTTGAAATCGGCAGCAAATTCACCACACTAATAATGATCATCCGAGCATACATTATTTTCACCCTTTTGCATTCCCTTCTACTTTTACTAGGGAAGTGGACACTCATTTGGTACACCTTGGCGTTTTGGGAATCATACCTTTTGCATCGTCTTTTTTTTCTTTTGGCATTTAGAGTAAATAGCTGTGGTTATAAGAGTCTCCTTGGACTACGGTGGGCCTATCATTTAGAGAAGGTGTGGGTTGGCATTTTCGCTCTTAGCACATGGATAATGGGCGGGCAGTGAGTTGTGGTTTGTTTGTTTTTCCTTAACCTGCAGGCCTTTGGCAGCCTTCATTCCTTTCTTGGTTAAATATTCCTGTGACCTCTCTGGCAATCTTCTCTCTCAATCTAGCGACCTGGCCGCTGGTGTTTTTATCTCACGCCAAGAATGCTCTATTTACGTTCGTCTACTCCGTAATGAGGCCTAAGTAGAACAAATGGCTTGTCTCTACCTCGATTTATGTAGACTCGACCTCGTAGCCCGAAATGGAATGTTTACGACATTAAGCAAAGCATTGCTGCAGATAAGCAAATCCGCACCGATTCCCCGCGTCATAGAGTGCGACACCACCTCTCAATCGGGGATCGCCGATCAAAAGTCCCTTGATTCAAGCCCAGGCCATGATGCGCGAAAGTTTTGAGCTCTTCAGGCCGACAGACGAGGTCTAGACTCACGTCCTTGGCCAGGGATATCGATCCCCTTGAAGTCCAGCAGGGCCCAGGCCCGTCAGTCAGATCTGGACCTTTCGCGGCTGGAACGACCAGTTTTCGAGATGTGGCTGTGCTGCATAGCCATCACGTGCTCTGTACATAGATCGATTCCGGTGCTATTGGGAGAATCGGACCTACAACATGTCATGGGATATCTCAATAGTAGTGCTGATATCCCTGCTTTACGAGATATACGATGGATCTGCATGTACGCCCTAGAGCCAATACTACTAGGAGAGCGCTCAACAAGGTTGAATGCCAGTCGAAACACCAAGGTGACCCTCCCAGTTAGGACACTTTCAAAGTCGCATGTACCGCCTAATAGTTAGCAAATGACACTTAAAGTCAATGAAGGCCATTCGTCCGCACTTTTAAGTCCTATTGCTACGTAGACCCCGCCAGGAACAGGCAATATGGTTGATCACGTGAGCTTATACTCCGCCCAACAAACATAGCAAACAAAGAAAATCCACGGATCTGCCGGGCGGTGAGTGGTGGGATGAATGACTCCTCAAGATGTCGAGAATTTGTTGTTGACCTTACGCTCTTTTTCGGCAGACATTCTTCAGAATATGGCTCCAAAGAAAGGAGGCTCCGCTAAGCCGCGAGGGAACGCGACTGAGGAGGTGGAAGAAACGCTGCAGGCTGTCGTATGTTGCTACTTACTAACGCGCTTCAAGCCAATTTTGCTGGATGCTAATCATTTTGTGCGACTAGGTTCTAGCCGATACCTTTGAGACTCGATTCGAGCCCTTTACTCTAGATAAGCCTCGGGTGTGTATCATGACTGAAATGCGAAGACGAAAGGGATCTGTGTCCTAACGCGGGTTCTATCTAGTGCCTTCTGCCTCTCGCGAACACGCCGTTGATCGAGTATACATTCGAGTTTCTTGCCAATGCCGGTGTTGAAGAGGTCTTCCTCTACGGCGGTGCGCACTCCGATCAGCTGGAGAGTTATATCAAGTATGTTTGTCTGGGCAAGGAACGGTGCGTTAGCGATGGCACGGAAACTGACAATCTGGAAGCGGTTCAAAATGGAGGGCCCCTTCATCGCCGTTCAAGCAGTTCACATTCCTCAAGTCTACGTCAACATCGGTTGGAGATGTCATGCGAGACCTCGACGGTAAACACTTGATCACTGGTGATTTCCTTGTTGTGAGCGGCGACGTGATCAGCAACCTGCCCATCGAAGGCGCATTAGCCAAGCACCGTGCCCGCCGCCAAGCCGACAAAAACGCGATTATGACGATGATCTTGCGCGAAGCAGGAAGAAACCATAGGACAAAGGCATCCTCCGTCTCGCCTGTTTTCATTGTCGATCCAACCAAGGATCGCTGCTTACATTATGAAGAAATCGACCATCACTCGCCCGAGTCCTCTCGCTTAAACATTGACGCTGAAATCATTACGACGTTTTCCGAGATTGATATCCGGCAAGATTTGATCGACTGCAACATTGATATCTGCACACCGGACGTTCTGAGTTTGTGGTCCGACAGCTTCGATTACCAGACACCGCGGAAGCAGTTCCTTTACGGTGTTCTGAAAGACTACGAGTTGAACGGCAAGACGATACATACGCACATCATTGAGGACCACTATGTCGCGCGAGTAAGGAATCTAAAGGCATACGATGCAGTCAGCAAGGATATCATCGCGCGATGGGCGTACCCACTATGCCCTGATACCAACCTGCTTCCGGGTCACAACTACGAGCTACGGAAGGGTAGTCTGTATCAAGAGCGAGATGTGACATTAGCTCGCTCATGTGTTTTGGGCCGAAGAACGGTCATTGGCCAAGGAACTAGCATCGGCGACAAGACGACTGTCAAGGACACGGTGCTTGGAAGGAACTGTAAGATTGGGAAGAATGTCACACTAGAGGGCGCTTACATCTGGGATAATGTTGTGATTGGTGATGGAACCACCGTGCGACAGGCCATCATTGCTGATGGGGTCGTGGTGGGGAACAAATGCGCCGTTGAGCCAGGCTCACTCCTGTCGTTTGGAGTGAAGATCGCGGACGGTGTCACTGTCAGCGAGGGCCGGCGGATAACAAAGGCTCCGCGGGAAGAAGATGGCGAATCTCCAGTCTACGACCCGGAGATTGTGGGTGCAGACGGCGAAGGCTATGAATACGTACCGTATGATGATGAGGATGACGAGGAGACAGCCAGCAATGCCTCATCGGGTCTGAGTATGCACCCCCAATCTTGACCAGGAACTCACTAATCGTTGTTATAGTCTACAATATGGCCAACCTCTCTCTGTCTACAGACTCAATTTCTACTCTATCTTCCGAGATATCAGACTACGGCGGCTCGCGCTCCGGCAGTTTCGCAAACTCCGTCTCCGACGATGAGGAGCATGATACTCACTTTGTGCAAGATGCTGCAGCCAGTGTTTTTGACAGTCTTAGAGACGGTGTCTCCACGGACGTGGTGCAACTAGAGCTTGTCAGTCTCCGAATGACGGCAAATGCTTCGGACCACGAAGTCCGACGAGCTGTTGCCTCCGCATTCATGAAGCATGCGGCCCAGTTAATGGAAGCGGGTCAGGGTGCCGGCGAGGTCGTTAGCGATATCTTTGGGAAATACCATGAGATCATCGAACGAGCATTGTTCGACCGGGACAGCGCTGTAAAGACAGACCAAGTTGACTTTCTACTCTTGCTCCAGCAAGATCTCGTCCACCGAAACCGAGGCGAGACCGTTCTTCTGTTCGCGGCCAAGGAGCTGTATGAACTGGAAGTCATTGAGGAAGAGGCGTTTGAGCAATGGTGGGCCGACGAGCGGTCGAAGAACACCGAAGAGCTGCAGAAGGTGCGGAGTCAAACGCAACAGTTTATCGACTGGCTTGCAAGTGCAGAGGAGGAGGAAAGCAGCGGGGAAGAGGAAAGCGATGATGAATGAGCCTGAAGATACCTTGTGCCGATCTAGAGACATAAATACTCCATCAGTTCGACGTTCCATGTCCCATGTCCCATCCACCATTCTACCTCAGCATAAGCGACTAAAGATATGCTTTCTGACAGCAAAAGGACCATTAAATATCAAACCTTGCTTTCAGGCTTTGCCATGCGGAGGCCAAGAGATCAAACCACATTTTCGTTTTCTCTGGCGATCAACTGGTACCTCATGTAGGTACCTACTCTTAGTGGGTGGGGATGTGGATGACTCCGCAGACAGAGACGGGTGCCTTGCTGCCTGGAAGAAGTGGTCTGCTTGGCGCGCCTTGCACCCTATTCTTAGCTTTGATGATGACCAGGCACAGTACTCTGGTACCAAGAGGAGGGACCAATGACTCTTATGACTCCAAAACCAAGATGACTCGTCTTTGACTTTGATCGGGCCAGAAAATCCAGCACATAATTACTTTTTCCCCACACTTGCTTCCCCGTGACGCCTTAGTCACCCTCTGGCTTCAGCTCTGGTGACACACCTTTTGATTAACACTTTCTCCCCCTCTCTGCCACACGCCGATAAGGGACGCCATCCAGAGGCAACGATCGGCCCAGAGCGATACTACAACACCCATTCCGTATCTGCCTGCCTGCGTTTCAGTCCCCTTGTCATCTTCTATCGACCCCCTGCTAGGCTGCCAGTCCCACCATTGGTAGGTAGTGACGTGTGTTGTCCCGGAGAAAAAAGGATCAGGTCTCGACGTAATAATCGAGACTGAGCTTTTTTTCCTCCTGCGTCAACACATAACGCGCTTGCCACAGGCTTTACCTTCACGACGCCTCCCACAACGAGGAAGCGAAAGGCGGCCCTGGCGGCGATCGCAGAACTTGAGCCTAACTCTACTTCTACCGACGCCACCCAAACCACTGCTTCCCGCCGCTCGCTAGCCGCCACCGAGACCTCCTCCTCGAGCAGTCCTGATAGCAAACCCGCTTGCAAAAGGCAGAAACAGAGTCAAGATTCAGATCTGGGTGGAGACTCTGCTGCAGACGAAGACAAGGAAGTTTTGGTAAAGCTTCCGGCAAGGAGCGTCCCTGATCTGGTCACCCCGGCATCAACAGCGATGGAGTCGGACGACGATTTTATGAGTGTCGCGTCTAGCCATGATGATTTCTTGGGTACTCAGGGCAGCGACGATGAGAGCCTAGGTGATGGTGAGTCGATGGTCTATCTTTCAGAGCGCCGCGGTTTGGTTACTGACTTGCGTGTTTATCAGATTTTGGAGATGATTTCGATGGCGGCTTCTCGAAAGACAAAGATATCGTCACAACGGCGCGGAAACCATACGAGGTTGATTTCAAAGTGCTTAGTCCGGAGGATATCGAACGCGAACAAAACCTACAGGTCAACGAGGTCTCATCGATCCTCGGATTACCACCAGAGTCAGCAGCAATTCTCCTGCGGTTTGGCCGCTGGAATCGGGAAAAGCTGATAGAATCGTACATGGATCATCCGGAACGAACGCTGGATGATGCCGGCCTAGGGACGAACTTCGAATCAACCCCAAAAACCGAGGTGGTGCCAGGTTTCATGTGTGATATCTGCTGCGAAGACGGGGATGACCTCGAGACGTACGCCATGCGCTGCGGTCATCGCTTTTGCGTCGGCTGCTATCGGCATTACCTCGCGCAGAAGATTCGCGAGGAGGGAGAAGCCGCCAGAATACAGTGTCCGGGTAATGGTTGTCATATGATTGTCGATTCCAAGTCTTTAGGATTACTTGTTACAGATGCCTTGAAGGATAGGTAAGACTCTTCTTCCGCTCACGATGTTGATCATTTGTGAACTGACTCATACACTACAGATATCGAACGCTTTTGACGAGGACCTACGTTGATGACAAGGAAAATCTCAAGTGGTGCCCCGCCCCCAATTGCGAATACGCAGTCGATTGTCCTGTCAAGCAACGTGAGCTGGCTCTCATTGTACCCACAGTACAGTGCGAGTGCAAGCATCACTTTTGCTTTGGATGTTCGCTGAACGACCATCAACCTGCGCCGTGTCAACTAGTCAAAATGTGGTTGAAGAAGTGCGAGGACGATTCCGAGACGGCCAACTGGATCTCGGCGAATACCAAGGAGTGCCCTAAATGTAACTCCACGATCGAAAAGAACGGCGGGTGTAACCACATGACGTGCCGCAAGTGTAAACACGAGTTCTGCTGGATGTGCATGGGTTTGTGGTCAGAGCACGGTACGAGCTGGTACAACTGCAATCGATTCGAAGAGAAATCAGGGTCCGACGCACGAACTGCACAGGCTCGCTCCCGGGCGTCTCTTGAGCGTTACTTACATTACTATAATCGATATGCCAACCACGAGCAGTCCGCCAAGCTCGACAAAGACCTATATCTCAAGACAGAGAAGAAAATGACGAGTCTGCAGTCTCAGTCCGGCCTTTCTTGGATTGAAGTGCAGTTCCTTGACACGGCGTCGCAAGCCTTGCAGCAATGTCGACAAACACTGAAATGGACGTACGCATTCGCCTACTATCTGGCTCGGAACAACCTAACGGAGATTTTTGAAGACAATCAAAAGGATTTGGAGATGGCGGTTGAGAGTCTCAGTGAGATGTTTGAGAAACCTGTGCCGGAACTGGCAAACCTCAAAGTCGACATCTTGGACAAGACATCATACTGCAATAAACGACGGGTCATTCTTTTGAGCGACACCGCAGAAAACCTGAAGAATAGTATGTTCTCCAACGAGGCCAACTTCGAACCAATCAACTAACCAATGATATAGGTGAATGGACATTCAATGTTGACTGGTAGAACTAGAGTTGCATAGATCTAGCGAGCATTTCTCTTGTCGTTGGAAGAGAGGAGAGGATTTGAGATCCATTTGTTGGCCGGTCCAGGCTGGTTGATGAGGCGACTAAGGGCAGGACAGGACGGGCTTCATCAGTTTTTACGACGTACATGACCACATCACAGCGAGATCTGGACCTGATTTCATCACAAGGCGTTTTCCTTCACCATGGAATTCTACTTGCTTAGGGAGAGAGCATTTATCATTTATGTCCCTTTTTGCTTGTATCAATAGTAGTTGCAACCCGGGTCTATGATATTTTTTATTTTTTTCTCTCTCTCAACTGCGAGCCTTTCTTGATTTTGGGACCAAGTTGATGTTGATTGGCAAGATTCCGTGAAAGCGGTTGCCTACTAAAGGTCAGATAGATAGGCCTTGGATAGCCCAGATACAACTGGGCAATGAGGTCTTGTGCCTAGGCTTGATCCCGCGTACTATTATTTTTCATCATATATTTCAATGGGTAACCAAAAGGCTAAAGCGAACCGTGGGCAGCTCCGCGGCGAAAGGAAAACACGATTGCTCCGCGGTTCGGCGGTTTGGGGGTCGGCAGACCCGAGCAGGTGAAAGTTCACTTGGAACTTCCTTCTTGCCTCTTGGATTCTCGGATAGGAAGGTGGTTACTAGCCGTGACACGAAGTCGCATCGCACATACGACAGAGCGAGGCCTGAGTTCAAATGGTTGGAGACGTGCCGGAGTCTTCTCAGACAAGTGAGGGCGAGCTCCGTCATCGGACGGAAACCTCGGTGTAAATCAACATTTTCAGTTTCTTATGACTAGCAATAATAATTTTCAGGATTTCCTAGGACAAATGGGCCCGTTAGTCATGTTCAATCTAGCCTGGGGAGCTGAATCAGCATCCTTTAGACTGATTAACCAGGTCAACTAAATAATACTATCAATCGCGATGATAAGGGATGTTGCGTTGGATGCATTGTACAAGAGGGCGTGGCGTGTCTGAAGGCAATCTGATAACTCTGGCGCAAGATCTGATAGTGACAGCTCGTTTCCTCAGCTTCAGGATCTCGTGGAGAATAATGGAGATCAAAATTAAATTAATCGTCGAAAGGGAGTAACCTCTTCCCGTAAGACAATCTAATCAGACTAATCCTTCTGGAACACATAATGATGCTCGGCCTTCAGTAGTAGTTCTGCTGTTGGGCTCCGACCAGGAACTGCCAAACTCGGGAATAAGAACAACTCCTGCCAACCCTTCTCAAAAAAAAATTAAACTTAAAATTTTATCGCCTGCTGGCTTCTTCTCCTCACTATCTCCTCTCACTTCTTCGCTGCTTTGTCTCTTTCGCCCTCCTCACCTTTCTCCTGCTTATTCTTCGCCTCCCTTTGACCTATAGACACTCTGCTCGCTCCTCGGTCAAATTCGGCCTCTCCAACTCCGCAGACTCCGTTTTTCTTCGGCCCTGTCAAATACAAGAAGCTCGCTCACCACCACAACATCGGCCTCGTTCCTCGCCTCACCTCGCCGGCGGATCTCCCTCTCCTCTCCCTTCCACCTCCGTTTCACCTACGGCTAGAGCTGTTGGAGCTCTATCGGCTCGATGGCGATATCCGAACAGCATCTCCCCGAGCAAGAATACGAGTATGTTTTGCGGAGTCTCTTTTTCGCCGTTGAATATCTGTCGATATTCGAGGAGTCATCCACAAATTCTGAGTTGACTGCTTTGACTTGTCGTCCTTCTGTGTCCTTGGATTCCGCCCGCGCAGCTCGCGACGTGCTATAATGGGAAGCAAAACCTGGTCGGGCCGGAGCTAACTGTGCGTGATGATAGTTACGAAGCGCTTCCGTCAAACTATGGCCTCGGTCGGAATATGCTAGCAGGCGCTTTTGCCGGCATTGCTGTACGTGATTTGAACACTGGAAGGCGTTTAATGGCATATGAACCCCAAGTTTCTGATTGGTGATATAGGAGCATTCGGTGATGTACCCAGTTGATTTACTCAAGGTATGTCAATTGACTCTATCTGGCCTTTCGGGCGATGTGCAACCAGCAGCTTCGCTAACAATTGCGTTTCCGCGACGTTAGACTCGTATGCAAGTCTTGCATCCTACAACCGGAGGGCTCTACACAGGATTGACACACGCGGTCTCCACGATCTACCGAATTGAGGGGTGGCGGACACTGTGGAAGGGTGTTTCGAGCGTGATTGTCGGTGCTGGTAAGCAATTTTACCCGTACGGGTGCTTGGCGCCGCATGTGAGCTGACCTGATCCTTCTCTGTAAGGCCCCGCACACGCCGTTTATTTCGGGACATATGAGGTTGTGAAAGACCTGGCTGGTGGAAATGTGGATGATGGACACCACCCGTTGGCGGCAGGTGAGATTTTGGCTTGCAGATTAGGCATGTTCAATTACTGATTTTCACAAGCAATGAGTGGTGCGGCAGCGACCATCGCTAGCGATGCCTTAATGAACCCCTTCGATGGTGAGCCTCAGTGACTCGGATACGCAGCCCTGGTGGAGATTTCTGACCAGAATAGTGATCAAACAACGAATGCAGGTTCATGGATCTGTACACAAGACAATCTTTCAATGCGCAAAGTCGGTCTACCGAACGGAAGGCTTCCACGCATTCTATGTATCTTACCCCACCACACTCTGCATGACCGTACCCTTCACCGCTACCCAATTTGTCGCATACGAGTCGATTTCGAAGATCATGAACCCGTCTCAGGATTACGATCCCTTTACGCACTGCATCGCGGGTGGTCTAGCCGGTGCGGTCGCCGCCGGTATTACAACACCACTTGATGTGGTGAAGACTCTGCTGCAAACCCGCGGTCTCGCCCAAAACGAGGAGATCCGCGCGGTCAAGGGCCTTTTCGGCGCTGCATCCCTCATCAAGCGCCAGTTTGGTTGGAAGGGCTTCTTGCGCGGCGCGCGACCTCGCATTATCTCCACGATGCCTAGCACCGCTATCTGCTGGACCTCTTACGAGATGGCCAAGGCTTATTTCAAGGGCCGTGTAGACAACTAGACTTGTCTTAAGTTCCAGGGCCGATCGCATGAATCTGATTAGCATGAGCTACGACTTCGCGGTGCAGTTACGATAACGCGACTCACAGTATGCGACTGTGGATACAACAACAGACTCAACTAGCGAAGGAGACAATTTACCTTCCACCGGACTCTAAATAATCGACCGACGTACGGTTTCCGACCGGACACCTTCGACGCTGAACTTCAATTCTCACCATGTGTATACTTGATGCTACTTTCGAACGAGGTATTGCGGATTCTGATACTAGCTTGGCTACACTTCTTGTGGCATTTTGATTTCTGATCGACTGCTATATGGGCTTGATGACACGGCATTATTTTCTCGTTTTTGCTTCCCTTGGTCTTGGATCGGAGCCATTTGCACGATTTATCCTGTATCGTTTTGGCGTTGGGACACAGGGAGGAAATGTTTCGGGAAAATCCTTTTCTCTTTTTCATTTCATATATTCCTATTTATTTGCGCATTCTGTTTTGGATTGTGAATCATGTACTGATAGACATACGAGATGGCGGCATGGATGGCCACCCGCGTGGCCAGACCACAGGAAGGACGACGATATCCAATAATACATAGGCAGAAGGGAATACAAGTTCCTTCATCACTCACCTCTTTATACTAGAATATGTTTTCTTGCTTCAATGTAACTGCTCTGTCCAGCATCATGGGCTGAGGTGCTTAATCAGCCGCAGGAGCAACGACGTCACGAGGGGAAAACTGAACCGACTTTGGCCTATGAGTGGTTCTGGTTGCGTCCACCTTCAGGTTTGGATCTTCGTCCAGTTTCTCTCCCCCATCAACTTCCAGGCGCCAACCTTGTATTTTGTCTCCCTCTGTATCGCTCAATTTCTCCCATTGCGCCCGTTTCTTCACGCATGGCGGTGCTGCTGGCTGGCCCTGCACTTCTCCGCTATCCGTGAATCCCACCCAACCTGTTCTATAGATGATGCGCCCTAAGCCCGTGTCGTCGCTGCAAAAGACCTACGACGACTGTTATTTGATGTGTTCGACGGCCGTCTACTTTGAGGGCCAAGTCCGTATCCCACCGCCGCTTTGCCCTCCCATCCTCGCTAACATAATGCCTTGCTGCAATTAGAATAATGAAGAAGAAGCCTTGAGGTCTTGGCGCTCCGCCCTCGACACGATCTACTATCACAACGCCTACCGACTTCCGGCAAGCTACACCCCGAGCACAGAGACCGAGCGGGCGCTACAAGACTCCATTCGCCAGCTGGAGCTCCAATGCCGCGAGCGAGTCGACCTCCTGGACGCCCTCCGTGAGAGCCGAAAGGACTCTTCCAGTTCCGGGAAGAAGAAGAAGTCACCGTCTCGATCTCATATCAACGTCAACACTACCCCCGGGTATATCGCGGACGGAACCGTCCCCGCGGTTGGTTACACCGATCTCTCGAAGCCGCCTGCGATCCCGACGCGTCCGTCTATACCGGGCTATACTAGCTCTGCCTCTGACCATCCCTCGCCACCTCTTCCTCTTCGTCCCGCGCCCGAGCGATCGGAGTCGCAAACCTCCATCAAGCCCTCGTCTCGCACTCCGAGTCCAGACCGGAGGATGAAACCTAGTATGCCTTCTACCTTGCGCGATGGGACCCTCAAGAAAAAGAAGAAGGACTCGTCCCGTAAAAGGGAGCTGAGGCCGGTTGCTGCGTCTCAGGCAGCGGGGCTTGCTTGGGGAATCATCTCCCGTTCTTCGTCTTCGGATAAAACTGCTAGTGATGCTGCCATTGCCTCCTCTCGCCACACTGTTTCGAATGATCTTAGTGCTCGAAGAGATCAGGGGAGCCCCCGGACCGAGGTGCCTCAGCCACCAAGTTTTTATTCTACTCCATCGGCTGCTGACGTCGCTTTCACATCGTCTCGTCCTAACCTCTTAAGTAATCGGAGGAGTTCGGAAATGTCCGTGACGGGGATGTCTCGAACTCAATCGGCGGATGATCATATCCCGAGAAGGTCCCCCGCAAAGGTGGATTCATCATCAACTCCAGGGACCCCAACACTCAAGCGTCGCGTCATCGCAGACTCTCGACCGCACTCGGGCGGTCGATCGCGACAGTCTCCTTCAAAACTTGAGCCAAGCGATCCGCCCCGTTCAAGCGCGTCCCCGAAACCAGTGGTCAAACCGAAGCCGGTAACCCTAAGGTCATCGCAACCGCAACCTCCAAGTGCCGCAGGCAGGTCAGAAGATCCTTCAAAGCCGACCTCGAGATCACGAGCACCTATGCGAGGTAGAGGGGATAGAGACTTGGTTCCTGGAATCGAGAAAATGGCCATCACACCTGGGAGCCCTGCACGACGGAAGCCTCTCTCCGAAACCAAACGCCCGATGACACCACCGTCAAGTGACCCTGATTCATTGGGGCGCAAGTCTACTGATGTAGATGAGGGCGACGAAGCAGAAGAGAGGGAAGAATATGATGCCGAGGATACTTCAATCATGAATATTCTGAAGAAATTACCCAGAGGCGTTGACGCGACTGCAGCACAACAAGTTCTAAATGATATCGTTGTTCGCGGCGACGAGGTGCACTGGGATGACATTGCCGGGTTAGACGCGGCGAAGAAAGCGCTAAAAGAAGCAGTTGTCTACCCATTCCTTCGACCAGACCTCTTCTCCGGGTTACGAGAGCCGGCCAGAGGCATGTTACTCTTCGGGCCTCCGGGAACTGGAAAGACGATGTTGGCTCGAGCTGTTGCTACAGAATCCAAATCCACCTTTTTCTCCGTATCCGCATCAACCCTGACATCCAAGTGGCACGGTGAGAGTGAGAAGCTCGTGCGGGCCCTCTTTGGCCTGGCGAAAGCACTAGCCCCGTCCATCATATTCGTCGATGAGATCGATTCTTTACTATCGGCACGTTCGTCAGGAACGGAGAACGAAGCCTCTCGACGATCCAAAACAGAATTCCTGATTCAATGGTCGGATCTGCAGCGCGCTGCAGCTGGACGCGAGCAACCAGGGAAGACGGGTGATGCAAGTCGTGTACTTGTTTTAGCAGCTACAAATATGCCGTGGGATATAGATGAGGCCGCGCGGCGCCGCTTTGTTCGCCGTCAATACATTCCTCTACCCGAGCACCATGTTAGAGAGCAGCAGTTGCGTAGGCTCTTGAGCCACCAGATACACGACCTCAATGCTGAAGACATTGAGGTCCTAGTCCAGGTCACAGAAGGTATGGCACAGAACTGGAAACCCGCTACTTAATCTTGATATCTGAACACAACGCTAACACAATAAATAGGCTTCTCAGGTTCCGATATAACGGCCCTAGCAAAAGACGCCGCCATGGGCCCCCTCCGCAACCTCGGCGAAGCCCTTCTCCATACACCCATGGACCAAATCCGACCCATTTGCTTTGCAGATTTCGAAGCAAGTCTCCTTTCCATCCGACCAAGTGTCAGTAAAGAGGGACTACGAGCGTACGAAGACTGGGCAGGACAGTTCGGTGAACGCGGCGGCTAGACTAGTGCCTACCGTTAGCACTTACTTGTGCTTGTTTATGGGTGTACCCCAGAATCAGGTTCTGTTAGCGAATGAAGGGCGGCCGGTATCCTCGTTCATTAGGCGCACTTGGTATTCGAACACTCTGCTTCCTGCCTTCGTTTTGGACATGTCGCACGGTGGATTGAGTCGGAGTTAATTGGACATATCGTTGGGCTTTTGCTTCCCCCCTCGCTTGGAGGAAGAACGTCGTTTTGGCGTCGTCGTTCTGGGGTTCGGTCATGGATGGGTTAGTATGGATTGGATAAGACAGAACTACGTCTCTCATGTAGGGTAGGTAGAATATGGTAGGGCCTTGCCTCAAGTCATAATTTACCTTTGTACGGAGTTTTCTATGCTGTGATTCGCCGTCGTATTCATTCTACCCCCTCTCATTTCAGACAACCATAGATGCTACCACTACGCCATCTGGCATCAAGCTAGACACTTGCACGGTTGCAAGTGCATAGTTTTGTTCTAAGTAGATTATGCGCTACGCATGTGGAGGGAATGTCTCTACTTCTATGGTGGATTGAGTTTTTGACTATTTAGATTCTTCCCCTAAAGACCTCATCCCTCATAAGCGGCAAACGATTCTCTTATGTTAAACCTCTTCACTGTGCAGAACAGTACTAGAGGGGAGAGCCCTACTAGCCAGTACTGTATTATCGTTGTGATATGGACCCGGAACCAGTGGGGGTTGAGGGATAAGAGGATTGTGTATAAGTGCCGAGTGCGTGGTATGTGCAGATCAACTAAGTTTAGTGTACTTAATCGGCAGTAGAGGTATCATGTACTAGAATAACACATGGAATCGGATGGGTGAGTGATCGCGTAGAAGAAGGGCGTATACTTATGACAGAAAAATTAGATCGTTGAAATCCTAACGAGGGTAGGGCGACGGATATAGTGCTAGGAATAGCATTGACAGGAATGAGACGAGAGGAAGCGAAGGAAATACTGGGAACTTCGCGATACTAGAACTGATTGGGTATGCGAATATGATGAGAAGCAGGATATATGAAATATGAGATGGACTGAAATGAAATGCCTTATTCCTAAGCTTCAGTGAAAAGGAAAAATGCAACACATAGTAAAACGAACTAGAGAACATGCCCAACCAGTATCATGGTAATATATGAAAACACAAGGGAATAATGGATGAGAGAACGTGAGAAAGTGTAGAATAAGCAAAAAAAGACTTGGTATCTGGACCTTATAGTGGACTGTACGGATGAAAAAGAAGCAGAGAATCTGGTGGGGGAAAAGAAGATACTGAAAACAACACAAACCAACGAAGTCTACAGATCAATCAGGCTGCCACCTTGTTGTGGCTGCTGGTACGACTGCTGCCCACCCCAGGGGTTGCTCGGCTGCTGCACGTAGCCGGTTTGCTGCGGAACAAATTGCTGCTGGGGCTGACCGAAGAACGGGTTGTTTCCGGTTCGTGTAGCCCGTAATCGGTCCAAGCCTTGACCGGCAGAGTTCACAAAAGTGCCAGGTGCAGTGTGCTGCGCGGGAATACGCAGGTCGCCGGTGTTTCCGAAGGTATCCATACCTTCTCCGGTTGCCAAGAGCGCGTTGAGACGTGCAGCATGAGGATCCATCTGAGGGTTGGGTTTGGGTGGTGCCAAGGATTGTGGCTGTTGAGGTGCTTGGTAGTTGGCAATTGGGTTGATCGGGGACGAAAACTGGTTGGAGAACTGGTTCGAAAATTGGTTTGTTGCTTGCTCTTCCGCCAGGGTGTTCAGAGACGGACCTCCCGACGTCGTGGGTCTGGGAGCCTGGAACTGTTGCTGCTGTGTTCGGGCGGCGAATGGGTTGTTGGAGCCGGTAGGGAGAGGCTTTAGCGTATCCTGCTGGTTGCTGGCCCAAGGATTGTTCGTGCCCGCTTGTAACAAATGATCCTGCTGCTGCTGTTGCGGTTGCAGTTGCGGTTGCTGCTGGAAGAATGCGTCTGTTCCTCCATACGGGTTGTTAGTGCTGAAGCCCGTCTGTTGTGGTTGAAGTGTCGCCTGAGGCTGCAAGAAGTTGTTCTGAGCGTATGGATTCTGGTTGTAGCCCGTGGGCTGCTGCTGGAAGCCGTTGGAATATCCGTTCATTCCAGTGAGTTGTCCTTGGAACCCAGTCGGGGTCGCGTATTGGTTGTTCAGGAACCCTGTCGTGAGAGGCTGCTGGGGGTTTATTGGGTTGCCAGACCAGTCAACCGCACCCTGCTGCTGGTATCCCTGATTGTAGCCGGTGGGTTGGGGCTGAGTAGGCGTACTGTCATCCAGTAAGAGGGACTGGGCATTGCTTTCCTCCAACTCACGCCGGCGAAGTTCCTCCTCCTCCTTGCTCAATTTGATTGCTTTGGCCAGATCTTCGTCATCGTCCTCTCCATTGGCCTGCTGCCGGGCTCGTCGTCGGCGCTCCTCCTCCGCTTCATGCTTGCTGGCCTCGATTGCCAGACGGTACTCTGTGTCATCTTCATCGTTACCCTGGCGTCGACGATCCCGTCGCTCTGCTCGGCGTGGTGGCACTCCATTTCCGTGCCCTTGATATTCATCAAGACCGTTGACCCGAGATTTCCAGAGCTTGCGGTCGGATCGCTCACTGCGTAGTCGATCTTCATCCAAAATAAGCGCGGTAAGCTCTTTCGCAGCAACGCGAACTAAAGACATGCCATACGTTAGTCGGTGATTCAAAACCAGAGATGCAAACCATCTGCTCACCATCCTGACCGACATCTCTGCTATCTTCATCAACATATTGGAACTCGCGTAATGTCTTGATGATGTAAACGTTCTTCCGCGCCCAAGTGACAACAAGTTCAGACCCCTCATGAAGACAGTAGTCGAGAACCTTCAATGATTTGAGAACGTGGCGCCAATTCTTTCCTTTATCGTTCAGCCGCTTGTCTAACATGTCCATAATCTCGTAGAAGTCTGATGGGCTGCGAGACAGTCAGAACTAGGTATAGTATAGCATTCGAGTCTCTGGAACATACCTGCCAAATGTGAGAGAGGCAATCTCTGCCATATCGGTCCCCGTGGGGCCCCAATGGTCATTACTCGTCGCTGTAAAGATTGCGAACGTTAGCGATCGGTCGAAAGTCCAATGGCGGAGGCAAGAGCCGGATGAGCAGGGGAAATACCATTTCGGACTTTCACCTGAACTGCAGAGTAACCCTTGGTGACATTTTTCACACTGCGCACGACTTTCGACATGGCGACGGCGTGATGTGAAAGAGGGGGAGGGAGGGGAAGGTAAAGAGTGCGTGTTCGCAGAAACGGGGGGCTGGAACCCGGAGACTGTGGTGACGACGCTCCTGGGTATGGACTCCGAGGGTCAAGTAAACCGTCGAGGGGAGATGGCGGATCTTTGAATTCGGGTCAGCAAGAGGTGGCGATTGAGACAGAGCCGGCCGGCGTTTCCTTTTGTCACAGGAAGTTGGGGAGAGGTAGGTGAATGAGAGTCGGGAGGTGTCTCGTCAGGCAGTCTAGTTGATGTTAGTTCACGGCGGCAGTGGCGTATGTAAGCCGCGTTCGGAATAGTCTGTCCTTGTCTCGCTCGGGCGCTGGACGGAGAGGGAGGGGTATGGCCGATTGAGGATGCGAACCTGTCGAACTTGGAAAGAGGGGAATAATATAGAGAGTTGGAAATGTCCCTGAGTGATGATTATTAACCGGGCGTTGGTGTTGCTGTGGCGCAAGGCTGACGACGCAACTCTGACCAGGTCATACAAAGATGCTGCGATCTTAATGTTTTTTCCAGTCAAAGAAAAGCGTAATACAGTAAGAGAATAAACTCAATACTACTGGCAGGGTACAAAGGCACAATGCCAGAATAGGAGAGGAGGGGGAGCAAGCCCCTAAAAATGTTAATGCCTAATGGCTTACCCTCGACCCTGTCATCGACGACCTTGGTTTATCCCATTGCCGAGTCTTTCCTCCATACACATCTCTAGTATGAGTTACCGGATGTATCAGATAGAATAATACGGAGTACTGCAGGGTAGGATCCCTGGGACGTTGTGCTGGAGTTGTGGCGGTGCCGCTGCACTGGTGTCCGATGACGTCCTTCTCGAAGCTATACAGAAACTTTCAAAACTTTGCATATCGTACTTGGCGAGCCTGAAATTCATTTCTCATCCATAACCTAGAATAATGAAGTAGTCAAATCCAAACCAATTAATGTTTTCCCTCCAAGCTTAAGTACTTTTCTTCCGCTCCCTTGATACATGCAATATTCGCCCCCAGCTTGTTGAGCGTCTCTACATACTCATCGTACGGGTCTGAGTCAAAGACGATGCCACCTCCAGCCTGGAGATATGCCACACCGTCCTTCACAAGCATCGTGCGCAGCGCAATACAGGTGTCCATTGCACCGGGAAGCTCTTTGGATCCGTCAACGGTCGCGATGTTGAATCCAAAGTATCCGACTGCGCCAGCGTAGACCCCTCGCTTCTCGCCCTCCAGCTCGGCAATCAATTGCATAGCCCGCACCTTCGGCGCACCAGAGACTGTACCTGCTGGGAAAATCGACCGGAATGCGTCGAACCGAGTCTTTTCCGGTCGCAGAATTCCAGACACCTGTGACACTAAGTGCTGGACGTGGGAGAATTTTTCGACGACCATTAGGCGGTCAACTTGAGTAGTGATCGGGTCACAGACACGGTTCACGTCATTGCGCGCCAAATCCACCAACATAACGTGTTCTGCGCGGTCTTTCAAGCTCCCTCGGAGCTCCTCGGCAAGCTGCTCATCCTCCTCGGGAGTCTTTCCACGCTTCACCGTTCCGGCGATGGGATGAGTGATAATACGTCCCTTTTCTTCCTTGGCCAGAAGCTCTGGACTGGCGCCGACCAACTGAAAGTCCTCGCAGTCGATGTAAAATAGGTATGGGGAGGGGTTGACAGTGCGGAGATGGCGGAATAGGTTGAAAGGATGGAGCGAGGTCGGACGAGAAAGCCGTTGTGAGGGCACAGTCTGGAATATATCACCCTTCGCAATGTGCTCCTTCAGTTTTACGACATGCCGTTCATATCCTTCCCGTCCGATGTTGGATGTGTACTCCTGGTTCGGGATGATCGGTCCCTGTGGAGGCAAGGGGATGTCTGGTCGGAGAAGGGTGTCGATAATGCGCTGGATGGCGGCCTGGCCCTGCTTGTAGTTTGTGTCGAGCTCCGCGTCGGTATCCGAGATAGGGATGTAAGTGACGACCTTGACGACCTGGAAGAAGTGATCGAACGCGACTATAGTGTTGAACAGCATGAATAGTGATTCCGGGATACCGAGAATGTCCTTCAAGGGTCGCGCAGTCTTAGGTTCGAAATATTTGACACAGTCGTATCCCACATAGCCAATGGCGCCACCAGTGAGAGGTGGAAGGGTCAAACCAGGCACCGTCGCAACTCGAAATTTTGATAGTTTGTCTTCCAAGATTGGAAGAGGATCCGTCTCAGGACCATGTCCAGGCCCGGTCTTGAGGACTGTATGAGGATCTGAATTGCGCCCGCATGATCAGTCACTGATTTCACCAAGGTCATACGCATTGCGACATACCGGCGCCGACAAAACTATATCTCCCAATCGTCTCTGTCGTTGCAGCACTCTCGTATAGGAATGATAATTTGGATCTAGAACGAGAGTGGCGCGGTCAGTACACCTCCAGTGAGACACAGCTAAATCAAGGGCGGCGGCTTACTTTTCAGCAAGTTTCAAGTAGGCGAGTGTCGGCGTCAGTAGGTCGGCGGGAATTGACGCAGTGAGGGGGAGGAGATTTGGAGGAAATTTCGAATTTCTCGACTGGTTAATCACCTCCTTCGCTGTCTCAATAGACGGCACAATTGTGATCTGAGTCACAAAGCAATATTAGGCATATTCTCCCACACAGCAGGGATGTCTTTGTGGAGATTGAACATAAGAGAGAAACGGACGACTTCAGAAGGGGTACTCACTGGTGGCGCCATTTTTCTTGGTTGAGCTGCCAATGATTTTGAGACTTGGAGTTCTGGCAAACAACTTCTTCTGGTGCGGGGAGTTCAATAGACGAAATTTGGCGGAGAAGCGGAGCGGATCGACTGGTGGCAGATCGCAAGCCTAAATATCCAAGCTTTTGTCTGCAACCCAATTCCAGGATCAGTCAGTTGACCCTGAGGAGTCAGGACGGAGTAGTGACAGAAGAGTATATAAGAGAGAACCTGAAGGTATTGATCAAAACAATTTGGTGAGTCACGCAAGGGATCCCTTGCTATATATAGTCCGTGCGGCGTATCTATATCCCCTCCGGTGACCGCTTGGAATGTTTCCGCTGATAAAACAAGAGGGCCCCAGCCTGCTACACCCATTCCTTGATCATTGCTGCCACCGGCGCTAAGCCCCATCGGCATGACTGTTCTGCAACCTGGAGTCTGGACTCGGTTGAGTAATTTGGTCACCCCGCAGAGTCCGAAGCCATCACGATCACGGGCTGTGACAGGCATGAACGGGTTGTCGTCGCGACAGAACCCCTGTAACTGACCAAACGTTCACGCAAGCAATCTTCAAGGTGCTTTATAAGGCTCTGCCTTTGGCGCTTCAGAAGCCCAGTCAAAACACACTCTCAAACTACTCACCCAGCAACGGTGTGTACACCAGTGCTTCCGAGTCCTTACGAGGCCGCTGAACTTACCGAGTCAACTTTTAGGGGAATAGCCTGTCTGCTACATGAAAAAAGGTCACCGCCATCCGATGCGTCATTTGGGTGCCATGCGCAAATCTTGCAAAGTAGGCCGAACCGACTGTTCAAAAGTTGTAGACATTAGAGGGGAAATCGGACGGTATGTTGATCTCGGACAACCACCAAACCATTGAAGAACGCGATTCTCAAGCTTGCAAAATTTTGCTGCTTGATCGAGATCACCATACCGTCCGACTTCCTCCCTCATGTCCCTACTATGTCAACTTCACAGCGAGGGACTGAAGTGGCAGCAGCGACTCAGCTACCCAAGCCTTAAGTGGCCTCGTAATCTCAAATATCTGAGCCCGCAACCATTCTTCCTCAGCTTCATATACCTTACCATTTGTGTCATAGGAATCATTAAAGTATTCATTTTTGTTTGACTTTCAGGCGATGTCAGAAAATCCCTTTACGGGACAACCTAAGAAGGCTACAACCATAGAGGGTGTTTCTACAACCAACGATGCGCTTGACAAGCCCAAGTTGCCGCCCAGAAGAAGAGACGAACTCACTATAGAGCCGCAGATTGATGAATTTCAGGAATACAAACTTCCGCGAAGGGAGCTTCGAACCCGGAAATTCACTGACCTCCCTGAATGCACTCCTCGAGCGCGCGCTCAACTCCTCTTGGATCGTCTGGAGAACCTTATGCACCTAGCAATATTCTACAACAACCAAACAGAGCCGCGAGTCTTTGATACAGACATGGCTCAATCAGCATTAGACATGCTTGAATCCATATTCGAGCCACGGCCGCAGGATCCATCTCTTTGGCCGAAAAAGGAGAATGGCACGCCCCCATTCGATAGAAAAGTCGTTCTCAATCCTTTTATAGACACAGCTCCACGGACCGCTACAGATCAAGAGGGCTCATCCTCTAAAGACTCGAATTCACAGGTTGAGGCGGATGAGGCTCTCGCTAAGAAACTCGCCGAAGGCCCGCAGGACCTCCCCTCTGAGCGCAATACGAACGAAGGGTCACGGCGAGCTGGGCAGATGCAGCGTGTCGCTTCGGGCAATGCCCCCAGCCAGTCTCCGCCGACCCCTCCTTCCCGAGCGACCGAAACAGCTCTGCAGAATCCGGCAGCAGGCGATCAAGACAAATGCATGCAGAAGATTGACAAACAGCTGAGAGAACTCAACTCTAAGCTCCAGTGGCGTAATCGAGAGACGCGGGAAGCGTATGACTGCTTCAAAAGACTAATGGCCGAATATAGAGAGATGGAGGCCAAAAATGGCATTCTGTATGTGCTGCAGGATGCGTCCTTGCTTTACCGTTGCACCAAGCTAATGTTTCTTCTGTTTTAGCTTGAAATACCACGAGGAAGATACCGCAGCAATTGAGGGGCTTCATGGTACGGTTGCGGCGTTCCAAGGCAACGTCAGTACCTGGATAGAACGGCATTTATCTGCAGCCGGAGACAGACAGATAGCGGTTACCCGACTACTAGAACAAAGAGAGCTTGAATTACAGCTTGTCAATACGCTTCATGATGACATCAAAGGCTTCATGGCTGGCTGGAACGATGCCAAGGTTGAGTTCTACAGTCGAAGGGATGCTCGCAGGCAGACGGAGAGCCGTCGACAAGCCCCAGAGGCAGCCAACACCCGCACGAATCCTAAAAAGACAACAAATAGATAGAAATTCCAGCTTTCTATTGTTACGGCGGAATAGGAACCAAGTGATACAGCTGGCAGAAGTGTCCGAGCTGAATTGACCTTTCTGACGGCCGTTTGATTTGCACCTCCCATGATAAAGAAAGTTGCAGCCACATGTAAACAAAAAAAAAAGGACCAGATAATCCACCCATGGCCACATGCTACCCACAACCGCGCCTTTCGCCTGAATCCAAGTAGTCTGCGCCGTTTTGTAACGTCTAACCGAAGCATATATCATGGTATAAGTATAATTATAAAAGTGGTGGAGAGAAGGATATGAGTGTCCTAGAGACAGTGCTTTGTCATCCGCTCACCTTGAGCCGACCCAAATGCGCATACGCTGCAGGTGGAGAAGACGAACGTATCCGTGGGGGGTATCCGGCACGGCGAGGTATAGAGCCTCGCTCTGAGGGATGCACTTATTGCTCGGCAATAAATAATGATTTCGTGAATGGTGATGACGGCGCGTGTTGATGGCCTCGTCTGATAGGATAAGTACCCACTGCTGAGTATGATCTCGTGTTCGCATTATCGCTAATGTTGTGTTATTACCGCTGTAGATTAATGATCGCCATCTGTCCACCATCATTAGTTTTCTGAAAACTGGAAAAAGGAAAAGATAGTGGTTACATACTTGGCTTTTGAACCCAAACGCGAGCTTCTTCCCGTCACTGTCCCAGGTTAAAGAGCGATCCTGCACGTCTTCCACAATTCCGTTGTGGCCATTGGAGGTAGGACTCTTGTGTTCTGTCGCATCTGCATTCTCTACCCTGGGAGACTTCCAGGTAGCCATAGCAGCACCTCCGCGTTGTGCATTCCAGATTGAAAGAGTATCTTTGCTAGCGGCCGCAATGGCGTATCCGTCGGGAGAGAAACAACTGGCAAGAATTGGGAGAGAAGGCCCCAGTGATAGACGGTGTATGCAGTCAAACTTTCGATTCTCCAAATCAATGTGCCATAACTTCACTGTGTCATCTGTAGATGACGAAGCAAGAATCAAAGGCTGGTTGGGCTGCTCAGAAGGATTGGGTTTTAGCTGAATCGCGGTAATGTGGCCGTCGTGAGCGTCGTCGAAGCGGATATCGTGAGTTGGAACCCAGAAAGCGGCACTGGAAGATGCTGCTGCTACTGCTACAGGTGACGAGCCGACATGTGCAGATCGAACGAAAGTCCAAGGCCGTTCCGGGTCGCCAGCGGAGAAAGTTCTGGTCAGATGAATGCTTGAGTCCATCTCACATTGATAGACGGACATTCCGCCGCAAGCGAAGGCTTGCGTACGACCAAGCCAGCTAACATCAAGAATCGGGTCATCGACAATTTGAGGAGGAGGAAACTCTTCCGGTTGCAATGCGTCGTCCCAGAGAATGAGCTCAGATATTCTGCTATCAGAGGCGACAACAATTAATTGGGAGCCACTATCAGCCCACTTCAGACCGGATATCATCCGAGGAACTTCTGGTAAAAGGTCAACAGCATTTCCAGCAACGTCGTACGTGGTGATAGAGCCTCGCATGTCATTGTATGTAGCAACGGCCAATTTTTGGCCTTGAGGGTCCCAAGCCACTGCTGAAACCAACACGTTGTCTCCCTTGTTCTCAGCCAGTTTCTCCTGTACAGGCGGAGAAGTCGAAGACAGTTTATACAGACTGCAGAAGGTGTCGCCGGCTGCGACAACAACGGTAGGGTCGTGTGGTCGCCAAAGGGTTCTGGTCACGTGGCCATCCCCAGCCACATCGATAATGGCGGTGTCGGGGCTGAGGTCAGCGGCCTTGGCGGGGGTAATCTGGACACCGATGCTCTGTCCGGTGGTCAAGGTAAAGATCGGTGCCGCGGATGTTTCCTGTTCCCCCATGTTCACATCCCCGTCACTATCCGCAGTGGTGTCCTCTACTGATGCTGATGACTCCGTAATGTTTGGCTTGCTCTCAATCGCAATACCGTTTGCAGAATCAACCTCCATCGAAACCTCCTCACCATTAGTTTCCATGCGATCACGTTTGCGGGACTTCTTGACATTCTGCGGGGCGGCTTCGGTGGTGGTCGAATGGCCGTTGATCGCTACCCCATCTCGCGCAACCTTGCCTGTTGGCGAGACAGGCGCCTGGCCTGCGCTAATGCTTTCGCTAGAGCCTTTTTGCGTCTCCAGTTCGAGGGAAACAGGCCCAAAGAAATAATTCGAAGGTGAAAAAGGAACAGGGTTTCCCTCCTGCTCAGATTAGATTAGACAAGGGTCTTCGGGCGAAAAGGATATTGAGTAGGCAGGAAGAAAATTGATCAAGGCCAACAATTCAGGAACATGCCTTGTCGAGTGACTTCTCCAGTTCGTAATACTGGAGACCCTTCTGAACGAGCGAGACTAGCGCATGAGTTCGAATGTAGGGAGCGAAAGGTAGACTCTGCGGGTCATGATTCCAAGCGCGTTGCAGTGTCACAGCAGCTTCGCCATGCCCTGAGAGACGGAGCGTTAGTAGTCACAAACAGGAAGTGGCATTAAGAATGCCATTTCAATATCAAAGATATCGCGAGATATAGAGAAGAATAATAGACGGTTCAACGAACCTGATTCTTGGAGGTACCTAAAGATCAGTGAGCATGAGTTGCGATTGAATACAAGGTGGAAAGGAATTTCAAAAGGGGACAAGCGTACCTCCATATTAGGTAGTTAACATGATGCGATGTGAGATCAGGGTGCGCCATTGTTTGTTACATATGAGAGCTAGGAAGGGAAAGGGAGGACAAGCATCCCAGAAGGGAAGATTTGCGACAATGAGAAAGGCAGCCGAAGCGCAGGGAGCTGAAATATGCAGATCTGTGGAAATCGACTCGAGACGAGCGGAAAAAGTCTGCTGGCGGAAAACCAATTGTAGTGGAAGCCCGAGCCGGAGTGACAGGATAAGGCTGAATTGGCAAGCGGAGCAAAGACTTGGAAAAGAAGCTGTTATGATCGCAGGAGAAAGTGGAAGAGGAAGAAATATAAGTTGAAGTGGAAAGTTTGGCAAGGTCTGGGGAATCGATAGATAGCTCAGGTGCTAAGCAAAGTGGGGAGACAAGTTTGAGAGGCAGACAGATGATCAAAGGAAGGGCCAAGAGGTGTTAGACATGCTCTGCACCTGAAAGACGAGGAAGCGTCACGGTGGAGTTGAGGAAGAACAGTAAAGTGTCGCGACGAATACCAACGTGAGGCTTCGGGACCAGACCCGCAAGCGAACTGCAGAAGTCTTGAAGATTGAAGACTTGGAGGATGAGAGAGGGTGGAAGATCGGATGAGGACGAAAGAAGAGTCGCAAAAGGATGGGCACTGGCGCCGCGAGATGAGACAGAACCACGGGACGAATGAGCGATTGTTCTGCGCTGGAATTTCTCCAGGCGGCTCTGGGATGCGGTTTCAAGGTTGAAGGTTTTGGACTCTCGCTCCAGGTGGACTTTCACTTTCACTTTGGGCTTGTCTCCCTGTGGCGTCTGGCCCACGGTTAGCCTGCAGCTGGACACCTGAGATCGGCCTCTGCGCTAGCTTTCCTGGGCTAGTGCCAAGTCGGATCCTCTCTGCCTTAGGAATAAGGTGTCTTTGATACAGATACATGACTCAGCAGTCTCCCAGGAACAACAATAGAGACAAAAGAAATAATGAGTGCCCTCATAATGATTGACTTTCTCATTGCTACGAGTGAGACGCGCAACTACTAGGACAGAAGGACTGGATGACATAGTTCATGGTATAGAATCGTAGACCAGCACTGTGGCTATAGCTCGGGATACCGAGCTTCCAAGCGTATACATTGGATCGAAAATGTGTTGATGTACTAGGTAGCGGGAGACCAGAAAAAAACCAAATAGTAGCGAGTACTAACTACTTCAGAAGTAGTCTGTACATCAAAGATTTGGAAGTTACCTCTGCAAGCAAACAGTTTCGTTGACCCAATACCAATAATCACGAGGTCAGCTCGGGACTTCCCCAGTAGTGCCCAGGTGGAAACAGTGGCCGACCGCCGTCCGCCGCTGGCTGCCAGCCTCCGCCTCCTTTGCCGACAACTTTTGGCATCAACGACAGCCTGCGGTCTGCGTTCTTGAGCAGCCGCAAAGCTTTTGCTCGACCATGGCGCTCCGAATCAATATTCCGCCGGCAACTCGTGTCTGCCTCATCAGTCTTATCACACTCTCCTTTCTGTATAATATCGCTCGATGGCGCCAACTCGACATTACTCCAGGCACTCCTACCGTATCTCCCACCGTTCCCTACTTGACTCTCGTCCCGTCGCACTTTATCTTTTATCCCTGGACACTGCTCACAGCGACCTTTGTTGAGCAGAATATTTTTACAGTGCTGCTGAACCTTGCTACCATCTTCTACGGAGGGAAGTATCTGGAGCGCGCTTGGGGTTCCCGCGAATTCACCAAGTTCATCGTCACCATCGCTGTGGTACCAAATGTCGTGATGGTGCCGTTCTACCTCTTCTGGGTTGCCGTCACCGGCAGTTCGAGCATCGGGTACGCCTTTTTCTCCCATGGAGAATGTACCACTTCATGCACCTTCCCTGCTGACACGCCCTCGTTCAGTGTGACACAAATCTGCGGCGGCATCTCGATTCAAGCATCCTTCCTCGTCGCCTTCAAGCAACTCGTCCCAGAGCATACCGTTACCATCTTCAAGGGCCTCGTGAAGATGCGGGTAAAGCACTTTCCAGCCGTCTTTCTCTTGCTGAATTCGATTAGCGGACTTGTTCTGGGAACACATATTGCGGCTTCCCTCGCCTGGTTCGGCGTGTTAACAAGCTGGACTTACCTTCGATTCTTCAAGCGGCAACCTGACCTGACTGGAACATCGACTGACGGACTCGGTGTCAAAGGCGATGCAAGCGAAACATTTGCATTCAAGTGCCTCTTTCCCGATGCGATTCAGCCTCCAATTGGCTTTGTGTCCGACTTGGTCTACTCTGTACTGGTTTCGTTGAAGATTTGCACACCTTTCTCGGCGGAAGAGATCGCCTCTGGGAATCAGCAAGCTCTCGCCCGGGGAGAAGCTGGCCTTCCTAGCCTTCTGAGCAACCACCGAGGTGGACGGAGCATGGCCAAGCGTGAGGAAGCGGAGCGCAGACGTGCCTTAGCATTGAAAGCATTGGACCAGAGACTTCAGGCAGCAGTTGCTTCACGACCTCAGCCAAGCTCGTCTGCGCCTAGTCAGACTCAAACCGCCACACCATCCGTGCCTGGGCAAACCATGTTGGGAGAGACCAGTTACACGCCGGACCATGCTTAGAAGCGCTGCATTGAATACTGGAGTTTGGTTAGTAGGTTCATTGGGATATCGAGGTGATGACGGCGGCGGATTTGTAGATCAAGGGCATGCTTGAACCCTTAATTGTTCGGGTCTCCCCTTCGGTGATATACTATTAGCATTGCATTTCTTGTATGTAGCTATATACCTGATTTTTTCATTTTTCTACGCCTTTTCGTTTTCCTTATCCTTGCTTTCACGTCGATAGATTACAGGAAGTTTTCCAAATCGGATGCCCATGAAAAGCTCATTCCAAAAATATCCCTTTGCCACAAACGCACCCTACCTGCTCGTTTTCATCCAATCAACCATCACTCACTCTGTCTTCGCCCTAACCCGATATTCAAACATCTGATTCGACTCGACGCTATTCTTATTAGTCGCCTTCTGCGCAGCTTCCGCGCCCGCAACTGGAACCCGACATTCAAGCCGCGCGCCCTCACCCGCAATAGACGGGGTAGGGTACGGGAAGGGCAGGTAATTTGGCAAGATTTCCAGCTGCCGCAACACAGTCGCCTGGTCCCAGGTGATGTGCTCATGATACAGCCTGTCGCCGCGGATGTTCACCACGGCCATGAAGGGAATGCGGAGGGGGACGTTTGTAGGTGGAAGGCCGGGAAGGCTATACATGTATAGTCAGTGGCAGTACCTTTGGTGCGATGGCATGGGATGTATGTCAGGAAAAACGGGAGGGGGGGTGGCATACATCCAGTCCACTTCCTTTGTATGGGTGAAGCTGAATATGAACTCGTCGACAACGCGGTCAATCCCAATAGTCCGACTGATGAGCTCGAGGTTTGTGTCATCGGGGTTATTGAAGATGAAGTGGTGCCGGTAGAAGTCCGTTAGCTTCTCGCGGCCAATCCCACCTGTCAACTATATCCGCTCTTAGTCACATACACTGGATGCATAGAGTAGAGACTAGGAGCCATACCGTAGGAACATGATTAACATACGGCTCCCCCACCATCGTCGCCATAGTATGTTCCACAGACCGATTCTCAAACTCGTAATACGTATGCTCGTCCCAAATCTTCTCGAGATCAAAGTGCGGCCCGTCCATGCATCCTTTAAGATGCGTGAGATTGCGCGTGTGCGATATTGCCTCTGTCCGGTAGTCGAAGTTTGGCTGAAAGGGAATGGCAAATGTGCTTTCCACAGTGGGGTAGACATGCTGCGTAAGAGCCATTGACCGTGCAAGCTTATCCCGCGGATAGTTGCCTGTGATGTGGTGGATCGTTCGCTTCGAAGCCTGTGGGAGAATCTCCAGGTCCGAGACTGAGGTGTATACAACGACACCCTTGATATCAGAAATGCTAGAAACAGCGTCCGCGGCTTTAGCATATGCGTTTGCGCTGTATGCGACGAGACCAATGGATCCTTTCGGCTCGCACGCCGAGCTGCCGTTTATGGCGGCTACTGCATTGTGTATCGCATCGTGAGCGTTGGTATCTAGCGCATGCTCCTCTATCTGCACGGTTGTGTAGCTTTCCTCGGCCCATTTGATGAGCGGAGATGGAACTCCGTCCTCGATGGTGAGATGTGTCTCTGCGGGGAAATTTGGGGTCAAAATGATCATTCCAGGACCTGTGCCGAGGCGGGAGAGGGGCTGCAAGAGGGATAGCCCCTCAGATGGCTTGGTTAAGTTTGGCTCAGGAAGGGAAGGGACCGCGGGAAGTAAGGACATGGTGATGTGCTGTATGTTGTAAAGTTGCTGGAGGGTGAGGGGGATGAGGGGCTTGGATTGGCTTTGGGAGGTTTCTTATCGAGGCATCTGTACAGTATAGATAGGGACGCTCTGCGGATTCCTGGCCGAGGTATAGTCTCGACCTTCTCAAATTAATTATACTGCGGATATTCTTGCCATTGGCTATTCCTGGTTCAATCGCATCGACATAGCAACCCGGCGTGAACTCGACTGTCCCTTGATATTCAACTTCTTCGCCGTGAGCAAGAATAGTGGGACGGCCGCTGAAAGTTTTTCGAGCCCGGCCTGGGTACATGCTCTTCTAGCCTTGAGAATCGTCATCGCCATCTGCGCGCAGGATTCAGCCCCGCTAGCTTCGACAGAGACGTCAATGCCGTGGTCTAGATTGTGATGTTGGATTACTTCGTTTGTGAGTGCTTGCGTGAGAGGATGCCCACGTCTGCGCCGTACTTGACGGCGAAATCGAGTCGGGATTGTTCCACGTCGAAGACTATGATCTTTCGTACCCCGTATGCTTTGGCGACTGCAATGACTAGTAGTCCGAGGCGGCCGCATTGACTATGAAGGTTCCATTAGCCACCACCTGTTACGTTCCGGATTGTGAGGAACTGGGACGAGAGCTGTTAGTAAAAATAGCAGAAGTTTTATTCGCGGTCAACGCAGCCTGTCTCCTCAACTGTACTGCGATTGCAGGAGTTTGGGTAGCACCGGCTTCTTCTCAACTCCTTTCTTCCGGAATCGGAATGGCCATATGTGCGCCGTGAGTAAAGTATTGTTGCAGGGTGCTGTCTGTCGGGTCTAGCCCGCAGTACCTCAGGTTCGCGCATATGTTCGGCTGCCCCGGAGATAAAACTCGCATGTAAGTCTGTTAATGAACGGACTTGACTGAACTGGTTCTGTGGATATGAAAGAAGCAGTGCTTCAGGTAGGCGAACCCGGGCTCGACGGCGACCCGTTGCCCGACATGGCGGTCATGGATGGAGGTGCCGACTTCGACGATGATACCCGCAGAATCCTGGCCAAGGACTAGCTGACGTGAAAGGGAAGAGCTTTCCCAATTGTGGGCGTCAGAGCCGCAGATACTAGTGGACATGACTTGAACCACAATATCAGGCTTGGTCAATGGGACGTTGTTGGGTCCTGAGAGCGCGGGATGCTACCCAGACAACAGCGCGGTCGTAGTGAAATATGGGTACACTGTGATATGGAGAACAGATCTATGACAAGAATAGAGTAGGATGTGTTAAGTAAAACTTGTCGTTGCAGCACCCATTTAACAGCTTGGCGCGCACCGGGTCTCGGCCTGGGCAGATAGGGCTAGATAGAGCGTAATGAAGACAGTCACTCAGGCCTTCCCATCCACCCCCACTGGTATCCTCCCCAATAAGCACTTGCATTCTCTTCATCCCTTGGCTCATCCAAGCCGTAACAGCAACAATATCAGCACCGCAGTTAACACAATCAAACCCTTTTCCACCTCCTCGCTACCTCTTCTGCCCCAACGCAAAATGGCCCGCATACTTCCCTGCGTCCTTCGCAGCCTTTAAAACCCTCGCAATAGCCATGAGCACCTCTCCAATGCTTCCATGGTTAGAGTCTAACGCAACGTAGCCCATTGAGATCGCCAGATCATTCGGCCCGACGAAGAGCATATCGACCCCGTCCACTGCGGCTATCTCCTCACAGTTTCCCACAGCCTTCAGGGACTCAATTTGTACAATAGCCACCACCCGCTCGTTCACCGTAGCCAAGTATCCCCGCGATGACATGTTTAACGCTGAAAGCGCAAATATAGCCCCCGCGCCCCTCGTCCCTGCGATGGGTACCAACACCCCGAAACAATGTGCTCTTTTGTCTCTCACACATGGGCCTTGGTGTTCAGGGCCATTAACCTCGCGGTGCTTTCCCTTTGAGCTGTGAGTTGGCAGTCTTTTAGTCCCTCAAGACGTTTGCACAAATCATCCGTATGTTGGCAGCGTTCTTCGAAAGACGCAGCATCTCTATTCAGGTTAGTGTGTTGTTCAAACATTGAGTGAGGAAACGCACCGTCGGTTGGCGGAGGCATTATCATTACTATCCTGGAATTCGCATACCTGGTCTCTAAACTGGCAGTTATGGCAACGATCTTCTCCGGCGCATTTGATCTACCGTACTGTAACAGACCGGGCACTGACTGTAGAAGAAGAGAGTCTAAAAGAGAGGTGAAGAGATAAGGGAAATAGTTGGGGTTAAAAGCCTCTTAGTTAGCGAGTCTCTTGGTGAGACCCTGTATGCCCGAGTCTTATGGAATAGCTGATGATCCTGGGCTCCTTTTATCCATTGAGCAACATGGTGCTATGCGCGCTTTCAAAGGGTATGAGCGATACAAACCAGTGGCCCAGAGTCGAACATAAAATGCCTTCACATCATGGGCCTTCGGCTTCATCTTGCTTCTAAATGAGTGCTTATGGGCAAGGGCCGGAATCCAGTGTTTCAAGTAAGCCCAGCCGCGAACGGGTGGAGCGCGAGATCACAATAGGGGTGTCTCATGGTCTGAGCACGACCGGGCTTACCTACAGTTTGCGTGCACTTGGGAAAACATCCTATACTCCCCTCTCCTAGCTGTGGGTTGACATAATGCGCACCTCGGAGTATGGGCCTGGCATTGACGTCTGGCAGACTTCAATTTCGAAGTGTGAGCGGCACGACAAGCCTGCGAAACTACTTGCACTTGAAGAGCTAGATCGGTGCCACTAATTACATGTTAATAAACCTTGGGGATTCAACTCGAAGAATTGGAACATACCTGGTACATGTGGGAAACTCAACTCTCTACCTGTTTCGAGTTGCTAGAGCCGAAGGGTTGCGTAAGTGAGTTGTATAAAAAAGAAATGAGAAGATACCCTAATATTACATGACAGGGGTTGTAAAGAAATGCTATGCTACAATGACCATGAGTCCCAAGTGTCCATACTACCAGCGAAGAGTAGGTGAAGCGAAGCCTATGACTGCCGAAGCTTCGCAACTTCTCCTCTCGCCTGCTCCAGCATCTTCTCCTGGTCCTTCTTTGCCTGACGGATTCCGGCGACTCGTTTTCGGTCCTCCACTGCCTTTAGTCGCATCTGCTCAACCTTCTTCAACTCCACTTGCTCCTCTGTTGTCGGTGATACCTCCTGTGCGCCGGTCAATACCTTCACATTGTGCCAAATATCTGCGTATGGGAGGTTTTTGAGGTCGAGAACGGCGGTTTTTTCCGACGCAGAGGGTACAGGGGCATGCTGATCAGTCATGTTGGTGGCATTGCTTAACGCGGCTTTGCTGAGGTTTTCCGAGAAGTATATCGTCAAAGAAGCGGGACCTTCCTGGTCTGTGGTCTGTTTCACGGTCATAGGCACCGCTGGGTTATGGTACTTGAGTCGAGGAAGACAGTTCCGCCAAAAATGCCGCGCGCCCTGGTGTCCGCCATAAATCTTCCGCGCGTATGTCAAATGTAGGCGTGTGATGGCTGGGAAATCTTTAGTTGCCGTGGCTGCAGAGGGAAAAGTTGCGGCGCCTGTTCCGAGTCGGACATCGAGAAGCTGTGGTTTATGACCGTCAGTGTTTCGTGTTGAACGTATGAGAATTCGAGCAGGTGTTGGTTGATTAGATGCGGGAATGAGCGGTCACGGAATCGGAAAACCCGCAGGAAACTTCTGGAAAGATATTACCTTCTATAGTGAAAGAATAGTCAGTCAATTGGAGTTTGCATATGGGATGGAGGAGGATAACATACAGCTTTCAGTTTGTGTATCCGCTTCCACAGATTCGGCATGATGAGAAGTAGTATGTGTGCGACCAAGAAGTGCCCCACGGGAAGGATGTCGAGAGAATCGCACTAGAATGCAAGCCGAAATGAAGGGCATATAGAAACTGGGAACAGACTTGAGCTCGTCGCTGATTTTTGGCTTCGTCGGCGGAAAGAACCCGACCCGATAAGTTGCGCACGTGACTGTTATCACTTGTGGCAGGCGGTGAAGCTTTCCACGTCCCACATATTCTTTTTTGAGGCCCTTTTGATCAGGCCGAACCCCGCGGCTTCTATAGTCAATTGCTTGACTCATTTTGATAACCTCACGCATCAAGGCTCTTATTCTGCGGTTTGCCAGAAAGCAAACCACATATAGAGCTATGGCAGCCGCTGCTGCTTCCGCAGCTGCGCTTGATCCGAACAACAGCTCGAAGAATACCCTCAAGCTTGAAAATGTCATACCCCTCTTTCTGTCGTCGAGGCCGTGATCTTGAATTGTCTTGGGCTAATTTTACCACCTTACCTACAGACCGAAAAGCGAGACACCCTGGTCGCTATCGAGAAGAAATATCAGGCACAATGGAAGGAAAACAAGGTGTTCGAAGTCGACGCTCCCACATTGTCCGAAGTTCCTGCCGGGACCATGTCCGCTGCGGAGCTCCGCGAAAAATATCCCAAGTTCTTCGGTACTATGGCATACCCCTACATGAACGGTACTCTGCACGCGGGTCACAGTTTTACGGCCAGTAAGGTTGAGTTCATGGCTGCTACTGCCCGCATGGAGGGAAAGAAAGCCCTGTTCCCTCTTGGATTCCACTGCACCGGTATGCCCATCAAGGCGTGCGCCGACAAACTCGCCGATGAGGTCAAGAAGTTCGGAAAGTACTTTGAAGGTTACAAGGATGAGGATGAAAACACCTCCACCGTCGCCGCTCCTACCCAGGAGGTCAAGGGCGAACAACAAGAGAAGTTCTCTGGAAAAAAAAGCAAGGCCGCCGCCAAAACAGTGAAGATGAAGTACCAGTTCCAAATCATGTTGGCTATTGGCATTCCTCTGGAGGAAATCCACAAGTTTGCCGATGCGCTTTACTGGCTTCAGCACTTCCCTCCCCTTGCCATCCGTGATCTCGACAGCCTGGGAGCCGGTATCGATTGGCGCCGTCAGTTCGTCACCACAGATGCGAACCCCTACTACGACGCCTTCGTGCGCTGGCAGATGAACCGCCTTCATGAACTCGGCAAAATCCAGTATGGTAACCGATACACCATTTACTCTCCCAAAGATGGTCAGCCCTGTATGGACCACGACCGAACCGAGGGCGAGGGTATCGGTCCCCAAGAATACACCGCAATGAAGCTCCGAGTCAAAGAGTGGGCTCCTGAGATTGCCGAACTGGTAAAGGGCAAGATTGAAGACGATGCCAAGGTCTACTTCGTTCCTGCCACTCTGCGCCCAGAGACCATGTATGGTCAAACTTGCTGTTTCCTCGGCCCCAAGATCGAATACGGAATCTTCAAGGTCAAGGAGAAGGAGTACTACATCTGCACTAAGAGAGGTGCTTGGAACATGGCTTTCCAGGGAACCTTCTTCGACAGCGAGCACTTCCCCAAGACTCAGGACCAGCTGCCTACCGTCCTAACGGCCCCGGGATCCGCCTTTGTCGGCACGCTTGTCGACGCTCCTCTATCATTCCATAAGGAGGGTGTACGTATTTTGCCCATGGAGGGTGTGTCTGCTTCTAAGGGTACCGGTGTGGTCACGTCCGTGCCGTCGGACAGCCCTGATGACTACGCTACCTTGTTGGACCTTGCGAAGAAGCCCGAATATTATGGTATCAAGAAGGAGTGGGCTGAACTTGAGATCTTCCCTCTCATCGAGACTCCCACGTATGGAAACCTCACCGCTCCTACGTTGGTGAAGCAACTCAAGATCAACTCTCCTAAGGACGTTAATCAGCTCGCGCAGGCCAAGGAGTTGGCTTATGGGGAGGCCTTTTACAAGGGTACTATGATTGTCGGAGAGTTCAAGGGCGAGCCTGTGAGCGCTGCTAAGGATAAAATTCGCAAGGCTCTGTACGAGAGTGGGGATGCCTTTGCCTTTGCCGACCCTATGGGCAAGGTCGTCAGCCGAAGTGGAGACGACTGTGTTGTCGCTTACCTTGGACAATGGTTCTTGAACTACGGTGAGAACGATGCAGAATGGCAACAGGAGACCCTCAACCACGTTGCCAACACGCTCAACACATACGCCAACGAGACCAAGAACGGTTTCGAGAAGAACCTTAGCTGGCTCAACCGCTGGGCGTGTGCCAGAACATACGGCCTCGGCTCAAAACTCCCCTGGGACCAGCAGTTCCTTGTTGAAAGTTTGAGCGACAGCACAGTCTACATGGCCTACTACACCATTGCGCACCTTCTGCACAGCGACCGCTATGGTGAGACCAAGGGCCCTCTCAATCTCACCGCTGATCAGATGATCGATGAGGTCTGGGACTACGTTTTCTGTAGGCGCGAAATCAGCGATGAACTCGTCACTAAGAGCGGCATCAGCAAGGATGCTCTTCAAGCAATGCGGAGAGAGTTCGAATACTGGTACCCTCTGGACGTTAGGGTTTCTGGAAAGGACCTGATTCAAAACCACTTGACCTTCTTCCTATACATTCACATTGCCCTCTTCCCTCCAGAGTACTGGCCTTGTGGTGTTCGCGCGAACGGACATCTGCTCCTGAACGGTGACAAGATGAGTAAGAGTACAGGAAACTTCCTGACCCTGAAGGACGCCGTTGACAAGTTCGGTGCCGATGCTACTCGGATTGCCTTTGCTGATGCGGGTGATGGAATTGAAGACGCTAACTTTGAGGAGAGCGTCGCCAACAGCAACATTCTGCGTCTTTTCACATTGAAGGAGTGGATCGAGGATGTTATCAAGGATGACAGCCTGCGTACCGGTCCCGCAGATCACTTCTGGGACAAGGTTTTCGACAACGAACTGAACTCTCTGGTTCGCGAGGCTAAGAAAAACTACCAAGAGTGCGTCTAAACTCCATTCCAGGCTGACTCGTGCTAACCTCGAAATAGTACAAACTTCAAGCTTGCCCTAAAGTCTAGCTTGTACGACTTTGTCAGTGCCCGTGACGCCTACCGTGAGGCTGCCACGTCCGCCGGTATTGGAATGCACCGTGATGTTGTCTTGCGTTATGTCGAGCTCCAGGCGCTCATGATGTCGCCAATTGCGCCTCACTGGTCCGAGTATATCTGGCTCGAGATTCTGAAGAAGGTACGTGCCTCAGTCCTTCGCCACACTCAATTTATCTGACAACCATAGCCCGAAACTATTCACCGTGCTACTTTCCCCGAGGTCCCCGAACCCTCTCCTGAGCTGTCAGCTGCCACTAGCTACGTCCGCGCGACCGCATCAAGTATCCTCTCCGCAGAAGCCACATTTGTCAAGAAGCTTTCCAAGGGCAAAGCCGCAGCCTTCGACCCTCGCAAGCCCAAGAAGATCACCATCTACGCCGCTAAGAAGTTCCCCTCATGGCAGGAGAAGTACATCGACCTTGTCCGCGAGGCCTTCGATGCCGTCAGCCTCTCAATAAACGACAAGGACCTAAACGCCAAGGTTGGCAAGCTCGGTGAAATGAAGAAAGCCATGCCTTTCGTGCAAGGGCTGAAGAAGCGCCTTGTCCAGAGCAAGGAAGCGCCTGAGATTGTTTTTGACCGGAAACTGCCGTTCGACGAGTTTGCTGTCCTGAAGGAAATGACGGTTAACTTGAAGAAGACGACAGGGGCTAACGAAATTGAGGTCGTTGCTGTTGATGAGGGGGGTAAGTCTGGTAAGGTTGTGGGATCTGGTGAGAAAAGGGAGGGACTTTTGGCCGAAAATGCTGTTCCCGGCCAGCCAACATTTAGCTTTGCCAATGTTTGATTGACTGAGACATAAACTAGACATACAGAATAAAGTCACGAATATTGAAGGTTCAAAGGCACGAATATCGAAGGCAGAGACATGAATGTTAAGAGCTTAAAAGCCTAAATATCAGAAATTTACTAGGTAAAATTGAGACCATGATCAAAGGCGTGGATGTTAAGGGCTCTTGACGCCTTTTTCAAGCGTACACTCGGCTCCAACCAGTACACCGAGAAGGGGACTTTTGATAGACGAGTCGCACAAGAGAACAAAGTTGGTTGCCCGTTTCTGTACTCGCAGAAAAGGCGTGGACTGAAGTTGGCTGAGCTTATGGTTCAACAGCGATGGCGAGACCTTTCAGAAGCATCAAGCCGAGAAGGAAGGGCCTCCAAGTATTGAGTATCCATGGCTTTGCCCTTGCTAGCGGTGCCTTTGTTAGCTAAGACTCAGCACTAAGAGCTCTATCCCAACTACCTGGAAGGTGCAAGGTAGGGAATTAAGTCACTTGTCAAGGAAGAACAGTATCTCTGCTAGATACAAGGCATTTAAGCCCATCAGTTCACCGCTACTTAGTAAATTCAACCGTTTACAGAACCTTCTGGTCATCAACCTCACCCCGCTGTATGGCAACCGTTCAAACAGGATGCTCAGCTACCTCCGGATCCCTACAGGAGGCCGACACGAGGCAGTGTCTGCTATGGCATTCTATTACAATACAGAACAGTTGGAACGTACTAAGCTCTTTTCTTATAACGGACCGTGTTAGGAGCGAGGAAAGGATATAGAGGAGGGGATGGTACCAGGTCATTACGCGCTTCTACAACTTGGCCTGAAGGATCCGTACTGTGGAGAAGAGTTAAGGAATGGAACAAAACGAATCTATATGAAATAATGGCCGTAAAGAATACACTAAAGGTAAGGATGATGTCGGTTGTTGAAGATGTTTGGAGAGAGATTGGAGGTTCTTATGGAGGTTGTCAAGCGGCCTTTTGCTCTTTCTATAACACAGATCCCGCAAGGCCCATATAGAGACATATCAAGGTTGGTATGATGGTGACTCAAGGCTACCTAGGGAAGATAATACACGGAGACCCCCTTCTGCCTTGATCCAGACCCCTACTGCCTCCCTAAAGAGGAAACTAGCAAGAATAGGGCTACGCCCACTGCAGCAAGGATCTTGCACAGCAAAAAGGTCTTGAAACTAGAGAACTATTAAGAAATTACACTCTTCGCAAAAGGGTCTCCAAACCACGGTGGAGTTATAGGCGAGTATTAATTGAAAGGTCTTTTTGAATAAGCAGAGGTCTGACGTAGATTCAAGTAGATGTTCATGAAGCTTTAGCTTGAGGTTCAAGGGGAGGAATAAGTGGGGGGTAAGCAAAGAGGTTTGAATAATGGCCATGAAGGTAAGCAATGTCTTTTAGAGGTGGTGTACAGGGAGGCTTAAACGAGCATCTTACAGGATATAGATAAATAAAGTTGAATGACAACTATAAATAATTCCCTAAAGGTAAGGATAAATGTTGGTTGCTAAAGATGTTTGGGGCGAGATCGAAGGTTCTTATGGAGGTCGTCACGTACCTGGGTCGCCCTCAGCCCTTCCCTACAGTATCAATTTCTACTTTCTACTAAAGGAGCACAAAAGACTTTCCAGCAGCAACCCAATAGGAGAATTTACAGCTGGTGGGGGACAGAAAGGCCTATGGAGTAACCCTAATGCTGTACAACGCGAGACGTCCATGCACGCCAACCCAATGATCAAGGATGCTAATGGCTCGGCAAATGACCTCATTGCTATATTTAACTTTATTATGAGACCGTACGGAGTACTGCTTCCAGGAATGTCGATCTTGGTGAATCTCAAGAGTTATTGGTACAGTGTGCTTCCAGTTGTCCTGGGGGCGGATGACGTCAGGGGCGATATGTTGACGACGAGGCGGCCTACAGGGTATATAATACAGCAGCTCCATTCTGAGATCGTAGTACTTCAAATAACCTTCAATCATTCTCACGAATACCCAAACAAATTCTCAAAGCCAAACTTACATACATACCTCAACACCTACAAACCCTAACTCAAACCAAAACCAAACCACAACCAACCAAAATGCCCAACAACACCTGGTCTGACGACTCCGACAAGGGTGTGACCGGCGCCGCCAAATTCGTCACCTCAACGCTCGGCAACACCGTCGGCGGAGTCTCGAGGACAGTCGGAGGCGTCACGGGCGCAGCGACCCGCGGTGTTGGGGGTACCATCAACAGTGCCACTGGAAGTGCCGGGAAGCCTGTCGGAGATGCCTTGGGCAGTGCGGGAACAGGGCTCGAGGATGGACTGAACAAGGTTGGGAAGGGAGTTGAGAATGCGGGACAGTGGAAGTGATCGTATTCCTTCAGGACATGATTTGAGATGTTGACTTTATGACTTATGTGGTTTAATGATGTGCTCTTGAATGCCAAGTATATAATTGTCTTGATGAACTTGCTGTTTCCAAGTGTGAGGTTATGATTAGGACCTTATGGTCTTGACCAATCTATTTATATACGTCAGACAGGAATACTCCTGGAAAGGGATCAATAGCTTACCTCCCTAACCCCTCTCGTAAAACATGCTCGTCATGTGAGTAGACCAACCTGAACCAACCTAAGTCCTTACAGTGCTCCTCGCCAGGGTGCAAGAAGAGTCCATTATCGAGGAGTTTCTGCGCAAGGGTGAATTCACGCTCTTGAGGCTGTAGTGTCCCATCATTGGGCAAGTATGGCGATAGATCGATGTACACGAAGAAACCGGCATTACTATGACAGCCAGATTAGGTTGAATGCATCTTATCTACTTGGTGAGAACGGCTCTTACCCTCCCTTGATGTAGTTGATACCCTCCTCGTCAAGGATCGATGTAGTTATCCGGTAGGAGTGGGCGAGATCTCTTCTCGATTTCTCGGCAAAATTGGCCACAAACTCCTCGTCTTGCAAGATTGTCGTTCCAATCGTCTCTACTGCAGATGAGGGACCGTGGAATCTCCTGTATTAAGCCTCTTCAGCAGTGCACTGTGCTGATATGAGCGGACTCTATTAGGCATACACTATGGCCGATAGCGCCTTACGGAGTTCGGCGTTGTGAGAAACTATGAATCCCAAATGGAGACCACCAGAAGCAAAGTCCTAGATCTATTGTTTAGTCTTTTCGACGTTGAAGCTGGGAGAAAGTGCTTACTTTGCTAAACCCGTACAATACATGCACCAGGTTTATATCAATTAAGTCCGGCGTAGCGAGAGACAGCACAGACGTAAAAGTGGGTGCATCCGGATACCCAGAGTCAAATACGCATAATGCATAAATCTCATCGCTAACGAGATGAAGCTGATGCTTGTTACAGAATTTCAGGATCTCAATGAGAGTATCTGTGGGATAACATCGGCCTATTTCTGTCAATGACACGGACAATCAGACAATCGTTATAGCAAGCGAAGAGCTCACCAACAGGATTATGCGGGTTGACAATAACCACTGCCTTTATCCTGACGCCCTTCGCCTCTGCATCCGCCAGTGCCTTCTCATACTTCTCAATACAAGCCGTAGAGAACGCCTCGTCGGGATCCGTATCCGCATAAACAATTTCAACACCACCCTGAACTCCGTAGTCAAGCTCAAACCGGCCATATACAGGCCTACTAATAAGGACCCCGTCCCCAGCTTCAGCGAGAGCAAAGGCGAGCATGTTTCCGGCCGCGGAGCAGCCGTTCGTTTTCACCACCATTTCAGGATCAATAGGTTTGCGAGGCTTTAAATACTTGTTTAGATGGGAGGCCGCGGCACCTGCAAGAGGTTGCTCGGCCGCCATCGAGCCGTAGCAGATTGAGTCTGTGTTGAACTTCACCTGTGTTTATTCGTAAGTTTTTTGTGTATACGCGATGGGGTGGAATAGGCACGTTATTGTTTATATACTCAGCTACGTCAGTTCGTACTGGGACCTGAATCATCATTAGACTTGACGATGAATTTTCTCTTTGAGACAAGTGAGTGTCCTAACATGCTCTGCCAATCCGAGGGAGATAACGCCTCCAGGGTTCGTTTCCTTGTTGTATGTCGGCGCAACGGCATAACGCCAGGGGATATCGAACGTGTCTGCATTCTTTTTACCACGGGAGGAAAGCATTGCTCTGAGGAATGGAGATATATCCTTATGGATTGAGGCAAATGGGAGTGCTTGGAGGCGCAGGGGAGATGGACAAGAAATAATATCAGTGCGGGGGGGGGGGCCGTAGGGGAGGGAGAACCCTGCGAGTGCATCTGCAGCGATGATGAATACGGTCCACATCATCCTACTCGGAATAGTGAGTTTCAGATTAGAGATGACTCATGGTTTAGTGATGCTAAGTTAAATATCAAGCAAATTATAGGGAAAAATTCCTGTCACTATTCCTGTTTCGTCCGCGACTAAACATAAGGACGCTCCTTATGCCGACATGGCGCATACCAAAGTTCATTCTCATGATTACATCCCGTCGAAGTGGTGGCAGCTGTTATTCTAGAGGAAGCGAACAAGAGTCAATATGATGCCCGGGGTCAACCTTCCCGCTTGACCTGGACATGTTAATGCACGCTATCAACGGTCCCTTGACCAGAAAGAGGTATTCTATACTATTATACACTTGGGTTCTATCCAAAACTCCGATCGCTATGCTATACAGTAATATACAAATGCTGCTGTGGGGGCATGATAGTCATCGCTCGACGCTCACAGCTTCCCTTGAGAACCCAAAATCCGTTTGGTATGCGAAATACTTTGGCGCCCCCGAGACCCTATTCTGCGCCGATCGTGTTTTTTCTTTTGCTCGGTGAGTCCAAAGCATTCGATAGGCTTCCGCGATGCAATATGCTTTCCATTGGGAGTGAAGACTTCAACCTGGGGGAAGGACTTCGCTAGCTCATCGCCATCCTGTGTAGGCTTTGCGCGGATTTGAGCAGTCAGCTCAACCCAGCCACATCCCTCAATCAGGATATCAGCGGACATGACCCTATAAGGCAAGTCGGGTACCTGCTTCATCCGTTTGTCTTTGATTGCCTGGGCGATAGTGCCCGGAAGGTGTGATCTGGTCACGTCCCATTTAAGGTCGAACACTCCGGCGGAGGATACTAATTCGCCCGTACCTTCTATGACGATGTTCGTTTTAGGATACGGGCGCGACTGTGCCTGCATCTCAATAGCCTTCTCCGTTTTTGTGAGATGGGCTTCAATTGGAACGAAGCATGCGGCAAGCACTATAGCATCGGGATCCACTGGAGTGATCCGAACAAGGCCACTTCCAAGGAGTAGGGACTGGCCGGGCTTGATGGTATGTCGCTCAGGCTTTTGACGCTTGGTCATGATAAGGTCGCGCTTGTATTCGTCAAGGACGTACTGAGAAAGATCCGGGCGATCAAGCCCAGGAAGGTCGATAACTTCACCTCTACCACGGCCGAATGGAATCCGGATCGGCGAAACCGTAGTACCGGGAAGTGGGGATACGACTGGAAGAACAGGATAGAGATCCTCTTTTGGCGCAGGCGGAAGTAGGCCATCAGAGGTTAGAGCAGACTGGTCGTAAGAATCGCGCAATTCCTGCTGTCGGCGTTCAACAAGATCCACCATTTTTTCAAAGTTTTTCGAGTCCTTTGGGAGGCATGCTTCAACAAAGCTGCTTTTGCCCACATTGGTTTTTCCTACAATCCAAAGACCGCCACCGTGATCTCGCATCTCCTCCTTGACCTTACTTGTCCACCAGCCCCTTTGGGCGCTGATCATGTGAACATTGCCCATGCGGAATTCCTCATTCGGGATTCTCAACTTTTCACGTAGGACTGATCGGACGTACTCCATTTTCGAGTCAGCCAATTCTTTCGTCGGCGCCAAGAGATCCGAGCGCGTGATAATGAACGAAATAGTCGGCAGTTTCCTCCCGTGTTTGTATTTATGCATTGCAGCTCGCCGATTGTGTGACCGCTGTTCTTGAATCGAGAGCTCTTCGTATATCCCGTCGACAACCGACATCGGAAAGTCCGCCGCATCGACAACATGGTATATTCGGTTGTCTCTGTGTGGAGTTTCATCGAGATAAGCTCGAATGGAGTGTATAGTCGGCGAGATCACGGACACGCCTTTGTTGTGGTGTCGCAGCTCGTGGCATCTATCGCAAATTTGTACAGGCTGTTGCGACTTTTCGAGATATTTGCCAACGGTCTCGGTTGCGTTTCTGAGCAAGACATCCCCACCTAAGTAACGAGTTTATAAGTAATTGGGTGTATATTGCTGGGACGAGTTCACTCACGGCCGGGCCTAGGGGTTGCGCTCGTCTTTTCAAGCACTTCGTTTATCGTCGACAGAGCCTCTTCATGTCCCAGATTTTCTTCCTTATTGGCATCATCTTGTGCTTGTCGTGTTTGTTTCCTGGTTTTGCTGTAGTATCCTGGCTCGTTTGGTTCGACTGTTTGCGAATACGCGCCGCAGCCTGGGCAGCATAGAGGTAGACTAGACCCGAAATCCTCTGGAAGTTTTGTGGAGGCTGATTCGGTGACTATTGGGATGTGTGCCGAGTCTGTCGATAGGTTGCGCAGTTGCGGTCTCGATAGCGGACTTCTGATATCTAGACTCGAGATGTTCCTCGGCCGGGAAAAATTGAGGAACCGTCGGGGCTGCTGTCTAGGCAATAATAGTCTCTGCCTCGGCGTAAAACCCCTCGGGATTGTACGTCTCAGGAGCGACGACATTTTTTTTTAATGAAGGATTTAAGAGCGGAGGGAAAAGACGGAGTTTTGCGACAGAAGAAATTCATCAATTCCTCCGCATTGATGGTCCGTGCCACTATCCGTTCCCCGTGGCAAATCACCGGCTATCGACGGAAACAAGGCAAACATCATACAGCTTGCATAGAGCTGTGCGCTGGAAAGAACTTATGTTTCCAGAGATGTACAGATGTACAAAGTCGAAGACGTGCGCCGAATTACAAAGATGAAACTGAGTTATAAACGCCCAACCCCAGGTAAAAGAAAACATCAGGCTTTCGCTTTTCCTTTCCCTGTTTCTGCAGCAGTTTCCTCTTCCTCCTCCGAATCGCTCATGAACTCATCGTCATCGTCAAATCCAATGTACCTCCTAGGCGCTGCAGCCTGCGATGGACCAGCCTGTGCAAGCGCATCTTTTACTTCCTCTTCCTCATCGCTCTCTTCGGAAGCGGAGGGAGTCTCCTGGCCACTTCCTTCACTGGCACTCGTACTGGAGCCACCTAGAAGATGATCCCTCAGATTATCCGTCCAAACGCCTTCCTTCATAGCCGCCAAGACCGCCTCCCTAGCCTTCTCGTTCATCTCGTCCTTATCTTCCATCCACTGACCATCTATCTTTTGCTTTCCGCCTCCATTCTTGAGTTCCTCCTGGCGCTTTTCCGCGGCTTCCACAACGGCCTGCCACCTGCGCCGCCGCTCCTCCTTTTCCTTTTTATCCATCTCTGGCTTCACAGCAAGGTATTCCGCAAGTGCCTTAGCTTCGTTGACCGTACGGAGACGGCGACCATCAAGATTACGGCTGGATCCATTGTCGTCGCCTTGGTTGCGCTTGCGCCGGCTTGACATGCGCCCACCGGCAGCACGGAGCTGTGACCCGAAACCACCTTTCCCTCCGCACATGGGGACGCTAAGGCGGAGGGGAAGAAGGGTGGATGCTGAGGTCGCTTCATCACTTGGTGAGATGAATTCGGAAATCGGAAGTGCAGATGGCAGTATTTGTTTGTTACTCGTAGTCGTCAAAACAAGGGACTGCAGCGTTATGGAGGAGGGGATGTATGACGAAACTTTGTCGCATAGATCTGATAGAGTCGACGTCGCCGGAAGGGCGAATGCGACTGTAGAAGGAAGCGAAAGTCCTGGGAAGGATGAGAGGAGGACGTTCACTTGCGACACGGGCATCTTGAAACTGTTCGGCGTATCCACCGTAGAATATGAGATGTGAATGATCGATCTAGTGAGGTAGAATGTAAAGGTCGTATGTATAGGCTTCTCTCCGAGAGCGAATCGTTGTTCAAGATCAGAGATGGGGGAGGCGTTGAAGTCCAGGCCCATGTGGTTCGTGATAAGATTAAGCGGAGCAGAGGACCAGAGTCACCTGACCTCATAATTTGCCACATGACCTTATCTTATCTAAATAGGGCCATAACCCTACAGCCACCGAAAGAGGAAGCGCCGCACTTTTAACTCGGCAGTCCGCCGCTCCACTCCCATCATAATTTCAACCAACCTCTTCGCGTTGTCAGAGCGATTCCCCGAAGAGCACCAGGAACTCGCGACAATGTAAGGATTGCCCCTTGAACTTGAATTGATTGAGCATGTTTGCTGATAACTATCCAGGCTTATCCCCAAGGAAGACCGCAAGAAGATCCACGAGTACCTCTTCCGCGGTATGTGAAGCGAAATCGTCGTCGGCGGACCAAGTCGAATTGCTGGAAGAAAAGAAAACTGACTGCTTTGTGATGTACAGAGGGTGTACTCGTGGCTAAGAAGGACTTCAACCTTCCCAAGCACGGCGACATTGACACCAAGAACCTCTACGTGATCAAGGCCTGCCAGTCCCTCAACTCCCGCGGCTACGTCAAGACCCAGTTCTCGTGGCAGTACTACTACTACACCCTCACCCCCGAGGTACGCCCATAATGCTCCGAAAAGACCGTCGCAAGTTGCGTCCTGAAAATTCGCCATTCTAATTATGTTCTACTCACAGGGTCTCGACTACCTCCGTGAATGGCTTCATCTCCCCGCTGAGGTTGTCCCTGCTACCCACATCAAGCAGCAGCGCTCCCACGCTCCCCCTCGCGGCATGCTGGGTGGTGAGGAGCGCGAGCGTCGTCCCCGTCCTCCTCGTGAGGGTGGCTACCGTCGCCGCGAGGAAGGCAAGGAAGGTGGCGCCCCCGGCGAGTTCGCTCCTAGCTTCCGTGGTGGATTCGGCCGTGGCCGTGGCGCTCCCCCTTCTTAAGGTGATGTCGCCCGGTCTTCCGAGGGTTTCCGAAGGCGTTGCTAGTGTGGTTTGAGTAGGCTCGAAATAAGAGTCAGAAATTACTGCATCTATGCACGCCTGGATCAAAAATGTCCGTGTATTTCCTAGATAGGATAATGGCATGATCATGACAAAGACCACTTCTCGCTTTGTAAACGCTTTTTCGTTGTACTTGTTCCGGTTACACCATCGACCACATGTAGAGGCCTGTGCTTGAGACCAAACCCTAATGCTCCTCGAAATACTATTCCGTTTGCAGCAAAAGACAGCCCCTTCACAGGTACTTCGACATATATTTGATTCTACTTAAGAGCTTCGCACGCATGAATGCTATAAAATGCCACCTTAGGTCATTGAAAAGCAAATGATGAAATATCCAAACACCGAACCAGTAACTCCGAATCGCTGAAAAACCGCGCAGGAAAAGCCACCATATGATAACACATTCTACTGCAGGCAGAGAATGAAACTGCTATGGAGAAGCAGTTGATAGACACCGAAGGTTATAAAACAATAAGTAGGCGTCGACGCCGAGGACTTCGGCTTCGGTAACCGGTGTGACTTGGTCGTCGTTAAAGAGCATCCACTGCTGATGTTAGTGCAAAGTGACAGCTGGAATGGAAGTAGCCTAACACACCTCCTCGCCTTGACGACAGTAAACATAGTAATGACCTGCCTCGAGTTTCCCCTTGTGGACAACGGCAGATGATAGGTCGTAAATGTATCTGGATTTGTCAACCGCGGTGTCTGGATTTGTCGTGTAAGGGAGCATATTGATTGATAAGGGAAAGTCAATACGGCCTTCGAGCTTTTCAGAAACAGCAAAAGTGTGCTCAAAGCGCTGCACATGAAGTCAGTAATGTTCTCACGATCAATGATCAGGGATAGAAACTACCTTTAACTGCATGCACAGAATGGCTGGAAGTTTCTTGATCTGTAGCTGTTTCGTAGCCTTTTGAGGCGTCCCTCCACACCCGTCACAATTGTATACATCCGCCATGAGTTTCTCCGGAGATGTAAAGCTTTCTAAACACCCGCTGAGCGTGGGGGCTGTAGAATGTCCGCTGCCGCCTCCTCCCATGACCCGTTTCTTCGCTTGCACGTCCAGACTCAGATCAACAATTGGATCTTCAGTCTTAGTAACATTTCCGCATTTATCACAGGTAACGCTGCTTCGAAGTTTGCCGTAAAAGGTTCTGTGAAAGAAGCAGTGACAACCTTTTCCATGGCCCTCCCGATGCCCCTCAGCACTAGCGTGCAGCTTGTCTACGAGAAACTGGTAATACTCATGTGCGTCTTGCTGCTGATATCCAGCCAATGCCTGATACCGAAGTTAGAAATGAGTGAGATACTAGAAGGGGGTCCGTACCGGACTTGCACGCCATGAGGCGAGTAGGAGATTCAGAGCAGCGAAGCCCTCTGGCTTGTCGATGGTGTTGAAATCGGCGAATGCTTCAGCAACGGCACATCCAATACAATCGTTGATTGTGCAATCATGCGGTTGGTGTCCGTTGCCGAGAAAGTACGTATTGAGGATGGGGTCGTGCAACATCGTTTGCAGAATGACATTAAGATAGCAGGTCTGGCCAAGATTGAAGAGGCCCCTGACACCTTGCTTTGCACAAGGGCGTTTGTTTGCGTTGCTCTTGACGTAGAGCTCGTCAGCCGAGCTGTCACTGAACCGCCGTCTCTTCGCGACTGCGAAGGTTAGCTTCTGAAAACTAACTTTATGCCTTCCTAACAGACCTTCTAATGAACTTTCAGGTGTAGAAGATCTAGAACGCTCAAGGCCATGGTCATATACTAAGTCCTCACAGCCCTGGCAGAATAGCGCGCGGCTTCGAGATTCCATGTCTGAAAAACGATTAACAAGCACATTCTCGAGCGAGCGGGGGCCGGTGACTTACAAAACTGATGACCAGTTTTCTCTGTGTGTATTCTCCGATCACCATTCATAAAAGGCTCAGAGCAAGTCACACAAGTATACCTCGGTTTCAGAAGGCCGGAAGAAGCGGTTTTGCTCGAGGCATCGCGACGCCCGAGGGAATTATGCGTTTTGATGAACGAGGTCTTGAACTGGTTATTGACGACCCCATCTTGCATGAGTACAGATGCAAGATGCTCTTCATATTTGTTAGTCCCCAGAGATCAATATACTCAGAGTGCTCATACCACATCCAAACTCGGCCTCCGAAAGGAGTGAAACAGACGCCACCGTAGCCATTGCAGGAACGGATAATATATGACGTAGCGATAACTGGTTCGTAGAGAGCGTTGCTGACGTAGAGAACTATGAGCTATACGGGAATGCGACAAGAGGAAGAGGGTCGCTTGTGAATCGAGAGTTGAGGCCGGAAGTAGAGTCGATTGTTCTAGTCGCTGAGCGGATACACAAAGAAGCCATGGATTGAGACCATTTCACGATGCAGCGTGTTTCAAATCTCCATCTTATTGTATCAGACGTAGCTTCACTGGATAATAGGATGATTGTTGGGTCGCCGCGAAAAGTGGAGGGCTTGAATTGTAGGACTGGGGTGAATAGAAGTGTTCTCCGCGGTCAATCACCACTCCGCTGTCGGGGGATCAAGCCAAATACTGTGGGAACAAGGGTGTTAGATTAGCTCCACAATAGCAAAAACGGCACACTAACCAAGACAGAATACTATCTTGTAAAGTATCTAAACACTTCAAGGCCGGATCAGCGGATGTTAAGGTCGAGGATAGTTAGGAAACTTTTCTTGAATCTAACTGCGGCTCCGGACGATAAGGATTCGGGCCTGCATTTGATCCGAAGATGGCAAATATCTATGTACGACTTATAACTTCACTGTTCAACTTCATAGCTACACACCAGTAAGGCATTGTTTCATTGCTATAGACAAGTGGTCTGGCGCTCTCCTATTTCGACGTGTGGTCTACGAATACTATGTATGCTCGACCTTGCATGGCGTACGGAATACAGCGCTGGGCTAGAGAGTATTTCAATCTCAGCATGCAAGACAATCGGGCTCTTCTGAAAGCTACCGCTATTCAAAGTCTGATTGCGCAGCAACGATCAACTTCCGAAGCTCAGTCAGGCTGCTTGGTGCGCCTGATGGGAAACTTTGACTGGCGCCTATCGATTGACCGGAAGATCGTAGCATTGTGCAGTAGGATACCACAGCCAAGCTGTTCGATCGGGTTCGTGTATATGGAGCCAGATGTTTAGACCTCCCATAACTTATACCATTTCCTGAATTCATCGCGTGCTCTTGCCTCGTGGCAAAGCGCTTGGACGACCTCGACTGGATCCCCTTGTTGCATAGCGACTGACTGTTGAACCGCGTGTGCTGGATCCCCTGCCGCTACCACGAGCGCGTGAAGGCTTTGGTGTAGGCTTGGAGGAAATCGTACTCGGAGGGTTCTCAACAAAGGTTGTATCCGTGGTCCTGCAGATCAATGCGGTGTCAGGAGCAGGCGAATATACGATCGACTTAGGCGACTTACATGAATGTCATATCGGCTTCATTGGGCTTCGTCAAGTCATCTTCGGCCTCTGTACTCCTGTTAGCCAACCCACGTCTGCAGCATGCGGCGGACTCTACCTTTCTGGGGCTCAGCCTGTTTCGCCCTTCTGAAGGACTCAGCAATTGGTGCCTTAAGATCGTCAGCGAGAATAAACATCCAATAAACAGACTATCGTTAAGCAAACAATACCTCTGGAAAGTCGACACAAAATGCGTTCATGTTCATGCCATAGAGGAAACCGGCAAAGCTCTCGGTAAAGCGCGTCAAGCTTTCATGCATGAGTTGTAGGTGCATGAAATTGGCCTCCAAATCAGCCATGGAGTCGGCAAGCTCTGCAAATTGCGGCTCGAGGGCATTGATTGCCGGTTGATTATAGCCTGCGCTCCCAATACTGCGGCCATATCCATGCGCTTCGCGGACAGAAGATCGAGAACTCGGTCTCAGCGGAGTTGTGGGCCGTGACGAGGGCCGTGGACGCGATGATGACCGGGGAATATCCATCATTGACTACTTGTCGTCTAGGGGTTGCGTGTCTGGTGACTTGAAGGCCAAATCAAAACAGAAGAGAATGCGCAGTTGAGGCTGCTGCGGCGTTCGGAACGTATACGCGTTCGAGAAGTGTATAACTAACCAAAGATGGTCACAAAGCCAGTATCAAAGTGATGGTGATAAATTTCCGCGACTACACCGTCAAATTAAGCAAAGATTTGGAGAAGCAGGTGTGTTTGTTGAGTCTTGAGTGCTAGTGACACCGGATGCTCCCCGCTCCACAGGCACTAAAGACTAAAAGTAGAAGAGCCGTCCGCTGTGAGCCTTGGTCATGGATACTACGTACCATGGAGATTGGGACCCTCGGAGATTCATGGGTTTGATCGTTCAAAGTGGTCCAAAAATCTGACTTGACTCACTTGTAAGAAGCTCAGTTTCAGGGCTCTCTCGCGATGGCGCAAGACCATGGATGAAGTGGATGATAGGCAGCCAGTTACTTAACACAGGCTCGGTTAGTGCAGTTGCTCGGCTCCTCGCGGTTTTACTCTCCGTCTCCTTCGCTGAATCGCTTCGCTTCCCCGCATCGAATCACCCCAGGCTATTTTGAAGACACTACACGACGCACGTTTCAGGGAGGGACAATCGGCGCTGATATCGGACTCTCTGGCACGCGGGCTCATCTCCATTCGCCGTCTTCCATCCACAACGCCTCTTTTTCTTCGTCATTCGCTGCACGGGCGTATGCATGCCCTTACCTTCTTGCATCGCCGCCTCCACTGTTCCTCGGCCAAATCAATTCAATCTGCTTCTTATCTGCTAGGACAACCATCTCGACGTGCTATCGCGTTATCCGACCCCCGGTTCAGCCTAGTTTCGGCGCTGTCTTGTCCCAGTACACGGACATTCTCCACCTCCCCATTATCCTCCTCCCAGGAACCGAGGAAGGCTTCGACCTTTTGGGCGATCACATTCACCGTGCTTTTCGCTAGTGGAGGGGTTTGGATAAAGGATAAATACTTTCCGTTGGGGAACAACAACCTTCCCCAGTCAATTGATTCCGTCGAGCGCAAACCCGAAGACGAGAAAGACCTTTTTCTTGGCGTACTCGATACCCTCAAAACCATGCCTATCGAAGCTGCTCCCGGGACCGTGGGCAACCTTACCCCAGAACAAGAGGTGAAGCTCCAAGAGTTCTGGATCCTCTTGTTCAAAGTGTTCGGTATTCAATTAGAAGGCATTGAAGAAAGCGAACAGCGGCCTCCAAGCCCTGTTCAAGAAAAGAAGGCGGCGCCCAAACGACGGTTCGGATTCTGGGGAGGAGGCTCCCAAGAGAAGGAGGAGCCCGCCACCGCCGACAGTGCCGCAACTGGAATTGCGGGCCTCACCATCACCGATGGAGACGACAAGTTTGGGACGTCAAAAGAGTTTCAGAAGGCGCTGGCTGAGATGAAACCCGAAGATATCCGGATCGCGTTCTGGAGCATGGTTAAGCAGGACAACCCTGACAGTTTGCTCTTGCGCTTCCTGCGTGCTCGGAAGTGGGATACGAAGAAAGCTCTCATGATGTTGATTGCAACCATCCGTTGGAGATTGCTTGAGGCGAAAGTGGACGATGATATCATGATCCACGGTGAGCATCTTGCTCTGGAGCAAATTGAAAACGGTACTCCGGCCGAGAAAACAAAAGCGGAGGAATTTCTGAAACAATTCCGCTTGGGCAAGAGTTTCCTTCACGGTGTCGACAAATCAGGCCGCCCTATTTGCGTCGTTCGAGTCCGTCTGCACCGCGCTGGCGATCAGAGTACCGACGCTTTGGACCGATTTACGATTTTCACGATTGAGTCTGCCCGGATGATGTTGGCACCTCCCGTTGAAACAGCTGTAAGTTTCCACGTATACCAGCTGGAGCATCATCTAAACAATCACTAGTGCATCATCTTCGACATGACCGATTTTACACTTGCAAACATGGTATCTAACCTTTTCGTATATTCTCTTCGTCGATGAGGTACTAAATCGATTACAGGACTATCACCCTGTGAAGTTCATGATCAAGTGCTTTGAGGCTAATTACCCCGAGTCTCTCGGAGTTGTGCTTATTCACAAGGCTCCCTGGATCTTCTCTAGTCCGTATTTCCTCTCTTTCACCTGTTTTGTGAGACTAATAACACTCATATAGGCATCTGGAGTATAATCAAGGGATGGCTCGACCCTGTCGTTGCTGCGAAGATTCAGTTCACAAAGAACCGCCAAGATCTGGAGCAATTCATCCCAAAAGAGCGCCTTATCAAAGAACTTGAAGGCGACGAGGACTGGGAGTACAAGTACGCCGAGGTCAAGCCTGGCGAGAACGAGAAGATGAAGGATACCGCAAAGCGGGACGAACTAGTCGCCCAGCGACAGACACTCGCTAAGGAAGTCCAAGATTCTACCATCGCCTGGATCACTGCCGCCAAGAAGAGAGATGAGGCAGCAACCAAGGATGCTGCCAATAAGAGAAAGGATCTTATTGAGCGTCTGCGCGTCCAGTACTGGCAAATGGACCCGTATGTCCGCTGCACCAACCTTTACGACAGATGGAACATCGTCCAGGGCGGCGGCAAGGTTAACTTCTACCCACCCGAAGCTGGGTCAACGAAGGAAAATGAGAAAGTCGGGGCGAACGAGACACCCGCTGATGGCGCGACTGAGGTGAAGGCCTAGTGCGCTGTCGACAAATAAGTATTGTCGGCCTGGTTAATTTCCATTGGAATGTTCTTAATAGATATATGATTTGTCTCTCTTGTTCAAGCTGCCTAGCTCACTGTATATACTGCGCCTGTACTTTACCTTTACTGCGCATAGAATTTGGCATCGTTTGACCTAATCGTACGCGCCGTGCAACTGAAAATATGACCTGGTAAAAAGTTGACATTGTGGTATATATGCCTATTCTCCTGCTTCGGGCCTAAATGGCGTGCATGGCCTGCGTTGCGCAGCCACCATTTTACATCTTGGCCTTGACTTCCTCATACAAAGCCTTGAGCTTGTCCATGTCCGTCGCCTGGGTAGGCCAGCCAATACCAAGGCCTTCCGTCTCATTGGGCTTGGGGATCTAGAGCCAGGTGTGTCAGGGTCTATAAACAAAGCAGTCAAATATGAACGTACCACGTGGAAATGGACCTATGGAGAATCCTGTTAATTTCAGGCATCTCACGGGCTGGATAAGGATCTGCCGGATCCGGCAACTTACATGAGGGACGACCTGGTGAGCTATGGTGCCATTGTTCTGGAGGATATTGTAGGCCCCGGCGTTGGTTGCTTGGGCAATCTTTTTAGCAACGGGCTGTTTCCCTTGTTAGCTCAATTTCAAGTATATAAAACCAGACGTGTGGTGTCATCATCAGGGCTCGACAGGGGTATCTTTCAAGCGGGTTCGAGCTTGGACGGCCAAATTACCCCCCAAGGTACCCGGGTGATGATCAAGGTATAAAAGGGCGTGCTCTGCATCCTGTAATCCCCCCACTCATCTTCTCTTTCTCGAGTCACGTACCAGAACTTCGCTGAGATAGTCGTCCGGGATATCGGTGAGCTTTTCGCCGTGGTACTTTGGAATTACTAGCTGTGAACGGTCCAGCCTTGTTAGCATTATTCTTTTGCGCGAGGGAATTCCTAAGCAGATCCTAAGGGCCGAAATTTTCCAGAAGAGCAGTGATAGATGGATTTTACGCCCTTCTTCTAGGATTCATTCGACCAGCGCGCTTGGAGTCGCGTGCGGGGTGAGATTGCGAAACATGCGTTCAGAAAGGAGAACACGACTCACCGCATGTCCACGACTGAGAGGCTGGATGTCAAGAAACGCAAAGACCTTGTCGCTCTCGAAGAGCTTGAAGGAAGGGATGTCCCCTGTCCGAGCACGTTAGCAACGAAAGATCTTCTAGGTAATGCATGGTGTGAGCTTGAGGGCTTCCATGAACAAATCCAATCCAATGATTGGAAGGATATTCCTACCCTTGATGATCTTGCAGAAGATACAGGAAGCCATTATCACGGACTGGTTGATTTTATGGAGTACAAAATAGAGTAGCGCAGAAGCGAAGTCGAGCTGAAGTCATAACAGTTGCTCCGATGCGGGGTCGTAGGTGGATCCAGACCGGACTCGCAGTGGCTCCCCTCTGTCCCCTCTTCCCCCTTACTCAAGAAGGCAGGTCAACCCCAATTTCTTGGAGCAATGCACCTGATAGCACGGTCATCAGGCCGAGTACTTCCTTATCTCGTGGTATGAATTGCTTGATGTCGCTTCTGATTTGACGACAATGCCGACTATATTGTCCAACCCCACCTCGGATATGGAGCTGCCATAGAATGTTGGAGACATCGGCACCTCATATCTTATCGCTTGTCTTCCCTGGGGACCTGCTCGTATCTGCCCTTATATCAAGGGCAAAGAACCCCGCCAAAGGTATTCAGAATGACTGCTTCTCTCCAATTGAGATTATATGCTGCTGCCGCAATCAAACCAGCGTCCCGTCACACATCCTCTTTCCCCGCACGCACGTCGTCTACACAATTACGTCGTGCCTTTAGCGTCCTTAAGAAACAACCTATGTTGTCTACTGAGCTCACCGAGGCCCAGGTGTCGGCTCTCAGAGCCAACAGGGACCGCCTTGCTCAGGACCTCCATCATACATGTCAATGGGGTTACGGAATCCGATGGGGAGAGTAAGTCGACAATAATAAATGCTCAACAACGTTGACCAAGAGACTGATAGCTATCAGTGGTCATACAGACACGGGAATGCAACGGCTTGCGCTGTCACAGGAGGACAAGCAAGTAAGAGATTGGTTCATCGAGACGACAAAAAGTCTCGGATGTAAGGTCACAGTGGACGCAATGGGCAATATTTTTGCTGTCCGGCCTGGACGTAGGGCAGACGTGCCTGCAACATTTATCGGTAGCCACCTGGATACCCAGCCAACTGGTGGGCGATATGACGGGATACTGGGTGTTCTCTCCGGTATTGAGACCCTCAAAACCCTAAATGACATGGGCTTGGAAACTGAGGGTGGTGTTGGCGTGGTCAACTGGACAAAGTAGGGCTGGTGATCGTCTCGCTTCTGAAACACAGCTAACACGTTTATAGTGAAGAAGGTGCTCGTTTCCCAATCAGCATGGTCTCCTCTGGAGTATGGGCAGAATACATTCCTCTCGAAAAGGCACATGCTCTAAAGGAAGTTCCCACTGTCGCATCTCTCCCAAGCGCATCGTCTGCTCCCGAGTCCATGAAATCAGCACTGGAGAAGATCGACTACCTCGGTAGCGTACCGTGCTCATACAAGGAGACGCCTATGGCCGCCCATTTTGAGCTGCACATCGAACAAGGCCCTCACCTTATCACCGCAGGACAGCAGGTTGGTGTCGTGACCGCCGTTCAAGCGTACCGATGGTTCCGCCTTAATATCTTTGGTAGAGACACTCACACAGGTACAACGGCATTTGAACACCGCGCCGATGCACTCTATGCTTTTGCCCGCATGATGGTTCGCGCGCGAGAAGTGGCCGCCTCCCACGGCTGCCTCGCGAGCGTCGGTATAATCGAAGCAAAGCCGGGCAGCGTAAACACCGTCCCCGGCACCGTTAGCTTTTCTCTCGACATCCGCGGTCCAAAGACTGAGCTTGTCCAAGTCGTCGAAAACGAGCTTCGCAAGGACTTTGATGCGATTGCCTCCGAGGAGGGAAAGGGAATTGGTAAGCCCTGTCGGGTCGAGTGGACTTTAGACTTCGACTCACCTGCCGTCAATTTCCACCCCGACTGTATTGAGTGTGTGCAGCAGTCTGCAGAAGCAATCGCCTCCGATGCCGGCGTTGCAGACCCCAAGTCGCTTGTGCGTACAATCATGAGCGGCGCTGGACATGACAGTGTGTTCACGTCCAAGAGGGTCCCAACGAGCATGATATTTGTTCCATGCAAGGATGGACTTAGTCACCACCCGGAGGAGTTTTGTTCTGCGGATGATTGTGCCAGAGGGACGTCTGTGATCCTGCAGGCCGTTATTCGATATGATAGGAAACGGTTCTCGGCATAGTAGACCTAGTATTTCTCAATGCGAATGAAGGAACACAAGTAATGTCCTTGATACACTGTCATTAGGTAGTACTAGTACAATGATGATGATGCTTGCCAACTTGAAGAAGAGGTTCCTATCAGGGTCGTTGGCGGCCCTTCGCACCTCCCTTGACAGTATTAGTGAGGCATAACGCTCTGTGAATATAATCCACACGATCCGACCGTACATGAGAAAACTTCTACAAAAGCCGCACAATCGGGCTATCGAGTATCAGAAGGTAGAGAACCCCCCGTCAGGTACTCATGCAGCCCTTCTCAACGACCCGGTGCAGCGTGAAAGGCAATGCGAATGTAGATGGAAGATGGAATCCCTTATTTCAAATCTCATAAGAAATTAAAATCTCGAGGCTCGACATAACACCCAGGATGAAATTGTCAATTGTCAACACCGACGTACAACGTCCGCGCCATATATTTCGAAACCCATATTTTTTTTCTTCTCTAGTTTTCATAATTAATTCCATCTCCGTATCCGCGGCCCACGATCCGTGCTCCTTCCCAATAGAACCACGCCATAATTTCATTTCGCCCCGTCGGAAGTCAAAAGTGTCTCTTCAAGCATATCGGGAACGTGAGCGGTGTCAGCGGGCTTCGGTGTCTAATTCAACAGGGCCGGGTCGATTGATATCGTAGAAAGCGTGAGCACGGAATAGAAGCGGGACGGAAAGGTATGGAATCGTCATGACGCGAGCAGGTTGGAGAGTGATTTATCGGTACTGTATTCGACGTCGTGGTTAATCCATGCATTCCTTTCCTCCGGTCTATGACCCATCTGCAGAGGATAACAAACCTTGTAGAAACCAATGTCGGAGGCCTTCTCACGGAAGCACTGACGGCAGATGTCCATCTAAAATCCAGAAAATACCCGATCAGTAATCTATCCCATAAAACACACTCGTCCTCCATATTTATTTCCCATGTCCAAATCTCGAACAAAGGGAATCGGTTCACATACACCGTACTTGCGGATCAGACCAGCGCGGTGGGAGCAGACACGGCTATCGAATTCGTTAATATCCATCTCGATCTTCCAATTCCAAATCCCAGATCACATATCCCAGGAACCGATATAGATATGATAAAACGCACCATTGACGGGAACCCTTGCCGTACTTGCGGGGGCGGCTGTACCAGACGGACTCGTGAGTCATCCTGAATATGAGGCGATGAGAAGATAACCTGAAAAAGGTGAGGTTGGCGTGGGTTTTTCGTTGTCGTCGACGTCGCTGGCGTTGAAGGGAGCGGAACGGAGCAATTCGAGAATGGTTTGCGATTGTGGGCTTCTGTGTGGTGATGACTCAGCGGGCCGTCAGTTTGCGGGAAACCGCCCTCGCTTGAAGTGAGCTAGGCTGTTTTTGGGTGGGAGGCTCGGTCATGTGACTGGGGTTTTCAAATGTGTTACCTTTTGGGATTGGTGCGCTGAAGTATACAATTCATCACTCAAGTTGAAATCCCACGTGTTCTCCGCAAAGGCCTCTATGTAGCCCGCCGTATAGCTAGTTATATGGCACTCGAGAAGGCGGTCTAGAAGTTCGTTCCCTAACAGCACCAAAGGCGTCAGGCAGGCGCTATAGTCCTGCTTTCGAAAGCTGGGCCCAGGAAAGGGACATAGGGGGGAAAATCACACTCGGTTTCATAAAGTATGTATGCTTTCTTCAAGGTACATAGGGTATACAAAGCTATCTGGTATCCACCAATTAATCCAGCCATTCATAGTTTCGAATCAACTCATCATGTCCAATTCCACCTCTTCCATCATATCAGAACATTCATTATCAACATAAGGAGCCTCATATCACATAAAATAGAGCAAAAAAAAAAAAAAGGTCCTAGCATATAGCAAACAATATCTCACATATTATGCTCTATACTTGCAACTAGGCCTGGAGAAAATCAACGGTATAAGGGGTATATAGTACTCTTTCCAAAACCATGCAAAGTTTTTTTTCGAGATTTTGGGATTTCGTTCACTGGTGCCCTTGGCCCTTCTTTCCACCTGCTAGCCTGACTCGGCCACCTCGTAGGATGGATATGCCGAGTCAGTAGCCGTCGTGAAGACGTAAGCGATTTGGCATTCAAGCAGGGAACCGGAAGGGAGCGAGTTTGGGACGGGCCTCGCGCTTGACGGCCCATGCTTTGACGGCGATTATGAGGATTTCGCAAGCCATGATAAAGGCTGTGAAGCCCATGGCGACGGTGAAGGTGAACATGGCGTCGAGCTCGTAGTACTCGATGGCTTCGACAACGTTGCGCGACTGGGATTCTAGTTAGAACGACTTTATCGATTGGATCAAAGAGGGCACTCACGCTTAGCATAAAGATTAGGCCTCCGGAGATGAGGCAAAATGAGGCAACAATCTCGGTTGGTGGGCGAGAAGGAAGGTACGAGGTTGGAGGCTTCAGGTAGAGCAGAATGTAGGTCATGCCACGGGCCAGCGCGAAACCAACCAGCATATTACCCCACTGCTTGTGAATCATGGAAGATGTCATGCTAGATTGGTGGTGTGACCCCATCATCATGCCCAACAGGAGGATCACCAGCGCGGGCATAGGGTTGAGCGACACGCCCTGTGTATCAGGGGTGTCCCAAGCTTGTTCGGAAGATCCATGGGCCTCGATGTGAGATGGAGCACGCAGGATAGTACTGTTCAGCCAAGTCTTGACGCGCTTCGACTCGAAAAGCATACCGCACAGCCCTCCACCGATGAACATGATCGCGATAGACACGTGCTCGAAATCAGTCGCAGTCCAAGCCTTACCCCAACCGTTGAGGTGCTCAAGGAAAACGTTGCTCACTCCATAGCTGAAAATTACAGCCGACTCGGTATACTCGCCAGTAGCAATCTTAGCCTTCCAGCCAACGATTTCCCGTGGCGGCTTGACGTTCCAGGCCCAACCAAGATCCGCCCAGCATCCCATCACTCGTCCCAAAGTGAGTAGTCCATACCAAAAGAAGATGCCACCCTTAATGAAGTGCGCAAGGCCGTTGAAGATCTCTCGCTCCCTCTGTTGGGCTGTTAGTATTCGCCATTGGATATATCATGGATGGTTCTTATCATGGATGGTTCTTACAAAAATGCCTCCGTAGGTCACTGCGCCGGTTGCGATTGCAATAAAGCCAAATTGCAGAATCAATCGATCAATCACGTTATATACAAAGTTGAGATATCGCAGGGCGCGACCAGAAACCAGACTAGGAACACGGCTGGCAAGGAAGCGGTCGAGGGCGGCGCTATGCAAGAAGCCCCGAGACTGTGCGGGTTCCAGAGCTTCTTCCTCGGGCTTCTCGAAACCATCGTACTCGTCGGAAGGAGACGCGCATGATGGCGAGCTCGGACGGCTGGGAAGAGAAGCCGAGTTGCGCTCGGTACCCTGGCCGCTATCTCTCGACCAACGATACTCATGGCGGATTCCAGCCGGGTATGTCGGAGTCTCCGCCATCTCGTCGGTCGACACGGGGAGGAACTGCGCACGTTCGTATCCGCTATCTTTCTTGCCTCTCCCGGCATAGGCGAAGATCAGCGCCATGATGATCTGTGCGGCGATCACCCAGGTTCCGATCCATCCGATCTTGTGGTGGGCATTGTTCTCGTAAAGATCTGGAGTTTGGCTGTTGTAGACAATTCCGACGAGTAAACCAAAGGCATTTACCACGAGGAAAACGAATTGCGAAAGAAGTGCCAGGCGAGACCGTGCGATGCTCAACATAACAGCTAGGGATGGTCAATATGCATCGCGCACCTTCAGCGAGTCAGAAAGGGTAGTATGAAAGAAGGTCATACCTGTCGGTAACACAAAACACCATGCGGCAACCATGAGCGCAATGTGTGCGACTATCCACCCGGTGTGCTTCCCGTACGCAAAGTAACTCATTGGCGAGCTGTCATTTGCATCTGTCTGGTCGTGCGAGGAATGATCCATGTCCACGTCCATACTCATGTCCATCTCATGGTCATCGCCGTGCGCAAGCGCACTCGCAATCGAGGCCAGGAAGAGTGCCGCTAGTGCGGCGCGAGAGGCGCGCTGCAGCATGGGTGCAAATATTATCTATAGAATAGAGAAGGGCGGTAACCGGAAGTTATAGCTGTGCCGATATAAATAAAGATATCAATGGCCGAGCGCCAGCTTAGGCAGTCGTCGCTGACTTGATGGTACGGTGTACGGAGCTGTCGGAAAGCTGGGATGAGGGGGAAATGCAGTCTTCTTCGTCACTACTCGGAGAGTTGCGCGATAGGGCTGGAGGGCGAGAGTTTGAGCTATACAACACCTGGCAGCGAGGGAGGAAGAGGAGCCAGCCTGCAGAACAGATGAGGAAAAGTAAGAGCAGGGTCAAGCAGGGTCAGGTCGGTCTTTTATTCATATTTTTTTCTCTTTGGCGAGCTGTTCTACTTCGGAGGCAGCGGGGATACACATCATGGATGCAGAGGCCGTGGAAACAAGACAGCGCTACGTACATTGTACTTCCAACAACGAGCCGTGTGCCGAAAGTGGAGATTTGCAGCCCTGGCGCTAACACTATTTTTTTGCTTTTCTTCTTCTTTTCCCTCCTTTTCTTTGCGATACCGGGTGTCGACTCCGTCCCTTGTCAGTCGTGCACCAGTGTTTCTTTCTTTTTGATTGATGTTTCGTCAACTCCAAGGCTCTGAGAGCTGTTCGCCGCGGCCCAAGCCCCGTCTCGCATACAACGGTAAGCTGTCTGTTAGTGTGTCACAACAAGTGATGTCATCGTCAGGCGTCACACCAGTGTATTCAATTTCCGAGTGCTTGGGTACAAGGCCTGGGCCCTTATGTCACGTTGATTCAAGGTAGCAAAAAAGTTCCCTGAACATGCTAGAATTCCAAGTCTTGAGTCAGCGCTCGGACGAAAATCGGGTACATAGTTCCCGAGTAGTCGGAGTTATCGGAATGACTGTGAAGGTCACTTGTGACTACATTCCCCACTCCTCAAAATACAGCAAATTTGTCCTTTGCATCCTTGGTAGCTTAACAACCGCCTGTTAAGGAACGTGGCTGGCTTCAATCCTTGCAAGCGAGGCTCCAGGATGGCTGCTGTATGTCCGTGCCTCGCAAAACCCAGGCCTCATTGAGCAGGCAGTTGCGATAAAGATCATGAGCGGTGTCCATGGTTTTCCACTAGCTTCGGCCCCCAATCTTAGCTTGGCAGCCCACCTTTTATGGTTTTGAACTTCTGATAGCATTGCAAGTCGGAATGCCGGGTCAAGACTCAACATGCAGTGGAGGTGATCAATCTCGTTGCACTGACATCAAATTCTCATCGCTGTTCTGGTGCAGCCCTTGCGTAGACGTATGTACTATCTCGTAGGGCTGCCAGGAGTACAACTGGTACGGGCACGGCCCGGGAGCAAACCAACAAGGATGCAAGCAAATCTTCTCTACATTTTATACAGGCATCAGGATTTAGAGTTGACATGCCGTACAGGAATGTCAGCAGGGGCAGGCCATATGCCTATTGCCAGAATCAAGCGGTTCATCTCACGTCCAAAGTCGTGGCCAAGAGCCACAAATGCGGCGTCCCAGCACCCACGCAGTCGTCCGCTCCTCCCTCCACACCTCTGATATCTTCAGAATGAGCATCTATAGATCTTCAGCTTAGAGAGCATCACCTCACCTTATTATCATCAATATCTGGAGGAAAGTGCACAGTGTAACAACTACAAACCTCGGGAACTACAATGGTGATCCAGCCCCACTAGCGTCTCTTTCTGCTCCCAGCCCTGTCTGTGCCTGTTTTTCCCTCATCTGACAACTTAACGGGCGATCCTGCTTCTTGGCAAGGCTAGCGCCTTTCTGCCTCTTAACATCCGCGCTCTTCCGGAGCTATAGGATGGTCCACCTCTTATCCACACGCACCTGCACGCCAACCCTAACAATAATGATTCATTATAGCTTCATCATTGGGTATCGTCTTGCTGACCAACTGATCCCGTCCCGCTCGGGGTGGCATGACTCACTGGTATCGGACGGATATCATCTCCATCCTGGGATTCCTAGTCGAGCCGTCCTGTTTTGTTGCTGTTCTAAACACACGATTCACTCTGCATAAGCTCAAATCTCGTGGCTTCAAGCAGCCCGAAAAAGCAATGCGCAGCTATCACCCCGCATCTGATCTTTCCCAACACATCCTCATCCTGCACGTATGCGTATAAGAACGTTGTTGCCTTGACTTTTGCACAACCGTGATCGAGCGAAGCAGCACAGTCAACACCAGCAGCTCGCTGACATATCGTCTGCTGTCAGCGCTTTCGACATGATTGGCAACTGCGTATATGAGTTCTGGATTGATAATATTGATCCAATGCTTAAGCCTTGATGGCGTGAGTTAGCTAGTATCCAGGAATGATCAAGTCATCTGTACGCCTGGTGGGACCCAGTCGCCGACGCATCCGGCCAATACTATTGCGAGCGATGACCAGCCAGCGCAAAAGGCGTCGAACTCGACGCTGTGTGTCGGAGACTTTCCTTGCCGGAACATGGATCTGTTTTCCTCGACATGTGCAGGCGCCTGATCTTGCATTTTTACAGACAGCATCGTGTAGGCAGCAGCCGTTGATTATACTGCGCTGCACAGGGCAGTTTTCTCTCTGTCAATCCAGAGTTCGCAAGCCATCGTTGCTTTGCAGGCTAAACACAGTCGTCTGTTCCGACCTTCTATACGGAGTACAAGATACCTAATTCGTCCCAGTAGTCATACCCGGAAATCCGGCACACCAGCAACCGACACGATTAATAATGCGAAAGTAATCTCCGAGGCCACCAAAGTGCAAAGGAAGTGAGACCCGACATTGAATCAGGAATTGTCACTTACTCCGTAATTGGCGGGCGATCCCGCACCTGATGAAAGTGTCCAAGCTCAAGCTCGCATGCTCTAGCCGCACCAGGTATCTCGGATTCTCGGGCTCTCGGGCTCTCGGGCTCTCGGGTAATGGGGGATATCAGTGCACGAGCTAGTTTATGAACCTGTTGGTAGAGGAGTCTGACGGTTATTTTGACTTCATCCTTGAATGGTATTAATGACCCGATTCTATCGATCTAGAGTTTGGTGTCGCTTTAGTTTACTTCACCCCAACCCTGAGTAAATCTAGTACAGGGATACCCCGCCATTCACCGTACCCCCCAATCCCCCCAATAATAGTAGCATGGTCATCCTACTTCCCTGCAACAAATCTATGCTTAGACAGGGATAAAGGGTCCTTTCCGCCCCAGCCTAGGTGGAAGTCTGGAGTATCCCACTAATCGCTACATATAAAGTGACGTTATTTCGCATATCGAAGTTTCACTTTCCATAAGCCGAAAAGCCAACAAAACCCGGTAACTGTATAGGCATACCTGACTTTGCCCTACGTCCTACGCTCTACGCTCTAATCCTCTCGCTGGGTATATCTGACGAGGATTTCCCTGCACACCGCAGTGTACTTAAAGATTCCCGGGAAAGCTTTTGGGCTTTCATACTTGAGTTCCCAAAGCTCCTGGTAGCGTAGGAGCATAGGCTAATAAGAGTTGTACTCGTTTCCTCGGGCCATTGAGCCTAGTCATCCCTGTCAGGTGAAAGGCACTGTTTGCATTCTCCTGCTAGTGCTGCGAGGAAAGTGTTCTCAACCTGTGATCCAAAAGCTCGCGCAATTACCTCAAGAGAAGGTTGAAAGCTGAATGAAGGACCAAGAAACATATCCTTGTGGCGGAAGGAGCATCCGGTTCTATGGATGTTTGAGTGTTTAGGTAGCACTGACTCAATTGTTCCGTCTTCGACCTCTGCTATTCACACGTCAAACTAAGCCTCACTATGAATGGTGCACAGGGTATCGGGTGGACTTGAATGTTTGAATCGATCGAGTGGGCGGTTTTGTAGATGCTTAACGGCATGATTGATCAGGGTCGCTCCGAACCAGGCATATGGGGCCTCCAGCACATTGAAAACAGCGCCCGTTGTACCAAGTGAGTGTAAGCTCAGTTGGCCCGCGGAACCAAATAGCAGAGTGGGGATGTAGGTAGCTAGGTCGTTCTGCGTATAGTGAGAGCTGGAAAGGCTTTGATCCAGCTAAATACATCGACAGGAGTCATTGATAGAACCTCTTGCTGAACTTATGCCTGGGCCTTCAGTTCCTCTTCATGGACGGTCAAGTTGAAGTATGTGCCCAGCTGCGGGGAGACGAGGGGTTTGCCCGGCTACTAGTGCCGGGGGTACGTACCTTGTGGAGAGCTGCAAGGTTGCTTGTATCCAAAACACAAGCTTTCGCATGAAGATTGGCATGTTTTCCTCTGCAGCCCTATATTTATGAGTTGTTGTTTACCCTGGATATATTCCCTCTTCACAGTTATACATCCTGCAAAGATTAAACTAGCGGACCTCGGAGCGAGATTCGATCCGCTCAGATGGCGCCGGGAACCTACGTAGGTAGCTCGTTGCACGTACGCAAACAATTCGATGTTGGCTCAATCACATTCGCATTTGCATGGTTGACTATCGGCTCTCCGCAGCAGCGCAGCTAGCGACGGCAACTTCGGGATATCCCAGCCGGTCGTTGATGGTATGTTGCACATTGCGAAAATCGGTGATCGAGGGTACGATGACTTGATTTGGTGCTTTTCAGGCCATTCAACAGCTCTTGTGATAAATTGAGGAGTGACATCTGCTCAATTGACAGTAACTGTTCTCTGAATTTGAGGATACAGGGATAAAAGGTCCATCAAGCATTGCAGTCTGACGAAAGCATCACTCACACGCGGCACATGGAAGTGGCTCCGGTGGGAAGGAGGAGGGGCAACGAGTGGAGAGCCGATCCCATCTTTTTCGCCGCCATATAAGTGCTCCTCACTGCCCCTCGTTGCTCCCCCTCATCTTTTTTTGGTTTCACAGTTTTTAACCCGATTCTTCGTCACATCTCCCCTCACTCAACGTCAAAAATGGCCTCTAACCCCCCTGGCGCCTGCTGCGCCTCCGGCTTCAAGCACGAAGGCACTCCCATCGGCGAAACTAAGAGCATCGGAGGAAGTCGGTTTGCCCCAACGTTTCTTCAACACACTGGGAGCTTTGTGCCGTACTAACAGCCTACCAAATTCCAGCCGAGACCTACATCGTCTACCCCAAAGGCAACCAGAGCCCAGAAAAGGCCGTCATTATTCTGAGCGACATCTTCGGTATCTACGTCAACGCCCAGCTCCTTGCCGACGAATATGCCGAGAACGGATACTTGGCTATCATCCCCGATCTTTTCCACGGCGACCCAATCAAGCTCAGCGACATGGAGAGCGGAAAGGCCGATCTTCCCGCATGGCTTCCTAACCACCAGTCCGCGGTTGTCGACCCCGTTGTTGAGGCAAGCATCAAGTACCTCAGACAGGAGGTTGGTGTCAAACGCATCGGTGCTGTTGGATACTGCTTTGGTGGCAAGGTGCGTTCTTTTTCCTCTTAACAGGTTATGCGCCAAATCTTGTCTTCGAGGTCTAATGAGTCGCGTATTAGTACGTCTGCCGTTTCCTGAAGCCTGGCAAGGTCGATGTCGGATATACCGCCCACCCCTCTTTCGTCACCGAGGAGGAACTTGCGGCCATCGCCGGTCCCCTGTCGATCTGCGCTGCTGGTAAGCAAATCAGCAAGAAGTTTCGAGGAAAGTGCTAATAAACTTCCCATGAAGAAATCGACAACATCTTCACAACACCTCTCCGCCACAAGTCCGAGGAGATCCTGATCAAGACCGGAAACCCCTGGCAGATCAACCTGTACAGCGGTGTCACCCACGGCTTCGCTGTCCGTGCCGACCTGAGCAACAAGCACCACAAGTTCGCCAAGGAGCAGGCCTTCTGCCAGGCTGTGACCTGGTTCGGCCAGTACCTGTAAACATAACATATACCAAGACCTTGTCTCATATGAAAGATAATGGGTATATATACTTCATGGCAATGAAAGATTCTTGATACCCGTGCCTTTACTATTCTCTTTTTTATATTTGAGACTTCCTAGATGACATGGCTTTCAAAAATGGCCCGCCTGGTCTTATCTCTGAAGCCTGTTGCTCCGCTCCTTCCAGGCTCATTCGATTGCTGGCTCAATCATCCAGTCAGTAGTCTCCTTCGATCGATTGCTCCTGGCCCGGTTGCTCACTCAGTCGTTAACCCAGTTTTTCGCCCAGGTGCTCGCTCAGACGATTGCTCCGTTGCCTGCTTATATGCTTGCTCAGAAGCTCGTCCATTGCCCTTCTTTGCGGGCGTGGCTTCGCTCACCTGGCTGACAAGCCACGCAGTGGCTGTCCTCTCCAGGAGTAAGGATTTTATAGCAAGGTGCAGCGAGCGAAATCATGGATTTATTCCAGTCTATTGCGTCTAGGCTAAAGGTCTAGCATTGATTTCGATGTTGTAATTGGGAATAAGCCAAGCAAGACTGGAACACGTGTTAACGAGAGGGAAATAAAGTAACAAACTTACTACAAATCGCGATGCTCAGACAGCTCGATCAAACCGCCTACCAGGTGAATGGTCAAAACCAGACAAGTTGAGCCAAATTCAGGCAGGTAGCATCGATCCTCGACTCCGAACGCAGCAGGCACACTCGTCCGTACAGTGGCCATAAACCGTGGTAGGCCTCTCCTATATTTTCGTAAAAATAGAGTATTGTCAGAGAGGTCATTCGCAACACTTACTGAGGCTCCCACGGCACCCCCTCTCCCCAGTCCCAGCACACCTAGCCTTTCTTTATGCCAAACAACAGACCGGCCATCCTTTAGTTTATCTTGTCTCAACATAATCCCAGTTCTCGATTATTCCGCCACTAGGCATGGTCATCAGCAAATCTCCTAAGCATTTTTGGTGATTGCAAATTCGCGGCGTGCCGAAATGGTCTCCTGCACCAGTGTATTTCCATCCACCTCCCCGTCATCTTGGCTTCGCCGGTGTAGACATTGAAGTGCAGCAGTACCTCGCTCGATCTCCTTGTCATGGGCTTTCGGCTAATTGATATTGGTCAGAGGCTGTCAGATAAAGGTAAGAAATAATTTTCCAGGAGGCTTTAAAGTTAGGCGTGACTCAGTACCAGTTTATAGCACAGAATTCTGGGATGAAAAAGCTTGAATATGCTACTCGAAGTTGCTGCCGACAACGACTCTAACTATATTTGTGGGAAATAGCACCGCCTAGAGTACATTTAGCTTCTAGTAGACTCTTTACAGAATTGAATTATCTGGTTATCTGCGTCCGTACTCTAGTGGACAATATCTCTATAATTTGTATAGTCCTTGGACACGTGACCCGGGGGATCGGCAAAAAAAAGACCCACCGAGTCAGGAACGATTCGAACAAGACTCGGGCTCCTCGGGGTGTTCGCTGTCCTTCCATGATTTGACCTGGAGGAGCATTCGCACCGTGCCTCCGCCTCTTTTCGTCTTAAGACTATCCAGCTACCTCGTCGTTTTGGCCTGCGCAACTTGTATTTCGTTCTGCTTCTCTTGAAAGTGGGCTACCGAGCGCGCCGCGACTCGTTACCTTTTCTCCACGTTTGTCGCGCAAAATTGCTCGCCTCAAGTCTTTGCCAACAGACTCAATTGTTGGCCAAATCCGTGCTGCACACGATATATGACGCTTACGACCTCGTTCAATCTCAAATAGACCGTTAACATTCTTGGTCCACGCTTTTCTCGGTTTACCGAATACTTGTCCTCACGATGGCGTCTCCAGCTGCATTGCCTCCGCTACCATTCAACCCTTCGAGGGTCCGGTCATACCTACTTCGATTGCCGCTGTTTACCCGACTTGTTGTTCTTGTGATAGTTTTATTTTGGCTCCTTGAATTGCAGACGGTTTGGAGCGTAGTACAATGGGGTTCTCTGATTCCGGATGAGATCGGACTCAGTACTAGTACGGTTTGGCTGCTTTTGCGATTTCAAGGCCAATTACTGACATATCTCTAGTGTACCGGCTCAATACCTACCCTGTAATTCACACAGGGTTCTTCCATACTTTTATCAACCTGTTGGCTGTGACACCTTTGCTTGAGCGCTTTGAAGCTGAGCATGGAACATTGACTGCCGTCGCCTTGTTCATAGGACGTGAGTTTTCGCGAAAGTCAAAAAGTTGATGGACAGGTAATACTAAACATGTCATTTCTAGCTCTTTCCACACTCCCGGCGGGTATCTACCTTGTGATCGAGAAGTTCATTCTGCATAGCAATACCGCCGTGGCTGGTGCAAGGTGAGTTTCGCGCGTTATGCTCACATTTCATAATCTAACCTCTCCTCAAGCGTCTGGGCATTCCTCCTTCTGGGCTCTGAATCGATCAGGACTTTCAAGTCGAACCCATACTTTAGGTATGCCCTATGGATAATCAGATTCGGTTCATGCACTTACCCTCTCTCAGCCTTGGAAATTATAAGATTCCTACATGGACCTCCCCCTTGTTCGCTTGCGTTCTTGTATGGATTCTGGTACCCAACACTAGCTTCCTTGGCCATCTTTGCTCGGTGCTCATTGGGTATCTGCGTAAGTCTAGCTTCAAGCAGTTCTTGATCAGGTCTAACCCTTCATCTCTAGTTGGCCTTGGATACCTCAAATTCTTCGTCCCACCGGAGAAGATCCTAAGATGGATCGAAGGAAAGCTGAACCTATTGGGACGGTTGCCCCATTATGTGTCAGTTGACCAAAAGACGTACGGCCGTTACGGAGTCCTTCCAACTGCCGGCGCCCCTGGAGGTGAGAGAGGAACAACGATGAGCTTCCTCGGGGGTTCGTCGCAGCGTCTGGGGCCTTGATTTCCGGATAAGTGGACACCCTGACATCTTCTGTATATGTAGCTATAATATTGCATGTTGTAATTAGTTGTAATGTGGCAGAGACCTAATGTATAGATTGATGATGATAGTTATGTTTCGTGGTTGGACAGCTGAGCTGGTCTTTAGCGGCCTCCGTAAATTTCCATGTGGAGAGCCGATCAACTCGACCTTCATCTTCACCCTGACAATGGACTGGAGTCCATGAAGGCCTCAATTTTCATGGCGTTAAAATGTGAGTCGAAGTCAAGCCATCTGAGCCTTCATCCGTATTACGCGTTTGCTTGAGCTGTTTCCTCCCCGCTCCCCAACCTCAATTGATCCTCTCACCCTGGATTGTCGCAAAGGACAGCTCAGAGCTTTAACACTAGACAAAGCTGACAAAAGATGAAATGACAGCTGCGTTCCGCAAATTGCGGAATAACCCTCAATTTCTATTTATCCGACTACCATACATCCTATCCCTCCTCTGTATCGTTGCCGGCGTTGTCTGGCTCTTCCTCTTACCCCTCGACGACTACTCCCGCAAGAACTACATTTCCGAGAACGCGCTATTGCCCGGACAGGTCCACGCGTACTTCTCGGGCAGTGAGCAGCATATATTCCGCGGGTATAAGAAAGAGTTAGAGTCATTGTTGGGAAATGACGGTAGTGAGGAAGGACAGAAGAATGAGGAACGGACGCCGGTGTATGTTGGGAGTTTCCATCCGTTGCATTTCGCGAGACGCTTTCGCAACTTTCTCGCAGCACGGAGCTAATCGATATTTTTTACGGTTAGGATAACGGATAAGATTCAGTCGATTTTAAGAGCTGCGGGGCTGAAGGTTGCAACGCAAGAGTATGAGTATACCTCCTCGGGTATTACGCATCAAGGGGAGAACATCTATGCCATAATTCAAGCGCCGCGCGGAGACGCAACGGAAGCGATCGTGCTTGTTGCGGCTTGGAAAACAGTCGATGGCGGGCTGAATCTTAATGGAGTCACTCTTGCGCTGACCCTGGCAAGATACTTTAAGCGTGCGTTGTTTGGACTTATGCTCTATGCCTTCGTTTCGCTAACAGATACTGTTAGGCTGGTCCTTATGGTCAAAGGACATCATTTTCGTTCTGCCTCCTGACAGTAAGACGGGAACCCAGGCATGGATTGACGCATATCATGACATGCAGCCATCTACCGTGCAGCCTCTGCCTCTGAAGAGTGGTGCTCTGCAAGGAGGCCTCGTGATTGAGTATCCCTTCAACCACCGATTTGAGAACATACACATCGTCTACGACGGTGTCAATGGCCAGCTGCCCAATTTGGACCTTTTCAACACAGCTGTGTCGATTGCCGGTGGTCAAATGGGAATTGGAACGCGGCTACAGGAGATGTGGGATCACAATGGTAGCTACGAGAAACGACTGCAGACTATGCTAAGAGGGATGGTCAAGCAGGGTTTTGGGTACGCCACTGGGGCGCATAGCAGCTTCATGCCCTATCATATCGACGCCATCACGCTCCAGACTCATGGTAATGGCTGGCAAGATGAGATGGCGCTGGGTCGCACGGTAGAAGGTCTCACTCGAAGCTTGAACAACCTCTTGGAACACCTGCACCAAAGCTTCTTCTTCTATCTTCTCATGCAGACCCATCGCTTCGTCAGTATCGGCACTTACCTCCCTAGTGCAATGCTGATTGCAGGAAATTTTACAATCATGGCAATTGCCCTGTGGCTACGGACTGGTTACTCCCAAGGCACCCCCAATGCCGTTGCCGCCACGAAGGACGAAAAGAACAGTGAAAAGGCACCGCTCATCTCTCAGGACAATGACGTGGTGGAGCAAGAGACGACGAACAAAGCTGCGGAGCGCCAACTCGCCCTTCCCCTTACACTTGTCGTAGGCCTACACCTACTGGGTCTCATCCCATTGTACATCTTTAACAACCTCTCACACGGGGTGAGTTTTTAAACAACACCGCCCAACTATTGAAAACCACTAATTCCTGTCTAGAACTACACACTCGCAACCCTCATCTCAATAGTCACAAACGCCCTCCTCCCGCTCCTCCTTGCCGCTTTGCTCTCCCGGAACTCTACAACAACCCAACAAACCCACCTCATCAAATCCCTCTCCCTTCTTCTCCTCGGCCTCTTTCTCTCAACCCTAGCAACCCTCAACTTCTCCCTCTCTTTCATGATCGGCCTTCTCTGCGCCCCGCTCTCCTTCATGCACCGCATCTTTGCCGAAACAGCGCCCGTGCTCCGCTACACTCTCTCTATTGCGGGTCTTGTATTCCTAAACATTTTGTCTCCGCCTGTTGTTCTGCTGGCTGGGTGCGCGTACGTCGGTGTCTCGGTTGAGACGGTGCTTACGGAGGCGGCATTTGGCTGGGATGTCTGGGGGATGTGGACGCAGGTTGTTGTTTGGTGTGTTTGGTGGCCGGCTTGGGTTGTTGGGGGGGCTTTGGTGGGGGCTTCGTTGTTCTAGGTTGACGAGCACGGGTGCCGGCTCCCCTTGTTTTCGCTTTGTGAGTTGTAAGCGCGATCTATGCATGGGCGTACACTCAGTTTCGTTGCAATTTAGGCTACATAGGACTTACTAGAAGTCTAAATCACATAGTGAAAACGTAAGATTATATACGATCATCTTCAGGCGTTTCGATTGAGTGTTCTAGTACAGTCGTACATATATGCAGAAAGCCTTCTCTGGACTTCGCATAAGTTAAGATCGGGCTGATTGACTCCCCTATGCAGCCCACACATCCTTCCCAACACCCTCTATCCAATGTCCCAGCTGGTTGACACCGGCATCCCAGTCCTTCAACCTATTCCGCATGCCTTCGATCTGCTTCATATCCAGCACCTTGGGTTGCACCCAGTTGATCTGAGCGACCTGTGCAACCTGGTCAATAGCACCCTTCAGCAGACCCAGCGAAAGGGCCTTCATAACCAGGTGTTCGATCTCTTCCGGCTTCACCTTCGTCTCGGCGGAAATAGATGCAAAGGTCAAGTTACGGTCATGTGGCGGGCGGCGGAAGACCATTTCCGTCAAAGCAGACAGGGAAATCTTCTGGTATAAGAAGAAGCGGTGTTGCTCGAGCAGCTGGTTCTTAGAGATGTTGCCTGCGAGAACATCGTAGGCGGTCAGGTCGCCACGGTTGAAAGCAAAGAGGAGGTCGCGGAGCCAGCTGTGTGATGTTTCGGTGAGAGAGTCCAGAATCGGGTGCAATAGTAGTTCACCAAAGTTGTATATGGAGTCCGAGACAAGGGCGGCAACGCTAAGGTTGTAAGCGCGGTGCTCGCGTTCAGACTCGGAAAGATCTTCAAGGTTGATACACGCGAGGTAAAGGAGGGCGTTTTTGTAGAAGGAGGCAAATTCTTGTTTGGCCTATATAATTATTAGTTCAGTCTCTGGATCGCCGAGGGGCAAAGTAGACTTACGTGGTAATAGTCCGCGTTGACTTTGTAGAACGAAGCATGTACGACCGTCTCAACCGAATCAAACGAATCCAGCACTTTCTGACACGTCTCTAGGTCTTTCTGCGCCCCGTCCAGATTCTGTAGCCGTTGCTTGACATTGGCAACTTCCGCTAGGGCGTAGATGTAGGCTTCTTGTGAGTCTGGCTTGTCTACCTTGTCGGCGAGTGATGTGAGGAATAAGAGTCGCTCGTTGTCATCTATCAGAGCCGAGTACTGTTAGCTAAAACCGTGCTCTTCATTTATACAGCCATCCAAATAGACCGACGCACCTGCGCACTCTGTTGACGCCATCAACCCCAACGAGACGAACTGGAGCTGGTTGATCTTATCGGCGAAACTAAGGACAAATGTTTTGAATATCGGTAACCGCTGAGGAGCACTCTCTGGTAGACGGAAGAAATCGACCAATGCATTGGTCAGCTGGTGCCATAGTTTTCGTTCCCAGTAGTCTTCGAAGCTCAGGAACAACACCTGGCACTGTTCCGGAGCTTGTTGCAGCTGGTCAGCGAGGAAATCAGAGATCTTTTGATTCTCCATGGCAAATACACAAAAAGCTAGATTGCAATGAAGGGCGAGGAAAGGGATGAGGAGGAGTTAGAGGATGTAGGGTGATTTGATGGAGGAGAGCTGTTCTGGAGATCCAGCCAAGAGAGATCCGGCTGATGGAAGCTCAAGCGGTTGTCGTACATCATACACATGGGGCAAGCGGTGTCTCTGCGCCGCCGCAAGCCAGGGAGCCTTTTGGGGCCTCAAGCTTCAGGCAGCTAATCCTCCATCAACCCAACCGCCGCGTCCGGCGTCAAGGGAAAAAGCGCCTAGTGTCGAGAAGGGTTTCAAAAAGCTAAAAAAGCTATTCAAGCTATGTTCTACAGCCATAATGCGACAAGCGTCCGACTCTGAAGCATGACCTCAACATATTACGTGCTACCCTAAACGGCATGGATATCTCTCCACATTGACACAAGCTCACTTCTGACCTCGAGCCACAAAAATGGTCTTATAAAACTTGTTCCCGTCTTTAGTGAACTCCAGCGGCTCTTCAATGACTTGATACTTGAAGCCATTGCCCGCACCTGCATCTTCATACATCCTCTGCATCTCCTCGGCGCTGAACCCGTGCTTCGAGATAGTATGGACAACTTCGTCTATTTGGTGCAATCCATGGTCATGATGCTGCATCGGGATGAGGTCCATGATCATCATTACTCCACCCTTCTTCAGCCTTTCTCCGAGACATTTCAGAGCTTTCTCAGGATGTTCGAAGTGATGAAGGGCCATGCTGACAACCACGATATCGAAGTCAAAGTACGCAGGGCCAGAAACCTCAGCAGGTGCTGAGTCCCCGAGCAGGTTAGCCTTGATCCCAGTCATGGTTTCCGAACGACCCGCTTCGTGCACGTTCTTATTGAACTCGTCGATCATGCCGTCAGAGATGTCTATGCCGACAACACTGCTCACAAACGGTGCCAACGCCTAAAACCATATTAAACCTATAAACAACCACTTGAAGGCTTTTGTGAATCAGAGAGTGTAGCCACTCACCAGTGATATATGCCCAGGGCCACAAGCATACTCTAACATCTTGAGGTCCTTGCCCTTTCCTGCCTCGGTATCGGTCCAAACATCGCTAACCCAGGTGCGCTGGCTTTGGGCGACGTTGACCAGCGTTTCCACCACTTTTACGAAATCAGACTGGTAGGTACGAGACTGTTTTCTGATGTTCGTTAGACATGCCTTCAGTTTCACTGGTTGAAGAGGACTTACTCGAACACCTGGCGGTTCTTTTCTGCGAAATCGAGACAACTGGCCATAATTTGGTTTCAAGATGAGTTGACGATTGAGATCTGATTTCAGTAAAGTTAATGAGACGCAGAAAGCCTACGAAAGTGAGATGCGTGCCGACTTTTATCACTATTCGACCCCCCATTCTCGTTGTCGGAGAGATATCGGAGACTTCTATAGACAGCACACCACACTTTCTGACGCCAAATGATGACAGGAATCCAATCATGAGTCACATCTCAGCCACTTTCTTATTCACATCCACCCCTGCCTTGGTATCTGTCAAACGTAAATAGATATCTTAAGGCACAACTTAAACCTTCCTCGACTTCACGTGACCCCTTAGCAAAGCCCTACTTACCTATTGCGCAACAACTCAGGGAGTTTTGACCATTCGCAGTGTCGAGATAGCATAACCATAAGAGGGACTAGCTAGCGACCAAGAACGCCTGGCAGGAAGCGTACTTGACCGGATGGACGATCGAGGATCCTCAAGCGCTTCCAAACTCGAGCTGTCATTGTATGTTTGAACATATCTTCACTTACCCTATGCCCTATGCAGATTGAATCCTTTGTAGTCAATAATATAGTCAATAAACTAAATGGCCATCAAGCAAATCCTTATCTACCCATGCTCTTAGTAAGTAAATACTGATATGGAAGGCGAAGGTCTGGGTATCCTGCTTCTGAACATCACCACCCATGGACAAAATCTCTTTGACAACAACCATTCTCCTCATCACGGCTTATATCACTATAAGGGTAGTTTCAATTCATGTCATACTTTGTGAGTCTGTTTTATACCTCCAACAACAAATGTACTCGGGTGCTTGTCGATCATGTTGCTCGAGCTTGGGGCTCTGGGATTTCTAGCCTCAGGCACCAACTTGGCTTATTGAATCCATGGACCAATCACGGCCCAGGAATAGTCATACACCAGAGAATCAAGTTCGCTTTTCTCAAGTCACAAGCTGCCATCGATCAAGGCTAGGTGCAGGTCAAGAAATCTATCCTTCAGATCTTTATCATATCGAGAAAATCCCTGGCTTTCCCGGTCGATTTCGACGAAAGTCCAGGCTATTGTCCGAATTAGGACTAGCGCACTGGTCCCGTGCCGGCAGATTGCAGTTCGGTGATGAACGACTTTCGACCTCATCCACGACTTCTAGCCGAGCTTCGCGCCCTCCTTCTCCCCGCTCTCATCTGCTGCTGTACGGACCCTTCGTGGACTCAATTCGAAGACCGGTCTAGCTGACACCTCAAACAGAGACCATGCAGAAGTGCCGGGCCGTCAATCCTGTCCTGGGGTCCAGGGCGTTCGTCCCCACCCCCCGTGTCCAATTCCAAGTGCAGCGCCGCAATCTTCAAGATGTCACAATTACCAGGACCGGAAAGCCCCTCATAAAGGTCCAGGGTGGACGGTAATTGCTCAATTGCTTCGATATGCGATTGGAGAATGCTAACGAGCTTCGTCTTAGGTCATCTCTCGGAGGTACTTTTACCTAGACTCAACTCTTGCCGTCTACCTCCATGAATGTCGAATACTAATGCGATCCCTGGTTAGGACATACCGCGACCGTCTTCGGTGCCACCGGTTTCTTGGGTCGGTACATTGTCAACAAATTGGGTATGTCCGGCGAGTAATCCGTGTGAAGGGGTCCGATAAATTGACAACATCCAGCTACACAGGGATGCACGGTGGTCGTTCCCTACCGTGAGGAGATGACCAAGCGCCACCTCAAGGTCACCGGTGACTTAGGACGGGTCGTTTTCATTGTAAGCTCCCAGAGCTGTCGAACCTCTAATTGCCAGACTAATGTGATGGTTGTTAGGAATACGACCTGCGCAACACCCAGTCCATCGAGGAGAGTGTCCGACACTCTGACGTCGTTTACAACCTTGTCGGCCGCGAATACCCTACCAAGTTCGTTGGACCAATACTATACGGGAGAGCTCTGCTGATGGTGGTCCAGGAACTTCTCTTACACCGACGTGCACGTTGACGGTACCGAGCGGATCGCCGAGGCCGCCGCCAAGTACGACGTTGATCGATTCATCCATGTTTCCTCATACAACGCCAACAAGAACTCTCCCTCCGAGTACTTCGCTACCAAGGTCGGCTTACGCAGATCCTTTCCTCGGATTTGATGACTGATTTGTCACAGGGATGGGGTGAGGAAGTGGCACGCTCTATCTACCCTGAGACCACAATCGTCCGACCCGCTCCTATGTTCGGCTTCGAAGACAGACTCCTGCACAAGCTTGCCAGTGCGACCAACCTGTTCACCTCCAACCACCTTCAGCAACGCTCTTGGCCCGTTCACGTAAGCCGTGTCTTTGATTCTGCCCCCAAAGAGCGGATAGCTGACACTCGTTAGGTCATCAACGTCGGTTCTGCCCTCGAGCGCATGCTGCACGATGACACCACTGCCGGCCAAACCTTCGAGCTTTACGGCCCCAAGAACTACTCTCCCGCTGAGATTGCTGAATTCGTTGACCGGGAAATCGTCAAGCGCCGCCGCCATATCAATGTTCCCAAGCGCGTCCTGAAGCCCGCCGCTCACCTTCTCAACAAGTACCTCTGGTGGCACACTCTGAGCGCCGATGAGGTCGAGCGCGAATTTATCGACCAGGAAATCGACGAGACAGCCAAGACGTTCAAGGATCTCGGAATCGAGCCTGATGAGTTGTCCAACCTCACCTTCCACTACCTGGTATACTCTACCTGTTATACCGTTGTTGTTCCAGAGCTAACGCCCGCATAGAAAGGCTACCGAAGCTCCTCCTACTATGACTTGCCCCCAGCTACTGAACGGGAGCGAGCGGAGGAGAAGAAGTACGTCCACGTTCTCGACGATCAGTAGTCTTGTTTTTTTTAGTGTACATAACCATACTAGACGCATTGATTCCGTTTGTTCAAAGTACATGTAGCCAACAATTCGCCGTAGTCATCCATTCTACGTACTGCTTGTACTCCAATCGTCAACGCGGGACACCCCAGCTCCGCTCCGCTCCGCGGCAAACCCCAAGCTCAACCTTCTCATCAACAACATAGACAATACAGCTACACGGAAGAGCAACCGAGCATTCAATTGCTGTCGCGTTGGATTCATAGTCCAAATCTCAAAAATGACCAGCCCAAACTCTCCACCGATCTTCCTCCTCAAGACCAAATCCTCCCCGCACGACGGCTACGACGAATTCTTCTCCGCCCACAACTACACCCCAACCTTCGTCCCCGTTCTTTCACACAACTTCCACCATGAAAACCTAGCACAAATAAAAGCACTCTTTGAGAGCGGGCGTCTGAATCCAGGCTCTGGGCGAAAATATGGCGGGCTGATCTTCACATCGCAGCGCGCCGTTGAGGCATTTGCGGATATGCTCGCGGGTCTTGATCGTGCGTTTCTTTTCCACCACAACCCCCACCATATACATACGGAAGAACAATTCAGATTGACAGCATTCTAACTGTTATATCTATGTGCTATACAGAATCCCTCACAGCAACAGCCTCCCACTCGCTCCCCCTCTACACCGTCGGCCCCGCAACAGCCCGCTCCCTAACCACCCTCCGAGACACCCATCTCCCCCACGCAACAATCCACGGCGCAGACACCGGAAACGGGGAGAACCTCGCTACGCTCATACTAGACCACTACAACGGTCTTTTCACCGCCCCAGCTACTTCTATATCCGGAGACGATGTGAAAAGGCGGAAACCGCCCCTCCTCTTCCTCGTCGGCGAGACGAGGCGGGACATCATACCCCGCACGCTCATGGGAGAATCTACGCCTGTCTTGAGGAGGATAGAGGTTGAGGAGGTGGTTGTGTATGAAACAGGTGTTGTGGCTGGGTTTGAGGGGGAATTTGAGAGAATCTTGAAGAGACATGATGATACTACGGGAGTAGTTTGGGCTGTTGTGTTTTCACCAACGGGATGCGACGCTATGGTGAGAGTTTTAAGGCGCGAGGAGGAAACCAAGAGGCAGGAAAGGGCAGAGAGGAAAGTGTTTGTTGCGACGATCGGGCCGACGACGAGGGATCATTTAGTCAAGGAGTGTGGCTTTCAGCCAGATGTCTGTGCAGCGAAGCCATCGCCGGAGGGGGTTGGAGAGGGGATTGCGGAGTTTCTGAAGAGCCTGGACCGGCATTAAAGCTGAGGTGAGATTGGGCTACTGCGGAGGTTTGGTCTGGTAGCATTGTAACATATACAGCAGTGCTTGTAAATGTTTGTATGGTAGATAGACTTATACTAGTAAGCTCGGCTTCACCACACTTAGGAAATCCGGAATGACACAACATAAACAAGAAGGATGCAGCTGAATTAATCCGCAGAAATAGGTACAACTACCCTAGACAAGTCTATGCAAACATGATATGTGCAAGTGAGCTCCAGTGTCACTGCGCTATTCTCAAACTCCTTTCCAACTATGCCCTAGATGTCTAGCGCATAATTTCCTCGTAGATAAGAACTACAGAAAGTTAGTAAGAAACTCGAAAGAAGTGGCGTGGACTCACCCTTCAATTGCTCCTTGCTGAGAGCATCCTTGTTCTTGTCAAAATCAAAGAAGCCCTCCGGAATTGGTGGGGCTGTTGGCTCATCATCGGGATCATGGTACGGCTCCAGGTACGGATGACGCAGGGCCTCTTCAACAGTTATGCGCTTCGTCGGGTTGAACGCCAACAGTTTCTCCAACAGGTCTAGTGCCAGGTCATTACTCTTCGGGAACAGGGCCTTGAAAGGAATCTTCTTCTTGAAAGGGAGAGATCGGATGTACTCCCGAGCCCGTCGGGATTTGATTCCGTAATAGTCTTCCATCGTAGGCGTTCCAAGAACGTCCAGGATTAGCGTCAGTTGGTGGTGATCTGTGGCCACACGTTAGTCTCCTAGTTTCAATCGGGAGTAGTCGGTGCAAACGAACAGTCTTTTCCAGGGAAAAGAGGCTTCCCGCTCAGCATTTCTGCAAGGATGCAACCCACACTCCACACATCAATCGCCTTCGTGTACTCTTTGAATGTCAACATAATCTCGGGTGCACGGTACCAGCGTGTCGCCACGTATTCCGTCATGAAGCCTGAGTTATCATCGGTCGACGCGGCGGATCTAGCTAAACCAAAGTCGCAGACTTTCAGGTCACAGTTGGCGTTGAGGAGAAGGTTTGAGGGCTTAAGGTCACGGTGCAGAACATTCGCAGAGTGCATGGCTTTCAGCGCACGCAAAGTCTGGTAGATAAAGTATTGGCAGTGGTCATCTGACAGGTCCTGGGTGCGGATAACACGATGCATGTCGGTTTCCATCAGTTCCTATTGTCCAGGTCAGCCGTAGAATTCCATCAGGACCGATAGTAGCTCAAAATTACCTGAATGAGATAAACCTCATTGAAACTTTCGTAGTTTCGGGGTCTTTGGATATCCAAGATAGAGATGATGTTCTCATGGTTGAAATACCGGAGAAGTTTCATTTCTCGCAGCGTCCGCAGGCAAAACATTGAATGGTCGAATGGAGTAATCTTTTTGATAGCGACTTTCTGTCCAGACGGTTTGTGGATGGCGGAGCAGACAACACCGTAGGCTCCCTCACCAATGACATCTTGAATTTCGTACTGGTCGGAGACGTTGAAGGAGATCTTCCTTGAACCTCCCTGGGGAGGCGCTTGTTGCACCATATTCGCAAATTCTGGAATAGGATTGTCAGCACTGGTATGGGTATAAAGTAACGACTGTCAGTGTGACAAGTTTCTATGCGACATAACACACGGAGAAGCGGTCAAAGTAGCAATACAATGTGCCTCTGACCACTGGATCCATTCCCGTAGTTGAGAAGCACCTCATTCAGGTACACACAACGCCGCACTTCGGCCTCACGTAATAAACTGGCAGGAGAGTACGGAGTAGCGCTTACAATTGAGTTAGCTAGTCGATGTTATCAGGTTATGCGAGGAGGAGCCGCGAACGATCCAATCTCAGTCTGCGCGACGAGCTGAAGGAAGACGGGACAAGAGTCGAATGCGGGGTATGGCCCGTGCCGGTTGCTATCACCTGAATCGCAAACTGCCAGCTAGACGTCGGGGAGCGGGACGAATTTATCGAGACGAGGGAGAATTGTCAAGTCGAATCGATCTGCACAGGAGCCGGGGAATATATCAGATTCGAATGAGGATGGTATCGAAGGTCTCGTGGACAACAAGTATTCTACTCAAGTTCGACAAGGTCAATTCGGTGTCGCCATCAAGATTGCAGGAAAACGGTTAAATGGATGCGAAGTCGGTGGCAGGAAGCAGGGTAAATGCCGCGATCAGAGAAGAAGAAGCTCACCAATGTGCTCAAACCCGATCAGTCGTCGGTTGGGTCGATGTTTCACAGCTCAGTTCTATTTTTACTTGTCTTTGTCGGCGTTGGTTCCGGCAGTCCAAACTCCAGGACAATCTTCTCAGTAGGAAACGTCAGAACATGCACAGCTGGCAGAGTGAGAACGAGCTTGATTATCCCGATGCGGAGGAACCAAAGGACCAAGAAAGAGCAGCAACGGAGAATGAGGGTGATAAAAAGCGTGGGCCAGGCGTAGATCAGGCAAGTGGGGTGGGCAGGTGAGCTGAAACGAGGGGAACAGACTCCAGAGGTAAATGAGCAGCTCTCTTGGAGAGCGACAGAGACGAACCTTGGTAGTCAACGAGGGAGAGGGGCAGACGACGACCATAAATTGGAAACTGGAAACTCTGGAAACTCTGGGTCAGGAACCATAAAACCAAAGAGTCCAGATTGACCAGTGTTTCAACAGGCCCACATTCAGACAACTTTGCTGGTCGCAGGGAGAAGATGTCGACGAGGGGCAGAGGGCAGCACGACTGCCATCCCTGATCCTTGAAACTGGCGCTACTGCTGGCGCTCCAATTGATCACAGCGTCTAGTCCATCACACTGGCCTCTGGCCGTCAAATCACAGTTTCCTCCATCCCAGCCTCTTCTCCCCGCTGCCCTCCCTCAGCCGTGATTTGCCTCCTTCATCCCAGGCTAAGCCGTGATCGAAAGTCTACGCTGCATGATCAGCACAGACAAGTCTAGTTTCAACTGGATTCTATGCCGTTTACATCGGCGAGGCTGGCTTGGCTGCCATGAATTGTGATACAGTAAAACCGAGCAAGCGGCAGATCAAAGAGAATGAGAATCGTGGTCCCATGTTTATTCTTGTATATCTCGTATAATCGACCAAAACATTGAAAAAAGCTATCATTACTGGACGACCTGTCGGGGTTCGATCTTGTCAGTCTAACCTTTCAAGTACGACTTTGCAGGCTACAATGACGGCAGAAAATCGCACGCGAGAAAAAGAACTAAGAAAAAAGGGTCTCAAACCTTTTCCCGTAGTGAGCCCATCCATTGCACGAGACTCATGCCCTGGTCCGCTCTGTCTTCAACCAGCATCGTCTGTGCCCACAGACGGAGTCCAGGCTCCCCGTCTTCCTTGACCACATACAGGTGTGGCACCACAATACTGCCAGCTCCCTTTGATCTATGATCCCGGCTCTTCTCAATAACTGCCCGAACACGCCCGTTGAAATCGTTATCAAGCTCGGGGAGATTTTGCTTGCCAACACGGAGCTGCGACTTATCGGCTAGACCGAAGACATCAAGGACAAGCTGCGGCACTGCGTCACGACCAACCCACAAGAACTGGGTCTGGCCATCATCAATAAGGTAAAGGCCATAAGGAACTATCCGCTCGGATGACAAGTTGATAGTAGGAGGTAGGACGATCTCGCCAGTTTGTTCATCCGGCAAACCGGCGGTGTCGGGCATATCGTGAAGAGAATACATCTTCGGGTAGATGTATTGGATGAGAAGGGGCAGAGGGAGGGTGGAGAGTAGGCAGAGGGCGGCAGACCTCATATCGGTCGGTATTTGCGCGGATTTTCGTAGACCAAGCTGTACGATTATCATCAGTCAACAGGTAGGTGGCTTCCGACGCATGGTACGTAACTCACATTCTTAATCAGTGCAAGAAAAAGGACAGGCAGGCCCCTGAGATTAGCAGGGAACTGGAGGCCACCACCACCAACGCTTCCACCTGCTAGCTCTTTTCGGTACGTCGAAAGTAATTCCACGGCCTTGGCCTGGAGAGCTTCTCGGGCTTGCTCGAGACCGCTCCCAAGAGTCCGTTCGACGGCCTTGTGGCTGAAATAAGTAGCAATGGCTTGTTGGTCTGCTGAAGCATAGATATCTGCAAGGTTCTGGGTGGTTGGCAACGCCAGGGTCAAAACACGAATCCTGCGCTCGCCGTTACAGGTTGTGTGAAGAACCGCAGTCTGCAGACAGACAACGGGTTTGGTGACAGTCTCGTCGATAGCGACCTCAACAACATATGCCTGATCGCGTGGGAAAGCTGGGAATGCGCAAAGGTCGGAGCTACGGTTGAAGAAGTTGCCGTAGAATGTGCTCATGCGCAAACCAGTGGTAGCACGGACGCGGAGCACAGCCTCGAGACCAATCTCTGACGACAGGTAATCCGAGAACTCACGCGCAAATTTGATTGCATCCTCACCACGAGCAGCATTCCATCCGGGGTAGAAGTATGTTTGACCACCAGTATACCTTGGCAGGTTACTGAGGGAGGCCACATCTTGATACTGAGATGAGAACAGGAACATGTCCACTGACACTTGTGCTTTGGAGCACTCGACGGCAAAGCTCTTGTAGAAGCTGTTTGCAGTCTGAAGAAGTGCGTTTTCCTTGCTTGTTCCCAAAACCTTCTTGTCTTCTCTCATACTCAAGGTACCATGGCCGACATTGGGCAGAGACGAGGTAAGGACAGACATCTTTCCTCCGACGTGGGAGATCAGCTTATATCCAGCACGCAAAGCAGAGCCCATTGCACAGCCATTGTTCTGGGTATTCTGGAACATTTCCTGAAGCTTATCAAGGAATACCTCGATATTTTCGCGGCACTCGCTCAGAGTCACCAGAAGGTCTCCGGGAATTGGAAGGAAAGGTTCGTCGAGATCGCTGACAACCAGCATTCGAGGATCAGAAACTTCTGAGCCATCTCGAGGAATGCTGAAGTAATGAAGACTCGAGTCGACGGCAATGAAGCCAAGTCTTGTTCGCCGGTCTGCATTTGGGATTCGGTCCAGGCTTTCCTTGATGCATCGAGCACTCGTGGCCAGGAGGCCATTAGTGACGGACGCATAGCTCACGTCGATAAGAAAAAGGTAGACCAGCGGCTGCGGAGGCCGCACCATGTATTCCTGAGGAGCGACGAATTCCACCACCGCGTGGTTGAGGTCAGGCCTCAATGCCCGGTCCGCCGGCTTTTGAAGAGTGGTATCCCAGTCAAAGGCCTGAGGTACGTCGTTTGTCAGGTTACACATGTTGCAGCGCCAGCGGTGCCCATGGTCGAGGAATGTCACAAAGGGGTTGATATAGGATCGACACCGTCGGCAACGCGAGATGACTTGGTCCGGGATGACGGGGACGGGATCTTCTGCATCATGGAGGGCAGCATAGGGCTGGATCACGAGAGCGAATGGAAGTTTCGACTTCTTCAAGAGCGAGTGGGTTGTTGGAACGGCATTCAACGTCGACCGCACATATTTGGATGGGCAGTTAGCATATGGTGACGGATAAACGCTCGTCTACAACAGGTCAGCGCGCAATTATTGGGCAAAAACGGTGGCAAGGCATGCACATACCGCAGGGGGCAAGACGATTGGGGGTGGAGGATAGTCTAGTTCCGCAACATTGAATGGCTGAGTGAGCAGATCTGTTGGGTACAGCTGGTTGAGGGGAACTGCTCGTGGGGCTTGCGGAGCTTGAGGGGCGGCTTGGGGAGGCATAAGGTGAGGGTCGGTCACGCCCATAGCACCGAACTGCTGGGTCATTTGTGCGACGCCTGGGGCAGCTGGCGGAGCATATCCTTGAGCGAGCTGGGATGGATCCGCTCCGTACGCAGGCTGTTGTGGCTGTGGAGGGTACGCTCCGTAGCTACCGCCCGCTGGCGGTTGCCCCCCAAGGGCAGCATTGGCACCAGATCCAAATTCAAAAGCCTCGCCAGCATAAGCTCGCTTCTTCTTCCCACCAGCGTAGCCCTGCGGAGGAGGCGGGGGAGCTTCTCCGGGTTGCTCAACCGGGGCTCCATAACCAGCGGGCGTTTGACCGTACCCTTCCTGGGGAGGGTAACCTCCTTGTGGAGATGCCATCAAGAAGCTGTACTCCTTTCAATAAAGTATTGTCCGAAGCTATTAGACCCGTTCGGCGGCGGCGGAGGAGTATGGATGGAAATTCGGTCGGGGACTCGCACGGGCTCGCTCTGTCTGTCGGAATGTTAATGATTCGGCCAAGGTAGGTGGGAGGAAAGTCGCATACGAACAACCTAGGGACGCAAACACATGAAACAAGCAATCGTAATGGAATTGAGGAAAGACGTAGACGATGGCGCACGGATCGAGGCAGCGCAGGAAATTTGAATGTGGGAGCGGAGAATCGCTTTAAGTCGGGGTCAAGCGATGAGATGCAGGTTAGAGGTCAACCTGCCTGAAGTCGAATCGTTGGTTACGGTGGCCTTTGCGGCGTGCGCCAATCAGATGGCCCCGCAGCTTAACCGACTCGCCATATGTCACTTCGGCCATTGAGCCTAGGTTGATAGATTCTTCGCAAACATTACTCCTAAAAACTTGTTCAGGCGTCATTGAACGCTATTTCCAGCAGCGACTGGTTATTGCCCGTGGCCTGTTTTGTGGTCAAGCTGTGAAGTGTGGAGGTGATCTCATCGGACACCAAGCACTTTGGTACTGCAGAGTAAAATGTAGCCAAATATATCTCCATACAAAGGCTCCAGTAGATAGAAGCAACCTCTTAAAAGAGAGTCCAGCGTTGAGCTCCTACTAGGCATAGTATGATAGCGATTTAAATCCTGGATCACATGGAGATAGCTTTTGGAGGAGCGAGAGCCAAAGAAGGTACCCCATACTTCGAGGATGAAAGGTTGCCGTGCCAACGCCCACGGCAGTGTCTAGCACCACAACGCAAACGCTTCTTCTCTCCTCCCATCCACCAAACCAATCTCCGGCACTTCCTCCATTCTTTGAACCCGGCATCACTCTATCTCATTCTTTTCCCCTTTTAGGTCGACTCTTGCATTTCTGTTTCCATTTGATGCTTCTTCAGGGTTTGAGCAATTGACGGGCTCTGCCAGCGTTTCGCCCCTCTCTTCTGGCTTCAGTGCTGCGTTTATTGTACGACTTGCGACTGATCAATATCCGGCATACTCGTCCACGGCCTACCATACAAATGAGACGACAATAGATTCGCGAGGTCTGGGATTACAGGAATATAGGGATCACACCACAATTGCCGATCACTGAGGTTCGAGCAAAATGAGTGTCAGGGTTGTCGCTCGAGTGAGGCCATTGCTCAAGGCGGAGAGAGACATTGACGTTATTCTTCATACTGGCTCTAAGCAGGGAAAGGCGGATAGGAAGACCTCTCAAGAGACTTCGAAGCTTGCGGCGCTAAGGGATCGCGACACACTTGTGCGGATTCCGAACCCGAAGAACGAAAACGAAGAATATTCTTTCCAATTCAATGCGGTTTACGATGCAGAGGCGTCTCAACAGGAGCTTTTTGAAGCAGAGGGTTCGTGCTGTGCGGGCTGATGTCGGATAAAGGGTTTACTAACCGGACTGCTAGTGTCACCGACAATCAAACATCTCTTCAACGGCTTCGATGTTACTCTGTTTGCCTACGGAGTCACAGGTACTGGGAAAACTCATACGATGCGAGGCGGTAAAAGTCTAGCTGAAAGAGGTGTGATCCCTCGCCTCTTAAGTGGTGTGTATCGGCGAAGCCGGAAGATCGAAAAGGATAGCAATGGCGAAACCTCAGTCGACGTCTCATTGAGTTACTATGAGATATACAATGACAAAGTCTTCGACTTGTTCGAACCACCGGAGAAGAGAACGATTGCAGGACTTCCATTAAGGGACAACGGCGGGAAGACTGTAGTTGTAGGCTTAACAGAGAAGCCATGCTATTCCTTGAAAGAGTTTGAGACCCTGTATGACCACGCAAACATCAACCGGTCTACCTCTGCTACCAAGGTATGCACCCTGCGTGTTTTGCACTGCTGTCAATTGGCTAATCGCACCACAGCTCAATGCTCACTCATCACGGTCCCATGCTATTCTTTGCGTGAAAGTTGCGATTACCACTGGAGAGAAAACGCGCGTTAGTACTGCATCAGCTATTGACCTTGCCGGCTCAGAGGACAATCGCCGGACGGATAACGACAAGGAGCGAATGGTCGAATCGGCAAGCATCAACAAGAGTCTCTTTGTATTGGCCCAGTGTGTGGAAGCTATCACCAAGAAGCACCAAAGGATACCGTATAGAGAGTCAAAGATGACGAGAATTCTTTCGTTGGGCCAGAACAACGGACTAACAGTCATGATTCTCAATCTTGCCCCTGTCAGATCCTACCACCTAGATACGATAAGCTCTCTCAACTTCGCAAACCGCACCAAAAAGATTGAGCTGCGCGAGGTCGAGAACGAGCCGATTTTCAAAGGACCCCCAAGGCCTGCGGCACGCCCATCTGTTACGGCCATGCGGCAGCCTCTCCGACCACTGACAGCGTCTGTGAATGTCAACCTTGCTGCAGCTAATAATAAGGATCCATCCAAAGGTGGCGATGCCAAGCCGGTCAAGGCATTCAATGTGTATGCGGACAAGCGCAGTTCAGCCCAGTTCAAGAAGCCCGAAATCCTTAGCCGACCTTCCCTGAGCACCGAATCGCACGGAGGGCGGTCTTTGAAAACTACCCGGCTTGCACAACCGAGCAATCATTCTCAGAAACAAAAAGAAGATATTTCAGCCAAGATTGAAGAACTGGTTGAGAGGAAAGTCGAAGAGATACTTGCAGTCCGCGCCGTCAGTGAAAAGTCGCGGCAAACGCAGGTTCGCGAGCTAAACGAGCAAGTCCAACGACGCCTCGAGCTTCTAGAGCAACGGATCGAGGGGTCTGAAGATGCGAGAGCTGAGGGACTATCGTACCTACTCATGGCAAAACAGCACCAAGGGCGTGGTGAAGATACCTCGGCGTTGAAGATGTACCAGCTAGCGCTCCCATTCTTCCCGCAAAATGAGAAACTCGCTATAAAGATTGCCACTCTGAAGCTGCGTATCCAAGACCGAGGTCGTCAGACCATCAAAACGACTAACACGCCGGCTTCGGAGACAAAGAAGGGACTCGGCAGTATACTCTCGCTACCTTCGAGCCAGGGTATCAAACGACCTTCGGAAGCTCTCGACGCAGATTACGAGGACCATGCCTCTGAGGCAGCAAGTTCTGACGATGACTTCGAGGAAACGTCTCGTGTCCAGTGCAAAAAGCGTACGAAAACCAAGCAACCTGGACCCCTCGATTTGAGCCTTGACGCCGTGGACGATGACAGCTCAGTCCCTTCTCCACGAACTATCCATCTGCTTTCGATAATCAATTCTCGTGATGTGAGCCAAATCAAGCTTCTAAAGGGCGTCGGGGTGAAAAAGGCAGAGGCGATCGTCGACTGCCTGTGCGAGATGGACCAGAACTCGCAGGGTCGCGAAACGGAGACACCATTCCGCATCAGCAGCCTCGCGGAGCTGAGCAAATTGAAAGGTGTTGGTTTGAAGAGCGTTCAAAGCATGCGTAACGGTGTTTTGGTATAGACGGAAGATACTTCCATCACTTGTGATTGCATTGTTGTTCACACTCTTGGAGCATCATCTTGACCTTTTTTTTTTTTTCTCTTTTCTATTGTTCGGTATTCCCCATATGTTGCGGTATTGCTCTTCTTTTTTTTTTTTTTTTTTTTTTTGCCTTGGTTTTACTTGCATTCTATTATTCTGCAACTGCATGATAGAGGCTGCATTGGTTGATGTGCATTTGTGGATCTGCATCGTTGAAGCGAGGGCGTTGTGGCGCTTATACTAGTTATAATCGAACTATATGCATGATTCAACCATTTCGGAATTTTATAGTAATGCAGTTTCCACGGAGGAGTGTCTCAATGCAACCACAAATGAGGTCTGTATAGAGGGTTGCTACACCTTGACACGTATCCCCCATCCTCCCTGGGGAACAACACCTCTGGCAAGAACATACAAAACAACCCCCACCCCCATCGTCGCCGCACAGAATAACTCAACTCCCAGATAACTCCCACTCAACGGCTCCGGCAAAAGCGCACCCGCAATCGGCGTCCCCGTCAACGCGGCGAAGGCGGATATAGCAAAATATGTCCCACTGCGCACACCAATTTCTCGAATTTCCGATATTTGCGCAATGAGGGCAGGTGCTAGAGAAACGGCAGAGCCGCCGCTGAAGCCATAGAGGACCGCGAAAGTTATTGCGGTGGCGTTGGTGCGGGAGGGGAGCCATAGGGCTAGCACGAGTATTATCGAGACTATAGTGGTGAGGATCATTGTGTTGAACCGGCCGATGTGGTCAGCTATGTAAGGGGGGATAATGCGGCCGAAAACGCTGTACAAGTGCAACCGTTGTTAGAATCGGCGTTGATATATGTGAAGGGATCACTGACCTTCCGGCATTAAGAAAGGCGAGTAGGTACGAAGCCAAATAGGTTGACATGCCATATCGCTGGGCCTGGGTTGGGATGAAAGCGAATGGGAGAAAAAGACCCCAGTATAGGAAGAAAGTCCCCGCGCTGGTAAGAATAAATGGGACTTCGCGGAGGGGACGAAAGAAGTCGAGCGGATGGCATAACGGCGTCTTTCTCTTATGCTCCAATCTCGAGCGAACAGTAAGGTTAGTGATAACCAAGAGGAAGAGGCTTGTAAATGCGCATATCCTCATCGCCCATCCAAAGTCAAGAGCTGGTATTGTGCGCGTCACCATGATTGGAAAGACGATCCCACCAAAGCCAGAGCCGGCGACTGTGATGCCTAGTGCGAGGGCACGACGACGTCGAAACCAAGTGCTAACAGAGTTGAGACTGCCGTGAAAGAGGGCACTTGTGCCGATTGGACTGCAGATGCCTTGTGCAAGGAGAAATTGGTAGTATTCGGAGGAGATCGAGGTCATCATCAGTCCGAATATGTGAAAGAACGAGCCAACAACAAGGATCCATCTTGGTCCAAAGTTATCGAAGAGCACTCCTACAAACGGGCCCTGATTGAGATAGGGTTAGCAAATTGGTGAGTAGGCAAGATTGGTAGACAAACCCCAAAAAACATCAGAAAATACTCTAATGAAGTGATCCATGTGATTGTACTCGTGTCGATGTCCCTTAGCTGGTGAGTTTTGTAGTAGTCGATGAAGACGCCAATGCCTGTATCCAGTTTTCAGTCGGTATATATCGTTTAGTACTATGAGCATGTAAACTTACAGCTGATCCAACCAAAGCTGACAAACATGCCGCAAAAAGCACCGACGACAGTGAACCAGGCTCGAAGTCCACCATCTGGAGGACCATCTGGCGGTGGGCCATTCGGGACTGGGGCCTCGCGAGAGTGAGTCTTAACCCCAAGTTTCTCCTGATTATTATCACCGACGCCATGGGTGAGAGCTTCTGTTTCTGCGCGAGAGTCATGTTGCTCTTCTGGCCCCCCACCCGTACATGATTGTATCTCAATGCTGACGTTTGAGGTACCACGAGGTGTGTCTTCCCCGTTCGCCGTGTCACTGCTTGACAGGCTGTGCATGTTGATTGTATAACAAAGTTAATGAGTGCAGCCGATTGATGAAGAGAGGCAGTCGATATTATAACATTGAGAAGTTACGCATCGGAGTTCAAATAAAGAGAAAGCGGCATGACCAAGCACAGGCGATCCATTGTTCGCATAGCAAATAGCGAACTCGGCGGTTTGTTTGGCCTGGCAACCTAGTGATTGCTGTTGAGGCATGACATTCCTCGCCAGAGGATATGATTCGATGACGGACCCTGTAATCGAAGCAAGGGTTGGAATTCTTACCAGCGCGGGCAGGGCTTCGAGAAACAACCTTTTGTCAAACACACACACACACGCTGGACTGAGGCTTCCGCACTAGCAGGTCTCATTGTAGGCTGATCTATTCACAGCACAAACTGTGTCCCAAAATACTATGTAGATGGCAATCCATAGTCGTCGAAGGAAGTATTGTGTTGTTTTGCGATTCTCCCTGGTCGTTGCTAGGCCAGCAAGCATAGAGGGAAGAAATATCCGTCAGGCAAACAAGTAGAAAATGAATGAGCGCCGCCACAGGGCTTATATGAAGTGTCTATAGTACATTGATCCTGCAATGAGCGAAATACAAGAAGGGCCTGGAGCAGCAAACCTTGAATTAGGTCTATTGCCCAGGCTTCTCAAATATTACCTTTCCTTCTTTTGTCAAAACCGCAATTTTTTGACTGACGCCTTGAATTTCAGCTTCGATTTCCTCGACTGTTCTTGAGCCAGGTACTCTCTTCGGGGCCGTTTCTTCAGGTTGGTACTTTCCTGCGGGGAGGATTGTCAGCCCTCGGGGTGCGCTGGCGAGTTCGTTGACTTCGTGGGTTGTCAGAACCTCGTTAATTCGAGCTCCCCGGGATTGCAGAAGGATAGTCGATGGTCCGTCGAATTGCAGAAATAATCTGTCCCCCCAAATGGTCATCCGAGACCACGTACGGAGTTGATGAAAGATTTTCATGGCCGTCTTCCACGTATCTGTATCCGACATGGCTTGGATGAATTTGGTGTTTTGGAGGATAGTGGGCAGGCTTTTGAGGCCAGGGACCTGGAATTTTAGGGTTGTTGATTTGAAGCGGTATGGGCGAGGGGGGTTTGAGCTCATGGCGTATGCAACGACATTGCTATCCAGCCTTTAGCAAGGCACTCTTAAAGATGATCAGGCCGGACATACCTAGGGTGGACAATGTATTGCTCCCCAGCTTTCAGCTCGACCGAGTACAGTTGGCCGTTACCAACAAGCGCTAATAAGCCTCTGCCAGTGACCTCGGAGCTACCCCAGTGAGCCAGACTCTGCACAAATTAGTCGCATTCAGTCAATGTTCGCTGGAGGTACGAACCAAGTCTGTGTTGATTTTAGGCCGAATAGTCAGCGCGCGACCACTCCATGCCAGTAAAGCGCGTCTCTGGGCCACCATCCAATCCACAGAGCCATTGAGGTGAACAACGGCGAACGACGTAACCGGAGATCGGGTCGAAATCAAAGCAGTGATAGGGCTAGCGGACGAAATCTATGTAGCGTCAACACATGTGCTAATCTCCGAGAATTGGGCGAAGAAGCGGACCTTCTGATATAGGAATGGTACGCCGACAGGGGCTCGCTGGAAAGGCTCGAGGACGCTCAATGTTGAGATCACCTAGACCACCATATTTGTTAGACGCCGCCGAATCGTAAATCATAGCAATGCTCATACATTGTCTGCTTTCCCACTCAGTCCCACTAAAGTTCCCCGCCGTGTGTAGAGATTCTGTGACGCCGAAAGAGAAACGGATAGTAGCGAATACGGTGCTCCAATGACATCGAAACGCGCATCTGCGAATATTAGCAGGGAGCAATAGCCGGTACTGTGGGATTTCGCATACCGGCAGACTCCGCGGAGCTAGGGGTGTCAACAATGGGCAGATTGCTCCCACTGACAGCCGCTGGTCGCTCTGTGGGCGTAGAACGGATCTGAACGTATCTTGCTTGCACTCCGCGAAGCAATGACGCACCCTGTCGCGTTCGGCGCGGAAGGACTCTCGTCCATGTGAGAGTCCTGGCACCTCGCCTCAAGGGGTGAACCATTGTCTGACCCAAGAAAAGCTACCAAGACAAGGAAAGGTGAAAGCGAGTGACTTCAGGGAACGTCTATTCTTGCTCCTAGTGCTCCTCCGCGGTTTTCCTTGATTGCCCGGGCCCGGATTTGCACTTCCCGATCGGGAAAGGCGCTTGGACCAGTCTTGGCATTGGGTTTTCTATAGAACGGAACTTCTCCTTCCCAACACACTTTCAGACGAGGAGGTTAGTAGCCCTGCAAGATCAGAGCGTAGGCTATTAATTTGGCTCACCTGAGATTGTGCAAACACTCATATCTTCGTGTTGGCTGCTGCTACAACTTGTTCCTAGGTGAATCGGCTTGTTCGGAAAAACCCGGCCCCGAGCAGCTTTTGGGTGTCCCCAACTTTTTCCAGAGCGGAGGACTGGAACATTATTACTAGAGTCGCCAGCACTTTTCTTTCCGCGCCATTTCTCGCCATATTCTAGCATATACTACTAATAATCGACCAAGTATCTGGCACTGAATACAATCCTATCCTTTGCGAATCATGGCGGATTCATCAAGTTCCGCGGGCTCGGGCCAGCCACAGTCCGCAGCCCCGAATAGCGCGCCCAAACCGCAAAATCCAGTTTTCAGGATGATGGGTAAGATCGATTGCGTTATGGAACTGATATAGAAACAAGCGCTTACCTTTACCGATTAGGACTTCCCAATATTCGTCTTAAACTCCCCTCTCGGAATTGGATGATCTTTCTCACCATCACCGGATCTTTCACCGCAGCTGTCATCTACGACCGCAAAGAGAAGCGCCGTGCGCAAAAGAAGTGGTGCGATCTAGTCGCGCATTTGTCGAAAGAATCGCTTCCAATTGAAGAGACGAGACGGAAATTGACGGTCTTCCTAGCCGCTCCTCCAGGTGACGGGCTCCGGTCCGCCCGCGAACACTTCAAGGAATACGTTAAGCCGATTCTTGTGGCGGCGGCCCTGGATTACAACGTTATTGAGGGACGGAGAGAAGGCGATGTTAGAGCTGCGTTCGCGGAGCAAATCCGCAAGGAAAGACGCCGGGCTGGCGAGCCCAGTACCGTTGTCGAGGAGTCAACACCCGAGGAAATCGTATACCAAGCGAGGAAGAGCATTGGAGTGAGAGATGAGCCTGGGCCAAAGGGCGACCTGGTTATTGGACGTCACACCTGGAAGGAGTATATTCGTGGTTTGCACGAGGGTTGGCTTGGCCCGGTTGATCCTCCAGCGGCACCAGCTGAGGAACCTGCTCTGAATGAGGTTCCTGAAGTGCCTTCTCAAGAAGCTGCGGACGCACCATTTGCGCCGGAACAAGTGGAAGAGAAGAAAGAGGAGGAAAAGAAACCCGCTAAACCCACAGGGCCTCCCCCGGCCTATATCTTCCCCGTCGACTACTCTTCGCAGCCTCTCCCACCAACCATCCCTCAAAGCCTCGACGGCTCCAACCCCATCGAATTTCCACACATCCTCGGCTTCTTGAACACACCCATCAGGCTCTACAGATACCTCAACCAGCGACGTGTTGCCGAGTCCGTTGGTCGAGATGTCGCAGCTCTAGTCCTTGCTTCCTATTCCCGCCCATACAACGATGGTGCATCCTTCGGCTCCGATCCAGACTTCAACTCCGTCGGACCCAATGCCATCCCAGTCCCGCTTTCTCCAGATAGCTCACTCGACGGTACATCACCAGTGGGTAACTATGAACAGCAATCTCAACTCGAGATTGAAGAAAAGGACTGGCACAAGATAGTCCACAAGAAGGACGAGGCGAATCCGGACAAGGAGCGAGAATGGGTAGACGACATCGTATTGGACCATCGCATTGCCAGCCGCATGCAGCGTTACGTCCTGTCTCCCGAGGATGAGGCCCGCGCACAGCACATTGACCAAGGTATTGAATACATCATCGGTGAAGAGCGACCGCCGCACATTCCCTTTTGGCAGCGAATGTGGATCAAATATGGTTACGGGGAAGATCCAGAGGTTACCAAGAGGAAACCCATCCTTGGGAACTTTGACGGTGAGGACGGCGCCTAGAGCCGTCTCGGTTTATTACCCTTGCAGTGCCACTTCATTTTGGTTATTAGAAGGCTTGGGAGGTCTCATATTCTTAGATAGACATTGGCTGGATCCACGCAGAAAAGATAAGCAGGGCTGTGCCATCAACTCCTATACACTGTACAATAGTTAATGCATATTCCGTTCCTATGGTTGTGTACGCAACAGAGCAAAAATTCCTTCAAGAACCGGTAGGTCAGTAGGGTATCATTCCGATAGTACGCTGCAAGTTATGGACACAAGATCATTCCGTATATATTGACACAATAAAAGACACAAAAGTCTCGGTAAACTTTTTTCTCAGTGTTTGCCGTTTCTCAATAGCCCTAAAAAAATGTTAGATTAACAGAAAACCCAGGACTCCTGTACTCCAGTGCGTCAACCGGAGAAAAATGTGCTTGCACATAAGGCTCAACATACCAGATCGAATGTGCGCTGTCACACCTGAGTATAAGAATAGACAGAGATATGTCTCAAGCCTGCGTTTCTAATTGAAGTGCTCGGGGCTGGAATCAAAACTATAGCTTGTGTACTGAACGTCTGGGAACGCCATAATGGCAGGCCCTTCGGAAAGATAAGTTCCGATTGAAGTTGTGTAGCTGGCAGCAGGACTCAGGGATTGCTCTCGAGCAGGTGATGAAATTCTCCGAAAGTCCTGCAATAGATTGTGCAGCTTCCATTTCCGGGCCCCATGATTCAGAAGATTTTCCACTTGGTTCAGACACTCAGCTGCACGCTCATGATATTGCAAATAATCTTCGCACTCCAGCAACGGTGGACTGGGGCAGTCGTGCGGAACCTGAGGTATGGCTGGAATAAGGCTCACGAGGAGGTCGGAATCTTGAGTGACGATGTGGATGAGCCTTCGACTAACTTGATAGATGCGCTGAATATCCAGGAAAGTCATAATAGGCACCCAAGTGCGATTCTGAAGAACTTGATGGATTTCACGGATGTAATCGATGCAACGATTGAATAGAAGTAGTTTTGTATAGTTGCAGTGTGGAACATGGTAACTCGAAGGCGACAAGATAATTATGGTGGTATATAAGTATTCCAATCGGTAGATTGTCGGATAAAACGCAGATGCGCTTTTGGGTAGAGTGTTGTACCATTCGCTAGCTTGTGAGGCTAGCTCCCAAGTTGATGCTGGAGTCTGAAATGAGGATATGAACTCAGTAGAATACCTTTTCTGGTAAGCCTCTGACAACAAGCGCCTAATCCTGACAATGTTCCAGGCTGGGTCTAAGTTGCGAGAGAAGATATGACTATAGTCAGCTGCTGAAGAGTAAGACGGCAAGGCGACATTCGCGGAATCATCCGAGAACGAAAACGTTCGGTCCAAAGCAGCACTCGTGGCCCTAAGCAGTTCGGTTAATTGTTCCGCTATAGACAGAACGTGATGGAGTAGTAGGTACCTGTCCAAAGAGTAGAGACAATGAAAAACACGACGTCGAAGATCTTTCTGCTCAGCCGATGGAATGGATTCCGAATGATGGTCTTGGTGCAAGCCCAAATCAACAAGTACTCTAGCTGCCATTCCTATAAGGTACCAAGCCCGAAAATGTGTTGGGTCAACAAGAGAATACTGAGCGAAAAGCATGATTGCCTGGATTCCCATCAAAGTGCCTGGGAGTAGAACGTCTTCTGCATACTGCAAAGCATCTGAGACGAGAGACAGGGCCCTTTGATGATTGCTATCATTGGAAACATTAGACATAGAAGCATAGGCAGTAGCCAACACCATGCGTAGGATCCAATTGTCAAAAGGCCTCGCAAAATGGGCGCCATTCTGATACACCGAGTCAACGGAGGCCCAGAAGGTTGTCTCAAAAAAGAACGGCAACTGTGTGAAGAAGATATCAAAGTAATGCTGCGCGAGGGGTGTAATCTCGGATCGAGATGGTAGTGGTTGTGGAGACGATCTTGGGATTTGTTCACCAAGCGAAACCGATAACAGCAGATTGGCGAAGGACGTATTTGACGTAATGCCTTGAAAGTCTCTCGAGGTGGCACTAACAGACCTGAAGCAGAGTCAGTCAAGAAAGAAAACCAGAGCTAAGAATGAAGCAACTGACAGATAGCCAAAGTCCCCGACGAGGTCATCTATGTTTGACACCTCCTGACGATGGGCCTGTGGGATACGTCCTGTCGAAGACGACGATGTTATCGAGCTTTCATGGATGACACCTTCCTCGCCTCCGACCAGCAACGCTTTACGCTGGCGAAGCTCCGCTGTCCTTTTTTCAAGTCGTTCACAGTACGCTTCCAGAGAGCCGACGTAGCTTCTCTCCTTTCCTCGGGGAAATTCATCGCTACTTGAGCATGTATCTGTTTTCCCTGCTCTCTCGCAAGCGGAACAAGCGGGAAGTTTCCCGTCACACTTGATCTTAGCTGTTCGACACCTTGAGCATGCAGCGACTGGTCGACTGACTTTGAGCAGTGGTTTGTCCAAGAATGAGGAATCGGACATCATGCTCGTACATGTTCCCTGGGGAATAAGAGAATCTGTAAAATGTGCGCACCTAAGTGGGACTATATTAGCGTCGCATGATCGTGTAGCCTTGCGGTTCAAGACACAAACAGCTTGACGGGGAACGTTTTTCCATGTGAACAGTCCCTTGGCATAGGAAACCTTCAGGAGGCAAGGTCCAAAGCTCCAAGCGATGTGTCAACATTAGAGCCAAAACATTGGTTTACTCACCACTTGTTAATGTAAGCAGTCAGTGTGGCTCTGCAAAGGAAGTTTGGGTTGAGATGACAGGAGGATAGGGCGGATGGCCAAAAAATAGAGGCTGAAGGATCAAAGAGCAGAGGCGCTATCAGAACCTAGTACGATACAGTTCAGGTTCCATGGCCGAAAAATCAGTGGTATGAATAATGTTCGAGAGCGGCAATCGGCCGGATCTCCAACGAAAGGGCTATAGGCTAATTCGTGCTGCAGGCGAAGGCACCATGATGTGAGCTTCAATCACAGCTGAAGTACAAGATCAAGGCCAAGCCTTGGAGATGATGGAGCTCACCTTGAGTACATATAGCAAGAGGCATTACCGGTATAAAGATGGGTCTGGAAAGGGCAATAATGAGGGAAACCTAGGCCATGCAAAAAGCCATGAGACAACCTGGATTCTGGACCGAACTGTAGAGGAGCGACAGAGCTGCCCCGCGGATACAGTCCCGCGCTAGGCTAGATACAGTTCCTTCCAATCTGACACGTGATAAGCGGAGAGTCCTGCTCGGTAAAAAACAACAAAGAACAACCTACACAGCCACATACCCACGCTAACTGCCTGGAGAACAAGACTCGACTTGCCGCGAGTCCGCGACTGAAAAAACCAGACACACTTGTTACCAAGATCCTGCTGGTGTACTTGAAAGTGCAGAGTGGACGACTGTTCATGTTCAAACAATGGAATTTACATTTCCCCCCCCCTTTTCGCCCCGCCACCCCGCTCCCAAAGGCTCAGGAGCTCAGGAGCCCAGGTCATCCTCTGGCAGTGCGCAGATAAGGCGGACAGTTGGGTAGATGAGGCCAAAGTAACGCACAACACCTTGGCCTGGACCGTTTCTAGATGTGTTATCGCCTTGCGCCTTGTACTCCGGCGCTGATTTGGCGCGAGAAAAAGATAATCGATGATTACGTAGAGTATCGTGTGGAAGACTTCATTGGGCTGCGCTTGGCCTGGAAGGCTCATTTTGGCGTGACTCCCAGAGGTGGTTTTGTGTTCCATAACCCATAATTGCCCGGCAATGGTATTCTAGAGCAGCTTCTCGTCCCCTACACTCCTGAATTAATTCAGCTTTCCTTGATTACTCTTATCTTTGTTCCAAAACTGTGGGAGTTCCCCGGCTGGCCCGTTTCGATCGACACGGCGACTAAGTGGGCCCAGGCCATAAGGCCAGCAACCTCATCCCTCGTCGCGACGACCCCCCAGTTGCCCCGAGCCCAACTGAAGCCGATAGCACAAAGAAGAGCTTATTCCGATGTCGTGAATCTGACCGTGCGTGTTGACCCCAACTTTCCAGCTACCACCCCTCGTCGCGCAGTCTTGTTCTCTTAAAGCGAATATGACTATGTCAAGATCGCAACTTCATCCGGTGTTCGATTCGTTTCACACAGTCGCGAGTGCTTGATGGCCTGACGGAGAACTCTTTCTTTACACTTCACGAAGAAAGTCAAGTGATCGGGTCTCAAGGGACTGCATGGAGCGCTGGAGTATACCATCGTCTGCGTTCTCAACACCTACTTTCACAGCTCCCTGGCGGACTGGACACTGTAGCCGCGTAAACAACCATGGCGTCTCAACCTGAGCCGTTCGCTCAACAACCATCTTATACAAGCCTGTGGAATGATTTCCCTCCCAGAGCATCTGATCAGTCTAGCCCCAATTTCGATGGCCGGATTGCACACACGTTAGCCGCGTGCACCAGGTGTAGACAGGTATGCCATCCAACCTGCTCGGCGACTTTCTGCGCTTGCTTGAGTTGCGCATACTAATAGCTCGTACAGCGCAAGTCTAGATGCGATCCCGGAATTCCGAAGTGCGGCCCATGCGACCGCAGCAATGCAAACTGCTCGTATTACGACTCTACTCGAAAGCGTACAATATCGAGGACGTATATAGTTCAGCTCCGGGAACAGGCCCGCAGGCTGGAGAGAGAACTTGAAGAGGTGGAGAAGGACTTTCAACAAGCCGCCGATGCAGAACTAATCGTGCGGGGAACCGGTCGCATTCGATTCAAAGAGCACGACGAGGCTAGGTATCTAGGACCATCGAGCGGCATTGCAATTACGCGCTTGGTCATGGAAATGGCCAAACAGAACACCTCCTCAAAGAGTATCAAAGATGTCGTTCCGGAATCGACAGCGCAGAAAATCAAGGATGCATTTACGCAAGAGAGCGGGAAACCGACTTCTAAAGTGTATCCCATGATCAGCTCTATCGCGCAGCCAAATCTGCCTCTTAAGCATGTGACATATCGCCTTATTGATGTCTTCACTGTCAAGGGTACAAAACCTTAATTTCTGATGGTCATTTTGCTGACTTGCTCTCTAGCACAAGCCATGCTTCCAACGTTGCACATTCCCACTTTCCGTCAGGAAGTCGAGGAAGTCTTCAACGGATCCAACGATCCTTGCCAGAACTTTCAATTAAGAATGGTAATTGCCATAAGTATGCAGAAGATGAGCACTGAATATGCAGGTTTGGCAGACAGCTACTATTTGGCTGCTTTACCATACCTGGAAGCCTCTCTGAAAAGAATGGATCTCAAATCGCTGCAATGCCTGGTGTTGATAGCCCAATACTCCCTACTAACCCCAACAAGGACCGCTGCCTACTGGGTTGTTGGGATGGCAGTCAAACTGTGTCAAGAGCTTGGGCTCACCGAAGAGGCGACGATAACAAAATCGCGTACCGGAAAGCAGTTGGATCCCTTGGAGGTAGACATGCGAAGAAGGCTTTTTTGGATTGTCACGTCGATGGAATACGGCCTTTCGCATAGTCTTGGACGCCCAAGCTGTTACTCCGTCAGCCATGATCAGATCAGCGTCAGCTTCTTTGAGCAAGTGGACGACAAGTACATCACTCGGGAAGGAATACATCCAGATGCGAAACCTATACTACCCAAGTGCATCGCAATACACTTCTTCAAGATGCGCTTATTACAGCTCGAGATACGGCGGAAACTCTATTTGAACAAACGGGAAAGTCCAGTGGACGACCATGACCCATGGTTCGCGCAAATGCTCAACAAATTCGATCAATGGGTATCATCGTGTCCCAAGCACGATGGTGGTAGCGGCTTGAGTGAGAAGTGGTAAGGATTATCATCCTGAACCCTGTTCAGTATATATTCATGACCCTTGTATAGGTTCAGAGGTCGTCTGCACACCATGATAATCATGATGTACCGACCGTCCCCTCAGATACCAGAGCCTTCAGTTTACGCAGCGCGGAGATGTCATGAGGCAGCCGTCTCCAATGTTTATATGCATAGAGAGCAAATCGCTACCGGCTCGGTCGACCTAACTTGGATCTTCACACAATCGCTTTTCATGGCGCTGAACACTATCCTATGGACACTTTCCTATCCTGAAATCAGGAAGGATCATGATCTGCAAGAGGTCCAGGATAGCCTTGCAGTCGCTTTAGAAGGCATCTTACTGGCTGCAGAGAGATGGCCTGGGGTAAGATCAGCCGGCATGCTCTATGAGAATCTGATCGCCGCATGCCTCAGGGCATACAACACGGAAGAATCATTTGTCGTACATTCACCTTCCAATCCGTCCAACTCCAGTCACCCAACACCAGCTTCCTCTCAGGACGTCCAGACACCACCGTCTATGGCAAGCCCTGCTAGCACAGCAGCCTCCATTCACTCGCAAAACATTCTAGCCGGCAGTTCTTCTGTCACCGATACTGCATCAGCCGGTACATTCTCTCGAGGCCCCTCGGCCGACCCAACTTTCCCTTACCTGCCGGCGACAACCGCCCTACCCATTCCTAGCGACCCCGTGAAAGTACCGGACCCCGGTCCATGGGATCCTAGCGTCCCTCCACATGTCACCTCAGATACCCAAACCACTTTAGGGTTGGACTTGCCGGGCGATCCACTTTCATCCGGCGCGGATCTAAATTTTGACCCTTCTGCACCATATAACTCACTGCCCTCCGTTGTTCCGGGATTACCTGGTTGGGACCCGAATTTCTCCCTTTCCTCTACTACCGCCGGCCCACTACCTTATTCCGACGCGACTATCCACCCAATAAATTGGATCAATTCCTTCAGTGACCAGTATTTCCAGTACTTCGGTGGAGATTACCCCGTGAACTCCTGGAGGGGGAGAACATTGAGCCAGCAAGAACAGACGGAATTGATGGATTCACTTGCGGACCATATTCCGGATGTCACAACCCAGCTAGCGATGCAGACGGCGACAGCATATTACCAGCCATGAAGGCACTGTTGGATGATACCATACCAGTCTTCCGATTGTACTCCTTACTATGTTCTACCAGTTCTCAGCGATATCATTTTCATACAATGAAAACATGAATTCAGTCTAAGTTTGTAATTTCATTAGGCAAAAGCAGACTTCATCAATGTAGCAGGGTGTGCGAAAATGCCAGTGAGTGGCGAACAATTTGAACCTGATGTGGAATACCATAAACCAACTTAGGTAGTACTTGGAACTTGAAGGCCAAGAGCTTGAAATGAGGATACGGTAAATTACAGGCCAGCCCAACTTAGCGCCTCCAAAAAAGCATATCACGTGCTCCCGGCCTCTTGCCGTCATCCACCAGCTCTTTCAAGTCCCAGGCCTGTTTCACCCCATGAGCGCAGAGCAAAGGGTCATCGATTTCTTTACCCTCACCAACCAACCAAATATAAAATCGCCGCTCTTTACGCTCCTTCGACATATCGTCACATCACCGACAACTCTGCTGGTCCTCAGGGTGGTTTCATTGGCATGTGTGACTTCTAGGACGCTCGTTTTAACATCGCTCGAGCGAACCCTCCCCCGGCTGCCCCCTCTTTTCTCCCCGTCTGAGTTCGCCGCAATCCACCCCAGTGCTGGAAGATATTCGACTGAGGTCTTCTGCTAGGGTTATAGGATAAGGCTGCTCAGGCTCTCGACGCCGCTCTACCAACACTCAACTCCGTCCACATCTTCCCATGTCCGATCGCGCTTCCTCGGCAGCATTGCGAGCAGGACCTCCTTCACCGTCGTCTCCCGCTCCTTTCTTCTACAACAAAGACAGCGTACCCCATATTCCGGCCTCCGATCAGATTCCACAGACTCCGACATCGCCTCCGTTGATGTCGGTAAGCGCTCCGAACAATGCCTCCAATTTCACATCCTTGCAAGCAGTACCGAGCCAGGCGACGTCACAACCTGCCAGTATCTCATCTCCGCCTTCCTCTGCCCCTATGTCTACCCAAAACTCTCAGCAGCCGACAGTAGGCGTGACAAATTCATTCCCAACACCGGCGAGCAGCGTTGATCCCGATCACATTGACAAGTCCTTTGGGGCTGGGATTTCAGAGACACCGGCGCCTTCCGCGGCAGGCGCAAGCGCGGGTTCTGCTCAGCAGTCAGAATACAGACGGACAGATCATGACAGGAATTTCGGAACAGCGCAGACAGGAACTGGGATTCGCGATTTCGCCGACTGTAACACAAACAAGCCCGACGCCATGGATGTCGATACAGAGCTTTCAGCACACACTAATCCCGGTTGGCCTAGTTTAGACTCTTTGCAGAAAGATTTCTCGTCAGCCTTTCACCTTTGCAAAAGTTGTAAGAGCTCCCCAGCACCCTCTGCAGTTTCTGCCCCTTGAGCCTCCTACTTTGCTCTTATATCTTTCCTGGGTTGAAGCTTCGTTAACACTCTCTCCCTTTGACTATACAGCCCATATTGCGACCGGACCAGATCCAACAGTGGACCTCATCTCGCTGTATGGTCTCGGGCCTGTAGCAAAATCGGTTGCAAGGAATGACCCTATCACTGGAGAAAAAATAAATCGACTGAGGAAGTCATACGAGGGCAAACTGAAAGGTCTAGGACTTGCCGGAAGGAACAAACCCGTGAAGCACGATCCTGCTACCCCTGGTGGGCTCAGGCAAATGACGATGTGGCCGGAGGAAGAGTGGCAAAATCAGAAAGTGTTTGGCAAGGAAATCAAGGTGGCTGATCTGGATTCCGCATTGCATGATCTACAGATGAAGGCCATGAAGATGGAGCCAGGCACGGTACCGAACAATGATTACTGGGAGGATGTGCTAGGTCACGACAAGCCATCGAAACACGCCAACACGGGAGACGCTATCAAGAAGGCCGCCGCTCCTGCAAATTCCGGCGGACGACCTATCGGCCAACCGAACGGAACGCCTACGGCTGCGGAGCCAGAACGCGGCCGTCCCAGTCGGGGTCGCAAGAGGCATTATGATGATAACAGCTTTGTTGGATATGGGGAGGGCTATGCGGATGACGATGAAGATGCTGCATTCTATTCGAACAGCGAAGGGACCGGCAAGAAAAAGCGAAAGAAGGTATGCTTGTCTTACGTCTTGATTCATTTTAATACTGATTCCTTTTCTCCAACAGGATCACGTCTCGAAGATTTCCACTCCGCTCCCGGACAGAGGGGGCAGTTATGGAGTAGGCATGTTTGGAATCGGGGCTCGATGAACGGCTGACATAACAATATTTGCGGGATTCCAAGCAGAGATTCCGCGTTTCTCTCTCCCAGTTATGTTTTCTTCTACTATGCCATGCGTATGGCTACGTTACAGATCCACTGCAAGGGCCTATTTTACCCTCGCGCGTGAGAAACGGATGGTTCACAGCACTCCACGGCAGTGCTTTGGCCGTTGGTTTTCGACTTATTCTCAGTACATTTTTGCATCACGGTGCTGGATATACCCGGCTTACTCAATCGGACGGCGTTTGGGGTTGTTTTATATGCGGGAAAAGGACTGTTTTTGAATGCGGTAATGGCAATGTCTATTTCCTCTTCATCTTGTGTTATTTGGTCGTGAAGCCGATGGCCGGACTTTTGCTTTGTTTTCTGTTGTCTCGACGCATTACGACAGCGAGGGACGTCTATTAAGAGCTGCGTGGCAGCAAGAGGTACAAGCCCTAGTACTACGTAGATAGGAATTGAAGATAAATCTATCATTCAAAAGTTACATACGTCGTCTATTAGCTGCGTAAATCGTTGAGTGAACCCTCCAACCTGCCCAACTGGGATACCTAACTCCCATGCACCTCCATGGATTCCTTGACCCGGTGCTTTATGAGGTGCTTAATGAAGTGATTTATGAGGCGATTTATGAAGTCGAGTCAGACCCGTAGGGGAATCAATTCAAGGGATTTATACAGGAGGGCAGTAGAGCGGGTCCTTCTCCGCGGACCCAATTGCAAGCACTACATATAATCAGATACTATAATATACCCTTCAGTCCCATGCAACCCTTCTTTTACCCGACCACCTCTCTGAGCACTCTATCAAACTCGCCGACCCATTTCAAGCCATCGAAATGACAACCCCTTTCGAAAAAGCCCTTTTTTTAATCGACGCCGCCCACAGTCTCGACCCCAAAAAAGTCACCCCACCCAACCAAGATGAAATCCCCTACGAACTCCTCTACGCCAACAAAATGACCAAATACCTCTCCCTTCGCTCCCCCTCCGCCTCCGACAGCCTTCGCCTCGCTGTGCGCGCCCAGCACCTAAAAAGGTGGGAGGTACCCCGCGCCGAGTTCCCCGCGACGAAGATCGGATACCACTCGTGGCGGACGCACCTCGCACGGCGGCAAGCGGATATCGTTGCAGGGATGTGCGTGGAGGCTGGGTATGAGGCGGAGTTTGCGGAAAGGGTTGCGGCGCTTGTGAGGAAGGAAGGGCTGAGGGGTGGAGAGGATGAGGAGGTGCAGGTTCTTGAGGATGTGGCGTGCTTGGTGTTTCTGGAGGATCAGTTGGAGGAGTTCCAGAGTGGATATGAGGAGGAGAAGGTGATTGGGATTCTGCAGCGGACTTGGGTGAAGATGAGTGAGAGGGGAAGGGAGTTGGCGTTGGGGATGGAGTTGAAGGAGAAAAGTAGAGAGTTGGTGAAGAGGGCGCTTGCTGATGCGTAGGCTCGTTCTTTTCGCGATGTTTATTGCATTGTCCGGGCTACGTATGTTTGGTTTTTTTTCGTCGTGATGTGCTTGATGGGATATTGATATCGTTACATTTTGGGTCGTTATCTATTATACAGATGTGGACTGGCCGGGTCCGAGGTATGATGGCCGAGATTAAGGATTATGACTCCCCGTTGATCAACCTCACCAGCCCAATCGCCGCGCCTGCAGCAACCCCTCCAACAACAACCATCTGAAGACCTCCTCTAATCCCAGCAAGGATATTTTCTCTCCCGGCCCAGCCTCGAACAACGCCGGTCTTGATATACCCAAAGACAAGCAACGTGACCGCCATGACCGCGACGCTGCAGTACAACGCAACAAGCACCTGATTCACAATGAAGTATGGAATCAGAGGAATGAAGCCGCCAATAAAGTATCCCAGGGCCAGAGTGATCGCCGACGTCCAAGCCTGGTTACAGTCGGGCTCAGACTCCTTGTGATGGAAGTGAATGAGGAACTCGCGAAGACGGTCAGGAGAGGCATGGAGTGAGGCGTTTATTGGGGCGATTGCGTCGTCGGGGACGCCGTGTGCGGCGAAGATGTCGTAGACTATGGCTTCTGTTTCGGAGGGGGAGGAATCGATGAGTTCTGTGGTTTCCCGGACGGTGGCTTGGTATGATTCTCTGCTTGGGTTAGACTTGATTGATTATCATTGATTTGTTTAAACATACGCTTCACTCTTTGCACCGACATATCCACCCAGTCCCATGGAAATGGCGCCTGCTGCTAGCTCTGCTAGTCCACCGAGAACCACAACCTTTGTGTTACCGAGTGCTGAGAGACCTGCACTCAGAGCGAAAGGGACTGTGAGGCCATCTGAGAGGCCGAGGATAGCGTCTGAGATGATTCGGGGGTTGATGCGTGATCGCGTGCTGCTGCTGGTACTTTCAACATCGTAGTTGGAGGAGGGCGAAGGGGAGCGGAATGTGCTATAAGATCTCGATTGGCGCCCTTCAATGTCGTGGTCCATGCTGCCATTGCTGTTCGTGATGGTATCTGAGTCGTCGTCTTCGTCTGTAGCTAGGAGTGGTTTCCCTGTAGCTTTTTAGCCTGTTGTTCCTTGTACCTGGTCCTGAGATAGGGTTAACGAACTGTAGCTTGGTTGTGAGGATTTGGCAGATCTCTCTGGGAACAGCCGTTTCTTGAGGAAGAGGAGAGCCATGATGATTCAAGGTTTCCCTTTCGTGTGGCTCTTTGTTTTTGTTTAAATGCTTGGGAATTTATTTTGCGGCGGCGATATAGAATCGTCCAGGTTAGGAAGCAAATAAAGCCCGTTCCAGACTCCTGACGTCACTGATATCTCCAAGCAATTCGCGATTGCGAACGACAAGAGTTTCGAACAGATCTGAGGAAGGGAAATTGAGGTTGATTGTAGAGCTTCATACAGGCAATGGAGCCGCAGAAATAAGATATTTATCCTCCTCCCTTACCCTAAGTCTGAGACCTGGAGCTGCAAGTTTGACGGTTTCTTTTTCTCCTTGTGCTTCTTTGCCGCTCACTAAGTTCCCCGCTTGCGCCAATCACCGTTGAGAGGATTGTCAGCTCACCGCGATCTGCTCAACAAAGGCAAGGGCGCCATGGCGAATGGAATCGATATGATTGGTTATGTTGCTGGTTGATTACAATCAGCTGGTCTGTCAATGGTCAGGGCTTGTTAATCTGACTTTCTCGGTGTTTTGTCTTTTGTGTCCGACGCTCGCTCGGGCTCGGAGATCACACATAGTTATGTGACCGATGTGAGTAATGCTGGAGCCTTTTGAGGTCGGAGATGGCGAATTGAGCACTGTATAGAGGGTGGAACATATCCCGAACTTGCTTTACATCTGATGAGGACATTGTTGACCACGTCACTCTTGCAGGATGAAGGCGAATGGCCTCCGCGCGGAGCAGAACGAGAGTACAACATACGGACTCCTGCCGCGACCACAGATGGTACAGAGTCTTGCAACACAGCATGGGTTCTAGATCCACTAAGACGTAAGCCTAACCGACTTGTGTATCCATAGATTTCGTGCGCGACGCGAGGAGGTTCCGACTCTCAAGCATTGCTCTTGTCCACATTCATATCAGCAACGGGTAAGGTCCGTTGTCGCTTCGTTTTAGTAGTACGAGAGTCGAGTTGAGGCAGCTCGCACTCAAGTTGTTCAGCCTACTATGGATATTAGGAGGCGGCCGCTGAGAGCCGAAGCAGTGAACGGACTGGCTTACTTTGACCTGGCAAGGCTCGGAAACAGTTTCCATTCAATGCCGCCGTGAAGGGGATTTCTAGCCTTACACGTCAGAATTCACCTTATCGCCGAGTCAGTCTAAGAGCATATGCTCATACAAATCAAAAGCCAATCAAATACGAAAAGGGTCGCTTACTCCGTAGGACATTCCCAGACAATACCTATTGATCTCTTGTTGTTGAGCTATGAGAGTCCAGATTTTGATGTTCTCTCCGCGCCGGCGCACGTGACTCCACTTATGCTGTCAACCAATCACAGTAAGGTATTACTTGCCGCGCTTCCTATATAAATCAAGTTAAAGAAGAACCAAGTGCCTTCGGGCATTTGGTCAATTTGAAACGATACAGAGAAGATTAGCATGGCCCCTGCACTAAGGATGACACGCTCAATCAAAGAGAAGCTACCAGTTTTTTTTTTCACACTTACCGACCTCATTTAAGGGGTACGACGTTTCTAGATGGCGCCCACCGGATATGGACGTCTTTTTGGTCTACTTTGGGCGGCGGTTCGAATCGCGTCTCAGTCGAACTCATCTTTTTTCCCCAAGACGGGACCGCATCTTCAGCGTCCGCGCAACAAGGCTCACAATCGTTCAAAAATAATAGTTACTTCTCGTCATTTCCGATGTAAGAGTGTATCGTGCCATAATTTATTTACAATAGTATCATCCCTGCGTCAAATGGGTTGCACCCACGGCCTCTGCTGGTGTTCAAGCACCGCCCTCCCTCTTTGCATATTCTTCCTCCATGCGCTCCTCATACAGGCGGTCAGCCTCCTCCTTGCTCAGCGGCTGGCCCTGCTCGTTCACAGCGGCTGGGAAGTTCGTGCCTGCGAAGCTTGTGGTTGTTGCGTGGCTGTTGCTGGACGTCGTGGCGGTGGCGCTTTGAGCCGCCTGTTGAGTGTCATTTGTGGTGTTTGACCCGTTGTTCTTCTCGTTGTAGGTTGGAATTGGCATTGCGAAGTCGATGGTCCGTGGGTTTGTATGTGGTATCTGGAGAGATAGATGGTTGGGTAAAATAATGTGGTGGACAACCTTGGTTTATATCCCGAGGTAAGGCGAAGTCTACGTCACTGATGAACGGGAAAGTCAAGTCAGGTGATGGAATTTTTGTGGCGGTTGGACGATGAACAAGATAGCAGGGAACTATTGTGGATCATTTGCCAGTGACTCATTGTACACTTGAGGCAGAGGCTGAAAAAGTGGAATGTATTTAGGCCATTATTATGATTGTTGCCACCCTACAACCGGTAGTCTACTCGAAGTATATCCACAACTTGCTAAGACCCACCACAACAAACGAAGGCTGACCTTATTTAACCATTCAAGACAACTCCTCCGTTCGGGTGCAAGCTCTGCCCGGAAATATAACTGCTATCCTGACTGGCAAGGAATACAAAGCAGGTTGCGATCTCACTTGGCTGGCCTGGGCGACCCATTGGCACGCCACTGAATTGCTCAATCGCCTTCGTGTTCATGGTTGCTGGGATTAAAGGAGTCCAGACTGCCGTATGTTAGCTTCCCAGATCGAAATCGCCATAAGAAAGTCCGCTGGACGTACCTGGGCCCGGGCATACAGCGTTTACGCGAATACCCTTGCTACACTGCTGGTTCGACAGACCTCGTGTAAAGGCAACAATTGCACCCTTTGTTGATGTATAGTCTAGGAGATCGGGCCGGCCGATATATGGGTTAACAGAAGCGCAGTTGATGATCGATGAGCCGGACTTCAGGTGAGGAAGGGCGTATTTAGATAGGTAGAAGACAGGGTGGATATTCGTGTCGAAGGTGCTTTCCCACTGCGATCTAGAGTAGAAAAGTCAGTGATGATCATTTACCCCTGGCGATGCTTGAGAAACAGGGACCATCACTTACTCTTCAAGGTCCTTGATATCTTCAATCATAGTCTGCGTCCCAGCATTGTTCACTAGAATATCGATGCCACCTAGAGTCTGCAGCGCAGTCTCAATCACCTTCTTGCAGTTCTCCTTGCTGCGTATATCAAGAGCCAATGTATGACACTTCTGTCCAAGCTCTTCAACTCTTCTCTTCGTCTCCTGCGCGTCTTCCTCCTCCTCTGGTAGATATACAATCAAGCTTGATGCACCCTCCATCGCATATAAAATCGCAATCGCGCGTCCAATTCCAGAGTCGCCACCGGTGATAATGGCTCTCTTTCCCTTCAGCTTGTCCGCAGCTTTGTATTTCTGGTATCCCTGGTCTTCGGAGGGGATCTGCGAGGAGACGGGCTGAGGCGTCTCCATCTGGGACTGAAGGCCGGGCTTCTTCTGCTGCTGGACGGGGACTTCATGGCCTAGGTTAAGACAAGTTAAAAGACGATGGCGACAAGGCGAGCTGCAAGGTTGTGTTCTTACCAGTCTGAAATTGTGACTCCGCTCCGCGCTGGGGTTTATACGTCTTTGGTTCCATTGTGCCTGAGTTCTAAGTAAATATTTCGAAATAGGGTTCGTAGTTATCAATCGAATTTTGGATTATAGAAGGGTTTGCAATTTGTACGGCGCGACTTAAGGAGGGTTCGAGCCAGGTGACGCTGGTTTTGAGCTTCATCGCAGTGTTGGCTCGTCAGTATGACGTCTAATATTCAACGCTCGTTGATGAAGTCAGACCACTGCACACAGTGTGTATTCCTGCATTTTTGCCATCTTTCTTGGCCTAAAAGCATTATATGTAAAAGCTCGGTCTTGTCCTATGTGTTGCTTGAGGTGGTGCTCGTTGTGCGCGCGACAATACATCGTCGACAAGGGAGACCTAGATCGCATATATATTTTTGTCGAACTGCGACTGCCCAATTGGTTGGCAATCAATATTGAAGCTTGACCAACAGTGACCAAAATGGCCAGTAAGAATCCTAGTATGAAGGTTATGACGGGCATCAGAAAGACAAGATGGCGCTGGGGTCCTGCGGTCCTGCGACTCGCGACGGAAGACAACATCGTGCAGCGCATGTATCCAATTCGAACACAGCCCATTCAGCGACCTGAACACTTACACCCAAGGCCAGCTGAATAATAGTCCCAGGCACAACTGAGCTCAAAACATTACAATTTTATTTCTTTAGCTCCAAGTACAAGCGAGATAGTTTCAAAAAAACCGCTCTATCTACCAGAAAAACAGACCTCTTCTCCACCCACGAGCCACTGGCTCGCGACCTGATGAAAAGGAAAGTCTCTCAATGAGAGGAAAGTGCCAAAGAATACGCCGCTCAATGAGCCGAAACCCATTGAACAAACTGTTCCGCCGCGATGTGCAATGCAGGGACCAATCTGTAATAGAGGCCATCTTGAGCGCCCCAATATTGCAGCAAGGTAAGTATGAAGAAAAAAAGAAGAAAAGTCCAAAAGGGTGCCGAGAGGGCGAGAGTTATATATCCTGTAGTGGGGCCAATACTCGACGCTAGTGACAAGCGAGAATATCCTGCGCTGTGATTGGTTCGTCCTACAGAAGCAAGGCATGTGACCTGATCATGATGGAGACATCAGAGGAGCTGACCAGAATCTGAAGGCGATGAGAGTTTATGTTCATTGGGCATTTATGGTTGGTTTGATTTGGATGGACAATACTTATCAGTATATTCTTGTTCTAGTATTAAATATGCCTCTGTCGCGACAAGAGCTATTAACTATTACAGGCGAGCGCCCCATGCATGCCTCCCGGATGCGCTGAAAGGTGGAAAGCTGTACGGTGTGCGAGAAAAACTGGTGACAACGAAGCCAATCAGAATCTACGATGCATCACCACCACTGAGAGCTAAGCATGCATCTACAGCTAGACCAACCCTAGAAATCAGATCATATTAGTCGTTAGGCACTCTAGCATTTCGCCGTATAGCTGAGCTTACCTTCCCTCTTTCATCTTGACCACATCATCAATCACATCACGGTCAAGGTTGGGAAACATGTTAGAGAGAGTCTCGACGACGTTGTTATGCTCTGCGCTTTGTATCCGTCGAGCTTCGGCATCCTCCGCACTAGCCTGTCGGGCAGCAGCATCTTGAGCATCAAGTGCTCGGGATGGCGAGGGCTGCGCTCCACGGGAGCGGGCCCGTTCGCCAGATCGTCGTTCTTCACCACTAGCTCGAGGTGGTTGGTAGACGTTAGGAGTCAACCGCCGTGAAATTCCAGGATGCTGTGCTGAAGCAGGCTGGGCCGACTTTTCTGGCTGTGATTCAGATTCATCCGAAAAGATCCTCCCTATGGTAGACAGTGGCTTCTGGATTGTTCGAAGTAACCCTGCTACAGGAGCATTGTCATCCTCCCGTGTTTGCGAAGCGTCCCTCCGCCCAGGGTTGCGCGGGTTATCAGCCGATATCCGGGATGGGCCCGGGGCGCTGTCAATAGATGCTCTTGGTTCGGAAGCCTCAGATGCACGGTGTTGTTCAGCTATCGCGGAAACGGCGGCTTCAACATTCTGTTCAAACTCTTCATCGCTCACAGTGAGGCTTGTTCGGTCCAGCGTTTCGACGAATTGTATAGCTCCGGACTGAGATGATGTCTGTCAGCATAATCAAATATGCTGTTTCCGTAGCCATTACTCACCAGGGAGGATAAGTAATAGCCCGCTTCTCCTCCGAGTTTCTCTTGATTTCGAAACCGTAGAATATACTGTATGTTTGACACTAGATGCTCTGGGTTGGCTTGTAGAACGACGTATATCAAAAGTGGCACGAACGAATCCGCCGAGGTATCTGATTTCTTCGCATTCCGTAGCAAGCCTTGGAGGTAGCAGATTAGCCGTAGGCTATGCAGTGGCTCCAGAGTGGCTTACCAAAAATAACCTTGCAGCAGTTCAAGATACAAATGACCTTGTCACGAGGTGCTCGGTATCCGTTCAGCTTCAACAATTCTAGAAGAAGTTAGTTGGAGCCCCGCCGGAATTGTATTGTTAACCCACCCTGTTGAGCAAGAGTCAAGAATCGGCGACCTTGCGAGCTCACTGGTGCAATGTCGAGGTGCTCTTCCTTGACCCAGCTGTATATCCGCATTTTCTGCGCCAAAACCTCATCCCGTTCAACATCTTCCTGATGTTGTCCCCTTCTCCAAGGCCCGTGCAGTCTTTCCATCTCTCGCCGCTTGCTTCTGCTCGCACTCCGCGGAATCGAGGGTGGTCCAGGGATAGCAGGCGAGAAAGTCTGGGAATAAAGTCGATTCATCACAAGCTTCTCCATGCCTTCTTTGGCGTTATCGAATTCACTGTCCGAGACATCTCGCCATACCTCGCAAATGGCCATCTTATTGGTTATAAAAGCTAAAAAGTCACTGATGATTTTGACTTGTTCATGGACCATCCACTGTCGCTTTCCAAACTCGTGAAGGAATGATCGTAGAAATTTGGCGACGGGGTCCGCAGTGCGGTGTCGTAACTGTTCGAGAAAACGGTGAAAGTCAAATGGTTGGTCAGGTTCAGGTTCCGGTGGTGGAGGAATAGTGGACGTCGAGGATCGTCGAGTCAATGTGAACTCCTCAGCCGTGGAGTTTCTATGGATGTTATTGGCAATCGACGCGGGCTGTTTTTCTGACGAAGGCTGGGATCCCCCCACGGTTTTAGGGGCTTGTTGGACGATTCCTTTGGCCATTCCATGATCCAAGCTGGATTTCCTGGGTGGAAAGTGACCGGGGCCTCCGAGAAACTGCTCAGCTAGTTCCATCCGAGGGGACATGACCTGCTCCTCAGCCCCGTCGTGAGCGGTATCTGCAAACTGCCCCATGATGGTCTGTATCTCTGGCTGAGAATCATCATCCCTGGCGCGCCGCTTCCCAGTCTCTACCTTCTTCGCACCGTCGTTCGGCACATCTGGCAGCTCCTTCTCTGTCCACTCTGTAGTACCCGCACGGCTGACATATGACTCGTCCTTTTCAGGCGGAGGGGGCGGGGTTGCGCTTGTGTCTGACGCCGTCGCCGACGCCGACGCCTGCTCTGGTTTATTGTTCGATATAGAGAGGCCCTCCATTTGCCCCGCAGGAGCGGCTTCTTCTGATGTAGAAGTGGTCGGAGGATCCATGGCGGCGGGCATATCCGGCGGGGCTGGTGTTAAGGATCCTGGGGCACTCTGAGGCCCTTCTTTCGTCTTAACTAACGGAACGATTCCAGTATTATGTATCTCGGTCGAGGACTCATTCTGCGCCTGCGCTGTTGATTCGAGGCCAGCCGACGTCACTTGCCGCTCAGCCTGATTCCCCTCATTGGACTTTGCTGATCGAGTCTCCCCTAGCGCGTTGGGAGTCGAGGGGCCCGGGACACCTGAAGCGGACATAAGATATTTGCATAGGTCTGCGGAGAAAATGGGAGAAATGGGGTCGTCGACGAAGTTGCGGTTTAAGCGGCGGTATGGGTCATGTTGCGGGGGAGCTATGAATCTGGGACAAAACTCTCAGGTTCGGGGTTGCTCGCAGCGCTCTGGGAAAACGGGTGGGAGTTGATATAAGATAAATATACAGTGCGCGGATCTATAAAGTCCACGAAATGTTCAATAAGCCTGCGTCAAGAATAGGCTGTTGAAAGACGAAGTGTTGGGACTCAATAATCATTGGTATCGGGAGCGGGATCATTGTTCCGCCGAGATCCGGCCTGTTTGGTTGAAATTATCGAGCTTCTCGCCGTTCCTGCCTTTCCCCAAGCTCCAGAGCATTTCGGTCTGTGTAGGAGCCAGGGACGCGGCAGCATGTGCGGAATCTTTTTCTCGCTGACTGCGGCCGAGAACCCCGTGCTACTTGACAAAAACCTCCGCTATTTGTTGACCAAACGGGGGCCAGATGAGGGCTCATACAGCATCGGTGTGAGAGGCGCGCGTCTTAACCTGTTCAACCACGAGGGCAGTGCGCGGATATGGCTTTCGTTTGCAAGCACTGTCCTATCTATGAGGGGAGGCGATGTCGTTCGCCAGCCACTGACTGATAGCGGCAAAACGGGGTCTATACTTGCTTGGAATGGAGACGCCTGGAAAATCGCTGGCCAGCCTTTCCCTGAGAAAAATGACACGGAGATTGTCTTCAACCATCTACTCCAAGCGACTACAAAGGACTATCTCGCCGAGGACTATGATGAAGTTCCTGATTCCACCCAGCGAGTTATAGAAGCTATCAGCAAGATTACAGGGCCGTTTGCTTTTGTCTTCTACGATGCGGTCAATTTCAAACTATACTTTGGACGGGACTGTCTCGGACGACGGTCTTTGCTTTGGGGCCTTGATGAGTCTGGCAGTCTCAAGATCTGTAGTCTTTGTGATGACTCTACGTCTTCCTCATATTTCCAAGAGGTTGAGGCGGACGGTATATACATGATCGAATTTGAAGATGACCAGGATGCTGCACTGAGGACAAGTTCTGCCGTCGAACCTCTTCGTTTTGACATTAAGAATATACAAAGGATACCGTGGAGCCACGAGGCTTTGCCAACATATCATATGGTACGGCTTCGCACATAGCTACAGTGTCAGTGAGTACTGATGAGTCGACAGTTAAGTCCCATTCCTCCAATGAACAAGGCAACGCCGGAAGGAACACCCCCGCCGCTAACCACTACATCGTCTATCCTCAGGGAGTTGGAGCACAGACTCCGGCAGTCACTCGCGCTGAGAATCCAGAATGTCCGCCCGCCGCCATTTGTGGGAGACACCAATGTCAAGGTTGCCGTCCTCTTCTCCGGTGGCCTAGACTGCACTCTACTCGCAAGGCTCGCGCACGATATTTTACCAGCCGCGGAGTCCATCGACCTGCTCAATGTCGCATTCGAGAATCCCAGAGTCGTGGCCGCTGCAGCCAAGGGCTCGGAGTCATCTACTTCTGTTTACGAAAGCTGTCCCGATCGTCTCACCGGACGAGCAGCTTTTGGAGAGTTGCGACGCGTATGCTCAACCCGCAACTGGCGCTTCGTTGCTATCGATATTCCGTACGTTGTGACGGTGTCACATCGCGACACTATTAAGCGTTTGATGCGGCCGCACAACACGGAGATGGATCTTTCAATCGCGTGTGCGTTGTATTTCGCGGCTCGCGGCCAGGGCACAGCGATCGAGAGCCAGCGCGCAGATGCCAAGCCGTATCCGTACAAAACCCCCGCCCGAGTGCTTCTTTCCGGTCTTGGGGCCGACGAGCTATTCGCAGGCTACGCAAGACACGGCATGGCGTTTGCGCGCAGTGGCTTCGAAGGCCTCGTTGACGAAATTGACCTTGATGTTGGCCGCCTGGGGAAGCGCAACCTCGGCCGCGACAACCGTGTAATCGCACACTGGGGCCGCGAAGCACGGTTTCCATTCTTAGACGAAGACTTCGTCGCCTGGGTAGTGCAAACACCAGTTTGGGAGAAATGTGGCTTTGGTGTCCCGGAATGTCCTCCAGTAGACACCGGCATTGACCCCGAAAAGAAAGCCCTCCGTCTCCTCGCCCTCAGCTTAGGCCTATCAAGCGTTGCTCGCGAGAAGAAAAGAGCCATTCAGTTTGGATCGAGGACAGCCAAGATGGAAAAGGGCAAAAGCAAGGGAACAGATGCTTTGAGCTGATTACATACATCTCACCATCCACCCATACTGTACACACCATACTACTCATCTCCTGGATGTATACATCGCAGCCATAACAATACGGACAGCGGTGATGACAAACTCGGATCAGATACTTCTGAGACCGGTCCTTCATTTCACCCTTGTCCAGACCAGTCCGCGCTTGGACGACTCCATCTCCTCTGCCTCTCCTGACGCCGATGGTGACTGCAACCGCCTCTGTAGGAGCGCTGGTACTTCCCATCGGGGCTTGGAAGAAAGTCGAATGGGGTTTGATCCAGCGCATGAAGGACTATCTGGGCCTGGGGGCGAGAAGAGGCTATACCTTACCACAGGTTAGGTCAGGTCTATGAGGTGCATTAGAAAGGCAAGTCTGAGCTGGTCCTATTTGATGGTGGTCATGGGATGAAGAGAAGATGCACTCGTGTATCATGTACATGTATATACAGTTCATCAAGTCAAGATGGGATTGTTCTATACCGTGTGCATTAGGTAACCCTGAATATAACATCTATTTTAGATTGGCCTTGCATAATCTCCATAGTCTATCTATCCATGTACTGCGGAACTGTAAATACCAAAAGAAAGTCAACAATTTACGCCGCAAGGCTAGCCAGTAGAATAAGATATGGAAAGGACAAGAGGCAGACCCAAAACAGTCTGCCCGCCAGAGTGCCGTGGACCTGCCACGTCAAAGTATGCGGAGTGCGGACAATGGAGGCTTGGACCGGAGAGTGACACGTCATGAGGCTCATGCGGCTCATTCGAAGTTTCGATGTGGCATTGCTGTCAGATCCACTGGGCCACTGGTCCGGCAGCATGGGCCATGGGTTGCATTGGGCACGTTGCCTATAGTACCCCATATGTATGCATGCTATGATAAGCCTAGACCGAGGTCGGCTGAAGTATATACTACATACGTACGGAGTATATAGCGTGAGAACTCTTGAAGATGCCGAAACGGAAAGTCTGCATGTAGATAGCGTGCTGGCAGTGGAGGAGAGGACCTCAGTGCGCAACAGTGACCTGTGGCAACTAATCTACAATGTTTAATAGTGATGAGCAAGAATGAGCGAGTGACAATTTGGTTAATCAAGAAGCAATCTGGTACAAATTAGATTAAGAAATTAAAAAAGAAAAAAAAAGCAAAGCAAGGGCCACGAGTCAATCCCATTTTCGGGAGACATCAGAACCGGCCAACAGAAGAGAAACATTGATAGAAACAAGACAGGAGCCATGAAACCCACGGACCTATTTGAACTTTTGTCCCATCGGAAGCGTGTCGTCAGATATCATGTATAAACTCACAGACTGATCGCTTCCGACGATTTGGACGAGAGGCTCTACGCCCCCGCCCACAGCATATCCCACGAGACTGTATGCGAAAAACAACAGTGAACAACAGCATCAAAAAAACACAATACACAATCATCAGGGTGCACATAGTCGTAACCGTTAGAAACACTTTTGTTTTGTTTTTAGCAAGCTCGGCTCTCGGCCATGGTCTTCCAGTATTCGGCAGAACGCTTCGCATCTGCGAGTTCCTGCTGGAGCTCCTGAATACGGCGCTCCATATCTTCTTGTCGCTCGAGCTTCTTAGCACGAGACTTGCGGGCAGCCTCGGTGTTTCGAGCACGTTTTACTGCAGCAGGGTCGCTCTCATCATACTTGATAGGTGCGAGAGGCTTGCGCTGGCGAGCATTGACACCAGCGACAGTAGAGTGCTTGGTTGCAGAACCGCGGATAACAGGTGATCGAACAGGAGAAGAGATGGACTGAACGGCAGGCGAAGCAGAAGGCTCGGGCTTGACCTCTTGGCTCAAAGACGTAGCGATTTCCATGACGGCCGCGTCAAAAGGCATAGGCAATTCTTCGGGGAAAAGCGACCCCCAGTGCTCATGGCCGGCGGCAAGGTCCAGACCGGTATCAAATAGAGGGGAGGTATCTTCGCTCCAAGCTGGGGACTCAAACATGGGTGTGCTGAGATCGGTGAAGGACGCGGACGGAGGAGCCGAGCTGTCCATCATCAAATCCTTAGGGGAGACAGTGGCCTCTGGCACTTCTCCATCCTTGGACGCCATGAAGCCAGTGGGAATCAACTGAGGCGAAAACATGCCGGCGTCGGTGAGGTGAGCAAGCTCGTCACCGAGCTGGTCAGAAGGCAAGCTGAAAAGGTCTGTAGAATGGATGTTAGAGCGAAGACACAGATACTGGGGGCTCATAGACCAAAGCTCACCTTGAGCCATGTTGGGGGTAGACAGGTTGCGACGGTGGTTGACTAGGTGGATGTACTGATTTTGGGTAGGCGAGTTGGTGGTGCTGTTATTGAAAAGGGGGACAGGTGGACGATTGTTGACAGTAATTGTTGAATTCGGAGCCGCAGGAGCAGAATTCGAAGCTGCGAACCAACGCAGAAGATGCTTCTGGTTGGAAGGACTAGACCGAAGAGTGGTAGACAGAGGATACCCGGCAGACTGGGGAACAAGTCTGGTTGCCCGAGGAACCTGAACTGGGGAGCTTGCAAACTGCTGCTGCAAGTTGACAGAATGACGACGCAGAGGCTGTCCGGGATGGACGTGAGATCGTTGATAGGCGGCGTATTGTCTAGGGGCAGTACTCAGGTGTGCTGAGGCGCGCAAGTCCCTGGGTTGAGGCTGGGGATAGAGCACAAAGTCCTCTTGCGGAGAGTTCGAACTGTTGCTGACGATCGGGTTGTTGTTGGAATCCGGATTCTGAGCCAAGGGCTGCTGGGACGGGGGCGTAGGAGGCCATGGTTGCTGAGGGTTATCCGTGGTGAACGACTGAAAGTCGAACGTGGTGAAAGAGTTGGGGAAAGAACTTGAGCTACGCGAAGCGAGGCTGAAGTTCAGAGGTTCCTGGGAAGGAGACTCTGAAGTGGTTGTAATAATGGAGGGGGGAGTTGAAAACGTAGTCCTTTGCGGATCTATGATGTCTGTCTCGGCGGAGAAAGACGAGCTGCTAGCGGGGGGTTCGCTTAACAGTCCATTTTGAAACGGACGATAACGAGAAAACTGTCTAGACTGGGATGATATGGTGACTGGGGTAAAGATGAAGTGGGTGGTGGTGTTGTCAGATGAAAGCGGTGGTGAAAGGTCAGGGGAAGATAAAGAGAAAAGAGAAAGAAAAAAAAGCCAGGCAACAACCGGGAATCAGGCTCTGCTTTAAACAACATGTGTGTGGTTTTGGTCCGGGCCTCTCCACCAATCAAGGCGCCTGGACTCTCCGCCTGGCACGCTTACTGTATTTGGTAAGGTGGGCTTTCCGGGCGCGATGGACCTAGTGTCAGCAGAGTGAGTCATAAGGGCGCTGCTAACTTGACACCCTCACCGCTATGTAGACACGACATTATACTGATAAAATGTCCTGGAAAACATAGTCCACATTATTTTCAACTTGTTTATTCTCTTCCCTAGGCACCCTGATACACAGAAAAAAATGGCATTGAATGAGGACCCTCTACCTACTCTGGCTCTTTAGTCATCCTAACCACGAGCAAAAGCGCCCTGTCAAGTGATGCTTTCTTTTGCGACTTGAGTTCCTCGGTATGTCTGAGAGGGGTGTCTTTATAGCAGGAATGGTGTCAAGTTAGCAGTACCAGGCACAGGACTCTTACCTCAAGGATTAATTCGGTTTCAATTGGCGAACACGCGTCGTCGGTGGGCCTCCAATTCTCCCAGGCACCGTAAAAGGGCTTAAAAATCACGCTTTCTTCCCTCCTTTTGGCCTTGATGACAAACTGTCGCTGCCTGCCATATGCCTGGGGCTCGTACTCGGCTCAACTCCTTGACGTCGTTGTTGCAATTGACCAACCAGAGTTACATTTAAGCAGCCTAAAATTTCACAGCCTCCCCAGGCTTTGACGGAATGGGACCCTGTTGCAACAAGGGTGAGACAAGGGAGGCTCAGCCCCTCAAGGCCGCCCTCTCGAGTCTCCACGCACTTGCTTCAAATGAACTAGATCGATGCGGCACGACTGGAATTTGGATGGTCTCTGTTTCGTCACGACTCACAGACGACACTGCCATTGAAATGATATCCGAAATCCAGAAAAGAAACGGACAAGAGAAAAGTTTCACATTCAGCCGGCCTCTGAACATGTGGAGATCACTTACCTGTTTAGTTCCCCGCCATGTTCCGCTATCCTGTTTGGCGTCGCCGAAGGGCGTGCAAGTGCATTCCAAAGCTCAATTCTCGAGCCCACAGCCGGAGGTTCCCGCCGACAAGCAACGACTGCTCATCTGACCCTCTTCACGAAGATTTCACGTTGCGTCAAATTGTCTTGGATTGATTGGACACAGCTTCTGAAGATCGGATTCTGATGAGTTTATTCGTTGAATTCTCGATCGAGGATAAAATCCAAGATTGACAGTGCCTGGAGTTCTCAACTCGGAAGTAACGAGAGGATGGCATCCTCTTCATACGCCCCTTATACATCGCGTGATAGAAAAGAGTAAGTTTTCTGTACATTCCCCTTCCCTTCCAAATGGTGTCTCTTCCAACAACAGCATCAACAGATACGTCACGTGCCATGTTGATTCACTTACACCAAAACTGGAAGATGCGTACAAGGTGACGTTTGGACTATATACATGTATACATATTATATTTACGTCCTTCGCCCAAAGGCATGTACACCAGAAAGTATAACTGCCAATTAAACCTTCAGTATGCGATGATATTTGTTTAATGGTTTCTTTTGGTGGCTGCTGTGGGTGTTCTGGTGTTCTATATATGGTACACGGTGCGTGATTAGGAATCTGAGATATCTGCACAAGACAGCAACCTTTGACTGAATAAATTAATTATATCTCTCTCCATGGCTCTTCGCAATACAGGGAATATGCACAGGTCGTGGTTTGATTTGGGAAAAGCATTTAAGATCCAGTTTCCGTCTCCCAATGGGCCATCACACACTTTGTCACGAGGCCAAGTGTTTTCTGAAAGCGACATCCAGGAGAACGTCCAGAATACTTAAGAACTACCCAATACTGCAGAGACCTGGCCCGCGATTCCAGGAATAGCGATGAGCTGATCGGACTTCAAATTTCCACGAGTCAGCACGGCCGCCTAGATAGCTGCCTGGCAGGCATTTTCTACGGCATTGAGCTCGATGATACCTGAGTGGAAGGCCGCGCAACCATCAGTGTGAACGTTGTATGGTGCACCTAGCTAACGGAGAGCAATGTCGGCTTCCTTTGGCGTGCCCTCAACATCAGGATCTCGCTTTGCTATCAGGGCTTGGGCGAACCTTTCAACGTAGGGCCTGGCACCTAGCAGCAACCTCGAGGTCGACATATGGGTCGTCGAAGAGGCCAAAGAGAAATTTCTCGCGCATCAGAAAGCGAGCTGATATAGCAATGCGGTCCTCGGTTATGTACCACTCTTTAACAAGTTAGACAAGCATCTCGGGCAGCTCCTCCCCTTCAAACTGATCGCAACCGGCATCGAGAATTATAGCCATATACCCCGGCCTCGCCGAGGTCCTCGATGCTCAAAGCTATGGCATCCATATACTACCCGCCAGTAATGAAGCTGGCAATCAAAACCCAGCCAGAAACCGCAATGCCCTCAAATCCCAGTTCGCCGCAAAACAGGTCTGCGTACCAAGCTCCCACTGCGGGGCGGAATGGCTTTAGGTGGTAATTCAGTTTCTTTCCCCGGTAAGTGGCATTTTTGCGATAGTTCAGGTGGGAATCTTTGCCGTTCTCTGCGGCATCAATACAGGGTAAGCTATGCATCTGTGATATTTCCAGAAGCTTGCGGCGTAGGCCTCAATCAACTCGTTGGCTAGGTTCACCAGTGCGGTAACCTTGGAAGTTTTACACGGCACAGTGTCAGAAAGAGACTATTTACTATTGTTTCGTAAAGGGTACTCTTGGGCGCGAGGAGAAGGAGTCCCGGGGACGGGAGCCCTACTCGGCTTGATATTGGACTTGAAAAGGAACTAGAATTGGGAGCCGTGGTATATGTAGTTTGGAGCAGGGCGAACAATGAGCGTGTATGTTGGATACTGGCTTCTCTTTATGTCAAAGTCTCCCGATGCAAGTTCATGCGACGCCGGACGACTGATGATACCCCTAAGTATTCGTCAGACTTTAATGAAACTTGGAAGATGTGGCACTCCTTCACTGGGTTGTCAAATTGAGGTACTTCGTCTGATATTGTGGCCTTGTTAACCAGGCAGCAACGTGGCATAGTGGAGGAACTATTCAGCACCGGAAAATATTCCCACGTCCACGTGAGACGAACCTTAGTCCGATTAGAAGTTTCGAACGGGCTTTATCGAGAGCCCACCGGGCCATGAGGTCAGAGGTACTGAGGCAGTTGATCACAAGTTACAATCCATGGAGAGGAAGCGCGGAGACTATTAACAGTGCATTGATTCTATTAGATATTACCTAAGTTGTGCCAATCGACAGAACCACCATATTCGACACGGTCAACGATGGGGCCAATTTGAGTGGAGTCGGAGAGATCCAAAGTAAACAGATTCACAAGCCATCATCCAACAGGCAAATAAAGTACCCCTTCCGCCACTGGGTATCACAGGACGTCTGCGTCAAAAAGACACGGCAATCAACTCACAAAAAACGCAGCAAGAACAGCAAATGGTATCAATCTAGTTGGACGGTGCAGAGCATGACCTCACAGACAAAAACGGGGTATCCCTGAGAGGTCGGATATCATAAACGAGTGTACTGTGGCACCTTGAAGGCGCTCACTGAAAATCGACCGTCAAAGCAGAGGGTATCATTGACGCTCCGGCTCCAGTGACCTAGTCCCGAAGAGACGAAGCAAAGACCACAAGAGAGGAGTGACAGTGGCGGCATTAAGTTAGAAAAATCTCGGTGTTTCGAGTACCGACTAAACATGTTGCGAGAAACTTTTTTTTGTTCGTTTTCGTTTTCTTGTTGCTTTTCCATCTCAGAAACGGCGGTGTTTGATCACTGAGCAGAAGCGTCAGAAAACACAAAGCGCTGATCCCACCACTTCTCAAACTCGACTGCCCTTTGCGGAGTTCAAGCGGCAGCCTGGACAGGAGTGGGGGCGACAACGGGCTTAGCCTCCTCAGCAACGGGAGCGTCAGCGGGCTTGGAGCTCTCCTCCGCGGGGGTGGCCTCGGCAACGGGCTCGGTCTTGTCAGCCTTGGGCTCAGCCTCGGTGGCTGCGGTCTCCTTGGACTCGGGCTTCACGGCCTTGCTGGGCTTACGGAAAAGGCCACCGAGCTTGTTGCCCTTGGGCTTGGTCTCGGCCTCAGTGGTCTCAGTGTCAGACTCACCACCCTTCTTCTTGCCGAAGTTGGCGAAGAACGAGGTACGGCGCTTGTCCTTGGTGGCAGCAGCGGGAGACTCGGCGGCAGGGGACTCAGGAGCGGCCTCCTTGGCAGCCTCAACCTCCGGAGCAGCAGTCACGCTCTCAGGCTCAATGGGCTTGGCAGCTTCCTCGACGGGGTTGTCGAGCTGAGGAGCAGTGCTGGCAACAGGAGCGGGTTCAGCGGGAGCAGCAGCTTCCTTCTCGGTCTTCTCATGGGAAGGGCTGGTGACCTTCTGGAAGAAGTTGCCGAAGATGGAGCTGCGCTTGGTCTTGGCGGGAACAGCGGGCTCAGCCTCCTCCTTCTTCTCCTCTTCTTTCTTTTCCTCAGTCTCAGCAGGAGCAGCAACAACAGGAGCCTCAGCAGCAGGGGTCTCGACAGCAGGGGCGGTTTCTGCGGCAGGAGTCTCGGTGGCGGCAGGAGTTTCAGCAGCGGGCTGAGCCTCCTCAGTCTTCGCCTCTTCCTTCTTCTCCTCCTTCTTCTCCTCAGCCTCCTCCTTCTTTCCAAGGAGGGTGCCGAAGATGGAAGTTCTCTTGCGAGAGCGGGAGCGGCTCTTGGCGTCCTTGTCCTTGGTCTCCTCAGTAGGAGCAGCAGCAGCGGCAACGGGAGCTTCCTCCTCCTTCTTGGTCTCCTCGTCCTTAGCCTCCTCCTTAGGCTCAGCAGCCTTCTTGGGGGCCTCAACAACAACAGGCTTGGTCAGTTTCTCGAGCTCAGCCTTGTAGGACTCGCTAGAGGTAATGGTCTCCTTCTCGGCCTTGGCCTCGGTGGACTTGGCCTCAAGGGCGGCGATCCAGCTGTCGCGCTCGGCGGTGTTGGAGGCCTGGAAAGTGTGCTTGTGGCCGCTTAGCTTGAAGTGGAACTCGCTGGAGCCATCCTTGGTGATATCAGAGATGTCCGCCTGTTTCACGTTAGTCGCTGCCCATCCCAGAGAATCCTTTGTACGTGGTTACTCACGAGGCTGATAATTCCGGATGGGGTAGCCTTGTCCTCAGCGCGCTTGGTGAAGAAGAGCAGACCCTTGCCGGTCTGGCTAGCCCACGCGACAATGGGGTTAGCAACAGCAGGCTTCTCGTTGGCACGGTAGACGGAGAGCTGCTTGGCCTCGATGGCCTCGTCATTGAAGTAGAAGAATCGCTTGGCGAAGCGGAGACTCCTGCACAGTCCCTTTGTTAGAATTTCGCCATATTTCGTGCGCATGATGAAATCTTACTTGACGAGACCGGGGGCCTTGTATCCAAGGGTACCCTCGGAGGCCGGGGTCACTTCCTTAGCCTCCTCCTCAGCCGGAGCATCGGTCTTGCTCTCCTCAGCGGCAGCCGCGGGGGTCTCAGCAGCGGTGTCCTTGGGGGCTTCAGCAGCAGGGGCCTCAGCGGCAGGGGTCTCGGTGGCAGAAGCCTCAACAGCAGGGGTAGCGGGGGTTTCGGTGGCAGCAGAGGGAGCGGCCACAGGGGTCTCCTCGACGGGCTTCTGGGTATCAGACATGGTGTCGGCGGTAGATTAGGGAAGTAATTATAAGCGGGTATAGATGGGATTAAATAAGTCGTAGAGAAGCAGAAAGAAGCTTCGTAAATAGAGTCACGTCGAGCAGGGTATCTCAAGGGGTATCTCAACAGAAAGAAACAGGAGCAACCTCAGCGCAAGGCAAGAAGAGCTCGGGTATCACAACGAAGGGGACAAAGGTAGACTGGGGGAAATCTGGTGGCAGGAATGGAATGAAGAAGAGAAGAAGAGGAAGAAGAGGAGGAGAAGAGGAGAGAAGAGGGAAGAAAATAGCAGGAGGCAGCGAGAGCAGGGGCTGGCGAAAGGAGCCAAAGGGACTAAAGGAGGGCTCCAGAAGGCCTCAGTCGTCAAAGGAGGGTGGGCAGCTCGCCCAATCAGGAAAGGAGCTGCAGGGCGGCGCTACTATAACAACACTAAAAGAAGGAGTTTTTCTGGTTAATTTGGGCTTTTACGGAGGCCTAGGAACCAAAACATGCGCTCTCCTGGCTCAGGTGGCAGCTTCTTGCTGGCCTGAAACTCGGAGTCGTTGGGCCCACGGCGCACAGAGCAAAAGGAACGAGCTCTCGCATTTGTATTGGACGAGTTGCAAGGAAGAGGGCGCAAAATTTTTTTGTGAAGACAAACTTTTGTTGTCGTAGAACTAGCGCGACAGCACGTAGCTTGACGACCCAGCCTGAGCTCCTAGCCTCTAGACTACCGGCCATGCAGCTTAACGGTCTAGTCCTTGCCCTTAATTACCTAATTTTACCTCCCGACCGCCAGGCCTTGCGCACAACTAACATGAAACCGCAGCAAATTGGAAATCTGGGATGAAGAGCACGATCTGAAGCTGAAGGACGATAAAAGCACCTCATCAGGACATCTGGCGGCAATAATGACAGGAGTTGATAGGAATGTTGAGACAGTCAGGTGCTCCGTCGCCGAGTGGATCCAGCCACGGATTTGGCTGGGATCCATCCTTTATCCCTGTTACACCATCAGTGTTCTCACTTGTTCTCGACAGCAACAGAGTCTGAAGTGGTGATTCTTCATAGCTTGTCAACGGCCTCTTGCTCGTTCCTCTTTGTCTACGAGGAGGCTGCTCCATTGCCCCCGTCCTACTCGTACAGTTGCGCGTTGCCTGGCTGCAAAGTTAGACGGAACAGTGGTAATTCTTCAAAGTTTGCGAGTCGTATGCGCCCATGGTTCCAGAAATTTGAGCTTGCACCAACCACAATAGGCAGTTAGCTTTGTTCCTTGGAACTTGCAGCGAAAGCCAGGAGAAGACCATCGCGACAATCGCGTAAATTATTTGATAATCTGGCTCATTATCAGCTGAATCAGCTCCAGGAACATGCGCACTCATAGTATGTTGTACTGACTGGGCAGGGGACGGACTCTCTCGTCCACGCGACTCGAAATATCCCATGACTGCCGGCAGGCGTGTTCTTTGGCCAACCAGCAGGCAAAGACCCCCTCCACGAGCTGCTCTGATTCTCTCAAACAGCGCAAACTCGTGACCCTTCTGATATCGCACGGTTGTATAGCTAAATTCAGAGTCATCACTGCCCCACATATGCAGATTATTCCAGCCCTACAATAATCATCACATCACCTGAGCCTTCTTGACGCCTTCTGAGGCTTTCGCGCCATGCCATCATTCTGCAGATACCTGAGCAACTCAGCAAGATCCGTCATAACCGCAATGTCTGGCCATCTCACTCATGTCTGCTCAACTCGAAACCTCCAAATCGTGCAATAATGTTTTGGATCCACCCCCTTTTCACCGTCTCGTTCCTTGTCTTTTCAATGGTGATGACCGCCAGCCAATCAAACACACGTCGATCTGATGATCCTCTATGAGCCGTCTCCCAATGTCCATCAAATTTCGAGTCTCGTCCTCTTGTTTGATGACTCCCTCACCGTCGGAAATTTTCGCTCTTCTCCTCCGCCGTCTCTCCCAGGTTCTCCTCATAATTTATCAACTACTACTCCGTACTAGTACGGAGTACTCATGCTCACTTAAGAGGTCTCAGGCAAGGCCCACATCTTGGAGACAGTCGGGTCCTCAGTCCCGCGCTGCACGCACCAGTCCTGTACTCCGCAGTCCGCACGGTACAGAGCCACATCGCATCCATCTCATTTTCATCTCATGTAGATAACCGCCCCCTCTCTGCAGGTGACGGCGGGAGACACCCGCAATCCTCAAGAAAGAACAGCAGTTCCTTGCACAATTGCGCAGTCCAGTCGCAGATTTAAAACCGGACTCTGACCGCTGATTTTCTCGTCCAGACGGCACAAATCCGGACCCCTCCTCGCCTCTCGTCTCTTGCAAGGATCGTCATGACAGGTGCAGGACAAGACTCGTATCACTGTATCCGAGCCCTCGCTCTCCACTCGCCGCCAGCCGGCCGGCCTCCTGCAGCCCGTCAGTCGCCTGCAGGCTGCTCTGTTCTGCGACTCTGCATCTTGGATGATGGATCAACTAACCCCTCACTCGTCTCATCTCCAGTTAACCGCACAACCGACCAGCCATCGCAGCCTGCCCAGGTGGTTTTAACCCTTCACCCATCAATTGCCCATATTTTCTCTCACGAGTCTCGCTCGGCATTAGTGCCAGCCACCGGTATACAGTGCCCTCCTCCCGACAAACAGCCGAACGACTCCCGAATGCTAAGATCCCCAAATTAAGTCAAAATGAACTAGTCAAGTTAAGAACAACACTATTAATCACCATCAATAATCCTAAACGGACCTCACGCATGATCTTCAAAGCATGGCAAATCGCAAACGCGAATACGGCGTAGCCTATCCTACCCTTTGCTCGTAGCTCACTAACTAAACAAGGTAGATAGACACGTAGACCATATGTGCTTTGAAGGTTGCCCGCACGCGGCTTGTCCTCGGTCCTTATCAATCAACCTTGCGGGCAGCCTTTCGCTCTGCAATAATGGATACCCTCGAGTCACCCGAGACGACCTGGAACTAACGAGGCAACCCCTCCGCTTCACCTCTCGCGCAATCCTCGTCCCTTCGTAGTATCTATGGGCTGGCTTAACTTCTTTGTCTTGGACTAAAGAATGGTTGCCACGGCAGTCACGCTATACTACATGAGGATTACACGATTCCGAGGAGATAGGAGATTTCTAAGTACGGCCTTCTTGCCGGACTCACACCCAACAGGGCAAACAATCAGCAATCTCCCATGCATCATTTCGCGCACCAAAGCGTCCGCAACTCTTGAGCCCTGCGGTAATCGATATATAAGATTCTATAGTCGGCGACTAGGCCTATTGACTTGTAGCTACCTTTCAGGGCGTACCGACGTACACGGTATGTACGGCCAATCTAGGTTCAGTATCGGCATCGAATTCTGACGCATTTGGTTAGTTGCTCATCCCTGGTACGACCAAAGATCTAGGATATTAAGCCTATAATCGCTCGAGCATATATGTGTAGTTTGGTTTGGGTAACAATAACATGGCGATGCAACTCGTCTTATCATTGTTTGAATAAGGATGGCAATCCAGAATTTCCGTCTAGGATTATGATGTAGAGAAGACTCAAGTCTTTTCATCAGTGTAATACAACAGGATATCGCAAGTCAACAGCGAACAAAAGAGCAGCCGACCACCGCTAATGTATCTGTACAGCACCAAGAACAACTAGAAAGTGAAGCTTGGCATTATGCCACATTATGCCGCCATCGTAAGAACATAACTGCAACCGGGTCAGTTAGTACCTGCGAAGTATAGATCATCAGGGCTGCAAAGGTACTTACGAAGTAATGCTGTCCATCCGTTCCGTCGTCAGCTTCAAACTAACCGTCAACAGTTCGCGCGCAATAGCGGGTTCTCCTTCCCGGAGTCGCTTCCAGTTTTCAGCATCAAGGCTCCACGTCACGCAATCCTGTTCGGCTTTGACAGTCGCCGTTCTTGGTGTCTCGCTGAAAAACGGCAGCTCTCCGCATGGCCGCCCCGCGACGATGAGTTCAAAGTATCGACCCTGGGGTAGCTCGTACTCTGCGCGGAGCATCCCAGACTCGAGAAGGTAGAACGCGTTGGGGATGTCGCCCTCTTGAAAGAGAGCGGTGCCCGCAGGATGGTTCTCGCGAACAAAATAGGAGCATGCTGGGAACCAGAAGTCTTCGTTCCGTGAGGTGAGGCCCTGGAACGTCTGGAGAAGAAGGGGCAATGGTTGGCGCATTGCGGACCACGCCGCAGGGATGATTACTGCTGTCTCGTCTTCGCTGAGCGTCGTTGTAGCTGCTCGCTGGAGATACTGATGGCGAGGGGAGCCCACGATTCCCACTGCTGACTTGGGGTGATGCTGTGACACTGGTACTTCCAAACTGTTTGAAGTGGCCGTCCTCTGTAGCAACGCTTCTCGGTGGCTGTAAAAGACGTTGAGATAGTCGTTCTCGCAGTACTCCAGCGCTGAATTCAGGTCTTCGAATAATCGGACCCCGAGCTCTGGCTCGAAAAGACCCACATTCTGGAGGCTTTTCCCAACGTCTCCTTCTACGTCAAGACCCGAGATGGTCATTTGCACATTCCGCTTCTTCAAGATACGGTTAATGCGAGTGAAAGCCTCTGCCGCCGAAAAGTCGATGCCATACACCCGAGAAAGGTCCAATATAATGAACCTTATCGGGAGCCGGCTGAATGCTTCCTCTTCGATGAGACCTCGCATAGTGTTCTCGACATCCACGATTGTCCCAAAGAACAGGTAGCCGCCGAGTTTGAGGATCAATGTTTGTCGCCCTGCCTCTTTTAGGAAACGGTGTTGAATCGGGGGCCGGCGAACGGTTGAGCCAGCGATCTTGCCAGAGTAAGTTGCGCGGATGGCAGATTTCCGTGATGTTTGGACGACGAAGCTCAAACAGGCCAGGATGATACCGACAAGGATTCCAGTTACAAAGTCCCAGATGCCCATAGTCGCGACAATAATTACAACCTAAGATGTTAGACAAGGTAAGTGAATAAGGCCAGAAAAACCTACTGTCAAGTATTCGTGTCGATGCAGCTTCCCCCAAGTATCCACAAGCGCCTCTTCCATCAACTCAATTCCCAGCAGAAATATCAGGGCTCCAACAACCATGACGGGAATGAAGCCGACAATAACAGGTCCAACCAGCATAATTCCAGCAGTAGCTCCTGCAAGCATCAGACCAGCTAGGCGAGAATTACCACCGCTGTCGATAAAAAGCAAGCTGTTGGTATACACAAGGTAATTCTAGTAGTTAATTAGCAAAGTTCTCTTCCCATTGACCTGTAACCATACCTGGATACTGCCCGCAAATCCAGAAAGTGCATTTGTGACGCCGTGAGCTATCAACTCACGGTCGACATTGAGATTATCTTCACCGGTCGAGATGCCTAAGGCTGGAACATTGATGGGAACATGAAGTATCCCGAAAAACGTAAGCGCAAACATTGCTGGAATCGTATCGACAAATGCAGGCCAATCGACAGCAGCAAAATCTGAGGACATTAGAGCACTTCATCCATGGGTGAGTAACTGACTTACCATAGAGGGTATAGAAATGATACCAGGGATTTGAAGATGAGGGAGCATCAAACACCCAGCTATTGTTCCGCAATGATGCCATGGGTATATGGGCAGAAAACTTGATCATATAGAAGATCAAGGCGACAGCAATGAAATAAGCACCAACGAGAAAGTTAGATCTGACGAAACGCTTAAGAACGAGAAGACCAATCGCGAGTGATAAAGGTATTATCCAAAGGGGCACAATGCCAAGGCTGAAAAGTCTCTGCAAAGTCGGGAGGTTGAACTCGAAAGACCCGGGAAGGCGAGCGGATACCTCGAGACCTGTCAAGATCAGGAAAAAGCCAACGCCTCCAATACACCCAATGAGAATATGTCGAGGGAAGAATCCAATGAGGGATCCAACCTTGCAGGTCCCCATTAAGAAGAAGACCAGGCCGGTGAGCACAGAGCTAACCGAGAAAGCTAGAATGGTGGTGGCAATGACAGACTTGGGATTATCCTCGCCGACGCGGTTCAGAATCGTAAATGCCATTTGGTGAAAGAATGGAACGACCTCGATCATTTCGCTGCCGATACCGCCGCGGAATATCGAGCCACCACATGAGAACACCAGTTGAGCAATGATGGTGCTCACGTAGAACATGGAAATACCATCTGATCCCAGTTCAGAAAATATAGGTTCACCCAAAGGGAATAGGATCATGCCATATGATAAAGCGTCCAGTATGTTTAGCAGAAGGCCAAGGAAGACTGAGGGCAGCAGACTTAGCGGATGTACGATGCCTTGTCGCCATACAGTCCGAGCATCCCATGCCTTTGGATGGGCAAGTATTTGAACCGTTGTTGAGAGCTTGGACAGAGCCCTTGGGAGAGCCTTCGGCGTCTCTTTTGGCGCAAATGCCTGGCGTTCCACATCACCAGCCATTCCATAGCTCCTGGATGGTTTGGAAGATGACGACTTGGTCAGCAAAGATGTTCGCTCTGTGCTGGTGTCCTCTTCTTCTGCATCATTGACTGAAGCGGAAGGCCTAACCGTTGTGTCTCCACCCGATCCAGTCGAATTCCCTATACTCTCTCTCCGATCTTGATTGAGGCTAGACGAGGGGTCACGAATCATAGCTGTTAGCACCGATGAACCGGGAGAGAGGCCTGTAGAGCCGAGTCCGGTTGAGCGGGATCCTGTTTCATCCAGTCCCTGCGAGAAGCCCGAGAGCTGGCTGGGTGATGATGCCTGTTCCGAATCAGTTGGACCGTCCATGGGTCGAAAAATATCCATGGCTGGAGGTAGATCTCTGGGTTCCCGGGACAGGGCAAAGGAGGCTAATTCGGCAGTTTTTTCTCGAAGGCCATGAGAGGAGTAGTGTGCCGGATCTAGATACTCAAGTCAATAAACACAGAACCAAGATTCGGGGGAAAACAGCTCCTCCATACCAGAAATATTATGGAACGAGCGGTGGTAGAAAGACCGACTCGGTGTCCTGAAGCTTGTCCCGCCCGTCAATACCGGTTCCGAACCCAGCGTGCGAGGAAAGCTACTCGGTTCAGCAAGAGCATCCAATGTGTCCGGAGCAATGTGCTCAGCCGAAATTGGTCGATGGAGGGAGGCCCGCGAGTCCCCGCGGTATCGACGGCCCAAGACCCCCATCGCGGGCAAGGCACAAACACAGATAGTCCGCGGTGGACGACGTTGATTCGCAATCCACGCTCGAGATTAGCCCTCGACTGCAGGCTTCAGATTCCTTCAATCAATCGCGCGGGTGATGGTCAGAGGCTGGCGATGACGCAAGACTTGGTGATGGCGACAGCGACGACAATGCGCATCGCCTTGCGGGTGAAGAGACGAGCCAGGGAAGGCGTGCACGCGACGACATGAGATGGGGAGAACGAACCGGGGCAATGCGTGCGGACGCCGACGAAGATGAAGTGTGTGCCAGGCCGTTCCAAGCTTTGGTGGGTTGCCTGTTGAGTCTTATCGACGAATTGACTAAAAAGTCTTATCATGGGAGGATTCTGGATTCTGGCCGGGCCCACTTGGTTCCGCTCTTGTTGGCCGGTATGAACAAGAAGGCATTTCTGGCGAAGTAATCAGGTAATTGCCCAAGGACCTCGCAGGACGAGATAGAGTAAAAGAATCGGTGCTGATGTTGGGAAATGGGAGCTGTTGCAGAGCTCTACGGAGTACGAGGTGTTACGCATTCGGAGATCAGCCGATGAGGTGCAGCATCACGTCGCACTTGGTTTTTTGCTGCATCGACACCTCCGCTCAAAAGGCAGCCAAGAGCTCAGGAACACTTAGTCATGAAAATTTAACCCCAATTCTTCTTAGGTAAATACTCTATCTGAATACCACCTCAATTAGATTGGCAGGTTGACAGCTCTTCCAGTCTATACTCGAATAGCAGGTCGGGTATCACAAAAGCAAATATGCGCCCCATTCAAACTCCAATTCTAACATCCCACGCAAACCACGAGCATTCAATTGCATTAACTCAGCCGCTCCAGGAATCCTTGAGCAATCAGCCGTTCCACATCGCCATGTCGCACGTACAGCTGACTATTCTTTGTCAAATTGATGACCCTGCACACATTAGTCAAGTCCAGTCGCAGTCATGTCCTCTACCTCCCAATCAAGCGACATGTTTTCCAAACGGAAGAGAAAGCCTAGTGAGGTATAGGTAGGAAGAACATACCCATACTCCGTCTGAATCTCCCCCGCATCCCTCAGAACCCTTACATCAATAAACAAATCCTTCGGCGGCTCCAGACTCCCCGTAAGGTCGATATCCGTCCACTGTCCCTTGTATGTAGCAAGCATATCGCAATACTGCCGGAAATATTCCTCCTCCTCGGGACTCAACGAGCTCTCGTTTCCCGCCTGCGAGCTCTGTACACCGAACGATCCCCCTTCTTCAGGTCCCACGCCACCGCTCGTCGCTGGTGGTACCTGCTGCTCTAGTACATCGATGCCCTTCCAACATAACTCTTCTAGCTTCTCGGTACGGACGCGGTGGTAGGCAAGTAGGCACCGCTTGTTTCGCCGGATGCAAAGGTGATCAACTAACAAGGCGCATGCGACAGCGGGCTCTTGGGACGGATTGAAGACGCCTTCAAAGGGGGCGAGGAGGTGAGCGACGTCGCGGTCTAGGTCACGGACTTCGCGGGCGACGGTGCGGACAAGCTCGGTTTGGTAGGGAGGGAGGTGGGCGAGCGATTGGGTGCGTTTGGCGTGTTGGACCTAGACGTAAGTCAGTAAATTGGGTTATGACAGAGGCGTCCCAGTCAGCCATACGAGTTTGTTGCCTAATTCTCCGTACATGTTGATAGCGGAGCGTGTTGGGTGAGATTCTCGTGGCGCGTGTGCGGGGATCGCAATGCCTTTTGGTGGTCAGACGATTCGGGGAGGGTACAATTGGACAATAGGGATTATATTGAGTTGCCGACGTTGTGAGCGTGTTTGGACTCTTTCAGATCGAAACTTGGTGATTGAGAAGAGGTCTTGAGAGCAATGATCCTCCCTGGTTCACCTTGAGCCTCCCTGGTCGCGTCGCTGCTTTAACGCGACCCACGTGCGGGAGCAACCATATTTTGAACTCAACACTTGACTTTCCTTTATTCTTTCACCTCCACGTTTCTTTCACGTTTTATTCTGATTTTGTTTCTCGGAACCAGCCTTGCTTTATGTACTATTCTCATAGACGCTTGTCAAAAGCCTCATCAACGACGCCTACGAGCTCTGGACATGAACCCTTAACGGCTAGGGTGAATCAGCGCTGATGGCGGATGCGATCAGTTGACTATCTAGGGACCGCCCATGATTTGCAGAGATTAAGGCAAATCTCGGTAAGGATTGAACCGAAGGAACATAATTCAATGAAGTCTAGTCTAATTAAGGATGGATGTGTATCACTCTCGAAATACAATTCTATGAGTCGAACCTGACAGTTACCAAGACAATAAGATGATTAAACGTTCAACAGATTTCCTCCTGAATGCAAGGGCGACGGGTAGCGTTAAAGAAAAGACAGACAAATTCAAAGAAAAAGACAATCTCAAAACAGTTGCTTCAGGCGCGAGACAAAATACCACCCATGTCAACTGTCTTGCTTGATACTTGCGCCGCGAAATACCAGTCGCGGGGCGTTGCTAGATAGAAGGCCACCCAGGCAAGTGAAATTGTGCAGAGAGCCGACGCATATCACATAGTCAGTTGGAGGCATCCAGCTCATGATTCTCGTCATCATCATAAGGACCAACGGAGAGGTCTTCAATAGCCCGTGGAATCATTGAAAAAGTTATCAAAATCACCGCCAGCAGCATCAAGAGAGTTTCCCTGACTCGAATCCCATGCCCAGCGGTTATCCATTGCCTGCTGGGAGGCCGGTGCACCAGTGAAACGAGTTGGGCTAGGCTCCGTATGGACAGGAACATAGCTGTTCTGGCCCGGAGATTCCTGCCACAAGGAGTAGTGTGAGTTTCCGTAAAGCTGGCCAGTCTCTTGGTTGGAAGAAGCTCCAGAATATTCCAGGAGCTGTGGGTCGAGTTGGCCTGTCATTTGTGTCTGGGGTTGGAGGAGGTCATGGTGGGCTGCTCCAGGCAGTCCAGCGAGTGTGGTCGACGGGTACTGCATCTCATCCAAGTCCACCTTGCCCATGCGTGCATGTACATCCTCCACATGATATCCCAAGAGGGCTGGGTTGGCGGTTGGCTGAACATATTGGGACGGCTCAGAGGTAAGCATTGGGCCAGAGAAGGACGACCTGCTCGGATTGCTTGTGGGCCACGACGAAAGGAAGTATCCGGTGGTTGGCAAGCCATGGTCGATAGTGTCAAAGGGAGTCGAGCGGCTACTGTCCCAACCATTGCTGTCCATCCCGGGTGTGCTGCGACCAGGGGTACTGCGGCAAGGCGTGCCCCGGTAGTCAAGGAAAGAACGGTCTTCTGAGCTTGATCGCTTCTTCTTGTCCTTTGTAGGGGTGAATTTGTACCCGGGGTGGGCCCGCAGATGGTTTTGCTTCTCAATGCTTGCCAGCCGGATATACTTCGCCTTGACCTCCGCGGATTCTCGTGCCCAACTATCACCGGTCACTTCAGAAACGACTTGGTGGTTGCTCTGGGCGAACCATTGCTTGGTCCGTTCCTGATACGCTGACCGGTAGAGCATGAAAGAATTCATCGGCCTGGCGACCTTGCCGCCTTTCTCAGCCACCTCCATATGACGTTTCTCAATTGAGCGGTGCACATGCTCCTCCATATCCTTGAGAGGGATATCTGTCATGTGCTTTGTGATCTCGCTCAGAGGACCGGGCAAAGTGGCCCGTGGCTCCCGGTCCTTGCCCCTCTTTGTCCTGCGTCGTTGTTTGGGCGACCTCTGCACTCTTGCTTTTGAATAAATCGCTCTCCGGGAAGGTGATTCCCAATGGCCTCCAGTTGATCCAAGGCTACCAGGTTCCTCCGCCGGTGGAGTGCTGACCTGGGGACCGTTGGGAAGCATCTATGCTTGCATTAGCCATCTTAAGCACCTTTGCTAATAGCAAAAGTGAGATGAATTCTTACCGGGTGCAAGGATATATTCTGGGAGTATTCACTCGTAGGGCCGTACTGCATAGTCTTGAGGCTGTGTTAGATTATGCGGAATAAGGATAGGGCTGTGCGCTGCTCAAACACTAACCATTGAAAGGGAACTTTGCTCTCCGAAGGATATATCGTTGGCTTGTACGGAGCCTCCATAAGGCCGCTGGCTTCCATACGCCGTAGAGTACATGCCGGATGGTTCTTGGAGGGCTTCAGAGCCTGCGTAACCGCTTGGAGATTGAGGTGGGGATGGTGGAGGAGCACGAACTAATCGAGCGTTGCCTGCCGTCATTGTCTAGGTAGGTATAGATGGTAGAGAGACTGGTTCTGAGGTTGATTTGACAAGACGATTCCGTCTTGTTGCGCGCGGGGTAGCAGATGTGCTGGTTCTTGCTTGTGGAGCAGCTCTGGCTGAGGGCTTGGAAGAGTTGGGCTGTCACGAACTAGACAGATGGTGGAATATGAGGAGTATCCGGAATTCAAAGCTGTATGTTGGCTTCAGCTTGTGGATTCTGTGCATTTAATGCCTCTTGACCAGGTGCTCAGATGTGAACGTGATGATCCGGAACCAGCTCGGAAAGCAAGTGAAACACGCTGGTTTGCTATCAAGTGATAGTTGAAACAAAAGAGTCAACGAGCGGACAAGGCTAACAGAGAATTCCTGGTAGGATCTGAGTCTGCGGTGGATGCCAGAGGCAGAAGAGAGAATAGGAGGAGAAGAAGATGCAAAAGAAGAAGACAGTAGAGGATCAAGTGGTTGATGAATAGATGATGTGGATAAAGAGCTCTTGAAGGATGAGCGGGACAGGGAGTTTGAGACAATAATCAAATAGAGAGGCCAGAACAGAGCCTATCAGGAGGAGGTAGGCAACGGGAACAAGCAGAGGGTTTGATGCGGGATTGTGTTGGATGAGTTGGAAGAAGAGTAAAGCTGGTGGGTATAAGCAGGTGTTTATGGCCGTGATGGTTCTGTTTGTTCTCTGGAACCACAGTTCATGAAATAACTAGCGTAGCTGAGATGCTTCAGTGAGGAGGGAATTCACATCTCAAAGACTGGGGCAGCGCTGCTTTTCAATCCAACACTGTGAGGCTTTTTGTGTGACGGCTCCCAGACAGTCGGGACTCCATACACGGCCTCTCATTCTATTCCGCGCTACCTGATCCCCCCTGTCCGTGCTAGTCTCCTTTGGATTTTGCTTTGATTTAATTCTTTTCTTCTAAAAACGAATTTGATTATTTTTAACCTTCTTTATCCCTTTTCCATTTTCTTTTTTGTGATTGGGTCCAACAGACGCCATTTGTCTAGCCCCAGCCTCTACAATAGCCCCATTAGATACACCGGTCGTTTCCAAAGTGGCCCTGTCAGGGACCCTTCTTTGTGCAAGTTATGTTCATCCAATGTAGGTCGACTGTGAGCAGTCTTCTAGACCTCTGGATTCTCTGGGGCGAACCACGCTGTCTTCCAGATCCGGGCAGGGCAACTTGAACCTCAGAACGACTGGGGTACTATTCTATTCTCGATACTAACATATAATGCCTGAGAGCAAGTTCTAATTATAATCGCCGTCAGCATTAGGATGGCGAGCTTTGGCGACGATATACCGCTGAGAGCGTGAGGCTAAACTTGTGGGACCGCCTTATGCAGCTGCTGTAGTGTCGGAAGGGACCTACCTACTACTACAGGGGAGAGTCAGAGGGGCGTATAATTCAGGCTTACTCTAAAACCCGGTGGTCGGAGATAATTGGCAGGCGCTATCTGAACGAGATATGAAGTGGTCAAAATATCAGGCGCACTCGACCTGTCAACAGACGCGGGCGAATAAAGTAAATATCCAGAACGAATGGAGAGCCAAGAAAGTCAAATGTGAGGAGTAAATGACATTACTATAGGAGACTTAATGAAGAAGAGATGGAATCTTCATCTTTCCACTCGCCACCTAGTATGTACTTGTCGACCTCCTGGCAGGTGTCAACCGTGAAGCAATAATGGAGAACGCAAGTGGAGCAAGCCATCAGACAGCCACTCAAACTGGGGGTCACTGATCGACCGCTGTTTCTGTCATGCTCTTAGCCTTCCGCGGGTTCCTCAAGTAAGCCTGTCATGGGCGTTAAACTTTGGAGATTGTTCACCCTTTCAGGCGGCGCCAAGTAACCCTCAGATCTGATCGTAGTAACCCTGAGACATAGGTATATGCCCAGTTTTCCCTCTTTTCTCCGCATTTGTCGACGACGAGTGCATGAGTTCGGTGAGCCGGACCCAATCTGTCCGGTTCCCGCCCGGAGAAAGCACGCCCGTGGACGGAACTGTGTGTGCGGGATGGCGATCATACCCTCATCCCCCACAGTTGAACCAAATACATGCTATGTAATACCTGGTCAGTAAGAGCAATATGAGAACGTAAATGGGCAGAAGGGGGGATTTGGGCCGAGATAATACTACTATCATTGCTCACACTTGGCCACAATTACGCTTAGGTCGGCCAAAGATGAGAATATCATGAGATGACGAGTAGTAGGAGATTGGGTGGTGGTCTCGACTGGTGTCCAAGGTTGCAAAATGATTGGCTGAAACAATATCGTGATTCATCATGGAAGGGGAAACCATGCCAAATACCTAGTAAGAGGTCTGAAAGTTTTCTGGTTGATGGTTCGGGTACAAGCAGATCATGATTTGGTTGATGTCTGAGAGGACCAGACACCAGAGGGGTGCATCGCCTACCTAGGGACTCGCTACCAAATACTCTTCATGGTCTCATGGGGATCATACTGAGGCTAGCTTCTTCACCCTTGCGGTTGTTGCCTCTCGGAGTTCAGAGGATGAGGCCGCTATCGATCGAATTTGGATATGATGGGACCCACCATGGTCCGTGGAGTAGGCCCACGATGGACCGTGCCTAGCCCAGATCACGGACCAATCTCTGTTAATTTCCAAGGTTGATTGGCCATTGGCTTGTGGACCGACCGGAATCTCGTCTCCGGCCGCGCTATCGTCTATCTCTCCTCCAGCAGATCATCGACGAGTTGCTACTCCGTCCAACCTATCTTCTGTGCCCCGTCCCGCCTCTTCAACTTTCAAGCACTCTCACTCTTCTGAGCACTCCGGAATTGGAAGCTCAGATTCCATAGCCCAGTCACCCAGCATCGGAGCCGACTGTCTGTCATTCTGGAATAAACTTTTGATCAACCGTACATCACTAGAGCATCCGCTACGGTTATACGTTTCTGTCCAGAGCGCACAGTCCGAGCTGAGAGAGTGACCTCAGCGCTCTACGCAACTTCAGGATCTCAACGGCTTGAGAGACCACTGGCTGACCATATTGTGTCTGCGTAGTTACACAGTTGAAGGCCAAGCCAGACTCCACAATTTGTATCACCAGAGAGTTGCGCTTCCCCTCCTCTTCCAGAGAAACTCTTCTTGTGGTACTCGACAATACCTCATCAGCTGCCCGGTTTTCAGCCCACCCGCTCGAGTGTACCTTGGTTACTGAACGGCTTCGAGGCTCTCGAAACCCTTGCCGGGCACGTTCTGTACCAGAGGTAGCCGTCGAATGGTACCTTTAGCATCGGGGGCGGCAACAATCCATGAAATCGATCAGGATTCAGGAGTGAGAAGTTCGCCAGTCGTGATCTGAGGGCTATCACCTCCGACGCCAATGATGGGTGGGCGTTGTACCCACATTGTACCTGTTGTGAAGGCTCCATGTTCGTGAACCTGAGTTCCTTCGAAGAATGATCGAGTTGGCCTACCAACCTCACCGCGCTAGTGTTGTGAATTTCTCCCAACGCCCCCCCATTTGATTCGCTCATTGTGGCAGGCTGTCACAGACGACCTGCATGGCCCCCGGGGCGGTCTTGGCGGGCGAAGGATGCGAGGCCAGCCTGGGTTTGCTTGTCCTTTTCCATCCTCTAACATGGCACACGCAGCACTCGCTTCCACAGGTCGCAAATCTCCGCATCGTGTCCACGGCCACGATTAACCTAAACTCCTCGTGGTATGGCCGCTCTTCTAATTTCCCCTCCTCTGGCTACTTTTTGATCACGTGAAGGCTTTGCTTCATTGGTGGTCCAGCATGTTCAAGCCTCCGTGGGCCGTGATTGCCTTTGCACTTGATAGCGGGGTCTGTGCCTTCTCTTCTTCTCATTCTACTCAACTGCTCCTGCCCGTTGGCCAACCGACCTCTTACGAGCTCTGTAGTAGCATGTACCACCTACATGCACAACCCTAGTCTCTCTCAACATTGATCGCCATTGGGCCAATGGCCAGCAACTACGAGTGTGGCGGAGGGACATGGAAACTTTTGCCAGGCGACACAACAGGACCCAAACAGGAAAGATCGAGGAGATAACAGGAACCTCAATGCGGTTGGACAATATGCCCCTGCACCCGGTCATTCGCCTCAACGAAGCCGTTCCAGTATACTGTGATCACTCGAGTCGGTGTGTCTTGCTGTCAGAATTGTCTGCATCTGTCTTCAGCCTCGACGCCGTCTAACTTTACTCTCCACTTTTTAGTCGAAATAGATTCTTCCTGGGGCTTCGTTCATTGTCTGTGAACCTGCCGAGACTGGAAAGCCAGAGGGGCAGGAATGGCGTTCATGCACGTTGCCCGGGCCCATGATCTACGGCGCTGCAGCTGTCAAGTGGATTTGATGGTCGTCCTCATGAGGGTGGTTGGCTTACGCAGGAACCAGGGCCAAGTGGTTCCGCCGCTGGATTTCCTTTGTCCTCTGGTTCATCGTCAATCCCTCCGGAATGGCTCTGGAACGTCAATAGAAGGACTCATTTCTTGCTCTTGACCAATGACTTGACGATCCATGAGCCACTTCATGGTCAATGAACTCTATTTCCCGAATATGTCGGTCTAGCAGTTCACTGAGAGGGTTGTCCTCAGGCCGCCTTTTGTTGACTCCCTGAGCGCAAAAGAGAGGCTAGCAGATTGATGATGGCATTTCACAGCAATAGGGCTTCACAAATCCCCTACCAGACGCAAGGAAGATCCGTGTTCCGCCTACGACACCACAGAGCTACGCGAAGTTCACCAAATCGAGTAGTCATGTTGGGGTGATGGGCTACCAAGACGATGCATGGACCGTGCCACAATCATAACACCTTGCTGTAAGAGGTCAGCTAGATCCTCTTAAATCTTTCTAGAAGCCGTTCGGACTGTCGATCGAGGTCAAAGAACGTACCTTCCCAAATCCGGTATCACGAACCAACCACAGGGTTCGTCAGCCATCAACAAATATTTCTCTGGATCTGGGTGGTCTGCTGACATCTTCAGAGGGGCGCCCGTTCCAAACTTCGAATCGGCATTCAGCCCCGACCCGGCTTCGGCTCCTGGGGCTCTCTTATGTGTTTCAAGATGCCTTGGAACATGAAACAGAGCATGGCTTGAGTGTCTAAGAATACCTGCGTCCTCTGCATTCCGTGTCTACACCAAAACCCTGCCCGTGGTAGACTGCTGCGCCCCATGCTCCTTCGATGTGCTCTTTTAGGTCCTCAAAAGAACGCTTTTTTTAGCAGTGGAGGGACTGTACCTGTTCCATGGCCCCACTATGGAACTCTATTATGGACTTCGACACACTGGTGCAGATGATACGAGCACTAGAGTCAACTTGATACCGCAGCTCATCATGGTTGTGAGCGCCACATTGGCCCCTGCCTCTGGCCATAACTGGCAAACAATGATTTCGCCAAGAAGACGCCAAAAACTCTCCGAACTCTTAATTTTCATACGAAGCCAGAGAGGTTCAAGTTCATCCTTGCGCCCGCGGGCGCCGAACGCACAACCCACCTAATAGTACTAGAAAATAAGTCACGTGGAATCCCAGATGACCCCTCTGCAAGCAAGAAGGAACTCAATCCTTGCTCTATCGCTATCTCTTTGGGTTCCTTATCGAGATCTGTGCCAGGTGGTATTGTCGAATCTGGCATGGGGAATCCGAGGATGCCCAACTCTGAGTTCTTGCACTGGCCGTCTCCCCATATCCTTCAGAACCCAGCCAAAGGATACTAACGCACCGAACGTGGCCCCAGACGATGGGCATTGCTGGCCAACATGGGATTGATTGAGTAGTAGTTAGTCCTGTCACGTCATGTATGGCGCTCAGCTTTGGCATCTGCCATCGGCCGAATTGTTGAAGCAAGGCAACTTGAGCCAGCAGTCAGCACGTTCATCATTATGCGGGGCCATTAAACGAGACTCTATTATTGGCCACACTCGACCTGCCAACTTCGAAGGCTAGCAGGTTCCACTTAGACAACCTCAATAGGGTCTACCCACCTAGAACCGGGTTGGCGAGGCTCTGATGGCTTCTTTAGCTCGAGCGATACTCAGGGTTTCTTCTCCTCATGAGCCTTGACGGACTTTAAATACCTATGTCCGAGAAACAAAACAGGTGTTCTCCCTATCAGACTAAGTCCTGAAGTGACTAAGTGGTCGCTTGCCCGCTAGCGCCCCCCCTTTCCGCAAGATCTTCATGGCCTGCAGCCAACGAGTGACATAGGAGTCGTCGATGATCTTTTCAGACCATCGGAAGATTCTACTCTGGGTCTGCGTGGCATTCGTTGGTCAGAATCGCCCGGTCCTCGTTTATAGGGCTTGCAAATCTCGATCAGACAGAATTCCCATGGATGATCTGTCTGTTCTCTAGATTGAGACGGAAATCATCTAGATCGGCTACCAAACGGTTGTCGATGGTATCCAGCCAAATGAGAGCTAGTACTCGAGGAGATGCCAGTAGCCCTGGCAAACGGATGAGCAGCGCGGTGGCTGACAACACCAATGAAAGCGGCCTCACCAATTCATGTGAAGTACCGCAGCAAGTTGGATGTAACGCTCGAACAGCTGCTGTTCGACCTGACTGCTTTAGTCCCTGTCCGCATCCCTAATCCGTGCCAGAATCTGCTTCTCCTGAGTTAGAGGTCCAGCCCAAAGACAGATTTTAGAGAAGTTGTCTTGTCAAGAAGAAGCTCCCATCCGCCCCGTTTGCAGCGTCGGGTCTATCTTCTGTCTGAATCGTGATCGAGATGAGAAGGATACTAGTAAGCCCTTCTGAGCGCCCGTCAATCCGCCATCAATAATAATCTTGAATCTGGTCGGCTACGGATTGCCTATCAGGGGATTCGTGGCGGTCCGGCCGACTCACTTTCTTCCCTTGCTGCGCACTGTTCGCCTGCTAACGCAAATCGGCGCGGTATATGAGCCTATGAGCGCGCTGGACTCTTGAAATAGTGCACGTACAAGAGCCTCATTGGCTGCCAGCGTCAGATAATCTACTCCATACGTTGTACTGTCATACGCAGACGCGGATTACGCACGGCCCTCGGATCCTGCATCGTTCTCCTCGTTCAAACCCCTATGCAGCCAAATGAAGTTGGATAGGGCATGTGCTTGGCGACCCGACAGTCTGGTAAGCACTCTGGTAGGCTTCTTGACTCGTGCGCCCCCACTGCCTAGTACGGTAATCGATGCCGTCAACATTCAATGACCCTGAAGCAGAGCTTGCAGAGTCGAGCAATCCTGCGTCACCTGGAAGTTTTAGTTGAGAACTCTACTTGGAAGCGGTCATCTACTGGACAACTGACATACTCTCGTATCCCCAGACGCAACCGTGGTTCGACCGATGGTCTGCGATGATTCGGATCGTCGCGGAATCCGCGGATCTTGGACAACGGTGAGATCGAGACTTCCGTCAGTAGTGCGATCAAGAATCTAGGTTTGAGCTTTTCGAATTTCATCAATAATGGGTGAACACTGAACTCTGGCGTTAATGATCGCGCAGTGCCAGTGTGGACTTGGTGTGGAGATGGTCGAGGCAACGGCTGGACTCTGGCACTCGATGAAGAGTTGCGTTCATGTGACAGCTGTGACAGCCTTGCGCTAGGGAAGAAATTGCCATCCATCGCCGATTCTCATTGGCCAAACGAGATGAGCTGTTGGTTTCTCGCAATTTTTGTGTTGGTCCCTGACAGCCCGACGTTGGCAGCCCAACAGTAGTGACGGCGGTCAAAGACATGAAGGGCATTGTTATGCAACTGGGGCATTATCCACGTCTTAGATACCCTGCCCCGTGGCGACGAAAGGAACAACAAGCAACTAATCGAGATTCTCCCTGGGCTCCATTATCTCTCTTCTATCATCCTGCTCTTCTCGATTCAGGATCGATCAATCGAGAAACAAGTAGATTTTCAAGAGATAGAAAGAAAAAAAGAGTCCATGGTACTTCTGCACATTTCCTGTGAGAAAGAACAGGACAACTACTTTCTCCAGCTCGATTGATCGTCGATCAAGGAGGGGGTTCAATCTCCGTTTCCGTCTTGCTAGCGTGACAAGAAAACGGCGCGTCAAAACCAAATTAGTGACGGAGCCGCGATTCAGGAGGGGAATTCCAAATTACAAGGGCTTAAATCACTACTATCTCGGCCGGCTGTGATAGAATCATCAAGTGTTCAAGTCATGAGGTAAGAATGCTTGAGAGGGAGAGATCTGGTCAGCGGCGCAGCACAGTTCAGTACTTACGGAGACGGCATTCCGACCCCGGCCTGCCGTGGCTCACTTCAGCCATCAACCCCCAGTGTTCGAACTGTCACTGGCCATTCTTCCCTCGCGCCTTGGATAAATCATAATTATTAAGAAGACGGCTAACCTAGGAGACGGCTTCCCACCAATAGACTTTCCGGTCTGTATCGAGTCTGGGTGATTCTCTGGTGGGGCATCCTTTCGAGTGTTTCCCAACGTGCCATGATGTGCGACCGGCGACAATGGGGAAATCATGGATGATGGAAAGGAGTCTGGCTGACACTTGACAGCTCAACCGTCTGGAGCCCAGACTTTGAAGGAGTCTGACAATTATTAGTCTGAACTCTGAAGACTGAAGACGATATTGGAGCCGGAGGAGAGTGTCTGTTGACAAATGACATGAGACTTCCTGGGTCTCTGCATAACTTCAAGCTACTCCGGAGTATGCATAGCACAACTGCACTGGCATTGGCCTGCATTGCATTAATGCATCTTCACACATAATCATTGCTTGCTTCTATGCACATACAGCTTGGAGACAGTTGACTGCGAACATTCCACGACTGCTCATACCTCAAGCAGGGCCATACTGCAGGATGAGAAAGGGGACGACGAGAACAAATCCAAACTCAGACACGACAGACAATACCTCCTAGCCAAGCCATTCCGCGGAAACTCACTTCAAAGGTTGCCTTCCGGCATCGTGAGCCCTAAGTATTCTGTGCCCTGGAGGCTCCACGCTGCACAGCACCTCTCGCTCAAGTGTGGAAAGCTGCAGGTTTGCTACACCAACCTAGCTCCACCTTCCAGCTCCTAGTCCTAGGAACTACTGCATGACTTAAGCACAGGTGTAACGATCATCTCGACACGCTGCAGGCAGCAGCGACTGTACGAGGCTTCCAGGCAAGCCGCAGAAAGTGATTGTTTGCTCCACAAACCGGACAGAGACATTGTCTGTGACCACATCTTCCTCCGTATTCCTTCTTTCCCCGAACTCCCCTGCCTCGCTCTCACCTGTCCCGGAATCGAGTCATGGTTCATGCAGGGGTCTTTTGGAGACAGGGTCCATTGCTGGACTTCAAACATAGCTCACTACTCCGCCGTCCGTGGTTCGTGGCTTCTGCCATGCACTTACCCTATCTTGGACCTTGCGCAGTGACAGGGGAGGAGCGGTCGACGCCGAAGCACAGGCCTGGGTTGAGGTGCATCCTCACGGTCGCACGGGCAGCGCCAGGGATCCTACAAAACAAGGTTCTCTGGGTGAAGCTCTACTTCTCACAGCATCTCCAATCCTGTCTGGATATTCGATATGGAAAACCAGGGAGAAGCATGTGAGGAGGTACACGCCCTGACCGTCCATCAAGAACCACGGAAGAACCAGCAGCAGCAACGGCAGGAGTCCCCCATCGAGATACCTAGTAATGTACAGAGTAGTAGGAACCCCCAGCACAGACCAGCCTGAAGGCAATCTGTCAGAAACCTCGTATATGCACCCTGCAACCCAGGGTCGATATCCCTCCCCAAATATCAGAAAGGGACACAAGGGCTCAGTCCAGACTGGACCAACAAACAGTCATACGCTGCAAGTGCGCAAAAGAACCAGAATCCCGGACCACAGAACCGTGAGCTACAGTAAACCCCTGCTGCCCAAATTGAGATATATAAGCACTTGCCGCCGCGGCCATCACTTTGCTTTTTGACAGGCATGGAGTTTTAACCCCGGAAGGTACAGTAGTCCTGCATTGTTTCCCGGGGCTACTTTGCTGACTGCCGGTTGCTGACAATTGCTCTGTGCCGAGCTGGGTTATTTGAGTTTTGGATAATGGGATTATGCGATGTTTGCTTGCTGGATGCCTGGCACCCTGCAGCTCCTGTATTATCCCTGTTCGCTCATGCTGGGGCTGAACCCGAGAGTAGAGATTGGGTGATAAGATTGGGACCGGTTTGGAACTTGACTGGGAAAGGTTCTGGACGAGGAAACGATATTCTCTCTACTTTGGCGATGCCACAAGTCAGTTTTGTAAATTCATTTCATGTATGCGAAGAATGATAGAGTATCCCAGTAAGATAAACACAACCCAACCAAACGCCTACCGCCTTCAAGTTGTACTGTGTAGTGTTTATGCATGCAATCCAGTCCAATCCAGTTCAGTCCAGGTGACTCCAAACCATCCAGCCATTCCTGTTGGTACATTCATTCAGAAAAAAAGAGAGAAGAAATACCGCAGCAAACATAATGAGGACGTGCGTAAGTAATCAAGAAAAAGAGGAATTGGAGAAGGGAGAAGGAAAAAACGAAGTAAAACAACCATCAAACCAATAATCGTACAATATGGACCGAAGCTGCACTGCTGACGGCTGACTGCTGATGAGCCGGCAGCAGGACAAGCTCGAAACTCAAATGGCGTCTTGACTCCTTGAGTGTGTGTGATGCACGTCGTTCAATTAACCTCCCGGGGGTTCCAGCATCCTCCTTTGGAGTATGGGGTAGGGCGCTAGTTAGGGCATGTCGATCTCCAGGCTGTTCCACAGGCGGTTGGTGTCCCCGATTCGTTGCTGATAATATTTCCACAATCCACACAAAACGAGTTCCAGCAAGCACAGACCTTCGTGGCACGGATAGAGACCCACAACTCTAGCCGGAATAGTGACCGAGTCGTCGGCTAGTATTGAAAATCGTCCGCGAAGTTATTAGGAAGTGAAGGAAAAGTGGACGAAAGGTGACAGAAAAGTGATAAAAAAAGATACATGCATATGGTCGTTTCAATTGATCAGGAGCGAGAAAAAACACTGTATGTGGTGTTTATGAGCGTTGGGCATCTGACGACTCAGGCTTCGGCACCAACGGCGATGGTTCAAGAGGCGGAATACGATTGATGGATTGGCTGTTAGCGGCAACCGCAAAGTGATTGTGCAATCCCATCGCATTCTCTCTCTGTCTCCGCTCCTCCTGTTCCGGGGTCATGCATTTCACCGGTGGTGGAATCGGTGCATCAGGCGAGCTTCTTCCCATCAACTTAGGACTCGGCTCTAGTCTTTGCACAGGAGGTAGAATTGGGGCACCTGCCATGCCTCCTGCGGTCATCGGCCGTGGAGACTGTTTCGTCGGGCTCAGTCCAGATAGTAGGGCGGGTTGACCATTGTACGGGGATGAAGCCCTGTTAGCAGTAGGAGTCGCGGTAAAGGACATGTGGCCATTGTGAGCAGATGAGAATGACAAGTGATTTCCGGTGTTAGGACGTGGAGTCTGATTCGGTCCGTAGGGGGTCCACGGCGCTGGGCCATCGGATGAAGCCATAGGTGGGAAACCAGCAAGAGGTCCGACATCACGATTACCCTGAGTGGGGGACATAGACGGTCTATTTTGAATAGGAGACGGGAGAGAAGGGCTAGGGTTCGAGTGGGAAGAGGAAGGTCGGCGTGTACCGAAAGAAGCAGCGGGAGGAAGCGGACCACGGCCGTTTGAAGGGAAATGGTGAATCGGCGGTAGTTTTGGAGCCTGCTCCTGAGAGTGAGCAAGGCCGTTCATGCCCTTGGACGGGGAGAAAGGAGCGCGAGCAGGACTAAAGAGGTTTGTATGTGAGGACTGAGGTCGGCGTTCGGGAGAAGGAGGGAACGGCATAACATGGGTCGAGACTTGGGGCTGAGGTAAATAAGGGTGTGGCGCTGGATGTTTCGACGGCGACCCGTTGACAGCCGTCGATACAGGGTGTTGATGCTCTTTCTTCGTGGACAAAGTCCTCGAGGATAGCATATCAGCCGGCCCATGGGGGCCGCGGGCCTCGACAGTAGCGTTTGACGGAGGGGAAGAGCCGAGCTTGAACTTGAGGGGCGGCAACTTGGGGAGCTTCGATTCTTCCTCACGGCGCTTGCAGTCGCGGCAGACGAAATGAAAGTCCTCGCGTTCTGCCTCTTTCTCGTCTATTCCAAGGCACTCGCTATGCTGCCACACATTACACTTCTCACATGCGACGCTGTGCTTGCCATCATCCTACAAAGGGTTAGAGAAGACCATTTATGCTTTGGTTAGACGATGTGAGTAACTTACCCAGTTTTCTCCATGAACATGACATCCCGAACAGTCAAAGATCCACTCGTCTTCTTGTGAGAGATCCTCTAGATTCTTCCGTTGCTTTTCAAGCTCCGCTTTAAGCTGCCGTTCGGAAATCCTGCTTTCACCCCTCTCAAGCTTCTGCTGCTCTTCCTGGATTCTTTGCAGCTCAGCCTCTTGAAGTACGCGATTCCTCTCACGGTCCCTGATGCGCTGCTCCCGAGTCATGATACGTGAATGTCTGTCATTCTCCATCTTCTTCAACCTTTCCTCCTCCTTACGAGCGGCCGCTAATTCTTCCTCCCGCTTTTGTGCTGCCTCAATGGCCTCCCGCTCATGTCGCTCTTTCTCCGACTTTTGCGCAAGGCGACTTGACCTCTTCGCACCAGCAAGAAGTTGAAGGTTGATAAGCTCCTTTTCGCGCTTGACCTTTTGCCGTTCCTGAGCGGCTTCCTCCTGTTCAATAATCGGTAGTACCTGTTCTTCAATCCTGCCCCGGAGAATCTTCTCATCCGCATCTCTCGTACTTCGTATCGAATCCAGGAAGTTCCGGTAGTCGTCAAGTGTGATTGCGATGCATTCCCACTTCATCGTACTGAAGGGATCCGCGGGTTCCTCGATGGGCTCAGTATTATCTTCGTCCGAATCCTCGTCGTAGTCATGGCCCGTAACCTTTCTCCGCTTTGATGCCCTTACGGCTCGCGCGCTTTTCCTCTTGGTCTTAGACTTAGACTTGGAAGGCTTCGGAGAAGGGAGGGGAGGATCGGTGCGACGGTAGAGTCTGTTGTCATCCAAAATATAGTAATACCGGCCTTCACGGTCGTACCCGACTTCCTCAATGCGCTTCACAGAGTGTTAAAAAGACAGCTAGAGGAGGTTCGGAACTCAAAAACTCACCCATTGCATTTGGTCATTCTCCCTTTGTTCCGGCATTTTATCACGAATCCGGTCGGGGTTCCAGAATGTCCAGATGCTCAACTGATGTAGGACGCGCAGCTTCTGGAAGACATCGAAATCCAAGAACTTGTTGGGAACTTCGTCGTAACCGAAGGGGTTCGGGATGTGGGGAGCTTTCGCATTATACTGTCGTCGCGTATACTCGTCAAAGTTGTCGAACCTAGAGTCGTTCAGCAATTTCATAAGCTTCAATGCGTCTTAACAGGGCATATCCACGTACGTGAGTCCACGGTGCGACGAAACCCATTTCAAGAGGCAGAGGCCGATCTCCAACAACTTTTCCGAAGGACTAGGTTTAAGACATTCGTTTTCCAGATCCTGTCAGAAAGAAAGTCATGTAAAAAACACGTTAGCTGGCCTGCGACACTTAACGGAACCAGTAGTAAAGAGCGCTCTATATAGCAAAAACGATCTTACGTACTTCAATTCCAAAATCTTCATCGATTTTCATGATTTTCCCAAATATGGCGATATACTGCATGAGATTCGCAAACTCCCAGCAGTTCCGAAGCTGTGTCAGAAGGCCATGCCCCTCTTGTGGCTGCTCCGCAGGAGCATTCGCCTCGGAGCGGCTGCGCTTTCGCGATACCATGCCGTTAAAAAAGGCGCCGGAGCGCAGGGGCGAAAATGGGACTAAAGAGGATCTCAATAACGCGTTAATTTGGAAAAAAAAATGGTATTATCACTGGGATTAGCAGCGGAAAGAAAGTCGCGACCTGATTCCGAGAACACAGAAAATTATTGTCCAAAAAGTGGGCGTGTTCAGCTTGAAGGGCACAGGATGAGATCACAGAATCTCCGGGAGCGCGTCGAGATCCGCGTGTCACATGACCTGCGATAAGGCTGGATGATCGCGTCTTTAACCTAGGTCCTAGACTCCTAATCGTAGTCTTGATATTATTGAAAGGGGGGTAATAAAAAAAATAATGCAGTCATTGACGACTAAAAACCAGTAGCCCCAGTCAACTAACACACAGTAAATAAATCTTGGTATCTCGCATCAAGAGGGTCCATCTCTCTCATATGAAGAGCAGAAAAGACCATAGAAGACAAGGAAACAGAGAAACATAGCGCCGTCCATATCAATATCCATGCCATCAAACAACCACGCATCCCGATGACCGAAATAAACTAGATAAACAGGGGAATAAGGGATATAGCGAGCAGAAAGCAAAAACCCTCATCGCCCACGGACAAGAAACCAACCCCCAATATGCTTGTTGAACACCGTCGATTTATCTGTTCAAGTATATCCTCGCCCCATTGTTCCGTCAAATCCATTTCGCATCGTTGTTTTTGTCTTTTCTTCTTCTTTTTCATTGCTGTATGCCATCCCACAAATTGCGCCTTATAACCCATTTTCGCCTGAGCCAGTCCCATGCAAGTCGTAAGTGTATCAAATATACCAAAGAAATCGAAGATAAACAATGCTTTTCAACTTTTACATAGCAACACCCGGTGCGCCATCGGAGACATTGTCTGAGAGGTTGATGAGGAGCTGTGCGAGGCAGCGTTTTGTAGCTGCGTCATCGCGGAGGACCGATGAGAAGGTGGCATCTCTAAGAGGTTCAGGAAGGCACTGGCGCAAGGCCTCGCGGGCACGGCTGTTGTCACTTAATCTATCCAAAGAAGGTTAGCCACGGGTTAAGTCAGCAACGATGACTGGCGCAAAACATACCGAAGGAAGCAGCGCACAACATGCTTCAGAAGCCTCACGGTTTGCTGTTCCACCAGTTGAGTGACCATATTACTTAGCACCGTACCAACGGCATAGAACCTCTCATAGGTTGCACATATATAGGCTAAGCCAATATCATCCAACAAGATCTTCTGTACAATGAAGATTGCGACAGTCTTGCTCAACTCCGAGCCCGTTTCCATGATACGAAGGCAGAGGGGGATGATCTCAGTTGTGAGGAGGAAGTTAATGACATCGGACGAATCATTCTTGACCAGAGCTCCAATAACGCCAAGAGATGTAAGACGGAGGTATTCGAAAGGTCGGGATTTCGAGGTCGTATTCAGAAAGGGATAGAGGAAGAGGGGAATATGTGCTGTTTTGAGGCAAGTCAGTCAGTAAAGTTTCCTCGAATTGCCGACGAAAGACAGGTACACACCATTCAGGAAGAGAGTGCGAGTCTCGTTGTGAGATGCAACGCACTGCAGAAGGGCAAGTGCATTGCAAACTCGATTCGAAGCCGCAGCAGTAAGCTGGGAAGGGTTAAGCAGGGGATATACAGAGATGATCTCCTGAAGTAAAGCGGTCATGACACCTGTTCACCAAAGGGGCGAGTTAGCAGATTCTCTAGTCGGTCGTGGGGGGTTTCGGATGAGGGAGTCCTACCAAACGAGTGCCAAATAACGAGAGCCAGCTCGGGCACCTGTTCTCTTTTCTTGCTGAGTTCCATGAGGGCAGTCTCTCGGCGATTCGCATCAAGGAGCTCCGCAACCCAGATGAAAACTTTGCGGTTCTCATCGCTCACTCCGCCTTCGATCATTGACATTCCGCTCGACAGTGCGCTATCCCCACCGATCGCTCCATTGCCTACCCCCTGGGCAGGATTGCTTGCTGCAGCATTGCTGGCCATGGCGATGCGGTTGTAGTGCTGTTGTTGAGCCGCAGCCGCAGCAGCCGCGGCGGCCTGGACTTGAGCATGTTGTTGAGCGACTAGCGAAGAATGCTGCTGGGCCTGGTGCGGGTGGTGCTGGGCCTGGTGCTGCTGCTGTTGCTGCTGTTGCTGCTGATGTTGTAACCAGGCGGCATCAGCTTGAGGATACTGATGCTGGTGGGAAAAGACGTGCTGAGATTGCGTTTGGAGCATGGCGGGCCGAGTTGAGTCCTCAGGAGGGTAGTTCCAACTACCCTGGCCGACCGGAAAATTTGAACTGACGGTAGGGAGGGCTGAACGAAAGCAGGTGCGGTCAGAGAAGCGAGGCCGGCAGAAGATTCATTGATCGATATTTCGGAGCCGGTTGCGAACGGTAAATGAGGAACATGCACTCGGAGTGAGTGGGAAAAGAGCGGCGGGTTGAATTGGAGGTGAATCCGTGATCGAGGCGAAGGTTCGGGCTCCGGGAGGCGGGGAGACGCAGGTTCCGACCGGGGCTTGAAACCTGACTCAGACTACGCAGCGCCCACTCACCTCGACGCCTGAGGAAAGCTGAGGAAGCTAAGGCCCTCTGAAGGATTCGAGAGCTTCTTTTAGCCTTGATTTCCGTCTATGGGCTTCGTTCGTGAGAAAATCGCAGGATCATCATCTCCATTCCCGTCAGATGGTGTTGCACGTTACACTGAAGAACGCACAGATTACTCTGGCAGGTGCATGTCCGACCATCAGCCTACTACTAGTAAGTAGCCTGCAATGCTACATGTACCACCCCTTGCCATCCGCATTCGAGGCAGTCTGCGAGCCCTCTGTGCCTGCGTCTTTGACTGTCCGATATCTGAGCCCAAGTTGCCGAAGTGGGCCGCATTGGCGTTTAGATCTATTGAATGGTTCTCTCATTGATATTCATGGTCTCATCTCCTATTTACATTCACACAGAATATATAGCAGCATCACATGCGCGTGGCGGGAAACGAAATGCACCAAAACATCAGAATCATTTCTCATCATAATACAAGCATTTTCCATCAGAGCCCTTGGAAGGGAGATACATACAGCCACGCAGGCCACCCCTGCGTGTACATCAAAATCGTCACAAGAAAGGCATCAAGTCATAGGTGGAAATGTCGTGAAGTCATGCCGTATACTTCACGGTCTCATCATTGGTCATTATGAATGCGCTCGAGACCTGGATCGGCCTGATCGCCTGCTTCGTCTAGTCCGTCGGTCTGAGCTTTCGCTTGCTGCAAGGCTGTTAGCGGAATCCGTTCGATATCAAAGACCAGGGGTGTGCTTACTTGTGCTGGTGTAATAGCTATAGTAACTTGGGTAAGTGTAGTCGCTCTTTTCGTCCTGATCCTTCTTCCTTCTCAAGCCGAGGCAGAGTGTGATCGCACCGATGATAATTCCGATGGTTGCCAGACTGCTGAACCACGACTTCTTTTCGCCCTCGGGCGCAGGTCCTGATGGTCGGGTGCCGAACCAGGTACGACCCGGCCTATGCGTATGATGCGAGTGGTGACCTTCCACATACGTCTCTTCTGTCCTTCTTCGCTTTCCAATGCCCAAGCAGGCGAGAATGCTGTTCAGGATCCCGCGAGCGCACAGGCAGAGGCAGAGAAGGAAGAGCAAGAATACACCAGCGAGTGTTCCAATCACGATACCCGCAATTGCGCCGCCGCTTAGGCCGCCATCATCGTCCGGAGCGTCAACACCATATGCCGGCGATCCGTCGGTAGTTACGGGCGCGTCGAACCCTTGGGTGGCTGTCGCGGTTTCTGTGACAGTGCTCGAGTCCGTTGGCCGAACCGGAGGATTGGCGCCAGTCTCGGTCGCCCAGATTGAGGTCGTAGCGGCCAGAACACACTTGTCGTTTTTGCAAACATAGGCAGCGCCGCAACAGTCGCTGCCGCACTGAGTTTCGCCGAGGTCGGCCTGGCAGCTGTCACTCGTTGGGCTCGCCACCCAGCTGCTCCAGACGGAGGTGAGCGTTTGGACGTCGGTTTCGGTCACGACATAGGTGCTGCTATAGTATTCCCATGAACCACTTCCGCTGCCCGACTCACTACTGCCTCCGGATTGGCAGACAGCCTGATTGTTATCATTCGTGATGCATGTTTCGTCCGATGCGCAGCAAAGTTGACTGTAGTAACCGCAGGGGTTGTCGCAGCGCTTCTCTAGACCTGTGCCCTCGACGCCCAATGGAGTCGCATGGGCAAGTTGACTTCGACTCAGTAATATCAGGATCGACACTGTCGACTGTAGTATCCGCGAGGTATGCATGATTATCGCGATGGCTCTTCCCAAGCGATCGGCTCGACGCAATCAAGAATGCTCTGACAGCCGCAATTGCTGGTCGCAGGGTCCCAAGAATGTGAACGTAGGGTCAGAAACCCGCCGTAAAGTTGATTGCGATCAAGAGATTGAGACGGCGACTCCCTACAACAAACAACTGGAATGCAAAAATCACTTAAGGAAGGGGGAAAGATTACGGAGTACGAGGAAGATAGTCGGAAAAGAGGAGAAGAGAATGAAGGTTGGGAGGGGAGCCGAAGCTGTCGTGACCCTGACCGATTCTCCCAGCCTCCTCATGCGAGTGAGTTAACATACAAGCCCAACCACCGGATTTCTGAGACAAAGGCGACCGATCGGCCTAACAACCAAATTTCAGAAATTGGAAAGGCTGGTCTATGTATGGACTACTTTCTATCCACTATTATTTCTATTTTATCCTCACCTTCCGATGGTGCGCACCTCCACTATGTACTGTGCTCATTCAGGCTGAGAGGCCTGACTGCATCCATCCTCCGAGCCCCTCCATACGTTGTAGATACCGGCCGTCCCCGCATCTCGCTGCGCCTCTTTTTGATCTAGTTGCAGGCTTAATACTCATCATTATAACCGTCACAATGAAATTAAGCGGTGGTCAGCTTCCAATTCATTCAATCAGGTTGCTTTTCACCGTCACGAGGGAAACTTCGGGCACTTTCATATCATTGGTAAGACCGTTCGACAATTTTCTCAGGGCTCGCCCAAGCCTCAGTGCCATCAGGTACTGATGAGTGTGGGCTAATCAGGCATCGATTGACCCACACTGACTTGTCACTCACTTTTCTTGCACTTCATCTGACTGGCTCTCCCTCATGGAGACTGCAGGGACAGCGTATCAATCTAGTTCGTTGTTCTGCAGGCCATTTGGGCTCGACGATCAAGCGGTGTGAGACTGCATGAGCAAATAATGTCGGAGGCATCTCGAGTCCCTGCGTCGTTCCGTTGGGGTGCTTCGTGGTTGCCCCCAAGTGTGAAAGATATCGTCTCCATGGGCCTGCATAGCTTCTATACGCCTCTATCCAAGTACCTGTTCAAGTGTCGCGGTCCCTCGGGCACCAGCTTAGCCACATGCTCATTGAGTCGCTGGATAATACCTTTATCGGTGCCCTTGGTGAGGTGCGAGGTGGGTACTCGTAGATATTTTATGGATTTTGGCAAGGGCTATATATCAACATAAAGGGTACAGCAGCAAATCGAAACATCACTCATTCAGTCATTCCATATATCCATCCAGTAGATAGCGGCGCAATATACAAGAATCGTTCATATGGTTCATCAAATGAAGAACCCAGCAACGCCAACCAGTAAGCCAACAAAAATATCATGCAAACTGGAAGTCCGCCTACACCCTGCACCATCCGATCCGCCTTCGTAGCTACCACAGACTCCTATATTGAGGCCGTGACAGGCTGATTGTCTCAGGCTGGAGCAGGTCTCCTCCGCATACCCCGAGCCACCAGTCTGAGTAAAGTCCGCTCCGCCTCCAGTGACTGTAACACCGTAGCCTCCCCCCATGTATCTAACGCATTGCGTGTAGTCGGTTTGACACCGGTCATAGTACGACGAGCACTGATCCGCATCTGAGAACGAGGTCGGAACATAAACGAACGGATATGCACCCGACATGGTCGATCCGGTTACCTCAGGCCCATCGTCTCCCGTCGGTGTCGCATCCGATGTAGAAGGATACTGGAACCCCCCGGAGCTCGGGCCGCTCAGTGTACCAGTGCAGCTTGCGCCGCTAGGGCAGCATGCGACGTGGTCGGCCTCGTCGCTGGTGCATCTCGCATCTGTCCGGCAGCAGACACCTGTGTCGTCGCATGGATCGTATCCGCCTGGGCAGTTGCCGTCGCGCTTGAAGAGTTCCAAGATGTCATATGCTCTCCCGGTTTGTGCAGGACTTGCGGTGATGGGGTGTGCGAATGGGATGGTCTCTATCGATAGGACGCTCGAGGCGAGGAATGTGGCCGCTATCCACCCGGAAGCCTTCATCTCGTGCTAGGGCTTGGGTCCGTTCGCCTGCGGTACCAGAATAAAAAGGTCGTTGTTAACTGTCTTATCCAAGTATAGAGCAGAATTTCGAGGTCGCTCCGAGCATTGAGGAAATTCTGTCGAGTAGCCTCGAGTTTGACGCGGCAAATATTTGCTGTGGCAATCAACAGACTTCTAGAAGCGGCAAGGACGCTGTTAGCGATTTTGGACCAAGGTCTGGGGAAGTTGACCACCGACGATTGTATGATGCGCTACACGCTGGCAGCTTTATTTGCTTCGATAAATGATAAATCTCGGCTCTTCTCGAATCTTAAAGGAAAGGAAATTAGCATCAGACCCTGATCGGTCATCGGAAGAGTGGGCGAGTTAGTTGTGTGCCCAGTGCCTGCGCCCAGAACTACTAAGGTACTGTGCTGGCAACGCAATATCTCCACCTAGCAACCAGCCATCCATGCGGCTGTGTGACCATTAGTAAAACGGGCCGGTGCCTTAAGTGGGCTCATGATTTAGTCTCCTCAAAGTTAAATATATAATGTTACGGAGTAAGCAGACACCGACTGTGCGTATATTTGAGGAGGTTGGGGCTTCAGTCCAACAAGAACAAATAGATCAGTTGCGGAGTCCACTGCGGAGTATGACGAAACCACATTTTGAGATTCTCACACGTTTGAATTCCTCGCATCAAACAACTTCAACTTGACAATGCTTTACAGCAATGCTTTTCAGAAAGATTTCTCAAACATAGTCAATCAAAGCCCTGTACGGAGTATTGCATGGCTTAGTGCAGAGCAGCTGCAGGCCATGTGACGTCAGCCGATTGCCATGCTGACCTGGGAAATCGGACACTTTTCGATCATTGAACTATTTCAAGAGCTTGGAAATTTTGACTATTGACCAGAAGCCTCAGGCAGGATCACTATCATGGATCTCCCTGTTGTGGATTTTTCGTCGTGGACCACCTCTCAGGATGAAGCGTCTCGACGGCCCGTGGCACAACAGCTGGTGGAAGCATGTCAGCAGGTCGGATTCGTTCGAATTATCAATCATTCATTACCGGAAACAACTCTCGACAATGCATTTGACTGCATGAAACGGCTCTTTGCGCTTCCAGAAGAGGAGAAGATGAAAGCTCGCCATCCAGAAGGCTGGGCAGTTCATCGCGGATATTCGTGGCCTGGGCTGGAGAAGGTAACCCAGGTCAAGAGCTCAGCTGAGTACGAGGAAGTGAGAAACGGATTAAGGAAAGTTCCTGATGTCAAGGTGCGTTGATATCTGTTGTTCACGATAAATTTGCCTTTCCAATCCCCTGATCTTGGCTTAGAACACTCCAGGAAGTCTACGACATCGGAAGTGATGACTGCGCTGCCCAGCCAAATCAATGGCTCCCCAATAGCTCTCTACCCGGATTCCGAGCGTTTATGACTAAGTTTTACTGGGAATGTGACCGGGTCGGCAGAGAGATTCTTCAGGCCCTTGCCTTAGGGCTAAACTTGGAAGACATAGATTATCTGACAAGGAAGCATGGGGGACACGACAACCAGCTCCGGCTGCTGCATTACTTAGCTGTTCCCGCTGAGGACCTGGAAAGCGAGCGTGTAAGCCGCTGCGCAGCGCACACGGACTGGAGCTCAATTACCATGCTCTTCCAAGACGACTGTGGTGGGCTGGAAGTCGAAGACATTTCACGCCCCGGCACATTTAGACCAGCTTCTCCGGTTCGAAACAGTATCATCGTTAACGTCGGAGACCTGTTGCAGAGGTGGAGTAACGGCAAGTCCCTTTTTGAAATTGCCGCTCAATATATTCTTATATATGCAGATCGACTTCGTTCCACAAATCATCGAGTTGGGCTACCGGAGCTTTCGGACCGGTTCAAAGGTCCGAATCGGATGACGCGCGAACGATACTCGATTCCTTACTTCATGTCGCCAGATGATGACTCTGTCATTGAGTGTATACCATCGTGCATGAGTGAAGAGGAGCCGGCAAAGTACGAGCCTATAACCCGCGCGAACTACAATAAGATGAGAGCGGCTATGATGTACTAATCAGGCCTTACGAGCGTACTCTTGCTCCTTCCTGTTCCACTATCTAGGAAAGCGCATAGTGTGACCCCGGGGTCGTTCCGTCCTCACGGGCAAGTTGGTATAGAAGGAAGGAACGACCGGGCACGTTGCTCGCTCCTTCCTATTTCACTCTTGGAAAGTGCGTTTTCTGGTTGCACCTTCCTTAAAATGTCTCCCAGTATAAACGGAAGGCGCGACCGTCCCCTGTTTTGTGAGCCATCGTTCCTTCCTATTCTGGAGCTCCAAATAATACTATGCTTCTACGCCGCCAAACCTGATCAACCTTCCATCGGTAATCTAACCCACCACGCGTGCCCTTTGTATCAGTAGTACGAAGCTATCTACCACTAGCAATATAGTGTAGTGGCCTTGCCCCAGTTACTCTAAAAATCTCATCTCATCCCAGAGTTCTGCTACTTGCTCTGCCCCAAGCCCTCGTCCACCAACCAGATCGATGTTTGATGCCTGAGGCAGAAACAGCTTCGGACCCAACCCGATAAGCCCCATGGCTTTTGTCGCCGCAACGCATCGAGGAGAATCCTAATCGCGACAGAATCGACAGTTACTTCGACCATTCATTTAACTCGCAATTCGAACATACCGCCCATGCTTAAACATTAAACGCCCTTTGAGTTTAGAACCACCCCTCATCCCAACAAACCGTCCTCGCTCCGTGAAATCATAACCCCTCCTCCGCATTCAAAATGTCTATTCCCAACGAAGCTCTCCAAAAAGTACGCATAGCGCTCGGTCAAACAATCTACTCCTGCTAATCAATGTTCTTCCAATCTCCAGCTCCTTCAAGAGATCGAATCTCGCGTCATCTCCTCGCAACAACAAATCGGAATCACCAAGGCCCAGATGACGACAAAACAGCGAGACATGCGTATGCTCGAGCTCACATCAAAGGAAATTGGAACTCTACCCGGTGACACAAAGGTCTACGAAGGTGTTGGTCGGATGTGAGTGGTGTTCCCGTCCTATCTCCTGGCGCCAACCTACAACACGATGGCACCGCCATTGGCTTGAAAATGGAATGCTAATACCACCTGCGTCCCACAGGTTCGTCGCGGTCCCCAGAACAGCCGTCGACAAGCGGATATCGACCGAGAGTACGGAGTTAAAGTCTGAGATTGAAGGACTAGAGAAGAGGATGAATTATCTCGAGATGACATTTAAGAATAGTCGTGAGAATCTGGAGCAGATTTTGAAGTCGGGCCGGGCGTGATCACTTTTTCTTTTTCTGGCTTTCGATGCTGAGGGCGTCTTTGTAGGTGTCTGAAACTATGCTTCTGTTATTGGATGAATGGTACGACTGGTTTGTTCGATTCATGCTCGGTTTTCCGCGTAATGGAAGTGGTCTGGCATAGTAGTAGGTCCGAACCTCAATGAAGCAGCTTGCTTGGACAAATATGGAAGAGATCAGTGGTGAGAAACCTGATCTGATCATATATTCATGGGCTTATGTCATAGTGTTTCGCTTTTCTGATACCCCCAGTGGATGGTTGCAAGTGAGATGAGGTGCTTGAATTCTCAGCGAGTACATTGTTACGGAGTTGGAGCTGCCTACAGTTGTTGAAATTTCAGATAAGTGCCCAATACGCCCTAAACTCTGAGTCTAATCGGAGTAGGGACCATACAAATCAGGCTTGACTCTCGCAACCATGCATTGCTGTGCCATGTTTGGGAATACCGATACACGGACCAGATATGGGAGTCTTCCACTTGGGAAGAGGTAATTGTTATCGCCCGGATCTATAAGGTGGGGAATTATGATGCGAAGAGGCTGGGGGTTGAAGTAAAAATATATACTGTGGTGTTTCAGGAGCTTGTGAAATTACCTTAGGTGGGGATTCTGCTTTCTAATATACACATGAGAACAGGTATACATATTTATAAGCTTAACAACTCTGTATCATAGGGCAGAATCAGCGAAGGTTGAAGCCGCAAGCGTGAGCCATGGCAAACCAAGCCGCCGCCACAGGTACAAGATCCGGCGACAAGCGGGCTATTTCCGATACGCTAGGAGGGGGCAGAGAGGCTCGGAGAGCACATCGTAATAATAGTATGCGTTGATATTAATATCGAAGCTGGACTGTGCAGGGCGATACGCCAATTTCCAAGGTCCCACTGCTGACCTCAGCGGCTCAGCCTTGTCCAAGGACCTTGATCGAAGAGCAAAGATTCAGCGAAATTTGAGTTTGTCGCACAAAATCCATACCCAAGTTTTGAGCGTGTCAGGCGTCGGGTCCGAGTTTGTTCTGGGCCCTTTCTCATGATTTCTTCTGCCTGATTTGAGGGCCTAAAATTGGTGATGTTCTGGGATGACATCTGCTTGTCGACAGTCTGGGGTTGACCATTGTCCAACTGTGAAATCTTTGGCTCATGCGGGATCAACCGCTCTGTTCCCTGGTTTGGCTGAAGGGGAGAACCGAGAAAGAATCGAGCATTGGGACTGGGGATAGATATCTGAGAATAGAATCGAAGCAGAGCCCAGCCACTTGCATAATGTCCAAGAAATGTTGCAACGGTCGGTGATGGTCGTCATTCAGATGATCAGCCGCCCAATGATCCAATGACGCCGAATCCCCCACCCCGCTGAGCCGCCCGCCATACACTCAGGAGGAGGGGGCGGTTTTCTGTTCGTCCTCTTCTCTCAGTCTTCTTCTCTTCTTCCTTCCTTTCCCCCTGTGCTGCTCTCTCGCATCCTTTCATCTCGTTTCATCCTTTCCGGCTTTCATACAGCTGGTTGGTGCCTGGGCTTTCGGCCTGCGTTGCCCCTCCTTTACACTTCAGCCCCCACCACTCAGAGATATCTAATCCAGCCTTTCCTGACTCATCTTACATTGCATTAGCCTTCGTATTCTTGCTCCCTGCGAAGTGAATTCATCTTTTTCCTTTTGCAAGGTTTATATATCGTGAGATTACCTTCTCATCATGGGCAGACAACGCCGCTACTCGTACTCCGAATCCGAGACCGATTACTCGGAGTCGGACATCTCAATGATGGAGTATCCCCGCAGACAGCATCATAGGAGGCGCTCCGTTTCCCGCACCCGCTTCAGCCCCAGCTTCAGCAACACCTACTTGAGCCCAAACACCGTGCACGAAGACGTCCGCATCCACCGCTCCGCCTCGACAGGCGCTCGGCGCACCCGTGAAGAGCGCGACCGGCGAGAGCGTGAGCGTGAGCACCGTGAGCACCGTGAACACCGTGAGCGTGACCGCGAACGTGACCATCGCGATCGCGATCGCCTGGAGCGGGATCGTGTCCAGCCCACTGCTGTCATCGTCGACATCAAGAACGAGTCTCGCAATACGAGCTCCAACCAGAAACGCAAGCAGCATCGCGAATCGTCCTCCCACCACCAGGAAGACAACCAGTATCTTGATATATATGATTCAGAGGACGAGACTGTCCTACGGCGTCAGCAGCATCGCCGCCGTCCCCGTGCCAGTACTAGTGTCTCCCGGTCCCGTGATCCCTCGCCGTACCCGGTGCTTCAGCCGGCTCTTCAGCCCCCCCGTGATTTTGACCTTGTTATCGACCAGCGACTGCTCGAGAAGAATGATCAGAAACAGGATCTGGAGATCCTTCAGCAGCAGCGGGATATTAGACGTCTTGAGCGTGAACTAGCTCGCCATCGTGAATATGCGGAGCAGCACCCGGAGGTCCGTCTGGTGAGGGAGGAGGAGGAGCGATATGAGGATGACATCAGTGATCGGCTACGACGACTCCAGCGATACGAGGAGTCCGAACGCCTAGAGGAGGAGAAGCGCAAGGCTGAACGCCGCTACCGGCTCCAGAGACTTGAGCAGGCGGAGAAAGAGGCCGCTGAACAGGAGGAGGTACGCGAGAAACTCAAGCATGAAAGGCTCAAGGAGCTGCAGCGCAAGATTGAGGAAGAGGAAGAGCGTGAGAGGATCAAGAAACAAATCAAAGATGAGGAGGCTCGGATCGCCCTTGCGGAAGCCGAGAGAAAGGCAAAGGAGGCCGCCATGAAACAGGCCGCCGTCGAGGAGTGGAAGCTCGCCGAAGAACGCCGCAGAATTGCAGAGCGCGAGGCGGCCGCGAGGCGTGACAAAGAGTTCAGGGAACGCCTGAGGCTGGAATTCGGCTACACCGAGGAAGAGATCGAAGACATTATCAACAAGAAGCACAAGAAGGACAAGAAGGAAGAAAAGAAAGAGGAAAAGAAGGAGGAGAAAAAAGAAAAAGAAGAGAAGAAGAAGGAAAAGGAGGATGAAAAAGAAAAGGAGAGGGATGACCGCAAGGCGACTTGGATCAAGGTATGCATCGTCTACCTCATCTCCTACGGACGACTATTCTGACAATCTTCTAGGTCCACCGCAAGCATCTGCTCCCCGATACACTAATGGCCTATCGGCTCCCTTGGGCCTGGGATGAAGTAAGTTCTCCCACCTCCAAAGAAGAGAAGAGTAGCACTAACGATTCCGAAAAGCTCGACGGCAACTATATCATCATCAAAACATGGATCAGCGAAGAACTCCAGGAGGAACTTTTTGCGCACACCCGCCGTCTACGCGACGGCAAGCTCGTCACTGAGACATCCAGCACCCTGACCGAATTGAAAGTGAACGACAGGAAGAAGGACAAAATGTACCTTGTGCGGAAGAAGAGCCCCAGCCGGCGGTCGTGGATCTTCACTTGATCGAAACTGACACGGGTGGCTGATTTATATACCTTTCTTTCTTCTCTGCTTTTGTTTTCGGTTCTCCGAATGCGATTTATTCCCCCCCTCTATCTCGTTCGCTTGTTTCGCCGACTACTGATATACGGCTCTGAGTGTTCGTGCTTATACTTTGTTTGTCTTTCATGAGTTGTGATTTCCATGCTATGAAACACGCTATATATGATATACGTTCATGAGTGAAATGATCTATGATGATGATTTGTTTTCCAAACCCATATCCTATCCGTAACCATTTCCATAGCTCAAACAATATATTACACATTAGGGTAGATCAAATCCCCATCTCAGTCTTCGCCCACCGCGTCTCAGCGCGGAGGATAAGTTCCTCGTACACCGTCCACGCAAGCGCGGAACTCAGCGCCTTCCTTCCGATTCGCAAACCCAATCCACCAAATAGGCTCCGGACGCCATCTTCGTGAATCATCAGCCGTACAGCCCGCATCATGTTTCCGTACTTCCCCGGCATCAGCTGTAGCCGGGTCTTGACGGCGTCGAACGGGTTGGTGATCGCGGTTGCCAGACCTGCTGCTACCGCGCCAGATACGAAATTGATGGAGGATGAAGAGGAGGATTTCAGGCGCTGGTCCGGGTCTGATGACTGCATAATCGTCGCAGATGCAAGATGGCGCTTTAATTGCTCGTAAATAAGCACGTAAAGGCCAGCATATGGTGCGTCCCGCGCAGCCGTCGCGCCGAAACCGGAGAAGAGACCGCGTATCCCCTCTGTACGGACGATATCCCGACCGGCTCCGTATAGACTCCGATAGGCGTAGTAATCAGACTCATACCGGACTTTTAGGACAGTCACGGGCATCATTACGAATCCTGCAGCGACCCGCGCTGCAGCGCCTGTGGCTAGATTGGCTGTGTTTGAAAGCTTGGGGAGGGCGGAGGAGGACGAAGGAGGCGAGGAGGCGCCTTGGGCGTTTTCAAGGGCGAGTGGCGCGTGTCTTTGTGCGAAGCCTTGACGCAGGGCGTTGAGGGATGTGAAGTACAGAGCGGAGCCGAAGCCCGTGCGGAGAGCAGAGGGGAGGGTTCCACGCCATAAGCCGCGGATTGGGTTCGGAGAAGCAAGTATTGTCTTGACGGTTGAGACGAGGGAGGCGCTGTTGTGGGACTGCTGAACGCGGGTTTTGAGGAGGTCCGCGGGTTGGAGGAGGATTGAGGATGTGAGGCCCGAGAGGAGGCCGGCGCCGAAGTGGAAGGTTGTTTTCGAGGCTGATATGGGGTCAGTGAGATGTGTTCGTACAAGGTATAGCGCATAGCATCGGCTTACATCTTGAGATGGATTTCGCCGGCGGAGTTGCGTATGCCGTTGCATTGTTCGACATAACTGCGGTGCTTCCTCGGGAAAAGCCCCGGGAGTCACCGTTGGACAAGTGTGATATTCCTGCTCAGGACGCCGAATGATATGGTGCGTACGATCAGGTTGGGGAGAGCCCAATCGCATATGACATCCAATAATAAATAGAAAGGCAATGTAGAGAACGTAAGGGTATTCGCGGTGATTTGTGTATGACCGTTGTATTTTTTCGGGCGTTGATGAAGTCATCCGCGGCTTTGCAGGCAGGCAGATGATTGGTTGTTGTCCTCAACCGCAAGGAACGCCGCGCCGGGGTCGCATGTGTCTCTCTAACTTGAAGTTGTAATAGGACTTGGTGATTTGGGAATTGAAGCATAGTTACTTCTCCTCAGAGGTCAGAGCTGAGAGCTAGTACAGCTTCTCCTATATCACTGGCGTACTATATCTGCGAGTTCAGGGCATCCATGTCAAGCCAATCGGCAGCCGAACATTCTGGGTCTCGCTGCAATCGGCTCAGTGATTTGTCGACGTCACAGCAGAATGCTCGACAATGTACCTAGGTACCTGCTGCTTCAGATCAGATGTCCACTTCATAACGCTGTTACTGCCCCTGCAATCCTGCTACTGCAACCTTGGTGTACTCCGTACCATGGTTTCCTTCTTATGACCTGCTCCTTTCGCCGTTCTCACCCTCTTCCTGATTTCCTGATTGCCTGATAAGCGGTACCTGATCGGACGCTTGCGGATAGTTTACCCTGACATGAGAATGCCTTTCTTTCCCTTTATTCCGTACCCGCCTGCTAAAGATGGCTATTGGGAACCTGTTACCTCCACGTTAAATTGGTGCGAAGAGGTAAAGTGACTCTCCCTTGCTTCGTCTGTCAGTGCTGCCTGAAGTTGACCGTCTCCGCTCATCAGGATTACTATGCGACAAAATATTCAGCGGAAATCGTCAATACCCTGACGAATCTCTTATTTATGCTGCTAGGTGTGAAAGGAATCTTGAGCTGTCGGCGCAATGGACACGATGCGATTTTCGAGGTCGCATACTATGGATATCTTCTGGTTGGAACAGGCAGCTTCCTGTTTCACTCGACCTTGAAGTGTAAGCTATATATCCTCCGTTTTGTAGCGACCGAAAGCTGACCGCCGCTCTTGCTAGATCCAATGCAGCTGATTGACGAACTATCGATGATCTATACGACTTGCCTGATGTGCTACGCATCTTTCTCCTACTCCAAGTCTACGGGTTACCGTATCTTCCTCGCCATGTTCCTCTCGTTTCTCGCCATATTTATTACACTTTACTACCATTACCTTCAGAACCCAGTGTTCCACCAAAATGCGTACGCCCTATTAACGGCCATCGTGCTCCTGCGGAGTATGTACACCATGGAGGTCAAACTCCGCCCGTCCTGGAGGCACTCAACCGAGGAGGACCGACTCGCCCGGGAGAAGCAGGGTCTCCCTGTCCTTTCCAAAGAAGAGCAGCACTATGAGAACGTCCGCGACCTGAAAACGCTGAAGACGATGTGGTTCATGGTCGGGCTAGGGTTGGGTGTTTTTTTAGGAGGATTCGGGATATGGAACCTCGACAACCACTACTGCAGCACGATACGTGTTTGGCGCCGGGAGCTGGGACTCCCGTGGGGTATTCTGCTTGAAGGCCATGGCTGGTGGTACGTTTGGCGACACTTAACTTCTCAGCTTTGGCTAACGTAATTCGACAATAGGCACTTAATGACCGGTACCGGTGCATACTTGTATATTGTCTGGGGCATTTGGCTCCGTCACTGTCTGAACCAGCGGCAAGAAGAGTTCCATTTGTGGTGGCCGCATATATGGAATATCCCCGAGATTGTGCGAACACCGATCACAGCGGATGGCTCGGCGAAGAAGTCGGAATAATTACCCGAACGGTGCCCAGATTATACGTCTGTGACTCATTCTACATCTTAAGTGAAGCGGTTTTGGTCAGGTCAAGGTATCTTTTATACTCTTTCTATTACGGTTTTCTGAACGGTATAACTCTTCGATAGACGTTTCTGGTCTGCTAGTCTGGTATATTCGAATTGGTATCCTATAGAAACACAGTTATGAGAATTGAATCCATAGAAACACTGTTGTCGTCGTAGTCTCGTATCATCCGCAGAGAGGATCAAAAGGATACCGGGGTCCTCACTTCTTAAGTGGAGGTTTACTAGAGATGTAAGTGGTGGTTGAGGAGAGATCTAAGTGAAAGTTTAGTGACGGATCAGATCGAGGATTGTGTCATGGTTGTAAAGAGGTTAAAGTAAATGGAAGGTCTAAACGGATACTTTGGTGAGTGGCGTGAGGTTTCAGAGCAGATACGAGACTCTCGCTCGTCCTTCCATTTAAATGCTGAACTTTATACTCTGATGTATATGCAAACATGTAGAACCACCCGTTGAAGAACCACCCATCGAGATATCATGAGTTCCTCATAAGTCACAGTTTGGGCTTAGGTTCCTCTTTCTTCGGACGCACAGGAGGCGGGACATGTGCTTTCCACCGTTGATCAATAGTGAGCTTCTCTACCTTCGACTTCGTACTCCACTGATTCTTAAAAAGCTTCTCCTCTTCTCTCCACCGCTTCAGCTCCATCCCTAGGAAGCTGCTCGCTTCTTCGGCGCACTGAATAGGCGCCTCTTGGGCAACGAGATGCCCAATATCCTCGAGGACTGCGCTTCGGACACGCCCGGCCGCGGCACCGCCGCTACCGCCGAGTCCCGTGCCAGTATGTGAGAGTTTATCTTCCATCATGGTTGGTGGGGACATGTCTGATGTTCCGCCGAATATGTATAGCACGCTAGGGCGGAGGTGCGGTAGTTGCGCGAAGATACGTGACGGCTCGGGGCGGTAGAAGGGCCAGGAGCCTAGGTGGTCAGGGTCGAGATCGGGATGAGTCACCTTGTTGACCGGAACGGCGAATCCAGGGGGTCCGTCGTAGTTTGGTCGCGAGTAGGTAAAGACTTCTTGGTGTAGGGTTGTTGACAAAGTCACTGGCTTCTCGTTGCTTTTCGAGGTGGATTCATCGAGCGGATATATGGCGGTAGGCAGGTCGCGTAGACCATATTGCAGCCAGCGCTCTAGGACACGGGGATCCCAAGCTTGGTAGAACGGGTTCTTCTTGAAGGACTCTGCGGCGGCCTTTCGTGATGGCCATTGGTCGCGACGGTATGTTGAGAGCTGAGTTGTTTTGGCGATGACTAGTTTCTGCTTGCCGAGGTCGATAGGGTCCAATTGTGTGGTTTGTCTTTGAATGACCGGGTCGAGTAAGACGAGGGAGTGGAGGAGGCGAGGATGCATGAGGCTCAGTTGAACACTAGAATAGGTACATCAGAAATCGCGTTACTTTAGGTGGACACGGAGACAAACAGATGTGCGCCTCCCATGCTATGCCCGACGCCAATGATAGGGCGTGGCATTTCCTTGCGCTTTACATTCACGAGATGGAGGAGGTCGCGCGGATGGTCGAACCAGCTGGCTAGTCGCACGGGTTATTCTTTCTGTATGGAGGCACAAGAGAGCGTCCGGACGTCACATACGGTCATTTCCCAGTAGGTCTTCGTTTATGGCACTGCTCTGCCCCTGATGCGCAACATCCGCCATCCATATGCTTCGGATTCGGAATCCGTTTGCTTTTGACCGAGCAAGAATTTCCTCCCAAAGAGGCTCATAAAGTTCCTATCAGGCGGCTGTTAACTTCGGAACTCACTCGGGTAAAGCAGCCGATTTCCGACTCGGGTGAGGCGAAAAATAGTACATACCTTAGGGAAGCCGTTTGCGTGGGCGGCAAGTATAGTGACATCCCCTGGCTGCGGATTAGGGTTGTCCAAGGGAATATATTGTTTCACAGCTAAGTTCAAAACATCCTCCTGTGCATGCGCTGTGGCAGCGGGATATTCTCGTATATGCTGCGACGGGACCACATGTTCGACGACACGAAAGGGGCTAGAAGATGACATGGTGAGGCGCGCTGGTATTATGAGGGACTATTCTGATTCTTCAGGCATCTCAATGCTGGGCCTCGGACATTTAAGAAGGAATGGGGCTTGACCCGCATGGGGAAGACGATCGGGACCATCCGAGCTCCCTGTTGCCGACGCAAGGTGGGTTATCGTACTGGGCCGAGGTTCACCAGATGTGACAGACGCGCCGATGGGCCTTGGGGAGTCTCAACGGCCGCCGGAGGGATGAATTACTCCGTCGGTCAACATGGTGACGGTTTCATTTTCAAGGTTGGCTGGGAATAAGTTGGCTTTCTGACGAGTAATAATGATGAAATCAACGATGCGGAGGTGGTCTTTGGCGACTTGTGACAGCGCGCCCCACGTGACCTGGCGTCGGTCTGTCGCGTTCCAAAGGCTGAGATTCGCGTCGCATCGCAGAACGCAACTTCCAGAGCAACACTTGCTTCATCTGATCTCTTCGCGCGGGCTCTTCCAACTTGACTCTACACCTGAACACCCGCCAACATTCTTTCTCCTTTTCACAGTATCTACACATTTTCATCCGACATTCCTGCTGACCTCAACTGAAGGTGTTTTCCCATCATGGGACACCAAGACGAAAACGTTCAACTCTTCGGCCAGTGCAAGGTCTGCATAGTATGCTCCAAAGATCTTAGCCTGGATTCTGCACAACAGGTGCGTACTGTCATTACTCACTCTAACTGTCTGAGCTGAATTAACTCCTGCGATATCATAGCTCGCATCCACGCTCGAGGAACATGGCGGCGAGCCAGTTGTCTACGAATACCCCGCGGATTTCCCCGATTTGGCGCAGTTCAGCCATATCATGTCCACTACCATCGACTTTCCTGAGTTCGACGCTGCCAATGATGCCTTGATTCCCGTTGTCAAACCTCAATGGATGCTAGCGTCATTATCCAAAAAGAAACTGGCCAATCCCCGCCAATATAGCCCGGACCCTCGACTCTTCTTGAATGACGTGGTGGTCACCTGCGGTGACATTCCCGAGGGCGACAAAGATGCGATTATTGGTGGCGTACTAGCGAAAGGCGGCCTTTACCATCCAAGGGTCACCCAGATGTGCACCCATCTCGTCGATCTGACAATCGGATCCGATAAAGCTCAACTTGTCAAAGCCAGGAACTTTCCTGTCAAAATCGTCCTTCCACACTGGTAGGCGTCTTGTCCTTCGCTAAGTTTTGTAAATTGACGTTGACTTGATCACTCAAGGTTCGACGACTGCTTGAAGCTCGGGCGACGAATCGATGAACGCCCGTATATGCTTCCTGATCCCGAGATCCTCCGCGCAGCCCCCGACCTTCCAATTCGATCAGCAGAAAACCGCGACATTGTCGGAGCATCTACTCCAGAGCCCTCTACGTTACCGACCCCAATAACTTCCCCCGTCAAGAGTAACTTGAAAGTGTTCCAAGGAAAAGTTGTCATGCTCTCTCCAGATCTAGGAATTGGCTCGCATCTCCAGAAAACCATTGCCGGTCTTATTAAGGACGGAGGCGGAGAGGTAACATCCGATGTTTCGAAGGCGACCACTCTCATTTGCCGGTACAGAGAAGGATTCGCCTACCGGATGGCTTCAAGATTGAGCAAAGATGTGGGGAATCTGTCCTGGCTTTACCATCTCATGACTTACAACACCTGGACTTCTCCCTACCGCCGTCTCCTACACTATCCAGTCCCACGCACCCCGATCCCGGGCTTTGAGAAATACAAGATAAGCTTGTCGAACTACGTCGGCGAGGCGAGGGCGTATCTCGAGAATCTGATTTCGGCAACAGGTGCAGAATGCACTAAAACCTTGAGACAACAAAACACACATTTGGTGACTGCGCACGATAGCAGTGAAAAGTGTTTAGCGGCAAGGGACTGGGGACTCGAGGTGGTCAATCATTTGTGGCTTGAAGAGTCTTACGCAAAATGGAAGGAGATGCCCGTGTCTGATCCTAGGTACACCCATTTCCCTCGACGTACCAACTTAGGTGAGGTCGTGGGTCAAACGCGGTTGGATAGGTCTTCTCTCGAGAGTCTCTTTTTCGCATCGGAAGAGACCCCCTCAGCACCTACCGTCCCGAAGAAGGCGCCGCAACACAAAGGTCAGAATGCTACCGCTAGTAAGGCCCTGAGTACGACGGAAGTCGATGATACTACGTTGTCAGATACAACCAATGCCACTCCAAGAGTTGGAAAGTCTAAGAAGGCAACTCTCCACACCCCTGCCCGATCCCGTCTCGCGCCCGATGAGAAAGAGAATGAGACACCGTCGTCTACTAGCAGTCGCAAATCTAAGGAAGCCGCAACAGCTAGGCTGCATGAGATTGCACCTGACATTGCGCTCTATGAGAAGGAGAAGAAGCGCGTCGGCGGCGTAATTTACGGTGGCCGGAGAGTCACCGACGAGGACCGCGTGACTCTTAATGGTAGCAAGAAACGGCCTTCAATGGAGGCACAAACTGAGAGCGATGAGGAGGACACGGCTGAGACCAAGAAGCAGAAGAAGTCGAAGCCTCCAATTTCAATCCATCTTCTAATAACCGGCTACCAAAAGTGGGTGGGTAATATGAAGAAAGAAGATGCTGATAAGGTGCGTCATAATTGATGATCTTCGACGTTCAAACAAAACTAACATTGAAAAGCGCCAACTTCGTGAGCTCGGAATTATGGTTGTTCAAGATGCGCGGAAGTGCTCTCATTTAGCTGCGCCATCCGTCTTGCGAACACCAAAGTTTGTTAACGCGCTGGCATATGGGCCGGTGATTGTGCAGGTTGAATTCATTGAACAATGCCTGAAGAAAAACGAGCTTCTAAACCCCAACGATTTTCTTCTCAATGATAAAGACGCCGAAAAGCGATTTGGATTGACATTGGAACAGTCAAAATCCAATGCGAAGAAGAACAAAAACAAGCTTCTTCAAGGGTATCATATCTATTGCGTTGAGACCATCCGCGGAGGGTTTGAGGCCTTCAAGTCTATTGTCGACGCAAATGGCGGGGAATGCAACCTATTCCGCGGACGCGTCTCATATCAATCCAAACGCGAGGAGAGTGATGATGAGAGCGAAGATGAGGAACACTCGAATCGAAAGGAAATATATCTTCTCAGCAGTATTGCCACTGAGCACCAAAAGCTTTGGCCACGATTTCGCCAGTTGGTTCATAACATGGGCAAGACACCGCGGATTGTCCGGGTAGACTGGCTGCTCGATATGGCCATGTCTCAGGAGTTGCGGGAGGCCGAAGAGTATGAACTCGATGAGGAGATGACGGAACAGGCTGAAGAGTGAGTTGGTGGGTTGGAACTGGTTGGAGTTGCTTCACTTACGATACCTGCATGTGGCCATGAATTGCCTTGTCTGGAGTTTTTGTACATCACCTATTTTTGCATGCGGAATAGCCAGCGACTAGTGTCATTTGATTGAGGCTCGTTTGGTCGGGCTTTAGAAGAATTTCACACCCTCTTGCCCTTCACTACCGAAGACTTGCGCTTTGCCCTGCTTGACGAGAACGTTAAGAGACTTGAACATCACTTCTGCGTCCATTCCATGCCATTCTAACCAAGTCAGCGTCACCGTTCCTCAATGCCTCAAGGATCAGCGTACCTTGCGACACAGTCGCCTCACCCTCAATCAACTCATAAACAGTAAGAACAACATTCTTCTGCCCCGTATTCTCAACCTGCCACTCCGTCAGCCCCTCTGAACCTTACTAAGAGACCATCCCCGGCAATGAACATGAATATACACACCCATTCCGCAATAGCACCCGCCCACTCCTCAGGCCTCCTCCACCAAATCCAGGCAGCCCCTTTATTCCCCCCATCAATCCACTCCGCCCTCCTCCCGCCGCCCCCCTCCTCATCCCCTTTACTCATCCAATCCAGCACAATCCGCGCATCACTTAGATGCAGCTGTTTTCGGAGCTCGGCGTTCCGAAAAAGCGGCGACTCGACCGCCTCGACGAGAGTGAGTTTGTAGATCCGGTGGTGCCGGCACCAGGATTGAATCAGATTCGACCATCTTTTGAGTTGCGTGGCGTGCGTGTTGCTATTCGGTTGAAGACTGAAAAAGGGTGGGAATTTGTATCGAAGGGGGAAGGTGAAAGGAGCTATCGTCGTCGCTGACGTGTCCGAACTGCTGTTCATCTTGAAAGATACTTTGAAGATATAGGAGGAGGAATAGAATGAAAGGGGAGGTCGAGTCTGAGGGTCGATTGCGATGCGATTGCGGGGAAGTCTGCCTCCGCTCCGCCTGACGTCGACTTAAGACTTTCCGCCATAAAAAAAATTCCCGCTCCGACAGCACTCCTCCCTAGTCCACGCCCACTCGTCATTTATCACACTTGAGGCCCAAACCCGTGTTTAAGCTTCACCATGGGCGCCCCCGCAAAACGTCAAAAGCGCGAAGAATTCCGCAAGAAGGTCGCTGCTGCCACCACCGAACCTGCAGGCGATGGATCAGCTTCCCCCGCGGGCTCGGTGCTTAACCTCCCGCAAAAGAAGTACTATCGGCAGCGCGCTCACGCGAATCCCTTCTCGGATCATTTGCTCGAATAGTATAGCTGCTCTTTTCTCTTATCCCTTCTCTTCCTCTGCTCCTTCGCGATGCAATTGTGCTAACCATTTTTTGTGTGGTATAGCCCCCTCACCCCAGCACATATGGACTGGAGCACGCATTTCCCAGCCTACCTAAACCCGGACGCCACACAGACGAACGCCACCGGTGCCCGGAGACTATTGAAAGATGTGGAGGTCGTCGATATTGGCTGTGGATTCGGTGGGTTGCTAGTTGGGCTTGCGCCGGTTCTTCCTGATACGCTTATGGTTGGTGAGTTATGCCGTCTTCCTAAACTGAATATTCGAAAAGGGCTGGGATGTAATACTAACAAACCGCCAAATAGGCATGGAAATCCGCTCCAAAGTAGCCGAATACCTAACAAACCGCATCCACGCCCTCCGCTACCAACAGCTGCACTTACTCCAGCAAACACAGACCTCAGCCTCCTCATCAACACCAATACCAGCCCCAGCCCCAGTCCAACAACCCGCTACCGAAACCACTGATAATGAATCTCCCGAAACCACCTTCCCGACAACTCTAATCCCCGGCGGCTACAACAACATCACCGCCCTCCGCGCAAACACAATGAAATTCTTCCCGAACTTCTTCGCGCGCTCTCAGCTCTCCAAAATCTTTATTTGCTTCCCGGATCCGCACTTCAAGGCGCGCAAGCACAAGGCGCGGATTGTATCGGAGACGTTGAATGCCGAGTACGCGTATGCGCTGAGGCCGGGCGGGTTGTTGTACACGATTACGGATGTAGAAGAGTATCATTTCTGGATTCTGAGGCATTTTGGACAGCAACAAGGCCCCGAACGAAATGCGGAGGATGAGAATGCCGATGGGCCAGAGGAAGGGGGTGTGAAGGAGTTGTTCGAGCGGTTAACGCAGGAAGAGTTGGATCGGGATGAGTGTGTTAGGGTTATGATGGATTCGACTGAGGAAGGAAAGAAGGTGTCGAGGAATAAGGGTAATAAGTATGTGGCTGTTTTCCGGCGGAAAAATGATCCCGCTTGGCCCCTTTGATATACTAGGCCTATGGAATTTTATACAGGATATAAGCGCTTGTCGTTTTTGAAAGATTGCTCATATCAAACTCTCTAACTAGCTCCTTACACCGTAACATTCTGATTCGAAGAACCTGAGAGAAGCCACCAAATTCATTAAATCATGATATTCGCTGGCAATGCAAAAAGAAAAGAAAAAAGGCGTGACTGCGTAAATGTGAAATTATCCATCATGAAATCAAGACAACAGCGCATGGCCAGTCTGTATAGGCATTTTCAGAGTGCGGCTGGGTGTTAGTCACAAACAATGTCATTGCATGGCCATGACCAGATTTTGAGATTAGGTGCGAGGGGAGGACTTCAGTCTAATGCCTTCGCATCTTTCACACACAGCAAGTTGAACCGGTCCTCCGATAATGCGACCCCTTGCAGTCCGCCTGGGCTCACCCTCGCGGACAAAGTAACGGCCCTCAGGGCCGAATCCATCGCCGCATTCATGACAGACGAAACAGCTATCGTGCCATTTGCCGCCAACTGCACTAATGACAACGTCATCGAGAACAAGCTTCTTGCAGCCGGAGCACGAAGGAGCAGTTCGGCGCGAGTGGCAATTTAGACACCATGCAAAGCCGTCTTTCTCCACAAACGGAGTGTCAGAGTTGAAAGGCTGGATAGAACGTTAGTCATGGACAAATTGAATAGATGATAGAGAAAACATACATCACCACATTCGGCGCAGAAGAAGTGGCCGACATGCCATTCAGCTCCGCATGCGACAACCACTTCTCCTTCGATAGGCGTCTTGCAGCTTTTGCATCTCGGACTAAATAACTCGTGAAAGTCAAGGTGACAGTAGAACCTTGGTGCATGATCCTCTTCACTTGATGAAGGATCTGCCAATCGCTCATTTCGCTTTACTTCAGGCTCCTGATAGAAGGCAACACATTCGAGCGGAGTTTGACAGTGGTGGCAGGTAAAGCACTCAGTATGGAAGCGTGTTCCGGCGGCTGTAACAACTTTGCCGGCAATCGGGAGCGAGCAGGATTCGCATGTTGCAGTTGGCACACCAGCTCGGGAGTAGGTAGACATCCAGCGATCTTGTGATGGCATGAACCTCCTAAATCCTGAGCTGGACCTTCGGCGTTCCTTCACGTTCGCCGGCGGTTTCGAAGCTGGTTTAGTTTTTTGAGGTGAGGGCACCATTTCCGCTATAGTAGGCTCCTTCTCGTCCGGGAGGTTGATAACTGGTACAGAAGGTGGCTCCGAAACTTCAATGGCGGGTGGTCCAGGGGCGGATTGGATCACTTGAATCTCTGGCAGCTCCTTGACTGTAGGTCTCTGGGCCTCTGTAGGTTTCCAAGTTGGATCAAAGCTCACTATGGGTCGCCCAGTACGATCACTGACAGCTGTGGGCATTGGTAGCTTTGAGCTGCGATCCGACCTCTTCTTGCTCGTCGCTGCTCTAATGTCGTCGCTCCTGATTTCAAGCCCATCCTTGGTCCGAACTGGTTCGCCTTTGTCTTGCGGTGACTCAGGCACAAGAGGCGAGGGTAGTGCATTTGTCTTATATTCAGGGTTCCTTGATTGCGTAGGCGGGTTTTTATGGATTTCAAAGCGAGACAGTTTGTCGACGAATGGAATGCTGCCGAACCGACTCGGCAAAGGTCGGGATCCTTGAGGTATCGCATTGCGCGGCTTCGATCGAAGTGCTGATGAATCTGACCTTGAGAACATAGAGCGTTCATCATCACCATTCTTATCGACATTGCGGGGCTCTTCGTAGATTTGGTCCTTGGGATTCCTGAAGATGCCTTTATACTGGTCACTGTTCACAGTCCCGAGGCCCAAACCGTAATCACCTTCCGCTTGTTCCGATTCCCGCGGCAGCGAAAAATTGACCTTGAGGTTTTTCTTCGGTATTCCACTTCTTCTAAGAGCAGGGCTTTCATCTCCTACGCTAGTATGCTCCGCCACCGGTCCATCCTTCGCGGATTGACCTCTGAATGACAGGCGGTGACTATTTCGCCATGAGCTTCGTGATTCACTGCGTCCTTCTGGTGACCCGTTCTGTTCTCCAAGAGTCTTCTGCAGCTTCTCCATATCAGGATTGCGGTAAGGCGCATAAGGGTTCTTGAAGGGTACCCCAGGGTTCTGATGCATCCAAACAAGTTCTGTAGCTTCATCTTGCGCATCGGTATGAATTCGAATCTCGTCTTGAATATCCATCTCCTGCAATGCGTCGCGCAGTGACGCCGCCTCCTGTTTTTCTATGCGGCGCTGAGGGCTCTCACGGTAGGCTTGGGAGCTCGAAGGGATTCGAGAGAAGGCTCGGGTTGGAGATACAGTCTTTCTGATGGGAACATATTTCGGCTCTTGGACTACAGGCCGTCCGGCTGAGCTTCCATAAGAGCTTCCGAAAGAGCTCCGAAAGGAGACTGGACGGTGATTTGAGAGAGAACTAGTAGCACGAGGACGGTCGACTTCGGGTGCTGGTGCGACCGAAGTTGCTCCACCATGCCCATACATTGACATTGCAGATGTTGCTCGGGGTGGAAGATCGTCACGAGGTTTGGAGGGCGAGTCTGTTCTACCAGGCAGAGGTCGTGAGCCGCCGGGTCGTGTCGGTCGGTTGGTTCGCAAATCTCTTAGATAGCTCGCTGCAATGACCATATATTAATATGAGGCCAGCAAAAAAAGAGGTCGAATTAAAGCCAAGGGGTTACACGGTGAATAAAGTCAAAAGCTCTGGGGAATGCCAAGACTCGGCCAGCAATGCGGACTCACCGATTTGATCGTTCGACATGTATGAGGGGCCGGGCGGAGTGACCTTCCGCTGAGGATCTCTGCTCTTGTTTTGAGGGAGAGGTGATCGGTGGAGCATTTTGGCGGGCGATCAGTCTCCTTATATATCATATCATCTGGTGGGTAGGCGTGAAACGAGAATTGTATCGGTGGACGTGTCTGTTGTGTGGCAGTATGATGTCGGCGATGAGAAACGCGCAGGGGCCAATGAGCTGAGAGCGGGTGGCTGGGAAGGAAGAGAATGGAAGGAATTGTGGATAGAGAGGTGAATGAGCGTGGGTCAGTTCCAGTCGGTGAGAGATAAAATCTATAGAGGGGAGGAAATGAGAGGAAGCAAGATATCAATGGAGGATAATATGACTGAGACCTGGGATGTGATGTTTATCTCGTTGACGATTGGGGTCACCTCGGCGATCGGGTCGGAGGAGCTATGACCGACTTGGCAGGCACGAGCGGACCGCTGACTCATCGTATCTGCCTGCAGCAAAGTAATTTCAGCTGAAGTTAAAAAGTAAACTTGAACCCTAACCAACTCATGGTTCGAATGGGCTTGTTTTTCAGCTTCCAAATTGGCGTGTCTGCTGGCCAGCCAGGTGGCAATAATGATAGTTTCGATCGTTATCGTGCCCGGCTTTGATGAAGGCTTGAGCCTGGCGGCGATTCCCTTGATGTGCATGAACTCCACTGAGTGGGTCATCCTTCGATAGTCTGGTATCGAGTCGGGAGTCTATACGTTTGTTTACTGTATGTCCGACCAGGAACAGCTCAAGACAGAGTTCGAAGGCAGTATCAAAGTCTCTTGCCGACCCTAGACTAGGTCGTCTGTTCATTCGGATAGACGAATTATGAAGTCGTACCAAATATGAGTCACATGTGCGGGGCTTGTTGACTGCGATAGCAAAGAAAGGCTCATTGCTGGGCTATTTAACTAATCCAGGCCTCGACTGTCGAGTAGAAAGTGCAAGAAGCTTCAGAGTAATAATTGGCCTTAAGATGTCGTCTCCGGTTGTGTTCCAGTTGTGTGTCGCGTCAGCTTTCGACGGCCTCGCGAAACACGAAAGACTTTATGCGCATTGGATGGCTAAGTACGTTGGTATATGATATCTAATGCAAGATTATGTCTCTAATTTTTGGTTGTGCTTGTTAGGGCTGCATGGAGAGGCACCAGGATCATCCTCCGACAAGTGTCTCCCGAGGCCAATGGAGTCTTCGATCTCATTATTTCATTGTATCGTTCTTGCCAGGGCGACTGGGAACAGCTAGCAACAGATGCCGATGTTGGTTTGGAGGAGCTTCATAAGTTTCTCAATTATGCTGCGTTATTCTTGTCTAATATTGGCAACTACTTTGTGAGTGCATTGTCCACACTCCGTGATTTTTGTACAGACACTAATTGTTCCTCTAGGGCTCCGGGGACCAAAAGTTCGTACCGGAAATTTCGAAGGAAGCACTCATCAGACTAGCTTCAAGCAATTCTCAGACAAAGGAGCTGCTCAATCATATCCTGAAAGATATGTATCAACAGCCTCCAGCCAGTCTCGGACCCCCTGGTCCGTTCACGCAGACCGCATATTATTTCGGAGACAACTGCCTAGAATCTCCCGAGGTCCTCTCTTCTATATCTAAGCTGATGGAAGATCTGTCTATCCATCCGGAGAACACTCGGTTACAAAGATACAAAGAATCCGGAACCGACTGCTACGACATCTTGCAAGCGTCCGTCGATGAGAGTACCGAGGTACTCAACAGTACCACCTATCGATCGTTGGAAGACAAACACATCCGCCTAGTACGAGGTGACCACAGGGAGGAGCTTGAGCAGGTATGCAGGTGCTTACGACGAGCCAGCAGGTATACATCAAATCCCGCACAGCAGCAGGTTTTGCACCAGACTATGGATAGCTTTCTACTTGGAGACCTAGAGCTCTACAGGGAGGCGCAGAAGACATGGATTACTGATAAGGCTCCAACAGTGGAGACAGTTCTCGGTTTTGTTGAGCCTTATCGAGACCCATTGGGTGTACGCGCAGAATTTGAAGGAATAGTCGGAATACCTGAGCCTTCTGAGACTGAGCTGTTAAACAAGCTTGCAAACGTAGCGGATATCTTTGTCGCTAAGCTCCCATGGGTTAATGAGGGCACTGGCAGCATTAGAAAAGGACCCTTTGAGAAGGATATATTTGATCCACCTGACTTCTCGAGTGTTCAGAGTGAGTCAAACTATTCTATTTTACTATACGGGGACGTATTGACTTTGTTATATTAAGGTCTAGCATATTGCTCGAGCAATATATTCCCAGGAATTAACCTACCAAATGTAAGTGCCAAAACCACCACACTCGACCACAAGCTAAAGCTCCTAGTACAACGACATACGGCAAGACATAGGCTACAAAAACATCATCTTTTCGAACCGCATGTTAGCCGAAAGAATTCGCGCTAGGGGTCTACAGTTGGTAGCTGAAAACGAGCAAGAACGATATCAGAACCACCGGTTTCACTCCTACTATATCTGGGTTGTGCTTCATGAGATACTGGGCCATGGTACTGGAAGGTTCCTCGTGGAAGTTTTCAAGGATAATTATAACTTTGACCCGATGAATCCGCCTCTGAGCCCTCTTACCGGGAATCCAGTTGACTCCTGGTATCGCGCTGGGCAAACTTGGACGGGAGTTTTCGGCGACCTGGCAACGACAGTGGATGAATGCAGAGCCGAGTTAGTGGGTGCTTATCTGATTGACGAGCCGGATATACTTGCTGTCTTTGGTTATACGGAGGACAGCGTGGTCAAGCCCAAAGATCGTATGTATGCTCAATCTCGGTGACTATTCATATGTACTGACGCGATATTATAGTGATTTATAACATGTACTTGCAGCTAGGGGTGGACGGGCTTCGGGGATTAGCAAACTATGATCCCTCTACAAGGGTAACATTGTCCTACCCAACATCATCCGATCAACAATAGTGTACTAACTTCTTCACTCTAGAAATGGGGGCAAGCACATAGTCGAGTAAGTGCTTTACTAGTCTCAGCATGTTGTGGGATGAAAATATACTTATAGTTCTCAGGCTCACTACGCTATATTCCGCCATCTTCTCCGTGACAGTGACGGCCTGTACACAGTACATTTTGATCCCCATACCCATAGATTGACAGTGCAGGTCGACCGGATGAATATCCTTCGAAAGGGCAAACCATCCCTCGGCCGAATGCTCTTAATGCTGCATGTGTACCGTTGCACCGCTGATGTCTCCAGGTGCCGGGCATTCTACGAGGAACTTTCGCAAGTTGACGAAGAGGCCTTGCAGTGGAGGGACGTTGTAGTCTACCACAAAGATCCTCCGTTAGCATTCTGCCACGCAAATACCTTTCTTTCTGGGGATGAGGTTCAATTGAAAGAGTATGAACCGACGACCAGGGGAGTTGTTCAGAGTTGGGCGGAAAGAGAACTGGTATAGCGATAGCATATACCTCTCTACTTGAACCTCCACTAAACCTCCGAATGGCCCTTAACTCATAAATAAAGGCATTTATATGTCTTGGAGTTCTACTTCAAGACCTGGCCTTGCTTATCAAACCACTTTACCAGTCAACGACCATTCTCATTGTTGCTGGTATTTGCTACCATGCTAGCTTGACTCCAATGTCATAGGAATCTAGTTAAGCCAAGCGAGAACTTTCCCCAACTTGGGGATACCAAGCTAGGCGCTACCAACCAATGACCTTGCCGTATTGTAACATCTCCAACTCGCCTGTTTCCATGGATTCGTGGAGACTCCCGCGTCGGCCTGCTCCACACGGCCTCAAGTCCCTCAACCGGCTAATGTGCCGGCTAGTGCTCTTAGAGACTCGAGAGGAGGAGTCGGACTAAGAGCCGAGATGGCTTGGGGTTTAGCCTTGTGAGATTAGTTTCTATATTTTTTTCGAGCAATCCATGACACATCTTCGTTCTTCTCCCCGGATTTCTCCTCAGCTTATTCCCCTCAAGCGTTTTCGCCACCAAAATTTTCAGTTCTACATCAATAAGTCCTGGAGACTTGTCGATGATTCATCCACAGATAGAAGCATACTGGACAATAGAGAATATCCGATATCTTGAGCAACCTCGACAACTTTTTATGCATGCCCGAACTGGAAGTCAACACAAGCTCCCAGTCCTTGACTACGCCCTCCACTCCTTTGGCCATCGCAGATGGCAGATAATACGCCAATAGATATAATCCATTCCCGAGAACATGACGGTGACCTAGCGCCGCAGAAATCGAAGGAGGGGCACCTTGGCAGCGCTGAGCGCAATCCAGCTGCTGCTGTCCAGCAAGAGAAACCTGGAGATGATGTTCCCCCAGATGGTGGATACGGCTGGGTCTGCGTGGCGAGTGTCTTCTGGATTAATGCCCATACATGGGGGATCAATAGTGTCAGTATTTCATCTGTCGAATTCCAACAGTTGCTTGAGGCGCTGACCGATTCTAAAGAGTTATGGAGTCTTCCTTGCCCATTATCTCACCAACGACGTCTTTCCCAACACGTCGCCACTCATGTATGCCTTCACCGGCGGCTTGAGTATATCTTGTGCTCTTCTTATCGCGCCGTTGGCGACCTATCTCATCCACCTGTTTGGTACTCGGGCAGTCTTGAACCTTGGCGTGTTCTTCGAGACACTCAGTCTCATCGGATCCTCATTCGTTACGCAAAGATGGCAGATCTTCCTCAGCCAGGGCGTATGCTTTGGAATCGGTATGGGCTTCCTCTTCGTCGGTAGCGTCGGTATCACCCCGCAATGGTTCTCCCGTCGACGAGGCCTCGCCATGGGCATCAACGCCGCCGGGTCCGGCCTAGGCGGAATGATGTACTCGCTCGCAGTAGGGGCTATCATTCCTCGGCTCGGACTGAGCTGGGCGTTCCGAATCCTAGGAATCCTCGCCTGCGTCGTGAACCTCGTATGCGCAAACCTGCTACGAGACCGCAACAAAGCCGTCGGAAGCCGCTACAGAGCCTTTCACCTACCATTACTCAAACGACCCGAATTCCTCCTCTTCCTCGGCTGGGGCGTCTTCACCATGCTCGGTTACGTCGCTATCCTTTTTAGTATCGCCAACTTCGCCACCTCAGTCGGCCTCTCCGCGCACCAGAGCAGTATCATCAGCGCCTTGCTCAATCTGGGCCAGGGCCTTGGCCGCCCCTTCGTGGGAATGTTCAGCGATAAACTCGGCCGGATCAACATCGCGACTTTCCTCTCCTTCCTCTGCGGGGTCTTCTGTCTGCTAATCTGGACATTCGCCCGGAGCATGGGTCTCGTCTCCTTCTTCGCTGTCCTCGTCGGCACAGTAGCAGGCACATATTGGGCAACCGTCGCCCCAGTCCTCGCTGAGATCATCGACCTAAAGGACCTCCCCGGCGGCCTGAGCATAACCTGGCTCGTCCTCGTCCCACCGACAACAGTCGCGGAGCCCATTGCGTTACTACTAAGGAATAACAAGGCCGAAGACCACGTTTATCTGCATGTTCAGATCTTTACAGGGCTGATGTATATTGCGGCTGCGGCGTGTTTGTGGCTTGTGCGCGGTTGGAAGGTAGGCGAGAATACTCGGGTCAAGGAGATGGCTGCGGCGGCAACTACGGGGAGCAATGAAAAAGGCACGGGTGTGGTTCAGAAGTGTGGCGAGGCTGGTATTGGCGAGGCTGGTGTACATTGTTCGGCAGTGCCTTCGAAGAAGGCACTTTGGTATCCTCATACTCTTGTTCGTAGTATGGTGGCTGCTAGAAAGGTCTAATCCTGAAATATACATAATATACCCATTGGATAGAACCGTCTATAAGATGAAATCTCATGAGTCAATATCATGCTCAAGTACGTAATATCCCTCAAGCGTAGATTGACTATACATATTTTGTTTTTGTAGTCATCATCCCCAACGCCGTATCATAAACATACCCAAGTATCTTCTATTTAAAACCCCGTCTTTATTTCCCGTTGAGAATCAAAATCCTCACTCTCCTCTTTCCAACCCCACGCCCGCTCTCCTCCTTCACAGAGCTAACATTGACCCTAACCCTCTGGAAGAGCTCCACTCCCATCGCGCGATCGCTCGACTCGTGTCCCTTCTCCGTAACCTTGAGGGTATACTCCTCGGCATCAAAGTCACTCTCACGCCGGGTCACAAGCTCCCGCCTCTCTTCCACAGAGCGATTTGTCGAGTCACCGGGAAGCACGAAATCTTCCAACCGGACGACTCCTTCGATTCCGAAACGTGGAACAAAGACCACAACCCCGTTTTCGAAGACACGCATGACGTAGCCGTCTTCTTCAATACCCGAGTCAACGCCATCGGCGGCGAGCTTTTCGCCGCGCGCCTTGAGCGCCTGCCCGACGTAGTACTCGATGCTGGCGCGGCCGGCGTGCTGCGCGTTGCGGTGGCGGTAGTTGATGTTTCGGCAGATATCCTCGAGGCGGTTGCGGGTGATGGAGCCCTCGATTGTGGCGCGGCCGTCTTCACCCTCATAGTTGATTGCAGCAGAGAGTTGCCGGTGGACGAGTAGGTCTGCGTAGCGGCGGATGGGCGAGGTGAAGTGCGTGTAGATGGGAGAGGCGAGACCGTAATGGCGGAATTCGGACTCGGCGTGGGCACCGGCGCAGAAGTACTCGGCAGAGGTCATGCAGCGAGTAGCGAGGATGCGGACGAGAGTGTTGAAGAATGGATTTTCGGCGTCTGTGCAGCGGTCGAGGGAGTCGGCGAGGGCGCCAGAGCTGGAGACATCGAGACGCATGTTACGCTTCTTGGTGAGCTGGTTGATGAGTTCTTCAAAATTTTGAGGTGGAGGTGTAGCGTGACGGCGAAGCATAGCGGTTTGAGGGAAGGTGCTGTAGATTTTGGCGGCGACGGTGATGTTGGCGTGAAGCATGAACTCTTCGACAAGACTGTTTGTTGCGAGCATTGCCTTAGTCTTTACGTCTGCTAGCGGGTCGCCAACTTCGTCGTTGTCCGCTTCAATTCGGACTTCGGGAGAAGCGAGGTTGAGTGCGCCGGCGTCCATACGCTTTTGGCGGAGAATTTTTGAGAGATGGAGAAGGGTGCGCATGCTTTGAGTCAGGTCGTCCGTCTTTGACGGGTCGTCAATGCGTAGTTGAGCCTGTTCGTAGCTAAAAGCCTCACGGGATCTAATTACAGACTTTGTAAAGTCCGAAGACACGACTTCCGCATAGGGCGTCATTTCCCAAAGGACTGAAAACGCGTAACGTTCAACATAGGGTTGGAGTGAGCAGAGATCCGTACCGAGAAGATGGGGAAGCATGTCGATACGCTTGTCGACTAGATAGACTGTTGTTCCGCGGACACTGGCCTCAAGATCCATTGCGTTGTTCGGTTTGACGAAATGGGAGACATCTGCGATGTGCACACCGACTTCGAAGTTACCATTCGGCAGCTGACGTGCGTGCAGAGCGTCATCGATATCCTGACATCCTGGAGGATCAATACTGCAAATTAGAAGATCTCGAAGATCCCGGCGTCCATTCCACCCTTTATCATCCTTGCTTTCTGGTACTCGCCAGTCATGACCTTCTGACGGAAGGCAGTCCAGTACAGACTTGGGGAAGGGTTTGTATTGCACATCCCATTCAAGTAGCAACGCTTCTGTTTCGGCTCCTTTTGTTTCCAGCTCTCCAAGTGAGCGAATGAAGTGTCCAGTGGGATATCGAGAGTCGCGGTTCCAAGCATCAATCGTTACTAGAATCCTCTGGCCTAATAGATCCGCGGCTTGTCGCGTCCGGACCCTGATCTTGGGCACCTTCTTGTCCATTGGAAGAACGAAGACATTCTGTTGGCGCCTGCCGGTAGTCTGGGAACTGGTAGAGCTTGAATCAACGGTTCCAACATATTGCCGCCAGTTTCGCTTGACGACACCAACAACTTTAGCTGTCGGCTGCGGCCGCCCCTCCAAGTTCTTGCCGTGGGCTTGTCTCACCTCCTCTTGGAGCGCCCTTTGTTCTCTCTCGGTCACAACTGCTTCATTATCTCCAGCCTCAGGGTTATCATTCTTGGTAACGATTTCCTCTTCCACAATCTTAGTTGATGGCGACTTCCACTGGTCCTTAGGCAGTACTTCAATGACGACCACATCTCCAGAGATAGCTCGATTACTGTTATGCCGGCCCATGATAATAAGAGGTTTATCGAATGCTGCGACTTTGATAGAACCCTCCAGGTAGTTGTATGGCGAGACATTGAACACGCCTTGGTGTAGGTTCCCGGCTCTCAAGCCCGTCATCATCTTCGACATCGAGTAGTATTCCGGATAGAACAGCTCGCCGCTGGTTTCCTTTGCGTGTCTCGCTTCTCTGGATTCGTTGATCATATCGAGCAGTTTGTCTGCATCCTCCAACCCGCTGACATAATTTTCCAATGACAACGCCGTCACATTCTCCTCCTTTGCTTTGCGCAGGTTCTCCTTATCGTCTGTAATGACCACAATTGCCGGAACAGCCTTCTCCTTCTTGCTCTTTGTCACTGCGCGCAAATGCTCCGAGTACCATTTTGCTACGGTTCTCACGGCGCGGTCATTCCTATCGTTAATCGACTCATCCGGACCTCGCTTTACGTGCGTCTCAAGACGGAACTCATTGAAGAAAAGGTAAAAACGTTTCTCGTCGGTTTTGATCAGGGCGAGGAGGCGGTTGTAGAGGGGTAGCGATTGGTTCTTCAGCTCTTCAAGGACGGTTTGGAGAATAATGACGTCGTAGAATGCCCCGGTATGCTCAAACAGATCCATGCCATTCAGAAGCGCATTCGTGTCAGGGACAATATAGTGGCCGCGGGGGAAAGCGGTTGTCCCTGCGGGCTGCTCCGATAGAACGAAAGGCGCAACTGCAGAGGTTTGTTAGAACAAGACTTCCGAAGCGGGCAGTGGGAACATTTTCTTACTGTTTCCATTTGCATCTTCCGGGGCGACCGTTGGGCATATCGTGCATAGTCTCGACGAGCAAGGAATGTCTTGCCGCAGGTAAAGCTCGCGTACAATTTTCTGGACTTTGCCGCTCTTCGTTGATCGAACGAAGACTTTGCTGGTTACATTTGCGGTATGCGGATCTGAGAAAAAATCACGCCTGAGGCTCTTCATATTGCTCCAATACCGACCCGTGTACTCCGGGCCTAAAGTATCGTCAGAATAATGAGCTGGAATGTAGTAGCTGTGAGAGTTGGTGGTGGAGTCGGCGGAGGTTTGATCAGAATTCCGCAGTCGAAAGACGCTGTTCCGAATCAGGCAAAGTCACTGATCGCGCTGGGGGGCACCCCTCGAAGACGTAATTGTATGCCCCTCATAGATCTCAAAAACTTGCGATTTTCAGGAAATAAGTCAGTGATATCAGAACAGCTATGGTCATCGCAGTAAGCTCAGCCGTGTTTGCTTTTCTCGTGTTATAATGAACGAGCAAGTCAAATGACTTTTGCTAGGCCGTGGGGCAGTTATGCTCGACAAGTTCAATCTCTCACAACTTGACCCAATGTCGGATACTGGTAAAAAAGGCAGCTGATGCTGGGGCAAAAGTACTACTGTCGACCCCTTGTTCTACAGGAAAACAACATTTCTGACCACACCCATGCCCAGGCATTGTTCCTCCCAGAGGCAGCGGACTATATCGGGTCATCTCCGGCAGAAACGATAGCGCTTGCTCGCTCAGTACAGGACAGTGAATTCGTTCTAGGCCTCCAGAGCGAAGCCCGAGAAGCGAAGGTGCACATCAATGTCGGCATCCATGAGCCAGCTTTGAATGGCAAAGTCAAGAATACTCTTATCTGGATTGATGACAAGGGTGACATCACCCAACGCTACCAGAAGATTCACCTCTTTGATGTTGACATCAAAGGGGGGCCAGTCTTGAAGGAGAGCGCGTAGGTTGTCTTTTCTGCAGACTTCATAAGTTGCATTTTAATATTTCCATGCATAGGAGCGTTGAAAAAGGGATGGAGATACACCCCCCTTTCGACACAGTGCTGGGACGTGTTGGTCTATCTATATGCTTTGATGTGAGTCAGTCGCCTACCTACCTGATAGAGCCGTAAAGTTGCTAAAGATATCACCATAGCTACGCTTCCCGGAGATTAGTTTGGCACTGAAACGCCAGAACGCTCAAATTATCACTTATCCGTCCGCGTTCACAGTCCCCACAGGTAAAGCGCATTGGGAAACACTTCTACGCGCCAGAGCAATCGAGACGCAATCATATGTGATAGCCGCCGCTCAGGCAGGCCCGCATAATGAGAAACGACGAAGCTATGGCCATTCCATCATTATCAACCCATGGGGAGAGGTTCTGGCCAAGCTTGGTGATGAATATGAAGAGCCACAAATCGCGACTGCGGACATTGATCTAGATCTCCTGGCTAAAGTCAGGAGGGAGATGCCTTTGCTTAGAAGAACCGATATATATCCAGAGATATAGGAGCAGCTCGCGATGGAACATAAAGCATCAAGCATTGACCAGGTTTGAATTAGACAAGCATCCCTGACATTAGGAACCTGCCCTACAGTTCTTGCTTATTCCAAGATGACACAGAGTCCCCCAAAGATGGATGTCTATAAGTATATGTCTTTTCTCTTCCCATTTCATCGCTCTGTAAAGCAAAGTGTGAGAAATAATGATTCATGATACAATATGTTAGGATGCGCGCAGTCAACAAGAGGAAAGGAAAAAGAAGGACGCAAGACAACCAACACCATCTAAATCCGGAAAAATGCGCCCTCACCGGGATAGGTGCGACCACTCGACCGAGATTGTGTTTTCTGATCACTCTATGTACAAGGTACAGCGGAAATCGAGCGGTAAGACATTTCACTTGCGCTGAGGATCCTCGAGGATACCTTCGGCTTCCAGCCTCCGTCGGGCCTCTTCCAGAGCCCATGTTTGTATCCTATGAAGTATGTCAGTCAGGTGGTTCCGCAACTTCTAAAAAGCCCATCAAAGTATGAATCAAAGCTTGAAGAATGCTAGGAGGGCGCACGTACGAGGTGTCTGGCTTGAAGACATATGCAACTCCAGCAACGAGCAGACTGCCAATAAATCCGTAGTACCAAATGTTCTCCCAGCCTTCCTTCACGTACTTCTGGCCCGGCTTAACACCGAAGAGGTACCCAGTCGGAGGATCGTAGTGGTCGCCATGGTCGGCGGCGCGGACATTGCTTCGCGTGGAGAAGCCCTGGATGTTCTGGGGGCTGCTTCGAATGCAGCGAGCGCGGAGGCAATGTGACAGCGGCCGAACAGACATAATGAAATATGAGTCCTGCTTCGAGGTTGATAACTGACCGAGACAGGCGGTGGCGGTTAAAGACCCCTGTCAAACAGAGTGCGGCGAGTTCGCGGAGAACGACGGGCAGGGAGAGATGCCTTTTTTTTTTTTTGACAAAACGTGAGAGGAGAGGTGCCAATTGAGAATTTCCCGATATAGGCTGGGTCGTTCGTGTCGGGAATGGGGACTGGGTCGAGGGTAGAGGGGTGACGAGATGTGCCGGTGCACGATGTTGAGAAGCCGCAAAAGGCCGATGGAGCCAAGGAACTAGTCCAGATCGGGGCTACTCGAGATGCCGCCTTTCTGCCATACGGCTCAGGCCAGAAAGCCTTACTGCCTGAGGCTGACTAGAATTGAAACGCGTCGACGCGTCCGAAATTAGGAATCACCGCGCCAACCAGGGTGGCCTGTGTTGACTCTACCGTACCCTTTCCCTCTCTGATTTGATAGGAAATCGTTTTATCTACCTAGCAAACAAACTGGTACGCTGCCCTTCCCATCACTCACTTCATTCTTTTGCAGATCGGTCTTTACTCACTGCTCACCAAGACCTCTGCGCCATGCCCTGCTGCTCTCTGTTTGCGGGGAAACAACATCACTATGCACCCCATGTATAGACAACCGCATCCAATTCCGGCCTCCACAGCGTCGCGCTCGAAGCTGAACGCTTTCCTATATAAGAACAAAAATGACGAAAATGGGACTGAAGTATCACTCACGAAGGCTGATCCGTCGAAAGCCCTTGCAGACAAAGAGAATCAGGCCTCTTGGTTGAATGGTGTGGTAGAACAAACCGAACCGGAGTCGGTTCCTGAGCAACGCCTACAGGACGTATTAGAGTCGAAACCTGCCAAAGAATGCCCTCAGACTCCTGGCAATAGGCTGCCTCTAGCAGATCTTATCGGTAATGCAGAAGATGCTTTCAGTCGGGCTCCTGTGAGACAGGAATTTACGCCGGAAGACTATGTTATTTGGCAGCATGCTCCACCAAGTTCGAATCCGAGTACACAGACGCCCGCAACGCAGAGCAAGAAGCGTTGCCATAGCTCCTCCCCGAGCAGCTCTCCTTTAGCTAGTTCCAAAGGAGCGCAGAAGGGAACCTTTGACCTCCAGTCTTTCCAGGCCGTGCTCAAAACTCCACAGAACGACCTCGCGGCAGATTTATGGAACAATTACGTTGCCAAAACCACCACCAATGTTACGGACCTTCAGCAACCACGCTTTGCGAATCTGCTGTCATCCTCCCCGCACACACCTAGATCAGCTAGATCAGGCCCAGATTCTTCGGGACTGCGGAGATCAAACAGTTGCAATGCTGAATGGCCCAGTTCGAAGGCGAAGAGGCGGAAGATTGAAGGAGAAAGCCATCCAAAAGGCCGTGCTATCTTTTCGCGGACTCGAAGCAACATTATGGTTCCAAAGGACTTCAAGGCATCCAATTTCAGTTCTCTTGTCAAAGAAATGGAGCGAAGCTTGAAGAAGGTACCTCCTAAACAGCCAGATCCTCCCAAGGTTACCGCGCCCCTAGCACCTACGACCACACGTCAAAGCCGATCAGCGTCACCGTTCGAGACTAAGCCTGCAGCCGAAAGGCCAGACTTGCCAGATGATTTTGTGGGTGGCCCTCGCGCCCCGCCAATTGGAAAGACGCTGCAAGAATCCTCTTCAGATTTTGGTGACGATGACCTGGACGATGATTTTCTTGAGCTGGCAGAAGCTTCCTTGGACCCTTTTGTGGAATCGACACAGCCCAACATGGCGTTACGGAAGCCAGACTCACAACACGGACATGCTTCGCCTTTGGACGGGGGTCGACCTTCTTTCGACAGCATGAATCACGAACTACCCTCGGACACAAATCAACTTATACCCACCAGAAATGATACAGCACTTGACATTGATGAGTTTGACGACGATTTTGAAGGATTTTCAGATAATATTGATGAGATTCTTGCGGGATGTGACGAAACGCCGAGCAGCAAACTCCCCAGAACTATCCAACAGCCGCAGAGACTGGAGCACCCGCTCCCTCACAATAGTAGGGGAGGGCTGCCGGTACGCCAAGAAACATCAGATAATGAAGCCAATGAACAGAATATAACGTCTAGCGATGAATTTGGCGATGACGATTTCGACCTTGACTGCTTTGACCAACCGATACCCCAGACAGGTGAAGATGGCCCAGATAATGTTCGTCATCCTTAGTGAATATATTTAGTTCTTTGCTAAGTATATTATAAATAGAATTCCAGAGGCCGCAAAGCTATCAAGCGGTACTTGATTATTGATATTGCTGAGTCTACATATCCTACCCAGAAAAGACGCCTCCAGCCAGAAAAGGTTCGCTCTACATGCCCTGAAAGTTTATCAGTATACTAACTTCGTAACCAGCTTCTATCGGTACAAGACGAGATCACGAAACGTAAAAAGGTTATCGTGCTTCGGGATTCCTGGTTCGATAGCCCGTGCGAAAAGGACTTCTATATCCACCTAATTGGCGAGTTCGATGCGTCGGGTCACTGCGTGGTCAACGATGCTCAGAATATGATCATAATCCACCCTGATCATCTTATATCTGCAACAGTCATAGCGGACTCAATCAGCTGTCAGCGACGAGCTGTGCTCCAAGACCGCATCAAAAGAAGCTCTGACATTGGAAAGCCGCAGGTCTTTGGAAACATATTTCACGAGCTTTTCCAGGAGGCTATGAAGCTCAACACGTGGGATACGGCTTCCTTGAGAGCACTCATCGAAGACGTCGCAGTTAAGCATGTGGAGGAGCTATACCTGATTTCCATGAGTGTCAACGAAGCCATTGATCATGTGATGGGCAGGATTCCTGGCATACAGCATTGGGCGGATCTATTCCTTCGACAGAAGCCAACAGTAAGTGCAACCGATAGACCTTGTTAACAAGCTTCCGGCTGATGATAAACAGGCGCAATCACTCGTTGAGGACCGAAACAGCTCGAAATTGAAACTAAGTGTCAACAAGCTCCTAGAGGTGGAGGAACACATATGGTCGCCAATGTATGGCTTGAAAGGGAACATCGATGCTACAGTTCAAGTCACCTGTGATCAGGGACAAGGCGAACAAAATCTTGTTGTGCCTCTTGAGCTCAAAACCGGCAACAAAGAGACAAATCAAGCGCATCGAGCCCAGACTGCACTTTATACTTTGCTCCTTTCCGACCGTTATGGTAGGTATGAAATCTGAGCTGCTTTGTCTAGGAGTCTTAACTAATGTGAACGGCTTATCAGATGTGGAAGTGACATTCGGACTCTTATACTATCTCGAGACGTCTAAAATCTTCCGCATACGGGGCATCCGGCACGAATTGCTCCACATGGTGCAGGAGCGTAATCGCGTGGCTGGATTTGTACGTGACAGGACGCAACTACCACCCATGATCAAGAGGCCTTCGATGTGCAAAAATTGCTACTCGAAGACATCTTGTTTCATTTACCACAAGCTCACAGATGACGGTGACGGCGAAACGAGCGGTCTTGGCGATGAGTTTGTGCAAGCAATGGAACATTTGACTCCGGCACATCGTGACTTCTTCAGAAAATGGGACGACCTTCTCACTAAAGAAGAGCAAAGTATGATGAGATTCAAGAGGGAGTTATGGACTTTGCTCAGTAGTGAACGAGAAGCCCTGGGCCGATGCTTTGGCAACATCATTATCGAACCTGGGACAACTAGCGAGGACAGGGATGGAACGAAGATCAATCGATATCGGTATACATTCGTCAAAAAACAGCAATCACCCTCATTCTCGTTCACCGACTCTCAGGTTACTGTTGGAGAACCGATAGTCGTCTCGGATGAGAAAGGGCACTTTGCGCTGGCGAACGGATATGTCGTGCAAGTTAGTCCTCAGCGCATCACTGTCGCCGTGGACCGAAGGCTTCACAATGCACGGACCAGATCAAGCGACTTCGACTCTAAAATGAACCAGTCGTTCAAGGGAATCATGGAAATCACTGATGGCACTCCTTCGACCGCATCGCCCGTGGAGCCAGAAGAAGAGATTCTGTATCGTCTAGACAAAGATGAGTTCAGCAACGGAATGGCCATTGTTCGAAGCAATCTAATAGCTATGATGGAAAAAGATTTGTTTCAAGCTAGACAGCTAAGGAAGCTGGTTGTTGAAGGGCGACCGCCGGCATTCAAAACAACTGTCCCTCTACTGTCAGGTTTGGACGAGGCTGGCTTAAATGTGGACCAGAAGCGGGCAATTAACAAGGTCATGAGTGCGCAAGATTATGCACTAGTACTGGGAATGCCAGGGACGGGGAAGACGACCACCATAGCCCATATCATTCGTGCTCTGGTCGCCCAAGGCAAGAGCGTTCTTTTGACTTCGTATACTCACACCGCTGTCGACAACATCCTATTAAAGATTCGGGATGACAACATGCGCATTCTCCGCATCGGAGCAGCTGCAAAAGTGCACCCGGACGTTCATCAGTTCGCTGATCTTGCCGCCGCTCCGAAGACCACCATCGAGGAGCTGAAATCTGCATATGAAGACTCTCAGGTTGTTGCAACGACCTGCCTTGGAATCGGCCACAATATCTTCAATCAGCGCATTTTTGATTACTGTATCGTCGACGAAGCTTCTCAGATTACCCTTCCAGTATGTTTGGGCCCTATCCGCATGGCGAAGACTTTCATCCTTGTCGGTGACCACTATCAACTTCCGCCATTAGTGCAAAACAAGGAAGCACAAGCAGGCGGCCTCGACGTTAGTCTATTCAAGCTTCTTTCCGATGCCCACCCTTCTTCGGTGGTAAACCTCGAACACCAATACCGAATGTGCGAAGACATCATGCTCCTTTCTAAAACGCTCATCTATTCTGGCCGCTTGAAATGCGGTACCCCCGAGGTCGCAGCACGCTCTTTGAAACTACCTAACATAGGTGGTCTTAAGCAACACCACCTGAGTAATTTTTCTCAAACAAGTCGAAGCCGCCAAGTCTGCTTGGGAACAGGCCAAGGCCGATGCTGGCTTCGCGACTTGGTCGACCCTTCAGCCAAAACCTATCTCGTCAATACAGACACGCTCGCCACACCTGCTCGTGACGTCGCAAACGGCTCACGCATCGTCAACCCTACCGAAGCGAACCTTTGCACCCAGCTCGTCGAAGCGCTCATCTCATGTGGTATTTCCGCTCGCAGCATTGGTGTCATCACATTTTACCGCAGTCAACTCTCTCTTCTCAAGCAGAACCTCCGCCACCGCGTCCCAGACCTGGAGATGCACACGGCCGACAAGTTTCAAGGACGAGACAAGGAGATTATCATTCTAAGCTGCGTCAGAAGCAATGAGGAGAATTACGTCGGCGATTTACTCAGCGATTGGCGACGCGTCAACGTTGCTTTCACAAGAGCACGTACCAAGCTACTTGTCGTGGGCAGCAAGGGCACCCTCCGCAATGGCAACGAGTTGCTAGGCAAATATGTGAAGCTAGTCGAGCAACGAGGCTGGATATACGACCTGCCAAAGAACGCAGTAGAGAACCACATTTTCGACGATATTCCTGTATCAACCTATGACCGCTCGACACCGAGTCCAAAGATGGCCCCGGTTGTCAAGAAAAAGCCCCGCAAGCCATTGAGCCCTGTCCAAGAACGCCTGACGCCGAGCGGGGGACTAAGGAAGCCCGCAAAGAAAGGAATGAAGCTGTTAAGCGGGCAAACAATTCTTGGGAGCAGACCTGTTCTGCAAGATGTGGTTAATGACCTCGTTGGATGAGTGGGCTGTTTCTTGCTTACCGTCATTTGGATGAATGTAGCGTTTCTAGTGCATACCTACAGTTATTCCCAAGGCTTTCTTGGTGTTAGGGATTTTCGGCTTTACGGTTAGGGTTCATTGGATGATATCCGTTGGTGTACCGGAAATTTGTCACATTATTAGGTATATTATTATGAGGATAAATGCATTACTACCTTAGTTAAGTATTCCAGGTATAGCATTTCAAAAGGAAACTGTCTGAGACAGAATGCTCGTCGCTCTCCTCACATAGATGCCCTTTCCTTCAAGGTGCTTAGCGCTGATATATACTGTCGTGGAGTGACCCCTTCTTACTCTGGACCAAGAAACAGTAGGCCTGTCAGTCGACGGTTCTCTTCATTCTTCGCCACTGACACGCGAGGGAATATTTTTCTATAACACCGAAGCACCAACGAACTCCCAACAGATGGAATAACGAGCGTCCTTGGCTCCACCATTCTGGTCTGCCTGATTACTAGTTTCGGCACCCGCATATCTGAGAGGCGGTAATGCCATAATCGAGTACCCATCCTTGCCCTCTATGGCGTCTTTCCCTAGCGCACTGGCTGAAAGGGCGAACCAAGTCTGCGGCCCGACGATCCGAGGGACTGTTTCGCGGCTGGATTGAGTCAGAACGAGTTAGCGTGTTGTGTACACCATTATGCCGGGAGTTCAGGCTAGGTAAAGATGAGGGATTCGTACAAGAATGTGATAAACAACTGCATGATCCATCTTGGTGGGATGAATCCGTGCCATTTCAGTGTAACAAGGTCTGATTCCTTGGTTTGACCTATCTCTGGCGCATCGTAGCGGCACAGATACGGGTCGATATCATCGTCTGCAGACACTCTTTGGGATTCGAGGGACACCAAGGATAGCCACTCGGAGATTTCACCGCATAGGTTTTCCATTTCTTCAGAAGCTTTCTCGCTGACTTGCAATTCTGAGAACGACGGGGTAGAGATATTTTCATGCGTTGTGCGGATTGGCTCGCAGGAGATGATTTCAGGGCTGTTACCCTTGAGAGATAGATCGTCTAATAGCACTAGTTAGTCTTGAAGAGGTCTAACCAAAGCTCAATCAAACTTACCTTCTGATACACCGGCTGATTCAGTGCCTAGGTCAAAGAATAGCCACGCAACGCGCTGAGTTAGGACATTTTTAAATGCCCACTCTATCCTTTGAAAGCCCTTCTTGCCGTGCAGCATGGACGGTAGTCGTAAGTTGAGCTCGACAACTACACAGTCCAATCAGTATGTAGGCTGGTGGGACGCATCTGAAAGAAAGAACATACGGTATCTTTCCTTGGCATGTTTCTTTCCACCAGTGCGGATAGCTTTTCCTTCGAGACCGGTTCTCTCGAAATCTTCCTTCCCAAGCTCCAGTCTCAAGACACCTTATGTATACATCAGCTACGGTACTCTGGAAATTAATGACTGCACAACGGTCTGGGCGACTCACCATCCCTTAGAGTGTAGACGTTATCGAGGCCTGACCGTCCCCCAGATATCATAAGTATGTTTCCTAGAATAATGGTTAGAGAACAATCTCGAGACGGGAAAGATATGTTTGAAAGGTCCGTGGGTCATTTTATACCCGCTTTAATATAGGTGTTGAAAAAGTCTCCTTCGACCACAGAGGACAAAGTCATAGAAAGCCGACCATAGCTGAGCTTCTGCAGTTTCGCGTCTAATGAGCTCTCAATTGTTGCGTAGACGTCTCTTGGCAGTGTTACTTCGACCTATGTTGATTAGCACAGCTGGTTTTTTTCCGCCCTCAGATTAGAAAATAGACATACTGTATGTACAAACGGATGGTTCAAAATCGTTGAAAATGGAGAGCCTTTTGTGGGAGTTTGTTTAGGGTCGATGAAGGTAGGTAACTGGGCTATAGTGGTGTAGCATTTTTCGCGCCCAGATGCGACATCGTCTTCGAGCTCGAACATGGCGTACAATATGTGGTGATAAGTGTCTGTTCAGTACAGCAGTATAAAGAGTTTCGGCGTCAAGAGATTCCAGCGAACTGCAACTGTAGTTTGTAGACTTGAACGAAATGGAAAAGATAGGATTGATATTGCTGCCTCAGGCCGCAAGGCGACAATGTCACGGGCGAGTCTTGGGACTCGTGGGCGATCAATCCCAAGCTCCTTCAAAGCTCAAGCTCGACATAGTCCCTCAAGACTATTTCTCCCTGCCAATACACTTGCAACTGGCGTCGCTATATATGCCCCAACCCAATGGTCTGAGCTAATTGCATACCCGTTGCAAGAGATCCCCAATCCCACCAACGCCTGCCCTCAGGGCCTGCGAACTCCGCCAACCTCGGCGGCACTATACAAAGATGGCTCCTCCACGGCGCGTCCTACTTTCGAAGGAGCGCTTCGCATATAACTTTGGACTCCTGAAAACACAAGCCTATCATGATCCTCAAGCGCGCGCACCTGGCTCCCATACGTACGTCTCCGTTGGATACCGTTTCGTTTGCAAGACAGAAATGGAAGCTCATGCTTATAGAAACACCGCAGAATTCGCACAATTGCATGGAACCCTACAGGCCAATTAATTGCTACCGGATCCGCCGACCGGACGCTCCGAATCTGGAACCCCGAGCGCTCGCAAGCCAAATATTCCACCGACCTGCGAGGTCATACCGCGGGCATTGAGAAGGTTATCTTCAACCCCGTTCGCGATTCAGAGCTGGCCAGTTGCTCTACCGATGGTACGGTACGGATATGGGACGTGCGATCTAAGGCGTGCGTGAGCCGCTTAGATGTCGGTGGCGAGGCCTTCACTCTGTCCTGGTCCGCAGATGGGACCGTTCTGATGGCTGGGAGAAAAGTGGGATATAGCACCTCTACAGTAACTATGTGTCGCTAACAAGTGCACCACTTAGGACGATACTCTCGTGCCGATATCCGTTGAGTCACCTTCTACACCAACACCCCTCGGTGGACCACTGACGACATCAACAACGTACAAAACCCTCCCCTCGCACCCGCAACCGATCCAAACAAACGCGACCACCTTTTCACACCACATCCCAACCCCAACATCACCCAATCTCCACCTCCTTGCCACAACCGGCGAGGGCACCGTCAAAATCATCTCCTACCCCTCCTTCGAAACTATCCATACCCTCCACGCCCACACTTCCGCCTGCCTCTCCATAGCCCTCACCCCAACAGGCCGCTACCTCGCCATCGGCGGCAGCGACGCCCTCATCTCTCTCTGGGACACAACAGACTGGATCTGCCGACGGACCATATCAAGTAATAACGGCGGCGCTGTAAGGGGGGTGAGCTGGAGCTTCGACGGGCGATTCATCTGCGGCGCGTGCGACGAGGTCGGGTGCGGCGGGAATGGGATTGAGATCTTCCATGCGGAGACGGGCGAGAGCGTGTATACGGTTCCTACAGGGGGTGGCATGAATGCAGGGATTCCGGCTGTTGCGTGGCATCCGTCGAGGTACTGGTTGGCATACTCGACGACGGCGGATGCGCATGGAGCTGGAGGGTTGAGGATTGTTGGGGCTGCCGGGGGTAATAATTTATAATGACCGATAAACATTGATCGTGTCAAAGTATATGATGCTATACTATATCAATTTCTGAACATAGTGTCAATGTGAGATGTCAACGGTTCTTCTGTACAGCATAAAATGCAGCTCCACATGGTCTTTATCTGGTTGAGATCATGTACAATCTTGGAGACGAGATTCCGGTTACGTTTAATATTATGTACATTTATCAACAGGCCCTATAGGGGCTGGTCCATCTTAGGATATCTACCCAAACTCTCAGAACACATCCACCAGCCCATGACTAAACCCGAACTCCAGCCAAATTCCCATGTCATTAAGTGTCATGATAATTCCAATATGGCATCACCACATCTATAAGAAAGCTCACGCGGGATCAAGGATTCCAACCGCCTGAGCCCAAAATTTGCGCCCACTGTGCCCCGCTAAACCCATCCATGTCGGCCGCCATCAGATCAATGACCTCAGCATTAGGATCATTCGGATCACCTGTGACATTGATCGGAAAATCCCATGCAGACGGCGCAGTCTGCGATCGGTCGGCACCGGACGGATTAAGTTGATTCATGGTGGGAAACATGACATTATCGACTGGAGCTGCATTGCCCACGAATGCGTTGACGTTCGTTCCCTCGAGACCTCCTCCCCCACCAGCCGAGTCGTGGACGGAGGTCGCTACGGATGATGAGGGCTGAGACTGTTTCGGCGAGGCCGATTGCTCGTTTCTCATGAATGAGGTGCTGGATGAGGAGTTCATTGTTGATGGGGTAGAGCTCTCCGCGGCAGAGTTGGTCACGTCGAGGAAGCGGGAGGGGGGCTCGATGTCGAAGAGGACGCCGGATGACTCTCCGGGAACGAAGGGGGCTTTGCTGAAGCTTGGAAGGTTGCTTATGTTTATGGAAGAGGGTTGTTGTGATTGTGGGTTGGCGACGGGATTGGACTGCGGTTGTTGTCGTGGTCGTTGGGGAAGACGGGGAAGACAAACGGGTAGATTTGCCCGTTGAGGTGCAGTGGTAGGGTCCCATGAAGCGAGTCTGCCCTCTACGCCGAGAGCGGGATGTCGAAGTTTAGCTGAAGTCGGGATTGCAGGCGTGGCAGCCGTACCAGTCTGCGGGAGGATATAATGTTAGCGCTGTACGGTGCTTGCAGAAGCTTAGAAGCGCAAACATACCCCGTCGTGAAATGCATGCTCCTCCCAAAAGTCCTTTGAAGACCTCTGAGGATTTGGTGCTAGCCGAATATCTTGGAACGGAGTTCCTTCGATATCAACTTCAAGCTGAACGAGGAAAGACTCGGTGAGTGGATTCTGACTCTTCAAAGCGTCCAGGACGGAGAAGACGAATTGTAACGACGAGCGAGCGGCCATATCATCCGGGCGGAATTTCAGGTACTGCACGAAGACGCGGGCCGCAACATAGACACAGAATGATATGAAGGGGTTCATCTAGAGATCGTCAATTGGTGCGACACCCAACAGTGCGGCTTTAGGGACATACTTTACTAATATCCAGAGAGCTGACCATCTTCATTATGCTGGAAATCTGATCGGCGGCAACGATGCATCTTCGCTTGCTCTCCAGAATGATCTGTTCCGGCATTCTGTTTTTCTCTGCTTTGAAGATCGCAGCTTGATGAAGACAAATGGTGGATGTGTGTACTGCTAGGTTGCAAAATAGGACGTTCGAATCAGCCATTCCAGCAGGCAGACGCAAGTGGCTCGGCATCGAGAGTGCGAAATGGAGTAAAATATTGTCGTGGGACCGATGGCGCTGCCAGAAGACTCCGTTGAGATCATTATCATTATCCTCCGGCTCCGGGCGATGGAGGTGAGTGAGATTTCGGCCCAGTAGGCAGGAGACAAATGCAACACTCGCGAAGGGTGATAGTCCGGCCAGCTGATCGCCCGCTAACACTTCGCTAAGACGGGCAGTCTTCTCTAATTTGCCGTTGATAAATGCTTCTTCGCTCGATGGAAGGTTCGTCATGATCTATCATTGTTAGGCGCCTGAGGCATAGGTAAACGGGTATACTGACATCTCTCTCATCGACGCAAGTGGGCCATCCTGTCCCGATACTTGCATATCTGTCAATCGCAAACGTCATCCAGAAGACCCTCCGTCGCTCTTCCTTCTCTACCCAATCCCTTGGCGGTGGTAGGCATTGCTTCACTTCGAGGCCTTCACCATCTAAGCGGTGCAAGCCGAGCATGATGGCCAGCCTAGCACTCACACCCGTGCTAATCCATGCTCTAGGGAAGTACATCATCTTGTACTCGTAGCAAGCGATAAGGAGCCAGGCCTGGCAATGCGCCAGAGTAAGACAGTGTTCTCCGAGGCCTTTCATTTGATCTATTTCGGCGTACTTTCGAGCACGTTGGTAGAAAAGCGCATGCAAGTTCGAATACCTTTCGCTGACGGCAGCCGCATGGCACCATACGATGTACTGCAGGCATGCTGGAGGCCGTGAGCTAGGGGCAAAATCCATGGCGGCCATAAATCTCGGACGGTGTATAATCGGTATAAAGGCATGAGTCTTTTCGAAATAGATTCGGTTCCTGGTGCAAGTATGAGAAGCGTCCTCTGGCCAATAGGCATAGGTACATACAGCTCATCCATAACCTCGCGAGCAGGGAGCGGCTCCTCCAGACCTAAACTGATCATATCCCATCCGAAATTGTTCGTTGCGTCGACCCCTTCCGGAGTAAAAGTTGACGAGGGCCCGGTCGCTTGAGGATTCTCGATCGGGGAAGTCGATTTGGGCATGTTCGCTCCCATCGCATGCATGTCGCCCATGTCAATAGTCTCATTCGGAAGAGAAACCGGAAAGCTAGGCGCTTGGTTCTGTGGCGCACTGGGCGCATTCGGCTCCTGTGTCTTCAATAACGTTTCAACTTGAGCTGGAGTCCAAAAAAAGTAGCGTCAGCGATGAACCGCGCAAAAGCTTAGACGCCCAGTCAACGCACCCAAACGAGCTTCCAGCTGCTTCACGTATCCTCTCTTTGGACCGCTCTTCTTCCGCGCCTCATCATATGTGCATTCATGGCCCAACCGCGAGCAGGTGCCGCAGCTGGGTTTCTTTCCATCGCATCTCAACTTCCTCCGGCGGCAGACTGCACATGCGATTCGCTTGGGGCGGGGAACGTAGCTGCTGTCGCCATTACCATGACCGGCTGCGGTATGGGGAAGATGTTGACTCGTTGAGTTTTGCCCGGTCTGAGATGAAGCGATGTCGTGGTTGATCTGCGGTTGGCTTTGATGATCGAAATAGCCCGCCATGACCAGCGATGGCGTGGGGCACACAAAGTATCGGGAGGGATCTCAAGAGGGCGCAACAGGTGAGAGTCAGAGGTACTCGACCTCAAGCGTAAACAGAGTGCTCTCTGCTTGTAGACCCCACATAGACAGAAAAAGGGAGAAGAAACACGTGTGGTCAAGGAGCGATCGATCAATTGATGGATGAATAATACTGTTGAAGGATCAGGATAGGCAGCACTGCGCCACGACTTCCCCAACGCCTCGTTCGCATTGATGGTTCGGCTCCCTCCAAATTAAGTTGGTCAGTGCGGATACGAGCCAGCCAGGCCCACCTATTCAGGAATTATTCCAGCTGCTCAGAAACATCTCTAGACTAAGGTTCTGCTTCTGGGTGCTGCGACCTGATTGCAGACATGGACACGCAAATGCACGTGGGCTCGAGGCGCAGCCACCTTTGTCTTCACCACATCCCCCTCCCTTGGGCTATTTACCTGACGAAATGCAGACTCGTTTAGGTTAGAACATATAATATGTCAACTAACAATATAGTGCTGACACCATATAACAGCTTGCGAAACGAGACACCAGTGAGGAAGGAGGCTTGGATTTCTCATAATATACAGGACCAACGCCGCACCTTTGCAGCCATGAAAAGAATCGTCTGCGGATAGACAAGGTGACAGACCCATTTGACAGGCCAAGCAGACAATCATATAATACACTACATACAAAAGGACCCAGTCGGAATAATGGAACAGCACGTCTAGTTGTATCCTCTGCGACGCTTACCCTGGTTGCGAACTCTGGGAATGACAACTGCTTTGTTGACCCTCCACTTGGGCCGAGTCCTGTAGCCAGATTTCGCCTGAAGAAAATATTAGATTGCTGGAATGACGAATTATTTGAACAGCGAATGGGATCGAGTTCACATACCGGAAGACCCCAAGGACTCTTCGGGTGCACGTTACCCTTAGACTTGCCTCGTCCACCACCGTGAGGATGATCCATGGCGTTCATAGCAAGACCGCGGACCGTGGGTCGGATGTTAAGCCAGCGCGAGCGTCCTGCCTTTCCTAGTTGGGTATACTTGTAGTTGGGATTGCTAGCAACTCCGACAGTAGCACAGCAGTCCTTGTGGATGAGGCGCACTTCACCACTTTGGAGGCGGACGGTGATGTGGTTGAAAATACGCTCCTGCTTCTGCCTCTCCCGCTGTGACAAGGGTTTTCCATCTTCCTTTTGAAGTTGAGCTTGGTCCCGAGACGCGTCCGATTGTAGGTTGGTTCCTTTGGCGATAACTGTTGCGTAGGTGCCGGCGCTTCGGCATAGTTGAGCTCCCTTTCCAGGATACAAACCGATATTGAATATTAGCGTCCCGACTGGGATCATGTGTAGGGGCAAGCAGTTTCCTCTCCAAGCGGTCCTGGCTGCGAGCACACCGGGATCGACAGCACCTCCCATGCTTTCCCACAGGTCTTTCGGGATGCCAGACATGTAGCTCTGAACAACATCGCCCTCCCTCATGCCATCCGCAGCCACGATATAACTCAATTGCTTGGTCTCCTGGCTTCGAAGAAGAGCAATGTGGGCGGACCGTCCTGGGTCATGTTCGATGCGCTCAACGACGTGCGGCCCAGGTGCTTCTCGTTTGTAATCGATTATTCGAATGCGGCGCTTATGTCCACCACCGTGGTGCCTGACGACAACTCTACCGCTGTTATTCCGGCCTCCTTTGCCATGACCTTTCTTTGGGAACGTCAGCTTGTGTACTGGGCGGCCTTTCCACAAATGATCGTTGATAGGCCGTCGCAGATGTCGAACACCGGGGGTACGAGGCGTGTACTTTCGGAGGTGGATTCCAGAGTCCCCACGAGTAGGAGGGGGAGCAAATGCGATACTCGGGTCAAAGGTCGAGCTCGAAGGTTCAGCGGGAGATGGAGAGTCGGCATGTTGCTCGGCACCGGAAGAGTACGCACGAGAGGGGAGGGAAGGCAGAAATCGGAACGGGAGACGAACGCCTCTGAGGGCAATCCGAGGTTGAAGCATCGTGGATGGTACGCTCTAGAGAGGGCAGACCCCTTGTAGCAGTCAATTGACCGAGATCCTGCGCAAGAGATCGGACTGTCGAGACGAGACGGATTACTGCTCAATCATGCCTGTACCGAAGAACAAATTATCAAACGACCGAGAAATAGCAGATATAACTTGTTCTGCAAGTCCCAATCCTGCCAATTTGCGGTCGAGGGGCCGGTAACAAATTGCAACAGCGCCGATATTTCGACCCCGATTGAAGCAAAAATGTCTTGGGGATGATTTGCGGGTGCGGCGGTGCAATCAAACCACGTGATCATCTGCACCGCCATACTTTCTTTGAGCTGTGGCTTTCTATCAGCCACGTGACTACGCGTGTCCTATGGCAACGACGCGAACGTTCATCTTGTTTTGGCGATCGTGCCTCCCTGCGCGGCGCGATTCTCGTTCAATCTCAGGACTCCATTTCCAAGATTCAAGGTCGCCTTGACAACTTCCGCTCTGACGGTACCATTACCACTTTACACCATCATTTGCTTCAGGTTCCTGTGCCCGTGAACAGTCAGTTTACACGTCCAAACGGCACATGAGAGGCTCTTTTCTGCGTTTCCTTCCGCGTCTTCTCTCTCCCTTCCCTCCTCATCTTCCTCAATTTCTTGCCTTTTTCAAGAAGACGCACTCAGAAGTCATTTTCAATCATATATAGCAGAAAAACCTGGGGCTCTGCACGTATTGAGTCCATACTTCCGAGTTCACGACGTAATCCACGCGACTCGGGTTGTGCCTGTGGGGCGAGCATCCTTCCGAATCCCAGCCTGGCTCACGTCCACGCTAAACAGAGTAGGGCCAAACATCGCCTGTGCCCTGTCAAGTGGCCGACCATCTTTTCCTCCCTCCAACACCCCCCCATCAACATCACTTCAAAGGAAGCCTGACCTCCACGCATCTTTGACGATTCCTTGTATCTTCTCGCGTTACTGTCTATATTTATGTCCTTAACTCTCCTACACCCCCTTGCAACTGAGAAAGAGAGACCTGCGCGTTGTGGAAGCTACGTGCTCTGCCCAAACTGAGGACCGATCAGCATCAACAAACCCTTATACTCCACGCTCCACGAAACCTCAACCAAGATATCTCGCATTCCTCTTGGATTAACCTCATCGACTGCAGTATCTCGACCACTATCTGCTCGAGGATTGACATACTCGCGTCAGGTACGTCCATTAATATCGCCGTTCCATTCGGTATTCAGGTTCCACTCGAGTAATGTCTCTGGGAATGCTGACTGAACCTCGACGTGCCGTGACAGACTTCTGATATTATATCGCGCATTCTACCTCTTCATACACATTGAGAGCTTCCATTTGCTCTTCGCCCTCTTTTCATCATGCCTCCGGTAAGGGATTTGCCCAAAAAGACGCGTCAATCCTCGAGCTTGAGCTTGCTTTCGTCGCTTCCCGCGTCAAGATATAGCTAACTGTCCAATTGTTCAATAGACTCGGAACCTCCGCGCACGAGGCACCATGAACGAAAATGATGAGAACGGTCCGTCAACGCGTGTGACGCGAGCCAAAGCCGCTGCCCTGACAACTGATGTTCCTGCTTCCACCGGCGCCATTAAAAAGCCTCTTCAGGCAAAGAAAGCCGCTACTGGCGTCAACGGAACGCAAAGGAAACGTGCTGCTCTTGGTGATGTGAGTAACGTGGGGAAGGCCGATAATGGTGAAGCCAAAGACACAAAGAAGTCCAGCTCGACAAAAGCTGGCCTGACGTCAAAGGCCACCCTGAAATCTGGAGGAGTCCAAAAACTCAGCCAACACAACTCGTCACGCACCGCTCTTGGAGCCAAGGACAACAATGCAAAGAAGCCGGCCCCCGAGGTCAAGCGTCCTGGAAGTGGATCGGGTATGGGGAGCGCAATGAAGCGAACGTCAAGCCAGAAGTCGCTCCAAGAAAAAACGCTACAGGCGGAAGAGCCACCACGCAAGAAAGTCGAGATTGAAAAGGCTGTCGAGGCAAAGGCACAGGCCAGCCAAAAGAAAGAGGTGAAAGCGAAGCTCGAGGTGGAAGAAGAAGAGGAACAAAATGTCGTTGCTGATCTGGACACGGAGGACCTGGACGATCCCCTAATGGCCGCAGAATATGTGGTTGAGATTTTCGATTACCTTCGCGACTTGGAAATGGAGACACTACCCAACCCTCACTACATCGACCACCAGCCCGATCTCGAGTGGAAAATGCGCGGAATTCTTGTCGACTGGCTCATTGAGGTCCACACTCGCTTTCGCCTTCTGCCAGAGACCCTTTTTCTTGCCGTCAACCTCATTGATCGATTCCTCTCTGCCGAAGTCGTGGCCTTGGACCGTCTGCAGTTGGTTGGTGTTGCTGCCATGTTCATTGCTTCCAAGTACGAAGAGGTTCTCTCCCCTCACGTTGCCAACTTCAGTCATGTTGCGGACGAGACCTTTACCGATAGAGAGATCTTGGATGCCGAACGCCACATCTTGGCCACCCTTGAGTACAACATGAGTTATCCCAACCCGATGAACTTCCTCCGACGAATCTCAAAGGCAGACAACTACGATATTCAGACCCGCACCCTCGGAAAATACTTGATGGAAATCAGCCTTCTCGATCACCGGTTCCTAGGTTACCCCCAAAGCCAAGTCGGTGCAGCAGCGATGTACTTGGCTCGTCTCATCCTGGAAAGAGGCCCCTGGGACGCCACCCTCGCTCACTACGCCGGTTATACCGAAGAAGAGATCGATCCTGTTTTCCGGTTAATGGTTGATTACCTTCACCGGCCCGTGTGCCACGAGGCGTTCTTCAAGAAGTATGCCAGCAAGAAATTCCTCAAAGGTAAAGGTTCCTGACAAATGAAATGACCGCGTTTCGTTCTAATTCTCTTTGCAGCATCCATCATGACACGACAATGGGCCAAGAAATACCACCGACTCTATATTGAGAGCGCGCTTACAGAACCGTACAACTCCATCAAAGATTCGGACGAGTAGAGAACGAAGGTTCTCAATGGCCAAGGTACGCTGATACCGAAAGGCCACTGAGATCAGGAGTTGGTTGATTTCAATATGTTGGCATTTTGTTTGTGATGGGTTTAGGGCAGCTCTTGCATATGGTTACGACGGCATCCTGTTTCTGTTGCGGACATTGGCATTCTTCAGCTTCACGGGGGGTGTCTGGCGCTTTGTTTTGTGATACTTGCTTTTTTTTAATTCACTTCTCATAACTTTCTTGGTGTCTCCGGGATGCTTCAACTTGAACTTTGCTTAATGATACATTCCAAAGATTCAGCGATACCTGCATTCAAGTTATTCAGCGAGAGATGGTAGAGAAATCCTTACAACTGACCGTGAAGATGTGTTGTTGTTCCGCTCGCAACTATAAACACAGCGAGACTCGGCTCTTACCGAGGTCCCGATATCCCGCCTCCATGAGTTCCTAAAATATAAAAAAAAAAAAAAACAACCAAGATCTACACAGCCGCATGGTCCCATAATATCCAACTAGTCCATTAGATGATTTTATGATTACGGAGCACTTAACCATGCCCCCTCGCCGCTGTCCATTCTGCGACATCGCCGCCACACACCCACCAACCCCCACCTCAGCATACCTCCCTAGACCAGACCAAGAGTCACAACCAACAATACCACCATCGACATCAACACTAAGCCCGGGAGAAGAAGGTCACGCCTTTCTCGTTCTTTCAACGAAGTATGTCTTGGCCTTTCTGGACATTATGCCCCTGACGGCGGGCCATCTCCTCGTTGTCCCGAGAGAGCACCATGGGAAATTGTCAGAGGTTGGAGTGAGGATTAGTCGTGAGGTAGGTGCCATCATTCAATTGACCAATCTGTGTATGTATCGTCTTAGTATACAAGATATTAACCGGGTTGCCCAGCTGGGTCAATGGCTCCCCATCCTCTCGCGCGCGGTGATGAGGACCATATTTGGGGAAAGCACAGAGGCAAATCCTAATACGGACGAGAGCTGGAATTGGAATGTTGTTCAAAACAATGGTATATTACCTATTGCCTTCATCCCCTCATATCTCATCTATTTACGTTCCCACAACTTATACGGAGTGGAATCTAATGTCATACTCCAGGCGTGGGCGCCGCACAAGTCGTCCCACACGTGCACTTCCACATCGTGCCTCGACCGCCCCTCGGTGCGGCGAGTACATCTGCGAAGATGAGCTTCATTATGTTTGGGAGAGGGCAGCGGGATGACTTGGATGACGACGAGGCGGAGAAGCTGGCGGGGGAGTTGAGGGGGGAGGTGGCGAGGGAGGTGGCTCGGATTCGGGAGGCGGAGGGGATTGATTTGGATGCTGTTGATGAGGGTGGGAATGGGAGGGGGAGGTTATGAATCAGTTACGAGGTAAGTATTCGCTGAATATTGGGTCTACGTTAGACAATATAGGTAGAGTATAATTTGAAATGTGGGTGTGGATTCTATTACCTTGTCTGCTTTTTTTATCTTATATCCTCTATAATATACTGACATCCTTCCAGAAGTGCATTTTACCTGGCAGTCAGATCTCCCGGATATAAGACTCATGCATATCATTGTGGAGAGAATGGAATTTTTGTGGCGGCTTTTGGAGTGTCGAGTTTCATGAACCACTGGAAACCTGTCAGTTCTAGGCCCAAAGCCAAATGTAAATAGAGCCTAACTAGATATACCTTTCTTCTGAACGGATTTAGTTCATCAGCCGTCGTTCCTGAATCTTCCTTCTGGCGTCTCAGCGATATGTCCGAGACTACACCATCTGGAAGCTTTCGGTATGTTATAAGTCGTCGAGACCCTGGGCGAGTGAAGTTAGATGATTAGCTTGATTCATCATTAAGGAGCAGTAGGGTAGGGTGAGCGAGCATGCGTACATGAGCTGAACGGCTGAACGCAGACACTAACGACCTCAAGATTTGCGTGCATAGGGACGGATAGTTCCACTTCTTCGTCGTTGGCCGTGGGCATCCACATAGCCAGGCGGCCATCGGTGACAAGAGTTCGCGCAGCGAAGTCAAGAATGTCATTCATCATGGCCTCGAACCCATACGGTCTTTTCGGGGCGATATAGCCTTCACGACTGCATAGCGACATCAGACAAAAACACATAATATACTGGGGATGGTTGGAATGTAGAAGACATACTAATGTGCCGGTACCCCATCAATCAGAACCTCTCCAATAGGGCGATGGCCTTCTCGCGCTCCAAGAACGCGAAGGCCTTCCCGGACACCATAAGGAGGGTCGCACACGATGCCATCTAGGAACGGACGGTCCAGCAGTGGAGTATTCGTGATATCAGATGTGAACGTGTCGACAAGCTTGCTGTATATCCCATATTGCTGAAAGTTTAATCCCACGCCGGTGGGGCTCCCTTTCGTCATCTCCTTGCCCCGGAAGCCTCGCCCGTCAATATCAGAGCCAAAGGTTAGAGCTCCAAAATGAGATGCAGCAACACAGAAGCTCCCTGTCCCCACGAACGGATCATAGAACAACTTTCCTGGGCCAGCACCTGCCATATTGGCCGTGATCAAAGTCAACTCCGCATCCATCGAAGTCGTACTGATATACCGCCGCTTCTTCAAGTCATACTTGTTCACGACCTCACGACTACTATTCGCAAGCCAGCGTCCGAGATAAACCTTCACAGGCTCAGAAACTTGAGCCGACGCCGGCGGCTCCACGCTAGAAGGCACATGCGTGCGATCGTAATACTGCTCCATGACCCAAAAGTCCTGCTCCGGGTCCTTGAGTGTGATCCGGCCCTCGAAGCCAACGTAGCCAAAGGACTGGATGATGTCCCGTTTTTGCGTCGAGTTGCGCTTGCCCGCGAATGTTTCAACTGTGAATCGGAATGGCGTCTGCTTGTACCGCGCCCAGAGATGCTCTGTCCGCCTGCGGACGTCGGCATGCAGCTCTTCATAGTTCACGCCTTGGCCCCAGAGCTCAAAGATGTCCTTGGCTAGGATGCTGCGCGAGATGAGTGTTCGTGCAGCTTCCTCGTTTGGGAGCTTCACGATACAGTATGGGGACTAGTAGATGTTGTCAGTGTGTATACTTTTCCTGCCTTTATTTTTTTGATGCGGGGGAGGGGCATCGATCAAGTGCTGGGGATTTGGCTGGCCAAGCATAAATAACGGGGTGCCGGAAAAATCATGGGAAATGAGTACTCACAAATTCATCGTATGAGATGTCTTCGATCTTGATATTGGCAAAATCGGCCAATGCCTGAATCTCCGGCTGCCGGAAGCTTTCATGGACTTGCGCGAAGCGGATGAGGTATTCCATCCTTCGCGCGGTATTGGGCTTCTAGCTCGATGCTTATAGTATACTCTGCAGGAGTCTGATGCAAATGTAGATGCCGCTCTTAGTGTTGGTGAGTGGCTTGTTGGGATGGTTGCTAAGGTTGTGGGTTGTGGTAACAAGTTTTTTTCCTCGTCCCGAAGAATGAAAACTGAGCCCCAAGAGGACATTCAGGACTAGAGGCCAAACGGACGTCACTTTACTTGTGTATTACGGATATCATATGGAAACAAAGTTGTTCGATATGCACAAAAATGTGTTTTCACTGCTAATAAAAGGCTATGTTCAAGCCATAATCGTTCTATAAAATACAGAAACAAATGCCCTCTATCAGATCGTCTCTGGGCAACCACTGCATCGACACATCCGCAGATAAATCGCAATCGCATAAAGAAGCATCACAGCCGGCTCCTTTCCACTGTTGCCCGCTGGATAGTATAAAAAACTGACGCCATCCCTCAGTAAAGACAGACCGAGACCCAAGAATAATTCGAAAGAAACTCCGCCGCTATGCGCCGACAACCTTGAATACATGTCGTGAGTCGTAACCATAAACCGGGGCGATATCGACCTTTTCGTCCGGGGGTATCATCTCATGCTTCAACTCCCATCCAGCCCGGCGACAAAGTTCAGACACCACCACGTCGCAGTCGCCTAGCAAATCGATATCAAAGCTCGTGTGTGTTACAGGCTAAGTAATGACGTTAGTTAGAGTCGGTAGCACGAGGCCTGCGTACTTACAGTCCGAGAAATATAAATCTGAGGCACGTTAGGTGGTAGAACTCCTGGAACCTCCGCAACAGGCGCAACCTTGAGTGAAGTTCCAATGACAATGACCAGGTCAACTTTGTCTCGGTCATGGTGAAGCAAACGATGACCAAACTCATCTGGAAGATCTTCTCCGAAGAATGTGATGTCGGGCTTGGCGTTAAGTTAGCAGATGAGTCGAAAGCATCAGTACAAACGCCCTCAACTAACCTTCATCACCCCAGGAGTGGGTATTTCGTAGTCTTCATCATCCGAGCTATCTTCGCCATTAGCCTTCCTATCCTTGTGAGCACCGGTGCCATTGCGCTTCCGCTTCTGCCCCTGTGGCTTCAGCGCATCCTCAGCAATCTGCTTCCGGCACTGGGCGCATTCAGGAACAACTCCTTTCTTGATCTCGTCATAGATCGCGTCACCCGGGACTTTGTACTGGCACTTAACACATGTGGCCTTTGCGAAGGAGCCGTGGCACTGAACAATATTCTCCGGAAGAACGCCCGCATTGGCTTCGATATTGTCAATGTTTTGGGTATAATTGGTGAGTAGCTTTCCTTTATCTTGCAACAACCGGATAAACCCGTGGGTTGGTGAGTACTTCTTCTCGGTGGGCAGAATATCTTTTGCAATCGAATAAAATATGCTAGGATCCTCGCGAAAGATGTGGATATCGAACACTTCCTGAGGATCGCTGAGGCCCAGATGTTCTAATTGCGAGTAGAGTCCAGTGTCCTTGGATCTGAAGTCCGGAATACCGAGGCTCGTGGAGATCTACCGAATGTATCAGTAAACATTGAGACTTGGGAATCATAATGGCAATACTCACACCTGCCCCAGTCAAAACTATGATATTCTTTGACTCCTTGAGTAACTTCACCGCATCGTCGACCGAGTTGTATTCCGACAACTTCTGGCGCCTGGTGAACTCCCTCGAAATCGCAATCGCCAACAAAGGATGGAAGGCCTCATCCGGGGCACCGTCGAGAAAAGCTGGAGGCAGAATCCCGAAAGCAGTACACAATTTCTTGGCCGTGACAGTATCGCGAGCAATCGTTTCCTCCACAAACGCCGCCTTGCCAATCTCATGCAATCTTTTCCGGAACGCAACAGCCTCTTCGAGGGTACAGGCATCAGGAATGGCTAAATAAAACAGGATACAGTGAGTGCGCCGAACTTTTGATACTGTGGAGAATGCATACTTACATCCGTCGCGCAACTGTTCATCGCGGAGCACTTGAATGGCGTCTTCGTAGAGAGACTGCGTCTCCCATTCGTCCTCCAAGCCGTCGCTGTCCGTCTCGTACTCAGACTGCGAAATAGCGCCCTTCTCGCCAGTCGAAGCGTTTTCTGTCGCAAGTGCCCCCTCAACCTCCGCGGCTTTGACCTCCACCAGCGGAGACTTCAACGGCGGGCTTTCCCCACGGGGCGCTGATACAAGGTCCATCCTGGTGGGGAGAATGAAACACCTTCAGCAGCCTCTTGTGATGCCAACTGAACTACTCACATTGAGCTTTTTGCCACGCCGTAAAAAGACGATTGGCTTAGGATAACTGTAGGGGACGGTGGCCGGAACAGCATTAATCCGATCCGTCCGATACCGGGAAAGTCTTTATCTCAAAGCCATCAAAGGAGTGTCCAGCAAGGACAATCAGAATAAAGTGAATAAGACAACTTTTTCTATTGGTATCATGGACATTCGTTCTGTTGACATTAGGAGTCGGCCATTTCATGGTCACCATCGGACTCAATCCCTTCCCATTCCTCTTCACCCCCTTCGCCATCCTCAGCACCGCTCTCATCATCGATAGCCTCTCCTATTTCCTTATTTATCTCTTGCACCAGCTCTAGAGCATGCTCCTTAAGCCTCACATCCTCATACTCGAGCAGGTCGTACAGCGCCAGACCCTGCTTGAGCCACTCCCTACTTGCAACAAGCGACGCATGCCGCTTTGACTCGGGTTCGTTTGTCTCTCCCTCGGGGTCTCTAGGTGCCTCGCCTTTCTCAGCAAGAAGATAGGTGCACCATCCTCCAAGGTACCATGCTTCCACACTTTGATCATCTTCCAGGATCAAACGCTCCAGTACCTCGAGCGCCTCGAGCAACATTGAAACCTCCATTAGGAGGCGAGAAAGACTAATGCGTGTCGCGAAGTCTGGGACGTTGGGGTCTTCCGGCGGTAATTCCTTCCATAGGTCTATGCTTCTCGAAAGCGCTGCGCGCGCATCGTCTTCTCGTAGTTGTGAAATCCGGATGGACGCCAAGGTTTGTAGTACCTCGGGGGAATTAGGTTGAACCAGTAAAGCCTCTGTGATGAGGGCCTCGCAGCGACCTTCTGCGTCTTCCTCCCACCTAAAGCTCGTTAGTTGGACACAAGGGGTACAGAAGCCGGGAGGAAGAACATACGAGAGATCGGTCATATAGATCTCTGCGACACCACAGAGCGCGTTGCCCATTTTCCGCTTCTTCTCCTCGAGCTGCAGGACCTCCGCAGGGCCACCATTCGCCTCTAGTTGCTGAATGATGTTCCTGAGAGCTGCCACACCTTTTTCAAACCATTGAACACTGTCCCTTCCTCCAAGCTCACTCAATTGAGCCAACCACAAGAACTTCTCTGCGCCACCACCCTGAGCCTCGGGTATAGAGCCCGTAGGGTCTAGATCAACAGCCTGTAAGAAGTGCTTCCTCGCGAGCTCAATCTCGCCCAACTCGACGTATATCTCGGCGAGTGCATTGAGCGCAGAAAGTCGCGCGGGGGAATTGGCGGGTGCACTGTCGAACGCCTGCTGGGCAAGTGAGAGCGCAGCATCGGGCTGGCCGGTCTGAAGAAGTATTGTCGCCTGCTCGAGCAGTTTCGCGGGGTCTTCGTTCATCTTGCGTTTCGAGATTGAGCCGCCAGCGCTCAGGACGGACTTTTCGCGGTTCTTGGATGCTTTCTTTTTGTGAGGTCGGGGCTTCCCCATGGTTATGTTTCCCGCTGGGACGTACTGTATGTGCTTCTTGAGTATCCCAGATGATTATAGCTTGGTTATTTATTATATAATTGAAAGATTTGGTGTATGAGAAAGAATTCTTGAGGACTCTCGCAAGCGCATTTCCCGATTCGGGCGGAAACATTTCTTGGTGATTTTCTTATCTGTTTGTTCGGTTTGCATGAGGGACCAACAGTGTCCAACTCTGCGCAACGGAGTATGCAGAATTGATTCGGCGCTTTCTCCAGATTAATCTACGTCGGAGATTTGATGTTCCTTTATCCCTGGAAGTTTCCCGGCCGATATAACCGTCTTTGCGCATTTTCTTTGGCGCAGCAACTGCCAGCATACAGCTTTGATCAACGCCGTCAAATACCCCTCCTCCCAGCAAGAGACGAAGATGGGCCGCGAAGACCAAACCGAAGAGCGCGAGGTGCTCGATTCTATCTTTCCAGACGAAATCACAGGTACAACTGCCATCGAAATTCTCTGTCAGAGGCTTGCCGGATGTTAACCTGCTGACACAACGGCTCTCTAGACGTATCCGACACCTCATACCGGATATCAATCACACTAGACGCCCCCGAGAATGACAACCAGGAAGCCGAACCCCCGGTCCTAGTGCTAGAAGTCTCCTACCCCGAAGAATACCCCGATGTCGCCCCGGAATTAGAGATTTCAGCTCCTCCAAACGCACCAAAACACCCCCGCCTAGACATAAACGAGGATCATGACCGACTACTCGAAGCCCTTCAGCCGACCATCGAAGAAAACATGGGCATGGCCATGGTATTTTCTTTAGTCAGTGCATTGAAGGAAAGCGCCGAGCTTCTTATGGCTGAGCGGGTTAATGCTGTCCATGCGGAGATTGAGATGCAGGCCGCCAAGGCCGAGGAGGAAGAGAATAGGAAGTTCCAAGGCACTACCGTGAACCGGGAGACTTTCTTAGAGTGGCTTGAGAAATTCAAGAAGGAGATGGAGGAGGAAGAGAGGAAGTTGCGTGAGGAGAGGGAGGCAGAAGAGAAGAAAGCTAATAAGAAGGCTGGCGTGAAAGAGGAGAAAAAGCTTACAGGGAAACAACTTTGGGAACGGGGATTGGCTGGAAAGGCCGACTTTGATGAAGAAGAAGAAGAAGAAGACGGTCTTCCGGCCGCTGTGGAAAAAGTGAAAATAGTAGCATAGGATATCCCTGCCTGAATTCGGACTTCTTAAATATTTAGTGGTACACACTTTCCCTGACAAGCACGGGTTCCCGGACTACAACAGCAGTTTATAGGAAGACGGGCCAAAAGAAGCGCATTGAATGGGCCTCAGATGCACATCGTGGCTGTGCCTGCTGGTGAATCTGGCATGCGTTGGGCGGCACCTAACCTTTTGGCATACACCGTAGTATTCGCAGTGCAAATAATCCTGGAAATGCCTCCCTTCCGCTACAGTGTAGTAGGCGTGGGTCAAGTTAGGCATCAAGCTTCGAGGTTAGGGGTAGGAATCCGCCGTCCAAGAACTCGTATGTGAGACAGCCTAGTGGAAGATAGCCCTCAATGGCCACCGATGGCGGTCGTGAAGTTGCCATCCCACTGGAGAGGGTAGAGATCGAATACTGCCAGTAGCAGGACGTCATGTCGCGGTTGACAACTGACCCTTTTTCGCAACTTGGTTTTCCTCTGCGGCTAATTTCTCCTTTATAGCCAGTTCCCGCTCGGCAAGGACAACTTCCCACATAGCTTCTGAGCGAGCTATGTTCTTGTCATCGATCGTTCGAATCTTATTTACGGTGTCATCGTAAGAGTCCCTGACGGCGTTGTACCAAGTTTCTGACTCAAAGCCAATGGTCAAAGAATCCCACTCGTCCTCATCCTCGGCGAAATATAATTCGTGCATCAATCTTTCTCGATGTCCAACCAATCGCCACCGCTGCGCGATTTTCCTGTGTAAGACACGGCTGAGGTTCAGCGGTTGGGGTTTTTTTATGCGCAAAAATGGCACGCCGCAGGCATTAATGAGAACGGGGACATGGCGCCGGCCACTCACGACCGGGCGAGGGCGCGATAGGATTGAAATGGTGTCTGGATGCCGTCGGGCCGTCATCTCCTGAAGTCGCCTGTTTTCTTGAGCCTTGAGCTGTTTCCGTGTCGGCTGTTTAACGGGTAGGCGCTCAGCTATAGCTGCTTGTACATTTCTTTTGCGTTCGTTGGACGACTCGGCATGAGACAATATGGATTGTAAGACGCTGGCGTCTTCTTTATTTCCTTGCGCCGCCGAGTATAAAAGATCAAGGCCCTGACGGATTTAGCCAGCGGTCGCAAAAAGGAGCTTAGAGTTGCGTACTTCATAACCGGCCTTGAGCGCATTTGCGGTTTGTGAAGGGCTTTGAAGGTTTTTATATCTGCGAAATCGGTCTCGAATGTGTGACTCTGCTGCACTGAGCTTGGGTGCAGTGCTCGATATCTGGTTGCATTGTCGAAGGAGCGCCCGATAAAGTGCTAAGCCTGAGAAAAGTGAATTCGTGAGTATACTCAAAACAACAATATGAAAGCAGTGTTATAAAGCTTACATGCGAATCGATGCACAGAGGATGATCTTGGGACAATCACGCGATGATGCATGATCCTTGATTTCCCCAGGTTGGAGATTCGGTTTTCTTGATGCGGAGATCACCACATGCAGAGTCAGGAATATTTCCGATGTTTTCTGTCACGTGCTCGCCCTGTCTAGGTATGATTCAAAAGATTAGGAGCACATAGGAGCAGCCAATAGGCTGTATTATCATGATACTGTCTCCCGAAATTCCTCAAAGTCTTAGGAACATAAAGGACGCGGGCTCCCCGGGCCGTTGTGAAAAGGTTCCAACTCTGACAGTTCTATATTATGTCGGTCATTCAACCCCCAACACAACCGTCTCACTGTACCAATATGGCACGCTGCGAGGACACGACGGCACGAGGCAAACTCTGGGTTAACTATGAGCGAGAGCCAGGATGCCTGAGATATACGCACAAAGAAGCGCATAGATCAATGAGGGTACTTGTGAATTGAGGCTCATGCATAAACTACACATGCTCTAATAAAGTCGAGAGGGAGAAGCTAATGCACCGGATGCGAAGCCCGACCTGATACTCCGTTTTGAACTCGTGAACCATTAATGACGCATTATTCAGAAGTTCGAGCCCTCTGGAGGCTGAGGAAGCTTCTTGTGTTGCGGTAAGGCCATGTACCTGAGACGATGAGTACTATGTCCCTGGAGACGACAAAACGCGAGCAGACATACCTTCGAAGTTCAATCAAGACGGTCTCCATCGTATATTCACGCTTCCACTGAGCCAAGCAAGGCAGTTTAGCAGGGTCAACCTGGGAGTGCTCAATTAGCTGCTGCTCTCCGTATTTTAACCAACTCAAAGAGAGCCGAACCTTTCCCGAATGCGGGTCAACGCATGGAATGTTGACTCGTGAAATGAATTGGAGGGTCGGGGGGAGATCGGGGTAATCGGGACCGCAATGGATATTGAGACTGTATATCCTATTCTCGTGCACGCTCTGCAGTTGTATGATTCCAAGCATCAGCACAGTTACCCAGTCATCAGAGCCTAGATCGAGGTCGCATACGTGAGGGGGTCCGAGGACAGTTCCATTCCAGTTGCTCATCATCATGTCTTCGCCATCGGCGAGACCATAAGAGCAAGCCTCTAAATTAGAAAACCTATCAGTCTAGTGATCATGATTGATCTTCCGCGGGGGTCGCATGCTTACCTGCTCCCAAACCCTTCTCACCTTTCTCCAGCTCCTCCAAGAGTCTGAAATTCCGGGGGACCTTTGCGTTTGCGGCCATAATGAGTGATTAACTCCCTTGAAGATATCAAGAGAAGATAGAATAAGCCAACAAGTAGGAAAAATGAGGAGGGGCGTTGGGCGGAAGAGAAACAATTTCATCACCACCAACCTTGTCAAAAGAGGGGCTGTCGTCACGGTCCACCCTTATCCACAGGCCTGATAATCAAGCCATAAAGCCGGCCCGTAAAACCATTACAAAATCTAAGAAATAATCATAACTTTCAGTAATCTCGTACAGCGCTGGTATCTATCACGTGATGATAAGAAGTGGCTATCACGTGGCATAATGTACTGTTGTCTCGGCATCTTTGAAGCCACGGCGGAGGACTCGCCAGCGTTGTTTATACACCTGGACATCTTTTACTTTCTTCTAATGAATGCTGGCAGTCTTCGCTGCAAATACACGAAGCTGGAGCTGAAATTCTACTAGTCTTTGTCAGGGTTACAGTTCAGCTGTCGTTCTGTTCAACAATTAGTGACGCCAATATATTGCTTGCTAGTGCTTGATTGCTACCTGCTTGTTGGACTGGCCTTGGCCATGCGTTGATCTACAAATGTCCTCCCAACTGCTACAGTCAGAGCTTCTGAATCTTATCCAAGAATCTAAGAGAAAGAATGCAGACCTTCGCAATGTTTGATCTCCATTTCTGTATAAAGGGGATATCGGTCCCGGCTGACGAGATTTGTAGGCTGCCGAAGAGTCTCTCAATGACCTGAAGGCGCTGCCATCTACCTCCGAGGCGCAGATATCGGCTGGTAAGACTTGCCTTTTTTTTTCTCGTAAAGGCTTAAGTGTTGATCGTCGAATTAGATCTTGTTCGCAAGCCTAGATTTGTTAACCCGTTCATTCTGGCCTGCCATAGTCGACATGCTAAGCTCGCGGGAATTGGCGTGGTCTGCTTGCAACGATTGGTTGCATCCAAGTCACTGCCCTCTGAGCGATTGAAGGACGTACTTGGTGGCCTGAAAGAGATCACAACCTTGAGTAAGTGCTCGTGCCCCAGATCTATGTCATTGAGACTAACATTCAAAAGGCCTGGATATTCAACTCAAAATCTTGCAAACTCTACCATCGTTGCTGCAGCACTATTCTAACGACTTATGCGGCGAGCTCCTTGTTACGACTCTCGAAATATGCGCGACTCTTCAATCGAGCAAGACTCTTGCAGTATCGAGTACGGCAGCTGCTACACTACAGCAACTTGTCGTTTTCACATTCGAGCGAGTGTCAATTGAAGACCGTGAGTGTTACTTTCGTCTCAATTGTTTAGTGGCTTACCCTTTCCCCCTTAGAGTCTCACCAAGATTCACGACCAACGGCGACAGTCAAGATCGACGGTAGTACTGTCAAAATAAGGCAATTTGCGCTAGATGCTTTACGAGTGAGATCTAAAGCCATTCATCAAGGTGTATTAGTCGGTGCTGACTGACGTTTCAAGGTCCTGGATGACCTTTGCCGACTTGCGGAGGGGGAAACGCTGCATTTCCTGAGGATTAAGTCTCTTTCGCCCACATTCACTCTGGAACTTATCGAAAGTGTGCTTCTCAACAGCGGGCAGCTCTTTGTTGATCACCCTGAGCTTACACATGTGCTCCGGAGTCGTCTACTTCCCATGACGATCAGATACTTGTCAGAACGGCACACGTTTGCTCATACGGTTCGGATAGCCAGAATTCTCGTCATTCTTCTCAAGCGCTATTTGTCACTATTGACTGCAGAATGTGAAATGGCGCTCTCACTCCTGGCACATCTGCTTGAGCCTGACGGGACTTCATCCTGGAAGCGAGTGCTGTGCATGGAGATGTTTCGAGGACTATACGCCGAACCGGGGCTTGTGAGACTCATCTATTCGCTGTACGATGGGGAGGAAGGGAGAAAGAATATTCTCCGAGACCACATGGCTTCCCTGGTTCGATTGGCAGCTGAAAAGCCTTCTTTGATCGGCGTCAGTAGTCGTTCAACTGTACCATCTCGTGCCGAACACGCCAGGTCTATCACCGAAGAGCAAATAACTCTCGAGGCCGGAGGGGTAGCTGGTGTCATTGGAACCTCAGTCCCATCTAGCGACAACATACCGGGAATCAGCAATCAGTGGAGCGTCGTTCGCTCACCCTACTTGGAGCTGCTTGACAAGACCGAACCACCACAGCCACCTGAAACATACATTTACAGTCTGGTACTGAACTGTGTAAGCGCCTTTGCTGACGGCCTCGCGAAGTTCATACTTCCCCTCACCGTCCCGGACCTGAAACCGAAGCGGAAAAGCCGCATTGCGGGTGACCGAGATGCTGGGTCTGCGACATCCTCTCAGGATCTCCAAAGAGAAGACTCCCTTAAACGCTCAAAGTCAGTGAAGAAATCCCCGGTACCTATTAATCCTCTGGATTTAGAGTCCCACCCTCAAATCTCCGCTATCCGAACTTGCGCTGGGATTGTTGAGGATTGTTGGCCAGCTGTGCTTGCGACCTGCTCAACATTCCTCTATGCATCTCTAGACGATGATTTCTACCACAACCTTGTTCGCTCATTTCAGAAACTAGCTCACGTTGCTGGACTTCTGAGGCTGTCCACACCGCGGGACGCATTCTTGACGACCCTGGGTAAAGCATCCGTGCCAGCTGAAGCTGGTAGCGTCAAACCCGTTGTATCTGCGCCAGCAGCACCTAGCACTCAGCATAGCGAAGCAACGGGCAAGAGACAGAAGGGTGGTGACGCAGCCCAGGTCATTCTGCAGACGCCGATGGAAGGCTCTACAGCGCCATTTAACGAACAAGTCCTGTCTCTTACCACAAGAAATCTTCTTTGTTTACGTGCTTTGCTCAATCTGGGCATCGCACTTGGCCCGACCTTGGATCAGCCTGCCTGGTCCATAATCCTTGGTACACTCCAGGATACCGACCTCCTAGTTAGCAAGTCCTCCACAAAGGGGCAGAATGCTCCGAGCAACACAGACGAACTTGTGGGAGGTGATATACCTCAGGGTAACCTGGGTACGGAGATTCTCGCGGTGCAGTCTGCCTCAAATAAGCTTTTTGAGAGCACCAGCGAGTATCCTAGCGAGACCTTCCGAGACTTATTAGTTGCCCTCTTGGATCTTTCTGCAATAACGGAGGAGACTATGGCATCTAATATCCCAGATACATCAGCAAAAGATGGACAGTTGTTGCAGCCGAGCTCCGGTCGTATGCGTCGGTCCTCCCGTCGGGTGTCACATGCTCTGGGCAGATCGAGAATTGAAGAGGAAGAGCTGAGGTTCGTTCTAGAGAGGGCATATGCGCTAGCGAAAGCGAACATTGAAAGACTGTCATCCTTAGTGGGGAGTGACCATAGCGCTTGGTACCTTCTCACGAGCCGGCTCATGTCAACCGCGGCCAACGGACAGACCAGTCAAGATCTTCGTCTCCGCGCCAACGGGATCTTAAATGGCTTGGTTTCCGAGACGATGAAACAGAGAGCTGATGAGAATGACTCAGAACGGGACGCGCGGCAGTTGCGAAATCTGGAAACACTGAAATTCCAGGTTGAAACTCTCTACCAAAGCAGTGGCTGCCCGCTAGGATCACCTTCGGCTCCCGTAGTCGAAGTTCATGAGCAGAGCCTGGAGACATTGAAGAACGTTCTAGAGCAATATGCTGAGACGTTTAATCAATGTTGGACAGCTGTCTTTGGCCTTATTTCTACCGTTTTTGGTGAACCAAACTTGGGTGAGAATGAGAGTACGACAGCAGCTACCGCCGGGCACAAGAGGACATTTGTAACAGGCTCTGCTCGGCTGATCCAGGTTGCATACAAGAGTCTGCAACTCATTGCGTCTGATTTCTTGTCCCAGCTTCCCCCGCAATGCCGCCTAGATTTGGTGGAATCTTTTTCCAAATTTGCACTACAACAGCAGGTCTTCAATATCTCACTCACTACAGCATCATCTTTTTGGAATGTGTCCGATTTTCTCCATGACCAGACGGGTCGTTTTACTATCGAAACACATATTGACACATCTGTGAGTGAGGAGAAGCTAGCCGCTCTAGCAAAAGCGGAGGACCCATCTGTCGCTGGAAATGCTCTATGGTTGTTATTACTGTTGCGGATAGTCGACATTACAACGGATAGCAGATCTGAGGTTAGGAGCTGCGCGATTCACACACTTCTGAGGATTTTCGACGCCTATGGCCAACAGCTTTCGCCGAAAGCATGGAATCTTTGTCTAAATCGTGTTCTGTTTCGCATGCTTGAGCAGATCGAAGCTAGTTTTGCTAATGCGCAACACAAGAGCAGTAAAGATTCTGACGATGACAGGGCCTGGATTGAGACGACAGTTTTGGTGATTAAAGGAGTGTCTGACCTTTTGACCAACGTCTTCGAGACCATCATCGATGATGCCGATTTTGAATTGTCATGGAAACGGTTGCTGGATTACTTTCAGAGTCTTGCTAGCCTACGCCTTCTAGCGTTCAGCCAGGCAGTATTCTCGAGTCTGTCGACCATCCTTGCGCGGGTTCAGCTGCCGGGTGGTCTGAACAAGCAGTCACTACACTCGGTCTGGTCTGTATGGGTCAATGGCCACCCCGCCGACAAGAAAGATTCGCTGGACTTGGACAAGCCTAACCAAGACGCTGCAATCTCATACCTACACACCTTCCAACAGTTGTACCGATTGTACAAGGACGATCTGACAAAGCAAGATGTCGAAAAGGTCCTAGGCCACATAAAGATGCTCACCTGGCATTCTATATGCCCCAGATACTCGTCCGATATCGATCGCCCGTCTGAGTTGCAAGCATTGGTAATTGACTGTCTTAAAATGATGTGCTTGGACAAAGACAGCTCCCAGGGAGAAATCATTAGGTGCCTATCGGAATTTGCAGATTCAGCCCTCACAAAATGGTCTCCAAGCAGTGACATAAGAAAACCGACCTATATCGCTTTCTCCAAGGGAGCCATTGACTTGGTTAGCTGGTACGTTGTCGAGTACGGCATCAAGCAGGACATCTTTGCAGACGGTTCTCTATCGTCAGCCCTCGAACATCTTGCGAATCCAGTCATCCAGCGGTATGAATGGCCGGGGAAGGACCGTGAGCCTAGCCTATGGCAGAAGTCAATTACCGCATCCTTGGATATCTTGCGTGTAGCAATTCCTTACGTGGAGCAACAATACGATACATCAACCGAGTCTCAGATATCGTGTTTCTGGAACTGGGTCGTTGAGATAGCGAATGGTATCATCTCCGCCAGGGGCTACCGCACAGCTCCTATCTCGAGACTTACTATGCTTTCTGATGAAGCTTTCGACATCGAAGCCTTCAATAAGCTGAAATCGTTTATCATCCCGCCTCTCGGTGCACCAATCATCTCGGACACTATTCGAAGGGAATTTGCCTGCGCCCTTCTTCATTCCTCCTTTATCTACCTACCACAGCGCCACGATCTGCCCACCAAATATCGCGAAGACGAAGCCCTCACTGGCTTATATAACGTTCGACCAGGACGGACTCTTGAACCGCCTCCAACCACACGGACCAAGATGGCCTACACAGCTTTAAATGCCTTGTTTGAACTATCATCTTCACCCGGCCAAGCAAACGAGGCCCTTGAGGCCTCGGCTGCTGAAGAGAGGTCCAGACAAATCGTTGTAGCGCGCTCTGTGTCGCCGTATCTGATTCTTCGGTGTGCGGTATCATTGAAGGGCTATATTTCCGATCAGCCTCTACGCGGACTCATGCCGCAGCCGACTCCAGCTCGTAAAGCACTTCTATATCTCCTCGAGGGAATGGTCAAACTCCGAAGCGAGCCCTCTGCTATTCCACCCCCGCCTATCACGAAGACGGTTCCTGGTGACACTAATAGCCAGAATCACAAGAAACACCTCGAATGGATCTACCCGCTGGTGGTGCAGGCAGTGCAAGTTGCAGGCAAACAGCGGGAGGGCGGTGAGGTATTACGGGCTCTTGGAGAGGTGCTTCGCGAAGTCGGCATCAACGTATAGAACCTTTATACTTTGTCCTATAGACATAGATGGATGTTCATAAAACAAACTCATGTGGTGTATAATTTTACCTTTCTGTACAAGTGATTTGCTGCAAGCCTTCGCATGGCGATTCTTTCTGCATATGCTAAAGGTATCAATGCAAGAAACTCCTATCCACACATCTTTCTGTGGCACAACCATGTATAGGGAACGACACGCTAAAAACTCCCAAAACGCCAACCATGCAATCAACCAGCCCTAGAAGCAGGAAAAAGAAAAAGAAAAAGAATAACCCTAAGGCCTGAACCCCGCCAACTCCCCGCCAACAACACTCATGACCTCCCTCTGCACATCCCCCATCGTCCCCCTAACGTCAACAGTAAGCGCATCCCACTCGCCCACCCCAGGCTCCTCCAAGTCCCTCAACTGACTCTCCACCATACCAGGCTTCATATAATGCGCCTGCCTGGCCGAGACCCGCTGGTATAGGACGGCGGGATCGAGTTTCAGGTACACGAAATGAATGCGCACGTTCGGTGACCCGTACGCGGCAACGCGCATTACATCCCGGTATTTCTTCTTGAGCGCGCTGCAGGCGACGACGACGCCGGCGGGGGGTGAGGCGTTTCCGGCGCTGGCTGTTGATAGGAGCGTTGTTGCTGCGGAGCGTAGGGCGATGAGCCAATCCCAGCGGTCTGCGTCTGTGAGGGGGATGCCGGCGGACATTTTTTCTTTGTTGGATATCGGGTGGTACTGAGAGTTTTGTTAGTTTCTTATTTGTTTAATGTAATTTATCCGTCTGATATATCTGATAGAATTGTGTTGCGTGGGTAATAAATAGGTAGGCACGTGTAGTATACTCCATAGTTGAAGTTGGAGTACAGTAGCGGTATTTGGGGTAAAATCAGGCAACTTACATCATCACCCTCAATAAACGGCACGCCCAATTCCTGCTGGAGATAACGCCCGACGGTACTTTTGCCGCTGCCGGCTGGACCGGTGACAACCCAGATGTGTTGGAGGAATTCGGGGGCGACTGAGGCTTGTTCGGGGCGCATTGTTGGCGCTGATGCTGAGGGTGCGGTGTGGTTGCGGGAGGCTTTGCTGCGAGACGAGTCTACGGCTGCATTTTGGGAGGTGCCGGCGGAGAGCATTTTGAAGAGGAAGAGGAGAGTTTTCTTTGGAGAGGTCTAAATGGTACAAGGTGGAAGTTTGGGAGTGTCCCGTGTGGTTCAACCAGAGTTTTAGAGAAGATGCGATTCGGATTTAGGCTGTAATATATGGATTGGAGCCACGGAGTAACAAAGGTTTGCGCAAGGCTTGCAAGAGGAGAGACAGAGCAAGGAGGGAGGATCAGATGAGAAGAGAAAAGAGGATTATTATGTCAAGAACGCATGGTTAAATAAAGGCTTCGCCTCCTGGACCGGGTGTGCGCCAGTGGGTCATAAACCGATATTTGTATATCCTTATTCAGGGCCACATCGGGGCTCTCCATTCTGGGCGATGTATTTGTGACAGGAGCAGAGGACCAGGAATTGCTCATTAAACGAACAGGAAAAAGGGAATACAAACTGAATACAGCCGAGTGGGGGAGAGTGGGGGGAGAACAAACAAAGACCTGGAGGATTCCAGTCCAGCGGTCTGGTAATCGTTGTTAGCGGCTGATCTTGATTGTACAACGTGTGCCTTGCTGGCTGCTTCACACTCCAATTGAGGCAATGATGAGGCTATCCAGCCTGTTTCTGAGGGTACCTAATCATGACAGAATCAAAAAGGCCAGGTCTTCTATGAATGCCTCCTCCGGCGTCATTGCGAACGAAGTCTTGACCTATGATGTCACAGTCTTCTTAGCCGGGGAACCGGGTCGTCGAAGCAGGTACTTCACTTCAACAATACGAGAACTATCGAGGCTTGTAACCATATCGTATAGAGCTCCAGTCAAAAACATGGAATCTTACCGGATGCCCTGGTGACTGACTGCATCATCTCTTCAAAATCATAGCACCGTCAGTCCATCTGAGGTTGCCGTTGTATACCCCCACGCTATACCTGATCAGGCAACTCTGGTATCGAAAGAGACCTCGTCGGAAAATGATACGGAGTCAGGACTTTCCTCCTCCATTTGTGTTGAATCGTTGTGCACAGTTTTATCGGACTCGGTACCTCCACTTGCCGTCTTCTGATCCCGCACTGAAACCGCAAGCCTGGCAGATCTAGCTTCAAAGTATCCTCGCTGTTGAATCGTACTTTTCTGGACCCTGGTCGAAACGGTAGACCAGGCATTTCTTGCCAATCTGAGGGGTAGCATCAGCTGCCCTTTTGCTGGGACTACCATTCCTTCAGGCCGAGAGGCAGGATCCGACTCTGGCCCTTTAGAGGCATTGATCCCCATCGAGAGTAGAACTGGGAGCGATGCGATTGGCCAGTCGTGTGGCTGTAGGGTGTGGCTGAATTCCGGGGAAGCCCGCTCGGGGGCTCGTGAGGCACCAAAGGTCAAAAACCATGCATCACTCCGCAAGCAGCTATAATTCCCCGGCAATCGTGGTTGGCCCTAAAAGAGTAGTACTTTATTCGATTCCTGCTTCATTATCGTCTTGTTCCGGGCATCCGCCAATTGGCAAGCAGCGCTTTCCAATACCCTGCCTATGATGCAGCGGAAATGGGTTTCCTGGGAGTTCCCAGATGTCACAGCCACAACCATCTGTACCCTCTCATTCGAGAACCTGTCTCATGCGCTTGCTGTAAATCGATATCAGTGCCCTCAAATCTTGTTCGAGACGTCACCTGTGGGTGGAGATGATCAGGTCATCCCCAAATTAATCGGTCTGAAACGCTTCGATCAACCACGTTTTTCTTGGCGGCGTGTTTCTGTAACATATACACCCTCAGATCAAGCGAGAAATTTGAGTTATCATCGACTGTTTGAGGTCTTACTGAGAGCAAGAAGACTTTGTCGGATGAGTTGGGAGATGTCAGTTGTGCTATGCATGATCAAAGCATTACGTAATCAAGAATATGCCCACCGCCAGGCAGTAATCATCAACCATCATGAAGCTCAACTGAGCTCAGCTAGTGGCATTGTCCTTGTCATTGCGCTTATCCGATCTGACATACGAGACTAGTGACTTGAAATTGTCTCTTAACGCCTTGCCCACCATGACCTCCCTCTTCTTTTCGACCCCGCTCGACATCGATATCGTCCTTGAGGATGGCGACGAGCGCCAGATGGTGGATGCCAAGCTGGACAAGGGCCATCGTGAGAAGGTCCCTTTATACATGGATGGGGAGTCTGTCAAGGGTGCTGTAACTGTACGACCAAAAGATGGAAAGCGATTGGAGCATACAGGCATAAAGGTGCAGTTCATCGGAACGATAGGTACGGAAAGCTGGCTTCATTGGCGCTGCGGTGATGGCTGAGAGGGCCAGTTCGATTTACGGGCATATTGTGGCAAGGTACTGATCCTACTCGCACGGTATAGAAATCTTCTACGACAGAGGCAACCACCACGAATTCCTATCTTTGGTCCAGGAACTCGCAGCCCCTGGCGAGCTACAACATCCGCAAACCTTCCCATTCAACTTCAAAAACGTCGAGAAACAATACGAATCCTACAATGGCATCAATGTGAAGCTACGATATTTTGTCCGGGTGACGGTGTCAAGACGCATGGCGGACGTGATTCGAGAGAAAGACTTATGGGTTTATTCTTATCGCATGCCGCCCGAGACCAACAGCCCGATCAAGATGGACGTCGGTATCGAAGACTGTCTACACATCGAGTTCGAATACTCCAAATCAAAGTACCACCTCAAAGACGTCATCGTGGGACGCATCTATTTCCTTCTAGTGCGGCTGAAGATCAAGCATATGGAGTTATCGATCATTCGAAGGGAGACGACAGGAGCCCGGCCAAACGAGTACAACGAAAGCGAAACACTGGTGCGATTCGAGGTTAGTATTTGGAACAAGACCGCTGTGCATTTCTCAGGGCATATTTGCTGATTGGCTGACCCTTGCATAGATCATGGATGGATCACCATCACGAGGTAAGCTCATTGATCTGCTCCCTACTTGCATACGCATTGTCTGTTGGCTCTGAAACGCGACGTCCGGACTTTCTTGAGATGGTTCACCGAAGAACAAGGCAATGAGATGGGCGAAGAAAGGCAATCAATCTGACCCTTGCTTACCATGAGCAGGTGAAACTATCCCCATCCGTTTGTTCCTCGGTGGATTTGATTTGACGCCCACGTTCCGAGACGTCAACATGAAGTTCTCGACACGTTATTATCTGAGTTTGGTGCTCATTGACGAAGGTACGTTGACGTGGTCACATGCGCCTATGATGTGTCTGCCCCTTATCAACCCCCCGTTTTCCTGAAAACCAACGCAACGTCTATGAAACACTCACTCAGGCGTATGCGTTGGCGCCTGAAGTTATTCCTTCCACTGCCGATGATTCAGTGCCCAAAAAACCGCCCCAAGTCACATATCAATAGCCGACGGCTATTGAAAATAGGGTCGGACCAGTCAAACACGCGGAGGGTTCGGCTCGGCTGGTTGCAGGCACCATTTGTCGGCCTCTCCCCGACTGAGCACCCCCACGCTAACCAGCCTTCACGTGGTGGACCCCACCGTCCCCAGTTCTCCTTGCCCTTGTATTTTCCGGTTTTTTTATCTTTACGCCCATCCCACGCTTTGCTGTATTTTTGACCCCCAGCACTGACCGGTCAACTAACGCCTTCCTTCCCTTCTATAGATGCCCGCCGGTACTTCAAACAATCTGAAATCATCCTCCACCGTCTCGCTCCCGAAATTCCGCCCACACCCGAAGTAGCCCGCCAGCAGAAAATCCAGATGGAGCAGGCCGAAAAGGACCAACAGCGCCAGCTCCCACCAGGATCTGCAACGCCTGGTCCAGGCAGGGAACCGCATCCTACTACGTCTCTTACTAGTACAACCACGGGCCAACCGGCGGTCCCAGCTCCTGTGGCTTAGTTTTCCTTTTCAATCAACCCTAATTTACCAGCATTACCTCAGTGATCTCACTGCTTGGTGCAAACGACCTTTTGTCAAATCATAGAAGAAGCTCGGGCCAAAGTTCTGATACGATATATCAGCCACACCAATATCGACATATACCCCCGTCCGCGCTGGCTACGTACATGTATATTTCCCTGTATACGTATGCTATATCTTTGTCATGATGCTCATATATGCTAGCTAGCTTACTCGCTTACGAATGCATTTCCTTCCTTGTTCCTTGCTATTTTATCAGTTCTCGAGCCCGAGACCATCTCTGTTGGGGTAGGTCTTTTTGGTGCCCTGCCTTGTAGAATACTTGATTGCAGTGAGGCGCCCATCTTCTGTAGTCACCCGCCTGCTCAACACTAGCTTGCGTGATTGCCGAGGTGCTTGCTAAAACGCTCGCTTAGTTGCTTGCTCAAGGTGCTCTGCTGCGCATGTAGGTTGCGGAAGCGGGGCTATCGAGGACCCTAGTAGGTGAGGTTTATGCCAGGAACGAACCTTGATGCTAGTCCAGACGACTGTGGGGAGGGAGGACGGGGCGGTACGACTAGACCATGCGGAGCATATCCAGATCCTGTTGTGGAAGGCGCGAAGGGCCGTGGGTATCCTCTACAAGAACCCTTCTCTCGCTCAGAACCTCTTAAGGAGCAAGCACCTTACTATCGCTGTATTAATTATGGAGTGACTTCGTCAATGTCATTACATTCTACGATCTTCAGAACTCTTTTCAAAGGATATAAATCTTAGAGCTAGATAGATCAATTCTACCGAAGACGTTATAAGTGGCTGCAAGCCCAGAATACTTTTCTAAATTATGTGAAGGTGTTTAGGCACCCAGCTGAAAATTTGGGGCTGCTGCCTCAAACAATCAATCCTACTGAAACCTTGCAGGAAGAACACAAACAAGTCGGAGCAACAACAAACTGAATTTCCTTCACTACACCTTCCTTTGCTCCCATCTGCTCCAAGTTCAACCTCCAGCTTCATGAAGCTATTGTCTTTTGGCCTCTTCTCCTTGATCCTCGATTCCCATGAACTGTCTTCGTTGACTCCGTTTGCTCTGCTCTTTCTAGCTTTCCCACACCCTCCTGCTACATTGTCGCTTCTAGACACCTAGTAATCCGGAAGAGCCTTCTCTTCTAATATGGGAACTAGAGGCCTGCTATTCATTCGCTGGGAGGGTAGATACTATGTCTACTACAACCACTACGATAGTTACCCAGAGGGTCTCGGAGAGGCTATCGTAGAGAATATTCCAATAACACCCGAGGAGTATCAAGGTATGCCCAGAGCTCATATATCTTCGTACGAGACGGTTAACCTTGCCTTGGAAAAGAATGGCTAGACAATATGCGACAAACCTACACGCGCCTGTCAGACCAATTCCAAGAACATATTCTCCCCATCTCTCCGGATTTCCTCCAGCCTGACGGCATCACTACGCCCAAAGATCGTTATTTCCGCAGCTACCTTGCAGTTGATGATCGGCTTGAAGAAAGACCAACCCTAGCGCTGGAAAATTATTCCGGGGATCTTTGGATTGAGTGGACATACATGATCGACCTTGACCGCGAACTCCTTGTGGTTAATCAGTCTGCCGTTTTTCAGCTTGCGAGACTGCCACATTGCCCTAATTGGCACGGGTTTTTGGAGCAAGACAACCACGGTCGTACAGTTCTGGCCGTCGAGACCCCGTCAGGCCTTATTGGTGTTGGAGCAGACAATATCGAGGTGGATAATGACCTGCGTGATAAATACGCTTCTTTCGATCTTACAGCAGGTTCCCTGGAGATTCTGGAAAAGTCCATTCAAGACCGCACCCCTAGGGTGACTATCTTGACACTGAATATCTTGTCTATTTGTCAAGAATATCGGGGTCTGCTAGATGCATCTTATATGGACTGGTCATCCAAATCCTTCCCATTCCGAGAAATTGCGTCCGCCATCGTGTCTGTTGCCGCTGGAGAAGTAGTTTATGCATCTCCTGAGAACTTCGACGGACGTTATAGGAAAGAGGGTTTCTTTCGCGTTCCCGAGACCGCCCTACCAGTCAGCATCGTCTGCTTCCTGGTTTCCTTAGTGAATGCCATGCCCCTAACGTTAGACCTGGATCCGCCCCTGCCCCGGAAGATAATCCGTTTTGGGTGGGGAACGTGCTTGTATATCTCACCCCGCGGCTTGACTTAGATGAGGTTCAACTAGCCGCAATTCGCCGCGGTAGTCGATTTTGGCCTTCGTCAAGGCTCCAAATCATTTCATGCATTGGTGTTCTCTATTCTGGACCTTTTCATGGTTGATGTCATGGAGATAAATGGGAGCGTTCAAGTTACGATGACACCATTGATGAACTTGATCTTTTTCGATGATGCTACGTCAAGATTTGTGAAAGGGCCTCGTAGCCGAGGTTCAGATCTTGCAACCCATGATAAGACCTCTCAGCACGAAGACGAGGTAGCTGAAAGTGACGAGAAGAAAGACAAAAAGAGCGACGACGAGAAAGACGGGGAGAGAGACGAAGGCAACGACGACGATGATTGGGGCTTTGGTCATGATGGGGGTCTCTTCACGTGGAGTGGAAACATGGGCAGCTATGCTACGGCAGCCATTCTGATAAGTTTCTTCGATTCGGCGATGGATGAGTACCTACAAGATACAAAGTCTCGAGTACTCCCAAACGAGATACTAACTACGATCATGGAGTGCTCGGATCATCAGACGTACTTGTCTCTTGCTAGAGCGTCTGCCAGTTGTCGAGACCTCTATTACCGCAAGTTCAGACTGAGTGATGTTTACGCTGTAATTGATCAGGAGAGCCAGGAAAAGGAGCTGTCGTCCATAACTCTGGAGAATCTCGAATCGGGAGAGAGGATTTCTGCGACTCTTTGCCAGGAAAGTGGCGTGTCACATAAAGTGACCAAGATGAGCCCTATAATAGGGGTAACAGATCCAAACAGGATGAGTATCTTGGATGCATGCGGTTTATACCTTTCAAAAGTTCCGCACACCTCCCTATCCGCAGACAACGGACATGCCGGCTCAGTAAGTTGTCACTCGAACAGTTGGCCCATGGGCAATGACTAACCTGATACAGGGAGGCATACACTTACTTGGCGCACCCTCGCGGGCCAGAGCCGGAGCGCCTTTTTCAACTGCCAAGTCACTCTTACCTTGGTTCTCTTGAAGATACCTTTGGGCGCTATATTCTAGGGACAATTCAAGGTAAGCTCCCCGAGAACTCTAGATTCACACGCATTGATTCTGGGCAATACCGATGCCTCCTTCCGCATGGCTATCGAATGTTGAAGATGGATAAGTTTTTCTGCAGCGGTCTGCAGATAATCCTCAGACCCGGAGGCCACAAAAGTGCAGAAGAATGGACAAAGACAATGAAGTTTGCAGTGAAAAAGCTCCACCATCGGGAAATAACTGGCGCCGACGGATTTGGCTTTGCCAGGGGAGGATGCCCTGTAATCGTGGCCTTTGAGAGGCGCTTGAGGCTGTTCTACTACGTCAACAAGTGTGATAGCCCATCCGAGGTGGATACTTCAACACCGCATTGCGTCGAACTCGCAGAAAAATGCACGGACGAAGACCCTAGCCGCCGACTTGTTGAACTCATACCAGGTGATGAGCCTGTGAGCCTGGACGATCCGGGATCCCGCGAGCAGTTCGAGAGCTGGATCCTGTCCTTCTGTGCTCCTGGTGAGCAGCAAATGACGGAGTGGGACCCTTTCACTGCCAAACATACCGAGCTGAAGAGAACAAAGCGGGAGGCATAGTTGTTTGTGCTCGCGCGCCTCATCCTACGGATTTCTGGCTTTGGACCAACTAAGTGAGCAGCTGAGTAGGTAACGACCTGGGAATACTAAGCAAGGGCTAGATCAGGAGCTGAAAGAAAATTTGGTTGGTTAGGGCAAGCCCCAATACAGGTGATACACAAAGGGTGGCAACCACGGGTGCAGCTCTTGTCTATAAACTCTTATTCAGAACACTTATTGGCCTAAGAACATCCTGAATCAAGCTCTGTACCTTGAAGGCCATGTAGCAAACCCCCAGTTGCCTATACCGGCTTCCGCGCCTAGTGCAGTATCCTTGGGCTCACCCTACAACTAGTCCGTCGCCATTGTTGGCGGCGTCATCGTAGAGTCAAAAGCATCCGCTCGGGCGACTCGATGAGCTCCTTGACTAAGCTAGCCATCCTCGCCATTGTCGCCCCATCTACCACGCGGTGATCTGCACTCCAGCTGAAATTCACAACCTCGTTCTTCATGACCTGACCGGCATCATCAAAAGTAGGCACTGTCCTCGCCCGCCCAATTCCGAGAATAGCCAGTTCATTCGAGACAATCACGGGGCTAACGTAGGTTCCTCCGATATTTCCAATGTTTGACACAGTAATGGTGCCACCACTAAGGTCGGCGGGTGTGATCTTGCCTTCTTTTCCTAGTGCGCTGAGACGTGTGATCTCCTGGGCAATTTCTTGGAGTGACCGGCCTCCAACGTCCTTGATGTTGGGGACTATCAAGCCTTGTGGAGTATCCATCGCAATTCCGATGTTGTGTCTTGGCCGCATGATGAGCTGAGGCTTGTCGGGGTTACTGGTGTCTAGTTTTGCATTGAGTATGGGGTAGTCGTTCAGAGCGAGAGATACAGCTTTGACAACGAACGAGAGGAACGTAATTTTCTGCGGATCCTTTGCGTCGGCAGCAAGTCTCTTTCTAAGGGCTGTGATGTTGTTGATGGTAAGCTCGTCTGCGTATCCAAAGTGTGGGATAGATAGTGACCGTGTCATCGTCTTGAACATTTGCGATTGGATAGGCGTCAAGTTGACGGCCGTGTCTCCTTGTTGAGGCGTAAGTGTCACAGCGGGCTGGCTGCTTCTTGCAGCAGCGAATCGCTGGACGTCCTCCTTGAGTACTCGCCCATCCTTCCCTGACCCTCGCACATCTTCGATATTCACATTGAGCGATTTGAGCAGCCCTCGGACTGCTGGGGTAGCCAGTGTTGCATAGCGGGACTTTGGAGCGTTATTTTCGAGAGGTATGCCTGGAGAAGTAGATACTAGAACAGTAGGCTGAGGAACCACTTGCGATGCTGTATGAGTCGGAACTGGTGGAGGGGGTTCTGTACCCGATACCGCCGGGGGATGCTCGTCAGGGTACTTTGCGTCGTCGACTTCTATGTCACAGAGCGCCTATAAAATCCATAGTTAGCATGCGCAACGACATCTTTCGACGTACTTGCTTACCATCCCGGTTGGCACTGTGTCATCCGCCTGAAAATGGAGCTTCTTCACCACGCCCTCATACCGCGAGGTAATCTATATATATATTAGCATATAGTCAATCCAGAACGTATGAGACAAAAGGCCAAACTTACATCATCAACCGCTTTATCCGACTGATACTGACACAGTGGCTTCCATTCCTCAACTCGGGCCCCCTCCTCAACATACCATTGAATGATCTGAACTTCCGTTATCCCTGCCGAGAAACCGCGCGTTAGCATCCTGTATAAAGAACAAATCCTCGAGTATGGTTCATACCTTCCCCGACATCCTTCAAGACCTGAGACCGAATCCCTTCAAGAGCCAATGCGGCATGAAAGCTCCGCCGCCCGCGGGGGAGACATATTGAGGGGGAGAGCCGATCACGAATGCTAAGAGCTGTGCGGGATTGGGAGTGTTTCCAGGCTCTGGAGAAGCCTCGACTGCAACGTAGAACATTCATTGTCAATTTTTCCACGATGACCGAGGGGTAAGGAGTAATGGAGGAGAGAGGGCATCCAGATGGGACGAAACAAATAATGTCTTCCCTTCCTTTATCACTCCGCATCTGCGCATACAACCGCCGACGATAACCGATGCGTAGCGTCATATCACGTGAATTTCTCCGCATCTCGGAACAGAAGTCGGGGTAGTCACGTGAATAGCGCGATATACCTATGTACTGATGTGGAATTGAAGAGGCTGACTTGAAGGAAAAGCTGAAGCCGAGCTGGCTGATTATTGTACATGATTTATATATACAGAGAAGCTATTGTGCATGGGCAGGTGTTATTCTGGTGGTTCAGGCGCCATCTTCGGATGCCGTGTTGCCCGCTAAAATCCTCTAGTCGCATTTCTTGCTCATCTGGGCTTGCAGGTTCTCGTTTTGCACGTAATTGTCTTCCTTGGGTAAGCGATATGTGCCCCCTACTCGATCCCAGAAGGTTAGAAACTGCCCATAGTTGTAGTTGAAGTATAAATGGTGCATTGTGTGACATGCGGCCCCATTGACAACCACGGACTGCGAAAGATACTCGGCATCATCTGTTGCGCGTTAGAATTTTTCTACTAAGTCGCCAATATCAATAGTCACTCACGAATCAACACTGTCCACAGCGTAACAAACACGAAGAGGCCAAGATACGCAACCTTCTGCAGCGGAAAGAGGAATGGAAAGATATGGTACGGCAAGCTCTGCGACCAGCCATCCACGGGGTGGAATGCGTAGCTGGCAAACGGCGTCGGAACAATCCATTTGTGATGTGGCTTGTGTAGCCAGCGGTAGACAGGCGGGTAATGCAACCACCGATGTATCCAGTAAATTCCGCAGTCTGTGAAGCATACGAAGAATATATACTGTAGCCAGGTGTATTCACGGAATGGAGCATCATCGGCGAAATCATATAATTTAGACCAACCGCGGATCTCTGCGAGAAAGAAAGGCGTGGTGAGAACGGCGATCACGGGTATCGCACTCACTCCTTGTTGAATCTCGAGGCGGATCTGGTTGGGGAGAAACTGAGGGTGACGAAGGAGCCGTTTGTCAAACTTTGTGTGGTAAACAATAGTGCTGCCGATGAGGTACATGGCGAGCGCAAAGATCCTGTAAGCCCCCGCACTTCTTAGTTCTTCGCCTCGACAGTATCTTGAATAGAGTAGAGCCGCACCATGAGATTAGAAATAGTGACGTTGCCTGTCGTACGATATGATCGCGCTTCCATAGGCTTGCATCGACGTAAAGAGATGGTTCTAGGGGAATATAAAGACCAATATGTTTGTTGTAGGCGTTCCGTGTTCCTGCGCCATATAGAATGGGGCGGGGACTTGGCAAGATCGATGCGTATAATCGGTCGAACACGAAGGTATCGAGAACGTCGAGAAGCACGTCCATAGTGAAATGTAGAGCACGCTTGGTGAGAAGTGCTTGAAGGTCTTGAAACAGCGAGACAACGCATGGCAACAAGACTCCTTCTTATGCTCGGGAAATCCCTACATAGAATTAGGGTTGGGATTCCCACCTGTGGAGAATCCCTACAGCGGGAAATCCCTACCGCGGAGATTACCCACACGGCGAATAACTACAACATCCTCTCACGAATGTTTTGCTTCGGCACTTCTGAGGCCGAGTGGGTTGATATAACATTCGACTCACTTGGCCTGAACGGAACGTGACCCATGGCCTGAGAAACTGCACTCTATCATGCCACACCCAGCGCGCCGGGTAGTTTAATGTATCGGCAACACCATTGGATAAACTCGTTTAGTTTTCCGAGATCATCTGTGGCTGCACTATCCAGGTAGTTCGGAAGATTTGTGGAGCTCTGACTGGAAATGCTCACTGTCACCGTCAGGAGTAGCCAAAGCTCTTCTGCGTGTTTCGGATACCCTAGGAGCAGCAATTTTTTGTTGCTTGGGTCATTATATACCCGATTCCAGATTTGTTTCCAGTTGTAGGCGGCGTGTCCTATCTTGTCCAGAGGCACGGACCCGCAAAAATCGGACCTGGCCAGAAAAGCGAGGGAATTCAATGCTACAGACATGGCCTTAGCAATGACTGTGACCAGATTTTAGAGGATAACGTACCGTAGATCATGATTAACAGATGCTCGGCGGAAAGTGCTAGCTTGGATGGTATATGGCCAGTGTCACGGTTATCGATCAATAGGCGAACTGCTTCTCTGACGGATGGCAGTGGGAGTCGCGTTCCATGAGCCTCGGCGAGTTCACTGAAGTTAGACGCACTCTCGGCCTCCCATAAATCTGTCCTCCATGAAAACGAACAGTCCATCTCGAAGATGGATACAGTCGGGCGGTTCTTGAAACAGAGAGTCAGGAATCCATCGGCAAGGAATACCCATGATGCAAGACGTATGCACATTTCCTCGGCGACCAACTCCCTCCATTTGAAGTCGTCACAATTGCAAGATGTTGGAGACATGGTCCGCTTGAGGTTGAAAATGCCCATACAACGCATAAGAGACACCAAACTTGGGTGGCGTATGATTCGAATGCGGCGCCTTGTTTCAATCTTTTCTTGTCCGAACTGCAGCATTTCAATAATTAGTGCGGCTTGCATGAGCTGGATAGTAGAGCGCTGATGCGTGATATCATTTTTGGGTGGAGCGGGTTGTGCCGACAAGGTTGTTATTTGTCGAAATATATGCTCCTCAGCAACATCAAGAAGACCAGATAGCAAGGCCGCATCGCTAGATGAGCTGCTGTACGTGGCACCAGCCAAGAATATTGAGAGTAGCAGTGGGTTGGAGACGCTACTCGGATCGAACGTAGGAAAATGCACAACGGGGAGATGCCAATGGAGAGAGTGGAAGAAGACCGTGATGAACGTAGCAAGATTAGAAACCGTGAAGAGGGGAGCTAGTTGTGCAGCATTATAGAGGGGCTGTGCGCCACTGGTATTGCCAAGTTTTATTGACTTTGAGGTCTCAATCACTTCCAGCATCAGTTCGTTCAGCTGCTCGGAAAGTCTGGTGGGACTAGGGCCGTATGATAGGAAGTCAAACGGCAGAAATTCGTCTGTGGCTAAAGGAGGGCGAAATAAGGTCTCAGTTCCCAGAAGATCACTGAAGCCAGCTGCCAAAGAATCCAGAGGTATGAGAGCATCTTCGAGGTGAGAATATAGGGTTTCGAGATTTCTTCGGACAGAACATTCTGCAGTCGTTCCGATAGCGAGCCTGTCCCTCTCAACACAAGGATCGGTAAAGTGCCGAAGAAACGAGAACTGCAAGTCGTCCTTAGATACTGGGGGCGCCTGTATCGATAGCGACAGGGACGCGTCAATCGGACCGGAGCGGCTCAAGGAAAGGTCTTGGTGAGATGCATATGTGCATTGCTGTCCAAGAGAACGGCAGCGCGAGCATGGGGAATCTTTGTCGCATGCTCTTTTCATAGAGAAACACTGATCGCAAGATTGCCTTTTCCTGCCCGCTTTCGCTGCTGGAGCGGCCTGTTGATTGTATTTAATCGCACATGTTTTGCTATGTCGTCGAGCAACCTCCCTAGACCTGTATTAGTCTTGAAGGCGATTCCAGTACACAGTGAAAAGTGGTCTATACGGTTTGACAAAGGCCTTTTTGCAAAATGGACATGCTGAGGTAGTCTGGCCGGTATCTAGTAGCAGGACGGTTAGTTAGGGACTGCCAAATAATCATCGTCCTCAGACTCACGGGTCACTTCATGACGCTGTAAATGCGCTTTTCGTTGGTAGGTCTTGTCACAATGCGAGCACCGGAACATGGCTCCCTTACAGGCCCTCGACTAATTGATCACATTTAATTCCATCGGAACTTGAAGTGGTAATATGGAGTGCATGCATGATGCTGGTTCTGGCAGTGGCAGAAAATCATGTGATGTCAATAGCTTAGTCAGCTGAATCAAGCTTCAGCAACTGGGATGAAGATCTAATTAAACCAGGCCTAAAGTGGACATTGCGGAATTGCCGAGCATCAGAAACTTCTATTTAACGTTCACATCTTCCTGGGGATGTTTTGCGATATGTTGACCTTGGACCTTGATAGACACAAGGCCGGATGCGGCCGTCTACCCCTCCCCCACTATCAACTGGAACAGAGAACCAAATAATGGGACGCATCGAGGTCGACGTTCAGTCACCAATCCATGCCGTCTACGTCGGGTTTAACTCTCACTAGGCCTTATCGCGTTGAGCTGAAAACCTCTCTGAAACATTTGATTGGCGCCCCGCCCACCGTGGGCTGTTTAGTGCAACAACAAACCACGGATCTTTGGAGCCTAAAAGGATCACAGCTGAGCTTCAGACGTATTTTAGCCCTGATCAGTCCCCTCTCTGAGATTCCTCTCTAGAGGTTCCATATCGATTGAACCCAACGAAGTCTCAGGCGTTCAACATAACCATGGTGGCCGAACATCTGACAATCAGGAACTTGACTTCCACCCCAATTGTGCTGAAGCGCATCGAGCGCTTTCGCGCCCCTGAGAAGCCTCGCGATGTCGACATTGGCGCTCTAGCAAAGAACTTTACAAGGCTTGTGACCAATGTCACCCGTGCCGAGGCACCTGTTGCATCAATCAACGATGACACCAAGCCCTTTGCCCACAAGGACGTTGATGTCCGCATCGAGCCCTTCAGAACAGTCAAGACGGAGCTCCGCTCTCACATCGACTCAGAGCAGGAGAGAATCCGCTGGGTCTTCGAATCGAAGGGCGAGAAACACCAGATTCAGACTCCGGTGCCCACAACCGAGACCGCCAGCATGAAGCCCTTGACCAAGGACGCAAAGCTCAGATTCACCGGCATCTACTCGACAGCCGAATCCCATCTCGCCGTGTTCTCCTCGGCCAACCTGAATGCATGGATGCGAGAGCTCAAGGACGACACCCTGCTGTCCTCTCTCTCCATCCCAGGAACGCACAATTCGCCGACATGCCATGTCGCACCACCCTCTGTCCGCTGCCAGGCCGCTAGCCCGCGCGAACAGCTGAAGAATGGTGTCCGCTTCTTCGATATCCGCGTCCAACCCAAGTTCCCAGAAGACGCATCCAAGGACGAGCTCATCCTTGTCCACAGCACATTCCCCATCTCCCTAACCGGAGACAAATACTTCCGCGACCTCATGCGCGAAGTCAACGACTTCCTTGAGCACAACCCATCCGAGACCCTCATCATCTCTCTCAAACGTGAGGGTCCTGGCAAGCACACCGATGAGCAGCTCAGCCGTATCCTGCGCGACCACTACTGCCGCCCAGGAAGCAGATGGTACACCGACCCCAAAATTCCAACCCTCGGCGAAGTTCGCGGCAAGGTCGTCCTTGTCCGCCGCTTCAACATGCTCGAAGAGCTCAAAGAGATACACGGCGGCCGAGGATGGGGTATTAACGCCACAGGCTGGGCCGACAACTGCGCCAACGCGACCTGCCCCAGTGGCCAAATCGTCATCCAAGATTTCTACGAAGTTCTCGAAACCGAAAACATCGACAAGAAGATCCAGTACGTTCGAGAACACTGCAAACGCGCAAGCGAGACGTGCTATCCCTTTGGTGTTCTTCCGGGCCCCAACGCGACAAAGGCGCATCCGTTCTACGTCAACTTCCTGAGCGCGAGTAACTTCTTCAAGCTGGGGACGTGGCCTGAGAAGATCGCTGAGAAGCTGAACCCGGCTACGGTTGATTATCTTTGCCGGAAACATGGTGAGAAGGAGGGCGCGGACTGGGCGACTGGTATTCTTGTTACCGATTGGGTTGGCCTTGATGGCGATTGGGATCTGGTTAGGTGTATTGTTGGTATGAACGCGAAGCTTATGGTGCGGCAGAGGAAGCAGGAGAACAGTCCTGAGAGGAGAGAGGATCATGATCGAATGTAGATGCATCTGATCTATGACCTTTTTAACGACCGTAGAGTAGAATTATACCAACAGACAAGTTAATTCCAATGTTAATGTGCAAATGTGTTTGTACAATATCAAGATTGCCATACAGAAGGCATTGATACCTAGGGCTAACCAAGTTTGTTCTAGAAAGTGATCATGATCTTGACAAAAGATATCAGAAATAGAGGTATTTATTATACACGCAGAAATCCAAGAAAGCTAACCGGCCGACTTGTTTACTCTGCCTTCTTCTCCTCATTTTCCCCAGAGGCTTCCTTCTGTTCGTCTTCCAGCTGCGTCCTCCGACCCTCAAGGGTAAAGTATAGACTCTTACCAGCTCCCTCCAAAGCATTCGTAATGCTAGATCCCATGCTCTGCAGGGCCATGACGAGTTGGGAGCGCAGACCATCCATGCCACCTTCGATACTTCCAACCCATTTCGCCTGGTCGACGTCAAAGACCTTATCGTCCACGCGCGCAGCAAGGATGTTCAACTTGGTCAGACCGTTCTGAACAGGGAAATCGTGCCAGTCTGGATTGGCTTTTCGGGTAGGCGCAGGGTAGCCAAAGGCCTTGGGGGCCAGAACGGACATGGCTGCCTTTAGGTGCTCCGGGGACATGTTTGGAATAGAGAGGACAGCAATTGGCCCCACAAGAAGAGTAGACAGCTCATGCTTCCCCCTCATGTTGCGCACAGCATTCTGAGCGGCACGCGATAAATCGTGTGTCAGTGTAGGGTCGTCTCGGGAGTCGGATAGGCAGATTTCGGCGGAGGTCTGTGTAGCCGGATCGACTGCGGCTGGCGGCTTGCCTTGCTGTATTGTTGATTGGCTGGGTCGGAAATATTCCACGATACGCAGGGCAACTTCAAAGATACTGGTCTGGATAATTTGGACTTTGACATGGGGAGCCAAGGCCGGGGTGCTGCGGCCCTCCGCGGCGATCTTCGCGTCGACTTTTTGCATGGCTTTGCTCAATTCTCGTCGGATCGCAGCCCATTCAACTGACTTGAGGTTGTCGTGCTGCATAAAGACCATGAGCGGGCTTGTGCGGATAAGGGAGGTGTATTGTCGGAGGAGCTGGGAGCGTCGGTTCTCGGGGCTTCTGTGAGAAGGAGGCTGCGAGGGATGGAAATGGGCGATTGGAGGCGTTGACACGGTGATCTGCTCAATTGAGGGGGCAGGGACTGTCGCTGTTCCAGTGCTGGCATATCGAATGGCCGAATGGATTTCGAATTGGCAGAGCACTCGTTGACAGCGGACGGGTTGAGGAACCCGCGCGTTCGAGAGACGAAGTCGAGGAGGCATTTGTGGCGGATCGGAAGGTAAGTGCGCACGGGCTCTGCTATACCGTAGAAGGTGCCTCGTGTAAGCTAGATACTGAGTAGAACCCCCTCTGTCAGCAAGATTGCACGCTGCCAGCAACGACACCTTCGCGAGGATCGGACAAGACAAAAATCATTATGGGCGGAAGCAGCCAAGGCCCCAAACAGGACTAGCGCGCTCACAGGGCGGTGCTATGAATTCTGCCGCGAGCCGTGATCCGAGCCTTGCCTAAAGGAGTAAATATGTGTCACCGACGATCCCCAATAGTTGGAAGCAAACTGCATATATAAAGCCATTCTTCGCCCGGTCGAAGGTTTCCTGAGACTTGAGTCATCGCTTCTGAAGGTCTCTTAACTGTCTTTAGTCCCAACTGAGCTTCAATGGCTTCCCCAACTCGCCAAAAACCGGAGAGCATCTCCATAAGCCCCCTCCTCAAGAAGCTTGCCTACCCCGCGTCCGAGGTCGCCGTCGAAGCCTCGGAAATCGCGTCGGCGTTCGCATTGATCTTCGAAGACCGTCTCTCCGATGTCCAGACCGCAGCTCTTCTTACACTGCTGCATTCGACTCAGCTTGACAAACATCCCGAAGTCATTGCGAAATGTTCTTATCGGATGCGGGAGGCCGCTCGCCAAACAGACAAAGCCGCTTTGCAAAAGGCGATTCAATCTCGCGGAAAATCAGAAGGAAAGTACAGAGGTGGTCTGGTGTGTCTTCCATTTGTGATATAATTACCGTCGAGCTGCTCTAATTCCGAGATTTCTTGTAGTGCGACATTGTTGGAACAGGCGGTGATTCACATTCTACCTTTAACATCTCAACAACCTCATCTATTCTCGCCTCCCCCCTCCTTGTCGTCGCCAAGCACGGAAACCGCGCGCAAACTTCCTTCTCTGGCTCAGCAGACGTGCTCCAGGCTGTCACCCCTATCCCTCCCAAGATCACCGCTGTCAACGCCGAGAATCTCAGCCAGGTCTTCGCCGCTTCCAATTACTCTTTCCTTTTCGCCCCTAACTTCCACTGTGGTATGCTGTATGCAGAGCCCGTGCGTCGGCAGCTCGGACTACGAACAATCTTCAATCTTATGGGTCCCCTTGCAAACCCCGTTGACTGGGCGATTGAAGCACGCGTTGTCGGTGTAGCCTACCAAGCCCTTGGACCCGTCTTCGTAGAGGCTTTACGTCAGAACGGAGCCAAGAAGGCCCTGGTCGTCTGCGGTGAGGAAGATTTGGACGAGATTAGCTGTGCTGGGAAGACAAACTGCTGGCAGCTCACCGAGGAACCGAACCCGGATTTCGATGAATCACGAGCAGACGAGGAAGAGTATGTGGAAGAGGTTCCACGGACGATCGCCAAGTTTGACCAGTTCTCAATATGCCCGGCTGATTTTGGACTACCAAGCTATCCCCTCACTGAGGTCTACGGCAGGAAAATGCCCAAAGATAATGCGGCTAAGCTTATGCAGATCCTGCGAAACGAGCTACCCCGGGATGACCCAATCCTGAGCTTCGTGCTTATGAACGTGGCCGCTCTCTTGGTTACATCAGGAATCTGCGAATCAGACAACTCCAACATGGGCCCTGGCGATGATGGTCAGGTGGTGACGGAGCGCGGCCCTGGAGGTGGCCGCTGGAAGGAGGGTGTCCGCCGTGCGCGCTGGGCAATCGAGAGCGGCTCCGCTCTCAGATGTTTCGAACAGTTCATTGAAGTGTCAAACAACCTTCAATAGAGCATATTGGCCGCAGAATTTCGGGGCTTATTTCTTTTTTTTTTCCATCGAGCATTTGGACTTACGGCATCGAAGATTTCGGGTACTTTGGATCTTGTTTGAAACAGAAAAAGTTATTGGGTATATAAGTATCATGCCGGACCATATCACGATGGAGAATTCCCCAAGCAAGCTCTGCTTATGGGGTCAACGAAAGCGATCCCTATGAGCTCTCTCGTATCGAGTATCGTATCTCCAAGCGTAAATCCCTTGTAGTCGCGACACCGCATGTTCACGCTTGATTCCCAACTCCCATGCGCCACCAAATGCACGTAAAATCATCATAACGACAAGCTGATCCCATGATCGTCTACCGAGCCTCGAACTGAACCATCCTGCGCACCCAGAAAACGTCAGTCCATGCACGGTCCTTCCACCAAACCTAAAATCAAAGTAAGAATAGGGAAGAAAAAACTCACCGCTTCGTCCTCTCCTTGTACAGCACACGGTGCCCACACTCCTTGCATCGAATTTGGTCTCCTCGCTTCAGCGACACACGAGCGTTACATTCACCGCAGAGATAGGCAACGAGCGGTCCGTCCAGGGAGCTTGCACCCACGTTGTCGTTGCTGAAGGCATTGCCGCCGCCGAGGGAGGGGACTTGGTAGGCTTCGCGGGACATGGTTGGGTTCGTTTAGTTTGGGTTTGGACTTAAATTGAGTGGTGTTATTTCGCGATGAGCAGAGCTGATGGGCAATGGGCTTTGGGGAGTGGTTGGATGTGTGAGGATTTAGTTGAGCAGCCGGCTGATTTCTTTTGGTTTCTGGGGTCCGAATGCTGCAATCTTTTTTGGGGATGAGTCAGCGCGGGGTGGTAGCCACGTGACGTAGGTGCTCTGATTGGTGCATCTTTTGCCAGGTACAACTGTACAGTTGAGCAATTGAATTTGGGTTCAACAAGTCTCTTTCTTATTTGAGGGGAGCTACTATGTATATATCTCGGCTGTTAAACTTGATTCCAAGTGACTGGGTTATAATCAACATTGCAAAGTATCCGACTAAGTCTTCAGACAAGTAGTTGAATCAGCATGAGAGACTACAGCAGCCCTGTAATCCGATATCATTTGCCTTGTAAATCTAGAATATTAGAGCCTGAGGATGTTTCGCAGCAAGGAAATAAGTGGTCTCCATGCCATTTGTGTTTTGGTCTACTCAACCATCCTCGTTGCCAGATATCCTCAACATTTCAAAAATCCGAATTCAACTCCCACACCATATCTAGCCAGCGGAAGACCGTTACTCATCTCCTCTTTGGCGGCAAAAGCGCATCAATAGGCTTCCCATCAATTCTCCCACCCGTAGTAATATAGAAGATCTCAGCCTCGCCATGACTGGTAAAGAAATCCGCCATCCACTCTACCACAAACATAGCGTAGTTTGTCCACTCGAGGCCGGGGATGGTTGTTTGAAATGTGCTTCACCAAGGCAATTATGTTAATGAAGGATAAAAGGAGCGAGGGGTCTAAGATATCAGGGTCTGATAGACATACGCGTACCCAAACCCATGCAACGCATTGTCGGCATAGGTGATTTTCCCGTCCATGGAGAGGAAGATGCGGTCTTCGGCGTCGTTGGTGAAGATTAGTTTGTTTTCATAGTGCTGTAGCAACAGAGATACAGATTAGTGAGTGTTTGATGATTGCGAAGAATGAGAATCAAGGTCAACGTCTCACGTACAGTGTACTCCCCAGTGCCAGCCGGAAGCAAAGTCTCTGTTGCGCCAGTCACATTCCCGACTATCTCTCCATCGAACAGACCAGTAATGGTGCCACCCAGGTTTGGAACAGCTGCAATACCACCGCCGCCGGGGAGTGATACGTTGACGGGTAAGTAGGTGAGAGGCTCGACCTGGAAGATGGGCGTGGCGATGGGAGAACGGAAGGTACCACTCGCCTTGGTAGCCAGGGCGCTGACCGTTAACGCGAGAAGGGAGACTAGAGAGGTTAGCATACTAGGGTTGCAGTGGTCAGTTGTAGTTGACGTAAAATGAAGAGTAGATGGTAGATATTTGCTGGTGCTTTTATACGCCAGAAGCTGGAGTTATGAGCGTAGGAGTATACTGTTCCGGCAGGTCAAAAAAGCCAAGCCCCAGGCTAATAACCATCTAAGCTCAGCCTCCGAGATTTCTTCTGGTCAAGATCTTGGCTGTTAGAGTCGAATACATTGTTCTGCGGCTGTGTAGGCAGCGCGCGAATTGAGGCCCAATTCGGAAGGGCTGGGGCGTCGATCCCCAAAGCCCTAAATCGGTAGATATCTGCGCAGAGTACAGTAAATACTTTTTGAATCGAGAGTTGATAAGTCGAGAACTGGCGGACTCATATACAGCAACATTTCGCGCAGTCTTGGTTTTCATAAATTCATCGGTCTCGCGCATATTTGAACAGTTACCTGCGGGTAAACACCAGATCCAGGTCACCAAAGTAGAAGACGAAATTGTCCTTTGCATTTCCCAGGAAGCGAGACCCGTCCTCGCCTGGGGCCATTTTTATATCGAATTCCGTAACAAGTCGTGCTATAGTCGTGCGCAGGTTCATCAGGGCTAGCGGTCTGCCAATACAGTTGAAGGAGCCTGAGTCAAGCCGATTAGCGCCTGACAGCTTATGTCAACCTTCTTGACAATTGTCACACATACCAAGACTAAATGGCGCAAAAGCTGTCTTGTCCTTGACCAACTCGGGTGACTTATACCAACGCTCGGGGATAAAGTCGTGTGGCCTCTCATACGCCAGTTCCGCTATACATATTGTCAGCTCGATTCGATGTTGAAACCTGGCGGGATACATACATCGTGCTAACGCATACATAGGGCAGAGTATATGCATTCCCCCAGGAATATGGACTCCATCAATAACAATCCCTTCTGGGGGTGTCAGGCGCCCCAATGCTGAAGGAACTGCTGGATACAATCTCAGGGCTTCATTGATAACGCCATTTAGGTGGTCCAGATGGGCGATCTTGGAGTGAAGAATCTCGCCGTCTGGCTGGTCTTTATCCACGTATGGAGCCAGCTCGGCGCGCAGTTTCTCAATCTCCTCTGGGTTACGGACAAGCTCGTAGAAGATCGTCGACAGTGCCCCGGATGTGGTGTCACTAAGAAGTTATCAACACTAGCACTCGGGTCTCTATACACAGGGTGAATTACCTTCCAGCAATGACAATTAGACGAGCATCGCCGTACAGTATGTTTTCTTCCTCAGGAGTGATCTCAGTGATGCCCCTCCCCTTCAAAGGCACGAATAATGATGAACTGATATCTGGAATCTCAGGGTCATTCTAAATGGCAGGTCAGTAAATAAATGTTTTAGTATACTCATAATGGTCCTAGCGACACTGACCTTCAATCTGTCCATCAGCCTTTGCCCGCAGAATCCCAGGAACTTTTCGAAGTCTCCTACTGCACCCGGGATTCTCGTAAGCAGCAGAGACGCCCACGCAGGAAGGAATAGCCCGACAAAGTCAGTGGTCGCGTTCAGTAGCCGAATCGCCCAATGGTACTCTTTCCGCTCAATGCTTCCGAATCCCTGGCCGAACGAGAGATCCCCCATGACATCGAACGAATACAAGTTAAACCACTTTCTCACATTGACCGGCTGGCCCTCCATCTCTGTGAACTGATCGACCAGTTGCTTGCGGTACCCTCGAACGCGCTGCTCATAGCCGCGGATCAGCTTGTCGCTAAACGCATGGCTCCAGACACGCCGTCGCGCATGGTGCGTCTCGGGGTCGCGCATCAACTACAGTGAGACTGATGGCCATGTCATGTCATAAGTTGGCCCCTTGATGCACCGAGAGTTGGGCCCGTAAACGATCTCGATCGCTCTCGGGGAGAGGACGGATAGATCAGAGGATCCTATGCGTACGAAAGAGCCATGCTTCTGGTGTAGCTCAACCAACTTGACATGGAGATTGTTCCGGATTTGCAACGCAAGCCAGAGGGATGAGAAGCGAGCATTAAATGGGCCTGGGAATTTATTCAGAGGGTGCAAAAGGAGACGATACACAAGAAGGCTTCCGTATACGCCCAAGAGGTAGCTCCCAATTAGCTTTGAAGCCGTGCTCAAAGCTGTAGTCCATGCGACTTCTTGGATATATGAAAGAGCGGTAGTGGCCCCACCAAGAGTGGTGAAGAAGAGCTTGACGTAGAGCGGAGCATAGAGATGGTGCTCTCCTCTGTTGAAATAGGCAACATGTGAAAAAGCACCAGCCAGAGCTGTACCGGCATATGTTGAGGGGAGAGCCATGACTGCGAGTCAGTGGCTTCAGATTGAGACGATTAGAACCTGCTGTGCGCCTTTACCTACTAAATAGGAATGCCGATGCAAAAAGTACCGCCACGCTTTTGCGCAAAGCCATTGCTCTTGGAAACGTATGCGTAAAGCAATGAGAATAATTCGACAACCCACCTTCCTATTAGCGTCATGCATCCCTGCCTGGTGTCGTTTCGCCATTGAGCCGAATTGGCTAGGCTATACGGAGTAGTATGGAGCGTATCCAATTGGTAGCGCCGGCAAGGGTGGGGTCTCGCCGATGTATCAGTGGAATCACCTGCTCTACCAAGCTGACTCCGCATCCTGCCTAGAGGTATACCCCTCCGTTGTGCGGCTTCTAGGACCCCTGGGCCCATCTACGTCAGGCGTCCCCTGACGACGGATGACTTCATTCGATGACAGTAGCCAATACATACCATCTGTGATCAGATCCTGTAACAGATGCCACGCAAGAAAAGTCAAAGTAAGCCTGCTGCCTCATCGGTAATCGTCTCTTTCTTGACCTTCAAAGCGTGATCTGAGAGTACCGCAATGCTTCGCATGTCAAAAGCATGGCGAGGCTGGTAACATCACTATGTGGCTTACCCATACTCGCTTGTCCTAGTCTTCATTCTAGGGTTGTGAGAAGGCGAAAGACGGAGTTGGCCTTTGATCTGACCGCGCTGAAGATTGGAATGCGAGATGGAGTCAGGGGGAAACACAAGTTGGTTCGGAGGCAGGGCACCATGATCTTTGGTTCGATTCGAAACTTCTTGATAGGAGATGATATTTGGGTATGCAGCACGAGCACCTCCAGATTCATACGATTGTATTGAGAAAGCTTGCGCAGGAAGAAATTCATGCCAGCAATGGACGGATCCAATTGGCAAAAGACCACATCGACCGCCTGTTTCAGTCAGCCAAGGCAATGTTCATGGACCTCGGAGTATCCGAAACACAACTGCAGGATCTCCTCCACAAGACTCTGGACGAGAACAACATGTCAAACGAGCCACATGTGCACACTCGTTGGTGGTAAGCCGAGGACCCGAGTCCACGCCTTACCAGAACCCATCTGTGAACATTCACCTGCCTTTGATCGTTATGATCCCAGAAATCAAGACTACAGATGCAAACATCAAGCAGCAGGGACTGCGACTGATCACTTCCCACATCCGCTGGGGACCTCCAAATGTCAAGGACGAGATGTGGAACCACATCTCAAAGGCAACGAATGTTCAGGCGTGTATTGGGGCAAACGTAACAGGTGCGGACGACTCATTGATGCTTGATCTGAATGATTTCGTAAAGACCTGCACTCGACTAACTTTTTCATTGTTCGCAATGGCGAGGTGTGGGCTCCAACGAAGAAAAACCTAGATGCAAGGCATTACGCGCCAGATCTCGATCGGCGCCTGTCGTGCCAATAAAATTCCTGTCCGAGAAGTCGACTTCACCTTGACGGAGGTGTATGGCGCGGACGAGGCTTTCTGCAGGGTGACATTTCCTTTCCAGATTCATGTGCTAGAGGTAGATAGCCGGCAAATTGCAGATGGCAAAATGGGGCCAATTAGTGAATGGATTCAGGGGCTCTATTCAGGGCTGGCTAGAAAGGTTACTGTCAGGTCTAGAGCATAGATTCGCAGCGAGCTGGAAGTAACCCGAACGTCCAAATTGAAGCCGAGCATGGAGAAGGGATGTCAATATATAGACAAAAGGCTTCGGAGGGGTTCTCGTTTCGTATCGTTCCATGCAGCGTCAATGCGATAAGAGAAACATGTTAAAATGCTTATCCTGAGGTTTAGCATAGACACTGTGTTATCGAGTTCGAGACTCCATTAACTTATTGATGCTTGTGGTAAGATGCAGAATTGCGAAATAGAGACAAACTGATGCCTGAGGCAGAAAAGCATGCACTAACCAGTTTTGGATCTGATGTAATAAACGTAGATGCAACAATCAAATCAATCCTCCATTACCACGAACCATTGAGAATCTCTAGATCTACGAGATATTTACGAGAGCCTTTCTGAGGCTGGAAATATTCAATCTCGAAATATCTCGTCTATTAAGGGCATTCAAACACTGAAAACCGCCACGAGTTCACCTCATATTCAACCAGTTTCGAACAACAACCTGTCCCGAATATGCTTCGAATTGTCCGCCCAAGGTCCTCTTATAGACGCTTGCTCTCGCTCCGACCTCTGTTAAAATCTAGACCTTGGCCGTCTCTGCCCTTATTGTCTCAAAATTCAACACATAATCCAGTTGCCAAATTTCGTGCTATACACACCGGACCAAAAGAGATACCAACCAAGACGTCCAACGAGCCAAAAGTTGATCTGAATACGTTCCTCGGCCCCTCTTTACCAAGCCGCGTATATAATCTGTGGTTCCAGCACGTACCAGATGAGCAGAGCCTTACACTCCCTACCCCCGAGGTGTTCAAACCATGGTTCACCAAGGACGCCACATTTGACCTTGAATGCGCGCAAGTTGCCCGATCCTAATCTTCAACTTGAAGGATAAACTGACAATGGAGTAGAACTCAATTCAAACCAATCCTCGAAGCAATTCACCAAGCACATCCTGAATCGCAAACACAAGCACAGGCCGAGGCCCAAGCCGAGCAAATACTGGATCTCGTCAAACCCAGTTCACCTCTAGACTGGCTCGGTCTAGTCATTCTACTCGACCAACTTCCCCGGAACTGCTACCGCGGCGAAGAATCCGCCCTTGTTTTCACGTTCTTTGACCCCATATCCCAGGCCATCACTCTTCGGGCTCTCGAACAGAACATCCCATCTAGCCCGGAGCTACGGTACCGTCTTGCGCTGCGACACTGGTTCTACCTCCCATTGATGCACTCGGAAGATCTGCGTCACCAGGATCTGTGCTTGGAGAAGTACCGTGAGATGGATGAAGATGTTCGGCGTCTGCTAGCTGAGGCTTCATCCGCTGGACTGAGTGAAAAGCAGGCTACGTGTCGTGAGGTCCTAGCTAAAAACAGGGAAGCTGTCAATGCGATATCCGCGCAGAACCTCCGGTTCCAGAAGGAGCATCACGATATCATCGCGCAGTTTGGTCGGTATCCGTATCGGAATAAGGCGCTGAAAAGGAAGTCGACGCCGGAAGAAGAGAAGTTCCTTACCGAGATGGAGATCTCTTTTGGTTGATATGTCTAAGGCTGCCTAAGGAATACTTGCGGTAGTATTGACTGTTCAACAGAGATCATGTATATATGGGAATAGAGATAGATGATACTGTGCACTTGTCAGTAGAAAGAAGGCAGTATAGATAAGACCAACTCCATTTATAGGAAGAAAAGGTACAGAGCAAAAGACAGAATCTATATACGCTTGTTGAAGGAGAAGTAAAGTCGGAGTAGAGGTCTGAGCGGCGGATCATAGGGATCATGGTGGCCATTTGGGGATGATTCAAAAAGGAGGACAAAGAACACACAGCACTGCCTAGTGCCTACTGCTCTATACTCTAGCTGTCCTTCGAACTGATCTCAGTAGGTAGGTAGCATAGCCCCCAGACAAGGTAGCTAATTCGCCAGTGGTATAGGCTGTTCAACTCGTCCCTCCCCCTTTTTTTGATCGAAAGATTGCTCTCGCTAGTTCAGAACACTCATATTCGCGATGTGCTCTCTTAAGATACTGTACTAATGTATATTTCTGGATTGCTGCTTTTTCAATATTCGTCATGCTTAGCATTTTTCGAGGTCCTGTAGCGAAAGGGCTCAGAAGAAGGTTTATGGAACAGTGCATAAAATTTTTGATAGTAGACAGCTTTAGAAAAGATTTTGGGGATCTGGGGACTGGGAATTTGGGAAGCTCCGTTGATTCAGGCACCAAAGCCTCATCCCGTAGTACTCCGTCAGGGAGTAGTCTGTACCGGAGATTAGTACCTGACTCGTGACTCCATTTCTTTGTTCCAGCAAGATGGCTATTGGCTTATTGGAAAGTGATTTCAGCCTCCATTGGCATTCAGGGATTCGGTGGCGCTAAAGCGTAGCCTATTTTAGGCGTTTCGCCTCAAGCTTTCGCTCCATTCGCCAGGCCTGGGCCGCAGAAAGTGGATATAAAGTCGCGACGAGGAAACCTCAACCCAGCAGCAACTCCTTTCCCTGAATTCTCCAGCAGTGTTTATCTTTCGCTTCTGCGCCCACTTTGTCCCTCATTCCTTGTCATTCATTTACTCACTCAGAGTCTCACTCACTCATTCATTCACTAATCAACCAAACAAAAGTCACTCATTGAACCAACCTCGTTACTCTACCCACTTCCAAGCAGACACAACACAACACAACAGTCAAGCAAAATGAAGACCACACTCCTTTCCGCCTCTATTGTCCCTCTCCTCCTCGGCGTTGTCTCCGCCCGCACCGACCTTGCCGGCTGCATCTCCTCCGCAACAACAAACCAGTGGCACGAGGCCTCCATGATCTGGTACGTTCCCGGCACGGGCGAGATCTGTGACATCCCCGACTGCGGCGGCGGCCGTGCCCCTCCCAAGTACGATAACCCCGCTTGCCCGGCCTACACTGGTACCGCGACGTATGAGCCCAGCTACCTCGAGGGATACGGCCCCGGCGCGGCGGCTACTACCACGACTGTCCAGGCTACCGAGACTGCCCCTGTTGTAGAGGAAACTAGTACCGAGAAGAACCCCGAGACGACCACCAGCAAGGACACTGAGAGCGTGACGTTCACGAAGACCTCGACGCACGTCATTCCCACTGCAAGCTCGTCTGTTACGAGCCCTGCCGTTACCCCCAGTGTGACTTTGAGCTCAACTACCCGAGGCCCAAGCACTTCTACTACTCCTAGTGCCCCTGGTTTCACTGGTGCGGCCGATTTCTTGCGGGTCAATGCTGGCCTTGGAGCTGCTGGATTGGTTGCTGCGCTGTTGCTGTGAGCCTGCGAGAAGCGTCTTCTTGTCGACTTCGTTAGTTTCGTTGTATAGAAGGTTTCATGGCAGGTATAGCCTGTTTTTGTATTCTTTTGGGGATGTTTATTAGCTTGTGGTGCTTGGCTGTTTGAGGTTAATCATCAACAAAATCTTCCTTTCCCTCCATTACTGGAAGGAAGCTTCTGAGTGCTGGATTTTACCCTTCTATAACCTCAACCTTCGGACGCCGCTCTATGAATCCCGAAGCCTTCCTAATGACCGTCTGTCCATATTCCAAAAAGCTCACAACCTCCGTAATCTCAGCAGGCACATTTTATTGTCCAAGCTCAACTCTAGATAATGTAACTGAGCCGATGCATCTGAAACGTATGTTGGGCACCTGACCCAACTCCACTAAATAACTTCTGATCCCAGCCAACCTCCATGAACTCTTTCCACGACCTCGAGGCTCTCGGAAGGGCGCCTGTACAGAGTATGCGCTTATGGCCCAAGCCTAAAATAGAAAAGATGGTCTCGCCTAATTACTTCTAGACCGGGACTAGCGTAAATCATGCGAGGCTGGCACTCTTACTTTTTATTGACATCTTCAGCTCGCTCGCGATTGTCCAATTTGGTGATTCCAATAACTATCTTCAATACCATCGTAATACCTTTGACAAGAGCTCCCGGTCCTCTGGATAAACGAAGGAAGGTGAAGCGCTGCCTCGCTTGCGCGCACTGACGTATCAAGCTGTGTTACCCCGTACTCCTGGCCCATCCTCTCAACCCAACCCCACTAAGAGCCATAGTGTGAAGGCGGCATTCCTTGCAGATATTGTACCCAAAAAGGCACTCCATGTGTTTCACAGTACCAGGTAGATGGGGAAGTTGTCTTCGTCCAGCAGAGGCAGCCCAAGAAGCGCGAGGCGGCTTGCCTGACCAACGTTGTGAAAAGACATCAGAATGCCCTGTTTCTTGATGCCTTTGTCCTGTTCGTCCAGCAAAGTGCGTTCAACATGGGATTTTCGCTGGTAATAATGTCGGATTTAATTCCTCTAATCCCGAGTTGTCCGGTCTTGCGGCATGCGGCCATGGCGGTTGGTCACGCGAAGCGAAAAGTGTTGAACGAGAACCTACTATTGGAAAAAATCTTTTCCCTGTGGCCGCCATATAGTCCTATCATACGTCCGTGGGTGCTTTGCCGGCGTGCCTAGGGGACGATAATGTGATGCAGAGGGATGATGTTCTCTGGGCCACTTTGTTCTTAGGGCTTTTCAAAGTATGACCAATGCTTAGAATATACCCTCACAATTATATGGAGTCCGCTAACTCAGTATCTCAGCTACTCTCGGATCATCCCGGCGAGGGATTGGTTAAACATATGCTCTATGGAACATCAAAGATGCTTCCACTTACTGGACCAAGCACCTGCATGTTGCCGCTTCAGCTCGCATTCTATAATCTATTTCGTGTCCTCAAAGCTAGTTAGTCAATACTATACAATAAGGAGACCATCCTCTCTCAGGAATGTTAACTTCAATTCTATAGGGCTAGAGACTCAGGCATAACTTTGCGCTGGGAGCCTATGGAGGAGAATATAACCCTTATAATTCAGACTTTAGCGTTTAGCTTGTAGTATGGCTTTATAAAGTCACTAGACAGGTTCTTGGTTGCTAACTTATAATTAGTGTCCGTTCTTAAATTGAAAGCGTTCCTAAATTAAACCTATATACAAACCCTTTAAATGCTCTTCTTGTGGCAGAGGGCCTTGGAATCCAAGCAGCTATATATAACTAGCACACCAAGGCGCTACTATAATTAACATAGGACTGTCTTAATAAATACACAGACCTATCTCTCCTATACTACCATATGCTTCTTATTTTCCTCTCTAGCAAATCTTAATTTGAGCCAAGGTCTTACCGTGATGCTATTCTTTCTGCTTACTATTACAGGGTCTCGGGCTTGAGAGTCTATTTAATAGTTTTGAATACTCTCTTTGCTGGATGAAGTATCCTACAGGGGGTTTATGGTCGCTAGCCAGGTAAGAGATGGGATATCAACTCACTGACTGAGAGATATGAATTCTTGCCTTCTGACTTGATTCTGAACACCATTCAAGTGGAACCGGAGGGGTATACAATCCAGCCCGCTTCTCCAACTTTGGTTGCCCAAAGCCAGATACATAAGCACTAGGATTGATTGCGCCATAGCGGAATCAAATACACTCAAAAGGTCTTAAGCATGCGATGCCCAGCCACAAAATAAGCCTTCTGAAGGAACCTGTGATTATACACGAGAGACCAACTATAAAACCAACCCGCAACCCCTCACGATCGACTGCCCTACCCCACCTCACTCTCATCACCCCAACGCTCACAACCACCAAAATCACCCTCGGAATAACCTCATCTGACTACATCAGAAACATCACCCATCACCCTCGAAATGGCCGAACCCCTCCACATCGGCCTCCTACTCTTCCCCGGCTTCCAAGCCCTCGACGTCTTCGGCCCCATCGACTGCCTAAACGTCCTCTCGCGAACGCACCCGCTAACCCTGAGCATCCTTTCCCACACCCTAGACCCCATCTCCACAAAATCCCCCTTCCACCCAACCTCCATCTCCCAAACCATAAACCCCACACACACCTTCTCAAGCCCACCGCCAGACATCGACGTCGTCCTCATCCCAGGCGGCCTCGGCACCCGCCTCCTCGACTCAGACCCCATAACCGCCTCAATCGCCTTTATCCGCCAGATCTACCCGACTCTCCGGTATCTGATCACGGTGTGCACGGGGTCCGGTCTCGCTGCGCGGGCGGGCGTGCTCGATGGGCGGCGAGCAACCACGAATAAGAGGGCGTTTAGGGATGTTGCTGCATGGGGAGGGGAAAGGGTTGAGTGGGTTGCCAAGGCGCGGTGGGTGATTGATGGGAACGTGTGGACGAGTTCCGGGGTGAGTGCGGGAATTGATGTGACTCTCGCGTGGATTGCGCATGTGTATGGGGAGGAGGTTGCGCAGGGGGTTGCAGATGGGATCGAGTATCGGAGGGTCAAGGATGCGGGGGATGATCCGTTTGCGGAGGTTTATGGACTAGAATAGGTAGTGTAGCGAGGTTTTTATATATTTTTTGAAGACCACAACTATGCTAGTATTGGCATTGATATGGAAGTCGCAAAGGGCTCGATCACAACCTTCGATCTTCATGAGACCTTTTCGACACGACCAAGATCATCCTTACCAGCATCTGCATCATTGTGGCGATATTTCAAGAATGTCATTCCTGCTTGAGGTCATAAGAATTCCTCCACAAACTAGTACCCTACGCAGAGATCAAGAAGATCTTAAAACCCTTCATACGCCTCTCCACCATAAACCACCTTTTTAGAGACTCTTGAGTTACTAATGTGTTATCCGTTCTAGAAGTCTTTTAGATTCGTTCACAGTATCTGTAGGACTCTATATCTATCAACCATGCAACCGACCCAATGCGTATGCAAAATGTAATACAAGACGGGTATATATCGTAAAGCGTAAAAACCAACTTCAACTACCAACCACCACCAATTTTCCCTGCTAGCTCCACGACCCGGGTGGTGTCGTTGGGCGCAATGGGTTTTCCAACGTCGCTCTCGACTTCACGATACGTCGTGTAGGCGAGTTTTGAAAGCGGAATCTGTGTCATCGCGGACCAGTGCTGCAGCGCCATGCGAATTCTGGCCTCGTTATCCGCGATAGAAAGCGTCTGCGGATACGCAGTCCCTTCATCCAAGTCAGAATCAGCCGAGAAGTATGCCTCGTCCACACGAGAGAGCCATGAGCGCAGCTCATTTGGCGATGGCTTTGAAGCAGCTGCTTCTGAAGCACCATCTTGTGTGCTGATTTCTCGAGCATCTTCAATGCGTATTTGACCTCCTCCATTGGTACAACCACCCGGGCAAGCCATGACCTCAACGTAGGCATAATCAGTGCCTGATGACGCGGCACCGTTGCGTGAAACCGGTTGCCGCCGCCCGCCGGTTGCAGGGCTAATGGTCGCTCTAGCACCTGGAAGTCGAGAAGCTCGAGCGGGCTTGAGCTTTCGGACAAGGTTTTGGATGTTTCTGAACCCATAATAACGGGCCGCTTTCAGGATCGTCTCACCTCCTGGAGACACTAGGCTGTATTCCACGACATCCGCATTCCGTCCCCGCTGCGTCACAAACTCGCTGCCCGGATTGCGAGCTTGGAAGGCCAGGAGAACGTGATAAAGATAACCTCCAGAAGTTCCAGCAAAGGTCGTTTGCCGTGGCAGAGAACTTTTGGAGAAGAGAAATGCATCGAGAGCCGGGTCGGGGAAAGGGGTACGAAGAGACTGAGGAAGAGATGTCATAGGTATAGACGCAAGGGAGATGCCTCGAGACGAGGCTAAGGAGAGCAGCTCGCGTGATGTGATGACACAATCGACATCGCGAACTGGAGTGTGAGGTTCGCTAGGAGAAAAATTATTCCATGAAGCGTCCGTTAACTCTTCCCTGCTGGCTTCTAGCTTTTTATCAAAGCAGGGCATAATTGCGAGATGCCAGATACGCGATGTAGGCACGCCGAGACTCTTGCTGAGTGCAGTCTTCAGAAGAGTTCCAGATAAAGCCTGTGGCGATTTAAGCCGGGACAAGTGAGGTAGGATGAACGGGTGTGTTTTTTCAGCGTAGCAGATCCAGCCTGGACACGCCGATGATAGAATAGGCCGTTTTGGGGTCGATCCGTCAGAAGTAGCTGCTAAAGAGTCGCTAACTTCGTCGGCCGTCAAAACCAGGACGGCCTCCCGCAAAGCGTTGGTATCAACGACCCAAGCAAAACCGCTCCCATGTTTCCCTCCTGCTCTCAATCCTTGCGGCCCGCTCAGGAACTGATGAATGATGTGGTCTGCCTCCTTCTCGGAAATCCCGTACGTTGCTGCCAGACTCGCTCGAACCTGGGGGCTGACACTCGCGACAAATATTCGGCCCTCGTCGGCGGATTGGCCGTCGCCTGGCCGCAATTCGGGGTGCGCATCAAGGGTGTTGAGGACCTCTGCATGGGACTGTAGGGAGATCAGAACTGCCTCGGCGGATGTTACACATCCAGAGCACGCAAGGCAATCGGTAAGGGAAATCTGCGCCGGAGGGAGGTTTTCGGGCTGGACTTTGTCTTCGGTCGTGACTTCGTAGGGATCCTAACCGATTACCAATCAACCTCCGTTCTCAGAAAAGCGAAGAAGGTAGTGTGTAAACTTACCTCTGGATTTGACGGTTTCTGGGGAAGAGACTCGACTGGTTTGATACAGGCGACACCCGGAGATATGAAATCGTTCAGATCATCGGCGGAGAGAATGGCGCTCATTGTAACAACAGGGAAAGTACCCCGGGGCTCTGTAAGTGGCGTCAAGGAGTAGACGGTGTATGCTTGAGAACCTCAATGACTGCTCCGCGACTTCGAGATTTGTGTGACAGATATGAGAAGAGGTAGAAGCAAGGTCCGTCTCATGAAGGAAAGAGAACGCATGGGAGAGGCGCGAGCTTTGTCATCGGCGTGGCGAGGGTCATATTTTGACGAAGCTCCGCGGGGTGACGATAAGAAATCGAAGATCGCAGATTGGGGGGTTTCCAATCGCCGGGATCGGAGTGGGGGCGTCACGTGCGCAGCTACCATAATCGCCAACTGCAGGCTGACCATTTGCTCTTTGTCTGGGTGTATTTACCAGATAATTTCTGTTTTTTTTGTTGATTTGCTTGATTAGGTTGACAAAACGCTAAGGGCCTCGAACGAACCATAGATTTTGGTCTTTGTGCAATGTTGGACAAAGAGTCATGTCATCGCCCTCTCGAGGCTGTCGCGAGAGGACCAGGCATCTGCCTATTTCAGCCGCAACACCCAGGCAATTGAACTCTGCCTCGTATTTAGTCTGACGACCTCACTAGACATATTTCACGAAGAAGTTGACTACATTGCCTGACCCTTGCACATATATCCAAAGGAAATCTTCATCATTCCAGTCCCATCTTTTGCAAGAGATCAGTATGTCCAAAGCCATAATGTCAAATTTCTTAGCTGGCGCGTCCAGTAACGCGCCCAGTACCAAAATGAGCGACTTGCAAGAGATTGCTGCGGATACATTGGCTAGGATTCCGAAGATCCTGGACCTGGCTGATGCCCCGACAACTGGGTACATCTGTCTACGTGATAGATATACCCCACTACGCTCGAAGTTTTGGCCGAATCTCAGCACTCGAGTACGCGTTGTGGATGAAGATTCATTCGATGCTGCCATCAGTCTCACCAACATGCGAATGACTGATAATGGCGATACGGCCCATGTTTGCGTTCTGAACATGGCTAATGCGACAACCAGGGGTGGAGGGTTCTTGAGGGGAGCTATCGCCCAGGAGGAGGCGCTCTGCTACCGGAGCACACTATACAGGACCCTCAAAAAACACCATTACCCTTTGAAAGCGCGGGAGGCGATCTATTCACCATTTGTTGTCATATTTCGCGAAAACCAAACCAACCAATATCGGATGATGGATTTGCAGAAACCCCTTCCAGTTGTTAGCGTTGTCAGCATGGCGGCTATCAGAGACCCCGAGGTGAACAGGCGCACTAATCCACCCACGTTTGCCGACCCTGAGGATAGGGAATGGACCAAGGAGAAGATGCGTGTTACCCTCCGCGTCTGCGCGCATAACAAACACCGTGACCTGGTGCTGGGGGCTCTGGGATGCGGTGCGTTCGGAAATCCTGTTCACGAGGTAGCGAATTGTTGGGCCGAAGTTCTAGATGAGCAGGAGTTCCGAGGGTGGTTCAGCAACATTGTATTCGCGGTTATGAAGGGTAAAAACAAGACAGGATTCGACAACTTCGACGTCTTCAAGCAGAAGCTGGAGGGGCTCAAAGTTTAGTCACATAATGCTCATTTCACTGGTACCGAAATGACAAGAGGGTAATATACACGATAGGACTGGACGAAACCGAAGCTTCTCATTTTCTCAATCGTGTTGAGCGTCGCCTCCCCAAATTTTCGACTTCCCCCTCGTCTTCAGCTTTAACAGTTTGTTCGTCTTCGGTCTTGGCTGTCTGTTTACTCTGCCGCTTTGAGCTCGGCTTCTTAGTACTCGGCTCGTCCTTCTTCGGAGCTGTTCGCTTCCGCTTGACCTCTCGCTCATCACTGCTCGCTTCCTCATCCTTAACATCTCCTGCTACCGGGCCAGTCTTTTTCTGCACGCTTGGTACTACCGCGCTGGTCCTGCCACCGACGGTAAGGAAAGTGATCTTCTCTCCGTTCGGCAAAGTCGAAGTCTTATTCTTCTTTCCTTTGCTCCATCGATGTTTGAACAGCCAGTGTTCGGGAAATTTGTCCGAGTCCGCCAGTACCTCTATGGAGGTAGAGCAGACGTAATGAATGGCTGTGTGGAGTTCTTTGATTTGGTCGTCTGTCAATGTGTTGCTGTATTGCTCTGGGTGTATTTTCGCATGATATAGAATTTCATCTCTGAAGAGAGTCAGTTTATCAATCCCACCTGAAATAAAATCGTAGGATAGCACCAACCCCATCCAATTACCAATACCACTAATATTAGCTTGATCAAGAAGAAGCGCCTTTACAGGTACCTTCTTACCCTTCAGCTTCTCACTCAGCCAAGCCTCCGAGACAATATGCTTATCCGCAACAGGGTCAGGCCCATTCTCCTTGAGAGGCGTATACTTCCGAATCTCATCCGCCGGACAATCCACCAACCGGATCCTCGCCAGCCGTCGGAAATCCACAAAAGCAGCCTCCGTCTTCGGGTCCCCATCGGTCTCAAGCAAGAACTTCCAATACTTCGGCGGCCACTCCTTGTCCTCTGGCTTGTCCGTCCGGTAATAGTAGGTATCGGCATCTTTGATCTTCAGCCAACCCGCCATTCCGAAATGCATGACGGGATGCGGTGGCGAGGACATGGCTATCCAGAAGTATTTCCCTTGCTGACCTGCCCCGACAACCTTTTTACCCTCCATGGCTTTTTGGAATTCCGCGGCGGTTGTGCCCACCTTGCCGTAGACGATGTCATCGTTTTGGGTCGATACTTTTGTAAGGGTCTTGCCGACGAGATGTTGGCGGATGAAGTGCACGATGCGGTATATCTCTGATAGCTCGGGCATGGTGACGATCGTGTCCAATGGACCTTGAAGAACGGTTAGGACGGGAAAAGAAGCTGAGAGGACAGATTCGAGAGCTGTTGTCAGCTTTGGCAAACACGAACTCGAGACGCGTCGACCGGTCACGGAGTCACGTGCTCATTAAGCCTGATAACTGGGTGGCTTTCGGATGACCTCAGATGGTTTTCTTGACGCTCTATTTCTTACGAATTCCTCCTTAACGACCAAAATTTAACGACAAACCTTTGGACAGTTTGACCCCCCCTTTCCTCTATACCTTTTCGTCCAGTCGTGGCTGTGACACTGTTTCCGAGTTGAACCCGCATTCCCGCTTGAAGCCCATCCCCGATACATAACTCGTCAACCTGGAGTGGTTCTGGGACACAGCGGCAAAAGCGGAGCAGAAGATCGGAGGAGCTGAGGGTCGGAAGATGGCTCAAGCATCCTCTACGCAAGCTCCGGGGCTCACCCCTCAGTTCTGCTTCAACGAACGATTACTACGAGGTACGACTCAGCCCTACAGCCGCATGTGTAGAGCGTGGACTCACTGGTGCATTCGTGCTTGAATACAGACTTCCTAAGCCTCTCCAGATCCACGATAGACGACTCAATAACGCAAAACCTTAATGCCCTCTTCACGCCCGCCCGCGAGGGGTTCGACCCGTCCTCCACAGCAGCCCGCCAGGTAGACTCAGGAGCCGGTCGAACAATAGACCCGGCCGCTTGCCAGGGCTTCCAGGATAAAGTGCTGTTCCCATCATGGCAGACGAGATCGGATGTTCTTACATATTGCGCGGGTGTCGCTACGAGTCCGGACCCGGAGGACCCAGATCTTCTGCTTCGGGAGACGGAGTCCGCGAGGGATCGAGAGCGTGTCGTTGATGAGCGGCTAGATCCGTATTCTGCTCGATTCTTTCCGAGAGAGGCGAGGACGGAGTCGCTGGCGAACTTGGTTCGCAACCAACGGACGGTTGAGGAGATTATACGCTCGCGGACCTGGGGGCTTGTCTCAGAGCGATGCGGTGGTTCTGCTGGGGGTTGGGAGGAGGCTCTCAATAATTGGCGTGAGAAGACACAGCGATGATGAAAAGCCAAAAAGCTATGGCAATCACTACGTGTTGGCAACGGCGTACTTGCTTCAGGAGCGACTGTACATAATGTATATCCTAGGTGTCGTGGACCCAAACTCTCCTTTTGAATATTTTTATGTATTTCTACATCAACATCCATCCTGCTCAATCCTGCAGATAATCTGATCCATGCGGAACCACGCTCTCGTTCGGATCTCTGAGGACTATATACTGATATAGAATATATACAGCAGCATTAGAGAATTGCTCTTTGGTGGACCAGCAAATCATTGCTGCTTGTGTGCCGTGCCACACAAGATCCCACTGCTTAGATACAGTTGGTTCGGATTGTTGATGGCGCGGGACTAAATGGTAGAGCATATTGTAAATCTCAGATCTTCCAGTTCGGGTGCAACTGCAACAATATTGAGGCCTCTCAGATTGCAGGCCCGTCCTTTGCCTTTTTTCCGAATCGCGAACCAAGGAACCACTTCACTAGCACGCGCTTTTCCAGAAGTAGGATCGATACCATCGATCCAACGGTAGAAATTGAGGAAGAGGCACTTCGAGGTTATCTGGCAGAACGTTACTACCCTGCCAGAATCGGAGAGGTCCTCAATTCGCGGTACCAGGTGCTGGCAAAGCTCGGCTTCTGATCGGCATAAACAGTATGGTTATGCCGAGATCTAAAGTAAGACTCGCTTGATTGCTTGGTCAAATCAACAAACACGGATATCTTGAAGTGAGAAATGCTACCGAGTTCTAAAAGTCCACATTTAGAGTAGGCGGCCACTATAAGAGGTAGAAGTCATGAAGGACCTAAGAAAGAACACCCTAGCAAGAGTCATGTTAGGCTTCCCTTGACTACTTTAAAGTAACTAGGCCGCATGGTGTGCATCCCTGCCTTCTTTATGCACTAACTGGCGTTGATATCTACGATTTCATGAGCTGCCTTAAAGACGATGCTCTGCCAGAGGAACTCCTTTAACTCACTATACGCTATGTCCTTCTTGCACTAGATTATTTGCACTAAGAAAACATTATACACACAGGTATACCAGCCTGCTACTAGCCCCTTGTCGCATTTCAGCTAATCTCGTCGCGTATGAGATGCCTAACCAAATAATCTCCTCTTCGGGATCGGGGATGAATCAATCCTTTCTGGGTAGAAGAAGATGAATTATCAGATTCGTCTCCTAGAAAGTAGCTTCCAGAACAAACAATATACTCTACCCGTGGAATGCCTGTGTCAACTAGGCAACCTGTACTCTTTGATCTTGGAGAGGCCCGAATAGCAGAAAGCGGCAATCAAGTCGGGCTTGCCATGCCAAGTTTGTATTGAGAACCAGAAGTGATGCTGGAGATGGAATGGGATAACAAAGTTGATGTTTGGGCCGCGGGCCAAATGGTACGAGCCAATCTTCACTGGGATAATATGCCTACCCTTTCTTTTTCGGAATATCATCTCATTCTGAGTCCAAGCATGGACACTTTTCCAGAAAGGACACTTTTCCGAGACTTCTAACCTTGATACTGAACCTGACCAAGCTAGACGATACGCAGAAATGATCGCTTTGCTGGGGCCGCCCTCCATCAGATTCCTGGAACTAAGCCAAAACAGTCTGAGATTCTGGGATGAGAACGGTGAGTACTGTCGAATGTCAAATTTCTCAACCCCATGAGATGCTAATCTACACAGGCAATTGGCGAGGCCGTGCTGAGATCCCAACACAGACCCTTGAAGAACGTGAAATACGTCTCGAGGGTGATAATAAGGCATCGTTTCTTGGGTTCTTACGCAAAACATTACAATGGCGGCCCGAAGATAGATCGGCTGCAGAAGAGCTCTTGGCTGACAAGTGGGAACGAGGAGACGACTATTGAGCCCCGACATCTTCATGGGAGCAATCAGAAGATAGACTGTGCGAGGCCCTGGGGCTTATTTGAGTTGACAACGAAGGATAATCTACGCTTGAGACTGCGTAGATAAACGGAGAGAAGGAGTCGTACGGTGCGATAATGAAACTGTTTGTCGAGTAGTGAATACTGCTGTTTAAAAAGGGTTGTCAGCGGTCCCACTAGAAGGGCGACTGCAGATGACAGTCACTAGCTGATATAGAAACTGCAGCAAGGCTCCCGGCCGAGGGCCGTAGTCTATACCCGGGCAATGGTCCAAAGCCAAAGCCAGAAGGGGGTCCTTGCATGCGTTTGCTGCATGTCTGGCTGAAAAGGATGTGTTTGCATGCCGAAATCTCCTAGACCTGGAGCTTTTACGCGCCGGGGGGCTTTGGCGTCTGGGGATGGCAAATTCATAGGCTCGGCCTCTTGAGGAAGTTGTCCGCCGCAAATCACCGTTGATCCGTTTCTAAGCCACCAGGCTGAAAAGTGAGTCTGTAATACCCCAGGCCGGGAACAAACAGGTAGCCTCGACTGTCAACAAGAGATCCGCTCTGGCCATGAGATCCCCGCCTAACTTATGCTTCCGTTCTACCCTATCGAGAGGGGAAATAGTAGAGCCCCTTTGTACTGCTCGTAAAACAGAGTGTGTGGTTTGAAATTGACCCCGGTGGCTCAATGATGGGTGCTGCGCATGAGACGAATGATGATATATGTCACACGAGAGTCTTAAGAAGGCGCACTATTACCTGCGCCTGATAAGAACTCCTGGGGATGGCCTTCTGCTATGCATCCCGCACGCATTCTGTTATGCACTAAATTTGCGCCTCTGCTGAGCTTGACAACCACAAACACTCGACATATCGACGGTGCTGGATTGTACTGGGTATTTCCCAGCTGCGCTTGTTGATATCACTTCAATAATCGTTGCTGACACCCTCGCTATTAGCGCTAGCCAAAGGGGTGGTTGCAGAGAGCTGCACGAAAGCGTCGCCTCGGATACTGTAACGATTTCGTCGTGTCCTCGAGGGACTGGTGCGCCGAACTGAAGGTTGAAGGGAGTAACTTTCGGCATGGGCCTGGCTCTGACTGCAATTGTCTGTTGTGAGTTGGAAGTTGGATGTTAGTTGTTGGTTTTAGTTGTTTGCCCCAGCGCTGAGCTTATCGCTGCCTGATTGCTGCTCCTGCTGCACCGCCGCGGCGTGCGCCTCGTTTCCGCTTTTCTCCCCCGCGCACATCCAGCTTCATTTACCTTTCTCCTCGACCAAAACTCCGTCCACAATTTTGCAACGCCCGCCATGCCGCAGCAATTGAGCTCGAAGGACGCCTCCCTGTTCCGACAGGTGGTTCGCTATTACGAGAACAAGCAGTACAAAAAGGGTGAGTTCTGAACTCCAATTGCCCACGCTGGTGTTGATGTCTTATGTGGGCGGACGTAAAAGGCTGATTATCATACTTTTCTCTTCTTATTCTTTTGAGAAAATAACAGGCATCAAAGCTGCTGAACAAATACTCCGAAAAACCCCGAACCATGGCGATACGTTAGCGATGAAAGCTCTCATCATGAGCAACCAAGGACAACAGGAGGAGGCCTTCGCCCTGGCGAAGGAAGCGCTGAAGAACGATATGAAGTCTCATATCTGCTGGCACGTGTACGGCTTGCTTTATCGGGCAGAGAAAAACTACGAGGAGGCTATCAAGGCGTACCGATTCGCCTTGAGGATCGAGCCGGAATCGCAACCCATCCAGCGCGACCTCGCACTCCTCCAGATGCAAATGCGCGACTACCAGGGTTATATACAGAGCAGGACCACCATGTTACAAGCTAGGCCCGCCTTCCGCCAGAATTGGACCGCTCTCGCCATCGCGCACCACCTCTCCGGCGATCTGGAAGAAGCTGAAAAGGTGCTGACGACATACGAGGAGACCCTAAAGACACCGCCGCCGCTATCGGACATGGAGCACTCCGAGGCTACATTATACAAGAACATGGTTATTGCCGAGTCAGGAAACCTTGAAAAGGCATTGGAGCACCTGGAATCGGTGGGACACCGCATCTCCGATGTGCTCGCGGTGATGGAGATGAAAGCGGACTATCTCCTCCGCCTCGGCAAGAAGGAGGAAGCCGCCGCAGCATACACTGCCCTCCTAGAGCGCAACTCAGAAAACTCCCTCTACTACGATGGCTTGATCAAAGCCAAGGATATCTCCAGCGATGACCACAAGGCGCTGAAGGATGTGTATGATTCATGGGCCGAAAAGTACCCGCGAGGCGATGCTCCTCGTAGAATTCCGCTGGATTTCCTCGAAGGAGATGACTTCAAGCAGGCGGCTGATGCGTACCTGCAACGTATGCTGAAAAAGGGTGTTCCCTCGCTCTTTGCGAACATTAAACTCCTCTACACTAACACCAGCAAAAGGGATACCGTTCAGGAACTCGTGGAAGGATACGTTTCAACCCCTCAATCAAACGGTTCCACCGACGGCTCTGCCGCTAAGGACAACAACGACTTCCTCTCATCCGCTTACTACTTCCTCGCCCAGCATTACAACTACCACCTTAGTCGGGACTTGTCCAAAGCCATGCAAAATGTCGAGAAGGCTATCGAACTGTCCCCTAAGGCTGTTGAGTACCAGATGACCAAGGCCAGAATCTGGAAGCACTATGGTAACCTCGAGAAGGCAGCTGAGGAGATGGAGAAAGCCAGGAAGATGGACGAGAAGGACCGCCACATCAACTCCAAAGCTGCCAAATATCAACTCCGCAACAACGAGAACGACAAGGCACTACACAACATGAGCAAGTTCACTCGAAATGAGACCGTGGGCGGTGCTCTGGGCGACCTTCATGAGATGCAATGTGTGTGGTATTTGACAGAGGACGGCGAGTCGTATCTGCGACAGCGCAAGCTTGGTCTGGCCCTCAAGCGGTTCCACGCCGTTTTCAATATCTTTGATGTCTGGCAAGAAGATCAGTTCGACTTCCATAGCTTTTCTTTACGGAAAGGCATGATTCGTGCCTATGTTGACATGGTTCGCTGGGAAGACCGCCTGCGCGAGCATCCGTTCTACGCCCGGATCGCTCTTTCCGCCATCAAGGCCTATTTGCTTCTCCATGCCCAACCGGATCTAGCTTATGGCCCTCTCCCTGTCAATGGTGGAGGCGAGGCCGATGAGGCCGAACGGAAGAAGGCATTGAAGAAGGCCAAGAAGGAGCAGCAACGGCTAGAGAAGGCCGAGGCAGAGAAACGGGAGGCGATCAGAAAGGCTGCTGCAAACCCTAAGAGCACGGAAGGAGAAGTCAAGAAAGAAGATCCAGACCCTCTTGGCAACAAGCTTGTCCAGACACAGGAGCCGCTCAAGGATGCATTGAAATTCCTTACGCCGCTACTAGAGTATTGCCCCAAGAATATCGAGGCCCAATCCCTCGGGTTCGAAGTACATCTACGAAGAGGTGCGTTCAACCCCTTTCCCTCACAATAGTATACTATGGCTTAACTGGTCTTCTAGGCAAATATGCACTTGCTCTCAAGTGTCTCTCCGCGGCCCACTCTATCGATGCCTCCAACCCCACTCTCCACGTTCAACTGCTCCGATTCCGCCAAGCTCTAGACAAGCTCTCCGAGCCACTTCCACCTCAGGTCGCGGAGGTCGTCGACTCGGAATTCGAGGCTCTCCTTCCTAAATCGCAGAAGCTCGATGAATGGAACGCCTCTTTCCTCTCCGAGAACAAGGACAGTGTACCCCACAAATATGCCTACCTCACATGTCAACGGCTTTTGACACCCGAGTCCAAACCGGAAACCGAAAAGGAGCTCGCCTCGACCCTGGATGCAAGCATTGTGTCCCTCGAGACAGCGCTTGCGGGTCTAGACCTGCTCGGCGAGTGGGGAAGCAACCAGGCCGCGAAGACGGCCTACGCAGAAAAGGCCAGCAGCAAGTGGCCGGAGTCGACCTTGTTCCGAATTGCTTAGTTCTACCTATTTCTGTTGGTGTTTGAGGATTATAGTTGGTCTTGTTGTTGGTTTCCATGCATTTCAGCGAAGCCTATAGAAACAAGATTCGATTCTGGTTTTTTCTACACCGACCAACACCGCAAAGAAACCATGTACGAGTATAGGCAGGAAAGGACTGGAGATTATTCTCTGAACTTGGAGTATATACTAGCAAGCTACAGAAAATTTATGAGCAAATGACGCGTATTTTTTCCTTTCCCACATGGTGCGTCAATATCATAGCGACCCAAGAGGGCGAACCTGAAGCTTCTAAGCTTAGTTGATGACGTCATGACGTCACCGTTGGACGACCCGGCTACGGTCGAGGCCCGACCCAGCTCTCAGCCCTGTTATTGGGTCCATTTTGACTTGAAATGCTTCCAAAGTCCACAGCAAGGACCGCAGCAAATGGCCGTTTGGCCATGCTAAAAGCCCTGCGAGTCTATTCGGCAGTCCTTGCTTTAAGCCCGCGCGTCTTTCTCGAGCAGGTTCGTGCATCATTGGCGAACTACTCCGTAGGCATCCAAATGAAAAGCTAGAAATCGACGATTCGATTTGTCCAAACGACGATCCTGCCCTCCCACCTTTGAATCAGTGCCAAGTACTCAAGTCAATCGTAATGGATGGCTATCATGATATCATCCCTGCTCGTCCTCCCTGAGCTATACTTGTTGATTGCCGTTGCACGCAAACGTCACTCTGACCTGATACCAAGGAGATGGGACTGAACTTTCTATAATACTTCTTCCTAGCTTTCCCTCTTTGCTGCGACTTTCTTGCTTGAACTTTTCCCTTACATTCCAACACCAACTATTCCCCGTGATTACCAGTGATACCCCAGTAACGCATCCCTTGCTACAACCTTGATTTGTTTGTTTTGCAACCAACACTCGAGCAAACCCTCCTCCCTTTGATTGGATTCCACATCTCAATTGAAGGACATAATCGATAACCGTGAAATAATCTCATCCCACCACCTATTAATCCTAATTGCACGTTCTCTTGGCTGCGGATAGCGCCCAACGCCTTTCATCATGCCTTCCCGAGCGGTCAATGTTCCCACAGATACCCGACAGAAGGAGAAGGTTAGTTCTCGCTGTTACTATACCATTGAGAATGATTTGTTGCTAATCCTTGGCGTATAGGATATCAATACAAAGCTGCAGCTGTATGGCATGTTCCAAGGTAGGAGACGAGCCCACTTGGTATAGTTCGAGAATCATTGTTGACATGAACAACTAGCCTTCAAGTATGGCAAGCTCCCAACAGTGAGTTCATACCTTCCTCTAAACTCTACTCAAAGGCCCAGCTGACCAACGTCCCCTTTGTCCCACAGAACAAGCAGTGTGACATCGCTTTGAACTCTGCCCTGGCCTCAAAGGCCCTCACGAAGCCCTCCCCAGAACTATCCGAGGAAGGTCGAGTCCTAGTTGAAGATCTGCGGAAGGTCATTGAACAGGCAAAGACACTCCTCCTTAGCAAGAATGACGGTCAATTGCTCCAGGAATTCATCTGGGAGGCCGAGCACATATCTGCGGATGAGGTGCAGAAGCCCGATGTTGCTGTTGGCAAAGAGTCCGCCGAGCAGGATGCCGCAAGGGCACGAGAGGGATTGAAGTCCCTTGGAACCCTGCTCATCACTAATGGCGAGTTCCGAAAGCTTGGTGAGTGGACATCTTTCTGTTGAGATTTATTCACACTCTGACATGTTACCTAGTAAATGACGCCATCACTATTGCCCGCGATATTGCTGGCGATGCCTCGCAAAAGGCCGCCAACAAAGTCCGTCCTTCTGAAGAGCAGTTGTCCCAGGTTGATCAGCCCGCTGAGGACAATGTCTGGCATGAGAAGCCTGACGTTGCTGGCTACCGAGACCAGTTCAAGTCTCGTTTCAGCAAGAACAAAGCCGTGAGTGTCACTGCTTTCTATAGCTTAGAAACATCTGCTAATGTCCAAACAGCAGCAGCACGCGACCGATGTTGCCAATACAGGCTTGCAGGCTGCCACCGGCGGCCAACAGCCCAGGGACACCTCTGATGTTGACCCTCATGCTGGTGTCAATGCTGCCGCGCAGCACGCCCAGGAGAAGATCCCTGAGAACCAGAGAGGACGTGCCCAAGAGCTCAGCGGCAGGGCCGTTGACTACCTGTCCGAGAAGATTCCGCCGGAGCGCCGTGATCAGACTATCTGGCGCCTGAAGAAGATGATTATTGAGATCCAAGGCCACCGTGACTGTGAGTAACCTCTTTAGTCGTTCTAGCACGATGATGCTAATATTATTGGCGTACAGACCAGGAGGCCATCGAAACCTTGCTTGATCTCGCTGAGAAGTATGGTGGCCGTGGAAGGCACATGGCTCAGCAGGGCTCCGGAAGTGTTCAAGGAACCCGAGGCAGTAGCTCGGTCCAGAGGATGGAAAAGAACCTTCGTGTAAGTAGCGAAAGTGATCTTGGCTCAAACTGGAGGTGCCACTAACCGCAAGCAGACATTGCTCGAGCGTTTCGCCAACAGCACGTCCCTCGATGACCTCTTCGATGCTCTGGAGAACATCTACCGCGATGCTGATAGAGACCCCGAACTCAAGGGTTGGTTCAAGAACATGAACACCTTCATCCGGTAAGTCCCAAGAGAGCTGTTTCCTCTACGCACGATCTTAATATACATTCCAGCAAAACTCTACAGCAGCAAGGCTACGTCATGCAGGACGACTGGAGCCACCAGTACGATGAACTGGCTGAGCACGGCCAGTTCCTTCTTCGGGACCGCTACAGGAGCCACACTGATCGCGTCCTGGACGAGATCAAGTTCCTTGGTACCCAATTCAACCAAGATCCTCAGAACAGGGCCTTCCGTGACTCGCTGCAGAAGCTGTTCAAGGACCTCGGCCGCGATCAGGACGGCAACGTCAAGTTCAAGAAGCACCTCGTCAAGGATATCAGGGATGTCATCGTCCCTGCCGTGTTCGAGAAGATCCGATATGTTCCCGTTCCGCGAATTGAGGTGTCCGACCCTATGGCCGATGTGGTAAGTAAAGCTTTGCATCTCTCATTCTCTCCAGGTGGGAGGAATGCACGCTAACAAGATCATAGGTCATTGAAAACCTGGTGATTGAGAGTGACAACCTCATGCCCAATGTGGTCGAATTCGGAAGCGACAACTACTTCCGCTGGGGCCGCAAGAAGATCAGCAACAAGAAGGACAACAAGATGATGATCTCAGTGTCTGGCATCCAGGCCGACCTTCGAGACGTCAGCTACTACATCAACAAGAAGCAGGGCTTCCCCTCCATCACCGACACCGGTATTATGGACATCTTCCTCGGCGGCGAGGGCTTCTCCTTCAAGATCGCCGCATCCAGGGCGCAGAAGAAGGACCGCCAGAACTTCGTCAAGCTCGACAAGGTCACGGTCAAGGTAGACGACATCGACATCAAGCTCAAGAAGTCCAAGCACAAGGTCCTTTTCACCGTCTTCAAGCCCATGCTCTTCCGCGTCGTCCGCCCCGTCATCCAGCGCGTCCTCGAGCAGCAGATCCGCGACGCCTTCACCAAGGCCGACGCTTTTGCCTACGAGGTCCACCAGGAAGCCAAGCGCGTGAAGAGCCATGTGCAAGAGAACCCCGAGGACGCCCCCAACATCTACAACCGCTACATCAATGCCATCCGCCGCAAGATGGAAGAAGGCAAGCGCCAGGCCCAGCAAGTCGCCCAGCGCGGTACAAAGGTCCAGACCACAACCACCCTCAAGGGCTCCCTCTTCCCGGACATCAAGCTCCCCGGTGGCATCACCACCAAGGCCACGGAGTACGACGAACTCGCTCGCAAGGGCGACCGCTGGGAATCTCCCATCTTCACCATCGGCTCCGCATCAGAGTCGAGCAACATCCCCAAGCCAGACGACATCTCTCGCAAGCCGCACGAAACCGCTGAGAGCAAGCTCCGTGATCGTCAGACCACCGGCGGCGCCGGCACCGGCGCTGGTGCTGCTGGCGGTCTCGCTGCTGCCGCTCAAGGGCCCGCCGTCAACGGTGGTGCCCTAGCCGGTGGCCGTCTCACCGACGGCGGCCCTTCAGTCGGTGGCCCGACGGTAACCGGTGGTGCTCCAGCCCTTGCCAATGGTGGTACCGCAGTGACCAATGGCCACACGAAGCACTACAACCCTGTCGTGAGCAATGGCCATGCTAATGGTCATGCAAACGGGCATGCCAACGGCCACGCAAACGGCAAGCCCGCTCAGGACATCTCGGCTATCGCGGGCGTGCAGCCGACCTTTAACCCTCAGACCGCGTAATTCCACTTAGATCGCGGTCTAGGTCGGGTTGAAGTTGGAGTGAAGAGCTCTGTTTCTCTCTAGCAGTGTAACACCTTATTTCCTTTGTTCTTCCCTAACGTAACAGAATACCTAATTGTCACGGTCGCTTGGTTTCGTCTGGTTCTTGATTCCCAACTGGTTTCTGATTTTTGTAAGAGTGACGTTTTCCTGTACTATTAGTCTTCAATCGAGTACCCTCTTCGTTCTTACCATCCGTCTTGTGTGCAGTAATCCTCCAAGGCGTAGTTCGAAACAAGTTTGTAGGAAACTTAAACATGGCGCTTCTATTAATCATCTATAATCAACTTTTCTTAATCGTAAATAGTCCCTCCCTTACATCTGGTTGAAGTACTTCTCCCACCCGAGCTCCTGCATCTTCGTGTTCTTCACCTCCATGTTCTCGACCCGAGCATTCTCTGCATACGCCTCGACCTTGCGCTGGATGGCAGGGTCGAACGCACCGATGATGCGAGCGGCCAGGAGGGCAGCGTTGATGCTGTTGTTGATGCCGACAGTGGCGACGGGGACACCTAGATTAGAATGTTAGCACCGTTCGATCTATAGGTGAGTTATGTGTTTCGGAAGGAAGACATACCTCGCGGCATCTGCACGATGCTGTGAAGACTATCAACACCGTCCAAGGAGCTTCCCTTGACCGGGACACCAATGACAGGGAGAACGGTATGCGCAGCAGCCATTCCGGGGAGGTGAGCAGCACCGCCTGCAGCAGCGATAATCACCTTGATTCCCCGCGCGGCGGCAGAAGCAGAGTACTCTGCCATGAATGTCGGGGTGCGGTGAGCAGAGGTGATATCGACGGCGGGCTCGATGCCAAAGTAATCGCGGAGGAGCTTCAGGCCGGGAACCAACGTCTTGAGATCACTGTCCGAGCCCATCATGACTGCGACCTGGGGTGCGGGCTTTGTGGGGCCAGACGGGGCGGGTTTCGTCTTGATGTCGGTGCGCTGGGAGCGAATGTCGTCGACGACATCGATGAGGGGCTGGATGTACTTCTCTGCCTCGTGCATCGTGGGCGCCGTGACTGTGACGTGGCCCATCTTGCGGCCTGGCTTCGCAGCGCCCTTGCTGTACAGGTGAATTGCGGCGTTGGGGATTGAGAGGGCGGCTTCGGCGGCTTTGACGTGGGTGTCTGGGGCGGCGCCGCCGATGATGTTGAGCATGATGGAGGGTTGGCGGATTTGGACGCTCTCGGGGGGAATGGGGAGGTCGAGGATGGCGCGGAGGTGGGTATCAAATTGGGAGAGGGCGCATCCTTCGATGGTGTAGTGGCCGGAGTTGTGGACTCGGGAGGCGAGTTCGCAGAGGAGCAGAGAGTTGTCGTTCAGGAGGAACATTTCAACGCCGAAAGCGCCCTTGCCCTCGAAAGTTGCGACAGCTTTACGGGCGAGCTCCTGGGCCTTCTGGTTGATGTCGTCGGGGACGTTGCGCGCGGGGGCATAGACGAGCTTGCAGATGGAGTCTTCCTGAACGGTCTCAACGGTGGGGTATGAGAGGACGGAGTCTTTAGTCTTGATGACCATGACGGCAAGTTCCTGTGTTGTATCTTGCGTTAGACAACATTGTTGTACAGGGTGCGGTAGATTTAACCTTCTGAAAGAAAGCCCATTTCTCCGCGTATAATGGGCGACCTTTGAGGAATTCGAGAGCATCGGGGATATCGTCCTTGGAGTTGACACGGTAGTTTCCTATCCAACAAATCCAATTAGCTATGTCTGAGACTATGTGAGATCTTAAAGGTCCTGACTCACCACGCCCGTCATAAGCCATAGTCTTCGACTTCAGCATCAACGGATAGCCAAGCTGTTCCCCGGCCTTGGCCAATTCCTCCGGTGTGTTCTCGATTAGCTCGCGATGCTCCGCCATCGGGATACCAAACTTGGCGAGGTGCTCCTTCTGGTTGAACTTGTTCTGAATCGTGCGAATTGCCTGCCAGCTGGGCTCAATCTGGACTTGCGAATCAACCTCCTCCAGGGCATAGGTGTCGACATGCTCAATCTCCGCGGTGATAACGTCGCACTTGTTCGCCAATTCTCGGACGGCCTCACGCTCCTTGAATGAACCTGTAACATGGCCGTCGTGGTAACTGATTTGCTTCGCCGGGGCGTTCTCCGCATCGAGGACGTTGACTTGGATGTTCAGTCTGTTGGCGGACTCGACGAACATGCGGCCGAGCTGGCCACCGCCGAGGACGCCGACCTTGCGAGAATTCCACATTTTGGTGACTAGTGAGAGGTAGATTGAGGGGTAGGTCGAAGACTGTAGAATTGCGGGATGAATCACAGGAAGTTCGCGAACCCCTCCGTGGCTCCGCAATCGGCCTAATCAGGAAAAATTGGAAAAAATCCGGTATCATCACGTGAAACACGATAAGCATTCCGAGAGGTAACCAATCACAGCTGAAGGCTTGACGGGAAAGCCCCCGATGCCCCGCAATTAATAACACAGCGGCAGGCCGTAAGTAACACGGTACGGTAATCTGTACCCATGTCATCAGTTGTCGCAGGGCAGAGCATCGCGTTCCTGAAGCTTAAGCTTGTTTCTCGCATCACCCCGACTGGCCCGCGCCTCAGAATCTCCGGGAGAGATGGCTTTAGGTACTTGCCCCTCCGTATAGCCTTTAGGCGGTCACATCCGGATTCTCCTTTTCTTGCATCTTCGTTGGGTAACCCTTGGAGCTCCCGCGGACTAACGTCGTCATTCGGACAGATGAAGAGAGCTTGGAGATAGCCGCCAATGGCGGCTTGATGGATCTGTACGCCAATCCCACAGTCAAGAGTACATGTCAGAGCCGTTTCGTATGCTGATAACCTCGCCGCAGTGATAAATGGCCGGGAATGGTCGAACCGTTGCTTGAGCGACTGGAAAACGTGCGCATGGAGGGCTCCATCAATCCCAAATAAACGAGGCAATATAGCTCACACAGTCACAACAGATCATCTACAATGCCTTTCCAATGCCCGATGCCCCTCCAGAGCCGACGACCCCTTTCCGATTCCAGCAGCAATACCTGAACCCAACCTCATCCTTTCTCCACGATCCGAATTCCGTCCCCTCTAGCAGCAACAAGGAAAATGCCGCTCCGCCAGACCTCCAGACTCCTCCCCGTCCTCCTCCCTCATCAATTAATCCTCCGTCGTCAACGGAACGCGTTCCCGACTCCCTTCCCGCGTCTCAGGTAGGCGCTTCGACGACAGCTCTCCCCGCACCTCTCCTCCTGATTCACCAATCTATCCAATCAACTCTGAGATCGCTTTTCTCTTCCAAACCCCCACACACTATCCAACGACTTGCGGAACTTATCCTGCGTCCCAACGCGCATTATAAAACACTTCCCGCTTATCTACGAGCTGTGGATCGGGTTATCTCCGTGACGAGTAGCGCCGACGTTTTCCCACTTCCGCTGCAAACTACAGCGCAGCCGAATGGCACGATCAATGGCGCAGAAAATACATTCATCTTGACTGATAATTCGTTGGGGAGTGACGAGTCTTTGGGTGGCGCTCTTCTGACCCCGATTTCCTGGCTGAACAATGCTACGTCTCCGGGAGCTGAAACAGCGGGGTTAGGCGAAGGTGACTGCCTCCTTCCGTTGCTTGCCCATAATCTTCCCTAATGTAATCTTCTTTGCGCAGTCTCCATAACAACTACAGTCCCCGGTCTCCAGCAGCAACTTCTCACACAACCCGTCGATTCAGCCACGCAAGAGCCACAGCCGACCCTCGCCGCTTCCGAAGTACCAGAGGGTGAGCTGACGGCAGAGCCTACAGAGGAAATTCCTCACGCACGGGGGCCTGCTGTCCTAGGTGTAGAGGATATGGGCCTCCAGGACGGCAAGGGGGTGGAAATGACGCTGCTCAGGACGGATGCTGGAACAGACAATCAGCCCTCCTCGGTTGGTGAACCAGCCGCTGAACAACCAGCCGCCCAGGTATCCGGCACCGGAGCGGGAGAGAGCACAGCGACCACGACCACGGCTGTATCTGGAGATGAGGCCGACGGGGACGGAGATATCACACTGTCCGATGAGCCCACGATACCGCAGGAGGCCGGGAAGCGATAGCAGGCTTGAATTTAGCTCTGTGGAGGCGGCGAAATGAAGAATGAACTGGCTTGGTGCATGTGTTACTTGTATCTTTGGACTTTTACTGCTTGTTTTATGAATGATGACCTGAAATCTGACCTCCTCGAAGAAACTCTTTACCTGTGGCCGAAATAGTGCTCAGACGGAAGCAACGAAGGGACGGTGCTGTGCGCTCGCAGCTGGGTAGCTCTTTCCTTTCATGAATCCCGTGTTGTCCGCCCAATCAAGGAAGGTGCTATGTACCCATTGCACTTTCCAAGATATAGAATGGGAAAAACCCCCGTTTACTACCAACACGACAGGCACGACAGGCAGCGGCTTGGGTCGCTCTTTCCTCTTGTGCTGTGTATCAATCTGACCATTGAAGGAAGGAGCAACCGTTGCCCGCTCTTTACTGTTATCTTCCAAAGAGAGATATGGAAGAAACGACCCATCCCTCACCAAAACGGCAGGTGCAATCGTGGGCCACCTCGGTAGCTCTTTCCTTCTACATCTCATAATGAGCTCCGCAACGGAGGAAGGCACGATCATCAGAGACTGGGTAGCTCTTTCCTCCTATGTGCACGTAGTAGAAGAGGAAGGCGCAACCATAGGTGCACCTTCCTTCTTTGTAAGAATATATAACAAGAAGGAATGACCTTTTCAACATGTTACCAGGTCCATGCCCGTATTCACTTTTACGTTTTTGTGCAGAAGGGATCTATTGAAGGTAAGAGATGTAATGTTTTTCTTCATTGTAAGTTGGTATAGGACATTTGACGTAAATGAGAAATAGGTATCTTGCGAGAAACATCATGCGAAAATCGGAAACAACCACATCAACACGATCAGCAAATAAAAGAGTCATCAAAAATCATGCGAATAGTCAATGAAAATCAGACAGCTGTCTCAACCGTCTGCAGAGGAACGTAGCTTGGCTCGTAGTCCGCCGTCCGCACCGGGCGTCCGGTGAAAACCGATCCAATCCGGGCAGCTGTGCCCTGGATCCATAGTATAGGGCGGCTTCTGCGAGCGGCGCTGGGGGTTGCGTAAGAGAAGAGAGTCGCCTCCAACCAGTTCTTCCGGGTGCTCTCAGAGGCAGAGTCAACTTCCTTCTCGAGGATCTCTGCGTCCATCCATGACGGGCGTTTCCAGAAGTTCAGGAGAAGACTGCTCACGACGACGGAGACGCTGGAGAGGGCCATCGCAGCACCGGCCGCCATTGGAGGTAGCATGAACCCACCGAAGGGGAGGAAGAGACCCATGGCGAATGGAAGACCGATGACGTTATATGCGCACGCCCAGACAAGATTGAGTTTGATGCGGTTAAAGACCGAGCGTGACAGGGCGAGACTCGCAGGAACAGACAGGAGATCATCGGGTCTCATGAGGACAATGTCGGCAGCTTCCATGGCCACGTCGGTGCCTGAGGCGAGGGCAATACCGACAGAAGCAGTAGCGAGGGCGGGTGAGTCGTTGATGCCGTCTCCGACCATTGCGACGCAGTCACCGGTCTCTTGAAGAGCGGCAATGATGGATCGCTTGTCGGACGGGGAAACGGAGGCGTGGACAGAGTCGGCTGGAATACCAACGGCCGAAGCCACTGAGGCAGCAGCCGCTTGCGAGTCTCCGGTGATCAGTGAGGTTGAGATCCCCATGCGATGCAGTGCTGCTACGGCAGCCACCGCGGTTACCTTAATGGTGTCTTGGAGCAGAATGGTGCCAGCAAAGTGTCCATCAATCGCCACATGAATTTGCGTTATGCCGACCTGACAGTTCTTGGACCCTGGTGCCTCGGACGCCTCTTCAACAGACTCTGGAACTAGGATATCTCTGGATCTCAAGAAGGAAGCATTTCCGATCAGCACACGGTACCGAACGCGCTCAACATCAGAAGATGGCTCGACCAAGGCAGATATTCCTTTACCGACACAAGCGTCAAAGTCACCTAGGCTTCCAGGAAGTCCAGTTTCACCAGCATTGCCCGATTCGGTCCGTGCGGTTGAGTAAATCGTTTTGCCGATGGGGTGTTCGCTGTTCATTTCCGCAAGCCCAACAATAAGCCACCAAAGACGGCGGCGCCAATCATTCGATGTCCATTGAGGCTCAATCTTGGCTTCCGCCACGCTCATCTTCCCGGTCGTCAATGTTCCAGTTTTGTCAAAGACGACGTGGGTGATTTTTGTTGCGGCCTCGAGGACGGCGCCACCCTTGACGAGAATGCCTTGGGTCGCGCCAACACCCGTGCCAACCATGACGGCCGTAGGTGTACTAAGTCCCAAAGCGCAAGGACAAGCAAAGACAACGACGGAGATACAGAGCTTCAGGCAGACCATAACCTTGCCACCGCCATTTTCGGCGATGAAAATCTTTGGAGGGTTGGGAAGTAGGTGGCTCACAAACATCCATCCAAAGAAAGTGATCAGGCCGAGACTGATGATGCTGGGAACAAAGTATCCGGCCACGAGATCGGCCATCCTCTGGATGGAGGCGCGACTTGTCTGGGCATCCTGGACCAGTTTCACAATCTTGCTGAGTTGGGTATCCTTGCCTGTGCGAATAACCTTGAAGTCGATCGCACTGGTGCCGTTTACCGTTCCCGCGATGACGGTGCTGCCCTTGACTTTGTGGATGGGAAGCGCTTCTCCAGTGATCATACTTTCGTCAACATAAGTCTCGCCCCGGATCACAATTCCATCCGCCGAAACCTTGTCGCCAGGATGGAGTATGATGATATCTCCGACCTCAATGAGCTCAGTAGGGATAATCTTGTGGCTCACAGATGGGCCTGAGCTCGATGAAGTTGGCTTCTGTTCCTCTGGGTCCTCCTTTGTCCATTGCTCCGCTAGCTTCTCGGCCGCTATCGGGTCCTCGTAGATAGTTGTCATTGAGGGGGCGAGAGACATGAGTCGAGAAAGCGCAGCAGAAGTTTGACCCTTGGCTCTATTTTCCAACCATCGCCCAAGGGTGATGAAGGTGATAAGCATGGTGCTTGTATCGAAAACAGTGCTGGGCCGATCATGCGGCTCAAGGACAATGGCAACGGCCATGGTGAGCACACTGTAGAAGAATGCTGCGGAAGTGCCAAGCATGACAAGGACATCCATGGTAGGCGCGCGGTGCTTCAAGGACTTGAATGAGGTGACGTAAAATCGCTTTCCAATACCAAATTGAATGGGAATGGTGAGAAACAGGCAAGCAACCTCCCCGAGGTAGAGGCCAGGAATGATCTGAATCGAACCAAAGTCGAGTATTGGGAGGTACATGGGCAATATCATGTTGATCAGAAACACTGGGATCGCAAAGGACAGCGAGATCAGGAAGGCGCGCTTCCACTCCAAGACTTCTTTAGTCTTTGCCAACGACTCCAATTGAGCGTTGTTGTCGTCAGCATCCACCAGTAAAGCATTGTAGCCAGCAGCTTCGATTGCCGACACGATTGAACGGATACCAATAACGGAGGTGTCGTAGGAGACCACCAATTTTGACGTGGCGATGGAAATAGCAGCTGACGATATACCCGATCTTTGCAAAAGGGTATCCTCAAGCGCAGCCGCAGCGTTGGCGTCCCGCAGACCATGAAGGTCGAGTGTAATCCGACTCAAGCCACCCTTTTGAGAGTGCGACAGAACTTCCGAGACTATCTTTGCATCAAATCCCGCGTCTTCGATCATGTCGATAATCTTCCGGGACGTAAGCGTATTCGGGTTGTGGGTGATAATCGCTCGCTCGGCGAGCAGACTGATGTTGAACTGAATGACACCCTCCACGCCGTCAAAGGCACCCTGCACACTGGAAGTACATGCACCGCATGTCATGCCCTCAATGGCAACAGTAGTGACCATCGATTGCGACGAGGGGTCTGTAGAATCCTGGGAACCGCGCGGCCCGCTCTGGGGCGTGGAGGTTTCCAGCACCCGTGCCCCAAAGCCACGATCCTCGATTATATCGGCAAGCTGCTCCGCTGAGATCGTCGACAGATCGTGTTCCACCACCGCTCGCTCAGAAAGCAACGAGACGTTGACGGAGCGCACACCAGGCGTCTCCGTCAATCCGCCTTCAACTGCGGATGTGCAAGCCCCGCATGTCATACCCTCCACTGCCAGCGTTGTGGTCGCGACGGTTGCGACTTGTTCGTTGGTATTTCTGCCCTGCGTTGGTATTGACGAACTGTCCGTGGATATGACCGCTGCATCGAAACCGCAATCCCCGATCATCTCGGCGACTTTTTCGGGGGGAAGGAGAGAGGGATCGTGGTGGATAACGGCCCTGCCCATCATCAGACTCACAGACACCTCACCGGCGCCCTCGACACCTTTAAAGGCGCCTTCCACAGCAGAGGTGCAGGCGCCGCATGTCATCCCCTCCACGCTGACGGTTGTGGTAGCCATTTGCGGCGTTGGTTGGACCGGCGAAGAGCCAGCGCCTATCGTATTCGACACCGCCATCGTATCGACGGGCAAAGATAAAGAACCAGGCGAAAGAAGCCGGAGAAAAGTTGTTGTCACCGCATACGAGCGACTGCGGAAGTCCCAGGGATAAAGAAGAGCTTGAGAGAAGAAAGGGAGCCTGCGGCACGCGAAAGGGCGTGGGCGAGGCCTGAAGTAAGAATGAAATTACCCAGATGGGGCGGCGGAAGCAACGGAATCCGATCGCTCTTAAGGAGTCTTAGCAGCGCTGCATTCAGTCGCACTCGGGGAGATAGGCGCTTGGTATTAAGTATTCCAGCAAGGGAGAAGATAATAACCTCAAAGCTATTCTCTGGGTAGGGCCATCAGGCTCCAGATGAACTATCGATTCAATAACCCTTGCTCATATCATGCTAAAATTCATCATCTGTCCCCATTGTTCGCGGAAGAGCGGGACATTGGGGAGATTTTCTGGAATCCTGGAGGCCTGCGAACGGATCTTGGCGGTATTGGCGTCGTATTAGTAATTTCCAGGCGCCATTCCTCACAAAGACAATGAGTACCGGACGATCATTCAGCAAGGGCCCATCTCCCCTCCAATAGGCTTTAGTTATTCTTGAATGACCTATTCAAGGGCTCAATCGCCGGAGCAGAGAGTTGCTGCTTAGGATGGCGCAATACCCTGGTACAAGGCGTAACCGTGTTGTTGAAGAAAATCAAGCTTGACTGCTGAATCCCAACTGCAGAGCTTTGATTGATACGTGGTCTTTTCTTCAAGCCTTCATCAGCAAGACTAACCGAAGCGAGCGGTTGGTAATAATTTGATATACTTGAGGCGCTCGGAGATGGACCTCATGTACTCGAAACACTGTCCGCCTTGGGTAGTCGTTTCAACTACAGTAGGATGACGCTCTATGAAACTTGAAAACCCTCCACCATCCGCCTGTCCACTTTTCGAACAATGCAGGATATATCTTGCGTTGCCCCTTTTCACCAGACGGAGGAGTTCGTCGATCCAACTTTAAGCACAGCTCATTGTGAACGATAATTGCGCGAGATGTGATGCGTTGACGATCAGCAAGTAAACTACCCATAGGTCGCTAGCGGGCAATGATCATGTTCAGAAACCACGAGTATGAGCAGAACAACCGAATTCAGGATGCGTAAAAGGATCAGAATCAGGAATTGCGCGACTACGAGACAGGTCTACCATTGTCCTGATTTGCAATAATAACAATGGGGTCGTTGGGCGTGATTAGAAGCTGCCACCGGGGACTCAAGAGGCAGGAGTAGGACGACCTTGAGGACTTGAGGGCCATGGAGGGCCCCAAGACTGAAAGCCCTTGGTTCGTCCGCAATTCATGGAGGTTTACGCTGGAATGGTGTTGATCCGCGGCGACGGCGGGAGTCGCTCATGGAATAATGTTCTGAATGGGGGCACAGCCTGAATTACTTTGTATAATCCACAGTTAGTCAATAATTGATTGGAGTACCTAGTAGTAGAAGAGTGCCACGCAGGTGATTTACTGTTGTAAGGCCTGAGGCTACAGATCACGTGCATCCTTCCTAGGTGTTTTGCCTCAGGTACGGAGTAGTTGCATCTCCTCTACAGTGTCTGCCCTGCAGTTGGTAATGGAATCTGGGACTTGCCACGAAACAAACAGTATTTATCGCTCTGCGCTTCTGTAACTGCTCGCTGTCAGACCAATAGCCGCTCATCCTAGCAGATGAGAGCTGGCGGAATGAAAGTCGAATACGGTATTTTATTCTATCATGCTGTGCAACTTCCACTAACTGCAGGCCAGAGACTGTACACAACTATAGTACTGGGCATTTCCACCATGTCCCCTTTCTCAACTGGTTTGATCCGCTAAGTCTTACTTATAAAGACGAGTTCTTGGGCCAAGCTCATGCGAGTTCCAGGAAGAGGCGCTTTCATTGAGCGTGGAATCAACCATACGATTTTTCTACGCGGGTCCCTCGAATCATCATGGAACGGGGCTTGTTTGGAGACAATGAGCCCAGCGCGGCGGACAGGTCCGCTTTGCCAGCTGCAGGTACGAGTACTCAAAAAGGTACGCTTGGAGGAGTTCCTCCATAGCTTGTATTGCCCAACGCGGGTCCCACGGAATCATCTTTGAACTGACTTGTTCGGTGATGCCAATTCGTGACCTCGCTCTCGGGGCGTGAACATAAATAAAATGATAAGGTACCCGCTTCAGTGGCCAGGATACGGGAGAGCCGTCTCATCGATTCCAGACCTTTGAAATGCGGGCAACAACTGTTTCGATAGTCGCTCTGACCAGCGCATTCGCTGCACTGACCAGCGCGTTGACGACCGCTCGACCGCCCACTAGTAGTGGTCAGACATGCGTAAGTCACTGCCAAGTAATGCTTGTTGTGAGTGATTGAAATCAATGATCCTGATCGAGGTCTGTCTTTGCCAGTGTCGCGCCCTGAAAGCAGTCCTGCCGGACGATACTTTCATTCCGAACAGCACAGTATACACCGCCGAGTATCAGAACTTCTGGTGTAAGTTGAATGTCCTGGAAAGCCCCTCTGCTCTATGTACTCGGGACAAGCTGACCGAGACAGCGTCCACTGAGGACCTCAATCCTGCTTGTGTCTTCCTGCCAAACACGACGAAGAAGGTTGCTCGAGCGGTCCAGCTCTTCACCCGCCTCAACTGCCAATGGGCCATCAGAGGTGGTGGACATAGCCCCATTCCGGGTGCTGCTAATATCGATGGCGGAGTCCTCATCGGAACAAATCATCTCAACGCAATTGACATCAACCATAAACAGGGTTATGTCCGCGTTGGCGCCGGCAACCGCCTTGGTGCAGTGTATAATGCACTTGATCCACACAACTTGGTGCCCATTGTGGGGAGGTATGAGGATGTTGGTCTTGGTCTTGCTGTTGGGGCTGGCTTTTCCTACTTGACCAATCGTGAGGGGTTGACCATTGACAACGTCCTCAACTATGAGGTTGTTCTTGCAAATGGGAAGGTTGTCAACGCCAACAAAAATAGCCACTCCGACCTGTTTTGGGCTCTGAAGGGTGGTAATAACAACTTTGGGATCGTCACTCACTTTCATCTCAAGACATTTCCATACAATGGTACTGTCTATGGAGGAAATATCATTCATCCAGAGTCCGCCTTCGACCAGGTCGCGGATCTATTCTATGACTATCATACGCACCAGGCGGTCGACGATGTTTTGACCCATGCAATGCCCTCGTACAACTATATCGGCGCGACTGATGTGGCCCGTGCAGAAAGTCTCGTGGTATACAATGCTCCCGTCGACGAGCTGCCTCCAATCCTTCAACCCTGGCTCGAGGTACCTTACCAGAATGATACACTGTCTCGGAGAACGTATGGAAGCCTTGCTCGTGAGCAGGGGGATGGCATCTTCAATGGGCTCGCGTTAGTAATTCAATTTCCTTTCCCAGACCCCTTCAATTGGACAAACAGAGCCTAGAACCCATGCGCTAACTGATTTTATAGCGTGGACCAGCGTCTCTTTAGCGTCTATGCCGACCGAGAGTTCCTCAAGGTGGCGTGGGAGATATATCTTCAATGGCTTCGGGATCGTCGGGACGTCCCAGGTCTGGTCGGGGTTCATGTTCCTATGCCCATCACCCCAAACCAAATCGCGCAGGGAGTTGCCAAAGGCGGAAACGCCCTTGGCCTGGAGTCAACTGACAATGGTAAAAGTATAGTAGGTAAGTATCCGGTATCTTGAAAGAACTCCCGTCATGGAAGTTCAAGTGGACGGCCACTGATCATTCTTCTAGTCATCTTGATGCTACTCAACTTCAACAACCTCGAGGATCTTCCACGCTTAAGGGCCGAGCACAATGCATTGATGGAATCGTTGGTCGATCTGGCGAAACAGCGAGGCGTTTACCATCCTTATATGTACGAATGACAATCCCGTCCCCAGGAACCCCGTTCAAAATCGAAGACAGAGCTAGAGCTAATCACGCCTCGTCACAGAATGCTTACCTACTCGGGAGCCGGCCAGGAGGCCATCGCCTCGTACGGCTCAAAGAACGTTGCGAGACTGTGGAAGACTGCAAAAGCTTACGACCCCACCGGTGTATTTCAGCGCCTGGTGCCAGGAGGGCAGAAACTCCCGCGGGCCTAGAACCAAGCAGTAGCCGGTGGAGGGGAAAACCGAGTGGCGCTGGACAAAAACGGTCCGATCGTGGGAGACTGTAGAAAGTGGAATGTTTTATTCCCCATCTAAAAAAACAACAGTCGAGAGTAGATCTTTTGTCAGCCTGTCGAGGCAACTTATCTCCCCATAATCGCAATTCTGATCAGTATGGGGCACACGGCGCAAATATCGATTATCTTCCACCTAGATGCTTGAATATGGTGGAGCGTTCATTGGTGCAAATCAAGGAGATGTCCAGGGTAACTCTACTTCCTCCCTTGCTCGGCCTGGGCCGAAGAACAAACAAGGTAAGCAGGGATCGTTCAATTGGGATGGGACCAGGAGCTCTTGGATCGGTCTTTAACGGTGACTGCCTTCGTATAACAACAAGGGTCTATTTTTGGCCTCTTCCCCCTCCCCTAGTTTCTCTTACTGTCGGTTTATCAACTTCGCATACATGTTCAACTGTGCCGTCCCTTTCCACTGGTCGAATTCTTCATACATTCGCCATAACTGGGGATACCCACGAATTTATCAAACCCTCGCCAAAAACGCCCGCTCTCGAATCACTCATCTACACCATAGGTATAAGTATATGCACATCACCCATTTTATGTACTACACGGCCCGCAGCGAGGAAACCCCGTCATCACTCCTGGTTCACGATCTTGACGTCAATGGGCGTGTTCCACGAGAGCAGAAACTCCATGACGCGAGAGATCTGCTCCGGCTGCATCTGCTGCAGGATCATCGTCCGCCTGCTCTTGATCGTTTCCCGATCCGGCGGCGTCAGGGACAGTTCCATGTCAGGGATTTGGTCTTGGATCTGGTTCCAGTTCCACTCGAGACTTGCTTGCAACTCGTCGAGGGTAAGCCTTGGATCTGTGGTGGTGGTAGCGGTAGGAGGCAGAGGGGGAAGGGCAAGGGGAGGAAGAGGAGGAGGAGCGTCAAGTTGCATCTCGCTATCTTCACTGCTCTGAGTCGAGTCCATCCGGCTACTATCGTCGTCACAGAGTGCCGGTGTAGAGCAGTCGTCGCCGAGCAGCCCGGTCCCCATCACGTAGTCCACCCAGGACTCTAGCGAGACTGAGGTGGGCTCTGTGCCCATCTCTCCTAGCATTTCAGGAGGGGTGCTCCCACTCGGTCCCAGGTATGAAGAAGGGGAGCTGGTTGTGTTCGCTGAAAGGTCTTTGTTGGCGCTGGTGGCGCTGGTGGTGCTTGGCAGGAACATGCCCCCAAGATGAAGATCATCGTGTCCTAATTCCGAACCGGCCATGGTGGGGATGGGACGTTGCTGGTGCAGGTAATGGTGGTGGCGATGCGAGCTGGTGGTGGGGTTTCCACCTGTGGACTCGGGAGGCATGCCGTAGAATCGCGGAACAATGTCAGGTTGCGATGACGGTGATGGAGGTGAAGACTCTGTAGTATCTGGCATCGTTCTGCTCGTGGCAGGGCGACATTTCCCCGGGGAGGTAGAGTTGGAGTTGTTTGTGGTTTGTCTCATCCGCTGTAGGATTGTGAACCTATATAAGGTTGGATGATGGGATTAGCAGATGTGCGCAAAGTATATCTATCATCAATCAACCAAACAATCGAATAATGGAGCTCCTCCAGCACCAGGTCTAGTGAATAATTGACCAACCTGTTTTTTGCATCGTTGGCGGACCTACGGTGTAGCGCTTCATCGACTATCTGTTTCCAATTTCGACCTCGCTTCTCAACCTCTGCGAGCAAGACCTCATCCTCCTCTGGCGTCCATTCACTGCGATTGAGGCCTGGGTTCAGAAAGTGTTGCCAGCGTTTGGCGCATTCTTTGCCAAGTCAGGCAGTCAGTCAGGTCGTCCCGATCAAGATACCAAGCAATCGAGTAATCTAGGTCACTGAGTGAGAGCAACTCACGGTCTGGTTGACGAGTGCCGACTACCTGAGCAACATCGGTCCATCTGCAACGGATTAGTCGTCAGGCGCGACAATGGAAATATACGCATTGATTAGGTGTAGCAAAGTATGAGACTGACACGGTAGAATACTTTGCAACCGCCTCATGAAGGCGTTTGTTCTCCTCTTCGCTCCAAAGACCCTTGTTGATCTTACTATCCAGCTTGATCCACCGCTTCCTACAGTCTTCAGCACTCCACCCGTCAGAACACGTTGTCCAAACGAGGGAAGAATGCACAAAGGAGTAAAGGCAGTGTTGTCGGCTTAGGTACCTTTATTACTTCTTCCTGGCAACTTCTCTGCAATTGCTCGCCAGTCGATAGGCTTTCCCAGCCTCGATGCTGTAGAGCCTGATGATGATGGCAATTTGCCCCGTCAGCCCTGTGTAATCGGTTCAAGCGTAGCAGCGGTTTCACTGCAGGACATTGTACCTTGCTTGACAACCTCTCTGCGCAATATGTGGTCCTCTTGCTCCGCCCACAAGTTTCGAGCTTTCAGCGTGTTCTCTTCGTGCATCGTACAACAAGGACATCAATAAAAGATAAAAGTAGAAGTAGAAAAGAACAAAAGAACGAAAAGAAGAAGTGAAAAGAGCAATGTACTTCAGGAAGAGGGGCAGTGGGACTCGGAAGGCAACCTGGGGTTGGTACTAGCAACATCGGGACCTGGTCGTCACCGGCATCAACTTGCGGCTGAAGCATGAAGAAAGCATCCAAAGGTGAATCAAGATAAAACACAGTGAGCTTGTTCTTCTGGTACGCGGGTCCCCGAAGCCTCCAGCAGAGTAAGATAACTACTCGACAGTATTTCAACTCTGGTTCTTGCCATGCAGCGTGGCTGGGGCGCCTTGCGCAGTTGTTCGAGTTGTTTTCTTGCGGACCGAAAGCTGTCGCTTTCCGCGGGGGCGAAATGCTGACGGCTGACAAGACATTCTGCAGGGATGGGCGTCTTCTGCATTGAATACGGTCTCTTCGCCCCTCTTCGCGGGGCAACGTGGTGACGGTTGACAAGGATAGGAGTCTAGATTGAATATCATCTTTTCGTGGGGGCTGAAATGGCGACGATTGACAAGGGTTGGGAGCCGGTACATGAAGTTGGATGTCTCACTCAGCCGGAGGGCCCCTATCATCAGGCGATAAAATGCTTGCAACTCTCTCCTCCCTCTCGTTGACTCGGCTGCATCATGACAGGGATTTATATTGCCTGCGAACAAGCTCACAAATTAAGAGGCTTGACCCTTATAGCAGGGTGCATAGATGAATTGTAAGACAAGCGCTAACCATAACCTTGATAGTAATCTTTTAGGCGCCCACCCTGTTATGGTACCTTTGCAGTACTCAATGCCTCGGCCATATTATTATGCGGCAGATTCGGTTGGTACTGGTATAGATCCCTGCTACTAATGCCGGTACTATAACAGGCTCCTCTATCATTGATTGTGTGCCATTGATTATCAGTCGATCCCAAGAGGCTGTGTAGATTCAGGTCTTGAAACATAGCCAAGTGCCATGTTGTGCAGCAATCTCTCCCCAGACTCCGGAATATATGCACACGCCCTGCATAAATCTCAGTCGGGAAGAACTCTTATAAAAGTATGCCTGCTATGGCTCGTGCCAATGGGTATGTGAGCGGATCCACATGCGCAGCAATTCAGCGAAGCGCCTAGATAGATTGATAATGAAAAAGTCTTCTAGCTACCAAGGTAGGAGTAGGAATCCACATATGATATTGATGATAGTCTAACTCTCCAAGGAAGGAATAATGGGGTGGGCGAGGTCTTTGTAGCGAGCCAAGGAAAATGCCAGGTGTCGCTTACTATACCCTGATTTTGGAACGACAACCCGACGCCTAGCAGAGGTCCACCGTACGAAGCTTTGGAGGTTCAGAGATGGTCGATTCGAATGGGCTGATCAGATCGACAGGGATAGCTCCAGATGAAACTGCTTCTAGACCATGCTAGTACGCAAGAGACAAGGGGTCTAAATATAGGATCACCAAAGCCGGATAGCAACGGCTGCCAGAACCCCCAAGTCGTTCAAGGATAGGAAAAGGACGCTTCATGGTCAAACTGCGTACATTGCGCTTGGTAACTGCTTTGATAGTTACGGAGGCAGCAGGGTTGATTTTTTTTTTTTTTTTTTTTTTTTTTTGGAGAGATGAGGTTTGTGGTTGAGATGACCAGCGTGGGTAGCCTAGGTAACATGAGTCCGTGACAGTGTAAGTTCCATGGTCAAAGGAAACCCGCTGGCTGCAAATAGAACCTGGTAAGCCATTTCAGTACAGGTAAACTTTAGAGTGCATAGGAACCTTTGGCTAAGTGGGTCTCCGACCTCGAACAGATTCAAGTTGCTAACTGGAAAAGGTTTAGCAAAATTAAATCTTCTCAGGGCCCATCCATTCTGCGCCCTGATCCCAATGAAGGTTGCTCCGCCTCTTTCGCTTGCTGCAAGCAAATCCGGAGATTTTAGCCGTGCCGCCTGCGCCGTGTGAGGAATCTTGCGCCAGGCAGAATCACCTTGAGCTTGTTGGCAACGGAGCCGAAATGAGGGCTGGAGAAAGAACGGATCTGTCTGCCCGTCCTTGAGCACGAGTAGGAGAATGAAAAGGAATTTTCTAAGAAACTCTGGGTCCTGACGAGGCATAAATCTCTGGAAGACAAACTTGCAGTCTTCAAGTTGGAGTCCTCAAATATCAAGTCGTACGCGGGTCCGGCGATCGCGGCCCGTCCCGACATGTTGCACTACGCACTAGTATATGTATAAGCATTATTCAAATAATGCTTCAACTGAAACTTATGCTACTCACTAAGCTGATTTGCAGATTGGCTGTCATATTCATATACACTACGTATTATGAACACGTATGGACCCGCGTACACAGTCTGTACTTTCCATTAGAGATGGAGAGCTGCAACTGTGGAAGACTGGGCATCTATGACTGTCTACTGAACAGCATCGTTTCAGTGGCTTCAGTGTCTCCTTCAGCCTCAACATGCCGTGTTACCTCAATCAATCCTCCCTATGCACATATGGTGCCACCTCTACCTCCACCTCCAACTTGAGCGAACTGGCTTCTCGGTTCTCAGCCAGATTCCCACTGCAAGGCGCCACGGAGTCTCACACTGGCAACATCCCCGCTCGCTCTCCCATCGACGCCAAACCAGCTTGGCGTCAGCTTTCTTACCCGCGTCGGCCAGCCGGGCCCGAGTGTTTACCGTAATTCTCATCAAAGCTGTTGAAACTGACATTATCTAAGCTGAGGTCTTTCTGAAGACACATGTCGGAACGTCTGAAGATTGCCCAGACAGCTTACTCTCTCGCGTTCCACTCATCCAAGGGGAAGAAACCATGTTGCTGCTAATCCTCTACACATGTACCGCACTGTCAGTCTTGACCTGGTATCTGCGATCATATCTGCGGCTACGGCATATTCCCGGGCCGTTCTGGGCTCAGTTTAGCAATCTGCCCCGTTTCCTCTGGGTTGCTGGAGGAAATGCGCATGATGTTCACATTGCCCTGCACCGCAAGTATGGAGATCTGGTGCGGATAGGCCCGAATCTCGTCTCCGTGACGGGTCCGGATGAGATTCCGAAGATTTATGACTTTGCAGGGAGATATCTCAAGGTGGGACAGTCCTGCTTCCAATGACCATAATACAGGCGGTCTCCCGAAGAACAAGTCTTCAGTATAGCAGAAATGATGAGTGGGACATAGGTGAAGCGCTGCTGACATGTGGACCATACAGAGCGATTTCTACCGCGTTCTTACCTTTAGTGCTGGAGGAAAACTGGTCCGCACGATCTTTTCTACTCAAGATGGTCACCAACATCGTACGCTGCGAAAACCCATTGCGAACTTATACTCAATGAGCTATATTGCCTCCCATGAGAAGCTTGTTGATCAGACCATGGCCCATTTCTTCAGGCGTCTGGATGAGCTCTTCGTTGACACGGATGGTGTGTGTGACTTTGGGACCTGGATTCAGTATTTCGCCTGGGACGTGATTGGGAATCTCACCTTCTCCAAGCCGCTCGGGTTCCTGGAGCGTGGTGGCGACGTGGAGAACATCACTGCGAGTATTGTGACTTTTTTTGGTATCAATGCAATGGTATGTATGCGTCTCTCCCCCCTGGCCGATCTCTCCATTATTCTGACCAAGACAGATAACGCAAATGCCGTGGCTGGACTACTTTTTCTTCAAGAATCCCATCCTTCACAAGGTGAAGAAGGAGAAGGCAAGCCCAGTAGTTACATTCGCTATGGCAAGGGCCAACGAAAGACTTGAAGAGCTCGAGAAGAATAAAGAAAAGACAATCAAGGATAGAGACTTCCTTTCTGGATTTATAAATGCGCTGTCCAAAGATCCGTCCATTCCCAAGTCGTATGTCCTCCCTTCTCAAAAGTACAAAGCAAATGATTGCAATCCTTTTAACCATTGCTAATAATCAACCTCCTCTATCTATAGGGCCCTTACTGCATGGGCAACCTCCAACGTGACAGCTGGCAGCGACACGACCTCCATTTTGACCCGAAGTGTTTTCTATCAGCTCTTGACACATCCCGACAAGCTTCGGTGCCTCATGGATGAGCTTGACCAAGCCGAGCGAGAGGGTCGTCTGTCCGAATACGTGTCCTGGCAGGAAGCGCAGCAACTCCCATATTTGGACGCGGTAATCAAGGAAGCCGGACGCCTGCATCCGCCATTTGGGCTTCACCTGGAGCGCCATGTGCCTCCTGAAGGTGCAGTCATCTGTGGTGCACATCTGCCCGGCGGCACCATGGTTGGGATCAACTCATGGGCGATTCATCGACGCGAGGATCCGTTTGGAAATGACGCTGACGAGTTCAGACCGGAGCGATGGCTGCTGTGTGACGAGGCACAACGTCGGAAAATGGGACGAGCTCTCATGACTGTAAGTGAATCGCTTTTGCAATTTCTCTGGTCTTCGGCCTACACTTTCAATCTGACCAAGAGCTCTGACTGTTTCGCCCCCCTCTTTCTCCAGTTTGGTGCCGGTCGTCGCGTCTGCCTGGGTAAGCACATTTCGATCCTGGAAATGTATAAACTCATCCCCAGTATTTTCCGGAGATACAAGGTTCGCTTGTCCCCTGCCACAATCCCTCCCCCTCCCTCCACTTCCATCCCCAGAGCAAGACCCGATTCTCCAGAGGCTAACATGCCTACAACGCAACAGCTCGAATTTGCGGTGCCTGATGGGCGCTCTTACCATGTGCACAACAGATGGTTTGTACACCAGACGGGCTTGGATGTGAGATTCAAGAAGCGGACGGCTGGCACTTGAGGTATCGGATAGATCTGTACTCAGTTCATCCTCCCCGAGGCCGTCTCTGTTATTTTGTGTGCCATCGCTTTTCATTCCCACTTATCACGACTCTCTACTGTTCTAGGAGCTGAGGGACCCACTGAAAAATCATCCTACCCTTTATTTGCAATTCTAGGAGGCTCGGAAATTTAAAAAGCTATTTATAAAGTTATTGGAAAGACAAGCAGTTAGTTTCATAAGTAGAAGCGCTGCGCCTTATGACTAAAATGCTCATGCAATATACATGGTCAGATTAGTGCCCGGAGCAAAACCTCGTTCCACCCGATCCCTTGTCTTGAGACACTTTGTTCAACTCTCAAGGGGCAATGGGTTAATATCTTGACTGGCGGACCCGCGTATTCGTATATTGTGTGCCTTGCGCTTGGCATGTGCAGAGGCCTCCAGCTTAGGCGTTGTCCCAACGTGACTTGCTGTAAGGGTCCACATATAACAACGCGAGTTCCCCATGGCCTCACTTCTCGAGATCTCACTTTGGCCTCTCACGTCCTCTCCCTTGATGCACAATGGTTTTGTTCCTCAGATTTGGGCCTGCCCTGGGGCTGCTCGCCCAACTAGCCGTGGCCGTGGCCGCCGGATTTGACAACATATCCCCCTTAATTAGACGACTGTCCCCCGGCGCAGAAGTGTTCTATCCCTCCGCCGCAAACTGGTCGGAGGTGACTCCGCGCTGGTCGACCAACGATGCCCCGACATTCTTCGCTGCTATAAAGCCAGGAACTACCGGCGACGTGCAAAATATCGTCCGCTACGCCTCGAGGTACAACATTCCGTTCCTTGCCGTTGGAGGAGGCCACGGCTTCACGACGACTTTGGGCGACGTCAAGCAAGGCCTGGAAATAGATCTCAGTCCGTTCGATAAGGTCTCCGTCGACGCTCGAAACAACCGCATGACGATTGGTGGAGGGGTGAGGTTTCGAGATATCATGGACCCCCTGTATGCTGCTGGCAAAGAGATTCGTAGGTCAAACCCACAGGATTTGAAACAATTCATTCTTCTATCTGCGTTGAACCGCCCCGCTGACCGGAGGGCATGGTGCTCGGCACTCTATAGAAACTGGAAGTTGCCCCTGTGTCGGCATGGTAGGAGCCTCTCTCGGAGCTGGTGTTGGAAAGTACCAGGGCGTCCATGGACTGATTATCGATGCCTTGGAATCAGTGAAACTAGTCACTGCTGCGGGGAGCTTGATCACAGTCTCCAAACATCAGCAACCCGACCTGTTCTGGGGTATACGAGGTGCCGGGTTCAACTTTGGAATCGTCACTGAGGCTACTTATCGGATTCATGACTTGACGAACAAGGGTTCCGTGCTGAATGTGGATTTTCTGTTTTCAGGAAGTGTCAATCAGACCTTTTTCGAGGTTTTGGCATCCTTTAATGGCAGATTGCATCCGAAGTTGGCCTTATTTGGAGTACTCGCCAACGATGCCACTAACGGGGTGAGTTACACACAGTCTAACAGGATAATGTATACGAGCAAGCTCGACTGACCACTGTCCTGTTCATGTATGCACAGCCCTCGATTATTCTCAACGCGGTGTACATCGGCCGTCAAGAGGAAGGTCTTTCCTATCTCAAACCCTTTCTCGACTTACCCTACCTCCAAAGGAATATCACGCAATTGCCGTGGAACAAGGTGTTTGATGCGCACATGTTCGGTGGCATAGCGGCCACCTGCACCGGCGGAAACCCACAGAATAACTGGTCCCAGGCGATGGCCAGAATCGACGTACCGACGCACGTGGCCTATTTCAACGCGTTGGCCGATCTCTGGCGCCAGCATCCTGCGGCAGCAAATGCGATTCTCTCAATAGAAGTCTTCTCCCCGCGGGCAGCGCTTGCTGTCCCTGACCAGGAGACTTCATATCCATTCCGCGATACCGGGGTTCAGATGTGAGTAAAGTCATCTATCCAACTGCGCAAGCGAGCGACTTTTTGAGTAAAAAGATTTTTTTTTTGTTTGGATGGGACCTTGACTGACTGGATTTGGCGTGCTTTATTCGCCCTGGTCTCCCTTAGCATCCTCAACTTCCCTGCCAACGACGACACGGTGACCGACTTTGCAGAGCACTGGGTTCCGCGGTTCGCAGAGACAGGCGGCTTCAACGAGTCGCGGGTCTATGTGAGTTATGCCCACGGCGATGAGAGTCTTGAGAGCAAGTATGGCGCCAGGAAGCTGCCTCGTCTCTTAAAGTTGAAAAAGAAGTGGGATCCAAAGGGCCTCTTTAGTTTCAATAACGGGTTGCCAGTTGTGTAAGTAGAGGAACCTCTGTAGATGCTGGTGACCATGAGGGTGCTGGCTAGTGGGAGGGCTGGCTGGATCTTCTCCGTCATAGTTCACTGTTGATTTAGAAGACCCAGGGAGGGAGATATTTTCATACCTCGGCTTGTACATACCAAATGTAATAGATCTGGAAGATTGTGTTATTGTTCCCTGTTGGCATGGTTGCTGCCTGAGGCTACCGTCACGTGTCTGCTTTCTAGATAGCTTCGTCTTCCGCTAGCTAGCCCCTACGAATCGACACACATCTCTTTGATTCCCACGATGTCTCCTTTCTCCAACGGCCTTCATACCGATATCCCCTACTCTCTTAATAAAGTCGTCCATGGCACGAATGGCAGATGTTGACCTGATGCCTCAGGCTCTAAATCACGTCCGGATGGTTTACTCCGCTCTCGTTGCTCCTGCTGTAAATGCACAACCATCTTAACAAAATCACCTTTCTCGCCTGCTTCAGCCCACTGTGACTAAATTACAAGAAATGTATACTGCCTCCTTCTCCTGTCCAGTTATCTATCTGATGACATTTCCCAGGGCTGCGGTTCGGAAATCTGTGAACGGAAGTTTTCATGAAATCTGGAAACACAACAAGGCTGACAAAGGGTGGTCCTGGTTTCTTGACCAAAGCAGTTATTAAGTACTCTGAAGCCCGGCAGTCGCACCGATTTGAGCCAAATAATCTTCCTTTCTACTGCATCCCTGAGAAGCAAGAGGAATGACGAAAATGATAAGAGCCCATCAGACAGCACTGATGCGGGCCCGCGTGGACAAGCTGTGGAGGTCTCCCAGGCACTCCAGTGAGCTCTTGAAACAGGGCACGAGCGCCGCATCCGAGGGTCGCCTTCAGCTGAACCGGACCCGCGCAGCAATCTACCTGCGTCTGCGGATTATTTGAACTATTCTGATAATCATCAAAAACGAATATGGATAAATCAACGGCTGTCTCAATGACTACCGTGAATCATTCAGCCTGACTTTCTCTTCGTTCAAGCATCTCAACACTCGTTCCGCACTATTCAACAACCGGAAAGGGGATTGACGATATACTTCCCCCCTCAGAAAATGGTCGCCGGTTACCCAGACCATGCGGTCGCCGTCATCGGCATGGCCTGCAAGTTCCCCGGCGCCGACTCTCTGGATGAGTACTGGCAACTTCTGGACGAAGGCAGGTCCATGTGCGAACCGGCATCTAAAGATCGCTTTGCTACGACAGAAAGTCGACGGCACCAGGAGAAATCCATTTACAACGCCAACTGGATTTCAGACATCGACGCCTTTGACCACAAGTTCTTCCGCAAGTCGAGTCGTGAAGCTGCCTCGATGGACCCCCAGCAACGCCTATTGCTACAGGTGGCCTATCACGCTCTCGAATCCTCGGGGTATTTTGGCCCGGTTGAGCCGCGCACAGATGTGGGCTGCTATGTCGGTGTTTGCGCATCTGATTACAATGACAATGTGGCAGCACATCCGCCAAATGCATTCTCAACACTGGGAACCCTTCGCGCCTTCTTGACGGGGAAGATCAGTCACTACTTTGGCTGGACGGGCCCCTCTGTGTCCGTTGATACAGCGTGCTCATCTTCTATGGTGGCTATTGATGCTGCCTGCAACGCGATTGTGCTTGGGAACTGTTACAGCGCCGTCGCGGGCGGCGTTTCTCTCTTCACGAGTCCGTATTTCTTCCAGAACCTGTCTGGAGCTTCATTCTTGAGCCCAACAGGACCAACCAAGTCATTTGACGCGGACGCAGATGGATACTGCCGTGGAGAGGGCATTGGCCTGGTGGTGTTGAAAAAGTTGTCGAATGCGTTGGCCGACAACGACAACATCCAAGGCGTGATCTTATCCACTGCCGTAGCTCAGAGCAGTAATCTAGTTCCGATCACTGTGCCATACAGCCCTTCGCAGACCTCTCTATACCGCAGAGTTCTCAAGCAAGCGAATGTATCTCCAGAAGAAGTGACCTACCTGGAAGCCCACGGCACTGGGACGAGGATCGGCGATCCACAAGAATATGAAGGCATTCGCGAGGTATTCGGCTGCCAAGGACGACGTCAGGAGCCCTTTCACTTTGCTTCGGTGAAGGGTAACATTGGCCACACAGAAGGTGCATCAGGCGTGGCTGGCCTTATCAAAACATTATTGATGATGAAGCGAGGTGTTATACCCAGACAGGGCAGCTTCAAACAGCTTAACCCGAAGATCGCCCTGGAACCGAACCTGCTCATTCCTACATCCTCCGTGCCGTGGACTGCAAAGACATTCATTGCTTGCGTCAACAACTACGGCGCCGGCGGCAGCATCGCAGCCGTGGTAGTCAAGGAAGCTCCCAAATTGTCCGCACAGAGGAGAGCTTCTTCGCTGGCTTCGCTGGCTTCGCCGGCCCGCTATCCTGTTTTTCTTTCCGCACATTCCCCTCAAAGACTCAGTGAGCTAGCTTCGCGACTGCGCACGTACATCAACCAGCTGCCCCCCTTATCAAGCAGGAACGCCCTGGCGGATTTCGCGTTCAACCTAGCTGATCAACAAAACCGATCCCTACCAAATATCGTGGCAACTAGCGTGTCCAGCATGTCCGAACTTGATGACCAGCTGCGCATCGTGTCATCTGTGCCGGACTCTGCTCCAGCGCAGACGGCTGTGACTAACTCCAAGCCGATTGTGCTCGCATTTGGCGGCCAGACCAACCGATCTGTCGGCCTCAACCCGGCCGTGACGGAGGCCTCGGGACTGTTTCGGTCTTATCTCGATGAATGTGATCGGATTCTGAAATCACTTGGTAGCAACAGCATCTACCCGGGCATTTACGAGTCCAACCCCCGCGATGATATTGTCGGTCTTCAGACAATGCAGTTCGCCCTGCAGTATGCCTCCGCCAAAACCTGGATGGACTCTGGCCTGCGCGTTGACTGCATCGTGGGCCACTCATTCGGCCAGCTGGTTGGAATGACTGTTGCAGGTATCCTCACCCTCGAGGACGGTCTGAAGCTGGTTCACGGCCGCGCTGCTCTGATGCAACAGGAGTGGGGATCCGAGCGCGGAGAAATGGTTGCACTAGACGCCGATCTTAAGACGACGCAGGATCTAATCATCGCAAACTCCTCACCAAACGACAGGCTGGAGATTGCATGCTTCAACGGACCAAAGAGCCACGTGGTGGTTGGCTCCAACGCCGCCATCGACGGGCTAATTAACAAACTTCGGCTTTCCTCGGCAGTCAAGTATAAGAAGCTGAACGTAACACATGGCTTCCATTCTCGCTTCACCGACGATATTCTACCGGCTCTCGAATCTCTGGCCGGGACCCTAACTTATTGTTCCCCACGGATCCCTCTTGAGACCTGCTCAGATGGCTCATCATGGCCCGCCCCCACGCCGCAGCTGATTGCTCAGCATACCCGAATTCCAGTATATTTAGGCCAGGCTATCAGCCGCATCGTACATCGCCTTGGCTCATGTATCTGGCTCGAGGCAGGATCCAATTCATCCATCACAAGCATGGCGCGCCGTGCCGTGGGCGACGACGTACACAGCCACACTTTTATCCCCCTCAATCTTAGTAGCCCCAGCGCTATTGGGTCTTTGGTTGATGCCACAGTTCAACTATGGCGCAATGGCCACAACCGTGTTCAGTTCTGGCCATTCCATCGTGTCGAGAGAGCCGCCTACACTCCGCTCAACCTGCCGCCTTTTCCGTTCGAGAAGACTAGGCACTGGTTGTATTGGGTGGAGGAAAAGCCTGCCACTGGCCCAGTCTCCACCACGGACGACACGGACAACAGAGACAAGGATATCCAAAACAATCAACTCCTTTTCTCTCCCACGTGGCTTAGCGCTGACCGGCAGACTGCTAGGATTCGCGTCAATCCCCGCAGCGATGAATGGCAGAGAGTAGTCCAAGGCCATGCTGTCCTTAACAATCCTCTCTGTCCTGCGCCACTCTACATTGAGCTGGTCGCCCGAGCGGTCAAAATTCTGGGAATTGGTGACGTGTCCGCGTTTCACTCTCTCGAGATTGTTGCACCTTTGGGATTGAGCCAGGATACGGATTTGGCTCTGCAGCTGGATCAGCAAGCCAACAACAACAACAGTTGGTCATTCTCCTTTGTCTCACAACCGCTCAAGGGACCACGACAACAGGAGCCAGCTGTGCACGCAACTGGAGCTGTCACCATTGCCAACGACAACAATCATACAAAGGCCGAGTTTGACCGGACTGCGCGACTGCTTCCCTATAGCCGGATCAAGGAACTTCTTTCCCAGGCCGATGGCGAGGCCATGCATGGTGCTCTCGTCTACAAGGTGTTTAACCGGGTTGTCCAATACGACGACTATTACAAGGGAGTCTCGCGTGTTGTGGCTAAATCTGGCCAAGTTGCCGCCGACGTCGTGCTTCACAATCCCCCGTTGCCATGGGCTGCAGAACAGGTCTGTAACCCTCTGGCCTTGGATAACTTCTTGCAGGTGGCTGGACTGCACGCCAACAGTCTCAGAGACTGCGCGGATACGGATGTATATGTTTGCACCAAGGTTGATCGACTATCAATAAGCCCGAAGTTCTCTGCTTCGTCATCACAGCCCGGGCATGGGTGCTGGGGGGTATTCTCAAATCTGAATGTTGTCAACGACAAGCAGGTTGAGAATGATGTCTACGTCTTTGATGCTACAACCGGAGAGCTCGTTTTGATGGTCGTCGGCGCTCACTTCAGCAGAGTTCTCATCACATCGCTTAGCAGGGTGCTGTCGAGAGCTAATTCCTCGACTACGTCTACCACCGCAGCAGCAGCAACGTCCACAACCACTACAACCAACTCCGCGGCAGGACTATCCAATCCCGAGGCGGCGGCATTTTCGGAGACACCTTTTGCTGCTCCTCAACCTCCTGCAGCGCCGTCCTCTACTCCCGCAAAAGCCCGGGCGGTCCGAAAACAAAAGACGCCGGGTATCGAAAAGGAACTTCGACAGCTTCTTTCCAAAATCACAGACGTTCCCGAGCAGGAATTTCGCAGCCAAGCGACACTGGAAGATCTGGGCATTGATTCCTTGATGATCACGGAAATTGTCTCTGAGATTAGCACAACCTTTGGCATCAACATTCCGCAGGAAGATCTGCAAGATCTAGTGACTTTCGGATCTCTGAGCGCCTACCTTGCCCGTCGGGGCGCTCGCGGAAATAGAGCCGATGAAGAAGAGGGGAATTTTGAAGAGGACGATTCGCAAAGCCAGGCGCCTCTTCCCAATATCGCGGTCGCGGGTCCCAAGGCAGCCCGCCCAGACTCTCTCAGAGACGAAAACCTTCGGTTGCAGTTGGCCCAGTTGGTCGCCAGCCACTTGGAGGTTCCGGCCAGCAACTTCATTCGAACAACAAACCTCGCTGATCAAGGTCTTGACTCACTTCTCTGCATGGAACTTGCGAGCGATATTGAGCGATCCTTTGGTGCGAGGATTGACGTGACGCTACTCACCACAGAGTCCACCTTTGGTGACCTAGCCGACATGGTTTTTGGAACGGGCAGTGGGGCAGAAAGGCTTTCATCCTCATTGCCATCCAGCTCAGGAACCGGGAGCTTGGGGACTTCTACCCCAGGTACCGAAACTGACTATGAGCGGATCTCACTCCCAGACAGTGGGTGCAATCCTCAGCTGGCTTTTGAAAAGATCCAGTTCGACTATGACCTGTATGCAACGGAAACGGGATTCATAGGGTTCTGGAAGAATGTCTACCCCACACAGGCGCAACTTGTACTTGCTTACGTTGTTGAGACCTTCCGTGACCTGGGTTGCCCACTAGATGCGATCCAGCCAGGGCAAATTATCCCACTACTGCCCGTCTTGCCCAAACACGACCGTCTCCGTGGTGTGCTATATGAAGTCCTGCGAGACGGCCAGATCGTTGACTACACGGGCAAGGAGTATATCCGCACTGAAAAGCCCCTTGACGCGGCAACCTCCGCAGAAATCTACTCAGAGATCATCCGTGCTCACCCACAACACGCCAAGGAGCACGAGTTACTCCATCTGTGTGGCTCAATCATGTCAAAGCTTGTCAGCGGGGAGCGGGACCCCCTTCAACTTCTCTTCGGAACCAAAAAGAACAAGGAGCTGTTGGAAGAGGTGTACAGCAACGGGCCAATGTATCGGGCCATGAGTCAGTTACTGGCGAAGTTCCTCCAACAGGCCCTGAGTAATCGTTCAATGCCCGTTCGGATCCTGGAACTAGGCGCGGGGACAGGCTCGACAACCAAATGGGTAGTCGACATCCTCGTACGCTCCGGGATTCCATTCAGTTATACCTTTACCGACATATCGCCATCGCTGGTGGCCGCTGGAAGACGAAAGTTTTCCAAATATGATTGTATGGAGTTCCAGGTGTTGGACATAGAAAAGGACATCCCTCAGAAATTCGTCCAGTCATTTGATACGATCCTCTCGACGAACTGCATCCACGCCACGAGTAACTTGCCCAACTCCCTCGGCCATATCTACCAGATGCTACGACCTGGTGGATTTGTGTCTCTGGTCGAGTTTACCAAGAACATGTTCTGGTTCGATCTTGTCTTTGGCCTCTTGGAAGGTTGGTGGTTGTTCAACGATGGTCGTCAGCACGTTCTTGCCGATGAAGCCTTTTGGGAGCGGTGCATGCGGAACGTTGGGTTCCAGCACGTGGCCATGACCGAGGGCCCGAGCCTGGAGTCCAACACCGTGCGGATCATCACTGGCTTCACTAACAAGGCGGCTGAACCGCCTGTCACAGCGTCATGGATTGAGAGGAAGAAGGAGGAAACAGAGATGGAGACTGTATCATTCAACGCCACTCCAGATGGGGTGATTCTGCGTGCGGATATCTACTATCCGTCATCAAGTTCAATGGCGGGCGCCGCGGGGTTATCCTCGCCAAAGAAATGGCCTGTTGGTATGTACGCTTATTGATTTGCTTTGCACTAATTGCGACTCAAAGCTGACTCTGGTCACTAGCCCTGCTAATCCACGGCGGCGGACATGTCATGCTTTCGAGAAAAGATATTCGAACAAAGCAAGTCCAACATCTCATCCGCCATGGCATTCTTCCTGTCAGTGTAGACTACCGACTATGTCCCGAGATCAATATTGTTGACGGCCCAATGCGTGATGTCCGGGATGCTTTTGTCTGGGCGCGAACACAGCTGTCGTCTTTGAAGCTGCATGCGTCGCCCTACTTACGGATTGATGATAGCCGTGTCGCCGTGGTTGGCTGGTCCACTGGTGGCACGTTGGCTCTGACGCTAGGATGGACACCCGACGTCAAGGCTCCAGATGCGATCCTTTCGTTTTACTGTCCGACTGACTATGAAGATCCCTGTAAGTGCTGTGCTGTTATTCCAGTTGCAAGTGTGGGGCAAATACCGTACTAACCTTGAATCAAAGGCTGGCAAGCACCCAACTTCCCGAACAAGTCCGAGGCTGAAGCCCAGAATGGTGATTATGACCTTCTGGAGGGAGTGTATGATCAACCTGTATGCGTTCCTTGTTCCTACCCTTCCTTGTATACATGCATGGCGTGCCCGTGTCAGTATTGACTAATAGCGCAAATAAGATCACAAGCTACAACGTCCCGCCCTCGAAGCGGGCAACCGGGGGATGGATGTGCCCGTCAGACCCCCGATCTCGAATCATCCTTCACATGAACTGGCGCGGTCAGATGCTCCCAGTCCTTGCCAACGGCCTCCCGTCCAAGGCCACCGCCCGCCAACTACCTGCCGAGGAGCAACGGCAATTAGCGCGTCTCCCGCAACCATCCCCCGAACAGATCGCCAGGTTCAGCCCTCTTGCTCACGTCGTCCGGGGCGAGGTCCGGTCGCCAACGTATCTGGTGCACGGGATGGAAGACGACCTGATCCCGTGGCAGCAGTCGCAGCGGACATACGAGGCACTTGTTGCGGCTGGAGTGGATGCTGGGATCTCGGTGCTGGAGGGACAGCCGCATCTCTTTGATCTGTTTAGTGATGGGGATGGGAAGAAGTGGGAGCGGATAGTGGAGGCTTTTGATTTTGTTTTCCGGCACCTGGGTGTTGCGTTGAAGGAATAGATGGATGGGTAGCTGCGTTATGGCGGATAGCTAGGCTCATTCAACCTTTAGTAACTGTCTTTGGATACTATCTCGCTCCTTGGACGGCACCACAAGTCAACTATTGATATTGAAAGGATGATAGATTATGTCCTTTGTACCAAGTAACCTAGCTATTATTCAATCCAATTCAATTCATTTCAACTCAAGTTCGTACGTGATGTTAGCCTGGCTATGCAGGGCTTCGTCGATCGAAGCAGAAATTCGAAACCAACAACGCTATTGATAGATTATATCGAAAGCCCATGCAATAAAACCTATAAAGTGAGGCACACCCCCATATGAAAAGTATCATCTAGCAGTGAAAAACAGCACGCGTAGCCATGGCTAGATCCCAAGCAGCCATACTTTCCATCCCATTCCCCTCATCCTGGCGGGCTTGGTTGGATTGGGTATACAGCCTCGGCTACCCAGGTGGAGCACAGATGCCTAGTTTGACTAAGCTAAGTGAATCTAGTTATCAGATTCGTCAGTTGCGCAGAAACTCACTTGTCTAGGTACATGCATTCCCTCTCGGTACTCTTGAACAGTTCGTGCCGATCTCGGATCTTGCATCTTTTGACACTGGACTTCTGTACATGGATGCCCCTTACACCGAAAGACCTTGTTTGAAAAGGCTCTATATACGATTGGTTACGTTCGCGCAGTGTACGCGTTGCTACTACTAGTGAGGTACAAAGACTAGATACACATTACGAAGCCGCGCCAGAGACAATTGATTGGATAGCCAAGGGTGTTCTGCCCATATTGGCTCTCTTACCTTGGCTTGGTGAGGCCAGTACTACTAGTATTGTCGACCCTGGGTGCCGCCTCTGGGATGCTGCTATATGGGGATTGAACCGAACCCTAACGGTGGGTTTGATGACGCATTTGCTTTGGCGCGCTCTTTTCAATTCTAGATTGATTGACCAGAGCCTGAACAGATACCCAACTCCCCTCAGCCTTCCAAACGAACAGAGAGCGCGAAGCAGGCGACAGAGCAATCAAGGCTTGGACTCAAAGATTGTAAATGGGCAGGCAGGTAGAACAGAAACGAAATCATCTATGGGTGCCAGATAGCCTCAATCAGAGAAACTATGCTACCCTCGGGGGTCTTTGTCCCAACAAACTGCAAACGGGGGTCAACCAAAGCAAAGAGGGATTTCCAGTCCGACTCGGTCCGTTCCAGGGAGTTCCAGCCCAGCATTTGGATCATATCGAGGTTTCTAAGATGTTTGATTCAATTCACAGTCAGCGACGTCTGTCTCGAAGATGCTGCAAGTTTTGGGATGAGGAAAAGGAAGAAGAAGGAGAAGATTCGTACCGCCACTGTTTCTTCGTCCATTCCGGCTGCGAGACGTCCGGTAAAAGGAACTCGTAGATAATCACGCGAGATCCCGCCTTCATGGCCGGGATCAGGTTCCGCAGGATCTGGACGGCATACTTGTCCGCCCAGTTGTGCAGGATATATCGGAAAAAGTAGACGTCGGCGTGCTTGACGGGCTGCGGCGTGAAGAAATCATGCGCCTGGAAGGTGATCCGGTCGTGCAGATGCCCGGGCAGTATCCGCTGGCCCTCGAGGACCGTCCCCTCGAGGTCCTGGACGACGAAGCGAAGATGCGTAGTCGCGCCGGCAAGCGCCCGGCTCACTGCCCCCTGCCCGCCTCCCACGTCCACCATGACGGCCCCCGGCACATCCAGGGCCTTCCAGTCATACCCGCGGATCAGATGGGCGATGTCGTAGAAGGTCCCGCTGGTCATGAAGCGCATGGCGGCGCCAAAGCGGCGCGCACGCTCGTCCGTCTTTGCGATCTCGCGGTAGAACGAGTCGGTGGTGTTGAAGGCGACGTTGAACCCGGTCTCGTTGGGCTCGGCCGAGTCGGGCCACTGCGCCTCGGCTTCAATCACCTTGGTCCCTGCGGGCGCGAGCTCTTCGACGAGGAACCCCACCGTGTCGAGAGCTGCGGGGTCGGTGCTTAGGAGGCGCGAGGCCGCCGAGTGGGCGACGAACCCGGGCCGCGACTCAGTGAAGACGTGGTACATGATGGTGTGCTGGAGGTAGCGCCGGAGGCGGATGGGATCCAGCTTGGTCTTGTCGGCGAGGTCGGAGATGGAGATGTCGCCTTCGAGGGGGACGTGGTGCGGGACATTATGCCGGTAGATGAAGCGGATGCTCATGAGATCCGTGAACTGAATAGTGTTAGTGGTTTTGGTTGTGGTTTTGGACCTCAAGGGGATGGACAACGTACCGCAAACAAAACGTCGTAGAGCTGGCCGATGGGGCCTTGAACCAGCGCTTTCAGCTCAGTGGCCGAATCCACGAGCTTCTTTCGGGCTACCTCGAGATCACCGGAGAGGGTTGGGAGCGTATGCTGGGTCAAGGAGGTGGGCTCCAGTCCCTGAGATGCAGTGTACTCGTCGAGCGCACGAGCACTGTCCAGGATCTTCTGCGCGAGTTCGGTCAACGTAGGCATTGTGCTTTCTGGGACTATTGTCTATTCTCCTTCTTCCGCTTCTCTTCTTTTGATCTCGCCATGATTGATCTACTGTAGCTCTGCCCTCTTTGTAGAGAATCTGCCTGCCACATTCGCCGTGAATGGACCCGCGTGCGAGAGTCGGTGCAGCGGACCCGAGCATGGGGGACTGGGAAAGCAATGCGGCCTTGTGAGGGCCAACCTATCCAGTTTTTCCTTCAGCCTTCAAGCTGATCATGTCTGTTAGATAGGACCTGCCACGACAAGCTCTGTACGGCGGTCATTGATAAAAGATAGGTCTATGGGAGAATTTGGTGTTGCTGCATATTCCACGCAGACAAGCAACCAACTTGGGGTTAGAAATTTCAACATAATTTCTCTCTTTTTAAGAGAAAAAGAAAACCAAAACAACAAAAAAAGGTTAATCTCTTGTATTCAAGAAAGACTGGAATTTCGTAATAAAATGACTTGTCAATATCAGCACCAATTCCACGACGGTATATCTATTCTCAACCATTTTTCGTCCACAATTCCTGTAATCAAGTAACCCCTGGCAACAGCTAGATACAACGCCACTCATCTATTTGCATCCATTCCTCCCTCACTCCGTCAGTTGGATCTCGTGGACCGACCGAGCACATTGCTAACCGCAGACTTTGCCCGCTTCTCCCAATCCCCGTCTCGTTTGATAAACAAGGAAAGAACAACAGCCAGGGCGCCGCAGGCAATCGTCACAATATACGCCTTGCTGAGGCTCCCAGCGACCGTCCGCGAGACTATCTCCCTATCAACCGCGCTGAATGAATCGAGGATCTCATCCCCAAGCCCCGAGAGGATCCTCTGGATACTCACGCGAGGCACATGGGGGAGGACCCGCCCCATCTGGCGCACGGCATCGTTCAAAAACACGCTGTTGGAGATGGCCAGGGTGACCGCGGCGCCGCCCTGCTGCGCAAAAGCCATAAACGCCACCGCGTGCGGGATCTCCGCTTTATCCACCTGCGTCTGGGCGGTTGCAAAACACAGCGTGACGAAGCAGCCCGCGCCGAGCCCGATGAGGATCGAGGAGCCGTAGATGCGTGCGTCGGTCGTTGCTTCGTCCACGCGGTACAGCAGCACGGCGCCGGCGAAGCCGAGGATCGAACCGGTGAGGAACCACGGCTGGAACCAGGGGTAGCGCGCCGTGGCCATGCCGTTGGCGACGATGGTGACGACCAGGAAGGTGACCAGCGGGAAACACTTGATGCCTGACTGGAGAGCGGTGTCCGCCTGGACGAGCTGGAAGTACAGCGGGAGAAAGTAGATTGGCGTGAAGGTGAGCGTTGTCGCACAGATCTCGGCCGTGAAGATCAGGAGGACTTGCGGGTTGCGCAGGAACTGGACTGGAAACGATCGGTGGTCGGGGCTGGTTCCGATGCAGAGCGCCTGCTGGAGGCCGAATGCGACCGCCAGGGCGCCCGTCACAACAAAGAGCGCGATGATCCGTCCGCTATCCCAGGGATAGAGGATACCTCCGAAGTTGATCGCCATGAGACACGAGATGAGCAGCCCGACAATCAAGATGGTGCCCAGGAAATCGACCTTTTTCCACCGCGAGACAATCGATCCTTGCGTGGTTTGCAGACCCGGGATCATGAGAAAGTATACCGGAGCAGCGATTGCGCCAAAGACCAGGTTGATGTACAGCCCCCATCGCCAACTCGCGTGCAGGGCAAACGCGCCGCCGATGATCGGGCCCAGCACCGTCCCCAGACCCCAGGTGAGTCCGGTCAATCCCAGGTACGCCGGGCGCTCCTCGGGCGTTGTGAGGAAGCTCAGCATCATCATGACCCCCGTGTACATTCCACATCCTCCCAGGCCGCAGATTGTGCGGCCCACGAGGAACGCCGTCATGGATGGCGCGGCACCGCACACTGCAGAGCCCACCTCGAACAGGGCGACGCAGACAATGTACGTCCATTTCACATCGAATAGGCTATAAACCTGGCCCGTACGCTGGACAATTCCAAGGTCAGCATATCGCAATCGCCCAACGACCTTGCGCACAGCTTGCAGCACTTATCAGAAAAAGTTGGTGGATGCCGCTCCGATCAGAAACGTGACAGAGATCCACGGGAGTCTGTCGATGGCGTTGAATCTATGGACCACGGTCGGCTGGATGTCTGCCACAACCGTGTTGTCGAGGCCGTAGAAGAAGGTGGAGGTGAGGATGGCCAGCACCACGACAACCCAGCGTAGGCCTTGGATTGATCTGGCACGAGCTGGCGCGGGAACATGGTTTGTCTCAATGTCTGGTGCGATTTTGTCGGACATGTCTTGAAATGTTGATTTACTAGTTGGTGGTGCTATTCCGTTCTGGAGAATCTTGCCTCCAGTTCGTTAGGGCAAGTGGTTCCATCGCCATCAGTAATAATTCAAGGACCCGCGTCGTTTACCATGTATACTAATCCCCAAAATTCATGCGCCACATTCGGATTGGCCAGGTCAATATGCATTGCGGACAGGGATGCCTGGAGCAGCGGCGGTGTTAGTGAGGGTTATGCCGGTTATCCCCGTTACTTGTCCGACGCTAGACAAGGATTATGTCCGCGCTTTGCTTGTAATTAGGGCAGAACTATGCCGAGAGTTATCTCCATTGTACCCCAGGTACGGAGTATGCAAGGTATAATTATTATTATTTTTTCTTCTTCTTAGGGCTGTATGGAAATCTAGGGCTCGTCTCTTGATGTTTTAGCTCTCTAGCGCCATCAGCTCTAGTATCCACCTATAGGATTTCCGGTTCCACATGTCTGCATTTAGAGTAGATCATTTTGATTAATTTGGGACGATCACGTACTACTCGGACGACGAGTGTAAAAATAGACATTGAGAAAAGGTAGTCAAAGTCCGCAGCCCAAGTAGGGCACCAGCAGCAAAACGCCACCACCTTCCAGCATAGGTTCACTTCTTGCCATAGCTCTCCGCGACCCTACGGATCATATGCTGCTCGACCGTGAGCGGATCATCCTCTTGCGACCCATCCAGCGGCGCCAACTTGGCATCCCCATTCCCATCGAAAAAGAACACGATACTATACCGGTCCCCGGGCTCGCGGTTGATGACCCGGTGCACGCTACTCTTGTACTCGCCCCTGGTCCAGAAACTAAGCATATCGCCCACGTTGACCACGTACACGTCCGGATTCGGCGCAACGGGCACCCACTCCTCGCCCCCATTCCGCGAATCGAGCACCTCGAGCCCGGGACTCTCCCCCTGCAGCAGCAGGGTGATGGCGCCGAAATCCGTGTGCGCGCTGGCCCCGTACTGCGTCTTGCCGCGCCGCTCGGTCTCCGGGCGCGCGGGCGGGTAGTGGAGCATGCGCATGGGCGTGATGGGGTCGTTGGCGATGAACTCGTCGAAGATCCCGGGCCCGTAGGGGAGCGTGCGCTCGATGAGCTGCAGGACTCGGATCGCGAGCCCCATCAGCGCGGCGTGGTACGCCTCGGCGGGCTCGCGGAACTCGGACGCGGGGAGCAGGGCTGCGTCGGGCCAGACGTTGCTCCCCATGAGGAAGCGGCGCGCCTGGACGCGCGGGTCGTCGGCGGGCAGGTCGACGCCCGTGTAGAAGCCCTCCTTGAGGTCCGGCAGGATGTCGTCTAGGTAGGACTGCGAGGCCAGGACGTCGTAGCCTCGCAGGCCCTGGTTTGCGTGCGCGTCCAGGGCTCGTTTGGTCTCGTAGGGGAGGGCGAAGAATTTTTTGGCGCCGGCGAACACCGCTTGTTGCAGGTCTTTGCTGATCCCGTGGCCGCTGATCTGGAAGAAGCCCGTTGAGCGGCAGGCGGACCGCACGATGGGGATGATCGCCTGGGCTGAGGGGGAGTCCGGGTCTGCTAGAAAGGGGGATATGTCCACAGTGGGGATCTCGAGGCGATCGCCGCTGTCGAGGTTCATGTCTGGTCCAGTTGTTGGCTTGCTCGTGGCTAGGACCGCGGGGCTAGCGGACGTAGGGACGCTGGGAGACATGATGGCGGACGGAGACGATAGTTTGGAAAGGGGCTTTGAGGATCCTGTTGGCTGAAAGTCGTTCTTACACCGTAGATCAGAGAGGGCTACTACTATGGTCGCTTGAACTGATTTCGCAATTTGTTGGCCAGGCCATGGGCATTTTTGAGTCCTCCTTTGGAAAAGGGTGATGGACCCGCGTACCTCGTACACACGTCATCAGAGAGCAAGGAAGTCATAGGAAAGAAAGCTGATACATACTACTATACTCGATCACGGACCGATTCTGCTCCATAAAGAGAAACGACTGTATCATGTCTAGATGGTGTTGGAAGTAAAAAACCGAAAGCCCTGATTCATAACGACGAGTAGGCATATTAGTCTTGATATGCGAGAAGAGGAAATCGTCGCTACACTAGGTACATGTATACGCGGGCCCGACTCTCATGCTATCCAGAGGCTTCGTAACCTCGTTCGATTAGCTCGACCTGGCCGCCCCGCACACGTCGAGTCGGCGACAAAGGTAAGTACGAAAACGTGGGGGAGTGGGTGGGCACAGTAGAGCCTCTCGAGGAAGGAAGATCGATCCTCGGCAGATCTCTTGAGCTCCAAAGTCCTCCCCAACTATTATGTATGTGTTCAAGAAGAGCGTATATTATAAGTCAATCAGATCGCTCGCAAAATAATCCTTAGGCTTGAACCAATGCGTACTTGATCGAGGTAGTGAAGCCACGTTAGTCTACTTACTCCTCCCTCTATCGAGCAACAATACTTGAGGCCTCGACAAACAGCATAGAAGCTTTTCTGTTTGGAGACGATCCAATCCGAATCCCAAAGGCTGTATAAGTGGCAGGGCCCTATGGGAATCTGGAAAAGATCATCCAATCGTGCCCGCGTTTCGCCCGACTCATTAATTTCCTCGGCCGGGAATAGCACTCGTAGTCAGGAACGGACTAAGATCTAAAAACCGAGTCTTGATGCCTGCGGAAACCGAGCCGCGCGCCGCAGGGACACAGGGAGACAGGACAAAGAAACGCCACTCAAGGACGCGGTGCGGAAACCGAGCAGCATCCCTGCAGGGACTAGGGCTATCTCGGAAGCCAACAAAGGAATCGGATCCATAGACATCCACCACCGGGCCCGCGTCGTGTCGACCAGCTAATTGGACACATACTGAATTGACGTCTGTCAATCTTGTTGTATATAACCAAGGCCAAGAGCTCCGGATGGAACTCGTGAGGAGGACTTTTATTTATAGTGATTGTGAAATCCCACCATAGCGACACACACAGAGATCTATCTTGCAGCGACAGACCACAAAACTCCACACAAACTCCCACGAGTCAAAACCAAGCCCAGCCAGCAAACATGACGCGGACTCTTCTTACCGGCGGAAGCGGCTTCATCGCCTCGCACGTTCTCGATGCCCTGCTGAAACGCGGGCACTCGGTCGTGACCACCGTCCGCTCCCAGGAAAAGGCAGATCAGATCAAGACGGCTCACCCAGGTGTCTCGAAGGAGAATCTGGACTTTGTGATTGTGCCAGAGATTTCAGCGCCTGATGGTAGGTCCATCCTTTTCCTTTTAGATCTCTTTTCTTCGATATCTCTTCCCCTTCCCCCCCCCCCCAATTCAACATTTCGAAGATCCACGTAAACTAACTGTTGAATAGCCTTTGACAAGGCCGTCGTTTCTGATCCACCTTTCGAGGCTGTGATCCACACAGCCAGCCCATTCCATTTCCGTGTTCAGGACGTCAAGAAGGATATCCTCGATCCAGGTTCGTGTGCCATATTCCTCCGTCCCCCAGAATCCACCCGGGAAGATGAGTTGCTTATTAGATTGCTCTTCAGCTATCAATGGCACTGTTGGTCTCCTCAAGGCCGTCAAGAACAACGCTCCGTCAGTCAAGCGGGTGGTCGTTACATCTTCCGGCGCGGCCATCCTGGATTTCTCCAAGCCTCCGACGTATACTTTCACAGAGGTAAAAGTTTTTAAATCTTATTATCCCATTTTCATGCTAACCGGAACCAAGGCGGATTGGAACCTCATGACCTGGGAGGAGGCTACTTCCAACCCCCTTAACGCCTACCGCGCCAGTAAAGTGTTCGCCGTAAGTATATTTATAACTTCAAGGCCTAGGCTCGACCATGCTGACCACTTCCGAAATAGGAGAAAGCTGCATGGGACTTTGTGGAGAAGGAGAAGCCCCAGTATTCCCTCACAACTGTAAGTGCAGCCTTAGTAACCCATGACACTATCAAAGCCACCAGTGCTCAATACTCATTTCTCACTTTGCCAGCTCAACCCAACCATGGTCTACGGGCCCATCATCCACCACATCAAGGACCTCGACGGACTAAACACATCCAACGAGCGCATCCGGGACATTGCCTTTGGCAAAGCCAAGGAAGCCTGCCCATACACTGGGGTCTTTCTCTGGGTGGATGTCCGCGACCTGGCACTGGCACATGTGCTCGCGATTGAGAAGCCCGAGGCGGGTGGGCAGCGGTTCTGTCTTTCTCCGGGTCAGTATTCCAACAAGGACATTGTGGAAGTGATTCGGGAGGAATTCCCTGAGCTCCGGGACGGGTTGCCGACGGGGGACGCGTTGAAGTCTGGAGATTTCCCGCCCGCAGGGTGGTATGGATATGATAGTTCCAAGTCTGAGGAGGTCTTGGGGGTCAGCTATCGACCGTTCAGGGACTGCATTGTCGACACGGTAAACAGTCTTAAGCCGTTTGTGAAATAGAGGCCACGGCAGAGAAGTTCCATGGCATTCCAAGTTTGATCCGCTAGAAAATAGTCGTCAGCTATCAGAGATATGTCGTTTTGACGTTCTAGAGTATTTTCGGCATTGCCTCGTTGTAGCGTGGATGAAGCTAACCGTCGGGTAAGAGAAGCTCTCAAACGGTTGTATTCATAGTTTGTGCCGCAGCTAGCTGAGCAAACCGTGTTTCCGTTCGCTTTCCGAGTCTCGCAGCGCAGTGGGTTGGCATGTGCGCACTATACCACCAGGCGTCCGAACGGCTGTCGCCAGGTGATGATGAGGGTGCTGACGCTGCTGACAGAGGTACAGCTTCACAGTAATTAGGTCAGCTGGGTGCCACTTCCAGTTTGACAAGCTTGAGATGGTGGGCTCCCCATAGGGAATGCGTCCTGCACGCGGGACCCGCGTACGTCGTGTCCGCCGTGTCCGCCTGGAGAGAGTAGCCCTCTCCACCTGGGATCAGCCAGGCGCGCAGGAACAATATAGAAAGCTGGCTGAACTTGTAGCAGGAAAATAGGGGCAGATCATCAAACATCTGACTGTATCGACGGCCATCCATTCTCAGCTGCATCGAATGAATTAGACAACTTTATTAAATTCTCCCCGTTCATACTATTTATTACCTTTCGCTCGGAAGGGCCCGAAACGGCTCAGATAACCATGAATAGAGTCGAAGCACGCTTCGCACAGCCAACGCTTAGCCTCCACAAAGGCACGGGCGACGTGAGATCGCTTCCAGAACTAATCGACTTCCACGCGAGAGTGAACCCGCGCCACCGATTCTGCATCCAGGTACAGAAGTCCGCAGATGTACCACTACTAGATGTAACATACAAACAGCTGAAGCAAGCAATCTTGCGCTGTCAGAGCTGGCTCTGCAGGAATGTGGCCGAGATCCAAATTGAGAATCGCGGCGCAAAGCACCGGGACCGGCCTGTTGGCCTACTCATGGACAGCGACCTGACCCTCGTCATATATCTTTTTGCATTGATGGGCCTGGGGGTTCCGACCGTCCTGCTCTCGACGCGACTCAGTGTCGAGGCTGTCAGGCACTTGGTGCAAAGCACACGGACAGGCGCAATCCTCGTATCGGCACGGTTGAATGGCACGGCTGGGGAGGCCTTGTCATTGTGGGATGATGCGGATGGTTCTCCTCCCCCGTCCAAGTACTCTCCTGCTGCGTACAAGGACTTCTTGACCGAGGAAGCATCGTCATCATTATCATCTGCTGAGTTCTCAAAGAGCAACGTCAGCCGTACGAACCACTTCGTCTCAGAATCGGACTGTAACGTTCTCATTCTGCATTCCAGTGGGACGACAGGTCTGCCGAAACCTATCTATACCTCTCATAGGCATTATCTCAGCTTTGCTCTTTGCCATGAGTTCAAGAACGAGGAAGAAATGCTTTCGCCAGTCCTGTCGACTTCTCCGCTGTTCCACGTAGGTAGTCCTCCTCCATTCTCTCCTTGTAATGAGAAGGACGACTGACTCAGTTCCCACTTACTGCAGGGATTCGGATTGCTGCCACCATGTCTATCCTTGGGCGTGGGAAAACCGTTCTGCCTTGCTGAGGCAAGCACCATCTTCACTGGGCACTCGACAGCGCAGCTCCTGCAGAGCAGCGGTTCAAAATCGCTGCTTACAGTGCCATCAATTCTCGAAGAAATCGCTCTGCTGCCAGACAATGTGGGAATCCAGGCTCTGCAGCCGCTACACTTTGTCGCGTTTGGCGGCGGATTGCCCAAGGAGTCCATCGGGGACAGATTAACGACTGCCGGAGTGAAGCTCCTCAACCACTACGGTGCGACCGAAACGGGGCCCCTGGCACCACTATACGTGCCCCAGCCGGGGTATGATTGGCATTTTTTCAAGCTGCGCACGGACATCCGGGACGTGCTACAGGTTTGCCTCGAGCCCATCGTCGGCGGTGACGAGAAGCAGGATGGACTGGCGAGTCAGTGGAAATTGAGTCTACAGCCACTCGGCTGGGATGAGCGGTTTCCGATCCAGGATATCCTCGTCGCTCGTCCAGCTCCCGATTCTGAAAATGAGTATACAGTGCTGGGCCGAAGTGATGATCTTATCCGCTTGGCGACGGGGGAGAAGGTCCGTCCCACAATCGTCGAATCCATGCTGGCTCAGAGCGAGGCTGTCAAGGCTGCGATCGCATTTGGGGACGGCCAGTTTGAAATCGGAGTACTGATCGAGCCGACCTTTAAGATCTCATCTGCAGAAGAGGATGCATTGAAGGCCACTCTCTGGCCTATTATCCAGCAGGCTGGAGAGAAGATGGACTCCCACGCACGCATTTCGTCTCCTCAGGCAATTGTCCTGGTTCAGGCAGAGAGTCTCCCTCGATCCGATAAAGGGACGGTTTTGCGACAAGAAGTCTACCAGCGGTTTGAAAAGGAGATTGCAGAGGTTTACCGTAGACTCGACACGGTGATAGACTATTCGGTCCCCCAACTCCGGGTATCCTCACTTGAGGGCGACCTTCGTAAGCTCATCAGCGACAATCTGAAGTGGACAAGCAACAGCGAGTGGACGGATGAACGGGACTTTTTCGAGCTTGGCATGAACAGCCTCCAAGCAACCATATTGCGCCGGTTGCTCGTCTCTTCTCTCCGCGACGGGCTCTCCAAGGTTTCAATTGGTCGGGACTTTGTTTACCAACATCCGTCCGTCGCTAAACTTGCCAAGGCTGTGAGAGAAGGATGCCAAAACCAAGCTGCAGAAGTGGATGGTAGTCGTCTTGAAGAATTCATCGACACGTACTCCCTGCAGCGGCAGCAGCAGCAACCCAACGCTCACGCCGACAGTGGCACCGCGACTGTCCTCCTAACCGGGGGCACAGGCAGTCTGGGATCGCACTCCCTAGCCGATCTCGTCCGGCATCCGGCAGTGCGTTGCGTCGTCTGCCTTAACCGCCCGTTCACAGGGAAGCAGGACCCGTATGAGCGACAGGCAGTCGCCCTAAAGTCCAAAGGCATTCGTGTCTCGCCGGAGGAATGGTCCAAAATAAAAGTGTTCGAGACCAATACCAGTTCCCCCCGCCTCGGTCTGTCGGAGGCTGATTACACCTGGCTGTGTAAATGTATCACTCACATTGTCCACAACGCTTGGCCGATGAACTTCAAAATGCACGTGTCCTCGTACGAATTTCAGTTCCGCGCGCTGCAGAACCTTTTGCTGCTTGCCCGAGGTGCGTATGCCCATCAGCAAGGTATAAGAAGACCCCGTGTCCTCTTCATCTCGTCCATATCTGTTGTCGGACGATACGGGAAACTGACTGGAGAGACGATCGTGTCTGAGACGCCAATCGGAGACTTCCGAGCAGCGCTCGATCTCGGCTATGCGCAGGCCAAACTGGTCTGCGAAAAGATTATTGAGCGAGCGCGGAGCGACTTTGGCGCCGAGATCGAGGTTGGGTACGTCCGCGTTGGGCAAATCGCCGGAGCCGCTCAGAAGGGATTCTGGAATGCAGACGAACACTTTGCCAGCCTTGTTGCATCATCAGAGGCGCAAGGACAACTTCCGGCCATCCGCGGGGTGAGTTGATACCCTGNACCTTTACATATTTTTAGCAATATTCCCGACTGACTGGCAACCTCTGTTTTTCCCTTTCCTGGGTCCAGACACTCTCGTGGCTTCCCGTTGATCTGGCTAGTGCTGCGCTAGCAGACATCATATTCAACCCAGACACGCTAGAACTCGCCTATCATCTCGAGAACCCCGTGCGGCAGCCGTGGAACGAAGTGCTCGATATTCTGGCCTCGGAGTTGGACGTGGACAAGCACAATCGTCGGCCGATGGCTGAGTGGGTAGAAGAAGTGAGGCGGCGGCCTCTCGAGGATGGCAGCAATCCTGCTGCGACAATCGCAGACTTTCTCCAGGATGACTTTGAGTGGATGTCTGGCGGGAGCGTCATGTTGTCCACGGAGGCATCCAGGCGTCATTCGCCCACCCTGAGGCGAGTGGGTCCCGTGCAGGACGAGGCAATTCGGAGGTATCTCCATTACTGGAGGAGCATTGGTCTCATTCGCCAGCTGAAAGATTAGATTAGGTCGTCCCTCTCAAGTTCCAATATTTTGTCTTGATTCCTTTGCTTGTTTGTTGTCAAGATTTCTTGAGATCATTGTCCTGTCGAGCCGTTGGCCAAGTGAGAAAGGAGACAATGGATGTGTAGATGATTGCGTATTTCTAGAAAGAGCAAAACAAGCCCAGCAAAGCGATCTACTCCATAACGAAACGGCCACGTGATCAGTAGCCTCAGGCACCAGGTTAACATTCGCTACAGCCTTGATGACCATGGTAGTTGGGTGAGGCAGTATTATCATCTATCTGACCAGTGTTAGTTAACGGCCTTGGTTTGTTCCTAGATAAGTTAATATTCTAGCTTCTGCGTGAACTTCCCCCGGCTCATTAGATGCCGAGGTCTATCATTTCATTAGATGTCAATGTAGCTTTTATCAAGAAAATTCTAGTGACTATACAACGGGTGCAAGTTATGGTGTAAATCCTACCAGTTAAGCGGTTCCAGCGATTGAGTAGCAACCAGTCGAAACGAAAATGATTCACGAGCTATTTTTAGGGAGGAAAGAGACTCTAGTCAAACCGGTTCCAGATCTCGCCGTCTCGAAGCGAACAAGCAAGCAAATTCCACAGTTCTTCAGCGAGTGAGCAGGCCAAAGAATCGATTCAAACTTTTACAACTCGAATCCTCCCACGATGCGCCCCTGGACGGCCACACGAGAATGCCTACGGAGTAGTGCTCATTAGGATATGCTGGCCAAGATACTGTTCTCATGGGGCCCAGACTGCATTAGTCTAATCTAAAAGTGGCCTTGTACTGGGATTTCCAAGCTGAGGGTCAGCGGCAAACGAGTGATGGCAAGCCATTCTGTACCACATTGCAGGTGAAATGGGCGCTCTATTTAAGCACTAGTTGCGCTGGATACGGGGGGTATTTTGAGAAGCTGAAGGTATTTATCGGCATGAAAGCTGTGGAAGATCATACTTACCAGCGACCAAGACACTGCTGGCTGGAACATGACGTCCGACCCGTCTCGGTCTCTAAAAACCACACCACAGATGGCACAGTCACCGCAACTCCAGTTTGGTCCTTACAGAAACTCGACAGTCCATTCTTTCCAACCTGAGAGACCTGCAGAAAATCAAGATGGTGTGAAAGTGACGGATCCCGAGTGCCTTTCCTAAAGAATAAATTCTGATATGATGCAAAGCTTTTATTCACCGCTATCGTGGGGCGCTTGGTCTAGGGGTATGTACACTCCATTCGCAGTTAAACATGGGAATTTGGAGAGGTCCTGGGTTCGATTCCCAGAGCGTCCACTTTTTTAGACTTTTTGCGGATTTTTTACTCCACTTGATCTCTACTCCATGCCTTATGTATGTTAAGGAGGCTCTGGTGGGCCTTTTATGCTACTTATCTCTTTTTATGATCTTTTGGTCACAACTATTTGCCAGTATGTGATACAAAAAAATGAGCCATGATTATATATATTGCGCTGAAGCCTGGAGTCATAGACATAATGCACAGAGAGAATATTGTTTATTACTGAGTAACCGTAGGAAGCAACCTCGAGTCACAATTCTATTGACTAATAGGTTAGATCTATCCTTGTTCAATGCTTACATAGCCAGCTGTTTGTAATTAAGCTCTTGGTTGTATATAAACAAGAACTAACCATGGTCCCAGCATAGCCAAAGCGGCGAAGGGACAGAAAGTACACCTCGAAAAGCAGAATGGTAATGAATATAATAGATCCATGGGAAACACTTAGTAACTGACCCCTGCGGTAGCCTACGGAGTCGCGCCCTCAGCGCTAGGGGAAGTTGGCTGTTGGAGTCTCTATCAGTTGATCACATGGTTTAGTAATTATCATTGACATCAACACGGGCCCCATGAAGATATACATCTGCTCAATTGCTTTGTATTTGACATAAAACTAAAAACCCTACCCGGTGCTAGACTTGGGATAATATTCGCGTTTATGACAGAAGGAGAGAAAGTAATAGGTACAAGAGAAGGCCACCAGTTGAATTATGAGAACTGGGTAAACAAATCTGGGCAGGCATACAGTTTCTCAATCCATCTCATCAAGCATCGCATCGCCCCCAAGCCCATCCTCGTCGAGTAAAGGCACAAACCGAAAGTCTACAAAGCTCACGGTCGACCCTGGGGTGTCTCTCACTTGTGAGCGCGTGGAGTTGCTTGTGACAACATGCCCATTTGCATCGAATTCAATCATGAATTGAAGACTTAGCACTCCCTGTCGATCACCACGGATGCTCACTTTATTAGCTGCAGCCATGGCACGGGCTGCCTTGTGAATGAACGTAAATCGATAGTCCTGCTTGATCCGGTCACCCATTGAAGAAGGCGGACTGACGAGGAAGGTTTCCGTGACTGTCGGTGCCAGTTTTGTCCTTGTAGCGCGTGATCGAGAAGTTCCGTCGTTGGTTAAAATTTTGCGATGAGAGTCGGCCTGGGTTCCATTGTTCTGGGTATCTTCAATCGAGAATTCAACTGAAGATTGGCTAAATGGGCCGCCAGAGCCGGATAATGTGAAGAACGGCTCTTCCTTTGCAGACGCGGATATCCTAAGAATTCCCGGGCTTGTAGAACCGAGCTCCGTGATTGCATTGTACAACCAGGCCGAGCGCATGATAATCTTCATGATTATGCCGTCGCGTTGAAAAGGGATTTCAACCTCGCCTTCGTCAGGTTCATAGGTGGTCAACTCGCAGGTAGTTTTCACACCCGTTTCAGCTAACGTAATGCTGAGAGGCGCCCCGAGCCTTGGATAATGCAAGGTACATGACCTGTTGAGAAGTAAAGCAGGAGCATTAAATGCACTAGACGCCGAAACAGTTGATGGCTGAACGCTTCCTGCCCGGCTGGCGCTGGCGGTTGAAGACTCGCCCACACCGAATATTTTCAGAGTCTCGAGTAGGGCTGAAAGCGAAACAACAAAACAAGGATAGCTTGACCCGTCTGATTCGGCATCTCCCATCGAAAGGCCGCCTCCGTGATTGGATGTCGGTGGCGGATTGAAAGTATAGGTGGTGAAGAGAGCTTTGTCTAGAAACGCAAGTCCTTGTACCACTCGTCCTTCTTCAACAGAAAAGCGAATTCCGTCCGGTGTTATCTGTACGGTTGCATTCTGTGCAAACCCAATGCAATGAAGAAGAGTGTAGAGCTGGTGTGCGTTGCTAGAAACAGCAGTGAAGATAAAACTGGATTCCGACATGATTGCGCGTTCTCGGTGCAGAGTTTAGAAAATTGAGAAGTAATATGAAGCAGTATGGATTATAGACCCGGAATATATTGTAGAGGACGCTTGGATCTGAAACACCCGGTACTTCTACCGGTACAAGGCGCTTCTCTTTTGATTCTCAACCGATTCGACATCAAATATGTCATAAGAAGAGGTCACTAAACGTAAACTCCGACGGCACAAATCATATACACAGCTCCGAAGCTAGACGAAGCGTATTAGCAATACCATAGAAGAGACTTGGATCCTATAGCTTACCCGAAAGCTAAAGATGCAGGGATACCGAACGTCGCAATGCTCAGGAACGACCGGTCTATACCAATAAGTAGTCAGAAAACAGTGATCTTGTTGCGGTATATTGTTTGAGAGGGTCACCAACTCAGTCCGAAAAGACCAGTCAAAATGAAAGCTGCTTACTATTAGCGATGAGCTTTTTTGGGTATTGATTTCCTTGACTGACCAAGCAGAAGGAGGGTGAAGCCGACAGTGAATTGGCTATCTTTCGCGATGAGGGGAGTATAAGGGCTTGCAGAGGCTGCTTCCCAGACCTGATTTAGAGACATTGATAATGAATTTGCACTTCAGACCAGCAGAGTTGCAAGAATGACAGGTATCGGGGTCAAATACACGAGGGATAAAGAGTGTTGAAGACAATAAGCATCAGGACTGATCGTCCCCTGAACTGAAGCTCTGAGGAAGCTCCGGTGTCGCGTCGGAAAGTCGATCTGGCCCGACCGATCGGATCATCATCGGACCGACTCCCCTCCCCGGATCAGTCAGCATTATCAACGTCGCGACGAAGAACAATTCGCGACAGCTTGACGACCGACAGCGTATTTTACACCGATCTCGATATTAATTATGACAGATAGTGAGTACAAGTTCTAATCGAAAGCATCGACTTTTTCCGCGCAACTCCCGCGTACTGATGGAGCCTAGGCCCAAGCACAAAGCGGAAAGCCTCGGAGGAGGCTCTTTCCCCAGATTCCCAGCAACAGAGCAAGAAAGCGCGCACGGATTCACCCGAAAGGGAATTAAAGGTATGTATTAGGCCTCTGAATATATGTAGATGATACAGCTTCTGACCGGTGCTATTGTTTATTCATAGACTGAAGATGATCCCCTGGAAAAGCCGCCAATGCGAATTGTTCCCTTTCCCGAGAAGGTGAGCCGCCGAGTCTATAAGAAATGAGGTCGAATCTAACATCAATATAGCCCGCAGTGCTAGAGGAGCGCCAGGGCGAGATTGAATTCCGAGTCGTGAACAACGATGGCTCCCGCGATAGCTTCGTTGTGCTCACCGGATTGAAGTGCATTTTCCAGAAGCAGCTCCCCAAAATGCCCAAAGATTACATCGCGCGATTAGTCTACGACCGGTCGCATTTATCTATAGCTATTGTTAAACATCCACTGGAAGTTGTAGGGTTCGTGTGTCCTTTGAAGTCTGGAGGCTTGACGGCATTTGCTCATTCTATAATAGTGGTATCACCTACCGACCTTTCAATAGCCGCAGGTTTGCGGAGATCGTGTTCTGCGCTATTTCGTCTGATCAACAGGTCAAGGGCTATGGCGCTCATCTTATGTCCCATTTGAAGGTATGCGCAGAGCGATATGGTCACTGATCATGGCTGCTGATGTCGAATGATAGGACTACGTCAAAGCAACATCGGATATCATGCATTTCCTCACCTATGCCGATAACTATGCGATTGGTTATTTCAAGAAACAAGGATTCACAAAAGAGATCCAACTCGACAAATCTATATGGATGGGGTATATCAAGGATTACGAAGGAGGAACTATTATGCAGTGCACGATGCTCCCTAAGATCCGTTATCTCGAGATTGGACGGATGCTGTTAAAGCAGAAGGAGGCAGTGCATGCAAAGATCCGTGCATTCAGCAGGTCCCATATCATCCATGCGCCACCGAAAGAATGGAAGAATGGAGCTTGCAAGATTGACCCGTTGAATATCCCAGCAATCAAAGAGTCGGGTTGGTCGCCAGATATGGACGAGCTCGCCCGCCAACCACGCCACGGGCCGAATTATAACCAACTCTTACATCTCCTCAATGATATGCAAAACCACAGTGCAGCTTGGCCGTTCACCCAACCTGTCAATCGCGACGAGGTACCCGATTACTATGAGGTCATCAAAGAGCCAATGGATTTATCGACCATGGAAGAGAAGCACGAGAAGGACATGTACCCGACGCCGCAAGACTTCGTCAAAGACGCTATGTTGATATTCGACAACTGCCGACGGTACAATAACGAGAACACCCCCTACGCAAAGAGTGCGAATAAGCTGGAAAAGTTCATGTGGCAACAGATCCGAAACATCCCCGAGTGGTCGGTAAGTACAGATTGTTCCCTTTCCTTGTCTGGGGAAGCCCTTGACTGACCGTGGTATTTAGCACCTTGCGGATGGCCATTGAAGCAGCATTTGAGTTTACAAGCATTGGGTGGGAGTTTGGGACAACGATTCTTGTATTGTTAGGAGTTTATCATGAATACCCGGTAGCATGTGGAGCATTTAACAGATATCTTTCTTTCTTTCTTTCTTTTTTTTTTTTGGTTTCTTAAGCAGCATGGGCCATGAGGGAGGCGAACTCAATTGGAAAGATGGTTCGTGACGTTGTGTCCAATGAGTTTCGGTCCCTGAAGATCTGGATTCCAGGGGCGCATGGCCATGATGCATGTGGTGATGCACTCTCCGGAGTTTCAGCTTCGTCCCTAGCCAAAATCTCTGTGAATGATCCACATCTAGATAGTCCGTAATACGTAACCTCGTCAGTAATTCTCGCCCGCGGGTGATGGACGTGTTTCAAAGTCCAATTAGCACCAGGGAGGCGTTCTATTTTGTCCTCCTTGTTGGCTGGCAGTGGATCCATTCATCTCGGATTAAAATTAAGGCGGGCCGTTTGTTACGGCCGAAGAAACAGAAGCACTCAAAGTTGCGTTTCTGCGAAGGAGGCAGAAAGACTGCTCTGGCTGTTTCCCCTCCAGGAAGCTCTGCATGGCTTGCATATCCTTTTCTTAATATTTGCTGCATCCTGGTGGCTGTCGGTTCCTGCCTTCGGTATCCTCAACCAAGGGGCTCGGTCACCTATCGTCAGTACCTTTCGGCTTGCATAGTACCATCCTATTCGAAGATCTCGCAGTCTTAATGTCCTCTTTCGCACGCTTAAATCGCATTGTCGCTCTTTACACTTACCGTCCTTGAGATTATAATTCTGGTTACAGCGTCAGATAGACAGATCGTCGACGAGCTATACACCTTTGTTTACACACACTTGCGACGCAACTTGACAACATTCGTTTCCCCTTTTCGGCCCCTCCTTTGTTTCACGCCTGAACCTGCAGAACGCAACATCGCGACACCGACTAACTTCGATTGACCTGTTCGCCCCAAGTCCGACGTCAAAATGACTACGCCAGGCCTCATCGAGTTGGAGCAGCGAAATCGCCTCCCTACGCTCTTCGAGGTCCTGAGCCGTCGGACTCTCGCTCCGGTCGACCTCTTCTCTTTCTACATATACATGCGGGATCAACAGCGGTCTGTGGACTATCTGGACTTTTGGTATGCTTTATGCGTCGCGACTCTACATCCCTATGTGTGTTGACCTCGAGAAATCTAATGCCAATTTGAACTAGGCTCGATGTTTCCCAACACATGTCCTTGTGTCGTCACTATGTTCGAGAATTACGCCGTTCGGTCTTGGTAGCAACGCCCGATCTTGAGAAAGCTGAGAGCAAGGGATCATCAACTCCGTTGGAGCAATTCGAGGGCGTGAATGACATACCGCTGGTGGAGGCGGGGCCCTCTGGCCTTCGCCATGGCCTCCGCGACTTGGACGAGAGGGACGCCGACCAGAGACTGTCGGCTTTCCTTCGCTCAGACGGACACTCTTCCAAGCACTCTCCACAGAGCAGTCTCGGCTCACAACAAGCTGCTTCTCGTACCATGTCGAACGAGCAACAATCCCGGCCAAGTTTCACCAAAAACGAATCCAACTCTCCTGGTCACACCGTCGCACGCGCGGATATCCGCGCCAGCGCTGAAAAGATTCTATACACGTATCTGCTCCCGGGTGCAGAGAGAGAAATTGTGTTGCCTGAGGACATGGTGTCTACGATTATCAACTTGGTGGAAGACGATGGACGAGACGATCCGGAAGTATTCGACCCGGCTAAGGACTATGTTTTTCAAGCGATGGAGCGCGATGCCTTCCCAGGGTTTTTGCAGGCGAAAGCCCTGGGTAATCTTGTCCCACTATCAATAATGGCACGGCTGGCGTTTGCCCTCATCAGCTTCGGTGGAGGATTCTGGGGTGCTTTTTACGTCGTTTTGCGTGATAAGCCAAGGCACATTCGTTGCTGGGTATGTGGAAGCTGTTAGTACAAAATCGTCACTTCTTGCTGACCATGGACAGATTATCTTACCTTTCGTCATTGCGTCTTACTTCATCGTCTCTTACCAGTACAAGATCGACCCCGTTATGGCCTTCTTGGGTTACAGCGAGTATACCTTTATGAACTGGTCACCAATCCGTGAACCCTACGTCCGGAAACTCCTAGTCAAACGAGCCACTGCTACGGTCTTAATTGCGGCCATCGTCGCCGCTGCGTTGAGCATCCTATTCATTCTCGTTCCCGGTACAATGCTTTAATCGATTAATACCATTTATTTGTGGTGATACAACATCCTTACGGCGCTTCCACGTCTATACAGGGAATATCCGGCGACTACAGCTGGAGAGTACACCGAGTTCCCCTCTTGACTCCCATGGTCTCGGTGTACTGAAAGCCGTACTTGCGTCCGGTCATTCCGCCAACACCATCTGCCAAACCGCGCTTCGGCTCCCTGGCGACAGCATTTATTGCTTTCTACCTTCGCCGAGCCAATGGCCTTATTTCCTTTGTTCGTCCTGTTTCACTTCTACAATACCCCTTCGCTGCTGGACTTATGTACGTTAGATGAATTTTGCTGAAGCCTTGGTGTTGTGGAGATATCATTGGTTTATTGGTTAATCTGAGTGTAATCTTAATCACGATATCTTTCCAAAGAGTCATTTCATGGTATCTCAGTAGGTGTGAATCGAAGTACTCATGGTAGAAGATTACTTCATTGCGATGTATAGCTAGCTATATTGCCGTTGACGATGTAGCTCTTGACATCAGGTCACGTTATGACTTCTTCCCTAGAAAACGCTTTGCGGTTCTAGCCCCAGCACTCCCCAATCCTGTCCTCGCACCAGCACCTTCATCGATGTCCATTCCCGACCCAAGTGCATCAATTTCATTCGCATTTCCATCAAAGAATGCATCGTCATTGAACTCACGCTTGTTGCTGCCGCCGCCGAAGAAATCCCGACCCCGCAGTGCCGCACTGAAGTCCTTTTTCCAGCCTAGTTTCCTACCAGAAGGTCCGCCCCGGCCAGCAGGGTCCCCTCCCAGCGCACTCGGCTCACCAGACTCGGGATTCCACTTTGCGAGCGTCTTCTCGATAACGATCAGGCGGGTGTGTTCCCGTGCACGGCGTTGGGCTGAATCGGCCCTGATCTTAGCGATCTCGGCTTCTATATCTGTGATGACGGAGCCGCAGCGGGATTCCCAGGCTGCGAGCGTGGAGATGATTGCGGGAAGGGACGTGGGTTTAACGTCTCGGAGTGCGGCGACGGAGGTAACGTTCACGGTTGGTGGGGTTGTAGCTGGGGAGAGGCGGGCTGTGATGAGGGAGGAGTAGATTGCTGTTGTGACAAGGGTTTCGAGTTCCGAGGGTGCTGATAGGGAGAGGGGGCTCATGAGGGATTCGTATGTGAGGGGTTTGGTGGTGGAGGCGAGGGAGAGGAGTGAGAGGAGGCGGAGCTTGCGAGCTTGTTCAACGCTGAGGGCGGGAAGGTTGGGCGTTTGCTGATAGTCTTGCCATGTTCCCCAGGCGAATATCTCGAGGAGGGTTAAATATCCCTGAAGCTCGGAGGGGGTATCTGGAGAGCGGAGAGCTTGAACTGAGGGCCGTTCCAGGAGCTCTGCGAAGACATATGTGTGCGGGCTTGATGTTGCGTTTGTGATGATGTTCGTCACGAACCGGGGCGAAGAGGCGCTACTGGAATCGGCGAGATGGACGAAAGGCTGGAGGGCGTCCATTGCCCTGTTGTGCACCTGATCCATGATGTTGCAGGTGGTGCCTTTAGAGCTTGGAGTGACCTGCTTGGATTAGATCGTGTTTTGTTAGGGTCATTTGAGGACGGAGAGGTACCTCAGTGATTCTAGAGCGCTAGTGGTAATTCTCAGTGCGTGTACCGGCCGTCTCAATAATCCAACTGCAGTGTTGTCAGGTTGATGAAGAGCTGGCAGCGGAGGTGTAAGTTGGTACCGGTGGAGTTCGGAGAAGTGGGACCTCTTGAGTGCGTTTGCACTTGATGCAAACAATCTATCTCCAGGAGCGGAGTTAAAAAGCAACACCAACTCTCTTGTCCTGTATAGAAAATTGTTGTCTACAAGCTTTCCTGCATGCCATTGAATTGACATACTAGACAAAATCTCAATTTTAACCTGTTGCTAGTCCCATGAACGCTGGAAGAGTATTATACATATTTGATAGCGGATAGTATAAGCGGCACAAGAACGAGATAGAGAAATTTTCTTTGGAAGCGGAGAACAAGATGCAATAACTGGTAAAAACTCGAGACACCAGTCATTCGAAGAAAAGAGGGTATCAGGAAAGCCAGTATATCACATAACCTATACCTTGGGATTAGCGACTCTTGTGAACGCGTGCTGCGGAAAATGATCAGCCACATACCTCTGCAATAGACTGCCTCTCAATAATCGATTTTTGCCTCTCATTACGAGAAACACGGTAGTAGTAATCGCTAAAGTCACCACACTGCATGTGGCGTAGGAATTCCTCGTCGTGGGTAATCACAATAAGCTGGAAATTCGCCTGCTGCTGACGGGCGCGGATGATATCATGAAGAGATTCAGCCAGGGACCGGATATTGTCCCTGTCCAGGTTGGTGGTGGGTTCATCAAGTGCAATCAGACCGCAGTTGACGCCGAAACATTCTGCTAGGGCAAGTCGGATGATGATACTCGCAAGTACCTTTTGACCGGCACTGCACCGGCCACGCATGTCCATTTCAGCGCCCTGTTTGACCATGCAGACTCGGTAGTTGTATGATCGGTTACCCTTGGCGTTCTCATTGTCGGACCGGATGAGAATTGTGTCAACGTCAGTGCCACGGTATGTCTTTTGCCAGAGCTCGCCGATGATGGCATTGATTTCCTCCATCTTCAGGGAGTGGTACTTCATGATAGCTTTGTCCAAAGCGCTACCGTACCGCGCCAAATCATCGACAGCGGCCTTGGTTGTTTCGACCTTGATGTGCGACTCTTTGTACTTGAAGGCTGCATCTTTGTAATCGGTGTTCCAGTCCGTCAAGAGTTGCATCAACTGATCATCCTTGGACTTCATTTCTCCCATTTTACTTGCTTGTTTCGCAGAAAGAGCGCTGTGTTCTCGGCTCCGACGCTCCGATTCCTCTTTGAAACGGCTTCTATCAACCTCTGCATTTTGAGCTTCCAATTCCTGGATCTCGCTTGAGACCTTGTCTAGGGCTCGCGTCGCCTGACGGTATGTCAAATTATCAGCATATTGGCGTTTCGTGTTCTCACTGTCCTTGAGCTGTGCCGAGATCTTATTGATTGTCTTGGTGATGTCGGCTTGTTCACCCTCAAGATTGCTGATTTCGTCCTCAATGGTCTGGAGCTCGCGCTTGCTCCTGTCAAGCTGATTAGGACCTCCCCGCTCGTTGTAAGCGTCGATTTCTTCATTGGCAAGCTCAAGCTGGTGGATACTGTCAGACAACTGAGATATTGTTTGCTGCACCTCTCTCTCGCGTGCCTCAGCGCGCTGACTGATATCGTCGTACTTGGCTCGAGCTTTCAGGAGCGCCGGGGTCAGCTTCTCAATTTCTTTGTCAGCATTGACGATTGCTTCGCGCTGCTGGATATTAAGTTTCTTGTACTCTTCTATGCGTGAGATAAGATCAGCTTTTCTTGAGAGCTGAAATCTGGTGTTGTCAAGGCTGCTTTTGACGTCTCTGAGCTCCAATTCAAGGTTATTGATCTCAGTTCGCGATTGTTCTTTGTCAGTCGTAACCTTGGAAAGAGACTTCTTAAGATTTCTGGACTTTTCGGCAATGCCAGATAGCTCTTCTTGAATATCCTCAAGGGTGTGTGGAGTCGCAACATCCGGTTGCTTCGACGAGATTTCCTGTATTTGAGAGCGAATAGATTTGATCTCACCCAAATACCTAACGATGGTATTCACCGTCATTGAGAGGGCCTCAACATCCCGCTTCTTCTCCGTCGCCTCGCTCACGACCTTGTCACGATCTTCGAGCTGGCCAAGGAGCTCATCACGTTGAAGAACGTACTTGTCTTCCTCCTGCTTTAGCTCGGGAATTTCCGTTTCCTTTAGACGAGACCAAGTGTCGTAAACAGTACTGACGGCACGAGCAGCATTGAGGTCATCTTCCATATGTTTAACGTCTTCATCTTGGGCATCACGCCTGGCCTTTTTCACAAGACCTTCGAGCTTGCTTCGAAACGCTGCAAACTCCTTGTCGTTCCTAAATGGCCGCGTACATAGTCGACATACCTTTGCCTCATCCGCAGTGTCCAGACAGGTGCTCATGTACTCTCCAATACCCGCATACTGTTCCATATCTTTTCTCGCAATGTCAAGTTGAGCCTGCCGTTGCTTGACAACTTCAGGGTATTCCGCAGGCTCATCGTTGATAGCCTCCTGAATCTCTTCGATGCACCCCTTTAGCTCTTCCTGTCGTTGGTTCAAGCCCTTTTTGATGTTGTTGAGTTTGTATTCGACTTGCTCCAGCTCCCTGCTGATACCATCTCTCGAACGCTCGGCGCTGGAGACCGCTTTTGTCTCGTCATCGAGGGCACGTTGAAAGTCTTGCTCCAGTGTATCGAGCTTCCAGTCCTGACTAACAAGCTTGGAAAGTCGCTCACCATGGGCTCCCTTCATGGTCTCTAAACTCCGCTCTCGCTCTTTCAATTCCTTCTTGAGGTGGTCCAATCGAGCGAGGTCACCAGCTTTCTTGGTTGCTTCGATGAGCTCTGAGTTTAGGCGAGAACTCTCATCTTCGAGTTCGCGGATCTTTGAATTTAGATGCTGGATCTCTTTGTCCCAAGAAGCGGCTCGGCTGCGCTCCTTGGATTGCTCCAAGCGCGACTGAACGTCTTCAACATTAGACTCAAGCGCGGCCTGAACACCCTCATCCACACTTAGCTCATTCAGCTTCCCTTGGTAGCTGGCTGTCTCTTTGTCGTTGGTAGCTATTTGTCGCTTGGCAGCATTTTTGCTTTCTTGGAGAGCCGATTTCTTCTGGCCAATTTCGTCCAAGGATGCCTGGGTTTCACGCAATTCGCTCTGCGCCTCCCTCTTTGCTCGATCCAAAGTCTGAGCATGCTCTTTCAGGATTTTCCGGATTCTTTTCATAAATTCATCTATCTCTGGTTGATCCACAATGCTGTCAAAGCCGCGAATGTTGTAGTTCCGTGCCAGTTCTTTGGACATGCGTTGGCGCCTCTCGACCTGGCGCTCGAAACTGGCCTTATCGTTTTCGTACTTCCCGTATTCAGCCTGCTTCAGACCTAGTTTGTGTCGGGTCTGTTCAATCTGCTCTCTAAGCTCCATATACTTTTCCTTCTGAGACTCTTCTTGCTGCTGATACTGGATTTGTTTGGACTCGAATTGTTCCAAGTTCGACTCTAGCCATTCATCTGGTTCGTCGAGCTCAACTAGATGTCTTTTGAGGTTGTCGATGGTAGATTTAATGCTCTTCGCTTCGATACGCTTTCCTTCTAAGGTTCCGAGGATTTGGGCATAGTTTTCAGATTCCGTCCAGGCTTTGTCGGCAAGTTCTGCCACCTGGCGCATTTCCTGGGTAAGCTGATGGGTTTCCGCTCGCAAAGCTTCGATTTCCTCCTGCAACTTGATCGACCTCTTCTCTGCTTTATCGGCTTTCTCTTTGTCTTCTTTGGCGTGCTGTTCCATGATCTTGTATTTGCCAAGCTCCTCGTTCTGCTTCTTGCGTAGTACTTTGATATTATCAATGGCTTTTGTATACTTGATTGCTTCGAATATTTCGTCGAATTTCTTCTTCAAAACCGATGGCTCGCTCATAGGCCATAGACTCTCATCCTGATGACAGAAGATAACGGAATCAAGAATAGCTTTCGACACGCCAAGGTATTGGGGCATAATCTGATCCAATTCCGCGACTCGAGAAGAGATGGCGGTTCTCTCTCCTTCCTTGATCATCAGGAGCTGCCCCTCTAGCGACTTTTGTTGTCGTGTCGTCTTCTTGACCGTAAGCTGTAAGCTTCTGGTGGCCACCATCTTTGCACCGGAGGTGCCCTTGAAGGATAGCTTCACTTGGGCCAAGACTTCTTTCTCTCCGCACAACTGGCATTATCCTTCAGCTATGGCTCCGGCACTGGTATTTGCCAACATACCTTCGGGTCATGAATGAACGCGCCGCCCTTACTGTTGGGCGGAAGGTCACCGGTTGTAGCATATTTGAGGCACTCAATGATAGTCTGTAAATACGCATCAGCGTCGGGCACTTTTATGAGGTGAGTGTATTGGTGCTACCGTTTTCCCAGACCCATTGTATCCGACGATCAAGGTAAGAGGAGTATGGAACTGTATGGTCTCACTGCGGGTGTTATCGAAGGAGCGAACACTAGGAGAGTAATGGTTAGCAACAGTTGGAGCAGACAGCTTAGAGATGAAACAGTCTTACCCCAGGATTGAAAGCTTGTCAATTTTAGCTGTGAACCAGATCAGTATGCCGCTGGACCGCTGGAAGCCTCCGTTACTTACACCTGTCAACGTTAGTAGATGGCCTGATAGAGTTTTTGGAAGCGCCAAATCCACCTACATCTTGTTTTGTCGGCACTTTCGCTCCGTATACAGCCTGAGATATGATGGTCAAGGGATGCAGCGCCCCTCACGCTTTTCGAAATTGTTTCGCCTCAAGGTTCTGCCTGCCGCGTCTGCGACAAAGACGACGCGGGGAAGGAGCGCGAAGTCACGTGAGCCTATTTGTTGGCCGCAAAGTGTCAAACTCCTGCTCATAGGACTTCGCTTTCTCCGTATTTAGTCTGGCATATGATACGAGGCTTCAGTGTCGATCGTACCGACATCGTCAACTGTTACCTCAATGAATCTGAACGAGAGTCCCCTGCATTGAAAGCCCAGTCGGCAACCAACCTCCACTACGAACCCGGAACAAGTTTCGATGGGAGGCGCAATTTGAACGGTGAACCAGGGCCTCTGCCCCAAAACCGCGGCTCAAGAACCGTGATTTGGGCCACACTTCTGATAGCGTTGGGAATAATACGTCAATAATCTTGGAATCCTTGTACGAAAGCCAAGTCTGCGACTAGAGCCAGATTCTTCTCCTCCACACCGATGCGTCTTTTAAGAACTAACAAAAGCAATGATGGGCCGCAGAAAAGCCTAGGCCCCCAGAACTAAGTACGTGAAGAATGTTGGGGTAAGAGCTTGTGGTCTCAGGGCCAGGTACATTTTTCTTCCTATGTATCCGCTGTGCACTCGAACCCGAATCACCCTGGTTCCTTCTAGAAATGCGGAGTGAACAAGAGAATCTGTTTAACAATACTGAATTTAGGATCTACGTGGATATGGCGTAACTGGTACAACGACGGACTTAGTGTAGTCAAGATACAACGCTTATCTATCCCAAGATCGTGACTCTGGGACCTTTTGCGCGTGGGGACAAAGGTTGAAGGTACACTTGGAACGCCAATTACATTTGCCAAATTGATCCACTGACATCCGTCATATGTCCAGGCCTTGATCAGGGTCATTCCACCCCGCGCGATAGCTCCAATTCTGTTCGCATGGTGTGAGGCGGGCATTGATTTGGTATTTAAGTCCTTTACTCCTTTCCTCGTTCTCTTCTCACCTCCTCTACTCCCCGTTCGCCTCACTCGTCAGAAGGACGATGAATCCGGCCCATCTTCGTATGCAGCCCACTCATCAATATGGCCTTGAAACGCAAGTATCATCCGCACCGTATGGCGCCCCATTGGGGATGCAACAACTCCCGCGGGCTTTAGGCTTGGATTTCGGGATACAGACCCCAAGCCTCAATCCAACTCCTGTCACCAGCCTAGCGGAAGGGCAACAGCCATGGCCAGAGCGCGTGGTCGATGAAGTCCGAGACCTACTACTCCTTCTTACTCCCGACGGCAGAGTGAGCTACGTCTCCCCATCGTGTAGGCCCGTTACAGGCTTTGGACAAGCACAGTTAGAGCAGAATTATTTCTCTCGCTTCATTCACGATGACGATAAAGCTGTGTTTGCGCGGGAATTTCACGAATGTATTGCCACGGGCCGTCCTCTTCGATGCCATTTCCGCGTCTACCACTTCGATAATTCTTCTTCTCTAGTAGAAGCGCGCGGCCATCCGCACTTTACGACGCGCAGTGCTGATGGTAGTCAGCAACTGACATGCCACGGTGTTTTCCTAGTTTGTCGCCCGTATCACACCCAGAGCACCCAGATCCTCGATTCATTTCTGGAACACAAGCTTGAGAATATCCGGCTCAAAGAACGCATCGCACAATTGAAAAGAGAAGAGGAAGATGACATGAACGTCACGACACAGCAAGTGAGGTTGTCGCAAGTACCTTCGGCTGCCTCATATCGTCCTATACCCCAAACGGATAAGGCTTTTACGCAGTCTCAGACAGTTCCATTTACTCTCCCAATATCTCAAGACAACTCAATGCTTTCAGGCGAAGAGAACGAGTCCTCCGATACGCTCGGAAACGTTGACGAAATAGACAAGGCCATCAGCCAAGCCGCCCAGGCTGATGAAGACACATCTCATATTTTCGGGATTGAACTATTAACGGGTCTCAATTACGGACAAGGGGAGCGATCCCAAGGCATCAGCACTGGTATCCTTCAGAACCGTCTTTTCCAATACACCGGCAACCCTTCCTCATCGGAGCCGGATCGAGTCCCATCCGAGAACGAGCCGAGGAAGAAACTGAAGGGGGAATATCGATGCGCAGATTGTGGAACGTCAGACTCACCGGAGTGGAGGAAGGGACCGGAGGGCCCGAAGACCTTGTGCAACGCTTGCGGATGTGAGACTCCTTTTTGCTTCTCGTCCCGGTTTCGGTTTACTGATGTCCATACTTTAGTGCGCTGGGCCAAGCGTGAGAAGAAGCGTCATGACTCAGGCTGATATGATCTGTGAGGTCTCTTTGGGGTTGACCACTAGAGGTCTTTTTACTCTGCACATCTCTTCACTGTGTCAAAGCGAGAATATCATCCGTGGGTTATTGCGAAGTTACGATTGCAACGATACCCATGTTTGCTCTTCCGAATTCCTGGGACTCTTGTGGAGTTTTGGCATGGATACATATCAAACCTAATTACTCCATAATGACATGCTTTGCATGAAACTTATGCAGCGATTTGTTCAGCCTGTACAATACCGACTCTGTGAACTATGATCTCCTACGATTCCTTGATTTTCCTTTCATGCGACACAGATGTTGGTATTCAGTTCAATTCGTATAGGTATAATTAAAAAGATAGAGAGGCGACTCCAGGCGCCTGGTAAGTTTGTTGGAATGATTCAAAACAAAGGGCGGGGTCGAATCTATGCCCGAGAATCCCTGAGAAACTATTCATTTATTCACACTTCATTGATCAGATTAGTCCCAATATCTGTCTTCTAGGAAGATGTATCCATAGACAATGCAGCTGCGATGACCGAACCACCATACTGTCCACACTGGCCCGATCCGCCATTGACACAAGCCGCATCTACTTCTTCGCCTTCTTCGGTGGCGGCGGGAAATAGATCTGCGGCTGTGCAGGCTGGATCGATCCACTCGCCGTCGTGTCCACCTCCTGCAGAGCAGTTTGCGGGTGCGATGGGGCGGCCCCAAAGTGTTCGCGGAGCGGAAGGTCCCTGGATGCGGATGCGGGGTCAAGTCGGTTGAAGGCCAGGCTGCGCGGCGTCATTACGGGCATCGGTGAGCGCGGGTATGTGGCTGTTCCTGGGGACATCGGCACGGCGCTGGGAGTCATTGGGATCATGCTGGGCGATTTGAGAATCATGTCCTCATATGCCTTCATGGTTTCTTTTTCTTCGCGCTGTTCGTCGCGTTCGGCGCGTTCTTCCTTCGTTATGAAGCAGTTTTGGGCGGCGATGGCTAGTTCGACGGTATAGAGGACGCTGTGGTGAGGAGTCTGTTAGGAGTGATTACGACCTTGTAAGAAATTTCGCTGGTACTCACATGATGATGATGGTAACTGCGAAGAGGGACTTTGCCTGTTGGCAGTATCCGACATTGTCTTTCTCGTGGGCGACGTTGCAGTTCTTGGTGATGTACCATGGTGGCCCATTTTGCATATGATCGGGATCTGATTTGTCACTGCCGGCTTGGAAGGAAGCAGAGACGCAATAGATGACTACCAAGCCAACATGAAGGATGACCGATCCGATCGGGTACAAAATGTGGAGGACATGGAGAGGAAACTTTGTGATGAACATGAAGGTGCTGAGGATGGAGATGACTAGGTTCCAGTTTGTCGCACTGTATGGTTGTTAGTTGCTCACGGCTATTCCATCAGGCAGGTGCGACTAAACAATGAAGAAACATACAAGGAGCTCCAGACTTTCGGCGTTGAGTACGACTGGTAGTTCGCAGCAGCGTAGACCTCTGCTTGCGGCGAGCTGTTGAAGCCATTCTCGTATCCATCTCGCCACAGCTTGAGCCGGTACCGATCATGTGCAGCGATACCAGTGAGCGTCAGAATAGCGATGATCAAGGGTAGCTCCAGGCCCATCAAAATGTAGACGAGGTTGTGGTTGCGGTACTTCTTTGCGATATACATGGCGGGCGAGCTTTGGGCCTTTCAGGCCAGACCGCGACAAAATCCCAGCAGTATAAAATTAATCTGGAAGTGTAGACCAAATCCAAGGGTGACTGAGGCCAGGCCGGCTGGCTGTATATTCAGTGCACTTGCATTGAAAGCCGAGAAAACGGTTGGACTTGATAACGACAACACGAGAAAGATGAAACAAGCACCAAGAAAAAAGAAGGCGAGAAACTCAGCCCGGGGAAGCGGCCATAATTATGCAGCGAACGAGTCCCCAAGACCTCGAGTCTTCCATCGTTTGCCGGCATCAGGAGAGGGGCAGCGCTGGCGCTTCAATAGCAAGCCAGAACACTGACAGGCGTGCCTTGATAAGTTTCCCAAGCATACATCTGGCCAATGCTTGTTGTCGAGCAGCCGCCAGCATCGGCGCTCGGTCAGGGTTGGCCACCAATCAGGTGCCATAACACGACGGTCGGCGCTCGGCCATCACACACTAAAGTAGGCCGTGTGATGGGCACCGGGGATCTGCAGGCTCAGTGGGCAGCTTTAAGGCGGAGAACGCTGGAGCTCATGCCAGCGGCTCGATTGGCCTAATGGGCGCCTGGAAGATGTGCCATCTTCTGCAGGTGAACAAAGACAAAAGAGTCAAGCATCAGACCACTTGGAGATCTTCACATACTCGGCAGGGTGTCTTTTGAGTACTTCTGAGCGCGTCTTAGACAAAGGCGAATTGAGCGCAATAGTCTCATCGGATGGTCAATTTGGAATGTTGTGAAGGATTTGAAGTCTTGGATAGCTTCATCTGCAACCCTGCAGCCGGCAGTCATGTGCTATTAGGTAATCTCCTATCCAAGACGTCACTCTCTCTACCCCAACTTCCGCCATCAATCATCCCAATCAAGTCCCGAAATCAATCTCTTCAAGAGGCTCTAGGCTCCGGATGCTGCTTCGACAATTGCGCCCGCATCCTCTTTCCAAATATCTACCAAGTACTTGGCATCTACTCACCCGCAATTTGCTAGTCACAAGCTATCGACAGATGAGTTCGCCGACAGCTAGAAAGGTCTCAGTGCCGCATACTGTACGGACAGCCGCGGAACCCCGGCAGAACAGACTGTTCACAGTCCGGCTATCGCATATAGAAGAAATCAGCCCCACAGTTCGGCTCCTGCAACTGACTATACCCGCAAATGTGCAAGACCCTGGACTACAAGAATATGTAGAAGAATCCGAAGAAGCGGACGTATGCAGGCTTATACTCCCCGTTGGACCGCAATACAGAAGCTAACATTACTCCAGATTGGCCAACTACAGCCTTTTACATTTTTCCCGGGCCAATGGTTAGACGTGCATATTCCGTCTGTTGCGAACGCCGGTGGATTCAGCATCACTTCCACCCCGGCAGATGCCCAGGTTCTGCCTTCGCTGGAACCGTCGCCTGACCTTATCCCAGCGGAGGAAGCGGAGATCCTCCCTGTGAATGCTCATGGGCGCGAGCCGTTCGTAGAGCTGGCTGTTCAAAAAGCCCTGTCGAACCCTGCCAGCGCATGGCTCTGGAGGCCTAGAGAAGAAATCCTCGGTAAGGAACTAAGCATCCGGGTCGGAGGCAGCTTCGTGTGGCCGCCGTCAACGGTTAAACTTGAAGAAATCCGGAATGTGGTCTTCGTCGCTGGCGGAGTGGGCATCAAGTCAGTCTCTAGCCCAATACCCCCGGATTATACTATCCTTTTGCTAATCGTCCACAGCCCGATCATGTCAATGCTCTCCCACCTCAACAATAATGACGAAACCACTGGTTCTTTTCACCCTTCTTTAAACATTCATATTCTTTACTCCTCTAAGCTCCCTCATGCCGCAACGCCAGAAACAGCCCTCAACCAAATTCCCTTCCTCCCGCGTTTGCGCGAAATCGTCCGATCTCGAAGACAATCGCAGCGCTTGCGCGTTACCCTGGACCTCTTCCTGACTAACAATCACGACTCATCTTCCGCACTCCCAGCTCAGCCTCTCCAGGACTCGACAATTCAGCTACGACGCATCAGCCGAGATGATCTTTTCAGATCGGTATCCGGGAGAGACCCACAGTATAAGCCTGAAGAGACAGTATGCTATGTCTGTGGCCCGCCTCAGATGACTGATGAGGTCGTCAATATCCTTAGTGAGCTGTTAGATGGGCAGAAGGACCGAATATACTTTGAGAAATGGTGGTAATTGGGTTTCGTTCCACCAAGGAACCACAGTTCTCAACACATATGTGCAACACGCCCGGGCCAAACGCCCTCTGCCATCGACCTAGGTATGAGTATGGAATCTGGACTGAACCTTGTAGATCACAATAGGCTTTGGAGCCTCTTTTATTGCGGGTTGTCTCCGGATATTTACAACCCGCAAGTCCAAGCTCGTCTCCAGATCATACGACAAGGCCAAGGCTGCGCAATAAGGGTACTTATGTGTTCGATATTGGCTACAGCCGGAACGTGGGATGGGGAGAAAAGCCAGCAATTCCAATTTCAGTTTAATCGAATTATTCTGGATTGGCGGAGAGCGGCATAAAGTGTGTCAGGCCTGTCAATAAACCCAGAGGAAAGGTAAGGTGATACCAGGAACGGATATGCATTTTGATAGGATGTATGTAAGATGACAATATCAACCTGGCCCCTTGACGACTCCTCCATCAACGATCGTCATCTCGTCAATTCTAGATTCAGTATTGCCATACTCGAGGCGCTTATACGTGACCACACGTCCTGGGTTCATGTCGAAATCAAAGAATCTAACCCGACGAATGTATCCGCCATAACCGCCATAGCCACCGAAGCCGGCACCGCCTCCGTAGCACATCCAGAGAGACGGCTTTTGTGATTCGTCTTTGTCCAACATACAGTAGTCATTTGCGTGGTCGCTGTAAATTGTTAGTAGTGACAATTTAAATGTGGAATTGATATGCTTACTGTCCACAGCCAACAAAAAGAATCCCTTCCTCCTCAAGTGCGTCTTTGAATCCCGAGTTGAATCCAGGCGCAGTAGAAGGTTCAGACCAGTTTCCTCGGAAGTAGCTGCCCTTTTGAGCGAATTCGGGCAACGGTATGTGAATAAATGCCATGTTCATGTGCATGTAGGTATATTCGTGATGCTTCGCCTTCAGACTTTGGGCGGTCGTCTTGAACCAACGAATCTGATTAGGCTTGATCCAATCGTATCCGCGGAACTGTCGTTCATCTGGGGAGTAGGAGTGCGAGTCGAGTAAGTAAAGTGTCAAAGCTGAATGGTCTGTGTTTCCACGGCCGAGGACTTCAACGTAGTAATTGCCAACACCGTCCACGTCCTCAGGACCAGCCTTTGATAGCGAGTATGGTAGTTCTTCCAGCATAGCCATCTGCTGATGACGGTTTAGGTCGCCCTCGTCGTCGTGGTTGCCGAAGATAGCAGCATAGGGAATCTTGCGATCGGTCAACAATTTGACAGACTTGAAGAGGGGACTCTGCGCATCCTTAGACGTCTCGCCGTTCACCTGGTCTCCACTCAGGATAACTAGGTCTGGCCGCTCTTCATCTAGGAGCCTCTCAACAAAGTCCAATGTCCGCGGATCTGCTTCACAGCCTTCTCCTGGGACAAGCTCAGCTGGCACGGGATCCCGACACTTTCCAAGCCCAGTACTCAGATGTAAATCTGCCAGCTGCATGATCTTGAAACGACCGTTCTCGTTGATTCTCGGCACCGGCTTCTTGATCTTCACCGGATCACCCCTTCGAACGGAAATGCGTGCTTCCAGGCCTTCTGTACTACTATCGAGTAGCACCGGAGTATCCCTGACCTCCCAGCCGGCTCGCGGGTCCACCGCATCGGCACCGAACAGAACATCAACAGATGTGATTGCACTGTGCGAGTCGCTCGCATGCCGCTTCGCTGTTCTCTTCAGCCATATTCCGCCTGGTCGCTTTTCCCATTCTTCGTTATCCTCTTTAGGATCCTCGTGGAACTCCGGCGCGATCCGACTAATTCGTAGATCGATGACTACCTTATCCGTAGGAAGAAGGTCCTCCTCCTTTTTGCGTTGGAACTGAACGTATGCAGCGGAAAAGTATCCTGATTTCAAGTACAGGTCCTTGTCGACTTGAGTCCATCCGGATGACGAGGGTTTGCAACCCGATATGACGTTTAAGACCGAGCAGCTCACCACTGTAACATCAGTGATGACGAAGCCCGAATAATGCGATGGGAGGTGGCCGTGAATTGAGGCGGGAAGAACACGAAACCTATTATCCAAGGTGACAATAAGGAGTAAGACGCAGGCAGCAAAAATCGCGAGCTGGATGCCCGCTCGAACCTATTAGGTGAGGAAAAAAAAAAGTGAGTAAAATCTCTCAATTTGACTTGAAACTTGCGCTCCACTTCGCGGATGAGGCTCATTGGGGAGGACCACATACAAATCGGCGTGTCATGATGATCGATAGTGCCCCTGGCAGGTTCTAAGCATACATAGAACAGCCGGGCATCGGAGCATGGTGGGAAGCTTGAAGAAAACGGCGCATCCAGGGGTTCGCGCGAGTAATTCTAGTTCGAAGGCCAGGTCATTCCCAAGGGGCGTTGGTTCTCTGGGGTAAAGGATAGAGCGAGCGCCGAGGGTCGAATCCAGTAGGCGGTCACATGCTGAGTGGCAAGTGTGCCGAGCCAGCAGGGATACGAATACGAAAGAGTTATACTAAGAACCATCCTTTAGTATACAGCCAACATTTGAATGGAAAGAATGGTATATTCTTGAAGTCTATGTGTACCCTGTATATCATATCCAAAGATTCCCTGTATAATGGTGATAAGTGCTTCTTGGACTTACGCCTTCTGCTCCTTCTTCACAACGGTCTTCCCACTGAGGATATCCTTCGTTGTGGCAAGGATGGAAGACCAATTCTCGAAGACAGTGTATGGCATGCCTTCACGCTCGCAATATGTAATCAAATCTACTCAAAATCAGCATATATATGTCGTTCAATAACAAGGATTAGCCTACCTTTTCCAGCCTTGGCGAACAGAAGATCTGTCTCGGACGCAGCAGACAAATCAGAGACACCATCGCCAGCGTAAAGCAGCGTAGGGCGTTCGTCGAAAGGCACTGCAGCGTATGGCTTGATTTCCAGAGACTTGTCGTGGCCGAAGTGACTATATCGGTTAGCCCTAGAAACAGAGCTCGATTCGGCTGTTCTTGCTCTCACCTGTCATCATGGTACTTTATCTGCCACCCACCAGGAGTGTTTATATCCCTTCCATCACGACTTTCGACTTCATTGGCAACAATAGTGAGGTGATCGTCAAGCGGGTGACCGAGAAGCGTTTCTAGTAGGGTCTTAATAACGGGGACCATGCCGGAAGACAAGACTACAATCGGCACATTGTTCTCCTTGGCCCAGTAATAGAACTCGGCGAAATGGGGGTCCAAGTGCATGTTCGCGCGGAGGATATCGAGGCATTCATTGAACGGGTTCTTGACGCTATCAAGCATGTCCCGGAAAGAATCACTGGCGAGACGCAAAGGTTAGTCCCTGAGTGGACTGGATCCTGTTTCTAGCGCTTACCGGAAGGTGACCTTGTTCTCGAGGACATCTTTGTTCAACTGACGGCGCCTTTCCCCGCCAAAGCCCAGATTATCGGTCTTGTAGGGTCACTGAATCAGTAATTGAAGAGGGATGTGCTGTAGGGGCGTGGGTACCATGTGGTCATTGCCTGCGATGTTCCTGGTCAGCGTACGGTGCACCCACAACTGAGCAGAACAATAGACTTACTATCCTCCAGAGTAATTGTGCCGTCAAAATCAGTGAAGAAAATGACCTTCGGGTTAGTCTTCAAGTAAGGCAGAGCAGTAGATCCCATGGTGAACGGAGGAGTGGCGGGGTAGTGCTGGCAATGTAGAGTCAGCCATCCGGGGCGCTATGAAAGGAAGTGTCTGTATGTTTGGGCTGAGGAAAAATCTCCAAGAAACAAATACTTTGGACCTACTTCGTGAGAGCGAATTGAGGGGACTGGGGAGGAGGAGGAAGAAGCAGACTGGATCGCGACAAGACGACGAGAAGCGAAGCAGGTACTTATAAAGCCGACAACATCGGCACAGAGGCTAGACTAGAGTCATCAGTGAGGAACAGGATCCTGGAGCAAAGAAATTATGGAGCCCTGCGGGGATCGACATCATGCTCAACGACATTAATCCAATTTTAGGACTAATTTGGACTTCGGTGGAGCTTTTCATCCCATATTTTTCTTCCCTTCGCATCTTCTCCACGATCTCCGGCGGACCTTTGGCTGAGCCCAATTGACATCGAGTGATGGCTCGCTTGATGAATATTCTTCGGCAGTTCTTGGGGTCAAGTCGTTCCTCTGCCTCTGCTGTCCCTGTCCCGCGATTTGGCCGCTCAATTGACACCGATTTCTCCGTCTTTCGAGGTACCGCATCCCGACACGGCGACACGCCGATATGCTCCGCTAATGGCCTCCAAAACTAATTAACAATTGCGCTTGTCAGAGGGCGACCGAGTCATCATCAATAATGCGAAGGGGAGAGATCCGCTCTTGACGAAGCCTCTTCGAAAGGGTCAGAAATCGGATGTGCGCCGAGGTCAGCTGGAACATGACCAGATTATCGGCCGAAGAGTCCGAAGTCTCGTCCAGGCTCGCAAAGGTTCACACACCGTCTATTCTTGCTGGAAACAGTAGCTAACGGCTCCGGTTTCCTATTGCAGGTCCGGGGTATCGAATCACCCATCCTTCCCTCGAAGAATATGTCGCGTTGACACCACGCCTCGTGACCCCGGTACATACAACACCACCCACCCAATTGTCTGTCCCACCGCAATCTCCGTTAACGGAATGATCTAGATTTACGGCCACGATGCGAACCTCATTGCCTCACTCCTTGATATACACGTCTCGCCTCCAGGTGAGGGTGACGACGGCCGACCACCGCTCGAGATCCTCGAATCTGGAACAGGCCATGGCTCCTTGACCCTACAGCTCTGCCGAGCAATCCAAGCTGCCAATTCTCTACCTCCTCCGATTCCAAACGCCTCACAAGTGAAATACCTTCAAGGGCGGCCGGTCCGACCCGACAATAGCGGAAATAACACTGCGAAAGAAACCAAAGATGCAGCCAGCCCAACCGCGGAGGAAGAAGAAGTCAACCCCACGCAACAAAACTGGGACACATGGCGCGCTCAGCGGAAAGCTATAATCCACACCGTTGATGTCGCGCCGCAATTCTCTAAACACGCGGAATCTATCGTGCGCGGCTTCCGCCGGGGTATCTACGCCGGCAACGTCGACTTCTATGTCGGACATGTGGAGAATTGGATCGCAGAGCAGATTCGTCTTCGCACACCTCCTCCAAGCATCAACCCGTTCTCGCTCGCCAAGAAAGACACACTCGAGCCATTTCTCACTCACGCTATCCTCGACATGCCCTCGGCAAACCTGCGCATCCCTCACGTAGTGCCGATCCTTAAACAAAATGGACTCCTTGCCGTCTTCATGCCCAGCGTCACACAGATAGGGGAATGTGTGGACACGATTCGGAAGGAGAGGCTGCCGCTTGTTCTTGAAAAGGCGGTTGAGCTTGGTTCCGGAATCAGCAATGGGCGGCTCTGGGACATTCGGTTCGCGACGAAGAAGTCGCGCGCGGATCCGTCTTCCTGGGTCGATCCCAGCGAGACCGGTGCTGAGGCCGATGCTGATGCCGATGCTGCTGCTGCTGCTGATTTGGAAGAGGCACACACTCCTTCTGAAGAAAAGGTTGTAGCGAAAGAAACCCCAGAGCATGCCAAGCCGGAGAGTGTCCTTGTTTGCCGGCCGAAGGTCGGGACAAAGATTATTGGGGGTGGATTCGTGGGGATCTGGAGGAGGATCGAGCATTCTGAGCAGGATGTTTCGCAGTAATATGCAACGCATCTGCTTCTGAAGTACTGATACCATGTAAACTACTATAGAACACATAGACAACAGTGTATAATATGCCGCCAACTCATCTTTGAGAAATTCTACGTTACGGAGTAGCAATAGAGACCATGCAGTCGTGACCGTCAAAAAAGATCATCAAGTAGTAAACAAATCCTAACACATACCATGTACCAAGCGCAAGAGAAGAGGAAAAAATAGACATGACCACGCCGTTGACTACTCACTTTCCAAGAAGATGAAACGCGTAGGTTCCGTTGCAAAGACAGAACCCCTTCGACGAGAATATACGTAGAGAAGAAAAGAAGAGACGAGACAAGTGAAAGGAGTAAGAAGAAACACGGGGAGGAAGAAAGAGCCAGATAGTACTGAATTAACACCACGGACACACGCGCAAAAATCCCCCCAAAGATGAAGAAGAATTCCGAAATAACATGAACAGGACAAACCGGGCTACACAAACACCAGTCTCGTAATATTCGACATGCTCCCATGGATGACGGCCGTGACCAATCAGTTCCGCTGCGGTCCAAAATCCGCTTCCACAACCTTGCCCTTTTTACCTTTAACTGAAAACTCCGCGAACAATGCGATATGATCACTGGGAAAATGATAATTGGGGAACCCGGGTACTTTTCGGAGATAGTCCTTGTCGATTTCCCCGAGTAGCGCCGAGACATGGAGAGAATTCGAGGTATACCAAATGTAATCCAGTATATCCTTGAAGTCCGGAACGTAGTTCGTAAAGCTCATCTCCCCAATAGAGCCGTACGCAGACTTCAGCTTGAAGGGATGTGTCATGCCGACTCTGCTGAGGTTTCCGTACATGCGCTTCTCTAGATCGGGATGCTCTTCCGGAAGTCGTCCGTTTGCGATGAGGTTGTAAGCCGCGGACCCGGGTGATGAGTTGAAGTCTCCACACATGAAGAGCGGGATCTGGTCACCGCTCGCATATTCCATGGACGGAGCAGGTTCCGGCACGGCCTGGGATTCGCCTTCGGCTTCCGAAAAGCGGAAAGCGGTCTTGTCCGTACAAGCGGGCCATTTGGCGTATGTTTCCGAGAGCTTCGTAATCTCCTCCATAAGGATAGCTGTCTGAATAAGCTTGACGTCCTTGAAAGCAGGATCCCAGTAAAGGTGCGCGTTGACAACAATGAAGCGAGATCCAGTTTGACGGTTTTCCAGAAAGACAACAACCGCAATATGGTCTTTCTGCCACAGTCGGTTGTAAATGTCATCTTGGCCTTTGGCATCAGGTCTTCGCACAGCTGTCTGGCCATAGTTGATCATCTGCTTGTCAAGGAGTATGAACTTGCTGCCCTTGAAGAAAGTAGCACACCCGTCGACCAGCCTAGCATCCTCATCTTGCATACCCATGGCTCTTCCTCGCGGCCAGTAAACACCCTTATAATCATTATAGGCCAGTTGTTCCCTGAAGAAGTCGTTGTAACTGCCCTGGTCAATTTCTTGGAGACAGATAATATCCGAATCGTGAGACCGCAACTCGCTGAGGATAAGTTCTCTTCTAAATTCCCAGGAAAGAACGCGGGACGGCACGTAGCCGTAGTGGGATTGTGTTGCGGAGGAATCACAAAGAGTGTTGTAGGAAAGCACGGTAACTTTGTCAGCATAAGTAGCTGCGGTATCGTCCAGGACATGCCAGCCTCGATCGGGAGGTGGGAGTTGGACTTTGGTAAAGGTCAGCACAGAAATCCGACATGAGACTCGCATATTGATACTGACCTGGCATCTCTTCTTTCAAGTACTTGATCAGAGCCTTGGTACCCTCTTTCATAATTAGACTCTTGAACACATCCTCCAATGGATTGCCCTCGATTCCCAGTATTTCCAATCGATAGAGATATCCCATTTCGTAAGGGAGCGTACGGATATGATTGTCGAACAGCAGAAACTGCTTCAAATTCGTGAGCATACCAATTTCTTCAGGGAGCGCGGTTAACTCGTTGCTAGACAGATCCAGGTGGGTAAGACCCCGCAGTTGTCCAATTTCCGGAGGGATCACTTTCAGCTTGTTGTGACTCAAATACAGTTTTTCCAAGAAGAGATAACTGAAAAGGTTCGTTGAGATGGCGCGGAGACCTTGACCACCAAAATCGAGCGAATGCCAACCTTGCCGTTGGGAAGCCTGCGTCTTCACAATCCCGTTTTTCGGTTTAACCCCATTCTCTTGTGCTTCGGGTTGGCTAGGAGCAATCTGGATGCCTTTGGTCTGTTGTGCTACGGCCCGAGCATAATAGTGGGGTGAACTGGCCTGTCGCGATTCGGCAGCCAGCTGAAGTTGTTGCTGCCAATGCTCGTTCATGGATTCGTCAAGATCTTCATCAAGGTTGGCGTGCGTCCCATTCTGGATGTGGCTCGGAGTGAAATGAGGGGTAGCGCTCGTTAGAGCCCCACTGGAGAAGTTATGCTGATGACCGACATGTTGAGGGGGTTGATTATGATGCGCGTGGTGGTGTGGTTGCTGTGCAGGGTGTGGGTGATGAGATTGTGTCTGAAATTTGGGCATCTGCATACCAAACCGCTGGTGGGCTTGGCCGCTGCTCATCATGACATGCTGCCCTTGGTGAGTCTGGCTATACATTGTGAAGGGATTTAGAGCAGCAGCTTGGCCGAGCGGAGGCGATCGGGAAGGAGAAGGGGTCTCGTGGTTGAATTTCAGCCGTCCAGTCGGGGAGCCTGTGCCGTTGCGAAGAAGGTGACGTTGGTGAGAATGCTGTTGTGACTGCGATTGGAAGAAGAACTGCCCGGCCCCAGGCTGCTGGAACCTGTAGGTACCATCTGCCATTTAACGTGGCAGATGAAACCGTGTGTTATTTGGCTGGTTGATGGTAATGGAGTAGAGGCGGACTTGTAGCACCGGAGACGAAGCCGTAGTGAGAGAGAGAGGAGGAGTCGGGGGTCGAATACGTTCTCTCCTTCTCTTCAACATGGGGTCCTGGAATGGAACCACCCCAGAGATAAAGGTTGCAGCTGACAAAGAAGCAAAATAGTTGTGCCTCGGACCAAATTGTTCTTCCCACCGTACTGGGCTCTGACTCCGAATTGGAAGGACGGACTAAGAATCAGATGATGGAGCCGGGGTCGGCGAAGGAGTCACGGCAGCGAGAGACGGCGGGATCGTGCTGATGGGGCCTGAATAGGAAGTTAGAGGGGGTCTCCAGATCAATGATAGTTTGTGATGGAGACTTGGCGCACAGCAGATGGTAGCAAAAGATAAAGCAATGACAGTAGCGGCAGGTCCAGATGAGGTTCTTTGACGCTGGTCTGGGATCGAAGGCGGGAGGTTGCTGGGGTCACGTGGCTCCGCCCCCCGGTGGCTGTGATTCGCCGCTCAGTCAAGAACCAACAGGCTGGCTCAACTTTGGAAGAGATGATGACCCTGCAGTTTCATCAATCCGTGGAAGCTTGGTTGATAGGAAACGAGTTCCGGAGAGGCCAGATATGCTTTCAGAACCGACCCCTCTTCACACTATATTTAACCCTTTCCACGCTATTGACAGTATATCCATTCATCCCTTCTCCCTTTTTTTCCCTTTCAGGCCTTGGATACCTGATTCTTGCCTAACGCCCCAAAAGCCATGAATGCAAGCAAAGGCTCTAGAACCACCCATCGCCCATGATATGGATTTTTCTTCCTTAAAGTTTGGGACGGACCTGAAACCTGAAACCTCTTGGCCCTATAATGAGCTCATTGCCTTTGCCTGGGTTTGGGTGAACCGACTTGCTCATCAGGTGACTTGGCTTGTTGACTTGATCTCAAAGGGCCATTCACTTTAAGATTGATTACATTCTGGAAGCTAGTTTCTCCAAATATGCCTCCTGACACAGGTTATCCTTCACTTTGCTCCGCAGTTACCCCAGCTCGCAGAAGCATGTGATCAATGGCCGACATCCCTCAGAGCCCCTACGACAGTGAATTCCTCAGCCCCAGTTGATTGCCACAACAAGGCCCCCATTGCCACGGGCAGCAGCAGCACCTACAGTACATGAGTACGGCCTCAAAACGAACAGAAGGAACAACATTAATATCTTACCTCCCACCCCGCCATCTGGAGTAGTGCACGCATTGATGATATCCTGCGCACCCCAGGCAACATCGACACTGCTGGATCATAATTGTTACTAGAAGTCTCAAGATAACTGGATTCGATACCTACCAATGGAAGCTTGTGCTTGGCCCACCACTGATGTTGCACCAGTAATCACAGTGTTCACAGCACGGCAGAAGATAACATTGTTGCCATCCACGACACAGTGCGTTGCGCCTTTGTTGAACAGATAGTTCACGCAGGCTTGCACCTCGCCGACGGGACGGTATCCGCCTCCGTTGTCCTGGCAAGTGAGGTCGAATCTCTTCTCTAAGGGCGATACGTCTACCGGGGACACATTGGAAGGCAAGGCCAGAGCGCTACCGGCAACCGCAAGGATGGGCGCAACAATCGTGGAAAAGGTAGGGGTCATGATTTGTAGAGTTCTGACTGTATCAGCTAGTGGTCAAGTCTTCAAATGCGTTGTACCTGGCGAAAAGTATGGAATTTGCCTGCTTGTTATACCTTGTCAGGAGATGAAACTCCTTCCGAAACATACACCTCTCATTTCAAATTGTTGACATGCGCAGAGAATCCTTTGCCAGTTTCTCTTCCTCTGAATGTACTCGGCTTGGGGCATGATCTGATGAATCGTCCAACTAAAGCTGGTAAACAACCAACAATGACCGGGCGTCCTTGCACGAGGATGCCAAACCGACCCTTGACAGCCAAGTGCATGCTCAAACCCCTGTGAAGTGTGCTATGCTCGCTGCATGGCGGATTCTGTTGGGAATGGAAAATCAAGACCCGTCACTGTCTTGAAAATTAGCGAAGGCTCTGCCGACTTCGGGTAGTGCATCCTCACGTTGGCTCTTCTGAATGAGAAGCTCTGCATATATGAGGCAGCAGAGGTACACGCTGGAAGCTGGATAGAATCATCAGGTCAGGAGTGAAATACGCAGCAGTACACCACATGAGCAGAGACACGATCAGCAGTCCTGTATCCCCCCGGACAGCCCCATACTACTCAACCCCTGCACTGTGCAGTACTGCAGGCTAAAACTCGGGGGCCGCAACGCGCGTTAGAGGAAATGTCAAGCGGTTGAATACGGAGGAAGCCGCGGACATCCCTCGGGAGGAAGCCAATATCTTCATGCAGAACCCCACAGTATGACAGGGTCCAGGGGCACATACGTCCCTAGTTTGTATGCAGGTTTCACCTGTATCTGTCCAGGTCGCAGCGGGAAAGCAGCAGCACTGATCGGCATCACGTCGACTCTCAACCAAGGCAAACGGTGGGCGGCCCACTACTGTAAGGCCCCCGGCAGGAAGCTCAGGCAAATGATACGCAATATGAGTCTTGCCCGCGGAAATTGCAAACGTTTCAGTTTGATATTTCGGGCCGAGGCGTAGCCGCAGCGGTTCAGCCGCTTCTGCAGCTCCTAGGGATGCATTAATAGGATGCGCTGGTCCAAGACAAAGCATTGCTTTAGTTTTCGAAGCGAAGTATAGTGCATTTCGTCTTGCTTGCAAGACAAAGACCCTTATCCTGCGGCAAGCGGGCTATCGTCCGTGTGGCAGAACATGAATATCTATAGACAGCTCTCATGATGATATCTGGCATTCTCCTGGAATGGCGAAAGCAACGGATGGGTACACTGGAGATCCAAAAAAAAACAACCCAATTTCGAAGTCTCTCGACAAGCCCTCTGCTAACCGGACTTGTGATCTGTTGGAGCATACCTTTTCCATTAGCTGATCTAGCAACAAGCTAGATCCCTGTTCATGCGTTCTCCGATGGCATCTCCACCGAGTCCTCGACGACTGTGTAACGCCCGACTCATGAACGCCGATGCGGGACCCGGAGTAAAGGTTTGTCGGACAAAATCATCCAGATATATGGACCGTCAGCACTATATCTTTGGTCTGGACATGCAACTGATAGGTTTGCCAGAGATGATCTACTGACTTCTCACTTCTTGATACCATCCACAAACAATGGCCATGAAGATTGACACTCACCACCATGTCATCCCTCCTTTCTCGGGCAAGGTATCACCTAGAATCCCGGCGTCTTTCCCAGAAAAAACCTGAATCAGTAGCTAACCACGTAAACCCAGCCATGACCGATAATCCCCACTTCTCAAAAGGCATGCGTATGCCCACTTGGTCCCCGCAAACAACCCTAGCCTTCATGGCCAGCAACGGGATCGAAACATCCATCCTGCCTTGTGCCCTTCCACTCACGGTCCTCGCCCAAGGAAACATCACCAAAGCCGTAACTCTAACCCGCGAGGTAAACGATTATCTCGCCTCCTCGCGCACTCTACACCCAAAGCAATTTGGCTTCTTCGCCTCCATCCCCTCCCTCGAGGACACTGAGATTTGCATCGACGAAATCCACCACGCCCTCGATGACCTCCACGCAGACGGCGTCTTGCTGTTCACAAGTTATAACGGTAAATACCTGGGTCATCCAGACTTCGAACGCGTATGGGATGAGCTGAATGCTCGCGGTACGGTCGTCTTCACGCACCCGACTATCGAAGGCGCAACCGAGAAATGTATCCAAGGGCCCTTCACAATCCCCCCACCGTTACTGGACTGGACGCACGAAACAACCCGTGCAGCCGTGCATCTCATTCTCACAAACACTCTCCGCCGGTTTCCCGAGTGCAAGATCATCCTCTCTCACGGCGGAGGAACACTTCCCTTCATCGTGGGGCGAATGGCAGATCTCCAGACCCGACTGTCTGGTAGATCGCAGGAGGACTTTCTGGAGGATGCGCAGCGGCTCTATTTTGACATTGCACTTGTGGGGCCGTCCGTTCCGCCGCTGCAGCTCGTGCGGGAGTTTGCGGGAAGCGGGCATGTGCTGTTTGGCACTGATTTCCCGTTTGTGGCGGCGGAGGGCGTTGCAAGGAGGTGGATGGGGTTACCGCTGGTGGAGAGGGGGGGTTGGTGATCGAGACGAGGAACGCGACGCAGGTGCTTTTTCCGAGGTTGATGAGGGGTTAACGGACTTTGAGCAGAATGCGTATATTCTCGATTAACTTTGACATTGCTCGGTAGCCTAGGGACGGGACAGGCCGAACCTTGAGGTTATAAGAAGGTTGTTTCTCATGGGCATTACAATTAGCACCTAGTATATAACTTTGAGAAACACCAGTTCACGTAGTCTCAAGTGCTTCAGACCTCTCGAGGCGTTCTAATTGAGTTATAGGTAGTTGTACCAGATGTCCTTCCAATAAAAGTTCGTGATATATATCCCAGGACTCCGCACTATGTCTTATAAGATCAAAACCGTAAGCCAAAGCAGCAAACAATCACGAAGTACATGGTTCGTCCAACAAGTCTATTCTTGACGATTTGCCTTTTCAAATTGATGCGGCTCTTTCAACTCTCAACTCCATTGAACCTTTTCCAGGTCGTCGAAAGCACCAAATGGACAACGCCTAACCGAATGGAGATGTAACCGGTGCGGTCAGACCACCATCCTAATTTTCTTCAAGACTCACTCAAGAGCAGGCACACCATCAGGTCAATGGATAGATCCTGCGCCACCGATGCGATCCCTCCGAAGTCAAATACAAGACTGTGCAGGTTCGGTCTTGGCCGACCCGGAGTATCTATCCGTCATCCGGACTCTGGATCGAATCCTTGGTTCAATGGAAAAAGCATGCGGAGCCAAGGCAGTTTAAACTTTGGAGTCGATAGATACGAGTGGTGATGTCAACCACTTTGCAGGAGGTACTGCAGAATCTGCTCGGGCTTCTCCGTAACGAAGGTTCAAAACATGGAAGCAAAGCCAGGAATTCCGAACCACAAGCCTGGAGGGTCAATGTCGTATTCTGGATCCTGAATCCTGCATTCGCTCCGAACGGCAAACCCGCCACTAGTGTAGTAGTGCGCCGTACCTACGTTAGCCTTGCTAACACCAAGAGAGGGGGGTTTCGGAGCTCAGCTTTTGCTTTTTTCATTGTTTCTCTTCATTTGTTTTTTTTTTTTTTCTTGGTCAGGGCCAGCCTGGTCGCAACATGGCATAAAGTTGGGTTTCTCTTCGTTTCAAGAGGGCCAATGGAGTCATCGCATCTTGAACTCAAAACTAAAATATCCTCATTACTTTGCTTGATCGTTGTAGCCGAGAGGACCAGTCTGCGGGGGAGAGGGGGCTCGGAGAATCCTGCAACAATTAGGTCTCGTGGTCCTTGGTTTGAAGGGGAACATGTAGGTTTGGGGAGGCAAAAACCATCAGGCGGATCGCGACCTATGGAGTAATTGCCCCAAGTGACATTAGCATTACAGATCATTTGGGCTTGTGTGAGGTTCGATCAGGAGAAACCGCGTCTGTGTCTGTTGCAGTTGCAGCGGACCCCCTATCTGCCTCTGCATCTGCACTGCACCCCGTATAAGTCAGAGAACTGGTTTGTGGAAGAATCGAACGGTCTAGGTGGTTTAGAGGATAGGTAGTCCACAGCCTTAGCCGCGAATTTTTGCATAGCGTGTTTAAGAGATTTTGCCCCCGTCTCTCCCGTTCTCATCGAACATTGTTTCCTTGGACCTTCCCTGTTCCATAAAATCCATTGCAAATAGTCATTGAGTCAGTGCACTGACTAGCCCACTGTCTAGACTAATCTTTGTGGCCCCCGCTGTCCCTGCACTTGGGCTCATATTTTCTTTTTCCTTCAACCCTTTTCTGCATCCTTCCTCGGATCATTGAATGCGCTCACTGTCCTTGCGTGTTCTTTGTCTACCTAGGTAACTGCCGGACAATGACTGTCTCAGCGAAGCCTCTACCCCTATCCATTATCAAGTCTTGAGGATGAGCTTGATCTCCCCCGAATATACCCTTGACCCTTGATTGATGACGACGCCTGTTTGATCGCGAAAAATGGACATGATGTCGGTTGCGCTCGGCACCGGTGCCTTCAACCCCAACCTACCCTCCGCGTCTGGTTCCGACCTGCATTCCACGCATTCCGCCATTAGTTCAACCGGCCCGACGACATGGGCCGCGACATCCACCTCCTCCCTCACCTCCCTCAATGACTACACCAACTATCCCCTGATCCGGCAAGGCGACCGCACCTATCTCCGAGACCCGGAGAACAACTACCCGCTACCGTGCGACCTCTCCGAGATTCATCGCCAGATACTGCGCTCGCTGATGCTCATTCGCGTGTTCGGTGGCCCCTTCTGCAACCCGTACCTCGCACAGCGACCTCCGAAGCGAGTCCTAGAAATAGCTTGCGGGTCCGGTCTTTGGTCGGGCATGTGCAACGATCACTTTGCTCGCGCCGGGCATCGTGATGTCGCTTTCTATGGTATTGATCTTGTCGCCATCGCACCGGACCTCCGCAAGAATGGTGTGAATTGGCACTTTAAGCGACACGACCTCCGAAAACCGCGCATACCGTTTCCCGATGACTATTTCGATTTTGTGTTCATAAAAGATGCTGCGATGTGTCCTTTGAGCCCGGCCCAACAGGCGCAGGGTCTGGTAGAGCCGTTGCGAGTGCTAAAGTCTGGCGGAGTTCTGGAAGTCTGGGATTCGGACTCTGTTTTTCGTTCGCTGCTTCCCAACCCTGCGCCCGCGCGCAAGTTAGCTTCGAGGGAACAAGAGACGGCGGATGCGACTGCAACATACACTTTTTCGTCTGCGACTCCGTTCACAAATGCGCAGAACAAGTTTCTGCAAAACTACAACTCCTGGCTAGAAAAGGCCTTTGACAATCGGAAATTGACGTCACTACCCTGTGCCACGATCGGTCTCGCGTTTAACTCCGAGGTCGATGTTTTAGAGAAGGTTGATAGCCGGCGGATTGCGATCCCACTGGGTGAACCGCGCTGGGAACGAGAAGGAGGAAAGGACGGCAGCGGTCCCCGCAAACAACTGACAGCAGATCAGTTGTCCATCCGCCGCACCGCCTTATTGACGGTCATCCAGATGATCGAGGGCCTGGAGACGATCCTCATGGAAGCCAGCGGCAAGAGCAGGGATGAATGGGATCGATGGTGGACAGCCATGATGAGCGACCTGTTTCAGAAAGGAGGCCTCGCCAACGGAGAGTGCCTAGAAGTAAGTGCATGGTGGGGCGTCAAGAGATAGAAGCCCCCGACAGAAAGACATACACGCACGCATACACATGATTTGGACTCTATAGGAGTATTCGGTGTTTCGGTAAGGATAACAAGAAGGAACGACAAAAGCGCAGCAGCCATTGCTCACGTCATATTGGTGATACCCCAACTCGATTTGGTTGATATTATGCTCATTCAGCCGTATATTCCGCGATTATATTTTTCTCTCTTCGCTGCCGGTTCGGTATTATTTGTTTTCATAGCGCTGTTTCAACGTGCGATATCGTTTGAGATAGTATCTATTTGTTGTTAGCACCATCTTTCTGGTTGTGTATGCTCTATTCCGGGTCTGGATGATGATATGACATTAATGACAAGATTGAGAGCCATCAAGCGAATCGAGTAAGGGAGTGAATCATGATTGCGGCGTAATAAGCATCGGACCTGAACTTACAGAGTTTCGATCTCTGCGCAGTTGAAGTCAGCTCTGGGTTTCTGAAACGGAGCCGAGTTTAGTACGAACCCTTCTTCACAAATTCCGCCCTTGCTATACCCTTCCGAATCTGCTCCTCATCCTGGAGATGCGCTTGTCCCGAAAAAGCTCGATGCAATCTATTTCGAAAGTATTCGTACCCTAAGGGATACTCGCGGCCGACGTTGAGAAGTTCTGTGGTGGTGTTGGTCAGCGGAGAGGACCTCATGAGCTGGTACCCTGTAGAGAAGCAAGGGCAAACCTTTATAGATATTTATAACTTGACGACGGAGCTCGGGGTTTGTCATTTTCCTTTTCTCTCTATGCAAGGGCGATCCTGAATTGAACTTAGAGGAGAAAACGAGGATGTGTGTGGATGGTGCGGCTGGAATGTTTGCTTCCGTTGTCCGGTTTTTGGGGTGACGTCGTACGAGCCTTCGACACAAGCACCGATGGCAACGAGCTTTTGCTTGATAGAACCAGAGCACTCCAGCGTTCTAGCAAGCAAAGTGAAAGGTGAACAAACTTGCAGAGATACTCCGTCGGCTCCTCGAAAATCGGCTCGAGATGAAGGGTAGCAATTCGCGTGTACAGTATTGAGATGTAGGCTTTTCGGCTATCACGCCGAACTTCGAAGTTCCAATGTAGCTCAGGATTCCCCAGCTCCCGCTCGATGTTTTGCAAGCTCGATTATATTGTTGGAACGTCAGACACCATTGAGTGTTGAGCTTTTCATATTCGAGTCTCTTTTTCAATAAGAACTATTCGACATCAAAGATCTCGGATCATGCCTTGCGCAATTGTGCCGTCTTCCCCGAATACCCGGAAATGTGACGAGTGGGGTAAACGAGCGCTGTCTCCAAAATCCCCAGCTTTGGCCGCTTAAGCTCGGACAATGGAGAAAGCCATCACAAACAACAACCTTAACAACTCCCCATTCTCACAACTCCCTGAGTAACAATGATACGTAATCAAAGCCTTCTCACTCACCGTGTGGCTTCCACACCGCTACGATGCTCGATACCGGCGACACGCCTCTTTTCAACCTCTCCCCAGCTGAGCAACGCCCGAAGCTCGTCATCGACAGCGCCGAAACTGCACGACATTGACCCGCGATGGCTTACAATGACAAAGAGAAGAGTAGGGCGGTGCATGATGTTTGGTTTAAAGCCACACCAGATCCAGGAGGCTGGAGAGATTGTGCAGCAGATTGCCCAGGATTGGAGAGAACTCATTGCAGGCAGTGAGGGATATCTGACGGATGCGACGCGGCGGGGCTTGTTTAGGCAAAGCGTTGCTTGGGGTGAGATGGTATGCTGTATATGAATATATTTCTGAGCAGGTGATATGGATATTTATGCTAACGCAGGCCCCCTGCCCTTGATAACAGGACAGCATGGTGAGTTCGAGAACCTGTTCGACTACAAATGTTTCTGTTGACTAATTTTGAAAAGGGTAAACCTCACCTCTTCCCTTATTTCTATTCTTATATGACATATTATCGTCTCTCCAACCGCTTTGATCGATGTTAACGAGTTCCAGGGCATGTCAACAACGTCACATACGTCCGCTACGCCGAGACGGCACGCGTATACTTCACACGGAACTTCGCGTTACATATCGATCCCTCGCACAAGACAGAATGGATGAACCTTGTCAGCAATAGAGGGCTCGGCATAATTCTCCGAAGCATCAAAGTTGATTATAAATTCGTACGCTTCCTTTTCACCCCTGGTGACTACCCCCAACATCCGCTGACAGTATGTCTACTTCGATTGCGCTGTACTAGCCAATGCAATACCCCGACAAAGTCACAGTATACCACAAATTAGTCCATGACCCGTCATCCTCCCAGTCTACACAGTTCGCGTTCCACCTACAGGTCATGATCCTCTCGGAAGCCAAGCAGCGGCCTGCGGCTCGGTGTCATGAGGATCTCGTCACATACGACTATAAACTGGGAAAGAAGGCTGCTATCCCGCCGTTTTTAATGAAACAACTTGCGGAGACATGGAAACTTCAGGAGCAAGCCAAGAAACATTGGCAGCAGCGGATTCTAGATATAGAAGCGAGAGTGAGGAAGCTAGAAACAGAGAGCTGGGACCGGGCAGATGCGGTTGAGGATACAGGATCTGCGAAGAAATAACGAGTATTCCCGAAGAACTCAGCATTATATACTGTATAGATATGTGTATACCCACAAAGTCCGACCTGAAGTATTATTTATGTGGTTTTACACTATAGTCGTATATACAACATTAGGAGCACCTGCAGATATGCGGCCGTATCCCAAAGCTAGCTCTCCCAATGTCCTCTTCTATCTGAGGATAGAGCAGCCCGAGACTCATATCGACACACAGACCCCTTCCAAGGCGAGTATCTCCCGAGAAAGTGCACGACTTATGCAAAGAATAATGTCCGTAATCAAGCACCGGGCCAGATTGCGAGCGCCTATTGGCCCTGCCAAGTATCACGTGATACAATCGCGCCATTAACCCCGCCCCCACCATAGCTGTGCTTCTCAACGGTGCGATTTGCTTCTCCCTCTTCAAGTTCCTCAAACCTCCTCAAACCTTTTCTATCCAACTATACCACATTACTCAAGCGCAATGGGTGTTACAGTCGAGACCATTTCTGCCGGTGACGGTGCCACCTTCCCCCAGAAGGGCGACGTTGTGACCATCCACTACGTTGGAACTCTTGAGTCCGACGGGTCGAAGTTCGACAGCTCCCGCGACCGCAAAGACCCTTTCGTTACAAAGATCGGTGTCGGCAAGGTCATCAAGGGCTGGGATGAGGGTGTTCCCCAGCTCAGCCTCGGCCAGAAGGCTGTCCTGACCTGCACTCCGTGAGTACCTACTACCTACGAGCTTTTGTGTGCAAAGGCTTGTTTTGTAAAAAAAAAAAAAAAAAAAGGAAGGGTTGCTAATGATGCGTGTCTTTAGTGACTATGCCTACGGTGCTCGGTGAGACACACTTTGCCTTGGAGTTCAATCGGAGAATTTCACTCAATATCCATCAATGCAGGCTGGTGTTTACTTTTGCTAATCTATTGTGCTCTTTAGTGGCTTCCCTCCCGTCATTCCCCCCAACTCGACTCTGAAGTTGTAAGTTTTTGATCCATACATTATAAGGATGGTCAATATGGTTAATTGTTGATTTAGCGAGGTCGAGCTCCTCAAGATCAACTAAATGGTGGAATAACGGCTAGACTGGGCGGATTCTTGCATACCTCGACTTGGCTATTATGTATCTTACCAGGTCGTCTGATTAATGGTGAGACGGACTTCACCTGGGACTGTTGGTAGCACCCACAAGGGCATTGAACGTGAACAGTCGATCCTTAAGCAACCTGCATGCAGATTTACAAGCCATTCAAAGGAGAGCTTGAGATGCATAGTATTAACATTATCTTCTGGCCTCAGGACGAGTAATCTGCATAGTAAGCTTGGAGAAACCGTGGCTCTTTGGTTGTAGCCCGAGCATAACATTTCCCCTTCTAATCGTTTAGGCGTAGAAAGAATCGATTGCCGCATCATTTCTCATCCCAGGCCAGTACTACTTCGATAGGTCATGGGTTCATGGCCACAAGCCAACATTCTGTGCAAGTACATCAGAGTATATTAGACATACCCATCCGACATCAAAGGAGGTTGTGTGATCTAGGCTGTATTATCTCAATATCTTGGTTTAAACTTAACACCGAGATTCGAAAAGCGCATGAGGCAAACTGTGCCCCAGGTGCTGTTCACATGAGTATGGTTATTTTTCAGGGTATATCTTGTACATCTTGGAAGCTTAAGTTCTGCTGCTTATTTTAGAAACTCCAGGGAGTGGTTTGAAACCAACAAACCCTTTTTCTAGGTCTTCAAGCAACTGCGCGACGGATGGCCCTAAGCTCTGTATACTACTGGCCCCGCATCACATAATGGCCAAAGGTCTCGATGCGACGACTTCGGATCTAGTTAGCAAGCTTAAAGCAAGACCAACTGGCTCGGGCAAGGTCCTTCTGACTATGGGGGGTCAAATCAGACTTTGTGCAAGTTTTATACGCAGTCCAAAAAGGGCGTATCCTTACAGTCGCTAGAGATCAAGCCCAAGGAAACATACATGGGTCCCCTTCAGGCTCAGACAGAGACTCCTATGTACCTTTTGGGAACTCACTTGGCGGAATTACCCTGGTCTGCTTATGACGCGAGTCAGTGTATGAAGAGAGTGTAGTGCTTGGGTCAGCAAGAATGGCCATGCCTCAACCTCCGTGCAGTCAAGATGCGCACTGATAAAGGTCTCTCCGACTGAGTTGATGGCACGCTGCCAGAGCCAGTGATTTGTGCGCCTGAACTTCCACAAGAGATATTCAGGGAGGCGGGTGTCGATAATACTTTGTTGCAGTTCGACTGGAGCCATTGGTACTCCTTTGTACCTGCCAGCGAGGCATCCACAAGAAAGTCAAGTGTCAATCCTAGCATCAGTAAGGTGGTATCGACATTAGATGTGTGCTTTCGTTGTTTGACAACGCTCCATGGGGTGATCCTTCATTGGCGGACACCACGAAGGCGTCATATATTCTGATGCCCTCCCATATTGTATATTTGAGTTGTCGGGTTCTTCCGCAAAAATTCTTTCTCGACAAGGCTGACTAAATCTGAAGATGGATCCCAGGCCCGGGGTTCAGGCCGAGGCTTAAGACCTGACTTGAATTTGGAGTGGACAACTTGGTCGATTAGCGCCACGCTAACCCTCAAAGAAGTAAAAGGGCCTTGCTAGCCAGAAAGTCCAGAACTGAGGTGAAAATTATTGCGATACTTTTTCCACAGGCAAGTCTATCAGCATCGTACGGCATTGACGTGTAAGGAGCTGTAAGAAAGATTATGCTGAGTCATCGATCAATGTTCCTTTGAGCGCGCAGCAAGCTCGAGGAGAAGCAGGAAACGGAAGCCAGGGTCTCTGGTGGCCTGTTGCCAAGTTCAAGGCTGGAGAAAAAAAACGAGATCGACAAATTAGCGCAAAAAAGCTGGTTATCTAAGCAAGCGCACCAGCTTCGGAAAAGGGAAGAAGATTTGCGTCTGTCCTTGGTTCAGGTGGTTTTCAGCGGCGCTTTTCCTGGCCCAAAAGCTAACCCAATATCAGCGTGAGAGCCGTCCGCCATCGAGTATCGACCGAATTTTCTGTCCCGCTGCCTGTTCCGTGGGTCGCATTGATTCGTCACCTCCCTTCTTCGAACCAGAGCAACTCGGAGCCGGCCCACGAAGGGTCCAATGAGGGTCTTTGGTGGGCGATTGTTTGAGCATGAAGTGTCGTATCATCTGACAAAGCTGGCGGGTCAAGTTGACAATTTGTCCACTGAAAGCCGAGACAAATCCTCCGTTGGAGGGGAGAAGGTCGATCATTGACTTTTGGTTCTGGCCAAGTCCAACCTGTCCAATCCGCCATGAGCAAGGATGCAACGCCTGACAAGCTGCATGCCAGACTGTATGCTGGGCAACATGAGCTTAGCCTCAAACAGGATGTTCTCTCTCGAAATGTTGAATGTGTTTTCAGTCTGTCGATTCAAGAATGATGCGATGCGGCTACTCTCCAAAACATACACAGGCTCGTATACTTATTGACTGATTATCTCTATCCCGGAGGCCAAGAGTTGTGTCAGGTTCCCGATTCGATATCTCAAAGACAGTCGCTTTACACACGGGGAACTTCGATGTTTGGATAACTGTGTAGGTGAGCTTACCTACAGCCTTGAGCCTAATGCGCGAGAACTTACCTCAATTGGAAGGTGGCGGTATGCCGTTTATCATCAGCCATGTTACGAGAAGACGCGGCTGTGAGCAACGATTTGGAGAGCATCATGGCATTCCTGACTGGGCTTCATATGGCGCCTTGGTGCCGCGTCTCTGTTAGCTGCCGAAGACATGTGAAGTCGAGTCTCATATCTTATCCGGTCTGATATGATGCTGAGCCATGTTTTCTCGTCGCTCTGGTATGACTCTCAGGCATTCGTCTAGCCTTCTGTCAGGCGAATTTATAGGACAAGAGTCTGCCGCTTTATACGGAGTACATTCGGACACCACAGAGGATGATCGTCGCGGATGAGTTACCCATGCAGCTGGGGTTTGTTCACCTACACACACCGCGTCCTTATACCCCGCAAGGATTGCCAGCAACGAGCTAGATCGTCAGATCATATCCCCTTATTGTTATCAAAAGTGGGTGGCATAATGTAGACTAAGATGCATGGCCACAATCAACTGTGTGCAAGTGAGGGGTGGCGTGACAACATTGAAGTGTTTTGAGAAAATCCGAGCCTATGCTAGAAAACAGTGACTTCACTCGAGGATAGAGCACATGAGCATTCAGCTTACGAGATCAACAAACGCAATCATAGATAAGCGCATGGTTGGCGATCCTGTCTCGCAAAGTTCTAAACGAGATGGCTTCTGCCAAAAGCAAAGCTTGATACCCCAGACGGGCACCGTGCATCCTCTGCAGCTTGACTCGACCTCCGATTCATTTCAAGTGGGACAAAGGGAGTTTTCGCAATCGCGAGTTGAAAGGACCGCCGGACAACGCAGCGCGCGATCCTGAGGCTGGGAGCTCGGCCCCAGTTGCGGATCTGTGGACGAAATATTCCGAGGTCGTGTTCTTTGCGTTCCTATTTGAAGAACACTGCTGAAGAGAGGACGAGCCAACGCCATCGGCGGGAGGCCGGATGACAATCGCCAAAGCCAAGCGTCAGCCTCCATTCGGCCTGCTCAACTAGCAGAGCGCTAGGCAGGTACTTTGCACAATGCCATACCTATTTCCACCGAACATTCCGACGCTTAATTGAATAAATTTGTAAAAGGCACGTTGAAACCTTCGAGAGGTATATCAAATTCAATTCCTGGTAGACTTTGCGGTACTCTCAATGAGGCGTCGGTATAAAAATAAATGTACTAACTCAAGCCAACCGGATCCAGACGCTGTGGGTACTTTTGCTCAGTGTATGGTATGCGTTTTATGCGTCAAGCTGGCTTCGGTTGGTGCAATCAAGCCCGTCTGAGAGCTTCTGTGACAATACCTGACAAACAGTCGACCAGAGCTCTGGACGAGAAAAGAGGGTGGATACCTGAAACATCAGGCCATCGACGTAGCTGCTCTCTGACGATCAGTTTCCAATAATCTTTCCCAGTTGGTTTCAGTCTTTTTCCCGCCTCTCTCTCTTTCTATCCAGAGCCTGAGGTCGAACCAATTCTTGTCCATTTTTCCTCTCCCTCTCTTCCACTCCCCTCTACACTCCCCCACGCCAGTTTTATTTCCTTTCCCCTCCCTCCCCTCTATTCTATTATTGGAATTCTTGTTCACTTTCTTTTCTGTATCTTCATCTTCCGTTGTTTTAACGCCATTTCTCCCTACTCGTCATTCATTTTACCTGCACTTTCACCCAGGGCTGAAACTCCCTCGAACTCCTCTCCCATTCTTCTCCCACGAACTTCTCACGAACTGTCTTCGACTCTGTTTTTCACCTGGTCCAAGTCCTTGGCTTCTATCTGCCAAGCCGACTAGGACCTGGGTGCTAGGTTCCCTCGTCCATGCCACGTTCAGCTGCTACGGCTAGGAAGAGTCATAGCAATCGACAAGATCATGGCGCCGCCGGCTCTGGCAAGAAACCAAGCAAGCAAAAGTCGAACACGCATCTAAACGCGAATCTCAACGGCGCCACTACTTCGGAGTCCGGACCTTCCTCGCAGGTCGACTGGCCATCGCATCGTTCAACTGGAGACCAGGCATCGGGAGTGACGGCGACCAGAAGCAACGGACAGGCGGACAGCTCAAAGGCGGACGGCAACGGACGTGGTTATCAGAGCGGATATGCCAAGGGGAATGCAGACATGTCATACGGGCAGAACGGTGCCGCGATGTCGAATGGTGGACTTGGAGGGCAGGCGTCACGTCGTACGGACAAGTCGACCACTGGGACGAAGAGGTCGACTTCCAATGCTTCCGTTAATCCGTTCCAGTTGGCGTCTACTATCCTCAGATCGTGCCCGATGTACGACACTATCGCCATTCTGATTTTTTTGCTGCAACTTCCTCCGATGGTTCTCACCCTTGTCCAGTTCTTGTTTGCCTCCTTGACTTTTATGCCTCCTAGCGGTACCTCCTCTGGCTCATTGTCTTCCAATTTCGACATTTTCCAAGGTCCCGCCGGAACGCCCTCGCTCGGCACGATGATTGCGATGGATGGCTTTTGCCTGCTCTTTTGGGGTCTTTTCATGTGGACCTGGGCTCAGAATTTTGCGCTTGACCTAGCCCATGTGCAGGTTGCCATAACTCTGGGTGGTGGTGGAGCAGGGAAAAATGGAGGTGTCAATGCTCTCTGTGTTGGCATCGTCCTAATCTTGCATCTCTTACGCAGTAAAGGTATACAAGATTTCGTGATCGGCCATCTCGTCTCTGCGAAAATAATCAGCCCCGATCTACTGTCACAATATTCTTATCTCATGCCCGCCGAGTTTAAACGCACCGAAGCGCAATCATCTCCGAGCTGGGTCCGAAGCCTGCTTGCTGTACATATTTTGGCCCAGGCAGGAACCGCGATGGCGAGGCGCTCAATGACCAGAAACCGGACACCCGCTCCCTCCAGGGCAGGCAAGCGTATTGATACGGAAGCTTCGGCGGGCTCTCAAACGCAGATTGATTCGGCCTTCGAGTCTACCGCTAGTGTCTCGTCATATCTTGGTCCCGATGGGCAGATTATCACCACCACGCACAAGGATGGTAGGGAACGACTGATCTCGGCCAAGAAGCGGAGAAGGCAAGCGAATCAGGTCCGGAGCCGTCAACCCTTTTGGGCTGCTCTTGCAAGCACAAAGGTGACAGTGATGAGGGAGTACGAACATTCGAGGGCCTTGTCTAAAACCACTCGAGGATTCACAGCGACCGAAGATGATCTCCAGGGCGCTTCTTTGGATGACGGACTTGTCTGGATCACGGATGTGGACAGCTCAGCTATTAAGTTTGCGGCGGGTGATTTCGCCTCCGCCGACGACTCTTCCGCCTGCGGAGCTGCACGGGAGGATACTGAACCGTTCTATGTCTGCGTCAACGGCGCCCCATGGGCCACGGCTACTCTGACTAAGGAGCATGGTGCTTCAAAAGGATCGAATACTATCTATTGGCGAGGCGAAATTTCTGGTCTTGCTCCGAATTGTGCATACACCTGCTCTTTTGTTAAAAGTGATACTGATGAGGAGGTCTGCGCCATGAGTGTCAAGACTCCTGCCGCCAACGACGCAGAACAAGGTAAGGAACATATTATCTCTCAATCGTACGGTCTAATAGCAATTGACATGTGTCACAGTTCACTCAGTACCAACCCCACCGCAGCCTTCCTATCGACCCTCTTCTCCGACCACCACCCTGAAGAATTCGATCATCAACGCCGAGGTGAAATTGAACGAAAAACGCTCTCGTCTAAGAAAAGCCAAAAATGATCACAAGCTTGCCATTTCCAAAATCAGAAGGGAGCTAGACAACTACAACCATCGCCTCCAGAGCGGCACGGATGAGAACAGACAGAAGCAGCGGTCACTACAGCTTGAAAGGAACATTCGGCAAACCGAGGAGGCCACGGCCGCCCTCGATACGCAAATCGATACTTTGGAGAATGTTCCGGACGAGGAGTATCAAGAATGGTCTGAGCAAAAAGCCAAGTATGAACAGGAAGTGGAAAATCTCAAATCGGCCAAAGCAGAGCTTACCGCTGCGCGAGCCGCCAAAGCCCGCGACTTGTCGTCCTTGGAGTCTGATCTGAATTCCACCTTGCAGAAGCGCGAACGTCTACAGGGCCGCCGGACTAGAGTGAACGAACAGTACGAACGGATTGTCTCTGCCAACGCTCAGGGTCTCAACGAGCGAGAACGTCGTGCGGCTGAACAGTTTGCCCGGGAGCAGGAACAAGCTAAAATGGAGGCGAGCTTCAACGAACAGTTCGCGAGCATTAGCCAGACAGCCCAGGACTATCAGATACGCACGGCCCAGCTGTGGCAACAGTGTACTGCCGCCGAACAAGCCCTCCAACAACAGCAGCAACTGATGTTCATGGAGCCTCCTCCGCTTACTCCTGAAGGCGAGCTACCCGGCACCAATCCGTTTACAGACGCACCCACCATGCCTCTGAGCGCCTTGGCGACCAATTCCAATCACCGATCGTTGTTGGGCCAGACGTTTTCCGCGCTCAAGTCCAGTCCTCTCCAGCAAGCCTCGTCCCCCATCGGCGCAACATCTTCTCATCCGACCAGCCCAATCAATGCGCCTTCGTACCAGCTTTTTTCAAGCTCGCCATTTGGGAATGCGGCTACTTTCCTGGAACCGGACTTTGTCACCCGTGATCGCTCGTTCTCCAACCGTTCGGCCCGCAGCAGCCTTTATGGCATGGATCTCTTTGAACCGCCTACAGGCCGCCGTCCTCCTTTTGATCCGTTCGAGGGCGGCAACGAGAACCGACGCAGTTCGGGCTCCGACAGCAACCCGTTGAATCTCAACTTGCGGCCCATCTCAAGCCCCTTCCAGCGGGCCGCCAGTCGCGCCAGCGCAACCGGTAGCGGTGCAAGTGGTGGAAGTGGTAGCGGTAGTGGCAGCCCTAGTTCTGCTCGTGGAAAAGGAAACTGAACGCAGCCAAGCACATAAAAAAGCTTTGGAGATAGTTTCGTCCATATTGGTCCCCGTATATGGTTCGGGTTGGTGGTGATTATATAGTTCCTATCACCTGTCGTCCATAGAGCTTGTGTCCTTGTGTAGAGTCCATAGCTTATAGTTTTGCCGAAAGAAAATTTTTGGTTCCTCCATTGATACACTCGTGTTTTCAGTGATACAGTCTTTTAATCATGAAGGTATATTTATATGTTACACTGTAGAATAACTGCTATATATGTACATTGACCCCGAAAACCTTGGGGCCATTCGGCTCAAATCTGATTACCCACTTCCCAGAACCGAGTATCCGCATATGTCAGACACAAGTCTTTAGGCGAAGCAGCAGAAGTATCTGCAATAGGTGCGGAACTCGTGATCGCGCGCACCACACTCCCAACAACAATTGTATGGTCGTACACATCAACCACACTATCAGGGAGAAGTTGACACTCGAATATGAACGGGAAGTACTCCGCGCCGGACTCTAACGCAGCATCAGAGCCTCCAGCTGCAGGTGTGCCCGCTTTCCGCTGGAGCATGGGAAGTGAAAGAGCCGCACTCGCATCCGCATCCCCGCTTTCTTCACCTCCGGCTCCAGATCTTGATGACGACGGCGAAGGTGAACACCCAACAAACTCAAATCCGCTTTCCCCCAACGCGAGATTGTGGTTCCCGCGCGCAAAGTCTCGCGCCAGTGCGGCCGTCTCTTGCGTCGGGGAGAGAAGGTGGACGAGGAACCGACCCGATGTGAGGAGGGCATGTAGGGTCTCGGAGGGGCGCCGGACGTTGAATGATATGACGGGTTGCGGTGTCAGCGTTACAGTGTTGAAGGAGGAAACTGTCATTCCGCGATATTTGGTGGAGAGTGGCTCGGCCTTGGAGTGGGAGTTGACGGTCCTTGTCGTGTTAGTATGAGAGATTGTGGGTGTGGGATCAGTGGAGGTGATTATAGCGACAGGGTAGGGGACTCGGCGCATGAGTAGGCGGATTTGATCGGGAAGCGAGGAATGTGTTGAAGGTTCATGATGAGGTTGTTTGCGCGGAGTCGTGAGGGGTGTCGTGGTGGTGAGGGACCTATATAAGCACCATTGGGAGGATCGGGTGCATAGGGGAGATGCTGACGCAGGGTGGGTATATTGAGCTCCTGCAGCGCCCTTTAATAAGTGTCATAATACGCCAAAAAGGAAGAAGGTTGGGCGACATACCTCTATATTGCCTCACGGTCCGAGATGCAGCTCCCAGAGCTTGGGAGTGAAGGAGCTTCATCCCGACGGAGGACAGGCACGGGGACAAACGACTTATCAAGCAAAAGGTTATCCAGCGTGTTCACAGTCATCATGTAGACCTGGAATATGCAATTAATAAGCGACCATTCTTATCAAATTGCAGGCAAACCTCATCATCAGCAAGCATTGACTATACAGTCGCGGCTGGGAACTTGGCCGTATGCTCCGAAAAAAGTCGGAGACGCTTAGGTAAGCCCAGTACAACTCCGACCAAATTTCTTGACCAGCAAAACCCATACAACTTCAGATACATCGCGCGCGCGCCAATCGAACCCTACCATCCTAATACCGACTTCAATTGATTTTATCCTGTCAGTCGCGCTTTCCCCATCTCAGACACCTCGATAGAGTCAAACGCAATGTCCCTCCACACAACTCTCCGCCGCACCGCGGCCTCAACAACCACAAAAACACCCACAACCTTCATCTGCACACAATGCCGGCACGCGACTCTCCTCCGCCGCCCCAAGCGCCCCTACACATTCACACAACTCATCACCCTCTCGGACGGAAGCACATTCACGCACCGCACGACCTCTCCGCTTCCAACCTACCAGTCGGCAAGGGACACGCGCAACAGCCTTTTGTGGAACCCGAGCAGCAGCAAGCTGTTGAACTTGGAAGATGACGAAGCCGGTCGGTTAGCTGCTTTCCGTGCTAAGTATGGGCGCAGCTGGGATGCCAATACTCCTGCTGAGGGCGTCGAGGGCGCTGCGGGGGATAAGGATGCGGAGGCCCTAGCGAGGGAGATTCAGGAGGAAGAGGATAATCTTTTGGATCTGATCACTGGGTATGCGCAGGAGGAGGAGACTGCGGCTGCGAAGAAGAAGAAATAGACGTGGATTTGGCTGGGTTCGTGATGGAGTCATGAGGCTTGGAGGTTCCATCATTGTTCATATGATTGAATTGTATTTTAGGCCTTTGTATAGTATAGCATACCATTTTCTATATTCTCATTGCGTGCAGCTTTTTATTTCGCCCTTTCTACATTGAGGGGCTAAGGATTTCGAGTTTGATGGAGGTCAATCATGATATAGAATTCGATTGCACTGTCGCCATAACATGAAGGTCATGATACCATACAGGCGAAGAGATGAAACTAAATGGGATATTCGCAGCTTGTCTTTTGTACAGAACAAGAAAGAGAACTATCTTATTGCTCCTCGTTGGTCGGCTTTGTAGCAGTTTCAACAGCACTTTCCGGTGCCGGTTCCGTAGGGGCATTGTGTTCGCTTGGGGGCGGGTAGAATGGATTTCCCTCCTCTCCGGCATCCAGCTGTAAGAGGAATGTTTCCCAGAGCTCGATCAACTGCAATCTATTAGGCAACTGGAATTGGTTGTTTCTTGGATCCGATAAACTTACCTCCTTCTGCGCCTCCACGGCACTCTCCAAGAATGTCTCCACACCAGACTTGAAGTCTTCCACCTTCTCCTTCTCGAATCTTTGCAATTCATTCCGCATCAACCTTCCCATATCTTCGAACAGCAGTCTTGTTTGGTGAACTCTTCTTTCGGCATCGGCCACGTCGGCATTCGCCTGGTTGAGGCGGTCCTGCTGCGACTTTCCTTGCCGAAGAAGCTTCTCTTGGCTGTGCTTGCGTTTCTGCAATTCCGATTCGGCAGCGTGCCAGCTATGGTAGGCTTTTTGCCGTTGAGCAAAAGCAGTTTTGACGCTGCCAATCAACCGGAGATACTCGTCGATTGTGATTCCTAGTGTCAGCACATCCTGTTGTGCTTGTCGATCGTAGAGTTCCTTGATTCGTAACTGGAGATCCGAGAGGCCGTACAGCGGACCGGAAAGGATTGGAGATAACTCAACGGCGGCTAATGCTTGGATGGAGACGGAGAACTCGCCCGCAGCCTCGGAAAGGCCCTTGCGCTGCGCAACAACGGTGTCAATCGCTTTCATCAATGCCTTGAGTTGGTTCTCAAGAGCATCAAGGTAGATCTTCCGGTCATGAAACCACTATATGATAGAATTAGCCAGGGAGGTCCGTCAGGATGCTAGAATAGCTCACATCGTCGTGCTCGACAAACTTTCCACCTCCACCAACACTGATTCCGAATGAACTGAACATTCCCTTGCTCTGTCCGAGATCGGGTTCTCGGTTCTCCTTATTCTTAACATCAACATTGAAAGCCTCACTCTCGAGGAATATCTTAAGGTCACCATCGTGCTGGAGGATAGGATGAGCGGCGATCTTGTTGAGCATGCGCTCAAGGGCAGCTCTTCTTGACTCGACGAAGTTGGTATCAAATCGGCCCACGGCCTGCTTCTCTGGAGGGGGCGGAACAACTACTCCGGGATTGTTGTTGTGCAAAGAGGTATAAAGCCAGAGGAAATCACGGTAGCGCCGGCTGACGGTGAATTCAGGTTGCCGATATGCTTTTGAGGTCGTCTGCGAGAGGAGTCAGTACGCCGCATCTTACAGACACCGGGCGGGAGACGACGCGCATACCTTAGTTCTAACTTGGTACACAATATGGCTACTCGTCAAGTCGCCCACTTTGTGCGGATCACCAACCGTGATATCGAAAGTTGGGTTGGCGGCTTTCTCCACACTAATGCTCGGCTGCTGTTGTCGCTTTTGACCCTCGACATCACTAGGCGGCTGCACCGGCGGAGGATTTCTGAAGCCTGTACCATCCTCCTCGAGGTTTACAGAGTCCATCATACCAGCAGCGCTAGACGTCGCCGATGCGGAAGAGGTCGGACGCACATTGCGGCCCGCAAAAGCTTCCTTCTGAGGGGGGACAGGAGCTTGTTCAGCGCCAGTTGGGCTGGCCTCGGCGGCTTTGTCCCCGAGCGGACCCAGCGGATCAAACGTATCATCTACCGCTTCTAATTTCGTCGCTTGCGCATTGATCTTGCCTCTGCCCCGTGCGGGCCGTCGTACCGTCGAACGGGAGTCTTGCTGTGTCGATTGGTCTGGAGCTGCAGGGTGTATACAAGTAAACGTCCGTAGTACGGATCATTGACAGCGTCATAGGGACTTACCTGTCCCTTCAGTGTCCGGTCGCGACGATCCAACGTTGCTGGTGGACTGCGAGGGCACATCTGCACCTCCGATCAGCTATGATGCGGCTTGTATGATGATTGCCTGGTACCTACCGCCCCAAGGAGAATCCCCGCCGTCGAGATCCATGGCAGGTCGAACTGGAGCAAATCGAACGGGTATAAAAGTACAATCAAGAGAGTCCGTTAAATCAATCAGACAAGACAAGCGATATGGAGCACAAATGCGAGGAGCTGAAGCGGGTTCGTAGTTGGAGAGTCGGAGATTCCAAGCAGGCCAGGTTGGTCCAACACCGCCCGCCGACTGGACCGTTGCTAGTTCCCCGCTTATTTGGAACTGGCTGCTGGCCAGCGTCATCTAATTATTGTATGCCCTCGCTCTTAAGTCGCCTTTGATCGCTTCATTCTTTCAATCATACTCTAAACAAACCCTTCCCAGCTTTGCAAAGCTGTACCCGCGTCGTTAAAATCGTGTCTAAGTAATTGATACCCTGCTTCTCCTCCTGACTTGTCTCGAAATATACTGTTTTCGCGGCAACTAGTCTTCAAATATCAACTCCGCACTGCTCTATTCATAACGCTATATAGCTTCAACGACCATATTTTCTCATAACTCCATGAATATCTCCCGCCAAAACAGCAGGATGCCCGTTATCGACTATTTGACCCATGGGATGCCAAGCTTGTGCATCTCGACAGCGAGCTGGAATAGGTAGTCCAGACTCTCACATTGAGTCTTTGCCTTGGCGACATCATCGCCCCAAACATAGCTATTCGGAAACTTAGTATCAAGAAGAGGCCGTGGGATACGGATACTAGGGCACAACTCACATTCCATGTCTCCTCACAAGCACGGCATATGTGTCCGGATAGGTATCCATAGCCTTCTCCAGGGCGCCTGTGAGATCTTCCTCAAATGCAGTGTTCTCGATAATGGGAATCTTGAGAGTATCGAAGAATCCAAGCATGCCCTTACCGGGACCGCGGGGAATACCCTTGATCTGCTCAATGTTAGTAATTTCAAAGCTGCCCTCCGGGCCCTTCTCTCGCTCAACCAGAAGGGTAACCAGGACCGCCCATTGCGAGTGCGTGTGGATGCAGCAGCCAGCACCGCGTTCAAAGGCAGCAAGGAACAGAGGGGTGCACGCAGAAGGCTTCAATGCAAGAGGTTTGCGGATGTATTTGCGATCCGAAGGAGGGTATTTGGGGGTTGGGTATTCTAGGACGAAAATGTTGTGAGGCTGCATCAACTCCTTCTGAACACCAGAGGGGGCGATGAAAATATGTTCGTCGCGACGGATGGAAGCCTACCACAAAGCAGTCAGCCAGGCGTATTCGCAAGTAAACTGGGATACGTTCGCAATGCGACGGGCGCGCTTACACCACCACCAGTACCAGTGACCCAGCCCCAGTTGTAGAATTTGCGGCAGAGCTCGGGGATCAGGTTGGCTGGGTGCTCTGGGTCATCCGACTTGACCAAGTGGTCATTGTTGTCTTTCTGCTCTTCTTGCGACATAGTGGTGTGCTGAGATGGAGGGGTATATAGTAGAGTAGAAGGATTGGATTTGGGCACAAAAGATCCTTAAAGAAGCAGAGCTCTTGCTTCGAGAGAGAGATATGACAGAGCTGATAGATAGGTAGAAGAACGAAAATGTCAAGGAATGGAGGAGGGGCTGGAGGGGTTATACTCCCGCGTCGAGGCCTGTTGCTGTACAAAAATTATCGGGAAATTGCAAATCGGGCCCCCACTTGTCGTCTTAACCCGCGAAATGTTTGGAAAGATTCAACCAACCAGCGACCCCAATTGGTTCACCTGTTTGCCTACCTACTACCTACTAGGTAGGTAGTACAGTCCTAGGTACCTACGGAGTACTACATAGTTACAACTAGCTCTGGTCGGATTATTCAGGAATCGCCTTATAATATTGGCTTATTGGCTTCGGAGTTTAACAACAAGATCGAAAATCTCAAGGCCCATATTTGGGCATCTGTTGCTGTGTGCGTACTCCATCTTTGGCTTAAGAATGAATGATGGATTTAAATGAGTTTAGAGAGAGTAGTACTCAAGGACTGAGGAAGGGAAGTCGCGGTCGGCAGTAGTTTGAACTCATTGGAACACTGGTTCCCCGTATTTCTGAACTCTCCGCAGTGGTGACAAGCACGGAAGCGCCAACTACACTACTACGATCAGAGTATGAGACCGCAAGTGACGTACAGGTAGGTAGAGGTCCTTATACTGCGCTTTCACCCCATAAGCCCTTTGATTCGACGAAGTTCGGAATAATAGGGTAAATTCTATTGATGAGAAGAATAAAGAGATCCGCCGACAGAAGATTGGAGAAGCGGCACTAACCCGATTAAGCCGTGGGCAGCGGAAGAGGCCACCTGGAACTTAACAGCTTCATTGCTTTATATAACCTCCTGCGAATCTTTTCCCCGACCCTTCTTCCTTTTCCACTCTGTCCTCCTCTGTACAGCGCAATTCGCCCCTGTCACCCAGTTCGATCTGACTCTGCCCTTGCTCTTCCTCCACGGAGGGCCAATTGCCTGAACGCTTGTTTGTTTGTTCTTTATTTGCCTTTCATCATGCGTCTCAACACAGCTCTTACCTCCGCCCTGGTGTCTTCGGCCTCGCTCATGGGCTATGCTCATGCCGCGGAGGACGAGACAGCTGCCGACTCTTCCGTGGTTGAGAGACCTTCTTTCACGGTTAGTGTATCTCTGCGCCAGATGTCATCGTCTTCACTTTTGCTGACCTTCAGCTTAATAGCCCACCAGTATCAAGGCTCCCTTCTTGGAACAATTCACGGATGATTGGCAAGAGAGATGGACACCCTCTCACGCTAAGAAGGAGGATTCCAAGTCGGATGAGGACTGGGCCTACGTTGGCGAATGGTCTGTGGAGGAACCCACCGTATTCAAGGGTATTGAGGGCGACAAGGGTCTCGTCGTCAAGAACGTCGCTGCCCACCACGCCATTTCTTCCAAGTTCAACAAGAAGATTGACAACAAGGACAAGACGCTTGTTGTCCAGTACGAGGTCAAGCCGCAAAGTAAGTGGATTCTCAACCCTTCTGGGCGCAAGTGCTGATAGCCCTTCCCTAGACTCCTTGGTCTGCGGTGGTGCCTACATGAAGCTTCTCCAGGATAACAAGAAGCTTCAGTCTGACGAGTTCTCCAACGCTTCACCTTACGTGATCATGTTTGGCCCCGACAAGTGCGGTGCCACCAACAAGGTATGCGCGACTATGTTGGCTCTCTCCAAATCGTCGCTGACATCCCGCAGGTTCACTTCATCTTCCGCCACAAGAACCCCAAGACTGGCGAGTACGAGGAGAAGCACCTCAAGGCTCCTCCTGCTGCTCGTACCAGCAAGCTCACCTCCCTCTACACCCTCATCGTCCGTCCCGACCAGTCCTTCCAGATCCTCATTGACGGCGCCGCTGTCAAGAACGGTACCCTCCTCGAGGACTTCAACCCCCCCGTCAACCCTGAGAAGGAGATCGATGACCCCAAGGACAAGAAGCCGGACACCTGGGTCGACGAGGCAAAGATCCCCGATCCCGAGGCTACCAAGCCCGATGACTGGGACGAGGATGCCCCCTTCGAGATCGTCGACGAGACCGCTGAGAAGCCCGATGACTGGCTGGAGGATGAGCCCAACAGCATTCCCGACCCCGAGGCTGAGAAACCCGAGGACTGGGATGACGAGGAAGATGGTGACTGGATTCCTCCCACCGTTCCCAACCCCAAGTGCAGCGAAGTCTCGGGATGCGGCCCGTGGTCTCCCCCGATGACCAAGAACCCCGACTACAAGGGCAAGTGGTCCGCTCCTCTGATTGACAACCCTGCCTACAAGGGACCCTGGGCTCCTCGCAAGATTGCCAACCCCGCCTACTTCGAGGACAAGACTCCCTCCAACTTTGAACCCATTGGCGCTGTAAGAATACCCATTCTCACCATTATCCGTGATGTGACTAATCATTCTTTAGATCGGTTTCGAGCTCTGGACTATGCAGAACGACATCCTGTTTGACAACATCTACATTGGCCACTCCGTTGAGGATGCTGAGAAGCTCCGCAAGGAGACCTTTGATGTCAAACGTCCCATTGAAGAGGCTGAGGAGGAGGCTTCCAAGCCCAAGAAGGCTGAGAAAGAGTCTGGCACTAGCGTTAGCTTCAAGGAGGACCCCGTCACCTACATCCGTGAAAAGGTCGAGAACTTCGTTGGTCTTGTTCAGGAAGACCCTGTCAACGCGGTCAAGGAGGCTCCCGAGGTTGCCGGTGGCCTTGCTGCCGTTGTCCTGACTATGATTCTTATCATTGTTGGCGCTATTTCAGCCAGCAGCCCTGCTGCTGCCCCTGCCGCCAAGAAGGGCAAGGAGGCCGCCAAAGCTACCAAGGAGAAGGCTGCCGAGGCTGTCAGCTCCGCCGCGGACACCGCCAAGGGCGGAGCTACCAAGCGGACTACCCGATCATCCGCGGAGTAAGAGCGTGCGCCGTCTTAGGTCGCAAAAAGAGACGACCCCAGGACAAGGAAAATTCGAACATTGAGCACGGCACGGAGAACTACTATATTCCCACTTCCGGTTTCATAGCTGTTGCAGTATTTTAGTGATGGCTCTGATCCTTTTAACATGACATTTCTATGAGAATGAATAATATGTACAATGAATTTTGATCGGCAACTTGTATCTTTTCAATGCTTAAGGTATTTACTCGACCGATCAGATCAGCCATTGCTCCCATTTATTTATAGAAAGTTGGTAGATTTAAAAGGGCCACTGTTAAATGCTTGGGTCGTCCGTCGGGTCCCCTTCTCTATTCGCAACAAAAACCTGCGAGATCGGGATTACCCCGGCTTGGAGATACCGGAGTGGGCCGAGGATCTGTGAGGACATATCGCCGAGGAGCGAACCTGGAAGGCCCGTTGATTTGTCCCATCCTGCCAACAAAACGAGTTTCGACGAAAACGATGGTAGATTAAGCTTTAAGTGGTACTCCTAAGCAGTAAAGTACTCCGTTGAAGCAAAAAAAACAGACGCCTTTCGTTGGGCCCCGGGGCCCCGCCATTGGAACTGCCTTCCTAAAAGAATACAAGCTCTCTGATTGGCCTAAAGCGCCGAAGGCTTATCGGTTGGCCTCGGCCTGAGCATACGCGCGGATAACATACCAAGAATACAGGTACAAATACAAAGATCGGAGGGCAAGCCGGTTCTCCTCCCTTGTTCATCAACTTGCGATTCTCCTTACCGCCACTTGGCTGATTTCTTTGTTCTATCCCCTAATCATCATTGTTGATATCTCCAGTGAATTCTAGCCTTTGCCTCTCCCTTGACTCCCATCATCATGGCCGCCCGTCGGTCCCTTGCCCGGTCCATCCCCGCTCTCCGCGCTGCATCTCCCCGCACGGCGGTGGCCAACATCTCGTCCGCCAGGGTAGCTGCGGCGTCAGCTTCTCGCTCTCTCACAACGTCCTCCATGCCTTCCTCTCGCATACTCGCATCTCAGGCCTCGTCAGCCGCCTCGTCAGTGGCTCGACGAAGGCTCCATGCCACTGCTCAGCAGCTCACCCCCGCAACCACATCCGCGGCTAGTACCGCCACTGAATACCCGACAAGCCACGAAGCCATCGCCAATCCAATTGATACCACAAATTTCCTCGACAACGAGTTTGTACCTTCAAAAGCGAGCACTTGGATCGACTTGTTTGACCCGGCCACCAACAACCTCGTCACTCGTGTCCCCCAGAGCACCGATGAGGAGCTCCGTGCTGCTGTTGAGTCCGCTCAGAAGGCTTTTCCGGCCTGGCGGGCAACAAGTGTCATGGCCAGGCAGCAGATCATGTTCAAGTTTGTGAATCTTATCCGTCAGCACTGGGACCGTTTGGCTGCATCCATCACTCTCGAGCAGGGCAAGACCTTTGCCGATGCCAAGGGTGATGTTCTACGTGGTCTGCAGGTCGCGGAAACCGCTTGCGGTATCACAACGCAGATTACCGGTGAGGTGTTGGAGGTTGCCAAGGACATGGAGACCAGGAGTTACAGAGAGCCTCTTGGAGTTGTTGCCGCTATTTGCCCTTTCAGTAGGTCGTCCATAATCGGATACTTGCTTCTGGCAGAGCGCTAATTAATGTTCAGACTTTCCCGCCATGATTCCTCTTTGGTGTATCCCTGTTGCTACTATCACTGGCAACACTTTGGTCATGAAGCCCTCCGAGCGCGACCCTGGAGCCGCAATGATCCTGGCCGAGTTGGCCAAGGAAGCCGGATTCCCTCCCGGTGTCATTAACATCATCCATGGTTCTGCCAAGACTGTTGACTTCATCTTGGACGCCCCCGAGATCAAGGCTATCAGTTTCGTCGGTGGTAACCGTGCCGGAGAATACATCTACACCCGCGGATCTGCCAACGGAAAGCGTGTGCAAGCCAACCTTGGGGCGAAGAACCACGCTGCGGTCTTGCCCGATGCTAACAAGAACCAGACCCTCAATGCCATTGTTGGTGCTGCCTTCGGAGCTGCTGGTCAGCGTTGTATGGCTCTCAGTACCCTGGTCACGGTTGGGGAGACGAAGGAGTGGCTTCCTGAGATGGCTGAACGAGCCAAGGCTCTGAACGTCAACGGAGGTTTCGAAGAGGGTGCTGACCTTGGCCCTGTTATCAGCCCTGAGAGCAAGAAGCGCATTGTGGAGTTGATTGACAGCGCTGAGAAGGAGGGTGCCACCATCCTTCTGGATGGCAGAAACTACAAGCCCGAGAAGTATCCTAACGGCAACTTTGTAAGTGCTGAGCTGCCTCGATAACTAAAAGACTGAAACCCACCGGCTAACAATCCTATTCTAGGTTGGCCCTACTATCATCACCGGAGTCACCCCTGAAATGAGATGCTACAAGGAGGAAATCTTCGGTCCCGTTCTCGTTTGCCTTGAAGTCCCCACGCTGGACGATGCGATCGAGCTCATCAACAAGAACGAGTACGGAAACGGCGCGGCCATCTTCACTTGCTCCGGTCCCACTGCCTCTCGCTTCCAGAAGGACATTGAGGCTGGCCAAGTCGGTGTCAATGTCCCCATCCCCGTCCCGCTCCCCATGTTCTCTTTCACCGGAAACAAGAAGAGTATTGCCGGCGGTGGTGCCAACACTTTCTACGGCAAGCCTGGTCTCAATTTCTACACTCAGCAGAAGACCGTGACGAGTTTGTGGCGTGCTGAAGATGCTGTCAGCACCAAGGCCCACGTTGTGATGCCCACACATTCATAAGCGGTACGAAAAAGTGAAGTAAGGATGTCTCGACGTTTCTTTATGATGATTGTTTGACGGCTTTGTCAAGTTGTTCAGTTATATACTCTAATCGTACTCTACTTCTCTTACTCAAACTAGTGTATCAACTGTCCTTATAGTTCCTGTAGTCGCATACGCGGGTAAGATATGTCATCCAGGGTAATACTAGCTACCAAATTTGGGAATATCTGATATAACGCCGTCCAAAATCAGTTGACTCTATGGTGAGCTGGATCTACACAGATAGAATCGTTGGTGCAACCGAGCCTAGTAGGCAATGTCTGCGTCATCCTGCTCAGGCTGAGGAGGAACGAAGGTGTACACAAGTCTCGCAAGAACATAATCGCCATTGTTGGCAACAGCAATGCGACGAGTATGGTAGCGTTCACCATTAACAGTCTCGAAGCCCCAGACCTGAACACCGTCAGCTTCACAGATCCCACCGCGTCAAGAGACACAGGAGATAAACATACCTGCTCAGCAGTCCAACTAGAATCCAGGCTCTCCACCCAACTCTGCAGCCATAGGCCTTCCCCCGCACCCCACCCATCCTCCTCCTCAAGCTTATCAACAAGGAACCCCTCACACTCACTCCCATCCGCCAAAATCTCTCCCCTCAGGAACTTCTCAATCTTGTCATCGTCGATATTCGTAAGGACCTGCAAGTCCGGCCGGACTTTACCGTCCTTGACAGAGCCGCGCAGGAATCGCGACTGGCCCTCGACTTTGCCAAAGATGTTGTCGCTGTGTTCGCGCTTCTTCCAGTCTGTTATGCGCTGCTCGGAGGAGCCTTGGACGCCGCCAGTCACGATGTTGTCTACGTCGATGTGCTGTACGGTTTTGTCCGTCGTGCCGGGCTCCTGGTATTGCTTTGTGTTGAGGGTTACGGAAACCCAAGCGAGGGTTGTGCGCATGAACCAGCTCAGACCTTGCTATTTCATCACGAGAAAAGGAGGTGAGTTAGCGATTCCGGTGGCTGGTTGAGGAGCGGTGACGTACCATGGCGAGAACGGGATCCGTTGGGTCGGAGATGGTTCGCTCCTGTTGTTCTCATCATTAGTTCACGGTCACGGTGTAGCTGACGTTTGGGTTGGATGCCACACACCATAGTCCAGCTGCCATTGTAGTTGGCGAACGTGATATCGGAAGGAGTGGCCATCTTGATCAGCAAGCTTAGAACGCAACGAGGGGTAGGTTGACTTCGGGAGCAGGTAGATTGAGATCGAAACGCTGTCGGGGCTAAGAGACAACAAAAAGGTACCAGGCGCGGTAGGTGGGGGAACTGTTGAGCAACTCAAGAAGAAGTGCTGGACACGACACAGCTTATGTACCCGGGTCGAGTGAGCTTAGATCGTCCTCGCAGTTCCACCGCTGTGCGCGGGATCTGATTGCTTGCACCTCCGCAATGGGGTTTGGGTTGCTCCGCTGGGTCTGCGACGAAACTCCGTTAGGTCGGCCGAGGCTGTTGATCTGCATGGCATGTGCGAGACTTTTTCATTCATCCGGTGCCCGGAGAGGCGGAGAGGTCGTTTTGTGATATAAAAATTTCGGAAGCATTGTGCTACATGTTAAGAGACTTATGCTTGTCTCTTGACAGCGGTTTTGCTAAGCTTCTGGTGCTTCGAGTAAAAGTTGTCTACAGCTCGCCGGCACAGTTGTCCATATTCTTCCAATTCATGTGACAGAGCCCGTTATTCGAATTTGTAGGTTGTGTAACGAGTTAAGATTACCATTCTGTGGCAGCACCCGACAAAGCGTTGACTTCAAGTTGTGTTTTGTGCTTGTGCTATTGAGGCCTGTCTTACCCCTCATTGACATGAAGGTGGAGAACTGCTGGGTGCCTCAGGCGTCCAGGCACTTAAAGCCCCTTTCACGTGGTCTCGACCCAACATTAATGATTAAGCCTCAAAGCTTCCATACAGACAGACACAAACAACATCCATTGCGTAGGCCATGGCTTTCAACAAGAAATACGCCGGTCTTCCAGATCTGGTATCTCTTTGTGCAACCATTTTGCCTATAATATTCCACTGACTCGCCCAGGATCTCGCACCCGACATTTATGAAACCCCGGACTTAACAGATGAAGCTTCCACTGTCCCGGTATGACAATAGCCATCCTCCAATTGCAGCAAGACCGAAGCTAATATGGCTAGACAACGACAATACGCACCGTATCCAACGCTGACGATGTACCTTCAGATTCCGATATTGACCAAGACCACGTCAATGCGGACGAAGCTCGCGCGCATTTTCTCGGAGCCACCGTCGACGCCCGCAATGTGAACTTCTCGGACAGCATTGCTACGAAGCGGAAATCATACAGGAGCAAGAGCCGACGGCGGAGGAACAATGCCGAAGGCGAAGAGAGCGATAGCGAAACCTTGAGCTTGGAGAGGAAGCTCGCGCGTCTCCAGCGAGAGGTAGAGGAGTTGAAAGATGAGATGGCTGCGTCTGAGAAGCCGGAGGCGGAATCGAACGGCGCCGCAGATGAAGCCAAGGATACACTAGACGACGGGGTCGAGAAGCTAAGCCGAGCACTGGATAACCTGTATGCCTCGTCGCGCGGGGTGTCTCAAGCTCATTCCGCGGCCGCGTTGATATCACAGAAGCTTGCGTCCAGTTCCTCGACCCTGCCCTCTGAAGCGACTGGCTCGCAAACAAAGTCCGCAGAAATTGACCCCGACACTGAAACCGCCGGCATATTATCCCACGCCGCAGCCTTCGACGCCCGGCTCGCCCTGATCGAATCGGCCATGGGAATCTCCACCTCCTCAAACCCATTCCTCTCAGAAGGAGCCTCTGACCCCCCGCTCCAACCCGTCCTCCCAGCTCTCGACCACCTAACAGCCCGCATCTCATCCCTCATGACCCTCCTCGTCGGCCCGAGCCCCATTCCCACGGCGCCGACAACCGGCACTACTCCTGCATCGACCACGACGACAATGTCCACCCCGCACCTTGAAATGCTCTCTGCGCGCGTCAGAAAGCTCACAACAGATGCCGAGAACCTAGCGCAAGCCCGCAAACGTGCCTACGACGCCGCCAAAACCGCGCAGACTGCCCGAATCGGCCGTACGACGTCCGACCTTACCATCGCGTCTCCCATCGAACCTGAACAATCCGCAGCCCAACGCGACGAGCAGGCGACCAAGATTCAAGCCCTCTATGCTACCCTCCCAATCATTCAGTCCCTTCACCCAATCCTTCCCAGTGTCCTGGAGCGCCTGCGCTCTCTCCGCGCCATCCACGCGGGCGCCGCACAAGCTTCCGAATCACTAGACGAGCTGGAAAAGCGCCAGGCTGAGATGGCGGGAGAGATCGAGCAGTGGCGGGAGGGACTAAAGACCGTTGAAGAGAAGATGAGCCAGGGCGAGGCAGCGCTCAGGGGTAACATCGAGCTGGTTGAGCCGTGGGTTCGAGATCTGGAGAAGAGACTGGAGCGGTTAGAGACGGGGAATTGAACCTGCCATTATTATTGATGATGTGACGAACACATCCACTCACATACATGAACCAACCTAGACGAGGAAAAGAATATTATGCAGGACATACTATGGTATATAGCTTTACCCTATCTGGACATACTGATAATATCAAAATACGAAATTCATACAGGATACCCGCCTCGAATATTCAAACCCGATTTTGATGTTATTGAGATTCAATCTTACGAGTCTATTTTGTTTTCCGAATTCGCCTAAAGACAAGTAACACCGTCTTTCAAATTTGAAACTCCTATTCAAACCATGCTCCTGGGAATATCCACCGAAGAATTACCCCCTAACCTTCTCCAGAATCCTGATCCTCGGCTCCATCCTCACCTCAACCCACCATCCCCTGGTCACTCTCCCCCGAGCGAGTCCAACAAATCTCTTCCACCAATCAAACAATCCGCCAGCGTTTCCCCCAAAGACCTTCCTCAGGAGTCTCTCCTCGACAACTGTCCCAGCTTCATCCCCTGGCCTAAGCACCCGTATCCCCGCGAAAGCAGTTACCGTCTCGACCTCATCCCATTCAGTCGCAGTAGACAAAGCGCGAACGGCATCTGCCTCGTTCGGTTCGAGAAGTATATAATCGAACTGCGACCAGAAGGCCGGTGACGTCTTCTGGGACGGCGAGTCGGATTTGTCATAGTGCCATGATATGTATGAGCTGTCACTGTCTTTGTGTGTGGTAGAAGGGAGCTGTAGGAAGCGGGTGATGCCTGTTTGGCAGGCGAGGTTCCCGAGGTGGATGTTCAGAGGGAGGGGAGGGTTTCCTGGTCTTGGTGTGGTGGCGAGGACGTGGGTGTGCAGGGCGTTTAGAGCGTGTGCGCCTGGGTAGTTTGCAGATGATGCGGGAAGAAGAATGAAGGAGGAGATTGCGAAGGAGACGAGGGTTGAGCCGACCATTGCAAGGGAGAGGAGGCGGTAGATGAAGGATTTAGCCCTACGCGTCCAAATATAGGATGCCCCGAGCGCCGCGGCAGCTGTCAGCGAGGGAATTGCGTAAACGATGAAGCGCCATTCCTTGTGCGGTTGAGCGCTGTAGATGGCGACGTAGGTGAGTGACGGGATTAGGAGAGATGCCGAGATTCGGCGGGTAGCGGGTTGAAGGAGGGATACTGGGATGCCGATGAGGTAGGTTAGCGGATTGAGGAGGAGACGTGGAAGAGCATTGGTAAAGTAGTAATGCCAGGGATGCGTTCCCCAAGCGGAGGCCTGGCCGGCGACGACGTTGAATTTGAATGCTGCCAGCTCCGGCCAGAGGAAGGGTTCCTGCCAAAAGAACGAGTCCACGGGGACGGTGATGGCGAGACCGAGGATGAGGCCTAGAATGCCGGCGGGAATGATGTCGTGTTGGATACTGATGCGGCCTGCGGCAAAGAGAAAGATCGTATGTGTGGCAAGAAAGAGAGCCAGCTCAGCGCGAAAGACAATGCCAGCAATCGTTATCAAGTACAGAGCCACTCGGCTTTGCCTGCGGTATGTCTGACCGTCCACCGGCGCCGGGAGAAGAGCAGCAAGTGCGAAGGTAGTCATCCCAAAGGCGAACATGTTGGATAGTGTCCGCGAGGCATAGTAAACGACATGGAACTGGCTCGCCTGGAAAAGAACGTACCAGGCCGCAGTGGCTCTTCCAGCAACGCGGCGCAATCCACGGGCAAAGGACAGAAGTGATAGAGCATTGAATAAACCCAGGATAGCTCGAGCTGATACACAGCGTAAGTAAGACATGGTATGAGAGCGGTCGCAGAAGAAACTCACCTGCGAACTGTCCGCTGACGTCTTGATTAAGCCATGTGAAGGGAGCCGAGAGCGACGAGAGCACAACAGCCCCAGCAAATGTCCTTGGGACAGCACCAGGGAACGTGAAATGATCATACTCTGTGCGAAGCACATCAGAGACATTGCGCGTAGGGATCCCAAACGTCTTAATGTCATGAATGGCCTGAATATGGAACGACTCCTCTACTTTAGTGTATGGAGCGACGACCAGGTGGAGGAGTATCAGCGCCGGGATAGAACCGAGCAAGAGCAAGTAGCCTGGAATTAGTTAGTCAAAAGAGCACAGACTCTAGCAACAAAGCTAAAAGCATACCGACATCTCTCAACATTGTGCACTCTAGCGAGCTGTTGGCAGGCTTGCAGGGAAGAGAGTAGTGGTAACCACTAAGTACGGGAGGGAGCTTTTGCCGTCAGTCGATCTGGCAGCTGCACTGGAACTTCCCCGACACGACAACCTCAACTCCCCACCTCCCTCCGCAAACATACTCCAGTAGCACCACAACTCATCCAAAATGTCGTTCTTCGGCCTCGGAAGACTTGTCTACGGTGCGCATTCCCCTCCGTCTCCCTCCTCCGCACAATCACGCCCTAGCTAACAGTTTCCGCTCTCCGCTCCGCAGTGACAATCCTCCTCATAAACTCCATGGCAATCCTCTCCGAAGATCGCTTTCTAGCAAGAAGTACGTCCATGTAGTCCATCGATTACAGCTATAACGCATACGAACCATTCAGAACGCCGGTAGCTAACGCAGTAACCGCAATTTAGTCGGATTCGGCCGCACACAAGCAGACCCTGCCTTCGGCGCTTCATACGACAGCACAAGCGTCAAAGCAAAGATTATAAACCTGATTGCTAGTGTGAGGACGGTAGCGCGGAGTATGTGGACCCTTTATCTGGCTCTCTTTCTTGAGCTGCTCAGCCTACACTATATACTTTGCGAAAGACGAAAGTCGAGCTGTGGATGGGTAGACAGCGAAATGGAGTCGCCTTGCTGACTTCCTCGCTTAGTACCCCTGATCGTTATCAACACGATAGTCATCATCTACGAACTCATCCTCGGATGATATTCTACCAGCCGTTACACCGTTTGTGCGATTTACGTTCGAGTTCAGCGAAGCATAGCCAGAAAAGAGCGTTCTCCCGCATCGGCTGCCGCTGCCGCCGTTATTATGTGGGAAGACATATAAAGAAAGACATGCCTGGACCTGACGGAGAAAGCTTTTGTTGAAGCTCAACAAGTGCCTACGAAAGAGTTCCTTCCGGCTCAGGAAAGCGTGGCCGTTACTTTTCGGTGTGAGGGACACTTGAATTGTTCTTGATGACTGTGATTCCCATTTGTCCCCCGCGCGGGTTTATTGGATGTATTATGATTACGCAGGTGCTCAGGTTTGTGTCTAGGCGCCTTTCATGCTCGACGTTAGCCTACATTATATGATAACTATATCACTTGCACATGATATGAGAGACAACTATAGGCGCTGTGTAACTTGGTGGAATTGGCTTGCGCTAAACACCCTGTAAATGGATTACGCAGTGCTGTGGAGGAGTAATACGAGTGACCAACATGACACATAAGCCTTGAAAGGTTTACAGTTAATTTTTTAGCTCGTTCACAACCAGAGGTTATGCCTTTCGTTCTCAAACTGGCCGAGCCAGTGTATGCATCACATACAGAGAGTAGTGTCAGAGAACATTTGATGAAGAGGCAGTAGTATGTGGGAAAACACATTAAGATCGCAAAGGTGTCCAAACGCCGTATTCGCCGAGCTGTGTGACCCAAACACGGGTATCACAAATAGATGGATCAAATGAGGGAAAAGGAAACAAAACCGTAGATCACCAGGCATTTGTTAGATGGATATGCAATCAAATGCTGCAAGATGCAAGCCGAATCCGAGGGAAGTGTGCGGAACTAACACATGAACTGGACACATTCGCCATAGCAACACCTGCCAGAACAATTGAGCCCAGCTGCGAAGGAAAGGGTGATGATACATCAAGAGATTTATGTACGCAACAGGCGCCTATTGTATGTGCACAGAAGGAAGAAAGGGACATCGCGTGCGCAAAATCGGAGACCGAGAATGAGGCTCATGATGAGAGGATGTTGAAAGATTTTTTCCGGAGGCTGAACGACCGCCATTTGCCATGGCCGGAGGAGCGGTCATGCTTTGAATGCTTAATGGATTCCTGCTGATCGGGTTGGGCTGAGGCTGGCTCAGATGGGGAAGAGTGTGCGACGTGGTTAGTCGGCGGCGGAGATAGCGGTTGTGACGGTGGTCGGGATACTGGTTTGCGTAGTATTTCTGACTGGCCCTGCTCGACTGACACTTTGCTCGAAGAGTGGTTTCCGTTTGGGAGTGATGGGACCGGTGGTAGAGAATGACGGCTTTCCTTGTCTTTGTTAATGCGTTGACTGAAGCTTCTGAAGCGGCCAAGGCCTCCAGCAGCCTTCTTAGACGAGGCATTTTCTTTGTGGTTACGCCGATCCTCGTCCTCCTTCGTTGCTTTACTTGCTTCAAGTGCTGCCTTGAGATTGGCCTCGTCGCGCCGCTGATTTTCCTCAATAGTCTTCCGGCGCTGCCTTTCCTTCTCTTTCCGCTCCTTCTCTTCCTTGGCCTTTCGCTCCTTTTCTTCCTTAGCTCTTTCTTTCTTGGACTGCAAATCGCTTTTTCTCGACACCAATGGACTCGGTGGTGTTTCGGGGATGGGAGGTATCGGAGGCAAAGGAGTGACAGGAGTTTGGGCAGGAGCTGGAGATGCTGGAATTTCAGCGTCCGAATGTTCGTAATGTGTGGATAGTTGAGGCGCAGTTGGTGCGCGTTTCAGCCCGGTAAACCGGTCATGTTCCTCGGGGACTGGTATTTGGGACGCGCTGTGAACGTGAGCGAGGGCGGGAGAATGGGCGAAACCGTTGGGCTTCGTAGTAAAAGGATTTGCTTCAGCTGGCGACTCCATGTTCTCCTGTTCTTGTTCCTTCATCATAGCTTCCATGGTAGTCTCCTGGTAAAAAAGCACATATGCGCATGCTAAGCCGGGCTTGTCACCGAAGAAGTTGCGCACATAATTCTTGTCCACAGGCTCTACCATTTCATCATCAAACAGCAGCCACCCTCGGTCTTGGGTCTTGATGATAGCAACGTAATGTCCGTGGTATGGCCCACCACCGATGTGTACCACGACTGCATACAACTCGTAGAGGCGATCAGGATCCTCGGCGTCATCCGTTGTGTTGAAGAGACGAAGGTGATAAGGATAGACAACTCTATGGAAGAGTTTCTGAAGGCGTTGCAGATCCTCAGTATACTTGAAACGCTTTAGGTGTAGAGCCAAGATTCGTGGCAGACGCTTGATCTTCATCCTTTTCTCAGCCTCCTGCAACCCACCACAATTGTCACAGTGGAACTTGTTTTTCTCACAAAGCGTCTCCTCAGCGGAAAACTTTCTCAGGCATGATGTCACAGAAGAATGCTGCTCCAGGTCTACCGATAAATCCAAGAACACCTCATCCCGTTGGGAGACCTTCTCACAGGTGAGACATTGCGTTTCAGAAGTCAAAAGGCCCTCAAACAACTCGTGGACCCATCGCGTGGTGTTGGGTGTTTTCAAACCCGAGCTCGACGACGGCTGAAGCGATTCTGAGCTCTCGGCTGCCGGAAGGAGCTTTTCGGGTGGGGGATCTCTTGCGGCCTCCTCCACATTGGTAACGACAGCATTGAGCACTAGGTTGAGAAACTCATGCGCATCCTGGTGCATAGCTGTGCGGAACATCTCATGCTCTCGGCGAAGCACATCCAAGAAGTGCTGCGGTCGGATAATCCCGATTCGGGATTGACTCCCGACAACCGACTCGAAGATATCTTTCATTGAGGTGAACAGTGACTCAGCCATGGCATAGCTGTCCGCATTGTTCGCTGTCTCCAGGAGGGGAAGCGTCTGCAACGCTATTTTCTTCTTGTATTCCGGCGAATCCTTGTCTTCTGGTTTCTGCTGTGGATTCGGAGGCTGCCCAGGCTTAGGCGAGGCAGCCGCCTTCTGCTTCTCAGCCAGCGCCTCTGCTTCCTGACGCGCATTCGGATCTTGGTATCGAAGGGCTTTGGCCAGCGCTGCCTCTAAGCTCTCGATGGGCGTACGCTTAGGGTAATTAAGTACGGCTTCCCGAAAGGGCACCGAATAGTAAAGACATTGTAGAATAGAGTTACAGTAGCTGCAACTGCTTGTCAGCCATCAGGGAGTACCTAGATGCCCACGTAGTCGCTTACCATGTGTTTCCAAACTACAAACAATGGTCAGCATTCAAGTTCATCTGACAGGGAGATTCCGACGTAGACTCACATTTTCCATTCCAAAGAATTTGTCACTGCCATCCTCTCGAATAGGCCCCAGCTCCATCAGCATCTTCTCTAGCGGGGTCATTGGAAGCGGCTGTAGTTCCTTCTTCGGGGGAGGAGCCCCAACCGCAGGTGCGGCGGATCCCTTGATGATGGTCAGCCATCTTGTAAAGCCAGAACACATAACTCGAGATTTGGGCTTCCAGCAAGCCTCTAGCTCCATCGCAGATCACGAAGCGACTACATCCTGAGGGGAAGACAAGCCGGAGAGACAAGGCGGAGGTGAACAGCCGACCTGACTGACTGTTAAGGTTCATCGACTCACCACATCTTTTCGGAAACTTTTCAGGAACGACCCCATGGTTGTCACCAGTTCTCTTACTTCGCAGCGACTGTCGTCATCTGGCGACCTAAGCGGGGAAAGAAGCCGCCACGAAGTCTCCTATACAAGGCGACGTGGAATTTCCTAGGTATTTCCGCAGGCGGGTAAGGTATGCGACGGGAGATAGAGTGAGACAAGGCGCTGGTGAGGATAAAGCAAACGGATCGAGGAATTGGGCGTAAGACGATAAGAGCGTGTGATGGAGGCTGACAAAGTAACGTCCGAGCTAGGTTTCGAATCTCACGAGCGTGGCAACGACGTTGGGGGAGTGGGTGAGCGAACGGAAGAATAATATGGGGCGGAAACGTGAGGGCGGCGGAATCGAACAATGGGGGAGATAGCCAGTCGGCCGACAAGGAGAGCGAGTTCGAGTCCGAAAAAGAGCCTCTGGTGAGAGAGGAAGCAATTCGAGGCCAACACGAGGGATGGAGAAGAGAGGGGAGAGGGAGAGACGAGCGCCCAGGGCGAGATTGAGGAGACGTAGGAGAACGATGGGGCGAGGAGCAGGTACACCACACATTGGATCCAGGCCGCAGTACCTCCGGGAGTCTTTGGACGAGTGGACTCCGTCCTCTGTACGGGCGCTGTACTGCTATGACGACGGTTGACGGTCTGAGAGCGCTGGGAACGAGGGGAAGGAGGCTAGGGTCTCCGGCCATTGGCTCTAATAGGCCCTCGGAATAACCACACTGACCTTTCTTCGGTCTCTTGCTTACATTCTCTTCGGACTTTGAGGTTTGGTTTAATCCCATCTTCGCACATATTGCACATATTGACTGCGGCTTGGAAGCGAGGGAGGATAGATTGTTACCGTATTTATCGGCCATCGTACGAGCTCTTATCGGTAAGGTAATTTACAACTCGAATCCTCCTAAGCAACATCCCATCCCATCCACAATCACATCCCACTCTCGAGTTTCCATATCCACCCGGCTCAGCTGAGTTGGGGCGTGCTCAGGATAGTATAAGAGGGGGCAACTTCAGCCTCCAGGGTCACTGCTTCTCCGGCTCTCTTTATTCCTGCGCGAAAAGTGGAGGGAGACGATCCCGGATTGCGCCCCCAGGATCGATTGGCCATGCTGGCCTTATTTATGATGCTCACCTCAGATCAGACCGGCGAGACAGGGTTTGACGACCCTGCTATACTCTGTTCCCTGTACAACGTGCTTTTTCTAGCGGGCTCCGCCCAAGCGGCTATTAGACTTCCAGATGCGTCGTGGAAGGCCTGATGGGCGGTACTGCGATACACTACATTGTCCAAGGCGTCCCTGGCGAGTTGTCGAGTTGCACATGTTCCATCCTCTGACAAGCCACTCTGGCCTCGTGGACAAGGGAGTTGAACCAGTTGCTTTGGAGATGGGATGCAAGCACGATGGATTGTCATCCCATCCTAGTATTTCCACCAATTTCGACACGGCAAGACCTGGGGAACAACGTCCGGATAAATAACAGCGGCCATTAATATCCAGCCAAGCAGGGTTACATTCAACGAGTTGACAAGGCCCGTTGATTTGCTGCCAGTCCATTGGCATCGGCTTAGCTTTTTCTGTGCGCCACGAGTCATTCTGTCCGACATCCAAGAGGAACTGAAGGTCAGTCAAGGGCGGGAATCGAGATGTCAAACCTCGAACCTGGCGGCAACTCGAGCACAGTCAGCCGTTTGCAACACTCTTCCCGAGTCTGGCGCGGTTAGCGATTGCAACGCCCATTTCCAGACGGAAAGCATGATGAAATACTGCGTTATTTTACAAAGTCTCCGACTGGGCGGCGCTCTTGGCGGCGTCTTCGTGTGGAGCAATCACGGCAACCCCAGCGCTCTCCCACTCGGCAGTGACGACCACCAAAAAGGCCTCTTGTTCATCTTATCTCCAATAAGCTTCTGGCATGGTTTTGAGGAGTTGTTGCCCTACTACCCCATATATCTGATAGAGAAACGTCATCTATCCGCGCGGCCCTTGAACGTCGCATGCCTGTATCGCACTATGCCGGAACAGATCCGGCGACCGAACCACGTGGAATCCTCGAGATGACATGAATCTGCGCCAGCCAATCGCATAATTTAATGTGCCCCATCAACCACATTGACCCCAACTTCGGCCACACTAGCGGCCATGTCACTGTCTGCCTGTTGAGCTGATTGAGTTCTTCAATCTTACAAGCATTATTCATGAGGGGATCAACGCTTTCATCTCTCAGAGCGGTCTTCGACTGATAGGATTATCGTGTAGGCTACTTTTCGAAGCTTGGTATGTGGGACTTCTGTTGGAGTAGAACCCTGAGGCCTATTTCGGCTGAGAGGCCGACGAAGGCGAAGAACGCTGGGCCCAAACTCGGCGTTATCGGACTTCAAAGTCCGAAAGCCTTCAAGGCACCAATCTCGAGCGCTGCGGAAGATGATTCTCCAGTTTCTACGACATCAAAGAATGACTAACGCAGTCTCATAACATGAACTGCACATTTCACCCCAGCCACCTCGAGTCTTCGATTCAACTGAAGTGCCAGGACGCTCTCGAGCTAACAAAGTCAGTTTATCTCGGGGCTGGTGGAGTGAGCCTTTAGCCGCTCTGATAAAGTATGGGGTAACTCAATCGCCACCTCTCATAGGCTGGGAGGCCTGATCAGCTCCATGCACAGACATGGAGAAAACTGCGCAACCGCTCCACTGCGCCAATTCCACTATCCAACCATCCCGCCTGGCTGCCTGAGAACTTGCTTTTTTGTCTTGAGTCTGCAGTACCTTGCTTTAGTGGTCGTTTGAGTCTCACTTCCAGAAAATCACAAGGTCACGTTCGCGTCAGGTCAAATAAATACTAGACTTCGGGTCGCCTCTCAGTTACTAATATCGTCCTGGCTCCGGAAATCCGCCGAAGGTTGACCACCCGACAGTCCCGAGGGTCTTCCCCATCGGATATCTGTCCAGCTTGACGCCTCGTTTCAGCGGAGATTAGTTGCTATACTGCCCATTATCAAAGCATTATTGCCTTGGAAAGCTTGATGCGCCCCCATGGAAGAATAGATACGGTCGAATAAGAATAAGAGTGCCATCATCCTCAAGTCGTTTTATGGCTGAACGCTATTGAGATAAGCGGCTGCCGCGCAGAGGATAACGACTATGGTATCTAAAGAGAGGGGATTTGCGAGTGCTCTTGTTTACCTAGAACGGCGAATCCCCCCTGTTTAAAATGGAATTACACCACTGAAATACTGTGGTAGATTTGAAGAGAGAAATTATCCAATTGAGATCGGTATAGAAGATGTGGTACAAATACAGCCAAGGATATATGTAGTTAGTATACAAAGTCGAAGACAACAATGGGCCCTCGAAAGGTCTAAGAACGAACTGGGAGGATTTAAGAATCGGCATTCCTCATCAAAAATCCTTTGACAAACGGCAACCGATCGATGATCTCGAATCCCAAACTCCGCCCCCACGCGACAGGCCCCTGGCCCGGGACATTGTACAGTTTGTGCAGCACATCACAAGTCCCGCCGATCTTTGCATTAGTGGCCCACCGGTCAGCAGTATACCGCTCGAGCGTGAGAATATCACCAATGTCCATTCCGTGGTTTACTGCGTAATCGATCGTGCTCGATAGAGAGGCTACATCGCCGAGTCCGAGATTCAGGCCCTGTCCTGCCAATGGGTGGATGACGTGGGCTGCGTCGCCGACGAGCGCTACGCGCGGGGAAATGTAGGTTGAGGCGTGGCGGAATCGGAGGGGGAATGAGGCTACGCTGTTTCCTTGGACACCTGTGACCATGGGAGGGAGTTGGGGAACGGGGGGAGTGTGTTGGAGACGCCAGGTGAGTTCGCTCTCGTGGGAATCTTCGTTTAGGTCGGTGGCGGATGTTGATGGGCGTTCCATACGCAGCATGTACTGGAGATCGGGCATGGATAGGCGGAAGGCCGCGTTGACCATTGCGATGAATGCCTTTGATGACAAAGACTTGAGATATGACGCGTTCTCGACTGTTGTGGACCAGACTAACGTGGCGTGGTTATTCGGGAGCGGAAGAAGGGCTATAGGGCCCCCGAGCGAAGGTAGGAATCGTTGATATGCTGTGCGCGTGCCGGGAGGGAAGGCAGGGGGAACCTTATCCGCGAGAGAAAGGGTTGCGACGATCCCATGGCGCTGGTAGTCCCAGCCGTCAGTAGCAATATCGGCATACCGACGCACCGGGCTGTTGATGCCGTCCGCTCCAACCAAAAGCCTGGCGGCAATTCGAGAGGGCATTGCGGTCGATTGGGGCGCGTTGCCTGCTGGAGCGATGGAGAGTACTGGCCATGCCGAGAGATCCGGGCCGCCTGCTTCACTTGCGGTGCCGTTCTCGATAGAAGAGACAGTGGTCTTGGAGAAAATGGAGAGATTCTCATCGCCCGACGCGGCAATGCGAGAGAGAAGTCCTTGGACGAGGTTGGCATTCTCCGTCATCGTTGCGACTGTCCGGAGGTCCTCGAATGGTGAAGTTTCCGAGGACCAGTCGAATGAGATCTTGGAGCCCGTTTCTCCATCCCATACCTCCATTCCTTGATATGGCTGCGTCCGCGATACATCCAGGTGGTTCCAGGCTCCAATATTCTGTAAAAACGACACGGACGAGGGTGTAAGGCTGCTGACTCGGTTGGAGAAATGTTGCGAATCAAGCTTGAAGGAGCGGGCTTTGTCGAGGTCTTGCGATTCCACGAGGGCGACCTTAAGCTTCGAGGTCGCGGGCGACGCACCTATCAGTAGGTCAGTTCATTACTATACGATTCACAAGAACAGAACGGGAAAGGATAAGGGCCAATGGCTTACGGAGAGCGGCCAGGAGCGCCAAACCAGCAGGGCCACCTCCGACGCAGACTACATCATAAATCTCTGCCGGAGATGTAGCCTTTGAGCCGAACTTCCGTCTGCTGAGTGTGCGGGCCGACCGGCACGAGGGGCACACGTACGGCCGAAGAACTGAAGTCGCAATTGGGCGCATGGTGAGCTGGATGTTGAAGTGGGCTGAGGTTCAACATCACAATATTTCCTTGTTTGGCGATCATGCGATCTTGTGCAAACAAGACAAACTCTTTACGATATGACCGAGCGAGCGGAGCATCAATATGCCGACAACTCACAACATCCTCTCATGCTATGGTATGATATGCAGTATCTATGAATATCACTGATGACATCTACAGCTCCTCTGACACTCGAGAGTGCTCGTAGCTTCTGGGGTGAATGTGGCCTTTTCCCTTCTACAAGGAAGGTACGACCCCATATACTTGCCAGGTCAACAGTCGTGCCTTCCATGAATAGAACGATCGAATGCGGGCAGGCGCGATAGACCATAGCTCTTTCCTCATTCTCCTACTTATCCAGTCGCACCTTCCCAATTCTGATAATTCGCACCTGCCGGATCGAGCCTGCAAGTCTTCAAAGGGCGTTTTTCAAGCAAGCCTCGGGCTAATCTTGTACGCCACAGGGTATGCCGTCAGCCTTACTGCTGCTCTCTTCTGCTGCGGAAAGACTAGGAGATGCACAGGTCGAGAAGACTGCTTGCGCGGATTGATATGAGATGTGGTTCAGGTCAAATGGACGCTGCTGCCATTACACAACACCCCCCGAATCACATTCCCCAGGATAAGTACTCTCCTCGCCTCGCTATCTCATCGCCATTCCATAGAGAACCCCAGCACATAACTGAAAAACCCTATCCGTGCCTCGGTAACACCAGAATCAAGACAAAATAAAGCCCAAGCTAATTATAGCTCATCCCACATACTGTACATGCCTCCTCAAACTCAACACTCCTCACTGCCACCACCAGTATGACGCGGATTGGCTGCGCCACCCTGGCATTCACTCCATCATTCGCCCTCTGCACTCGTGAGGAATCTGTTTGGCATACTGCAGCTGCAGTGATCTCCCAGGCCATGCGAAATAAGCAATAACGTGTTCGACTCCGTCGCTCAGCTGAGTTTTGAGTGGCTGGCAGGCAAGGGAGGTTCAGTCCCCTTTTCTCTTTTCGAGGTTGTTGGCCGACGACCTCTGGCAGCAGTGGCACTGGGCAATAATAACAGCGAATCAACCTTGAATCTCCTATTTACGTAGCGTACCTAAAAGGCCGAGTTGGTGCCTGGCAACTATTCATATACATACTCCCGCCCCGCAGACTCGGCCGCTAGCCTGCATAGTAGTTCAAGTTATCGACATTATTTCCAGGAGATATAGCTTTGAACCATTCTCTTGATCTCTTTCCCTTCCATGCTGACTTCCTAACTGTGACGAAATCCATGGCTTCAGACATCAAGACAGTATCGAGCTCCGGGACTTCTGATCCCTTGCCGTCGGACTCAGCCTCACAGCCCGAAACCTCGACGTCACATCCAGCTTCAATGCCAACTCCAGCCTCAACCTCCAACACCACCTCGGAAACACAGCACCAGCACCGAGACCCCCCTTCGCTCTATCAAGGGCTAAGCGCCAACTTTGCACATGACCCCAAGACACCTTTTACCGTAAACTATGATCAAGAGGTCTATCTGCAGTTGATGGCCGGCGAAGATGGGGCTAGAGCAGGAGAAGGAGCGGATGCAAAGAGGAAGTTAAGCAAGACGCCGACACAGATATATCGAGAGGTATGCTTTTCCTTCTTTCTTTTCCTTCCCTCACCTTCTATGGCTTGGGATATTATATCTTGGCGCGGGGCTTACGTGAAACGACACAAAAGGAATGGGTTCGGCGTGCTTTGAACCCTGCTATTTCGGACCCACGGGGAGATCCGAGTCCGAATGATTTCGAGTGTGCGGAGAGCCAAAGGGAAAGGGATAGGTTCTAGTTCATATAGTGTGGTGAACAGGTCCCTGCTGGACTGGATCGGGGGAGAGAATCAGATTCGCTGAAATGAAAAAAAAGGTAATAATGAAAGTCAACTAAGAGAAGCTAAGACTATACGTCGTAAAACATCGTAGAAGGCCCACCATTGCTCTCTGCAAGGGACATTAGAGAAAACCTCGATTGCGGGACGGGTAATATAAACAGGTCTAGCTGTTGAACGGAACAGCTGTATGATATCAGGACATCATCAGCACGTCTGGAGCTTCACTTGACATTAGAGGTGTCGAGGTTCTCGTCGAGATCTCCCTCCATTTCGGCAACGAATCGCTCCCATGTGTTCAGAACTCCTTGGTAGAACTCAATATGCTTCTCCGCGAGATCGCCCATGGTATCACGGAACTCGATTGCTTTGATCCTCTCAAAGTCTGCCACCTCACGGACTACCTCTTCGTCAAACATCTCAGACGTCGTTTTGGCTGATTCAACTTCCCGCGTGAGCTCGTCGATTCGTAGTTCTAATTTCCGCATGCGCTCCCGGCGTGACTGTTCGTGGTCGACCCCACGCATGTCTTCCATCTTAGAGCGGATGAACGAGGCCGGTGATGAGGTGAGGGGGTTTGAGGCGTAATATGAAGACGGGTTTGCGGCGAGGGAGTCCCGCTCCGCCACCGCTTTGTTGCGGTAATCGACTAATGCTTCAAAGTCGAGCTGTTTCTGCTCACGGGTTTTCAAGAGGGCCTTGAGCGAAAGTATGTAAGCCTCCATGTCACGAAGCGAGCCAAGATAATTCTGGTCCGTGTGGTCCTTGAGGGTTTTGATTCCCCGCGCGGTTTCCTCCACAGAGGCAGCGAACACCTGCAACGGCACCTCAACATCTGGCTCGAGGGGCACAAGCTTGCGGAATTGAGTCGCAAGTTCATTGTAGTCCGTCTCCAAGTCAGATTCCCGTCGGGCGACTCGGGCCACGATCTTCTCCACATGGGTCAGATCCTCGTCCAGCTTGTCCGCCTTCTCCCGCACCTCAATGAATCGGCGGTCTGGTTTATGAACCTTGGTGAATGCGTTAACAAACGTGTCGGTGAAGTTGTCAAAGATCCCTGTTCCGCCGCCATCCGATCCACTGGTCGAGTTGCGGGACGATCGCAGTCGCATGTGCGCGTTCCAGTCAGGGGACTCCAGGAAAATAGCTAGCAGAGGAGCTCGACGCAAAACCGGATGCAGCGATAAGCGTTTCAGGAAGCGATGTAAAGACCATGCCCGTCGCGAGGTGAACTCGGGTCCGAATCGATCTCCGCGAACGTATTCCATCTTATGCTTATCCGGCAGCGGCGGTACCGCACATGCTGGGTATTCTCGGTAGAGCGTCTTGTATAGGAAGAAAAAGTCTGTGAACCGCCGTCGCACCGTGAAATCTGATTTCTGGAACGATTTGAAGTCGGTCTGGAAAGAGTCCGGTTAGAGCTCGAGTCCGAAACTCGCCTAGGCAGCTGAACACAGTAGCCTTGAGAAATCAAAGACACTTACATGCGTTGTCACCAAGTACGAAATGTATGCATCTTTGGTGCCATCGTTCTCCTTTATAGGCGAATCCACCCGGCACTCCAGCACTCCATCTCCTATACCTGCGAGATCTAAGGCGTCAGCCAGCGGCCCCGCCTGAGGCGTCTCGCTCGCCGAGCTCATTCTCCGTTTGCCGTTGGGATCATGACGTGACTCTGGGGTTTCTTCTGCATCGGTTCCTGAAGTAGTAGGACGGGAGACATCGCTGTCCGGCCCATGGCGCCACGAGACGCTATCGAAGTCGTCGTGATCCATGGAGGGGCGAGCGGCAAGGGCTTCTGAGGATATAAAGGACAGAGATAGGACCGCTACCAAGTCGACAGCAACAGAAGAAAGAGCCAGATGAGGTGGCAGAGAGTGAGCCCCAGAGAGCGATGATGATTGGTGCTAGAAAGGAGGCTGGTTGGTCGGAGCTATGGTGGTCGTGGAGGGTTGCGGAGGTGAGGTTGATCAATTGGGGAACAGGAACTGGGCACAGCGTCATCGCCAAGACTCTCTTCAACAGGCAGCTCAGCTCCGCTGCTGATGCGAGCTGAAGATATACAACATAATAATGTAGGACGACAATTGAGTAATTTCAGATCTTCGAGATTTATTTTCTTTGAAGAAGTTCCAGAGGGTCGATTTAGTATGTACACCTCCCATTTGCCCCATAACATGTTCGATCGAGCAATGCAACGGTAATCCAAGAATAGCAACGAGGGAGAGAGAAATATGACACAAGGGGGGAATAGAGATACTGAATATAGATATACATATAACGGGAGGCCTAGGTGCGATCTCTGCGGGTATTATCCAAGTCTGCACTGCCGCTTCCCCTGGGGTTGGGACTGTTTGCCTGGTCCCTGTAGGGCTCTTCGTCATCATCCTCATCGCTAAACAGAGGCTCTTCTTCGCTCTCTCCGGCAAAGGCGTTATACAACTCTCCACCGCGACGACGCGTCGAGGAACCATTCATAGCCTTGGTCTCATCCTCATCCTCGATCATCTCGAAGTCATAGTCGTCACGATCGTTGCGAAGACGTCTGCGTCGCTGGACCTGGAAATAGACTCCGAGCCCGATGCAGAAAACGATAATTGATCCGATCGCAGTGTAGATCCACACTTGCGCGTGCTTGGAGGCGCCAAAGGTTGGGAAGAAAGATGGAAGGAAACTGTCTGACACCGGGGACGGGGTCGGTGTTGTGCTTCCGGATGCCTCGGAATTTGTCGGAGTAGGCTTGGTGTTTACAGGGCGATCAACTGTGTGCGAGGGCTTATCTGCGGGCTCTGTTGGTGCTGGTGCTGGCTCGACGCTGGTTGTAACGACAATGGAGTCTTCAATAGTGTGATCATCGTCATGCTCGTCTGGAAGCGGGTGCAATTTCTGCTTAGATCCATCAGCTGCCTCACCCCAGAGGTTGAGCCGCCAATCGAGGAACTCTCCAACGTTGTCATTAACTTCGGCATCCTTGACAATGACTGTCCACGTTCCGATACCCGACTCACCCCTATCAAAACGTTAGTAGTGTCAACCGACTGTTGGAGAAAGTACTTACCAGTGGGCAACTGTCATAAAAGTCCAGTCAACGTATCCGACCTCAGCGTCGTCGTACCTTCTGGCCGTGCTCAGATGGCTGACAACACCTTCGGGGCTTCGTAGTTCTACGCTGAGATCACCACGGCGGGTATGGTTCACGTTCATAGTCACAGTAACATGTTCCAGTCTTCCAATGTTGGCGTCCTTCATCATTTTCTCGCTCACCTGCCACGAGGCAGCAAGTCCCTTATCACCCTGCGGAACCTCGTGCTGTACCCTCAACCACGGGGAATGGTACCAAGCCTGCGGCTTCACCATTTCCCACGTCTTGGCTTTCTGCACCAGGCTGTAGATGTCGACCTTTCCAAATCCCCAATCGTGGCTGAATTTTTGCCCGGACTTGGTCATCTGCCAGCTCCCATCATCTTCGTGAACTGGTACTGCCGTTTCAACCATGAGATACTGGGCGTCGCGCCATGTAAGTTCCGGACGAACACTCAGCACGAGGGCCATAGCTCCCACAACTAATGGACCAGCAGCCGATGTTCCGCCGTGCATGGAATAACATTTGTCAGTGCCGACATCGGTCGTATGGATTGAGTCGCTCGATCCACTGCTGTAAGCGACAACCAATTGGGCGGAACAAGACTCCGAATAAGACGCATGCTTGCCCTCCCGGTCAATGGCGCCAACCGTTATACTGTAAATGCTGTTGGTATAGCCGTCAAAATTGCAGTTATCACCAGAGGGTGCGCCGTTCCCAGCAGCGAAAACAAAAATCGATCCCTTTCCATCTCGTCCTTTTTGGACACCATTAACCATTGCTCGTTTGATGAGCACCCCCGGCGCTTCCATGGTAGCACCATCATCAGGGGGACCCCAAGAACACGAGTAAATATCATTTTTCTGATACGCATAGTTGATGGCGCTCGCCTCGTCGGTGTCGTCAATAGCGCCCGACAGAATCCGGATTCCGGAAACTCGGCTGTCGTATGCGACACCCACACCACATACATCGTTTCTTGCTGCAGCAATCTCTCCGGCGCATCTAGTACCATGTCTATCGTCGCGCAGGCGAGGTCTAGGTTCCGGAGTGTGATCGTTGAAGTCATAGGAGCCCTCGGGAAAGTAATTGGGGCTCAAGTCGTTGCTGTACATATCCAAACCATCATCGACAACCGCTGAAGTAGCGCCCTTGCCTGTAATGCCTTCAAGCCATATTCCCGATACATTCATGTCATGCCCAATTTCCTTGGTGTTGAATAGATGCCATTGTGCATCGAAGATTGGATCCGCGATGCCAAGAGTAGATATAAGCTCACTTCGAGCTTGAACAGCTTCCGCGTTCTCCGGTGTCTCAGAACTCTCTCTCGCGAAATTTTCGGGCGGCGGCGTTCTTTTCTGTAGCCTTTGTTTAGGAGCCAATTTCTGGGACCAGAGAATACCAACTAGACCCTCGTCTTTTTTCTCGAGGTGGCCAGCGGCATCACCACGTCGGCGGAGCTTCCTCTTGGTTTGTAGATCGTCCAGCAGCTCATTGAGGTCGTCACCGCTCTCTCTAGGGAGAGAAAATGTATGATGGCCGTCAAGCTCGCCAATCTGACCTTCATGGCGGGCGCCTAGGCGTTCAGCAATATCCGCCGGAGAAGTCGCTGCATCGAGGTGTAAGGCGAAGTAATCGCGGGTTTCATACGAGCGACGAGGATGGAGGGAAGCGGTAGCAGCACATAATAAGCTCAGCCCCGTCGCGGCACCTGAAAGCCGCATGGTGAAGGTACAAAGGAGAAAGGAGAACGATGAAACTCGCTCTCAGGTGTGTGCAATGAGGACAAATAAGGCCGCTGACATTGAGGGATGAGAATGGACAAATAGGATGGGACCCACAGGAGCCGACCGAAGAAGACAGCTGTCTGAAATTGGACAGATATGAATAAGAAGCACAAGAATAGAAGAAAAGACAACAGCGCTCCCAGGACGAGGGAAGGTCTTGAAAGTTGTTCGTTTGCCCAGTGCTTGGAGGGCTGAGACATTGAAAACGAAGTGGGCCTGGATTCTCAGGCAAAGATCGCCTCCTGAGTAATTCATGCCTGAATCATGCCTGAATCCCCAGGCAAGAGTTATTGACACCTGTAAAAGTGGATCAATCGCCATTTCGCCCACGGTCCACAAAGGGAAACAATACGTCCAGCCCTGAAGGTGGATGAAGGAATATTATCTTTATTCTTCTACTCCTTGAATTCTCCTCTATTTCACAGAAGTACTTAGCACCTTCTGTACCAATTAATTAACCCCCAGTCGACCCAAAGTCAGGCTATCCAGTCTGATGATAGATGGAATCAGCAAATAGCAAAACAAGCTATTAAAAGACGCTCTTCCTGCAGCTGCTCTGACCAAGGCCGGAGTCTGGAGTGACCTGCAGAGCCAACAGAAGAAGAGAAGGGAATATGAAACAAGACTGGAGATCTGAAAGTGCCTGGCGGGTGTCTTGTTGTGCAGCCCCGCTGCATCAAGAACGCGAGAGGCTGGGCCCAGCCACACTTCCAATGCATCGGCATCGTCATCTCAGATAAAATCCCACTCAGTTGGGCACGTCGCAGGCAACCGGATCTTATTTCTTCTCCTTGTCGCTTTACTGTCTGATATTTCTTGAGAGCCCAACATCAACAGCCGTTCCTCTCTCCGTGGCTGACTATCGACGCCGGCTTCCATACATACGGTTGTTGACAGCGCTTCTTGCATATACTCCGACCGCAGTGTTGGTCGTACAAAGCTCCAGTTTTTTCGACTTTCATTCTTTGGCTGCATCGAATCGGCAATCTAATAGCACTCTGTCACTGAGATGGAACTCTAATTGAGTTCCCCTAGACCTTCGACACAGCCAGCCCGAGAAGAGTGAGGACGGTGTTTCACCCGATCTGCGGCGTTAACCCATCGGGCTCCGTTGATTTTGACCTTTCACAACTTTGACAACATTGTCGCGGGACTCAGATTTAGCAACAGGATGTCTGAAGGAAGCTTTCCCGTGCCGATAAACGGGACTACGGCTCCAAGCCATTCTGATAGCGGCCTTGCGCGAGATCCTTCATATAAGCGGAGACCCTACCAAAGTGCGGAGCCTTCGCTCCAAAACCCTGGGTTTAATGATGTGGTCAATTCCAAGATTCCAGTGGGCTCTCAGCCTCGGTCTATAACAGCGAGTTTGGGTAAATACATATCCCCGTCCATACTCCCTTCGACGAAGACACCCCAGCTGACAATTAGTTCCACCAGGCCCTTCTGCACTGCCGGATGATCATATCGCACCAGAAGCCTCGATGTCTGCAGATCACGAAGACGGTGGGAAAAGAGCATCAGTCGTGCGAAATCACTCGACACGTTTGAATCGATCGGATACGGTGCGGTCGTCATCGGGAGAACAACATGACTGGGCGTTTAATCGATCTCCTTTGCAGAAGCTCGAGGTTGCTTTGAGCGGTATCAGTAAAGAGGAAAAGAGAGCTCGCGCACTGGAAGCCGAAAGAAAGCTGAAGGAGCGAATGGCGACGACAGTAGCAGCGAAGTCTGGAGGGTCGCCTGCTCACGAAGCACATCCCCGCAGTACTACCAGAACGCATCCGCAGCGCATGGCCGATTCCCGCGATGCGCCCATCCCAACTCGGAGAGAGCCTAAAAAAGAGCCTAAGCTGCAGCTGAATGGGGACGATGAAAAGCAGGGTAGCACGGCTCCTCAGCCTGAACCTAATCTCGAAAAGTTCACCGTTTCACGTATTAGCGAGCCGCCAGTCAACGATCCCGACTCACGTACACTTGTCGAATCTCAGAAAGCAGGCATCAAGCCGTCAGTCAAGCAAGTGGTTAAAGGGGGTGTTGTCCCTCGACGTGCAGTCTCAATCAGTCACCAAGCAGAAGAGCCTCGCATGTCCCCACGGGCGTCGAGTCAAGCCCCGTCCCGGAGTAACGATGCTCTGTTTGCCCAGGCTCCACTATCCCCGGCTCCCCAGACATCTCGCTCCCCTAAAAGTGGTTCTGCAGTCGAGCCTATCTCTCGGACAGCTACCCAGCCTGTTGCCGCCACTACTCGAGGAACTAGTGGGCCTGAAAGTGCCTCTCAACAAACTAGACAGAACGGACACCATGCCGATCCACCGGCGGCTGGGGCCGCTAACTTAAATTCCAACCGCGACATTCAAAACAGCCGCGAATCCATGGTGCCTAGCAGCAGCGAAAACGTGCAACGTCTACAGACCAAATCGAAACGCAATACAGTCTCGTTCGACGTGCCACCGCCAACACCACCTCCACTTTTTGAATGGAAGGCTGCGCCAATTGCGAGACTTGAAATCTCGGATTTTGACTTTCAAACACTGGACGTGAATAAGAGCAAGGCATGGTGGGAGGGCGGAGGCACCCAAGATCGCCGGCAGAGTAGGGCGCTACCGAAAAATTACCAAAAGCCCCCTGCGCAAAAGCTTGCTTGTAAGCTGATACTTGGACCGCTCTCAATTTCGAGGATTGAATGATGACTGACTCTGAACTATGTACAGCTAATAACCGCTTTCAGCCATTGATATTCCTGAAATCAGGGCCTCTGCTTCGGTACTCGGGCTTGAGGCGTGTTCGAATAGACGGACCAAACGGACCGATCAACAAAGAGACTTGGAGAGGCAGTATTTTAATCGTGACCAAGGACTCAATCTCGTCGTATAATCCACCGCCGACTATACGGTTATTCTCTCAGCCTATGGACCTTCTACCACCCCCTCCAGCCCAGATCAACAGCGAAGGAGTGAAGCTGGCACCTGAGTATATTGACCCTACAGCTGGGCTGATGAAGCTGGGTCGAGATGGCCGACCTCTTTTTGTCAAACCGGTCGACCATACAGAAGAGGAACTCGATCTCTCCTTCGTTGAGAACGACGATGGGATATATGAGATGACACCGAGCGCGGTTGATTATCGAACGGAAAGCCTTCAGCAACCGGTTCCGGCGAATCGAATCCATTCAATAGACGGGGAATCAATTGGAGCATACAAGGAAGTTCCGGGTGCCCGCCTCTATGCTGATTCTGGCAGAGATGTCACCTTCTGGAAATTCAACATCGAGGTCGAGTTAGGTGAGCAGCAGCAACGTGTCGCTTATCGTCTGAACCAAGGACCTGCACTGGGGTTCTGGGTACCAGCCAAGGGGCAGCCAATGAACATAATGTTTCATTCCGGAAATGGTTTCAGTCCCGGCGTAGACTCCAGCAAATTATGCGGCCCGGACCCCCTCTGGCGGGACGTGCTCAACGAGCACCAAACTCGTCCGTTCCATGTGATGATCGGCGGAGGTGACCAAATCTTCAACGACAAAGTCACTGCCGAGTCTTTACATTTCCAGGAATGGCTCAAGATCAAAGACCCCAGTGAGAAATATGGCACCACGCTCAACGCCGAGTTCAAGGCAGAGTTGGAGACCTCATATCTGGAGAACTACTCAAGGTGGTTTTCGCAAGGACTTTTCTCCCTCGCCAATTCTCAGATACCCATGGTGAACATCTGGAATGACCACGAGATTCTTGAGGGGTTTGGATCCTATCCCGACGAATTCATGAGTTCAGCTGTGATCTCGGGTCTCGGTAATATTGCGTTCAAGTACTACCTTTTATTCCAACATCACAGCGTTCCGGAAGAAACAGAGGTCGACGAACCCAGCTGGCTTTTTGGGGCGGAGCCGGGGCCATACATCAACCAGTGCAGTCGGCATTTGTTCATGTCCCTTGGTGATGGAATAACCTTCCTTGGACTCGATTGCAGGACCGAGCGGATGGTAAGAATTTGAAACCCAGTTGCATGGATTTCGAGTTAACCACGATTCACAGAGCGATGAGATTCTCAGCGAGCATACTTACGACCTGATCTGGGATCGGTGCCACCGCGAGATTGTCAGGGGCGAGACGAAACATTTGATAGTGCTGCTGAGCATTCCCGTTGCATATCCCCGAGTGGTAAATTCACCCCCTATCTTAACTTTATTCATATTCTAACGTTTCACAGGCAATTGTGAAGAACATTTTAAATAGTCGACAGTCTTTAGGTAAAGCTGGGCTCTTCGGCGGCCTAGTAAACAGACACGGCGCGAGAATCGAAATTTCCGACGATCACTGGACAGCGAAGCACCACAAATCAGAGAGAAAGTATCTGATTGAAGACCTTCAGGATCTTGCTGCAGAAAAATCTGTCCGGGTTACGATTCTTAGGTGAGAAGCATCCTTGCTCTCTATGATATAACAGGACTAACAATCTGCTATAGTGGTGACGTGCATCTAGCAGCAATTGGGCAATTCTACTCAAACCCCAATTTGAAAGTCTCCAAGGACAAGGACTACCGATACATGCCTAACATCATCTCGTCCAGTGTTGCAGATATGCCGACTCCTGAGATGATTTCGGATACACTCAACCGACGAAATCAGGTGCATCATATGGATACTAACACAGATGAAGATATGATCCCTATCTTCACGCACGACGTCAATAATAAAGCTCGTAACAACAAGCGACTGCTACCGCGGCGCAATTGGTGTTCGATCCGCGCGTATGAGCCTGGTAAGTGAATCTGGAACCATAAGACTTTCTGCGGCTAATCAGGGCAGGCGCTACTCCACCAACAACCCCAGAATCCGAACCTGTAGTGTCTCCACAGGAGCCACGTCCAAACGTGCTACAAAGGACACTGTCACTAACTCGCGGTGACCGACCTCCAGGTGGCCTTATACGAAGACTCTCGAATAGGGCACGCCCACCCACGAAGGACTTCAATTTAGGTAACGCTCCACCTGCCCGACGAATGAGCATAGACGGACCATTCCCACCAGCGGGCGCGGACAACTCCTACTTCCCCCCTGCCGCGGACTTCCGACCAGGCCCCTTCCTTCGGCGGCCAACGAACTTGAGTCAGAAGGCCGCAAAGAATGCCGCAAAACGCGGCGACGACGGTGCAGGAACCTTTGTCAATCTCGAGGGAGGTTTGGACGTGACGCTGAACCTGGAACTCAACCCGAAGGACCCATCAGGTATCACGACGCCATACAAGCTCCTTATTCCAGCACTATGGTTCGAGGGCGCCGAATTTGACCCCCCTCCAGAGCCTGTTACCAAGGGATGGCGAAAGTGGCTACCGATGCGACGGAACGTGTCTAGCAAACCATCTTTGAACGATGATGGGGCAGAAGACGATTATAGCGACGAGGAAGAGCACGGCGCCTACCCACCCGCTCCTAAGCAACCACAAACGCATGATGAACGGGTGGCTGCACCTGCACCTGCGCCTGCGCCAGCAACAGCAACCGGGCATCGACATCATCAACCATACTATGACGAGTACGACGATGATGAAGAGGAGTCGGAGCTGTTCCTTGAACCCGAGCCACAGTCACGACCAAATGTGAAGCGCAGCACAAGCATAAAGAAGTGGTTCGGGCGATCGTGATGGGAACAGAAAGTACAGATTTTTTTAATGATGTTATTCTTATGACGTGTATCTATGATGATTTGATGATTTATGATTGCCCTGGGGCGCTGTGTATATACCCGGGAATTGCATGGAGCAGGGTTTACAAACTCTAATTCCCGTTCGTTGTTTCAAGAGTGCCCTAGTTTGATTTTTTCTGATACCATTGAACATCCTCGGTTGGCTTTGATTCTGCTTTGAAACCAATGCCGCTCCATTTTGGGCACGGAATCGGTACTCGTCGTTCTTGTGTTCACCTGCCGATTGTACAGCAAAGTATGTATCGGTTGATGACATCGGGAGTTGCGCTTCTTCAGGAGTGGTAATGACGATTTCATGATGCCATGTGATCTCCAAACTCCCCATGGGGTTCAAAGCTCTTCGTGCAAAGCCTCGCTACAGTAGATCGAAGTACCGACGGCATTTCCCGCAGGTACTATATATATACATGCACCACGTATACAGAGAGCCCTCCTATCCGGCATAGAGTTGAGCGCAAGATCGATTGAGTAGTACTGATAGGGATTGCAAAAATGCTACGAAAAGTTCTTGATCTCATTTTGACAACGCTGGCAATCCAGTCGGTCGCCCAAGCACCATGCGTCGCCGCTGCAAGCCGACACCCGCGAGCACCAGAACTGTCTTACCTCTATACGGCCTTTGTACATTGCAAGGGGACGCTCATGAACGAGGACAGCCCCAGGGGCACTCGGCTGGCTATCCCAATCGTCGGAGGCAATTTCACAGGCCCACGGCTGTCCGGTATGCATGAAGTCAACGTTGCGGAATGCTCGAATTGCGGCGGAGACAACGCTAAACATGGTCTTTCAGGCAAAATTCTCGACGTCGGCGCCGACTGGGGCATTGTCGATCCCAAGACGGGGATCTTCTCCGCCGATACGCGGTATAACCTGCGAACCGACGACGGAGCGGACATCTTTATTCAAACATCGGGGCCGGCGTCTCCGTCGGGACAGTTGCATCTGCGGCTGCTGTTTGAGACGGGGCATGAGGACTATTACTGGCTGAATAACATTGTTGGTAAGATAGTGTTCTTGAGCAAATTGCCACTCGGCTTTGTCACTTGTGGTTCAGAAATGAGGTTAATAACATGAGGAAGCGATCGGGACTCTGACGACGATCGATGCCGGAGATGATTCTTCGCTGCTCAGGATCGATGCGTGGAACGTAAGTCGTCATTCTCTGCTGGAATGGAGCTATAATAAGGCTGATGACGAGAGCAGTTTGCGAGCGACTGGAACCAGACTGTTGGCCTGTGAGGAGTGAGCTTTGAAGCAAAAAATTGGATGTTGATAATCAACCGCGGTCTCGGCCTGGCACGTGACCCGGGACCGGCAGAGTTTGAGAACTGAGAAATCTGGAAACGCTTTTGCTTAGAGATCAAAATCAAAACGGCATTCTCTCGCTTCTCGATCGCTCTTATCTGATCTTCGTCCAGAAGACTCTTCTTCTTAGCTAATCCCGCCTGTCCAGCCCTGTCTTACTGTACTACCGTGATCAATTGCCCAGTGCCTGGTCCCCACCCTTTGCCCCTCGTGCTTCATTAAAAGGCTCCCTTCGCCCCTCCTTCCACCCTGTCTGTTCCTGTCTTTACTCCTTCAACACCGCCAATCTGTTTTCCTCAGCCTTTCGCCGGTTTCCCTTCTCTTCTATTAAATCCTCTCTAGGGTTTACAGCCGCTGCCGCTTCGTCGCATCTTCAGAACTCGCCTACATCTCCGTCGGTTCTATCGAACTCGTTCTCGACGCCACTGCGCGTCAATTCGACATCTAGGATGGCTCACAGCAAAGTAGTTAGTATGTACACCCCTCCTGCGTCATCATGGTACATCAATACCCCTGGAAAGAAAGAACCTAACACGTCCGCAGTTATCGGCTCCGGCCCCGCCGCTCACACCGCCGCGATCTACCTCTCTCGCGCGGAACTCAAGCCTGTCCTCTATGAGGGTATGCTGGCTGGTGGCACCGCTGCCGGCGGTCAGCTTACTACTACCACCGATATCGAGAACTTCCCCGGTTTCCCCGACGGCATTGGCGGATCAGAGCTCATGGATAACATGCGGAAACAATCCATCCGGTTCGGCACCGAGATCATTACCGAGACGATCTCTAGGGTCGACCTGTCGCAGAGACCCTTCAAGCTGTGGACTGAGTGGAGCGATGGTCCCGAGGATGCGCCCGCTCGCACTGCCGATGCTGTTATCATCGCTACCGGCGCCAATGCCCGCCGCCTGAACTTGCCCGGTGAGGAGGTCTATTGGCAGAACGGAATCAGCGCCTGCGCCGTGTGTGACGGTGCCGTGCCCATCTTCCGCAACAAGCCCCTTTTCGTCATTGGTGGTGGTGACTCCGCTGCCGAGGAGGCCATGTTCCTGGCCAAGTACGGCAGCAGCGTCACCGTGCTTGTCCGCCGTGACAAGCTTCGCGCCTCCAAGGCTATGGCCACCCGTCTTCTGTCCCACCCCAAGGTCACTGTTCGCTTCAACTCCGCTGCCACTGAGGTTATCGGTGAGAAGAAGCCTAACGGCCTGATGACCCACCTCCGCATCAAGAACACTGCCACCGGTGAGGAGGAGGTTGTCGAGGCCAACGGTCTTTTCTACGCTGTTGGTCACGATCCCGCCACTGCTCTGGTCAAGGGCCAGATTGAGCTCGATGAGGAGGGCTACGTCGCCACCAAGCCCGGTACCAGCATGACCAGTCTCGAGGGTGTCTTTGCCTGCGGTGATGTGCAGGACAAGCGCTACCGCCAGGCTATTACCAGTGCTGGTAAGCTGACTTTACCTCCCTGAGTTTATTGAATGATTCTGACAATTTTAGGATCCGGTTGCGTTGCTGCTCTTGAAGCCGAGCGATACATTGCCGAGACCGAGGCGAGCGAAGACATTCCTCCCCCCCACGCCAACCCCGCTCTGTAATGCACCAACTCCTACAACACCATCATCTCACCAACTGAGGCTTCTTTACCTCATTTGAACAATTTAGACCGTTGTCATGTCTCTTCTTTGATATTATGATATTTAGACTTCAGCGTTTCCTTGACTTTTTTTTTTTTTTACTTTAACTTTACTCTTCCTGGGCTACCGGCGGTGATCTCATCTGTTTTATGGACAACTCGTGTGGCATTTCGGGCGATCATAAAATCACTGGCTTCGTTTGATGTCTCGCTAGACGCTTGACGATGGACTGGGCTGGGCCGTTCATGACATTACATTTCAGATATATAGAATAGAATGTGATAGAATAATCCCCGGGGATATTGGGTTCATTCGAGCTTCTTTTACTGGACTATTTCATCTTCTGTCGCGTTTTGCATAGATGATCATTTACGGATGTGCATGTTTAGAATCGACACGCTGTACGCCATATGTAGCCCATGTTACATTCAAATAGAATAAGGGACATGCAGTGATCGCTCATCCCGAGTGGGTTTTGCTCTGGTTTTGCGGGCTAGAAAAAGGTAATGTGCCGTTTTGCTGCGGGTGTGTGTGTGATGATGATGGCGATGGCAATGTGTCCGTGTGCAGAGTCATACCGTCCAAGTCCACCGTGTGTGCAGGAGTAGCCTCCGCGGGCGTAACACCAGCCTTAGCCGACGTCATACCTTGCGATTGCGTATCAGTACCCAGATTCACCTTCTTACTCGGCGGCGCCGCAAACTCCTTCTCATACCACGCCTGATACGGATTCTCGGTCCTCCACCTCTTCTTCACCTTTGCCGACCGCTTCTCCCACTCCGCATTATCAGCCTTCCACTTCGCCGCGATCTCCGCGGTCGTCTGCCGATTGACCTCTGCCTGCTCGAGGTACGGCCGTTTCTCGTCCTCGGACGCCTGTCGCCACATGAGGCCTAGTGCGGCTCGAACGGCATCGCGTGGGGCTTTTGCGGTGGGATTGTTAGTTTGCGCTTGATGCGTGAGGTCGCACTGAGCGCGGGCTCGGGCCCAAGTGTCTTTCTGGTAGAGGAGGAAAGGGTTTAGGCCTGTGCGAGTAGGGCGCGGTATCGGTGGGCCGGTCTCTGCATAGACGGCAGCGAGCATGGCCTGGTCGTAGAAGGCGCGGGCTTCCGAGGTGGAGATTGCGGCTGAGGCTTGAAGAGCGGGTGGTGTGGCTTGTTGTTGAGGTGTAGCGTGAGAGGAAGGTTGGACTTCTGGGGTGGCAGTGTCGATGGGGATGCTGTTGGAGAAGCCAGCTTTGTTCTTTTCCGGGACAAGAGGCTTGGGTATGGTGATGGGCCCCTGGATCGAGTCGATAATTTCGGATGCGGCTCGGAGACCAGAGAGATATGCACCGTGGACGGTGGCCGGATGAGTGCCGCAGGTAGCTTCGCCGGCGAAGTGTAGATTGCCAATGGGTTTGGCCATCAGGTCGTAATCTCCTGGGAGTGCTTCCGCGGCTACATAAGAATAGCTCCCTCTGGTGAATCTGTCAGATGCCCAGCGGGTAATGATGGTTTCCAGAGGGTCAGGAACAGCAGCGTGCTTGAACACGTTACGGAGCTGGCTCATGACTTCGGTTATGATCTCACTGTCAGGTGTACGCTCTGCTTGGTGGGCGGCATCTCCAGCCATGAGAGCGATGAGAACGGGCAGACCCGTCGTTTTCATGCAGTTCCAGAACAGGTAGAACCGACCCCGGTTGGCTGCGTATTCCTCTTGGATCATGCTTGCCCCGTTCTTCGGCTCACGCAGAAGTCCAAACATGTCTCTTTCCGTGTCCCAGAACGGCTCCTTGAATGTGAGGATGACCTTGTTCATAACACCAAAGCCGAGCCGGTTGATTGCCCCTTGTTTCCATTCAGGGAGTGGCGGGGAAAACTGAATAGTCTGACTCTTGAGTGTGCCCAAAGACCCGGTGTAAACAACCTTGTCGGCTACGATGGAGTCTCCATCTTCGCAATGCACTATTGCTTTATGCTTGGAGGAGCCGGCTGGATCGTAGGTGATGCGCGTGACGATCTTGTTAGTCTGCAGATCGAGTTTGTATGGATATGACCAGAGTCCGTACGGAACTTGCTGGTATCCTCCAATGACTTGTGAGTGCTCTCCCTCGAACTCGTTGCCCATATCCTGATCCCAGCCAGAGAGGCTAAGGTTGTTAATGTTGGTGGCGTTTGCGTATTCAAGGTTCGCAAAGTGCCAGTTGAGCAACCGCATATCTTTTGGAGTAAGAGGCAGTATGCGTTGATATTGTTTGACACCCTCATCCATTACGTTCCCCAAGGTCTGAGTCTTCGAGGCTTTGGCGATTTGGTCCAAGTTTATGGTCTCATTCAGTGACACCCCGTCATTCAGCTTCCATCCCATGGTCTGGCATGCAAGCGTGGCAGGATTCTCTTCAATCTGCTCAAGCTCTGCTACGGGAACCCCAACAGGTTTGATATCTGCCGTTTTATGACCTACGCCGCGGCGGATACGTTTGGCCGGAAGTAACAGCCCAATAGTTCCGGCTGCTCTCGCTTCCTCATACTGTCGCACCGTGACCCCATCACTTGTTGATATATCGCGACCCGAGGCCATAAGCTCCCGATCACCTTCTGCAGTTGGGACGATTACAGACTTGTGTCGATATGCCCCAGAGCGATCTAAGACATCATTATAAAGGCTCTCAGAAGTCGAATCGCGCACTTCGTCCACCGGGGACCCATCTATATCGTAAATCGTGGATATGTCGCGCAGCAGATGGTATGAAAGTGCCAATTGGCTCCGAACGATGTGGTCCAACGGATTGCCATGATCGAATCCGACGATAATTTGAGCGCCCATTTCTGCTTTGGGGACCAGTCCCGGAGGTAACGTGGACGACTGGAGGCTTCGTAGTGGGTGTGAATATATACGCCCTCCGATCCTGCGTCTGCCTTCCAGTAAAACGACACGAGGGTTTGTAGCATTATCCCGGTAATGACTGAAGAGTCCTTCAAGCTGTCTCGCACAACCCAAACCTGCCATTCCTGCACCGATGACAACAACCACCGGTCCTTCTTTTCGGCGACCCTTCTTGGCAGGGATAATGGGCATAGGGATTTCAACACAACCAAAGTTGATGTATCCGTTCCGCACAAGCCACTCATACGCGAACGAAGCAAGGTTCATCCAACGATAGTCCTTGGCGCAACCAAAAGCCTCTTCTCTGGTTACACTCACCATCGCATTGCGGGTCCAAAGCCGAAGTATCCCGTTTCGTATGTTGAGGTAGACGGTAACATGAAGGTGACATAGGTGATCTTGCAGTGCTTCCTGCTCTTTCTGATGGAGAGCATAAGGGTTGAGCCTTGAAGCATACGCGGCTGCCGCACACTGCTGGGCGTACACAGGCCCGGGAAGACGCGCCGGGATGGAAGATCGAGGGCGGTACCTTGTGAAGTCGAGGGTCTCCCCTGCCCCACTAGGTTCTGTAGGAAGTGAAGGAGACGCCAGATTTACGACAGTCGATGGCGAGGTAGATTTTCCACGACTTGACGCGGACGGAAACGATGCCGAAGTGGTCGAACCATTCGGCGTGTTTCCGTTGGTTTCAGTAACCAGATCATAGGTCACATAATCAACAGCCCGCTTCACAGGAGCATTCAACACATCGGGAACGGTTTCTTGAATCTGAGGGGCTGTGACAGATGTACCGTAAGCTGCGGCAAATGGGTACGTTGCCCCATAGTGAGCTTGCATCAGATTTGGCTGCAAGGGACGGAATGTTTTCGCGGGGTACCCAGCACCATTCACAGCGGCACTCGAGGGAATATGCTGGCGGAAGATGTCAGTCTGAGAGGAGAACCCGTTTGGGCGTGCCGCGAGGGTAGGTGTGGCCTCCATCATCCCCAGGCAGGAAGTCACGGTAGGTGGGCGAGGGCGGCAGGTAAAAGTCAAAACCTGGCTGGACCTTTCGTAGATGACAAGTCAAGCTAAAGTGAAGATTCAGGATGTAACCCAGCCCATTATTGCGTGCAGTCCAACATGTTATGTTCAAATCCGAACATATCCATCCATAGTGGGCCCACTTTTCAGGCGAAAATCGTGTGTCGGCAGGCAGGGAGAGGCTGCGATATCAGGAGGATGGACAGATGAGGCCAAGATTCTATGTGTGGATTAGAGATGGATCATAACAAAATGAAGAAATCGTCTTCTCTTATACATTGGTATATGATGGACGCGTTGGTCGACTTACTGATGTAGTGCAGTGGGTTCGCAAAGCCACCCTTGCAAGTTGCACCAACCGCGTCGGAAGGGACTGATAAGTGGTATTTAAAAAATGTATAGGGAGGGAGGAATAGAGAAAGCCAAAGGAATGACAAGGAGTACCCCGAGCGGATTCAAGGTTACTGCCAACAGTCCCTGACGGACGAGGGAGAGACGGAGTGGGAGCATCAATTGCTCTGATCTCCAGATGTGATTCAGAGTCTTGGCAGCCTGAATTTCTCCCCCAAATGTGGAAAACCGCCCAATCTGCCTCGACTTCTTCACTATAACTGATAAAAAGGTATTCCATGTTTCAACCAAGTATCTCTATCTAATGATAAAATAGTCATAAACCGATAAACATCCATTCGTGATACTAACTAGCTATGCAAAACATTACTCATGGCCACGCCACAGGCTCTATAGCGGAGATGCTGCAAAACGATCAAGCCGCAATTATCTATGAATAACTCGCAGACTCTAGTCTCTTCGCACATGCGAATGTAGTGTGTACGTCTCCGTGTCTGTTCCGTCCCCATCCCGAAAGATGTCCGATTCATTGTCTGTGAATTCATCTCGGTATGGCGACTTTGAGCGGAGCGGCGAACGATCGCTAATATCATCATCAATGACTAGATCGACATTATCGTCGTCAAAGTCATTGAATCCGATGCGCTCTTCTTCATCACGCGCAAGCGTTGTCGCAGCAGCATTAACATCCGGGTCGTCCGAGAACTGACGGTGGGGACGGTGGGCGGCGTGGTCGGCTTCGAGGGAGTGTCGAATATCAGACCTCTCTCTTTCTTCTAATTCTTTGGCTCGCGCCAGTGTTCTGACGATAATGTCAGCAAGAGGATGGCCGAAGGTAATGGAGACGCCTTTTACCTTTTATAAATGTACAGGCCGGTGAAGATACCGACCGCTATAGAGATGACTATGCTGAGGATGTTTACAACCTTTGAGCCAACGCTCATCTCTTCACCATTCTCATAGAGAATACGTAGTCTGCTGCCGATAAATGCTGGGACGAGTAGTTTGGGCGTCACAATAGCGGTGGCGAGACCATACGTCAACGGTTGCACTGTAGGAAAAGTAGAGATTGCCCCGTTACAAATCGAGTAGGGCAAGGGGCAAAGGCGAATCATGCAGAGTAACTTCAGCCCATCATACTTTAGTGTTAGTGCAAGAGCTGCAAACCGCTTGTCGCGCTCGACAAGGCGATGCACAAACTTCGATAGGACAGTCCGAGATGCGATAAAGGAGCAAGTAGAACCTAGTACCGTGGCAGAGGCGTAAAGGCCCCATCTATCGTGAAAATAAGTCAGCTTGGAGAAAAGAGGTATAAGTTTCCACTTACCCTTTCCATACACCAAAAATATAACCGGACACTGTTCCGAATGTAGACCACCCAACTAATGGGGGAAACGAAACAAAGAAGACACCGAGCCACATCAACAGGAAGACTGGAACGGAGTGCTCCCATTTCTCAGCGACTGGCCCAAGCCAATGGAACACTCTGCCAGTAATATACAAGAAACCAAACCCCAATACATTGCAGGCAATGATCGCAACAACGGTCCCAACTCTTTGCCAGAACGTCATTTTCCGCCATGCTGCGACGATGCGTTTGTTTAGTGCATCGAGTTTGCCCTTGATCCCTTTCGGGGCGGTACTAGATGACGACCTGCGGGTAGAGAAGACGGTGCTGTTTCGGGTGCCGGGCGTGGCTTGACTCCATGGCGGGCGTGCGCCATCTTCTAATAAAGGGGAAGGCGATCTAGACGACGTAGTCGAAATAGAAAGAGCCCGCGCAGTTGATGCATAATCGGCGGGCATCTTGTGATGGGAGGGACTGAGACGATGGATTGATAACGACCCGGATGGTCTGGAAGCCCGGAGATCTGCGGCGGGTCGGCGAGGAATGACCGACTGCAGTCGAGTGTCAAACCAGGGCCGCGTACAGGACGCACGCCTCGGCGAGTTTTGTGTAGAGGAGGCGAACGAATTCAGGCGCGGTCGGTCAAAGAGGGAGGTTCTTGATCATGAAAGAGAGGTGGAGCATGGAGGAATGGACAAGGACTTGATGCGAGGTGGTAACATAAGCCGAAATCCAGGTTGCCTACGGAGTAGTGCGTATTCCTTGGAGTGTCATAAAAGCGTGCGCCAAACGACTGCTGGGTCCCAGAATCTGTCAAAATAGAGGCCGGAGGGACCGATAAGACAAGATGGAAGGAAGGTAAAAGGAATATCAAGGTTAGATTGAGTTGAATTGAAGGCTGGCGATAATCTATTATTGACGCAAGTCGAGCTGGACATATGGGTCGCGATTGAGGCGAGCAGCTGTAAGTTTGAGACCTGTCCATACGTCTGGAACACCGCCGCCACCGCTCATTGTGCGGACTGAGATCCAGCCCCTCGTATGGAAATTGAGTAATTTACGGCTCTGCAACAGCACAGCCACAACTCGACTAAGCTTAAATAGGATATCCACTTGGGATGGGCGCTTGGGCACTGAGCTCTGACAATCAATTCGAGTGATTATATATGGTGAAACATGAAGAATCATTGGTATGGCTAGTATCGCCCGAGAGTCAGCCGTAATGGGACATCAATTTGTCGACCTCCAGGTTCTTTGAGGAGATGAAAGGCCAACAGCCTCGGAACCGAGTATATCGACTCATGGGGAGTCCTCAGGCATCTGCCAAGGAACGGGAAAATGTGGCCTGAGGTTTGACTTGAAGCTCGACCCCACAGCTCAGGGCGTAAATAAAGGGAGACGGCAAAAGACAACAAAGAACTCGGTTCTCCAAGTCTTTGATAGCCGTTTACTCCTAGACCGGGACGGGACGGGGTCTTTGTCGCCAGTCCAGATCTTTCCTGACTAGCGTGGTGTCTTTCAGCTCCTGGCGTTATGATTGCTGGGCGGGTCTCACCCTATCGATCGTCGAGTCCTCCGGCTCTCATCTCATCCCATCAGCTTCCACACCCTTGACTTCCTCCCTCATCCCCCTCCAGCCATTCAGTTTCAGTCTTTGGACAGCTGGGTCTGGTTCTTTCATCCTCCCGCTTCTGTGCGATCTATTTTCATCTGGCTATTTATTCTCCTGATTGCTCTTTTCATGGCCCGATGCGATGTGAGCATCCGTGGACCGCAAGCTGTCTTCTGTCGCATAACAGTTCCTCTTCACTGACCACCCTGTCATTCACTGTGTATCCCGCGAAAATTAGCAGCAATCGAGAAGAAATGGACTCCGAACTCTGAGAACCACTTCTCCCTCCGACTTTCCTGCACAACTCACCTCGCCTACCTTGCGGACTTCTCCTTTTACCCCACATCTCGCCGGCTTCCCCGACTCTCTGAGATTCCCGCGCTGTCTCCCACTCCTCCACCTCTTCCCTCTCCGTCGAGTCGACGCTAGTCCACTCTATAAAATATCCCGGGATGGTCTCTGAGGAGCTCCTGGAGGATTGTCTCCAAATCCTTCAGGATAAATCCCTTGATGAAGAAGACCAAGTCGAGAAGATTGAGGAGTTCCTCGGCGAGAAGACCTCTCTATCAGGAACTTCACTCGAAAATGCCGTCCTCGACATCCTCTGGCGACACCGAAACCGCACCCTTCCGGATTCCTCCCCACCACCACCCCGTCATACCGTTATTCGTCGGTCATCCCCTGCCCCGTGGCAGATGGCTCGATCGTCCACACCATTATCCCCCCACTCCAATCTAGGAACCAGTCCTGGAAGTACGTCATGGATGCAGAGCTCGCGAAGTGGCTTTCCTCGACCACCTCTATCGTCAACAGCATCGCCATTTACTTCGCCTCGTCCTTCTCCAAGGCTTGCGCTCGCCCAGCCTATACCCCATTCGCCGAACCTGAATGCATACGAATTCTCAGATCAAAGCCAGCTCTCAGACTTTTACGGTGACTTTGGTAACGACAGTAACGTGGACTGGTTGGTTGCGGATGATGCGAATAGCACAACGTCGTCCGTGGGTACTCTGAGTATTCAAGGTGGCTTGAGCGCCACGGCACCGGAATTCGTGCCTGATATGAGCCCCCATGATATCTTGCGCACTGTTCTTGGGGACAAACGATCCAACGATGAGATAGAAACAGCGCTAGAAGCAAACGGTTATGATTTGGGCGCCACCATAGCTGCTCTTTCTCAAGGGGTTGATCTTGGGGCATCCTCCACTACGCCGGATGGTGACACCCGAGTTCTGGTGGGGAAATCCATGTCAATGGATCCTCCAAAGACCACAGGGACTCCAGTACAAAATCGCAGCCCTGTGGTCTGCAAGTATTGGTTATCTACTGGTCAATGCCTCCGCGCAGACTGCCGCTTTAGTCATGACCTAACCAGTCACCTTTGCAAGTGAGTATTGCATCCGTCATAGAAAATGTGGCTAGGAAGGAATCACTTACTAATACTCGACCCTAACATCTAGATACTGGGTAATGGGAAATTGTCTTGCTGGGGACGGGTGCCCCTTTTCTCACGATCCGTCTGCGCTGGTTGCAAACCTCAGCATTGACGGCAATAGCTCGACTAATCCTGCCGGCATCGCCTTTCAAGTCGACAATGCTCCAGACGCATTTCCTCCTTTGCAGTCAACAGGTGGATCGGCTGATCAATGGGTCGGCCAACAAGGAGGTAAATACCCAGGATACCTATTTGGCCACCACCCTGTAGGTAAAAACAACTCGCACTTTGGGGGCGCCAAACGCAATGGGAGCGTGACTAGTTTATCACGACCCCACTCTCGCCCAGGAAGTCGACATCAACATCGTGAGTTGAACCCATCAGCGCCGTCCGTGGATGATCCAGATGCCTTTCCGACACTTGCCGCTGTCAGTTCCAAAAATTCAGGCAAGAAGAGTCACGGGAAACGGAACCGTGAAAACAACTCCACAAGAGATAACCTACCTACGTCTCTTGCAGATGTAGTCCGCATGTCCCCTTCGCCCACTCCAGGAAAGGGCAAATCCTCATCCAAGTACAATCGAGAAGGGGCCAAGGGTCGTGAGAACAGCGCTGCCGCGCAGTCTATACCAGCACCACAGCATATTCCCTGGCTTGAAACGGGCTCGCGGACCAACCAGCAATATATCAAGTACCGAACAGAGGCTATTCGCCATGGTACAGTGAGAAACAAGTTTCTCCAAAGGTATGGAGATCTCACGAATTCCGCTGGTTACCCACTAATCGCACTATAGTGCTGCTCAGGCTTGGAACCGGAACGACGCACGAGCCGCGAAGGCCCTATCACTCCGCGGCCAAGCTGAAAATGAGGCGATGCGCAAATGCCATCGCGAAGCCGCGCGACAATTGTACGAAGAACGCAACAAACACCTACAAAACGCAGGACTGGACGACGCAATGGAGGAGCTATACGTCGACCTACATGGTTTACATCCTGAAGAGGCTATTGAGTACCTCGAGAAAATCCTCATCAAACACGCGCGAGAGGGCCACCGTGTGATCTACGCCATTACCGGCACCGGCCACCACTCCAAGAATGGAAAGGACAAGATCGGGAAAGCAGTCAAAGCCTGGCTGAACGAGTGGAAATATATCTTTCGGGAGTTCAGCGTTCCCGGCGAACGCGGTGGGTATGTCGGCGGAATCCTCGGTATTGACCCCACGAGCTACGACAAGGCCATGGCCAAGAGCCTTGAAGAAAGTGGCGATGGAAAGGGGGATGACGACCTTGGGAACCAACCCATTCTCACTATGGGCAAGATCCAGCTCCTCAAGCGTGGAGATATAGGACCGCAACAGTAACAGAATACAGAATATTTGAATTTACCATATGCAATGAGCTAGAACTAGTTCGCGGCATCGTAATCATCCACAATATCTAACAAATACAGTCAAGATACTAACCTACTCAGGCTCCTGATCCCTCCACTTCTTCTTCAGCGCCGCAACATCAAAGTCACACGCCTCCGCCTTCTTAACAATCGACTTGGCCTTTTCAGCAACCGGAACATCAATCATCTTCCCATCCAACGTCCAAGCGCCCCTCCCGGCCCTCGCAGCCTTCTCATCCGCAATGACAACCCTCACAGCCCACGTAACCTCCTCAACATCCGGCCCATAAATCCTCTGCACAGTCTCCACCTGAGAAGGATGAATACACTGCTTCCCATTGAATCCTAGCCCCCGGCCGCCACGACATTCGTCCTCCAACACGGCAGGCGGCGACCCATCGCCCTTATCCGATTTATACGTCGTGCAGACGAGATCAATCGTTGAGGGCAGATTCGCCGCCCGCGCCGCGGTAGCAATTGCAGAGCGCGCGAAGAGGAATTCCGTGAGTGAGGGCGTCCGCGTGAGGCTGAGGTCCAGGGCAAAGTCTTCGGCTGCGAAGATGAGGCCCTGCAGGTAGGGAGTTGCGGCGGTGATTTGGGGCAGGTTTGTGATTGATTTTGCGGACTCGATGAGGGCGAGGAGCGAGATTGGGGGTCTTTCCTGTTGTGGGGATTGCGCCTGGGTGGCTTGTTGGGCCAGAGTGTGGTGTATCACGTCTGTGACGAACGTGAGGTCCGAGGCCGAGTTGACCTTTGGGATCACGATTGTGGACAGGTTGGGGGATTTGAGCTTCGATATCTTGATTAGCGGGATTGTCTTCTTATCGTATAATAGAGGAATTATTTGGGGAACGTACTACTTCAGTTAGGTCTGCTAATGCAAGCCCGCTGTCAACGGAGTTGATGCGCACGGCGCGCTCGCGGATGCTGGCTGGTGCGGGCTCATCGAGAGCTCTCCGCACCAGCGAGCGCGCTTCAGCTTTCTTATGCGGGGTGACGCTGTCTTCGAGGTCGTACGCGACACAGTCGGCTGCTAAGGAGCGTGACTTGTCGATGAAGCGCTGTGAAGAACCCGGGACTGGATTGGTGGTCAGTTGTGCTCATTAATGAAGTTGGTGGGCAGGTCGCGGGGACGGCTGAGGACCAACGGAAATGCGGGGAGAGCTGTTGCGACATACTGTAGAGCAGCGCGCGGCGGAGAGTGTTTCTGGCGGCCATTGTGCTGGGGTTGATACTCTGTCGGGTTCTTATCTCCTCAGTCGACAGTAAGCGTGTGAGCCGCAGGAATATGGAAAGGCGTTGAATATATCCTCGGAGACGAAGAGACCGTAACGGCAGAGACTCGGGGGCATAAAGCCGTCTCGGGGATGGGGTCGTTTCTGCATATGGCCAGTGTCGGACCTGATCGGATGTGTGCCGAACATCGGTTTACTGTCAAAAGCATATCATCCATAGCCAGGAAAAGGCGATTGCTATAGAGCAAAAGAAGACATTCCATTTTTTTTCTATTTATTTAGGAGTGTCGTTTCCAGGTTGCTGACGCGCGAAAACAATGGCCAATATTCTGCCCGTTGACACCGCCTTTTATTGAAGACACGCAACGGCATCATGGTCCCCATCAACATCTCACCTCGCAAACCGGGGAGACAGCGACTGCTTAACGAAAAGAACTATTTTCCCTGAGCGAACCTCGAACCCGCCAAATCAATATTTGAACTTCAAGATGGAGCAACAACCACTCAACCCGCAACCGCAACCGCAACCGCAACCGCAACAAGGAGACTTGAACTGGCGCCTGAGCGCGCATCCAGTCACCCTCCTGGTCTTCCTGGGCATCCGCATCGGCGCTCTGCTGATGTACCTCTTTGGAGTTCTGTTCATTAGTAATTTGTATGTTATCCTCCGCGCAATACCAGCCGGCACTTTGCTTCCCTCAAGCGTAACCGCTAACCCAAACACAGCATCCTCGTCTTCATCCTCACCCTTCTCCTCCTCTCCGCCGACTTTTACTACCTCAAGAACATTGCCGGCCGCCGCCTCGTCGGACTTCGCTGGTGGAACGAGGTCAACGTCTCAACTGGTGACTCCCACTGGGTTTTCGAGTCCGCCGACCCCAACACACGCACGATCACAGCGACGGATAAGCGATTCTTCTGGCTGAGCCTCTACGTGACTCCTGCGTTGTGGATTGGGCTTGGTGTTCTTGCCATCGTTCGGTTAAACAGTGTTATTTGGTTGAGTCTTATTGGTAAGCTATACTCTTGCACTTCCAGAATCTCGAGACAGTTATTAATATGATTATATAGCCATTGCTCTCGTCTTGACGATCACGAACACGACTGCGTTCTCTCGATGCGATCGCTTCAGCCAAGCTTCCACCTTTGCGAATAGGGCGTTCGGTGGTTCGATTGTGGGCAACATTGCTGGAGGTCTCATGGGCAGACTATTTCGATAGATTATAGGTAGTTAGTCGCAAGTCGGAGTACAGTTCTTGGGCGTTGACACCCATGCGTTATATCAATACCCGTATCATATCAATTGACCCCGTTTCATTAAGACCATGAGACGAATGGCGCTGTATTAATCTGCTTGATCTTGACGTGCATCGGCAATATATATGTGGCATTATGCGATTCGACATCCGAGTGAGTTTTGCGCAAATTGAATGACTTCACTGACGCAAGCCTCAACTGTATCAAGCAAGCAGCGGTTTCAAATAGCCCCGCCATCATTCCAAAAGGCATCGAAAGGTTCATCATCGAGCTTAAGTCCACGGGCTTTCGTCCCTTCATCTTAACCACGGGTCCACTGGATAATCCGAACCGAGAGTTATACATAGAGAAAGTGACCAATAGGATTGCTGGATCTATACTTCGCTGGAAAAGCTACAGGAACAACGCAAAGATGGCCATCAAGTCACCAAGAAGATATATTAGTTTTGGAATTTCCTCCAAGAGAGTTATTATGGCCCGGCTGCACCCTTGGGGATTGCTACACGGGGATATGCCATGTCATCGACGAATGGACCATAGGTCAGGTCAAAACGCCTTCGGAATCGGACGAGTGTTTCCACAAGAATATAACACCAAAATGACCAACAATCCATCCCCTCACAAACTATTCCGCAACACCAGAAGCGTCAGACCCGCATCAACGATGAGACTCGCCCCATTCACATAACTCGCCGCAGTACTACACAAGAACACAGCCACGTCTGCAACTTCCTCGGGCAGCGCTGCTCGCCCAAGCGGCGCCTTGTCCTTGATCACCTTTTCAGGTTTGGGGAAATGCTTAAGCCTGGCTTGCATCATGGGGGTGTCCGTCCAGCGGGGCAGATGCTGTTGATGCGGAAGTGGTTTTCAACGTTGTCGACGGCTATCGGGAGGGAGGAAGAGGGTACGGTTAGCTTCGGTATGTAAAACTGAACGAAGCCATGACAGGGTGCCGCTTCAGGGCAGAGATGAAGAGAGAGACAGAAAAAAGGGACATACCAGCAGTCTTCGCAATTCCAATAGCAGCATACTTTGATGCGGAGTATGGCATCATCCCCGGTGCATCAACGTTGCCGTTTACAGATGAAATGACGACGATTGATCCACGGCCTAGACTGCGTGAAGTCTCGGGGTGCCGATAGCTTAGATGGGTTCGGGCTCTTGCTGTGCCATCGCAGCCGAGATAGCACGCAAGACCAGCATTGTACCCCTGGCATTGACGCTAGTGTCTTGTCGAAGACTTCAATGTTGAGGTGTTCAGTTCGAGGCCCGGGGGTGGTTTCCCATCTGGTAAGAGAAACAGTATCAGTTAGCAACCCGAATAGCAAGGAGTAGACAGCTGTGCATGAAGAAGCATGATTTCTATCTTTTAGAGTCTGCTTTACTTACCCCAGCAGCATGGACGCAATAATCAATAAGGCCAAACTACTTAATGGCGATCTCCACCATCTCCGTGATACTATCTTTGTCCGTCACATCGGTCTGGACGGGGATGGCGCCGAAGTTCTGGTTCTTGGACACTCTCTGGCACTCGTTAATTGTGGCATTGGTGGGCTCGTTCAGGTCAGCTAGACCGACCCCCTCAACACCTGCTTCAGCAAAGTCAAGAGTTGTTTCCTTGCCAATTCCGGAGGCGGCCTGGACGGACGTCCTTCGTCAGATCATGTTATGGATATGGATCCCAAGCAACCCGTTCGGCTGTAAGTGTGCTTACGCCTGTGACGAGGGCAATTCCTCCTGGGAGCTGAAGGTTTGCTATGGTTGAGCGGTTATTGTGAGGAACGATAGGTAGAAAAGATGATTGATTCCAGGTTGAACAAGGTGGGAAGGCTGTATGAGGTTTGAATTTAAAACTATGACGACTCTAGTTGCTGACAAGAACAACATCAAAGAAGCCCCTAAGACTAGATCTGAAGTAAAGCCCAGCCAAGAAGCGTTTGTAGCCTTGTGTGACACTTGGACGTCTCGCGTTCTGATATCTCCACAACTACTATACGTGCTATATAAATGTAGTAATTATCAACAAACAGGAAAAGATATGGCCACTAGTAATCGAAGCCGTCGTTTGCAAAACAAGTGATTAAGTGGATAGTCAGGTATTCGAAGTCTCATTTCTGATGAAGGCCCCAGAGGCTTCTTGAAGGTGGTGACTTCAGGGCTGATCTTCACACGGAAGAGCCAATGAGAACCTTAGAAGGCTAGGTCCCCAGCATGGAACCGATCTATTTCCAAGGCTGTCATTCCTTACTTGGGAGCGTCCTACAGACAAACGGGTGCTGCTGCTCCTTTCACACTGTCAGCTAGCTTTTCTGCCACATCAGCAGCGAGGTAAGCGCCTGTCCGCCCCTAGATCCTGCAAGGATCTTCTTCTGAGATTTATGATTCTTTGTTCCGCGGTAAGAGAACTGGTCTCTTATGATAAGTCTGATGTTGACGTCACATCTGATTCTGGCCAGGATATGATATGCGAACTGTCGCGAAGATTTCCAGCGCGACCGAGTGTACGCCCTGCTAGGGTTGTTTTTGCTTAGGCCTACATGCGAGTATAGATTAGGATATCTTTGGTCCCGGGTATACTGTGCAAGTAAAGCTTGGATCGAGAACTGGCAGCGATGCCACAGAAGAGCGTGCGGGAAACCTATGGGTAAATTGGTAGACCATATGTACAGTCTATGGTACTATCTTAATGAAAGAGAGGAACCCCCGACTCTAGGTGTAACGAAAAGCTCTTGTATCTGGTCTTCAACGGCGCCTCATCCGGCCAAATCTATCAGAGGCCTTTTCCAAGTGGGTTGGATTGGGTTGGGAAAAATGTTGTATGTAGGGCGTTGGAAGGTTGGATTTGCAGATATACTAACTTGATCATCGGCACGGAAAGAAATGGTGGCCATATTTTCTCTGTGGTAGTATTCTTGCTATACTATACCAGGCTGACTGCTAAAAGCAATATTGTACAAACAAGTAATGTAACCTTGCAGCCGGGGTTAGATATGCTCCCGCGACGTGGCGTTGATTGATGGTGGCGGAGTAGTATATTGGAGTCTGGGCCACTGAAGTATATTACAGGGGTTATGCTTAGCGGCAATCTTGGCCATGAGAACGTGAGAATGATGCTTGAGGGATGTTGCACGTTTTTGTGACTAATGTAGGGCATGGCAGATGTATGGTGCCAGTTTTTGAGATTATGTAGATGTTATCACGGGTAGTTTGACACCAAGACTCCAGGAGCGAGCGAATGGTGATGTAATGATTCATTTACTAGACAGTCTTCAGAATATAGTAGTATGTGGAGCAAAAACGAGAGGACGAGAATGCACGATTGCATGAGCCTCAGCGCTTAGGTAGATCTCATGGCGCCAGCCTTTTGCTCCACACAGCCACCACGCCCTTCTACCTGACAGACTCAAAGCTTCGGGCCTCTACCTTTCTGCCTGTCGGAAACGCCTTGTTGACTTCGATGTGCCTCGTGGGTGTAAGTATAAGTATTATCACCGTTGCTTTCAATGCTGGACTGCTAGACTGCCAATTGATAAGCCGGCGCTTAATCCTATCATGGGCAGAATGAGGGGCATTTTCTCGAAAAGTCCGACGACATCGCAAAGTGATCTTGAGAGCCAACAGACCCCGCAAGTGCAATGGAAACAGACTATGTACTTTTGTTCTTTAGACGCTTTTCGACTAGATACTCACAACCTCTAGTTGAAAGCTACCCGCCGGGATACCCACGATTGGCAGCCTTGGTAGGCGCTGACCCAGCCTTCAACATCGCTCGACGGTTCAGTATTCTGCGTGCCAGATTATTGCACTTAAAGCAGGATAGGCTATCAGCACTGGGGAAGAAATTGGAATCCATCGATCAAGAAGAAAAGGCTGTTCTCTTTCTAGGCGCTAGCCGGCGGGATAAGAATGTTGAGCGCCAGGCGGTCATTGCGGATATTGACATTGCTCTGGCGGATTATGGTATGTTGATGGCAGCCCGAGTCGCTTCCATGATGCTGATAGTCGCCAGATGCGTTTCTAGCAAGAAATGCACAGATCCTCCATTTCAACGACGCCCTGTGAACATCGTAACCAGTCTTCGGAGATGGGTCAGTAGCACCGGCGACATAGCTCGAGACGAGACGGAGTTCCTCGACTATCCTGACCTAATAACCCTATCGACACCGGTTGATTGTACATTGAAGGATATCGAGAGCTGGATAGAGCGTGGCCTGGTTCGGCATTGTGGCCGGTTCTACAAGGTACCATCTCCTCTTCCAACAAACCTGTTCTCAAGACATCATCATTAATTCTCCACTTCAGAGCCGCTGCAACGATCTTTCAGATGACCCAAACATTTTCATCCCTTCAGACCTGCTCACCATGCGGCTAGCTCGAGCGGTACTTGGTCTGCTGATTATCATCCTCCTCATGGTGCCCGTGTTCGTCTGCAACTCGGTAGTCGAAACGGGGCCGCGATTGGCTGTTATTGGTGTTTCAACGACGGCTTTTGTTGCCATAATGTCGGGGCTGACTAGGGCTAAGTCGGTGGAGTTGTCCGTTGCCGGTGCTGCGTAGGTGGATCCTGACCATGATATATGTAGTTGAACAGGTTGGTGCTAACGAATGTCTCTAGATATGCAACTGTTTTGACCGTTTTTATCACACAGTAAGATGATGTGAGTGTGAAGATTGCGACATTCTTGAGGGCATCGTTTTTTGTTATATATGTAAAGTATTAGTATAAGTTTTGTAATTTGCATGGGCATTTTCAGGTTGCTTTGGAAAGAGCTCTTGGGTCAGTGAGACGGGTGCCCGAATTGGGTTTAGTGCGCATCTCCCTCCAGCGGAACTTCGAGAATCGCCAGCATCATCTCTGGCTTCTCAAGTTCTCATATCTCAATCTGTACCGTGATCCAAAAATCAAGATCCTCAGGATGGCAAGCCTCAATTGGTTCAGCTCTCCGCATCACCTCGTGTTGATCGCCAAGACTAGCCCATATCGCAGCAGTCCCATTGCACCACCCTTGGCTAACCAACAGCCACTGTCTTCGTGATTGATCAACACCGCGAGGAGACTTTCTTTGTTCTCAACCGCTCACATGATGAACCCCCTGTCTCTTTCCTGCTATTATGTTGGCAGCTCCTTTGTCATCGAGAAGGTACCTGCCGTCAGATTCCAGAGTACATACAATGAGCCAAGGTGTGCTACAGACGCCGTCAAATTCATCTAGGAAAGCCAGCCATGTCCCGCCTCTGCAGCCTCAAGTTTCGGGACGAACACATTCCAGACCAGCACAACAGCGAGCGGCACAAGCATTCTTGCAGTGCAGGATGCGCAAGGTCCGTCGCGATGTAATGCTCAGAACCCCTCCATGTACCAATTGCTCGCTGGACGGCGTGGAGTGCAGAATAGCCGACAGCTTCAGGCGTCGTCCTCCTCAAAGAGAGAGAGGCAGGCAGTTGTGCATATTTCGCCAGCACAGAGCTCACGCAGTCACACTGAGCCATTTGGAGAGAGCTAGACGGGTCTGTTTGAAGCCCCTCCTACCTTGCAAAAACCTGCTCTTGAAGACCACCTCTCGCACTTTCAGCCAACAGTTGAGAGCACTCTTACACATCCCCCGAGATCTGACCGAGAAGCGTACTTACAGACAGTCCTTTCTTCTAGTCTAGGAAGGGACCGTGTCTCTTATGGCTCAGGGAGGGACATGGCGGACTTTGACAACTATCCGCAGCGGCACCCCGTATGCCCTCCATCGAGGACTCATCATCATCATCATCATCAAAAAGACACTTACTTACCTGACTACATTCGGGCTTTCTCGGTGCCACGACCTGAGGACCTGGAATTTCTGCGAGCGCGCGGGGTTTTCGTTTTGTTGCCGTATGACATGCAAGTGCTGGTTCTGGACCAGTTTGAGCAGTTCATTCATCCACAGCTCCCCGTATTGGATTCCCTGGAGTTCCGCTCTGCAATATGCGGTGGAAATCAGGAGTATAAACTTCCGCTCATCCTCTATCATGCAGTAATGTTCGTTGGCCTAGCCCTCATGAAAGGCGACTTCATGAAGCGATTCTCATTCACTCCGATGCCCACGGCGAGAGAAGCCTTTTATGAAAAGGCCAAGGTTAGTGTTCTACCATACTGCGTGTAGCTCACCCATCTAACCGTGACATAGGCATCGTATGATATGAATGTGGAGCAGGATCGTGTGGTCCTGTGCCAAGTGTCTATCCTACTTACCGAACGAATAGACTTGGCTGACCCGAAAAATGTCATGTTTTGGATTGGTAATGCAATCGCACATGCGCACGACACAAAACTCTACCGACAAGAGCCTAGATCACCATCCCCACCCAAGCGGAACTTGCGGAAAATTCTGTGGTGGATTATCCTTATCAAAGAGTGTACGCTTTGCATGGGCCTTCCTAATCCACCGCGAGTATGGCGGTTAGGCACGCCATTAGTCACAATGAGCGATTTTGCACTCGAAGAAGCCGAGAGCAATTGCCCGGAGCAAGCACAGCATCACGAATCAGCGGCGGCAACACTGGCACTGATGTTCATCCAAAGAGTCAGAATGTACAGTCAGATATTCCATGCCCTACGAACTTTGCACGAAGTCATAGGACGATTCCACGGAACGCCATTCAGCGGGCCCCATATCGCTCTGCGAAAGAACCTGAGCCAACTACTGTACTCGTGGTACTCGGAGGTGCCCTCAGGGTGGTGGGTCAGGAACATGAGCGACAGCGCAGAAATGGTCCCTGGCCAACGCAGCATGCTCGAGCTGATGGCATCGACTGAGATCTTGTACTGGACAGCCCAGATGCTCATCTACAGGGATGACCTGCTGGTCGAGTTGAGTCCGCACACCAAGCCCGAGTTCATGGGCGAGCACGGGCCCCAAGCCGGGCATACTCGGCAGTTACTGCACCACGCCGCTGGCGAACTGCTCAGCGTTACACAGAGAGCATTTGCCCTGGATGCTGGTCAATATCTTGCTGGGCGTTCATCTTTGCCGTTTTCTCCGTCGCGGCGATTTTCTTCCAGGACTCCGGTAGCCCTGACGTGGGACTCGCGAGAACAACCTTCGCATGATCAACGAGTGTCTTGACCTTGCGCACTGTTCGCTGGATAAAGTCCCGAGTATGGCCGGGGCCGTTGCGAAGATGGAGCAGGCTGCGAGAGGACTAAAACAACGTCTTTCTCAAGCACAGGGAGATACTACCCGTGAACCTGAAAGTGCTCATCCGTTGCTGATTCACAACTCAACAAGTGGCCTGCAAGAGATTGCGCCGCACTTCTATCTGGGCGGAAACGATAGTGATCAGGGAACAGATGCGCAGAAAGAACCAGACTATAGCGGCATTAATCTTGACCTCGGCGCACCCGGATTTGATTGGGTCCTTCCGGATGTTGGAATCTAGAAATGAAATTTGAAATGTATGTGAACTCGACATACGTTCCTATATCCAAAGAAGGGTCTCGAGCAAAAAAGATCCACGAACATCTCATTGCAGCGATTCGGAACACTATATAGAAAATAGTAACACCTAATGAGCAAGCGATTCATTCCCGCGTTTCTTGAAAATCAGGTTCAACGGCCGCAAGGCAACCACAAAATGATCGTGCGATCTGAGCAGGTCGCTTCCATCCTCCCCAGGCGCGAACTCCACATCGAATTTGGTGATGAGGTGAGCGGCTAGCAACCGGATCTCGATAAGCGCCAAGTTCTTTCCAATGCAACTATATGGACCTGTCGAGAAAGGTGCAAAGGCGTCTCTATGCTTGATCAGCTCAGGGCGCGTCGAGAAGCGCTCGGGGATGAATTTATCAGCGTCAACAAAGTGCGATTGATCTGTCTATGGTCAATATCCGTTTGATCATCTGAAAGGAGAAGAAACTCACCGCGCCCCATCGCGTAAAAGTTCACCAGCATCACCGTGTCGCCTGGAATGTACTGTTCACCAACATAGACGCCCTCGGGCGGAGCCTTGCGGTATAGACCACTAGGGACGGGCGGATGCAGCCGGAGAGCCTCGTTGATGCACCCGTTCAATAATGGAGCAGACTGGATTTTGCGATGATCAAACTCCCCACGGCCAGTCAACTCCTCGATCTCTTCCCGCAGACGCTGCAGAAGACCAGGCTCGCGCGCGATATAGTAGAACAAGAACGCCATTGTCGTCGCAGTCGTATCACTTCCGGCAACGATGATAAGCTTACTATCAAGATACATCTTCTTAAGCTCCGCCTGCCGTTCACTCCCCTCTAGTCCCTTTGTGAGAAAGTCATCGATGAGGTAGTGCGTGATATCTGGATTCGTTTGCTTGCCCTGCAGACCAATCCGAGTTTCGATCTGTTCAGCGCTGAACCGGAGAAAGGTGTAATATGCCTTTCGTGCGCCGGGAATCGACATGAGCAGACGTGCAGACCAGCAGGGCAGCCCGAAGCCCGCGCCTTCCTGCTGCTTAGCAAGCAGATCAACTGCCCAGTGGCCTTTTGCTGAGGAGAGCATCTTGAATGACTGCCCAAAGGCTAGGTCGCCCATGACATCAAAGGACCAGAAGTTGAACCACTGCGAGATGTCGATTGGTTTGCCTGTTGCTGTTAGCAATGCTCAGAGCATTTTACATACCGGGGAACGAGGTACCGCTAAACCCTTCAATCTGCTGAATCAATGCCTGATTATACCCCTTGATCCGCGCCTCATACCCTCTCAAGGCCTTATCACTAAATGCTGGACTCCACACTCTCCTTCGACGATCATGCTCTGCCCGGCTTCGCGTGGTATGCATCGACGCCGCAGGCAGCTCAAGCGTATACCACTGCGCCTTGACACACTTTGTCTGCGGCCCCAGCGCAACACGCACAACGTCCGCATCAGAGACGGAAATGTCGTTCGGACCGATCCGCACGAATTTCCCCCATTTCTTGTGGCTGTCATGTAATTTAAGGAACATGTCCTTGTTCCGGGCTACGCGGATGACATGGTCGAAGCCTGTGATTTTCGCCAGCGGGTAGCCCGGGAATCTATTCAGTGGGTTTAGGAATTGTCGGTAGACTAGCACGCTGGCAAAGAGCGTTGAGAGGAAGGTGAGCGTTAGGGCTGTGGCTGTCTGCGCTGCGGTCGTGGTTGATGGATAACGCGATGGATCGAGGTGTTTAATGGTTAGTGTCGTGAGAATTCCGAGAGTGAGAACAGCCTGCACGTGCCGCCAGGGATACAGGTGATGCTCCCCTTTGTGGTAGTAGAGCATGTATGTCGCGACGCCGAGGACGCCCGCCGCGAGGTGGAGGATATCCGTCGTGGGCAAAGACATCGCGGTGGAGACTGTACCTCTGGGAGATCTTGTCCTACGAGCTAGATCGGTGGTTGGTGTCTTAGCGACGGGCAGAGCATTCTTTATCGGTGAGACAGCCAGCTTAGATTGTAAGACAAGAAGGCTGAGCGGGGAAGAGCGAGGGGCAAAGAGATCAAACCCATTGGCCTCGGCAATTTGCAGTGGAGGAACGAGATGAAGATGTGGCCGGGAACGGGATCAGTTGTGCAATGACTCGAGTTGTGAACGAATAATGACTCAGTGCTTTGTACATGCGACCTACTATGTATGTAGTATTTAGGTATACGTTGTAGGCATCCACCCGGCCTGGCCTGCGTCTACGGAAACGGAGATAAAATGTCCAATGATGGTGGAAACTGGGCTAAACGACGGATTCGGAATATGCAATGTGCACCGTGGACCTTGGAAGTCCACTACACTTCCGCTCGGTAGGCTGCGAGCCAACTTGCATTTCTCATCCCCGAGCGCGATTTCTTCAGCTGGTAGCTATCCGAATGCAGGCAGCGACTCCTTGCGTTGTTCTGTAGATCATGATATCTCGAGACCCAAGACTCTGCTCGAAAGCCGGGCCAACACCACCAAAACTAAAATTTGAAATCCGAAAGCTCATTCCAAATCTCACCTCGAACAAAGAAACCGCTGATCGATGATCCGACCTCCCCCGCAACTTAAGCCACCCAACAACAGGATCTCCCCTCCGTCCCCACGACCGGCTTTGCGGCGCCCCATAAGCCGACGGCTCACGGAACCCTACAGGCTACAGGCTACAGCCTCTGCCTCCCTCGACCGCCACCCCTTGCTTCGCTCTCCCCCGGCCCAGTATCGTCTTCCTCTGCCCTGCTTTTCTGGATCTGCTGAGCGTTTCCCTGCATCTCCCTCACAAGCCCCCAAACATTCTCCGCCGTCGGCCACGCCATGGCCCCAAACTCCTTGGCCGACGCACTACTCGCCTGCCGCAGCGCATACCGCGCCGCAATCCCCTGCATAATCACCGCGCCCCGGAACCCAGCAAACGCCCGGCCCCATGTGAGATCTTTCCGGACGTCGGCGTAGCCGCCTCCCGCTGTATACCAGTCTATACATTCCTCGAGGGTTGGGAGGCCTGATTTGGCGAGATCGCTGCCGGATGGTAAAGTAGGAGAAAGACTCGAGGAAGAACCCTGCACGCCCCAGGTATGCGGCAAAAAGGGACTGACGAGCGAAACGATGTCCGAGAGCGGGTGGCCCAGCGTCGCCATCTCCCAGTCTAGTACACCGATTACCCGGGGCTCTGTCTTGTGGAAGACGATGTTGTCGATTTTGTAGTCGCCGTGCACGATCGAGGTTCGATCTGCGGGCTGGTTCTGGGAGAAGAAGGTGGTCATTTCTTCGAGGCGTGGGAGGGGCCCGATCGCGGTTTTGGTGTCGACGTCTGTGGCTAGGGCTTGTGTGCGTGAGATCGAGGTGAAGGTTTTTATTTGCCGCGTATAGAAGCCGGATGACTTTCCTAGCCTGGTGAGGCTGAGGGATGTATAGTCCAGTGTGTGCAGTTTGACGAGCGTTTCGACCGCGGAGCGCCACCTATTCCTGAATCAGCTTCATCCATCATAGACCAGAAAAAAGTTAAACAAAAAACGTAGGCATACATCTCCCTCCTCTCCCCGGGATTTACCCCAGGCATAAGCGGATCCGTAATAAACCTCCCATCCAAAAACTCCATGACATAAAACGCCGTCCCAATCACATCGACGTCCTCACAGAGAACATAGACCTTCGGAACGGGGACATCTGTATCGCGGAGCGCATGGAGGATGCGATACTCGCGCTCGACCTGGTGCGCTGTCTTTGAGAGGAGTTTCCCTGGTGGTTTCTTGCGGAGGACGAAGCGGGATTTGGTCGGGGAGGAGGAGGTCAGGAGGTAGGTTGGGTTGCTTTGGCCGAAGCCGAACTAGGTGGTTGTTACGTGCTTAGCTATCTTTGTTTTTTCTTTTTCTTCCGGGGAGGCAGAGTTGCGACGAAGCCTGTGAGAGGGAGAGGTACCTGCTTTACATCGAGCGGAGGGATAATCTCTGGGACATGTTTTGCAAGATAGCGCTCAAGCGAGGGGATGTCGATTGGTTGGCGAACTGGGCCGGCCATTGGTATTGCTTCAACCTAGAGGACCGGATAGTAAGGGATTTAGGACTACCTACGTCTAAGATATATCAAAGATATGAGGGAGAGGGTTAGTCTTGTAGCACCGATGAAGCTGAATATGGGCGGCCGGCAAGATATCCCCTTGGACCTCGGACGGATCGCGAAGCCGCGAGAGCTCGGGAGTCTCCCATCATCGAGCAACTACCATTACGACTTACTATCTCGATAAAACATCAAAATAGCGAACCCAGCAATCCAGAAGCTAGAGCGAGATATACTACCAAGTATCACATCTTCCACTTATTCTGCGACGTCAAAATAGGTCCCAAGAAACTCCGGCTGACGACCTCCCCCTCTCTGGAACCTCCGGCTCGAAAATGCGGGGGAAAAGCGGGGGTGGACATCGCTGACTCGGGGCCATGACGCAACGCAAGCATAACATGTGAGCCGGCCAGCGAGCTCCAAGATCTTCGACTGAGCGGAAAGTAAGCTTACTTGCATTTCCCATGGCGATCGATATTAAGGTTTGCATATCTATACAGTGCCATGGCTCGTGCTGGATGGTCGGAGCATGGCACATCCGGATCCGGACTGCGTACGGAGGTTGGGTTCCACTGTATGTCGTTAACGACTTGCAGCGGTTGTCTAGAAGCATAATATTAATGTGCTCAGATGATCGAGGTAGGCTGCATGCAAGTCTAACCCCGCATGGTATTTTGCTCCCGTGCTCTCGATGAGGGCCATAGAGTTAGTTTTTATCTATGTTTCACAGAGTAGATTTGCAGATTTTTTTTCCAGTCCTTCATCAGGATTCAGATTGCCCACTATGGATTCTTACTGCAAAGGGTCGGAAAAGACAATCTTGCGATGTTATAAGTATGCAGCATGAACTCGAGGGGCTGCCTCGTGGTTTAGAAACAGCGGGTACCCTCGGAAATAGCCCTAAGTCTGACTCGAGTCTCCCAAAAAAAGAAAAAAAAAAGGTTCTCAAACAAAAGAAACCATACGCAAGAGAACTTGGAACTGACTCTGCAGGAGCAACTGGCCCGCGCCCGCTCACGATAAGCAAAGGAACTGGTTGGAAAGTCGAGGTCACTAACCCGCCGCCTGCATCCGCATTCATGCGCCCCTCCTCCCGTCTCGCCAGCGTATACCCGAGCCCCGCAAGTGGGGATGCGATGTGAATGCGACCCTTGGCCCTGTACGCTTACGCCGCGGCAGAAGAAACAAAAACCGAGGGGTTTGCGACAATTATAACAAGAGGACAGATGGCATTATTTCCCAGAATTTGAGCTGACGGGAATATAAGTCTCTTGCGCGCGCATCCCGACTTAACCTCTCAATCCAAGTCCAAACCGAAGTGCTAAGCGACAACTGATACCGGCCAAAATGCACACCAAAGCCATCGTCGCGCGCGAACCCACGACACACCCCACGTGGGGCATCGAAGAAGTGGACATTGGTTCCCCCGCCAACGACGAGGTCCTCGTCAAGATCACCGCGACGGGCATCTGCCATACGGATATCTTGCTCTCGTCGATACCGACGGGAAACCCGTTGGGGATTGCGTATCCGAAGATTCTGGGACACGAAGGTGCGATCTCCTTGCCGTTTCTTTGTTTCGCAATTTCAAGTTCAGTGGGTGGGGGTGATTGAGTATAGCAGCTGACTCGCGCAGGCGCCGGAATCGTCCAGGCAACCGGCAAAAACGTCACGAGTGTCGCCGTCGGCGATCAGGTCTTGCTCTCGTACTACTCGTGCTCATCATGCGCGCAATGCCAGGCGGATAAACCGATGTACTGCGCGCAGTTCCATGTTGAAAACTACGTCGGGCGCAAGGGGCCGACCGTGTGCAAGGCGAGTGGCGAGGAGACATGGGCGCGGTTCTTTGGACAGTCGAGCTTCGGAGAGTACAGTCTTGTCGCGGAGACGAGTGTCGTCAAGGTTACGGGGCTGCTGGAGAGTGAAAAGGAGTTGAGCTTATTTGCGCCGCTGGGGTGTGGGTTCCAGACGGGGATGGGTGCTATCAAGAATGTGGCAAAGGCCGGCAAGGACGATGTCGTGTTGATCATGGGAATGGGTGCTGTTGGGATGGCAGGGCTTATGGTGTGTTACTCTGGATTTGAATTCAACGTCGAGATGGTACATTGACAAGTTGGGTAGACGGCCAAGATCCAGGACTGCAAGACAATCATCGCCCTGGACCGATTCCCAGCCCGCTTGCGGCTCGCCGAGGAGGTGGGCGCGACACATACAATCAATACTGCGGTGCCGGACTTTGAGTTCCAGCAGGCTGTCCGGGATATTTCACCAAACGGAGCCTCGGTAGTGCTCGACACCACGGGTGTTGGCAAGCTGATAGAGGAGGCATATCAGAGCCTTGCCCCGATGGGGAAGCTCGTGCATGTCGCCATGCCGCCGCCGGATTATAGATTCAGTCTTGATATCGCGAGATTGTTCGCGGTGAGTTCATCAATCCCTTTATAGTCGGCGAAGCTAATGAACAGGCCGGCAAAACAATCACAGGATGCATCGAGGGGAACTGCCTCCCTAGCGAGGTAATATACTCTCATCACTAACCCTCAAGGTAGTCTATGCTGACACCAACAGGCAATCCCCCAAATGATCCAGTGGTACCGCAAAGGCATCTTCCCGATCGACAAGCTCGTCTCATACTACAATGTAAGCTGCTTACTCCCCCCTCAAAGTATCCGCACCTCAGCTGATCAAGCAGGCCTCCGATTTCGAGACTGCATTGGCCGAGATGCACGACGGGGGCGTGCTCAAGCCGGTTCTGATATGGGATTAGGGCGAGCAGGGCATTATCTCCGCAGTCAAGCTCCACTGCTGGTTCCACTCTACGTATGCCCAGAGGCTAGTCTTCCGTGGTGGACCGGTGGTGGTCTTTCATGATTGATGTAATTTTAGGTTCTGAGGTGTTCATTGAGCTGTGAGGGGAAAGTGTGATCTGGGAATGGACTACGGCCGAACAAATGCAGCGTGACTCCATTGCACCATAGGCGCCTAGGTACTCCGGACGAAAGCCGGTTTTAGAGGAACAGAGGAACTCCTCTTTCACTCGAGGTAGGACCCTCGGAGTGTAGATCGCATAGCCGACCCCCTCGGCGGAGGCTGCGGCACAGTTCCCCGCACGTTGTCACGGCGTTGGTGTAACACAGGACCAACTCACCAACTCTAGAGTATAAGACAAAGAACTGGCTGCCTACCTGCACACCGACCAACTTTCTGTTCTTCACTCTTTCGCTTTCCACTCTGATCTGATCATCAGTCAATATGGCCATCGCCGAACAATTTAACGTCTTCGAAGACTTCCAAAACATCATCAACGGCAAAAAGTCCTCGACAGCAGAGACCCGCCACGGCATCAACCCAGCAACAGCCAAGCCCAACCCCGAGGTCCCCGTCTCAACCCAGACGGACGTCGACAATGCTGTTGCTGCCGCCCAAGAGGCTTTCAAGACCTGGTCTGAGGTTCCTCTCGCGGAGCGCGCAAATGCTCTAAGGACTTTTGCAGATGGGCTTGAGCCGTACGCCGAGGATTTCGCAAAGCTCCTCACGCAGGAGCAAGGAAAACCCGTATGTCCTTTCTTGCTCCATCTGGAATATAGTACTAAGCGATTGGGCAGCTCTCCTTTGCAACCTCCGAAGTAACAACAGGCATCAAGTCCCTCCGCGACACAGCAGACCTCTCCCTCCCCGACGAAATAATCGAAGACTCTGCCACCCGCAAGATCGTTGTCAGACACACGCCCCTCGGCGTCTCCGTCGGCATCGTCCCCTGGAACTTCCCTTTTGCTCTGGGGATCCAGAAACTGGCACCCGCCGTGCTGATGGGGAACACGATTATCATCAAGCCCTCGCCATTTACGCCGTACTGTGGGCTAAAGGTTGTCGAGCTGGCGCAGCGCTTCTTCCCGGCTGGCGTTGTGCAGGTGCTAAGTGGTGGGGATAATTTGGGGCCGTGGTTGACAGAGCATCCGGGGATTGAAAAGATTAGTTTTACGGGGAGTTCGGTTACGGGGAAGAAGGTCATGGAGAGTGCATCAAGGACGTTGAAGAGGGTTACTCTTGAGCTGTAAGCACCCCGGAACTCTTCTCTGGACGTATACTGATCTCGTGTAGTGGAGGAAAAGACGCTGCAATTGTCTGCAAGGACGTGGATATCGAAGCCGCAGCAGCAAAGGTACACCCCTTCTATTTCCTCGAGATACGCCATACTAACAAAACCAGCTCATGACCTTCGGCTTCATAAACTCCGGTCAAGTTTGTCTCGCCATAAAACGCCTCTACGTGCACGAAGAGATCTACCAAAAATTCCTCGCCGCCGCAGCCGCATACACCAAAACCATCTCCGTCGGCGCCGGAACAGACGAAGGCGTCTTCATGGGCCCGCTCCAAAACGCCATGCAGTACGAGAAAGTAAAAACCTTCTTCGAGGGCGTCACACCCGACCAACTCAGTCTAACAAACGGCGGCGTCGACGAGTCGAAACCGGGCTACTTTATCCGCCCGACAATCGTCGACAGACCAGCTGAAGACTCTCGCCTCGCGACGGCAGAACAGTTCGGCCCTATCCTCCCCTTCCTCACGTGGAAGGATGAGAGTGATGTAATTGCCCGGGCGAACGGGACGCGCATGGGACTCGGTGCGTCGGTTTGGTCAAATGATCTGGATGAGGCGGCGAGGATTGCGAGTAAGTTGCAGGCGGGGTCTGTCTGGGTGAATACGCACATGGAGCTTGATCCGCGCGCGCCGTTTGGTGGACACAAGGAGAGTGGGATTGGGTGTGAGTTGGGGCTCCATGGGCTCAAGGGGTGGACGAATTTGCAGACTTTGTATTTCAAGAAGGCTTGAAGTCGAGGTGCTAGGTAGAAATGAGATTGCTGCTTTGCTTTCATCGGATAGCTGGTAATGAAGGGGCCCCGGGGTAGCAATGACTTCCCATATTTGGACTGCAATCCGTTCATTCTGGCCCCCATTGACTGCCCTAACAACCCACCCACTCATGCCACTTGACCGGCTTGGGATCCCTTTTTTCGCGGGGCCAAGTACTGGCAATTGCTGCAAGTTTCACTTGCACTTTCCGCCGACGATATTCCACGTAAGCCTGCCAGGAGAAGTCATTATTGGGCTACCAGAAGATGTTCGGTGGAATTTCGGGCGGGCCAATTCGCCGCGGTCGACACGCACTTCAAGTGGAGCAGTCCTGGCTGAACGGAGTGTCAGTCAATCCACAAATCCGCCGAGGTATGGCATGTCCTGTCCTTTTATTGGTATTTCTAGGGATCGCGAGCGAAGCGATGGTGGCGTTAGTTCAGAAGAATTCCTCGCCTGGCGTTCAGTCCCCAACGCGAGACTACTGTCCTACCCCAGCGCAAGTGATTGACCAGCGAAATCCGGGGAAATGTTGGAGCACACGCCTAGGGGAGTTACGTTGCTCGGGCTAGCATGGCCCGATCGACACCATGTGCGGAGTTTCTGGCTACATCAGTGGGGTTAATGGGCCAATAATTGTGATCCTCGTACTCGGGTTCGCCTGTCGTATTTGTCGTACTTTTGTGTTCGTACATCCTACTTGTGTCGCCTCTGGAACAAGTGGATGGATGTTCTTGGCGCAATGTGCAAAGCTATATAAAACTTAGACAAAGAATATCGATGAGATTGTCATGAATCGATACATCCCGATATTAGTGAGACTTTTCAATGATCGTCCTTACCGTCCTCCAGTTTCTACTACTCGGGATATCCTTCCCTGCGGTCTGTCGAGGTGTATATCCTGCAGCGTTAGACCAGTTCGAACACCCTCCGGCAACATCAAGAATCAAATTCCGCTATTGGTAAGAGCTCTCGCGATCAAGACTCATGTGCTCTTTACTAAAGGCACGATGCAGGATTCCGGATGCAAGCATCCCCGTCGCGTCAGTCCAGCAAGATATTGCGGATCTCGCGTCCAACGGTGCGGGGGGCTTGCAGTTTGTCCCCTTCTATTATTATGGCAACCCTAGTGGTGCTCCCCCACTCACAGACTGGAACGTGTTTGGCTTCGGCACCGAAGCCTTTCGACATCTGTTTGAGGGAGCATTGGAAGCAGCGGTGGAGAACAACGTCTTGATGGATTTTGCTTTGGGTGCCAGCCAGGGCCAGGGAACTCCTGCAGAACCTGGGACAGAAGGCCTTTCGCTTCAGCTTGTACGGGATCCTTTTGTTTCTATGAAAGCTAATGTACTGACTGGATAGCAACTGGGTGTCATGACGGTTAATCCGGGAACTGTAGTCACTGGCCCAGTTCCTGGCCCTCAGAATCTCACCGAGACCCTTCTATCAGGAGGTGGATTCATGCACGGTCTCGCTGATGCTGAGAAGGGAGAGTTGAAGGCTGTCATTGCTGGGAGGGTAATATCAGGTTTAGTGACCCGCCGGATACTTGGTCTATGCTCTAAACACGATGCTAATGCTCTTGAAATGAGACAGAATCCGCTAGCGACAATACAGCGACAAAAAAAGTGAGATTAGACGAGCAGTCAATCATTGATCTCAGTCAGTATGTGGAGAATGGACGCTTGAACTGGCAGGCTCCAGCAGGCAACGGAAACTGGAAGATATTTTCATTCTGGGAGGGCTTCACGAACCAAGTGTCTTGCACTGGGGGCGTCAATGGAACAACAACTATTGAGAAAGGCTCTTTGGTGGTAGACCATTTCAGCGAAGCAGGGGCGAGATTACACACTGACTTCTTTGACAATCATGTTCTCGTGGACAGCACCACCAACGAAGGTCTGAGGACGCACAGCGCTTATGGTGAGTATTGCCTGGATTATCAACACACAGTGGCCGCAGCTACTGTTTATCCTTCTATCCTTACCGAAAGGCTAACTGAAACCAGCCTGGGAGGACAGCATGGAGTTACTGTTTGCTCTTCCCTGGACACGAGGATTCCTCACTCGATTTGAGACGACCCATGGATATAGTCTGGTCAAGTACCTGCCCCTTCTTTTTGGCCAAGCCAACTCCTGGGGGGAGAACTTCCCCCCATACCCAGAAGAATACGAGTATGGGGAGTACTATCCAGATGGGCTTAGCATTCACAACGCAAATTACCGGGATACACTGAGTGAATGCTATCAGGAATACCTACATTCCCACGTCCAGTGGGCCAAATCGCACGGAATAGGCTTTTCGGCCCAGCCATCATACAATCTACCCTTGAGCTTCGTTGGTTTCCCCTTGTTTTCTCTCATGTTCTTTCCAATCATTTGCTAACAAAATCAACATAGGCGAATGAAATTCCAGCTGTCGATGGTCCAGAAGGCGAGTCACTAACGTTTGGAGACCGCCTAGATGCCTACCGGAGCCTTTCTGGCCCAGCGCAGCTTGCAGGCAAAACCGATATCTCCTCTGAGGTTGGGGCCATGTCCATTCCTGCATTTAGTCAGACTATTCCCGACCTGCTTCTGTCTATTAAGAAGTCTTACGCTGCTGGCTTGACAATGATGGTTATTCATGGCATGTCATACAGTGGCCCATACGTGGGGACATCCTGGCCTGGATATCAGCCGTTCGCGTATAGATTCACCGACACGTGGAGCCGTGTCCAGCCCTCCTGGCAGCATATGAAAGATACACTTGACTACTTGGGGAGAAATCAGCACATTCTCAAAGCTGGGAAACCCCGCATTGACCTTGCGATGTATTACTCTCCCAGCCGTTGGAGCAGCAACCAAGTCTATGACTCTGACAATCTTCAACAACAAGGTCTGATCTGATAACTCCCTAGCATGTCTATATGGCGTACTAACCATAATCAGGATACGCATACAATTTCATCAGCCCTCAAAATTTGCACCTCCCCAATGTGTCCGTTTCTGATGGACTTCTTGCGCCTAATGGGCCCGGGTACCAAGCATTGGTATTCCTGAATGATACAAGAATCGACGATAAAGTTTTGTCCAAGGTCAAGGAGTTCAGCCATGCCGGGCTGCCTGTTTTCTTCGTTGGTGACGTCCAGTCCCCCCCGCTATCGCCACAACCCAATGAAACTGGAAACACCAGTGATATGGTGGAGGAGCTGATTAAAAACGATAACATCCACCATGTCAGTACATATGACGAGCTCCCAGCAGCTCTAGAAATGGCAGAAATCATACCACGCGTGCAAATTGATGCAGTCAACAGCTCTGTCCTGAGCGTCTACCGCACAGAGCCCGAGTCTGGAATCGACTACATTTGGCTTTTCAATAACGCGGCTGTCGCAACCACTTTCACCGCAGACTTTCGCGTTCATGGTCGTTTACCGTTTTCTCTAAACGCCTGGACTGGGACGCCACGCCCTATCGCAAGATACTCATTCTCTGATAATCGGCTGCGGATTCCGCTAACACTACAATCCTTCGAGACAACTATCATAGCTCTGAAGCCCTTGACGGTTGCAAGGCCGCCCTGGGTCGCCTACAGCACAGACCTGGTTGAGGCAGTCAATTACAACCGAGATGGGAGGCTTGTTGCCAGCCTTAAAGGACCAGCAGTTGTCACGATTAATGGCACTGAAAACAAAACGCTTAGTGCAGTCGTTCCATCCCCTACGGAACTCAAGCACTGGGACCTCGAAATCCACGATTGGCGGGCCATTCCAAACGATACAAGCATTGAACCGCAGATACTTGTCCACAAATTCGCCAACCAATCCCTGCTACCTTGGAACGACATTAGCCCCGAGCTGGAAGCCATGAGCGGGATTGGCATATACTCCGCCAAGTTCGCGGTCCCCAATATCAAGGGCATTGGCGGGTTTCTGTCAGTGGGTGCAATCTTTCATACTCTCCGCGCCTGGGTGAATGGTCACCAGCTGGACCCGTTTGGTGCAGACGGTGTCAAGGTAGATATTACCCCTTACATTCACCGCGGGGGCAATAATACCATCAGGATTGAGGTATCCACAACCCTGTACAATCGGCTTAAGGCTGATGTGGATACAATCTGGCAAATGGGAACTCCACTGTCAGTGCTGGCTCCAACCTATGCAGACAGTGAAAGCCAGGCGTATGGCCTATTGGGGCCAGTTGTTATTGACTGGGTCGTGAACAAGGTCATCATCTAAGAGATTTTGCTTCCGCGTCTGAAGGACTCACAGGGCGAATAGTCTGTTTTTTCTTTTGTTTCTTTCTTTTCCCCATGTTCTTCCAGTCTTAATAGCTGTGGTACTTCAATCTATATGCTGCTACCTCTTTTTGTTTTTACAATCCTTATGCACCCGTGTACAATGATAATAATCGACATAGCCCTCTCGAATCATCATAAAGCTCCAGATTGCAAATGAAAATACTTACCAGCGGCATGCCCTCATCAGACCATAGTCCCTCTTCCTTTTAGATCACAAACTGGCCGGCAAGGTAGTTCTGCAAAATATCAGCATCGACAAAGACCAAAGACCTTCTTACGCAAGTCGAGTGCTTGCTGCGGTTGTACTAAATACTCTCCTTAGACGGGATGGAATACCGCCGGACGCTTAATACACGATTCGAATTGGGCGCCACCGTCAAAACTTTGGAATTTTCGCGCGGCAGCTTCTGGGAGGCAATGGCAATAAGACAATGAGAGATCCACCAGTGCGCAGGCACTTCATGACCAGGTTGGAAGACCAATAAAGTTTTTTTTTTTTTCCGGTGACGCCTTCTATTGTTGATTATCTAGCAATGGAAATGGGATTTTATAGCTTTTGGATTACAAGATTATCCGTACTTAGCCTATTTATTGTATATAATAGAGAGCTAAAAAGGATATTAATGAGCCCCTTATTCGGTTGTATAACTAAATGGACAGACAGTGAACCTCTTACCTTGACAACATCGACACCTATCACGGACATGGGCTTTCTTCTTAACCTTGGCCTAGACTGGCTAGAATGGCGTTCAAGCTTTGTTAGCTTAAGAAGAACTCTTCTATTCGCGCAAATAGGACCTTCTTATATAGTATATAACGCTGCTACCCTCCAACCCTCCAACCCTCAAATAAATAGATGACAACGAAAGCCGCCGTGGAGCCCGCCCAGGCGAAATACACGAATAGTTCTTTCAAATATTCTACTACAAATAGTCTGCTTGGGAAGTCCCACCTAAGAAGCCCTTCTTAGCATCCCCGTAACCCAAAAGGGGCGATGGAGCGGTTCCGGCTGTTCCCTATTATATTAGCTGGGACTGTACCTCTAAGCTAAAAGGACCTGATGACTCCAGGAGAAGATGAGTTTTGCATTTACCTTGTTGGACGAAGTTAGACCGTCCGAATCGCTAAGTATGCACCGGACAAGATGCAGGGGAGCCGTTGTGGCTGTTAGAAAGGAGCATGGGCCGAGGATAACGGTTGAAAGAGTGTGACTGAGGTCTTGAGAAGACCTGCATCGGCGGATTTGTCGAGTACCCCTTGCCGCCCCCGGCTGGTAAATGTATCCGGCAACCAGCAGTCAGATAGGTGTGAGAGGTTGTTCGTTCCGGATACAATCATACCACACCCTGGCAAGTACCAAAAAAAACTGCCGGGCCATGTTCTGCGGTTCGTGAAAGCTTCTGTCTCGCTCGGTTGGATAAAATACCAGAAAATCCTGTACCTGAGCCCTTCATGAGTGCTACCAGCCGGCTATGTTGGTCCCTATATCAACAGAAAGATTAAACTCGACTCAGCTCTCCCCTAGTACAGCGGTTGGCCATTGCATCAAAGTACAAAGTGTGCTGTTGTTGAGCGTGCTGACAAGACGAGCTATTTTTTTAATCTCTTTACGAGCTCCTCGATTCAGATACCACAGATCTTCAAGCAGGACAAGGGTCAAGTAGAAATGCGCCAAGATAGTAAAAGAAAATCCACCAGCAGCCTCAAGCTGGCCTTTTATAGTGAGGGACGCAATGAAGGAATTGGACAGCATCTGAGGCCAGGAAGTAAGGGCCGCATCTTCTAGGTCAATCTGAAGGTCTCGCGATGCTGGACAATCACGCCCGCTTTCCGAAAACCGAAGCACGTATAGAATGCGCATGTACATCTCCTCGAGCGTCTCGATAGCATTGCTATAGTCGGCATCGAAAGCACCCGCCGTGTCCGACTGGGAATCCGATGTAAATTGAGAAATGGACGAACATGTCGCAGGACTTGCTGCTGGGCTTGAAGAAAAGGCTGTTGCAAAGGTACGAAGCATCTCGAGCGCCCGGGAGGCGCCTTGTGCGAATATAGATACCGTCCGAGAGGCCTGAGCCAGACGCGGGTAGATTGGTGGGGGTAGAGGGCCCCCAAACGACCTCCAATCGTCGTTGGCGTATTCATAAAATAACATGCATCTCAGGCTACCAAGCTTTAGAGTGGCCCAATGCTCACTAACCACGCCTACCATTCCTCGACATAGATGAAGCCAACCAGTAGACGGAAGTTCGTCACCATTGCTGGACCCAGGCTCCGTACTCGTATCCGGGTCACAGATCGATAAAGAACCAAATGCAAAAGCGGTGATTAGTATCGAGCCACAAAAGACCTCCTCGGCTGTTATAGATGATATTTGACCCAGAGCCTCTCGGAAACCCTGAAGCCCTTTCTGATGGTGTGTAACAATGCAGTGGAGGTCACGGTCTGTTGAGGAATCGACAACACCGCAGTCACTGTCCTGGTAAGGAGCCGAGGTTGGATCTGCCAGCTCTGATACGTAATATTCATACCGAGCATGTGAACCGGCGAGTGCAAGTAGCAGATGCATCAGATACTCTCTTTTCCTAGCAATCTCAGGAATAGCTCGCTGCCAAACCATTATTCTTTTCGGGTGCAGATTCATGGTCCTGGAAGTATGCAGCAAGAACCTAGTTAACAGGCTCATTTGAGCAAAGTCAAATGCTCCGCCATGCTGTGCTGGCGCTGGTCTTGCTGATAAGCCAGACTGGTGGAATTCCAAGGGCTGCAAGGAGTCTGATGCGCGAACGTGACGCTTGTCTTTCTTCCGGGGCCTGGCGGTCTCCGATAGTATTGGGCTAGGGAACTCTTAGCAGAGGGAAGAACAACCAAGGTAATTTTACCCTGAGAAGAAGGAGTTGGGTGCCGCAGTGCTATACATACAAGCATGTAGCTGGTGTGGGAAATGTGCATGGGTCTCCCCGGGACAAGCACGCGCCACAAGAAGGTCTAACTTCATCGCACTAACACAATGAATCAGTAAGAGATGCCCGTCACAGCAAAGTGGTACACGACGGACCTTGACTCTTCGTTGCTTGCAAGTGTAGCAACCATTGCGCGACTTAGCATGGGGTGCCCTATGCCTTCTTGGAGCCCGGCGAAGCGCGTTGGCAGCGTCTAGTGCAGCTGGGGTGGATAGACCAGTTGACATATTCCTTATTGCAGGCGTGTTGTACGTTTACTGGCACTAATTGATCGGGTGTTTAGAGATGCGCTGTGGTCAAGCCTAGGATCCCCTGATATTGCGGACAGCAAAATGATCCAGAACCACACGGCTTTGGAGATCACATGATATTGTCCACAGAATAGGGATTTGCTTATATAATACACTTTCCATTTTTCCTTTGATAAGTCGCAAGTCGCATGATCATGCTTTCTATTTGACATTTGCTTGAACTCTCCTTGATAGTGCCATAGCCGTATCTTCTCATGCCAGCCATCCCTCCTTTGAAGCCACCCAAACCGCCGACGTGAGGACAAGACACAAGAGATATGAAATATCGGAAGCAGATGTATCCAAGGAGCCGAATGGATTGTCGCTTGACCTAGGCGGCTGTGCTCGTTCCCTGCCTGTAGATGGAAGAAACAGCGAGGATCCGGCAGGGAAGCGTCCCTCTAGAATATCCTGCTTCAAGGTATGATACATGATCTGAATAGATCGTCTTGTAACTGTGGCTACTACTGGCAGATATTTTGAATTCCCATCCACCATCGTCAGGCGAAATCCGGCCTCTTGCTGTGTTCCACTGTCCTCATTGTCCTCACTCCCATATGGAGGAGGCTCTCGTGCCCAGGACATCAATTTATAGACTCCGTTGTCGACAGTCTCCCTGTTCACCGCTACCAGTTGGTAGTAGTGACCAATGTTCGCAGCAATAGTTTCCCATATAGCACCGCAGCTAAAGAAAAATTTGACCGGCGCCGTCTCTTCCCCAGTGACTTCTCCTCGACTGTTCTCGCCTGCATGGTTCTTTCGCGAGTCTCGAACAACAGCAATGACCTTGGTCCTTCCACTGGTCTCCTCTTCGTGTTCCTCATCCTCAGAACATACAGTTTGTGAACCATCAGGTAAAGTACAGTCACTGTGAAAATCCCCTGGCACCAGGACTAGATCACCTGATCTACAGTGAACATCTTTGTCTCGGTATCTAACCCCTGCAGGCGGGACCAGAAAGATTTCAAACACTGGCTGAAGCCTTTTCTTAGTCCTTGCTTGCTGGAGGAGCTGAACCTGCAGCTGAGGCTTCACCCAGTGAAAGGGAGAGGAGCTATGCGGAGGGGGATATGCCAGATGGAACGTTGTGATGGAAGGGACCGACGGAGGTGCTGATGATCTCGGGCTGGGACTATCTCGTGCTGCATGTACATCACTGTTCTTTGGTTAAGTATTTGTCCAGCCCCGAGATTCCATAATACTATACCTTGTAATTTTTGTACCTGAAGCCCCAAATTCGGCACCATTGTTTTTTACCCTCCTACCAACAGCTTTTCCTCTGCCACTTGTTTCCGCCATGGTTGAGATGCAGTCGTAAGACGCAGTCTAGCTGCAATGTGAAACTCGCCCCAGTAACAACATTCAAAATGTATACTCTGGAGGAACGAAAAAAAGAACAATCAACTGGATGGGAATTGGGCCAAGGGAAAGAGCCAGGAGGGATAAATTTACTCGAAAATGATAGAGGTCATGGTCATTTGTTCTTTAAAGCAGCAGGTGGAGTGAGCCTATATTAACAAGTTAGTCACTAAAGATTTGGATATCCAAATCTGCAATAGGGTGCTGGTCTTTTATTTTACTTCCATGACCCAGTTATCCGGAAGGGGTCCACCTATACGAATACGAGCTGAGGACTGCCTTTCGGCCTTAGAAGCAGATGAGAGTTTCTATGTATAGTTTTCGGTCAAGGTAACCCCTTTCGTGAGGTAATGCGCTTTGATGAGTCGCACCTGGATGTGCTTCTTGCCTTTGATACCCATAAAGCCTTTCCCTACCCTGGTCATAGCGGCAAATCTTTTCGAGGTTGACCCCCAGTAGCCATATCGAGGAAGCTCCTCACGGGCAATATTATTGCATTCGCGTACGTAGCTGGTTTCCTATCACCAATCGATCAGAGATGATAGCCATGATACAACGCCGAGGTATTATCTTCGTACTATTAAACAGTCTAGCAGTAAACATTACTGGTATGACCGCGTCTGGAGCTTGATTCTTTTCCCGCGCATAATATGAGAGAGTGAAGAAAGGAGTAAGACTCCGGTGGAAGCCTCGTCGAGGGGCTGATGAAAGAAATTGGTCAACCGGAGGCTGCCACTTCTCGATTCAATCCTGAATCGCAGCCCCGATTTTCCGAGAGGATCGTCCAGTCGGAGGGCCGGTTCGTTTTCGTATTTGGGCTGGAAAGGGTCCGCTGCAGAAAAGTCTGGAAGGCCCCACAAGCCCCAAATGGTTGGCGTTTTGCTCTGTTCGTACCAAAGTTACAAGGTGCGCCACTTTCTCTGATCTGCATCCTGAATTAGGGCCCGGCTCTCGCCCACCTTGGCACAGGAGCCCAAACTTACATCTCACAGCATCGCCTTTCGAGTACTCTTTGTATCCTGTGAAATATTCTGCGCCCTTCTTCATTCTCAGGACATCAGTCCAGCCACCATGGCCAGTAACAGGAATGCGGAGGTATTCGAGCTGCCGGGGGATTCAGTCATGACCACTACCATGGCCAGCAACAACCATCCAGAGGTATTCGAGTTGCCGGGTGATCCAGTCACGATCCCCCCTACCCCAATCGCTGGCGACAGCAAAAGTGGCATTAGTATAACCAGTATGCACCCGCCGCCAACCATTACGGGAGGAGTCCAACCGAGTCATTGAGCGATAATGGGCTAACTGTATCTGCAGGTGACGGCCGCGTTGATATTGACTACAACACTACATTGATACGACGGTTCTCCAAGCTGTACACTTCTCATTATTCACCACGGCCTACGACTCCACCCCCCGAGTATTCCGAGATAGCCCCGCAGGCCGCCGACGACAATAACATAAGATTTGGATCTCCGCCGGCATACCCAGAAAGCTCCTGGAAGATCAAATTGAATATTCTAATCCAGGTGGTAGGCAGTCGAGGGGATGTGCAACCATTCGTTGCCCTCGGAAATGAACTGCAGCGATATGGCCATCGTGTGAGATTGGCGACTCACGATGTATTCGAAGATTTCGTCCGGGGCTCAGGGCTGGAATTTTACCCCATTGGAGGCGATCCAGAGGAACTAATGGCATACATGGTCAAGAATCCCGGCCTTATTCCCAGTATGCGGAGTTTACAGGCAGGCGAGATTGGGCGCAAACGAGCCATGATCCGCGAGATGTTGGATGGGTGCTGGCGATCGTGCGTTGAGCCCGATACGGCGACCCAGCTACCGTTTGTAGCTGACGCGATAATTGCCAACCCGCCCAGCTTTGCCCACATCCACTGCGCCCAGGCATTAAGTATTCCGGTACACTTGATGTTTACTATGCCTTGGACCAGCACGAAGGCTTTTCCTCACCCGCTGGCGAACCTAACTGGCGGTGGCGATGAAGACCAAGGTTTCAGGAATTTTGTATCTTATGGCGTGGTTAACTGGCTGACTTGGCAAGGGTAGGGAGTCCCGCGCATTCTGAACAAAGCAAAGGGTCCGCTTGAATGTGTACTGACGCTTCTAGGGTGGGCGACGTGATCAACCAGTGGCGAAAAGAGCTTGGTTTGGACGAGGTAGCCATGTTTGAAGGGCCTCGTCTTGCGGAAATCCTAAAGATACCATTTACATACTGTTGGTCCCCATCTCTCGTTCCCAGGCCTTCAGATTGGCCTTCCTATGTTGGTGAGTCGTCCTTAAATAACGTCATATAGGATGCAGTCTATACTAACAGCGCTCCCCAGACGTCTGTGGTTTCTTCTTCCGTGAATCTCCAAAATATGATCCTTCGGCCGACTTGCTGTCCTTTCTTGCTGCCGGTCCACCCCCAATTTATGTTGGCTTTGGTAGTATCGTACTGGAAGACCCAGAAAGAGCCACCGCTATTATTCTCAACGCCGTACGTGCAGCAGGCGTACGGGCGATTGTTTCCAAAGGGTGGTCTAACTTGGGCGGGATGCGCGATGACAATATCTATTACATTGGGGATTGTCCTCATGAATGGCTGTTTGACCGCGTGGCAGCTGTTGTGCATCACGGAGGCGCCGGCACGACCGCTTGCGGGTTGCGAAAATCCAAGCCAACAATCGTTGTGCCTTTTTTCGGAGAGTAAGTGCTCATAGAAGACTTTATTTTCGCTGTCTTTTTCTTGCTAACAATCTTGGCAGTCAGCCCTTCTGGGGAGATATGGTCGCTGCAGCAGGCGCTGGCCCTACTCCTATTCCACATAGGGAGCTTACAGTCGATAGGCTGGCCGAAGGGATCCGATATTGCCTTGGCGAACAAGCGCGCCTGGCAGCCTCCTCTATCGCTGCCAAAATGCAGTCAGAGGTAGGTGTAAAGGCCGCTGTCGCCTCATTTCACCGGAACCTGCCGCTTGAACGTCTGCAGTGTGATCTAGATTCGGGTCTAGCTGCAGTGTGGTCTTTCTCCAAGAGCCGTAGGAAATTCAAGCTGTCCAAGATTGCCGCGCAGGCCCTAATTGCAGATGGATCAATTGATGCAAAAAGCCTTACAATGTACGTGACGAGACTAACAACCTCGAAGAACATCTTTTTCCGTCTCATTCCGCTCAGCCGCTGATGGATCTTCTTATAGACATGCCATCCGCCCAATCTTCATTGAAAATCGCCGATGGGATCCCGTCACGGGCGGAGCGTCCGCCGTGGTTGGGACAGCCACCGACGTCGCCGACTCTGTTCTAGGGGCCTTCTACAAGCCTGTCCTGGAGTATCGGAATTATCGGGAGGAGCGCGAAGATCCGCTCTCAAGCAGACGGTCGAACCGCTCCGTCGACAATATTTCCAAGGAATTATCTGTCGATAGGGTCTCGACAGATCACGAGAAGGAGCCGAAGGGTCTTGAGGTTGCCAGTAGCAATGCTTCTACACTGTCTGCAGATTCGCACTCACAAAAGCGAACAAATACTGGCAAAGGAAAGCTTCTTGGTAGAATGGCAGGCGCGTCTGCAAAGAGTCTGGGCAGCGTTGGTCCCACCATGATCAAGGGCGCGACTGTTGGCTTTCCCCTTGCTATAACTGAAGGATTGCGCAACGTTCCGCGGCTATACGGTGAAGTGCCTCGAGACCACGGTCCGGTGACTGACATCAAGAGCGGGTTTGCTGTTGCTGGGAAAGGGTTTGCGTGGGGAATGGCGGAGGCGGTTAGCGACATAGTCGTCAAGCCATACCAGGGTCTTCAAGAGGAGGGTGCGAAAGGTGCGATCAAAGGAGTTGGCAAAGGGGTGACAAACATGGCAGCTAAAGCCGGCTCTGCCATGTTTGGCCTCATGGCATACCCTACTGCTGGTATCGCTCAGAGTTTACGGTCGTCAGGTCAGTCGCAGACGAGAAAGCTAATCGCGAAGCAGCGCCATAGTGAGGGCATATGGTTACTGGAGAGCGGTCAGTGTCCAGCGACGGACGACATCGTGGCCACTTTTCGACAGAAATTGAAGAGTAAGAAAGCCTGAGTGAAGTGTATCAGTACTCCGTGTCACTTGTTTCTCGTTTAAGCAACCTTCTTTCCCCTTAAGAACCACTCGTTGAAAGCCCCCAACCCCGCGCCAGCGTCAGCCATCTGAACCGGTCTGCCGCAGCGCTCTTTCGTCAAAGCCCACCTTTTTTCGGATAACTGGGTATGCGCATGACGATCGATAGAGCAGAAGATGTCGTGGACAGGGAGCCCTATCACGCTATATATATAGAGGATCTGCTATAAGGATAGTATATAGAACCTAATGAAAGATTACGCCTTTACAGCTTTGTTCCCAACGCACGGTCGGACGCTTCTCATGGTCCTGACGAATTACTGAGACACAAAGGAAAGTGCAGGTTACTCCTAATATACATTAATAGCTTTCTAGAGCCAGAGAAGATCTTTTATGATAATGAAGATAATGGCCGCTGCTTTAGTGGATAGTATTGACCGGATGCCCAGAGAGCACCTGCAGTTTTGTAGTTAATACTACCATCCATCATCTCTCGCCGCCAGAGAGGCCTTGTGAGTAATAATACGGGGTAAACAAGCCTTTTTACTAGGAATAAGGAATGAACTAGTACAAGAAGCTTGAGATACTGCCCTTGTCAAGTCTTACACGGTCTTGATATATTTATAGAGGATAAATTGCATCAGCCCCAAGTGGGCTTCTTGGAATCTGCCTATTGGTCATTCTTGGATCCACTCGTACTCGTACTCGTACAATTTTAGAATTCTGTTTAATCCGCCCCGCACCTGGGATTAGATACGAAGCAAATCCTACCTAAATCTTCTTTAGTGGGCGGTCCAATCAGAGTTCTTTCTCGTATTCGTTTAACCTTGCAGAGTTCATTGGCTAGTTCTAGATACCGGGTGCTGTACAGCAAGTGTGACATATTAGCTTCAAAACAGAATGGAATTAAGGTATAGTAGCCTAATTATTCTAGCTAGAGTAGAGGTGCGCATGATAGTGAACTATGTGAGGGGTGTAAAGTTAGTTATTATCCTAACTCGAGTAAGGATTCCAATATTAGTGCTAGCTAGGCAAGTTTCGTGCCAGGAGTTCTTATATGGTAACCAATTATTCTAGATTGTCTATCTGAGCGCTGCGGATGGTTTATTACCCTACCAGGCATCCATCCATAGTACGCAGGTCATCCTCGAACAGTCGTATTCTAGCAGAAATAGCAGGGAATGGCCGCAACAACGGTTTACGGAGGAGGTGAAGTCACATTATAATCCGCAGGCAAGAGGAAGTCAGTGAATTACTATATCGCTCATATGTGTCCTTACTATCCTAAGGTAATCTCAAGCCTCTCAATTTTTCTACCTTGGCCATCTTTATTGGTTCCAACATGGGCATAGGTAGAACGTTGATCTTGGAATAACGGCACATCTACCATCGAGAGAATAAGTAGACATATCAACACCTACCAACAACCCAAACTATACGCCCCTCAAACAATCCTCTCCCACGCCCCCCTCCCTAGGATAATACGTGTCCCCCGCCGTAGCAGCCTGCGCCCTCTGCACAGCGACACTCGCCGGCCCGATAGTCGGGACTGGCGAGTGAGGGAATGGAAGGGAAGGGAAGGGAGGGATAAGCGTACGTCCATTGCTAAATCCGCGGATATTCCACGTTGCGTTCATGCTCTCAGTCAGAACGTGCGACATGGTAGTCGGACTATACTTGCGACACAGGCGCTATTCAGGTTAGTTAACTAGGCTACCGAGAACGCAGAGCAGTTGATAGTAGACATACAATCCTCCTAGGCCAAAAATAATTGAAAGCCGTATTCGCGTCCTTGTCGTCGTATTTAATCCCCAGAGCGACTTTACCAGAAGCAGGAGCACGTATAAATCTGTGACAACACTCAACGCACCGAAGTACAGTAATATGACCAGGTCCCAGTAGTGACCTGGAGACATTGCATCCCACGCGTGACTAACAGATGAGCAGGCAAAGATGATACAGAAGAAGAGCGCCATACGTGATACAGTGACGAAGAGAACACTGAAGGTGATGAAACATTTTATCTTTGTTGTGGTGGTAGAAGATGCAGTAGTAGAAGAAGAGGAGGGTGAGTTTTATGATGCTGGTTAGCGCGACGTAGATGTATTGGGCAATTGTGAAGTGCTACACAGTGGGTTGGGTGATTTTAATGTAGGTATTAGAGTTTGTGGTAGTAGGGATGTTAAGTGTATTTATAAACCAGATGATTAGTACATCCCACATGTGGCGTTCAATGCCGTGGGTGAAGCCTGAAGATTTGGTCAGAAGTGATAATATATAGTTATATTAATTAAGCATACAGTAAGCCACTAGGCCTGTGAATGTTATACTTAATAGCTGTCTGCGGGTTAGAAGAAGGGCTTCCTCAAGCTTGGATTGGTAAACATACAAATGCAACATTACAAACACTATCTACATATTAGCAGCAAAAAATAAAAAAAAAAAAAAACAACCTATTAGTTATCTTGTGGTCAATCAACACTTACAAACATCCACGCCAAGCTTGGCGCAAAGGACCCACAACCACGTGAATAGCCTCATCACGACCACAAGCGTTGCCAAGCCAAGGAACACGAAATGGAGCGCAATATTCCCATCGAACTGATCTAGAGGATCGTCGAAATTAGGCTCAACTCCCGGAGGAGGAAGAGCGCCAACGGTAATTCATTGAGTAGCCATGCCTAGTGTTTCAAGACACGGAAAATTGGAGACAAAGAAACGGAAAGTCAGAAATGAGAATTCGTAGCGTGGGAAGGAGGGCGAAGAGTATAAAGCTGAGCCGCCCCCAACTTTTGCTTTGGAGAGTTGGAGAGTCGCAGAAAATATTGCGCCCGTCTGACATTGTCTCTTCTCCTTTCGCTCGCGACCAGCACTTTTCTTTGGCTTTTTTTTTCCATCGTTCGAGTTTCGATGCAACCATCAATCTCAGGCGCTTCTGATGAAATATAGTATTTCACTATGATCGACTCCTCAACTCCCCTCCGTCTGTGGACGACGAGTACCCTCGCAGTGTTGGCTGTAAACCCCCCTGCTGGTCCAGTTCTTACAGGAAGCTGAACTCGCTAGTATTTATTTGCCCGAATTGCCTACAACCTCTACTTCCACCCACTGTCAGCGATCCCTGGTCCCCGTGCATGGGCCGCATCGCGCCTCCCCTATATCTACGCCCTGATCAGGGGAACCATCATCCAAGATATCCAATCCCTCCACGAGAAATATGGGCCTATTATCCGGATCGCTCCAAACGAAGTGACATTCGCCCACCCCGATGCTTATAAAGATATTCTCCAGGCCGACCAGAATAAAACTCAGCAGGGACGGTTCCTCAAAGACCCCCTGTGGTGGGGGCGGCAACCGGGCCATCCGGATTCGCTGCTCAGCGTGATCAGCCCGGACAAACACGCGCAGATGCGTCGTGTGCTCAGCCCAGGCTTCACGGCGCAGGCGCTGCGCGATCAGGAGCCGCTTATTCAGAAATATGTCAATTTGCTTATTTCGCAACTCCAGGATCTGGCTGGTGGCGATGGAAATGGGAATAGCATCGCCCAGGTAAACATGACGCCGTGGTTTAATTATACCACTTTCGATATCTTTGGCGATCTGGGCTATGGGGAGCCGTTTAACTGTCTGCAGGACTCGAAATATCATCCATGGATCTCACTACTTTTTGACAATGTCAAGGCGGCGGGGTTTGTGATCTCTACGAGGTTCTACCCGCTTGCCCAGTATATCCTCATGAAGTGTATCCCGGAATCTATAAAGAAGACGCAGCGAGACCACTACCAGCAGGTTGTTAATAAGGTGGACCGGCGCCTGAGTTGGGAACTACAACGGCCAGACTTGATGTCTCACGTCATCAACAAGGATGGTGAGCTGCGGATGGATGCTGGTGAGATGTACGCGACCTTTATGATTCTGACTACGGTCGGAAGTGAAACAACGGCTACTGCGTTGACGGGGACGCTGAATTACCTGGTGAATCATGGTCCTGAGAGTCTGAGGAAATTAGAGGGGGAAGTAAGAGGTGCGTTTTCGAGCCTGGAGGATATCACGCTTGATGGTGTGCGCAACCTTCCTTTCCTCAATGCCGTTATAAACGAGGGGCTTCGGCTGTGCCCTCCTGTTCCATGGATATTGGGACGCCTTGTTCCTGAAGGTGGAGGGGTAGTATGTGGCCAGTGGCTTCCAGGCGGGGTAAGCATCCATAATTTCTCCCACTAACTGACCCCTTATATCCAAGCTAACCATCCCACTATGGAATAGACCTCCATCTCAATCCAAGCCTACACACTAAACCGCTCCGCAACACTCTTTTGCAACTCTACAGCCTTTAAACCCGAACGCTGGCTCCAAAATGCGTCCACCGACCCAGTCTCACCATTTTTCAACGACCAGCGCAGTGCCGTTCAGCCATTCACCACTGGACCCAGTGTATGTCTCGGGCAGCACCTCGCATGGGCCGAGATGCGGCTGATCCTGGCGAAGCTAATCTGGGCGTTTGATTTCTCGGCACTTGAGGGGCAGAGTGTGCGGTGGGAGGATCTGCGGACGTATCTTTTGGTTGAGAGGAAGCCTATTAATGTGGGAATTCGAGTGCGCGAGGCGCAGCAGGCGGGGATTTGAATCAACCGATCCCTGTCTGAATTCTTCCCGAATTGCCTATGTCGATCCAATATGATTGGCGCAGATCACCAGAATCAAGGAAAGAGGGGTTTGAATAAGATTGAGCCTCCTGATGATTCTGTTTTATACTTGTAGCCACCGAGATAGATAGAAACTATTCTGAAGATGGCGTTTATACTGCCTCTTTGGTCTGACCTTAATTCTTATCTACAACATCCCCCTACTGGTCTACCGTCTCTACTTCTCCCCACTCGCCAAGATCCCCGGCTCGAAGCTCGCCGCTGTAATGGCTGGTACGAGTTGTACTTTGACTACTGGAAGAGTGGCAAGTCTCTGTTTGAGATTGAGCGAATGCACAAGGTCGATGGTATGTCCATAACACATTCCTTCTCTTCTCCCGATCAAGGATACCGGACACCAGACCAATTGAACCAAATAATGTATTAGACAGGCCCTATCATCCGTATCAACCCCGCCGAACTAGCTCGCTCACCCCGGATACGCGGCGATCAGTCTGACTAATGACCTCTACTCGTGGGACAAGGAGCAAGCGGAGGCCAGCGGGCAGGGCTCGACTCTGTGTACTACGCCATCTAGGTGATTGTGAACGAACAGGACATCAGCGAAGACGAGCCAAGGGAAGTCTGCAGGGCAAAGATCAAGTACCATATTAGAAAATACTGTCAGATTGTCGAGGAGGTCAAGAGGTGTGAGTGGCTTTCGGATGATCTGAAGATTTGTCTGGATGCAATCAAGGCGAGCCATAGTGGAAGTCTGGCATAGAGCCTTTATTGTCCGCGGTATCACGGAGATGAGAAGAAGACATAAGAATATTAGTCCGAGTGACAAGGCTGTTTGTGGAGGCAGTGAGATGAAGTTGAGCGTGATTCTTTGGCCTTAAGATGGCGGTCCTGTCAGCGGAAGTTTGATTGGGCGAGTCCGATTACACTGGGGGCCCCCGCTTTGGGGAACACAAATAATGAAAGACGCAGAGTGAGATTCCGTTTGCTTCCTTCAGCTGACGGCGCGCTTCTCAATCTGACCTCAGCGCCATTCCTTCCCCTCTCCTCCTTCCATTGCAGAATACACGATCAAGATGGGTGTGCAGTTCTCTCAGCTCTTCCCTCCGAGCCCGACCTTCACCGAGAGAGATCTCCCCTCGCTCAAAGACAAGGTGTTCCTCATCACAGGCGGCACATCTGGCATCGGGTTCGAGCTCGCAAAGATCCTTTACCATGCCGGCGGCAAGGTTTACATTACTGGTCGAACAGAGGCAAAGTCCACTCAAGCAATCCAAGCAATTCGCGACTCCGCTCCGCCCCCACAGGCAGCACACGGGCCCGGTCAAATTGACTTCATAATCCTCAATCTTGACGATCTAGCGAGCATCAAGCTCTCTACGGACGCATTTAAAGAGAAGGAGTCTCGCATTGATGTTCTCTGGAATAACGCGGGTGTTTCCCAGCCTCCACTAGGCAGCATCTCGAATCAAGGGTATGAGCTGCAGCTCGCGACGAACTGTTATGGCCCGTTCCTTTTCACGCAGCTCCTCCTCCCGCTCCTCAAAGCAGGCGCCTCCTCAGCACCAGAACCAGGCTCGGTGCGTGTCGTCTGGCTGAGCAGTCAAGTTGCTGAACTCTCCTCCCCGCCCGAAGGCCTCATTCTATCCGAGCTTACCTCGCCCCCAGAGGATAACGTGAAGAACTACACGAACTCCAAGGTCGGAAACTGGTTCCTGTCTGCGGAATTTGCGCGGCGGTATGGGGATCGCCGGATCGTCAGTGTTGCGTTGAACCCTGGTGCCGCGAATTCTAACCTTTTGCGAAATGCGAAGTGGATGAGGTTCTTTTCGTATCCATTGTTGCATAACCCGGTCCAGGCGGCGTATACGGAGCTTTACGCGGGGCTTAGTGGGGATATCTCATTGGTCAATAATGGTTGCTATGTGATTCCATGGGGAAGGATCCATCAAGGTGTGGCGGCAAATCTGCTGAACGCAATCAAGGTCATCGAGGACGGAGGAACAGGGAGGGCCAAGGAATTTTGGGAGTTCTGTGAGGAGAGAGTCAAGGATTATTATTAAATCTGATTATGTTTTTCTTGATGAAGCTTATTTTCCTGCTACATAGTATGAACCCAATAACCTTTCCATGCGTTGGCAAAGAATCATATCAATTGACCTCGCAGCTGAAGGTGCGCGAAATATTCAGTTTGCGTCTCGGCATATTTTTCCTAACCCGCGTTTGGCGGAGGTAACGACCGAGCTTTATTACGCATGGGCTTTTCCTTTGGATGAGAAACTAAAGTTATTCTCGTTTCTCTGGTCATCAAAATACCAGGAAGATGTTCCTCGCCTGACGTACGAAGCGTGTCTGTTGATCCGGCAGGACTGAAGAAGCAGTTTACACTCAAGGGACTAACCTTGGTGGCCCTACGAATTGAGGATAGCACCTATACAGGGCAAAAACCTATAGATGGCATCATCAGGTGGTCGTCCTGGCTGTGGATGAGACGCCAGCAAGCGGATATACCGTGAGCCAAGCCCATTCTCTCCCATGTTCGCAGGTCCCCATGCGCTGGATCTTTACATGAGTCGCGATTACAATCCTCTTCATTGGAGAGTTTGTCACGAGCTGCTGGGAAAATATGGTGGACTGCAGTCCCTCCGCATCTTTGGACTTGGGTGGCAGATCTCGTTGGCCGATCTCACCAATTCTGCGTATCCTCTCAGAAAGCCAATATGTCCTCTGATAGACGTGTACGGGTGGAAGAAAGATCGTGATCCTCCACCTGTGCTATTTTCCCCGCATGGCGGTGTTTCTCCCTGACTGGCACTAAACCGAAACCTCGTTTTGGTTTCAACGAACTCCTCTGTCTCCAGCCTCCAGTCCATGAGAAGTTGTTACCGCTTTTTCTCACGTCGGAGAGCTCTCCCATGTCATACATTCACACATTACCTGTCAATGCAGCCATGTGGTCCACGGTTACTCAATCTCCTCGCTGAGAGCCGAGACCTGATTCACCACCGCCTCTTCTCCCAACCGGATGACGGACACACCGGATCAGATACTGCAGCTCAACGACCAATCACTCAACAAATCCCTGGGACGATCCTTGGATCGTTACCAGATCACTCGTCTAACCATACTTTTATACACTACCCACGTTGCCTTTCCCCTTCCGCGGTCAACGGTCGTGAGACGACCGCTCTTAAGCCAGCTTTGTCCTCGAATCCAGGCTTTTGCAGCTCAGGGGGGCTCAAGCCCGTTGCTTCTGTGGTGTGCAGGTGTGTTTCCTATTGCTCTGGAGGAAAGAAACCCCTATAATGAGATTTTGATAATGTTTCAGCAGCTTTGCCGGGACTTGGAGGTCGCAAGTCTAGAGACGTTGCCGGGGGTCCTCCGCTTCTTTGCTTGGGTGGAATCTGCGGTCGACCATCATTAATCAGAATTTGGAAGAATCCTTTCTAAATGTTGTGTGTCGGGAGCAATGGAGTTCTGGGACTGGGTTTAGTTAATATGTTCCTCGACAAAGATGGATGAGTGCTCAGAGGGGACGTGTTAACGGACGAATTTCCTGGAGAAGCTGCAGCACTGTTTCTAGACTGGAAATAATATCGATGATCAGTAATGATCTAAGTTGCTCATCTAATACTCTGTACAATCTTATAATTCCATAGTATATCTATGGAGCTCTGATTCCGGGTTACTCATTGCGGCAATTGAGCACTTGGATATATTATAGAGAAAGCAACCTAATTAGCTCCAGATACTGCAAGAGCATATAGACGTGACAACATCACTAGAGGAACAAGTAAACAGAGGTATGATACCTAGGATAGAATCCAGAAGCTAACAGAGCATGTGTATCCGTGGACAAACTCCCCAGCTACCGACCCAGAAACTGAGAAATACGAAGCACGCAGCTGATTGGACAATCGCGCTCCGAGCCTAGATCCAGTCTGGTTCCGCGTGTCGGGTGTGATAGTGCTTTGCTCCGCCTAAAGTCCCTTATCAAGGTGCTATAGTGTAGTGGTTATCATAGTTCGTTGTGGCCGAACTGACCTGGGTTCGATTCCCAGTAGCGCCAAATTGTGGGATCCCTTGACCGAATAGGAAAACTGATACTTCTTCTCTGAAGTCACTGGTTTTTAATTTTTTACTTTATTTTTTTTTTCTTGATTTCGGGTAGTGTTGTTAAACTGGGTCGCTGAAAATACCAGTTTCTATCAGTGAATACGCAGGTCCATAACATGACCACCATCTTAAGTTCAAAAGGGGGAGACCATGTCAAGGAGCTACTACAGTATCGTGGTGGCACTGGTTACTGATACGAAGCGCTTTCTGGAGGTCAATTAGAGAACGGATAGGTCGGTAGGGTATAGAAACACACCTCCTTTTATAGGCACCATCTCCCACTGACACTATTGCTTGAGTCATTATGTAGGTCCAACTCCAGGGACCATGCATTCCGAGATTCGACTAACTCCATCCAACATCCTCATCACCCGCACGATCAACGATGCCTAGGTAGCTCCGAAAAATCGCACCAAATAACCCTCGTCCTCCTCTTCGAACCAGCCCACTCCCTGTCCTCGAGATCCTCCAACCAGTCCACATCCCGCCCAACCCATCCTACAAACAATCACCAGCTGCCTCAAGAAGCTCAACCGAAGCAAATGCTGGATCCCCGAAAAGACAATCGGGTCATATTCTCTAATATCCACCTCCGCTCCGTCTTTCACTTTTCTAGTCTGGACAAGGCCCCGAATCATGGAGCGTATGAGATCTGACTCGACAGCCGAGCCGACGGCTCGAATTTCGATTGTTTCGAGATGCGTTGAGTCGATTAGTTGGTCGACCAGAGATCCTAGGGCTGAAGAGCCGCCTAGACCTTGTTTTATAGCTGGCGACGAAAACGGGAATGCGAGGCTTCGAATCAACTTCCTTCTTTTCGGCCCAGTCCTCTTCAGGAACACGGTCATATCGCACATATCATCATTTGCAACGAAAAAGGCCTCACTGTAGAAGACTCGAACCGCTTCCTCATAGACCATCTCGTTGGCCTGGAGGATTGCGAGAAATTCGCGCGCACGCTCGAGGTGGATACTTTGTTTCGTGGGCAGGACGCTCTTCGGTCCCGACGGTGTAGATGTATCTGCTGCTCGGATCCGCGAGTATTTGTTGATTTGAAAGGCATTTCGACTGAGAACTCCCCAGCCTGGTGGCGGGCAGGTTATGTGACACTAATGGCGGGGAGATCCAGAACAGATGTCGGTAGACTTCTTCGCGGAGTTCGGGGTGAAGCGCAAGGAAGGGAAGTGGAAATGTCGTGGTCATAATGATGATGGAGGAGGGAGTGCATGTTATCACCACACATACGTGCTCTTCGCACTACATAAACTGCTGTCCAAAATAGAGGCGATGCGTGCCTGCAGCTTGACTTTGGATGTAATTCTGGAAGACATGTGCCTTGTGGATTGAGACTCGAAAGTGCCGGATCTCGGCAGCGCCGTGATTCGCATGGGATGAGTACAAACAAAGGAGATGCAGAGCTGCCGTCTAGATAGTCTTACTCGTGTGGAGGGGTTCTACACGGAAATACAAATCCTTCCCGGGATCATCCGGGACATCAATTGATAAGAAGGATCACAAGGCCGCGTACTACATATAGAAGAACAAATCAATGGATTGGAGAGGAATATCTATCCAATACAGTTGTAACTATAACTTATGGCGTTATTTCATTCCCAAGTAATCGACCAACCTCCTCAGCAATAGCCATGACCCTCTCCTCAGTCAGGCGTCGCCCAATAATCTGAACGGCAACCGGCGCGCCGTGATACACCTCGGGATCATCTATACCAGAGTTAGCATCAACCTTGGTCCTACTAATACGGCAGAATTCGAAGAAAAGGGAAAGAACACGTACATTCCCCTTGAACAATCTTATCCATCTCCCCGAGGGGCGCAAAGCCCTCGTTGACCTTATCAACCCCCTTATCCGCAAACGTAACCGGAACAACGACACTCGTAAAATCAAGAATATTAATCGCACTCGCATACCCATAGTACTTGAACTGGTTATGCCGAATCGCGGCCGTCGGCGTGATTGGCGCGATGATCGCGTCGAGCTCCTGGCCGATCTTGGTTTCGAACTCACGGATCTTCGCCAGGTACTCGGATTGGTAATTCCATTTGTCCAGCTGCACTTGCCACACTTCGTTGATGGACATTTTGGGCAGGTTTGGGTTTACCAAATCGGCTATGTTGGGGATTGCGGGTTCGCCGGAGGCGTTGAGGGTGCCGAAGATGTCCTGGCTATCCATTAATGGGGGAGGAAGAGGGATGGTAGGAATAACTGGACGACTTACGACTCCGCCATCCGAGGCGTAGACGCGGTTTGCCAGGTCAACCGCGTATGGGTGCTTGTACGGCTCCCAGGGGAGAACGGTGTGTCCGGCTTCGCTGAGTTTGTCGACGACAGTTTGGACTCCTCGGAGGATGGGTGGGTGTGGGAGGACCTAGGAGAAAGGTAAGCAACTAGAAGAAATGATACAAGAATATGGCACACACCTCGCCATCACACGAAAAATAGCCCAAGGTCAGACTTCTTGAAGCTATCTCGTTCTTGATAGCATCCTCTTCCTCCTGTCGCCATGGGATAGGTACAACCTTGGAATCATAGGACCAAGGCTTCTGAGACAGGACGGATGTAACAAAGAGACGCATGTCAGCCACGGAGTGCGTAAGTGGCCCGCATACACTGTGGACAGTCTCCTGCCCTTCCATGCTGTTCGCCATCTTCGCGTAGGGGAGGCGCCCGTGACTCGGTCGGAGGCCGTAGAGGAAGTTAAAGGCCGCAGGGACGCGGATCGAGCCGCCTAGCTCGTTAGTATATCTTCGTCTTCGTTGACCGAGGTGTGTTGAATATAAGCACTCACCGATATCAGTTCCAACACCAATAATACCGCCCCGAATTCCAACAATCGCGCCTTCGCCACCGGAGCTCCCTCCACAAGACCAGTTCTTGTTTCGAGGGTTCGTGGTGCGACCAAAGATGTTGTTCACGGTTTCGCATACCATAAGGCTCTGTGGGACAGACGTCTTGACGTAGAGAACTGCGCCTGCATTGAGCAGCATAGTCGTGAGGACCGAGTCCTCAGTATCCTTCTTTCCGATCCAGGATACGTAGCCCATTGTTGTTTCAAGACCCTATCTCGCTGTTAGCCACATAGCTCACAGAGAATGAACGGTAACAAAACTCGCCTTGATGCGAACTTGGTCCTTCAACGAGATGGGTAATCCGTGCAACGGTCCGATGGGTTTCTTGTTCTCAGCCAGGTATTCATCCAGATATTTCGCTCTCCGCAGCGCGATTTCTGGGAAGAACTCATGGAAGCAGTTGGTCTGCATATATCAGCTCTTCATTCTCTATGAATAACACAAAGGGTGGCAGACCAATTGATGCGCGACCGCAGCTCTTTTGCAAAACGCGGTGGTAACAGCGATAGAAGTGATTTTCCCACTAGCCAGATCACGAACTAGATCCGTCGCCGAAGACTCGGTGATAGCAAGCTCATCTGGCGTAAGGATCCCAGAGGTCTTTGGGAATGACATAACCGAGCCGTCGGTGGGGAGTTGCTCGATGCGCCATTCTGCGGGGATGGAGGCCTCGAGGGCGGCCTTCTTTTGCGCGGCTACTGATTTCCAGTCCGATGTCATGCTGCACGATAAAAATAACCCAGAGGTGATGAAGAGTCCAGCTGAAGAAACTAGCGGAAGAGAAGATATAAACTGGGCGAGAACCCAGCTGAGCGGACTACCCCGCCCAGAGCAAACCCCGACTCAGACCCAGAGACACCGGCGCTGGGAACGAGGAGCAGCGATAAGGAAAGTCGGCGGCCGGCCAACGCCAGGATCTTGGACGCACCAATCACTTGTGATGGCGGAGCTGTTTATCGTGGGTTGATAAGCTCTCATTACCAATCTTGCAGGTGTTGGATGGTAACTAGATGTGGATCTGGCCGTTGACCAATTTTTGAGTGTAACTTAAAATGTTCCTTTTTGCCGAGCCCCATGCATCGTATCGACTGCCTCTACCTCGGGTAAGGAAGCTGTGGAAGTGTACTCGGGTGGCCGACTATGGAGTCATTTCAGCTCGCGCATATTCTGATAAAAGCCATAGAGCAAGATGCTAGAGATTCCAGAGACTCCCACTGGCCATGGCAAAGTTATACACTTCTTCGAGAAGTGTGCAGCCGAAGAGAGTTGCAGTGGCGTAATTAAAAGCATAGGTGGCTTTCTTGGAATAGAACGCAGGCAATCATTGAAATAGAGGCATGCCATGTGCATTTGGACAGAAAGGTAGTCTAACAGATCGAGATAATAGTTAGAGCAACGGAATCCAACACGTCTCCTACGGATACAGAAGAACAAAACCCAGCGACAAGCTTCCAAGATAGCAGTCCAGTGACACATCCTACTCCAAATGACGCGGCAAAAGTGCTGAACAGCCCATCTAGCACCAAGGATGATGAGCTACCTCTCCCAGGTAAAAGACATTGACCCTCCATTTGTCGTCACCATGGCCAAGCCAGCCCTTGATTCGTTCGGAGTCCTTGCCGCAGATATTGAGGATAACCTGGGCACCATCGGCAATGTTATTGAAAGACGGGAGGTAGAAGTCGTCATGCTCTCTCTAGAAATGCAGCCATTGTTAGTCTAGTTTCACGTTTGTGTTTCGAATCTGGACGGATCGGTAAGGATCGAAAACGTAACTCACGTCGTTGCACCATTCAATCGCCGACAGATACGAGCAGCTGACTCGGCTACACTTCTTGGGAGGCAGGTAGGGTCTGCCCCTGACCTTGCGCAGGTACTTGATTCCACTGCGGAGATATTTCTTCTGCACGCCCTCATAAAGCCAGCAGTGGATGTCGTGCTCAACCTCGCGGCGCTCGAGTTCCACATCCAGTGCGGTATTGTTGTCGATATCGATATCGATATCGATATCGATGTTAGTGTCATCTTCATTCTTCCAGTCATCGTCGTAGTTGGGGTTCATCTCGAGGAGCTTGGCGTAGACTTGTTCGACGGTACCGTTGAGGAGGATCGGGGCGGCGCCAGGGTAAGGTGCGACTTCCCAGGATGGGATCACGTAGTCGGGCTCGAGGTCGGCAAGAGCAAAGGGGGTAGAGAACTGGAGAGTCACGGTTCTTGTTAGCAAGGTGCCCCGGTGTCATGTGTTACTGGTATGGGGGCTTGAACATACGGCTGAAGCCATGACGGCGAGCGCTGCCAAAATGACAACCACGGCCCACAAGGGACCGAACAACTGAGGACGCATCATGATGGATGGCAGTACTCTGGACTGATGCGATCTCAGAGGTTGAATAGTTGACTTGGTTCTTGCTCGAGTGAGCGACAAGGTATGGTTGTCTGTGTTGCTCAAGTCTGTGGTGCGAGCGAGGAACCAGAGGCTGGGGTAAGGAAAAGAGGAAGAGAAATAAGTTTAAACGACTTGAGATTAATAGCTGGCCTCTCGAAACCTGGCCACAGGCAGAAAATTTCTGCCTTCTTAGTTGCCTTTACTGAAGAGAGCAAGGATGCATGTAATGTAGAGGGATTAACTTCTATACATGCATTAGCTGATAGAAACCAATAATTTCCAAAGCACGCTAACCTGTATCTGGACAACAATCCTCAAATTTCCAGTGACTGGCAGATTTCCTGTCGTCCCAAAGGCAGGCCTCATTTCCACGACAAACAGAATTGAAACACATTCACTCCACTCCCCTCCCCCTGGCTCATCTTGCAGACACTCGGCCTGTTGAGTGGTCTCTTGGACTGGCAGTAATATTTACTACCAATTCTGGGAGACTGGACGCATCCTGCGAAGCATTTCCTCGAGGCGACTCCGTGTGTTATACGACTACCCACTGGGGGAGGAGCCTCTTTGTACGTGAGGGCAGCCCACGGCCTCTTGCGGGGTCCGCAAATTGCCAGCTTCCACAAACAGTGGATATCTCCCTGTCCTTTAGGGCTGTATGTGACACAAGAGACGGTGTGCAGTAGGTACCAATGCAGAGATGAAAGTCATATTTGCAGTGGGATAACCGAAGAACCAGGCATAGCCCCAAGGCAGACACGAAGGAAGAGGAGATCTGAGAGAATAGAGAAGAGCTGTAGAGAGACGGACTTGAGTCTGTAGAAAGATCAATGGGAGATGCCCACGCCATTATATCGACGAGTGCCATTGCCGAAGTCAGTCATCGGAAGGCACTGCTCGACTCAGTCTTGGGGATTTTTCTAGGACAGGACCTGTATCATGCCCTCGATAGACGACATTAGAATGAGACTATCTCCAACCACCTGCAGTGAGCGTATCCAACACCGTCCAAAGTTAAATCAGGGCTGAGGGGCTCGTTCCACCATTTCTTCCCTGCCCGATGTCAAATATCACAATCATGCATTCCCAACGTATGCATTGAGCTCCTTCCTCTTTGCGACATTCCGGCTTAATGGCTTTCTCGGAACCAGGCGCCTCTTAAGAAGGCGCAAAGGCGATGTTATTCAGGACTATGCATATGGAAAGAGCGCGAGGCCTTAACGAAGTAAGTACGTGCGAACGGAGAGTAGAATCGCTGGACTTACCCAGCCCAAGGGGATTCTATGACGATAGCTATATTCAGCTTACTCTGCTTTGCCTACGTTATGCCTTGGACCACTGATTTCTATCTTCATAACCAAGATCTAGTGGTCGTATCAGTCATATCCGGGCAGGGCACTCATTAGCCACAAGTCTTGACCATGAGGGATACATACGAGCTCTAAAAGTCAATCTATGAGGTGCGTGGCTAGACCTTGCAACTTTCGTACGCAAGCAAGAACCCGTGCTGCGTAGTCCTGCCTATGCAAGATGTGTATGCAGGGCGCAGAATGTTCTCCCCATCGACGACCTATGTACCACACTCATGTTCATTATTTTCAAGTCCTCGCCTCTTTATTACCTTTCTATACCACTTTCGACTGAATGGCATAGATGGTTTAGTGTATAAGAAGTATCAATAGCACCTGTCCAGTTCTTTGCATCTGATAGTTCCTACGTTCTTGGGTCAAGGTTCCACTTTGTGAGGAGCATAAAGTGTTGCACAATACAGAGCGGCGACTTGTCATCGTAGTACTCTGCCTGAGACTAAACAAGAGGGAGGATCGAGCCATTGTAGTACCCATTCTCGTTATATATCTCAAGCCGCCTTCAAGACCCCCCATACCCCCTCCGCCCACGAACTCTTGACAACAAACGTCTCAATCCTCCAAAACTCACCCTCTGCCACACCAGTCTCCCTAACCACCTCAAGGTAATAAGAATTTCCCGTCAAAAGCCTCTCCTGATCCCCCTTTAACCCCTCACCCTCGCGATAGTGCTGTGCCAGCGCATAAGCCCTCATGGTGGCCTTCTCCCCGCTCTCGTCAATATGAATCCGAACGTTCGACACAAAATGCGTCGTGGTTTTTGGTCCGATGACATTAAAGCAGTTGGCATGGATTGCTGCGAGACCCTCGGAGACGGCCCCGTTTACTTCGAGAGTTGCGGTTTCTGTGAAGGAGGAGTCGAAGAGGGGTTTGTTGTTTGTGTCGATGCCCTCAATGCACCGGTATAAAGCGTCGGAGATCGCTTCTCGACCGGTGAGAGGTGGGGAGAGGTGGATGGGGAGCGCGTTTGAGGTGCTGGAAGACATGATTGGGTTGTGATTGCTTGTAAAGTGGGATTGTTGATGGGTAGGCTTTTCTGGAATTGTGACTTGTAGGCGGCTCTTTCACAGTGCCTTTCTGATATATGGACCGTGGCTGCTGCTGATATTTATATACGACGTGTTTTCATTGTCGCAGAGAACCGGTTTGTAGACTTATCCCCGGCTATCTCCAGGATCGGATTTAGAGCTGCTACTTCCGGCGCGTCGACGACGAGGTGGGGCGACTGACTCAAAGACATAGTTATTAGGTGATGAGTCATGTTGATAGGGAATTATATCATGTCCTATCCCATGGCATAATATCATGCCTACATTATTTATGAAGGACATATATGATCAGAGGCCTATGAGGTATATGCGACTGGTTAAACCCTCAGATAGCGTGACAAAAAGCATAGACAGAAACGACATAAGGACGCAATCCAACCCATGCCATTTGTGTAGTGGGTTCCTTATCTCAATCAGTTAGAGAACTACGTCAGCCTTGATGTCACGTCCTATATAAACAGCTTTGTTGTTATATATAACTTACGTGCTGTACTTATTGAAGCGGCTTCGTGAGGATCTTTTTCTGAGCTGCCATCGCCGCAATTCGAGCGTACGGACGTTTGCAAATCTATAATATTGCATGGACAAGGTACCCTGTAGGTCGCCCGGATCCAGGAGGCGAGATAATCAAACATCACATGATCTACCTATGCTTCTCGACTACCATCACTCCCGGTTAAAGCCAAGGCGGATCGGGTCTGAGAGTCGCGGGTGGCTCAGGGGTACGTTGCTGCCGGCAGCAGGGAGGAACGAGGCAAGGCCGCAGCAGTACATGTGGGCGAGAGAACTGCGAGGCCTCGACATATAGTACTGTTGTCAGACAAAGGAAGCGTCGCGAAGCGGTGTGATATGGGTAGTACACAACAGCAGCACCAAGCCTCAAAAGATGATCGACATGCAACATACAGCTTAGGCGGCGACGTCAGACAAAGAAACAGCAAACGGCGCTTCCCGCGCCAGCAACTACTCGCTAGTACAACTAGTGAGTATATATAGAAACCTGTGTCTCAAGTTGAGCTCGCACCTCGGTCATTATTTTCAAGCCCAGCAATGCGTCATACTCTGCACAGCCAGGTCATGGCTTGACGGGCCCGCGGTTACAAGGTGCCATCGGCCATCCTTGCCCTACCAGCCTCGCCTCTACTATATTCGAGTGATCGCGTCACGTAGAGAGTATTACAGATGTCATCGGAAGCCTCTTCAGCGAGGGATGGGTATTTTAATCCGTACGGGCAGTCGTTGTCATGGATCAGCAGCACTCAGTGAACTACTGGAAGACCCTCAAGCCGGCGCGACAAGCGATCTCTCATGACTTCTACTGCTATGCAGTTTACAGACGGTTTGCTTTCCTGCATACGGTCTTAAGAATCAGACTAAATGGGAGCTTACCCCAACTGGATGTTGCTTGGCACATCCTTTTTAATGGGGCGCAAGAACCGCCCTAATGAGGCCTAGATAATGGGACTAGCGGCCGCATGTCGGTTGGTGGATTCATTGGAGCTCGGCCCTATTTCTAGGAGAGAGCAAGACTCAAAGTGGGACCAACGTTCCTGTTTGTGCCCAGCCCCAGCTGACCTCAGCTCTGATACCCACTCGCTGCCTACGGAGTAGATGGGCTGTGTAGAGGCGGGCTTATAAAGTGGACCTAACCCCTCGACCTTGAAATGTCATTCTAGAACAACATTTCAACCTCTTTCCAAGCCATCCATAGATCTTTCTCGCAAACTCGCTTACAATGGCAAACGCCGACCGTCCAACAATCGTCCTCGTCCACGGCGGCTGGCATACCCCACCCCTCTACGACAAATTCGTCGCACGCCTCCGCAATGCAGGGTACGAAGTGCACGTCCCTCGCCTGGTCACAATGAACGGCTCGCGACCACCAAACGCAGACCTCTACACCGACTCAGCCCTGATCCGCAGCTACGTCGAGAGTCTCGCCGAAGCAGGGCGGAAGATTGTCGTCCTCATGCACTCGTACGGAGGACAAGTGGGCACGAACGCGCTTACGGGCCTTGGTATCGAAGGTCAACAGAGAGAAAAGGCCGCAAATGCCGGCGGAATCACGCGCCTCGTTTACATCGCCGCGTTCGCGCTGGACGAGGGCGAGGGGATGATGGACATGGTGACGAAAATGGGCAACGCGGACCTCATCCCGTTGGCCTTTGACTTCCACGAAGACGGCACGGCTGTCTCGCGCGACGCGAAGAATCTCCTCGTCGGCCCACCTGGCCCGGGCATCTCCGAGGAAGACGTTGATAGGGAAGTCGCGCGGTTCGAGCGGTGGAATGGGAGCGCCATGTATCAGCCCTTGAAGAGCGCTGCGTGGCGGGATATTTCCGTCTCGTATATCTGTTGTAAAAACGATATGACGGTGCCGATTACGTATCAGCAGGTGTTTATTGACAAGCTGCGGGGGTTGGGCAAGGATGTTCCGGTGTTTGAGCTCGAGACGGGGCATTGTCCGCAGATTACGATGCCGGATCAGTTGGCTGATGTTGTGCTTGAGATTGTGGAGAAGGAATAAACCGTGGTCCTAACATATGCCTTGATTTATGGCGAGCACATATGGGTAGCCTGGAGTGCGAGAGTCAGAAGCCAGTCTATTTGTCACGATCCAGGTGCTAGAGTCCGGGTATATAGCGAATGCAAACATACATAGAGGACAATGCTAGTTTTGTATTTCCGTTGGTTAGGACCTTATATTTTCCCACATCAACATGCTTGTTGAACAATTTAAAAACCGATTGAATGCAGTTTGGGTTGAGTTCCGGGGTCCTAGATGATGGCAGTGTTGCTGCTACTGTAGAAACTCTAAAAGTGTCCGATGCAACACAAGGAACAACAGTTCCTGGTACCGTACACTCCCGAATTGAAACTCATAGTTCCAGAACTTGCCATTACGGAGACGGCTTCTGGCAAGGTATAGAGAGGAGTTCCGAGGCTGAAGAGACCAATAGAAGCAACGACCTCGGTGCAAGCGCAGCGAATACGGAAGTACCCGAACATGGTGTAACCACCGCAGGCTTTGCACGACGGCATCTGCATGAGATCTGCTGATTGATTTTTGCTGCTGACGCTAGACTCGACCCGTCTCGAAGATCCCCCGCTTGACCGGTCACCGACCATGAAAGTCGTATGGGCTTACATTCCAATGCTCTCGGATTACGGAGATAAGTTCATAAGCCAAAGGATTGCGGGGTCAAAGTTTAAAAATCCGACAATGTAGGGATGCGTAGGCTGGACTGGAATATGGAGTCAAGCTTAGACGTTGGGTATTCTGGAACAAAGAAGCGCGCCCCTTGTTGTGCCAATCAGACTTTCTATTTTGTCCAGGGCTGTTCGGTCCGCCATCAAGGTAATTCAATCCACAGAGTCGGAATCGGAGCTGCAAAGCCTGTCCCACGACTCATGCTGATGCAACCTTCGGCCATAATACCCCGATCAAGTCCGATTTGAATTGCCGTGTGTGACGGCATAGTCAGGTATAACAGCGCGGGCGACCACTCCTCATGAGAGCATCCGTGCCATTTTCATCAGAACAGCTCTTTTCTCCGAAACGCTCAAGATACAGCAGAATGTCGACAACAACGCAAACCGCAATCCAACCAGACATGGAGTCTACCCCCCGGCTAACCCTACGTTCCCTCCCCAAAACGCTCCCACCCGGCTTCCTCACAAAATACACACCTCTTTCTAGGGAACAAGCCGGCCACCTCCGACACATTCACAACCTCTCCACGCAACGCCCCGGAATCTGGGGCGTAATGGGCACACAGGACCCAGGCCAAGAATGGGTCGACGCCTACCGGTACCAACTCGCGACAATGGCCTACGCCGCCGGTGCAGCGCACTACCACCGACTTCCCGCCGTGCGATCCCTCTTCAAAAGGCTCTTGTTGGATCTTATATCGAAAATGCTCAAGCGCGATGTGTGGGGGTACTGGTTTCTAACCTCGCACTCGGGTATCGCCGTTGATCCTGATCTAAAGGAGTTGCGCAAACCCTGGGCGGATCCGATCGTGAGGGAGAATATTATGTACTCGGGTCATTTGTTGCTGATGGTTTCGCTGTATACGATGCTCTTTAACGATGAGAGGTATGATGCGCAGGAGGCGCTGCAGTTTGTTTGGGATCCGGTGTTTTGGGGGATGGGGAAGGAGGTTTTTTCATACAGCAGGCGGTCGCTGCAGGAGGTTGTTTTGTCCGAGATGGAGAGGCAGGGGTGGCTGGGGGCTTGCTGTGAGCCGAATACCATCTTTGTGGTTTGTAATCAGTTTCCGGTGTGTCTTGACTTTCGTCCAATTCTTGCGAAGAGGAGGTGCTGACGCTGTCTATCAGATCATTGCCTTTCGGTACAATGATATCCACGACAAGACGAACAATGCGGAGAAGGTCATCCTCAAGTATAACGAGGCCTGGGGCGGAAAGGGGTCATACCATCGTGATGGCATGATGGTCGACTGGTACACAGTCAGGCAAGATAGCATCAAAGCATCTGGAGGAATCGGGAGTACTGCCTGGTAAGCGCACCATTCCAACTACCTCCACCAAAGCCAGTAGCTAACCTTGAAAAGGACCGCCACATACATGAACGCCTGGAACCCCGAAGTCGCACATCAAACCTTTCGCACCCAAACAACAGGCTTCCTAACCCGCGTTGAGAAAGACCGCGTAAACCTCAACCCGGCGCCCATAGCACACACAATCCGCAAACTCGTCAAGGACGAAAATGCAGACCCTCATGATCCTGCAACAATTGCCACAGCCACCGCGGCCGTTCGTCAGAAGTTTCCTGCGGGGCAGCCGAAAGCGCCATACCCCGGCCCGACGTTCGGATACGTGACCATGTGGACCTCAGAAGTCGGTGACAGCGATACGCTTAACGGACTCTTGAACCACGCAGATCGGTACCTAGGTCCAACATGGAAGGATGGAGGACTATACTATGCCGCAAACGATGAGAACGATGTCGATGCCGAAGGCAACTGGAAGATGATGGATCCGTTCACGGGAAATGCAGCTATAGCGTATGCGAGGTTGAATGTGCCCGATGGACAGAGGAAGATGTGGGTTGAGCCGTGGACGCCTGAGATAGTTGACAACGCGCCATTTGTGGCGGATTTGGAGTTAGGGAGCGGAGTTGATGTCCTCAGGGGGGTTTGGGATGAGACAAGGGGAGCTATGGTTTTGACGGTCAGGACGTGGGATGGGGCTGCGAAGCAGTAAGTGGTCTGATCCAAGGGGATATCGTTTGTGGGTTTTTTTGTTGGTGATTTGTTGACCATCTTAGGGTACGACCAACCTTCCATAATCTCCGGGCTGGAGATTACGGCGTCTATCACGACGGTAGTCTCGTCAATGCAAGGACAGTAAAGCGCGCCGGAGACACCATTCAACTAAGCTTGGAAGTTACTGGACATGAGTTGACTGTGGTCGTGCTAGCGAATAAGTATGCCTCATCCTCAAGACTGTGACCTTCAAGACATCACACATTGTGAAATATTGATATCGTTGAATGTATTGCTTTCTGACCTTTCCGACTTACACACCATCAATATACCACGTAATATTATCCCCATCAATCTCTCTCTGGCTGAATCCGTTTCCAAAGTACGAAAATCGATTATTTAATCGATACTCCCACTCATAATCCTTCACCATGATCAGCCACATCCAAATCCCTAATACCAGAGCGTTTTCCTCGTTAAAGAAGAAAGGGAGCACGTACCTCAAACCTCGGCTCCGCCAACGCCTCAAAAAAATGCAACCGACTTCCGGGCCACATGAGAATCGGCCCATCGACCGTCCCACCCTTGAACCACGACCGACACGGCGAGCTCCACGCCGTCCGGAGAAGGAAGAGTTCACGGTGCCGTCGAAAGTCGTCGACGGCTTCTTGATTTGGGTAAAAACTCTTGATATTCTCGCGGGCGAGCTTAGTGAGGAACTTTTCAATGTAGCGCGTGATGATTTCGATTATGGGCAGGATTGAGCCGTGGCCGTACGGGCCGAAGGGGCCGTTTATCACTGTGGATGTTAGCACTAGTTCATTGTGAATGTAGCGGGAGGACAGGTAGGCTGACTGAAGTAGTTGGGGAATTGAGGGATTGCCGCGCTGAGGTATGTGTCTGGCTGCTTGGCCCATGCGTCTTTCAGCTCTAGACCACTCTTCCCGACGATAGGGAATTTCGGTTTGAAGCTGACATCGAATCCTGTCGCGCAGACTAGGACGTCCATATCGTGATGTACCCCATCTTGCGTGATGATGCCTGTTTCTGTAACCTCCGTGATGCTCTCAAACGTAACAGAGCACTTCTCATCAGTAATGCATTCCAGAAACCCATTCCCCGGCGTCGGCCTACGACACCCAACAGCATAATCGGTAGGAACGAGCTTCGAAACAAGATCCTCACGCCCATTCAACTTGCGCGTCATTTCTGCCTGTGCGAAAGCGAGCGCCTCTTTCTGTGCTGGTGTCCCATTGATGATAAATTTGAACCGCTGGTTCAACTCCTCCTCGACCATTTTTCGATAATGCAAATACTCGGCCGGATCGTCTCTAAACTTCTGCTTTTGTTCCTCGCTGTAGTCGAAATTCGCCCCGTTCTCGCCGGCGTACTTTTGCGCGAATCCCGCCGTTATCCATGTGGGTGATCGCATGAAGGCCTTTAGTTCTTTGACTTTCGGGAGGATTGCTGGGATTATTTGCACGGCGCTGCTTCCGTTGCCGATCACGCCGACGACTTTGTCTTCCAACTCGATTGAGGTATCCCAGCTCGCGCTATGGAGTTTCTTTTCGAATTTCTCGACCCCCGGGACCTGCGGCCACTTCCAGTTGTTCAGCACCCCCGTCGCATTTATCAAGACATCGCCCTCATCCTCAAAAGCCTCTGTCCCCTCTTCACCCGGCTGAACTCTAACCCTCCACTTCCCCCTATGCTCATCCCACCAAGCCCCCACAACACTATGACTGAGCTTGACAAACTTCCCTAAATCATGCGTTCTGACCACATCCTTAAAGTACTCCAGAATCTCCTCACTCCCCGCATAATACCTCGACCAATCCGGCTTCGGGTGCCACGAGAACTGATAGTTCACAGACGGGATATCGCACGCGCAACCGGGGTATCTGTTCTCGTACCACGTCCCGCCGACTTCCGGGTTCTTCTCGTAGCATTGGATGCTGATGTTTTTGTGCCGCGGTTGGCTGAAGATGTGTGCGAGGTTTATTCCGCCGGCGCCGAAGCCGATTACGATTATTCGGAGGGGGCGCAGTGAGCCTAGCGGTGTTGAGGGGATCGCGTAGCCTGTTACGTCGGAGGGTGGGACGGCCGCGGCGTAGCTGGTTATTTTGGAGAGGAGGGGGCCGGGTGACGGTTCAGTCATTTTGGCGAGATGCACATAAACCAGAGGACTTTCTCTCGGAAAATAGGTATGCTGAGTATAAGTAAAGCAGACGATGGACTGCTTAAAAATTTAGAATAGCCGTCTTCGTAAGCGTACGTCACATCCTCAGCCATCTGCATGCTAGCGGAGAGTGCCGCATCTGCATAAGTACTCAGAGCAACAACCGCGGCCAGACGATTATATTTGATGAGAACCTCGGGATGTGTATGCTTTCGTTTAGCTGCTGTCGCGACGATGCGGGGTTCCCCGCTGATGATCTCGCGCGGGGTCGGTTGTTGGTCACCGGAGTCGGGCCGAGTCGCCCAAGGCGAAGGGCGCGGGCAGTCGTGTATGTGCATTAGTTACATTGGCAGGGCTCATATATAAAGATGACAATTTTCAACGTATAGCGCCTGTGCTAAAAGATAAGTGCTCGTTGAAAGCAGCAGGGCCAGAAGAAGTGGGCGCACCACCACAGTGTTGTTATCGCCACGGAGACGAACGCTCATGTCTTCTCGTTCAGTCATCTCACCCGTGGATAATCTGAACGCTTTCTGGTCTGCCATCCATTGCTGATCATGATTCGCTGTTTCTCGAGGGCGGGATTCCGAGCTCGTTCACGAAGCACAACACTTGCGAGCCGCCATCATGGTGCTTGGGTAGCTGTCTGTATTGTGGAAGGGCTTTGAAGATATACAGAAAGAACTGTCTCAATCGAACTGCTGCCTTATCGATTGCATGATGGCAAGGATGTGCTGAAGGTGCAAAAGACTGCAAGCGAGAGGTGGAGGTTTATTGAGGTTGGCCGGCGGTCCTTCGCGCCTTCATCACAGTATCTTTGGCCCGATCAGGATCTGTCAGCATTGTGCCTGAGGCTACAAATCGCATTTCAGCACGGTCGCTCCGCTCCACAATAGCTTCTAGGTAGCTTCTTCGAACGACACACACTTCACCATGGCCCTTTTCTTACCCGGTGAACCTCGCGAACAGGATCGCTGCATTCTCCCACCCGGCACCTTGTCCCTTTCTCAGTATTCTCCGGCCCACGGTACTGTTGCCCCATCTCCCCTTATCCGATTTCGCGATCGTCCGCGTCGGGCCGCTACCCGCTGGGTTCCATCGTTCGGTGAGAGATGCAGACTTCAAGAGGGGACCTGGATTCATCTGATCATCTGAGAAATCAACCAAATCATTAACAGGGCCTCTTGCCGCGATAATTCCCCAGATACTCGACTCTGGAATTCAAGTTTGGGACAAAGGGGTAGTCAGACGGATACAAGAGAATTTGGGTCACGGTGTCTTGCCCACTAACGATCAACACTGGGACAACAGTCCTGCGTTTTGACTCCGTATGTACGTTTGCCCGCCATTGGAGGTATCACAGATGCTGGAAGCCCGCGCATTCAGCCGCGTACGTGCATGGAGAAAGTGTGCTCCCTTCACTAGGCCTCGTTGACCAATCTCCAGCTCTTTTTGCACCTTGAGCAGTACTTTGTCTGGTCCTTTCTTCCGAAAACCGGGCCAAGTCCATTTGTCCGCCTCTCATCAAAGAACCATCGCTCTCATTCTTTTCCACTACCAGTTCTGAATCCCTTTTCTTGTCCTGCGCCAAGACTTATTTGACCATGGAGCACAATGCAAGAGCTCCCAGGCGGAGAGGGCGCCCGAGAAAACGACCTTGTATGGGAAGGCGCTGGACTCCTGAGGAATGGCAGCGGCTGGTCCAGTTAAAGAGAGAACATAGTGACCTTGATTGGATTCAGCTTCAAAACGTACCACCCTTTCTCTCTGGACACCGCAGTCGCATGGCTTACGAGATTCTAGTTGGGGCTCTTTTCAGATAGGACTGCGAGCGCCCTCCAAGCAGCATACGAGGCATGTACCCTCTATTATTCTTTTGGACTATCACTCATGCAACACAGAAGCTTACCACAACCCACCTTGGGATGCTCTATGGCCTTGACCAATCCGATGACACCTCTTCAACACAGAGGGCTACCGGAACCCACGTTGCGAGGCACAATGGCCTTGATCAGCCCGATCCCACATTTCCAGCACAGAGGGCTACCACACCTCACGTTGCGAGACACAATGACCTAGACCAGCCCGATCCTACGTTTTCATCACGGAGGTCTACCAGAACCCACGTTGCGAGGCACAATGGCCTCGACCAACCTGATCCTACAATCTCATTCTTCGAGTCACTTGATGAGATTGAACGCCTGCGGGGACAGCTTCACCGAGAAGGGGAGGACAAGAACGAAGACGAGACAGGCGATGAAGAAGAAACACACGACGCCGAGCCCTCCTACCGAGATACGAGCGGTCGTGGCAGGCCAGGAAGCGAAGAGGACAATCCAATTTCAATCGTCAGTATATTCAGTCTTCAGCGGAGTAACCGGATGGTGGTACCAGCTAACATGCTGCTCATGTAGGACTCCGACGATGAGACGCAGCCAATCGACGTGAACCAGGCATGTCCCTCCCCGAACAACACAAGCCCGACACCCGACGTACCTGCCCAAATTCCAGCGTCATCTGGTCCCCTATCAGATGGTCCGGGCACCGCCGAATCGGCGGGTTCACCGACCCCGCCAACTTTCCAAGACGACGGCACTTCGGGTGAATCAGACGACCCGCGAGTGAATATGGGTAACTTATTCCCGCGGGTCATTGAGTTGGTTCGGGATGCTCTTAATTGGGACAAGCACTTGAAAAGCTTCCAGGCCATGCAAGCGCGACAAGAACAGGGTATCTTGTTGTTGAAGGAAGAACTTTCCCAAAAGGACCAGGAGATTGCTCGATTGAGGCAGAACGAAGCGCTGTATATGAGAAAGGATGCAATGATGGAAAGCTTCCGGGCCATTGAAGCACGGCAAGAGGGGGACGCCTCGTTGTTGAAAGCAGAGCTTGCTCAAAGAGACCAGGAGATTGATCGATTGAGCCAAGAAATTGTTCAATTGAAGCAGAACAAGGTGCTCTATATGAAAAAGGATACAGTGTTGGAAAGCCTCATGGCCATGGAAGCTCGTCACGATGGGGACATCTCGTCATTGAAGGAAAGGCTTGCTCAAAGGGACCAAGAGAATACTCAGTTGGGTCAGGAGATTGCTCAATTAAAGCAGAACGAGGCGCTGTATATGAGACACGGTGCAGTGGATGAAGTACCAAGTTTGGAGAGCTTTCTGGCCTTGGAAAAGCGGCAAGGGGAGGACATCTCGTTGCTGAAAGAACAACTTGCTCAAACCAACCAAAAGCTTGCTCAAACAAACCAGGAGACCTCTCAAACGAACCAAGAACTTGCTCGAAAAAGCCAGCAGATTGATCAATTGAAGCAGAACGAAGCGCAGTACATGAGAAAGGATGCACTCGACGAATTACCAAGTTCGGAGAGATTCCTGGTCATGGAAGCACGGCAAGAGGAGGACATCTCCTTCGTTAGAAAGGGGCTTGCTCAAAATAGCCAGGAGATTACTCAATTGAAGCAGAACGAGATGCTGTATATGAGAAGGGATGCAGTGGATGGTGTGCCGAGTTCGTCCCACAATTCGCATGCCCTGGAGACCATGCTCAGGCACGTTATGGACCGCTTGGACGCTGTCGAGCAAAAGTATCCGACCCTGCCAAAGGAGGCGCAGGCTATGACAAGGGGGGCAGTAAAGGAAAAGCCAAACTCGTCCATAAATGTAGAGTTGCTTCAGGCATTGGTCAAAAATGCTCAGCGGCGGTTGGAGGTTGTCGAGGACAGGTATGCGATTCTGCAGAACGAGTTCGTGGCGCTACAAAGCTCGCTTGGAAACCTAGAGGCGGACAGAGCAATGGTTGGAATCCCTGACAACGTATCGCGGCGTTTGGAAGTTGTCGAGGCAAGGTATGCGACCCTGGAGAACGAGTTCGCGCAGCTACGAGGCGCTCTTGGAAACCCAGAAGCGGGTAAAGCAATGGGGATCCCTCACCAAAACCTCCAAGAACCCCGAGGACACCCTTACAGGGCCCATAATCATGTTCAAAGGTTTATACAACCAAGAGAACCTTACTATTATTCGGGCTCAATCTGATGCCATTAATAAGCGAGTACAGTCACTTGAACAAGTAATCAACTTAAAGCTTTCCAGCTACTGATGTACTCCGACAGTTTCAACCATATATAATCTTTTTCTTCTTCGTAGTGCCTACTATGACTTTCAATAACTTTCTATCAACTTCATGTTGTTTTTGTGCCGGTCTTCCCCTTTCATTTGTATATTTTTTGAACCATTCTAAGCCCCAGATCTACATCTTCTGACTGAAGATCGCATAGCTGGTGCATTGAACAACACTACCTACTTTCACAGCTACCAATTTTATATCTCACCACACATTACTCGATCTCAGTAACATTGATACTGACAGTAACAACCGCTGTCAAACTTAATATCCATATACTACTACTCCATACAGAAAACCATTATTTTGACACTAAAAGAAATAAATACCAGACTTTCAGATTACCATAAGAGACCGTAGAAATGGTGCACTGGGTGATTAAATATTCAACCAGACGGTATCATAACAGGACAGGGCATGGGCCAGAATTTGGGATGTTTTGATCTCTCACATTTCGATTCCTGTCAGGAATCAGGAGCAAAGAGATATCCTTGCAAGACCAACAAAGAAATAATCCTGTTCATGTGAATCTTCTTCCTTGGTGCGAATGCAGCTGCTCTAATCTGGAAGTGAAAAGCAGATCCCAGTCGGCCTCCCAGCCCTGCCTGTCGTCCTATTGGTCGGGAAAAGAAGACAGAAAGAACCTTCCTTTGGAGTGGTCTAGAACTTGCTGGCTCAGGATTCAGGAGTCAGGGGTCAGGACTGATCAGGGCAGGCATCGCAAGTTCCGTAATCTTTTCTGGCTATTTTTAACACACGCTTCCAATTTCAAGAAAGGGTGCTTCGCGGAGTAGTGTAGATTTTCTTTTACTGGAACACGCGAAATCTAACAAATGCTAGGACATACCTAGTAGCTGGCCTAGAAAGCTGACCATGGAATGCCTGTTGTACAACAGTCTGGCTGCAGGATATTGTTGCCAATGGATTCAGAATGGATCGCGATGAAAATATGTGGATGAAAGGTATGAACTCGGTACTCCGTAGATAGGGAAAGTTACCCTAAAGGAGTGGTGCAAGTGGTTTAGGAAAACGACTGCTTCTCCAGCTGCACACCTCATCTGTTTCATGTGCATTGGTTGATAAGTGCCAGATAACAAAGTATCATTATAGAGTGTATCAGAATCAAATATACAGATCGGTAGGATACTGGTTATGTGCACTTTATCAACCATTTGCATCCTCAACTTGGAGCTTTTCCAAGAGGTCGAATGCCGAAAGCTTTTTGAAAAATCGCTCGAGTAATTCCACTCGCTTCTGTACGGACTCCAACCCGGGCTTGATCTCGGTTGTCTCCTTGATCTTCATCTCGTCAACCTCGTGCTTAAGCTCCTTGAATCTCTCCTTGTAAAGTTCATCGCTATCATTCAAGCGTTCGTGAATCTGTCTGAGCAATGCTTCCTCCATCTCCGCTTGTCTTGACGATCTGAGATCCTCGACTGTCTTCTCCAAGTGTGTATTCCGCCGCTTCATTCCAGCGATTTCCTGTCTCAAGCGATCGAGCTCCTCTTTAAGGTACGAGTTCTGAGACTCTTGTCGCGCTTCCAAGGCGTTGAGATTAGACTCCTGCTGTTGAAGAGCGTGAGCAGCCTGAAGCAAGCTCTGCGATGCCGGAGACTTGCATGGTCCAGCCAGTTTTGTCTCGCGTGCTTTCTTCCCTGATGGTGAACTGTTATCCTGGCGAGCCCTATTCTGCGTATTAGCTGATTCGGAGCGTCCACAGATACCTGTCGAAGGACCTGGGGCTGCTGAGATACGGACAGGGCCGGAAGGCGTGGAGGTTGTAATGTTCCAGGGGTATGGCTTTTCGGATGACTGCATTCTGTTCGGCCGCTTGAGAAGGAGCATGTTAGCTAGCACTACTACCATCAGGCTCAACACGTAATGACTGCAAGTACTCACGTTCGCGGTCGCAGTGTCATTCTTGCTCTCTGGCTCGTCGTGCTCGCTCGAGCTTTCACACGATGATTCGTCTGAGTCGTCGCTTGCCTCTTCCTCACTGCTTGTCTCGTCGTAATCAGTGTCCTCTTCCTCTCCTCGGCGAAGTTTCTTCCGCTGTCGCTCGTCAAGTGACTCGAATGATGGTGATGTGGGACGCTTGGACGCCCTACTACCATTGCGCCTCATGACACGGATTCCAGTAGCACGCTGTACCCATTAATAATAGTACGACACAGTCATGATTGAGCACATACATCATATGCCCATTGTAGCGCCCGCGGAGTTCGACCGGGGAAGAGTCCCAACTAAGACATCATAAGCGATTCAGGCTCAATACCCAGGGGAAAGTAGCAAATGGTACATCGTGGAATTGATTCCAATCGAGTTCACTATGTTGATCTTTCAGGTCGATCAGCCGTTGCCTATCCTCGGATGACCAGCGCACCCTGGAAATTAACCCGCTCTTCGGGCGCCGTCTCTTCCTGGTAGTCCTCACATCGCTGTCCATTGGAAAAGAGAATGAGAAAGGAAGTCGGTAGATGCGTATGTGATAGGATAGACGGGTCGCCAGCAGATGTGAGACGGACAAGTATATGGCCTGACTTGATGAAAGAGGAAAGGAACACAATCACTCGAAGGAAGAAAAAAACTTGGGACGTGGCATGGCAAGGCGTAGCAGGAACGAGCAGTACTAGTATCCATATTAGGCAAAAGGAGGCGTAGGCTCCAACTATGTGGTCAGATCGCCTTGAAAAATACGCTAACACAGCCAGACAAGTACCACCGTAAGTTGCCAGTGAATGAGAGCTGGAAGGAGGCGCGGCAAAATCCTCGACTTCAGTTATTGGCAAGAAAGTTGAGACTGGACGGGGGCCGAACGAGTCACTTTTATGTCCACGGTCCACCTCGCAAGTAGACTCGACAGCAACTTGTATTTCTCCATTCAGGGACGCTGTTGTGATGGGCCGAAATGCGACGACTTAGTTCATGTTGACAAACCTAGTCCGTACACCAAAGCCGGCTTGACAATCAAAGCGGGATTACCGTTTCTGTTGCGACGAAGCATCATAATGGGCAAAGTAGAAGTACACATTAAATATGCCACGAATTGTTTTGTTTTCTCCCTCCCTCATCAACTCTACTCCACTGTCCTCTCAGCTTATTCGATTCATTCGCCTCTGACACTTTTTTTCCGGCTCCTGGAGCCCGCCGAGCATGGGCCCGCACGATTGCGATAACCATAACAGATGTTGTAGATAATGACAACACCTACGGAGTATCAAATCTGGGAATGGGGCAGGAAGGAAATTTGGAATAGGAGAATCCCTGTCAGGGGAAGAGAAAACCAAGGCAGATGGATAGGAGAAAAAAAAAAGAAAACCAGAAGACATCCAAGTCAGGTTGGTTTAACAAAGAAATAGTCATAAGAGTGCATCATCTTACTTTAGCGCGGACGCACCTGTGTTGATCTGGAAGGCACATCAAGATTAAGCAGGCGAAAGGGTGGGTCTGGAACAATTCAAGCCAGTCGGCGTCGGCCTTTACTTTTGTTCGTACCTAGAGCTGCCAAAGTCGACATATCATATTTCGATGTTCGCTTCGAGACCCTCGAGGTGGCTTGGAGGGGCCGTTTTATCTGTTGGGTAAAACCGTCGCCATGATTGGCCATTTGTGCTTTCTCCTGCACACCATGATGCATCTCTTGCTGTGCCGCATGAATTTGGAGGTACCTCCAGCCTGTCGCGCTGTTTCACCGCGTAATCTCAGGGGCAAAGCTGAAAATTCGTCTCCTATTCTGATATCTCGACCTTGGACTTGATCTCGGCTCGTGCAGGATTGTTTGTCCTACGCCCTGGAGGTCGAGCCGATCCCGCAATTTCCGCTGAAAAGCCTGAAGTCGCCGTCGAAAAACCACCAAACCCCGGTCGCTGGCGATCTCATGACGCCCGTTCAGGCTCATGTCCAAAGTACCGCCGCTGCTAAGCGCTCTCTGAGGTTTGTCGCCATCGCTAGCGTCCAAAATCTTGCGATAGGTGAAATGAAAGGTGAAGAGCCTGAGCCCAGTCACGCTCCCTCTTCCTCCCCTCGCAAGGACGCTCCTTCCCGTTTAGAGCAACTCGCCATACGAGCTCAACTTCTCGCTCCAAGGATCTCAATCCCGTTGGCTTTTTTTGCTACTCAAATTTTCCGTGTACATCTCAGAACCTCTTTGAAAAGGCTCGGCGACCGGCGTGAGTCAGGTTTCAGCTTTGCGCCCTGCTCATCGACTCTCGAGGCCCAGGCTGCGTGACCCGGGCCGCATTGACATCTCCCCTGCAGCAACGCTCAAGCATCCTGCACCGGGCAACAAAAGCAAAGAAGGTGGACTCGACAGAAGAACTGGACGATTCAAAGGGGGTCGTTGAAGTCCAGGTCTCTACGACAACCTGCTTTTCTTAAGATGGACGACTCTGCCTCGCTTTCACTATTTAGCCAGATGTCGCCAGGGAGCATTGAAGGGTTGCCTAGGACTCCCAGAACGTGGAAACCTTGGACTGATGAGGAGAGAGCTCGTCTGAAGCTCCAACGAAACTTAAACAGTCACCTTAGCTGGACCGAGTTCGCAAAGGTATGCCGTTGGGTCTGGATGTACTTCTCTCTTTTGAACCTCATATATTGTTTGCTCTTAGCACAGATAAATGAGGCTAACGAGAATTACAGTTGAACCTGTTTCCCGGTCGATCCAAGAATTCCATCTCTCTCGAATTCTGTGTCCGTGCCTTGCAACCTGCTATGACTTGAGGTTGTGCATGCTAACCTGCTGCAGAAAATGGAGAAAGCTGAGAGACAAAAGAAACTGCAGTCAAAGAAACGACGACCCGAGAACGATGGTGCCAATCCCAACTCACCCGTTCACCGCAGCAAACGGCGTCCGATTGCATATGAGACGGTGGTTATTGACTCTGATGACGAGGAGAGCAGTCCCGAGGACGGAAACATCCTTTACAGTGGTGAGATGGAGCCGGTGAGCCCAGTCACGACCTATATAAACTACGATATTACGTACTGACGGCTTCATCAGCTTCAGACTCCAAACAGGATATCTTCCCCGGATACGGGACGATCACCCGACAAGCGACAGGAGATACGGACACTACTCCTCAAACTACCTTACAAACGTACTCAACCGGTGGCCGGGCTACCGGAGAAGCCCCCATACCCTATTCCTCCTCCGCCCGTGGCCATTCAATCTGAGAACTGGCAGCATACACCGACACCACCGACACCACTAACCACAATACCTATAAATCCTACTCAGCTGGCAGCCGTGCTGCCCCCAAAGCCTCCATGTGCGGTTCCTCCTCTGCCTGGGGTCGTTGGATCTGATAACACATCAAGGCTTACAGAGGACGCTCTTGCTCACGTTGGAAACCGCAACGTCCTCGACGCTGACAACGCACATTCAGCTCCAATGAGTGTGAGTGACGCTACTGAACTGGGGGATACTTTGCCAAGGAATAACTCATCGGACACAACACAGACACACCAAGCCGCCTTGACGCCCGTGGCGACAGAAAATCTTCTTCTGCATGAGCCACACCGTGCGGCGGAGGCTACGCCGAGCTCTGCGGCTTCTCCCATAACCGGCAAACTGCCACCACTTTCTCGCGATAAGCTGGTACTTCCTTCACAACAAAAGAGAAATCAAATGGTGTCTCCTACCTCTGCGGTGAATTCCGCCTCCGTAGGCGGAAGAAGCGCGTCACTTCCCGTCACCTGTTCAGATGTCTCAAAGCCTAAGGCCGGAGGACCCGATCAGACCGGCACCTCCATCCCACCCTCGGCAGACTACAAGATACTCTGGCCCCTACCAAATAAATCAGCTCAGGAAAGCAAGATAACAGAGGTCTGTCAAGGGCTGTCCCATCTCCTTCGCTCCGGGGTCATTGATGGCAAAAGACGAGATGCCGTTGAAAAGGCTGCAGCTATACAGCAAAGGAACCTTCAAAAGCAGATGGACGACCTCAAGGAGAAGGTTGCAAGACAAGCTGAACAAATCGGAAGGCTTCTAGAGCTGAACAAGGAGAAAGACCAGAGGATTGCCGCGTTAGAGGATTTCGAGGAGCAATTGGTAGTAGCCTTTCTCAACACGCCATACAAGCGACGTTCTACTGAGAAGGGAAACTCTGCAGAGTAGCTCGTGGTTCAGTTCCGAATCGAATGATGACAGAGTTGGGCTTTACGATAATCTTGAGCATGATCATGATATAGGAAAGATTCTTGCCACATAACAAGCTCGTGCAGCCCGGTTTTGATTATGTATTACTGGTGTGACGGGCCGCTGATACTGCCCTGGTACCTGCAGTCTTTCTACTCAAATCAGCGCATTGATATATTTTCCATAGAGACAGAACCTAATGACATAATTTAGTGACGAAATTCTCCTCGACACTGACTTGGTAATATTCTTGACAAAATACAAGAAGGTTTCGAAGTGCTTGCCATTGCTGTCATAGCACTGGTGCCAGCCAGTTAACTATCCGCGACTTGTAATGGCCGCACCTCTCCGTACTAGTACGCGGGTCTGACTCCCAGCGATACTGCCCCTTATCTATTGCCGCTCCAACGGATGAACAAACATTGAGCACCCAAGGCGGGCCCGGCCAAGTCCAAACTCTAATGTCATGAGTACTCATGGACCAGGACAAAGTACGAGTGTAAAGCCGTCAAGCACTGACGAGCAGCTGGATTGTAGACGGCCGCAGTGTCAGGGCCTGAGGCACCAACCACGGTTGCGTCGGCCGCCATAACATTTAGTCTCCCACCTATGGGACAGAGTACATGAGAACGCTTTGCCGAGTTTTTGCAACCAACATATTTGTTTTCCTTGCCTAATATATATATTTTTCTTTTGGATGGGAAGATGTTTGAGTTCGCATCGAAAATGGCGAAACATTCTGTAGGAAAGCAAATGTACAGTCAGTCCACACTCGTAGCGTCGTAGCGAAAAGAAACATTGGCGCTTGTATTTTTGAATTTGTTTCAAGGCAATGGGCCCATGGCCCTCATATATTGCTCGTACGTTTCTCATTATTGCTGTGGGTAGCATATTGTTGGCTTGTTCCGCGGAAGTTGTCGCGGTCTCCCGGTAATTTTTGCTTGTCGTCTGCTTGGCCGCCGGCCGTCCATCAGTTAGCACCCATTTATCGATTACTCTGACCTTCGTTTGCAAATAGCTCCTCAAATTCTTATTGCGCGTCTTTTTCTCTCTCTTCTTGAGCTTTTTCTCTATGCTATTCTCGTGCAGTGGGGTGGCGACAAAAGTACTGGTATAGACGGCTATGTACGAAGCGAAGTACGATGGATTATTACAGCGCTAGCATAATATTGCGGGTCCTCTGGAATTGGGATCATTTGTTCAGTCACCGATGCGACCCGTGGTTAAACACGATCCGACGCTGGGAGTCATGGGTATAGAAGCGGTCTTCCGCCCCTTTACAGACTCAAGAGGTGCCGCTCCCAAGCTAGCCATTCCCTTGATGAGCCCGGATGACATTCTCAGCCACGCCAGACACATTTCAAAACTTTGAATGGAGGACAAAACTGGTTGTCCACATTCTGCATAATAAGAAAGGACTCGGGGTTAATAAGAAATCGCCTCCATGCGAGAAAATGACGGCGTCGCAAACTCCAGTATTCGAGGCGGTCAAGAGTATCAGTACTGGAAAAACAGACACGGGACATAAATCGGACATCCGTTAAGCTGCACTTGACAGCCAGGGGCAAAGTAGCGCCTCTGCTTTAAATCGAGGGTGCCTTTTGGGCAGACATGATACAGTTCGATGTGCGAGTGGCTCAATAATCTGGAGCAAAAAAGGTACCTGGAAGAAAGAGAAGAGCAGGACATGGGTGGTATCTGAGCGTTTGCTGTTCACAAAGCCGGGCTAGTGGTCCATACCAGACTATCGTTGGTTTGGGTTCACGCTTAGGTCAGACACCTTGAGGTTTGTCTACCATCTGCACGACAGCTCGCATTCGGGAGAAAGCGGAAAGTTCCTGGGGACCCGAGGTTGATGTCGCACGAAGTCACATTCGACCGCATATTTTGACTCTCCAATTCGCTTTCCAGACCTTCAAGTGGTGCAGACAGTCCCGTCAAGGGTACAATTGGACCGTGCTTGTGCTTAGGTTGCGGCGCCGCAGGTGCTGTCTTTGGCTTGGTCAGATGCGTAAAGCTTCCGATGCGATGTCCCCCGAAACCAGGAACTGGCTCCTCCGTACTCACAGTAGATCACTGCTCGCAGTTCCAATCACATGTCCAGACCCAAAACACGGCAATGTCGTGGAGTTACCCACGCAGGCACAAATAATGAACCGCCCGGACACTAATGAGGGAGCTGTCGAAGCGGCTGAAATAGGACGCCATCTTGGTATATCGGCTGGAAGGCAAAGCGAGGTCACTCCTATGCCTAGAAATGTCTGCTGAAGCAACATGACTTGTTGAAGCCTGACAATGGAGATGATGATGAACCTCTGCTGACCTGTCTTTGGGGAAACCGGGGCCGAGCGTCTTGTATTCGGCAGTATCAACGCATTCCGGACCGGCAATGTAAACCCTTAAATGGACGCGTTTCTCTTTCTGCTCGTGATAATAGTACCCCAATTCAAGGTTCTGTGAGCTGGGGGGTGATCGCTTCGGACATGGGAGATTGAATCTAGTTGGAGATCCTGACGGTCAGTAAGGCAATTTCCAGCTCCAATAGTCCTGATTCACTTACCTGCTGTATTCAATCGACTGACATTTTCGACGCCTTTGAGGTGGAAGAGAAAGTCAAGGAACAAGGCACATTTCAGCGCTGGGTGGATCGGGTGTGCCTTTTGAGGCGGACCACCCTGCGGCAAGGCTGGATTCATTTTAGGCAACAGCAGCGCACGATGTTCTTCATAACGCCACAATAACCATCTGCAAGAATATAGAGACACCCATATTTCTCGCTAGAATGTCTTCAAGCAAACCTTGGGCGGCAATGGGTTTCCCCAGGCGGGGTGCGAGATGGATGAGCCCGTTTGCGCAAAGCCCACTAGTCCCAAAAGGGATTGGCGGCATCTGCATAAGGATGCGTTTTTGAGCATTGATGCTCCTGATCTTGCTCACAACAATTTGTTTTCCTGATTTCCGGCTTGACGGTCAGTCGTTAAAGTGCCCTGTTGTTCTTTTTCGTTGCTACTCCGGGCCTTGACCCCAAAGCAGCGACTCGATCGTTCCTTCTCTCAGAACCCAAAGTCCTCATCTTTGCCAGTGTCCACGCTTCGTCGATTGGAATCGATCTGTTCCTTGCGCCTTCCTGGCCCATCACACCTTTCCGTGCCTGTGGCTGTCTGATACAGCGCACCTCTCTTGCCCCTGCTCTGAATCGTGTTGTCCGAAATCCATCTGCGTCGGGACTGGCTGCCTTGGATGCGAGCATAAGCCACGCAAAAGTGCGGGCACACAAGGTATGGGGGTAGCACGATGATTAACGAGATGAACTTGAGCGTTTCAGGATCTGACTTTGAAAAGCCTCCTTAGATCTGAGCCCGAACGACCTAACGATTTCCTCTCAAATGACGTTCAATCCTTCACCATGGGCCTCCGTAAAGTGGACAGAGGCGGAGGAAAATAGACTTTGGAGCCTGAGAGCCATTTACGGGAACTGTACCTGGGGTGAGTTTGCGAAGGTATGCCACTGGGGAGTGGGCGGGCCGTGGCGTGAACGAATGCGCAATGGAAGAGAGGAATGGAGAAAACAAAAAAGAATCCCCTGTTGTTCCACGCTTGAAGTGCCTGACACTCTTCTTTGTTTAGTTAGGATTCTTTCCCGGCCGGTCGACTGGAGCTATCAGCCGCAAGTATTATGCGTTGGTATAGTTTCCCAATCCATTCTGGGACATCGGAGCTGTTCTGACTGTTTATAGCGTGACGAGAGCAGCGAGGCTCGTACTAGACAACCGGCGAGCATATTATCTCGCACAACATTGTGCGGTAGAGCTTCCGCAAAACGATTCATGGAACCCAACCTCGTGATACCAGATCCTCGCCCACAAAAGCGACCGACTCTACGTGATGAAAATGGCCAGTATCCAGCAATCCATACTGATCGCCCCCGTGAGATCACAGCGACTTCGGTAAATCGTTCTGCCTCTTCCCGTAACACCATGTTCCCAACCAGAACGGAAACTGCGTACCCTGTCGAGAACGGCAATATGACTGATCCTGAGGCGAGCGATGACCCTGGAGATATCGAGTTTGATGGGAGCACACGACGGGTGAGTAGACGACTGTTCTTGATTACCGCCCCTGCAATCCCCTTTGGATTTTGGCTTTGGGTTTCTGTACTTTTGCCTTGCGTGCAGGAAGTTGCTAACGGTGGTTCAGCTGCATCGCGGACGTCGATCTCAAGGGACCAACGGCAGTCCTTCGCGCAGATCCCAGATCACAGCGAGCCCCAGCCAATCCCCAAGCACCCGCCCGCCCCCGATCTCTCATCCAGCACGTTGGTGTTGGGAATCGAGTTCCCCTTCTCCAAGACATCGGCAACGGCATCCATCACCAGCCATGAAGGTTCAGGAAGTTGATGATTTCGAAAGCTCAGGCAACGCAAATTCTGAGACTGTTCACACACCGGAGAATGCCCATACTATTTCCCAGGTACTAGACCGCTTTCTCGAGATTGACTCGAGTGATGGTCGCGCTTGCCTTCCCCCAGACCCTGCCGTTCATGCTCAGCCTGCCAGAATCAGTTTTCAACTACCAGCCTCCAGTGCAAACTCATCAGGACCAAAGCGCGTCATGACTTCAATTCCAGTTTACCGAAATTCACTTGAGGAACTGACGAGTGCATCAAACCCAAATCCTGTCAAGCCCTCACACACCCCAGCATTTACGACGCCGAATCCAAGCCCACCAGAAACCACTGCAGAGAAACTGAACAAAGAGCCGAGAACAGTGGCGAACATAGAACAACCTACCTCTCGAAGGCCTGCAGGAAATACCCGCTGCCTTATTGATGCCGCCGAAAAGGTAGTTCAATGTGCCAGATTCCTCGACCATGACAATGAGTCGCGCACCCGGTGAGAGGCACAACTTCAGGAGGAGACAGCCGCACTCAAACAGGTCACGAGAAATCTCGAGCTCTCTTTGCAAGAAAATGAGATCAAATGTGAGAAGCTGGAGACCGAGCTGAGGGACCTTACAAAGGAAGTATGTGAGTTAAAAAAGGACTTGGAGACAGCCAGGGGACACCAGGAACTGCTGCGAGAATTCGTCGTCCAGATGGTTACTGTGCTACTCGCCAAAACCGGTAACACGGGCTCGGGATGAGATTGCCCTGGTGTATGAGCGCTTCTCTATCCGGGTGCAAAGTGTACCAACTGTCTGCATGGTGGTTGTTGTTTGTGGCTATCTTGCTTCGATGCTTCTCTGTACCATCTGGCTATTTTCATGGACCGTGCTGTTTTATATTGTGTAGCCTCGTTTATTGCAGCGTTAAGATGAGTCATGATGACTTCGCGATCGATGACTTACATTGACGGACTTGCATTATCGCCATTAACTTTGAATTAATGACAGGTCGGATACCCTTGGAATTGAAGTCAATGGAGTTGATTCGAGGACCTCTAGACTTTTACATAGGCTGCCTGGGCAGGCAGCGCAGTCCGACACTAACCCAAAATAGCTTTGGGGAGGTCCGCCCTCAGCACGCCGCAATCTCGGATGGGACCTGGGTCTGACCCCGAATCTCCACAGTCTTGCGACCGAGTGATAGCTCTTTCTATCATTGTTGTTATCGCTTGTGTGAAACCTCTGTCAAGGAACGCTTGAACTGCCTCACGCCTGTTTCTAGTGTGTTCAACTTGATTTCGCAGCAAAAACCTCGACGCGAAACCCGGGACCCAGACGCGACACGCGTGTCTCCTGCCGCTTGTGCACCCTCTGCGGACTACGTTTGGAGGAAAAAGAGCACAACCAAGAGCTATAGTACCGAGTTATCTTGAGTTCCGCGAATTAGCGAAGCCAAGGAGTCACATTGCATCAAGCCTTAAAATTCCCGCTGAAGTCCCCCGGTCCAATGGCCATCAAACGCTCGGAAAGTCCCGCTGCAACCGCCAGCGTAGGCGAATTATGGAACCCGGAAGACGCGCAAAGGCTGCTGGAACTACGAGTCCTCCATGTGGAGCTCACCTGGGAGCAGTTTCACAAGGTACGTGAACCGGAGGCTTGCCGCCGGGCTCATTTCGTAATGAGCGGAGCGCGACCGTTCCGTCTAGTTGATCGTCTCATAATGTCTTTGTCGTTGAATTATGATTTATGTCACCATACAACAGCTAAGCTCATGCTGACCCCTCTGTCTAGTTGGGGTTCTTCCCTGGTCGAACAATACATTCTCTCCGTCGCAAACACGATGTATGCCGCTTCTCTGCCTCTAGCTCTGCATACTCTGGAGGCTGAAGCTAATTTACCTAATCAGAAACTCCTAGCAAAGGCAGCTCGTGCTAGGCAATTGTCTAAAACTTCGCATCGCGCGAGTACAGGAACAATACCGGCGAAACGCCCACTATCAAACACGGCGCCCTATCCAGCTCGGAGCACTAAGCGCAGTAGGTCGGAAACTAGAGGGATGGGAAGTCGGAGTGGCCTTGGAACTAGTTCCAAAGCCAGCGACTACCAAGGCCCGAGCCCCAGCTCCCGTTCCCCTAGCTCTAGCGAAGTGGCTGATGACCGCCGCGACGACGCTGACGGAGATGATGGGGACATTGACTTTGACGGCAGCAGACGACGGGTGAGTAATTGACTACCTACCGCTATGATCTACAAATTATCGTTGACCTGGTCTTTGGTGTCTTTTCTATGCTTTGTGAGTAAGGAGTTAACCCCTGTCTAGTTATGTCGTGGCTTGCGATCGCAAGGCACCGACTCTGATCACCAGGAACCGCCCCAGGATGTCACACGTCTAGAGTCGACCTCAACTCCAACAACAACTACTCGTCCCCAACCAGCCTCAGGCGCACCTAGCCGCTCCAATAGCAGACATAGTTCCCATGTCCCAACCCCTACACATAATGCAGTACCGTACGAGACAAACCATGCAGACAGCGGCGCAGTGAATAACCGTGCTGCCCATGGAGTTGATCTAGTCTCGCTAGCAAAACCGTCACCCATTCTCCCATGCATGCGTTTGCAACCAAGCCCGAACCAGTCTCCCAGAAACCACAGTCTACCTCCTATGGCCCGGTTAATCCCCAATCCGCCACCGCCACAGCCTAGAATCAGTGTCGAGTTGCCTCCTCTCCAGACAGTCCGTCCACCGCCGCTAAGCAGAATTACGCCGTCGCTTAGCATATCTGAAGGACGCTTTGCAACGGTTCAGTCTTGTCTGCCTGCAACAGTCGCGTCGCCCGCCCAAAGGCCACCGCCTCCTCGCTCCGCACCGGAGAAGATCCCATCACCCGACTGCATACCAGCACAAGATCAACAGCGCACGCGTCAGCAGTCTGTCTCCCCCGCCCGATTCCTCCGAGACGCGGCGGCAACCCTAATACAACGTGCCGAGGTGCTCGAGCAACAGAAGGTCCCAGAGGCGAATAAGCGCGCACAGCTTGAAGCTGAGAATACCAGACTAAGAAAGCAAGTTGAGGAGCTGGAAGGCACCGTGAAGAAAAGAGAGACTGAGCTTGAGCAGCTCAGAAAAGAGATGGAGGACAGGATTGCGGCGCTGAATAAGAATGTCGGCGTCCTGCAGGAGGAGCTGGAGAAGTATGGGAAGCTCAAGGATGTGCTTAAGACTTTGATTTAAAGGACCGTTATCCCTTTGGTTAAAGATGCAAACTTTGCATGTGGGAGTAACTCAGACGCGCTGTGAGCTGCTCCCGCCCAATCACTATGAGTCTATTTTGGGATCATATTCGCAATTTACTACGTCACTTATAGCTAGCTAACGACGTTGTATATTCCTACATGTCGGCATTGAATGTTATTCGCACTAGTTTCAACTCATCATCATTCCTATGAGTACCTTGGGGACAGCGGCCTCAATCGCAGTAGCAAGCAAGGAGGAACCGACCATGCTTGGTAAGCTCGGACACTGCAGGCGTTATCCCATGGTGGCTGCAAGAAGTGGAAGATGTTTTTCGACTGGATGGCTTATCCATCTGGCGTACTATCATTCGCACGGTATTTCCAAGTGAAGACTAAAGATGGTTCGAGAAGGCCACAGCCCGCGTACCATAGACACCCGTTGAGGAATATGGCTAGCAGAGAGCGGCTTCTGCCAGATCAACACATCCGGCGACACTGACCTCCATTCTTGGTCGGTCATACCACGGTGTCAGCCTTGAAACACAGCCAACTCTGTTTAAAACTGCTCTTGTACAAACCCAAACGTTGTCTTCACCATCGCGGTTCTATCCAATCTCACAGCAAAAGTCCTGCTGACCATCTTCTGCATTTACTCGACGAAAGCAAGACTGGATCTTATCCGGACCAGCCTATGCTCGGCCAAGTACCAAGCTTCTCACCTCAACACTGCCCTCATTCAGAGTATTTGGACTTCGGGGAATGCCGGGGACTGCGACAAAGCGAAGACGATTCGGCTGCGGTTTGCACGGCTTGGAGGGCTTGCTGGAGGTGCTCCGGGATCTTGAGATGCTTTCGGTGGGGATTTGCGGCCGTTGGGAGACATGCCTAATCGACTTCGCAGTGAGTCAATCATTCGTCTCTCACGATAGTTGCTGAGTGTGTTTAAGAGTACCTTACCATGAAGATGGGGCAACTTGCCATATTATGCTGTTAGGAATTGCATTGTCGGTGCGCGGGAAGCACGAGCAAGTTATGCACGGCCTGGACTGCGAACTGTCGGCGGAAAAAGATGAAAAGATGTTAATATGCGTGGTGACTTGACGCGTATTGGCCCGTAATCATCGACGCTTATCCCTGGGATTGAGCCTGAGCTTGCTTTGCCGGTCTTGGGACAGAAGGGTGCGTTCCAGGCTGCCCGATTCGAATTGGGTCAGACTCTGGTATTTGCGAAGGCGAGGCCCATAATCGTTAGCCCCATAAATCAATCCTCTGGGGCAGTCTCACAGAGCCTTCGGCGAGTGAAGTTGGCCGGAGCCTCTTGGCCTGGTCGTCGTTTTGGCAGAGCACAGTGACCGATATCCACTCATTGAAGCTGTCAAAGTATCTGGAGGAGCGATCATGTTAACGACATTTGAGATTCCGCAGTGAAGAAATTTTCCTTGGTCGTCAGGGCGTCCGTTTGGCTTTTCAGGAAACGTGCTCAAAATACTAACACAAACGCATTGTTCGCAAAACCTGCCGCCCTCTGTTTGCTTCTCCCCTTTCTTCCTCGCGACTTTTCTCTTCTCTCCTCATCTCGCACCTTTCGTTTTCTCATCCTTCTTTGACTCTCATCAATTGTTTCTGCTTAAAAGATTACAAGTACGTCCCTACTGCCTAGATCTCCATACTTCCTTTCTTCTTTCCAGCGTCTTTCTCCACCGTCGACAAAATCTGGACTTTGAAGACCAACACAGAGCCTTTCTTCCTTCACCTTCTTAACCTGAAATCTCTACTCGCATCTAACATTCTCTTTATAGACCTTGAACTCAGCTTAAATCGTCAGCATGAGCGGCTGGAGCGCAGGAGGTGACGACGCCGGCGGCGGAGCCTGGGGAGCCAATGCTGCTGAAGCGCCCAGTGGTGGAGGCTGGGGATCCGGCCCCGCTGTAGACAAATGGGGAAGTCAGGATGCCCGCAGTAAGTGTTCCTTTATCCTTTATTGTCCTATTCTGTGTGCCCTTCAAGCAAGCTTCAACTCTACACGTTACCTCTTTACCCTGAGGCTTCCTGCGCTAACTGTTGTCTTGTGATAGACTTCAACGACGAGAATGCGAACCCTGGTGGCGGAGACTTCGGCGGCGAAGGTGCTGACGAGGGAGGCGAACGCGATAACAGATGCCGCAAGTCAGTTCATCGCTCAAACCTTTTTGTGACGTCGTTATCTAACATGATAACAGCTGTGGTGAAGAAGGCCACTTTGCCCGCGAGTGCACTCAGCCTCGCAAGCCTCGCGAGGGAATGAATTGCTTTAACTGTGGCGAGGAAGGGTAAGTAATACAGCAAGCTTCTAATCGTCCCTCTGCTCATGTACAACTAGCCACACCAAGGCCGAGTGCACCAAGCCCCGTGTGTTCAAGGGAACCTGCCGCATCTGCTCTAAGGAAGGCCATCCCGCGTCCGAATGCCCCGATCGTCCTCCCGATATCTGTAAGAACTGCAAGTCTGAAGGTATGCACCAAGGATTGACGCTGGCTGGAGGAATGCTGATCGCTTGCTCGGCAGGCCACCAGACTATGGAATGCAAGGAGAACCGCAAGTTCGACTTGAACCACATCGCTGACAAGCTTCCTGAGGAGGCATGGGCTCTTATGAAAAAGGCCAGCACCGAAAGAGACCTGGAAGATTTCCGTGAGGTAAGATTCCCTCTTCCAGTACCTCTTGCCTCTCTGTCTTTACTAACACTCGGGCAGGCTCTCAAGATTTATACGAAGGCTGTTCCCGATGCGTCTTTTGTCGACATTGAGGAGAAGATGCGCCAGGAATCGTTCAACATCTACTTGATCGCTCTGGTATGCCCTGTCCCTGCCATGGTCATCCCGCCATGTACTAACTCACTGAGCCTCTAGGAGAGAGAGACTTCCGATACCATCAGCTTGATCAATCTTCAGGGCAAACTCGATTGTACCTACGTGGTCGGATTCTTCTACAGTCCCAAGGCCCAGCGCGCCAACCTCAAGGAGCGCTGGCCCAATTCTCCCGACGACAACCTCGAGCGCCTAGAGGATGCCGGTCTCCCTTTCGATCGCCAGATCCCCAAGTGCAGTAACTGTAATGGTGAGCCAGTCGTCCCGTCTGCAACGAAACGAGCTAACACCTTTCAGAAATGGGTCACACTGCCCGCGGCTGCAAGGAGGAGCGCGCCATCATCGAACGTGTCGAAGTCAAATGTGTCAACTGTAACGAGGCCGGACATCGCGCTCGCGATTGCCCACAGCCCCGTATTGACAGGTTTGCTTGTCGTAACTGCGGGTATGTCTCTGTCTTCTTGTTTGCTTCGGTCAACTGATTACCGTAGTGCCTCCGATCACAAGGCTTCCGACTGCCCCAACCCCCGTTCCGCAGAAGGTGTTGAGTGCAAGCGTTGCGGAGAAAGTAAGTTGCCCTTTCACATCCTGCTTCTCCGTCACTAACCACGGACAGTGGGTCACTTTGCGAAGGACTGTCCTCAGGCTTCCGCCCCAAGGACTTGCAGGAACTGTGGGTGAGTAATTTGATCACATCCTTCCTTTCCGCTTCTAACCCGCCAGGTCCGAGGACCACATCGCGAAGGACTGCGACAAGCCTCGTGATGTCTCTACTATGACTTGCCGCAACTGTGACCAGGGTAAGCTCTCTTTACTAACCAATGCCTGCCTGTCTCTTTACTAATCGTGTGTCCTCTAGTCGGCCACTCCAGCCGCAACTGTCCGGAGAAGAAAGACTGGTCCAAGGTCAAGTGCAACAATTGCGGCGAAAGTAAGTCTTATTCCTCCTGGTCTTACCCTGCGAGACCTTTGACTAACACATCCTCTCCTTTAGTGGGCCACACCGCCAGGAGATGCAACGCTCCACCCGCTGATGGCGGCAACGACAGCTTCGGTGGCGGAAACGACTCCTTCGGTGGTGTGAACAACGCCGGCGGCTGGGATAATACCGGAAATACCACCACTCAGGATGAGACTCCCGCTGGCGACGGAGGTTGGGGCACTGGCGGCGGCGGCGATGCTTGGTAAATCATACACACGCACACAGTCGTGCTCCAATTTTGTTACGTATCGTGACCGGTGTTTAAGTTTATCCTCTTCTGTCTTCGCGTTTACCGAGACGCACGCTGCGCAAGTTGACCTCCTTACTGGAGGATGATGGCGTATGTGGAGCTGATGTCTTGAAATTGTCGCGGTTCCTCTGGATGAAAGTCGACTAGGTAGTTCGCATGTGCTCTCGTACTCATCAACGAAGTTTGTTATGCTACATTTCGTTGTGTACTTATCTCCACTCTCACGTCGTTCTGAATACATCTCCGGATCTCTACTTTGCTGAACCGTGTAGCCCTCTTGCACAGCGCTCCCTCGTTGGACGCCGTCTACACCAAGGATGGCAGACTCACACCGCCCGTTCCGCATTGTCCCAGATGTATCATCGTGGTTGGATCCATCTTCAACTCTAGCGTCTCTGGTGACGAGCTACATGTTGCGAAGCAGAAATCATTCTTACTAGACTGCGTACCACATCCGTCATCCGCCACCACCAGGCCCATCGTATTGCGACCCGCGTCCCTCGTTTCGAGGCAGATGAACCGACGATGATATCCTTCCAGTATGTACATGCGAATTAACAGATCCCATCTCGTCTACGTTCATCAGCCGTTGTCTAAAGCTCAGATTGCTGATCCACTCCACCGATAGTTTAGCCCCGGTCATCCAAGGATATGGTCCGTGGGGGAAACACCATACGACGGGAGTTCCTGGTAAGCAGCAGCATCATATAGGACTGGATACAGTAGCGATGCTGTAAAAACTAAGCCTAGAGACAAGCCACGCTCAGCCACCGTCCGTTCGACTGACTTCTTTGGAACCTTGCGGGCAGAACGACTACCCTGAGCTCGTCGCTTGCAGATGCTGCTCACCTTGCCCAGAAGCCTCAATCTGGTACCTCTGTCTGGCATAAACAACAATGCTTATTATAAGTGAGTTCCGGTGAAACCTTTCATTTAGAACGAAATCGACATGATTTGTTATGCTATCATCTCAAGCGTTTGATACATTAAACAATATAGTACGTCAAGGCTGTGCCTCATCTACCTTGACCATAGGAGCCCTCCTAGTAACCTGACCCCCGGCTGCCAGAGTCTCAACGCCAGTCTTCCCCTCCACTCTGCCCACTCCCTTCCAAATCTCCACCTCGCACCCACCCCTCACAATTCCAACCCTCATCGACGCCAACAAATTATGCGCCGCGTTCGAATGCCGATACACACCTCCATTGAACATCGCAGTCGCATCCTTCCCAATCCCGCTTGCAATAAAGGCCTTGCCACCGGGATGCTCCTTCACGAACGCCGTCACATCATGAACAACGCCACCAATGGCAATTAGCGCACGCGTCTTGGAAGCTTCGACAAACTCATCCCACTCTATGACGGGCAACTGCTCCAGCGGAATCCCCCAGTCGATCTTTGACCGCATGGTATCGACCTTCTTCTGCATCTGCTGCACGCGTCCCTTTTCGATTTCGTTCGCGCGGAATTGCTTGAGGTCATATGCGAGGCCGAGTTGTTTCCAGAGCCAGATCATCCATTTCGTTGGGTCGTACTGCCACCATTCGATCGCGTTGCGGTAGTCGCTTGGGAATTCGTGGTGGAAGTTATGGTATCCTTCTCCCAGGGTTACTAGCGCAGTGATAACGTGGTCTCGTGGCGAATTCCGATCATCGAATGGCTGCTCGCCGATGAAGTGTGCGAGGCTATTCACGCAGAAGGTGGCCTGCTGGATGAAAAACACCCGTAGGATCCCGCCATAGATGAACCCACCCTTCCAATCGCCCCATCCCAACCCACAAAGGACCGTCGGGAAGATCAGCGTCATGAAAATGGCCGATTTGATATAGTGCTTATGCTGCCACCTCACGACCGGATCCTCATCTAGATCCGAGACGTCAGCGCGTCCGATCCGTTTGTGGTCCTGGTGTAGGACCATCCAGCCAATGTGCGAGTACCAGAACCCCTTCTTTACCGAGTAAGGGTCTTTGTCTGTGTCCGTGTATCGGTGGTGCGAGCGGTGGCCCTTGGACCACCATCGGATTGAGCCTTGCCCTGCGGAGACGCCTGCGGCGGCGAGGTAGATGGATAGCGGGAGGGTTGCTTTGTAGCATCTGTGGGCCCAGTATCTGTGGTAGCCTGGGTATGTCAGTATATTATGGATGTAAAAAGATGCGAAAGGGATATACCAGCGGTGATACCGAGACCGGCATTGAAATAATAGACGACGGCGAATATGGCTGTGTAGAGGCGAAGAGGGGTCCAGCATGCGAGGATGCAACCGCCGATGGGGACAAAGAGGATGAAGGTGCAGTTGAGCCAGTTGATGTGCTTGTACCAGTTTGACCATGTCATTGGCTGCTTGGAGATGTGTGCTTTTGATGTGGATGAGTGGCCCTTCTTTCGGGGATTGTTGTCTGCTGCGCCCATTGCGGCGGAATCGAGACCTGTTAGGGCTCAGCGGAGGGGGAGGTAGACGATGTGATTGAACACCTCAGTTTGACGGTGGGCAAATCGCGGTTGACGCAAATAACGCTTGTCAGAAGGACAGTCTGTTGGAGTAGAGCTCAGGACGATTATTTTGCCAATTTAAGCCTACGGCGACAGAGTCAAGATGAACGCCGTGAACATACGACTCTGGATTTGTTGGGACGGCCGTTGAGATGCTGGGAAGGCCGCGATTACTAAGTCGGGGGCCGTTCCAATTTTCCACTGCACTTTTGCACCACAACCACGTTTTTTCTTTCATGTGATGTCCGAGGTTCAGATTGATCTACTCTAGCTTTAAGGAAGATTTCTGAAAGACTGGTGGGTATGATTATTCGTTGAGCCTTATGCCAATGGGATTGCCACATTGGTCGTGTGCCTGGCGAGGTCGCCCATGAGCAAAGACTGACAGCGAGAGGCGACTTCGGCCGAGCAGTTTGCCATTTGTTGGGATGGCTCATTACATTAAGCCTCCGTTGATTAAGCCAGAGCGCCATGATTTTAATCTCCAGCAAGATAGATGCCCCACGGCCGTGGTGATGCTGGGGGCGTTGGGCTTGGCGCGTGTCATGCCATACGGGTGCTTGTCCAGGATCAGCCCAGGTCTTGGGACCGCTTGGGCCAAGAGGGTAAATCCTCGCACTCTTCCAGGATCATGTTTAGGAATCAGTCGATCCTGAACAGACGGGTGGGATTCAAAGTCAAGTGTAACGTGATGTTAGTACGCGTGTTGGTACAGGACGCTATATATACTTGTCCTCTTCAAACACAGTCGCGCCCATCTCCCTCATTACTCGCTCATCGCTCGACGGAAGGGATTGTCGCGGGAGGACATTCACATTGAGGATCAAACCTTCATCCTCAAACACCCCTCGAACAACCGTGGTTGCCGGAGTGCTTGTCAGCAACAGCTTGAGCGGAGCATGGATACTTGCGTCGTTGACCAGCTGCACAAGCTTGGAGAGCACAGGCAGAGACTCATCTTCCAACTCTTCGCGCTCTAGAAGTGCAACCCCATCAATGACGCAGCAGACTGTATGAGTTCGCGGTATTTGCCTGATGAGCCAATCCAAAAGCACAAGAAGGTCGTTCTGCGAGCATGAGGGGTCAATGTGGTGTTGGAAATACCGCATGTCAAAGTCGAACTGGCGTAGCAGCTGGTCAATCAGTGACCGAATCATGGCGTTTTCCCCGACATACTCGCCCATACTTAACCGATCGACGTGGCGCCCTGCGAACCATAACAGCGATATGAATCGCGGCTGTGCAGCCAGTGCCTGTAACATGGTGACACAGACCCCTGACAAAGGAGAGATGCCACTGCGGGTCTTGGATTTATCGAGGTCCCAGTGAACTAGGAGCTTTGCGGAAACGGGCGAGACGATCCACCTTCTAAATGCGCTTCTATTGATAATCTGCTCCGCGTGGCCGCGTTCCTTAACCGGGAGACGTGATTTCGTATCGGTCACCACAGCAATGTCGGTCAGATGAATATCGCCTGTATCAAGCATGCGTCGGAGGGCTTGTTGGCTGACATAGGTGTCGACGTTTGGAGTTCTAGCTTGCGGAAAGGGACTAGGCGCGCGGGATTCAAGATAGGCGATATGCTCTGTATTGAGGTACAAAGTCAGTGAGAGACAATATCAATATTCTCTGTCAACCACTCCTTACCATTCTGCCGCTGGAGCTGTAATTGCATCTTCGCCATCTCGTGATCTCTCTCCCTCAGGTCGTCGTTCAGCAGGTCCTTGATTGAGTTTACCCCATCGAGAGTCAGTTCCAATTTGTAGTCAGTCTGTCGCTGCAACTTCAGCATTCGCTTCTGCAGTAATTGCGTCTGCTGCGAGTCTTAAACGGGGGTCAGTTACAGAGAAGATACAGACCGACACGGCGTACAGACAGAGGTGGGAATCATGAATATGCGACTTGGAAGCCTCCGTCATCAGGTCTTCAGAATTCTCCTTAGCCTGGGCCAAACGTTGCCGGAGAGCTTGCCCATACTGTGAGTCGGTCAAGAGAGACTTTCCTCCTCGCATAACTAACAGCAGAACAGTCGCAGTCCAACTGGACACGATTTTGAGACTTACGTCCGCCTGCCGTAAAGAAATGAATTGCCTGTTTGGTCGCCTCCAACGTGCTCACCGTGAGGCTCAAAGAGGCTCTTTTGATATTCTCATCGAGTGGAAATGTCCCCAAGAAAAGCTCGACGTCGGAGAAGAGGGGGACTAGGCCATCGAAGCCAGCCAAAGCCTGCTGGCGTACCTCGGCGGTTGTTTTGAGAGCCTACAACCAAGCGGCAACAACCCTGATCAGTTCCCTATTAGGCGTATGTGAAGTACATCAAGGATCATGACGACAGCTCCCAGAAACGGGGTAGAAAACGGCGAGTCGGGAGCGAGGGTGGACACTGTGCGTGCGGCTAGCCCGGTCAGCTGCGCGCCGTCGCACCTTGAGACAGCCTTTGCCGTGGATGAACAAAAGCAAGAGGCGTGGAAACCGGAGCTTGAGATTTTACTCGGCAGCCGAGGACGAAGAGGGCACGGGAAAGGACGAAACCTGCCAGGCAGCCTGCTGCCGACGGGACAATGATATGTACATTGACAGAAAGCAGTGGACCGAGTACATTGACAGTCTGCTGCCCAAAGGCGAACATAACGATCAGCAGCCATCAATTTCCATCTTACGCCGTCCACTTAAAGAGCTCTTACGCACGAGCGCCGACGGGGAGCTTTCGATCACTCCCGATGAGCTGATCATCATGTCGTACCGCGTATTTGGGTTTATACTGCGCACACGAAAATGGGGTCAGCTGCCTCCTCCCGGTTATACTACCACATCATACTGAAGCTACTTTATTTTATAGCCCAGCTTGATCTATCCTATCTCATCGAAGTTCACCCTAGAAAGCATGAGCCCGCGACCAGAAGCCGGGCAGATTCGACGGGAAACACCGAAGCCAAAGAGCCTACCACGTTTTCACGCCTGGTGCTGAATGAAAAGCATAAGCACATGATAGTGTCGCTGATTGCACAACACTTTCGAGACAAGAAGTCGATCAGTGGACAGAGGGAGCAGGTGGACATTGTTAGAGGAAAAGGCAAGAAACACTCGAACAGACGAGACCACGACGCTGACCGTAACCACAGGCAAGTGTTTGATCCTGCTACTACATGGTGCCCCAGGTGTGGGAAAGACATCCACTGCAGGTTCGTCACAGGCTATCACCACACCTTGGCTGCTCGTTTGCTGACTAGATTTACCAAAGAGGGTGTCGCGGAGCTCTTTCAGAAACCACTCTTCCAGATTACCTGCGGTAAGTATGCAGTGTCCTCAACATAGGTAGGAGCGCTAACCTGTATAGGGGATCTTGGAACTACAGCGAAAGATGTGGAAACTGCCCTGGAAATCAATTTCGCCTTGGCCAACCGCTGGGACTGTATTCTGTTGCTAGATGAAGCGGACGTCTTTCTTTCGCAGCGGACAAAGGATGATTTCCAGCGCAATGGATTGGTGGCTGGTATGAGTACCTCGTTCCAGGAGTGAAATGTATACTGACTGGTTTCCAGTCTTTCTCCGCGTCATGGAATATTATGCGGGCATTCTGTTCCTCACCACGAATCGTGTTGGCGACTTTGACGAAGCATTCACCTCACGTATTCACGTCAGCCTCTACTATCCCGACCTGTCTGATAAACAGGCGGTGGAGATCTTCAAGTTGAATCTGGGAATGATTGAGGAGCGCTTCCGACCAAAGGGCAGGAAAATCAAGATCGACGATGTCGACATCATACTTTTTGCGGACAATTATTTCAAGGAGCACCCTCATGGGAGATGGAATGGTCGTCAGATCCGCAATGCCTGCCAGACAGCACTAGCCCTCGCCGAGTACGAAGCCCAGGAAGCCCAAGGCGATGACCCTCAGAATAGCGTCAAAACGGACGCGGCTGTGAATCTGACGGTCGCCCATTTTGCCGTTGTCAGCGACGCCTATCTCGAATTCATCGACTACATCAACCGTCTCTTCGGAACGAATAGCTCGCGTCGGGCCCATGAGGACAAGCTGCGTGCGTTCTTGGCAGATGCTAATGACAGCATCGTGGCCAGCCTGATGGATAAAAAAGCTGCATTTTCCCGCAGTACGCGGCCCCAGCAGTCCCAGCCTCAGGCTCAGTACCCAGCGGCGCCTGCTGTGGCACCACCCGCTGACCCGTACTACGGATATACTCAACCAGCCCGCGCGCCCAGAGGGTCCCTTAATCCGAATGCGATGCCCCCTCAGAGACAACCGTACGGCAACAACGAGTGGAGTTCTGTGCCACAAGGGCCTCCGCGAGGAGCTCATACCCCCGAGCCGCCATATATCCCCTCGCAACAAAGTCCGCAAGCACGAATACACATTCCGCGCAGCGCTCAGTACGCGAACCAGCCGACGGCTTCTGCCTTTACTGAACCTGAGCCCCCGTATACCGGACAAGAACTCCCGGGTGGTTTGTCGTCGGCTCCAAGTGGCAATGCACCCGCACATGGCTAGCAAACAGGGACAGGGACTCACTGAGAAATCCATTTCTCCTTTTAATTCGAGTTTATCTGGACGGATGTTGCGGGGCATTCTTTTCGGCTCGCAATTTGCGAAGTATATATTGAAGTTCTTCTTTAGCGAGTGTCCCAATTGCATGCTTTACAAATATCGTGCTGCCATTATTATATATCGCGGGTGTCCCTGCAAGTTGCTTGGCGCGAAAGTAAACCTTTGTCCTTTGCACTCGTGGAGTATGGACTGAAAGCAGTAATCAGGACTTGGATGGTTCTCTGATCGCATCTCTCCCCTGAGTCCCACAAGTTCTGCTTGCCAAGGTCGAAAGGATATGAGATAATGGCAGTGCAATCCTCCTTCATACCGCGGATGACTAAGAATATGCCTTGGTCACCTTTTTCAGCACGTAAGTCCCGGCCCAGCCAGGCACCAGGTCCTCAGGACGCCACAGAGACAGTGTCCACCAGTGTCAAAATGCACATCCTCATCGCCGAAGATCAGTATGTATCCAAGTTTCGCTCATACATAAACAGTACTAATACTTGATCCAGCCCCATAAACCAAAAAGTAGTCGCCAAACTACTGAGCAGACTTGGGAACTGCACTTTCTCTCTCGTCGGCGATGGCCAACAGGTCCTCGACTATCTCGCCGGTCCACCAGCGACGTGTCCGCGCCCGGATCTGATTCTTATGGACGTACGTCGATGTTCCTATCCCATTATACCCTCTCCATAAATTTCTCCCCGAAACATAAAATAACACAAATCTAGACCGCAATGCCAATTATGGACGGCCTCCACGCAACATCTATAATCCGCACGATCCCGCCCTTCGCAAACAACCCATCCATAGCAACAATCCCCATCGTCGCCATAACCGCGAGCTCGATAAAACAGGACCAGGAGATGTTTCGACAGCGGGGATTTGACGATGTAATACGGAAGCCGATTTATTCGGCGGTGTTGAAGGGGTTGTTGGAGTTTTGGGGGCGGAGTCGAATTGTTCTGCTTCCGGATCCTGGAAGTCCTGGTGGCGTGAGGAGGAGGATTGTTACGGGGCCGCCAGTTATGGGAGCTAGGGCTTATAGAGCCAAGTCGTTTATTTGAGGTAGATGGAGAAGATAGTCTTTCCATTGAGGCGCTTCGTTGTTATACGTTCCTATGTAGCCTGCGAGGGTAATTGCCATATCAATCATCTCCAGATAGCAACTGTAAACCACTTTTCATTGGCAAATTATAGGTTTGAATTCCATGTATCACATACGTGGGATTTTGGTGTTGTTTCTTGCAGTAAATATAAAAGCTCTGTCGAGGGTCACTACAGAATCCATGATTTATGGTAGTGTTGATTTGTATCTATAAGTCCCCGCGGAGATCTGCCACTGAACCATGGTTTAACCACAAACCAAACTCTTCAACTCCTGCCCTAATCAGGACACTTATTTAGACTTTGGTGATTGCCATTCTCCACACCACTACCCCTCTGCTACACCAAATCAATAACGTATGAATGATGCCGTCGCTCATGCAGATGACATGTCCTATCCAACTCCTATAAAGACCGTTGGACCCCTTCAAGCAAGCAGAATCTCTCCAGCCAGCTCACTCACTGCTACCCCCTTTATTGTTCTCTAAAATATACCGACAAAATGTCCCTCCGCGCCGAAAACCGCGAAAAGATCGACCGCCTCCTCGAGCGCGACCCCAACGTAACCATCTTCCTGCGCCCCATCGCCGCCCCCGCAGCTCTGGGCCTGGCGGGGTTCGCCGGCTCAACCTGGATCACAGCGACGTGGGTCGCGCGCTGGTGGGGCGACGAATCTTCTCCGACAATCTTCTTCCCCTTTGTTGCATTCTGGGGAGGCCTCGGGCAGTTTATCGCGGGGCTGTTTGGGTATGCGGCGCGGGACACGCTCATCACGGTTATTCATGTGCTCTGGGGCAGTTTTTGGATGAGTGTGGGGTTGTTGTATTTGCTTGTTGTAAGCTGTCTCCCAGATCCTTTGGGTGGAAAGGGTATGTCATGTTGACTAGTTGCTGGCAAAGGCAACCGGCGCGCTTCTGCCGCATCCCGTACATGAGCATTTCCCGGAGCTCGCGGCTTGGATGATTGTTCTTGCTTTCTTCACCTGGTCCGGCGTACGTCCCTCAACTGTCCGACATTTCTTTACCCCCAAACATCATTAACAACTATCGTATGTATAGGCAATTGCCTCCTCCGCCCGCGACCTCGTCCTATGCGGCGTGCTCAGCACCCTCGCAATCGGCTCGACAATCGCGTGCTGCATGTTCGCCTACGGCTCTGGCGTGCGCGCGGGCATGAAAGCCGCCGCGTACTTCTGGATTATCAGCTCGATCCTGGCCTGGTGGCGCGTGACGGTGTACCTTGTGGAAGAGGCGTTTGGGCCGGACACGGCGGTTGTCAGGTTCTTTCCTATCTTCCGCACAAAGACCGAGCAGGGGAGGCCGTTGCTTGCGCCGGGGTATGGAGAGCCCGGGGTTAAGAGGGGGATGCCGGGGCTTAATTAGCGGGTTGCAGGAAGAGGTTGTAGGAGGAAATTGCTTTTGCTGGGTTTGTGGTATTTGAGACTAATCATGTGGCTGTCGAGGTAGAGGGGGCGGGGTGTTATATATGGATGAATGCTGGCATAATAATGAACGTGAATGTGCCGATCGAATGTCAAGAACTACCAAGATCATACGGTCGATATGACCTGTTGCAAGTACCAGGGTGTAACCTCTCAATTCTCGTTATCAGCCCAAATAAACACCACGATAAGATACATACAGCTCAATCGAGCTCTAACCTGAGAGCATCATACTGCACATACAACGCCTCAGGCAGCAGCGCCGTCTCAACACTCGACGCATTAAACGGCAGACTCAACACAAACTCATTCCTCCCACTCTTCAGCTTGTCCACGGAAAACACAAACTTGTGCTCGGTATTCTGGCAGGCGACCGCACTGCGCACACCACACGATCCGCTTCGCCAGTATGAAATCGCCCAGGTCTCCTCGTACTTGCCATTGACATTCACCGTCCACGGCAGATTGCTGTACGGATGATCGGACCACGACTTGGAGTTCCCGTTTGCCGTCTTGGTTCCTGCGATCTGCACGGTGAAGGTGGCCTTTTTCGCGTTGCGCAGCTGCGGTCGCGTCAGGTCGAAGGTGATGGTCCAGTTGTTCACATTGTCGTAGTAGGGCTCCGTCCGTAGATGGTTCCCCTGGGACGGGAAAAACGACCAGTGGATGTAATTCAGGTCCGTCGCGGGGTCGCTCTTTCCAACGTGGAAATTGACACCCTCGGGGAAGTCTGCCTCGTAGTCGTACTTGCCCCAGTAGACGCGATACTGCTCTGGCTGCAGTGGCTTGGAGGTATCGAGCGCGTATCCGTGCCGATACTCGCCAGCAGACTTGTCTGGAACCCCAATGCGCCAGATCTCCTTCCCGGCGCTTTCTTCCTTCCAGGTGAACTTGAACTGCTTGTCGCGAGAAACCTCCACATCATCCTGAACAAACCACCCAAAGATCCCATCCGCATACACCGTCACGCGATACGTCCCCTTGACAACGCGCGGAATCGTAAACCGGCCCTTGCTGTCAATCTCAGCCCAGTACTGCCGCGCCTGCGTATCAAACACATTCAACTGGAAATCAACCCCGTTCTCGGAGAGAACAACAATCGGCTTCTCGGCGCCCTTGGGCAACTTGACACTCCCCGCGAAACTCGTCCTCCCACGACTCGGCACGAAATTCGGAACATGCTCCGCGATGTCGTCGTAAAAGTCCGCATTCCACTGCGGATCCGCATACTGCGCCGCGTCGGCGCGCAGCTCAGCCAAGGTCGTTTCACTGCTTCCGCGGTTAAAGTGGTAGTACTGCGGCCCCCATGTGCGATCAAACCCATGCGTGATATTCGGGACCGCAGCACCATGGTGTCCGCTCACCATGTAGTTATACACGATCCCATCAACGACGAGATCCGAATGTAGCGGGCCCCCGTAGTAACTCTCGACGGTGTTGTGCACGAGCCACGCACCGAACGTACTCCCGTCCCCGCTCGTCGACCCATCGCTATACTGCCCGTGGACGTCGTGCGCGCGCCAGCTCTCGGCCAGGGAGTACTTCGTAAAGTAATCCGAGTACTGGGCGACGTATCCGTCGTCAGGTGTGCTGCCCAGGTAGCTCGTCGCATCCTGCACGGTGAGCGCGGCGTCAAAGGCAGCGTCGGAGGGGAGGGGACCGAAATTCCCGTCGCTCGTCGAGAAGTGCGTCCACAGATCTGTATTCGGGCGAAAGAGCGTGCGCATTTCGCCCAGCCCGCGGAGGAACGGTGTACTCTCGTTGAAATACGTCACGCGCGAAAACGCATGCAGACCCGTTTCGTTCTCCCGCAGGAAGAAATATTGCGAGAGCGTCTGGTTCGTGCCGGCGTAGGTATCACTCATGATGATCCCCGCATAGCCCGTGCCCGAACTGTCTGTGCCATTGAGGAGGGTAAGCTCCGCCGTTCCGCCGGGCGTCCAGAACCCCGAGGGGATGCAGGAGCAGTCGAGGTAGGGGCCTTTCCCTGTATTTCCGGAGACGGGGCCCAGCAGGTCCTGCCCGTCGAGGGTGAGGTCAACGATGTGGCCGTTTGATTTTGCGACTGCGACGGCTAGTCGGGTGTTGGAGAGGGTGTAGTGCGTGGTATTTTGGGATGTTGTTATTTTCGCCAAGGAGGGGGTGGCGAGGGCGGTTAGGGCTAGAGCTGGCACCGCGAGGGTGCGGAGGGGTTTGGGGAGCATTTCTCTTTTCGCGGCTCCCTAAGCTGCTGTGTAGCCTTCAATTGATAGGAGGTGTAACATGTACACATGAGGGCAAAATGTGTGGATTTAATAGATCGCTGGTCATCCCACATCTCGGCCCCATTCACAGCGAGCACAACCCGCAGCTCCAGATCCTTACATCCGAACCACTCCTCCCTCCGGAGAACCAATCCCCCCCGCAGCGGGGAACACACCGGGGGCGGAGAAGCTCTGTGGCGTAGCCGCCTGAATTCTTGATTGTTGTTCTGTGAAGAATGCACGTAATTGCAGCAGGAGATCGGCACTGGACCCGCTGATTGGTGGAATGTCGGCGAGACTTGTTCCTTGCCATGGCGGGGGAATGGTGGCCTTTGATGCGGAAGGAGAGGATCTCGGGGGGTGATAGACCGAGGGTAAGGGTAATTAACCGATAGTTTTGTCGTGGTGCGATAGGGATGGTCCTTCATCCGATGGCCTTGTGGGTTTGTAGCTAGCCCTACCTAGAGACGCTGGACCCTTTGTTGATTCCCAGGGCTGCATGCGATGTTTCTGCCAGGGATTTGTACAGCACATACCATAAAGACTGCTAGCTGGAATGATACCTTGGACTATTGTATTCACTTGCAGTAAGCCAGAAAAGCATCATAAAACACAATGGCAGCGGGGCAAGATGCCAAATCAGAGTAGGTCAATTTCTAATCAACAAAATACTGCCATTGCTACGACAATGAAAGATAAGTCAACATCTTGCAGCAACATATACATTACTACCCTCTAACCTCCAGCCCCCCAGCAGCACCCCCATCCACAACCTTTTGGCCGGGCGGCCCCAAATAACTTTGCACAAGCCCCTCCCTCGCAAGCACAATCTTCTCAAGATACACCTCTGGCGAATTCACCCTCCACCTCAACGTATGTTTCCCCGCGTCGACAGCGCCAAATTGTACAACTCTCATCCACACATGGTCCGCAACGCTCTCCGTCCATCCCGGTGGCGTATCGCCCGCCTCATCTGGCTCGCCGAGAACTCGAGTAAAATCGCCTTTACTTTCTGGAGAGTCAAGGGCTAGCGAGTATTGCATTGGCAGATTTGGATCCGTATCCAGCGCCCCATTTATGTACACGGTTGCATTGAGGTGCGTTGTTGAGTTGAAGAGGTAGACGTCGTATTCAACCCAGGCTTCTTTCGCTGTCTTTTCGTCTTCGCGAGCAGCGGTATACGGCGCGAGCGCAATCGATCCCGAGCGCGATCGTGTGCCCAGATTCGGGGCCTGTTTATGCCACGGAACCGGACGACGAGCGCTGGTACCCCGGCGCCTCGATCGAGACGAGCCCCGCGGACTCGGGGTACCCGGTGAAATCTCCCGGAACGCGGAGATTGCTGACCGGAATGTGGAGGAGCTCAAAGTACGGCGCCGGCTCCCACGTGACGCGGAGGGAGATTGTCTCGGTGTAGTTTGTTGGGAGGGCGGACCAGTCGATGGATATCTCCACGCGTTCGTCCGGGGTATGTTTTGTGAGTGTGCCAGATGTCTTTGAGATGTGCAGCCAGGGGTACGGATTGTCGATGGACCAGGGTAGCGGTTTGCGATGATCACCTCGGTGGAATAGCTCGACGATCCTCGTTTCTGGGCCATATGGATCCATCACGGGTAAGACAGGTGATAGGCCCTCCTCAGTCGGTAAAGACGGATTAATTGACGCACAGATCCTGGCCTGGCGATACGCAGTAAGCGACTGCTCAACATAGATGCCCAAATTCCCAAACCCGTAATCAAAGTCCTGTCGCTGCTGGACATAGGAAAGGTTCGCAAGGACATCTCTCGACGAAGGCCGCCAGTCCGCAACCCCCATGTCGAATTTCGGCGTCGACATGATCCCCTTCCATTTGCCATCAGCGATGTGAGTGTACGTCTGCGTTAGGTCGTAGTCGTCTTCAAAGAGCTCCAGGACATCGCGCGCGACGGTATTGGCCGAGTTTCGGCGCTCAAAGGCGTATTGCCGGTTTTGGCCCTGGCCGAGCAATGTCTGGTAATAGAGATATCCGGACTTGGCAGGGTATGTCAAGAGGTGGTATAGAGCGTGGCGACGGTCTGCTGGGAGGGAGTCATGAATCTGCTCTGCGCTCTCTGCGAGATCCTTCCAATGGCCGAGGACCGTCTCTGCTTCGCGGAAATTCAGAATCGAGTACGTGGTCGGCTCGATGAGTTCAAATTTCCGTAGTCCCACTAGATGGCTGTACTCGAGCAAACCAGAGGCAATCAGCTCCGCATATTCCGGACCAAAGTCGCGCGCGGCGAGTGCTTCAAGGTATGCCGGGATCATGTCGAAATCGAAGCGCGACACATTCCACGCGAGATCTAATGCGAAGGAAAGTGGTACCTCGACAGGCTTGATATCGCCGACGTTGAAGACCCAGATTCTGTCGGCACCGCGTTCGTACGTCTGGAAGAGTTCTTTGTAGACTTTGGGCTGCAGTTGTTAGACCTCTTAGAAAGGCCGAGTGCAGGATTTGAGCTTACTAGGTTGTTGTTGTTTGCAGACTTCCAGCTCTTGGGGCGGCCAACATAGTCGAAATGGTAGTACATCTGCATAGATTAGAAACCGTTCTTCCTGATCAAGGGGATGCTTACCCCGATTCCACCAGACCTGTTCCGCTCGTCGCCGATGGGGAGCCGCTGGACATTGCCCCAGTTGTCATCGGTGAAGATCAAGGTCACATCATCTGGGGGGACGAGGCCAGCTGCATAGTATGCCATGACCTCCTTGTAGACCGTCCACGCCTCTGCTAGCAATCAGCACAGTCCACCAAAAGGAACGCAATACGCACGGCTAGCAGCACTCTCGTTACCATAATGCTCGCTCAAAATCCCCCTCTGTGTCTGAAAAATATCCTGCAACACCGCAACGGGATCATCCGCCTCAATTGGCCCATCATTTGTCCCCCGCATCCCCAGCGTAAAATACGTCTCGTTCCTCGCTGCCCGTCTCACCCCTTCCTCCATAAACGCGACAACCTCGTCGTTATTCTCCACCCAGTTCCACTCCCCGTGCGCCGGATCAGCCTTCCACTCATTCGACGCCCGCTGCATCGGCTCGTGGTGACTCGTCGAAACCACAATCCCATAATCATCAGCCAGCTGCTGGTTCCGCGGATCGTCTGTAAAGAAGATTCTTCCCGGACGGGGGATGAAGGATCCCCACATGGCCGGCCAGAGAAAGTTGGCTTTTAGTCGGACGAGGAGGTCAAAGACGTGCGTGTAGAATTCGGCATCAAAGGTGTAGTCGTTTCTATCGGATTTCGTCGCCCACCAGCTTGTCAAGGCGGGCGCTTCGTCGTTTATGAAGATGCCGCGGTATTTTACGCTAGGGGAGCCGTGTGTTGTTGTTTTGTTTAGGGCGTAGATGTGGGTATGTTTGGTTGTTGGGACGTCGGCCCACCAGTGCAGCCTTGGAGGTGTTGGCTTTCTGAAGGCGTACAGGGAGAGTGAAGGGAGACTCACGGTGATTTTCCCCCTTGCTCGGAGAGTGTATACGCTCCAAACATGGTGCCCCGCTTATCGCTTCCGACAATGACGAGGCCATGCTCGAACCCGGGAACGGGGTTGGGGACAAGTGCAGTGCGAAACGTCTCCCATTTGCCACGAATGTCCTCGACGTTGATCTTACCATCGTCCTGGAGTCGCCGAATCAATGGCGAGTCCGCCGTTGCCACTATAATCACGAAACTCGAGTCGCTACCAGTAGGTAAGTCGTCGCCGTGTACACCATCGGCAACGTCCCACTTGAAGATGGGCCGTTTGATTCCCGTAACTTCCTCGAGATCAGAAGCTAGGTCATTGGTTGCTATCTCAACGCCGACTGGGTCGCTGATGTCCCGGAGGATTGCCGCACCTGTGAGCTCAATGGCGCCAGGAGTCGGATCGAATGCAAGAAGCGACTGTTCTAGCAGAGCGGTCGAGACACCCGCAAAGAGCACGGCGAAACAGTACCAAATTTTCATGATCAGATACAATTATTCGTAGGCTGCTTCGCAACTCTCAAGGTGAACGAATATATGATGCCGCAGGCCTTGATCTGCATCGAAAATATACACCTACTGAACCACTACCCAAACACGTAGGTTCCTCGGCATACTGTCCTATTCGCGGAAAATCCCAAACGCCTCAAAAGGCCAGCCATCTCATTTACTTAGCTTATTTCAGAGGCCCAGAAGTAGATCCCCCGCGATGGTGTGGATCCACGAACTCTTGGCCCTGGGTTAAGGTAGCTAAGGCGAGGTCTGGGGTAATTCTCCTCCAATGGTCGGGAGCTTTCCTGGCCCGGCTGAACCCTGTGCTCGGCAACGGCAGGGGTCGGGTTATGAAGTAGCCAATCGTGTCTGGATATAGTATGCCGATGTCTTGTCGAGTATATCGGCTATTGCGATGAGTCGAAAAAGCTCGCCGCGCTCTACCCCGGGGCAACGAAATTCGCCGGCTTCTACCCCGGATGCGATGATGCGATTGATACAGACGGGCTTGAAGGGCATCGCACCGAGTTGTGACGCGGAACATTGTCCGAGATTTCAGATGACGGACTTTGGCGTTTTGGATCTTGCCATGCTAGATGCAGTGCTTGAATGAGATATAAAGGCGTGCGCCTGGAGCCCATGGTCCACATTGCATCGTACGGCACTGCAGCTATCCCTTCATCTCACCCCAAATCTCCGCCTAGGAAATTCCGAAAATGGCCATCTTCCGCTCGCTCGCCATAGCACTCACCCTGGGAACCTGCGCAAGCGCAAAATGGATCGTCCCCGGCGCGCGCTGGGTCGATACCGACGGCAACCTCTTCAACGCACACGCGGGCGGTCTCTGCGTCGACCAAGATACCCGTCGATTCTACTGGTTCGGCGAATACAAGGTCGAGGGACAGGTTGAGGGCGGGGGGGTCTCAGTGTATAGTTCCGATGATCTTGCGAGTTGGACGTCGCATGGTTTGGCACTAGGTTCGCTTTCTTGGGATGGATTGTGGTGGGACGTTGGGAGGATGTGGTGAGCTGACGAGTTGTGCAGCGCCAATCGAGAACCACACATATATCTCGCCGCATAACCGCATTCAGAGGCCGAAGGTTATCTATAGTGAGGAGACGGGGCTGTATCATGTACGCTTCCTCCCCCCTCTACCCTCTTCCCTATTCTCCCATACCAACTAACACCGTTGACCAGATGTGGTGGCACGCCGACGACAGCAGTTACTCGTGGCTGCTGCAAGGCCTCGCGACATCACCCCACATCGCCGGTCCGTACACGTTCATCGACGCGAGCTCGCCGCTAGGAAACTGGTCGCAGGATTTCGGCGCCTTCACGGACTACAAAACCGGAAGCTCATACGCCCTGTATTCGAACGGGGATACAGTCGAGGGGCGCGACATCTACCTGGGCAAGTTCAACAGCAACCTCACGGCCGTTGAGAAAGTGACGTATCGATTCCCGAAATACGATTTCGAGGCGCCGACTATCCTGCAGACGGAGAGGAGTTATTACGCCCTTATGAGTCATAAGACGGGGTATAGGCCTAATAGTGAGAGTCCCTCACCTTTATCATGGAGGGGAGATTTAGTGTGACGAGCGTAGATGGTGGTTAACTGGAGCAGATGTCGTGGCGATGCGCGCCGATCGGTTGGAGGGTCCCTGGTCGCAGCCGTTCTTTGTTGCACCAGCGTATACACGGACATTCAGCACGCAGTCTGGGTTCTCGTGGCGAATCGAGGGGACGAAAAAGACGACTTATCTGTACATGGCCGACCAGGTATGAACATCTTCCGTCCAATATGGCAATGCCAAATTCTAATGCTGTGTCAGTGGGATCTGAACTCCCTCTGGGAAAGCCGCAACGTCTGGCTTCCAATTGAGATTGATGACCGAGAAGGCAGTCTCCAGGTTGTATGGCACGATATCTATGATCTGAACGTGTATGCCTGTTTTCCTCTTCCTCAACCCGGTGGTTTTATACTCACCAACATCGCAGAAAAACGGGAGAATGGAAGCCCATCAAGGGGAAAACATATATCGCAAAGCACGCAAAACTCGCCGGAGGTGCCTATCTTCAAGAAGCCGTAAGCCTTTCTTCCAAATTCAGATACCACGCCAGCAGGCAGCAGTACTAAGGAGGTGAAAACAGACCTTTGCGAGCGGAAACCGCATAGCAACAGGCATCTACGGAAACGACAGCACCGTCACCTTCACCGTGCAGGGCGACGGAACCGAACAATGGGTCTCGTTCTACCACCAGAGTCAGTACATCGGAGTTGTGAATTGAGCTGCCTTGGCTAGCTTAAGCACTCGACTCCACTCTACATTCCCCACATATTCTCTCTCCCCTCGGACCCGCGAACCCTACCGAACTTCCACCCCTTCTAACCCCTTTTTTTCTACACAGACATCGACGACATGGGCTTCGGCGACCAACCAATGGGCCAGCCCGACCGCATAAACGGCACCTGGCAACTCCGGCGGATCAGCAGCGTGGTAGTGAACGGCGATACAGACAACGTGCACACGCTATACCAAAAGGACACGCACAAGGGGGTTATTCTCTCGACGCCGCTACTGCTTCCGCTGAAGAAGGGACCGAATACGCTCACGGTTGGTGGGCTGTGGAATGGATTTGACGTCAAAGGGGCGGATTTGGATCATGTTGTTGTTTATCCGCCGGAGGGGAAGACGCAGGGGCATAGGGCGAGGAGTTTGAATTGGTTTGGGGTTTGGTAGATGATGATTCGTTGTCGCTTGTTAACGTGTATTGTGTGGTGGTGCTTCGGACCCTGAGGATCAAGGGTCCAGTTCTGGTAGTATCGAAGAGGCCACGCATTGGATCCTCGATTCCTCTCAAAGCTGCCCCTTGATGTCTTTCCACGACTGTTGCTTTTTTGACCAGACTCAACTTCGTGCCAACCGACTTTCAAGGACTTTGTCAACGGGCATTCAAGCGACCCATCGTCTGAACCCGAACATCATCCGAAGACCCTTAGGCACCAACATTCAGACCAAGCTATCCCCAAAATCCGCCGTAGAATTAGGCTCCAAGTTTAAGGCTCCCGCCAGGCACCCGAATAAGCCGTACCCGCGATGGGGCCAAAACAAACAATCCTCGAGGTTGATCTTGGTTCAATTGAGTTGTACACGGTGCCCAAACTGCATGTGTCGCCCCTTAACGCCGACAGAAGCGATGCCTGGATTCGGTGCGATTGGACCATTCGTTCCTGCAGCGGATCGGTCGGCGCTAACATGGAACACACTCCAGCTGCAGCAGCATCTAAGTCCTGGCGGAGTGGCCGGCATGTTTACAGCTACAGTGTGTTGGATTATGCGAGCTAGATTCCATATACGCTTCATTTAAAAAGACTGGTTTGGACCTATATAAACCCTAGGGACCCAACTTAGTTCCTCCATCATCAGCTCAATCAATCTCAGAACAAAACAACAGAACAATCAATTCTACCAACCAACCAACCCAGCGACCACCAAAATGCCTCCAGCCTGCAACGTCATCAATAACCCTGGCTTCGAAGCCGGCCTCGAGAGCTGGACCACCAGCGGTCCCGCAACCGTCGTGACCGGCCCCGTCGCCTACGCCGGCGAGAACTTCCTGTACGCCTCCCCTCCCTGTTTCCCATCTCTAATGCCAACACCAGAACTAACAAATCCCCCATCTAGCTCCCTCGAAACTACCGCAGACGCACCCACAAACACCGTCACCCAGGACCTCTACTGGCTCGACACAGCCAACGTCCACAACCTCACCGTCCAGGTCCGCGTCGAGGGCCCGATCCCCGCCACCAGCCACTGCGAGGTGCGCGCGTACATTGGCGAGGACGCCGACGCCGGCGAGTTTGCGTCGGATATCATCTTCACTGGTGACGAGTGGGTTACCCTCCAGGGGTCGTTCCAGCCTACAGTCCGTGATACGACTATCACCCTTGTTGGGTACTGCGCCTTTGGGGAGAGTGATGAGGAGTATTTTAATGTTTATTTTGATGATGTTATTGTTGCTGATTGCTAAATGGGGATTCGGGGTGGAATGGTCAGGGCAGGAAGCATGGTTGAGGGAGTGAGTGGTGGGGCACAGGGTTGAACATTGTTTGCTACTTGGAAACAAATTGTATATACGCTCGTTATGCTCGTCAATGCACTAAATGGCACCAATTGAAAGCCACCGTTATCGAGAGTGGTTACTGCTCTTGTGGCAAAAGGGTCCCTCGTGATGTTAGACCCTGCCTCGACTTTACGGGCATGCGCGGAACGCTATCATCCATATCCGGTCCTCCTGCTATGTTGCAACAAGACCCAGACTGCTGATGAGTCTTTGCCGCGCGGGCTCCATAATGATGCGCAACTTGAATACAGTGAGTCTAGCACATGGACGACGGTAGAAATGCCCCAACTTTTATGCTTCTGCGCCCTAGCATGCATTCATCGGCCGGTTGAAGATATTCCCCAAGAAGACCAATACCCGACTTTGATCTGCAGTTGATCATGGGATTCAATAGTAAAGGTGTAGGAAATTGACCTTGTGCTCGCGTGAGACGTAAACACATATTCTGAGCTTCTCCGGGCCCCGAAATCGGTTGCTATCTTTCAAATCCAATGTGACTTGATCTACCCTTTCACAAAAGGTGTACCGCACAAGGTAGTATTAAGGCTCAAACTGGAGTGAGATTGTCGATGAAAAATTGAAAATGGCGGTGATCCCAATACATAACCATGAATCAACCCTGTCTTACATTGTAATGAGAGCCTCCCGAGTCTGGATGGCCTATCGATGGGTTGATACGGGCTCGTTGGTCGAAGAATCATTCATTTGCCCCGGTAAGGTTCAATAGTACCAGTACCTGGAAGAAATACGATGAAAGCTGCTGTCCGCGCACCGGAAGCAGAGAAGCTTATGGTATATATATGTTGCTTGAGTTGAGTAACAAGTAACTAGACCTGTGCCGCTGTCGACACACTCTTATCACCCCTCAGCTGAGGCTTAGCATGCAGCGTCCTACAATAGTCTAGATGAGGACAGCCGCAGCGCTGATCCCTGGGGCTGAGCAGAGGGTTGACACCACAAGCTTTAACGATCACCATCTCCATTTCCCTCTTGAGAATGGCTTTGACACGCTGGCCAGGGAGCTGAAGAGGTCATTGCATGCTATAAAGCTAAATGCTGCCAGCAAACCGTTTTTGTGGTTCAATCGCAAATTGTATCGTGAGAAACAATTATCTCCCTTTCTATAGGACCGTCTAGCTCTAGTACCCTGTTTCACCACGAACCACCTTCGCACCGAGAACTCATCGCGACACACAATGTGTCTCGCGCTCGGATTCGCAAACAGCCAGGCTCGGAAACACCACGAGAAGAGGGCTGCCCAAAGAGCCAGCGAGCATCCGCGACCTGTTATGGTGAAAACATCGTCTGAGACCTCGTCGCCGCCCACGTCCACACGAGTACCAGTTCCGGTCGGATCCAACGCAGACTCAACGACGAGCGAGCAGGAATCTAGGCTAGAAGAGAGGAGCTCGGCAACATGGCCTCAATCACGATGATGTGCCATGTAAAAGTGCCTTGGCAGGCCACGAAGCAAAATACAGGCGAGCCAGTGCTGAAGCTTCAGAAGTTGAGGAATCGGGAATGGATATAGATATATATGTTGCCAGATACATGGGCGAAGTTCTTTACCGGTCGATTGCGAACCCTGGTGGCCTCAAACCTACGAAAATCAGCGGGGGTACTTTTCATCGGCTCTTTTAGGGGGGCTGTACTCTCTTGTCTCTTCTTTCTAGTTTCTTAAGACTTATCCAAGGCCATCTGCCAATTGTGAAGCAACTGCCATTGGATAACCTATTATCGATTAGGTATACTGCAGTCATAAATGCTATCTAATCATCTTGTGACACGCAATACCAGCTCTGTACTTATTATGATACAACGTGTAGCCTAGAATGGCATTGCTTAGCACTCGCACATGAAAGACTAGTTTAGCCCCCAATTTCTCCAAATATATTCAGGCAACAAGCATACTTAGACTCACTTCATGAAACCCACGACGACGCAATACCATGAGTCGAGTAAATCGAAATGGACGAAAAGAATCTATCCGAAGATCCATCCTGGAGACAATATCCGCGAAAGCCGCAGCTACGCCACTGGACCGCGGTACCATTGCTTATAATACTGCTCGCTCTGGCTAATTTTCTCCACGGTCGGCTGATCTCGATGCTAGAGGATGATTCAAGTCCAGCTGGAGAGTTCATTCACTATGGCGACGAGGCCCTCCTCTGGAAGCCATGCGGCGAGCTCAGGAATAGCACCCTCGAATGCAGCAACCGACTGGACCAAAGTCGCGTCCGCTCAATGGATCTGATACATAACAACGCTGAAGTCTTCGCATGAACGCACAACTTTGTTCGCGGGTGCGCGGATACAGTGGGACGCTTCCAGCTTGAGATCTAGAATTATAGACTCGGCTTCGGGTCGGATTGTATCTCCTGGTAACCGACGTTCCGACAAGTGTTGATTCGCGCTTCGGTCGCGGATGGTGAAGCCGCCCGGGTCTGCGACACTCTGCACCTCTCCCTCGGGGTTGTTCGAGTCAACTGACGGACCCCATCAGGTGCCCCGGGCCACCGATTTCAACACATAATGATGAGCGCGAGGAATAGCCAATCATAATAGTGATCTAGGGCGAGCGGTTCAACGAGACAACGCTAAGAGAGCAAGGCCCTACCCCTCCTCCTCCTCCTACCCCTGCTCGTCCAATTCGCGCGCGAGAATGCCCGTCCACAGATCCTTCCAGTCATGTTTAACCGCTGATTCAACCCAAGCGAATGCCCCCAGGAGATCCGACAGCTTCTCGACGTTGTCGATGCCTGATTCCCAACATAGACGCGCAGCGCATGCGACCAGCGTCTTGGGTGCCTCGTCGTGCATCGTGCTGACCACTACAGCGAGACACCAGATGAGGAGCGGTGAAGCGAGGCCCCGGGCGTACAGGTCCTCCAGGCGCGGAACAAGAGAGTCAAGGAGCGTCTTGCGCACTATCGCAGCCCGCGGGAGCGGGAATGTAACATGCACCGCGTATAAGATCGCACTGAGACGACAGGTGAGATAAATGTCCCAGGAGAGCTGGTTAAGATTGAGAGACGGATACGGCTCGTTGGTGTTGTTGTTGGTGGTGGTGTTGGAAGAGTCCAGAAGAAAAGGAGACTCCTCGAACGCCAGGACATCGTCAACGGGGTCATGCTCGTCCGGCAGCGAGAGCAGCCGATGCGTGACCAGATTCCGGCTGTCGCCGATCAGGTCCAGCACCATCGGCGTGCAGCTTGCGCTACTGTTACTGTTGCCCTGGAAGAATTGCACCACCGCAGAGTACTCGCCCAAGTGCTTGAATACCTGGACTAGGCTTTGTTTCACGGGTGGGTGGAGGAAGCAGAGTTCGTCGAAGCCGGACCCTGGAGGGCTGGAGGAGCCCCCTGTGTCATAGTACCCGTGCGGTTTGAACAGCTGCGCAGGCGGCTGGAGGATCAGCCGGTACCCGAGCACGCTCATGATGGGGTATATCGGCTTTGATATGCACTGGGCGGCCGTCAGGAGCGACGACAGGCTGACCAGCCAGGCGAGAGCGTAGGTGCGCAGCGTCTCGATTCCGCCTACGCGGCGGATAATGTCCTGGACCATATGCCAGTGCAGTGGGTGGTAGTCTTGACCACCAAGGAAATCTAGAGCTTGCAGGCTCGTCAGGGGAGGGGAGAAGGGGGTCGGATCACGGACGACCCTCTTGTGCTTGTCGTTTGCGGCCAGCCACAGGATACACATGACCAGTCTGTCCGGGGACTTTAGCTTGGACTCGTCATCCAGTTCCCCCTGCAGAGTCTGCAGCGCGAGGGATTTGAGATAGAGCTGCTGGTTGGATTCGGGGCAGGGAGCGCCGTATGTCACGCGGAGGATGTCGCGGTGGTATGAGGCAGCCCAGAGAATCGCGTATAGCTGCAGGTTGTTGTCGAGCGGATAGATCCAGTTCTGATAGCAGTTTGTCGCATGCTCGGCCCCGCGCAGATGCGGCCAGATCACCGTAGCCGCGAAATCCAGCAACTCGTGCACTTTGAGCTTGGCTGTCGTCGTATTCAGCGGGATCATCGGATCTGCGCGCCCCGCGCCAAGTAACTCGGGGCTTGAGACTCGCCGTGGCACGAGTGCGCTTGTGCGTTGTCCTTCAGAATCAACACCAACAGCAGCAGCAGCAGCAGACGGCCACAGGTGCCTACCACAAGTCGCGCACCGCCCCGACAACCCGCCCTCGCGCTGATTCCAGAGCTTGGGCAGGATCAAGCGTTTCTCCGACTCGAGGGACCCCACTGAAAACGTCGACGCGCCCACCTGCTGCATCAGCGACGATGCGCACGAGCAGAGCGCAGGCGCGCTGTTCTTACTGGCCTGTTGCAGCGCCGATTCGAGCTGGTCCGTCGCATCCTGGCGCGTCTTCTTGCGGCCGAGCGGGATCGCGCGCTTCAGAAAGGTAGATCGCACATTGCCGGATTTGCGCTGCAGCTTGGGGCCGCCGACGAAGATGAAGTCGCCCGGGGCAGGCTGGGGCTCCTGCTCTAGCTTTGGCGGCAGCATTGTGTACGCTGGCTGGTGGAGTGAAGGCTTGCTAGCCAATCTGCACTGTACTCTGTACTGCTTAGGTGGCGTTAGGTAAGACTAGTTAGCGAGCTCTGCAAGGTGAGCTGCAGGCGCACGGATCGACAGGGATGACAAAGGATCACACGTGGTTGATTAAGCGCCCAAGGTTTCGTTCCAGGAATTCGGAGGGGTTTCAGGTTGGTTAGTGGTTACGGGGAGATCTCAACGTGGTGGATTAGTCACGTCTTACTCCAACAAACTAGGGCCTGTTATCTAACTATTCCAGGTTAATCACTTTCAGAACGGCCAATCATATATCCTGGACCAGGGCCAGTAAGTTTGACAGGGTGGGCATTGACCCGAGATATCGCCGACCCCACTAAGTTGCATCTTCCAAGGTGACCTGTTACTTCCCCTTGGGACAATAACGCCACCAAACTATGGAGCCCGCTGCTTATGATGGCCTTCCTCGCTGGTGACAGCTGCCGGCCGAGCGGGATCTAATTATAAGGAGGGCCCTAGCCTTAGGACACGCGCGATACAACAAACGCTGACCACTTCCTAGAGGCACTGAGCCCCCCTCATCGCTGAATCGCCCGACCGACAGCGGATCCGACTAATCCAGGAATTTCTGGTTCTTGCTGAAAGTCCCAGAGATCTCGATCCCACACATTTTGGAAACAATGCATGGGAGACAGGGCGGTAAACGCGCACTCCAACAGAGGAAGAGATTGCAACTATCCTTCGGCCTTGGCGGCCAGACCAGGTGCGGTTCACGGCGTGGAAACGCTGGCAGTCAGCTGTAGACGACAGATACCCTGTACCTCTTCGGACATTCTACGATCCAAAGGACGATGAACGCGTGAAGAGCTGGGCAACTCTCTGCGAAGACTATGAAGAAGTAGCTGGCTAATTAGCTCCTCCTCCCTGAATCAGAGGTGGAGTGCCAGCATATTAGTGGGGGTTATAGCCTAACTAACTATCTAATAGTTATGAAGCCTAATTCCCCCTCTTTATATTTAGACCCTATAGGATTCTGCTTGCCTATATTTCTCTAAGTAATTTTATTTGTATCTATCTGACCTAGACCATCAGAATGACAACCTTCCAAGACCTTCTGAATTCATTGGACCTTCGTAACAAATGCACATTCGTTGGTATTACCCACCGAAGCGCCGATGGATCGACTCCGACGCCGCTTACAGGCAGCTAGTATCGGGCGTCAGGTGATCATCCACTGTATAACATGCTTATAGTTAAAAAGCGTTTTTATCCTTTTGTCCAGATCGTCCTCCATAGATGTGGCTGAACCAAAGCTGTCAATGGCCGCTTTGTCGTGTTTCTTATCAGCTATCGGAACCCCGATCAGCTTCCACCGCCGAGAAGTCGGCCAAAGGGTCGCAACATCCACGCGGAAGTCGCAAAAGTCGCAGATACGATCAGCGGTGACGCGGACTCTCTCCATACCTGATTCTCAAGCATCAGTGGGAAGGAGCACAGATTCGCCCCCAACATTTCTGCTTCGGATCCGCGATATATGTAATTCTGGTCAAGAAAAACATAACCATAGACGATCTTTGGCTCTACGGGTCGAGTGGAGGTCCCTGAGCCTACGGTTACTTGAAATGTCAGCTCGCTTCTTCGGGCACGACTTATTGATCGCTCGATTTATCCCATGTAATTGCAACTATCTCTGTGACATCACCGAAGCAATGCTCATCTGTGATTATCCAGCAGGTACACCAAGTGTCATACCCCCATCAACAGAAAGAACCTGGCCGGTAATCCACTGAGACTCCGGCAGACAGAAAAACAGAATAGCCTGCGCAATGTCCTTCGGAAGTCCCAAACGTTGGCCACGGGGTAGCACCCCTCATACTCTTCAGAATGTCCTGATTCTCCAGATTCCCACGCGCCATTCCAGTCGCAACTACCCCCGGTGCAATGCAGTTGATGTTGATATAATCCCGGGCATGATCGATTGCACCTGCTCGAGTCATATGGTTGATCGACGCTTTTGTCGCAGAGTATGCCACTTCACCCGCATATGCGATGTTCGCGGCGCAGGAAGAAACATTAACGATACGGCCACGACTCCCCCAGAGCTCGTCGACAGCTTGTGCTAAGAATTGGCGTATTGCGAGGCGTGACATTTTAGATGTGCCCGCTGTATTGATCTGCAGCATTCTTGACCAGAGCTCATCGTCTTCATCAACGAACTTTCGGAATGGTGCCCAAAAACCCGCGCAATTAACGAGAATATCCAGCCGTCCAAACTTCTGTCAAATACATATGGCGATAATATCAGCTACGAGACTTTGCCGCAAGAAGTACTGGCGGACATTTTTACCTCTGCTGTGAGCTCAAATGCTGCTTCCACTTGCTCGAAGTTGGCGATGTCAACTTTTGGAATATCGCATTGCCGCCGTTCTTGACGATCACATCAACCGTAGTTTTCGAAATATCATCTTCGTAGCCATTAGGATTAGGCTCTGGGATGAGGTCACAACAAACCAAGAATGCTCCCTCGTGTGCGAGCGCGAGCGCAGTTGCTCGGCCCATCCCCGAAGAGGCACCCGTTACAAGCGCGACTTTTCCTTGCAGACGTCTGAGGGACATGACGGAATGCTTAAAGTAAATTAGTGATAAGAAGATAGATTGATTGACTTCGCCTTAGAATTTATAGCTAGCTTCTGTTCGATCTTGCCAATGAAGACTGTTCGCTTGGTAATAGAGTCCCGGTCGGCAATTTCAAGCCTCGGGTTAATTATTAAAAACACTCGATACAATATTATATACATAAGCGGGTTAGATTATGTACGGTTTGATCTCGAGGCATCTGGCCCATGGGCCGGGTCTGCGCTGAGAGGCCTCTCCAGGATAGCCCGATGATAGTCCGGATTGGGGAAATTGGTGACTGCGATGAGACCGACCATTGAGCGTGGCGAGATATATTCGACGCCCATTAGCCGCACGTATTTTGCAAACTCTCAAGACTCCCGATCCCGAGTCACATCTTACAGAAGCCTTGTTCTTGTTGTGCCAGAATGGAAAACCTTCCTGACTTCCTACACCCAGCGAGCAAGATACCACCCACATGGGCAGCTGTGCTTGCTATCATAGGCTTCGCAGTCTATCGCCTCCTTCAGATCGGTCGACGTGACCCCCGTATGCCAAAGGGGCCGCCTACTGTTCCTATCCTCGGCAACTTCCACCAGATCCCTTCAAGTGGACTGTACGCAAAGTAAGTGCTAAACCCATCATTCACAAGGATTTGCGGACACTCGAGCTTAAACCCCCAGATTCCGCGACTGGGCTGCCGAGTATGGTCCTGTATTCTCGCTCAAGTTCGGACCGACCAATATCATCGTCCTGTGCGACCGCAAGGCCGTCCATGCGCTGCTAGACAAGAAAGGTGCCATTTATTCTATTTTCTCGTCCAAGAAGCAGAGTATGTGGATTATTTCGCGCACACGACTCTGCCTTACTGAATGTCGGTGCCTATATAGGGCAACGGTTCTCCTGGATGACCTTCTGAGCAACCCCGGTGGCTTCTTCAACCACGTGCGACGATACACTGCTTCATCCGCTTCTGTGCTTGCTTTTGGCCACCGCGGTCCTACTTTCGATTCGTTTTGGGGTCACGTATGTAGCCCGATCAACCGACTCTGGCTCCTGTCACCAAGCTAACTATTGACTAGGTGGTCTATGATGTTATGGATCGATGGACCGAAGCAATGGAGGCGGGCGCCAATCCACCCGTAGACGAGTATCCTATTCTGAAGCTCATCCCCAAGCGCTTCGCTTATTGGAAAAGGCGTGCAATTGCAGCGGGCGAAGTGTTTGACACAATGTGGGGGAAAGCACGCCGCATTGTTAACGAGCGCCGAGCGAGTGGCATCCGCAGGGAGTGTATAACTGATAACATGCTGGACGAGTACAACAGGAAGGGCTGGCCGATGCCCCAACACGCGTTCAACAACCTGATTGGTGAGGTCGTCGAAGGCGCGGGGCAGCATCCGGCATTGGCCGAGAGACTGCAATTACCCTCGCGAAGCTGGGAGCCGCTGGACTTGCAATCAGTGATGTGAATACAAAAGGCCTGCAGGAGACCCAGGAAGAATGTAATATATCTTGTTGGCACGTTTCTGAGAGTCCCAAATAAATTCCTTTGCTGTCCTTAAACGCAACCAACGGGTTTTGAGTGGAGCATGAGCTAACATGGGAAAACAGGCGCAAGATACAAATCCAGCGTCATTGACACTCGAGTTGATGTGAGCCAAAATGATCAGGTCACCAGCTGGACACATGACACCATACGACACTTCGGGCGCTTGGACGGTGCAGCAAACGTGGCCGGGATAGCCATGGGCGAAGGGGCAACTACTTGCGAAACTATGGTATGTCATGACTCGACTGAAAATCCAATAGAGATCGTGAGTTAACGAGACCGATAGACCGCTGAAAGCTGGGATCGGATGATGGATGTGAACCTCAAAGGCGTAATGCTCTGTATGCGGGCGCAGCTACCTCATCTCCCTCGCCCTGGAGGCGCCATTGTCAACGTCTCGAGTACCTCTGGGCTCCGCGGCCTGCCGCACAACGCGGCATACTCGGCGAGCAAGTTTGGGGTTATCAGTTTAAGCGAGTCCGCCGCTGGGGAATTTGGCCCACTCGGTGTACGCATCAACTCTCTGCTCCCGTAAGTTTGCCCACTTCTAGGCTGTGCTGAGTCCTTCATTTTCTAACCCTTCAGTGGGCCTATTGATACCGCAATCTTCCGTGACGGAGAGGCTCGCGGGCATTTTGACTCCAATGCTTTGACTAAAGATACATGTCTCCGCCGGATGGGCCAGGCAAAAGAAGTCGCCAAAGTTCTGTGTTTCTTACTTTCTGACGATGCCTCGTATGTAACTGGAGGTATGTGTCTCAACCCCTTTCACATCCAGGGTACTCCCTCGTGGCTGTCTAAGGCTGTCTAACTATCCTAATAGCGCATTGGACAGTGGATGGTGGGTATAGTGCATGTTAAACAAGGGTATAAGACCCAGAATACATTCACTTTTTATAGAAGAGATCTCTGTGGCTTGCTATAACTAGGAGGTTGTTAATCTGAAATTGTCAAGATTTAACTTGGTACTGCAAGAGGTTGGCAGTCAAATGGAAGCAATACCATGTGCATTGGATAGTTACATTAAATAACACCAAAAGTATAAAGACCTAAAAAACGGTATACAAGCACAACCAGGTAAATCTGTATATATATGTGTCGCTGGGAAAGCGCATGATATATTCCACTAATGTATATCCCATTCTCGACCAGGCGCAGCAAATCAACCAATTTGGTGATAGTGAGGAAGAGGGGGGGTGCTTGTTATAGACCTATATTAACATGAGAGGAGTATTAGTTCTCGTGGCAATGTGCCTCCACAGACTTGTCTTCCTCCCCCCGGCTCGGCAGGGCCCTCCATCCAAACCTGCTCAAGCAGTCTAATCCCCAGACTCATCAATCCGATCGCATGCGGCTCCACCTGCGCATACTACTTTCAGAAGCGATCCTGCAGCCGCAAGTCAAACGTCTCGCTTGCCGCAATAAACGCCGGCCAATAGAGCGGCAATGCCTGTACCTGCCACTCTGTCTTTATCCGCTCAACAGCTTCGATTCGGTCGAGCACGTCCTCGACATAAGGTTTCAGATATCGATGGCCTAGGCGCCGGATATGCTGCGCGAAGAAAGTTGGACAGGCATACCCGAAGAGACACATCTCCCGTAGTGCTGCAATATGTACTTGGTAGTCATCTCGGTCTTGATCCCTCGATCCTGCAGCTTCGGCACTGGTCCGACATACTCCAACGGAGCTCCGTAGAAGGCAGGATATAGCGAGCGCGGGCGTTATCATTAATTGGAGTCCAACTTACTCACAGAATAGCTTACTTCCTTTGGGATTTTTATCACACTTTGCTTTCCTCGCAGCATTGAGACTTTCCACCCGCGGAATTCAATCGCAGGCATCTATTGTCAAAAATGGCCAACCGCAATCAAACACTCGACGAGAAGGTCTACTCGATCAAGGACCTCGAGCAGTTATGGCTCAGCCAAGATGGAGAAATCCGTTCGCGGTGGGATATGCTTCTCCATCACAGACCAGACCAGACCAGAACCTAACATATTTGCATAGTATTACAACGAACGCGCCATGGACCTCATCACGTTCGCCTCCCCACACAAACTCTCACAATCTATCTCGCATTGCGTTAACCAAGCATACAGTCTGCACTCCGACTCCTCTGCCTACGACCGCTTCGTCCTCCGCTCGCGCGTCCTCTGCGACATCTGAAACCTCGACACAAGCACACGTATCCTGGGCCAGACCGTAAAATTCCCCTTTGGCTTCTCCCCAACCGCCATGCAAACGCTCGCCCACCAGAAAGGAGACATGGCAACTTCCAAGGCCTGCAATGCGTCAAACGTCCTCATGGGCCTGTTGAATTACTCGACCATCAAATTGGAGAAGGTCATTCTGGGCCGCGAGAATACGCCTCATGTTATGCAGATGAGTCTTTTTAAGAATAAGGCAGCCATGGTTCAGATGATTAAAGGGGCCGAAGGTGGGCGCATGTCTTTTTTTTTTTTTTTTTTTTTTTTTTTGCCCCCAACAGTCGCCTCAGCCGTCTGGGTAGATTAGGACGTTTGTTCCTTAGAGTGAGTAGCTGACCACCGGCCAGCCGCGGGATTCAAAGCCCTCTTCGTTACGCTGGACTGTCCGTATCTCGGACGCAGGCTGAACGAGTTCCGAAATCGGTTCAGTGTGCCAAAGGGGATGGAGTTTCCCAATCTGTTTCCTGGGGTGGATGTGACCAACCTGGAAGATGGGGATGAAAGGATGGCTTATGGTAATACTGCCTATGGATCTACTCATGTTGCGGGATTCTTACCTGGGCTGCCGAACAGGCGACAGATTTGAATGGCCCGAAATTATCCCCTTTCTTCCGACAGCACACTAACATGCAGATATGGGCGAAGGGAAGTAAGTAATCCCACTCTCAAACCAAGGCCTAAACAAAAAACTAAGCCTTATAGTCTACACGTCCGACGACAACCTCCTTGCGATAAAGCACGGCTTCGATGGCCTGATCGTTTCCAACCACGGCGGCCGGCAGCTCGACGGCGTCCTCTCCTCTCTCGACGTCCTCCGCGAAATCGCCCCCGCGTCGCACGCGGCAAGATCCCCATCGCTATAGATGGCGGAATCCGGCGTGGGACTGACATCTCCAAGGCTCTGGCTCTGGGAGCGGACTTTTGTCTTGCGGGGAGGATTGCGCGATTCCGCACTTTGCGAGTTTGAGGAGCTCCAGAATCAAGCGGCCGCAGGTTAAGTGGGTTATTTTGGTCGTTGGGGTTGGGGGTGGTTGCTGGGATTGAGATGGAGAGTGTTGTCGGCGGCGGGTTTGGCGAGGTTGTTGGTGGGTGTTATTTTGATGGGCTTTGTCAAGGGGAGGGCAAGGGCAGTCCCATTCGCGTTCGAAGCATGATATACCGATCTTGTCGGGGCGGAGGACGAATGCGGTGCTGAATACTTTCGATGCTTTTATTCCGCCGAGGAGGTTAGCAGGTCCGGGGTGTTGTCGAGGATGAGGGCGATGATCTCGAGGGGAAGACTATTGATTGTGGTCATTTTTATACTTGTTATTCGCTGGCGTAGTTTCGTAACCGATTGTGCTTGCATTTGCAGTGGATTCCCGTGAAGTCCCCAGGCCACGCGAGGTTGCCCCCCGGCCTAAGCTTGCGAGGCTTACTCTTAGCGTCTTGTCTGGCCAAGAGTATTTTTGGGCAGGTCCTTGGTTGTTTCTCCACGGGACACAAACTCTCGTCAGTGAATTGCTTCGCGTTGTCAGTAATTCTGGACATTACTATAAAGTTTATTCTATATAGCCTTTCTCCTCCTCCAGAGGTAATAGCATCGATCAATGCCTGTTCGTGCATAATTAACATATAAGTTACGTCCAGAGGAACAATGCATGTCACCAGTTAAACGCCACTTGAGGCACTCGAGCTATGTACAATGAACTAGACAAGTAACCAGATATCAAATCATACTCTATATATTCATGTCAGATTAAACCCTCTCCGAGCGAGTCCACCATCTAAACCTTGACAGCTACAATTGCCGCATTCATAGCCCCAATAGTCGTCAGATTCCGCTGCGTCTTGGGCGCCTTGAACCCCTCGAGATACGGTATCCTCTCCTCCTCTGTCCAGGTCAGCCTCGCCTCTCACAATAAACATGCCCAACATAAATAATCGACAGGGAAAACGGCCGCCGAACTCACCAAAAAACGCCCGAATCCAAGCCTTGGGCACCGCCCCCGCCGCATAATCCCACAACGTCGTCATATAAAGCGCCGTCTCGCCGACACTCCCCATAAGCGCCAGCTCACTCACGTTAAACTCCGGATTCAGCCCCTCGGCTTCCTTGAACCGTATCGCCCTTGCGCGCGCCGCAACCTCAACGGTCACATACAGGTCGTCCTCACAGTCGACACCGGCATCGTACAATCCCAGACTCGTCGCCGTCCCATTCCACACCTCTAGGTTAAAGAAGTCGCTCCGCGAGAGCGACCCGTCGTGCTCGATTGCGCCGTGCTTGTTGAGGTCGGAGAGGTGGAAGGTCGAGGCGTTGCCGGTTGAGGACAGGTTGAAGTCGAGGGCCATTTGGAAGGCCGAGTCCAATGTTGCGGGGTGGTAGTTGTATGCGCCGAGGATTGCCGCGTGCAGGTTTTCGAGCGAGATGTCGCGCCCGTCGCGTGGGAGGTAGCCATGGTTGGCCATGACATTTAAACCGGGGCAGGGGGAGCGGACTATCATCGATGGTTAGTGTTTGGCGTTGGAAATACTCGGCGAGGTGAGGTGAGGTGAGGTGAGATGGGATGAGGGAAGGGAGGCCTTACGATCGCCAGGCCCTGGGCGCCGCCATTCGTGGCGTTCATGTGTACTGCCGCATTCGCAGGCAGCGGCGATGGTAAGAAGGGCCACTTGGGCGAGTAGGTTGAGTTTCATGATTCCTGTGTTGTGAGGTGCAATATTCTTGATTTGTATGTATGCTTCTCGAATTTTACAGCAGATACCCCAGCTTATATGGAACCCCCCCCCCCCCTAGGGGCATTGCCGAAAAATCTTCCAAAATCTTCCATAACAGATCGGCACCTCCTATGCCCATCCCTGACCGACTCAGCCACAGGGCACATCTACATCTACCTTCGGGATGACGCCGCGGTCCCGCGCCCCAGGAACGACCCGTGGGAGTTTAAATCCTGCGATTTCCACCAATCCGTGGTCTATAATTGCAAAGCAGTTTCGTCATCTCATCGCCCGTGGTGCATAGAACTGGCGGTAAGCGTATGCGTTCACTGGTTTATACGCGCTCAGCCTGGAGATGGGCGTGAGCGGCCAATCAGAGGTGGCGAGGGCGGCGCAGGCTTGCGGGAGATACGCATACGGATACGCTTGGGGAAAGGTTCTTGTTGAGCAGTGGGCTTGGCGTTGCCTGGCCCTCCAACAAGGTTGCGGGGTACCTAGACATGATATTTAATAATGTTCAGAGGAAGAAGGCTCTTTTGTTGAGTATTCTTCGGCCATTCTACCTGCGGTACGACCTCCGCTCCATGCATACAGACCCGGATTTCTCTAGGGCGGGCTTACGAGCAGAATCAGCCACCACACTTTATTGTCCGGAGGCTATGATTCCTACGAGTGTCAGGCAAGAAGAGTGTGACTTTGGTTAGCCATGGCGAGTTGATGTTCTATCCCAGTATCAACGCCCCATGCCTCATGCCTCTTTATCACAAGCTTCGCTGCGCATCGACCCGTTCAAGCGGACTTGTTAGAGCTTATTTTCAAAGCTTTCTAGAAAGAAATGCTGGCAGACACGGATCATGGGGATACCTCCGCATCATGCGTCAACGGAACATCCCTCCGGTTCAAAGTATTCGTAATATTCGCCATTATCATCCGGTAATGTATGTGCAGGTATCATGACTGACTAGGACTCGATTCATGATGAGAAAGACAGTTGCATTTGTCAAGATTGCGTTGTGCTTAGAAATCTCCTTCCTTTGCTCGCAATGGGTATCGCCATGACCCGTATATATACCTCGTGAGACGAAGTTGCATATTACGAAACTAAGAACAGAACAAACAAGCATCAAGTCTGTTAACCACAACCACCCAAGAAAACCAAGGGTCCGGCCACACCAAGCACCACGCCAAATGTCCAAGCTCCTCGTCGTGTTCGGCGCCACAGGCGCACAGGGCGGCTCGTTGATAGACTATGGCCTCCAAGACGCACCGCTCTCCAAGGAATACCGTCTTCGCGGAATCACGCGCAACGGTTCGAAACCGTCCGCTGTCAAATTAGCAGCCAAATGCGTCGAGATGGTCGAGGCGAGTACCAATATCCCCTCTTCTCTTGCTGCGGCTGTCGAGGGCGCGGATGCTCTGTTTGCGGTTACTGATTGTGAGAATTCCAGTTCATGCCCTTCCTCCCCATAAGGGGCATGGCCGAGATATTGTAGCGCAAATCTGCTGAATGTATACAAGCCTGGAACAGCAAATCCCCTTCCACTGAAATCGCACAGGGAAAAGCCATAGCCGACGCAGCGCTCGCCGCGGGCGTAATGGTAATAATCTTCTCGTCTCTGTCCTCCATCTCAAAGATGTTGAATGGCGAGGTCACGTCTCTGCCCCAGTTCGATGGCAAGGCTGTCGTCGAAGAGTGTATTCAAGGATTATCGGTCCCGGTCAGCGTGTTTTACCTCGCGGGGTGGTAGATGCAGAATATCTGGCATGAGATGGTGCCGCGGGTGCAGCGTGTATGATTTACAGGTTCTTTATCTTTTCGTCCTCAATGATCCCATTTGCCTCTTTCCGCAGTCAGTCTCGCAGATACCAGATGCCTCTAACGGCATCATGGAAATAGAAACTCGACGGAACAGCCATTTACCCGCTCCCCTGGTCCGGCCCCACGACACTCTTCTGGATCGACATCATTGATACAGGCAAGTACCTCGCGCCGGCTCTGCACAGCCCGCAGAAATACAATGGCGCGCGCCTCACCGCCGGATCGGCGTACTGGTCTGCGCAGGAGATCTGGAAACATGGAGCCACATCAGTAAACGCACACTTAGGCGATCGGAGCCCGCGGAGTATGAAAAGTTCACGATTGGGCCGTTTCAGCGGGCTGTTTTTGGGGTGTTGTTGGAGGATGGGTATTTTGGGCCCAACGGGGAGGAGGATGTGCGATGGATGCATGCGCAGTTGTGTCCTGGGGATAGAGCCGCCAGTTAAGAGGGGAGGGGTTTCTGGTTAGAAAGGGGCGGTGGTTTGTCGAGTCCGGACTGTAGACTGCCTGGGTCGGTTGATTTGGTGCAGAGCAGGATAGGGCTGGGTGGTTGGGCAGCATTCTCCTCATGTACCGAGTCTACATGCATGCTACCAGGTATACGGTCGAGTAGGAGAATTGCAACACATGGTTGGTATCCATTAAACGCTCAAAGCTCATTAACACATTCATCACAACCCCGCCATCAAGGTCACACCAACTCCACGTCTTCAACCCCTCAACACCCCCAACACCATCCACGCGGATTCGAACCTCATCTCTCGGCGGATCATTTCTTCGGCGCCTCGACGAAACCGGGGAAACAATCCTCCAGCGTCTTGCTATGCTTGTTGCTGGCATGCTCCGTCAAAGCCGGGCCGCGAGTCGTCTTGAGGAATGTCTGGCGGCACACGACGCACTGGATGTCCTTGGCGGCTTCGTTCTAGATCTGTGAGTGAGTGATGCGCCTTTTGCTTTTTTTCTATGCAACTTCTTGAATCCTCAAGCCGCAAGGTACTCAAGTCGTCCCCACATGCAAATGCCGTATACATCGAGCGATCCCCCGGGAAAAGATAGAGATGCAGATGAACAAAATCAGGGAAACATACGATCTTGGTCTGCGACTTGCCATTACCCTTGGCGTCCTTTGCGTTGCGCTCGCGCTTCATGGCTGCTTTGGCTCCCTGTTGATCGCTGAGTAAGTCTCGGGCTGAAAAGTGGGACACTCAGAGAACTGGAGATGTGTCGCTCAGGCATTTTTTTGTAGAGTGGGTTAGTAGCTTACGTTTCCCATGGTGACGGATGTAGGTGATGATATTGAGGGTGAAGATAGAGATGGATTGAAAAGGAGAGAGATGGATCAGTCGCGCGGTGTTACGGTCTTGAGTGGTGAAGTTTTTTTTTTTCTCTCTGCGGCTACTTTTTTTTTTTTTTCCTCCTCTCCTTATCGCCGTTTTGCCCCTCGTCGGAGGCGGACTCCGGCTCACCGTCACGTGGCTGTGCTTGGCCAATCATGACGGGGCGGCTAAGAATAGCCCGAGGCGGTCTAGCCCGTTCCTGGCGTCCATCCATCACCCGTTACTGGCCAGAGCACATCCATTAACTACCTATTCCCCTCTCATAACAACCTCAGTAAATGCTTACTCCCTCGGAAACCACCCCTCATACCAATCCCTCTTCCCAATCTCCACCCCCTCCTTCCTGAGAATCCCATACGCAGTCCCCAAATGAAAATACACATTCGGGAGCACAATCGAATGCGCATAGCTCGCCCCACTCATGTCCACCGTCACACCCGGGCCAACAGGCGTCGGCGCAACCTTCTCCGCGTTCTCATTGACAATGTTCTTCTCGGCCTTGGACAGACTCTCGAGAACGGCGTTGATTCTTTCGAAACTCTCAGAGAAGGACGACGGGTTCCCGCCAAACTGCGTGGCGTCCCGCCCGCTTAGCCGCGCGGCCAGGTTCTCCGTGTATTGCGTGGCGAGGCGGATTTGGTCGGCGAGCGGGTACATTGTTTCGTGGAGGCGGGCGGAGAGGAGGGAGTCTGGGTTCGGGGTGGTTGCAATGGCTTTTTGGAGGATGTGCGTGAGGGTGCGCAGGATGGAGGTGCACACGGGGATTGTGCTGTCGTAGGTTGTTGAGGGCATTTTTGGAGATTTTTGTAGAGGGTCAGGGTGGTAGGTCGAAAGGGTCGCGAAAGTCTGTAGGAATGAGTCAAGGTGATGCCAGATGAGGGGCTTTAAGTACTCCAAGTGACGGAATTGCTCGGGACTATGGACACACGTGATTTGGGGGCTATTTGGGATGGGTACCTAGGTAGGTAGGGAGGGGTATGCAGTTTTCAGTAGGTATGACTTCTATCTACTCGATGAGTATGTCGCAGTACTGAAGAAAACCCACGGGATCTCTGTGGCCATGGTTGGCATCCGAGAAGAGTATATATTGCTTCTTCTAACGGTTCCCGAGTGCATCTAAGGAGACCCCTGCCGCTCGTACGCGTATTCGTATGCTCCCTCACCCAGGCCTCATCTACGACCTCACAGTCCCAGCGTCGCCAGTTTAATATCTAGCAAAAACCCTCCACCCCGTCGCTTTCACCCTCGCAAGCACGACAAAACTCGTCCCGACGACCGCAAAAACACCCGCAAAAACCTTCAACCCAACCCAGCCCCCAGGCCCATCCACAATCGCCCCGTTGATCGGATTCGTCGTGAGTCCACCAACAGCCGTCGCAAGAAGCACAATCCCCGTGCGAAACCCGAGCTCAGCCATCGGCGAGATCTGCAGTATCAGCGGCGTGAGCAGCGACACGTACGCTCCAGAGAAAAACCCAAAAAGCACGCTGAATGCGATCAGGGCTGGCGTTGACGAGTCTGGCAGCCAGAGGGCGAGGATGCTCGCTGCAGAGAGGTAGCAGACGACGATGAAGATGTTGAAGCGGCCGATCCGGTCGCCGAGGACGCCTGCGGAGAGGCGGCCGAAGAGCGAGCCGGCGTTCAGGATCGGGACGAGGTAGTCGACGAGGTCCGCGGACATGCCTGCCTCGAGCGCCTGCACGGGGAGGTAGTTGATCGGCGGGTAGAAGCCGTATGTGAAGATGAACATGCCGATCATGAAGAGGAGGAATTGCGGCTCCTTGAGGGGTTTCACGAGCTCGGTGCGTGTGACGCTGCGCGGTTTTGGCGGGGTGAAGGGGTGCACGGTTAGGTTGGTGATTATCAGGAGAATCAGCATGACAAATGCGCAGGTGCGCATCGCCCATCCGAACCCCGTTGTGCGGATCAAATGGGTGACCATGACGGGGAGGACGATGCCGCCGATGCTCGAGCCCGTGAAGAGGATGCCGAACGCGGCGCCGCGGTTCTTGGTGAACCAGCCGGCGGCACAGGAGACGGCTGGTCAAGTTAGAATGATGATGGAGAGTTGGAGTTGGACGGGGTCAAGTACACGGCTGAAAGATCATTGAGACGCCAATGGCTGAGCAGAGCCCTTGCGAGAGGAGGAGTTGATAGTACTCGGTTGACAGGCTCGTCATCATGAGTCCAAAGACGTGCAGAAAGCTGCCAATTAGGAGCAGCCAGCGAGGTCCGTATCGGTCGTATATCGCGCCGACAATTGGTCCCTGACGGGTTAGCTGGATTGATCTACTGGGGGGCGGGACATACCATGCCGAGCATGAAGAAAACCTCGAGCGAAGGAATCCACGAGACCGTGCTCGTCGAGTAGTCTCGAAGCAGGTCGTTTTGGTAGTACTCTTGAAAGACCCCAACACTGTTCAGCCAACCGAAACTGCAAAACGACGCGCACCAGCAGCCGAGAATCACCAGCCACGCGACGACGCCTCCATCCGGGGGCGTGTGGGGATCCGGCTGCGGGGAAGGGTCTTCAGGGTCATTGCCCAGTCTCTGTAAGCTGGGCGGGGTGGCGCCTCCCAGCTCTTTATCGGACATCATATGAGCTGGCAATAGGAGGGATAATTATTGTAAAACTTTTGTGGCCAGGGCGGTTGCTGTATATCCTCCACGGATCATCGGCACTTAGTGCGGTCCTTGGCGCGGGGATTCGACTGCCTCCACCGAAGCCACGCCATCTGCTGCCGAAATGTTGCACTGCTCAGCGGACAAGCCGTCATTTGCATTATCGTGTTTGATCGGATCATGGATCGGGAAACTGACCCAGAGATGTTGAACGAAAGCTTCTCGTCGCGGCTCGACCTGGCATAATGCTCTGTGCGATGGGTTGGCAGTTCATCTGATACTCAACGGAGCCGGGCCTAAGACGACTGTACCAATAATTTGGACAATGACTCTCGCCTCAACTTGTCGAATCGGGAAGAATATTGTCAGTACTTAGATAGACAGCCGGTATGAGCTTCCAGACCAGTCCCAGGAATGGTCGACCTCTACCGAGGATGGGGGTGCATGATCCAGCAGATCATCGCAAGCTAAAGACAAACAAATCGAAAATATACCACAGTATAAGCCCACAACAATAGGGATCGGCCGGCGAGTGAATAAACATCGACAACCCTCACCCTGTTTCTTCAGACGATAGATCTGCGCTGTGCCCGCGGCTGGGAGCCTCCTGAACCAAAGCAGCTTCTTTCCGGTGGGGCGCCGGGGTCCTCAGCCACAGTCCGGGGTACCGAAACGGCCGCAGGTAAACGCGATGCAATTCCTTCAATCAGATCGTAGACCGGTGATTAACCCGGAGATACCGCAAAATGTGGTTTGTCCCTCATTGCAGTACCTGATGTGTCTAGCTTGGGCTATATGTATGTCCCATTGCCCGCGCTTCAGCATTAACCATTGCAGATTGCACCACTCGCGCAAATCTACAAAATGAAACTGAACCTTGAAACCCTCTTTGGAACGGCAATATGCCTGCTAACCCTCCTCCCCTCAACATGGGCCTGGACAAACCCGATCCGCAACCCCGGCGGCAGCGACCCCTTTATCGCATACTCTGGGGGCTACTACTACCTCCTCACGACGGAATGGTCGACCGTTGAGATCGCGCGCTCAACCACAATCAACGGCCTGAAGACTGCAACTAAGAAAGTCATCTACTCCGACTCGACCGCCTCGCGCTGCTGCAACGTCTGGGCGCCCGAGGTCCACTACCTCGGCGGCAAGTGGTATGTCTATTTTACCGCTGGCAATGGGGATAATCTTGACGGACAAAGGCTGCATGTCTTGGCTGGTAAACTCCCACCTACGCATTGTCTGCCTCGTCGCTGTTGCTGACCAGCTATGGTATAGGCGGCACAACCCCCTGGGACGACTACACGTACGCGGGCCAACTCACAACGGAATGGTCCATCGACGCGTCCGTCCTCCGCTTCAACGACTGGGGCAATTTCCTCATGTACTCATGCTTCCACGGCGTCAGCTACCAATCCATCTGCCTGCAGCAACTCTCGTCCACATACACGTCGCTCACGGGCTCCATCTCCGTAATCTCCCAACCAACCCTCCCCTTCGAAACGCACGGCACCCCCGTAAACGAAGGCCCCGTCGCGCTGTACTTCAACGGCCAAACCCACATCATCTACTCGGCCTCGTACTGCTGGACACCATACTACTGCCTGGGCCAACTAACCTGGGACGGGACGAGCGATCCGCGGCTTGCGAGCGCGTGGACGAAAAAAGACGGGTGTGTGTTTGCGAGCGCGAACGGGAATTACGGCTCGGGCCATAATTCGTTCTTTGTGAGTCCCGATGGGAGCCAGACGTGGATTGCGTATCATGCGACGAGTAATAGTGCGGGGGCGTGCGATGATAGTCGGTATACGATGGTGCAGTTGTTGGGGAGCCATAGTGATGGGAGTCCGAATTTTGGGAGTCCGGTTAGTTGGGATCATGTGTATAGTGAGCCGAAGTAGGCTGTCTCGCTGTTTTGGTGATTGAAGGAGGATATGGATGCGATGCGGATGATGTACGAGGATCGCAGAATGATGGAGGGGGAATCGTGAAGGTGCAAAATACCATCTTAGGGAATGTATATGGCTACAAATGGTTTCCAATATTTCAATGCTTGGTATAAAGGATATCGACGCCAAGATTACACGAAAAGCTCCAGGCAAGCGGCAGGAATACGAGGATGATCATGACAGAACTTTGGCAAGAATAAGCGACTGGGTGGCATTGACCAGGATCAGGTGACGGATCCTGCGCCTCAGCCTCATTACCCCTGATAAAATAATTCTCCAAGCTGCATTATTGAAAGGTGGAGAGATTAAGAGAGAGAGAGAAAAGAGAAAGGTGAAAAAAGAGTGATGGTAGGGGCCCCAGACATAATAACCTACGTGGGCGTGCCCCTCGCGGTGCTCGGCGTCCTGCCCATATTCTACACCTGCATCCGCTCAATCCTCTCCCTGCGCTCGATCCGCCACGTCCTCAAGACCAATGGCCTCGCCTCCACATCCATAACCCGCGGCAGCCTGATGTCCGGGATAATCGAAGTCGAAATCCCACGGCGCAGAATCACACCATTATCCCGCGACAGCGACCCCGGATACTGGACCCTGAATCCACATACGATTTCGCTACCCGGCGGGTCTTGGGCGACGCTCAACTGGAATGAGCTTCTCACGGGCAGAGTCCTCTACCGGTGTCAGTATAAAGAGGAGCTCCGCGTGCCGCCTGCGGAGATTGTGTTCGAGGAGCTCGTGACGTTTTTGCTGGATCGCGGGGCGGTTCCTGATCCGAAGGGGTGGAGGGTTCTCAAGTCGATTGGGCTGTGGACGCCGACGGGGACGGTGTTGTTGAGGGCGCCGGTTTCTGCTTCTAGGGGGAGTCCAGGTGCAGGTGCAGAGACGGTACTGAGGCTGGCGCCGCCGTATGATGGAGATGGGATTTTGAGACTGGCGCTGAACTGGAGGAAAGAGTGGGACTGTCGCGATGTGAATAGTTTGCCGCCGTTTTGGATGCGGCTTGCGCGGCCACTTTGCGAATCGCATCAGAGGCCAATCGGGACGGTTGTGAAGCAGTCGGACGACGAGCCCTTGCTGGGCAGTCCAATGGCCTCGTTGCTCGCAGAAATAAGCGAACTACATCGCTCAGCAGAGCGCGAGGATCTCAGCGACGGCGTCCGCTTCCATTCAGAGAGCGGGCACGTCCAGACGGTGTATTTTGAAACAAAGGGCGCCCTCACAGGCAAACAACACCAACCCTGGCACAATTCCACTCCTGCAAGCGCCTGGTTCACCTGGACTGCAGCAGCCCTCAGCCAAAAGAGCTCCACAGGCCTCTGGAACGTCTGCATCCCCCCAGAAATTACCACATTCGCCACCAAATCCTCCATCCCGGGCGGCGTGCTCGTCCTCCTCGAGATCCTCGACGGCACCGCAATCCCACCCTTTGCCGAACCACCTCCAGACCAGAGCATCGACATCATGCAGCGCCACCGCGCATTCGTCGAGGGGCAACGGCAGCGCGCGATCGAGGAGAAAATGCCCCCGGCTCAAGCGGCTGAAGCGGCGCGGGCTCGCATGCTCGCGCAGTCTCAGTCGTTTCATGAGCAGCATGTGAAGAGTATCCAGGTCAAGAAGGAGTATGAGGCGAAGAGGGTTATCGGGGCGTTGAATTCGATGCCCCTGTCGGTTGCTGTTGTTGCAGAGAAGTGTCGGCTTTATCTCGTTACGGAAAACATCATTCCAGCACGCTATACTCTCGATGATCTGGCGCGGGCGATACTATACTTGATGATTGTGTCATCCGAGGCTGCAAAGGTCATCACGGAGGTCCTGGAGCAGTGGCGGTCCTGGGCGGAGAAGAGTGGGCTCAATCAGCAGCATTTGGAATATCTGAAAGCGAACAAGATCTGGTTCTGCTATGCGTCTGCGTTACTGGCGGTCATTGAGCAGGCCGGACATTCGGAGGCGCAGCTCTCGCTGGATATGATGGAGTGTTTGAAGATATGGCATACTGTTCATCTGGGATAGAGTCGGTTTCGGACTCAGCGAAGTCAACTTGATAGATGGCAATGGCTACAATGCAAACTGTTGAATACTTGGACGTATTCTTCCTGATCACATTGTTCCTTTGACCCTAGTCTCTATCAGACTACCCTGTGAGAGGGTTACCTATGTGATCTTGAAGTGCAGTGGGTAGCTTTCGTATTCATTAGATCTGAAGTACGTTATATATCGTGATGACCACTAAAATAGACCTGCCTCTCATGTATATATATAGGTGACGCTTTTATTTCTCTAAAACTACTAGAAAAGTAAAGTAATAACTCCTTCCTAGCTTGGCTATCCCACCTTAGCCATAACATAAGGGCTAGAGCCTCTTAACACCCCGGTATAGCTCATCTCGAGGCTCTACAGAGCAGTAGGGATAACGTGGAAGGCTTGTACGATTAGGCCAGCACCCTGTTAATAGAGAACCCCACAACATTGGCATTATCTGACCATATAACTTATAGAGTAGATGGTGAGTCCGTTCACAGGACTAGCCATGCGACGGCCTGAACCCCCGACTATGGCGTTTTTAGGAAATACTATGTAGGGTTGTCTAGACGCTTACCCCTTAGCACTCCATTTGACTTTCTGATCAGGTTCTTAGAGATTTGACACCGCCCATCTCTCTGTCCAAACGATCAACCTCAACATCCTCTACCCAGCAGGCTCCGTAACAAACACACCCCGCTCCTTCCCCGTATCTCCGCCATCCAAAACGCCAAAGCAGCCTATACCTACGGGTACGGACTCTCCCACGGCCTCTACAACAAGCGCATGGGCCGCACACAACTCAACCGCGACAGTTGCCCAGTGGCCTAATATCCCTTATGGACCTCAATGCCTGTGTTGATAGGCACCTTAGAGTGATAAGGAGTATGCGGACGCGAACGCGGACGCGGATGCCTTCGCCCTTGTCGTACTTTCACGATGTAGCCATTGCAGCTGGTGACTCCTATCAGTCGAGGTATGAGTGAGCCGCTCGGTACCCTCGACGAAGTATATCCTCCCCTAGATGTATATATAGAGACGTGCGCGGAGGGCAACACCGTAACTGTAACATGGAGTGCATGCACGCCCCTTCCCTTCTCAACCGCACCAGAAGGCGACGGCTCCGACCTTTCCACGCTATCTAGCACCAGCCCCTCGTACTCCGGCGCATGGACAATCCTCGAGACAAGGGATGATCGGTGTCGGCTCCGCCTTGAGCTGGGTATATCCGATCCTGATCCGTGTGGAGCAAAGATGTAGAGTCCCAGGCAGGTGCAGAGTCTTGCTCAACATTATCCGGTTCATTCGTCGAGGTATATGACGCGAAGTGGTCTGGGTTCGGGGTTGCGGGTTCCGGAGTGGGAGGGGAATGAGGATGGAGAGGGTGCTGGTGTCTCCGTGGGGCTGGGGATGGGGAGTTTGGTGTCGGTGTTGTTTGTGGTGCAACTTTAGCACATACTTGTATAAAGTCGGCACAAGTCACGTTACTTTTTAGGAATGAGTATCATTCTCTTGCTTCAGTATAGGGTTTGTGGCCAAGAACCGCGCCAAAGATAAATACACGATATAAGCACCACTCTCATATGCCATTATATTTGTACAGTATATAAAAATTCGTCCCAACAGCATCAACGGCACCAGCTACCGCTCATACGTAACATCCACCTGCCGACTAACCATGATATCCGCGTTCCCATGCTTCTTCCCACCTTTCATCGCAAAAATCCCCTTCTGACTATCCCCATCACTCAACTCACTTTCATCCCCCGTCCCCGTCCCCGTCCCCACATTCACATGCGACCCCCTCGTAATCTCCGTAACCGTATTCGTATACCCCCCCGGACCCCCAGCGCCATGCTCCCCACTCTTCCCGCCTTGCTGCGACAGCTCGTACCCAGACGCCAGGCGCGACGCGCCACCGCCGCTGCGACTGCGACTCCCGCTATACCCGGTCCGTCGAAGTGTGCGCTCGAAGAAGGAGTGGAAGATGGGGCGGAGGGTGGCGATGTTGCCGACGGTCATTCCGATGGCGTTTTCGGCGAAGCCCCAGATGAGCACGTCGGAGACGGCGAAGAGGAAGTCGGTTTGGTTTGTGAGGTTTATGGTGTATTTGAGGCGGATGCAGGCTGAGAGGGAGGCGCTGGATTTGGGATTTTGTTAGTGGGTGGGTTTGGGGATTGAGAGGGAGTGGGTGCTGGGGTAGGATGAGAGGCGTACAGGATGCCGAGACTCATTAGGCCCATGACGGCGACTTTACTGTTGCGGTTGAGCTGGACGTTCCAGAGGAGCGGGATTGGCCTGGGTATAGATGTTAGTCCATCGTCCATCGTCAAGGATATCCAGAATGGATACGCACATCAACGCCGTAACCCAATCCGTCGCAATATTCACCGCCGTCGTCGCATAATAAACATCCGTAAGCACATGCGCCGGCTGGCAATGCCCGCCCTTCTCCAAAAGACTCGTATCCCACGCCGCCTGGATCGGAATACAATTAATGAGGATGAAGATAAGCGCAATCACGTTCATCAGCGTAAACAGCGTAATCACCGCATACTGGATGTAGATGTACATCCTGCGCCCCTCGGCGATGCGGATCAGCATCCAGCTGATGCTGAGCTTGATGGGGATAATCGCCGCGCAGTAGCCGACCTCGAAGACCAGGAAGAATTTCTGGCCCTCGGCGGCGTACCGCTCGTTCCCCGGTTGTTGGAGGCGCCAGGTGTGGATGCCGATGCCGTTGAAGGCGCCGCCGAGGCAGCCCGAGACCAGGACGCAGAAGGGAACCTTGGGTTTGTTAGTTGGCTTAAGATCAGAGTGAGGGTTTTGCCGGGTTGGTTCTACGTACCAGTGCGACTGTCATGATCCAGTCCTCTACTGACCATGATCGCCTCGTCAAGCGACAGTAGACGCGCAAAGCGTAGGTAACAAAAGCGAGAACGCTCAGGAAGATGACACTTCCCGCCACATTCGGCGAGTGGTCGCCTGTAATCGCCATGGTCTCTTTGTGTCTGACTCAAGTGGGATGCGACTTTGACGGGGGAAACAAACTCGGGGGACCAAAAAAGGTAACAAAGAAAAACCGCGGATGAGCTCACATAAAAAAAGAATGGCCACTACCAGTCCTTTCCTTTTTCTGCCAACTTGCCAAGCCTCGCCAACAACAGCAAGCAGGAAAGCGGCAAAGCCTAGGATCATCAAGCTCGAGCCGAGATTGAAGCGGAGAATTCTGCGCTGCAGAGATCCACCGCAAGCATCCCGCTGTGGAACACTTCTCTCGCCTCATTGGAATGATCGCAGCGCTAGAATTCTAGACTCTTCTCGCTTGGTTGAAGTTGGGGCGCGCTATGCTTTACCAGGTAAAAGGAGGAAGATCTTTAAACGCTGGAACTTGGAAGATTTGATGAGGGTGGGAAAGAGGTTGATTCTTGATCGGCAAATTGATATTATCGACGTCTAGATAAGGGCAATCCGCCGCAGAAGACTCTAAACGTATTCTGTCCTGACCCCTGGCTCTCGACATGAGACCCATTCCAGCTTCTGGTAGCTACCAATAGTCACCGGTGAATTTGAGATACCCGGGTTTGGTTCCGTGGGTGAGTTTTTCACCATGACAGCGCCAGATTGCGGTCGACTCCACCCCACGAGTCATGGACAAATCCTCCTACACTACGCTGCTAACAGTGCGCGGAGCGGTGCTCAATGGGAAAATCGGTCTAGCGGCACGCATTAATCGGGTCTTGAACTCTAAAGCTTTAAGTCCAAGTCCGTCCTGTTCTGCCCAGAAGTTGTGGACAGTGGGGTGGCGAACGTATACTCGGCTAAAGTATCTGCAGGCGCCAGCGCCTAATCCTTTCGGAGCGATCAGTCTCGGTACTGAACAGTGAATGAATATCCGCACCAATGAACGTACTCCAAAGAACAGGGTAGACACGGCGGGGGATCCCCGACATGCGATTGAAAGTCTGATTCAGGTGATCTCTACGATATCGGGGTGGCTCTCGGCGACTGACCGAACCATCTCCTCGGGACTCGAGCGCTCGAGTCCTCTCCAGCTTATGCCTTAGTTCAGACTTTTACACGCCGATCGAGGTTTATTACCCTAGTAATAATATCTACAGGGCTGTGTCCTGACTCGCAAACAAGGCGGGTATATCCTTTTCAGGTCATCGAGGATATGCGAGTTTGAGACGGCTCCTCATCTCGATCTCTGGGCTTGAGATGAGAAAAGGGGCACAGTCACAGGTCCATCCAGTTTGCCTACTGGATTCCGCTACAATATTTGGTACACTATCTCTGATGCCAAGTCTGCCAAGGGTCCCTTCCCTTGGAAGATGCAAATGCTATTCTCGCCTAGCTCGAGTGCTAGCTCTTTTCCAAGAGTTCCAAGGCCCAGAGACTCGGGTTCTGGGACGTTTTCCATCCTGTCGCTTCCTTTCGCAGTACGCCCAACGTCGCACTTGAGTAGAATGTCCAGCCACAGTGGCGCTTGGCGGCAACTCCATTCACAGTCCCGAGTCAGTCCTCGCGTTGCAATACCTGTTTTGACCATGGGCGGACTTAATCTATAGGGAAGCCCGGTCAAAGTCCTGTACGGCGCCGGCAAAATGGTCTTGTAGCTATGCGAGATGCTAGGACAATGATCCTACAGGACTAGCGGCAGCCACGACTTTGGCGACCCTAAATCACGAGAGCAGCAGTCCGGCGTCCAGTACCAAGATTTCGAGCGGCTAGTAGGAGGAGGCCCGGTCGTCTTGGTCAATGAAAGCCGGACTTTCCTGTTGCTATCCAGGATCCCTATCTGGAGTGGAATTTGTCAAGCCTATTACTATGCTGAGCGATTCGTGGCCGAGTGTTTAGTCAAAATTGGTATGAGAGCCCATCAGTCCATTTCTATATAGCAGCATTAATAGGTTTCTTGTGAACAAGGTGAGACACACAGTGCTTGAACAATAGTATCCCAAGCCTATCGTTCCAAGCACCGGATTTTCGTTGAGAAGAATACTGTAGTATGTTTTATGTCGTCTGTATTCTGTAAGGAGGGAGAAATATCATGAAGCCATATAAATTGGTCAAGGCCAGCCATCATATTGCAAGCTCACACACCTTTCGGATGAGCAACGGGGGTACGACGCATGGTACTCATACCCTTCCGTCTGCAACATGACATTCGGCAATGCAGTCTACTAGTACTCTATTGATACCCTAAGAAAATCACTATTTGGACCACCCCCCAAAAAAAGACAAATCCCCACCCGTTATCCTCTCCTCTGGCCAGTCTGCTCTCGCTGTTGGCGGTGCAGCCAGCACCGTTCGCGCATTGCCTGGTAGTCATGGATTCGCGGTAAAATAACAACTGTCTCGCACTCCTAGCGCCATGAGGACTGGGCTTATCTCTATGTTAGAAACTGCCCTTACTTTATTGATAGTAAAGCCTAGACTACGTCTGCTCAGCAATACACAACCCTGCGATACTCAGATGAACAGCCTGAGATCAGGTCATAACAGAGATAGACGTTAGGGGCTTCCACCAAGCACCCGGCAACACGGACGTGACCTGGCTTGATTCCTTCCTCATTATCCTGTCGTCGGCTGCTGTTGCAAACATGGGTCGCGCGAGAGGATCAGCCCTTCTATGTCACGAGCAGCCCTCCACAATGTACCACTTCTATTAGTCGTTCGCATCTATCTTCACCTCGCCAATGGCACGGATGCTGCAACCCGGCTTGTTCAGGGATAAATAATATCTCAATGACATTGCTGCTATGATGGGGAAGTGGCCAACCTTCCTTCGACACCGCGCCTGGCTGTCTTGAATTGCGGTGTATCCACCATGGCAGCGAGTAATCACTTGAGAAAATAGATGGGATGCCTATACTTCTTGCTATTATTCCCAGCCAAGTGTAAGAGCATGGCCTGACGCCAGGCATCTGCCTGAACCATAGCGCAGGTCGCCGCCGAAGTTGACTATCATTTTCAGTAAATAATGCAAAACCAATCTGCCGGTCGGCAAGGAGCTATATTACGGGACCTCAGTCGTCCACGTCATGTTCTTCCGTGTGGCTTTCGATGGATACAATCCAGGCATGTCGACGTCGCGCCACCTTACCAGTGATAACCCCGACCTGCGGCCATGTGTTTTGCGCTGCATACAGCGATTCGGGTTGTGTAGCTGCGGTGTAGAATATATCATTGGCCGTCTCCTTTAATGGCCCATGGGACTCTGGAACCAAAATGGCTATCGGCATTTGGGCCGATCCTGTGTTTTGTTTTATTGCCTATGAACAAATTGTCCCTGGTTTCATGATATTAGTCTGTGTCGAGAAATATGAACATCTCTCTACAGGAGATGCTTGAAGATTTACTCAAAGTCGTTTCTCAAGCCTGCGCCAGCATTTCAGTGACTGTGCACCGCATAAGAACCACTCAGGCGGTACACTGCTAGCGCGTCTGCTCAAGTATTGTTAATCAGTCTGTTGGGTTCTGGTAAACATGGAATAAGGCTGCAAGTCGCACCCCTGATCCTGGTGCGTGCAGCACTCTCTAATCTGCCTCATGCTAGGTAGTGTGCAATTGGCCCTCATGCAGGATTCCGCCATCACGCCATAAGGATCGCCCCCAAGTTCAGGGCGAGGTGTATTATTAATGGATACTATGAATCATCCGCATCATACCTGCTTAATAATGTACCCCAACAGGTCAGAGAATAGCCAAAGCGTGTATAAAAGCCATAAAGCGAACGATAGTTCAACATACTAAATAGAATATACTGTACAACCCCACCCCAGCTCAGCACCATTCAGAATCCGTCCACAATGCCCGCCCACCAAATCATCGACAACCCCGCCGCCCCAGGCCTATCCTACTACACCCCGGCGCAATCCCCCCTCGCAGGAACCCACCTCTCCGGCGCCCCCACAAAACTCTTCACCCCGCTAACCCTGCGCTCCCTCCCCCTCCCCAACCGCCTCTTCCTCTCCCCGCTGTGCCAATACTCCGCGCGCGACGGCCACGCCACAGACTGGCACCTGACACACCTGGGCGGAATCATCCAGCGCGGTCCGGGGCTCGCGATAATGGAATCGACGGCCGTTCAGGCGCTCGGCCGAATCACGCCGCAGGATCTGGGTCTGTACAGCGACGCCCAGATCGCGCCGCTGGCGCGCATTACGGAGTTTGCGCGCGGCCAGGGGCAAAAGATTGCCATCCAGCTTGCGCACGCGGGGAGGAAGGCGAGTGCGGTTGCGCCGTGGTTGAGTGCGAATGCGATGGCGGTAGCGGAGGTTGGCGGGTGGCCTGGGGAGATTGTTGCGCCGTCGGCGGTGCCCTTTGAGGAAGGGGTTAATGCCGTTCCGAGGGCGTTGAGTGCTGAGGAGATTGGAGAGTTGACTGGGGACTTTGCGAGGGCGGCGGAGCGGGCTGTGCGCGCGGGGTTCGACGCGATTGAGTTGCATGCTGCGCATGGGTATTTGCTGCATCAGTTTCTGAGCCCCGTGAGTAATCGGCGGACGGATGGGTATGGGGGGACCTTTGAGAATCGGGTTCGGTTGCTCCTGGAGGTCTGCGATGCGGTTCGCGAGGTGGTTCCAGTTGGGATGCCGCTGTTGGTCCGCGTCAGTGCGACAGACTGGTTCGAATTTGATGAGAAGCTCCAGGAGGAGTTTCCAGAGAGCTGGACTGTCGCTCAGACTGTGCAACTCGCCTCACTTCTCGCTGACCACGGCGTCGACCTGTTGGACGTCAGCTCCGGCGGCATCAACCCAAAATCAGCCATCGCGATCCGCTCGGGCCCGGCATACCAGGCACATTTCGCGCAGGAGATCAAGAAGGCTGTTGGGGACAGGTTACTTGTCTCGGCGGTGGGTGGTATCAAGACGGGGGCTTTGGCTGAGGAGGTGCTGCAGTCGGGTGTGGACGTCGTGCTTGCGGGACGGTGGTTCCAGCAGAATCCAGGGTTGGTTCGGGCGTTTGCGGATGAGTTGGGCGTGAGAGTACGGATGGCAAGGCAGATTGATTGGAGTTTTGATGGGAGGGGGAAGAAGGGGAAGGAGAGCTCGCTGTAAGTAGCCATGGAGCTATTGGCGGCTGTTGACTCCTCTTGTCGGCTAGAGTATACCTACCTTGAACAAATCTAAGCACACCAGTTCACACTGGGTGTCATGGCACCTTTTGAGCCTACTGGGCCAATGCAAAACCTCCGTACGCGGCTATTCGTTGGGTAGAACAAAGTTGCCCTTTTTCTCAAGGGGTTGATTGATTCGAAGGCTGCGAACTACAGCAAAGCAGATGATGGCTGAACATATCGGTAATGAACGAAATACTTCAGCCAGTGTCTCGGCAAATCCATCAAGTTGGCAATCTTATGTTCATAGCGAATAGCAGGAGGATCGGCGGCTGAGCCTCCCCACTTGCCGAATCCCCTCGTATACGAGATCCGATCCGCTGTCACTGAGAGTGCCGCAAGCCCTAACAAGCCACCGAACAAGCATCATCCTCCCGCATCGACATCTCATCGCCATTGGCATTATCAAATGCCGTTGCAGTGTCTGGCCAAGGCTGCCAGGCAGCAATCCTGCCCCAAAAGGCTGACCTTGTCGAATCAGTAATAGCGTGGGTTGGCTATCAAACGACTGACTCGCGGCGACAAAGTATTGGTGGGTCGAACTGCTAGCGCATAATCGCAATGTTTGAGCACCCTTCCGCGTTGCTTCAATTCTATCGTGTTGTGCGCTGTTGAAAGCCGAAAATTCCGCGGGAAATTCGTGTAGAACGCAGCCTTACGCACCAAAAACCTTGGTCGCTACACCAAAAGCCGCATGGCCATCGCCGTCGCTGTCATCACTTAAAATCAGCGCAGGATGGGATGTGGCTTCGGGCGTCGGGGTCTTGGACCCTGCAAACTAACTCACAACCGGCAATAGATGGATCCTGGAGCAGGCAGCTAAGCCTTGGGCCTAACCCCCTTGGTCTAGATTCGAGATTCAGAGAAAAGCTCCGCGACTCTCAAAACCCCAGTCCTCGTTTCTCCCCCTTTCCTCCATCTCCCCGCGCCGTCTGGCAAATCAAACCCGACAATTCGTGCCAATAGCATCACAAAGCAACCATGTCTACACCACTCGACCCAGACCCAGTCGAAGTGACTGCGACCGATATAGCACCAGCGCAGCCAGCGACAACAACCACCACTGGGGAGACCACCACCACCACCGATGGACCCGAAGAGACCACAACAGGCGACTCGACGGCCACCGGCTCAGTAACAACCGTGACTGTGACAGCCCCCGCAGAAACCAGCGCAGACACAAACACAGACACCGATGCCGCAACAACAACCCTCTCCATCCTCGCAATCCCCTTCCCCACAGACCAAAACATCCTCCAATCTCTCGTCGGCAGCATCTCCGCCGTCGACCACGAAAACGAAGAAACAACCATCGTCCTCGACTGCGCCCCGACGGTCACCTCGTGCCTCGAGAGCCTCATCCCACTGACGATCACAACGGGCCCCTCAACATTCATATACACATGGTCGTGGGATGGGCCCGGGTGGGGATCCATCCCGTCCACGGCGACCGTCGACTCGAGGGAGACGATTGAATGCGGGATCGTCGGGACGCAGACCCTTGGGTGCTTGACGTCCCATGTTGATTCGTATAGCGGGACTGCGTTGCCCGTGACGACTGCTCTGTCCGTTTATGGGACGGAGGGGTTTAGTCGTGAGGCGGTGGTGATTACAGCGGGGGTGGAGAAGCTGGAGACTGCGACGAGTGCTACGGCTACGTCGACGGGGGATTCGGTGGATGAGACGGGGGGCTCGACACCTGCGGATCCGGAAGGGGACTCAGGGTCGGGATCGGGGTCTTCTTCGAAGGCGTGGATTGCGGGTCCGGTTGTTGGTGGTTTGGTCGCGGTCGCCTTGGTCGTTGGTCTCGTTTTCTTCCTGCGGAGACGTCGAGAAAAGCGAGCGGCTTCAGCAACTGCCGTAGCGCCGATTGCTGAGCTGCCAGAGAAAGGCGTCTACAAGGGTGAACTACCTGCAAGGGAACCGGCTGCAGCAGAGCTGTCAGCTGTCAAGGGGCAGAACCAGATTCATGAGCTGGCGTGATAGGGTACGGCAGGGAGTGAGAATGCGACCTGGAAGAGTTTGGCATGGATAATTGCTTTGCACTTGCGTTTATTATACCCATTGTACATACGAATGCTCGTATGATGATCGAATGAGAAGATGGAATCCCAAGTCTAGTATCAGGGCAACATGGCGGCCGGGTCTGGAGCAGAGTGTTGCACGGACTCTATGGCAGTGGATCCTAGGCCAGGGCTCACTGCTTACTTATGACCTCAGTATTCACTAACTCACGTACAAGGATTCAATTAGCGGTAGGCCAGCCCCTACCGAGCATCACTTGGTGGAGCACGTAGCCCGAATTAGGCTGCTCAGAGTGCTCCCGAGCTGAAATGTTTATGACTCACTCGAGCTACATCTATATCTTCATCCATATAAGCACACCCGCCAGCCTCTTCCACACGATACCATTCCTCACTACAACTACAACGAAGCCCCATCTTCTCCTCTTCACCCCAAAATGGAGCACATCCAAAAGAGAACGAGCATCAACATCTGCCTCTCCGGCGGCGCCGACGGCGCAGTCCTTGAATGGGGCAGATGTGCAGCGGAAGCCGGCCACGATGTAATCCACTGGAGTTTTCCAGGCCATCGAACTCAAGCACCCGAGAGCCAAATTATTCGGCTTTCCGACCAGGAATTGAACCTCGCAACCAACGGTCTAAAAAATGCCGCTGGCGCCCTCGAAAGAGATCCGCCCCGCCGACCAATAATCGCGCGTCTAACCCGCCGGAATTACTACCAGGTCGCCTGGAGCACGAGCTGCTACGCTGTAACCGTCATACAAGACGCGAATGACGCCGATGCGAAACGGAAAATAGGTGGAACCGCGTGGGCAACGACCATGTTTGCGCAGCTGCATCCTGGGAATCGGGATATGTATCTGTTTGATCAGGAGAAGGATGGGTGGTTTCAGTGGGATCCGGATACCGAGGGGTGGGTTTCCATGGGCAGAGAGTGCCCGCCGAGGCCGAGGGGGGTTTGGGCGGGGATTGGGTCGAGGGATTTGAGACCGAATGGGAGGGCAGCGATTCGGAGGTTGATGGGTGTGGAGAGAAGTCAGGGTGTCTGAGGTGATTTTTTGTTTTGTTTCGTTGGGCTTCTAAGTGTACCTGCCTGGATGGAGCTCGTTTCTGATGGCGATGTGGGGGGCATTTTGATCTCGATTTCGATCTCCTCGACGACACGAGGCTAAGGTCTCTCACTCCAGCAAGTAATCCACTTTCATAACACTTCGAAGCGACTTCTGGGCACGCATATGTTCTCAAACACGCTTGGCGGTTTAGTATTTCCCTTTTACTCAATGTGCTTGAATCAAGTGCCATCTCACGAACGACCGCGATACCGGCATAGACATGGGTATCGGGCAGATCGCATAAGGAATCAAGCATTATGCCCATGTCAACATCTCTCACCTTGATTTCGCGTTAACATCCAGCGAAGGGCAGCGGAATGCCTTATCTCTATCTATCAATGCGTGGGAGGGACGTCTTCTGAATCTTTGAACGCGTCCATGGGCGATGTACGGAGTAAACTGACTGACCCTTAACAGCTTCGTACCTGCGCTGGAGCCGCTGCAGGGGCTCAGTCCTGCAATCGCTGTTTGGTCGTTTAAAATAGCTCTTGGCCAGACGCATCTTAGACTTTGGCCCCGTTGGCCAGCGTTTTCAGACACTTGACCCCGTTTTACCCCAGTCGATTCAGATACAGACTGACCAATGTTAACTTAAACAAGTCCGATTGACAGCCGCTGTGCGTGCCTTTTGTAATTCTCGACATTGGTAGAATCCACCTCGTCCCGGTGCGTCCCTGCACGTCTCAGGAACAGGCTTCCCCAGAGTCAGAGAGCAAAGCTGGCCAGGTTCCCGTCGGTCAGGGCGAACAGCAAAAAAAGAATCAACCAGCCTCTAGAGCATCACACTTCCAAGCGCCAATCATTCACGTCCAGCCAGTGTTGATCTGGCATCAGAGGTGTCACAAACAGTAAGCGCTAGCCCCGAGCTGTCTCGTTATTGTTGCCCGGTTGTGGAATCGAAACTGGGTGTTCTTCCCATCTTCTTCTTCGGAACTCTTTCCGACTTCAACCCTCCTCGCGAACATCAATCCAATTGAGATCATGGTCAACAGGACGAGTTCGAAAATGGCTTCACTCGTGCTGTTACTCCTCGTCACAGGCGTAATTGCGAGAACTCCATGGTTCCGTATGTACCCTCAACAGCCCTTATCCCTCAAACTCCCCATCAACTAACTAGATTATACTAACCACCCACCAAAAAATCTATAGCAATAGCCCTCGAATCCCCCACCAACCTATCCACAATCCCAACAGACGACTTTGTCATGAAATGGCCGTATTCCGTCCTCTTCAACGACGACATCATCATCGGTATGGCCCCCGCAACAACAACGCAATTCACCAACATGACGCGCGTCTACGCACTCTATTCGTCGACGACAGTCCCCGCGACTTTCCTGCCAGCCCTCCACCCGGGCCAGACATCAGTCTACACGCTGCAGTTCTTCACGACGGATAGCGACGGGAATAGCTACGGGACGAGCGCGACGGATATTACGCTTTCGGGACCGGTGCAGATGACGGTTACGCATACACGGACCTTGATCGACGCCGACGGGGGCGGTGGGTGGGAGAGTAGTGGTGTTGTTGTTGAGACGCCTGCGCCGATATTTGATCCGCAAGGGGGCGTTGTCGGCGAGACCGAGACAGACGGAGAGGGAGAGACTGGTCTCTTGACGGGCGCCAAGGCAGGAATCGGTATCGGAGTTGCCTGTGCTGTGCTCCTCCTGGCGGTTGGTGGCGTTGTCGTCTATCGTCGTCGGCAGCGGCGAGATGCCCACAGCGGGATCCCTAAAAAAACCCCTTTTGTGGACCAGAACGTCGATATGAGCGGCGAGCTGCAGAGCAAGCACGGCGCAGCAGAGGCTCCTGGGGGCCCAGCCCGTGGGAGCTTCCGGTGCCAGCCTCCGGGAGGGATCGGGGGAGTAGGACGCGGTATGAGCTTGGTGGGTGACATTTCACCATTTCCAGGGATCGGGGCATTCTTATGTCTGCCATGTCTGAGGAATTTGAACGGCTGGAGCAATGGTACATGGATGGTTAATGATGTGGTTTCGGCGGGCAAGCGAGTAATGAATTGACTCGCGGTGTCGCGCAGGTTTATGGAGTGGTGTGTCTCTGTTTCCTGTACGTATAACCTTTTAAATGAGCCCTATATTATCAGTTACTGCATCTACTTGTCAGACCAGATTGCCGCACAGTAAAGGTCGCAATCCGCACCACAACCGCGAGTGGTAAACGCTATGGACTATCCTCTGTGCCATGACTGGAGCGCTGTATGCCCTCAACTAACCCTTCCATCCTCCCATCCGTTACCGTCATCCATCGTCGCTGTGATTGTGCCTATGCAAGTTAGTTAGAACACTAAATATGTGCGAGATGTGTTTTGCATCTGTGACGATGGCATTGCTACGTGCAGGGTGTCTGTGATGCTGCGTTGGCTGTAAGTACCCTCTTTCTCTCCCTTTAGTTTTTAGCAGAGCCACATGCTAACGGCCGAATCAAGTTCGTTACCGCGGACACGAAACTCGTCCAGACACTTACCAGCCAAAAGAGCGTCCTAGGCAACACGCCCTTTTCTGCGGCCCTAGGGGCAGTCGCTGTGATTCTTGAAAAAGGTACGGATGTCAGTCGCCAAGTCTCCGAGCCGAGTATCAGTGGAATGGTAAGGAATGACTGACTGATGAACGATTCAGTCCTTTCTGCTACCCATCATCGACGCGACTCCGGCCTGTGGCGCCAGTCTCAGGGTGACGGTTCAGACTCTGGACATGGAGCTCACTCAGCTTGTTGGTACTTACCAGTCCTAGGCCTAGGTAGATTCGTCGGGTGGGGGTTGTTCTGCTTTCTTGTTAGGATTTTCTTGTATAGTACTCCTTAATTCTGTAGGAATAATGCTTATAGATTATGTATATACTATTTTCAACCCAGCCATACGGGTTATATACTGGACAAACAGGCGCAGGCTAGCAAAGGTTTGTTTAATCACCACATTCAGCTGGACGTCCGCTTAAGACGCTGTTGAGCTTCGCTCTTGATAATACGCAGGAAAATCTCCTTTGTCTCCACATTTCGTCTGATAGTCAGAAAATAGACCAATCATATCCGAACAATGCTATTGCCCTATAGACCACGCCTAGTCCCGTGGCTGAGTGGCTTCACTGCAGGCTTGTTGCGGTACGCCTAAGGCCGACCACGTTTACTCTCCCCAACTGACTCGTGGCCTGTTCAGCTCGCCTCAGCCGCATGGGACGGTAATTTACCAAGAACAAATCGTGTGCTTTTAGTGGCGGGGCTTTATTGTCACTACTCGACCAGACCGAATCAAGGCCGAGCAGTATTCGTACTTACACGAACTGTCCAATGAAAACCAGTGATCATCAAACGTCCAACTCGCGCCTCCAAACTAATCGCTTCAGGCTCCAACGGCTGAGCTTGGTGCCGCGGTTCAATCCGCTGCTGGGGCATCCAGCCGGTGAGGGGTACGGAATCCTTCAGCAGCACGCCTTGCGAGCTTACGGCCGTACCCATATGCATTGAATATAAAACCCCGCCCAGCACCGGTCTGCCTGCACTCGCTGCAACACAAATCTAGAACCAACAATACCCACGGCTAACCGCCGACATGGACGTCCACGTCGTCTTCAAATCCAACAATGCCAACCATGCAACCTTCTCCCTCCCACCCCCAACAACCCCCCTGCCCGCCTCCTCCATCCGCGTTCGCGCCTCCCTCCTAAGTCTCAGCTCAAACAACCTCACATACGCCCTCCTCGGCGACATGCTCCACTGGTGGGATACCTACCCCGTCCCCGATAACGCACCAGCCCCTTACAACGACCGCGCAGCCTGGGGCATTGTCCCCGCCTGGGGGTTCGCGACCGTCCTCGAGAGTACGATTCCAGAAATAGCCTCGGGGACAAAGATCTGGGGATACTGGCCAGCCTCAGCGCACGTCGTCGACCTAACCCTATCGAAAAATCAAGACGATCCAGAACCCCACTGGATCGAAACATCCCCGCACCGCACATCGCTCCTCCCACTATACAACCGGTACATCATCTCAACCGGCGCCGACGAAAACAGGCACGCCTGGGAATCCGCAGTCCGACCGATCTGGCAGTGCGGGTACGTCCTCTCGGAATACGTCTTCACTCCCGATCCCAGCACGAACCCGGCGATCCACCCGCTCCCGGGCGCTCCGAGCGTGAAGCCCGAGTGGACGGACGAGGACGCGGATATCTCGAAGGCGGTCGTTATCTCCCTCGCGGCGTCGTCGAAGACGGGCCGCTCGGCCGCGCATAATTTCGCGTGCAGACCCGCCGGGTCGGGGCCGTTGGGTTTGCTGCAGGTTACGTCTTCGCCAGAGGCGATTGGGTCGGCTGCGTCGGGCCTAAAGCCACAATTTGCTACGAGGACAGTTGAATACACTCAACTTTCGCAGCCAGACGTCGGGCAGTGGATCGCATCCCTCTCGCCGAGTAAAATCGTCATTGTCGACTTCGGCTCGCGCGACGGCGGCTTCGACGCCGTGCACTCGCTCATCCGATCCCACGACGCCCTCGCCAAGACCGACCTCGTTATCCTCGCTGTCGGCTTCCAGCAAAAGGTGTACACGCTCGCGGACGTCGCGGCGGCGCAGGCGGCTGCGGGGGCGCATGGGATTATCCAGCTGAATACGTCGCCGATTCTGAGTGCGGCGCTGGAGGTTCAGGGGGCAAGGAAGGTTTATGAGGGGCTGGAGAGGCGCTGGGAGCATTGGCTGGCCAATCGCGAGGTCGCTGCGCAGGATCTTAGACTTGTTTGGGGGAAGGGGATTACCGGGGAGGAGGGGATTGAGGGGGGGTGGGATAGGTTGTGTCAGGGGGGTGTTAAACCTGAGGAGGCGTTGGTTTATAGGCTATAAGGCGGTTGACTACGGGATCTAGGGGGGATCATGAGTCCGATTTTTCTGGTGCTTACTAGTCAAGTTGACGAGTACGTATATAAGAAGCAAGATCCACCAAGCAGTTGTACTTCTTTACTCACTATAAGCAGTTAATGCTGCCAGGGACCATGTGCGCTTCCAGGGCCTGTCTAGTCCAGGTAGGGCCCCCACGGCCAGAGCCTTTTATGCGAGTTACCCCTGGGGCCAGTATCCGTACTCCGTAAGGGGATCTCCGAGACGATTAGTAGTTCAAAGACGCGATCGGCTCGAAAAAAATCGTCCATGGATATTTGGGACCTGGCTTAGGCGGAGTAATTACCCCGTGCAGTGTGTCGTGCGTGGATCGTCGATCGTCCTCCCCGATGCAGAGAAGGGATTCCACTGCGGGAGATCGGGTCTGCAGGACGGGCCGGATAATTTGGGGCCCTTCACTCACAGGAGCAAGGATCCTCTCCTACAGGTTATCTCATTGTACACATATCAGACCTGAGCCGTGGGGAAGACACAGCGCGTTTGGTGCGTGGCTTCCTGCAAAGGAATAGGCAGGCACGAGCTTGGAGCCATCCATGGGCCCGGGCCGGGATCAGCCGTTCCTTCCACATGCAGACTGCAATGAACAAGCAAGGAGCGAGGGGCCGTTCGTTCGTTTCATAACCAGAATGGATCGAATGAGGAAGAAGCGACCATGGCACACTTTCGAGGACAGGGCAGGAAGGCGCGACGGCCGTTGCTTCCTTTTATAATATCAAGTAAAGGAGAGTCGGATACCATCCCCCTTAATCCAGGAAACCATCAGCCATTAGGTAGATTGTGCAAGATATTATGTATAAATTAGAAATAAACAGACATAATGCCTCTGGAATACGGGTCTGGCTTTCCTGTGGATGTCAGTATCCAGGTGTTTCCGTAAGACTAGCATCCTCTTGACAGTGATTTATGAATGCCATATTATTCGCTTCACAGATATGGGATAGGTATAGTTGCGGAGGCAGGTGCTTCAACTTCCTACAGTGGAATGTCGCCCAGGGGGGCTTATACATACAATTGCAGTAGCTGTGTATGGTGACAAACGGGGATTTCTTTCTTGCTCTCTACAAAAAGGCGCAAGACATTGTGACTGTAATTTACCATTGATTACTACTCTAGTCTCGATGCTTTTCCAAATCTTGGAAAATCCATTGCATACTTTTGTTTATATTCAAGTGCCCACTGGTCCTCCGAACTGGTAGCCTTCGAGTTAATTTAAGTGAAAGTCAAGATATATCGTTCTGCTGCAGATAAGAGCCCGCACTGGTTGAGACGATCTTTCGCTGGAAGCTGTCTATTGGCCTCTTGAGACTTTACACTGCCCAGTAGAGATGGATACGGTTGCACACAAATGCTCCTATTTGCCTAGGGTGATAGATGATCGTGATGGGAGCAATAGCGAAAAGGGGTTGAGCAGATGCAGAAGTAACAGGGTTTGCATAGGCTAGCATTATTTTGTTTAATCTGTCAAGCAGCAAGAAACAGCACGCCGCCGTGGGTAAGCTTTACAGTCGATTGCTCACGACGTTGGACGGGTGAATCTGTCCCTAGCAACAACATACACTAAGCTAAGCCCACCGAAGATCTCGATTCTCAAGAACATAAGCACGGCGCACCTCTCCAGCTGGCTGGTAGGAGAGGAGACCACGGCATCTGTCTGTTGTCCAAGATTCGTGGTCCAGGGGCGACGGGGCGTCGATCCCAAATCCTCACCAAGGACGCCAAAATCCAGTTTTCCAAAGGAACACTACTTCGGGAAGAGCCTATATTTACCAGGAACTTGGCCTATGGTTGGAATTCTGTGGGGTACCGGCGGCGAGATCGTCGGCTGACTTGTGGGTCCTGATCCTGCTTATTTTGGTAGGTCTGGGGTGAGCTCGGAGGGCCCGTTGGGGGATCCCTGTTTCTACGGATCATTTTTGACATCACCACACAACATAACCAGATTAATGAAGTTTGCTCGGGTTCTCTGCTAGAGTAACGGTTACACACATTACCTCCTCGAGAATCATACGATATCTACAGTTCCTACTCCAACTTCCAAGACCCTGTCTTCCCCTCGACCTCGCCACACCCCTGGGTCCTGAACCCCAAGCAGCCACCACAGCGCCACCACAGCACTCCCATCAATCGGAATAGCGAGCGCATACTCTAATGATGATGCAAAGAGCCAATGCTAAGCCGGAAGGGGAAAGCTTGACGAGAGCAAGGTTTGTGCAGAACTATTCTTGGGGTCTTGGCACGTCTTTGTCATGGCTTACATCTGGGGTTAGTCTAAGACACCAGCCTATATATGCACATCCTGTGTCACCACAGTCGCCACTCATCGGGCAGCGATGGGCGGTGTGTTGAGACATGCTTGAGACATTGTTCGTGAATGTTCTAGTGTCTGCAGGATGGATAGCGTAGGATGAGATCATGAGATGGGATTCATGGCATGGACTCGGGGTATAAATACTACGAGATCGCGCTGCCATTGAGGAATATCATCACAACAGTTCAATCCAACCAAACAATCCAACCAACCAACAAACCTCACTTTCGCTAAAGTCTCTCGCTTAAGTCTTTTGACACCATTCCAATCGCTACAATGAAGACCACTTTCGCTGCTCTCGCTCTCTCCCTCTTCGGCGCTGCCGTCGCCGCCCCGGCCAACGCCTGCCCCCCGACCACCCAAAAGCCCTTCCCCTACAGCGTCGACGACGTCAAGCTCTACCACCTCAAGGAGAGCAACACCTGGGACCTGACCATCAAGGTCACTGAGCGCGACGCCGCCGGCAACGCTCTGGGCTCCACTTCCTGCCACAGCGCCTGGTACGTCCCAAGCACCCGAACACCCAAACACCCCCAATCCCATCAAATCAACCGTAACAGCAAACAACAATACTAATATAGATTTGTATAGGAACGACGGCGCCACCTACGTCGCCCGCGAGATCTGCGAGGACACGCACTACTTCTTCTGGCTGCCCAACGGCGCCCCCAACCCGGAGAGCTGGGACGTCATCGTCGACGGCCCCAACGGCCAGGGCGAGGGCACCATCGAGTTCGGCAACAAGTATAAGTGCGGCGACTACACGGGCGACATCGGCAACATTGATCGCGAGTGCACGACTACCAACGGCGGTTGGTTCTTCCTCCACGAGCGCGAGGCCAACTAGATTTGGACTTGGGCTTTGAGAAGGCCGCAGTGTGGGACGGCGGACTGCTCTTGCTGTAGTAAGCATGGATAGACAGTACTCGTTCCGTGACTGGGTGGATAGATGGACGGGACATGCATGGAAGGTTGCTGGAGCATCATCGATGAGCATTGCGGGTGTTTTTGTTCTTTTGCTAGGCTTTGTTTCTAGATTACATTCCTTTATAGATTAATATGCATACTTAACTCGCGAGCAGAGTTCAGCTACAGTAAGCTAGTGTTCGAGGCCCTCGGAAGTGGAGCCGAGCCCGGAGATCCAGGGCTCAGCTACCTTCGATCTATACGGGAGGGGAAGACGATGATCCACTGCGCATGGAAAATTCCAAATGCCGGTACCAAAAACAATATACCATTAGAGAAACTATCTAGAATCCATCGAGCCCGAGCTCAATCAACTTCCCTCACACGCGCTACGTGTACTTTTTCACAATTGTCTTCACAATTGTCTCGAGCGTGGTGATTGTCGCCGGGATGCGTCGCCTGTTCTTAGTTAGCACGCGGATGGCATCGTCTTCCGCCAAGCCGCCCGGTGTTGAGGACAATGACAACGATGCAGAAGAGCGAGAGAAAGAGAAGGATCGCGTACACTGGTGAGAGTTGTTGCAGTCAGAGCCACAGTCACAGTTAGAGCCACATCCAAGAGGCCCCCCCTTGACAACGCGCTCCGTGACTTCCAAGCACTGCGCCAGATACCGGTGAACATCCTCGATATACCCCCAAAGCGCCTCAAATCGAGCGTCGTGTGACCCGGATCCGGATCCCGATCCGCGCGCGGATGACGCGCATTTGCTCTCCGCGGCCTTGATGTCGACGCAGAGCCGCAGCCATCGAGAAGAGGCATTCTCAATGGCAGAGGCCTCGTATGCGTCGCGGATGCGGGGCGGGCAGGCGGCGAGCGAGTCTTGTAGAGCGAGGAGGGTCAGGACCGTATGTTTTGCTAGTGTCGATGCGGTGGTCTGGTCGCTGAATGTGGTGAGTTTGGACATGGTGTGGTTTGGTGTTTAATCCCGAGGCTCGTAGCACTGAAACCGGCTGATATCAGTTAGTTTGGTTTTGACTTTTCCGGGTATCACTCTCACGGGGGCGTATGTCAAGCAAGGCCTCGGTGACTCGGTCCCCCCTCTTCGATGAGATAGGGGGCCAAAGCCATGTTTTTATATCCAGGGATTGTTTTTGCGAACAATGAAAACTAATCTGAAAGACTTGACTTTGGCTTATTATCAAAAGACTCTTCTATTGTTTATTATTGGATATCGAGGTCTTTGTGTAAACAATGAGAACAAACTAGGAATTGATTGTTTCTGTTAGAGGATAAGAAGTAGCTGCGTGTCGTAGGTTGCAAGTCATTGACAACTTCAGAGATGGCCGCGCGTAAGGTAGCGAGACCGACTGACAAGGTTCCGGGAAGGGTTACCGACGGACCTGGGCTGCCGAGGCGGCATCGTTCCCCTCTAAAGGCAATACCGACTCGAGTCTTTCGGGGTCTGGCCATCCCTCCCTCAGTTAATGGGGTTGAGTTGGAACTACATATATATCTACAGGATAGCGTAACGTTCGCCAACCCTAACTCTCTTGCTCAGTGTCTTCACGTCCGGATACTGTACCGACTGACCCCTAGCACCTGACCAGACGCGACCGCAGGGAAAGCATTAATCGTGCCGTCTCTCAGTGGTCAGGAACTAACAACCTTAGAGCGTCGATCATCTATCCTAAAGCCCGCGTACATTAACAGGATATCAACATATCCACGAAAGGGACGCCCCCGTGGAATATGCTCATCGCTGCTAGGAAAGATTGCGCGAATTTTCTGGTTAGCTGCTTGTGATCCCAGCCTATTATGACTGCTGCCCACTGAGCGTAGCAACTACCTTTTCCATCAACATTCATCCCACATTACATTGCTCTATTGATTTATCTTGTTGACTCTGCTCTCTTTTTGACTTATCCTTTTGTGCTTATAGACTGTGTTAATAATGTGCTCAATAACGTCACATGGGCTGTTGGCTCAGTTGGTAGAGCGTCCGCTTCGCAGTAACCTTCGGGTGAAGATTGCGGAAGGTCTGGGGTTCGATTCCCCAATAGTCCATTCTTTTTTGTTTTCCGGCTTTCAGCAGCGGACCCCAAACACCCATCCAAGCCCACTTTTCTTTTCATTTCTGCTTTACTATTTTTGGTTTTTGTTTTCATTTATCGTGCGACGCTAATTCATTGGTATTATAACCACGGCAAGCGAGCGGCGCCCGTTCTGGGGCCCCGGCCCAGGGCGACGCCTTCCGCGTACAAACTCTCTGAAATGCCCTGGGCCTTACTTCCTTCTTACCGTACCAGTAGTAGGTTGTAGAACAGGCAGGAGCAACTCAACATGATAACCCCAGCGAAGCGAAACAGGAAGGAACGATGAGGGCCACGAGTCCGTGGTCGCGCCTTCCAACCAAGGACAAGCAAGGTGTTATTAGTTATGCATAAACAACACTCTGTTCCAAAGTACACAGACGTAAACATCGGAGAGAGCGAGCAACGGGGTGAAGTGCCCCGAGAAGTTCTCCAAGATCGACTGCACAGCTAAAAGTGCGAGGATATCTTGTCTTGTAGCATATTTGTCGATCTCTAAAACGATCCCAACTGCGTTTCTGATGACAATATTATGCTGGATGAGTCTATCGCTCGATCAAAGGCAACTGGCCAGTCCTTTCAACTGCGCTTGATTAGCACAGAGTAGTGAACTGGATTCTCCGAGGAGTTGCAGTAGTCTGTTTGATGGGGGATCTCCGAGGAGATTAGATTCAGTCTTTTGAAGGTGGGGTTGTTGTATTTAATCTGATCATTTGCCTTTTTCCAGTGTACACTACTGATCGTGTTTAGGCGTCTTCTGAAAGGTTTTCGGCAAAGGGGTCCATCGACGGTGTGGCGAGGAAAGAGTTGGGTTGATTGAGGTCATTATCTCCACGAGGGGAGACGAGTGACTTGAAGTTCTTGAGCGGAATTGTTGGAAGAGAACCAGACTGAGAATACTGCCCCCGAATTGATGAACACACAATGTATATCAGATGCAACGCTTGCATCGCCCGCATAACCGTCAAACATGGTCCGCCAACCACCTGATAGCATCACCAATACCTAATCCGGTCCAAGTTAGCACAGCACAGGACCGTGGTAAGGTAAGCTCGCGCATAACAGCACAGAACAGGCTAGAAACTCAACCCAGAACGTGGTAAAGACCGACCGCATACATACCCTGGCCCAGAACCACACTCCCAAAGACAACCTCGATCGCCCTCTCCCTCCGCAGGGTCTCCAACCCCGCAGTCCCATCTTCCTTGCGATTCATATCCAGTCTCATAAGCGTCAGGAACTCCTCCGGCCCCACCGCCCCATAATGGTCAATCTTGTTAACAAAGATGACAACAGGCACGCCTGCTACCTCCTCGCTCTTCAGAAGATCATCGAGCATCCTCCGCGCTTCGGGGAACAGATCGTAGTCCGTTGCATCCATCATGAAGACTATGCCAGCTGTGCCTGGGAGGAAGGCCGAGAGGGGTGGGGCGGCGAAGCCGCTTGTGTCGACGAATGTGAGGCGTTTGCTGGCTGTGTGGGTTAGTTAAGGAGGTTACTATAACTACTCATATTATCGCAAAGAGAGAAGGAACTCGTGGAATGGCTACCCCTCTACTGACCTATCTCTCGCCACTCGACCTTGCCGCCCGATCCCGTCCGCAGCTGATGCGCGAGGGTTGTTTTCCCGGCGTTTCTGGGCCCGGCTATTAGGATCTTAGAGTGGGTGGGTTTTCCTTGGAGATGGCATTTTAGGGTGTGGACTATGCGACAGAAGTAAGTTGGGTCGTCCCGTCCCTGTGTGGATAGGGAGCGTGCTGCATGACTGACTAGATGTGCCTATTATCGTGAGCGCTTTTTGAAGAAGCTGGAAAACAGCCTGCACTAAATGGAATATGAAGCGGGGCATCGTAGATGATTTGGGCTGGGGTTTGTCGAGGCCTCGGGTTCATGTCTGGGCCGTCGTCGTATTATGGATCTGCCTCGACCCCTGGACACGTGGCCTCGTATTCGAGCTCAAGACGGGCTTTTTGTGTGATGTGCGTTGATCATATCGGCCTAAGCTTTTTTATGATCACAAATTCACGTCGTGAGATGAGGCATCAAGCCGGCTGCAATAACTCCCCATATGGTAGATACTACCTAGTTAAACACGTGTCCTTTTCACCACAAACGTTAAAGCGTGGGCACGTATTGGAATACAGAGAATTATCAAGCTATATAGGGTCCATTCAGAGTCTACTTGACTTCCTAAACCTAGACTTGGGGTATCACCACACACGCAACTAGTACCTAAGAATCGTAAGTAACAATTACCAACCACCAAAAGAAAGGGAAAAAAAGGGCAAAGAATAAGCCAAAGGGAAAAACTCACGAAAAACTCTCCTGATGAAGAAAAACATCCTTGACCGCCGTCTTCCCACCGATAATCCTCGTCTGCGCTGCCGCCGCCGCACTCGCGACGTCATGACTCATGGATGATGGCCCGCAGACCACGATCCCGACTGAGGATGCACCGGCCTCTCCCACGACCGATGCAATCTTCGTCGGGAGGTTCGGTCGGCCGTGTGCGAAGGATATGCTGGATAGATCTGATGCTATGGGATCGTCGACGGATGAGTTGATTTCCTTTGATGGCTGGTCCGTTGCGGATAGCGCAAGGTCGTTCTTTGCTTCGACGGTCGGTGAAGCTGATGTTTCGCGCGAGCCGGTCTGGTGGATCGAGACGGCGATTCGCACGGTCTTGTCGACGTCGGGATATTTCGCTTCGATCTCTTTCAACGCCTCAAGGTACCACGTCCGCAACTCCGGATCCTGCGACGAGACGATCACCTCCATACCCGCACCAGCTGCCACGTCTTGCGCCAGAGACAACCCCTGCATAAACTCCTCAATCATCGCGAGTGTAAATCCAGCACCCGCACCTCCACCGACCACAACACTCCGCTCGAAGGAGCTCATCGAGCGATGCGCGGGGAGCCCACCATACGGCCCGTCGAGGAGAACAGGAACACTAATACCAGGCTGCTTCTCCGCCATTTTCAGCAGGCGCGCTGTCAACCCTCCACGCGGCCGAACGTAGAAGACAAGCGTATTCCTCCGTCCCTCTTCAGAAACAGAACAGATGGTAAACGGGTGCGTGGAGAGGACATGCATGCCCCCCGTCAGGAACCGGAGGTAAATATGCTGGCCCGCGCGCCACTCCATGTCCGTCTCGATGGCAATCTTGAGCGTGTGGTCCGTCTCCTTGAATAGCGCGGCACGATGGCCGACCCCGTGCTCAAAGTACGTCTTGCAAAACGCGTACCCCCAGCAGAGCGCATAGAGAACGCCCGTAGCAATGAAGTAATCCCAACTCGACATGCGAAAGTCGCAGTGGATGAAGAAGAAGATGAAGAAGATGATTGCGGCGAGGTAATGCCCTGCCTTGAAGAATTCGTAGTACCGGTTTCGGATCCAAGGGATGGATAGCAGTGTCAACCACGTTTGCGCGAGGAGCGCGATGACGCCTGTAACCCAGACGCCCCCGGTCTTGAATTCGCTCACGATGTCGCCCTTCCAGATGTGGAAGACGATAAAGGGAAAGGTGTGCACGAGGGCCAGCACGTACATGGCCCAGCCGACCCAGGCGTGCCAGATGTTGAGCTTCTCCGAAGAGATGGAGGTTAGGGTTGTTATTGGGGAAGACTTTGCGCCGAGGGCGCTGTTACAACGTGTCAGTTTCCAGGATGGATCTCGTGTGCAGAGGAGGATTGGGTTGGTGCGTACAAGAGGAAAGGCATGCATGCGAGAGCCAGGAAGCCGGCGCGCGTTGCAATGGGCGGCGAGTTGCCAAAGCTGATTTCGCGCGTGTTGGGCCAGTAGTATGGGCGAGGGCCCAGGGTCATTGCTGTCCAAGTCAGACAACTTTCTAGCTATAGGACTGTGCCAGCTAGGTTATCGGCGAGCATACCTAGAAAAAAGACAACCCCTGCACCAGCAAGCAGTAACCCGCCCAGCGACTGCGTGTTCCAGCCCGCAACTCTCCAACTTCTATAGGACAAGAAGCGAAAGAGCGCGGTGATTCGCGCCCATCCTGTTGTTCGGTTGAGCCGCCTCGGCGTGTACGCTGCGGCTCCGTGCCCGAGAGTAAACAGTGCAATGGCGACGAGGAAGAACGCAACCGTCGGCAGAGCGTAGCGATGGTCGGCCTCGTACCAAAAGACCCAGTATCGCGATTTGTAGGCGCATTGCTCGGGAGTCATGGTGCACTCGCCCGGGTCGCGGGAAGAGTGCAGCATGACCGGTTGGTCGAGCCATGGGAGGGACATTGCGGTCGTCTGCTGTCGAAATGGATTGATTTCGAATAGACAGATAAACGAGTAAATACAGAGGCAAGTGTCGAGTCACTCAAAAAAGAAAGGATCAGACAGACGCCTGAGATAAATAAAACCTAACTGGCAGGCAAGTCGACATCGCATCTATTGATAATAACCCCCTCACTCTCATCCCGGAAACCCAACTCCATTACTCAACCCGACACGTCCTCAGCAGAGAGCACAAACTCAGAAACCCGCTTGCGGCCTGAATCCTGATCCTTTTACTTTCCAACCCAATGATAATCTGACTTACTCCATGGAGTAGATGCTTACTTGCGGAACGGCCCACCGCCAGTGCGAGCATTTGAGCACATTTCTTGCCCGAGCCAATCACACCCCCTACAATTCATCCACTTTACCCCCACAGATATTGGCGAGGCTTGTTCTGAGTTCACTGTGCTGCCGCCCGTGCCGGCTGGTTTCGTCAATGGCATATATCTATTATTGTCGACTGGTGTCTGTCGTGTTCTGCCCGTTGGAAAAAAAAAAGATTCTTTGAGTTTTGGTTTTGTTGTTTCAGCGTTGCAATCCATCTTCCATCGCCATTCCACGCCCCCCTTCCAAAAATGAACATGGATTCTATGGACATGGACATGTCATCAACCTCAACAACAATGTCAATGGCGACAGCCACAACAACCGGCATGGACAGCATGGCTTCTTCGACAGACCCATCGTCCATGTCCGGCATGGACATGTCCGACACATCAATGTCCATGTCCATGTCCACCATGTCAATGACATTCTTCACCTCGACCAAAACCCTCCTCTTCTCAAACGCTTTCAGTCCGACGACAGAAGGCCAGTACGCGGGGACGTGTATCTTCCTCATTGCCCTCGCACTCATTCTGCGGTTTATGATTGCGCTCCGGCCGGTTCTTGAGCGGAGGGTTTGGAATGATGGGCCGCGAGGGAGGCGGGTTGGGCATGGGGTGGGTGATTTGAGTGTGGTTGTCGAGGAGGCGGTTTCCGAGAAGCCAGGAGGAAGAAGTAAGGTTACGGTCGCGCAGGACATCCGCAGTCGCTGGTCGAACTGGAAGGTGAATTGTGCGGGAGGGAGGGCGACGTATGAGGTTGTTGTTGCAGGGGTCGCGTATCTATTGTATGTGTCTCCTTTACTCTCTTCCGCTCTCTCCGCTTCTCGACAGAACTACAAGTGTTGAAGATACTAACCGGTGATAGGATGCTGGCGGTCATGACAATGAACGTGGGCTACTTCCTCTCTGTCCTCGGTGGAATCTGGCTGGGGACATTTATTCTCGGCGCTGTGGCTGCTGATACGCACTGGTCGCATAGTTGAGGGTTTCGGCGCACTATTCCGAGGTATTGATTAGTCGGACGTGTATCTATGGCACCTAATATCGATGCACATATGTCGTTCTTGATACCAAGCCATATAATTTCGGCTGCTTTCAAGCTGTCGTTATTGGATATGTCGGGGTCTTGCTTCGCTCGCTTAGCATCGACAAAGTATACACCCTTAGGAATGCGCGACCGACCTCGTCATGGAGGCATGCTCCTTTCTGTTCCATAACTGGAAGGCATGCCCAGTGAGGCCGGCCGGTCGTGCCTTCCTCATGTAGCCTGATTCATTCCGCAATGAAGGAGCAACCCACAACTCGGGAGCGGTCCTTCCTATCATGTCTACATCTGACTGGGTCGCACCTACCTTGCATGACCAACCGCTGTATACAGTCTCCTTGGCGACGATATCAAAGGCAATCTGCAGAGGAAGCGAGTACCTAGTATATGCCGGCGCGCGACGATAGATACGGATCCACAGTGAACCTCAGCCAACCACACAACATGCTGGCCGAAAAGTCTCAAACTTGAAGACGAAGCGAAACTATCTATATGTACATTATCCATCCCGCTAATATATCATCAAAGCATATAAATAGGAAATCCACCAAGACCTCCCATACTACGGCGGAAGCTCATACAACTCCCCCCTCCCCCTCTCCCTCGGCCCCTCCCCGGACAACTCCGCCCTCTCCTCCGCAGACAGCTCGGCTGTCGCATGCTCACGAACCGGCAGTTCCGATTTATTCACATCAAGTTTGCTGACATCCTTGACCCCAAAAGCACCCTCCAGCTCCGCCGTCTCAACGTTCGACTCGGCGCCCCTCTTCCCGTTCGCCTTCCGCCTCCGCATCCAAAACCATATCGCCCCGAGAATGAGTAAGAGACCGACAATGCCACCTACGACCGGTCCCGCGATCCACGCCTTGGATGAACCCGAGTCCGGATCCGGCCCGTCGGTCGGCTGCGCAGGCCCCGTGTATGCGATAATCCACCCATAGTCGGTCGTAACGTACGTCTCCGTCGGGAGGAGATCGATCCCAGCCGTGATTGTTATCGTCTCATACGAGATTCCCCCCTGGCTAATCTCGCTCGTCGCGGTTATCGCCGTCGCGGCAGCGTCCTCAGAGAGATGCCCCGTGTAACTCGTCGTGCAATCGATCTGGACTAGTGGTGTGATGTCGCAGCCGACGATCTCCGCGCCGTCCGACGCCGTCGCGTAGACGGCCGTGTAGTCGAATGTTGACGTCCCCGTTGTGATTGTTATGGGCTCGGCGAGGCCGCCGCACGGCGATGTTACGCCTGGTAGACAGTCGAGGACGATGATTGTCTCGCCGGCTGAGACGGCCGATACGCTCCCGCCGAGGTCGCTGAGCACGGCTTGGTTGGGGAACATGGCGGCGATCATGGGGATTTCGGTGGTTCTGGGGTTGTTGTTGGAACCAGAAGTGGAGGTAGAGGTGGAGGTGGAACTTGTGTCCGTGTTAGTGTCTGTCGTGGTTGTTCCCGTTGCAGTGGGCTCGACGTCCGTCGTCGAGGGGTCTTCTAACGTCCCTGTCGCGGTGGGCTCTTGGGTATCGGTATCCGTTATGGTGATGGTAGTGGTAGTGGTACCCGTCGACGGAACATCATCGGTCGTCGTTGACGTCGGATCCACCGGCTGTGGAATCCCAATCGTATCGGTGCCGGAAACTGTGAGCGGTGCTGGTAGGGGATTATCTGTCGTGGAATCGACTTGTTGGGTTTCCTCTGGAGAATCCATCTTCGCGTGTTCTCGCTGTCAAGCGCGCAGTATTCTTTTCTGCAGAAATCGAAAGCAAGAAAGGAGAAACCGAAATCGCCAGTGGAGCGGCAAGGGGCCGCGGGGGCCATTTTGTATCATGGGGAGGCGCAGCGGTTTGATAGGTGAATGGTGATGGGCGACAGACTAGGGCAGAGGCGCAATGCATTGGCAATTTGGCCGGCCTTGGGGACTGCTGTTGTTGCATCGGCGCAGGGCCCCGACCCCAAGCTAAATTTCCCAAACAGAGATAGTGGTAGGGGTCCGTCCCTTGGCCTAGCTTGCTTGGGCTAGATGAAACAGCCTACCACTGCCAAGCTGCCTTCAACACTGGGGGTGGAACCGTGGTTTATTGCCAATCATTCAGTGACCATGGGAGCTTCTAGTTCGCGGCAGGGCTTGACATGCGTACATTTGATATCGTCGCATTTCACAACAGAAAATATTTGGAGACTACTCCGCAGTACGGAGGACATTCAATCTCGCGCCATGCAGAGAATTGATGGCATGTCAAAAAAGGCCCCGGCCCTAGCTCCTTGGCCTGCTGTGGCGACGGCCAATCCGAGATCGTCCATTGTTGCGAAGTGCTCAAACCTGGAACGAAACAAGGTGTAGCTCGCAGCTCTAAGCGCCGTGCATGCTTGTCCAACAGAATCAGCGCTCGCGTTGGCAAAAGTTGGTCCTGAAGAAGGAATTTTGATCCGTCAGGGCCTTGATCTGGGTTAGGCCTCCAGATTTAGTCCAAAATGCTCGTGGGTGGTCTAAGCCTCTACCAAGCTCCGAAAGACTGTAGCTTGGCGGCCCCCAAAACTAGAAGATGAAGAAGCTGAAAAGCACGAATTGCGGCCTAGATAACAGTGCATAGTCTGTTCTTGAACCATAAATCTGCTACGCAGTTGGATGAAGATGATCAGCAGCGAGGAGATCAGTTCAAGAGAGCCAGCCCATGGAGGCAAACGCTCTTCGCCAAAAAAGGAAGGCGCAGGGTAGCACGTGGTTTTGCGCCGTCCACGGTCGTGCCGTTGTTTGGCCAGATCCGATCGCGAATGGCACTTTTCCATCTATCTAACGCGGGCTGATGAGCCTGCCTTTCGTTTAGTATCAGGAGCGATCGACAAGCTCCCTTCCCAAGTTGGACTATGCTGTGACGATCAAGTATTACACTCGGTCAATTCCCTCCGATTCCCCGTCATATCTACTGAGAGCCGACTCCTGCAACCTCATTGTAAACGGCAGGATGGATTACGACGATTCCGCGCTGGGACTGGTGCCCCAATCCCCGAGATCAAGTCAGTCAAAGAGGTCCGCGAGAAGGCCACTGCCCACTCAGACACCATATTCCGCACCTACAAACCCTCCACGAGATTGTCAAGCGCCACGAACCATCCAAAAGCGCTGGACAAAGAGAACCCGCTAACAAAGGCTAAAGATTTTGTTGGCTGCGTGGCCGGGTATGCCCTCCGTCCATCGTCCAGACATCAATACCTACTACAAGGAGCCAGAGGCTTGTCGCGATGCAGGAACCAAGTACAAGAGGCATTACATGTGGCCGCATATCGACCAGGAGGACCTCTCGGATGCCAGACCATTGCTGTTGCTGCTTAATGCGCGCGGTCGCCATCCTCTCTCAGCCTTTGCTGCCGCCAATATTGTTGGCATGCGCTTCGGATTCACGAGCAGGGCTATCGTTCCCAACATTCTCAACCGGCATGTCCTCAAACGAAGAACACCCGGGAGTATGGTAGTCTCGCATCATGGGACAATGATCTAGACGCTTTTGACTGGTGTTTCACGCTGAAGCAATTCATGCCTGAGGAGGGACTGCTCGTCCTCGAAGCAGAGAGAAAGATCCTCGCTTTTCTCGAAAAATGTTGTCGGCTGATCCATCTTGATATCCCGGAAGACACGATTGTTAGTGATTCGTTGCCGATCCAGCCAGAGCCTCAGCTCAAGCGTGAAAGCGAGCTAACCGGCTTCGACTCGCTCGCTGTGATGGCAGTAGAAGCACCATATCGTGTTCCCGCGAAGCTAAATCTTGATCGCATTTATTCACTTCTTCATGCCAAGGCATCTGCGGCCGAGGACCATCTTTGGTCTTTGCGCGAGAACCCTGGCTACTTTACTTCCACGTTTCACGACACGAAGGAGCATCGCCTGGAAATCATCAAGGATTGGAATGGCGGTACCCACCCAGAGTGAGCCCCGGTAGGCAATATACTCTCACGGCCCGTTTTCTGCGCACCACCATCCTTGAGGCGTACCTCGATCCAGAGATCTACACTTAACTCGCCAGCCAGGCCAAGTCATTAGCAGTGTTTCAGAAGCGATACAGGAGAGTCATCTCGCCTTCAAAAGATTTGCCCAATGACTGTGCAGCTGCCCTCCTCAGATTCCGCCACTATCTTGATCAAGCAATGCGTGGCCCAACCGGCAAGCTTGACCATGCAGCTACGGCGTCGCCGCCACTGCGACGGTCCGTCGTTCGCGAGCCCCTGGAGGATCCAAGCTCAAATATCATTGCCACAGGACGGAACTTCAAAGCCAGATGCAGCAAGGTGGAAGCGAAATTACTTTGGCTGCTATAGGCCCTTTGATAAAATGGCAACCAGCTGTTCTATGCTGGATTTCCCCTTATCGTTGACGAGCTTCAGCGATTGGTCCAATCTGAGCCACAAGCAAAGGAGCTGATCTCTGAATACGTGGCGGACATTATTGGCGAGTTTTCTATACTCGCTCAGTGTATCAAAGTGCTGGCGCTCTACACTCCATGGGCTTGGACGTGGGACGCTGACCTCGCCGCTCGGGCAAAGGACCTGAATAGGGATTATGCCGAGAATGGCGAATCAAAGTCGGGACTAATAGCGGACATACAAGCTGCATTTCCCGAAGGAATCAGAAACACCAATGCAGTGGCTCTCAGCGAGCTAAATCGTGGTATATTCAGGTATCCAATCGAAAAACGACGCACCAAAGAGAATGTTGAGGTACTGTACCCTCATCTGTCGCCACCCACCATCATATCGCCCGATATCAGTTACTTATTTTGCCCTATCCGGTCTCGATCCCTCGCCACAGAGCCGAAAACCAAGACCAAAACACGCGGGGAAGCCCAGCCACCAACCAATACGGATGAGCCGGCTACAGCTCCAGTCAATGAAGCTATACGGCTCGTGTGGCAGTTCCAGCCGAAGAACATAGACGTTGAGAGGAACATCCTCTTCCATGAGCCTCATCCACGGGGAAAGCTGCCATATACAGTTGCAAGATGGTGTGTGCAAGGACATACATCCAATATACTTGTGGGTATAGAAACGGTTATCATACCTGGCGTGGCGAGTTATATTACGCTATTATTCATGTCTATAGATGCCTCAATAGAAAATAGATCCCAGACGCCTCCACCAGCATATGTATACTAGTATAAATGTACTGAAAGATTCTCCACCCACTAATCAAGCCCCTGGTACCTCCACTATGTCTAGACACTATATATCATGTATAATGGTGTATAGTCAGTTTATGGCGATTCGCGAATACAATACGGAGTAGATATGGATGTGGATTCACAAGACCTTGGTTGGCCCCACTATGTACACCCCACCACACCAAAAAAATTTCACCATGACCAACTCGGAACCCATAAAGCCCATCAACCGCTGGTGACGCAATGCAGAACAAGAAAAGTTACAAAAAGTAATGACCTACGCAGGGATCGAACCTGCAATCTCTTGATTCGTAGTCAAGCGCCTTGCCATTGGGCCAGCAGGCCTTCTTGTAAATATTGTTTGAGCTCCACTATAAGACTGCGGGTCGCGACTTTTTGGGGTTTCAATGGCGCGTGCGCACTCTGTATTGCGCCTGCAGCCCCAGGCAGGAGTTTTATAGTAATTCTCCATGCTCTTGGGGTTTTATTGGCTTCTGTTTTTCTCTCCACCTGGTGGGCGACTTATTTTATGGCTTTTAAAGTTTCTTATATGCTTTTGCCCTTTTTACAGAGATAGATTAAATGTTAATGACTAGGCGTGAGATATATATCCTTGTAGATCACCACGAAACATGTAGGGTATCCAAGACAATTGGAGATAGATAACCCTGATTTAATCGTCATGAGAGATCAACATGTATAGTAGTAGATACAATAATACCCAGGTACATCTTCACCAACGTGCATTAACACCCCACCAACGGCCACAATTAGATATGTCGACCAATAAATCCAGATCCCGAACCCCAAGAATCCCCTCCCACAACTCCTGAATCTCAACGCATCCAACCAAGCACGCAAACAATCAATCACCTACAAAGCAAATCCCACTCCGTCTGCCCCCTTCTCGGATCAAAGCATCCACACGTCTCCGTCCCGCGCCGACAGCAGCGCCATTGGAGGGTGCAGCGGTCGCAGTCGCTGTAGGTTGAGCATGCTGGCGCAGGAATCTGATTAGTTGGGATGCAACTTGGAGGAGTGAACCTAGAAGAGGGAATAGTAGGTTGAAGGGGTGAGGGCGTACAGTCTAGAGTGTGGATGGAAGATGTTTGGATTTTTATCGAGGGTATTGCAGTTCCGGTTGTGAGGGTTGCGAGGAGGGTTAGGAGGGGGATGAGGCGGAGGCTAAACATTCTCAGACTCAGGCGGGAAGATACCCTGATACAGGCGAGATACTATCAGCAGACCGAAGCGAAGAGGTGGGCTGAGACGGCTAGTGCGAGGGACTTGGGGTGGACCAGGGCTATTTATGTCTCTAGCCAACACGCGTGGAGCAAAAACGAGGGGCGTTGAACGCTTCATTGCTTATTCTCCAGCATTTAAATTACTGGAGTTATTATCCATCCCTCAAAGGTCTAATCTCAGCTGGCCCTCGATCGGAATCACCGGGGTGGCTGGAGATATCCAATCAGACCGCCAGAGTAAGCAGCCATGGTAGGAGCTCATGCATGCCACGAGCATTATCACGCGTCTTGCATGCATTGAAGGAAAGCGGCTGCTTGACATCGACACCATGGTTGGCTGGAATGCTCGCGGATTCTAGTTTGCTAGGTGCGCTATGCAATGTTTGCCCCCCTGGAGAATTGACTCGAGGAGATATTGGTATTCCGGTGCATAAGGTCATATTTGTGAAGGAAACGGATTCTCGTAGCTTACTCCCTGGGCTGCAAGACTGTTACAGTTGATTTGCTGCATAGCAGTAGGTTAGAGACACGAGGCACACCGGAAAGCCATTCCATGTTTATCAAGTAGTCCAGAAGGGCAGTATATGCTAAGCAAACGAGGTATCCAACCACGCCAACGGCGACATCTTCGTCTGGAAACAAGGTGGCAGAATCTCGCAACGTACCTGGGCGTTGAAAGCCCCGAGCCTGTTTTCAGCAAAGCGCCAAGGCAGGCGAGAACACTCACGAATGAAATTGATGTGGTCGAGTGGGCGCGGGATAAGAAAGATGTTTGGGAACGTGGTGTAGCGAAGTATGGGGGCAAGGTTTGAGTGGGGCACTTGGGGGTTCTTTAATTGGGCGACGGGGAAGAGCTGGTGTATAGTTTCGTCGGTGCATAAGGCGCGCAGTAGGGGGTGGAAGAGGAGTGACAGGACGTTGATACGCGGGTTGAGACGTATCGGTCCTTTGAGAATGTAGGAGTTTTGCCGGCGAGGAGGGCGTTGTTGGGGGAGGAACTTGTCTATAGCGTTGTGGATTGCGACTCCCAGGTCTCATGAGTTGAGAGGAGGGTACATGCGCTGATCTTATGACAGAAGGCTTCTAGTGACTAGTCCCGTCAATAATCCCATTGATGCTGTCAATGACAGGTTCGCAGTATCCCCAAAGACTGTATAATTATACCTTGGTTAGTGAGTGCGAGGGCTAGAGCTGGAGTACCGGCTCCAGACAGACTACTACGTGTGCCACGTATCTGCCTGGTCAGGTAGCCGTGCTACAGGCTGGGCTCGGTCAATAATTCTCCAGATCTATTTAGCCAAGACGAGCATTCAGGCTTCTGGATTATAGCCCCATAATTATAATATTTTTGGCAGGGAAATATAGTCTATGATATCGAGATTATCTTCTCTCAATTGGATAAGTCTGGGCATGAGCCTACCTATGTATTTGCCGCCTACTACTAGTGCGCCAATTAAAAGATGGTTGCCAACTAGGCTAACGGGGCCTGGAGAAATCATTCTGTGCTGCATAATCTCTGCCTTGATACCAGAGAAGGCCGCAATAGTGGATACTACCAGAAAAAATATTGAATGACCACTAAGAGACAAAACTATATGCTAAGGAGACATATATTCCCTAGCTATTGGCCAAATATCGCGGGCAGTACGATGAGAACTGAGCTATCTCGAAACGATATCTTGAACTATAGCCTTATGAACCTATCAACGGAGACACCGCGTCAAACCGCCGCCACGCGGGGCTGGGCCTCGGCCCATTCCAGAATAAGCGTCCCACGATTGAGTGGATTTTCCCTGCTGCAGCCGATAGATTTGCCAGAAGCTTTTGGTTTCGGAGCAAGGTACATGCAATAGTCACCCTCTCCGGCGTATGGTATCACAAAATCTGGTAACCCGGCAGGAGGAGAAACACGAGACTTTACCCTACTCCGAGGACGAGACGAGGGACTCCAATTCACTATGAAATGGATTGCCCTTTATCGGAGTCCAAGTGTGAGTTCTTTTGATAGACTATTCGCGCATCAGGGTAGGCGTTGTAAGAGCTGAAATAGAATTATCTTGTCTGGTTAATGGACAACAGAAGCAGGGCTAAATAGTTCAACACCTCCTATAGCAGCTCTATAGTGCTTAACATAATATTTTTCCGGTCCATATTTCGGGATAAGTAGGGTTTACATAAAAGCCTTCGGTTCTATAAAGTTTCCTCCAGACCCACCTAATATGATAAGTGGGCACCTTGTATAAGTGCGGCTGAGAACCTATTGAGACCGGTCTGTTTATAATATCTTCTTCTCTCGGATGTCTCCGCGCTGTTGCTACTCAAGAAAGACGAAGTCTTGCTGAACTGCTGTATCCTATGCGCGGGATTTATATCTCAAGGAAATTCCGAGCACGCGATCGCGGGTTTCACGATGAGGCAGACGGTCCACTTAGAGATCTGGCGTGGCTGCGTGGCTGACCTTGGTGGAGATGATCTCCACGCGGTTTCATTCGACTTTCATCAAAGCATGGCCCTACAACGTAGATACATCTTGATTCCTCGAGATAACCTTCGTCCTCGATCCCAGCTGAATAATTCTGGATAAGTACGTACTTAGTCACTGAAGTGTCAAAGTTCCTGATCATCACACCCCCAATGTCCATCACAATCCTATCCTGACACACACCACTGCACCAAACCACCAATGAAACATTCCCCTCGCAAATTCCCCCACAATTTGGGGCGGAAAAGTCGTGCTAACGGAGCTTGACTCCGCCCTCAGCCTCTGATGGAGCAACATTCTTGCTTCGTGAGCCAGTCATACTTGGCGCTTCAGGCTCCACGTCTATCCCTGCCGCAAGGGGGTGCATGCTGCGCACAGCCTTGCCCACCTCAGTTTGACACAGGAGGCGCCCTCACGGCCCGTCGCCTGTGTTTCCAAGTTGCTGAACTTTTCTCCCTCTCAGCTTCCATCTCACTTGGATTCCGAGTTGCTTTCTCGATTTCTTGCTTTCTTGCTTTCTTGAGCGACGTTGCGATTGAGATACGCATCCACTTCCCACCCACTCCGATCCTACAGATAAAACAATAAAGATGACCGACTACGGGCCCCCCTACGGCTACGCCGTCCGCCGCAACGAAACCTGCAACAACGTGCTCAACGAAGTCGACTGCGCAAACCCCTGGGCCGAGTGGCACAACTGCTGCCCCGAAAACACCGTCTGCGGCGACGGCGGGGTCTGCTGTCCGACCGACGCCGGCTGCGATGCGCCCCTCGACCGCGACCCGCACTGCGCGAATAATGGCACCTGGGACTTGTACTGGCTTGACTCGTACTTTTGCTGTGATAGTGATACGAACGGGTTTTCGTTTTCGGGGCTCGAGTACAATGGCAGTCAGACGACGGGCGTGGGCTGTTCGGAGGGATATCCGAGTGGGGATTATACCGAGGTGCTTGTGCCGGTTTCCTATGGTATGCTTGTCTTCCCCTCCTGAATTGTAGAGTATTCACAGGAGCTTTACTGACGGGATGGTTGCTGCAGGAAACGAAACTGACACCAACTCATCCTCATCCGCTACGCCCTCACCTACAACCTCGACACAAACAGACTCCCCCGCCGCCACAGCAACCGAGGACTCCTCCTCATCCTCATCCACAAACACAGGCGCCATAGCGGGCGGCGTCGTCGGCGGCGTCGCAGGCGCAGCGATAATCATCGCGCTGGTCTGGTTCCTCATGCGCCGCCGACGCAAGGCCGCCGCGTCGGGCGTCGACGCTGTGAACGCACCGGTCGGAAACGCGGGGTATGGCGCGGGCGCGGAGGCTCTACCGCTGAAGGAGCAGTATGCGCCAATGGGACCGGTTGAGATGGAGAATAATGCTGTGCGCGCGGAGCTGTATGGGGATCAGCATGCTGATGGGGGGATACCACATGAGTTGCCGGCGAGTGTGCCTGGGCGATGAGCGAGGGAGGGGTCTATGTAGGGTGGTTAGATTGTTTTTTGATACCCTTATTTTGTTTCGAGACCTGTAGTCTGGGTGATTCGGGTTTTTGAGCAGGATGATATTCACTTTTTGCATGTTCAAGCTGATACTGATAATATGGCAGAGTGGTGCTGAGCGTGTATATAGCCAGTCATAATAGATAGATATATATTTCTTATTCCTTACCTGTTTATTCATTTCAATGCTCGGCAGGGCAATCCTCCCACCAGGGCTTCAGAACATGCCATGCTCGCAGATCGATTTGCGCGAGCCAGACACCGCACTGCTCGAGCTCTACCTCGCACACGGCGTGAAATTGGAACCGGACCTTCTCTTTTACGCGGTAGCCCCGCGCGTCCCACAAAGCGAGGTCATGGCCCGCTTCCTGCTCGGCAGGGGCGTGGATCCGAATGGGCCCTTTTCTGGTGCCGGCGGCCGCGGCGTCGACTATTGGGGTGCGCCGTTGCACTGCGCTGTCTGGAGGGGGAGGGTGGATCCGGATGTTGTTGCTGGGCGGAGGAAGTTAAGGAGGAAGGCTCCGGGGGAGGTTGCTGAGAGGGTGGGGCATCGAGAGAGGCGTGAGGAGATACTTGGTCTTCTGCAATCGTATTCTCGCCGAGAACCTAGCAATGAGCCGAGCCAGGGCGGAGTGGAAGGTGGTATTGCTTAGGGTGTTGCGGTAGGCAGTTCGATAGGAAAGCCCTAGCGAGTCCTTGTTGAGACGCAGATCACTTTTTGGGCCAAACAATGTTTGATAGGAACTGGATATATGCTGCACTGTCTCGCCTTGGTCATTAATATTAAGCTGTACCCGTTGGCCTAGATATTGTGATCTGGGCATTTATTCTTACAAGTGCTATACGCCATCGGGGTGTAGGTACCACAATCTTCCAACCCCTATGCTGCCCAGCACATCAGTCCCTCCTCCTAAAAACCAATCGACATCCATCCTACACCATAAATCAGCATATAAAACAACCAAGACAAAGAGAAAAGGAAGCAAGACCCACCATCGGAAACAACGTCGCAAAAACCCAAATCTCCTCGGACTTGTCCGTCGCATGATGCTCCCACTCCAAATCCAGCGCCGCCTTCCCAATCATCCCCGCCATCGACAACGGGACATACCGTCTCGCCAAACAATCATGTGCACCGGCCCCGAAAACAAGCCAGTTCTTCGTCTTGCTCTCGGCGTCCCCGGTAAGCCATCGGTCGGGGTCGAAAACGTCCGGGTTCGGGTATACGTTCGGGTCGTGCAGGGCTGGCCAGCAGGAGGGGATCACCATCGAGCCCTTGGGGACTGTGTACGAGGGTGTAATCGGGAAATCCTTTGTCGCGAGGTAGGGCACGAAGATGACGGGTGGTCTGTGGCGGAGGAGTTCCTTGATCACGGCGTTTGTATACGGTAAATTCTCGAGCATGGGGAGGTCAAACGACCTCGACCGATCGCCGCCGCGCGCAGCGAGATTCTCCTCCCTCAACCTATTCAGCACATCCGGTCTCTGCGCAAGGATCTGAAACAGCCACGTCGTCGCACTACTCGACGCATCCTGCGACGCGAAGAGAAAGGTAAACAGCGTCTCGGAAATCTCCTCGTTTGTAAACTCGCGGATGAGATTCGCCGGTTTCGGCGCGTCCAACTCGCCTGCTGCAATTCGCTCACGGTACGCGTTGGACTCGAACATGTGCAGGACCCAGTGGTCGACGATGCAGCTGGGCGTAGCCCCGGGCTTGGCCATGTTCTCTTTACACTTTGCGGCGCATTTCGCAAACTCCTTGTGCACGGCATTGGTAATCCGCTTCCCGCGCCACTGCTTGGTTCCAGGGATATGGATGGAAAAGGGCACGTTCACCAGCTCCATCGCGGCCGTGGTAAGATAATAATCATCCGCAATCCTCTTCACCGCATCCTGTGAGATATACTCACCAAAGAATGTCCGACAGGATAACGCGCAATTGATCTCGCGGAAGAGCGTCATGAATTCGCGCGGTTTATTCCCGTTGGCCTCACTGGCCGCGACGAATTTATCAAAGTAGTCGCCGCACACGCGGTCTTGCGAGGGGAGATACGTCGCCATTGCGTTGTTTGTAAATAGTGGGGCGAGACCTCGTCTGTACTCTGCATGTGCTTTTCCCTGTAGGAAAACCCAGGCTTTGTGGCCCATTAGGTCCTTTGCAATGGGGACGATGCAGGGCTCGGCGTAGGTGGGGGATTTGAAGACTTTGTGGGCGAGGTCGCGGTCTGAGGCGAGGACGACGAACCTAGAAGCGCTTGTTGGTTTGTCTGTCTGCGTGGCTATGGGTAGAGGGGTGAGGTGTTGTGAGGGGGCGTACTTGTGGAAGACGGAGACACAGCTCAATGGCCCGCTTGCCCATTGCGCGAGGTATCCTTCGAATTTCGGGTGCAGCGCTTGGAGAAAGGGGCCCATTAGGGGGATTTTGAAAGGGGGTCCGGCGATGGAGCCTTTGCGCCAGATGTACATTACTGCCAACATCAGCTATAGACTTGGAGCTGGAAGAACGGCTAAGATACCTTGGTCATAGACAATAACTCCGAGCACAAAAGACACGACATACTGCCATGTTGGTCGGCCAGTGAGATGATCCAGCACCGTGTCGCGGAGGGATAATGAGCCAGACGGCCATGACTGTGACAGATGGAGCTCAGCGCTCGAGCTGTTGAATGTGGTAGCAGCCATGGTTGTACGTGAGTGACTGAGTTTCCGTAAAAGAGGTACCCATCCTCCTTATAATGTCACCTTCTGTCTCCCCCTTTTCTCGGCTTTCTCAGCTGATATCTCAATCACCCTCACAGCAATCTTGCAGTTAGGGCTCAGATTACCAGAAGCAGCCTAGACTCCGATCACGACTGCAGGCTTGGCGCTTTCATCACTTTTCGGAGTCTAGTCCTCTTCAGGTTAGCGCTTATGCGGGTCTTGTTGCTTCGATTTCGTTTGAGGGCGATTCTCACGATCATCAGTCAAACAACTCGACTTCCCTCAAATCGAACCTCGTCATAGGCAGACTACACTTTCTCGACTGCGAGGCATTGTTATATGATTCGTGTCCTGCCTGCTGAAACTTCCATTGCCTATCTACCCAATAGCTACACGAATCATACGAGGTGGGCTATCAAGGCAACACCATCCGGCATCCGGCCAAGCGGGGTCCAGCCAGGCACAAAGCATCTGCTCCACACCCCGACGCCCGCTCTCCCGGATCTCATCCCATCACCCTGGCCTGACTGACTGACCTCATCTGACCACACCGCATTCCTCCCCATGCGACGAACCCTGCGCCGCTCCTGCGCCGCATGCGCAAAGTTCAAACACAGCTGCGACCTACGCACCCCGCGCTGCTCCCGCTGCATCAAGCGGAATGTACTCTGTGTCTACGCCAACGAACCACTTACAGCCACGGCCACGGGACGGGCAGTCCCCGGCTCTGAAGAGCGCGGCTCAGCGCGGCTCCTCGATGGGTCGGGGACCTTGACTTGGTATAGATTTGGGTCTCTCGATCCGTTTGACTCGTACCCGTCGACGAGGTTGCCGCGAGGGCATGTTCAGCGGTTGATTCATAGTTGTACGCTGCCCTTTCCTCCCTGGCCCGCTCTCTTACTTGAACCATGTGCTCAACTCCGATATAGTCCTCCACAAAATCGCGTTCGAGTACTACCCTCTTGACCTAAACGCGTCGTCGAATCCATTCCTCGTCTCGTGGTGGCCCCTTGCCCTAGGCGACCCCGCACTCTTCCACGTTTCACTGCAGACGGCGTGTCTCGATGAAGAGCTACTAGCGCAGCGAGGCTTTCATGCTTCTGAGATCCTCATGGCTGACTCGGTTGCGTTGCTGCGGCGAAAGGTCGAGGACCCGTCTCTTGCCGTGCAGGATGGGACGATGAATTCGGTCATTACCTTGGCTGCTATTGAGGTAATGCCCCTGATCTACACCCAGGCCCATCTCGAAGCACACCACTAAAATGCGGACAGTTCGGAAAGGGAAATACGCAAGTAAGCCGGATGCATGTCGATGGCGTGAAGAAGCTCGTGGATATGCGCGGTGGCATCAACGCTGTGCGACAGACCAGCCCTCTGACTGCAAGGATGGTTAGCTGGTACGTATCCTCCTCTCTGCTCTCTAATTTCCATCTGACCGACATCAGGGTCTCAATGCTGGTCATGGGCCATCCCCAATTCAACACACAAGACGACCACGGCATCGGCGACGGCATCCCCATCGTGCCGGAATGGCAGATGGATCTTACCTCGGGGTCTAGCTCTCCACCTCTCGACCCCTCCCTACTCATCGACGAATTAGACATAGACCCCCCCGTCAAAAACGTCCTCCTCCGCCTCCGTGCCGCATTCGACCGCGCAAGGAATACTCCCTTCCAATCCACCCGCCTCCACGACCTCACCTGCTTCGTCATCCACAGACTCCTCCTCTCCGCGCCGCATTCCACGACGCAACCGCAACCGCAAATACGGACTTCCCCAGCAACCGAAGCGATTCGCTACGCGATCATCCTGTACATGTTCATCATCCACGGCCCGACGTATTACTCGCACGCGGTGATTATGAATGCGACCGTTGGTCGGTTTATAGCGAGTCTTACGGCTCTTGACCTCGACGGAGCACATCACACACCAGATGCCTATTCGCTAGATATCTGGTCGACAGCAATCGGACTCGTCGCGTCCGCGGGCACACCGTCGTATACCTGGTTTCTGCGACGGGCACAATCTCTTCAATCTCAATCAAACTGCCACACCTCTTATTCCGGCTTACAAGGATTCCAGTCTTGGGACGACGTCCTGGTTCATATAAGATCCATCCTCTGGATGGAGACACCACAGGCAGAAGGGGTTTTCCGACCACATTGGGACGCGCTCCTTGCAGCCTCCAGTACAACAGAGCCAAGTATATGTGGGGGTCGGATGAGTCCTGAAATGTCCTCCGTTTCTGCTCCCCCGCTTTGTTTTGCGGATACCAATATTCCTGCGACTGTCGCTGCCACTGTTTCGCCAATAAATTTGAGTTTGAGTCTCAGTTTGGTGATGCAGGGTGATATGGAAGCTCGTGGGTGATTCTGGCGTGTTATGTAACTTGAATCGGGTCTGCCTTGTCTGTTGCTTTATATGCGTAGCGTGGTGGCTTGGATGGGTATACGTATACATGGGTGCGGGACGCCTACTACAGTACTATGAGACATCCAAGGACTCGGTATCGATTCCGTACGAGTCCATAGCTAGCTTTCTTCAAATGATGTCCAAATCACACAAGTTGACACTTATCACTCGAATCTAGGGCGGAGCTGGTTAGCCCCATGTCCTGTACATGGATAAATAATACTCTACTGATAGTTCGTAGGTATGGTATCAATGCACTGACTGCGTGACAGCCCAACCCATCCATGCCTGCATCAAGCTCGTAGTCCCGACTCGCCGGGGCCGCCGAGTATTTCTAAGAACTACCCCACGTACATAAACTCGACTCCGTCTTGAGGCATCTGCATCGGCACAATGCCTACTATGGTTCCAAGGGAGTTTGCTGTTCATCTTCCTATCTGCACTACGGAGTACATCGTTTCAAGTTATCTCGCCGCGGGCTAGAGCCCAACGTACGTCCACTTAGCTAGGCTCGCGGCGCGGATGGACGTGGGCCATCCATCCAGGCCCAAACACAATGCAGGCTTCATATTCATACTACTTTAGGAGAGGCTGAGGCGCTTCGTCGAGGGACGGGGGTTATTCGGGCTACGCGACTTGGGTCAAAAGAGGGTTGGCGGAGAATTTGGGAAATCCGCGTCGTGTCTGTGCTCCAGCTTGAAGTGGAGCATGCGGATGTATTTTAGGTGGTAAGAGTTCAAAAAACAACTGGCAGTGGGAACGTGAGTGAAGGGTGGTGGACTGGGCTTGTACTTGTATGTGGTTTGGGTTTGTGCGTTTTTGGCAGCGAGGGTTGCGGCTGTTGGGTGGGGTGTTGGGAGAAAAGCATGGGAAGGGCAGGTACTCTGGGATTAACTGGTATGCTTATCACTGCATACATATGCCAGAAGTAAAAAGGAGAGTGAGTGAGGGGAAAAGAAGGGAAAAAAAATTGGCAAAAAAAGTGGAGCAGCTGGGAATCGAACCCAGGACCTCTCCCATGCTAAGGGAACATTATACCACTAAACCACAGCCCCAATTAGATGATAGGCGGTCCAGCCATTGATACTATATGCGAGCGTTTTCCAACCGTCCTCTCGTCATCTCAGTTCAATGATCAGCATTCTATTGACAAAAATATTGTCGGCATCAGACCTTGGTAATATAGTATTGACAATGGTCCAAGAGTGTAGCAGGCTTCTCAGTACTAACGCAGTGATTTTTGCAAGTATAATTACCTCTACTCGGCTTCGCTGCTGAATGTGTCAACTGAGTTGCTTCCTGCATATAAGCTTCTCGCGATATATATATATATGTTTCTACCCCATGTAGCCCTAACTACTCACTCGGAAGCCTTCAAGGGCCTACCCTTGATCCCCCAGTTACAAGCACAAAATGAACAATAGTATATAATCTGCTCTCTAACAGCCACCTTATACCACTCACTCATAATGATTAACCCCGACGTCATCGCTCTGTATGGCTCTGACAATGCCGTTATCCGGTCACTGAGCTCGCGATAGATAATGAAGATCCACCCAATACTTCTAGAACATCCCTAGTCTCGCACTCGGCCTCTCCCATTCCACAGCCACGACTGCCCATATCCGCGGACAATAAGCACAGCCCCATTAATTAGTCCCTATGACGACATTGCTCGACCCTCGCCCCAATCCCCAGCTCGACACAGCCGCACTCCAAGGGGCTAGCTGCCGGATAGCCGAAGCCAAGGAATAGCCAAGCACGCGGCTCGCTTGAATTCCAGGCTAGTTTCACCCTGGTGCTGGCGCTGAACCAACCAGATCCCATACACTCAACTTTAGGTCCCGCTGCTCAGGGCCCGGGCCAATCACATGGCTGACATAGATTCGAGCTGTTGCCCTGCCCCGTCGAAATTGCCCGGCGGCCCTGGCCCCCATCGGAGGTGCTACCGCTGCGCGTGACCTCCAGGGCTGGGCTCGATGTGATTTAGTCTCGTTGGGCAGGAGGGCGACTCGGCACAGGGGTCCGGGTGTGGGTGAGTGGAAGATTAGAATCATCCGGACCAGGCAATATATAAACACGCCCATTCCCCGTGTTCCTGCTTGATCAAACGGTAGACGAAACAGACTCGATTCCGAATGCCATCCAACCCCAGAATGCAACTGCTCATTCTATGCACTAAAGATGATTTCACTTAAGACTGTTCTTGCTATCTTTGCGGTGCTGCCGGGTGGTAAGTTGCCTTTGCATCATCACTGAAGCTCATCATTGCTAACCATACCCCAGGCGTTTACGCCCGAGAATGCACAACAACAACCAACAATACCCCACTCACCATCTCGACACCATCTGATCTAACCGTCTTCGACGGCTGCACGTCCATCACCGGCGACATCGTTATCGACACCTCGTTCAGCGGCTCCTTCATCCTTAACGGAGTTACTCACTTCAATGGGTCGATCTCCATGGATGAGAAGGTCTGGGCCATTGACCTCCTCGCGATTGAGATGGTCGATCTCCTGGAAATTACGAGGCTGAGGCTCCCGCAGTCGTGGGGCCTTAAGAGTCTGAATCTCATGAATGTTCAGCATGTGGAGGAGCTATCGTTTATCCAAGGCGTACAGGACGCTGTGTTTGATCTAAATGCGCTAAAGTCCGCGGGGAGAATCGAGATGGCGGGATTGTGGACGAGGTATGATACTCACCCTTGTATAGTCGGAAGCCTTCTCTAGACACTAATCATGGATCCATAGCATATCCCTCCCCACGCTAGAAACAGCCTCTAGCCTCACAATCGCCACAGATCCCTCCTGGAACCCCACGCCGCGAGCCCCGCTTCGAATCCACCTCCCCTCGCTAAGAGAAGCGGGCTGGATGAGTATCCGCGGCTATGTGAGCAGACTTGAGACACCGGAGCTGAAAACAATTGGCACGCGTGATAGCGCCGAGACGGAGCGGAGCGGGATGGAGGTATACGTGAACTATACGGACCTCAAGGGCGTTGAATTAGTTGCGTTGCAGAAGTTGTATGGGGAGTTGGTGCTTGAGGGGTTTATTTCGGGGTATGCCTGCATTTTTCTTTTCTCTCTTGCTACAATCCCCGGTCATGATTTGAGTACTGACGAATTCATTACAGAGTAACTCTCGGCATCATGTCCGAGACAAACGCAACAATCACAATCCACTCCTCATCCTCCATGTGGATATCATCTAGCCTGGAAACCGCGGGGGTGATAGACATCTCTGGCGAGCTTGAGACGTAAGTCTCTATGCCTTCTCCTCCCAACAACTCCAAGAGTGACACTGACAAAATGCAGCATCAACCTCGCAAACCTCATCTCCGCCCAGTCCTTGACTATTGACTCAACTACAACAACTACATGCCCCTCAAACCTCATCAAACTCTACGAGAACCTAAACTCCCCTTCAAAAGCCACGTTCTGCGATGACGGGTCTACCTCCACATCGACCTCAAGCCTCGGCGACGAGCTATTTGACGACGATTCCTCACCAGGATATACACCCCCTTCCTTCGACGACCTCTATGGCAACTCGGACTCCTCCTCGCCAAGCTCGCCCCGGAACCACGGGATCCCAACGGCGGTCATCGTGTGTATCCCGCTGTTTACTTTCTGCGGATGCATGATTGCGGTGTTTTGCTGTGTGACCAAGTGTGGGCGGCGGAGGGAGAGTAGGGAGTTGAGGGAGGCGCTGGCGCATGAGCGGGGGCAGGGAGGGAATGCTGCCGGAACTGGACCTGTTGATGTTGAGGCGGCGGTTCAGCAACTTCAACCTGCGATTGTGAGGGATCGATTTAGTGGAAATGGAGCTGGATACGGAGCTGGACATGGAGCCAATAATGGGCGTCCATATGGGCTTTATGAGACGACGGATGATTTGCCGCCGGCCTACTCAGTTGATAGCAGGTAGCGACCTTTTATTTATTTTATTTTGTATTTTTTTCAACACCATGCTAGTGACTGCGGCCGCCCCTAACTTCAGAGAAGCTGGTGAGCGGTCAGCCCGATTACGTATATAAGCTTTTTGCGCAACTCCCCGTCCATCATAACACTGCGACACTCCTTCCCTCACCAGATCACCTACTTTACCCCTCACTCTTTACCATCTTCTATTCCCTCTCCACCACCCATCATGTGCATTAGGCACTTGAAAGCGTTGAAAGATGCGGTCAAGAATTCCATCGCCGCCAGGAGAGACTCCATCAGGACGTCGCTTGTGACCAAGCCATCACCAGAAGAAGACAAAAATGCCAGTGTAAGAGTGATTGAGACCCTCATTCCTCTGCTCCTAGCCCACGCAGGCCCATATGTAGCCGACACCAGCCCAGGTGCGATTCAAGGCTTGGCGCGGAGAGAATATGAGAAATTCCGACTCAGCGTGGACCCTCTTGATCTCAGCAGGGACCCGGGTACCTCCAAGTTCTTCTTCCAGATGAGCCGACTGGAAATCGAACAGCTTCCCGAGGGTCCCATCTCGGACCGGGTCCAGAACAACATGGAGACCATGCGCGATGTTATAGATCACGGAACGCCATTCTTTCGAGAACAGGGATCTCCCATGCGAGGGCATGTGCAGATCCTCGAATGTTACTTCAGGCATACCATCATTCTTCCCCGCATCGGCCCGAAGAACCAGAGGGCCAAACTAGCTTTCTTTACAGGCTGGAAGATGCTCCTGTGAGTTGCGTCGCAACAACTGATTATGATATAACTGTATTGGATGTGCAGATGATCTAATAATCACTCTCATACAGGGGCTACTCGCCGAGGTGCAGCCGTCCGTCGCCCATTAGGCCTGATTGGGCGTGCACGAATGGCTGGACCTGCAACGATAGCCGTTTCCCACACTTCAAGGCAACCATGTGGACAGATGCCAATGCAGTTGAGCAGGAGCCACTCCGCGCCGAGGTGGCCACCATTCTGGGAATCATGGCCGAGCGCCATAGGGCGGAGGAGCTGCGAGCACACACCATCATCCCCGTACGTATATATCTGATGTGTGCTTGGATTATGAGCCCAAGCTTCCCATCCATTGATCCGCATCAGCCCGTGCTAACATTTTTTGGTCCTGCTAGGTGCTGCTCGTCTCGTTTGTCGGTCCACGCCACGCTCGCATTCTCCTGGCGCATTTCGACGGGGAAAGGCTGAAAATTGAAATGTCCAAGCTCCTTCCCATCACCACAGATGACAACACGAATATGGACACATTGATAAGGTGGTGGGCCGCAAAGGTCAACCGGACGGCCACCACCACCGAGCCCTTGAAACATGCAGTGGAGAATTTACCCCACAGCACCTCGAATAAGTGTCCTGACTGAGGGGTGGGCTTTTTTTCTTGGTGAATTTATCTCTCACTGTTTCTCTCTCGCCCGGCTGGTGATTGTCTTGGTGGAGGTCGTCCTTCTCGAAGGGAGTAATTCAATGACGGGGTTTTTCAGAGATAACAATCGCCCTTTGTTCCAAATCGTCTTCAATGTCCACAGAAAGGGCGTAATACCCATTAACAACCAGAAGAGTCTCTTGAGATTATGAATTGAAGTCAAGTCTTGAAAGTCAATTTCCATTGTTCGCTAGCAGTGGAAAGACATTGAGAATATCTAGATCAATGAGTGTAGTTTGTTTGAAGTGATAGAAGAACGCCTTATCGCACAATAACAATGCCATTGCCTACATCTCTAATATCAAGACCAGTCCCGCTCATACCGAATCCTCTTCACCGATAACTCAGCCTCATCCAAACTCGCCACCGTCCGCTTCTGCAAGTGCACCATCTCGCGGTTCAACACGGGAAGCCGAAGGAGGAAGAGCTTGGTGTACGCCGCAGCGGTGGCCGCCGCGTAGTTATGCCACTCATCATTCTTATGCGAGTCCGCGTAGTCACAGATTCCCGGGATTACCAGGCAGCGCCCAGTCATCATGACGCCAGCCCCTTCCATCTCGAAACAGATGACTTTCAACGTCTGGGCAATTCGATCTCGCGTCAGTGCGTCTTTGATCACTTGGTTTCCAGAGGCAATACGGCCATAGTGGATGCGGGTCCCGGGGATCGAGGCTTTCTGTTGACCTCGGGGCCACTGCAGTTGGTGCATGTTTTGTGGCCAGGTTCGTGCTTGTAGTGCGGCTCGAAGAGTCTGTCGTGGTCTTGACCAGGGTCTTTGTATTCCGAGCGTAAGTTAACTATCTGTTGGATGTGCGGCTCGAGGCAATCATGCGTATGGTACGGGTCGGACTGCAACAAGCTTACTGCCGTCATAAGTGACCTGGCTGGCCTTTGCGCGAGCGCAGTGCTCTCAAAGCTGCTGCCGCCCTGCATTGCCCGGCCCATGTCGTGCTGAATCACACTTGTACTGACGATTACATCACCAAGGCGGATATCATGCCCGCTCGAGGGCACGCCTCCCCCGACTCCAACAACAAAGTGCCACTTCACTGCAGGGAAGCTTTTCTCTATATCTGATGCGACTTTCGACGCAGCGTTCGTACCGTATTCTTCACTGGGTAGACAGGCAGCAACGACGTTGTGGTTGCCCATAGAGCCTAGGGCATATGTATTCGTACCATTTTCGTTTGTCGGCAGGTCACCATGAGAACAGTCAAACAGAGCTCTCACAGCAAGTAGCTCCTTAGAGAGCGCGCAGATGATAGCGACCCTATAGTCTTTGTGTGTAAATCCAGCGAGATTTGGTCCCTCTATGCTCCTCTGACGCTCGGGAATCGCCGACGACCGGAGACTCGAACCGAGCCCGCTATCAGCTTGATCATTGCCGTCTGATTCTTCATCCGAGAGGGGAAGGCTTCCTCGTTCGGGTTCTCCTGTGTCCCTCCAGATCCATTCAGACTGGGAACTGTGGCCGAAAACCACAGCTCCAGTGTAGGTGGTGTTTTCCAGCTTCCAAAACGAAGCGGATTCTCGCCATACTGTCCTCGTGGGCTCACAAGGAAGATCCCCATTTTCGATGTGACGGCACCTCGGACTAAATGTCGGTTCAGAAGGATGCCAAACAAAAGACGTGGGCCCCGAATGCATGAATAGCAAATGTCCAGAGCGGTCAAATATCCTCTTCAAGTCTCCCATACAAGCCAAGTAATACCTATCACATGGCAAAGTCCTCCAGTGACTACAGAGGTCGTTTGTCGCGCTGGGTTCGACCAGATCCCCAAGATCTCTGCCAAACAAAACCACTGCCTGGGTTGCGCGGATAAAATCCACCCAACCTTTACCAATCGTCTTCAACTTGGCAAGGCGGGGATAGATTGGGTCTTCCTTCGTGGCGATATCTTTGAAGTCCCAACCCTCGAGATACCTTCGGGGAACATCTCGGAGCTTCACACCGTCTTTGCCACAGATCATGATTTGATAATCCAGCATCTTTTCGACTACCTCGTACAGGTCGTTGAGTCGATCGCGAACTCGATAGTAATGAGGCTTGGAACACCCCTCGGAATCATCCTCATAAAGCGCCAAGTCAAGATTCCTTGGGTTCATAAGCACCTGCAAGGCTGCAGAGACTGTATAAGGAGCTTTGGCTTCCTCAAACGTCGCTGGGTCAAAGAGGAATGCGAAGGAGAGGTCGTCGACTTGGTTAAACCGCAGTGAAGCACGGAGGAGATGAAGCAGGGCACTGGGGCCATTTACCAACCACCCCCGCTTAGACCCGACGTCCCAGAGCACCATATATCGCCTAGATAAAGCTTCAAGTTTAGCTCTCATAGTCCCACGAGTGACCAGAGACGATATATCCTGGTTTCCAAGCGCTGGTTTCCGATCAGATTTGATCAGACGCCCTTGCGATATCGAGACCTCCTTCAACTGACTGTTCTCATGGACACCCCTTAGCCAAGATCGACCAATATCATAGTTGGCATCTCCAGAGCCTATACAAATCAATTGCCTTTCCAAACATCGTGTCCGCAGAAGCTCACGTACCTATCATATACCTAACTTCCGTGCTCCACCCAACAATATGCCGACAAGACTCCAAGTCGGATATGCTGAGATTCTCCTTGAGGATACCCTTGCTCTTAAGGTATGAGAGGCGACCTCGGTCTGTCCAGAGAAGGTGCCACACGATGATATTACCAACGTGCTGAGTCGGAAACAGCATCATCGCGAACGCCTTGATGTACATTTTATTTCCAAAGACGCTAATGCGGTCTGTCGATAGAAGGCTCGCCATAGTATCTAGCCCAATCTCTAGTCCAACACCGTATTTGGGCCTGCGTGGAATAGGATACCCAGCGACTATCACCGGGCAACCAAATAGCTTCTGCCAGCACTGTCCGTTGAGCCTGGTAGGTGTTTCCTGGACGGTATGGATATCGAAGGTGATGTTGCAAAAGTTGTTATACCAGTCTGCTCACGGGACAGGCTCGTCCACATTTCACCCAGCGATGCGCGGACAATGTTGACCTGGGCATTGTTGATGGGCGATCGAAAAGCCGCTGCCAGCCACGCAAGCTGTTCTCCAATTTCTGCAATGGACTCTGCTATGCCGTTGACTTCGACTGTGAATTGTGGGCCGCGCGGCAACACGGCAATATGTGTTCCATCTGACAGATCATCTTCCGAGAGATGAGTGATGTTTCTGAGTGAAGGTGTGCATCACTTACATGTACATGGGGTATCGAAATCGTCCTTGACAACATCTTTCATAATGCGAAGAAAATGATGACCAGTACTCGGCCATACTTGGCCCAGGTATTGTGCTGCTGTGATTGCCTGGGCATCCACACTGCATCCAGTAATGGTAATCGCTCGCCCCAGTGCATTGTACGGTTCCTCGGTGTATTCCTGCTCCAATAAGAATGAACGCGGGTCCCATTTTGTTGAAAGTGTCAGGCTATGTCGTGGGGGCGTGTCAATCCACCTTGACTTGGGCAGATGCTCAATAATCGCTGTTCGGATGCCAACAGGCTTGCCCTCCGGCACACTCAAATAGAGCACCTTTTGAACACTTCCCAGAAGCCACTTATAAGCGGGTAGCTGAATAATGAGGTCCCTGAAAACAGAGATTTCTGGAAGGGAGCGCATGGGGTAAATTGACCTGCTGCTCCGGCTTTCACCATCAGTATCGGCTGGCGCGTCATTGATACCCCTTTCGGTCCTCTTTGGAGTTGTATCACAAGCGGGACCAGATACGTCTTCTTCATCCGTGCTCAGCAACTCACCACCCAGGATGTACTCTTTTCTGTATTTGTTCCCCGCCGCCCGAGTGATCTCACTGTAAGTTTCTGTCATCGTCTGTATTATAGTGGCTCAGGGAAGTGGCCACTTACTATCTATGTTTCCGGAGAAAAGACGTTGAATCCTGCACCACTTGCGCCACAGCACCCGCTCTAGCTTTGAGCGTAAATGTCTGTAGCAACTCCGGAAGAGCGTCGCACAATTCGCTCAGGCCTATCTTTTCAGGCTTCTCCCCCAAGGCCCCGCTCAACAACTCGCCCGCGAACAAAGAAATATAGGGATCCCTTCTAGGCCTCTCGAGGCCCACACCGTGATCTCAACGATCTAGGAGGCATACTGCTGCAGAAGCTGCAGCTAGCCCTGCGTATGCTGCCCAAGAGCTAAACCTGTGCCCATCCATATGATGAGCTACTCTTTGCACCATAATTACGGGCAGATAGTGAAAAGGCCCTGCAGCTCGCGACTCAAAACCAATTACACCGTGCGTCTTGGAGAGCTGGTCCCGAGACTGCGGAGTCCACGAAGCATTTCCCACGTGGATAGAACCAAAGTGAACAGCAGGGTGTTGCTCCAGTCGTTGGTGGCAATCGTGGGGCTTCATATAGCTAGTCTCACATTCTAGCCCCTCGCATGAGGAGAAATATGTTGCTTTGCGGCATGGTTCAAGACCATCCTCGCATTCACTACATTGACTATCACGGTGTTTGTGTAAGTAATCCGCTGGGAATATCTTGCGGGCCTCCGTCCTGAGCTGCTGGTACCCCTTGCACAACGGGTGCTCAAGCGTGGCAGCCAGACCTTGGGTTGTAGCTTCCTGGAACTGCTCTTTTTGTGACTCCAACTCCTCGACAAATGCCCGAGCACGAAGGCGCCGGCCCTCGAATTCTCTGTCGAGCTTTCGGTCCTGCGACTTTGCATTCGGGCTGCTATCATGGTCGAAGTCAGGTTCCTCGACGATATCACTTCCAACAATGACGTCGCCGAGAACAATGCTAGTATCCGACGTGACGTCGTGATTTTCCGCAAAAGGGACCGCCGCGCAGCGGCCAACGAGTAGAACCAGCTTGACTGCCTTGAAGTACTGTGCCAACGTATCGATGTGCATATAGTGATCCATGACAAGGTCTCCCTGATCACGATCTGCCAGGAATACTCTGTGCCGTCCGATCTTGCCTATTGCGTACGAGAATTTCTTGGAGTCTGGTGTCCGGACTGTCCGCTCGTGAATCCCATCGCAAAGCTGCCTGACGGCGATTCCGGTTGATCTCGAATCGCATACGATGACAATTTCATCATCTGTCGCGATGATTGGGTCGGAAGCCATCGCATCTTAGGCGCGACACGGCGAAATCGGAGCTCGTAGTGGCGTAGCGATTGAACCTCGAAAAGACATTAATAGCTGGTTGCAAAACACCTTTCATCCGTTTCCATTGACTGTAAATGAGGAAAATTGTCCGAGCAAGGCCGCAGTGAGAGCGCCTACGTTAACCCGCTCGTATCAGTCGGAGTAGGGACTGGTCTCCATTGGTGAGCGCGAACCGTTGCCAATGCCATCCTGCAGCCGGGCAGCTGAAAGCAAACAGCAAATCTCAACACCATTAGGAAGATTTGTTTTAAATGTGTTCATCAAAAATCAGAAGCGAATTGGAAGAGGTATGTCAAAAAGCGCACATTATCATTTTCCCGCACTCCAGTTTCTTTGTATGAAATATGCTCATCGTGATTCGCGTCAGCACTATGTGTTCCATATACCGAGTGAAGATTTGCGACAGACACACAGCCTTACGAAGAACAGCGCAGCATATGAAGACAAATCCCGATTCTGAATATGGCATACGACCAAGGCGCACGCTGCAAAATCTGCGTCGACCCCTTGTCTAGCTTTGATGAGCGCTGTTTCCTCTTCATTAAATCAACCGCTTGTATGCTCTTTCGACATGTCTCTTTCTTTGCCAGAAGCTAACTAGTGGCCAGATGGTACCCCCCCGAGGGGGTCACGATTCTCAATGGGTAAACCTTCCTTGACCCCATGGTCCATGCAACAAACATAATTTTGAACTCCGAGGGAATGCCGAGATAGGCCTATGTACAGCTACATGCCCATTTAAATCTTGCTTTGGACCAGGTTGGAATGAGCGTGCAATGTGTCGGCTAGCGAAGGGTAGTTTCGGGGAGGCGTCAACCGGTAAGTGACCTTCGCACTTGGCCATGGCCTGATGTATGAGAGGAACGCCGATGCTAAGCACTTCTCAGTGCGTCGCCTTTCGTGATCCATGATTCTCTTCCTTGCCTTCTTCTAAAATGGTACCAACAAAGGTGTGCTTTGAGGATATTGCGTCATGCGATATGAGGCCACAATATGTAACGAAGCCGGCTGGAGCATTGAGTCGGGCATTGACGGGCGTACCTGCTGATGAACCGGTCGGGGCGATAGACTGCCGAGAAGCTTATAACCCCGAGTACTTGCTTTGCCGGTCCGAAGAAACTTGGCACCCGTGTCGAGCCCGAGATGCCAGTTGCACGTTTGCGACTGTGCTTGACAGAGGACGGCAATGGCTTGAAATCCGGCTTCAAGCCGATGATGACATACGTACAGATAAGCGAGTCAGACGTCCACCCTGAGTGGCAGCACTAGGCTCCGAAAAGAATGCTAGGGTCGCTCGCTCGTAGCCCCGGGGGTGGCGGTGCCCGTCACGAAGAATGTGCTTCGTCTGTCCATTCTGAGAACAGGACCGGCTTTGGCCATTCGAGACTTGGAGAAATTGGGGGATCTTCAGGCCGGTTACTCTGTACATCGTCCGTCAGATTGTGAACTCGGCGGGCGGCAACCAACATGGCTGATGCCTGACGGCCCTTATCCCTTGCGTCGTCAAATCATGTCTGGACTCATGGCGAACGTTTGACATGCATCCTGATAAGCTCGTACGTGTACACTCAGTGATATGAAGCCGGGTAGAGGTCGGATCAAGACACGATAAAGAGAATTGGCATGATCGTAAATATGAACCGCTTATGCTGCATCATGCTGATTTGGAGGTCAATGCGAGTCATAAATTAAGAGCGACAACGCCATGATCCTTTCGAGGGACACGCGATGCCGCGAGGCCGCGACCCCAGGATCCATGACTGACTGGGTACGGAAGCTCCTAATGCGGTAATCCGTCTCTATCTCCCACTCCGACTCGATCGGCTCGGGCGCAGCCGAAATCACGATGGTGGTCAGGTTTGAAAGCCGTGGCGCAAGTTCCCATGCCGATGGAGCACAAGTTTCGGGAACGAGGGGCTGTAATTCGACGGTCAGGGCGCTGAAAGCGTTCAGACGCTAACCGCAGAGAGCCTAGCAGAGCACAGCCGGCTAAATTCTCCTTTCCCTTGGAGCGAGGGAAACGAGGAGTGCCGCCGATTGCGGGTGCCCGGCGGAGCATTGTGTGACTCGCGTGGGCCAGTGAGAGGCGCGGCTGGGGAAGGTCGATTGTGGCGTGCGAATGGCTTCAACGTCGAACGTCGTCAAAAGGTTCGGAATCGTCGATCTGACTGAAGCTGTTGAAGATGCCATCGACTATCAGCATTTTCTCTTCCTTGGTTCTGCAGAAACAAGGATCATTAGAAATGCCTTGGCTATTGCTAGGCATTACCTGAAGGCTGCTTGGTCAAGGCTTGGAGTTCTTGTGTGCGGGCGAACCCTGCTAGCCTGAGGCGCCGGGAAATGCCCAGAGTTCTCGGCTCGCGAAGATCCGTTCCTTCCCTCAGGCACGACGACATCCCATTGACACACCAATACTACGGCACAAAGTCAAATTGACAAAATTCATAATTGATTTTGAGTTGTGACTCAATTGTCACTTGACCTGTCATACGGCATCAGTGCATTTTGATTGACCTCTTCGAGAAGCCTCCTTGCGTTATACCACATGATGACTGCATGTTTGAGCTTCAAACCCACAGACGTGGACGGCTGACCTGTTCCCGTTGGCTTTCGGTCGGCCTCTGCCCTTCGGCTGTTGTGGAGAATTTGCCGGATGAAAATGAAACTGGCCTTGAGAACAATGGACGAATGAGATTGAACCAAGAGCGTACTCCGTGCCAACGACGGCGGACAACTTCAAACATGAGGCCATCCTGGTCGACGATAATAACACGGAATGCGACATGAGTATTCGGAAAAACTCCGGCATACAGCATCGAAAAGTCAATTGTTCCTATGTCATGAATGAAATTTGGAAAGCATTGTTGGAAGAGATGAAAAGACAAGGTATAGATGAACAGGCGAGCGAGCACCTGGCGATTTGGGACTCCAAACTCCCGCGTACGTAAGTGCTACTACTTTGGCGGAACCTGGAGTCTCCAGGCGACCCCGGATTTCGCAGCCAGTGGGTGGCTAGCAGGTGTGGCAACGGCCGAGTTGCAATTCACTCGCCAGGACCAGGCCCTCGAAATCGTCTGATCAAGTCGCAAGAGGCAGGAATGAAGGCTTCACTTTCTAGTCTTCATTCTTTTGATCTTCCATTCCTCGTTTCACCATGCGACTGCCACGCGGAGCGGCCAAGCCCCTGCAATGACAGCTCTCGATTCACCCCTTGCGGCAGATAAAAGTAGAACAATGCCTAGAACTGTTACTCCAGCCTCGGAGAATAAATCAGCAGCATGGAACGAATAACGAAGAACCAACACTGTCGGGCTCAGGCAAAGGAGTCCTGAAAACCGGGTTGTCCAGAAGAGGCTAGTCTATGACGGCATTGCTTCTCGCAAACTCGAACTCTTGACTTTTGCTTGATTGACTAAGCTCACGCCCGCCGATCCCAGGAACTTGGCTGTATTGAGCCTATCAACGTCATTTCTGGAGGCCGGGTTGGCTGAGACGGTGCCTGGGGCCTTGGGCAGGTGATGGGGTGGATTCTGGTAGAGCCAATGACAATTGAGGCGGAGAAACTGGAGAGAAGATGGGGGAATTCGCTCAGAAAGCCGCGCCCGCCAGATCCGAAGACAGCCAGGAGATGTGGAGTCCCCATCAGGGATCCTGGCCAATGACGTGCGCTATACAGGCTGACCCTTTTGTCATTTTCGAATATCTGGAGCGGAGTTTGTTGAATGCTACCTCTCCAATTGACTCCTTCGTCATGGATCGCTGCTGTCTGCTGTCTACTGTCTCGTTACTTTGGCCCGTGGCTTCTGACTCGCCGCGTCCGTCAAATTAAGTTGTCTGCCATGGGCGATTCTCTGAGCCTCCTGCTACCTTTAAAAGCCATCCGTGTCCTCGTGCAACCCTCCGTTGATCTTCTCCTTCTTCTCTTCCTCCCCAACCTTCCTTCGCCTTTCACTCTTCCTCCCCACTGAGAACTTGATCTCTGTTCTCACTTTGGATTCGGTGTTCTTCCCTTTCCTTACAGAGCACGTTGAGAAGGAGCTTACTGCTGGCTCAGGCACGCCGCTCTCAACATGGCGCGCAAGTACTTGGGCCTCCAAGGTGAGGCGTTGCAGATCGCCATCGGTGTTATCGCCGGCATGGACTTTTTGCTCTTCGGTTACGATCAGGGTGTTACCGGAGGTCTCTTGACCCTGAATTCCTTCATCAAGTATTTCCCAACGATTGCTACGAGCGGTACCTACTACGATAGTTTGAGCGCAGGTGAAGCGAATAGCCAATCCACTCGTCAAGGCATGTCACTCCAAGCCTGAGATTCAACTGCCTACTGACTTCTGCTCAGGTATTGTCGTTGCTGCTTACAATCTGGGATGTTTCGCGGGTTCGATTCCGACAATCTGGGTTGGAAACTGGCTTGGTCGACGCAAAACTATCTTCCTTGGTTCATTCATCATGGTCATTGGCGCTCTGCTGCAGTGTACTTCCTACGATCTCGCTCAGTTCATTGTCGGACGTCTGGTTACTGGTTTCGGTGAGTCAGCTGCAGCAAAAAATGTGTCAAGCCGGCTAACAACAGCAGGAAACGGCATGAACACTTCAACCGTCCCTACGTGGCAGTCCGAGTGCTGCAAGTCCAACCGTCGCGGTCAGATGGTCATGATCGAGGGTGCGATGATTACATGCGGTATCACCATCTCATACTGGATCGACTACGGTCTTCTCTTCACGGATCCCAGCGAAGTCGCCTGGCGATTCCCTCTCGCGTTCCAGATTTTTTTCGCCCTCATTATACTCGCCTTCGTCATGTTCCTTCCAGAGTCCCCCCGTTGGCTCGTGCTCAAGGGTCGTGAGGATGAAGCTCGCGAAGTCCTCGCTGCTCTGGTCGGTGACGGCGCCGACCCTACCTTCCTTCAGACCGAATTCACTTCGATCAAGGCCACCGTGTTGGAGATGGCCAAGGGCTCCTTCAAGGACATGTTCACCATGAACGAGGACCGCCACTTCCACCGTACCGTGCTCGCCTACGTCAACCAGATGTTCCAGCAGATTTCTGGTATCAACTTGATCACCTACTACATTCCCGTCGTGCTCGAAGAGCAGCTTGGCATGTCTCTCGAGAACTCTCGACTGATCGCCGCTTGCAACGGCACTGAGTACTTCCTCGCCTCCTGGGTTGCCGTCTTTACGATTGAAAAGTTCGGCCGTCGCACGCTCATGCTCTTCGGCGCCGCCGGTATGTCCATCTCCATGGCTATCCTCGCTGGTACCGCCAGTGCCAAAACCGACTCGGCCAACATTGCCTGCGCCGTCTTCCTCTTTGTCTTCAACACTTTCTTCGCCATCGGTTGGCTCGGTATGACCTGGCTCTACCCGGCTGAAATCGTTCCCTTGAAGATTCGTGCCCCGGCCAATGCTCTTGCCACGTCATCCAACTGGATCTTCAACTTTATGGTCGTCATGATCACCCCCGTTGCCTTCCGTAACATCGGCTACCAGACCTACATTATCTTCGCCGTCATGTAAGGCCCCCCCTATAACATTTCCCTCGAGACCCAAGCTAACAAGAACCGATAGCAACGCCTTCATCTTCCCCGTCGTCTACTTCTTCTACCCCGAGACCGCCTACCGCTCCCTCGAAGAAATGGACCGCATCTTCCGCAAGACAACCAGCGTCTTCAACGTCGTCAAGAAAGCCAAGGAGGAACCACACATGTACGGCAAGAACGGCGAGCTCCTTCGCCAGCTCAGCGATGTCGAGGACGACGCTGTCCGCCGCGCGAGCATCCTCGAGCACCACGGCGGCAAGGACCACGACTCTAGCGATGGAAACACCAGTACCACCGAGAAGGTGGAAGTGGCATAAACAAAATTTCTTTCTTCTCTGTTTCAGATTCGGAGGCGGAACCTCGTTGGTGTCTCTCTGAGAGGACATAGCGTGGGACTGGGGAGGAATTAATGCTGCTTCGGTTGGGGGTTCGACGATTTTCTATTACGCTTGATGAACTGTTGCTCACGGGCGAATAGCCATGATGATGGTTCAGTGATGACTTTATACCCCCTCGGCTTGAAGGCCGTAGATTCGAATGAAATCATATTCAATTGTTTCAAATGCTTTTGCCTCGTAAAAGTTGTAGAATATTATATTCCCTGGTCGAGCCTTGGCACATGAGATCCAGGATAGATATCCTCTACCCCGGACATTGCTCTGAGACATTGGGGTAGATTGTCCCTAGCCTCCCCAGTTTGTCATCACTTGGAGATGTCCAAATTAACTCACATGGTTCACAGCAAGGTCGTATAAGATCTTGAGTAACAGCGATCCCACCACGAGTCCGATCGCACGACCTCGGAGAAGATTTCCATCGCACCTTTTAATCTAGACAGGTTGAGCTCAACAATTCCAAAAGATCAAATTTCCGAGATCGGATTCCTGTGCAAGCCTCTTGAGGCTACGAGGTGAGTCACACGCTGGTTGGGTGGATTTCCGTCCCGCCATTCACTTTAGCTTTCTTATCTGATCTCACCAAAAAAAAAAAAAAAGTTCCCTGAGGCCCAAGCTCTCCGATGTCACTCAGCTCTACTCTCTCAACTCTGCATCCCGCGCAGTTGCTGTGCTTGCAATATTGCTAGAGAGTTGGTATCGAGAAGCTATAGTCATTAGAATGACCTCTCATTCAGTTTAGGTACAGTGCTTCCTTCAATTTCCCTCGGAGAACCTACTTCATCACATGTGGTTCCCCGACCTCCGCACTCCACTCTGCTCACCGGGCACCCCTTCAGCTCTGTTACCACAACAATCGCACTCAGTCTTCTAATATGTCCCAGTTCGAGTTAAAGAAAGAGTTGACTCATTTACACAACCCGTCCTCAACGATCTCGCCAGTTTCCTCCGAGTGCGGCCGTCTATCCGATCGGACCGACATCCGTGCATTGCCCTCTCTACCCGCTTCCCTCGGCATATATTACGCCGCTTTTTTCTCTTGACTCTTCGAGCTCTTGACGGTATAACAGATTTGAAGAGAAATATGTCCCTCCTTCAGGCCCCGGACGGGGCAACCAAGAACCCCAGTCGAGAAAGCATACAGGAACAGTCTCGCGACGCCAACAGCCAAGACCACGCACGCTCGCTCAGTCCGAGTCCGAACCAAGATGACCTCGAGTCTGGCGACGATGTAGACATTGCTGAGATTGAGCGCATCTATCGGTACATTTAGCTACCCCAATACCCTCAATACAGAACCACAGACTAACAGGATCCAGCAAAATCGACCTCCGCATTATCCCCGCCTTCTGGACGCTCTACTTCCTCTGCTCAGCGATCCGCTCCAACATCGGGCTCGCGCAGACGATGAACATCGAGACGCACCACACTCTCGGTGAAGTCCTCAACATCTCGCAGCATGAGATCTCAACGGGCCTCGCGCTCTTCTACGTCTGCTATGTCGTCTTCGACCTACCTTCAAACCTCATCATGACCAAGCTGAGTCCGCACGTCTGGATGAGTCGTATTGTCATCGGCGTAGGGATTATTGGGAGCTGCATGGCTGCTATGGAGGCTGCGTGGAGTTTATAGTATGCTCTTCCCTCCTCCTGCTTTCAATTTCATTCCCTCAAACCCATCTGAGCAACAACACGATACCCTCAGCTCCTTCAAACTAACAAAAGCATCCAGCCTCCTCCGCCTCCTCCTCGGCATCGTAATCGCCGGAATGTGGCCCGGCATGGCCTACTACCTCACGCTCTTCTACCCGCCCTCCCGCACAGGGAAACGTATCGGCCAGTACTACACAGCCGCACAACTCTCCGCGGCCGTCGTCGGCCTCGTCTCGGCGGGGTTCCAGAAAATGGATGGCGCCCGGGGCCTCGTCGGGTTTCAGTGGATGTTTCTCGTTTACGGGGTTATTACTGTTGCTGTGGGCATTGCGTTGCTTTGGTGGTTGCCGGATCGACCGAAGCCCCCGGCGGGGGTTGAGCAGGGACAGGGAGAAGAAGAGCAAGAGGGAGAAGGAGATGGACAACGAGGAGAAGGAGGGTCCAAAAACAAACTCACCAAATACCTCCCCTTCCGCCTCCCACAAAGCCGTCCCGTCCTAACAGGCCGCGACGCCGAAATCCACTACCGCGACCTGACACGCGTCTACAAGCGTCCCCGATGGACAGTCCGGAACCTGCTCGCCGTCCTGCTGGACTGGCGCCTGTGGCCGCTACTGATCATGTACTTCGGCGTGGTGGGCGTTGGCATTGGCGTGCAGAATTACGCGACGGTCATCATCCACTCGATCAACCCCTCTCTTTCGGGGATTTCGCTCAGTTTGCTTACGGCGCCGATTTGGCTTGTACGTCCCTTTCTACTTTCCTTCCTCACCTCACCTCGCTTGCGCCAACTTTTCCCTGGAACTATACTAATGATTACTGCTATAGATGGACCTCCTCGCGATCCTCCTCCTAACCCCGCTAAGCGACCGCTTCCACCACAGCCGCCCCGCCTTCTTCATCCTCGGCGCAGCGCTGCAAATCACCGGCCTCCTCATAACAACCTTCACAGGCACCAGCGACAACCCCTGGCCGCGCTACGGCGGCCTGCTGATCATCGGTTTCGGGCTCGGCCCGACAGTCCCGACGACGATGGCCTGGACGACGGAGATCTTCCAGCCGCGGCATGGCGAGGTCGGTGTTGCGGCGGCCTCTGCGGTTGTGTCCGGGTGGGGGAATTTGGGGAGTATACTCACGACGTATGCGCTTTATCAGGGGTGGGAGTCTGATGCGGCTGCGCCGGGGAGGGAGAAGTTTCGCAAGAGTAATTTGGTTATGGTCGGGATTTTGGGCGGGAGTATACTGGCTGCGTTGGGGATGTGGGGGGCTGTTAGGGTTTTCCCGGGAAAGTCAGGAGATGGGGGTGACGGGGAGGGCGAGGATGGGCATGGGAAGATTGTGGATGGGGCGGCGAGGAGGGAGCTTGAGCAGCGGGGGTTTGAGGGTTTGGGGAGAGGGTTCACGAGGTTCTTCAAAAGGATCAAACAGTAGATTGGGATGTTTCTTGGTGCGGGTGATTTACATATCATATACTCTAGATCTGCTTCATATATAGATAGAGTTAGATATAGAACCTTCTGCCTCTCCTCACGCAATTCTCAATCACCATACAACTCAATCAAACCCTCCAACCACTCTCTACAAACCAACCCACGCCCATCCACCTTCTTAAGCGCATCCCAATCCTGCCCGCGAACCTCCACCATCCGGTGTGAAACACACGCCTCACCCACAACCAGAAAATTCCTATAAGTCTCCGCACAAACATCACACAGATCAATCCGCGGACAGACCGTACAAACCCACCGTCCATGGTCGACAGACGGACACACTCTGCACCGCGTACAGACGATATTTGCGTACTTTGCGTTTTCGCGGGTTTGAGGTTTGGGGGGGTCGCATTGTGCTTGTAGTGCGAAGGCGGTTCGCGCCGCGGACTCGTCGTTGAGGTACAAGAGGCATTTTCCGAGGGTGTAGAGGTGGTGTTGATATTGCGGTTTGTTCTGCGTCAGCATGTCTGGGAAGAGGAGGAGGTTGGTCACGAGAGTTGTGGTGCTTTGTCTCAGTGTTGCGGTTTGTTGCTTGGGGTCTGTTGTTTGTGGATGATCACCCCAGTAGCTGAGGATCTTTTCCCGTAGGGAGGGTTTATGACCCGGCGTCCAGTCAAGGACTGTCCGGCCGTATATATCTCGAGAGTGGATGTTGCGCTGTTTCGAGAAGAGGGGCTCTGCGATCTTCTCTTGCCCGTTCGCTACGGCGTCGTGCAGAACGGATCCTGCATTCCAGTATGACGTCGTCCCGTCTGGATGCTGCATAGGAAGCCATTTGATAAAAGGATCCCGTCTGCTCAAGTCCGAGCCTACCTTCTCGAGCGCTTCTAGCAACAGTTGGATGAGATACATGTTCTTTCCCTCCACGGCATAGTGCAGCGGAGTTTTGAAGTGGAGATCTGTAACATCCAACGGTGCACCAGCGAGGATCAACACCTGAGCCACATCTGTAGAGTCCGCCATAATTGCTACATGCAACGCCGTCTGCCCGTTCGAGTCGACCGCCGAGATATCCGCACCGGCGTCAACGAGGTAACGGACGCTATCCTCAGAGCCAGCAAGAGAAGCATAGTGCAGCGCAGTCCACCCCTCATCGCCCGACAAAGCCCGCACGGAGAGGCCGGCACGGTGCAGGAGCTCAACCATATGTGTCTTCCCACGCGAGGCAGCGTTGTGCATCGCGTTGAGCCCGTCTCGGTCCGTCGTTTCTATATTCGCTCCGCGGTCGATTAGGAGCTGCGCTATTTCTTCTCCGTCTGCGATATATGCTGCAAACATCAACGGGGTGGTCCCGCCCGTATCTACGGCGTCGATATCGGCTCCCCGGTCCAGCAAATGCGCTGCGGCCTCGCAGTTTCGGGAGAGAATCGTCTCATGTAGAAAGGTCCAGCCCCAACTTGCCCGATAGTTAATATCAGCGCCGAACCGGAAAAGGACGTCAATGCACGCCTTATCTCGCGCGTGACGAACAAGCTCATCGGTTGCTTTGTTGATATCGAATTCCACAAAGGTCGTTGCGGCGAAGGTCAGCAATCGTCGCAGAATCCCCGCGTGGCTCTTTTTCACGGCACTTGACAAGAGCACTGTAAGCTCGTCATCCTTAAAGTTGAAGGGGGCGGCAATGCAGCCCAGGATTAAGCGGACGATAGCCTCTTGGGACTGGCTGACTGCGACCTGGAGCGCGTCGATGAGATTCCCGCCTTGCTCGGAATCCAATAAGGCGCGTGCGCAGGCCTCTTGACCAAGTCGGGCTGCTGTCATGAGGGGCGTCTCATCGAGGCCGTTTCTGAGGTTCTTGATGCAACACGGACGATCCAGCATGAGGCGCAGTTCGTCCACATAGTCGCGCTGCACGGCTTCATGGATTGCCGTTGTTCCTCCACCAAGAAGAGCCGGGTTTGCCCTTTTCAGCAGCAACTCAGTTGCGGCATTGCGGTGGCTGTTTCGAAGACACCACGCCAGTGGTGGGAGGGTATCATTGTCCCCTTTTTGATCGGGAGACCATAATGCTCCGCGTGTGTAAAGCTGGGAGGACAACAGTGAGTGGAACTGATGCGAGACCCGAACCAGAGAGTCGAGATCCTTGATCCCCAGATACTCGGCGATTTGTATGGTTATCTCTGGAGGTATGCTTTGCAGGCTCGGCGGTGGCATCGTTCGCACTTGATCGACAGTTGAGGCTGAAAGGCCCCTTTGGGATTTTGCCGTCCCTTTCATACGAAGCGCCTTATGTTGGAGGCCTGGAATACGAACCTCCAGACGCTAGCCCCGAGGCTAAGCACAGGCTGAGAACTTGTCTTGGCGAGGCAGAACTGCTGAGAAACGGGCTGAAGGTGGACAAGCTGCATATTGAGTCCAGGCTCCAGAGATTGTTTCCCCAAGGCTTGCTGAGGCTCTGCGAGCCGAGAATCCTCCATTCATGATTTCAGTAACGTGAGACCGTCTGGAGTGAGGTTCGACCTGAAATCTTGGTGCGGTAGCAGTGTTAGGGAAGGGCAATAACACCGCAAGCATCCTTCTGATCATCATTTTATCGAGACGGCGATAGTTCAACGAATCCCATGGTTCCTTCTTGAACTCATTAGACCTGTACAGTGGAGAGCGCAGCAAGTGCAAATTTACTTCTTGTTACCCGAGGTTATCTACCGCGTAAAACCGACGCCTCAAGAATCGAAATGATAGTATTCGTTCGGCTGGAGATGGATGAGGATGAATTACGTCAGAAGGAAGCAACTTCGATCGGTGCGGAAAACATCGCCACGATCGGATGGTTCCTACCGACCCTGTACCTCGTTGTGCTACGTTGTAGAAAGTACCTCCTGTTCATAGTCCATAATCTATATAAGTCGCTCTGCTTGGGTTTGTACATATTGGGTCAGCTGCTGCGTCCCATTCCCGATAAACGTACTCTGCAGGCTGTGTTCACACAGCACGATATACAACGGTAGTTGATGGCAGGGCCAAGCATAGAAAATGCTACGATGATGTCATCGAGAGAGTCATAGGGACCAGCATGAATCATGTAGTTGCAGATCAAGTTTGTGTTATCCATCCTATTGTCCATTTTCTGGATTGTTCTATGCTATACGTAACACATAACCCCATTACCTAAAGAAAGAATTTGCATGCAAAACCAGCAGGGTTAAGGAAAGCAAAAGGCGAGCTGTGGCATCACATATTCAACACCAAAAGAAAGACAAGAAATCTATATTGCACCACAGAAACTGCCCAGCTGCTCTCTTGTTTCTATACCCAGTTGACGCCGGAGGGTATATGAGCGCTAATATGAATTGTTTTCACATTGTGTCTGATATCAAGGCATTTAGAGACCACCGCAGAGCTGTGTCCATTATTAGTACTTGCTAGTCAAAAAGTTCAAGTAGAGGTGCTTACAGTCTCAACGATGATACCAGTGATTTGGTACGGGTCGGCATTGGAGGCGGGACGGCGGTCCTCAAAGTAACCCTTGCCATCCTTGGCGACCTGGCGGGGAATACGGATGGAGCCACCACGGTCAGCGACACCGTATGAGAACTTGTCGATGTTACCGGTCTCGTGACGGCCAGTGAGACGCTCCTCGTTGCCCTCACCGTAGACGGCAATGTGCTCGACGTGGCGGGCCTCGAGCTTCTTCATGTAAGCCTCGATAGCCTTCATACCACCCTCTGCACGAGTGGAGGCGGTAGAGACGTTGGTGTGGAGACCAGCTCCGTTCCAGTCACCCTTGATGGGCTTGGGGTCGAAGGAAATCTTGACGCCGAACTCCTCAGCAACGCGGTGGAGGAGGTAACGGGAGAGCCACAGGTGGTCACCCACTAAAAAATATGTCAGATCATTTCGATATACCTGGAAAACTTTGAAACATACTCTCGATGCCGTCGCAAGGGCCGACTTGGTATTCCCACTGGGAAGGCATGACCTCAGCGTTGATACCGGAGATCTTGATACCGGCGTACAAACAGGCACGGTAGTGAGCCTCGACGATGTCACGGCAGTAGACCTTGCCGGTACCGACACCACAGTAGTAAGGGCCCTGGGCACCGGGGAAACCACCCTTGGGCCAGCCGTATGGCCAGCCATCGGGGCCAAGAAGGGTGTACTCCTGCTCCAGACCGAACCAGAACTCTTCCTTGGCGTGTGTCTCCATCAGGCGGTTGCAGTCGTGACGGTAGTTGAACTTGTTGGGGCTGCCATCGGCGTCCCAGGTTTCGCAGAGAACGAGGATGTTGTCACCCTGACGGAAGGGGTCGGGGTAGATAGCAACGGGGCGGAGGTAGACATCGGAGTTGTCACCAGGGGCCTGGCCGGTGGAGGAACCATCAAAGTTCCATTCAGGGAGCTCTTCAACACTTGAGACAGGCTTGGAGAGAGTCTAGAGACAAGAACTATTAGTCACGATGCTGGGCAAGGACATCACGTGGAGTGGATAGATGCAGATGCAGCATTAGCGTGGTGGTTATCAGGACCGTGCACGGCGCCTTATCAGCTCGGCAAAACGTTTGCATCGAGTCTTAGTCCTGAACCAGCGCGCCCAACTGCACGCATGGCCGCAATGATGGATTGTGGTGTAATCAGGTAGCTGTTTGCATACCTTGGTCTTGGTGCGAGTGCCGCCGACAGCGTCAATCCAGATGTACTCAGCCAAAACTGATCCTCGCTGATCGAGAGACATGTACTTCAGGAGCTGCAGGGGTAGTTAGTGTGACAAGTTTTCAAGCCTCCGGTTGTCGAAGGCAAGTGTAACGCACGTTCTCCGTGTTGGAGATTGTAGTTGAATCAGCCTGGATAGAAAAAAAAAAGCCAAGGTCAGTTCGCATTCTTCGGCAGATGTCGACCACAGATAAGAAGTGACTCACCATGATGGTTGATATGTGTGGAGGGGTAGAAATAGATTTCTGGGTTGTTCAAAGACTTCAGAGAAGTCAAAGGATGTAACGTCAAAGATAGACAGATGCGCACGACACAATCGAGAAACTGGTGATTGCAGGAGCAAGAGAGAATGGGAGGACGGATTTGACGGGTTAATAAAGAGAGAGGATAGAGGGGGTTGGAGGAGAAGAAAGACTGGAGAGATGCGAGTCACCACTGGTTCTGTGGGTGGGGGGTTATTTAAATAAAATCGCTGCGCTCTGCGCCTTCTTTTTTTTGCCTCCGTCCGGTAAACTATTTTGAAAATTACCGTCAGCCCCCCAGGGCGGTGCTGCTCCTCCCCGTTTCCAGGCGCGCCCTTTGATCCTATTTTCGTTCGGCACTTGTGATAATTCAGATTTTCTGGAAATTATTCGACTTTGTTTCCCGCATTGCTTTTGCTTTTGCTGCCTTATTGCTGCTCCTCGCGCTTGACGGCGCTCATGCTGCGCTTCAAGAAAAAGGCGCAACGTTGAATGGAAGCGCAACGCCGGTGGCTGCAGGTCAGACTGTTGTTACGCCACGTTTTACATTACGCGCAGGACCTTGGTTCGAGATACCTCATTGATAATGATTGAATTTGATCCAAAACTCCCTCGCTGTTGGTATGCTTTTGGTGTTGTGGTGAGGAATACCGGGTTAGGTACACATGGGCTCCCCGGCAACAGGGCTGGAGGCCGTAAGGCACAATCACCACCAAATTCAAGGTTCTAGAACTGAGTATAGGTATGGGTCCATCGACATTCCAGCGTGACTGCGAATAATAATCACGACAATCTCATTCGAACCTGCGCGGACTGCCTTTCCCCCAGAATCGCAACCCCACGCGACGGTGATCGGATTCAGAGACACAAATCCATACCCCAGAAAACCACGTCTGGTGACCCTCAGACGCAAAAGCAACCAGAGCATCATTCCATCCTTTCCGGCGCTGAGAGGACAGAGATAATGAAGCGCAAGCTGTTGGTAAATTATATTATCAACCACTGGTCTGGTCTGCATATCAGCTGCAGGTTGGGCTTTAGTCGTCTGTATAGTGCGACTCCTTAAGGGACCTGGCCAGTCACGCATTAGAAGAAGACGGCAGTCTAGACAGCTCGCTCGACTGCCTATTGGCAAGTGCTCAAGAGCTTGGAGCCAACGGTATCTTAGCCGGACTACTGCAGTGCTGGTAGAGATCGAGTCCGCCCCAGGCAAGGTACGGTGTTCCTGGGCGATAGGAAAACTGGCCACTATCACTATCAGTATCAGCACTTATCAGAGCTGCCCCTCAGCGACCCCGCCATGAGTCGCGTGGGTGGCTTGAAAGCGCGCCTGCCGAAAGAATCTGATTCCGTCCAGACACAGGGCTCCTTTCTAATCATCAAGGAGCTAGAACGAATTCCCTGCACGGAAAAAGAAACTATATCCCTCAGGCCATCGGCTGGCCTCTGCGTTAGCCTCTTGAGGAACGGGATCGATGTCGCTCAGTCGCTGCGAAAATCTCTGAAAGTTACGCACGGCGTAACCGCACATACAATACACCCAATGAACTCTCTCAGCATCGTCTGGTTCAAAATGATATCTGCCATGGACGTTACCGGAGTGTGTCTCCGAATCATGAACAAGAAGCACAGCGTAATGTGGGGCGTGGCGAATGCAGTCACATTCTGGAAGACCAAAAGCGAGAGAGCCGCCAGTGCCAAACCCCCCGAGACCGGACGACGATTCTCCTCGCTTGAATCAAGCTCTGCTCTTCCGTAAAGCTACGATGTACGCGCCCCAAGAGTCCAAAATTCTGGAGAAAGTTCCCAGTGGCAAGCAAAAGGCGTCGATCTGAATTGTCTTAGACCGCGGAGCGCCTGTCTGTAGCAAATGGCAGAGAAGACAAAGTCGGGAGTTTCAGGAATGGAGTGAATCGAGTGGCTGCATTTGGCACCGACATTCCGTTTCCCCGTGTCGGATCATTTCTACCCCATACAGTTGCTGCTCGCCAATATCGTTCAAGTGATTCTCCGACAGAGTAAGCAAGAATGCAGCCTATCCTCGTGCTTCTCGTTGATCTATCAAACTGTCCATGTCTCGCTGCGCTGCAGGATAGTCTGCCTCACCACTCTTGCCATCTGAAACGCCGCCAAGACCAGGCGCTAGAGACGGTTACGTGCAAGGCAGAAGTCGGATAAGCATATCTCCTGGGACGAGGCCATGGCCATCCGAGGAAGAGCCTGAATCTCCCCGTCTCATTTCGCGTCGCAAGTTGCGGTGAATTATCATCCAAGGGCGAGGAGGTCAGATCTCCAAGGAGCGGAAAAACGAACTCAATCACAAGGCCAACTTTACTAACTTCCAGGCTGTCGATGGTCAAGAAATTCAAACGAGAATCAACGGAACGACTTTTTCTTGAGATATTTCTCTCTGGCAGCTCTCTGGAAATCTCTTATCAGAGCACGCTGATTGGTCTGCTGCCACTCTTCATGACAAACTGCGCTGACTGGGATCGGACCGAACAGCGATTCGATGCAAGGAATTTTTCCCCTTTCAAAGTTCAATGCTTTGACAAAATTAGACAGGGGTCTAGAAATGCATGTTGAGACGATCTCGGTTAATCTAGACGACGTTCCACGAGTAAGAGACTTTCATATCGCATTGCATCGTAGTATTGTCCCTTCAATCTCATTCATCCGGTCAACCCTTGAGGATGTTCGTCGGCTGTAGCAAGAGGGGAAGACTGATCGGTCAATGAACAAGGCTCTCGGTCGGCTCATTCATTCTCCATCATTCTCCATTTCATCCATTTATCAGGCACACTATCTACGGACGCGAATGCTATGACTGATAAGACGTTGAAAATTTGCAAACGGCCGGCCGGTATCCATCTATATTATCAAATCCATTCTTGTCCGCGGGTAAATTTAGGTAAATCCCTGGGGAAACCCGTGGGCCTCACCAGGAGTCAGTCAGAGTCAGGACTCAGAGCTGTTGCCGCTGTTCAGGTCTCACGTAAAAATAGAATTGGCTGCGGCGGCGGCGTTCACTCGGCTCAGGCCCCAAGGCTGTGGGAGGGAAAATACCGCAGCAAAACCAAGCATGGAGTGAATTGATTTCAACGCCCAAAGCTCGAGTTCTGTCTGGTCAGGCTGCTGCTCGCTTCAGGAACAGTAATTCGCGCAGCTGATCATAGATAGCTTCTCGACACTTTTTTTGTGTTCACCGTGACAACACAGGATTCAAATATTTGATTGCGGTGTTTACGAGGGGTTTTTTCTCCTTTGGTTTCTTTTCCCGTTATTATTGTTGTTGTTTCTTCATGCCATTCCCCTGAGCTGAGGTTTCGATTGAGTAATGGAACGTCTGGCGGCGAAGCTTGGGTTTGCCTCCTTGCTGAACTACATTCATTTCAGAATGGTGGTGGATTAATCCCTCAGGCTCGACCTGAGATCTATTTTTGCTACAGTGAGAGCTCGTGATGCATCAATTTCATGGCAAAAGTGCGGGTATGAATCTATAGTCTTAGAAATCGCGCATGGATCTAGCTTCAAGATCTCAAATTTGTTGCAACGCATCCACAGCTGACTGCTGCTCTGGAGTCAACTACATGGGGGTAGCATAGACTCATTCTGTGCGAGATTTGCTCGAATTCATATTCCCCCCGCGTCGGTCGTAGCTACCATCTTCGATCTCCGCATTGAGGAATCGTGTCAGACCCTAATCTTCATGCAGGTACCGATGGCAACGCTGATCGACCCTGGACCCAGGACCAGGGCCGTGCTACCCAGCTTGAGGAACGATAACCAAGCCCCCACGTGCGTCATAGGCGTATCACAAGCAACCATCGCCGCTGAAAGCTCTTAGGAGATTCCGGAAGGGACCTTTTCGACCGGCTGTCAACCGACAGGCTGGCCAGGCTGGGCCTCTCCACTCCGGCGCAGCTCTGCATGGGTGTCGCTACTAACCAATAATCCCACGACCAGGCGGGGAACCCCGGATAGAGCTCATCCCCGGCTCTGCCGCCGACGTACCCATCGGAGGACCCATTCCACTAAGATGCCAATGTCTTGGGACGTCTCGAGCACTTGAGCCAACTTGCTCTGCAGTTGTTGCGTCGGTGCATCAGCGGCCTGTGTGTTTACGTTCGCGTCATTGGCAGAGTTGTCTTCGTCATCAAGCAATCCCGTCACCTCCACCATCGAGACGCGTCCATTTAGCCCAACTTCAAAACTGATCGAGACCTTGGTCAAGAAAAGGTCGTCGGAAGTAGAGTCCGAGGACGGAGGACGGTCAACGGCAAATAGCAACATGATCATCGGGGCTTGTCCAAGCTGTGTGCGTAGTGTCACGTCTACTTTGAGCTCGTCGCTGGGAGTGGTCTCGCCGTCAATTTGGCCCTCTTCGGACTTAACACCCTCTTGCTGTTGCAAACCCAATAACATGTTCAGTTTCTTCTCGTTGGGATTTTCGTTGGTCAGGATTGTTATGTTGCATTTCGCTTTGTCCTTTTCTGGGGATTGCTTTTGAATCTGTTCTGGAGCTTTCCCCGCTTCATGTTTCGAGGCGACAGGAAATGTGTTTCGGATCAGATTTGCAAGGAAAGCATACTGGCGGAGTGTCTAAAACACAAGTTAGTTTTTATTTGAGCGACACCAAGGGCTAACAGTGTGAAGCATACCGGAAGAATATCTGCAAGCTGCCGTGGGTGAGAAAAGGCAAGGTCTTTCACAGTTCGCGCACCAACAGATTCAAATGGCTGAAACGTATAGCTGTGTCGCTTGATGGTAGGCTTGCCATTCTCATCGACCGACTGAACAGATATTCTGCTCCGTTTCCGACCGGTTTTCGTTGGATCCTCGTGGTCTAGCCCTAGAGCTCCCGCCGCAGGCAATGGCGACCATCCTGGGGCAAGAAGGCCATCATAACTTAGCATCTTGAAATCCTGAGGCATCTGCATACCCAAGTGTCGGTATATCTCTGCCGCTGCTAAAATCGGGATGTCAATTGGTGGCACCATCTTCGCGACGAACCGACGATTTGGGGAAGATGAGCCCAACATGCCAGAGTCAAGGTCCATGCCCCCCGAGGACCCTTGATTACCAGTGAGAGTTGGCGGCGGATCGGCCCAGTTGACCACGGTAACGCCGGATTCGTTCGGTTCATTCGACGAGGGCGCGTCTCCATTATTGTTGACAACTGTAAAGACTTCAGATCCAAGCCAGTCTTTCGACACACGGAGTGACGGGTAGCCTTCTTCGCACTCAATCGCAATCCTCCAATCGCTATTCGGATACTTCGATTCATCACCGGCAGAATGTTCAGGTGTCTGATCGGTCACCATGGCGTCGGGAGATTTCTGGTGTTTCCGGTCCATCACCTGAGCTCGCGGCACCCAGTAATCCAACCATAGACCCATCCGACCACCTCTATGCAGGCTGGGCCGCCCAATCCAGCCGTTACAAAGGTGTTCGTATTCGCCCGAGAACTTTTTTTGGGAGCTTTCTTCGTTCCATAACCGTTTTAGACTCGCGTAGAGACCCTCAATAGCCTCAAAGCAGTTCACCTCTTCGCTCAGTTTATCAAGCCGTGCCAACCAATGCAAATTCTTGTGGAAATTATCCAATCTCTTCCAAGATCCCCGTTCGCCATCCTCCGTTGACTGGACTAAATCGCCTTTGAGAACCGCCGTGGCCTCCTCGCGGCGTCCCCCGTCGGTAGCCTCCGGCGTCACATATTGCAGGCTAACGTCCTTGACCACATTCTGTCCGCGGTGAAACTCGATCTCTAGGTCGACAAAATTGCCAGCGATGTTGAGATTGTCGTCTTGCCAAATCGACTCGAAGCGCTCGAGGCTGCCTAACCGCTCAATGCCTTCCCTACTCACACCTCTACCAGCAACACGTGCCCGCAAAAGCTGCACCACCTCCTCAATATGCCTTCTGCGCTCTTCGTCATTGTCTCTCGCATTCCCGAGCTTCAGTCCGGGCATCCCTAGGGCCTGGATGTCGCCATCGTTTATCCCTGACCCTACTAATGCATCGTGGACGACGGGCGACGGGCTGATACCGCCATAGGCTCCGAGAGCAAGTAGAGCGGATGGTGAGCTGAAAGAGATGGCGTTGTCGTTCTCTGCTGTTACCGCGAGGGGCGTGGCATACTGATTCGACGAGGGAGCGTGGTGATTACTATGGAGGTGACCTGAGACTGACGGTGTTCTCGTAGACGGAGATTTGAGGGACATCTGGCGGTTCATAGGCCCACCAGAAGGCCGAGGTGAGGATGTCAAGTAGGTGGGCGTCGCGCCTGGGTTTGGTTTCGAAGGAGTTGCCATAGTGTTTCCGTAGCGATAGTAGCGGAGTACCGAAGAATGATCCTGCAAGTAACCACAACCCTATAGAGTATCACGTTTGCAGCCGATAAAGCGATTCTGCCCCAGCAACGAACCCTCAAGCTTGTAATGCCACGGAGCTCCTCGCAGTCACCGATTGCGGGGAATAGTAAATACCACCGGAAAGGCTCAATTGACCGAGCTAGGAGTTGCAAGCGCACAGATAGAGGAGTAAGAGAGGAATGAGAGCATGAACACGATGGCTCCTGGCGGATGAGGGACCACCTTGCTCAGAGACCCGTCTCAAACAGAGCGGGACCGCCAATCGCCAGCTCCGCCGATGTAAATGAAGCCGAAAAAGCAAAAGTGGAGTCACATGAGTTTGTCCTGTTTGCCTTTACGTCATGAACTTCTTCAACAGTCTGCCTTTTCGAGCTCACGAGAATCTCATTATATCTTTTCGCATTGATCTGCGGACAGAATAATTGTTCTGGTACCCACTCACGATGTTTGCGACAAGAAATTTTTACCGTCCAATCCCTCGGTGGATTCAGATACGATCACTATCAACATTGGAGGGACATCCTCATATCGTAAGTAGGCTCGCAAAACACAAACAATCGCTTTACTCATACAAATTTAGTATGTTTTCCCGAAAAATGGAGCTCATATCCTGTCTCTTCTACCGTCCGAGCCAGTCAGCCCGGACCTATCCATCGGAATCACGTCAAAGCTCCCTCCCACTCCCGACTCCTTCCGCGAGAACCCCAGGTTCCTCGAGACTCTGCAGGAAGTCCTCTCGCAGCATGCGCACAAGGATCCCGACGCAATTTCGCAAGCTCAAGTGATGGTTTCTACGTCCGGTGCCAACCTAGGGTCAGGCGGCGTGTTGATGACGGGCTCGCGTCAGAGAAGGAGGCGCGGTGGGACAGATCTTTCTAGTGGAGCTAGCGGTCAAGGCGGAGCTGGGTCGGCTGGTAGAGGTGGATGGATACATATCTCGGATAACAGGCGGCCGCCCGAGTATGGGCGGATTGCATGGTAATACTCCGAATCGTGCTTAGCAGAGGGTAGCGCTAAGACTCAACAGGCCTGAGGACATCTTCGGAAGCTTAGAGGTTGATGGCGAGGGAAAATTCGTCGGAGAAACTGGAAACTACCAAGCAAGTGGTAGGGACTTTCACTTAACCCCATCATAGTGCGCTCAATTCTGACGGATTCCAGGTACCTATCGTGTTGTTACCCGAGATGGAATGTAGGTTCTCCGAATCATCCTTGGCCTAGGCGGAATAAGCTAACAAAGGCGCAGTCTCGGCCTAAGCCCATTCTTGAGAGAGAAGCTGGTTCAAAAACTGCGTGAACAAGAATCGCAATAACTCGAGCACTGAATCCTTGTACGAAATTTCAACTGTATTATACTCCGCCGGATATGCTGCTGGACAGCTGGCAACTCAACTGCTCAAACTCCTGATCTCCAGGCCAAATCGTATCATGAATGTCGTACATTCTCGAAGGACAAGTCCCTATTTCGAGAAGAAGTTTGTTATTCTTTGGGTACCGTCACTTGCCTTCTTTCCAGTGACCTTCTTCGGCGTCTTCCGGTTGTGTGTTGCGCTGCGCATTTGTTTCTGCTTTGGTGTCGGGATCTGTGGCGAAGGCTTCTCCGGTGAAGATTTGGGTGATTCGTGCGTCTTCTGCTTCTTAGTATCCTCTTCTATCACCTCTTGGCTATCTGGGTGCTCTCTCTTAACCCCAGACGCCGGTTGTGAGGAGCCATGCTCGCCCTTTGCGGCAGTATCTTCAGCTGTGCTCTTGACCGGTTCAGATTTCACTTCCGGCTCCGTCTTCTTCTTCGCATTTCCGAAGAAATTAGCGATATTGCTCTTGTTCTCTTTGCTGTCGACAGGCACTATAAAGTCGGGTGAGTTGTTGCCGACCTTGCCCACCTCTTTCGAGACCTGATAGCAGTCCAAGTCACCCTCGTATGGCTTCAACGCAGCCTGTAGCTCCTTGGACCATGTCGTACGCTTCGGATCCAACCATGCATTCCAAGCCTCACTATTTGGCTCCAGAATCACAGGCATCCGATCATGAAGCCAGCTGAGCGACGACCTTGCCGAGGTCGTAATAACAGTAAAAGTGTAGAGCTTCTCCTCAGAGCCTTCGCACAATTAGGCCCAGCTCAACAAGTACAGAATATGATGCAGCTGTCAATGCGCTACTCACCTTCATAAGACACACAGTCCCAAAGCCCCGCAAGGAACATCAAGTCACTATCCTTGCGTCTCGTATAATGCGGAATCCTCTCCTTACCCCCAGGGCCCCGCTTCAGCCACTCGTAGTACCCCTGGCACACCACAACGCAGCGCTTCTTCCGCTTCATACTTGTCCACATCCCGCGATCCTCAATCAGCGAGTCATCACGGCAATTGATTGTTCGCATGAGCGATCCGTAGTCGGGTTGTCGCTTTGTCCAAAAGGGAACAAGGCCCCATTTCATGGCCTGGAGCTTGTATTGAGTCTTAGAGGCCTCGCCCTTCGTGATCTCTGGCTCTGGTGCTTCGGTTACTGTGTCTGTGGCCTCCTGCTCGTTGTCCTTGTGTTGCGGTGGATCGTCGACGCGATAGACTGCGCCAGTGTTTCCCGGGGCAAAGTTGTATGTTTCTCTGATTTCGGAGTCGTCGGGAGCCTCATCCACGGGCATTCCTTGCTCTTGCATGCGGCGCCGGACGAAGCTCATTCGCTGGAGGTGTTAGCACATAGAATCATAGATGCGCGTTGTGTAGCGGGTGAGGACGTACTACGCCGAGGGCATATCGACCACACATTGCTGATTGAGACGGAGATCAGGACTGGTATTCATACAGATGTAACGTTCAGCTCTAATTAAAACTTGTCAAAATAAAATTCAGGATATGTAGAGGGATAAAAGGTTGATGTGGTTGAAATTGAGATAGGTTGCCCTCCTGATGCCTTGGACGTCATCAGCGAATTGGCTCCGCTCGTATAAATTCTTAATTCTTCGAGCTGCCAACCTCAACCTTCCACACCACCTCCTGCGCCATTCCGCCCAGCACTTGACGACACTCCGTGTACATAACGAAATCAGCTCCCTCTACAGCGCTTGCTTCGTCGATGATGTTCAATGCAGTCGCGGCGCGCCGCTCAAGCAATGCCTTGATGCGAGTTTCACGCATCCCCCGAACACCCGTCCTCCCCTCACGATCCATCGCATTCTCAACACAACCACCGCCGCTACAGCAAATAACAAGAACAAAAGTGCCTACTCCATACAACCTACGAATCTCTTCCGCCTTACCACTTCACCATGCCTCGACAACCCTCCAAGTCCGCTCCCTCTCCTACATCCAGCGCACCCGACTCGGCCTCAAACAAGCCTCGAAAGGAATCTGGCGCAAATACCCGTTCGTTCTCCCATTCGCCATTATCTGCGTCATTGGCTCGTTCTGTGCATTCTTCTACGTCGCCTATGTTGAGGTCAAACATCATATGCCACAGTATGCGAAATACCCTCCAGCCGTAGCGAAGCACCTCCGCACGGCCGTCTGGTACACAGAGGTGGATCTTAACCCGCCTCTTGCTCTGAAATCATACAAGGAAGCGATGCATGCAGCTGCTGAGGCGAAGATGCACCCGTATTCCGATGAGGTGTTGGGGATCAAGTTACAAACCTCGAGGATGCTGGAGAAGGCGGGGTTGATCGAGGGGGCAGTCAAGGTTTTGGAGCAAACTAGGACGGAAACTCTGGCCTGGATTGAGAAGAGCAAAGAGCGGGCGAGGCAAAATAAGGAAGCAAAGGAAAAGCGCAAGATTGAACATGGGGAGACACCGCCGGGACAGAAGCTCGAGATCGACGACCCGGAGGTGCTGCAGAGGTGGAAGAAGATTCAGGAGTTTGAAGCGTATGAGGAGAAACAGCGGGCTAAGTGTATAAAGAAGGTTGTTGGGATGTCGCTGAAGCTCGGCGAATTATACGAGAGTGACCACATGCAGAACCCGGAAAAGTCTGAGGCCGCGTACGAATCGGCCGTCGAGATCGCCATGAAGGAACTCCAATCACGCGAGAGTCAAGGTCTTCCTGTTGCCGGAAGAGCAGATGGTGAGGATGATCATGAGATCGAATATTTGACCCGCCAAGAAGTCGCGGTTGCCCTTACACAGCTGGCGGATAGCTATGTTGGAAACGACAAGCGGATCGACCTCGCCATTCCTGTCATTGTGCGCGCCTTGGAACTCCTTCGAGTAGAGGAAGGCTCCCGCCCGTCCTGCAAGCAAGCCTTGCTCATGAGCAACACTGGTGGAATATGGGGCAAACGAGCAGGAATGCCCTTCCAAACCAAGGATCCCGAGGCCTCACGCAAGCAGGCTTACGAAGCCGCCAAGCAGTGGTCCGTGAACGCTCTCGAGCTCTCCGAGAAGGTTTCCCCTCTCATTAGAGATGAAGCTTGCGATGCTGCTTGTATGCTGGCGATGTTTAATCTCGGCGAGATTGCGGAACAGTGTGGGTCACCCAAGGAGGCTGAAAAATGGTATCGGGATGCTTTAGCTCTATCCAAGAAAATTGGGGACCAAGGAGAATCGACACATGAGCTGATAGCGGCACTGAATGAGGGAATGGAAAGAGTGTCGAAGAAATGAGCTAAATAGGTTGAGATGGGTTGAACCCCGGCTGCAGTTAGATATTCACCATGTACAACAATATATCATATCTCACCAACGAGATTGTTTATATATGTAGTGTAGATGGAAACCAATATCCCTTGTAGCTTTACCAATATTGTTGATTGTCCCGAGCATATCCTAGCAATGCTTCTTCTCTACGGCTGGGCAACCACTGAAGGACCTCACTTTTGATATATATAGTTGTGTAAGGGGCTGGTGTAAACAGCCCGAGTACAAGGAAACGCAACCCGTTTTACAAGATTCCAAATTGATTTTCCAAGTGCGAATCAAGTAAGCTAGACACATGTTGTCAGAAAAGCCCCAGGCCCTTACAGAAGAGAGGAAACCCGTGGGGTGCTTTCATTGCTCATGGCTCATACAATTCCCAACCAATGCCTGCCCGGTTTTTGGCGGGGGGTAGTAGTAGTAGTTGTCGTAGTAAAGGAGATAAGTAAAAAAAATTGATATCAAACAGAAGCTTTATAAGCCTTAATCTTATCTTGGTAAAGTTTCTTTCTTTCTCTCCTCTGCCACACACACATTCAGCGGTCTCGGCTCACTCGATCCCTCACTCTCATTTATTTTGTTTCCTTTCCCTCCAACTCGGCTCGCTCACTTACACAACGACAATCTACGCCCGCGACATGACACCCCAGGCGCGAATCTTGTTGTCAGTGTAACCAGCGAACAGAGTCTGGCCGTCAGCAGACCAAGCCAGAGAGACACACTCGGGCTCGCGGCTCTTCTTGCCCTTCTCGATGTACTCGGGCTTGAGCTCGTCCACCTTGCTCTTCTTCTCGAGGTCGAAGATGGTGATGCTGCTGCTGGTGGCAGCGCACAGCCAGTAGCGGTTGGGGGAGAAGACGAGGGCGTGGATCTCATCACCGGCGTGGAGGGAGTAGAGGTGCTTGGACTCGTTGAGATCCCAGAGCATGGTGACACCGTCCTTGCCACCGGAGGCGCAGAGGGAGCCATCGGGGGAGATGGTGACGGTGTTGATGTAGCCGGAGTGACCGATGTGGTCAGTCTGGAGACGGCAGGAAGAGAGCTCCCAAACCTGTTGAGCGATTTGTGTTAGTTCGGTTCGATGGAAGGCTCGAGGCACTTTCGATAGCTCATAACACAACGCAACAAATCAAGTATGAATATGTCCATCAGGCATGTGGTGATTGTGGTCTCATGGCCGTAAACGGCTCTGAAGTAGCAAATACGTAGAATATGCAAACATCATCGGACGATTTGTAAAAAGAAAAAAAAACATATATCAAACGCAGGAATCTTCGTGCACGTACCTTGACAAGCTTGTCCCAGCCAGCGGAGACGATGACGGGGTTCTGGGGGTTGGGGCTGAAGCGCACGCAGGAAACCCACTCGGTGTGGCCCTTGTCGGTGATAGTGAACTTGCAGTCGCCCAGGGTGTTCCAGAGCTTGATGGTACGGTCACGAGAACCGGAGACGATCTGGCGGTTGTCGGCGGAGAAGGAAACGGAGAGAACGTCGTTGGTGTGGCCGACGAATGTGCGGGTGGTCTGGCCAGTGGAGAGCTCCCAGAGGCGGAGAGTCTTGTCCCACGAGGCAGAGAGAGCGTAGGCACCGTCGGAGGAGATCACCTGTAAAACCCAAGCGCACTAATCAGCCAACCTTGTCCTTGAATCCAGAAGCTTTTGCTTCAGTTCCCCCGCCTTGGCACAATTTTTCCTCGGGTTTTTCGGGATACTGAGGGAGGGGTAATCGGAGGCATACACAGTCGGAGACGATGTGAGAGTGGCCCTCAAGGCTGCGCTTGGGGTAACCGTAAGCCTGCTCATCGCGAGTAAGGTTCCAGATAATCAGGGTCTTGTCGCGACTGCCAGAGAGCAGCATGTTGGGGCTATCGAAGAAAAACCAGTCAGATCCAATTGTCCATATTCAACCAACACAAAGCCATGTCTGGAAGGAAAACATGAAGCTACACACGCATGTACGCATGTAGAGCCAAATATCCCATCCCATCCGTGTGCAAATCATCGATGGTGCCCTTACTTCTCCAGAGAGGTAGCCAGGGAAGTGACCCAGCCATTGTGACCCTCGAGGGTGCCGCGAAGGACCAGCTGCTCAGCCATGATCGGAGTCTGGGAGGACGATGGAAGGGGGCCGCGAGAGGAGAGAGGAGGATGAACGCGGGCGGAGCAATTGTCGTAGACTCTGCGCTGGAGATAAAATCACAGCTTTCGAAGATGGAGCGAGCAAACAGGACCGACGGGAAGCCCTAACGTAACGAGCTGCCGCGCGCCTCTGGATTTGTGGGATTGTGGACCCTAGCAAGCGAGTCACGAGTCACGTGTCAGTAAAAGATTTCAATGTCGGGTTTTTACGACAGTTTGTCCATCTCGAATCAATTAGATGTGTACAAGAAGAAATGTTTTTACAAGATCTATCTATACATATTCCAGGTCCCCGGTTTTGAACCCCAGACAAACAGACAAAAAGCATATTGTACAAAGCCCAAAATGCAGCCAAATTTCCCGGAATAGCCGCTTCCAAGAACAGCTGCTCAGCTGCTCTAAGAGCTAAACGTCTGGATGTTAGGCATTCTGTTTAAGCCTCCGCCGCCGTTCTTCTTGTTCTTCGCAGCATGGAAGCCAGTAGCACTGTTGTCCCGGACATGCTGTCTCAGCAGCTTCAGGACGTCCGAATCCGCCCATCGCGACGGAACCGGCCGGTATGCAGCCTTGAACGCTCCAACGGTCTGCGCCCACTCGCCGCTCTTGGCTCCCGTCCGCTGCCATGTGTCTGTCGGGGTATCCTTTGACACTTCGGACGGGGCCTGATCCTCGGTCGGGGGATCTTGGGTCGCCCAGTAGTAGATGTCCCAGTCGTTCTCGTCGAGGAAACGGTCGTACTCTTGCAGCTGCTCCTTGCTCATGTCGGCCAGATAGACATCGGCAAATGTAGAGAGCAAAAGGTCAGACTCGAGGATTCCTCGCTTCCGGCTCTGGTCTATGTCACGAGTCAGCTTTTTATCTCCAAACGCGCTCATCGGCACTGCCGAACTTGAAGCCGGGGATTCACTAACATAGCAACCGTGCCCTCATCGTCGACGCATCCTCACCCGTCCTGCGAAGCGGCTCAACCTTGAACGTAATGCCCTCCATCTCACCAACCCCAAGCTCCGGCTTCTGCGCTCCAGGCTGCTGTCTTCCCCCCGTGAAGTGCTCAATCTTTCCGGGGTAAGTATCTACGGGCTTGAAGTTTGGGTCAACCGCGCTTAGAAGCTCCGGCGGAGGAGTCTTCTTCCCGACACTGGGGAAGTCATCGGTCATAGTAGACGTCGTATTCGGCACAGCCGGGTTCGGGGGCCTGTTGGTCTGGTGAGCGCGGTGCTTTGGAGCTGTCGAGGGAGCTCGATCGCTCTCGTTGACAATCTTTCTGTCTTGCGGGCGGATTGCCGAGCTGCCGAATGAGCGAGCGGTGATTCTCGCTGTGATCGATACCTGAGAGGTTGCTGGCCGCGTCAAGCGGTGGACTAATCGTGCGGTAGACATTATAGCTTTTCCCCTGCTTTTTGGACAGCAGTGTTTTGAACGATTGAAGGGAGTAAGCTGGGGTTCGAAAATCGGACGGAGTTGAGCTGGACAATTATGCGGGATTGACATCATCCGAGGCACTGCCGCCGTTGGGTTTGCCTCATTTGCATTGAAACACCAACCGGAGAGATGGGTCTCAAACATCACATCAGCCTAGAGATATAAATGATGTATGCCATATTTCGATTGCTCAAAGCTGAGGCTAGGCTTCTACAAGAACTCATTATACCTGTGGTCACCCATCTCCGGACGGGACACGTGCGCATACTACAGAATCTAGCAGCCCAGGAGACCATCAAGATTCACTTGGAGCACTCCAAGAGAGTAGAGTCATAATATATCATATGTATTCAAACAGTATACCGTAAAATATCCGAGGCTGCATAAGGTGGCACGCAACAGATGCATTGAAAACTCCATGTTTTGTCATAAGATATAGAAACCACACGTAGCACCCTTCGCTTCCTCGTAAAATAGGTTTAGTAGAAATACGTCTAGATGAGATGTTTGGATCTGGAGCAATCGTGTTAGTACCATATTTCTTAAGAAGACCAGCCAAACCAGAGCCGTACCGGAAGTAAGCCCGCAGGTAGATAACCTGCCAGACACCAAGACCGATCAGCATGCCCATCGTGCCGAAAGCGAACCACTTGACACGCTCGTTCGTGCTCTCGTTGGTATCCCGCAGCTTCTGCTCACGGGCGCGGAGGTATTCCATCTCGTTGACAATCTCAGCGACAATCTCTTCGATCCGGCGGAGGTCGGTCTCAACGGGCTTGAGCTTCTCTTGAGCTTGGATGCTGGACCAGTCACGCGCATCGGCACCGATATCGACGTCGAGCTCAATTGCCCGGTGGGGGTTGGCAACGGCACCTGTACCGAGAATCATTAGTACTTATGGGAGACCGGATGAGAGTTTGGCTGCGGAGAACGTACGGCGGGAGGTTAGGACATTCTCGAAACACACATCGAAGGTAGTATCTCCGGCGGATGTGAAAGCCTGGCGAGTCTCTCCAACAACATCCTTCGGCCGTCCGTGGTCATTGCCCAGGGCATCTTTGATCTGTAGTGGGCCTCGCGTTAGCGACGCAGCTCAAGCAAGGATAAACTCATCCTCCAAGTCGGAATTTCCTCCACCGATTCCCCAGGAGACGAGGAATATGAACGGCATTGCAGTCCCACGTACATGCATGTTGACCATCTGTCCATCACCCCTCTCGCCGCTGACAATTGCAGTCACAACGACGAGCTGGTCCTTGAGGACAAAGTTGCGTATACATCTCTCGCCCTTTCCAGCAACGATATCAAACTTCAGGGCGGATGAAATTTGCGCAAAGAGTAGGAAAAGCAGGCCGAGGGCCGACTTCATCGTTAGTCGGGAAGATCCCATCGTGGTATGGGAAATTGTTGCGGAGTTGTGAAGGGGTTCCGGATAGCTGAGTCCGATTGAAAGCTGTCCATACACACTGTATCCCGAGTATTGATGCCACGCCGCGTCCAAAGGAGCTCGGCTTAATAATGTTCCGCCCCTCCCTCCTGCATACTACTCCCCGTCTTTCAATAAATAACAATTGACTCAGTAACCACTAATGCTGTGCTTGTTTGGTGAGAATTTTGAAATGTGGTTACTCTTTCAGCTTGACCACTCCCTTTTGGCAGGCGAGGAGATCCAATTGGTGGCTTCAAAGGTATGGCATTGCCTACTCGACATCATATACATCGCGAAAAACAAAAAAGAATACTTCCAAGTACGCTCGAACGGGTATGAATGATACATGTAAGGTGCATATTTACAGTGTCTTACTGTCTAAGTGGCTGGTAGCTGTCACAGCGAGCCTCTAGACGATACTGCAGGATTCGAGCCCATGCTGGTGCCCATTGCTGCAGACGAGTTCTGATCGCCATAGTTATCGCCGATATTCTCCCGGGGACGGTCCCAGGTGCGGATGTGGCCTTGATAGCTTCAATTAGCGATTTCAGCGTACTGAGGGGGAGTTCATTACCTTCTAGAGAGGATGTCATGATGGAGTCCTCCTGGAAACCGAGCCAACAGATGGGGTCTTCGCCGACGGACTTGGACTATATCACGGTTAGAGATCATTGATATGATAGATGAAGCCGAACATACCATGATGGGAGGTAACAAAGCAGTCCGAGCCCTGGACTCGACAGGGTGCTGAATAGGCTGATCGGAGGCGCCTTCACTGTCAGCGGCTGTCATTTGGGAGTCCGATCTCATGCGGTTCCCTGCGCTATCTGCGCGGCGGCGATTGATGTGCTGTGAGCTTGATGCTATGAGGCTTGATCGATGGCGGGCGCTCGCTTGGTGATGCTATAAAGTAAAGTTAGACTAGAAGACAAGGGGCACTTGATAAGCGTACCGCTTTGGGACGATGAAGCATGCCGACGCTAAAATCCCAGAGCAGTAAATTGCAATCGTCCCCAACGCTACCAATTCTGTACGTCCTCTCATCGCATCGCCACGGATCAAAAGCGACAGCAGAGACCCACGAATCGTGACCTTGACATCGCGCGATGATCTTGCGTTCTGGTAGAGACCAAATCGTGACCAGATCATCTTGGCCACCAGTAACAATGTACTTCCCATCTGGTGACCAGCAAATGCAAGTCAATCCTCCGTAGTAACTTCGAAACACGTCCAGGACCCTAAGAGGTAAATTAGCCCAGGTACCATGACTATGGTGTACTTTGTGGAGCATACTCTTCCTGGAGGTAGTCCAGCAGTCTCAAAGACCCATCTTCCAGTACGACAGCAAGGTGTCTCTGGTCTGGAGAAAAGGCAAACTGAGAGATTTTCTGATTGGCCAGCTTCCAGACTGCGACCGGGTTTGTTTTCTGGTTTTGTGAGTTTACAGACTTTAACACCTGCAGTGATCGGCTCGACGGCTTGACCGATTCTGTCGACTCCCCTGGAAGTTCTGTAGTAAAAAGAGCATCCTCCTTCTCTTTATCGTACACGACCAACTGGCCATTCTCATGCGCTGCCATGAATAGGTTCTCAGAGCCCGGAATCCACTTGATGTGGGTTACTGGCGAGTTATTTATGACCCCATTCTTGTTGATTCGGGCATATTTCTGAGAGATTGGCTCGTACCAAAAGATGTCTCCAGCTGAAGAACCCATAACCACATCAATATGAGATGCACTTTTGGTCAATTCATTGACATCGTGACTGATCATGTGCGCCTTTGTGAAGAGAATTTTCGATAGCGGTTCGTCTTTCACCTTCGAGCTGAGATCCAGCCATTGGAATGCGCGATTGATGTTCGCAAACGCAAATAGTCCTTCTGGATCGCGATCATTTAGGCGTTTTGTAGTCGATTCGTGGATGATGACCCGGGAGACAAATGACGAACTGCTCTTGATAATGTTATTCTTCGGCTTGCGCTTCTTCGAGGGGTCCTTCGCAGCAATCGGTGCAAGAGCAGCATTGCCGTCTCCGAAAGGCGGCGCAGTGACATTCAGCTTGGAAGGGAACACAGTCTTGTTTCGAGGGCCAAGGCTAACCAGCGATAGCTTGACGCCTGATGTCGGAGGAGCAGGGTTGGTTGCAAGTGGGTTTGGATTGATGATCGGCGCTTCAGACGGGTGCGGAGGAGGGGTTGCGAGATGCAGATCGTCCTGAAGTTGATAGGTTCCTATACACAGAATTTCTGTTAGCAGGTACCTGCGCGCTAGCATACAGCACTCCGACGTACCTTCTCCGACCTGTAGCGGACAGCCATTCTCCGGATGGGTGATGATGTTGTTGGTCTCCACGATCGGAACCGCCATACCGTTCGATGCCCCAGCTGCATAGGCAACCGGGACGGTATAGCGAGGCGGAGGTGGGGGAAGAACACTGGCGTAAGTCAGCATATAGGTTCGATGTATGGGTGCCTACGATCAGATGCGGTTGGCTCGGGAGACACCCTCGTGGTTTCTTGAAGGAAGCCGAGCCAGCCGAGCGCGCATGCAAGATAAGAAAGATAAAGAGAAGTATGGCCATTACTTACAACATTGTGGCGTGATAGACAGTGCGTAGTAGCGTATAATGCTTTGCGGAGTTGATCCGGGGAGTCGAGATTGGCCAGGAACACTGTTACGCGGAGCTCGATTCAACGACAGTGGAAGCAAGTACGGTCCACAGCTGAATCAGAAAAGCGCGACCATTTCCAGGCGGCTAGCGAGACACGAGTGGTTGCCGCAATCCTGTTCAATCCGCCAACTGCTCGGGGAAGCGCACGCGGGGAGTTTCTGTGTAAGCCTGCCAGAAGGACGGAGAGGTGATGGTTTCAGAGAGCCAGTTTAACGGGAGGAATTGCAGGGCAGGTCACAAAAATTCAAGCTGTGCGGGAAGGTCTCCAAGGCCACATTTAAATAGAGGAGAAGGAACGAGTGAGGTGCTAACGGTCGGTGGGAGGAAGTCCGGGGAACGTCAGTTGGAGCGTTCCATGATCAATGTTGGAGGTGTGGCTGGTTGGTTGGTGGAACTTTGGCGTGGGGCACGCTAAAGCGGCTGATTCCAACGTGGTATGAGGGGAAATATATACACAGCCCATTCAAGTTGACTGGCTAATTCTCAATTATTATACATATATTAAAGCAGGTCAATGCAGGCTTTAAAGCCTGTTCAAACTGCAGGAGAGCCTGGTCCGCGCTGCAGCCATTCGCGGCTAAGCCTAAGCTATCGGCCAACATGACCAACATATCCTAAGTAAATCTATCCAAGCAAGCAACGAGTATCACTCGGGGTATCGAACTCCATCTTCTTCGCATTTGCAGATCCCGCTTAGACCTCAAGCCCCGCTGCCGCTGACTCGTCGCCAAATCATGACTGCGGCAGCTCCGGCGCATACCACTGCTCCTAGCGCAATTCCCCACGCCATCCATTTCCCTTCAACATCCTCCTCACTTCGTGGAAAAGCCGTGCTGGGTTCCATAGCCGCTTCGGCAATATGTACAAACACCTCTTGGATCGAGGTCCAGGTGACGCTTACATGGAGGGGAGGCCCAGGCATGTTCAGCATTGCCGTGTATTCGTGGGGCTGATACTCTGCCCGCTGAGTCGTGCGATCCAGATCAGCCTTGAGAGCGATATAAACACTTGGAAGCTCCTCTAAGTGTGGGTATTTTGCCCTGAGCGTCGGTATATGTGCAAATGAATCGGGATCGGACGAATCGTATGTGTATACGACTACATCGCACTGATCTAGGAGCTTTGCCTGATTTTCGAGTATAGCGGGCTCCAGCTCTCCGAGCTCGTCCATGATCAGGTAACACTGCTTACCCCCAGGTAGTTCAACAGTGTTGACTGCAGTTCGTGGCTGGATAGTGGGATGATACATCGTACTGAAGCCACGGGACAGAAAGGCGTCAAGCAGAGCCGACTTGCCTGATCCTGGAGCTCCTACAACATGACCGAGTACCACGTTGCGACCTACCCGCCCGGGACGCTTTCTTCGTTTTCGTGGTCGGGTAACTTTGAGCGCCGCCGTCGTAGAAGGATTACTTCGATCTGAGGACTCGAACCCCAGATATGCAAGGTATTCCAACGTTGTCTTGGGCGATGTAAACGTTGTCATACTCCATTGCGCCAGCCAACCCTGTAAAGTTACGTGGCCAGCCTCATTTCGGACAGTACACGATGGGAATGAACCGTCGCTCCAGGATGAAGGCAGTCCTGGTGTTGGCGCAAAGAGAGATGCGAGCTCCGCATCGTTGAGCCCACCATCATTGTCCTTATCAGACAGAAGAAAGAGGTTCACAAAGAAGCGATACCCCTCAGGCGACAGCTCGGCGGAAGCAAAGGGGGGCACCTCAAATTTAGGGTGGAGGTAGCCCTCCTGTAAGGAAAGGCTGTCAGTGTATTGGAATGCGCGAAGAATAATCCAGACCGTCTCGTGTCGCCCTTTCTCTGCATACATCTTATTGAGATGGATAAATCCTTGACAATCTATGCCTGAAGGCGTCACAGAGCCAGGGTGCGTTTTCTGGATTGTCTCCTTGATATGAATCAGGTCCTCTTCGCTCAAAGGTTTCTCAAAGCAACGCATCTGAAAATCTTTGATTTCCTTATCGGATAGGTAGCCATCTCGATCTTTGTCGCTGAGATAGAAAATGCGCTGTAATGCCGCGACCGCGGCCGGTTTCAGGGCAGACTCTTTTGCATCAAATAGGGGCGCGATGGGATGGGTAACCGCTTTCTGGCAAAGGAAGAATGCCTCGTTGACATTTCGATGCTCGCGAGCACTGGTCCGGATGCATGAATCAATCTCCTTGAACTCCGACATCAACGGTAACATTTCATCTTCGATAACTTGGGTCTCGGTATGATCCGCGGCAAGATCAGACTTGTTGGCACAGAGCACGACAGGCACGTTGACACCGAGTGACCGGAAGTATGGCAGCCAGAAAAGAGCCACCCGCTCATAGCTATAGTGGTCGGAGTACACCAATAATATCACATTTGATTTCCGGATTTCTCTGGCAAGATTGTTCCGCTCCTGTGGAAGAGCGGAGGTGTCGACCACAGTCGTCGTCGTGACATTCTCGGGTGTTCCGATCGTAGGAGGGATGGTTATTTGTGGGAGAATAGGTTGGATTTTGTTCGTGACAAAAACTCCCTTGACAAGGGAGGTGATCAGGCTCGACTTTCCTGTTCCCTCGTCCCCGCAGACACAGATCCGGACTAGGAGACGTCAGTATTCCAGGCCTTTGCGGGTGAACCAGTGCGCGTTCGGGTGGATGCGAACCTGTAGCCATTTAAACTGATGGAGGGGAGGCTGTACAGTAAGCGCCTCGAATTCTCAAATCATTGCTCGAATGATAGGCCCACGACCAGTCGACAGAACCTGGCTCGAACGTCGGCCGTCACGGTTACCAGCCTGGAACTGACTGGTAGTTTCGCGGAGTTTGGGCGATCGTCGGAGTCCCGTGGCTGTGCGTTCTTACATGTGCAGGTAGCCTCAGGCACCCACCCGTCGGTCATATCAACAGAGGGTTCCCAGCCCAACTGAACGGCATATCGAGTATTCCTGGAGCTTGGAGACGAGTGGCAGAGAAATACTCATTTTCAGAAAGCAAAGCTCTCTTTGGCTTGCAGATCATGTAACCGGTAAGACCAAACCCAGCCCAGCTCTTGGAGCGACTCAGCCACGATCTGGCCCCGAGTTGCCCGCATCTGACAGAAGAGGTTTCCGTCGCTGACTGCCCGACTCCCGGTGTTGCCGCTGGCTTTCAGACACAAACTAGCTATTACTATTTCTACGACGCTGTACTCGGTACTGTATCTCATTTTCGTCAATCTGAAGGCTCATCTGCTTGTCATTGGCATACTGGGGCAGGTGTAACAGCCAGCGCCGTTCTTTACTCCACTTCCGGGCGGTCCCATTTTATGACAAGGTCTTGTCGCCAGTCATCTCGATTCCTGCGACTCGACGTTCTTCAACTTCGCTTTCTCCCAGCGGCCATCCATCCTCCCCTGAGTAATCGGTCCCTGAGAGTCGGACGAGCACATCAAAAATGCCTCTCGGAATCCACAATCCGCTTCCCTCGTCTCTGTCAAGTGAGTACCGCTTTCTCCAGGTTTCCCCGCAGTGTCCCGAGACGGGCAGGCTGAACGTGTGAACTGACCGTTAATCTTACTCTCCTTCCGAAAGGCGAATGCAAGAAAGCTGGGAAGATCCTTGCATCGTTCGTTGATCCGCGACAAGCATTTGGGCCTGACAAGGTCATCCCGCCTGAGATTTTGGCCGGCGCTAAGGTACGAAGAGGGACACCGCCGAGACCAAGTATAGCAATATCGCTGACTATTTGTTTCATAGGGTCTTGCCATTCTTACCGTCCTTAAAGCGGGCTTCCTGGGCTCTGCTCGTTTTGGTTCCGGTGTTGTCGTCGCCAGATTGCCTGATGGATCATGGTCTGCGCCGTCCGCGATCGCAACCGCTGGTGCTGGATTCGGAGGCCAGATCGGGTTTGAATTGACGGACTTTGTCTTCATACTCAACGATGCTGCCGCCGTGCGGACGTTTTCCCAGGTGGGCACTTTGACTCTTGGTGGTAACGTTTCGATCGCTGCTGGACCAGTTGGTCGAAATGCAGAGGCTGCTGGTGCCGCAAGCACCAAGGGCGTCGCAGCTGTTTTCTCATACTCCAAGACAAAGGGTCTCTTTGCTGGTGTCAGCTTGGAAGGGAGCATGCTGGTCGAGCGTAAGGACGCCAATGAAAAGATGTATAACAGCCGAGTGTCTGCCCGCCAACTCCTCAGCGGCACTATTCCACCCCCGGCCAGCGCCGAGCCCCTTCTACGTGTGCTGAACTCCCGTGCCTTCTACGGGGTTCGTACAAACGGCGACTCCATGTACAACGATATCCCGGTATACGATGACCGTCATGACGATGTGGTTTGGGAGGGCCGCCGAGGAGATGCCTTCGGAGAAGGCGTCCGACGCGACCGCACAGGAACGACGGGATACAACGAGCCCTCAGATGAGTACGAGTACCGCGATAGGCCGCGCCGTGCCACCACCTGGGCTGATGATGTATACGACCGACCCTCTGGAGGGTTAAGCCGGTCTTCCACCGCTCGTTACAGCAATACTGGCCGCAACGATGCGTTTGATAGCTACAACCGCCCCCGAAGCAACACCTACGATGATGACTATGTTTACTCCGACCGAAAGCCCAGCCGCCCGACAGCGCCAAAGCCTGTTTTTGGCCAGCGTACTGGGCAAACTGCTCCGCTGCGCGACGACCAAGCCATTGCACTCTACACATTCGATGCCGATCAGGATGGTGACTTGGGATTCAAGAAGGGCGATGTGATCACAATCGTCAAGCGCACCGAAAAGAAAGAAGACTGGTGGACAGGGCGAATCGGTGACCGCGAGGGCATATTCCCTGCGTAAGCCTCCATCTTCACAGAACCCTGACGCTGCTTGCTAACGAGCAATTAGGAACTATGTCGATGCAGCTTAGACATTTGGCCAAGATGTTGGCCCATGCGGAACGAAATTCATGACCTAAGATCACCCTATCCCTTCCTCTATTCCTACTATCTCTATCGAATCGAGTGTATTTCAGTCATATTGGAACCTTGGCAACCTCGAAAGTATTACCCTTATGTTTCGCTCCGCGATTCTCTTTCAGCTTTTTCGCGTAAGCGTCGGAGTTAGGGGGTGGCTTTACCAACATGTTTGGAGGGAAGAGCACTCGACACTGTGTCTCTGGCACTGAGGCCCAACCTGAGTCCCTCGTCTTTATCCTGAATCATCTTTGCTTCAAGTTGTCTATACCTTTCGCGTCTGTTTATCGTTATCGTCATTATATCCAGCATATAGTCTGCGCAAGCTTATCTCTAGAAACGAAATTGATTTAGCTGTTAGTAGATAAGCGTCATCAGCTATCAGACGCATCATTGCGTCAGCTCTTATTCACCTCGTGCGCGGTCAAGCTTGGCTACTTACCAGTGGGACCCTAGATACTGACACTACCCTATGGACTTGAAACATACGGGGTACTTTTCTGCAAGGGATGGTGAAATCTATCAGGAGTTACTCTCCAAGTTGTTTTGACTCTTCAATTGAATCATGTCGGGTTCAAATGTAGGAGAATGGCGGGGATGATAGGCTGGGTCTCGCGGCGTTAACGGCGTTTATATATTCTAGTGTGTTTTAACTACTTAACAGCCTTTCAAAAGACAACATCTAATCAAGAAATGCCACAGTGCTTTAATTATCCAAATCCGCGAATTCGATATAGAATTCTAAGTTGACGACTGCCGCCGAGCAGCTGAAGAAATGCATCTGGAACAAGTCAGCTGGCCCATCCAATTACTCTGATGATTGTCGGCTGGGAAGCACGCCGCTCCAATGATGGTCATAAATCAAGGGGCACGGGGACCAAGAAATGCCCCGAGAACAGAGGGAGGCTGGGGCTTTAACACTTGATGCGCGCGAAGCGAAACAGTGCGGCATTCCAGTACCCCGTGTTCTCCAAGATTGTGGTTCAACTATGCGCGATCTGTATCGGCTCTCATACTTCAGGCAGGCGACCAAGTTTTCAGCTCTTTAGCAAGCTGGAGACCAGGTTGAAATGACGAGATTCTTAGAAGCCTGGTATATGATTTCATTGCTCAAGTCTCGAGTTGAATGGCGAACATGCAGAGTAGAAAGGCTTGAGACTTGAAGATCAACTGACTTCTATAGTACATACGTGGATAACGAGTATCTCAGAAGCCACCAAGGCTCGTATGTTTGGATCGATCCTGTGCATGATCGGCTCACAAAGGACTCGAGCTCCTGATATTCAGAAAGCATGACCTCATTCACGAATGATTCTTGTCCTGCTGGAAGACCCTTGGCAACTTGTCTAAGCCTCAGTACGGGGAAATCCATGCTGATCCACCGCGATCGCCATCCGAGACGAAGACAGCGTACAAAGCTGTTTCATCTTATCCTGATTTTTGACTGCTTCAGCCGCTCTTTGTCACGAGTAGAAGTGTAACAGCGCATGGAACGGGGCCTGAAGGAACTTTGCAGCAGAAGCTGAAGAAGCAGGTTGTACAAACAGCTGGAGTGCCCAGGAGCATGTACTCAGTAGAATCATAGAATGAGGAGGATTCTGTCGATCGCTCCCTCTCGACTCCAGTCCTGGCCTTGCATCGTCCAAAGAGTCAAAACCTTACGTCTATTGAGAATGACCGTTGAGCCAGGCGATGTTGATTAAGAGCAAATAATAACCTGGAAACGACGACTTCCTCAAAGCGTGCCTCGCTGCCTCCCGCCTAGACCAGCGGGCCAACCACAACGACAACCAACAGCCGTCCTGCTATTTCCGTCCCCCATCTTTGATCCGTTCTTTGCTTGAACCACCGTGGACGGACAACCTCTCCCTCTCCCTCCTTTGGCCTCAGTATTGCTCCCGCCATCCGCCCCTCCACCTCGTCGCCTTCCTCTTCGTTCCCTCCTCGTCCTCTGCCTCCTCGATTCTCAACCGCCTCGCCCCCTTCTACAACGGTCTTCGGTCGCCGGATGATCAGCCGTCCCCGTCGACCTCTCTTTCCTCCATCTCCTGGTGGCCGTGCCCTCTCTCCTATCCGCTGCCCCTCCCGCGTCCATGATTCCATGACCACCAGCTATTTTCGCTGTCTTCCGCCCGTGGTGGTACTTTGACCTCCTCTCCACCAGGCATCAATCCCTCCGCCTTTTCGCCCACAGCCGATCTCCGGTCGAAACTGGCAAGATTACCGGATAATCTGGACACATGCAGGTATGTTACTGCACTTATTGCTCGTGTTCCATGTTGGGAAGTACCGGTTGGGTTCTCGAGACACTTTCAGCCAGCAAATTCCCTTGAAACGATATTCTTGTCATCTCATATTGTTGATCTACAAAGAATTATACCCCTCAGTCAAGGGATGGAGCGCGAAACCCCACGTTTGGGGGACACAACCCGTATAGGCGAGCAGCTGCTGACCATGGTCGCGTTCTCAATTCTAGGCATCAGCGACTCCCCCGGAGGCTGGCGGAGGATACTCGACGCGGAGAGGTCATGTTCCTCAGTTGTCGATTAGTGACCCGAGCCACCATGTAACGGAGGCCATCGGGCACATGTACGAAGATGACTACGACAAGAGAGATTCCAGGCGTCTCAGCTATATATCGTCCCCGTTGAGCGAAGCCATATCGATCGTCCCGCAAAATCGGCCCGCCGCCGAAGCCTCCTCCTCACAAACGCTGCAGGTGCAGAGTAATGAAGCAGATGGCGGCTATCGATATGCCAATGGCCAATCCCGCCCTTCTGCCGTGAGGGGCAAGTCTTCAGATGGTGGACCGACGTCGCCGACCACACCAGGATCGACTGATACCGCCACAACGTCCTTTCCATTGAATGACATCGATTACGAGTCAGATCCAGCAGCCGTTGCTCAGGAACTCAGCAACTTGGCCGCCATCCGGCGGATGTCGATGGATGTTACTGCCACCGGCGATCCCGATCTACCGAGCGTGAACTTCCCCGTCCCATCGATAGCACCCTCGCCGTCTGCCGACGAGAACGACACTTCACGATTATTTTGGGTCCCCGCTCGTTTACACCCGGAGCTGGCTCCGAAGGAGTTCAAATCGTTTCTCGAGAGTAAAGCTGAGCACATCAAGCGCAGGTCGGGTGACTTTTCCTCATTGAGCCCCGAACGCCACGGGTCAGATAGCTCACTTCGTCGAAAACGATCTATGCTCTCAAAGCAGATCGACAGTGGGCAAGGTTACAAGGATGGTGCGGAGCGGCTTGAACGGAAACGATCGCAGAACCGGAACCCTCAGGGTCCGAACCTGCACGAAATAGAAAGCTTGGTGAGCGATTCGCAAAACCGGGCTCCAAGTGCGTCCTCTTTGTTGGAAACCGTTCAATCGCTTGGGATCTCAAACGATGATGATCGACCGATCTTACCTCCTGCACCACCCGGCCATAGCCTTCGACGAGCTACACGAACTCAATATCGCAAGGCGGGTAGCTTAAAAAAGGGCGAACGACCGTCATTTGCTAGGAGAACGGGCCGAAACTCTGATTCGAAGGATGCCCTGGACTCAATAGTCGGATCCGGCAGTCAACCGATATTGGGTTTGACTAGAGTCTCAACTGACCCCACTCCCAGCGTAACCCGCGCTCAAGCCTTGGCTCGATCGCAGGGCTCTTTGAACGACTCGACACTGGAAGATTCCCAACAGACTATGGAAGCATCGCATAGTCAGCCGTTGAAGGACTCTGGGAATCGAGTGAACGCCCCGCAGCAGCCACGCCAGTGGAATGCGCGCGCCGATTCGAACGGACAATCGACACCAGTTGCTCAACATCACGAACAGAAGATACCAGAGATTGTCGAAACACCTCCACAAGAGGCCCGTTCGACGCCTTCTACCCCAAGCTCGCAGTCTAGCCATATTCCAACCCGTGTATCAAGCAATGATTCTTCCCAACAGCCGAAGCGTCCTTCGCCCACTCGTGCGCATGGCAAGGACTCTACACCCACACTTAATGAATCTGCCAACAATCCGCAGTCAATCAAAGGGAACACTACTCGGACTGACAGTCTTTCATTCATCCCTACCGCAGCCGAAGACCGAAAATCGGAGTCGAAGAAGAGCAAAGATAAGAAGGATTCTGAGGGCGGCCGCAAGTCAAGTTGGCATTGGTTTCTTGGATCTGAGGACAAGGACAAAGAAAAAGAGAAGAAGAAGGATAGCGATTCGAAAAAGATCAAAACGAAGATTACGGACAAAGTGCACGACGCCACGCATGCGTCTACAGCTTCCAACGAGCCCAGCCAACGGCGCGAGAGCGCCGTCTTTGATCGCCTTGACCCGAAACTCGAAGAGGAACGCAAAAAGGACAATGCGCGACGATCTTCGGGAGAGACCAAGAAGGAGAAGGAATCTGGTCTGTTCTCCTCGATCTTTGGTGGCGGAAGGAAAAAGAACAGCGAACATCACCATAAGAAGAGCTTGTCTCGGACATTGTCCCCAGAACCTCCGGTCCGGGAGCTTCGAGCCGATGTCGATTATCCCTGGACTCGATTCTCGATTTTGGAAGAACGCGCCATCTACAGAATGGCTCATATCAAGCTTGCAAATCCTCGGCGCGCTCTGTACTCTCAAGTACTACTCAGCAACTTCATGTACTCATATCTGGCAAAGGTTCAGCAGATGCATCCGCATATGATGCTCGCCACGTCAGCGTCACAAAGACAGCAGAAGAGCAGAGAACAGTCGGAAGAGTACCTGCAGTACCAACGGTACCAAGAGGTAGGCAAACCATTTTCTATCTTTGTTCGTTTCGATTACTGACTGATATATAGTCCCAGGATCAGCAATATGCTGATAGTGCCTACGATGATCCTCAGATGTATGATTATGGCGATGATCAACAAAACCACTACCAACAAACCTCGCGAGGAAGCAAACACGGCTACGACAACGGTAACTCATATGGCTCCGGACACTATAACTACGGGCATATGTCGTTTGGGGACGATGTGCAACTAGATGACGATGACGATGATATGTGGTGACAGAGATGAGGATCTGTTCTCCCTTCTGCTACTGATACTTTTCCCGCAGCGCGCAAATACCCCTTTTGTCCTATCAGACTCTGTACACTGATTCCTTCTTTTCTTTACATCCGATTCTGCTCATTTTGCCCGCTTCCGTGGCCTGCTGCACCGGGTGACCAAAAGGGCCGGAGTGGGCTGCGTGGTGCTTATACTGTTCTGTGTCTCTATATAGCGCTTCATCCGATATTCCATATCGAAGGACAAGGTGGCGCACAACTTTGACCTGCTACTTTGGTTTGATTTGCTCGCATAGCGTCTGGGGTTCTCTTCATTTGGTTTCTCTTACCTGCTTCAATGTGTTTCATACATTTTTATCGTTTCCGAATGTGCCACGGATCGACGGCTGACGACCAATATCGTTCATAAACTTTCATTGCTTATTTCTCTCTGTCGGGACAGCGCTATGTTGAAGACAAAAGGTTTCTTCTGGAATGGCACCTATATGGGCGCTGTATAATAGTAGACTGGATCACTAATTACAGTTATTTTGACCTTTACCACCTCCACCTATGAGTAGTATTGAATCTAGTGAATCTATGGATATGGCTGAGGCTGTAATATCACGTGACTGAAACCATCGTCATGGACCGGGGTGTTGATCGCCGACCCCAGACGGAGTGTCCTCACTTCTGAACCACAGACCACATCAAACGCCCGTACTCGGACTTTCCAATATTACAGAACTAACCGCTATACTGCTCAAAACGCCTCCTCTCCCAAGCGAAAGAAAACCCTCCCTCTGAACCACTCCGGTGCCCGTCCAGCGAAAGACAAAATGGCCGACTACGAGCGCGAACAGTACGTGGCCGCTCTCCTTCCACTCAAAACTATGCCTTTCGGACTGCTATTCGGGATGAAAGAGATGATATTGGTTGATATAATTATTGGAAACGGGGGCTAATAAGTGCATCGCACACTGCGCAGGCAAAATAACGAACTCCTCAACTCCCTCTCCAGCAAAGTCTCCGCGCTGAAACACGTCACAATTGATATTTATGATAATGCGCGGGATCAGGATTCGTTGGATCACTCGGTACGCCCACAGCACTCTTTCTCCCTTTCCGCAGCCTACGCCTACCCGGACTTGACATGATTCGACTCTACCTAGCCCAAACATACCCTATCCCACCCACATCGACCTCTCTTCACATAAACTAATCCACGCTACGTATGACAGAACCAAGTCTTCTCCTCCCTCTCAACAAACCTCAAAGGCAGCGCGAACCGGCTTACGCGCATGGCGAGACAAGGCGATACTGTTGCTGTGCTGAAGGTTGCGGGAATTGTCATTGGCGCTGGGGTATTGCTTTGGCTTATTCTTGGGTGGATTTTCTAGACGGTGTTTTCTGCTCTGAAAGGAGGAGGGTTAGGGGTGGAAATGTGTATATGGTAGGTATGGATGAGGTGGATATCATGAGTGTTGGTTGGGATGTTCTTGAAGGGAAGAGCACAGAAGGAGGAATCTAGACATGCATGCATTGCAACGCGTCGTCTCGCGGGCGAGATTGATGCTGCTGCTGGTATTGTGCTTTGATGTCGTGAGCCTTATTTCAATCATGGTCAGCTCAGCGGATCCATCTCGGGCAAGATGCGATTGGTTCTAGATAGATGCGGGCATGTGTCGGGTTGACCTGGACTACAAGGGTTCTAGAACCCTGTCTCGATCAAGATAGGGAGGGTATGAACTACCGTGGACCTTTCGGTGAATCTGGATGCTAGGTTCGGTGTATCTTTTTTTTTTCTCTCGGCCCACTGTTTTATACTATAATTCTTTCTTGTGTTAATGTTAGAGCAAGCGAGATCGGCTTTTTTCGAGTGTGTTCTGCTCTTCTATGCCAGATGTTAGAGCGAGGGTTCGGGATCTTCATTTATTATGAGAAGATGGTCCTTGGAAAGCCTGAAGGGCTAAGACCCAGGCCAGACCTATCACCTGGAGATGGAAGTATATATCGAATATCGACTGTGACTAGGCATTCTCAGATTCGACTTACTATACGGAGTACTGCCTACATGTTAGCGTCCTGTATCCTGCGTGGAACACAACAGGACATCGAATCGGGACCCAGTACTCCCATTCGTTCAAACAAAGAAGTCAGAACACGGGCTGCATTCGGAACCGGCAGTGGGAAATCCTGCGGCAACTGCCTGAATATCGGTTCGCGTGCATCGGCAGAGGGTTAAATTTGTGGCTTGAGATGGCAGAGGTATGAGGCGAGATGCCCGGTGCACGGGCTGCGGAATACAGCAACCTAACTTACCCTGTCACGCCATTGCCGGTGCTCCTGGGCTCAATCAAGACAAAGCGCTTCGGAGATACAATATCGGCGTTTCAGGCTGGCGGCCCTCAAGTGCAGGCGGGGATTTATGTGGCATATGATTTGGTGAACGTTGATGATGCTTTGCCTTGATATGCACTGAGCTGAGATAGTTCACCGTGTAGCTAGCTCGAGTACCCTAAAAGGCAGTCGGAGCCACGATAAGGCGATGTTGATTAATGAGAGGACTCGGGAGGAATCCCGATCTGATAGGGTCTTGCATATATGGCCGGGTAAATTGCGGACGGAAATTTCCGAGCAAGATAAAAGTGGATTTGTTCTGGGCCCATGTGTGACAGACTCTGATACCGATTGGCAAGGATGTCAAAGAAAATATCTTTAAGGAAGCGCACGCCGCAACCTGACCGCTAGAACGGAAGAGCCATTACCCCTATCGAGGAGCCGGTGACTAGCAAGACGGGAGAAAATCTTGAACGCTAGGCGGGTGAGGGACCCGGATGGAAATAACGTGCTTTGAAAAACCTGCGCGCTGTGGGAACTAACGGTAGAAACCGCCGTCTCGGCAAGGATCAGGGAGAGATGTTGCGATAAGCGCACGCAAGTGCAGCTGTGCTGGTGGAATCCGCCGCGCTATCTTTCAGGCTTTCTCTGCTTGACTCTGAGCGATTTGACGCGGCTCTCGCCTTCCTATCAAGTTATCGGGAGCTGAAACCTGGAACTCACTTGCGATCGACCAACAGGAACGCTTCTCGAGCTCACGATGGCTTCGTCTCGGGCGGACCCTACCGTTCTAGTCCGAATGGGGACACCGTGGCTGCAGATGTTTCCTGTCGTCGACTCGGCATGCCGAGTGTAATGCTGAGGGCCGGCAATCCGTCCGTGGATCTAGACTTTTGTCCTGCGGACCACTCTTATCCGTGGTGGAGCACGAGCTGCAGTGCTTGTTGAACGCTGGCGGTGGATGGTGCAGTGCAATCTTGCCTCTTGTCACCCATTGCGACGCGCCGCGTATGGTACCTTTTCACTTTGTAGTCTGGCTAAGCGACCGTCACAGAAGGCTTGACACAGGAGCGTGGCTGCGTGGGAGGATTTGTGTCTGATATCCCACGGGTTCCACCCTGAACGACAGCACGAGGTCCCTTGAGCTGCGGCCCACAATAAAGACTTTGCTCTGGCTGGCGGACGAGTGATAACGCGCGTTGCGGATTTTTCCGACGATAATCGTGGGTGGCCCTGCACATCATCAACCATGGAAAGAACGCGTCCTGGAAGATTTGAGTCATGATTGCGCGTTGCCAAATGCAGCTAAATTTAGCCAGAGATTTTTATAGATAGACCTGTGGTGTCTCAATCGCCATGTTGGTCCATGGTTAAACCAGTTCCATTTGCTGGTCGTCCCCTCATGATATCATCCCTTGCGTCAGGATGGCGGCTTTGTGCTGCCGCGAAGCTGGAGCCGTGTTCCGACTGTGCTTCTGAGAATCGGCGTCATTGTTACCTCGACAACAAGGTTGTTTGCTGGGCCGCTTGATGGCTGAGGATCCGCGGGTTGATGTGTTGGGAATAGGTTGTTGATGAAGCTGGATGGGCGGGTTGGACCGGTTCCGGAGAAGGTGACTTGGCTCCGATCTATCACATGTTGCCCTCCGAAAGATCCCGCTCAACTGGATGCTTTGCTTGGTTAAGTGGTTTTATGTACAAAGTTAGTATACTCAGAGGCATGGGACATGATCCCCCTGGAGTTCGCATTATTCGAGCCATCGGATAACTGGACCATTCGACATGATCCGGCATCCGGATTCCGTGGCTGATGTCCCCTAGCCATCTAACCTTATCAGGGATATATCTTCATGGCCTCGAACTGCATGATAGCCACTTGCGTAACGCGGACATGCATTAACTGTCGATCAACCGCGTCGCAGGAAGAATAATCCCGACCCCTACACCGAGGGTTGACATTCGAACATGTCCAGACCGTCAGATGACTACATATCCTTGTCAATTACTACTAGATGTTCCCCTTTGCCTCGGCCCATGGATGTTAAGGTCATGACGCTGGTATTTATAATTTCCTCTTCAAGTCTGCGTAAACACAATCTTGTGTCATGCTCCAGGCGCCCGTACAACATGGTGGCTAAATATTATTATATGTCAGCCATTGACAATTGCAAGATGCGCTCACCGAGTACACGTAGAATCTTCATGCCCCACTCAGCCCTCGTCTTCAGAATCCTCCCCTGCAGAATTGCAGACGCTGAGCTTAGCCTGCATCAGCTGGGGTTGTTTCATACGAAGACGTAATAGTATGCGTACCCCATTCATACACAATTATTTCGTGATACAGTCCGAGATCCGGATGCCCTAGGTATCAGGCCACTTATTCCTTCTAGGACTAGGTGAGTAATGCGTGTGTAGTAAGATGATGAATCAGGCAATAACATTAGTACCATATCATTGTGGTATAGCTGCAGGTGTCAGGAAATAAGCCACGAATGAAACGGTGGATATTTCTTTTCCCAGTGAGATCTTCCAGCTGACAGCTGCGGCCGCATCTTAACTTCTTAGTACCAGGTTATCAGCATGGAGAGGAATACGGGGTTGTGTAACATGACTGGAGCGACTGCCTTGCATATGCAGATGATGTTCCTTCGAGCACATGCTGATGGCAGCTCAAAGCATGGTTTGCGCCCATATTCTTGACGGTACGAGGTGTCAATGCTCGGGCTGAGCCGACGTTTATGCTGGCATCGGGGCACCGCGCGGGACGGTGATCCCGAGGCAGTTTGAGGGAATGAAGAGCAAAAGTACGATGCTGTAATCATCTCGGAAGGAGAAACAGACAGCGCATCAGGCGCAGCATCATCACGATATCAAGCCATCCAGGACCCTCTGCACTCTCCTTGTGATAAGCCCGCGAGGCGGCTGTGGGTGCCATAGTCCCGTAAGGCCAGCCGATCTGAGAGGAAAAGTGGACGACGATAAAGCCGGACGATCCCAGCCCGGGAAAATAATATCCAGCTCTAAATTGATAGCCAAATAATTCGGATTTCGCAATCCTTTACCTAAATACTGCCCATCGCCTGCCTTGATTTTCGCGTTCTCCCTTAATTGAATTTGGCTCCTCCTTACACTAGACTTTGACCCCTCCTCGAGTTCTTACCCCGTCGGTATGTATCTTCCCGACCCCCCGTACTATATCAGCACTGGCTCTTCCTGTGCTCTGCCACCTTCGCTTTGGGGCGCTGTCACTCTCGGGCCGCGCTTTGCGCTGTCTCACTACAGTATATATGAGCTGGGCGCTGGCTGATGATTCCTCGTCCAGGCACAGTGTTTTGTTATCTTTACCTCTGCGCTTAGTCAACAGAATTGCACCATTTCCGGACCCGCCAGAAAATCCTCAGTTGACACCAATCGCCACATCCAGCGGCGATAAAGCCCAAAAATCCAGTGACGGAAACGGCTCAGGCTGTTTTGAACCTTCCCCACTTTACTTACATATTGGTGGGACCCGAAGATCGGTGCTCGGTGCCCTATCTTGTGTCATCCTTTTTTTTCCCTTTTTTTTTTCTTCTAACGGGGCTCTGCCTTGGTTCTTTATATTAAACCCTGCTATTGCCTTTCTTTTGATTCTGTTCCCCTCCTTACTGCTGCAAAAACACTCCTTGCACCTTTCTGTTTGGTGCACCCCTCTCCATGGCGCTCAGTTTCTTCAGTGGAGGCGGCAGCGCAAGCTATGCAAAATACTTTGATATCCGGTGAGTCTGCAGCATCTCGGGATCTCGGCCCTTGGCCCGAACTCTGCTAATTCGCTCATTCTTCCGACCCAGCCTCGATGAAGACTACATCGTTTTTCGCGGAGGGGAGCAGGAGGCTGCCAGCGCCCATTTAAGTGGGAAGCTCATTCTCTGTCTGTCGGAACCGATTTCAACCAAGCACATTCGGCTTCATCTTACTGGGATATCGCGGGTCTGGTGAGTTTGTGTCTTGGATATTTTTCCCGCCGGTTAACGCGGCAAGAGACGGTCTGCTGACACAAGCTTTTGCATCGACTAGTTGGCATCTCCCCTCAAGCTCGGCTGGCGGCGGGCGCAAGAACTGGAGGGAGCGCGTGTTCTACGAGAAAACCTGGAAATTCAGGGACGCGGGCAAGAGTAAGACCGAAATCCTTCCTGCCGGCAACTATGAGTATCCCTTCGACGTCATTTTGGAGGGGTCGATGCCGGAGAGCGTCGAGGGCCTTTCGGACACCTACGTGACCTATCGCTTCAAGGCGGAGATCGGGCGCAAGTACGCGAAAGACATCATCGTTCGGAGACCGCTCCGCATCATTCGCACGTTAGAGTCTAGCGCCCTTGAACTTTCACACGCTATGGTATGTGGAGTGCTGGATCCTCGGCTTGTCCGTCACATGCGCTGACATTTTTCTGAACAGTCCGTCGAAAACATCTGGCCAAACAAAATCGAGTATTCTATTAGCACACCGACGAAAGCCGTCATTTTCGGCACAAGCATCCGAGTCGATTTCAAGCTGATCCCGCTTCTCAAAGGCCTCGGAATTGGGCAGATTGTTTCGCAGCTGCTAGAAACGCACGACCTCACTCTGAACCCAGAAGATCCGGATGCGATCCGCAACACTTACAAAAACACGAGGACAATCGTCAACGACGAGCATACGATAGACGCTGACCAGAACCTGGAGATCATTGATGAGGCGGCGGAAGGGTACCAATTCTCGCGCTTGTTGGATCTACCCAAAACTTTGGCGAGATGCCTGCAGGACACAGACACAAGGGGGATCAAGGTCCGACACAAGTTGAAGTTCCGGGTCCAATTACTCAATCCCGATGGACATATTAGTGAGGTACGGAGGCGCCGTTTCTGCGTTGTTGGAAGTATCTAACCATGTTCCTAGCTACGAGCCACTCTACCCGTATCGATTTTCATCTCCCCCAATCTGGCGATCGACGACAACAACACACTCGTCGATGTTACTCCACAGGCTACACAGGCTGCAATCAACAACATTGCGCAGCAGGCTCCGCCTCTGTACGGCGAACATCAGTTCGATCAGCTGTACAGCGAGCTTGATCCTTCCGGCTACCGAACACCGGGCCCCGGAAGCGGCCCTGGCACACCATTTGGAACGCTTAGCCGAAACCTCTCTGCCGAAAATCTCGCGTCTATGAACGCAATCACTAGCACTGACATTTCTGCTACTGCGTTGCACCACCGTCTCCAGAACCTCGATCTCCACGGACACAGCCGACTTTCCCCGTCAGAAAACGACCACCTAGGAGTTCCCTCGGATCACGGCCCTGCGTCCGGCTCCAATACCCACGGCTCGAATACTCACACACCTGGAAGTCCAGAGCTCTCGCGGCGAACGTCTGACGAAGTCGATCACGATCATTTGCCCTCGGGAATGGCCACACCGTTTCACCCTCACTCTGCCGAATTGGAAACACTCAGCCGTGTTCCGAGCTATTCGACTGCGGTTCGTTCTTCTGTGCGCCCGCACGACAACCAATTGCCTGACTACCAAGATGTCATTGCCGAGAACGTCCAAATGACAGCTCCTCAGTCACCGCAGCAAGTGCATCTCCGGGGTATCGGCCGAGGATCCGATTATTTCAGTGCCCCGATGGACTTTTTTCATCGGCCTGGCTTCCTCCACTCGCGGTCTCCTAGCCATTCTGACGACGAGCGCCGCGTTCGCCTTGCCCAGGCACGAGGCAGAGCATAATCGAGGTCGCCTTATCCGGATCTCATTCTTTTCCCAACTGCATGCGCTCAAAATCACGTTATTCTTACGATATCCACTCGAGAAAACGATACCCGCCGCCTCATTTCTAGCGCGATTACGACCAAAAATTTATCCAGCGCTGGACGCTGGTCTGCATTTCTTTTATAGACTCTCCTAATCTTCTTATTGGCGAAAGTAGCTACGCGGCTACGCTTTTATTTGTATTTTATTTCGATAGCATCCGCTCTTCAAGACGAAGGCGATGCTCTGATTCATGTCGCTGCTCCTAAGACTAGGTCTGCGCAGGGCTCTTCTTTAGGCGTTTTTACATAGATGGACTGGTTTACCGGGACGCAAGTCATGACAATAAACTTAAGGGATATATAGCCCTTGTTGACGACAACGCATTAAATGACTTATGAATGCATGCTATTCATTTTCCATTCCTTGCAGGAACACACTAGCATTAGCAGCATCAAAACGATATGAAGAATACGGGGCATATCAAAGGGTCAACTCTGAAATTGTTAACAACATCATCAAACTCCTGAGCATCTGACGCGATACGAAGTACTCCGGACTCCGCAGGAGATACATGGTCCTGCTCGGTGCCTGCTCAGCCACACCTCGAATTCATAACTCTAATTGTGCTCACAACTCTAATTGCCCACAACCTTGGTTAGCCGCCGGAGATATCAACCGCCATGTTTCGACTCTCAAAACGGGAGATGGAGATGTGAGACCAGCGCGTCGATCAGCACAGCCACAGCTAAAAGTGCGATTGTGATAGAAGATTGGTTAATCGGTCGAACGGACCTTGTTCTGAGCATGGACCGTTGCCAGCAAACTCCTTGCGGACTTCTTAACCGGGAATAGATGAGGCAGATCGCAGGGTATGTCGTCAATGGCTAAGGCGGTGAGCTGCCCCTCGTTCAAATCCGGACGTTTGCATCATAGCTCTCGAATTTCTTCCCCTTCCCCTTCTCTTCTATCTCCAGAAACATTCCCTTTATCTCTGAGCGAAGTAACCCTATCTTTATTGTTTTTGGATTCTTCTTGGATTTCCCCGTTCCTATCCATATCTCACCCATTCAGCGGTTCTCAGCTCGCCTCCGGTTGGGCCGCACCGACCCACTCCTCCACTTGGCTGCCATCAGAAGAACCGTCTTAGGCCAGCCAGGGAGCTTAGTTTCGCTCGATCGCCCTCGAGATTTAATTATCCTTGCGGCTCCGGACTTCGGTGTCTTTCCCCCCCTTTTCCCCAGGCACCGACCGGTTGATCTGCCAATTTGATTGTCGATTCTTCGGGGAGCTCCCTTCGCCCATATCCGCTTTCGCGATAGACGCCAACATGTCGAACCTTAGCAGTCCCGTCGACGGGCCGAAGCTTCCGTACCGCTCGAACACCCTGAGAACTGTCAGTACTGGCACGGAGCGCCGGGCTTCAATGAGTGAGGATGAGGCTATCCCGGGCTCCGACAGCAATGAGGTATGCTATCCGATATCTCTATCTGGTCCTCGGATATCGCTAATATGCTTTGTTCGTGTATAGACCACCAACCTCCTGATCGAACGATTGCGCGCTTGGAAGCATATGTGCGGATACCTCGAGGACTATGTGGCTGTCACAGCGAAAGTGCAGAAGGGCATGTCGAAGGATTTCGAGAAGGTCTTGAAGGTCTGAGCGACCCGGTTTCATGAAATATCTGGCGGGATGCTGATTGGATGTAGACGGTGAATGAGCCGCTCAAAGAGGGACACCATTTCTCTCAGAGTGCCGGAGGTGTCTATTCGTTCTTTGAGAATATTCGTGCTAATACTCAAGTATGATCTCTATGCTTCACACGACACATGGAATCTAATGAAGTGGAACATAGGGCATGATCAACCTGTACGCCGATGGCGAGAGGAACCTCAAGACCTCCGTGCTCCCCACGTTGGAGAAGCTACACAAGGAACTCAAGGCAAAGTCGAAGGAGCTACAGACTGGTGCTTCCAAGGGCGCAAAGGCTGTCGAGAAAGCTCGGAATCTGACACAGAAACACATCGAGCTCCTTGGCCAGAAGACGTCAGCGTTGGATTCTGCTGCCGGGAATAGACTCGAAACCGCTCATGATCCGTACCTTGTTCGTCGCGGCATCATCCATCGCCTCAATAAGCAAGTCATCGAGGAGAATAATAACCGGCAAGAAATTATTGCCGTGCAGAACAACTTCCAGCAGTTTGAGGCGCATGTCCTTCAGGTCGTTCAGGCCGCAATGGACCAACTTGTTGTATTCATGGGCGGGCAGTCGGATCGTCAAAAGGCCATGTACACCGATATTCTCGGCACGTTGCAGCGCATTCCTCCCGAGTTCGAGTGGGTGAACTTTATTACCAGGAACGACTCAACTCTCGTCGACCCTGATGCGCCACCAAGAACCCTCGCGAACATCACTTTCGCCAACCAAGACCACCGCACCACGCAGCCTCTGATCCAGGGGACTCTCCAGCGGAAATCGCGTGTCCTGGTCAAGGGCTTCACCAGCTTCTTCTACGTTGTCACACACGCCAGATATCTCCACGAATTCAAAGACAACGACGACTTCCACAAGGATCCCGCTCCCGAGCTGTCGTTGTACCTACCAGACTGCCACGTTGTCTCCATCGACGAAGTCAAGAACACCTTTACGATTAAGGGTAAGGACGTGTCAAGTAACGTCGTCGGGAACGCTTTCCACACGAACACCGAGTTCGTCTTCAAGGCCGGCTCCGCAGCCGATGCCAAGGAATGGCTGAAGGTTATCAAGGAGGCTGCCCACACTCCTATCGCCACAACTACTGCCGCAGCTGCTGCCTCAAACCTGACATCACCCATCACCTCCCCAGTTAGCCCGGCCCCATCTGCCACCGGCGCTGCTCAACCACCCGCCTACCCCGAGAAGGAGACCGCCGCGCAAAGCCCCGTCTCCCCGGCTGCAGTCAGCCGGACAAACACCACCACAACGACAGGCGGCGTTGCGGAGAAGGTCCCCTCTCCAGTCTCCGAGAAGACGGAGCAGACCGCCGTAGCTGAGAAATCGTGATGCAACTGTACTATTGATGATTTAAGATGCATACTTTTCTTCCGCTCCTCGTCCATCCACTTCTATTTATTTCTTATATATATCTTGATTATATTGTTGCTTGCATCTGATGGCTTCTATGCCCCCCTGAGCTGACTGACATTCTGGATCTCATGTAATCTCATTGCGAGTTTGCCTTTCTGGTTAGGTATTCGCAGAAGAAAATTCTTGGTTACACAGCGCTTCGTATTCACATTTGATGATATACGTATCTGAATCTAACATTGACAAGCAACCTCCTTCTGGCCAGCCCGACCATCGAGGACGCCATAGTAGGATACTTTGCGTTGGTAGGAAAGACACGTGACGAAAGGCACGTGACCTTACACATCGGAATCACGCACTACTTTAGGAATCCTACACAAAAGCCCAGCACATAGCTGTGGACAAAATACATGAACCGCGGGTCGACCTGAGCATATATGTACTGCATAAGTAACGCAGAAATAAGCAAGAGTGAGGGACATGACACTATATTCAAACAACTCGAACACTGTCACTATCATACCACTACGAAATCCAATCCTACATGTCTGACATATAAAGCTAATACCATCTCACATGATTGTTTGCTTCCCAAGACCAGGTTCATCTCCTGCAACCAAGTGACAGGGGTCGCCTGAGGTAATAGGTAGGTAGGTGCGCGTGACGCACGTCTGTATGTGTGTATATTATGGTATGCATGCGGTGAGTGGAGGAAAGACGAGGTCGGTCCTTAGCAGAGGAGATATGGTACAGGGGCGTGGTTCGTATATCTGTATACAGTGTACGTATGTACCGTATACATATACATCTGTACCATTACCTCCGTACGGAGCAAATCCGCTCTGAATCTCATCACATCACATCTGTCAACCATCCAGAACCCCCCAAGCCAACCCAAATGAGAGAGCGAACGACCTAAAAGTCCTCTGGGCTCTCCAAGTCCTCCAACTTCTGACTCAGGAACCTACCCAGCGCCGCGGACTTCGACTCTAGCGCAAGTAGGATCGACGGCGGCGTTGAGAGGTTAAGGCTCGCGAGGCGCTCGAGGTCCCGCGAGCGGTCGACTTCGTATTGGGATTCAAGTTGAGCTTCGGTCATGTATTCGCATTGTGTTTGCGCTTGCGGTTTTGGTGTGGCGGATCCGTTTGCTGTGCCGTTTGTTGGTGTCTGGGAGTGAGAGTGTGCGGTTGGTGTTGGTGTTGATGCGGTGACGGATGTGCTTGTTGGATCTGCGGCGAAGCCTTCAGGCGCAGAGTCGGGTGGAATATTTGAGTTGGCGGTTGAGGAGGAAATGTGCTGGTTATCCTCTGAAGCGACGTCCTTGACCGTTGACGGCCCGACGGCGGCAAGGAGGACCTTGTCTGCGATCTTGGTCACAACGGCGACGAGATCGTCGAGCTCGAAGACGATCGAGCCTACGTCGCCCAGTGAGACGGACTGCGCTGTGACGTAGGACGAAGGGTGGCTGGCGGGGTTGACGCCGGTGAGGTTACCGCTCGAGGCGGTCTTAGCATAGCAAGTGTATGCGGCTCCGTAGGTGGCGCTTAGGTTGCGGAGTTGGCGGGAGGGAAGGGAAGAGGCGTAGGCAAAGATCGCGCCGTTGGTGGCGAAGACGCTGTGTGTTGTTAGCTCAAAGATCGGCGGGGTGACGGCAAATGCGATATATGTGAGAGAAGGGAAGCAAGGGGTGGGCAGTGGATGGACGTACAAGATGGAGGTGATCTCTGGTGGCGAAAGGTTGTCCTCTAGTAGATCGGAGAGGGCCTCCGCGTCGAGCATTTTGATATCAGGTAGACCGGGGATCATGGTGTCGTCGTCCACGTCGTGGTGGTCGTAGCACTCTCCGACGGCAATATCTTCTTCGGAGCTGTTCTCGTCAAGCTCCCAACCTTTGGGCGGGGACCAGGAGCAGTCTTCTGGGAAGAAAAAGTGGTTGTCCCAGTAGTCTTTGTCGTCGACGTCGTACTCAATAGGCTCTGGCGAGTAGTCGAGCAGGTCCTGCGCGTATTGAACCTGGCTGCGAGCCCAGTATGGGCGGTGAGGGTCGGGAAGAGCAGTGGGTTTACGCGAGAACCCAGAGTGAACTGGATGCTTGAATTCAGCCATTTTGCCCGTGCAGCGAGGATAGAAGGGTGGGGTAAGAATAGGAATAGTAATAAGAGGATGATATGATACGAAGAGGAGCCAGCCCAGAAGAGAGAAGAGAAGGAGGACGAGAGAATAAGTAGGCGGAAGTAGGAATAGATATACAGGGATTATGACATGTATATAGGCAGCGATGAGGATGGATGATGTCGAACGTGAGTCAAGTCAACAGTCACGACGGGTGGCAGCAGCCGGCAGCAGCAGTAGTAGCACGAAGGGTACACAGGAAGGGGGAGACACGGCCCTTTTCACTTGTCGGGCGTGCCCAGCTGGGGGACGAGCACGGAGCGCCATTGGGAGATCAAGGCTCATGATCTTCCCAAGCCATCGTCAACCGGACGAAGATTGACAGATGCAGACGACTCAGACAGTGAGGCGTATTAAAGAACGTGGGGAGAAGGCTGAGTGGGGGAAGCTACTAACATACAACGTACAGTTGTCGCAGGGTGGATTTGGGACGGTTGACCACGGCCACCGAATGAGAAAAGAAAAAATAGGGGGGCGGCAAGGGAAATCTGGGGGCCAAGCAAAAAAAAAAAAAAGAAAGAATAGGAAGAGATAAACAGGCGATGCGAAACTCAAATGGGTGACATTTCATGTGCAGTCGCGTGTGGAATAAACCAGGCCCAGGATGGAGATCCCGGGCGAGAGAACAGCAGAGAAGATCCACGAACCTTGCTGGGAGTCAAAGCCTCAAGGCAGCACCAGTCAGACGATAATAAGCAGTTGATTATTGCAGTCAGCCGCAGCGCGAGGGAGATGGATGGGCGAGAGTCTTCTTGGTGTTGTTCTGGCTGACAGTGACTTGTCTGGGAGCTCGAGTGGAGGTAGCTGTTTTGGGTATAGTCCCGGCGCCGCCTTAGCAGCCATAATCTACCGAGTAGAGACCCACAGATTCTACGAAACACTTGTACTCCGTAGTGATTTCTCCAGTACACTTGCATCAGCCAGGTTAACATCTCCGCAGAAGCATCAGATGATTCAGTTGCAGTGGACAGTTGCATGGTCATGCGCGGCCTCAATTGTAGCCAGCATGGCCCAGTCTCAACTGTGATCAAGGCAGCCGAGCTAAGCGTCGTATTACTCACAAAAAAGGACTCTCTTACTCTTGCCATGGTCGCGGAGCTTTCCTCGTCCAATCGAGCTTGTCGTATCGAGGATCTGAGCCCAGCAACAAAGTTTCCTTCCTTGCTTCTAGCTTTGGACCCTTTCTCGCTATCCGTGACTGCCGCGAGTCTATTCTCGATTCATGCAAATGCCCTTCTCTGCTCTGAAACCTCGCGCCAGCGGATCCCCCGGAGTCGACTCAGAACCAGCATGAGAGATTTTTCGCAACAGGCATATTTCTTTTTCCTCCGCTCCTCCTCCCTGGAGTCTGCGACTCTGCGGCCTCAATTGCTGGTCGTGCCAGTCCTTGCCCAATCCAGCCTAGTCCTTGTCGCACTAGAAACGTCAGATGGCCAAAATCAGCACGATTGGTTGCACTGCGCTTTGAACCGTGAGACTTGGCTTTCGGAAGGAGTTGGCAGGATTGCTGGTTACTGAGTCTTCCAGAAAACGGGATAGATACATCGCCCGTAGGCTGGGCCCGAGGCTGCCGCTAGCTCGTTAGCCTGCACAACTTTTCAAGGATCATGGAACGGTCCTCTGTGCGGGAGAACCCTTTAGTCTGCATCCACTTCTTCAATTTATGGGTCCGCCGGCTGCTGCAGGCTCTTCTTTGCAGACTTGAATGCGACCTTGCAATATCCGGGGTTCCATATGTCTTATGGGCTGACTAGCACCGGCAGGTTGCAGACCGATTTGGACGAGTCTAGAATGGCTCCCGGAGAGGGCCTTCAACGCCCCGGTGGATTTCTTATCGCTTGTTCCTGTGAAAGGTTTGCTAGTGAGAAATTTAGTATGAGAGTGGGATGGATATGAATCCTTAGACAGGGACTCGAGCCGTGGTGGACACCCACGCTCTTTCCCCTTTTGGGCCGGAGAAGCGCACGTGGGCTTTGAGATGTGAAATCTCCATCTTATGCCTCTGTTCACAATTCTTGCGCACAACAATGCTGAAGTCAATAGGTATGTTTCCGCCCTTGCTTTTATCAAATACGCTGACAACTGAGATCATACTACGTCAGCGGGTATCCAATTGAATTCAATCTGACGGAGACTCTAGGGCTTGAATGGTCCATGTATGCGTTCTCGCGTCCACGACTCTCCTCGACGCAATTTCAGTATCGAATAAAACATATTTCGCCCCACTAACCTCTTCGAGAGCCGTGTTGCGAATGCCTCACCGGCTGATTTTATCTTAGTCAACTTCATACGAATAACCTACAGTTTGCCCTATCAAATACATCATTAGTCTTTTGCTAGAAACCTGGAAGCTCTAGCCTGCAAGTCACTAAACTTGGTTTCGACCGCCCCAAAACTGAGGCCCTGTATCTCGACTCAGAAGATCGACCTCGATACTACCATGACAATATCGGTGGCGCCAAACATCATGTACGTCTTCCAACCAATGTCGTCCAATGCACTGGGCGCAATGAATTTGATGAACATGCCACACACCATTGTTATGAATGTGCGAATCGCCATAGCCGAACCCCGCAGAATTTGTCAAGATATCAGCCGGATACATTATGGTCAGTGGAGTGAGCCCAAAATGATAGGCACCTAAGAACATAAACACCGCGGCTAACGTGGCATATACCCCCGATATCTCGTCAGATTTCCGGAGCCGGGAAGTCAGGCCGCCAAGGAGGAATAGGAAGATGGCGAACAGACCCAGACTTAGCGAGCAGAGGACTTTACGTGGGAAATAGTCCATGTACCACAAGGCCACACACCCAATAACCAAAGCCGTTGCAGTGAGGACGATAATAACCTCCAGTCGAGTTATCGGGTCCCTGATCCCAGCTTGCGTCATCATATCCCCAGAACGGATGGTGGTCATATTGTCACCGCAGAGCATAATGATGATGGGAAACATTGTGATCACAGGCGCTTGCGGTTGGCCTTGATAACCTAAGCCTCCAATAGCCCGAGCTGCTGCCCATAGTGTTGAATGAGCGATTTCCAGGATCTGATCAAGTACTCTCTCGTTCCATGTGTTCACAGCGGCTAGGACCCCAAGAGCCTCTTTGTCGCGGTCTTGGCTCACAAGCCACCGCGGCGATTCGGGCACAAAGCAAAGACTCGCTCCAGCAGACTACTTAAGGCGACTTGGAATAAGCTAGCAGACAGTGCTTCTCCTGACGATTCCTCTGACATCTCGCTCTGTCTCAGACGATGACGAGGAGACTCAGCGCGGGCTAATAGTTCTTGCTTTGAACCTTCTACCAGAGCATTCTTTTCAAACGCAACTCTGTCTTTTTGCAGCTTCTTGCAGCTTAGCAACCACTGGATCAGGTTCAGTCTGGGTCGATCTAAGTCATAATTGACAGGCTACGGATTAGGTGCGATGCACCCAGAACAAGTGCCGCCTTGATAGCTGTCTTATCCTCCATGATCAACCGGAATATCATCGACATGAAGAAGTCTGACACTCGCTCCGCCTGCTGCAACGGCAGCTCGTTCCATTGGTGTCTCCGGCACTCAGATTAGCTTCGACACTAGCAAGACAAATACTTGAGGTATGATGATGAAGTGGCAGAAGAAACGAATCTCATTGTGACTTATGCGAGAGCTTGCCAGGATCTGCGTCTGTAGCGCGGTATGCTGGTGGGAGAGAGCACATATTTACTCGAAGCACCTATAGATCGTCGCAAATACTACTGTCATCCTGTAGCTGGGAGTGCGCTCTCTGATTGGAACGACTTTTAATCGAGAGAGGCGACTATTTATACCCCATTCCACTCCTTCAGTATATCGATGTACCTATACTGAGGGCTTGTGGTCACGTGGTATTGGAGGCTTTGCTGCCTGAGGCGGCAGTTTTGACACTGACATTTCATGTCTATCCTGTCTAAGGCCTGGGAACTTGCCCAGGGGTCAGGGTCCGAGGCAGTGTTTAACATGCTTGGTGATTATATTTCCCTGAGCAAACCTTTTTTTCTCCGGTAGCATGTTGAGTGACACCACATGTGACACAGGGCTTGCAGATCAACCGAGGTATGTCCTACTATGGAGTGTTTCAGCCTGAACGTTATGGAGTATAGACTAATAATACGTCAGACTTCACCAGATCAAGATGTGGTTGAGCCCCATGGTAACAATTCCCCATCATCTGAAACCCACTCGGAGTCACCGACAGCGAATCGGGAAGCCGAGATTATGCGATCACATCTCGATCGCCACAGCCAGCCGAGGTTGGCATTGGCCCTTATGCCCCCGCTCTTTGTATTACGTTGCACGCCCTCTTATTCAGCGGTAATGCTCTCCTGTCGGAGTCCACCCTGGAGCACCTAAAAGAGCCCCTTGCCCAAATCTTTGTTGGACCATCCATCAACCGTGTCCAAACACAATGGCCGAGATCCCAGAGCCCGCTGGGCTGCCGTTCATCGGCAACGTTGGCACAATCGACCAGGAATTTCCCCTGGGGTCTATGGTAGCTCTAGCAGAGGAACACGGCGAGATCTATCGACTACGATTCCCCGGACGAACGGTCGTCGTCGTATCCACCCACGCACTGGTCAACGAAACCTGCGACGAGAAGCGATTCCGAAAATCCGTCAATTCGGCACTCGCCCATGTCCGCGAGGGTGTTCATGATGGACTCTTCACAGCCCGGATGGGAGAACTCAACTGGGAGATTGCGCATCGAGTCCTGATGCCAGCCTTTGGCCCGCTCTCCATCCGAGGCATGTTCGACGAGATGCACGACATTGCCAGCCAGCTCGCCCTGAAGTGGGCGCGGTACGGGCCTGACAGCCCCATCATGGTCACGGACGACTTCACCCGTCTAACCCTGGATACGCTGGCCTTGTGTTCGATGGGATACAGATTCAACAGCTACTACTCGCCTGCGATGCATCCGTTTATCGAAGCCATGGGTGATTTTCTTACAGAGGCTGGCGAGAAGCCGCGGAGGCCACCCTTGCCGTCCGTGTTTTTCCGCGGTCGCGATCAGAAGTTCCAGGAAGATATTGCGGTGCTGCGAGATACGGCTCAAGGGGTTCTCAAGGCGCGCAAGGAAGGGAAGAGCGATCGCAACGACCTCCTTGCGGCCATGCTGCGGGGCGTCGATTCGCAGACTGGACAGAAGATGACCGATGAGAGCATCATGGATAATCTTATCACCTTCCTGATTGCCGGCCACGAAACTACCTCGGGCCTTCTCTCATTTGTCTTTTATCAGTTGCTGAAGCACCCAGAAACATACCGCAAGGCGCAGCAAGAGGTGGACGAGGTGGTTGGACAAAGCGTCATTGAAGTGTCGCACTTGTCTAAGCTTCCATACATCACCAGTGTCCTCCGTGAAACCCTTCGTCTCAACGCTACCATCCCTCTATTCACAGTCGAGGCCTTTGAGGACACCCTTCTCGCGGGCAAATACCCCGTCAAGGCGGGCGAGGTTATTGTCAACCTTCTAGCCAAGTCGCATCTGGACCCCGAGGTCTACGGAGACGATGCGCTGGAGTTCAAACCAGAGCGTATGTCCGACGAGGCTTTCAATGCGCGAGTCAAAAAGTTCCCCAATGCATGGAAGCCATTCGGGAACGGGATGCGAGCGTGCATTGGACGACCGTTCGCCTGGCAGGAAGCACTCTTGGTGATGATCATGCTTCTCCAGAACTTTGATTTCTCTTGGGCCGATGCCAACTACGACTTGAAGTATAAACAGACATTAACGATCAAACCGAAAGACATGTATATGAAAGCAAGCTTGCGCCACGGCCTCAATCCAACTACGCTTGAGCGTCGGCTGGCTGGCCTTGCGACGACGGAAACGACTACACCAGCAAATGTTGTCGCTGACTCCGGGGACACTTCTGCCTCGGGTTCTCGATTGACTATTCTATATGGCTCGAATAGCGGAACATGCGAAACGCTTGCGCGACGGATTGCAGCCGATGCAGCTTCCAAGGGAGTCCAGGTCAGGCGGTTTGATGGTCTTGACAGTGGCCGTTCTGCGCTTCCCACAGACCACCCTGTCGTTATCGTGACCTCTTCATACGAGGGACAGCCGCCTGAGAACGCAAAACAGTTTGTTTCCTGGCTGAAAGAATTGGAGCAGGAGAATAATGGAGAAACCCCGCTCAAGGGCGTGGACTTTACCGTCTTTGGCTGCGGCAACAAGGAATGGGCGCAGACATTCCACCGCATCCCCAAGCTGGTTGACAGCTTGCTGGAGAAGCTGGGGGGCTCTCGTCTCGCGGAGATGGGGCTCGCGGACGCATCCGCCGATGAGCTCTTCTCTACCTTTGAGACTTGGGCTGACGATGTGCTCTGGCCCCGTCTGGCTGAGAAGTATGGGGCAGTAGAGAAGGACAACCAGTCATCTTCCAAGCAGGAGCCTTCTGCGGCTGTAGCAGTGACGGTCTCTAATTCTCGCACACAGGCCCTGCGCCAGGACGTGGGCCAGGCGATGGTTGTGGAAACCCGGCTACTGACTGCGGAGGCTGAAAAGGAGCGGCGCAAGAAGCACTTGGAGATCCGGCTGCCAGAGGGCGTCACCTACACGGCAGGCGACTACCTCGCTGTGCTGCCCATCAACCCTGCTGAAACCGTGCGTCGAGCGATGCGGCGGTTCAAGCTGGCCTGGGATGCGCAGATCACCATTGCAGCCTCGGGGCCGACAACGGCCTTTTTTTTTTTCAAGCAGAAGACGGCATACGAGATCCTCAGTACCTACGTGGAGCTATCGCAGCCTGCCACTCGCAAGGTAAGCCAGAAAAATCCAGCAGCTTATCCCGACTGGACAACTAGACTAATAAACGCTTTTCAGGACTTGAGAGTTATGGCCGATGCAAGCTCGGACCCAGACGTTCAGAAGACTTTACGTACCTACGCGAACGAGACATACACAGCCGATATCCTCAGCAAGAGCATCTCCGTCCTTGACATCCTCGAACAATATCCTTCAGTGAATCTCCCATTGGGATCATTCCTGCTGATGCTCCCATCCATGCGGATGCGCCAATAGTCAGTTCCAGCTCTCTTTCATAACTTCACTTTGCTCCGAACCCATTACTGACAATGAACCAGCTCCATATCCTCCTCCCCCCTACTAACTTCCACCACCGCCACAATCACAATATCCGTCCTCGACGCACCCTCGCGCTCCCGCGCCAACGGCACCCGCCACCTCGGCGTCGCAACCACATACCTCGACTCCCTCAGCGCAGGTGACCACCTCCAGGTCTCAATCCGCAAGAACCCCTCCTCCAGTTTCCGATTACCCAGTGACCCAGAATCCACGCCGATGATCTGCATCGCCGCCGGGTCGGGCATCGCTCCCTTTAGAGCCTTCTTGCAGGAGAGGGCGGTGCTGATGGAGCAGGACAAGCAGCGCAAGTTAGCTCCCGCACTGCTCTTCTTCGGATGCCGCGCGCCCGGAGTAGACGATCTGTACCGGGAGCAGCTGGACGAATGGCAGGCGGCGGGCGTTGTGGATGTACGGTGGGCGTTTAGCCGCGCGGCTTCTGAGAGTAACGGGTGTCGACACGTGGATGACCGGATCCTGGCGGATCGTGAGGATGTAGTGCGCTTGTGGAGGGATGGTGCGAGGGTGTATGTTTGTGGATCGGGGGCGCTGGCTGAGTCGGTTCGCGGCGCGATGGTTCAGGCCCTGAGGGATGAGATGGAGAAGTCAGATGATGATGGTAGCAGTGGTAGTGGTGTTGACAAGGCGGAGAAGTGGTTTGATGAGCAGAGGAATGTGAGGTATGTGATGGATGTCTTTGATTAAGGCTTCCAATGTGATTTTATTTTGTTTGTTGAAAAGGATCAAGCTTGCGCTATGTATATTAGGGATTATTATGGTTTTGGTATAGAAGAGATTGATATGACTTCAAGTTGTCTGTGATACAATCCTCTTGTGTTTTCAGAGACGATTTCTGCGCAGGCTGCGTCTTTGGCTCCGCACTTATAGTCGCGGTCAGGATAACATTTCTCTGGCTCGGCCTTCAAGTTTACTCGATACATTCGGGAACTGATTCTTCGACTGACAAGACACTTGCCTTGAACCTCCTTTTGCGACTGCAGGGATGTTCTTACGGTCTTCTCCTCAGAAGCAATTTGTCTATCACCTCGGCGCCTTCAAATCCATCCTCTCGCGATCCAGCAGAACTCGACTCTTGAGACAAGAATCAGATCGGAGATTGAGATCCAACCACTTGAACTCTGAAGATTCCAGGATTGCAGCGCCAGCAAAAAGTAAACATGCTGCAAGTGACATGTTCGAGCTCGGGATTCGGCGCTCGAATCACCATGCGCAAGCGCCTTCAGCTCCCCTCAATTCAACGATGCGATTTGCTGGCGCCGGGTCTACCCCGCATGCTCCTCAAGAATCAACTGCATTATTGCGAAAAGGCGCGCTTTTGAGGTACTGTAGCACAGATCGGATCGCGAGGAGTTCGTCGAAATACCCCCGAGTCTGAACTTTTAGGTTGCATAGCTCTTCTGTCTCGAGCACTTCCTCATGACCCTTGTATGGAGAGTCCCAGTCAATCGTGTTCTATCTGCTCTATTGGGCTCAATTGCTCATAGTGCTCGTCTCATATCGCGGTATGGATCTGGGCATTTGGAGCTCAACCGGGGCCCCAAGTCTTGTGGCTAGGCACTGCAGGACGAGTTAAGGTGCTCATCCGCGAATGTCACGCTCTTACCCTCTGACCCCGTCTACAATTGGGACAATCAGCTACACGTCGCTCCTTGCATGCTGGCCAAGCTACCCTAGATGCATCACCCCGCGATTAGGCAGATCTCAGCTAGCCACGCTGCAAAAGCACCTTGTCCAGGACCCCTTGGATTCTCATATATACCCTGGTAGCTGGCCTTTTTATTTCGAATCCTACAAAGTTTCAGCACCAATTGAGATAATTTATGCTTAGTGGGAAAGTATACTAATGATCATTCAAAAAGAAATCAACATGGCAGACAAAGGCGACCTCACTCACCAGGCGATAAGCTCGTACTTCATCGGGCCCGAAGCCGAGAATCTCGATGAATTCAAGGCCAACATCGCAACGATCCTTGACGAGCTTGAGAAAACTCGAAAGGCCTACTTCCCACAGCCGCCGGTTCGTAGCCTACCTCCAAAGACAACACAAAAAGCTACCGTCGTACTAACACCATCACCCCCCACCCCAGGACAGAAAATTCATCCCACCCGGAGTGAAAAGCTCTAAAGAATTTCAGCGCCTCACCACGAAATTCCGAACCGTCATTGGGCGGGCCGCGAAACTCTTGGGCGAGAAATCCGTCCCTTTCTGGTCGCCCCGGTACCAGGCGCACATGTGCACGGATCTGAGCATGGTATCACTGCTCGGATACTTCATGACGATGCTCTACAATCCCAACAATGTGGCCATTGAAGCGAGTCCGCTGTCGACCGCTGCGGAAATTCTCGTTGGAGAGCAGCTGTGCGAGTTGCTGGGGTATAATAACCAGAAGGGCGTGCAGGATTCCCCGACAGGGTGGGGGCACGTTACTAGTGGGGGGACGGTGGCTAATCTGGAGTCGATTTGGGTTGGTGAGTACTAATTTGAAGTGGTTATATGGTGTAAAGCAGTTGGCTGAGTGTGCAATTGAGCCCGCAACCTGAAGTTCTACCCGCTATCGCTGTATACAGCGATCACAGAAGGTCAACTGCAGTTCGCTAGGAACGACTTTCTAGTCAAGACGTGCGACGGGGCAGAGAAAAACTTTGCGGACCTCTCGACGTGGGAGCTGTTGAACCTCCGGTCCGAAACGGTCCTTGACCTGCCTAAATTGTTATATGCTCAATATGGCGTCTCGCCAACGTATATTGAGCAAGCGCTGGATAGGTATAACATCCAGACGACCGGCAAAGAGAAGCTCGAGAGCGCCTTTCAGATCGCGAAGCCTTGTCGGTATCTACTCACCAACACACGACACTACTCGTGGCCTAAAGGGGGTGGTGAGTGGCCTTTGACAATATATCTATCGCCTATATGAGCTAACCAGATATAGCCATCGCCGGCATTGGCTCCGAAAACATGATTGGAGTCCGAGTCGACGCAGAAGCAAGAATCGACCTCGTCGACCTCGTCTGCAAGCTCGAGCAATGTCTCCGCGAGGAACAAGCCGTGTACGCCGTCGTCGCCGTAATCGGCTCGACTGAAGAAGGAGCAGTCGACCGGCTAAGCGAGATCCTGCGAATTCGAAAGCGCTTCCAGAAGCGAGGCTTATCCTTCCTCGTGCACGCAGATGCCGCATGGGGCGGATACTTTGCGTCCATGCTTCCGCGGAAACTAAGGAAGCAGGAAGACCAGCTTGCGGGGATATTGACGAATGATCGAGGTTTTGTTCCGGATTTAGGGCTGAAGGTCGAGACGCAGGAGGATTTGTTGGCTTTGAAGTTTGCAGATTCCATTACGATTGATCCGCATAAGTCGGGGTATATTCCTTACCCTGCGGGAGCTCTTGTCTATCGCGATGAGCGGATGCGGTCGCTTGTGACGTGGACGAGTCCTGTTATTAACCGAGGATTGTTGACCAATATCGGGGTCTATGGAGTAGAAGGAAGGTGTGCTGGCCTGAAATCATACCGAATCTGAAGAGGTTGTTACTAACTTGGAGCTAGCAAACCCGGTGCAGCGGCGATGGCGACATGGCTGGCTAACGAGTGTATCGGTCTAGACGAGGATGGGTATGGGGCGCTTCTTAGTGAAGCCACCTTTACGTGTACTCGAGTAAGCACTATACGAACAAAATCTGTATGAGGAGCTGAGTAACTAACTCTATCTATAGCTGGCCGCACACTGGGCGGCAATGACAACGAGCGAGGACTCCTTCATCTGCGTCGCCCTAAACCGCCTCCCCTCAGAGGTAAACGGAGGCGACGTCGAGGGCGAAAAACGATTCATCCGTGAGCAGATTCTACCCAAAACCAACCAAGAGATTGTCGCGAATGACGCATCAATGCACACAATGACCCTCCTGCGTGCTCTGGGGTCTGATCTGAATATCAACGCCTTTGCCCTGAACTGGCGGTACGAAGACGGGCGCCTGAACGATGATATTGAAGAGGCCAACTACCTGATGACACGCGTAATCAAGGAACTCTCCATCAGCACGCCCAACGATGAGCCGACGAAGAAGGACTTCTTCCTTACATCCACGGAGTTCAAACATGAAGAGTACGGAACCTGTGCAGAGTTTTTAATGGATCGTCTGGGCATTGCGCGGTCTAAACAGAACCTGATGGTTTTGCGCAACGTGGTCATGAGTCCGTTCCTGACAGAGCATGAGCTAATTGATGAATTGGTTGGACGGTTCCGGGCAGTGGTCGAGGACGCAGTCCAGGTGGGTCTTTTAAGCTTCCAATCCACTATGGTACTGACCTGCCAAGGTGTGCCGTGACCGCAACTCCATAAAGCCTGATATCCATCGCTTTTACATTCAGGGAACTACCAACGTCTTTTTCGTCTATCGGCCCCGGTTCCAGGAAGCTCGCTTCCGGCGTCAGCTAATCCTCAAAGGCAGTTTCAGCCAGTCTGGGCTTGACGCGTACATCAAGGCCAAAGCGCGGGGTGTTGTCTTTCTCAACACCACTCAGGAAACGTGTCTTGAGGCGTTGTTGAATGAAGTTAGCAATAATGGAGAGGCGTCATTCCAGGGCAACCTGGTTGACGGAGATGGGTGAGTCGATTCATTTTTGTACTCTGACACATACTAATCATGACCCCCTTAGAAACATCATCTCAAGTATAAGCACATCAATAACCCAAATAATCAAAAACCGCTCTCTCAACGCCCGAAACCGCGAACCGGACTACCCACCAACCTACATGCCCTTCTACCTCTACGGCTCCGGCTCCCAGCACCACATCTCCCACATCCTCCTCAAATCCCCAAACATTGAGCTCGGCGCCGCAAACATCCAGTTAACCCTCGACACTCCCCTCGACGAAGACGAACTCACCCGCGGCGCAATCCTCTGCCTACCAACCATCCCCGAAGCACCGATGCAACCATTCCCAAGCGCCAACCAGGGTATCAGCGACCTCGATTCACGAACCGACTTCTTCTTCCGGCCCGGCCAGAAATTCAAGGTGAAGATCTGGCGCGATCTAAAGCGCGCCGAGGAAAGTGGACCGAATTTGCTGCCGGCGAGTCTGGAGGGGTTTGGGCCGGAGATTGCCGCGGGGGAGGTTCTGCTGCGCGGAGGGGAGGTGCTTGTTGATGCAGAGAGCGTCAACAGGGATCCATTTGATACGGGGGCCGAGGAAAGTGAGCAGTGGCGGGAGTTATTTAGGAGTTTGGAGGGGGTTCGTGTTGGTGAGTGAGATGGTATTGGGAAGAGGACAGTGGGTAGGGCAAGAGTTGAGTAGAGTAGAGTGCATAACTGCCCTGCTAAACTTTTAGTGAGATACGGGGGCCAGAATTCTATAGAAGCTAGGAAATTACATGCCATACTCCTCAAATCTATACCGTGAGATTATTATAGTTGTTATAAGAAGGACACTCTAAATGCCACTAATTTGATAAGGTCTCCAACAAACTTTATATATGTCGCCTGCAGCTCGGGCCACGACGTTAACAGGAACCCAAGATACAAGTTTAACGCCAGGACGGACGCAGTAAAGCATCCATCATCCCGTCTCTGTTCCGCGCTTCGCGCTTCGCTCTTTGGAGACCATCCCCGAGGGTCTGGCTCGTCGAGCCTGGTACTTTTATCACTGGCTTCCACCAACCAACCACCAAGAAACCCGATTATGATGCCATAACGCCTCTCGCTGATTCACACAGGGCAGGGCGCACATCGAAGCTAATTAGATCCCGCTTATCAGCTGCAGGATCGGACTGGGCTGGACAGGGTTACGTGTGGTAGTATATCACCTCATCGCCAAGACAAAGCACGTTTCGTGTCACTCCATAACCAGCATCAAATTCGCCATTTCCGGGGAATGGGGGCCGGGGACATTATCGGCGAGACCGATCGAGTTTTGCGCACGTTAATCGATTTTGAACAAGATAAATTAAATCGCGGTTCCCGCTGGGTTTATTGTCAGGGTTGAGAGATTGATCATCTACCCTTGTCCGACGACAAACGATGTCACCCTTTAAAGGTTTCAGTGAGGGCGGCGAGTCGAAGAGTGATGATGATTTCAACAATGGCAATAATGCGGCGGGCTACGGCTCTGGCTCTGACTCTGAGCCCGTGACGGGTTTGCAGAAGGAGTTGATTGCGGTCGATATGGTGCTGGCTAGGAAGATGGCGCTGGTCAACGGGGCGATTGACGAGATTGGGATGACGCCGTTCCAGTGGAAGCTGTTCTTTCTCAATGGTTTTGGGTATGCGGTTGATTCGGTAAAACCATACCCCTCAAATATCAAATATCTCTATCATGTTCTGATGTTAGCAGCTCCTCGTCGTCTGTCAATCCATCGCGCAGCCAGCCGTGACGCAGGAGTTTGGGAACCCCAGTGCAAAAGTCGCAGGGGTGGCTCTCGCTTCCCAGGTCGGTCTGCTTGCTGGCGCTGCAGTCTGGGGGTTCTCTGCCGATGTCATTGGTCGCAAACTGGCGTTTAACTCGAGCCTGTTTCTGTGTGCTGCGTTTGTCCTCATCGCTGGCGGCATGCCGAACTACATTTCCTTTGCAGCTATGTTAGTCCCAACCCGAACTTTTTATACTTGTTGATGTGCTGATAAAAGGAACTAGGGTCGCCATCTACTCCGCAGGCGCTGGAGGAAATTATGTCCTTGATGCTACAAACTTCCTCGAGTTCCTCCCAGTCAGCCACGCCTGGCTCGTCACCTTCCTCGCTGTCTGGTGGGCCGTCGGCTACACAATCACCGGCCTGCTCGCCTGGGCCTTTATGAGCAACTTCAGCTGCGACCCATCACTAACAGCCGCCGAATGCACACGCGCCGACAACATGGGCTGGCGCTACCTCCACTTCACCTGTGGCGGACTGGTCCTCGTCCTCAGCATCCTCCGCCTCGTAGCAATCCGCATGAAAGAAACGCCCAAATGGCTCGCGAGCCAGAACCGCGACGAGGAGCTCTATACAATCCTCCTCAACCTCTCCGAGCGCTATAACCGTCCTCTAACCCTCACACTGTCCGATCTAACCAGCCAAGGCCGCGTTCAGCACACCGAGCAATCTGTCTGGTCAGCCCTCCGCCTCCGCTCCCACTTCACTGGCCTCTTCAGCACAAAGCGCCTAGCCTACTCGACCACAATGATAATCATCAACTGGCTCTTCATCGGGACAGTGTCCCCGCTCTACAGCGTCTTCTTACCATACTACCTGCAATCCCGCGGAGCAGACACGGGTGACAACTCCAACTACACGACCTGGCGCAACTACGCCATAAACCAAGTGGCCGGACTCGCCGGCCCTATCATCGCAGCAGCCCTCGTCGAACTCCGCTTCTTCGGCCGGCGCCGCACCCTCGCCCTCGGGGCTGCAGTCACGACTGCCCTGCAGTTCGGATACACGCAGATCAAGACACCAGCGCAGAACGTCGGCGTCTCGGCCGCGATCTCGGCCGCCTCAAATATCTACTACGGGACTATCTACGCGTATACGCCGGAGATTCTGCCATCGGCGCATCGCGCGACGGGGTACGGGCTTTGTGTTGTTGTTAATCGGATCGGTGGCATTGTGGGTGTTCTTGTGGGCAGTTATGCGGATGTGCGTACCACTGTGCCGCTGTTTATCTGTGCGGGGCTTTATGGCGCGTTGGTTGTTACGAGTTTGTTGTTGCCGTTCGAGAGTCGGGGGCGGAGGAGTGTTTAGTTCTGTAGGGGTTGTCTTGTAGATAGGAAGCGAATGACTGGGTTTGTGGTGATGAGGTGGAGGTTAATGAGGGTTTGTGCGATTTTGAGGACTTGTAAATCCAGTATGCGACCTGGATTCCTGAGACATCGATTTATACTCTGTGCTATCTCAAGTGTCAGCGTATAAGATTAGTGTTATATTGGCCTACCTTAGTTAGATTTGTATTGTTGCCAGCGCGCGATATAAATGCAAGATACTGAGCCAGAGGTGTTCTCCACAGCGCCCTTGCACTATAGACTGGAGGCCTCGATGGTCGACGAAGGATCTCAGTAGTCCTGCCATCAGAGGCCCTTTGCTCATTCAGCAACGGTAACCTTCAAAACGGACACATCTTATTGGTTTGAGATCGTGTCGTCAAACCTTGATTCTGATCTGGGGTTTGTTTCTCCAATTGTCTTGGATAACGCCATAGATGTGGGAATCTCGTGCTCTCGTGGCGCGTGTCTCGAGGATAGGTAAAGAGGGGCCTGTCAGATGGTTTGTAATCACTCTCCTCTGTCGACATAAAAGGTCGTTCGCTGGGAGTTTGAAGAGAGTTCCAGCATACCCCTCCTGTCTCAAAGTCGTTGATCGTCTTAAACTTCATTATACATCAAAATGGTTGTTGGAGCACACACAGGCCTTACAGAGAAGGTCTTCGCCTACAAACCCATAGACCCTCCACTCCAAGAGATTGAACCCCCAAAGGATCGCGCGCTCTTCGCGGACCCCGAAAAGAAGGCTCTCCTGTCAGCGGCGACGAAGGTCAAGCATTTAACCCCGTATATCGGGACCGAGCTGCAGGGGATCCAGCTTAGCAAGTTAGATGAGAAGCAGAAGGATGAATTGGCTTTGTTGATTGCTGAGGTATGATATGGTTATCCTTTATATGAGCTGAGTAACGGTTGATGACTGACGCTAACATCGTGAATTAGAGGGGCGTCGTCTTCTTTCGAGACCAGGATCTCACGCTTGAGGGGCAACATGAACTCACTAAGCATTATGGGATTGTATGTTTTCATGGCCTTGCTCTAGCTGATGCCGATAGTGTGTACTGATATGCGTCTAGCAAGATCGAGATCCTAACCAGGTGGATCCCCGCCATGTAACGATTCTCGGCCGCGGAGGGTAAGCCATTGCCTGGTATGTCCGATGTGCTTCAGAAGTCTGACTGCTGGCAGTGACATTCGCTCGTTTGAACATACGAGCAGTGCCTTTGCGGAATTCCACTCCGACCACTCCTTCGAGGTTAATCCGCCGTCGTATACGATGCTCCGGATGGTCAAGACGCCTGAATATGGTATGGAATGCGTTGCGCGCGTGGAATGAGGATTCGCACACTGGCTTACTTTGATCTAGGGGGCGATACGATCTTCGCTAGTCAGACTGCACTTTTCGACAAGCTGAGCCCTACCTTTCAGGAAACATTCCAGGGGCTCCATGCGGTGCATAGCTCCGAGGTATGACACTCCGTCACATGGCGAGACTCAGGCTAAACATGACCAGCACGTCTTCATCAACTCGGTCAACGGAGGCGCAACAACATTCAGACTCCCCGTTCGAAGGGAACACCCACTTGTATACCCCCCTCTCCCCACCACCAATCAGCCCAGATCCCTTCCTCTAACAAATGCAGGTCCGAACCCACCCCGTAACAGGCGCAAAGGCCCTTTTCTACAACCCCGCCTTCGTAATCCACATCGCCGAGCTCAAAGGCCACGAGGCGCTACACACCCTCAACTTCCTGCGCGACCATCTGCACTCGGCGGATGATCTGAGTGTGCGGTGGCACTGGGAGGCCGGGAGTGTTGCGTTCTGGGATAATCGCGTCGTTGCGCACCGTGCTATTCCCGGTGGGTATAACACGGAGGAACGAGAGGGAAAGAGAACGGCGGTTTACGGGGAGAAGCCGTTTTTCGATCCTGCTGCGAAGGTTGTCGAAGCTGTTGGTGTTGCTGGGGTAGCGGAGAGGGCTGTTGTTAAGCAGGGATTGGACGGGTTTTAATTCGATAAATCGCTCAATTGAAATGAACTTGTGGCCTTGAGTATCTATCATGATGCTCTGAAATCGTGATCAAACGGTTGATAAATGTGGATAAATACTCTACTAACATAATGAATGGCCTCGCCTCGAGCGCTCGGAGATAGCGTCATAGCGCAGTTGGAGGAACCCCACCTTTTTCTGCGACTATCCTCACACTTACGACACTGCTCACTAATATAATTTGCTTCCTTACCCCTCCTCTCCATGTTCGGAAAACGCGCTCCCTTTTCTATCCCTGCCTCCTTCCTCAGGGTCCTCAACCCCAGATTTTCTGTCCTACCAGGTTCGTTTCCACTGGGCATTTGTGTTTTGATGTCTCGGGTCTCCACCTGAGCTCCTCTGGAGCTGCGAACAAATGGCTGACACGTCGCGACAGGTACAAGCAGATCTCTCGCGACAATGGCGACCGATACGTCCAAGTATAAGCTTAACCGTTAGTATCCGCATTTGTGGTTATCGGGAATCGACTAATAATGGCATTTCTACGGAATAGACACCATGCTTCGGGTGAAGGACCCAAAGCGATCGGGTAAGTTTTTGAGACAGCGCTAAAGGAAACCTCCAAAACTAACAGAGAATCTTTAGTCGAATTCTACAAATTCCTCGGCCTAAACCAAATCCAACAGCTCGACTTCCCCGAAAACAAATTCTCCCTCTACTTCCTCGCATACACCGGCCCCGAGTCCCTGCAGGGCGACCGCCACTGGACAGACCGCCACGGCGTCCTCGAACTCACCCACAACCACGGCACAGAGAGCGACCCCAACTACACCATTGCCAACGGCAACGAGGAACCCCACCGCGGCTTCGGCCACATCGCCATCTCCGTTGATAACATCGAAGTCGCGTGCCAGAGGCTCGAGGACGCCGGGTACGCCTTCCAGAAGAAACTCACCGAGGGCCGCATGAAGCACATTGCGTTCGTCAAGGATCCCGATGGCTACTGGGTTGAGATCATCAAGCGCCAGGATGAGGCGATCAAGGCGGATTCGACGGATCCGGGCTCGTACAGGCTTAACCATACTATGCTCCGCGTGAAGGATGCGGAGGTTAGCCTGAAGTACTACCAGGAGGTTATGGGGATGACTCTTGTCCGGACAATTGAGAACAAGGATGCTGGGTTTAACCTCTACTTCTTGGCGTACCCCGCTTCCAACCCCAAGGCCCTTGTGAATGCGAGAAACCCTGTCGCTGAGTGGGAGGGTATTGTCGAGTTGACGTGGAACTACGGCACGGAGAAGCAGGAAGGAAAGGTCTACCATGACGGCAACGCTGAGCCGCAGGGCTTCGGGCATATTTGTGAGTGAACCTTTTATATCCTAGCTTCCCATCCATGGAATCTAATTTCCACTAGGTATCTCTGTCGACGACCTAAACGCAGCTTGTGAGCGCTTCGAGTCGCTGAATGTGAACTGGAAGAAGCGCCTGACCGACGGCCGCATGAAGAACGTCGCCTTCGTCCTTGATCCCGATGGCTACTGGATTGAGGTGATCCAGAACGAAGCGCTGAAGCGTACCAGCAACTGGTAGACATGCTAGCTGAACAAACAATGCAGTTAATATATCTACTTTATCTGGCAATATCTACACGAATCCACTGGATCTATTCATTCTAGAAAACAGAACAACCGCTGGCATCTCAGCGTCTCGGACAACCTCCGAGCAGATCACACCTATGACGTAAGCAAGGCCACAATCTGGAGAAAACTCGCAGCATGGCCTGTCTCTAATTGGCGTTACTTTGCTTGAGGCGAGGCCTGGAACGCTTGATTGCTTAGTCGCCCTGAAGGCCTTCTCACAAATTGGGTGATTCTGATTTCTAAAGACGGTGAATTGTCACGATGGCACATGGTATCTATTCCTCAAAGTTTCGTAACAATCTTTAAAATCACAATGTCCGGAGAAGCAATCTGGGGTCTCAAAGTTGGGGACGGGAAAGAAGGGTCTAGGCTAGATCTCTTCCCCAACTTCATCCCATGAACAATCCAGGGCTGAACAACCCCCGCCGAGAATTCCATTTCGAAGCATTCCATCGAACACAAGACTTTGTCAGGTGACAGCAGATGCGGGGGTTATTGCCCTGTTCAAAACTTTCGAGGCGTGGAATAGCCTCCAATTGGCCACCGCAGTGGAACCTTTGATGCCTGGGGTAAGATTCCCCTGGTGAAGCACCAGGTCTCAAGAGGTCCCGGTCCGATCTTCGATTCTTCTTTTTCCCTCGCAGCATCAATCTCACTGCCGACTCGGCTTCTAATTCTATATTTATTCCGTCTTCCCCATAAAAAAAATCATGTCCCTCCCCCGCCCTTAGGCCCCTCCGCCAACACCGTCGTCGTCATTGTCATCCCCATGAATTTTGACTCGGACACGCTCGCTTTCAGTCAGTGCTCGGTTGATTTTGGCTGATTGCATTTCTTCGGCTTGCTTTGCTTTGCTTTTGTTCAAACTCCGAGCCAGGCCACCCACCAGTGAAATCGACTCGCCATGCAGCCCGAGTCGGAAAAGCCGAAGCGGCCTCCTAGGAAGCACGTCACGACGGCTTGTGTTCCTTGTCGCGAGAGCAAGATCAGGGCATGTTTCTTTCTTCTCCCCGCCTTGGGATGTAAAGCTGACTAAATTTGTCGGATCTCAGTGCGACGGCGCTTCTCCGAATTGCAACAACTGCGAAAGGAAGGGGAAACACTGCAAGTACCAGCATGGGGACGATAAACGGAAGTACGTCTGGCGCACCTCTTTTTCTCCGCGGCAATTCTGGTTGGTTCGACCAGTTGTCGGATAGTATCCCACTGTCTTCAGCGACCGTGGCTGCTGCGGGGCATTGTCTAATCCTGGGGAGCAACTGCAACCGACCATTTTATAGAAGCTGATTGTTCCCCTCAGAGTTTCGCTCCGCGCAGCAACAGAGCTGTTCTCCGCTCGAATTGACCAGCTTGTTCAATTCATCTACGATCAAGGCCTGGAGCCGCCCCCGATGAAGCCCGAGGACGAATCCGGGATCAACCGGGTGCTCGACACACTGCAGATACCGCGGGGGGTAGCGAAGACGAAGGGTTCTCCAGTATCTCAGAAGCTCGATCTGCAACCGGCGCCAGCTCAACCATCAGTACCAGCACCGGAACCGCAACAAAATCAGCATCCGCATCCTGTTTCCGCTCTCAAGGTGCAGCCCGTACTTGAGCAATCGTCCGAAGCGCCACTCCCATCGCAGGGGATCCTGCCGAATCAGAATACTGCGCCAGCTATGAACAATCACCAGGACTCGCTGAGTCCCTTCGGGTTCCCGTTACCTCAGACGAGTTGGGAATTTGCGCTTCCGACCGCTGAAAGTCTCGACTCGCTATATGTGAACATGAATGGGGGATACAACAACACATCTCCCGAGAACTATACTCCCGACAGCCTTCAACTATCTCAAGACATGGCGCAGCAGCCAGGGGCTCTCCTCGAACAAGCACGCATGGACAGAGAAGAGGACAGCGACAGCGGCGAAGAAGACGAAGCAGAAAAGGACGTCATTGAACAGATCTCCCATCGAATAGGAACGCTGAAAATCGCGGGCGATGGGCATCTGCGATTCTTTGGTGCGACGTCTAACCTTAACCTCGTGGATGTCTCTGCGACGCAGCAGCGCCAGCGTCCCGATGCACGAACCGTGCGTCATGATGGACAGGATATACTGAACCACCTGCGCGTCGGACAGCCGGTGGACCAGGCACTTGAAGACCACCTTCTAGAGCTGTTCTTTACGTGGCAGAACCCCAGCACCTACGTCGTCGACAAAGAGATGTACATGACCGCTCGATCGAAATGGAGGGACGAATTCGACGACACGCCGTTCTACTCCGAAGTCCTTACCAACGCCATGTGCGCTATCGGAAGTGCATTTGAAGCGCGGTACCACCCTACCTTTATCACCTTTCCAAAATCGCTATCCGAGTTCTTTGCGGACAGAGCAAAGGCGCTGCTGGAGATTGAGCTGGACTCGCCCTGTGTTGCCACCGTGCAGGCACTCGTCATTTTGAGCTGCCATGAAGGAGCGTCGAATCGTGATGCGCGTGGCTGGCTTTATAGCGGTATGTCTTGTGCAAGTACATGTTATATGCACTACTGATGGGCCTAGGAATGTCAATGCGGCTGGCCTTCGATCTTGGTCTGCATCTGGATATGACACCATACGTTGAGAGAGGAGATATGAGTGCGTTCGAGGCCGATGTCCGGCGGATAGCGTTTTGGGGGAGTTACGCTGCGGATCAGTGAGTAACCATATCCCGTAATGTCTATAGTGTGTCTAACGTAATCCAGTTTCTGGGGCTTCTACTTAGGCCGGCCCTTCCGGATGAATGCTGGCGATATCACCGTGCCCAAACCTGCATCGGGCTTGGTGATCGGCAAAGAGGAGACATGGCGCCCCTACGGGCTTTCCACGAACCAAGAAGCGTTCGGCGGTGCATTGAGGAACCCGAATGAGCTCATAAGCAGGCAGTTTGCCGTACTGTGGGAGATTATCTCTCCGCTCGGCCACGTACTGTATGATTCGCCTCCCGTATTAGATGTACTGAACTAACAGCTCCAGGTATGGATGCTCTGATATACCACGTCATGAACTCCAGAGGTTCTGCCATCGAGTCACTGATGACCTGTTTGCCTGGAAAGCCAACCTCCCCTCCATCCTCGACATCAACCTCGCGGACGACGTGACACCCCGATTGCCTCACCTCCTCATGCTACAGTAGGTGCACCACATCTCCCAGTAATCTACTAACTAACAAAACTAGCCTCCAATACCACCAGATCGTAATCTTCACCCATCGCCCCTGGGTCTCAAAAAGCTACATCCAACCCCGCAGTCCCCGGCAAGGCCCAGGCTACCACCACGCGCGCAAAATGTGCATCGAATCCTCCATCGCCATCGCGCGAATCCTCCACATTTACGAAAAACACTACACCTTCCGCCGCATGAACAACCAGGTCGTCTCAATGATCTTCAGCGCGGCTTTGATCCTCCTCTACGTCACCATCTCTACCACCCCGCTCTCCAGCAGAACTGGCCTCGAGCTTGGAGATAGTAGGACGGAGATGGTCGCGTACCTAAATCTCTGCTTCCGCGCTCTTGACGACCTCGGGCAGTCGTTTGAGAATGCGAAACGTACTCGCGATTTCCTGGTTAGTCTGCAGCGACGCTGGCAAGCGCGCATGCAGCGGTCTGGTGCTATGAAGCGCCAGATGAGTAGCCACCGGCCACCACAATTACAATCCGCTGCGAGAGACACGGCGAGCTCCATGCGCGATCCATCCGCCACCCGCAAAAAGACACGCCTTACACCTCCCAGTCATAACAGACCTCATGGACGTACAAACACGACATCATCTTTCCCCGTCTCCACGTCCCCTCCACGCACATTCTCACCACCGGACCACGACCTCAACCCTTCCCAACATGAAACCGGTCAAGACCTTCACATTCCCCAAAACACAAATCCCCTAACGCACGCCCAACAAAACGACATCGACTCCTGGATCCGCGACTCGGAACTTGGTCTTCTCCCCGATAACATTACCGAGCCTACAGGGTCTGCCGGTGTACATGTACCCGGGATGCCAGGGATTCCGCGGGTGAATGGTCCTGGAGCTACTGCGGGTAGCTCTATTGATGCAGATATCGATGATGTGGATGTGGGATTGCCAAGTTTGGCAGATATAGACCCCTGGTGGGATTCCTCGGAGGGAACTGGGAATGTAAACTCGAATGTGGCGGCGTTTGGGTCTTCGTTGTAGATGGGACTGTTGAAATGGATTATGATGGTACTAGGTATGCAGGAGCTTGTTGTTCATGGTTGGCATCTAGACGACTGCGTATAGAGATAGATAAGGAGTTTCTTGGTCTCGCTTAGGTTGACAACCTCATTCAACCTTCATGGTTCCCAGGATGCCTGCTCGGGGCTCTTGCTAGATATTGGAACACTACATTGCCTTCTTGCAGTTAGTCAATCAGTCCTTTCAGCCAGTCGATCTGGGCAAGAAAAGGGAAAAAAGGGGTGGGCTCCACAACTCAATCGCCCCAGCACAAAGAATACAAAAAAAAAAAGAAATGCTTTGCATCATCCGTGAATCGAACACGGGCCTCGTCGATGGCAACGACGAATTCTACCACTAGACCAATGATGCTATTGGTTGAAATAGTTCAACTTATTTGATACTATATGCTACTATTAACTTCTTGGCGTTGTTCTTCCCATCTCTTGGGACGCTCATCTACATCTACATATCTTTCGCCTTCAGGGGACCTAATTAGCCCGTTAGATTGTAGTAATTATGAATAGAGCTGACCAAGTCTTAGAAAGGTAATAAGCAAAGTCACTCAGTGTAAAGCAGTTCATGTGCTTTGCGAGGTTTTCTTAGCAAGGAAGCCGTGGACTTGAAAGTCTTGAATTGAGAGCCGATAGATATATATTTCGGTATGCTGAACTCCGAAAACAAAAGTAACAACCCCAACATAATCTGTGTAGTTGATGATAACTTGCTGCGTCCTAGTAGATACCATGCGAGTATCCTAAACGTAACGTATCCTCTTTCCAGCATAAACCCGTAACTCTCGCCGCTTGTACTCCTCCTGTCCGTCGACTTCTCGCGCCTCTCATCTTGTGGAAACCGGAACAGAACCCAGCCGAGCCCACTCCAAAAAAACCCACAAACTAGTCTCGCCAGTCATAATGCAAATAGCCCCAACTTTTTTTCAACGAACCAGCTCTCATAGCTCAGTTGGTAGAGCGCGTGACTAGTAATCACGAGGTCTGCGGTTCAAATCCGCATGGGAGCATTTCTTTTTTGCCTTTTGATCTCTTTCTTGTTCCTCATTATTTTTTTGTGGTTGGGGTTGTTCGGTGGGTGGTTTTTACGATGGGTAGATGGCAATTATTTGGGTTTTGCTGCAGCTACCATGCGTATGTTGTACGGCTGAGTTATCAGCTTAGATATGAGAGGGACATGAGAGAATGAATAGAGGAATGGAGAGAATCAATTGTTATTATCATCCATCACCTGGTGTAGCATTAAGCGCATCGACGAGCCACTCCCCAACACGGGAAGCCATCATCTCATCAGATGCTGAAGGACTGGATTCCCCAAGTCCACTACGAGCCAACGACTCAAGCGAAACCAGTGAAACCCTCTCATTCGCGAAACCGGATTCCCTCCCCCAGAAGCACGCGCGACGCATAACGTCTACCATCTCGTTCGCTTGGCGGGTAAGCACCGTGGCGTTCTGGTTTCTCCTTCGTCGGGAGGACGGTTTCTGGGATGCAGTCTCGTCGGACTGTCTCGGTTCGGTATGTTCTAATGCTGAAGTGACCCCTTCGCTGTAAAGACTCTCCTTGGTAAAAACACGAACCCAGGGTAAAGTGATCTCAAGCTTCTGGACCGGCTCTCGGCTCCACGCCTGACGAGGCCCGCTAGTTCCGTAATCCAGGCCGTAGGGAGGCCACCTCGCGAGCGTCTTGCGGCGACGCACAAGAGGTTGCTCTTTTCCATCGGCGGTCGACGACGTCTCCGTACTCTCGTAGCCACTATCACTATCCTCAGGCAGGTACGCATCCCACAGCTCAACTTCCCCATCCAGCGAGTCCTCGGACTCCTTCGTAAGAAGCGGAATCGGATACTCCGGGCCCGTGAGGTACCTCGGCCACGCCTTCGGCACGTCCTTCCCGGCAGAGCGGAGGAAGAGGATCGGTGATGCGAACGAGTCGAAGTAGCGCTCTGGGGTCGCGAAGAAGCGTTCGCGGGCTTCGAGGAGGGGCACGAGGTCGCCTGGAGCGTGGTGGGGTTTCTTTCGATGGTTCACGGTGAAACTGGAGCCGGCGCTTGCACCCGACGAGGTACAGAATTCATCGAGAGACGTCCAGTCGCAGACTGGTTCCAGGACCGCCACGGCATGGATGTATCGCGGTTCTGTGAGCGCTAGCATCAATGCTAACGAGCCTCCTATGTGTGTGCCCACGACGCCGAGACGGTTTGGTTGGAGGGTTTCTAGGATCCAGTCGAAGCCTGTCAAGGTGTCATGGACGGGTGTTGGGTATCTGTAGGTGACCTTCTTGAGGTCTGTATCACTGCTATCAGAATGGCGACGGGGCGAGTCCTCGGGTACGGTGAGTTCGCCGAGTCGGTAATTGATTGTAACCACAGTTGAGGATGTCATGTCCGCCAGTGCGCGGGCGGAAGTGGTGTCGCCGACGCCGTGCGACGTATTGACAGGTTCATCTCGATTTCTCCCGAGAGAAGGAGAAGATAGTCCCGCGCCTTCAAGGCGTGCACTCTGGAACAGCGGCCCGGATGGAAGATGGATGATTACATTCCCCGGGTGTGATGGTGCGAGTTTGGGATGGACCACGCTTCAAGGTCAGCATTCATCGTTTCAATCAAGGTTTCAAGAAGACATACCTCAATGATACATGTCCATTACTCCCAACGGGGACATTGTAGACGCCATGGACACGATTGGACACGAATCTCACGGTCCGTAGCTGGTGAAACCGCGGTCGGAGGAGCCGGGAGAACCGGTTTGTCGCCGAAATATAGACGCCAATTGGATGCGAACGTAATGCTAGCGATACGTGCATTGAGATATTGACGCGCATAGCGTCATCGTGTTGAACTTGAGTAGTTTGAAGAAGAGGACGGAGATAAACATAAGGCGACGGGACGGACTGCGCTAAACCAGATTGGGATCGCAAATGCTTTTGAGGGTGCATTGCTCTGCACAGAGCATTATTCAAGGTGAGATTACTGATAAGGATGCTCAGAAGGAAATAAGGAAATATATACAAGCGAGTGGAAGGAATGAAAGATTGAGATATGAGATTGTATTAGCAAATTAGTGAGTAGAGTGCGACGCTAATTACGCATTTTGAAACGCCAGAAAAAAACAGAGTAACAAACAGTATATAGCCCGCTCAACAGACTCGAAATATAGATAGTGCTTGACGTTTCTGTTCATGTGCATGTTCATGTTCACTCAAACTGCATCGACATAAGCCGCGAGCCCTTCTCAGACGTCGCGCTCAAAGCCGGATCATCCATATCGAGCGCCGCCTCGGTCTCATCCTCCGGAACAGGACGAACAACCTCAACGGAGAGCATCTCATCCTTGGAGTAAACGCGCAGCCCAACGACACACACCGCATTCCACGGGTCCGTCGTCTTGCTGTCGATATCGTCGCTGAATGAGGTCCGCGAACTGCTGGCCCTTGGCACCGGGACCTCGGGAGGCATGTCGATGTCTGAGTCGAACTCGAAGCCCTCGAGGAACTCGGAGTCTCGGTTATAAGTGTGGCGGCGGAGCCGGCGGAGAGAGTGCGTTGAGCGGTGGCGGGTCGATCGGACCGAGTATGTGTCGCGCGAGGCGTGGTGGTCGACCATGTGGCTCTCGTCGAACTTGATGCTCGGGATTGAGCCGTTCTTGGTGTGCTTGGCTACAATGCCGTTCTCTTGGCCTTCGATGTCCGATGGAGATTCTACCGGATCGTCGGCGAGGATGTGGTCGGCTTCGTGTTCGGAGTGTCGGCCGTTTGTCTGGACCTTGGTGGCTTTTGCGGCTTTCGCTGCGAGCCTCTCCTCTGCTCTTTGTCTGCGAGCCATGACCTTTTGATCGCGGATCCACTCCCGTTGGAGCCTCTTCTTGGTCTCCTCGCGAAGTCTCTTCCGCTCCGCTTCTCTCCGGCGGGCTTCCCGCTCCTCGCGCTCAGCCTTTTCGGCTTCGCCTTCGACGACGATGCCCTTGGCATGCGCGAGATCATATGAGAGGCCGATCTGGACCAGCTTCTCTCGTCGGGTTGGGGCAAGGCGGATGACCGCATCTTCGGTGGATTCAGTGTTCGGGCATCGATAAGCGGTGATCTTCATTAGGATGTGGTAGGAGCCGGGTTCAAGATCAACTTCTGCGTTGGTGGAGCGGGAGATGAGGGAATTGTTATTACTTCGCACGATGTAGTCATGGCTATCCTCACCCTCCTTTTGGAGACGGAACTTGAGGACGAAGTCGTATTCTCCAATGAGGCCTTTGAAGTAGCGTGTGTCCAGCTGCGCGATGTTAGCTAAGTAGACGGGAGCTATGAGTTTACTAACCTGAGATACAACCAAGATAACAGGACCTGGTTTAGTTATGTTCAACCGGAACTTGCTGGTGTGGTAGTCTGCAGACCAGGGAACGGTCAAGCTTGTCCACTGTTGCGTGACGGTCCACTCAGGCCCAAAGAGACGGGTGCGGTCAAAGTGCTGATACTTCTTAAGCAGGTCATCGTACGATATCCAGAAGAACTGCTCGCGTTAGATATTTTCCTCAACTTGATATGGAACAGATGCATACCCCATCGTTTCCGAACTTATGGTTCAATTTCTCCATCCACTGAGGTGTCCACTGTTCGGACCCGTCGCTCCAGGCGCCACTCCATTCTTTCTTTCCCCAAGGGTTTCTGATAGCGTAAGCAGAGTTCTTGTGGTACCCATGGGTGAGCATACCTTAGCTTCAGTAGGCGTACTCCGTCAATCTCCTTGGCATCCATGATTGAGTAGGAATGGTTCTCAGAAATACCCTTCCTGTCTCTCGGAGGCCCACGGTACTTTGGCGAAAGCCAGTTCGAGTAGAGACCGGTGCCGCAACCGAAGAGGAACTCCTTGTTGACTTGCATAAGCTCCTCCTTCCAGAACCTATCTTTGTCCAAGATGTTGCTCGTGAGAACATCCGTCGTTACACCGCCAGTTAGGTCCTCAATCGCCTCACTACTAACAGTTAGCGAGTTTCACCCATATGTTGTAGCAAGCGACGACCTACCCAACAAAGCCACCCTCAATCGCAGAGTAATCACCGTGCGCCTTGGCATACGCCTTCTCCAGGAGGGGCAGCCAGGTCTCATTCTCATCCACACACTGAGCAAAGTATAGAGCGCGGGAGCCTGTCTGCCAGACCTTGCGGTACTCCTCCTCGGTGTCGCTTCGGTTGATGTCATCCCAAATGGGACGCTCGTCAACCGACTCGTCATAGTCGGCGGCGCGTAGGTAAAGTTTGTCGTCCACAATGCATTGCTGCCAGTCGCCATCTGAGCGAGTTAGAACAGCCGACCATCTAGAGGTAGCGCGCACGTACCTCTGTAAAAGACGAAACCATAGACTCCGACCTGTTCATCACGACGGACACAGATCTTATCTATCAAGCCCTCCTTATTACCCATTGTACAAAGCGCAGCCATGAACCAGCAATCTCCATCTCGACCTTGGCGCACATCCGAAGCGGTCGGCCCGTTAACATAGAATTGAGGATTTTCAAAAATTTCCTGTATGAGTCGCGTGGTCAGTAAAAGCTGTCCTGTGCTGCGCCAAGTGTTTGCAAGCCACTCACAGTCACCCGCTTCACGCCTCTCGGGCGCATCGCATCATTCTCCGCATCGAGCCCGTCGAGGCAATTCCTCCGCCCGGACTTCAAGTCCATCTCAATGTCAAAGTGGGGGTCCGAGTATTTCTGGTTCAGTCGTCGGCATTCGTTCGCAATGCGATCGACTGCTCGGACGCACTCCTTCTTGGCCTGCTCATAGGATTTCCCCGCATCCTGTCCCTTGACGATCCCTTTGGAATTCCTCGCTGCCTTGGAACGGGCATACGGGTTGTCGGGGAGAACAGTGTAAATCTTCCCGGGGAATTTGGAACTAAATTGGTCCCAGAATTGTCTCAGGTTCTCCTGTGGAGCCTGTCTGGGTCTGCGCATTCTGCTACCAGAGCGCGATGAAAGGGGTGGGGTATAGACCATGTCGGCGTAATCATCCTCGGGGTCTAATGTCGCCATGGGAGTGAAGTATTAGGATGGAGAGGGGAAGAAAGGTAGCTTGTGATACAGTATGGAAAGAGGTGAAGGCACAAGAAGAAAAAATCGTGGCCTGTAAGGCTGCGAAGCTCGTCCTATATAGGCGTTATCGCCCGTTGCGCGAGCTCCTGCACCCAGCCCCGCATGCCCGCTATGGCGGCTGAGCAAAAAAAGTTCTTGGAGACAAGCGATCTTCTCAAGAACGCGAAATGCGCTCGACCAATCGGCATACAGTACTGGGTTCTGGGCTCTCAACAAGGTCCTGACAGCACCGACCGGAAGGTCGCTAGGCGTTTCAGATGCAGACGATGCTTGAACGAAAGAGTCCCATGTCCGGCTGGGAAAGAGACGCACTGATCAGCCGGGGCTGAGCACGGATGGAAAAAATAGCCCCAACGCAGTCACGACTCACCATTAATAATGCACGAACACCTTTTTGACATCAGCCGTCGATTACGAAAATAACCGTTCTTGCTGACGGGCTGCTTCGTGAAGATGTCTCGGACGATAAGGGGGCCAAAACTCTGCGCCTTGGGTTCGGTCCCATTGGGGGCGCGTTGCATTGCAGGAGTCGATCAACGTTGGACTGCATTGGAAGACAAGAAGAGCTCCTTGACCGTGAGCCTCGAGAAGTCGATACGAGCCGTTCAGCGCTGGAATTCCAGAGCCCAGGTGCGATGACTGGTCGAAGCTGCGTGCTGAGTGGTTCCCAGGCGGACCAAGGTTTCCATTCTTTTAATTTCTCGTTAAGCGTGCATGGCTAGCGCACTATCCGTGAAGATTTAGGCCAAAGATCGTTAGCCTGAGGCTGTGTCGAGCTGAGGCCTGGTCGCCTTGGACGGTCTGGCAGGGCTGAAATCGCGCCTTCCCACCAATAATCTCCGACAGACGAGCGACGCATCGGCGTTGCCCGAGCCGTTAATTCCAGAAAACTTTGTAAAATGGTCGAAGGAGCGTTAGAGCCACGGATCTGGCAAAGAGCGGGCAGTGCTTTAGCATCGTATCTTGAAGTATGGGGGTCCGCGATAGTGCTGAGGTCGCGAAGAGTGGAAACAAGCGGAGACCGTTGCGGAGTGGACCAGCGGAAGCGGATCCAGGTCACACGTGCTGAAGGTAAAAAAAAGAATGCCTTTCTGGCAGTGCAACTGGCTGCTTTCCATGCATATCGTCATCCTGTCTTCATTTCCCCTGCCTTTACTCGGTTTACAGCCGTCGAATCAGATGTGGATATGTACGGTAATAAGAAAAAAGAACAATGCAGTAGATATCCGTAACCTAGTCTTTCCTGCCAGATCACTCCGAAACAAACGCCATGGACAAAAGAAATACAAGAAGTAAAGGCAAGACAATGTGTAACCCAAGACCAGGACCAAGATGTCAGACTGGTATCGGCCAGAGCGAAAGCATGGCCCGTCTTACCACCTCCCAGGATCCCGGGCCGACCCCTGCCCAGCCATGGTATACGTGCGTAGATTACATGTAAACGAGAATCTCATCAGTCGTCGAATCAGTGAAACCCATTTCGGCGTGTGCGCCCGGAGTAGTACGAGCTGCCGTGCTGGAAATAGGGATGCATGCAAGCCTGCTTGGCCGAGATTCGCCGGGCCGGGTCGTACTCGAGCAAGGCCTCCAAAAGGTCGAGGCCATCCTCGTCAAGACCGGGAACCAGGTTATGTGACTCCTCTCGCTTCCACCTAGGGAAGGTGGGCTTGAAGTCAGGGAACGAGGTGACACCGGGCCAGATGGTCTCATCTGGTGTGCCTAGAAGTCTGTGACTACATTAGAATGTCTCTGAAAATACGAGATGGACGGACGCTTACCGAAAGATCTTGAAGATCTCGTCGATCTCGGAGTCTCCGGGGAAGAGAGGTTTGCGGGTGCACATTTCAGCAAAGATAGCACCGCAAGACCACATGTCGACACCAGTCGAGTACTGGCGGCCACCGAGAAGAATCTCAGGGGAACGGTACCAGAGCGTCACGACCTGCACGCGAAGTTAGCGATTATCTGCCAATGCAGGACCTGACCATGTACCTCGTGAGTGTAGGTTCGCAGAGGCACACCGAAGGCCCTAGCCAATCCGAAATCTGCGAGCTTGAGATTGCCGTCACGGTCAATCAACAAGTTTTGTGGCTTGAGGTCACGATGCAGAATCCTGTGACTGTGACAATAGCGGATGCCCTCGACCAATTGTGCCATAAACTTTTTGACCATTGCCTCGCCCAATCCGAGGTTCTTGCTGAGAGAAGAACCGTCTGGTAAAGCCTTTCCTCTTCCACCCTCGCTGACCGGCAGTGCCTCCATGTACTTCTTGAGGTCGAGATCGAGGAATTCGAAAACGAGGTAGAGTTTGTGTCCATCGGCATGCACGATGTTGAAGAGCTTGACGATGTTGGGGTCATTCATTTCCTTGAGCAGGGATATCTCGCGAATAGCAGTGCTGGGAACGCCTTCGTCTTCGGCCTCGAGTCGGATCTTCTTCAGGGCGACGATACGGTTCGGGTGGGTGAGCTCGCGGGCCTTGTAGACGACGCCGTAGGTTCCTACGCGTAGAACAGAGTTAGAATGAATGTCAATTCAGGGGTATCAAGACAACGGGCACTGAGGCTGTGAGCACGTACCCTCCCCGATCTTCTCGATCTTCTGGTAATTCTCCATGGTAGCCATCAATGACCACTGCAGCCTCAAAAATAGATGCGACGATGGAATTTCCGATCTGGGTGGAAATTGGACGAAATGAATGTGGCAGCTGAGTCCACAAGGCGTGGGGTGCAGGACACAAGTCAGGCTGCACGGTGACAATGACAACCGTGAGGTTGCCCGGAGACAGCGAGCAAGGACAACAATCACGGGGAAGGGGGGGCTTCGGGCGCTGCCAGGGTCTCGGACAGGGGGTTATCCAACGAGCCAGCAAGGGGGAGGCACCAATTCCCAATCAAGGGCTCGCAAGTTCCGACGATAGCTGAATTTACTTACCTGTGTCGGTCAAGTCGGCGATTTGTGAACCGCCTGGGATGGTCTTTTTCATCTGGTGGGGGAACCAAGGCGGTCAACAAAGATAAACAAAACCAGCGCGTTTTGGGTAGGCGGTCAGCGCGTCGCACCGGCTTGGCACCTGACTTGGGATCAGACGACGCTTCCAATTTTAGCTGAGCTACACGAAGGCACGGGTTTGAAGAATGGAAGCAATTTCTCGCGGCTGTCAAAGGCTATGCTGGCTAACTATTTAACTTGAGCTTCTCTCCCCGCAACAATATTGTCTCGTCACTTAGTATAATTGGCCGCGACCTCCCTCCATGCCTTTGCATCTTCCCATGGCGATTGGACATGCTCAGTTTGGCAAGCACTCAGCATTTCATTCGCCCCCTCAATCTGATCCAAGACAGCTCGAAACTCCGATGGACTCAAAAACTTGGTATGGCCGATCTGGCGGGTATGTACTCAGCCTACCAGTCATGAAAGAATTTCGACATAAGCGCACCTGACTCCATTTGAAACGTTCACCATGGCTGAAGTCCCCATAAGCGATGGCCGCCAGCTTTGGAAATCCAATTGGGCCGAATGCCCGTTCTGCAAACTCAGCGAGCTTTTTCATCGAGACTATAGGTCCCCATTCATCGGTCTCCTTCAGGCTATCGTTGGAGTGATTGTGAACGCCCAGGAGTTCCGCGTTGAGGTCTCGTGGTCGGCGTCCGATGCCGTGGATTCGAAAGTGTAGAAACTCGATGGGCTCATCACCGGTTCGATGTCTTAGTGCCGCTTTCTAACATGGGTTAGTCTAGCGTTCGCAAAGGAAAAAAAAGAAAAAAAGAGTACGCTTGAGTGTGGGCCCTACCACAAACGAAGGGTGTCTGTGTATGGCCAAACATTTCAGGGACTCCAGGCGAAAAATGAATCCAAGCAGGGTTGAGTGTTCGATTTCGTGTTCCACTGCCTCCCTGGACGAAGGTGTCCTAACCGGCTCGTCGCTGATGAGACGTTTCAGAGAACTTCTGGGAGCGAGGATTGAGAACAGTGTTACGTGCTTGCGAGAGATAGTATCAAGAGGAACTTCTGTAATGTAAGCCTCCTCAAGACCTTTGAAAGTCGCCAAGAATGCGAAGAGGAAATCTTCCTTTGTCTGATCCCGTCTGTAGACAATCTCAAATGAGCGGAGCTTTAGGTTGTGGCCGACCCGGACCAAGTTCTCCAGAAAATCAAGGACATATTCACAGTTGCGTAGCTTTAATGTCCGAAGGTTCCCGAAGCAGAAAGCAGTTGTCATCCTGGCATACCCCAAGCTGGATCGGAGCGAGATATACGACAGTGATAAATGTTGCAAGCGGGTCATCGTGAATGCCGCGTTCGGATCATTGGTATCACCAATATAGCTCTTGAGATGAGTCTGCTCAGTAAGAGCTTCGTGCGCGTCCAGCTCTAGGAACTGCAGGTGATCCGAGTTGGCCGCTAATGTTTTAAAAAGGATATCACCGTCCCTTACGGAGATGAAACCTTTCCACGAGAGGGAGCGCAGTTGTGTGAGTTGGAAAAGCCCGTCGGGTTCGATTGCATTCTTACACCGTACTATCTGTTACCAAAGATAGGCTTTGAATACCCTTCTGGTAGGAGGGCAGGTATCCGGTAGCACCGTGTAGCTGGGTTGGCACGCAGCAACCGAGATTCCAACTAATCTAATTTAACATATTATCATAGAATAGACAGCAGTGTACGTACGAGAATGACTGCAGGGAATCCCTAGCAATGTGAGCCTGGATTTTGCCAAGATTCCTGGCGAGTATCTTCATAAACTTGTCATGAGTGCTCTGATTCTTGTTCTCGTTGTATCTGCGGTTGACTGAACCGTCGAAATTGAGCGAACGCGCATAAAGTCCGTTGTAGCATCTAAAAAGCACTCGGTGAACAATAGGAGTATCGAGAGACAGACCCCCTGGTGAACTGAAGGCAGTTGAGGACATCCTTTGATCCGTCCTCTAGGAAACGTGTTTTGGTGGACGGCCAGTCTATCTCGTGTAGGCTTTTGTCTTTACAGCGACGGTGATCGTTTCGTACAGCAGCGGTACGAGTTCTCGGTGCATACGCTTCGTCACGCGGCCAAGGTTTGCACGGTCTCTCGATTCAGGTATCTAGGTAGCGCTTGGGGTTAGCATCGCCCGCGTCAGGTGGCAGGAGAGCTTACATGATGAAAGATGAGGCGTAGAACCTCTACCGGTAGCTGATCCAACATCATCGATGAAAGGCAGATGAGAATCTAAATTTGAGCTTCATAAGGGCGTTAAACAGTGGGTTTGATGGGGTGTACAGGATCTCAAGGCAAACAAGAACAGGTCGAATCAAGGACAACATTAAATTGTGTTGCTCGAGAGAGCTCTGTTGAGATTGAAATATGGCGTAGGCGAGGTGCAACCTTGAACTCTTCAAGTTGCTGTTGCCATGAGCAGCAGAAATCAGCTCAAAATTGGGGAGCCAGCCGCTTTGTGCAAACTCGCGAAAACATTCAGGGGTTGAAGTACCACAATTCAGCAAAGCTGCCAGAATAAAAGGTAGGGGAATTGGATAGAGAAGAAGAGAGCGGCAGAGAAGAGAAGTCGGACGTGTCATGGTAATGCCTGCCAGATCCAGCTTGAAACCACTTGCTGCCTATATCTTCATATGGATTGGTAAAATCCTCCTTCACTTCTCCCCGTTCTGCCCTTCACCGTTACACGGTAAGCTGAGTATTCGTTTTTGTATAGTAGTATATGAGACACACGGTTAGTTACTGGTAGAGTGACTGAATCAGACACTTCACTCATCTAGTATCTTTGTGTACCAGTCCAGATATAGCTTAAGTGAATGAATGGAATGAAACATGAGTGAAAAATGGAGCAAAAAAACTGACCTGCGACTACTCTCTATTGAGAGAGACGCCTGAGCCAAAGATTGATCTCTCTTACGATGACAATGCTCTCCCGTGGAGCAATCTGTCCCGATGCAGCATGATCTGTCGATTGTGTGGAAATATGTGGCCAGGATTCTGCTCCAACGCCGTCATCCTACCAACAACAACAGAATTGCCTATAATAGGCTTGATTGGTTAGCAAGGTGCAACTGGGTAGCAGCGGAAATATACGAATATACGTGTATGTGCTAGGATTGGTTATAATAGGCTCCACCGTCTGTAGCGGAGCAGAAATAAGCTTACCATTCGAGTCCGATGCTCCGACTCCGAGATCAGCCCCATCAGCCTCCTGCAATTAGGCCCCCGCACCGACTTTCGCCCATCCTTATAACTGAGCTTCCTCATCCATCGCAACTGAAAGTACTCCATGCTTTGTACTCTGCACAGAGCCCGTCAGATTCACTTCCCGCGTCGTTTCCTTTCATCGAGTGGTCTTTTACTAAGTTCAAGCCCAACCGTCTGAAAAGAACCCCGCCCCCCGCACTATCGCTCTCACCCGCCAGAACCATCCAACACAAATTAACCATGGACGCCATCTTCGCCCAAGCCATGAAAGAAACCGCCGCCCTGCGGAAAATCTCGGTTCCATGGAAAGCAGATGAGCCTCACCCGCAATCATACTACACCTTTGACAAAACCACGTTGTCCTGGACTCCCAAGGTCCCCTCTTCCTCCAGCGCTGGCGTTGATGCTGGAGTGGGGCGAAGTGACAATGCAACCATCAACAACATCGCCCTTTTTACCTGGAACATCGACTTCATGCTCCCGTTCGCTGAAGCTCGCATGAAGCCCGCTTTGGTACACTTGAACGAGTTAACAAGCTCCATCCCCGCAAGCACAGCAGTCGTGATCTTCCTCCAGGAATGTACCTCCTCTGACCTATCCACCATCGCGAATACATCCTGGATACAGGATAGATTCCACATCACCGATCTCGACCATAGTGCCTGGGCGACAGGGCACTACGGCACGACGACACTAATCGATGCTCGGCTCTCCATATCATCGGCGTTTAGGGTACATTATGCCGCAACACGCATGGACCGCGACGCATTCTTCGTCGATGTTTGTATCAGTGGGAAAAAAATCCGGCTTTGCAATACACACCTCGAATCCATGGCCCTCGACCCCCCTTTTCGAATTCCGCAGATGAAGCTTATCGCAGGCTACATGCATGACACTAGCCTAACCGCAGCCATAACAGCGGGCGACTTCAACGCAATCCAACCCTTCGACCGAACGCTCCATGTCGACAACGACAACAATCTCAAAGATGCCTTCCTTGAACTCGGCGGGAAAGAGGATACAGACGAGGCATACACATGGGGCCAGCAAGCCGCGACGGCACTACGTGAGAGGTTTGGGTGTTCGCGAATGGATAAGGTTTATTTCTGCGGTTGGGTGAAAGTTCTCAGGTTCGAGAGGTTTGGAGGCGACATTCTTGTTGATGGGGAGGCGGAGGCGAAGACTATACTCGGGCTGGGGTTTGAGAAGCCGTGGGTTACGGATCACTTGGGTGTTAGAGCCGAGTTTGAGGTTTCGGACCGGGTTGAGAGGGGACAGCTATAGTGTAGGCTCAGATTCGGAGAGTGAGGCGAGAGACAATGAGAACGAGGCATTGTTGTTGGACCAGAGATGGGAATCTGGTTGTCGTGGAGTCTGGGAGATTAGTAGCCCCAATGAGGTATATGCCCCGTTGTTAACAAGAAGAAGAGATCTTTTACGTAGTTTAGCAAGCCACGACCTGGGGCGGCGGGCGCAGAGTAGATTGCCAGGAATGGAATAGCCTGCCTCCACTGTGGGACATCTCCGCGTCCACTTCGACCTCTGCTCTTACTACTTTCTATGCCATCTCTCTGGGCTATTCACGAGCCTCTGCGATAATCCGCATACCTATTAAAATTATACTATGGAGAACCCGCAGCCCCGTCGATGGCCATCCAGAAGCGTCCGCTCGTCGATGAACAGTCGGGAAGCCGCGAGAACTCGCATAGCGTACGACTCCTTGTCCCTAGAAGTGGTCAAAAGCTAATACAAATGCGCAGATGCACTGCTTGTCGTGAGCGCAAAATCAAGTGCTCAGGGGAGCAGCCGTGCCGGTACTGTACGAAGCGGAATTTGGAATGTGTTGTTCCTGAAAATAGCAAGCGCAAGCTCTACTCCGTCGCGTTCGTCCTCAGAGCTGCCGGTGACTCTGTTTGTGCTGACGTACCTCTAGATACGTTCAAGACTTGGAAAGGAGAGTATTCTCTCAAGGATCGAGTAGGCGAGAAAACGGACGGGTCACCCCTGCCGTATCTTGGCAAGAGGAAACCGGGGAGATCTACAATGGTCCAGAACCTAGCACCCATATCAATCGTGAAGGCGTTGGGTCAAGTTCAAACGATAGAGTAGTCGCGAGCGAAAGTTTCCGTGAGCACAATTTCCACGAGTGTTGACGTTGCTAACGGTTGAATAGCCATCGAGACAGATATGGTCATGTCTTCAAGTTCAGCCTTTAGCTCTCACATCAAGGCTATCTCTGCTGTCAGATCTATAGGAGGCCGGCCTATAGGGCGATCCTCAAAAACAGCAGATAACGCGTACGAGCTGCCGCTGCCATTAAGAGGTCGAATCGGCGCCCCTTCCATTGAGAACTGGCCGACCGAGGAGGAATCACGGGAGCTTGTGAATACCATCGCGAACTCTATTGGACACATACAGCACTTATTCGACCCAAGGTCATTCTTTGACCGTCTGTCCATCATCTATGACCGTGACGACTTCATTGCGTGGGAAAACGACGCGGCGACTGTTGAGATACTGATGGTTTTTGCGGTTGGGAAGCTTTTACGAGGCCAGATGGACGACAATGAAACTTTCCCAGGGTTTAGCTGCTTTACTGAAGCCATGAAATATACTGCAAGCTTGTGCTATATGCGTTCGGCCGGGATACTTGGAATAGAGGTCATGGGCTTGATAGCTTTCTACCTACAGTGTGCCGACCGAAAAGAGGACGCCTATATCTATGTAAGTGGTAAAGGCATTTATTATTCGACGCATGGAACTGAACTTTCTAGGCGGGCATGGGTCTACGCATCGCGATCTCGATGGGTCTCCATAGAGAGAATAGTGCGTCGCTAAGCCGATCGGAGAGAGTCCACTGCAATCGCCTTTGGTGGACAATATACATGCAAGAGAGGTATGCAGAACGGGCGGCTCTCTGTAAGAATTTCAATTAACGCCGAACAGAAGGCTTGCGGCGGCAACTGGAAACCCTCCAGGTATTCAAGATGAAGCAATTCGAGTCGGTTACCCAGATGACGTCCCAGGGTTTACACATCCAGCTGCACTAAACGTTAATATTAGCATTGCGAAGGCCACTGGACAAATATTACAAGGTAAGTCTAGCGACTCTGATGCTAAATGGCTGCTAATGGGTATTTAGTGATTTACGGTCACAAAGTGCAGACAGAGAGGAGCTTTATCAAAGGCGTCCAGGGAATCCTAGTCTCCCTGCATCAAATATCTAGCAGCATCCCCAATGAACTTGAGCTAGATTTCTCCGAAAAGCCTCTCAGCGTCACACGCGCAAAAGCTACCCTCTATTTGATGCTTTACCAGGTATGTTCCTCTCAAAGAAGTAGCTCTTTGCTAATAATGTAGGCTATTATGCTCGCTACGCGTCCAACGCTCCTCTACTTAGCCGGCAAGGTCGCAAAGGGTCAAGGTGAACAGGAGCTTTTGCTTCAACCTTTACATCAATTTGCGACAACCTGCATTGATTCGGCGCAGCGGAGTCTAGCAATTCTGTGCGCATTGAGAAGCCAACAGCTTCTAGGTAAGCTGTCCGTGCCATTTATCCAGACCCAAAGCTGAATTGAGAAGCGAACTTTGGATTCTTCGACTTGGATGCCATATTTTCCGTCGCCTTTGTCTTTGTCCTAGCAGGGACAATATACCCGGGCAAGGGATCGTATAGCCGCGATATTCATCTCACGCTCGACCTGCTCAACCACCTAAGTCTCAATGGCAACAAAGCAGCACGCAATCGACGAGCTGATATTGTGCAAATGTGCGATCATCTTGGAATAACGAGAGAAGGGCTTGTCGTGGCATCACATCAGGGACAACTTTCATACAATCTACATCAAGCCGCAGAGCTGGAACAACCCACCGTCCCTGCAAGAGAAGCAGACCCCTTACTAGACAATACAACACCCATCGATTTTTCGGAACCGGCGCTGCAATGGGTAAACGGTATTGACGAATTATTGCTGCAGCAGGACCCACATGACTTCTACTCGCTTTATTGTAATGACGCCTTTCCACTCGCGGGCACCGTGGAGACGGATTGGGAGGCCCTAGAGGCGCAAATATTTCACTAAATCGATCTCTCTCTCACACACAAGGGAAGATGTTGTTAATCAATCTATTCAAACACGGGTCCTCAAATACAGCTCTAATCGGCCTGGCTTTTGATCAAATAGTCATAGACCCTATTCAGCGCCGTTGTAGCGGTGTGAATCTGGGTCTCGCTGGTTGTGGCCCCAATGTGGGGTGTGCTGATGACCCGCCCAGTGGCCCATAACTTGCTATATCTTCCCAACGTTGGTGGTTCCTCGTCGTGACAGTCCAATCCGACGCCATACAGCGCCCCTTCATTCAATGCGGCTATCAAGTCCTCCTCGTTCACAATACCACCGCGTGCAGCATTGATGAGAATCGCACTCTGTTTCATCTTTCGAATCTGGGGCGCGGCTATGAAATTGCGGGTCTTTGGAGTCAGAGGCAGATGCAGAGTCAGAACGTCCACATGCGGCAGCATATCGTCAATGTTATCAACTCTGATATGGTCAAGGTCGGGCCATGCATCCTTTGGCGCAAACGGATCATATGCAAAAATTGGAGAGTTGAATGCACCCCGGAATATCCTCCCTACTGCCAAACCAATGTTACCCATGCCAATGATGCCGACAGTTTTCCCTTGAAGAGTTGTGCCAGAACAATGCTCCTTGCGGACTTTGATATCTGCTGCCTGGTTTACAACGATTGTTCGCAGTTGTCGTGCGACCGCCATTGTCAAGGATAGGACCAGTTCGGCGACTGACTGTGCATTTGCTCCTGGTGTATTGAGAATGGGTATACCCCTTTTGGCACAGGCCTCTTGATTGATAATGTCAATGCCCACACCTTGCTTGCCAATCGCCTTGAGATTCTTTGCTTGCGATATATCATCGGCTGAGATGGTCAATTCGCGGACAAGGATCGCCGTTGCGTTTTCGCGCCAGTTGTTGACCTCGGGATCGGTTGGAAGCACAGTATTGAAGAGTGACTGACAGTGCGCAACCGCTGCAGGCGGGAATTGCTCGAGGAGGTAAATCGTGGGACGGTGCCCGATTGAGCCCATGGTGAATGTTGCTTGAAGAGGTACAGTTCTAAGTGTGCTATACCACCATACCCAGACCACTGGAGGATCTTCGTGCTAAATAGGCGAAGCATATTCACAGACAGTTTCTGAGGGCCCAACAGTTTCCCCAGCTGAGACTGCCCCCTCTCGGCTGTCGACTCCGCGTTGTTCACTCACGCGACGGTTGATCCCCACATTGCGGTATTTGTTGCCGGGAGCGGCTTTTACATCCGTGGGCTACCCCAGCCTTGGCAGGTCAAAGTGGGAAAGCCCGAGCTCGATGCTTCACAAGCCAAACCATTCTCCAGAGCGCAGAGTCTGCTTCCATTGTGTTAGATAGACCATAAAAAGGGTCTTGCCATCCCCACGGGGAAGCAATAGGAGCATCAGCTCTCGACTCACTACACATTTTATCGACTACACGCCAATCACCATTATGGCCCCGTCCATCAAGGAAGACGTCCACATGGAGGAATCTGCGGGTTTCGAGGCCAGGAAAGAGACAAACAATGACATTGCGATTGACCCGGAGGCGGAAAGGAAGGTGGTCAGAAAACTTGACCGCGTCATTATGCCTCTCATGGCAATTGTCTACTTCTTCCAATGTTCGTCAACACAACAAATGGGATGAATGTCCGCTGACCAAGACAGATTTGGATAAGCAGAGTATCAACTACGCCGCCGTTTTTGACCTACGGGATGACCTTCAGCTCTCTGGTTCTGAGTTCTCCTGGGCTGTCTCTCTGTTCTACTTTGGCCAGCTTGTTGCTCAGTACCCAGCAGCTTACCTGATGAGTCGGGTCCGGATTACATACTTTGTTGGAGTTGCCATGTAAGTTTCCGCATCGAGTCTTGGAACATTTTGATAGGCGCTGATGAAGAACGCAGTGTACTCTGGGGTGCTGCTGAGATGTGTCTTGCGGCGTCGCATGCCTTTAGCAGTATCGGCGCCATTCGGTTTCTCCTCGGCTTCTTTGAGGGCGCGGTGAGCCCGTCGTTTGTGATCATTACCAGCAACTGGTACTGTCGTCGGGAGCATCCGGTTCGGGTCGCGTACGTTCTCCTGCACTCATAGCCATCGCCTAGCTAACCTTTGAAGAACGTGGGTTTCCATGTTCGGCGTCTCGCAAATTGTCGGTGCGCTCATGATGTATGGCGTGGGCGGTGCTACAATGACCTTGCAGACCTGGAGAGTCATGTTTCTCCTATGTGGAGGACTGACGGTGTTGGCTGGTTCTCTCTTCCTTTGGCTGATGCCTCGCGACACCACAACCGCCTGGTTTCTCAACGAAGAAGAGCGCAAAATCGCGACGGACCGCCTCACGAGAGACCGTGCTACTCGCGACCAGACCAGTTTCGACTGGGTTCAGGCCACGGAAGCCGTGACAGACCCACGCACGGTTATTTATGCGCTCATGGCACTGCTGATTACTATGCCAACTGCAATTGTCAAGTTCTCATCCATCGTCATTGAGGGATTCGGTTTCAGCAAGTTCCAAACAATGCTTGTCGGCCTTCCGGGCGGAGCCATTGCCTTTGCTCTTGTTTGGATCGGCGCGCTCATACCCATGAGATGGCCCAGCGCTCGTTGCCTCGGTGGAATATTTCTTTGCTCTGTGCCGATGATCGGCAGTTTGCTTCTTCTCACCCTCCCTGCCTCGAATAGCTGGGGCATCGTGGTCAGCACATGGCTGGCAGCATGCACCGCACCGCCTCTGGGTATCGCCGTTGGCCTTATGGCGTCTAACGTGCGAGGAAACACGAAGAAGTCCGTTGTTGGCGCTATATTCTTTGTCCTCTACTGTGTCGGATGTATTGCTTCGCCGCAGCTGTGGCAAGCCGAGGACGCCCCGCGGTATATCAAAGGGTGCATTACGAGCGTTGTCAGCTGGGGCTTGCTGATTATTGTGCTTCTGGTCTTTTATGCCACTGCTCAGTACTCGAACAATAAGCGCGAGAAGGGGTTGTATGGTGGATCCGAGGAGCCAATTATCACTGCCGACTCGGACTTGACGGAGAGGCAGGACAGAGGATTTAGGTACACGCATTAGGCACATCGCCATTGTGTAGCTATATTGGGCGAATGATAGGAGGGTGGTGACGGGGTTACAATGAGACAGGCATCTAGTGCTACGAACTATATCTAGTTAGGCAAATAAAATACAGACTCTGTTTTGGACCATAGTAATCTGCTGCATGCTATGAATTGCGTGCTCTCATCTTGCGGCTCAGTTTTTGAAACTCATTTCGTGCCATTTCAAGCCAGGCATTCTTGCTAGAATGTATACTAGCTTCTCTACCACTTATACTTATACTTAATCATACCTGGAGCTTTATAGTAATGCTGTTATCGGATAGCCAGCTAGGATGTTTATTGTTTAATGCGTCATGATTGCTTCCCATGTTCTCGTCTGTCCTTCAAACTTGTTTTCACTTCGCATTCACATTATTCAAGTGTACACGTTCAATGCTCCCAAGAGGGGCAATGTCCTTATATTTATCAACATCTGAGATTCAAATGAACACGCAATACCATCTGCCGGAGCAACTGCGAGTAAGTAGCAGATGAAGTGGCGGTGCTACTAGAGTCAAATGCTAAGTTAGTTGACCAGACACCACAGGCAGTGACGGCAGACTCTCACAGACAGTCACGAAAGTGAGACAACTAACCCTGCCTTCCAAGTCTCGGCGGACTCCAAGTCCCGAAAATGGAACCTTGAGGGTCTTGCGTCTCCAATCAAGCTCGGCCTGCATACAGTGTCTCTTTCCATCACGGCAACAACAGCCGCATGTGCCCCACTGCTCATAATCGACGGCTCTGACATCCGGCGTTCATCTCTCTACTACACTGCAGACAACTATCTAGAGCTGGTAGCTTTCAGGCTATGGGGTTGGAAGCTGTGGATAGCTGTTCGGCCATTTTGCCCGTCATGCGCGAAAATGGGCACCGATATCTTCCCCGACCTACCCCAATCTCCTCCCATTTAGCGCGAGATTCGGAAGACATCCTCGATTAAAGATCTCACTCGCGCCTGATCCTATGCGGACACTTACAACTCCCTCGCCGTAAAACATCACATCACAGCTAGAGTCATGGCCTCAAACACATTCCCAAATAACCTCATTACCCTCGCCAGCCGGGGTAAAGTATGCCGGGTACGTACCACAGCCAACAACGAACGGTGGGCAGCGACACTTGCACCTGATCACTAACCAATACCTGCAACAACAGACCCTCGGAATCAAATTCATAACCTCTCCCGAGATAATCTACATAGCGCGCAACGCCGGCTTCCACGCCCTCTTCATCGACCTTGAGCATTCATCGCTCTCCCTCGAGACCGCAAGCCACCTGTGCGTCACGGGGATGAATGCCGGTCTTTCACCCATCGTTCGCGTACCGGGACAGGCTGGTCCGGGGCTTATACAACGGGTGTTGGATAATGGCGCGCAGGGGGTTATTGTGCCACATGTTGATACTGTTGGTGCGTCCTCCCCTCCGAATCCAAACCAGTGCCAATGTGATACCAACGGAAGGAAGAGAGGCTAACAAGATGAACGAGCAGAACAAGCCCTCTCCGCCGTTAGAAGCGCCAAATACCCACCGCTGGGAAAACGCTCAGTAACTGGGATGCTACCGCATATGGGCTATCGCTCTGCATTGATATCCGACGTGTCCGCTGTAGGAAACTCACAGCTCTCCACGGTCGTCGTCATGATCGAGGCTCCCGAGGCTGTAGCGAACGTCGACGAAATCGCAGCCGTCGAGGGCGTCGATGTTGTTCTTGTCGGAACGAACGATCTAAGTATTGAACTTGGCGTCGCGGGTGACTTTGATCATCCGTCCTTCGTGGAGAGTATGCAGACCATTGCGGCGGCTGTTAAGAAGCACGGGAAGATACTTGGTGTTGCGGGAATATATAATCGGCCGGACTTACTAAGGGGGTATATCCATGAGCTCGGGGCGAGGTTCGTGGTCGGACATGTGGACCTGCCGATGGTGGCAAAAGTCGCAGGGGCTACAGCGGAGGAGCTGGTCAAGCTAGAAGAATAGTGCTAAATGAGCATGAACTGTGCAGTGGAACGATCTGACCTGCCCACACGCGTAAAGGAATAGCCAGATGTAACATAAAATCATACTATCCACAACCATTCAGCCTGAATGTCTTGGCCTCCCCCCCAGCTGAGTCGCTTACAAGTCCATGCCTCTTGCTTACGGACCAACCCGAAAACCATTTAGCCAAGACCGATGATATCAGCGCCGTTGAAGACGCAGTCAGCCGATGCCACGATGCCAATTATCCGCCACAGCCAGTGGTTTGTCGGGGTTTCCTCGCCTGGTGGTCGATCGCTGCCGGATGCAGCATAACCCCGGGCGGGGCAACCCCCGGAGCCCGCCCGCCCAGCCAATCCCATGATTCCCCGCAAGCCCCGGGTGAAGCTATTCAGGCTAAAATAAGGGGACCCCGGCCGCTGAAGCAGGTTCCTTTGCACCGCGCATCGCGGTCGGGTCTCCTGAGCTCTGAATAAAAGGCCTCGGTGCCGCGTCGAGTCACTCGCTTCCGCTTGCTTCCGCTTCCGCTTTTGCTTTTGCTCGCTCAGACGATATCCATCTACTGAATCACCAGTGAAGCGGTCACCATGGCCCCAGCAGGCTCAGGACAAGACCTGTCGGCGAAGCGAGCCCAGTTCGCGGGTCCGTCGGGTATCCAGGGAATTATCCAGAATCGCAAGACGTCGCTGATTGCCAGTTTTGCGGCGCTGGGTGGGTTTGTTTATGGATGTGAGTTTGTCGACGGTGCTATCGTATGGTGTGCACGGCGTACTAATTTGTGGATAGACAACCAGGGAATGTTCGGTCAGATCCTGACCATGTCCTCGTTTACTGCGCGAGTAAGCCTCCGAAATCGCATCGAGAATCTCGGCTTTGATTTCTGTTCGCCGTCGCTAACTATACCAGATGGAACCGTGGTACAGTGGAACAACAGGAACGCGACAAGCGCTCCTGACTGCAATCCTCGAACTCGGTGCCTGGCTCGGAACCCTCCTGAACGGCTACCTGGCTGATGCCGTGGGCCGCCGGCTAACCGTCGTCTTTGCTTGTGTCATCTTCACGGTTGGTGTCATTGTCCAGGCTTGCACGCTCAACAAGGACTATGTGCTTGCCGGCCGGTTCGTTACGGGTATTGGCGTGGGAGCTTTTAGTATGCTGGTTCCGCTGTAAGGCCATCCATCGGTTTTAGACTGTTCTTCTGAGTGTACTGATGGAATTGCTAGGTACAATGCTGAGCTGGCTCCGCCAGAGGTCCGTGGTGCGCTTGTTGCTCTTCAGCAGCTGGCTATTACCTTTGGAATCATGGTGTCATACTGTCCGTACCCTCGTATCCATCCATTCACAGCACACCACTAATCCTCATCCTAGGGATCGGCTACGGCACAAACTACATTGGTGGCACAGGCGCCTCCCAATCCGACGCCGCCTGGCTAATCCCCATCTGCATCCAGCTCCTCCCCTCCACAGTCCTTGCTGTCGGCATGGTCGCCTTTATGCCTCAAAGCCCGCGCCATCTAATGAATCGCGATAGAGAACAAGAATGCCTGGAAACCCTTGCCCGGCTGCGCAGCACATCAACCGACGACATCCGCGTACGCGTCGAGTTCCTCGAGATCAAGGCGCAGCGCGACTTTGAGCGCCAGCGTCTCCAGGAGCTGTTCCCGCAATACCAGGACGGGAGTCTTAAATCAAGATTTATGATTGGGTGGAATGATTACTTGTCCCTTGTCACGAACAAGGCGCTGTTCAAGAGGACCGTTGTCGCGGTTTTTGTCATGGTTTTCCAGCAGTGGAATGGTGTACGTTCCCTCCCCCTTCTACCTACCTAACCCACCCCTGCAACACTTGGTCTGTCTCTGAGAGTTACCGTGCTGATATACATGACAGGTGAATGCAATCCTCTACTACGCCCCCTTCATCTTCGACGGCCTCGGCCTCTCCGGAAACACCACCTCCCTCCTCGCCACCGGTGTCGTCGGAATCGTCATGTTCCTCGCCACAATCCCCGCCGTCCTCTGGGTCGACAACTTCGGCCGCAAGACCATCCTCATCGCCGGCGGAATCGGCATGGCCATATCTCACTTCATCGTCGCGGGCATCACGGGTTCCTTTGAGGGGAGTTGGGAGTCTCACCGCGGGGCGGGCTGGGCGGCTGTTGTCTTTGTCTGGGTGTATGCCGTCTGCTTTGGGTTCTCGTGGGGTCCGGTGGCGTGGATTATTATTAGTGAGGTGTTCCCGCTTGGATTGAGGGCCAAGGGGGTTAGTATTGGGGGAAGTTCGAATTGGTTGAATAATGTGAGTACCTACCTGACCCCCCACTGGCCACTTGTTCTTTGATGTGATATGGGTGGGAAATGCCTGCTAACTATATCCCAGTTCGCCGTCGCAATGTCCACCTCGCCATTCATCTCCACGAGTCAATACGGTGCATTCGTACGTTCCCTTTCCCTTTCCCTCCCTTCTACGCCCCTCCCCTTCCCCAATCCACCCTCCACCCCACCACCATACTAACAAAATGGCAGATCTTCTTCGGCGCAATAACAACAATCGGCGTCCTCTGGGTCCACTTCTTCGTCCCCGAGACCAAAGGCCGCACGCTCGAAGAAATGGACGAGATCTTCGGCGAGGTCGGTTTCGCGCGCGACGACCTTGAGCGCAAAGCCAGGATTGAGCGGGAGATTGGGCTTACGGCGCTGTTGGATGGGACGGATGGGCCCAATGGGGGTGGGGTGCTTGCTGGTGAGAGGGGCGTTGAGGGGGGAGAAGAGAAGAAGGTCGAGGAGAAGGGGGTGAGTACTCATGAGTAGAGGGGAGGAGGATCTCTCTACTCTCTATGACTACTGGTTTCCTTGCGGTGGGGGAGAGGGTAGGGGGTGTGGCGAGGAGAGGTGGAGTGCGGGGAAGGGAGATGGACAGTATCTAGTAAGATAGGAGCGCGTGGCTGGATATGACTGCGTTCGGGTCTGTTTCGTCCGGCCTGGGTCTAATATACTCTGCTCAATTGTTCAAGTCATTCATGTACCTTGTCGGGTAATTATAACATTAGTACACTACTCTGTTAATATCTCTCCTCTTTTCCCTTAAAAACCAGCCCTAGGATCCCAGATCTGGAAAGCTCCGAGTTGTTAACCCTATATATTTCACTCCTTGCATCGACCCCAAACATATTGATTGGCACAGCCCTTGCTTGACCTACAATAATAAACAAGATATGCAAATCCGCTGAATCTTAGACGTAAAGCTAGCCCTACAGTTGGTGATTTTGAGAGAAAGGCAGGGTTTTCGCGCACCAAGCATATATCGTATAGATTGTTTCGAAACTCCGGGGTTTACACCCTCCCCGCTCTCGTGAGAACAACCTCAAGCGATGCATTCTAATCTAGCTTGTAGTCACTGCGCCCCTACAATACGTACAACAAATGTCTCATACCAAGGACTATAGACGCTGCGATGACCCTAGCTAGGTATCTAGCGACTTGGATCCTGGACTCACCTAGCCTGCAGCACCCCTCCTCCGTTCCTCATGGCCTCAGTCATCTTTAAACAAGCACAACAGGACTATGAAAGAACGGTACATACTGCTGCGGACACGTGATATTCGACGCTGGAACGATGCCTCGTAGGTAGGCCCGAACATGTCCCCAGTAACAATCCGATGCTCCGTTTTGAGCGACGGTGTGCTTGAATGAACCCGATGGGTTAGTACCTTTATACTCATGCTTAATCGCGTGGGTTGTGTCTGTGTGTGTGCATGTGGGGATGAGATTTGGGAAGAACGTGAACAACTTACGCCAACGGCCTCTTGCAATAGGAGGACTGATCCGGCGAAGCGAGACGACATTTTGCGCGCTCTGCGAGGGGGTGAAAGTTCATTAGTGCCAAGCAATTATACTAACGTAGAGGAGCCGGCAATGAGATGGTTGAATTAGAACGTACGATTTTAGCGGCGTGATGGGGTCAATGGTGTTGCTCGTGAAGAGGATCGGAAACGATGTCGGTCTGTCTAGGGCACTGATCCGGCCTGTCAAGATCAAGATGGAACTGGTTAGCATTTGCTTGATGTGAACTTCTTCGACGATTAAATGAGAGGATTAGGAAAAGGGAATGGAGCGAGGGAGATACAGAGAGCAAAAGGGACTTCCAACCTTGAACCACCATACTATCCAGCAACTGCATCCGAAACGATCGACACAAGATATTCTCAATGTAGATTGGGTACATATCACCAATATACATACTCTTGCTCGTCGTGTACTCGGCATACCTCCTGAACTCTTCAAGGGTCGTAAGCCGGTTACGCCGATACGAGTCCGCGCACAAGACAGCCAGCCGACTGTCCGATATCGAATCGGAACCCGCAAACGCCCCCGCGAGAGACGACACGTTCCCGCGCTCGAGCTCGTGCAGGGTATCCGCCATACTGGGGAACCGAGACAGTGGGTTGTAGATGGTGTTAAGGAAGAGAGCCTTTAGGTCGGAGTAGGTGACGAGTGCTGGGAGATCTTCCCGATTTTGACCCTGTACCATGCTCATCGGGACGGGATGGTCCTGAAGTCCCTGGATAATCCCATCCAATCTTTCCGTGATATCAGCAGTCGAGGGCCCCCAGAACGAACACCGTTCAGGCCCCGCAGAATAACAGAGCCTCACAAACTCCCCCATCGCCTCATCCGCCTGATCCACAAAGCCTCGCCACTCATTCCCATAATACAGCTCTGCATCCAACACTCCATCAAGAACCATCCTCCCCACGCGATCGGGAAACATAGCCGCAAACGTGCTGCCGACGACCGTGCCATAACTAACCCCATAGGCCCACAGTTTCGCGTCTGCCGGAGGCCGACCGGCCAGCCTAGCCTCGGCCTCGATGAATGTGAGCAGATCGTGCGCGGCAGCTGGTGTAGTCACGTAGTATCCATACCGGGACTCGGATCCGCCATTCTCCACGGCGTCGTTGCACCACTCTCCGTAGATAGAGGCGGAATAGAACTGCGTTGCAAGCGATGTTGAAGAGGCGTTGATCTTCGTCACGCCTGTTCTGTGCAGACGCGTAAAGGCCACTCTTGCTTCTGTGTTGTTCTGGAAGCAATCAAGGACTAGGCCGCTGTTGTTCACGCCACGGGGGTCATAGGAGATGAAGTTGTACTCCTCTCCGAGCATTCGGCCTAGCAGGGTTCGGTAGGCGAGGAGGAGATCGACGCCGGAGCCGCCGGGACCACCTGGTGACATGTTAATCCAGTCTAGTCCATATGGTTTCCATTCTGGTAATTGTATATGGAGTACTAGACCAAGGATCGGAATCATACCTGGGATAAGTACAAGGCTCGGGGACTCGGCGGTAGCATTCTTGCCAGCGAGTTTCATAAAGGCAATTGACGTTGTTCCTAGAGCTCTGTTTGCGTAGTCCAAAGGGACTTCCAGTTTCGAGCACGTAAAGTCGTCGAAACATGGTGTCCAGGTGAGGTTGGCCGATGGTTCGATCTGGATGGACAATCAGAAAAATTTCAAAGGCTTGGAAGTTCCGAGACTCACGGTGTCGAATCCTTAGACCGTGTTCTGATCATGTACTGTATTGGCAGTACATCCCACGCTCAGAAGGAGGATGAGCACAGCAGAAAGTCGGTGCATAATAATTACTACAAATCTTCAGATTCAGCCTTCTGCTTGCTGTCTTGTGAGAGAAGAGTGATATTGATTGTTACAGCCAGAATAATGGTCATATAGAACTCTTTATATTGAAGCTGGATTCAAACGGGGGAGCCTAGGTTGATTTCTCTTATCACTGAGAAGCCTCGACTCTCCAGTTGTACGAACTACCCAATAATTATTCTGATGGTATGTGCCAGCATCAACAAGTCGATCTTGTAACGTGCATGGAAGGATCTAGCCCTGAGAAGATATCCACGATCTATATTGGGGCATCTCCACCTAAGAGTGTGGCTTAGCCGGTGTTGACCCGCTTATACGAACCAGCCAATCACAGTTTATGGGTTTAGGCAGGAGTCTGGATGAGAAGTTATAATGCATGCCGTATGCCCTGGTATTTATCCGTCTTAAACTTGAAACTATTCGGTTTGTTCGATCGGGATTCGAGGTCATACCTGGTTTCATTCAGCAGCCAACTCTGACCAGCCAACGTCAACATGCTGAACGAGGCCAGGAACAAGAACACCAAGACGGCCAATCACGCCTGGAGAAAAAAGCCGCGCAGGTCCGCTCCAAAATCAAGACTCGGCTGTAGGACGTGCAAGTCAGTATCGATATTGTCCCGTTGATTGTTCGAGGACACCCGAGACTGACGCCCAACCTCAGAATAAGAAGGATAAAATGCGACTTGTCTCAGCCTTCATGTTTGAGATGCAGTTCTACTGGTCGGACGTGTGACGGGTACAATGAAATGCCCCACGCTCTCAAGATCGAAAACACCAAGACCTCAGCTCGTCATTGCAACCGAAAGGCCGACACAATGGAGAGCTGCGACAAAACTTGCCACTCATGCACCATCACCCGAACGTCTCAACCAAGACCAAAACCAGGCCATGGCCTCATCCCGCAGAACCTCGAACCCTTCATGGTCCTACCAATGACCGAGCCAGGACACGCAGAAGCAGTGCGTTTCTTCGAGTACCACTCAATCAAGCGCCTGAACGAATACAACCCGTGCCAATCGTGGCAGGAGACACTCATGTTCTTCTCCCAAACAGTTCCAGCAGTGCGCTCTGCTGCTGTTGCTCTCGCTCTGATTCAGCGGAGGTATTTGGATTGTGATGGTCGGCCTCAATGCTCAGACTCCAAACTGGAAGATGGATCGCCGGATAAAGCGCCATTGTTTCATTATAACCGGGCCATTCAACTTCTCCTAACTCAGGACATTGGATGTGGCGACGGCACCCACGCGACGGCTATCACCCTCTTGGTGTGCTACCTCTTCATCTGCTTCGATCATCTGGCGGGCAACGACGTACAAGCAGTGAGGCACCTGCGCGGAGGCGTGGAGCTGGCGCGCACAATTGACAGGGACACACTGAACTATGACCATGTCCATGACCATGACCATGTCCAGCCCTCAAAAACCCGCTCGCTGATCTGCGAAGTCGCAAGACAGATCCGCCGTCTCGACATGCAGGCCGTCACGTTTATGGTTGATTGGGCGCCGGCTGATATCCGAGAAGAAGAAGAAGAAGAGATATTCATGTCTTCTCAGCAGCTCCCGCTACTCTGCGATAATAGCAATGGCAGCAGTGCCTTTTGCTCTCTTGACCACGCCGCCGACACGCTCCAGATTCTCGTCGCGCGCGTAGTGAGGCTGTGCAATACGGGACAGCAGGTGTCGCCACTGGGTAAGATGCCGCCGCTACCGTCTTCACTTGGGGATGTTGTTCTCACGGAGTGGGAAACGTGGTCCGCCCTCTTCGAGAACATGCTACTCGCACAAGGGGGTAACCTTGATATAATGATGGAATCGGAAAGCCGCTCTTCGTTCGTATCACTCTTGCGCCTGCAACATACCATCGCTCGTATTCTTGTGAGCACCGCCGGACCAGGCAGGGAAATGGAGTATGACAAGTACACGCCGCAGTTCGAGCAATGCGTCGCTCTAGCGGGTGCCGTGGCGGCGTCTTCCTCTTCGTACTCGGGCTCGTCGTCGTTGATCAACAACCCTAGCCGTAAGCCAACCCCAACTGCAACTGCGACTGCAACCGCAACCCCGGCATTCACGCCAGAAATCGGAATCGTCCCGGTCCTCTACATCATCGGCGTCAAATGCCGACATCCCGTCGTCCGCCGCGACGCCTTGAACATCCTGCGACGGCACCGCATCCGCGAGGCGATCTGGGATAGCGTCGTGACTGCGAGAGTTGTTGAGCGGGTTATTAAAATTGAAGAGGGTGGGAACGGAGAGGAAAAGGGGCAAGGGCAGGCGGAGTTGGTACAGAGTGCAGCGGATATTCCTGCGGGGCGGAGGGTACAGGCTTTGTCTTTTGTTGTTGAAGCTGGTGGAGGAGGTAGGGCGGATATAACGTATACGTTCTGTGCGCGGGAGGGGGTGTATGTTGAGTCTTTAGTGATTTAGCAGACAAGTGGTCCTCTCATGATACTGCGAGAAATGCAATGAATCAGGCAATCACGCGGAATGACTCACGGGTGGTATTATCGGACTCGCACAATTTCGTAGCAAAGCCGAGTAAAGATATCCAATCACCTCGACCAAGTTCAATCTAGGCAGTGTAGGCATGTCTTCTCTGCCATGAAGTGCTCTTCTAGTCGCTTGAAATAGAGAAACGGGGCTGGCACCACCAGGGAGCCTTCCATAGCCGAGAGATTAGGAAGTCACGTCCGAATGACCTTGATTAAGGTTAAGCTTCGCATCAATTTGACCTTTTGACGTGTCATCATGTCAGTCAAGCTCTCCTTCATGTCCTGGATGTCTTTCGACATACCTCTGCCTCGTACCCTTAGCCATTCCACAGCAGTTGCGCTCATCCACCATGTCCAAGGTACCGACGAAACCAGAAGCTACCTCTCTCTATGAATGCGTATGTGCGTTCCTTAGAGAAGTCACGGTGAATCCATTTGCGGATTATCAGCGAGACCCCGCGATTCTGAGTCTTCCAGAGGCCATCCTCCACAAAATCTTCAACTCGCTCTCATCGCCGATCGACCAAGTTTGCCTCCTCCTCGCCTGTAAGAAGTTCCATGACACATTCGTCTCCACAGGCGTCCTCAACCGCCGCGAGTTCGCCTTTCCTCGTCTGAAATCTCGTCCTCATGCCGATCGCCAGCCTCGGGGAATTGACCTGGCCAACGCAACAACAACAACAACAACCACAATGGAAACGTCATCACGAACAACCCTGCTCATCCGCCTCGAAGACAATCGCTGGAAATTCTGCGCCGCATGTCTCCACCTCCATCCGAAACGCGAATTCTCCTGGTTCGAGCGTGGCAAGCCACCACTTGAGCGGCGCTGCATGCCAAACGCCGGAATCGTTGACCTATGTCCCTGCTTTTCCCTGACGTTTCGGGACCGGAATAAGATCGCGGAGTATCTACGCAAGGTAGCTGCGAAATATGAGCCCAATTTGCAGGGATCAAATCTGAGGGGCGGTCTACATGACTCTCGGCGTGAGCCTCGACCTCCGACCGAGTCATTTCAGATAAGTATTGACGAAAATGGGGATACGGGAATCTTGCATCAATGCCGTGTGCTCGACAAGCCAGGTATCATTGTGGACTTCACTATGGGGCTGCTTACGAGCGGCAAGGGATGTGAGAGGCAAAGGCTCGTCGCAGGGGAGGCGGTGGCGATGATAGGGAGATATGTCATACAGGGTAATGTATCTGATTGTGATAAGTCTTTAAAGATATTTCCGTGGCCCAATCTCGAGCTATTGGAGCATGTCCGGGCTCGACGGGAGATGGTGCTTATGCCGTGTGGCGCGAGAATTCATGCACCGAACTTCAACCGGGGAGATTCTGGTGGTGACTACGTGGTTGTTAACTTCTATCGGCCGCTGGGGAAGGTGAATTGGCCGGCAGATAATGTGTGGGCGAGACACTGCCGCATATAGCATGGTGATTCTAGGGTCGAGGACGATTGAATGGAGGAAGAGGAATATGCGGCGGCAGAAGATAAGTTTGAGTTGATACTAGACGCCGAGACGTGAGCTTTATCCCAGAGACCGAATGCAAAACGAGAATCTTGTTGGACAATAGTACTTACCGTTGACTTACCTTGGTGGGCTCGTCTTAGCTTCACCCGAAGGCTACTAGTCACCAGCACTGCGTAGAAGTGCGAGCCCGGCGCTGGTGCCCGCATCCTCCCCAGACCAGAGTGGCCGCTCCGGTCCAAGTCCAAACAGATGGGGGCCAGTCGGCGACATCCCACGATGACCGATCACTCAGTCACCGCGTCCTGCGCCTCCCGTGTCCAGTTCAGAGGAGCCGGCAACAAACCCTCCTCCATGCGGAGGAAAAAGTCGTTGATTTCGTCCTCTATCTCCCTCTGAACTGGACACAGAAAGTCTGGAGTGGAATCAATGCACTCGGGTCCCTGCGGCCACAGGGAAGGCCACAGGTGCTTGATCCACTCCTTGACAGGAAACATACTATGTATGTTGGATGTCACCAACTGGGCGATTGAAATTAGCAATGGAGCTAGCATGATAAGGATGGGGGTTGCTTACCAGTAAGTAGGTTGGTGAGGAAATGAAAACAAGACCTCGACAAGAACTGCTCGCAGTGTTTACACCGGTGGTTCTCTGATCGTTATTGCGGCAGGTGCGATGGAGGCTGCAGAGGAATAGGAGAAGGAGCCCTTGGACCTCAGGGAGAGGCCGCCCGCAGCGGCGCGTACGATCAGCTCAAATTGCTGTGCAGGTCACCGGTTTTGGAGGAGAAAGCGAGTAGCAGAGTCCATGGCAACATTTTATTATGAAGTAAGCCTATTGGAAAACCCATACTATACAATATATGGTTAAGCATGTGTCTCGAGTATGCATCACCTCAAAGTCCGGTGTGGCCATGCGTGCTTGACTTGTCCATCACTTCAAAATCGATCTGCCACGCTTGTGTTTGTTCCTTAAGTACGTACTCAGGTATAAGAGATCCTTCATTTCCACGACCGCCTAGATCGCGATGGCTAGCCTCCAGACATTTGAGCGTCAAGGGATTCAATTAAAGGCTTGATTGAGGTAATAATCTGATTCTGGAACGCGTCCTATGGATGTCTTCGCCGAGTCACAGTTCTGAAGCCGAAAGGGCATCGTCGGAATCGCTCAGGATAGGTGAGGCTCTCAATCCCATTGTGGAATTTGTGGCTTAACTGGGTTAGCCATTTTTTGTGAACTTCTTTGGCCACGGGCTCATCAGGTCTTCTTGGGGGCATTGTTATAATATTGTAAAAATAACTATCCTGTAGAATATATGTTGTCGGCCCGAGCTGCCTCTAGGCCGGCGACGCGGGATGTACCAAACCTTGCAGACGGCCAGAATCCAACATTCCATAAATAGATTTCTTTGACTGAGTAAAGGTACGCTGGAGTTCTGTGTTGAAAGGACACAACAGTGTGTTCGACGGAGTATAAAGAAGATTAGATAAGCATCATGCTGCCTGAGGCGCCCGTCGGACTTAACCGGCTCAGTATCTCCGTCGGGACCAGATCTTCACCTTCCAAGTCCCCTCACTGTTTACCATCTGTCAATCTGGTCCACAGAGAACGGGCGCGATCAACCTCAAGCACCCTCGCGGCTCTAGCATCAAAAACCTTAGAGCTTGAGATTGCTGATCCAGAATTGCCTCCCGAAATGGCCATGTTCGTTCTTGGGCGGGGCGACCTCGAATAGCACTACCCGTACGGACGGGTCAACACCCCGCACAATGGTCACTCTTACATCCCTTCCACTGGAAACCCTCGAAATCATCGCATCCGACCTCGCCGACTCTAAACAGAGTCTCTACGCTTTCTCGCAAACGAGCAGGCGCTGCAATGCAGCATCAAAGAACCGGTTCCGCGCGATCACAGTGCGCGTTTCATCCCTCAAAAACCTCGAAGCCGAGATCGAGTCGTGGAATACGATCTTTGAGCGGAATTCAGCGTTCGGTTTCGTCCGGGAATTGACCATCTGTGGACGCCTTGCTACGCCTGCCGATGAAGCGGAAGAACAAGGGAATTGCGGGAATCCACTACCGAAGGCGATCGTCGAGCATGATCAAGGTGAAGATGAGCTCACACGACGTGGGGAGGTCTACGATGATATCCTACGTGGACGGTTCTATCACCTTGGGGTTGAGGAGGAGCTAAGCGATGACCCTTGGAAGGAGGTCGCGGCATTGCTCAGGAAATTGACTGGGTTGAAGGAGGTTGTGTGGGCATGTGAGAGATGGTTTCCGCAGCCGTTGTTGGATGTTTTGCACAGGACTCCGGGGTGTCAGTTGCATATCAAGGCCTTTGATCCGCCGCGGTTAAGCAGGGCCGATCCTGATGACGACGAGGACGATGATAGTGATGATGATGAATCAATACATGATTCAGAGGAGGATACGGCCCTGCAATCATGTGGTGCACTGAAGGAAGGCTGCGTCGACGAAAATGAATACAGACTAGCGACTTCGCCGTGCCTCACCAGCGTTGTTGTGCCCGTCGCCTATGACGACCCTCATCGCGAGTCCAACGAGGATGCCGCCCAGTGGATGGTGCGAGCGCTAACGCCGAGCCTAAAGCATGTCCACATAATCGACAGCGGTCCTGGATTTGCATACCGAACAATGACTCGAGTCTCAAGCCGCCAACATATCCTCGGAGATGAGCTCAACGACGAGATCGGCCCCGGCGAACTGGAGAGCCTGAGTCTCGATCCCGCCAATGAAGAGCGCCTGGAATCATGGGAGAAAGCCATTGACTTCTCGCGCCTTCGCAACCTTCAGCTCTGGCGCGCACGCAGAGGTACCCTCGCGAGAGCTCGGCTATGCGACTTGAGTTCATTAAAAGTTCTTGCGCTAGATGTGTTCAATGACCGGCATTCCATTGACGCCTCGCCGGTAGATCGGGCCGTCGCCACCTTTCTCACAAGTCTTCCTCGCCTTGAATCTCTGCATCTCACTGGGCCGTGGTCTGCGGAGACATTCGCGGCGGTCCTAAAGCACTATGGGCGATCCTTACGCACGCTATCCCTGTATCCTTCGGAGAACCGCCGCCTCCACCAGTTCCTCATCACACCAACCAACATCCAAGCAATAGGCAAATACTGCCCTAACCTGCGCGATGTCAGACTTCAAGTCAAACGCAGCAGCGGCGATAAGGAAGAGCAGGAAATATACCGGGCCATCGGTGCGCTCCCGAAAGTTAGGCACGTGTCGCTGCAACTCGATATCTACAATCCGGTCAAGGTGGGACTTCCCGAGCGGTCACTCGAACGAGACAGCGAGCACGTCCGCCAGATATTCATCAACATGGCCATTGATGAGAAACTCGCAGAGGAAATAGCTCGTCTGATCGCCTCGGAGGGCCGTATCGAGACTGTGTCTTTGGATATCGGAATCAACGTGACAGGTATACTAGGCGATGTCGCTCGGTATATGAAGCGTCAGTGGAAGTGCTTCATCGTCCCGCGTAGTGCAGATGAGCTTGGGGTCGTCGTCAAAGAACTAAACGTCGAGAGACGGAAGCGCAGAGAGGAAGGGGAATCCAGCACGGAGCTGTTTGACTTTGCTAAAGCCTTTGCGAGTCTCTGGCCTTTGAATGAGCATTTGTCTGGATGGAGGCATGCCTGGCACAGCTTTCCGTTGCAGAAGGTTGAGGAGTAGGCCTGGGTGTGAACCTAGATGCATACAAATTAGTCAACCCCATGAGATTGATAACGGCTTGGGCGCAACAAGGGATATCTCGCATCATCATGCATTACTTCCAAACCCTTGGCTCTATCACTCAAGCGAGGAGGTGCACATTAAAGGCTTGGAAAAAAAACATACCAAGTTTCAGAACCGCTCAAGGTTTGGACCACCGTCATCAGGCCACACAATTTGGCGAGTTATAGTGGGACGTAAAAAAAGTTTATATAGGCCTGAACCCCTCTGCATTTCCTAAACTTGGATCTTTATTGTCTCATCTTACTGCAAGTGCGAAAGATCACAAACCTGGCAAAAAGGGCTTTGACTCTTGCACTGACAAAATGGGTTCTGGAGATTCTTTTATAACTTCCCCACAAGCTTCCCGGACCACCTCTGCGCATTGGACCGCTTCGTACTCCAACCCCCTCGTTGTCGAGATGGACTCGCAGAAAGAGAACGCGGTATCGAGCGTGGGAGAGGGCTACCAGCGTCTATCTGCTGACGACGAATCATCTTGGCCCCCACTACTAGGTCTTCCAGTCGACATCCTGGTGATAATATACGCACAGCTACCTCTTGCCTCCAAGGCCTGTCTTGCAGTTACCTGCAAGTCTTTCTATAGACTGTTCTCTTCCGTCCTTGACAAAGAGTCTCTCGCCTGGCCTCGACTGCTAGCTCTACAAGCACGCGATACAAGCTTGCTTGAACCCCAGCCAGACCATCCAAGAAACGAGCTCCTGATCCAACTTGAGGACGGTCATTGGCTGTACTGCTCCTCGTGTCTCAAGCTTCACCCAACGACCCGCTTCCTCCCCCACTCCAAATCCACGCGTCCAATACTTCGATACTGCGGCACGAAACCGTGGGGCATTGTCGACCTATGCGCCTGTCTCGCTCTGACCGCTGCCGATGGCAGTCGGCTAGTCAAATGGCTACAGACTGGAGCCTGTCCAACTCTTCACCGAAGCATCCGCGAGTCCTTTCGAATTCAAGATTACCACGGCAGACGACTGCTCCTGCACACATGCTCAGTCACCGGACACTCGGACGCATTCATCGGTCTCGTGATGGAGGTGACGCTCGACCGGTTCGATAGCTTGGTAGTGACCACCAGATACCATGTCCGCTGGGCGACACCGCACAGACTTCCGATCGAAGAGACCTCCCTGGTGATCCACCAGAACGACGAGCGGGCATCCTACAATGCCCCGCCCGTAATGCTCTGTCCACATCTTCACGCCCTCGGTTGGGTATACAGGCACTTTATTGAGTCGTGGGATTGCTGCTTCAGTTGTGGCACGGTCCCATATCTACTTGGTTGTACCGGTGATGGCCTCTACTGGGTCGTGCAAGGTGTACGGAATCTAGGCGGGTTCGATCGGTGGTTTAGAAAATCTCGGATACCATACAATGCAATGTTGACGAGATGGTATCCTTCTGAAGATTGGTATTAAATATGACTTGGATTAAGCTCGTTGTGTGAATCCTTCTCTATTCGCATCCATGTACTAGCATCTTGTGTCTTCTTGGTTACTTCTTGGTTACTTCTTGGTTACTTCTTGGTTACTTCTTGGTTACTTCTTGGTTACTTGGTCTAAAGGGTTTGATCTAGAGACAGGGTGACCTGTTACCCAGAAGTCGTTTCTTCATTGGGGCTCATGCTCTGTACGACAGCTGTTGGTGCCTTGAATGGCTTTACGTATGATGAGCACAGAATACAAGTTTGATGGACTTCATTGCTGATTTCCGACGTAGATCCAACAGAAATTGACACATCATGCCCAGGAAGTCGTTCCCATGTCTGAGCTTTCTCCCGGGTTCCTTCCACCTCCTGTCAGTTCTCCAAATCATTTCCTGGGAACCGAGAAGCCCGATGCCAGCGCTCATAATTGTCCCGCTCCCAGAAGTCTTCACTTCGGTCATTTTGCACGAGGCCCAAGTCGCGTTCGCTCTGGATGACAGAGTAGAGGCCATCATCTGTGATGCCAAGCAAGCGGATCTTTGTATCACACACGCCGCACGTATCTCTGCACGGCAGGTTGGGCTGGTAGGGATAGTAACTCCCGGAAAACCAAAAGAAGGCCTTGGTGTGCGGGCAGAGAGCTATGGGCGCGGTATTGCGGGGCGCTTGATAGGGCCGGAAGTAGAAGACTCGATCGTGTTCTAAATCCTTGCACGGCTTTGACCAGGATACGCCGTATCGCATTTTGACCACGAGATGGCTGTTGGCATTGAGGGTCACCGTCGCGGTGAGTGCAACGACGGCATCAGGTTGACAGGTTACCGAACATTCATGAACCAACACTCGCCGGTTATCCTTGAGCACTTTCAACTCGAATTCCCGCTGGACCTTTTGATGCAGGCCATCCCCTGGTCTTCCTGTCTCTACCCACTCTGCCAACCGGGCGCCATTTGAATGAGTCAGAGCCAGGCAAGCGCACAGATCAACAATACCGCCAAAAGGAACTTTGATACAAGACCGCTCAGACGGCGGGATCCTTGATGCCCCCCTTGGAAAGTGGCCGTGTGGATGGAGCTTGAGGCAACTAGAGCAGTATAGCCAGCGGTCGTCTTCGAGCTTGAGCAGGAGCTGATTCCGAGGGAAGTATAGTGCGCTGCCGAAGGACGCTTCGCGGCAGGGGGACGGACTTGCTAGAAATCGGGGCCAGGATAGGCTCTTGTCGTCGAGGGCAGAGCGGAGGAGTCCGTAAAAGGCCTTGCAGGAAAGAGCGAGACACGCTTTGGTCACGACGGGGAGGTGTGGGGTGATGAGGACGAAGATATCGAGCGGTAACTCTTCGAGCCGAGAATAGGGGTGGCTGCGGCTGTCGGGGGCTTCGGGGCCCTCGTCTGTAGATGGGCGCTCGTTGTCTGTGGGATCATTGTCACGGTGTATGGTGATAAATAGGGTTCGGATGATGGGTAGGCACATAGTGTCTCAAGATTTCAGCGGAGATGAGACTCAGCTGGAGCGATCCATATGAGGGCTTGAAACCAGACTTGGCACCAGCCCTGTGCTCTAGTTCAGGCTCCGAGGCAGGAGCAGGTCTGGCCACGGTGCCCCCCCAGCGAGCAGCACGAGACCGACAAGGTGAAGCAAGGGCTTGGTTGGTCGAGCATCTCGTTTGTCTGATGGCTGACAGCTGATGGGGATTCGGCGGCGTCTGTGTTCCTGCTTCCAAGTTCTGACATCAGCCTACCTGAGGGGAGGGAACGGTAGCTTGGCGTTGGCGTTTGCAGGGGTGGAGCCCCAGATTTGCAGTACGTATACCCAACGCGGAGGCTACCATGTAAGCCCTCCTAATGGTGAACTCGTATTAGTAGGGTAGGTAGTGTCTGGGCGCCCAGACACCGTCCTCCGTCCTCGATCGACTCGACACGACAACGCCAACCCACAAGTCCGATGTAAGGCGTCCAGGGGTGCAAACAGCGAGATCCAACTGGCTTAAAGCTGGCAGACTGCGCCCCCGGTCATCCCCCAGTCTGCTAGTTACCCGCCTTCTGTTTGCATTTCTCTCCCACTCTCCGTTAATTGCTGCATCATTGATCCTCGGCATCGACAACTACAACCATGTCCTCCCCCGTCGACGTCCTAATCATCGGCGGCGGCCCCGCAGGCCTAACCGCAGCTCTAACCCTCGTCCGCCAGCAGCACACAGCCATTCTGTTCGACTCGGGAAGCTACCGCAACGGGGCCGCCGAGCACATGCACATGATCCCAACGTGGGACCACAAGAATCCAGCTGAATTCCGGGCGAAAGCGAGAGCCGAGATCCAGGAGCATTACGATACCGTCGAAATCGTTGATGTCACGCTCACGAGCGCTCGCAAAATCAATGACTCGCTGTTCGAAGTTGCGGATGCGAGCGGGAGGATGTGGCGGGGGAGGAAGGTTATCCTTGCGACGGGGTCTGAGGATGTTTTCCCTGATATACCCGGGTATGAAGAGGGATGGGTGAAGAGAATGTATGTACATTAATTACTCTTATGCCCCATCTCCCCCCTCTGTTCTTTCCTTCTGTGTACCTTTGCTAGGGGTAAGATTTCTGACATGTATACAGCTACCACTGCCTCTACTGCAAAGGCTACGAAGACCGGCACGCCGCCCGCTCCGGTGTCCTCGCCATCCAAGCAGCGTCAATCGCCCCAATGGCAATCCACCTCGCCGAAACCGCTGCGAGCCTAAGCTCTACCGTGACGATCTACACACACGGCGCGACGGAGCTCGCCGCCCAGATCCGTTCTTCGCTAGGTCAGGGCAGCGGTGCTCAAGACTCGAACACGAACGTCTTCAGGGTCGATTCCCGGCCCATCTCGCGCCTCCGCGTCGTTGAGACAGCCGGTACCCTGACGGGGATTGAAATATCCTTCGCAGACGGCAGCACCTCCCTCGAAACCTTCCTCGTGCATAACCCATTCACGAAAACAAAGGGCCCATTCGCTGTGCAACTCGGCGTTGAAACGGGTCCGAGTCCGCGTCCCGACACCGCACCTGGCGACGTCGTGGCCAACTTTCCATTGTACCAGACGAGTGTCCGTGGAGTCTTTGCGGCGGGGGACTGTGTCACGCAGTACAAGGTTGTGGCTGGGGCGATTTCGAGCGGGTGTAATGCGGCTGTTGCGACGTCGGCGCAGCTTTTGGCGGAGAGGTTTGGACATGCGTCGCTTGTGTGATTTCCTCGAGATCGGTGGAATGAGGAGGACATGGTTTGAGGTCTAAACAAAGGCAATAGATAGTAATTGGGACCGTGGAGCTTACAGCGCCTCGCTCGGGTTGAGTAAAGCAGGATCGTATCATATCATACAGCATAAGTGGTGTACTGATTCTAACCTCTGAGAAGATAGCGAGTCTCAAACATGTCTATACTTATTTCCTCTGAGGGCTGTAAAGGCAGACGGGAGCCTTGCCGCTTCCTCTCAGGCGGCTGGAGGTGAACATGGTATCGATACTATGTGGTAACAACATACCTGTTCCATTTATTCGAGCCCTAACGAGCTTATTCGAGTACATTTTTTTACACACCTCGATGGCCCAGATGGCCTTATCAGCGCGATTTCCAGTAGTGTTTACTAGGTAGGTGTCCTACTGCAACTACTGGAAGTGAACCTTGCTACTCCAACTACTCCAACCCGAGTCCAGAGTTCAACGCCCAGCTTGCCTCTTTGGGGCAAAGATACACCGAGCTGAGGGGAACCGTCGCCGCCCGCTGTCGCTATTACTCCCACAGATACCCACCCAATCTCATACTTAACACTATCACCAGTCGTCTTCGATGAGCTTCATGATATCGTCGGCAGTATTGCGTTCCCCTGCTTCCTCAGCTTCATCTACCAGCCCCCAAGGCCAGGGACATAATGATACAGCGGATTACTTTATATCCGCCACTGATGCAGTTGTCTTTTAGCTTGTGTATTAGAGTTGATACATTAGTAAATATCTTGTTCTTTAACCTTTAGAATAATACTAACCATGTACTTACCTTCCTCACGCTCCTCTTTTTTAATATCCGTGTCTATCTCCATCATATCTCTTCTAATCTAACGCCTTATTACTACAGCTAAAATATAATGCAGGAGTAGCCACTTGCTATTATACTAGGGGGTGTCTCAAGATATTAACGTTTAGTAATTATCGTGCTCTCTAGAGTGAAAGCCATAACGTTTTTAAGAAGGCTTGTATAATGTTATCGTTGGGAAGCGATAGAGCCCAGTTTCCTGCCCTTTCTTTATCTTCAAGCTCCCTTTGATGCATTAACCCCATGGATTCAGAAGCATGTAAATATTTGAGAGGTCGATTTGTGCCTTGCGAGCCCTAGTCCATCAAAACCAGCACTGGATTTAAGATCACAAATCGACATTCCAATCACCATACTTACCTAGCCCTTCGCCATCGACAGCAGGCATCATGAGGTTGTTCAGGAACACTATCACGGCCCTTGGCATGATGCTTCCCTTTCATCAAATGTCAGCATGCGCACAGAATCTGTCGTATGGAGCCAATAATTTCTACCGCAGTGATATCGTGACGGGTACGCCCATTACCTTCCAGGATCAATACCACACAATAATCCAGGGAAATCTCTTACCCGCAACAATCTAAGTCACAGCATCAACTCCCCTGCTATTATTGTTGGCCACCCAATGAGTGCGGTGAAGGAGCAGAGCGCCAATCTCTACGCCACGAAGTTGGCCGAGCAAGGCTGTGTCACCGTCTCGTTGGACCTTCCTTTCTGGGGTGCCAGCGGCGGTGAGCCACGCAACGGGGTATCTCCGGATATCTATGCAGAGGCATACAGTGCCGCAGTCGACTATCTTGGCACGCAGGACTTTGTTGATCGTGAGCGGATTGGCATTCTTGGTATTTGTGGAAGCGGCGGTTTCGCGATTAATGCGGCGAAGATTGACCCGCGCCTAAAGGCCATCGCAACGGCAAGCATGTACGATATGGGCGCTGTGAACCGCGATGGGCCACGAAAGTCACAGACCCTTGAGCGGCGCAAAGCGATCATCTCCGCGGCCGCCGAGCAGCGCTGGGTCGAGGCGAATGGGGGTGAAATCCAGTACTCCGGCGGCGTCCCAAGTCAGATAACGGCAAACACAAGCGCTGTTGACCGCGAGTTCCACGACTTCTACTTTACGCCGCGTGGCGAGTTCATTCCTGAAGGCACCAGGCGGGAGCTGGAGACCCAGCGGACAACTACAAGCAACCCGAAATTCATGAACTTCTACCCTTTCAATGATATCGATTCGATTTCGCACCGCCCTCTTCTATTCATTTCAGGCGCCCAGGCACACTCGCGTGAGTTCAGCAAGCGCGCCTATGCACTGGCAAAGGAACCAAAGGAGCTCTTCTGGGTGCCGGGTGCCGGTCACGTCGACCTCTATGATCGTGTGGGCCTCATTCCTTTCGATAAGCTCACCCGATTCTTCCGGGCGAGCCTCCGTTAGAACAGTGTCTCTCTTTGCAAATTGAATGGAGACTTCCGTCACTCATTTACTTCTTCTGATTGGGCCCTTGGCTGCAGCCTCGCTGTCCGTCGCACAAGGTACGCAGACAGCTATTGCCCTCTAATTACTTGATTGGTTGGTATTACTGGGGCAATCGTACTGGTCCTGCAGGACATGGTTCAGGGTATTTTTTTGCTCCGAGGTAGTCTTTTGCTGCCCCAGAGCTATTTTAGGTAGAAATTCTATCTTCTGCGACCAATATCTCAGCGCTGCCCATCTGGAAAGTGTCGTTAACTTGTATATACATAGACGTCAATTAGAGTGAGATAACGGATTTAAAGGAAGCTATAACTATTGATATTCAACAGTACATTCAACCAAAACCACTATCGCATTCCAGAATCGGAAAGGATCATCAGCACAAGGAAGCCATTTAGCCCATGGCTTCATACTTGTAGGCTGCTAGAAATCTGTGTTGACAAAGCTGGACATCTTGAGGTGCTTACAGGTCAGCCGGGGTGTTAATTTCGGTAGCTCCAGAAAATGGGAATTGCTAAGGATGGCGCAAGTTGAACCCGAGTCGCTGTGTGAGCACCGCCAAGCCATGTAGAACCATATCGACAGCCTTTCATAATCTAGTTTGGCCAGTAAATCATTACTCCTCGATGGTCTAGGCATCTTTGATTGGTGCTTGGCAATAAAGAATATAACCCAGCTGCATAAGCGCCCAAAAGGTAGTTACCCACTGAGTCGCTCAATGACACAAAACTGAGGCAACAGAGGACCCCTTCAGCACAACCTCCGCAAACTAAGCATCATGTAAGCCGCCTGCATTCTTCTCTGTAGTTTGTTTCTTGGGCATTTTTTCCACATCTAATCCACCGTCAGATCACATCAACAGTTGTAGGCCAACGTAGTGGCATGGGGGGGGGAATAGTATGGAGGGTGCTGGCTTAATTATTTAGGGCAAGCCATCTAATCCTTGTAATTAGGAAGCAATAGGGCCATTTCTTAAGGTGAAAAACGCCTTGGCCTTTAGGCATGAGAATTAGTCGAAGGAATTACGCTGCAAACAAGGCTAGGAACGCTAATTCTAATCTAAATACTAAGCAACTAATAATAAATATTAGGATGCCATTAATCTATACACAAATCATATCAATCGTCACGCATATCGGATGGATGCCTTTAGAATATAATTGGATATACCCCCTGGGCTTAGGACTCGTCAATGAGCCCCTACACAGCCCATCATAAGATGCTAAGGCTAGGGTTGCTTTTGGCTAGTCGTGGTATGACATGCAAATGGCGACAGAAGGCTTCTAGCCGATATCTACGCAAGGTTGAAGGTGATGATCTTGCAGGCAGCCGTACATAGTTCAGAACCAATAAATCCATTTTAGCTCTGGAATGTGTCGACCCATTTGATTCCATATCAATCAGTGCAGTCCCATACTATGAGTAAAAGCTTAGAAAGCGTAGACAATAACTTTGATAGAATCAACGTCATGAGCTCTCGTCATGCAGACCCCTTGTAGCCACGGAGAACAATTGCTGTGTGGCAAAGTCAACAGTTTGGTGCCTGGTTCAATGGCGGGGCGCATAATGCTTTAATCTATTAGTGGATGGAGGTTCTGAATTGAAGGCCTCAAAGTTGGCTTACTGGCTGTTTCTTCGGAGCATCAATCCATGCACCTGATCGATAGTTTTTCTGATCTGCTACAGTCAGACGGAGACTATATCCTCTCCCATTCTCGTAGGGGAAGTAGTAATTGTTCGGGAAGAGCGGATCAAAATATGCGGCATTCTGGATGGCGTCGATTTCGTCTGTAGAGAGACTCACGCGCAATGCAGCTGGCAGTGCTTTAACATGCTCTACAGTCTGCACACCCACAATTGGGAAGACATAGGTACTTTGATGGAAGAGATATGCCAATGCCTTTTGTCTCTGTCAACATGCCAAGTGACCTTGTTTTTGGAAGTAGGGGTAGAACATACTATGGCTTGCAAGCTGGTGTTCTTAGCTGTGGCCAGCTGCTCCAAAACGTCACACACCGCCGCATCGCGCTTTTCGAATCCATAAGGAGCCTTTGGGGCGTCTGGATCAGATTCTAATTTTTCCCGCTCTGCTGCGGTTGCAAGCAGGCCGCCTCCAAGCGATCCCCATGACATAAATGCCATGCCTTGATCTTCGCACATGGGAATAATCTCTGATTCCACGTCTCTGCGTGAGGCACACCATCGGCCTTGATATACGGAAAAGGGCGTAAGTCCATTTTGCCGAGCAACTATGGCATGGAGTTAGTCAGAAGCGCATTAATAATACAGTAGACAGGAGCCGAAAGACGTACAGGCATTGGCCTTCGCAACCACATAGGCTGGGGTATCAGAGACTCCGAGGTATAGAACCTGCCGGGCCATGACATAGGCATGCAAATGGGTCATCACCTCTTCGACCGAGGCGGCAAGCTCCCACCTAAACGATGGTTAGATCGTTGGCACGCATGTCGCCAGAGCAAGCAAAGAACTAACCAGTGGACAAAGAGTATGTCAATGTAGGTGGTCCTGAGCTTCTTCAGACTATCTCGTATGGAGATGTGCATGCTCTTGGCTGAGTTTCCCGCAAAATTGCTCTGTATCGGCTCGGCAGCACGGTTGTAGGCACGATATGGGGCTGAGAACTTGGTTGCAATAACCATTTGATCGCGAGTTCCTCGTGTCTCCATCCACTCGCCAATCAGCTTTTCAGATTCCTCGTAGTTATACTGGTTGGCAGTATCAATGAAGTTGCCACCCAGTGCGACGAAGCTATCGAGAATAGCGAAGTGGTCATCCCTTCGCCCAAATAGCTCATTCCATGCATTGCCAATGCTTATACCACCTAGACAGATGGGGGATACCTTAACAGCTGCTGTTGGTGACAGCACTCGATGCCAGCCCAGCGGGGTGTCTGGCTTGGGAGGGGGGTCAAAAAGAGACATTGTGCTCGGTTAGGATTGAATGCAGAGCAAAGAAATTTGGAAAGTTGTCTCCGAGATATTGATTATGACTAGATAACAGCTTTTAGTAGGTGGTACGGCATCAATATATAACTGCAGGCTGTCGACTTGCCACTGTTAATGATGTATAGGCATTTCAATGACCTTCCCCACTTGCTGAGAATATAAGCAGGTTGCAGTAGTGTTAGAGAAAAGTGACTAGTGTTAGCTTGTTTTGCATGCTTGCATGCAGTGTAATCTTACATCACTTGAAGGTCTCTGGATTGCAATCCCTCAAGATAAGCGGGGATGTTGATCCCCATGCACCATTAACTAAATAGCCTTGCTAAAAAGGTACAAGCACATAATTAGTTAACTCTCATTTTGCGCTCCTGTGTGCACTTCTAGAGTTTATTAAAACCGTCCCTGTCCCCGAGCGCTTAATTAATCAATGCAACGAGTAATCTAACCCCAGTTAGACTTCCACCTTTTGTGGAGTAAATCCTAGTGCAGAGGATCCTTGTGTGTGGGGTCGCCATGAATTAGGAGCTTGGAACCATGGCACTATCTAGTAAGTCAATTCTAGTTTTATCCTAGCCTACGAACAAGTGAACAAACTTGGAAAGGTCTAATAATTGCAAAAATAAGATGATATTCACAGCAAGTCTTAATTAAGTGGTGGATATTAGACATTAAATGACTGAAGAACACTGTGTATCCATGCATTTAACACCATATCCATCACTTCAAAAGTTGAATCCCACATCGTTTACAATAACGTTGTATGGAATTTGAGTACCAAAAATGGCGGGGCCACACAGCTCCGACCTGCTTTCTGAAAAGAATCGAATCAAAGATATGGATGAGCTTGGCTGGATAGTTAGGGACTAATTCTTAGATCTCTAGGCAATAAATCTGTCCAGCCTAACAAGAACGCAACCGTTTTCCCACACTACCGTTAAGATTCTTTTTGCGACGGGTAGGGATATCCAGCTAAGGGTGAGGGAGTTGACTGCTGGGGTGGGTTGTGACTTGATCTTACAAGATTGCATTGCCCTTTAATTCTGGTCTGCCATGATTTTTGTTGACGAGGTAGACGGCAGTTGATTCGTACTACTGATTGTAAGCGGCACCCAAACTGTGGAGCTCAATCTCTACACCCTTGATGGTATTATGGCCCTTCTCACGACATGCCGCCCCTGAGACAGCTTGGCAAGTTCCTCTGCTCCCTCCTCCGGCGTAGCAGCAAACATGCCCACTGATTGCCAGACGCCGATTTGCGTGCGAATGCGGTTATTGGCTTGCTGAGCAAGCATAGCACCGACAGGCTGGCGCTCATTGCTGTATGAATCCGGCAGCGGACGGCCTGCAAATCCTGTGGAGACGTAAGCAACTTTCCACGCGAGATTATATGCGTCTTCGACACAAGTGTTGCTTGCCACGCCGAATGCTGGCGGATGGCGATGTGCGGCATCACCAAGGACGAAAATATTAGTATCGTTAATGGACTAAGTCGCAGCGATACTTCCACGCACAGTCCACTGATCCATACATACGCAGAATATCGATATCGACAGATTCGTCTCCAACAATATCCCGTATACAACGGATTGGCTCGGGGCTTTGAGGCGTCAACCCCTCGAACGGGGTCGCTACCATTTGGACCAAAGCGGACAAGCACCCAATGAGTCCAGGGACGTGCCATACGCAGATGCGCAATGAGACCGAGGATTTAAGCACGATCGGGCTTTAAGATCCAGTGAAGAGCAGCGCGGCGGTCCTCATGCATATGACCTGCCAGGTGCGCGCGAATCAAAATATTGCAAGCCTTGCCACCGCTCGGCTTGGTGATGTACTTGAAGTCCAACAGCCGTGTTACCTGGCTTCTCGCCCCCTTTGCACCGAACAGATACTGGGCGCACACCTGGAAGGTACTGTTGGTGATGTTATCCCGGATAGTGCAGATGTACCTTTCCTGCGCACTATTGCGGCTTAACTTCTACACGCTCGCCAACTCGGTAGAGAACCGGACGTTAAACTTGTGATGAGAAGCAGACCGCACTAGAAGGGGCTCCAATTCTGACTCGGAGGACCGAGCATACTCACATGGACTGATGCCGAACTCGTTCCCTTGTCAACGGCTCAGGTAGGGCCTACTGGCAAGTTAAAACATACAGGACGAATGCTCGGCCCATCCGAGGACTTTACCATATTCTTCGCCCATCATGCTGCGGGACCAGCGCAGTAACTGAAAGGACGACCACGCACTAACTTACTGAAGAGCTTGCCCCTCAATTGCCGAGCCGCACTGACATTGTAGAACATAGTTAGTAGGTAGGCGAGGCCAGCAGGGTGCCATTTCTCAGTGATATACCGAAAGCGAAGGGATTAATGAATGAGCTAGGAGTGTCCGCGATACCAGACAATTTGGAAATAACGAGTCCCTCGAGACCTAGACACCCGGGTGAATATAACTGTCTTCGGTAATGTTCATGGAATACCTACGTGTTGTCCGAGAAAGCTTGCTAGGCCGAGTCCCGCGTAGGCCCACACCCACGACCAGAAACCGGGTTTGCACGTCCAAACCCATATCAATCGTGTTGTTCGGTTAACTTGAAGAATTTGATGGATGGCGGATTTGGCGGTAGGCATAGTCGTGCGGGTTAATAACCTGCTATTACAACTACAAAGCCTCTGCCACCCACTCATTGTCGGGGCAACGTACATAGAAGCTGAAACGGCCGAAGTCGCCATTAATACTAATGCTAACTTAAGCCTGTATTATATGCGTGGAAGAGCATCAACAGGGCTGGAACAGTAGTTAGAGTAGGCATCCGATTATCGGTATAGCCTGGATCGAACCTGTCCGGTATCGCTGACTTCATCTTTCTTGAATGTGGCGAGTGCTCGTAGGTTAAGACACAATCGGAGAATGAGAACGGTTTTAGGGGTGCTGTCAACGTCGCTGATGACGGGCCCCTCGCCCTATTACCCGAAGTGGAAATTCACTCGGCCGGGAGTCGGATAGTCAGGTCTAGGCCATCCATGATTATTCACCCCGTCCCAATCTCAGCATTTGAGGGTGGAGGGCATATATGGATTATGCGGAGCGTTGAATTACCTTGCCGAGTTCCCTGCTGAGTGCTGCTGAATACTCTTGTCGCTCGCCCATGCATGCAAGTTGCCCTGATGTCGGTCAATTGCTCAATTGCTTTCAATGCAAACATCGTGGGGCTGACAGAAGTAGAAAACGGAAGTAGAACTCGCAGCTGACCATGGATATGTGCTGCACGCGTGTTTCGGTTGAAGGTATAATCGTCGCGTTGATATACCGGATGAAACTTCTCATTCTCCACCAGTTTCACCCCTTATCAACGTAAAAGAGGAGACAAAGGTGGAGTCATCATTTTTTTTTTCTAACCATGACAGACGAAACTCGCGTGCTCGTCAAACCTATATATTATGCGTGAACTGCTCCGAATCCCTCCGCTGCACGATTGCAAAAACTATCTTCCAGAATATCAAATGTCGATAATCGACTTTGTAGTTCTTGTGGCCGGTGCCTCCAAGGGCATCGGTAAGGCCATCGCTCTACAGGCCGGAAAAGAAGGTGCATGTGTGATTGTCAACTACAACTCCGATGCCCACGGGGCCGACGAGGTCGTTGCAGAGATCGGGGCCAGTCGTGCGCTGGCCGTCCAGGCAGACATCTCCAAGCCCGCAGATATCGACCGACTGATCGAGGCATCCGTTGCACGGTTTGGCAGGATTGATGTGGTGATCGCGAACGCGGCGTATGTGCCATTGGCCGACCTTGAGGCGGCTACCGAAGACCAGTTTGACATGGCATTTGGCGTGAATGTTAAAGGACCGTGGTCTCTTGTGCAGGTATGATATCAGTTTGCTACCCCTTCTTTGGGAATCAACCCTCCCGCAGCGCTAATATATGCACTACAGAAGTCTCTTCCCTACTTGAGGAGCGGAAGTACGATTATATTCATCTCCTCAGACTTGACCGACTTCAGTACGCTGCCGCCACAACTCTTCCTCTACATCTCGACCAAGGGAGCACTGAACCTAATGGTGCGGTCGATTGCCCAGACGCTCGCAAAGCGTGGCATCCGCGTCAACGCTGTGTCGCCAGGTCCTACGGAAACCGATTCTTTCTTCAAGTCCAACACCGACGACAGCACTCGGGTATTGGCGGAGCTCAGTCCGTTCAAGCGGCTTGGGAAGCCAGACGAGGTGGCGGCCGCAGTAAGCTTGTTGTGGCGTCCAGAGAGCTCCTGGATTTCAGGACAGGTTGTCAAAGTCAATGGGGCAGCGACCTGATGGGTAGGTCGCCTTAGATCTGTATTCGACCCTGGTAGCCATTGTGTGGTAAATGCCGGAAAGTCAATCAAGCGTCCTGAGAGGGGCGGGAGCTTAATAGGGAATTGGCTAGATTTTAACCATGGCTTTGCCTTTAGACTTTAAAAGATAGATTGGCGTCTCAAGAATAGAATGTAATTACATCAAGGCTTGCCCTCCGATATCTTGTCTTTATCCACCGACAATATCGTGCCTGACCTTGCCTTACAAGTACAGGGTATAACCTATCTATAGTGGATTTTTTTTATATCCCTGGAGATATATTCAGAACACGGTGGCCTCGCTTGGTACATAGTATAGGGCACTCCATATCTCCTACCTGGATGGATATATCCCACAGGTTAGTATGCAACTACTGCGTCTGGTTGTGAGAACAGATCTATGTGGACATACGTCCACGGGTACAGACTATTGTATATATAATATCTTTAAAGATTATTATATTTCTTATATGTTGGCTTCCCTAGTATACTGCCCGATACTGCCAAGGGTGATTCAGTTTCCCGTCATTGGATACAAACCTTTGACCACGATGCTTGTTGAATGGCCATGCGGCTGAACAGCATCAATAGCCTTGTCAAATGCGAAAAAAAGTAAATATTACCAAGGATAAGTTTGGAGATTCCAGGCCGGAGTTTCTGCTGTTGCTGATCGTGTCTACAGAAATATTCTATAACTACGCATGTTCCGAGTTGCATTACCATAACTGCCCTTGAATATCAGTAATGGCCGTAGTGGACCTTTCTGTGCCGCAAGTTGCATGTACAGGATGCTCTAACCTCACAGCTTTCCGAGTATATCAAGGCCATCTTCATAACTCCTATCATTGGCGACGGATTGGAACTAAAGACCTAGTTTGTTTATTTCTCCGTGTTATATGGCTAAACCCTCCCAGGGGAAAGACGCAAAAAGCGGGTCGTAATCTGCCAAGCTGGTGTCTGATACTGATATCCCACGGCCCAGACTATTCACAGGCCATCCGTTCGCCGCCCATGCCTTAAACCGGAGCGACTCAAGCTGTGTCCAAACTGGATGGCACCCTTTTGAAAAGGTCGAGAAGCAGACATCAACCACACTTCGAAGACTGCTTGATTCCGGGGAGTGACAATTTTGAATTAGATCCTGCAGTATAATAGCGCAGGCGTGAATCACGTCGAAATGATCCAAGACCCATCTGTAGGGCGCCAGTGATTCGTCTGTGGCTCCAGTTACAAAGCCACTAACATAATCCTGGCAGGAAATTAAAGCCTTTAGTCTGGATTCGCGAGGCCACTGTAATGTTCGCAGATAAGGCTGGTGTAAAATCATCATCATCTTGCAGCAACACATCATTCGACTTATGGCAATGAAGCTTTGCAGTGGGTCCATGAGGGAATTGTGATTTTCAGATATCTCTTTAGCATAAATCTTTTCAGCCTCCTCACCCAACTGCTTGATATCACGAAGGGTCGGCTGACTCACACTGTAGATACAGTGCAGAGTCTTGGAGATTAATGCGGTCGTCTGTGCTACAGCACCAAGAAGCTTGCGCTCCGAAACATACCCACAATCAACAGATCGAACATCCGTAGTTGTAGGGTGGATCAGGGGTGGAAGGCCATGCGAGATAGCGTATGTGATGTCCAAGCCGCGGACCGACCACCATATAACTCGACTGACCTCAGCGTCGTGGGCAGATAGCTGAAAGTACAGTGGCTCCCGGTGAAGGCCGAGAGATTGAGCAGACCTTACGAGGATAGAAACAGAGCTGGGATCAGGGTGGGAGTGCCGTTCCGCCATGCTGGGTATAGCAAGAAAGAAAGCTGCTCGGACCGTATTTAAATTGGGTCGACTCGGGTACCCGGATTCGGCCAGGAGTTGAGTTGTAACTTCTTTCCAGAACGAGGAGGGAAAGGAGCACCATGAATTGGTGCTCCCTGACGCCTTGATAGATCGGGTAGCAGTATAGCATATAGCTGCAATTAGTGTGACTGCACCGGGCTCTGAGCATCCATGGCTCCGCTGCTCCTGCACCGCAGCAGTAACTTTGTTGCAGTCTACAAATGGAAACCAGAAATGGCAATATTTTGCATACCATGCAATGAGCTGGTCCACATCCACAAGATAGATGAAGTCCTTCGATGTTCGGGGTAATGACTCGGGTAAAATATCTCTCCCATTTGAAGCCAGCAAAGGGGTGTCGTGATCATCGCCGGGAGACGTATTCGACTCCTCAACCCCAGCTACCCAGGATGAGCTCGAGTAATACCGTAGCCGACCGTCGTCCGACGCTTTGAGGTGGCCTGCTTGATTGAATGGGATCGTTTGCTTCTCGTCTGGGCTTCCACTCGACTGTTGGTTCGGGAAACCCGCTGAAACACACTTTTCTTCGGGAGTAGTCACACTGCCCATGGCTTTCTTTTGTTGCTTCCGCTCCACAGCCTTCGGTCGGTAAATGCAGGACCGACCATACGTGTTGCAGCATCGACAATGGGGCTTCGCTCGATCGCATTTTATTTTCCTAGATCGGCATTGCTCACAAGACTGCACGTCGCGGTTCCGCGCCAACCTTGGGCGGTCAAGGTGAAGACGCAGAAAAGGTGACGCATTCGACGGGGGGGATGCACTATGGTCCAGGACCTTTGCTAGGGAGCCACCTTGTTCATTCCCAGACGCCATGGCGCACAAGCCCGTGGTAACAAACCAAAGGTACTTTGAGCAGAATCTGATTGCAAAAGTGGCCATCGACGTGCATGGTGCACAATCTTGAAGAGTTCAAGTTAGTTGGTTGGTTGAGAGCTTATGACTAAGGGTTCTTTCGTCACAATCCCGGTCTAGCTGCCTTCGGGAATTATCCCGGCCGAAAGAATTTCTGTGAGCGGGCCCATATCGCGCCACATGGCAGCAAAGCGTTCTCTGCCCTGGTTGTTGAATCGCGCCTCTTCAGTATCCACGGGTGTACTCACTGTCCACTAAGGAGACTAAGGCTAGAACTACCGCAGGGCATGACATGTGACTCAAAAAGAAATTGTGACCGGGACCCGGCCAATAGCTGAGATGGCTTCGTTTGACAAGATACAAGCCACCCATATCCCTGGCATTGCAATGATAATGCTTGCTTTCGTCAGGTCGCGGCAGGGTATATCGGCAATTTTTCTTCAGCTAAAATAGCGCAATCGGATAGTTACGGCCGTAGGTATCCTTCTACGCTCTTAACAGACTTCCACTATCCGATGGAAATCAGCCTATTGTTGACGCAGGAACCATGTCCATTATTGAAACGGTTCATGGACTCCGGCCCAGTCTATCCCATCCTCGGCTTGTGTAGACTGCCTCCGCACGGAAAAATTAAACTATGATTGAGACGAGCTAGTATCAACAAAGGCCAAACCGCTGCCCGCTGACGTCTTGTATGCATATTGAACGAACGCATCTCAGCTTGTCACACTTAGGAGACTGGCCCCGGCCCAAATGCCTCAAAGTAGCGCAACTCGTGCCCAAGGACCACCTTTGCGTTCTTCCGTAAGACCAGATTCCGAATATACTCCCGACTGCGATGCCATGCGTTGAAGTCCCTCGTCAAAGTTCCTGGTGGTATTCCCTGCTCGTAGTTTTCCCAGACATGGAACATGTCGCCTGTTAGGACTACAGTACCTGTGTTTTCGAGGTTCAGCTCTAATGCAGCTGAGCCAGGTGTATGTCCTGCACAGTGATGCATAGTAATCCCGTTAAAGAGCTCAAAGGACTGCCCGGAAAATGTCTTCCAATTTAGCCGTGACACATCAAGATAGTCGCTTAAGTATGTGCCACGCTCGATTCCAGTAGCAAAGGCCCAGAACGCATTCTTGAACTCTTCCTCGTGGCACCAAATGGGTATGTCTATGCTCCGGGTTAAAACAGACTACTGTCTAACTAATCCATTCACGCAGAGAGCTCACCTGTACCAAAGAAGTGCTCCAGTCCCCCTGCATGGTCACAGTGAAGATGACTCAAGACCACTGCTTTCACATCACCAATCTCCCCTGCGCCGGTGGCTTTGATCGCCTCGGGCAGACCATGGATTGACTTGTTCCAGATTCTCGGTGCACACTCCATGGCCTTCATGCCCCAGCTCTTGATTATATTCTCGCAAGATCCAGTGTCAAAGAGAATCAGACCAATCTCGGGATGGAGTATCAAAGCTGCAATCATGATCAAGTCGCGTCGCTCGTGCGGCTGCGGTGGTAGGTGGGCTGGGAATTGATTTACTCCCGCCAGCAAGTTTGCTGCGTCAAGGTCCAAGATTCCGAGATTCAAGAGCTAGAGATACGACAGTTAATTCTTGTTGTGTCGCAGGTAATAGCGATGTAGACTAGGTACGGCGTTCACTTACCCATAATTTAGCGCCTGTTGGAAGGGGCGACATTGCGGCGATTTCCACGGGGAGTATAACTGCCTGGATGTTTCTCGAAGATGAGAGACTAGGATGTACATATGTACTTGGAGGAGAAACACTGGCGACTGCGATAGCAAGTGAAGCCACTGGCATCGTAGGTCTAAGTTCACCCCGGGGGGGGGGAGGGGGAACGGAAAATACACCATGTGGGACCCCAAAATATAATTGACCTGCATTAGCACCAACTCGAGTGGATCTGATCTGAATAGACCGGATTCAAAAGTCGGGGCAATCGTGTTCCCTTCCATGGTAATTTTGCGCGCACAGCAAATATTATTTTTTACACCCTTGTTTCCTAATTTCTAGTAGGATGTATATGTTGAATATAGAATAGTTCCACTGCTGTCTAACTTTTAAACCTAAAATATAAAGCTTTCATGGTATAAATAGCGAAAAATATCCTTTTGCAAAGAAGGTGGGGTTAAAAACGAGAAGCGAATTGCACTGCATAAGCAGCTAGCATTTTTCTGCACCTTATTAAGAAGTGGATGTTCCAAGTCGTGGCGAGCCATAGACCCTCGAAGAGCAAGGTGCCACCGTCTGCTGGTGACGACAAGAGGACCACCTGTACGTCGGGGCCCACATCACCGAGTATATATATGACAGCAGTCGACACCGAGAAGAGCGATATCACTCGTAAGCTCTTTTGTCTCATACTATATTCCATCCTATTGCTCCGATGGCTTCCTCGGTGTCTGGCAAAGTCTTCATTATCACCGGGGGCGGGTCCGGAATGGGCTTTGCCACTGCGACCCAACTCATTGCTCGGGGCGCACACTTGTTTGTATGCGATGTGAATGAGAAGGGTCTTGCCGCTCTCGTCGAGGGACTCAATCTAGAGCAACAGAAGAGGGTTGTTACACACAGGGTGGATATCACAGACCGGGCAGCCGTCAGGTCATTCCTCCAGTTGGCCAAGGATATATTCGGCAGGATTGATGGCATTGCGAACCTTGCAGGTACTGCAGGCCACAGACTTGGCCATGAGGAAATATGGCAAATTGACGAAAAGGAGTACCAGTTCATCATGGACGTTAATGTCAAAGGGGTTTTCAACCTACTGAGCGAAGCGCTCCATCCCAGTGTACTACAAGAGTCGGGCAGCTTTGTGCATGCAGCGAGCATGTTTGCAGACCGCGGATTTGCAAAGGGATCGGTCTATAGCAGCAGCAAGCATGCAGGTATTGGCTTGGTCAAGAGCGCTGCGATTGAAGCAGGGAAACGGGGTATCCGGGTCAATGCTATTGCGCCGTACGTTAATTGTCATTCATTTCCGCCCTAGAAGTGCTTATTACCTTAACTAACCTGGCATACTTAGGGGTCCCATAGACACACCAATGTTGAGTGCTAATGAGGAGAGCGGTGCTGAGGGTACTGCTCCTTCTGTACCTCTAGGACGACTGGGGGAGGCATCGGAAGTTGCCAATGTCGTCGCTTTTCTACTAAGTGACGAGTCTCGATACGTGGCAGGAGCAACTTGGGCGGTAGATGGAGGGGCAAATGCTTGACATTTTTCCTTATTACTACATATTGCCCCTATACAGCTTACCTGCTTTCCACGATAAAGTCCAATTCCAGGCATATAACATTCCCCAACCCCCCTCAGAAACCATATCCGTCTAGCGGCTGGCTTGTTCACTAGTTAGCACTGGATTCTGCACACCCTACCTGGCTTTTATGATATCTGAGGGAGTTGAATGTTAGACTAGAAGCTTGCTTTTGAATCCTGAAACCTTCCGGCCATGTCTTTCAACAGCTCAGAGAACCATTGCATCTGTTCCCTGTCGCATACGTTTTCGAACGGAGGGTTTCCTACAATCCCGCAGAATTGAAGTCAAGCACAGCCTCCGCTTAAGTGCCAGCAACGGAGAACTAAGGTAAAAGTTGCCACTTAGACCTAAGACCCTTAATCCACTCTTTGTGCTTTTCTGGATGCCCCGTGGCCCGGAAACAGTTAGTATTGGGCTACGGTCCAACACAAAAAGAAACTTCTGGTATCCAGTGCCAATCTTTTCCAAGTGTGTAGCCGGAGTCGCCGGAACCCTGACTCTACTTCGGTCAGCTTTGTAATTCGGCCGACCCAGCCTCTTGCATGGCCCGGCTGGAAAGAAAACAAGCAACTCATCGATTTTTTGAGCTTCAACCATTATATTGTGCTTGGCCTTTCGAATATGTCTACAAGTACTGATGAAATTGAGAGGGCTGCGGTATGTGCATCTTTGGCTTCTATATCTGCCGCCCTGATACCCCAGTGAGCATCGTTGGAGAGCTCACGTGCTTACAGAGATACAGTGTGACGCATGTTACAAGAAGAAGGTTTGTTGTCGTTCAACCGGATACATGAAGTCTGTTGCTGGTTGCATTGCTAACCCAGAGACTCTCAACTAGATCAAGTGCGATCGAAGAGAACAATGCGAAAATTGCTTGCAGGGCCGGATAAGGTGCCAGCGGAAAAGGGCCAAACCAACACGCCAGAAACGTTACAGCAGCTCTCGGTAAGTCCTAATGAATCTCACCGACAACATTGGTTCTACAGCTTCCAGCTGATTATTACCAGCATCTTATCGCTGGAAGACAAAGTAGCAAAGCTAGAGCAATCTGCTACCGTATTATCGCGGGCCACGTGGTCGTCTCAACCATCTGGCCGTGACGGCTCACCTTGCACGGCGGGACATACCGATATCATGCCATACGTTAATTTCAACGCTGTTCCAGATAGAGGAATCGCGTTGAAATTCTGCACTCCCGATGGGCTGACCCAGCAGACCTCTTACGCGAGGACATTTCTGCAGCAAGAGATCGAAGCCGGTGAAATGCTTGCAGACGATAGAAGTGCAGTTCTCAAGGCAGCGGCGACTTTGGTCGATCAAATTTCGAATACTGCAAATATGCCCCGTGGAGCGGATTATCAGAATGCCCCTGAAGTTGATGATAGCTTGATATCCAGGAACTTGCCAAAAGAGCTTCTGTACTTGGTGACAATTGGTGAGCAGCTGGAGGGGAGCTCAGATGTCATATTGAGAAGAGCTAACCTAGAAATGCCCAGGTTCTGAATGCAGCCCCTCAAGCCGGCTCTATTGGCCCGACCATATTTCTGCCACAACATTCGAGCATATGTGCCTCTTGCTGGTGGAGAACAGCCTTGATGAACAAACATTGCATCACTATCGCGTTTGTGTATACGCAAAGGCGATTCTTTTCGTCTCTCGATTACCTGCGGCTCAGTACAGTGAACGGTTTCGGCGCCATCTTCAGGACTCCAAGAAACAGTATGAAGCTATTATACTCACATCCCTGAGTAAAATTCAGATCTTGACTACTCCGCCGTCTTTATCTCTATTACAAGCACTTTTGTCAGGGGTAAGTTTAGAGTGTGTTTTCCCACTCAGAGTTTGATTTTTGATATCGAGGTATTAACCAAAATATATTGGACTCATAGGCTTTGATAATGCAACTTCGAGGCGACATGTTCCGCGCTTGGACGCTAATTGCAATTGCGTCGAGGACTTTGGTCGCCCTGAACTTGCATCATACAATAAGTAGCGCCTCGCAAGGTACCGAAACAGAGAAGGAAATCTGCGCCGCTGTCTTGTCATGTTACTACCTTGATAAGATTCTCAGTGTGCTCCTCCTTCGACCCCCTTCCCTGCCAAGGTTGAAAGCTAAACCATCGGACCTTGTTGCCTTGGATCCACATATCCCTCTGAGCGCAATATTCAAGGCCATGGTTGAGTTTGCACAGATACAGGAAGTAGTTCTTGATATACTGTTCGAATCCGGATCCTCAGATGAGAGGCATCAATCAGCTACGATCGAAGTGCTTATCCAGAAGATGTATAGCCTCCGTGAACAACTGGATGAGGTGAGTGCAGATATCTCAAATCAGTATACATCAGCCAATTGGTGTGGGCTAACGAATAATGTCCTCATAGCAACGGTCTCGACCAGATTTTAGCGTAGTGCAATACGAATGGACCGCTATTGACTTCAGCTATTATGCCATTTTAAGCAATATATTGCTCCTGAATCAAAGACTTGCCAGGGCCCCTGTCGCGCGTCAGGAAAGTGTGGCATCTGCTAGAAGATCACTCACGTCGCTTCGGAGAATGCAAGACACTGTCACTGCTGATTTCCTTGATGAGTACCCGTACTATCTGACCTGGTAAGTTTCAACCTTCTGTGATGGTAAGATATCTTAATATTTATCTGAACATGCAGGACAATGCTACTGTTTCCTCTCAGTCCATTCTTCGTCCTTTTCTGCCATGTGGTTTACACCTCAGACGCTGCAGATTACTCGTTGATGACTGCGGTTACCAGTGGGCTTTCCCGCTTCGCGGAATCGAATGCGTCCATCGGGAAGCTACATAAATTGTTTTCTACCTTTTTAGCATTGTGCGACGGTCTTGTTCCACATCGCCAGGGTACTGTTCGGCAGCCTCCCACAGTTCCAGGGAGTTCTTCGTATTATGCGACCGGCAGCCAAGCCCAGACCGATGATGGTGGTATTCCTGACACCGGTCTTGGGCAAGCAGATGTAGGTGCCTTCCAAGATCAGGTTTTGCCTGGCCAGCCAACAGGGCAAATGGCGGATAACAATTTCGTATGGGAGCTTTTATACTCGCAGCCTTGGCTGGGCTGGACAGAGGCGGATTGTCTATATGAGCCCACATAACATGTGGGAGAAGCTGGCCCAGCAGAGCAAAGGTCCCCGATGTCAGGAATATCTCTTCAAGTCGCGAGGAGTTGTATTTGGAATAGGGACGATGGCTGGGTGGTAACATTGTTCGAACAAGGAAGGTGGTCTCTGAATTATGAAGGATGCCGTCTCGCCATGTAAGCAGGCTGCAGTAGCGTAGATAGAATGTACTAAAATTGTTTGCTTAGATATAATAGAACCCACTATCACCATGATCGATTTTCTGATCATTAAGGCTGCTTACTCCAAGCTCACCCACGATTTGATTTGTCGGCGAGACGCCAGATCACTGGCACCACACACTCTACACCCACCTTGCACCCTGCATTATTCGCGTTGCTGTGCCGTGGCTGCCAAGACTGCACCAAGCTTAGGGCACTAGCGGAACCATTTAGTTGGGTCCAACGAATCATTATTGCGTCCACGGGAGTCACTTCCAGAAACGGAAGGCGATTCGGCCGCAGGGATTTCCTCCCTTGGATAACCGCTCAGTGAAAGAATCTGGTCGTGTTTCAACGTAAGCAGGCAGTCGGCATGACTGCATGAAATTCGCAATCCGTCACACGCAAGAACAACCCCCACTGGCACCACCAACTTTTTCTGCAAGCAACCGACGGTGGAAGCCAAATCCTGTTGGACGTGAATGTGTGGAGTAGACCATGACAGGCGCGTGTAAGCCGACTGCAGGACCATCCGCTTTGCTAACACGTAAAGGATAAGTCCTGCTATCCGCCTGGGGGAATCAGACATATAAGACTCGGGACGTGTGACGGTTCAGGTGTACTTAGATTCCTCCATTCGTGCTATCCTTATCTTCACATTCATCGCCCTGGATACTTGAAGAGAGCGCGCCACCTTGGGAATCTTGGGGCACTGTCAAGACAAGCACGAAGGATGCCTTCAAACATTCCACCTCGTTTCAAAGAATCGCTTGAGAATTCCAAATGTGAATATCGACGTCTCGGCAAGAGTGGGTTGAGGGTTTCAGTGCCTATTTTTGGCTGTATGAGCTTTGGTGATCCAAACTCTCTACCATGGGCAATCGGCGAAGAACAAGTAAGGGCCCCGTCCTATAACGTGGTATCTTGCATTAGTCTTACATTAGCAATGCTAGGCGCTCCCGCTTCTCAAAGCTGCGTACGATAGAGAGGTCTGAATACTTGGGATACTGCCAATGCCTACAGTAACGGAGCTTCGGAGGTGATTGTGGGTAAAGCCCTCAAACAATATGGTATTCCTCGAGAGAGGGTTGTGATCATGACAAAGTGTTTCTGGGGTGTTGGTGAAGAGCCAGGTATTATTCCTCCCGCACGCTGTACTGATGGTACATGTACTGATAGTATTTATAGAAAACATCCACTGGAGCAATCGCGAACCATTTGAAAAATCCAAGGATTATCAAAACCAGTTCGGACTGTCTCGTACTGCAATCTTTAACCAGGTTGAGGCGTCTCTCAAGCGACTTGATACAAGCTACATCGACTTGCTGCAGATTCACCGCTTTGACTCGACAACTCCAGTTGAAGAAACAATGAAGGCCCTACATGACCTTGTCCAGTCAGGAAGAGTCCGTTATATTGGTGCAAGCAGCATGTGGGCAACACAGTTTGCGCGCCTGCAGTTTGCTGCTGAACTTAATGGCTGGACAAAGTTTATTAGCATGCAGAACCAATACAACCTACTATATCGCGAAGAGGAGCGGGAGATGATTCGGTTCTGCAATGATACTGGTGTTGGTCTCATACCGTGGGCTCCGCTTGCTCAAGGCGACTTGGCTAGACCACTATCTGACCTTGGAACTACGCTTCGAAGCAAATTACTGGCCAAGAATGCCTCGGAACCTCGTTTGTCGGAAGTTGATCTGGTCATCGTAAAACGAGTCGAGGAAATTGCGGAAAAGCATGGTTGGTCGATCGCTCACGTTGCGCTAGCATGGATTAACAAGCGCGTCACGAGCCCAATCATCGGATTCAGCAGCATCGAAAGGTTGGAACAGGCTATTGCGGTGCGAGGAAAGGCATTGTCTACCGAGGAAGAACAGTATGTCGAGGAACCTTACCAGCCAAAAGCTGTAAGAGTGGCTGAATCGCTGTGAATGCCGACGAAGCAGGAAGTCGATATATCTTGCTGATAGCCTGCATGACATGCTGTAACTTGAAGTTTAGGAATATGTTCACAAGATAGTACTTGCAGAAATTCACGAAGCATGTCAACGCCAAGTCAAAAGTTGAAAGGAAACACCTTACTGTCAACACACGATAGTCCTTCCGTGCAGTCTGCTTGTCGAGCCTTTCGCGTCTGAGGAGAAGCTCCCCTAAGAGTGGGTTTGAGTCACGGGTGTGAATTTAGAGGCTCAGCAGCGTATTGATTGTAGAGCTTGATGTTGGCTCTTCTGGAACCTTTCCCTTTCCCATTTTGGCCTGCTGATGCATCCGCGGGTGGTTTTGGGAAGTTTGTTGGCGTCAATGAAAGGGAGCTCGAGTGGTTTGCAAGGCCACCGCAGGCACGCGTTCTTAATTCGCTTGGGGTTCTATCTCTCTGAAGCCGTTATGAGCTGCGAAAATTGTTTCTCGACCTGAAGATATCCGGTAGAACGTCGTCAGCCTGCTAAGATGTATTAGTCCAGGAAGCAATAGGCGAGTTGCGGCAGCTACTATGTGTAACACACTTACGCCCGTTTAAGTCGTGCAGTGGCTATATTAGCGCTTTTTTTCGCGTTTCTTTGGAAATGCACGCAGGGCTGATGTCGAGCGAAGCATGAGTAACAGGCACGGCTGACACGGTCATATCGACCTTGGGGCGTTTTCAAGCAGACTTTGGGACTTGCCGTTGCCTGGAAAGCGCCAGGTAGTGGAACCTTGCACCTCTTGCGGGTAAGACACTGTTGAATGCATTTGTCGGAATAACAACAGACACTAGGCCTAGATCCGAGGGGTTTTGTGGGTTCAAGTGCGAGCAAGGGGAACCTCTTTCGTCACCCTTACTGCCAACTCGTAAAGACCCGCCCCAGGATGCGGAGATGAATCTACGCAGGACGATAGAATATCGGAGGAGTGCCTAGGCGTGGTGTTCAACAACGGCCAAGGGGGGGCCGGTTCCTATGACTCAAACCCCAGTCACAGAAAGAGTGGTGGATCTCGTTGCTTCTGGTTAATAAGGTTCTTCAATGACCTTGGACCTCGACAAGAACTAGTTGATCTACGGACACTTCGGAAGCCGCTTATGTACTCAGAATCCAGCTTCCGGACGGCGGACTCCCGGTCGTCGGATGATCGGACAGTGTAGGGATCCGTTGACCGACAAGGATGGAGTGAACCGCTTGTCCCGGGCTGGTACGTCTAACTTGTCTGGAGGTGGCTATCAGACACATGGGTGTAACAAATTGACAACATGCTTTGTAATCTAGGATCACGCTTCGGGTTGAGGCTACAGTAAGGGCTGGCTGGACCTGACCTGGCGTTGGCAGCTATGAGAGTGGGGCCCGAAGAGCAAATGTTTGAGGCCGGATGGCCGTCGGACGACACAGAATCCGTACAGCGCCCGGAGGTAAGATTTGCCCTACAACAGGGGCGCCGAGGATGATGTTATTAAAGGATGTCCGAAGACCCCCGTTTGACTCTAGAAAGACATACGTCTTTGTTCTCGGCCGCTATCTGATAATCAACGATCAGCTGCGAGGCGAACCTGGTGTATTTATATCCTTTCCGTCACAGCCTCCCACTGTTCCGATATTCCTTCAGTCTGTTTTCTTCTTTCTTTCTTTTTATTCCTGCTAAATTCCGCGGACGCTTCACCATGCCCTCTGAAGAAGAGAAACAGTCTCCTAAGACAGAGAAGGCAGCATCATCTCGAAACTCATTCGCTACTTTGACAGCCGACAATGGCAGTACAAAAGATGGGCCTAGCAGGATGGACGAGCGGGTTCATGATGAACTGCTCCAACTTGCTAGGAAGTTGACGACCCGATCCCAGGGCACGGGTGCCCCAGCGTCCCTCTTTCCTCTCCCTGCAGAGGGGGTTCTGGATCCGAACAGTGACCAGTTCAACGCGAAGCAATGGGCAAAGGCTTTTTACAACATCAGAAAGGACTCTCTCGACGGAAATCCACCCAAGACCACAGGCGTCGCCTTCCGCGACCTCAACGTTTATGGCTTTGGCACGGATACTGATTTCCAGAAGAGTGTGGGGAACATCTTTCTAGACGCCGTTGCCTTGCCCATGAAGGTGCTCAATAAGAAACAGGAGCGCGTTGATATACTGCACAACCTTGAAGGTGTCATCAACAGTGGTGAGATGCTTTGTGTGCTTGGTCCCCCAGGCTCTGGTTGTTCGACGTTCCTCAAAACAGTTGCTGGCGATACCCACGGGTTCCATGTCGAAGAATCGTCTAAACTCAACTATCAAGGCATCCACCCGGACCAAATGAGGACTGCATTCAGGGGTGAAGCGATATATACAGCTGAAGTTGATCACCACTTTCCTCAACTCACTGTCGGCGACACCCTTTATTTCGCAGCGGCTGCCCGGTGCCCAAGAAATATCCCCAATGGAATCACTTGCAAGGAGTATGCCGAACATCTTCGTGATGTGACTATGGCAATGTTGGGTATCTCACACACGAAGAACACCCGTGTGGGTGACGACTTTGTCCGAGGTGTTAGCGGTGGTGAGAGGAAGCGTGTTACAATTGCTGAGGCTTCCCTAAGTTATTCACCCTTGCAATGCTGGGATAATAGTACTCGGGGCCTTGATAGCGCGAATGCGGTCGAATTCTGTCGGACCTTGCGGACTCAGGCTGACGTTATGGGTTGCACTTCTCTCGTCGCGATATATCAAGCACCCCAGGATGCCTATGACGTGAGTAGACGGAATACTTTTCTCTTTTGCCAACCAGCGGTCTAACTTCTGAATAGCTTTTTGACAAGGTTATTGTCTTGTACAAAGGTCGGCAAATCTTCTTTGGCAAAACCTCCAGGGCTCTAGGATATTTCGAAGAACTTGGGTTTGTGCGCCCAGCACAACAAACCATGGCAGATTTCTTGACTTCCATGACAAGCCCCCAGGAACGCATCATTCGCCCCGGGTGGGAGGACAAGACCCCTCGAACCCCCGAGGACTTCGCCCAAGCATGGCAGGCGAGCCGCGATCGTGCACTGCTACTGGAAGAAATCGAGGGTTATATTGAACAACACCCCTTCCGCGGCGAGCACTATGATAGATTTCTTTCGTCGCGACGCATGGACCAATCTTCAGCTCAGCGGGCTATGTCTCCATTTACTCTGTCCTATTTCCAGCAGATGAACCTCACGCTATGGAGAAGCATTGTAATGCTTAAGTCAGACCCCAGCTTGACCATCACCATGCTAGTGACCAACTTCCTTCAGGCCATTATTGTCAGCAGCATCTTCTACAACCTGTCCGAGACCACGGAATCTCTCCAAACACGAGCCGTCCTGCTGTTTTTCATTATCCTTATGAATGCGTTCAGCAGTATCTTGGAGATTATATCTTTATATGCCAAGCGGAGGATCATTGAGAAGCATGCCAGGTATGCGCTCTATCACCCGAGCGCTGAGGCCCTCTCTTCAATGGTGGTCGACCTGCCATATAAAGTTGTTAACGCTGTTATCACTAATATCACTATGTACTTCATGGGGAACCTCCGTCGGGAACCAGGGCCGTTCTTCTTTTTCCTTCTCGTGATTTTCACTACTACCATGACCATGTCAATGCTTTTCCGGCTTATTGCGTCTGTCACGAAATCCATCGCTCAAGCCATGGCGCCGTCTGCCATTATCCTGCTCGGCTTAGTCCTGTACACGGGTTTTACAATTCCCGTGCAGTACATGCGCAGCTGGATTAGCTGGTGTCGCTGGGCGAACCCAATCTACTACGGCCTCGAGTCCATCATGCTCAATGAGTTTGCTGGTAGGGACTTCAGATGCGCCAGCTACGTCCCATCCGGTGCTGGTTATGAAAATGTCTTACCAAGTGGCAGAGCATGTGCCTCGCAGGCCTCAGTCCCCGGACAAGATTTTGTTAGTGGTACGGCGTACCTGAACATTGCCTATGGGTATGAGCTGTCGCATCGTTGGCGGAACTGGGGCGTCATGATCGCGTTCGCGGTGCTGTATCTCACGCTGCACCTTGTTGCCACTGAATATGTCGCCTCCGAACGATCTAAGGGTGAAGTGCTGGTGTACCTTCGTACAGCTATGAAGCATCTCAAGAAGGCGCCAAGCGATATAGAGTGCGGCCCTGCGACTCCAGCCAGCCACCAGATGGAAGACGGCAGTATGTCAGGAGTTCAAGTTGAGAAACAATCCTCTGTATTTCACTGGAGAAATGCGTGTTATGACGTCAAGATCAAGGGAGATGATCGTCGCATTCTAGATCATGTTGATGGTTGGGTCAAGCCAGGTACTTTGACAGCACTGATGGTAAAAGATTCTGCACCATGATTTTCTGGTGATCCGTGGCTAATAAATATGTATAGGGTTCTTCTGGAGCTGGAAAGACTACGCTTCTCGACGTACTGGCTAGTCGTGTGACCATGGGTGTGGTTTCAGGTGACATGCTTGTTAACGGGAAGCCACGCGATGAGTCCTTCCAGCGAAAGACAGGCTATGTTCAGCAGCAGGATCTCCATCTTCCTACCTCTACTGTCCGCGAGGCTCTTACTTTTAGTGCCTTGCTGCGACAGCCATCGCAGTATAGTCGGCAGGAGAAGATTGCCTATGTGGATACAGTCATTTCTTTGCTTAGCATGGAGGACTATGCTAATGCGATTGTTGGCGTTCCAGGGGAAGGCCTTAATGTTGAGCAGCGTAAAAGACTGACTATTGGCGTGGAGCTTGCAGCGCGTCCTCAGCTACTTCTTTTCTTTGACGAGCCTACCTCTGGCTTGGATAGTCAAACTTCCTGGTCTATTTGCAACCTGATGGAGAAGTTGACCAAGAATGGGCAAGCAATCCTCTGCACCATCCATCAACCTTCCGCGATGCTCTTCGAACGGTTCGACCGTCTGTTGCTTTTATCAAGGGGCAAAACAATCTATTTTGGCGACATCGGCAAGGGTTCCCGTACCCTGGTCGATTATTTCACACGCAATGGAGCCCATAATCTTCCCGCTGGAGCCAACCCAGCGGAGTATATGCTTGACGTCATCGGTGTGGCCCCTGGCTCAACAACTAACATCGACTGGCCCGCAGTCTGGAGAGACAGCCCGGAGTATCGGCAGGTTCAAACAGAACTTGAGCGGCTTGCGGCCTTGGCCGGCTCTGAGCCCACGCACGACGACCCTTCCGCCTACAAGGAATTTGCTGCATCTCCTCTAGATCAATATATACAGGTGACGAAACGAGTCTTTGAGCAATACTGGCGAAGCCCCGGATACATTTACGCAAAAGTCCTTCTGTCACTTGGCTCGGTAAGGGCTCTACCACTGCAACTCGAGATCAAACACATACTAACCCGGTATAGTCCCTCTTCACCGGCCTGTCGTTCTTGAACGGTGACAACACGCAGCGCGGCTTCACCAACCAGATGTTTGGCGTCTTTATGTTCCTGAGTCTGTTCCCCAATCTGGTAAACCAGATTATGCCAGTTTTCGCCTCACAGCGTGTCATGTACGAAGCCCGAGAGCGTCCCTCCAAGACATACTCTTGGAAGCCGTTTATGGCTGCAAATATTCTCGTTGAGCTGGCTTGGAATTCAGTAAGTATCCTTTGTCAATCCCGGTGGATGAAACTAACCTTGAGCAGATCGTATCACTTTTCTCCTACATCTGCTTTTATTACCCAATCGGTCTATATAAAAATGCTGAGTGGACCGATGCGGTCAATTCACGAGGCTTCACCATGTTTTTGCACCTGTGGGTCTTTTTCATGTATGCCAGCACGTTTGCGCATATGATGATCGCAGGACTGCCAACCGCCGATATCGCTGGGGGTGTGTCTAATCTCCTCTTGATCATGATGTTCACTTTCTGCGGGTAAGCTCTTCCTGAAGACCGGACAGACCGCGAATGTCGACTGACGTCTCTGGCTAGTGTCCTTGTCGGACCAAAGGCGCTCCCGGGCTTCTGGATCTTCATGTACCGCATCAACCCCTTCACGTACATCATTGAGGGTTTTCTCGGCACCTCCCTCGGCAATGCCCCGATGTACTGCGCGCCCAACGAGTTCGTCCGATTTACTGCCCCAGACGGCTCAACGTGCGCCGAGTACGCTTCCGAGTATTTATCCCAATCAGGTGGCTACCTTGCAAACCCAGACGCGACCGATTGCGAATACTGTGCCATGTCCGAGTCTAACCAGTTCTTGGCCTCTGTAAGTGTCAGTTACGACCATAGATGGAGGGACTTTGGATTTATGTTGGTGTTTTGCATTTTTAACCTCTCCATGGCTTTGGTCTTGTACTGGCTTGCCAGGGTTCCTAAAACCAGGAAAGTGAAGGAGTAGACGAGGTATGTAGCCCAGCAAGAGTGAAGGCTTTGGAATCGCAAGACGAAAATTGCGGACAAGAGACATCACAAATACAGAAGTTCGTTCGTTCCATGGGCCGGAAAAGTTTTGAACCCGCCAATATTGTTGTTTAGACTGGAGACATCACTTGACTTGGATTTTCCTTTTTACTACTTCTACTAATAGATTTATTTTAGCAAATATTTACCCAAGGTTCTTTGATGGGAGAAAATCGCAAGGACTGGTAGCATGGTCGTCTAGTTGGCTTCGCAATCCAACCCTGTGCGGAGGAGGAGTCGCCGAATTATCGCCGTCGCTTGGAGGTGTCATTCACGATGCGAGATACACGGTGCCCATAGATTGCAGATTCAGGGATCAGAACAGATGATGGAGATAACGTAATTCCTGGTTGGTCTGGCAGTCCCAGATCGTCCGGTCAACCAACAAGAATATAGATAGATCCGGATATCCATCCCCTAACAACAAACGCAATCGGCCCAATCCTGACAGCCCAGAACCTCCTGTCCCTAGCCCAGTCATCGCCACCAGAAAAACCAATCTTCATATCCTCCGACTCCGGCTCCACAAGTGCCTTCCGCGGCCACGAGGACGGATTCGCCGCGTACGCAGCTAGCAAAGCCGCGCTGAATCATATGCTCAGACATATGGCTGAAGAAATCAGGCGAAAAAGAGTTGGGGGGAAGGGGGAGCGGGGAAGTGTTGTGCCTGCGATGCATCCGGGCGAGGTTGAGACGTGCGTTTTCCCTGTCCCTTTTTTCTCTTTCTTTTCCTTCGGCAATGGGCAGGCATTATGTCACGGGGTTAACTGATATATATGATCATATAGTGATATTGCTAATATCCCACTTGGCTGGGAAGTCGAGGGTGTCAATCAGCCAAAGGAGAGTATGGATGGGATGTTGAGGGTTATTGCGAAGAAGGGGGAGGAGGATAGTGGGACGTTTTGGTGTTGGGATGGGAGGGTCAGTTGTGTCCTGTGGCACCGATTACTTATCAGGATTTGGTTGATGGTGAGATATTCTAACGGTGTGTAGAGTCATCCGCGGTGAGCTATAGACGAGGGATTAGCTGTGTTGGAGATCTGTCTGGGCTCGCTGGGGAAGTAGAAGTAAAGTTTGGATTCTTGATGCAAGGAATGGAATGGTCTCCGGCCTGGAGTAATTTTATGGTTGCATGGTTAAGTGAGATGGATGACAGAATAGAAAGATATATATATTCTATATGCGAACCGAATATATGTTTGCCACATCTATATACAGTCAACGACCAATGCAACCCAAATGATTCAACACCGAAAAATGCACATCCATGCTCGGAGCGATGAAACCCTCACACAGTTTCCTTCTCATTCGCCCGCTCTATTGAACCCCTCGGCGGCGTCAGCACCTGACTCGTCGTCTCAGATACATCCCCATTCAACTGCCGCTCCTCATCCTTACTCTCTTCTTTCTTCCGTTCCTCCTCCTGCGCAATCTCATCCGCATCCTTCGGCCTTTCCAACCCATGATCCTTGATAAGCAGACACGCCAAAAACGCAACCCCAATCAGCGGAACCTGCAGGATAAAAACCGCCTTGGACGCCTGTGTATACGCGTCCACGATCCCCTTCCACAGTTCTGGCGAGACACTCTCCCGTGCTGGTAAAGTGTACGTCGAGTCTGAGAGGTGCGCGTAGCCACTTGGTAGATGGGAGCGTAGTGTCGCCTGCAGGACGGCGCCGGAGATTGCAAGCCCGCAGGCGCCGCCAAGGCAGCGGAAGAAGTTGCGGTTGGAGATGACGACGGCGCGTTGGCGTTTTGTACAATGCGCTTGGAAGGCGACGAGGGTTGGTTGGAAGGTGCAGCCGATGCCGAGGCCGGTTATTGCGACGATGACGGCGATTACGGCGGGGTGCGTTGTTTTGTTGAAAAGGAGGGTTAGGCCAGCGCCGCTGTTATCATTTGTAGTTAGTATTTCTGTGGTTTAGGACAAAACCAACATTCTGTGAGTGCTACGTACAGTGTCCAGATACCGAATCCAAGCCAGATCACCTCGCCGTAACGCTTGAAGCGCGAGATGTACTGCCCTGAGAGGACGGACGAAATGGATTGGCACGCGACCATGGGGGCCGTTAGCGCTGCGGAGACGACTGGGGACCAGCCGCGCGCGTTTTGGTAGTACAGCGGCAGGTAGTACAGATATGCTTGGTAGACTGCGCCGAGGAGGAAGCTTTGCAGGAACAGCGCAACAATGACCCTGTTCTTAAAGAACTCCACTGTGACTGTTAGCAAAGACCCATAAAGTTTAGAGAAATAACAGGCTTAGATAGCCATATCCATCAGTGGAACGCACTGGGCAACATTGGCAACATGGCAACCTTCCATTCGATGAAGAAGAACGCAATAAGTGAGAGGCCTCCGATGACCAACATACTAATGACCATGGGCGAATTCCACTCAAAGTACGAGCCACCCCCGGAAATCGGAATCAGTAAGAAGATAATCCCAATGGAAGATGCAATGATGCCAAAGTAATCGATCCGCTTAAGATTGGCCCGGAAACTATCCTTGCGTGCACTATCAGGGATAAGAAAATAACCCACAACGATTGAACACGCAGCAAGCGGCGATAGCATCCAGAAGAAGCCACGCCATGTGGCTCTCAGGATAAACGCAGCTGCAATAAAGGGGCCAACCACGTTTGCAACTCCAAGAGACGCTCCCAAAATTCCCTGATACTTTCCTCTCTGCTGGAGCGTAACCACATCCGAGACGATGATCATAGCCAGCGAGCCGATTCCACCACCTGCAACACCCGCCAGACCACGGAAAACATAAAACATGGCTGCATTTTGGGATAAACTGCACAGTAGATCGGCAATACATAGCAATGCCAATGCAGACAGATACACAATCTTTCGACCGAATATGTCTGACAGACGCCCGTAAAGCACGCTGAACATGGTGTTGGCTATCAGCGAGGAAGTGCCCGCCCAGGAGATTGTGTTTTTCCCGTTGAGATCCTCTGCGATTGTCGGCAGCGTGACGCTGATACCGTTCTGATCGACAAAGGATATGAAGAGCGATATAGCGAGGCCGGCAAATACGATCAGCAGTCGACCTCGTGGGAGGATGTTGGTCTGGTCATGTAGTGCCTTTTCGGCAGCTGCTTGTCGATTGATTGCCATGTCGAGCCAGAGATTCGCAGTTTCAAATTATCGGATGCGCTGTGTCTTTTAAAACCTTCGGAAATGCGATCCAAGACTCGGGCCAGCTGCCAGGGTGACACCTATTAATATGACATTGTGCCTGAAAATTTCCTGCTTTATCTGAAAAGATATGGCCGTCGGAGTATAGGCCGACAGAAGCTCCAATTTCTGACACAGGGCCCATTATTGGCGGTCGAGTCTTAGCTACTGCGAGAACACAGGCCATTGGGTGACGTGGACGGACTGGATCTGTGGTCGAGACATCGAATTTGTTGATTCCAGTGGCGATTGCTTGCTGGTGTGGATCTTTCGGACGTCCGATGACCTTCGGAGGTGTTCCGCAGCAGTGCCGGGCATCCGGTCACGAGATCGATAAGAGGCTCAGAGATCTTATCGGAAGCAAGCGATAAGCTGCCAGTGTGCCAAGAACACTTGCGACGTACATTTTGCAAATTGTACGCGAGCAGATTCACCATTAATTTATGCTCGATCGTGTTTGTTCCTGAGAGAAAAACGGCCCGGCTTGGATCATGTGACTTCGATTATGTGATCCAGTCAGGTGACAACAGCCTCGGCAGACAATGCGGAGGCGGTTATCTGCGGCGCCATTTCCGGGGGAGGGATCTTAAGCAACGTCCTCCTCTCTTCCCCACGATTCCGCCTGGACTTGGATTGTCTTCACGGCTCATATCTGATCCATACACTTTCTAGCACTTACGATGGCCATTCAATCCTCAGCCGGGCTATCTGCCCGCATGTTCAGACGTTCCGCCTTCCCCGCTTCCCAGTGGAGGAGGCAATTTAGTGCCGCTCGTCCGGCGCTGAAGGAGATCCAGGATGCTTACATTCTGAGCGGTGCCCGGACGCCGACCACAAAGGTACTATCTAAGAACCACGTTCTGTGACTGCAGCTTTGCTAAGGATTTAGTTCAACGGTTCATTTACTTCCGTCTCCGCACCCCAACTCGGCGCCGTCGCCATCAAGTCCGCCATTGAAAAGTCCAGCATTCCGGTCGAGAAGATCACAGATGTCTACATGGGAAATGTACTACAAGGCTCAGTGGGGCAGGCCCCGGCTCGTCAAGCCTCGATCTTCGCAGGCCTCTCACCCGAAGTCGAGTCGATGACGGTCAACAAGGTGTGCGCGTCCGGTCTCAAAGCCGTCGTGCTTGCCGCCCAGAACATCCAGCTCGGTCTTGCAGAGGCTCAGATCGCCGGTGGAATGGAAAACATGTCACGCGTTCCCTACTATCTGCCCCGCTCGAGCCAGCTCCCGCCGTTTGGTGAGATCAAGTTGGAGGATGGTCTGATTAAGGACGGTCTGTGGGATGTCTACAACCAGTTCCACATGGGTATCTGCGCCGAGACGACGGCTAAGAAGCACAACATCTCTCGTGAAGCGCAGGACGCGTATGCGATCAGCTCATACCAAAAGGCGCAGGCAGCGTGGAAGGAGAACAAGTTTGCCGAGGAGATTGCGCCTGTGACCGTCAAGGGCAAGAAGGGCGACATCGTGGTGGAGCGTGATGAGGGTTTCGAGAACCTCCGTGAAGATAAGCTCAGGACACTCAAGCCGGCTTTCTTGAGGGACGGCACTGGTACTGTGACTGCAGCAAATGCCTCGAGCATGAACGACGGTGCCTCTGCTCTGGTTATCACCAACAAGGAGCTTGCGCGCGAGTTTGGTGCAGGCAAGCCCGCTCTGGCACGCATTGTGGCTTCTGCCGATGCTGCCGTTGACCCAGTAGATTTCCCAGTTGCCCCGGCCAAGGCTGTTCCCATCGCTCTGGAGCGTGCGGGCATTACCAAGGACCAGGTTGCCATCTGGGAGTTCAACGAGGCATTCGCTGCGGTTATTGAAGCCAACAAGAAGGTTAGTCCCCCGAGATATATTCCATGAGTTAGTGCTAACATGAGCAGATTCTCGGACTCGAAAACGCCCGTGTCAACCCTCTAGGAGGAGCCATTTCCCTCGGCCATGCGCTAGGTAGCTCCGGCTCTCGTATCCTGGTTACATTGCTGCATCAATTGCAGGCCGGCGAGTATGGTGTTGCTGCTATTTGCAACGGAGGTGGCGCTGCCACTGCAGTGGTGGTGCAGAAATTGGACCGAGTGGACTAAGTGTAGTTATACCATTAGCGATGTATATATTTCCATGTTTGAAATCAATATCGTTGCGGCTTTGCCCGCACATCATTGATTAGTAGTGCCCCGCATCCCCCACTCTAGTAAGCGTTTATCCGGGAATCGCATCGGCTGCGAAGTCGGCAGTCGTCGCCACAACCACTCCCGATCACTTGAATATAACACTCAGCATGGAGCACAATCTCACCAGTCATCTTTCTGCACTCAACCTAAACGAACCCATCACATAACGGCAAAATGGCAACCCCCGGCCTCCTGTACGTGACGATGCAGCCGCGTCCCTCCCTCCCGGCTGCCCAGTTCCACGACTGGTACAACTCGGAACACGGCCCTCTACGCCTGCGCCTCCCCTTTGTCACCAACGGCTTTCGCTACCGCGCCGTCGACGGCGTCGACCCCGAATGGGTGGCCATCTACGACATCACCGACATGGCCGAGCTCACCCGCGAGACGTACCTCGCCCTCCGCGGCGACGGAATCAAGACCCCGCGCGAAAAGGCAACAATGGCTCAGATTGACGTCGGGAGGAAACTCTATGATCTGCTACAGGATAAAAAGGCGGAGGACTTTGTCCCGCTAGAGGATACTCCCGACGCCGAGGCCGCGGGCCACGTCCTCCTCTCAAATACCTCGACCCTCCCCGCCGACGACCCCGCCAAGGAAGAGGACCTGCAGCGCTGGTACAGCGACGAACACATCCCCATGGTCGCGCGCGTCCCCGGGTGGCGCCGGAGCCGGCTCTACCGTACTGCGTCGATCGATCCCAAGGCGCCCCGCGAATTCGTCGCCATCCACGAATTCACCCCGCAGAATGGCCTCGGCGGAGCCGAACACAAGGCCGCCATGGACACGCCCTGGCGCACGCGCGTCTCCGAGTACGTGACCTCGAACACTCGCCGCGTCTACAACTGGGCGTATACATTTGGCCCCGCGCCGAGGGAACTCCACTCGCTCACCTCGCCCGATACAATCGGCCCGTGGAACTCGAACGACAAGCGCACGCGCACGATCCCGCACCCCTCCCGCCCCGCCGTCGAATCGTTCATCACGACTCCGGACGGCGTAGACCTCCCCTACCGCCTCGAGGGGAGCACGAACCCGCTCGCGCCCGTGATCGTTCTGAGCAATAGTATCCTCGTCGACTATACCATCTGGGACTCCTTCGTGGACACTTTCCTTCAGGACCCGCGCAACGCGCAGTTCCGCATCCTGCGGTATAACACGCGCGGCCGGTCCGCCGCCGCAGGCAACACCCCCGTCACAGTCGATGTCCTCGCGGGCGACATCATCGCCCTCCTCGACGCCCTGCGCATCCCCACGGCTACACTCATCGGCGTCTCGCTCGGCGGCGTGACGGTCCTGAATACTTCGCTCCTGTACCCCGATCGGGTAACGACATTCGTATCCTGCGACACGAACAGTTCAGCCCCTGAGACGAACCGCAAGGCATGGAATGACCGCGCGGCAATTGCGGAAGCTGAAGGGACGACGCACCCTGAAACGGGAGAGCCGATTATCGGCGAGGAGTTGGCGGAGGTTACGACGCGGCGGTGGTTTGTGCCGGAGTCGTATGACACGCAGTCCGACGTTCCTGCTAGAGTCAAGGAGGTCGTGCGGAATAATAGTCTCGTTGGGTTCAAGACGGCGATGCAGGCGCTTTGCGCGTATGATGTGCGGGAGCGGATGGCGAACGCCAAGGTTAGGGGGTTGTTTGTTGCTGGGGAGGGTGATGGTGTACTCCCGAAGACGATGAAGCAGATGGCGGCGGATCTTAAGGTGCAGGGGGCGCCGGAGGCGCAGTTGAAGATTGTACCCAAGGCCGGGCATTTGCCGATGGTTGAGCAGCCCGAGGCGTTTGCGGGGGTGGTTAATGAGTTCCTTCACTCCGCTTGCATATAGACCAAGGTATATAGAAGTGTAGAAAGATGGGAAGGTGGTCGGGTACTGAATTGGGTACTGTAGCCGTCTATATCATAACTAAATAACGAACTTTTCCTTCTCAACAGTCTACTCCAACGCCTTGAGGGCCATAGCAAACGCGCCCTCTTTCGTCTTATGCCCACCGATAAACCCACTCGCATGAACAAAGATCGCGCCCTCGGGAACGCCAGCGCCCTGAGCCTTCAACACCCCATCCAGATCCTGGTCGCGGACACCCCTCCAGCTCTCCGGCAACGGCCGCCGCGAGACAAAGCTCCCCTCATTCACAGAGACAGCCTGAATGCGCCACTTGGCTCCCTCCGTCGCGCTCTCCGGGTACAGCACGTAGTACACCTCAGCGTCCTCGCCGGCGCCCGCAGTTGCAGCCTCCTTCTCAAAGTTATACAGGTGCTCCTTCCACGGGACGCCGCCACCAGCCTCGATAACGAGGATGCGGCCAGAGGCGTGGACGTTCTTGCGGTTCTCGTAGGCGGCCTTGACGGTTTCGCGGGCGGGCAGCCACGAGCCCGCGGCGAGGATGAGTTTGCGGTGGAAGACGGAGCCGATGAAGGTGCTCGCGTTCTCAAAGAGGGCGTCTTCGCTTAGCGAATCCTCGCCGGGCATGACACCGTTGTTCATGTCGTTGACGATACTAGCAATCGTGACTCCGCCATCGCGGAAGCGTTTCTCGAGTCCGGCACTCTTGACGGCCTCGGGCTCGTAGACTGAAACACCGTTATCGTTTGCATCGACGGCCTCGACAAAGTCCGTGTACAGCTTCTTGTACAGCAGGTTGACGTTGTCGTGGTCGGCGGGGAGCTTCGTGTGTTGAGCAATGATGTCGCGGCCAAAGTGCATGTAGACGAGACCCGCGGAGGACAGCTTCGTGTTGTAGCCCGGGAATGTGGTGGAGAAGGTGCGCTGGTGGTGGTCGTAGCGGTTTGTCGCGGCGTCGTACTCGCCGCCGACGTCGACGACGGTGTGGCAGGTTGCGAGGAGGGCGGGGTCGCGCGTGCGGATTAGGGGGGATTGCGAGTATGTTGGGAGGAGGCGGAGGAGGTAGACGGCGAGGGCTTCGTCGGCGTGGAAGTGGCCACTTCAATGGAAACTGAAATTAGCATCCTTGTACCTGTTTGGGTCCGCCCAGCAAAAGCTGGAAAGCAATGTTGTGGTGTGGGGGAAGGAACACACTTGTGTGTCCCTATCTGGGGACCGCCGATTCTAGGCTTCTTGGAGACGGATTCTTCGGCCATTCTGAAAATGCGACGGAGCATGCGATTGCAATTGGGTTTGATTGAGGTGAGTGAGGAAATGGAGAAACGGTGTAGCATTGGCAGACGAGGAGCTGGAGGTGAATTGGAATTTTGGGCGGGGATGTTTGGCTTGTTTGCAGCGGCGGTGGTTGGGCTTGCTAATCAAGTCTGCTGCGGTCTGATTGGTCAGTTGGCAGGTATAGATTGGTTGCACTGGCAGAGTAGACACAGGTCACGCCACCTTGAAAATGTGGCTATGTAATACTTATCCCTTTTATATGACTACTAAGGCTATTGTGACGGGCGGGCTATGGCGCTAGTTATAGACCGCTCGACTAAAAGGTTACAAGACAACTGATCAGGATGATCAGTTGCTCTAGCGCCCTATATAGCAGCAGCGAGGGCATGCCCGAGCTTGGGCTAGGGGTTCAACCCATAACATATTATTACCTTGGTGATATTATACCTGATCAACTCCTCTTTGAGACTCTTACACCCACTCCCTCGTTTCACAAAAGGGATTTGAAAAGTTAGTAGAATCTACAACTTCTCTATAATCAAGTGAGTGTCAGAGAGCCGCGCTAAGATACGGGATGCTGTCAGCCAATAGATCTGCCCCGTAAGATTACGGAGATGACGGGACATCACGTTGTTGACAAGATGTCACGTCAGGAACCAGAATCTAGGTTGTTCTAACTAAACAGATCAAAGGTCTGATGCTAAGCTAGTTTAGGGCTACGATTAGATCATGGATCTAATGCTAACCCTATGTGATGACCTTCGGCGGCCAGCGATCTAACCTGATTAGACCCTGGGTCTTATGGAAGCATAGTATTTAAGGACGCTCGTAATTGTATGTAATTTGTTTTAGTTACTATCTGTTAGCTTTGGAATCTAAGCTACCCTACCTTTTAAAAACCCAGTTATCATTCTTAGTACGTTAAGAAGCAGTCTTCTCTTTCAATATCAGAATACCTTAAGACCTCCCGGTCCTAAGCAGGAATGATAGGGCTTATCTAACAGTGAATTAAATCACTATTCAAATTTCGCACCTTAATTACACCTCTTATATAAGGACTTACCTTATTTTTATACTGCCTATTCATATTAATATTAGCTAGAGGCCTGCGTGGCGTTAACATTGAATTTTTAAAGTTAGCAAGTTATTGGTGGTGACGCACAGCGTGCTAAAAGTGTACAGAAACTTTTGTCAAGGGCTGTAGCTCAGTGGGCACTGCAATGACAAAGAGAGCTTTTTCAGGCTAGTAGGATGCAGGGCCCACCTCCCTGCAATACGGGAAAGGCAAATATTACCTAGTAGTTTACAAGTATGCGTCACATGTGTCATGGATCCTGGCCACTATGCCATCTACCCCAGGTGAGACATTCGACCACCAGATTGAAAATCTAGATATTGGACAGGCTTTTCATTACTAGACGCTTTCTTGACCGATGCTTTGGTCAACTAGTGGCTTAGGCACTATTTACACCAGCCTTGACGTTGAATTCCAAGAAGAAGAAAGGAGCCCTGTTGGGGAAGGAACAAAGGACTCCTAGTAACCATAACTTTAACAAGAACCTTATCTCTCGCCTTGGACCTCTTCCTTGAAGCAAGCATCTCTTAGCTCTACCTACGCCATGTACGGAACGAAGTCATTTAGCAATTTATTTCTTTCCCTGGAAGTTTCCTCAAAGCACTTGATAAGAAGCTCTAATAATAGTTCTAGCAGTAACTCCACCACCTAAACACTTCAAAAGACCCTTTTTCAAATATGCCCGAGCGACCAATAATACTCAATGTTCTTCCCCGTCTCTTCGTGCGCGTACGACGGGGGTGGGGATAGGGTGATATGCTCCCCATGTAGCTCGAAAACCTTTCCAGTGATATTTGGTGCTTCCATCAGGATATTAACAGCCTTGGTTATGGTGGACAGTGGCGTCGTAAACAGGTTCTGATAGACCGTGGCGTCTGAGGAGAAACCTGTCTGGATTGGCCCAGGCGCAAACGCATTAATCTGGATCTGGAACGGGGGCTCTGTCAGTGGTCGGCCTAGAGACCGCACGAGGCCTACGACTGCATGCTTGCTTGCTGTGTACAGCGGCAATGTTGCAAATGGATAGATCCCGGCGCATGATGAGGTGCAGAAGATGCGCCCGCGCAGCTGGGTTGAGTCGTTGGGACTGAGAGGATTCTTCGCCATGTAATGAACCGCAAGGTTTATTGCTATCAAGTGGCGGTTAGATAATCTGTCCTCAGTATCAGGTGCGTTTGGCCAAGGCTCACAATAGATAACACCGCAAACATTCACGTCCACGACTGCGAGGCTTGGCTCCTTCAGCTCGGCTACGTTTGCTCCGTAGACTGGCTCCTTTTCGGAAATGCCAGCATTTGCGAAGACAATGTCGATGCGCCCGTGCTGTTGATATATCTGCTCAAATGCTCCCGCTTGGCTAGTCCAGGAGGTTACGTCGCACTCTATAAAGGTGACCGAAGCGCTCGCAAATTCGCTTGTGAGCTTTTGGACTGCCGCCGCTCCGTTCTGCGCGTTCGTGTCGAGTATGACCACATGCGCGGCTTGACTGGCAAGAAAGTGGTGGCAGATCTCAAAGCCGATCCCAGAGGCGCCTCCTAGAAGGCGTCCAGTAGGTTAGTTGCTGGTGAACATGACAGTGGTCGTGGGTAGTAGGGCCTCCTTCTTACCGGTAACGATCACGATAGACGACATGCTTTGCCCACGCTTCGGTTGGAGAAAGAACTGCTGAAGACAACCTCCAACGCCGCTGGCTCTGCCCTCTTGGGTTGTTTTGGAGGGCGCTTCTCCAACTTGTTACCCCACATTATCCCACAATATCCCACAATATCCCAAATCCACTGGCCGGCTAAGGTGGCGACGGATCTACTTTAATTTGGATTGTCAGCTATTCCAGCGCGATTCTTATTCATACTCCGCGACAGCCATGGCGTCTCGGCGGTCGCCACTTGCTCAGGTAGTCTTCAATCCATACTTTTCGACTATTGCGCTAACTTCTCACCAAATCTACCAAAGCCCCTGACTCTGAAGCTATCAGGAAAGGTCATCCCGAACCGCATCTACCGCACTGCGCTCAGCGAGTACTCAGGAAGTTATGACGAGGATAACGTCAACAACACCGGCAAGCCTCTGCAGAGATACATAGACCTTCATCAAGGTGGGCAGGTTGTACTCATCATGTATGGCAAGGGCAGTTACTAATGCATGATAGAACTGGCCGACGGTGGCGCTGGCCTTATTTGCTTTGGTAACATCCCAATCCACCGCGACCACCTGGAAAACATCAACAACGTCGTGCTTGACCGCGATCAGCCCTGGGACGCTGTCGAGGCCTTCCGGCCAGCCATCAAGGCCGCCAAGTCAAGGGGCGCCCTCTGTCTGCCCCAGTTGAATTTCACCGGCCGGCAGTGCCCTGGGTTTTTGAACCCGAATCCCGTCTCGTCTTCAGACGTTCAGCTCCAGGAGTGCATGGACAAAACTTACGGGATACCGACGCCGCTCTCCAAGTCTGAGATTCAGGACATAGTTGATCGCTTTGCTTGGGCTGCGGAGACTGTGATCAAGGCTGGTGCAGATGGAATCATTGTAAGCTGCCCTGCAATCTATTAGTCCTGGCCTCTCACGCCTAATGACCTGGTGTTATCCATATTGCAGCTTCACGCCGCCCATGGCTATCTCATTAATCAGTTTCTGTCCCCTCATATTAACAAGCGGACTGACGAGGTGAGTCATCCCTTGTCAATTTTAAAAAAAACCCCCCACGGTAATCAATGGTAGCTAAATATATGTCCAGTACGGAGGAAGCCTCGAGAACAGGGCCCGGTTTGTTCTCGAAATAGTTAAGGCTATCAAAGCCAAGCTCCCGTCTGATCAGTTCGTCATTGCAGCCAAGATCAATTGTCAAGATTGTACGTGCTTCCGGGTCTCTATCCCCGTACGAAACAAGACCGAGACCAAGACTCCCCACCCAGGACACCTTTACTGATTGACCTGTTCGATCCGGATGTCTAGTCGTCCGAGGAGGTGCCACATTCGCAGAGCAGTGCATCGTTATCAAATGGCTTGAAGATGCAGGCGTAGACTTGTTCGATATTTCCGGCGGCACCTATGAGGCCCCAGCCTGGCGCGGCAACCTGGCAAGCCTTGGTGAAGTCCAGCCACTAGCTGGCGAAGGGTAAGTCCGCGGCATTTTCCAAGAACAAAACTCTGACACAAAAATTCCTCCCAAAGCCGCCAAGTACTGACCGACACTAGCACATTCCTCAAATGGGCCAAGGACATCAAGAAAATCCTGGTACGTGCTCGAATCTACTAGATCCCGGAATTTGGCAGGGAGGCGGCTAACAGGGCCGGCGCCCGCGCGCTTTTGCAGTCACGCGCTGTTATTGGAACAACGAGTGGATGGCGCGACAGTGATTTTATGGCGGCTGCTGTGCAGAGAGGGGACATTGATATGTGTGGGCTAGGGAGGCCACTAAGAGAGGACCCTGACTTCCCGAATCGGGTGTTTGGTGGCGAGCGGATTTCGGGCAAGCTATAGTTGTTCTCGTTTGGTGCCTGTTCCTCAGAGAAGGGGTTGGAAGTGTCTCTATCCTGTATGCGAGTGCGTAACGGCGAGTGGCCTCAGGCTCTGTGGCAATGGAACCGAGAGGATCAGCATGGGGATCCTGACCTTGCGCGTGGGATATAGCGGCTGAGTGGCGTATCTGATCGCAAAAGACGATATGAGGCCCTTCAAGCCTTACACGAGTTATATTATAAAGAATGTACTATTGGGATGCCTGGACCATCCGTGACTCCACCTCGGCAGAAGCAGCTCTTATTGTAGATGAGATATTATATTCTTGCTATACAAAAGCTTCTTAGTACTAGACGTATCTGTCTTTCTTAAATATTTTTTAGGTGTGCAGCCGTCCTCCTAAAAGGTTTTAGTACTTTGACCAATATGCCCCAATTTGTCAAAGTTAGGGAATCGTGGACGCTTGGCTCTAGTGCCACTTTATCCTTTTGCCCGCACCCGCAAATAACTTCGACACAGGTTTTACAGGCCATAAATTCCATGGTGACTTGGTCTGTTCATGGGATTCCTCCTAGGCTAAGAAGTGAACAACATCCTATCTACCAAAGCGTCTAGGAATAATGGCCCTAGAACCTCAACGCGCCACAGGGTAAGGGCTCCCATGAGCTTTCTATACGAAAGTAATACTAAGCAAGAGGCGACTAGAGTAGCCTTGGTTACTGGCGCTGCCTCCGGAATCGGCCATGCCATCGCACGGACTTTCGTCCAAGAGGGATGCACCAGACTTATCCTGGTAGACCTCAACAACGATGGTCTACACACAGTCGCCCAAGAGCTAAAGGAGCTGAACCCTGCTGTTGAGTGCTGTATTTGTGTATGCGATGTCTCCCTTGAGGATGATGTGCAGAGAATGATCGAGCGAGGCGTGGAGACCTTTGGCGGCATCCACTACGCCGTCAACAATGCTGGGATCACGAGTCCGCAAAGAGTACGGACTAATGAGCTTGATCTGGCCTCGTACGAAAAAGTGCATGCCATCAACCAGCGAGGTGTGTGGTTATGCCAGAGAGCAGAGATCAGGCAGATGTTGAAGCAGGAGGCGGATCGAGCATCGCGGTAATTTTTTTTTCTCATCTTCTCCCCTAGCTCTCGTGCTGCTGGGGCAGGAGAACTTGCTGGTTAATGCCTGCGTGGAATTTACAGAACTGGTGCCGCACCGCAACGAGGCGCAATTGTCAACCTTGCTTCGATTTTCGCTCATGTCTCGCTTGCTTCAGTTGGGGCGGTATATTTCCCTGGGATTTCTTTTTTTTTTTTTCATTTTTTTTTTCTTTTCAAACTCATTCACTGATGATATTCTACAGTATTCTGCAACAAAGGCAGCAGTCCTTGGCATGACCAAGACAGACGCAATCGCGTTTGCCAAGGACGGCATTCGCATAAACGCAGTAAGTCCAGGTACTGTGTTGACACCATGTAAGCCAACGCCGACCCGAACTGTTCGTTTGGCAGAGTATCCGTTGACTCTGCGTTGCCAGTGCTGGAGAAATCACTCAAGGCAGGGACATATAGTCCAACGATGGTCAAGGCAATCCCCATGGACCGGTTTGGGCGCCCCGAAGAGATTGCCGAGGGCGTTGTATTCCTTGCGAGTGAAAAGGCGAGCTTTATAACCGGCCAGGAACTGATTATCGACGGGGGGTCTCTCTCTTACTACGTAACCTGACCGGATAGTCACGGCTGCTGGTATTCCGATAATACATCCTTTTTTCTCTCGTCGTGGCGCTTGTAACCCGACGAAGTACATTCCTCAACTGCCATGTCCACCTCCTGCCGTTACTGTCCCGATAAAGCGAGGCAGCTTGAACAAGTTTCAAGCTCTTGCTAAATATCTTCTTTCTCTCACACTGCTCCTCGAGCTTCCTCAACTCATGTGATGATCTCACGAGGCTATTCTTAGCTGTACCATCCTTCATCGTTGATTTCTTGAGGTTCTCAGAATCCTTCGAGTAGCCTTGATTTTATTTAGAACATTGACGTCTTTGAACATTGCAACATGACATTATATACAGTACCGTAGTATATTGCCCCCCCCACTCCCCCCCCACCCCCAGAATGGGAATCATGTGTATTGGGTAATGCTTATAAAGCTAAGACGCGAGGCTACGATCATGAAGTAAAAGCCCCGACAGGAGTATAGGTAGAGGACATTATGCCAGCGCAATGTAGACAGTCCCTTTGTCCCTACTATGGAAATCTTGCACCAAGAACTCCCATGCAAGCATATTATAGATGCATAGACTATCTATCGCCAGAGTTCACTAATCAGCTACAAGTATTCCATCGTCGCCTTCCCCATCGGCGTAAGGGTCTCTACCGACAACTCCCTCTCCCGATTGCTCGCCCTCGCTTCCAACGCGATACCCTGCTGCTGGCTATCGGACCACGTCAATGAAAAGTCAACATCATACTCGATCTGTTGATCATTTGGCCCTAGCACCAATGTCGCTGGATCAGCCGGCCGGTTAGAGCCCTGGATGATACGAGCCTTTTTCAATAGTGGCTTTAAAGCTACCGCCGAAGTGCAGATGATACTGACTCCAACTTCGATACTCATCCACAGCGCCAGGTTTGAGACTAGGAAGTTCCGCGTGGGATCCTTTATGTCTCCGTTGTAGACCATTCGGATTATCGTTGCGGCGCTTGTCCTGTTGGTATTGGATATTAGGCTCGAAGCGGTCAAAGGCGGGGATTGGAAGCGGACAGGGGGAAAGGTAGAAAGACGGCTCACAGTGATCCAACAGCCAGGGTAAGTCCGACGGAAATTTTCAAGGCCAGTTAGAGGTGCATGCGGCGAAGAAGGAGAATAGGGACGACGATTCCGAGTGCGATATCAGCACACATGATTGTTATGCCGTGAACGTACATGGATATCAACCAGGCCGTAGGATTTTTGCAGAACGCAGGGTCTCTTGAGAGCCAAAATGCCTGCACTGGCTTACAGAAAAACACAGTCCACAGGCATTCAAAACACGTCACAGCCGTGGTGACGACGGCGACGCCGACGACGCTGGCGGTATATACTGTCCGATGGACAACCTTGTACAGTGCAAGGCAAAAGGAGACCTTGATCGCCCACAAGGCTACCATGAGTATCAAAGCCATGATCCAGCTACATTTCCTCGCGAATGTCTGTCATGCATTCAGCGGTGGGATCACATGGTAGCGGACTCACTGGGAGGATACGTACCACCGAATCTTCAGGCATTTCCGCAATGATCGTGTCGGCCGCCCCATTTGCTGAGGCGATATAGTGAATGATAGTGATTGACAAGAACAAGGCCTAATCTCAGAGTCAGTGAGGGTGGGTTTTGAGCATCCTTCCATTCCGCTGCGAGGTATGGAGTTTTACCAGAGCAAGTAGACTAAAGACATCGTCGATCCCAGGTTTCCCGGCTAGAAATACTCGAGCATATAGACGAAGACTTGTTAACAGTACGGCGAAAGCAAGAAGTGCTGTTTGTATGCCAACTACAGGATGCATTTCATGCACTATGCACCTTTCGAGTTGGCAGGGTGCTTCAATGGCAATACTGCAAGCTGTATCGAAGAAGACAAATCCGGTCAAAGGCCGAAGACAGACTACTGCCCCTTAAATATGGATCCTTGAGGCGGCCGGCCTTATATGCCACAAACTGCCCCTTGACGTTGATACGTCGGTTTCCAACGCATCCAACTCCACAGCAGAGCATGGTCGGAAACCCTAGGAAGCCCAATAAGGTTGGCCTGGATGTTCTAGATCTCGATTGGACCCCAAGAAACTTTTCTGATTGAAGGAATAATGTCTGACATCTGACGCTCTTCAGGTGATAATCGTGCCTTGTTTTCCATCTGCTCAAATGCCACTTCATGTTTCACAGGTCAAGAATACGGTAGATCCAAATTCCTTGTGACCAAGATATATGTTGGGTTCGGGGAGGGTACGAAGTCGCCGGCGACAGACGATACTTTGCGATTTCCCCTATTGCTTTGGAGGACGATCTCGGGCCTTTAGCATCACTAGGGGGAAGGACAAGGAGCAACATGCCTGGTAACGAGGAGGTCCGACCACAGAGGTATACCCATGAAGGGCAACCTCTGGGTTCTAGCGGGTCACTAAAGTTACGCCTGTTACTCCTCTCAGCCTTCTTAAATGCCCCTGATGTCTAATTAACGCGCAGCTAAGCCGACTGGATAGAGTGGCTCTGATAACGTGGCGATACCCGGTGTTGTGGAGCTCCACGAGGGTGGTAATACCCCTTCTGCTACAGCCCCCCGCGGGGTCCCCAGAGTCCAACATTTGATAGTGGGCCAGGTCTGAGTTTCTAGTTGGCTGCAAATTGCACCGGCAGTGCGATCGGACGGATTATTGCGCCGATGGCCATGTCGCATACCACTTTATCCATTATCGCGGCGGAACTTGATCCTTCCTTCGCTTCGTCACTCTGCTAATTTCGTGTGACGCATGACGCATTGGGGTTAATGCTTATGCAGAGCCACGAGGAGTCCTGTGCATTTTCACTATCTCTATCAAGCTGGATCGATTTGGACTTCAGAGGCCACGCAGTCCGAGGTGCTCCCTTTTAGGAATCACGGGAAATGTGTCTGGGGTGCGCTGGCAAATGTGCAAGAACTAAGATAGTGTTACGGTCGCGAACCAACACTTGTACGTGGCGTGAGAAGATAATGACTGAATTGGCTGGCAAGGACACTGGTCCTTGCACCTTGTTAAGCCCTGGACACATTGCGTCGATTGGTGCAATCTTGATGCAGCTGTCCCAGCATCACCCCGGGCACTCAGTAGCTTCCACCATGCTAATTTTACATCTCTGTTCGTTCTGTGGCACTTTCATGTTAGGGTTTGCCTTTCCTACCGGCCAGTCTCAATATTTCTTGCTCCATTTCTCTGAGTCGTTCTTCATCCGGGCTGATACAGAGCCAATGGCAATGATAGTTATTATAGTCCTGTCATTTGCCCAATGTGCAATTAAAGACAGCTGATCCTCCGACGCCCAGCCATTAAACACATCATGGGCTCCTCTTCAGAGTACCACACCCTTAGCTCTACTCGGGTCTATACACGCTAAACTGGCAACAGCGCGGTTGATCTTCAATGAGGAGAGCGGACTCAACCTGCGTGCACTTGGTGCCTGGATATGGTGGTTTCGGTGGTGACACTGGATATATATACCCCTTCTCAAGATTGCCCTTTGGCATATGGGCGCAAAGCGCCTAGTTACTAGTATACAATGGCAAGTAATAAGATCTCCAAATTCACCTTGCTGAAGCGGCGTCCTGACCTTACCCGCGACGAGTACAACAACCACTGGCACACCACGCACGCCCACATACTGGCCTCCTCGCCGGCATTCTGGAGATACACCGAGTCCTATGTACAAAACCATGTACTCCCCATACCAGCAGCACTAGCCCACGGCCCTGAGCCCCCCTTTGACGGGATAGCCAAGACATATCAGAAACCTCGCGACGACCTGGTCAAGGATGACTTCTTCAACGACCCCTCGTATCTCACCGTCGTGCGACAAGACGAACTAAACTTCCTCTCCGTCTACGAATGTACCACTCTCTACAACATCGAGCACATCGTCAAGGACGGCCCGAGATCAGGCGTCAAATACCTCTCGTTCCTGCGGCGTTCGGAGGGTCTAGACCACGAACAGTTCCTTGACTACTGGATTCATCAACACGCCGCGCTAGTGAAAATCGTTAAGCCATTTTACAGCCTGGTACGGCGCTATGTTCAGCATCACGGGAGGCTGGACTTGCATCGGCCAATGGCTGGAGAAGGAAAGCCGGAGACTTTTGATGGGGTTGTCGAGCTGTACTTTGACTCTGTTGATGATTTGGAAAAGGCGTATACTCATCCGGAATACCTGGCTATTCTACGACCGGATGAGGCGCGATTTATCAAAGGCCCGAGTATGCGTTTTGTTGTGGAGGAGCGTCCGGTGAATAAAGCAAACAGTGGGGGATCATAAACACACTGCTTGCTTGTAGCTACATTGAAGATATGGAGTTGTCCAATGCGGTATCTTGAAGGACTATTTGAAACTTTAGTTTGCAAGCACATCTCAACTAATGCCATTAAGCAGAAGAACACTGTAACACTCGGACTGAGTAAACTGGTGGGGATTAAGGTATACTACTGGACTTGCAGAGGGCGGTTTAGGTGAAGTTCTTTCTCCAGGAAGCCGAGGAAAATCACGCCTTCAACATTACTAGGTGATAAACAACGTGTCCGCAAGGATATCGCCCCATTCTAGCGCATCAAGTCGATTACTCTCAACCTCAAGAAGTGGCCCTGTCGCTTCGTCTATAGGCGTTGCCGAAGAATGCTCCATCAAGTCCTCTGTAGCCATGGTGGCCAAAGCTGGAGAACAAGCGAGATGGTCCTTCAACTCCTGCTGCAGACTTTGGGCTATAGACTGTTCATTCGGCGGCGGCTGAGACATGGCCATCCAGGTCGGACCCGACCCAGCTGAAACCGCAACGTGTAGCGCGTAAAGGAGCTCCAGAAAGAAAGCATGATCCTGTAGCGCAAGGTCGCTCCAATTGCGGGCCTTGTGCCACGAGGGTGGGGTCATGGGATGGATATATTTCGCTGCACAGCAGGGCATGCCTGCCATTGGCCGGTTGGCGAGTGACTTTGTTGTTGACGATGATGAGTCCCGACATGTCCTGCTTTCCACAGCGGCTTCCAGGAATTGAAATACTTGGAAAACCACGCCGTCGAGCCCATTCCCTGGGATTGTGTCGTGCTGCCTGTCGAAAAGCGCCATGGCCCGGGTGAACTGGCAAAACTGCTGCTTGGAGGCCAGAGAGGCTCCTTCAGCGGCACATAGCAGGACGTCCAGCCCAGACAGCACCAGGGGGGTGACGAGGCACGGGAGACTGTAGTGTCACTATAAGCTTGATAGTCCCTATTGCCCCAGCCTCGGAGTGCATACTTACACATAGCTCGGAAGATGCCGGGCAAGGTCCTTGACCAACAGACGCCGGATAAGCCGTGCCGCGTCCTGCACAGCAGTCGAGACGATTTCGCACGATATTATACGATACTGGCCGTGTCCAGTCCCCTCGGGCTCACGCGACATTCGTAGCATCTTTTGGGTTTCCAGCGTGATTATCGAAGTGCTGGTAGGGCGGTCAATTCTTGTTCCCAACTCTCGTTCGACTGCACAGGGTGAGGCCCACCTGTAGTATAACTCCATCATGCAGACCATAAATGCCGAGACTGGATCATGGCAGCACGTATCGCAATGTCCCAATTGCGCTCGCCAGCCGTGCAGTCGTGAGGCGTGATACTCCCATAACCCCACGAGATTAAGCTGGGCATCCGTCCCCGATGCTGGCCCCGGGGCCCGGACTGAAAAGACAAGCGCTGAGAGCTCGGTTAAGATGTCGACCAGGCACTGGTACGTTTCAAAGAGCCATGGTAGGCCGAACCGTGTTTGTCCATGAATGAGCGCCGTGTTGCCATCCACAGAGTATACATCTGCAACCTCGAATAGGGCGGTGTCGGTGTTGAACACCTGTGGGGGTATTTGCAGCGGCCTGTGCAAAGTGAGTGACAGGATCCGGTCCCGAAGTAGTAGACACCACCACAAACGTTTGTGGTCAGCGATTGATTGCGCGTCGCCCGTAGGCGAGTGGCAATTATGTGCCTGCAGTGTCTGTGCATGTTGCAAGCTGGAGGAAAGCCAGCTGGACGAGGTTGTGGGGTCCACGGTGGCACTACTACAGCTCAGGAGCAGGGCACACTGGGCTCTTACGTAGACATCAGCTTCTACTTCGAAATCGAATAGTGCCTGGGCCAGCTAGCGCCTAAGTTTCTCGGGTCATGGAGGAATGAACGCCATTTCGCATACTTTTGCTCGCCGGTAAAAGATATTACGAGCCATGTGCGCACTGCCTAAACGAAGTTCCTGGAGCAACCAGGGCGACACATGCTGCTGCGTGGTCAGCACATACATGGCGCTAATACGGGTATTTGCTGTCTTAACCGACCTGGGCAGCCTCACAGAGCACGCAGTAGAGCAGTAACAATGACATCCGCTGAGGGCTGCATTCTGCGCTAGTATCTGGGGAGTAGCAGTCCCAAAAGTGCTTGTCATTGACGATGGGGAGCAGCGAGTGTACGTAACGGAAGTATTCGTGCACAAACTCATCTAGGAGGGCTTTACAGGGCAGATACCAGCACCCTATATTATCCAGATACAGGAGATTCTCTCGAGTTTGCGTTGACGTGTGGACGGGCTGGATAAAACCGAACTCGGTATATAAAGCGGTGTTGGGCACTCTCAAGCCCTCGGGTGGTTTTGAACATGCTGGCTGTCCATGGCTGATTGATTCATCAAGTCGACCGAGCTTGTGTGAGTCGATGGCTGTGTGGCAGATAGATGGCTAGTCAGTAAAAGAGCTCACTCAGATCATCCACGGATAAATGGTCCGACAAACATAAATGTGCCAGCCTAAATAGACCGTTAGGCTTTTGATGATTTGACTCCTCTTTTGCTTGTTTTTTGCTGGATTTGGTCGTGTTAGAGGGTTTGATTTTGCGTGCCGGGGGGGGTCTGCAGCCAGGTAAGTTATAATCAATACTGCGGAGGTACGCACGCTGAAAAGGGTCATGATTACTTTCGGCAGCTGGCCCTGGGGACACAGGTCTGAGCATCAAGGCGGCAGTTGGTGCATGGCGTACCCTGACCAACATCGCAGCGTACTTTGCGATCGTGACAGCGGTGGCAAGCCTGTGAGGCCCTCTTGCGGTCCTGGCCCGGGATTCTTAGCGAGGATTTTTTCATTGCAAGAGACTGTACGGACTGGACCTCTATGAGCATTCAACCCCATTCCCCATCATCTTGCCGCGGCGCAAGACATGGTTTATTGTCTTGACATGATCCCTTGGGGTCCCGTCCCTGTGAGTCTGCCTGCGAATGCTGACCTGCAGCCACCACTGGCAGTCGAGCCACTTTACCCGCCGGGGGGTGGGGTTGGAGTGGCGAACCGAGGCTTCTTTTTGTTCAGCACAAAAAGCTCACTCCTCGATGTATGGGAAGTTTGTTGTTGCTACAGCCTGCATCCTCACAGAGCCCACTGTATCACTCCCAAAATGCCTACTGCTCTGGTGACGGGCGCCACAGGTGTGTTTCCCCCATAAACTCATCCGCGGGAACAGTCTTTTATTTGTCTCCTTCTCTATTCAGGCCTGGCCGGAAATGCAATTGTTCAGCTTCTCTTGTCCAAGCCAGAATGGACAAAGGTCATCACATTGTCCCGGTCTCGTCAGGTCCCTGCCCATCCAAAGAACACTCATCTAACCGTCGATCTCTGCGGAGCCCCTCGCTCGATTATTGAAGCCATCAAGGATGACGTCCAGGGGCTAGAGTACGTGTTTTTCTGTGCGTATCTGGCCGATCCTAACCCCGACCGAGCGTACGATCTCAACGTGCAAATGCTACAAACCTTTATTACCGCTCTACGCCGATCCAGCGCCATGGTGACTCTCAAGCGCGTTATCCTCGTCACTGGCCTCAAGCAATACGGCGTGCAACTGGGACGGCCGAAACTGCCGATGCATGAGACTGACCCCTGGCTGGAAGGGGACCCGTGGCCGAAGAATTTCTACTACGGCCAACAGAAAACCCTGATTGAGTCGGCCAGGGAGGATGGCGATGGCTGGTCATGGGTCGTCACCTACCCGCAGGACATTATCGGGGTTGCCAGAGGAAACTTTATGAATCTGGCGACGGCGTTGGGGCTCTACCTCAGCGTATCAGCAGCCTCGGGAGATGGTGAGATTCCATTCCCAGGTGCTCGAGAGACTTACCTGGCGTTCAACTGCTGGACTTCGGCGAGGCTACATGCTGAATTCTGTGTCTGGGCTGCGCTTACACCTGCAGCCGGTAACCAGGGCTTCAATGTCACCAACGGGGACACGGAGAGCTGGCAGCACCTGTGGCCCAAGCTCGTGCAGAGATACAGTGGGAAGATTCCGCCTGTGATGTTTCCTGGTGGGGACACGGGGGCCTATGGGGATTTTGAGGCCTGGCATTCCGTCTCACAGTTTACCCCCGCGATCGCGAAACACGAAGAGAGGATTGGACTGAAAGGGGAATTTAGTGGGCGGCCGAATGTGGTCCATCAGCAGATAGATACGCTAAAGTGGTCGCAGCGGCCTGAGGTTAGAGCCAAGTGGGAGGAGCTCAGGGAGCGATTTGGGCTGGAGCAGGAAACGTGGGAGAAGGCGACATGGAGATTTGCTACTTTCTTGCTCGGACGGGAGTTCTCGTGTGTTGTGAGCATGAGCAAGGCAAGGAGACTTGGATGGACAGGGTATGTGGACACGTGGGATGCGTTTGAGGAGACGCTTGATGCTCTGGAGAGAGAGGGGATATTGCCTCCTGCCAATAGATTGAGAGAGGCAAATCTCTAGCTTGTGCAATGTGCAACGTCTCTCTTATTGAGTCTTCCTATAATACAGGAAAAGAACCGAAATCTATCATCTAAAGTCGTCCTCTGTCATCGTCGGACACCCGCACGACACCTTCTTGTATGCATGTCGCCACCAAGACGCCATCTCTGGTCCAAATATGCTGCGTTACAACTCCCCTCTCCTCCCCCGTCCAGGGATTTTGCATCTCAGAAAGCAGCCATTCATCAGCGCGGATGTAGCGATGGTTGTGAAAGAAGATGCTGTGGTTCAGCGACACAAGCATCTTCACACGCCTCGGAGACTTGACACCCACATATCTGGCTGCCGCTCTGTTGTTGATAACCTCATCTCGGCCCCGATTCTGTAGCCACGCCTCCATGCGGATCCGCTCCAACTCGTTGCCCTGGAACTTAGCACGTGTTTGCTCCATATACTCGTCAGTTGAAAAATGCCAAAGTCCGTGAGCCCGTGACACCGTGTTGATAAAGTCCGAATCCGACATGTATGCCAGAGCGCAGATATGTGCTCTTTGACGGCTCCTCTCCTTGTCAAGCTGAGACTGTAAAGGAGGTACCGCAGCTCCGTCACCATTCTGCTCATCTCCTCTGATACGCCCATGGGCCTTGATCCATTGGCATGGTTTTCGGGTCGCCGGTGAGAGACCTGGTGCATACTCACAGAGTACAGTCTCAAATGGTTCCTCCGTGTCAATGCTGCAAGTTGAAGCGGACGTTGCTCCAACGGGGGGAGTCGTGCCGACGGGAGGCCGAACCGCATCCGCCAACACAAACGAGGCAGGACTTGGTGCAGTTCGTTGAAAGGAGACCACAGTGGAAAAGAAGCAAGAATCATCCTGCAGGGCTCGAACACTGCGGGTCATGAACGTCCTGCCGTCTCGGACCACTTCGACGGTGTAGAGCACGGGGGTGCTGGAGTTACCCGCGAGCAGGAAATGGCAATGCATACTATGGACGACAAAATCAACGGGAACGGTCGCATATGCGGCTCTGAGAGATTGAGCGATTGCGACTCCGCCATATATGCCGCGTGCACCGGGGGGGTGCCACAGGGGGTTGACATTGGTGAATGTATTGGGTTCACCGTCCGGCGCGGGGGCAATGGCGCAGCAGGTCTCAATAGGTGACATGGAGTCTGCGGGTGCGAGCATTACATAGAAGTGGCAGAAAAGAAAGCAATTTGTCGCCCTATCTATCGTGGTGTCATGGGAAACTGATACCCGATGAGAACGAATACCGACCCAGGCTGCAACCAGCGTGAGCTTGAGCACGGAGCCAACCTACCTGTCCCATCATAAGAGGGAGGAGGGCTGATCTGGAATTCCAACGGCGCCACTTTATCCTTGAAACCTGTGCAGTGTCCATCTCACCTTATTGGCTGAGCTCGCTTTCTGTTGTCCAGGATTTGGGTTGAGCTACCCCATTGGGGGAAGCTTAACTATGTCTCCTGGAAACACGCACCCATTTGGCGCACGTCGTTGCCACGATGCAGTGATATCGCCACTTGGCAAGACTTGTACTTGCTCCATTTACCCCAGGTTCACTCTCCGCATCCCCGGTTTCAATGGTATATAATCCAGCCGGCTCCTGTCAGGATCTTTGGTTGCTCCACACTCACCACCAAGATCATTGTATCCCCACCGCTTCACTTGGCCAAGATGACAATTGAAATTGTTCGAGATAAATCTGTCGAACTTGAGATCGAACATGTCCATACGGTCCCGACAAAGACAACCCCAGATGATATCATCAATGGATTCAGCGCCTCGGAACAACGGCGGATCGTTCGCCGTATCGATCGTCGACTCGTCGTTACCTTGGGAGTCCTTTACTGTGTGTCCTTGATGGACCGTTCCAATCTCGGAGGTGCAGCGATTGCCGGCATGACCGTCGACATGAACCTGATTGGGTCTCGGTATTCAATTATCGTATTGGTCTTCTTCATCACCTACGTCCTGGCCCAGCCTCCAGCAGTTGTGGCGATGCGTAAGGTGGGCCCAAGGATGTTCCTACCGACCATTTGCCTCTTATGGGGCCTGGCCATGATCTGCTTCGGCTTCGTCACCAACTGGGAGTCCTTGGTCGGTCTGCGTTTGCTTTTGGGTCTTTTGGAGGCTGGTTATTTTCCAGGTACTCTCGCCAGCTTTCAAATTAGCTGTGCTAACCCTCCGGTTCTACAGGCTGTGCCTACCTGCTGAGCTGCTGGTATCCCCGATATGATCTCCAGAAGCGCAACGCGTTTTTCTTCGTCATTGGAAATGTTGCGTCTGCATTTGCGGGGCTTCTGGGCTATGCCTTCTCTCTGCTGGGAGGCGAGGGCAACGGTCCACGAGCATGGGGGGCGCATGCAACGACAAATGCCGGAGCCTCCAGCTACGCCCCAGGCATTGCGGGCTGGCGATGGATTTTCATCCTCCAAGGCGCACTGACCTGTGCAGTTGCTCTTCCAGCGTACATTTTCATCGTCAATTTCCCCGAGCTAGCCGCGGAAAAGTCCTGGCTACCTTTTCTGAATCAGCGCGAGGTTGACTTTGTAGTTGCGCGCCTGGAGAAGGATCGAAACGACGTGCACGCAGACAAGTTCCGGCTGCGCGAGTACATCCAATCCGGCGCTGACCTGAAGGTCTGGGGATTCGCCGCACTCTTCGGACTGATCACGACCATCACCTACGCGATTGCGTATTTCCTGCCCATTATCCTCCGAGACGGAATGAGGTTTGGGCTGGCCGCATCTCTGTGCCTCACTGCGCCACCATATGCGCTCAACGGGGTCGTGCTGATCGCAACCGCCTGGCTGAGTGACAAGTACCGGATGCGGTCGCCCATCCTCATTGTGAACGGCTGCGGTCTGTTGATAGGTAAGAAAAAGGAACAAAAAAAGTCCTCCAGTGGAAGGTAGAGAATACCTCGCTCATACAGGAAATCCAGGTCTCCCCCTCCTCGGCTACGTGGAAAATGTGGCCACGCGCTACGTCGGCGCCTTCATCGTCGTCGTGTGCGGGAACTCAAGCCTTCCAGTGATCCTCACCTGGCAAGCCAACAACATCCGTGGCCAATGGAAGCGTGCTTTTTGCTCGGCCACCCTTGTCGGCAGTGGTGGTATCGGTGGGATCATTGGCAGTCTTGTTTTTCGGTCCCAGGACGCACCCAACTATCATCCGGGCATCCTAACCTGCCTCGTTGCGTCATCCCTGATTGTCGTGATTACCCTGCTGCTGGATGTCAAGTTTTACAGGGCGAACAAGAGGGCTGCTGGCGGGGCCAAGCTGATTGAGGGTCTGGAGGGGTTTCTCTACACCTATTAGGTTACTGATGCTGTGGGAGCTTTTGCGGTCGGACTCGCGTCACAGCATGGGTCAGTAGGCATGCATTCCTGGATTAGTTGAATGACTAGATGATATGTGAGCGTTACTTAACCCGGTCGAGGCCAGTGCCTGGTCACACTGCAGGTGGGAGACAAAGCTTGGTGGATATATAAATCAGCAGCAGTCAACGCTGTATTTGTAGATGAAGGCCAGGGAAGATATGTCATTGTGACACACCATTTACAAATGGACACGACGGTGATCCCTTTGACGCCCACCTTGTACCCCCCAGCCTGCCTGGCTGTTTTTTATATAGTTGAGACGTTGATCGGCTCTAATATCCCTACCAATGACCTTGGCTGGAGTCCTTGAATACAAATCCACTATCAATGCGCCCTTATACCTGTCTGTGTGACTTCAACTCCGTCCATCGACACAATGAGTCGTATTAATGGACTTTCCTCGCTCAGTACGTCTTAAAATGGTGCGAAATGTCCAGCTCAAGCACCGAACGATCGCACCACTATCATATCTTTTGCAGGACCGGTTTCTCAATCCCCCATCCGCTCACTGTGCTGCCACCATCGAGAACAAGCACATTACCAGTCAAATGTGCCGAGGCACTGCTGCTGAGGAAAAGAACGAGACCGGCCAGGTCGGAGGGCTTCCCAATTCTCCCCGTCGGCTGGCGGCTGAGAAGAGTATTGTGATAGTTGCTGATGCCAAACTGTGTCATCCTGGAAGGGAATAGCCCGCTAGTCATGTCAGGTGTATTACTCTAGCCGAGTGAAGGAAAGGGCAAACCCACGGGCAAATGCAGTTGACGGTGATGTGCGATGGTGCAAGTTTGGAGGCGAGGATTTTGGATAGGTGGATGCACGCAGCCTTGGAGGCGCCATCTGGATAAGTGATCAGTGAGTGTCATGTATGATCGCTAATTGGAGACTGGAACACTACAGCTAAATGAGCCGTGTCCCGGCGCAGCAACCCCTCCCTCGTCACCAGCAGTCACATCAAGTGTCTGAAGCCCAGCAACAGACGCGATATTGATAATCCTCGAGGGCGATTCCATCGTGGCCGTTCTTTGCAGAAGAGAATGAATCATGGCGCTCATGTAAAAGACAGCTTTGACATTCAGCGCCATGACTTTGTCCCATCCATGCTCGGGGAAATCCTCGTATGGAGCTCCCCAACTAACGCCCGTGTTGTTGACCAGAACGCTCAGTCGGTCGGTTGTTGCGTTTATCTTTCTGACCAGCGCTTCGCACCCTGCCTTGTCCTTTAGGTTGGCCACCTGATACTCGCAGGTACCCGGACCCAAGGCGTTGAGGCGATCAGTGGTCTGCTTCAATGCTTCTTCCTTGCGACTGGCGATGATGACTCTGGCCCCGTTTTGGACAAAGGCCTGTGCGGCCATTTCGCCCAGCCCTGTTGCCCCGCCGGTGACCAGCACGACATCATTGGCAACCCTGAACAAGGAGGAGATTTTCATGTCCATTTTGCACGTTTTGCCATTTTCTTGACGCTCGCGAGGCTTGCGACACACGTTGCCTGGTTATATTTTCCCAGGTATGCGGAGTGCAAAGGTACCCTCAGGCCACATTTCCCGGACCCCACAGCATCGCATGCCTTGCTTTCCAGGATGGAGTCGCCGAAAACCTGTAGCGTCGATGTTGCTAAAGCACCACTTCTCAGTTATGCGGACCCAACGCCGACCTGAACAGCAGGGAAAAGGTGGCGCTGCCCATTCCCGACCCAGAACAAACGTCAACTGGCACTCTCGCACCGCTGACATAGAGAAGACATGGACACATGTTGACACCAGCCTTTGACCGTCATCTCCTCCGCTCGCTCCAACATGGCGCAAAATGAGCCCACAGTCGCAGTGACACGCAGAAACTTCACTACAGAGTATCACCACGACACATACAAGCGACTCCAGGCCCGGCTACCAAACGCAGCAGCCTCTGGAAAATCAGTCCTTCTCACTGGGGCCGGCAAGGGGATTGGCATCTCCATCGCGCTGGCCTTTGCACGTGCAGGGCCCCGAGTCATTTTCCTTTGCGGCCGCACCCGCGCGACGCTCGAGGAGACGAGGGCCAAGATCTTGAAGGAGAGTCCGACGATTCGAGCCGAGGTCATTGTCGTTGATATAGGCAAGGGAGTCGCAGAATGTCTGCAGGCGTTGGCGGCCGCTCGCAATCTTGATTCCGGGCGTTCTGTGGACATCCTCATCAACAACGCCGCGTATCTTGCTTCCGCGCGTGTCGTGGGCGACGATGACAGCCTAGCCCATGTCCAAGAGCAGTTCGAAGCTAATTGGAAACATTACGAGGTCAACGTCAAGGGCTCACTCGCGTTGGCAACAGCTTTCCTGCGCAACTGCGTACCGAGTAATCCGGTCATCATCAACATCTCCTCTGGCGCTGCTGTCCTTGACTATGTCCCAGGGATAGGCTGTTACGCATCTAGTAAACTTGCCACACTCAAGATGTACTCTGATCTTAGTTTCGAGGAGACGGCTCGCGGCTCGAGGATCTTCCATCTCCACCCTGGCTCCGTTCAGACGGCCATGTCTGCCCCGGGAGCGAGCTCGCCAGACACAGGTACGCATACCCGGGTGCCGCTGGACTGAGCTGACCAATACCAAATCACTGCTGATCTCGGCTAACTATTCACTCGGTTGCCACTGCTAGCCGAATTGTCCGCCGACTTTGCTGTATGGTTGACCTCGCCAGAGGCCCAGTTTCTGCAGAACCGGCTGGTCTACGCGAATTGGGATGTTGACGAGCTGCTCGCGAAGAAGCCAATTATAGTATCTCGGGACTATTTGAAGATTGGAGTGACCGGCTGGGATAGCACGGCATACTACGTCGCAGATGTATGAACGCGCTACCATCAGTACAGCCAGGGGGACCACCGGGAGTACTTAGGATGCATGCGCAACTCCAGCCCGAAGTTGCAGACTCCTTGGTTGGTGGTAGCATCGCATCTTGCCCTAGTACCTACTCTGTCTCCGGCTAAACTCCCTGGGGAATCGAGTCTCAACCATAGTTCGTTTTATCGGCCACGTCGCATTAACGCTCCACGATACTTTACCACCGATCTGACATAGACGACGTCTGAGAACATCCTTGACCAACATAATGTGTGACCACGAAAAACCTGGATTGGACAATTACAGGCGATGGAAGATTAGGGCTTGGCAGCATAGACTATTAATCAGACTCGAAAGTAGAGTGCGTTATGATACATGATTAGGTGTCACTTGGGTTGAAACAGCTTATTTTCCACGCCCTCTTTGCTGTATCTGTTTACTGTACCATTTCTAGTTCAATCGTTAGCCAAATTCACATGGACGCGGCAAATGCACCTACAGATTCAGCCCCGGAGCCCGCAGACTTGACTCCAGAAAACTTGACAAACCATGATGGCGGGATCGGCTTTGTCGGGAAATACGCCTGTTCATCAGGTATATCCTCGTTCAAGATGACGCTGTTGGGCAAATAAGGGTTGACAACCGCCGGTCGCCCGAGCCCGACCAGGTCGCACGCATTGTCCGCAAGAGCTGCAGCAAGCCCCCTTCGAGTCCTGAACCCGCCGGTGACCAGGAGTGGGACGTCGGGGATTTCATGCCGGATCGCGCTGGCGAATTCGAGGAAGAAGGCCTCACGCGCAAGGGTCCGGGCGGACTTTTCCTGCTGCGGCTGCGCGGCCGCTTGCATCATCTATACCGATTAGTTGACTCGGATCGTTCGCAAGAACTGCGGGTAGAGGAGACGGTTGCCAATTGTCACTGTCAAGGCCTACCTGGGGGTCTTCGTAGGTTCCACCACTGATCTCCACAAAGTCCACACCAGCGGCGACGATCAGCCTCAGCTGCTTTACACAGGCGGCCAGGGTCTCGCGTGACTGGTGGTCAACCGAGTTCAGCTTGATCCCAATACAGAACGTCGCCGGGAGAGCATCACGGATGCCATGGATGATCTCAGTTACGATGCGCGCGCGGCTCTCAGCGGAGCCGCCATAGGCATCGCTTCGCTGATTTGTCTTGGGGCTCAAGAATTGGGCCAAGAGGTAGCCGTGCGCGGCGTGGAGCTCTACACCCTGGAATCCTGCTTTGTGGGCCAGCCGGCTGCAGTCGACAAACCGGTTGATAACGGAATCGATATCCTGCTGGCTCATTTCGCGTGGGGTGCCAAAGAGAAACGAGCTCGCGAACCTCGCGACCAAGCCCGAGCCCAGGTTCAGGGGGATGGCGCTCGGGCTGATGTTCTTCTCGCAGAACCCACGCGTGCCTGCACCAAGCGGCGACTGTCGTCCGGGGTGGTTGATCTGCATGATGGCGGGTGTGCCGACTTTCGTGCACCCCTCGGTGAGGGCGCTCCATCTCGCAAGGAACTCGGCTTCCTGGGATGAATCAAACGCGGTATCTCGAGCATCCCCGAGATACATTCTGTCCACCTGGACATTGCCTGTAGCAACCGTCAGTGGACGGGTTGCACCCCCTGTGAGCTTGCTAATATAACGGGTATATATATATACACACCGGTAAAAACCATTCCCCAACCACCAGCGCCCCATTGCTTGTAGATGTTGTTGTGCACGTTGGTAGGTAGCCCGTTACTGTCCGCGATACATTCCGCCATTGCGGCCTTGACGAGCCGGTTTTTCAGCTTCAGCCCGCATTTGAGCGTCAACGGGTTATTGATGGGCGAGTCCATAACGCAGGCGTGAGGAAAAAATTCCGTACAAATTGGTCGTTCGTTCGCTGCGTCGAGAAAGAAATTCTTCAAATATGTCAATGGCGAGTTTTATTGGTGGCCCGCTGTGGAAAACCCCTCGGACAAGGACCGAGGCTTGTGGTTCCCCATTCAGAAGCGCCACGAGGCGCGGACGCTCAATTCATCCGACTCGAAAAGCCACCTGAAGAAAAGCTTGGTTCTCTCGGGGCAATAATCTGGCCGAAACGTGGGTTGTTCACCCGGTGTGGAGCCATATATGTATGTACCCACTTTATCCGGGGCCCACACTGACATGGTCCACTGCATTTCAAGGCCGCTGATACGATAAGGAACACAAAGGATAAATGCTCTACGAAGGAGCGAATGCCGGGAACTTGAATACAGGGCTGGAGTAGCCATTGGTGCTGCTACAAAGCTTCCAAAGCCAGCATAAAACAGCGGCGTATACCAAATAGCCTAGCTCAATCCGTACGGTAACAAATGGTCGGCACCGACGTTGAAAGACACAATCCACTTCGAGACTCTAGACCAGCACTCGTATTTTGAAGACTCTCTTACACCAATACACCCTGCTACCTTGAGACCTCCTACACCTCCCTTTTCGGTGCTTCAGTATCCAAACCGTAGATCCGGCCATAGTACAGATCATATGCCCACTGCAGGTTCAAATGTTCAACCAGCCAAATTGTCCAAATATGGTTTCCGCACCAAATGGTCTTTGCGCTGCCCCTCGTGATTCTCCGCACTACATACTTTCCATACTCCTCGGCAGTAATCTGTCCACCTCCGATGACGTCCCAAGCGTGATTGATCTTTGCCTCTAGGTATTTGTATCTCGAGTCTGCTCATCGACCAGACACCAGGTCGACCTAGTTAGTCAGAGTTTCTTGGATTACACAGACAGGTGTGCTCACCGGCCTGGAGCTTGATCCTCTGGCTGGACATTTCCGTCTTGATCCCGCCCGTATTCACAAGCACAACCCTCACTCCAAACGGTTTCATCTCAATCCGCAGGGCGCCCGCGTAAACGTGGAGCGCCGCCTTGCTCGCACAGTATAGAGCGTGCGACGGGTGCGGGGTAAACGCCGACAGACTACTCGTAAAGACAATCGTGCCCCTGGCCGCAATCACCATGTCGGCAAATTGGCGATTCATCTCGACGATCCCCAGTAGGTTCACGGCGAGGGTCCTCTGAGCTTCCACCGGCGGGGTCTCCGCCGCCATTGCCAGGCTCCGGTAGCCGGCGTTGTGGTAGAGTATGTCCAGCTGGCCGTTCGTCTCGGATTGAAGCTGATCTCGGACTGCGGTGATTGATTCGGATGACGAGACGTCCAGCGCAAGTAGGGTGATGTTCTTGATGGATGCGAGGTCCGCCATGTTGGATACTCGTCGGGCAGTTGCATACACCTTGTAACCCAACGCGGCGAACTCTTTCGCCAGCGTGGAACCGATGCTGGATTGTGTGCATCCGGTGATTAGTATGGTCCGTTTCGTGGCTGACATCTTGACCAAATGCTGTTGAGAGGAGCCAGGGTTCAGCGTTGGGGCCGAATGGAAGTATTCGAGATGGACCTTGAGTAGTGCGCAGAGGTGCGCCCCTGAGCGACAGAGTCTGTTTATGTATCATGAAAACAGCCCTATGCCTAGTATGATTTCCACATGACGAAGCCGAGGTGCAGGCAAGTCATTGTCCCTGAGCTCACATGAAAAGTATCTGGGCCAAAAGGTGCAAGAGAGCGAGACGTGAAGTGATACCGGATGGCCGACCACGGCTAGAGTGGCCATGGCTGGGGTTGGCGGCGACGAGGATCCACCTTAGCCAGTCCGCTGCCCGGGAGGTCGATCCCTCAAGAGTTAACCAAAGCCCTCGGCCTATTGCAAAGCTTATCAAGCAACCAACCGCCTCGTATTACTCAGGACAGCTGATATTGTGCTGCTGCTCAACATGCCCGAGTCACCGGCCCTTGGCCGGCCCATTACGCTGAAATTATCCGGCAAGGTGATCCCGAATCGTTTATACCGCTCCGCACTGAGCGAATTTCTGGGGACCTTTGACAAGGACAACCTCGACGCTAGTGGCGAACCGTTACTAGAGTACACGACATTCCATCAAGGTAAGCACAGGGACACGCTTACGCCTGTACTGGTGATGGAAAGAGGGCTCAACCACTGAACGCATTTCAGGACTCGCAGATGGCAACGTGGGATTGATATGCTTTGGCAACATTCCCGTTCACAGGGAATACCTGCAGGCCGCCAAAAACGTTATCCTCGACGCGAATCAGTCCTGGGACCCCATCGAGGCACTCTCCCCGGCAATCCAGGCTGCAAAGTCCAGGGGCGGCCTGTGTCTGCCCCAGCTTACCTTTCCAGGCAGACAAGTCCCCGAGCACCTCAATGTGTCACCGCTCTCTGCGTCCGATGTGCAGCTATCGCCGTGCTTGAACATGACTTACGGAAAGCCGACCCCACTTTCAAAGGACGGCATACAAGACCTGATTGGGCGTTTTGTGTGGGCGGCCAAAGTACTAGCTCAGGCTGGGGCGGATGGTGTCATTGTATGTTGCCCTTTGTGTACCTTTGGACTGTTCCTATGTATGCGTCGCCTTTGCTGACCAGGCTCCTGATGCCAGATACATGCGTCCCACGGGTACATATTCACTCAATTCCTCTCTCCTCACGTCAACAGGCGAAGGGACGAGGTAAGCCAATGCCATTTGATTGAACCTAACCTCTATGCACGTATATTTTGCCACTGCAAATGCGAATGCTAAGCCAACCTTCTTGCTTGTCTCTAGTACGGAGGAAGCTTAGAAAACCGCGCCCGGTTCCTCCTAGAGACCGTGCACGCGATCAAGAACGAGGTGTCGACGGACAAGTTTGTCATTGGAGTCAAGTTCAACTGCCATGATTGTATGTCTTCTTCCCCGTCTTTTTCTTCCGAAATGATTCTTAGAAACTAACAAATCCCACCCATTCGACAGTCATCGAGGGTGGGCAGACATTCGAGGACCAATGCGTTGTCTTCAAGTGGCTGGAAGACGCCGGCGTGGATTTCTTCGACATCACCGGCGGCACGTATGCATCTCCGGCCTGGCGCGGGGACCCTCTGGAAACGTACCCGGGCTTCCCATCCGGACCCCCGGGCGAAGGGTGAGTTGCCCTAAGACCAAACTACGACTCAAGTCGTATAGAGTAGTCGAATGGCCCAAGTCAGGCTGATGGTGGCTTTTTTTTTTTTTTTTTCTTTCAGGGTCTTTCTTCACTGGGCAAAGGAGTTAAAGCGGATATCGGTATGTGACAGCAGTTAATTCAATTCCAGTCCCTGAATTCATGCCCCTTTGCTCTCGCTGACTGACTCACTGGGTCTAGACCCGTGCGGTGATTGGAACGACCGGTGGCTGGCGCGACAGAGAATCGATGGAGAGGGCAGTGCGCATAGGGGAAATCGACATGTGCGGGCTCGGGAGGCCGTTGCAGGAGAACCCCAACTTTGTAAAAGAGTTGCTTGCGGGGACCGGAGACGTTTAGGGGAATCAAACGAGACAGGGTGTGCATTGGCATCATTGGAAATGTATTGGGCGCCTCATGCTTGAAATTTCAAATGGGTTGGGCCGTTCTGTTCCATCTGGTCGCTTATAACAGGAACTATAACACCAGAACGAGAGACTTAATACACATGATAGGTAAGAATTGGTAGAGATTGCCAGAAACAATATACACGGAACTGCAAATTGCTTCACTTAGCGCAAGATGTCTTGAACAGCAGAGATATGTGAAAAGGCAGTCAAGCCCGGAAACACCAGCCATCTTCCGCACCCCGCCCAGCAACGCAAACCATTCGTCGAGCACTGCCGCTACCTCGTCCCTTCACTGTAGTGAGGACGATGCCACCCTCCGTACTATTTATGAGCCGTGTCCCGCTCACCACAATGCCAGCCTGAGACGCTGATCATAATCCACATTTGCCAATTTGCTCTCAACGCGCGGATAGCACGTCCCAAACACCCGGTCCCACACACGCGTCTGCTTACCATAGTTGTGGCTCTTTCTGTATCCGATCCGATGGTGCAGGTCGTGGTCCTCGATGATGAGCTCGGCGTCCACGAGTCGCCATAGCCAGGTCAGCGGGCCCGGCGCCGACGCATACATGCGGACACCGCTGTGGCCACTAACCTCGGAAAAGGTAACCGTCTGCACGCAGGCAAAGAATGTGTAAAAGTCAAAGGGGACGCCGACGGCGCGCAGCGAGAAGAATGTAAGCAGCGGAATCCCAATGGTGTCGAGAACTTCCTGCTCAAAGTCGGCGTATCCGGCGAGCAGCATGTTGGGGTGTTTGGTTAAATGGTGCGTGCGGTGGAATTTCCAGAGGATCGGGATCTCGTGCATCAGGCGGTGGTACCAATAGAACCAGAAATCGAGGGTCACGGCGTACAAGCCGACCACGGGGACGATCCATTTCCAGTTCATCATTGCAGGTGTCCTGTCGACTGAGTAGGTGAGGTAGATCATGGCGAACATGCGAGACAGTCCTGCCAGTGTCATGGCGATAAAGGTCTTTTTAACACCAACGTCGGGGACCCCATCCCGTTCATGTTTGTCGCCGTCAAGAAAGCCCACCGCGTGGCCAAGCTCCTTCATCGAGTGCAGGGCCTGGGTCATCATTGTCTTGGTGGCTTGGTAGTACAGCATGTATGCCATGATAGGCCCAATGTTGTGCCCTGTTACACGGACGTAGAGCTCATGGAGGGCAAAAGGAACAACGCTGTAGAATATGATAAACCGATTCAACTGCCAGTCGGAAAGATAGGGGACTTTGGCCATCTTGGGGAACGTGGGGATCTCGCGGTCCAGGTCGACATGGTGTAGTCCGCCCGAGTCGAGCAGTCGGTGATAGATGGTCCACTGGCTGCGGTCAGCGGTTCGCCAAGTGGACTTCATAGAATCTTTTCGTTCGGTTTTGGTGTCAGACATGATGTGTTCGTTTCTTAATCACAAATGCTGGCATCGCGCTCTCCCAAGTCTCCGTGAGCATGCTTTCCGTCCCGCCTTCAAATATTGTTAACGCCATACCGCACATGACGAGCTTGCGGAGGCGACCCTGCCCGGTCGAGCGTCTCTTGCGAGGCGAGGGGTTTGGAACGGGCCTCGGTATCCCACATTTCCTGCTTTGTGGGGCATTGAGGGAATCAAGTTCATCCGTCACCATGAACCACATTATCCGAATAAGGCAATCCTCTTAATTGAGGTGGACCAGAAAGGTGCAGGTCCACAAGTGATCGTACGACATTGTGGCAAACATTACAACTGGACGTGTGTGACAGGCGCTCAAGTCTACCAGTCCGACTTGCGATCGCCACGACGACGAGGAACAATCCTACTTCAGACCAATATTCAAGATGTCGCAAAGTCACCCCCTCGCTCTCCTGCACCAAGGGAGCAATGCAGTAATCAACCAACTCCGCCCCTGGACAGCCGAAGTGTCGCATCGGCCGTGGGTTCTCAAGGCGGGAATAGCGCTGGTGGCACTGAAAATTATTCTGTGGACGAACCGGGCCCTGACGAATTACAGCCTCAACAACTGGACGAGAATTAGGGCCTGGAGCAATGAACATGAGCTGGTTCTCGTCACCGGCGGGTGCAGTGGCATTGGGAAGCAGATTGTGTCTTGTCTCGCTGAGGGGGGCGTGCGGGTGGTCGTTTTGGACATCCAGGAACCGGTATTAAGCTTTGGTTGGCGCTCACCATGTCTATATAACTTCATCTGAAGTGCGTACCTAATACTAACCAACAACAATCATACCAACAGGCAAAAATGTCACCTTCTACCACGCGGACGTTACCTCGTCCGAAAGCATCCGCGCAGTGGCGCAGAAAATTCGCGCCAGCCACGGAGAGCCCACGGTCCTGGTGAACAATGCCGGGGTCGGGAATGAAGGGACGCTCCTGGCAAAGTCCGAAGCCCGCATCCGCCAGACGTTTGAAATCAACACCATCTCCCACTTTCTCATGGTCCGAGAGTTTCTGCCCGCGATGATCAAGCAGAATCATGGGCACATCATCACCATTGCCAGCACGGCCAGTTTCATGGGCATGGGCGAGATGATGGACTACTCGTGCTCCAAGGCCAGTGCGCTTGCCTTTCACGAGGGGCTGTCCGAGGAGATCCGCTCGTGGTACAACGCGCCCAATATCCGCACCAGCATCATCCACCCGAACTGGGTGCGCACGCCCATGATAACAACCTTGACCTCTGCCGGTGATCGGTTCAACCAACCGATCTTGACTCCCACAGAGGTGGCAAACGCCGTTGTGAGGCAGATTCTTGCGCAGAAGAGTGGCCAGGTGATTCTCCCAGGCCACCTGAAACCCCTCAGCTCGCTTCGTGCCCTCCCATTGTGGATACAAGGCGCTGTTCGTGGTGCAGCGGCCCAGAGTCTAAAGTCAGTTACGGACTTGCAAAGGAAAACAAAGAAGAATGCTGGTTCGACCTGATGTCACAGGGGATGAGATGCACTTTCTATAATTATGAGTTATCAGAAAATATCAGCTCTATACAAATAGGTCCAAGGCTCTATCTATCGGTGTGCTCCAAGTTCTATAGTCACCAGCAAGCATATACTAGCAAACCATAGCTTGTCATCGTGTGCACACCCACGCACCCTATGGCAAGATATTCTCCTCGAGTATGGTGTTGTTCCAGCACGATTATCCTCAGTCCTTGACATTTTTATCTGACGTGTACCCAAGCTGACTTAGTATCATCGGCATATAAGGATCAGTTAGTACCACAGTGCGTTCATCAATCACTAAAATAACTATCATATTAGACTAGTGGGCTAGGGATACTATACGGATACGGCTATTGAACCCACAAAGACCCAACCAACTCAAATGTCAGGTACTTGGGTAGAGACCACCCGGGCACGGATTCACGGCAAAAACTCCAGCCCGTCATCCAGATCCCCATTTCTGGCGAAACCAAGGTCCTTCCAGTAGTGGTCACACGGTTGCCAGGGCCCGCGATCACCCGTAAGTGGGAGATCACCAGCTGCCTCTTTCACATAGGTAGAATTGAGGTTCAGCAACGGGCGCTGTTCCATCCGCTGCGCATCTGACGCCTCCAAGCGCGGCACCACCGCCTTGGCGTCTCTGCGGTCCATCTCGCGGAGAAGACGGTAGATGAAATGCGCCGTGGCGTTGGCACCGAGTGTCCATGATGCGTTGGTGTATCCGAGCATAAAGGCGGCGTTGGGCAGGTCCTGTTGCAGCATGCCATGCTAGAGATACTTGGATGGGAGATTGTGCGGGAGGCCGTCAATGGTGAGATGCACGCCACCCGCCACTTGCAGACGTAGTCCCGTAGCTGTTACGATGGCATCCGCCTTGATATGTTCACCAGATGATAACTTGATCCCAGCGGGCGTCACGGTGTGGATTGTATCAGTTTTGATCTGGACGCGGCCGGAGTGCAGGCTCTTGAAGAAATCCCCGTCGGGACACAGGCACAAACGCTGTTTCAGGGGTTGTACCGTGGCACAAAATGCGGGTCACAGGGCACATTCCTGGGCAGGAGTGAATGGACCTGCTGGCGCAAGAGCCACCGGGCGCTTCCAGGCATGGATCGGCAGAACAAGAAGAAAAGGCGCGACGTCAACATAAAGTAGAACCGCTGCATTTTCCGGTATTGCCTGGTTGGTAAGATGTAGCTTAGCCATGAGCGGCTGTTGTCAGGAACAGATAGGATATAGCTTGCCGAGCGCTGGAGCATTGCCACATTGGCACCTTGCTCTGCAAGCTTGGGCGCGAGGGTAATGGCAGTGGCGCCGCTCCCAATGACGACAAATGACTTGCCCCCATACTTGAGATCTGCAGGCCAGAATTGCGGATGAATGAGATCTGTTTCGCTATCCCGGCATGCGGTCTGATTCGGACCTGTTTACCTTTGGGTTTGAGTGGTATCCGTGGGACCAGGAAGCCCCATCGCCGAGGGGGGTGCGATTCTACATTACCTGAGAAGTGCCGCAGCCTACTCGGGGGTCGACAAGCGAATTGAATTCGTGCACCGTCTCGTCGCAGCCGAGTGATCATCGGCGCAGCATCTCTGGAGGCTCAACGTCGACACAGCCGCTATTAGCAAGCAGATTACTGCTTGTTTCGTCCTGTTTTGTACAGGTTACTACAACTATCACACGCCCCTTCAAGCAGACATACCCCATCTAGACCAATTTTCAGGAGAGGTCCCTCCCTCCCAGTGAGTCACAGCCTCGAGTATGGTGTATGACAAGTCCGGGAGCGCAGCCTGGAGGCGATAGACGGCATTGATTCCCGTCGAAATGCCTGCTCCGACAATAACAACATCAAACCGCTCTGTCATGGTGGAAAGACTGAATGAGCAGGTGATCTTTTGCCGCGGCGAAGACGGTTGCCCCACCGTGCTTTTCAAGCGACGCTTGTTCATGCCATGGACGGCAGTGAGGATTCAATCATTTCATTAGGTCAGGATAAGGTGGTGTCTTATAACTGTCCGAGTATATCTTTTCTCCATCATCAGCATGTGACTGTAGTTGAAAGGAGCTATAATCCTTTATTATTAGTGCGTTGATTGAGCGACTGGGCGAGGTTGTCCAATTATTACGGAGATGCAACTTTGATCCAAAGCTATCAGGTGTATTTATGTCTAATCTGATGATACTTTCGACTAGTTTGAACAATTTAGTCCTGCAGGAGCTCAACAGCCATCTCATACGCCCGGCATTTGAGATCCCACTCGCGTGTCCCACGCTTGACCAACTTGTCCCAGGCATGATCACATTTCTCCATTCGTTCCGAGACAACACGTCGGTCGGGATTCTGCCTCAGTTTCTCGGCGAGTCTCTCGGCCTCGTAGGCAAGGGTGTCGTATCCGGCCGTGATGATGAGGACATTGCGAGGAAAGTTTCGCACTTCAGCCAGGGCTGGCGACATGCGCGGATCATATGCATCTTCCCCCGATTGTAGATAACATTGCTTAAACAAGCGGACCACATATGTCGGAAGAGGTCTTCCACCAGCATCGGGAGATACCAGGGTAGCGGGGTCGACAAAGGCCTCGACGCTGGGGTAAAAGGTGATGACTGAGCGGAAAGTGTGCGGCGGGAACAGGTATGAAGAGGCAACAAGCGCGAGGTTGCCTCCTGCACTGAAGCCACATATCGACAGGGTCTGGAGATTGAAACGGTCGGGGTGGTTCAGAACCCACTGGACGGCGTCCTGGGCATCGTGCAGTGCGGCTGGAAAGGGGTTTTCTGGTGCCAGGCGGTATTGCACATCCATGACTGAATACTTGGTGTTTCGGCTGATTTGGCGGCAAAATTCATCGTCGCTGCCGTGTAGAGGAAGAACAAAGCCGCTTCCGTGGAAGTTGATCAGCACGTTGGATGGCTCGCGAGTGTTGGACAGAGACGAGTGGTAAAAATGGACTCTAATATTGCGCCCGGGTTCGCGAGATGGAATGAATCCAACAGAATCAGGTCTGGGGGCGATTTTCCATTCCAGCTTTGTCAGTGCCCTCAATAGTACTGCGGCGACCTTGAGGTAGAGATAGTATAAACCAGACATGGTGCTGCTTCTGCTCTGGCTACCACTACTGCGTGTTTTTCAGACACTGCGAGCAGCCTGTATGTATGCACCAAAGTTGTCTCGACTTTCACTGAAGTCGCTATCATGCCAGCTTGTATAGGTGGGAACTGCCTCGGCCGGTGCTGTCTCCTTCTCTCTCGTATACACCATCACCGGGCGCGCAAGGGCCCTATTAGCGGATAATGTGGCCCCAGACATTATGCACTTGCCAGTCGTTCTCGGTACAACGCGTTTGAAAGGTGCAAGCCACTGAATAGTATAGAAATGGAATGCTTAGCTTACACACCCAAGCCGGCCTCTCCAGCCTCGGTGTCACACGAGTCCGTTTATTTAAGCCTTTTGACAATCCCGTTCTTCTGGGCAGCGGATAGATAGTTGCACCGACGGATAAAAATCATGCCAAAGTGCATTGGGATAGCACTCCTGGCTCTAACGGTGCAGGGCACACCAAGGACGCGTGATATAGAGCTATCTCGCCGAGCCGCGCAGCAGATTCCATAGCGTGCTTGTTCAACCATTTGGCACTACACAGGTCTTCGTTTCTGCTCATCCAAATTAGCTTACTCCACCACGAGATTCGAGGGTAAGCGCTATACTGGGCGACAGGGTCTTTAGCGGATTATGACAACCCCCCGCCTGGGGATCTGACTTTGGTAGTTCTCATGTAGATTCTATCTTGATCTCGCTTACTACAAACCTAGGACAGATCAATGACTACTCTCCACTGCAGTTTGCCTGCCTGCATTTCCTCAAACACTTTTCTCAACCCCTCCAACTTGATTGTCCGGAAGCTGGCCTTGATTATACCCCGCGATGCAAACTCGAGCGTCTGGATGGCATCCCTCTGAGTCCCAACAGACGACCCTGTTGCATTCAAATGCGCCCCCATCAGCAACGCTGGGAATGCCGTTGCTATCGCGCGAGGCTCGTGCTCTGGTACCCCGACGCAGACCATCGTCCCGTTGAAGCGCAGGAACAGCAATGCCTGTGCGTACGCCACGTTTGACGCGACGCACACGACCACCCCGTGCACTCCAAGCCCATCAGTCGTGAGTGATTTGACTGCGGCAGCGATGGCCTTGTGCTCATCATCACTCCCGTACTCGGTGACGTCTATAAAGTGCTCGGCGCCTGATATTCTAGCAATCTCTTCTTTGGATCCATGGTCAATGCCAATAACGCGGAGGCCCATACCTCTGCTCGCAATCTGAACAGCTAGGTGTCCAAGCCCACCACCTGCTCCGGAGATCACGACCCACTCCCCGGGCTGGGCCTTGGTTCGTTTTAGGGCAGCGTATACTGTTAGACCAGCGCAGAGGAGAGGTGCTGCCTCCTCGGATGGTACTCCGTCGGGGATAGGTGTGACGTAATGTGCGGGGCTTGTTACATATTGCTGAAAGGTGCCTGGACTATAGTATCCGGAGATTGTCTGCTTGAAGCAGAGGTTATCAACACCTTCCCGGCACGGTGCTGTTGATCAGGTTGAGTATAGTTAGCTCATACATAGAATTCACGGTGAAGACGCGACAGGCGAAGAATTATGATCCACAACGTACCGCACTGCCCGCAGATGTTGGCAATCCACTTGATTCCAACTCTGGAACCAATACTAAGCCCGTATGCCTCCGAGGTTCCAGGGCCAAATTTCACCACCTCGCCAACACCTTCATGGCCTCCAATCTGTCCAGCCTGTGTGGGATACGGAAGGGTTTTCCACTGTTATAGATTGGCGGGATGTAGTCAACGGGGCAACGCTCTGGAACTCACGCTGTTCATCATTACACTCAGGTCTGAATGGCAGATGCCAGAATGCGAGCTGTTATCCCATTAGTCTTTTTGTCTTTCAGATGCGGTGCATATCTGGAATCCCCGACATACAGGCGAACTAGGACTTCGCCCTCGCCGGGCTCCGGGACACCGACTTCCACGACCCTTGTGGAGATGGTCCCCGGGTTGTCATAGATGGCAGCCTTTTGCGTTTTGGGAACCTGAGCCGCTGCCATGGTAGAAGGCGTTGGGAGTTTCTTCTGTGTCGTCGTGTTCCTCCTTCAGAAAACGGTAATGTGGACTTTGACAACGGAGGCTAAGACGAAAACTATGGGAAGGCATAGGCGCACTCGTTATAAGGAAGGCCTTGAGGACCATTATCTACTTGCACCGTATGTTAACAACCCCTCACAGCTTGATTGAGCCTTTCTGGGCTACTCGGTCTTCCCAGTTCATCCGTGCCTGTCTCCGCGCTTGTCTTGCGAGGAGGGAGCCACTTTACCCGACTATGCAATTCCCCGCACTTGCTCTCGCAAAGAGGATCTGAGGCGAAACTGTGGGTCATGCGCTCACTGGAATGATCAATCCATCACATCTGAGCAAGTGCAACCACTTTTTTCCCATCGGGCACCACGGTCTGGCGTTCTAGCTTGCCTAGACTGCTAACTGCAGATTTCTTTTACCATAATCGACACTACAATGTCTCTCTCAGCAGGACAATTTACAGGGCGTACCATCGCAGTCACGGTATGTTCTAGCCTATCGCTCAGTGCTTGGCAAAAACTTGCAATACTGATGCCGACTCTCGACGCAGGGCGGCTGCTCAGGAATCGGCCTGGCAATAGTCAAAGCACTGGCCCTCCAAGGCGCGACCGTCTACATAGCAGACATATGTATGACCCTGCCGCCGGAACTCACGGGACAAAAGAAGGTGCACTTTATCGGTGACTGCGATATCACCTCGCGTACAGCGTGCCAGCAGTTCATCCACTCGATCCCCGGCCGCCTCGACGGGCTCGTCAACAGCGCGGGAATCTGCCCAACGGAAGGGAAGATGGCATCCGACGAACAATACACGAAAATCATGGCCGTCAACGTCAACGGCACCTGGAACATCGGGACAGCGGCGATCCGACGCATGGCGGAGCAGGAGCGCCGCTGCACACCCGGGCTGCTCCCCGGCACGGAAAGGACCGTCGGCGCCGGGAGCATAGTCAACATCTCCAGTGGTGGTGGGTTGCGCGGGATTGCGGGGATGGCCGTGTACAGTGCGTCCAAGCATGCTGTGCTGGGACTCACGCGGTCTTGGGCGAGGGACTGGCCGATGCTGCGGATCAATGCGGTTGCACCAGGTACGTAGCATGTCCCTATGCTATTGTGGACTATTTTACAGAGCATGGAGCCTCAGTGTTCTTACAAGGAGTACAGGAGTCACTGATACCCCACTTATTCGTGGAACAGCGGATGCGGAGGGACAGAGTGATGTTGGCAGGTTGGCTGCGCAGCTTGCAGCGAGGAGTCCCCAGGGGCGCATGGCATATGCCACTGATGTCGCCGACGTGGTGCTTTTCCTATTGTCTAGCTCCTCTAGCTTTGTAACAGGGCAGGTGATTCCTGTTAATGGTGGTGCGGACTAGACCACAATATATATATATACCTGCATCAAGCAAGGTATACATCTTGAACCAAAGACCTTATTAATAACGCGAATAATCTACTCTTAGACTAAATCCCTAGGCACACTCTGTAGACTTGCGACATATCCTGACTACGTATCTTAATGCTCATTACTCATGATACAACCCCAGTACGTACTGTAACTTTATTGCAGGTTCGGTAGTTGACGGTAGATGCATGCCTCCCCACAGTACTCCAGATTAATCTACCTCTAAACCGCCACTAGCAACTTTAATATACGGTGCCACTATTCCCGGTAGTACTACAGTTGGCGACAACAAGCCATATTGTCTATAAATGTATAAGAAAGTGCTCCCTGCCAAAAGGATAAGCAACTCGTGCTTCTAGCGCTGTCAACCTGATTATCAATATCATCATGTCGACGGCAAGTGAGGCGTTGGGGCCTGGCCATGAAATCGACAAGGAAGCTGTCCCTGAACATTGTGAAAAACTGCCCGATTCCAAAGGCTTTGAAGGGAACCAGGCACAGACGATTATATCTTCCTACACCGGCAATCCGGAATGGAGTCCTACAGAAGAAAAAAGGCTGGTTCGCAAGATAGATCTCCGTCTCATGTCATTGCTGGCCTTGTCGTATGGCTTGCAGTATTATGACAAGGCGTTGCTTGGACAGGCCGTGAGTAACGATTGCTGTCCATGAGGTTCCAAGACTGACCGTCATCCATCAAACAGGCAATCTTTGGCCTTCGAAACGACCTGCATTTGGATATTGGGAATCGCTTCTCGTTTTCAGCTGCAATCTTCTACCTGGGCTTCTTGGTTGGAGCCACCCCCGCAGTCATGCTGGCGCAGCGGTACCCTATCGAACGGGTTATTTTCTCTGTTGTGTGCCTCTGGGGGGTTTGTCTTCTCTGCACCATCGCTTGCCATAACTATCAGGGTCTCTACGCCCAGAGGTTCGCGCTAGGTGTGTTGGAATCGGGGGTGTCCCCGATATTCATGATGTCTGTCGGGGCGTTTTACAAGCGTGGCGAGCAGGTTTTGCGGATGGGAATCTGGTACAGTGCAAGTAAGAGTCAACCCATCCCTATCAAGATGTGCTTATCTTGACCAATTATGACTAGCCGGGTTTGTGGCCATCTTCTCCCCGCTAATTAACTATGCGTTGGGGCATATAAAATCTGGCCCACTGCCACCCTGGAAGTACATGTATATCGTGGCGGGTGTTATTACCATTCTCTGGTCCTTTGTTCTTCTACAATACTTTCCACCAGACCCTGTCAATGCCCGCGGATTTACACAGAGAGAGCGGTATATTGCCATCGCCCGCCTCCGCATCAACAACTCTGGTGTCCGCGACACGCACTTTAAGAAGGAACAAGTACGGGAATTACTGGTAGACATCAAGTTTTGGCTCCTCTTCAGCATCGCCTTTCTCGGCATGATCCCCAATGGCCCCGGTTCAACCTTCATCCCCATAATTATCAACGGGTTCGGCTTCAGCACGCTGAATACACTACTCCTCAATGCGCCGTACGGATTCATTGCCGGCGTCGGGATTCTCTGCTTCTCCTACACGGCCTACAGGGTCAAGAACGCCCGAACCCTCATCATGTTTTCCGGCTACGCCATGACCATCATCTCATCCCTGCTCTTCTGGCTGCTCCCAAAATCCCAACGGGGCTTGTTGCTCTTCGCCTGCTACATCTTCCCGTTCTGGGGCGCTAGCTTTTCCCTGACCATGTCGTACGTCCCCATATATATTCCCCGCCCCCAACTCCAAATTCCCGTGGCGCAGGAATGGCCTCGGTGTATGGTATTGATGCACGCTAACCTTTCCCAATCTCCGCCCTCCATCAGACTCTGCACTGCGAATACAGCCGGATACACCAAACGCTCGCTCGCCTCGTCCGGTGTATTCCTCGGTTACTGCCTAGGGAATTTTGTTGCGCCCTTGCTGTTCAAGTCAGAGGATGCCCCGCGCTATGAGCCCGGGTTTATTGCCGTCATCGCCTGCTGCGCTGCGGCGGGCGTCCTCAGCCTCGTCTACCGCTACATCTGTGTGTGGGAAAACAGGGGCAGGGACCGGTCTGGTATTGCCGAGGCGTTTGATCATGCATTTGATGATGATTTGACGGATATAAAGAATAGGCAGTTTCGGTATGGGTACTGAGTTGCGGTCTTGCGCAGTTTCGGGCCGTTGCGGGGGGCGCTGAGGGGAAACTGTGGGAGAATGGTCGCTCGGGGTGCAATTGGCGGAGACGGCGGGCCTACTAGCCTAATCTTGCATCCAGAGTCAATTCTAGCGGAGACTCTACTGGGTTCTCATTTGGCTTCTTCCTAAGTTTGAAGGATGTACTCATGGTATATGATATCGATATACGTAGACCAGCTTGTCAACCAGCGTGTGTTCTGTTTGTGCGCTTGGTAGTCATAATGTCTAAATCGTATTTGATAGGGCCTGCCGAGATGAAACATACTCTATCTGAGCAAAAGCGGAAAAGATTCTACATCATTTCTCTCGTTTCTATATGACAGCTGTCTGTTGTGTCGTCCTGTTCCCGCCATGTCGGAATGCCGCTTACAGCTTTGCCTGCCCTGAAACGAGACTTTCCCACTCAAAAGGTGAGAAAAGGAGGTATTGGCTTCTACCTGGAGGGAGCCAAAAGAGAATATCGTCCTTGCCTTCCGCAGCTTCGGACCCTATGAGACTCGGATCCACGCCCTCCTTTCTGAGCGGCACCTTGTTTTGCTTATGGTTGTGAATATGGGTGCTGCTGCTGACCAGCCGCAGAAAGACAGGAACGGCATATCGAGGCAGTCTCTTTCGTAGATACGTCACCAGGTCTGTATAATCCAGTGAGGCTGACGTGGTGCCCGGAGACAGGTCGATGGCCGCACACCCGGCACGGCCTTCATGGCCGGGCACAAGAACCCCGTACACGTTCGCCTCTGCAATTCCGGGGTACTGGCCCAGCACGAGGCTGACTTCGGCAGTTGACACATTCTCGGATTTCCACCGAAAGGTATCGCCCAGCCGGTCGAGAAAGTGCCATTTGCCGTCTGCGTCCCGCCGGAGCGCATCACCCGTGCGATAGTACAGGTCGCCCTTTTTGAAGACGTCGCTGCAGAACTTCTTGGCTGTCGCGGAGGGCGAGCGCCAGTAGCCCTGGAAATCTTCCTTGCTGGTGACGGCCACGAGCATCTCCCCTCCCTCCTCGTATGAAGTCCGCTGCGCGAACCCGGTCTGCGGGTCTCGCCAGATGTCCCCGGACTCGTAATCGACCCGGACGGGAATGTACGTATTACGTAGCAACCACCGAAGCATTACGCCATGGTGCCCGACGCAGGCCTGCAGGTACGGACCACGGCAATGGTTGATGAGGCTGAACATTCCCTCGGTCGAGTTGAAGAACTCGCCGACCTCGGGGATGGCGAACCGGTCTTGGAATTTCGCCCACACGTCCGGTCGGAGGCCATTGCCGTACGCTGCGCGGAGCTTGTGTCGTCGCTCCAGCGGGTGATGTGGTGCGTTCAAGAGGTACCGCGCAGTTTCACCCACGTAAATGAAGTAGGTGGATTCGGAGTCATGGACGTCGTTCCAGAACCGGGAGACGGAGAATTTGGGCGCGAGGGCAATGGAGATGCCCTGACACAAGCAGAGCGCGCTGGTGACGCCTCCTGTTGCGTGGTAGAGCGGCATGGAGTTGTACCATTGATCCTGGGCGGGGACTCCGCCGACAAAGGGTGTGTCGTGGGCGCACATGAGGTACATGCGGTCGTACACGAATGCACAGCCCTTAGGGAGACCTGTAGTGCCACTGCGTTTGGAAGTCAGCATCAGGTTCAGAGGACGAGCAAGCGAAGGGATGGCATAGATCTGCTCACCTGGTGTACACCAAGGCAAAAGGATCCTTGGCCTGGACACCCTGTCGAGCATCATCAGGGATTCTCTCCGACGGCATCGCCGAGACCAATTCTTTCAACACTGCATCAAGTACCTCGATTTTGATCCCTCGGCCCTCAATCTCCCCGCGCACCTCCGCAATCCCACCTTGCACCGAGTCACCAACAATGAGCAATCTCGTCTCGCAAATCTCCAAACAATGCAGCAAAGCCTTGCCCTCGAGGTTATAATTCAAGAGCGCCGGCGCCGCGCCCAGTGAGACGCAGGCAAACCAGATGATCATGAACTCGGGACAATTGGCCAGGTACACCGCGACAAACTCCCCCGGTCTGACCCCCTGGCGTAGCATCCACTGCGCATACTGACACACGGCCTGATACATCTGCCCGTACGTGTATGAGCGCTCTCTCCACCAGATGGCCCGCCTGTTCCAGCTTTTGTGACATTGCTCCTCGAACGCGTACCACGCACTGATTCTCTCGGACTGTACTACGCGCGCGAGTTCTCGCCGCCCACGCCGCGACTTCCAGATGTCGGCCAGGTCTTTGGTCAGGTGGAACTTGGCGTCTGCATAGGCCATGGCGGTCCAGCCCCCGGCCACAAGGCCTGTGATTGCTATTTGATGATATCAGCCCCGTTTGAAAACAAGAGATCGAGGAATGCCATCAAGGCTCTTCGGATAAGAGATACCTACCAAGCGCCATATTTGCCGGATGGTGGGGGTTCACGCAACAAAAGTAATTGAAAACAGCACCGCTTCTCTGCCAAACCTTTGATGCGGGTAAAGATAAGGCGAAGAGACAACGGCGCCGGTTATTTCAGCCAAATATTGAAAGTTATTCGATCCCTACCTCGGCTGACCCCTCTTGTCAAGTCATTCGCAGTGCTAGGCTTGGGTTGCGCTTATAGGAGACTCTAGTGGGATTTCATCTTGTCTCCTCCGGGTATGGTGGGTATGACGCTTGTCCCTCAAAGGGCTCTTTGGCCTGCCAACCGGATCTACCCCGTTGGTTTTGTACATCCCCTGCACAAGGCCGCTGACGGTGGGATGCAAGAAGTACGAGATAACCACTGTGTATTGTGAACCCACGTAACCGCAGTTTATGTACAATGACTGGAGGACTACTCTTGTATGTCTAATATCTTCACTCAAATGCCATGCGCTCTAGCCAGCCCAGTATATAATCCAAGGGCGCCTGGCATGTAGTGTAGGTCTAACATATCAAAAGATGGCCAACGCGTTTGGCGGACTGCCTACCGACGAGGGTACATTGAGTGGAGCACTCGTTAAGAGGAACTCGTACCGTCCAGCCTTTTTGCACTGGGCACTCAGCGCCTTCAAATCCCAGAGCTCCCCAATGTGTATACCAAAAAGCGAGAGAAAGTACTGGTGCAGCACTGTGGACTCCAATGTTAGTTCAATCATCCACAGCAGGCAGAGCAGACTCCACACGACATACCTAGCTCTGCGGTGGTCCCAATTCGATTGCCATCGTCCTCGATGGTCGGCGGCATGACTTCAAAGGCAATGGCGTCCCCAGCGACAGCCGCAAAGTGATGGTCCCAGACCCATCGCGCCGTTGCCTTGTTCCCCGCAACCCCAACGGCCTTGTTGGTGCCCAGCAGCCGCTGCTGCTCGTCGGGATCCGCGTCGGCAAGATCCTCGGTGAACCCCGTGCGCACAATCAGGATATCCCCGTGCTTGAACATGGTCCCCTGGAACTCCGCCACGGCTTCTAGGTCCTGCACGGAGATCGCATGGGCGTCGAAGCAGCTGTACGTGATGCCCTTGGCCTGCGCATACGCTCGGTAGTCGAGGAGCACGCCACGGCCCACGAGCCCACCCCTGCGGTGCCAATGATCCAGCGTCGGGAACCCGCCATCTTCTGCGGCGCTCTTCGACTCCCCGGCTCGCATGAGATCCTCCGTCGAGGGCTGGTAGCCGTTGTAGCCGAGCCCCGTCGCCTGGTGTGCGACGTGGACCAGGCTGTCCCACTGCGAGGAGCACTGCGGGTTGAACGACACCTCGTCGTCGAACCCCCACATGCCGAGTTCGCTGTCGCGGAAGTTGATTATCCTGTGTGTCAAGCCCTTGCGCCCAAAGGCGGCATCTTTGATGGCGCCAATGTCCCAGTTGAGAGATACGGAGACCCCATCCCGGGCCTCCTTGAGTGCCTCCTGGACCACTGCGGGCGTGAGCAGGTTCAGCGTCCCGATCTTGTCCTTTTTGCCGTCCTTGTCGAAGATTCCCCAGGCGCAGCCTTGCGGCATATCTTTGACGGGCGGGAGGGAGTCAAAGTCGGGAAGATTGTTGACGTCGGCCATTCTTGCGGATTGTTTCAATGGGTGTAGAATCTGTGTTCAGGGAAGATCATTGAAGTAATTGTGAAGATAGGTCTGGAAAACAGCATGAAATAAGACCCTTGCTGCCTAGACCAACTTCACACTCCTTCCCCATACCCCTACCTACAATAGCCGCCCAATTCTCCTGCATTCCGGTCAATGACACGCGGAAAAGCATAGAGATGATCCCCGGATAAGGTGGTATTGTCATCAGATATCCTGAGTCGCACCTCGGCTTTCACTTTTTCCCCTTCCCCAGCGGCCTCTGGGTGGCTCCGATAAATAAACCTCGTGCAGTTTGAACTGTTGCGACTGCACCCTCCACGACCCTTTACTCCAACACGGCAACGTCCATCATGGCATCGCCAACACTATCACCATGTCTGGTCAACACGCCCAACGGGCACATTCCCGCTTCCCAGAGGATCCCTGCCATTGCCCGGCCTTTTGTCAGCGACCGCGCCAGAGAAACACTCGACCTGGTAAGATACTACCCGCCTGGCTAGCTGCATGCCGAATCTTCAGTTCGTTCCATGAATAACATCCAGGTCGTTCACTTTCCCGCCACAGCTTGAGAAGTTCGTCGAAGAAGAATGTATCCCCGCCGACGCCGTCTTCCAGCAACAGCTCGGGCGCACCACCGCAGAGCGCTTCACCAACCACCCGCAGATCATCGAGGACCTCAAGACCAAGGCCCAGCGCCTCGGCCTGTGGAACATGTTCCTGCCCAAGAACCACTTCAAGGACCAGGGCGCGGGCTTCAGTAACCTCGAGTACGGGCTGATGGCCGAGTGCCTCGGGCGCAGCGACACGGCCAACGAGGCGACCAACTGCTCGGCGCCCGATACCGGCAACATGGAGGTCTTTGCCAAGTATGGGACAGACGAGCAGAAGCGCCGGTGGCTGGATCCGTTGCTCAAGGGCCGTATTCGGTCGGCGTTTCTCATGACCGAGCCGCAGGTTGCCAGTAGCGATGCCAAGAATATCGAGCTGAGCATCAGGAGGGATGGCGAGGATTACGTCTTGAATGGCCAGGTAGGCTCTCTTAAAGGGAAACAATGTACCCGCTGCCCTTTTTGCTTACCCCAAACAACAGAAATGGTGGTCCAGCGGCGCTGGTGATACCCGCGCCAAAGTCTTCCTCGTCATGGGCAAGTCTGACCCCACCAACCCGGACCCCTACAAGCAGCAGACCGTGATAGCACTGCCCTCCGACACCCCAGGGATTACCATCAAGCGCATGCTTTCAGTCCTGGGCTACGACGACGCTCCCCACGGCCACGGCCACGTCTTTTTCGACAACGTCCGTGTCCACCAGCGCAATGTGATTCTCGGCCAAGGTCGAGGCTTCGAGGTCGTCCAGGGGCGCCTGGGGCCTGGCCGGATCCATCATGCTATGAGATCTGTGGGTGCGGTAAGCTGAACCCAGCAGTACCGTACCCGTGCTTGTCCTTGTCCTTGAGCTAATTGATCCCTCGTATGCGTCCATCTACAGGCAGAAAAAGCCCTCGAGTACTTCCTCGCACGAATCAACGACCCCCGCAAGAAGCCCTTTGGGAAGCAACTAAGCGAGCACGGAATCATGCTCGAGCGCGTCGCCCGGTCGCGCATCGAAATCGACGCCGCGCGCCTCGCGGTCCTCAACGCTGCGATCATGATCGACCAGGGCAACGCCAAGGACGCACGCAAGGAGATCGCCGAGGTCAAAGTCCAGGTCCCCGCCATGTTGATTGACGTGATTGATCGCGCGATCCAGGCGCACGGGGGTGGCGGCGTGTCGCAGGATTTCCCCCTGGCAAACATGTTTGCTGGAGCGCGCACGATGAGGATTGTGGATGGGCCTGATGAGGTGCATATCCTGCAGCTGGGCCGGAATGAGAATAAGCGGGGCACGGTGTTGCTAGGTAAGATTGAGGCGCAGAAGAAGAAGACGGAGGACCTCTTTAGGCAGTATAATGTCGTTCAACGGGATCCGTTGCAACTTGATAGGCGCAGTGGCAGCGTGGCGAAGCTTTAGGCTGCTTGTATTTTGTTCACACGTTAGTTAATATACCAACCCTCCTTTGGCTTCTTGGTGCATTTGTGGCGACATAATTGCGTACGTTTTTATCTCCGTGGACAACCTTCTATCGTACGTATCGGATAGTTGGTAGGGTAACTCATAACTAAAGACTCACGTGTAGTATAGGCTACCTGGTAGTAGAAACAAGAATTCCATTCCTCTTGTCACCAGCAATCCTCAAGTACATCACTAGGGCACACCGTTTATTCATTACTCAAGGATGCATGGAAAACTCCCAATCAAAAATATGGTATTATCTTATTAGCCACATTTAAAACCCATCTTTGGTCTTGTATGTATCTCAAAATCGCAAAAGTATATATAGGTTGCCGGGTCGCGAAACGTTGTAGGGGGAGCACTCGATACCGGGCATTATGTATTGGCATCTCCCTCCCAGTTATGGGTCGGCGTTAGTAGCGAATTCAGAATGTCCGGCCTCGTTCAAAGCCTAGAGGATTAGAGCCACTTTATCCTATGGTTGAGTCCATCAGAAGGTTCCCGTTGCGTCGATTGGTTTATCTTACTAATAGATCTAAGCGTGTCGGTAGTGCAGTAATCAACCTTCCATTTCGCTATGTTTCTCGGTGGCCGTGTCCATTGTGGTCCCTTAAGCGATAACCCATGACCCCTGAGCACTAACGCCTGGATACGGTGGAATAAGCGCCGACAGCTATTGAAAAGGAATGTGACCCAATAAAACCCTCGTGTCCATTGAAATCAACAAACCGAAAATTGGTTACCTCGTCCGTACCCGTTCACTCCCAGCAAATGGCGGGGCCTGTTCGACAGGCAATAGACGTCCAGCGTCTGGAGCGATACCTTTGCGACGCCGTTCCAGAGCTCCGCGGGCCGATAACCCTGGGTCAGGTACGATCAATTGCCCTTAAGAGGGCGAAGGAGAGAATGCTTACTTGTTCTTGTTCGCCCATCTAGTTTGGCTTTGGTCAGTCATGTCCCACGTACCTGATCACGGCCCACGATGGAAACAAGCTTGTCCTACGCAAGAAGCCTCCAGGGGAAATTGTATCCAAGGCGGCGCACAGAGTTGACCGAGAGTACAAGATCTTATCTGCCTTACAGGCAACTGATGTACCCGTGCCCAGGGTGTATACGTTTTGCCAGGACGATGGCGTTATTGGTACGCCGTTCTATGTGAGCCAGCCCGCTTTTCCCAGCAGCAACAGCAGCATCCGTCTACAGCAGGTGTTCTGACCGTTCCTTACCAGATTATGGAGTTCCTCGATGGTCGGATCTTCGAGGACCCAGCCATCCCAAATGTATCGCCACAGGATAGGTCCGAAATGTAAGATCTTGTCCTGGACACCTCGTTTTATGGGCCTTTGCTGACCAAGACAATGCCACAGATGGCACGAGGCAATTCTGGCACTTGCCAAGCTCCACTGTGTTGACACTGAAGAGGTTGGGCTTGAGAATTACGGGTCGAGGAGGGACTACTTTCACCGTCAAATCCAGACCTTTAGCGGTATCCATCAGGGACAGGCGGCAGTTGTCGACAGTGATACAGAGCAGGCTGTCGGGGAGATTCAAGGCTTCCAGAAAATCCTCAAGTATCTCCTGAAGCCCTCCGCACAGCCCGAGGACAGGGCGTGCTTGGTACACGGTGACTTCAAGATCGATAATCTGGTCTTTCACCCTACTGAGAATAGAGTAATTGGCATTCTCGAGTAAGCCAACCCATTCTATCCCGCTGGACCTGAAATGTATTGAATCTGCACCAGTCTGCAACTAACGACCGTCTCTTGCTGCAGCTGGGAGATGTCCACTATAGGTCACCCGCTATCGGATATCGCAAATCTGCTCATGCCCTTTACCTGGCTACTACTGCGAAATGCGGCGGCCGCAGTGACTATGACAAGGCTGTCGCCCGGGTCATTACCGGGCCTCCCGACACGGGCACAGATCCTGGAGCGATACCGCGAATACACAGGGTATGACGCGCAGGCGAGTTTAATCTACGGGGGTGCATTCGTGCTGATGAAGAATTGCGTCATCCTGCACGGGATGAAGGCGCGGGTTGCGAGGAACCAGGCAAGCAGTGGATATGCGGGGCAGTATACCATGTATCTGGACAGAGTTGTCGAGTTGGCGGTGCGGGCGGTCGAGATTGGGGAGCGGCTGCTGGAAGGTGGCACTGCAAAGTGGCAGGGGAAGCTGTGAATCAAGCATGACTTGCCCTACGTAATGTACATAGATAATGGTCCCCACTCGGAAAAGGTGGCGCTTGAATGTTCCGAGTCATGCGTCTGGGTCCCCGACCGGTTGGGGCCAAAGGTTCCCCCGCCCCCGGTCTGCTGCGCCTCCAACCCCCATGAACTCCACACTACCTACTCCGTAGTAGACAGTGTGTGTCACCCCGCGATCGGGGGACTGCACGCCAAGGCTGGAGCTGAGCCTGGATTGCGAGTCCTTGTCTTCTTATCCAGCGACCCTGTTTCAATGCCCGATCGTCTTTGCTCGTGAAACAGCAATAGCCATGTTCGAGTGTACCGAGTGCGGGAGGCGATATGCCCGTCAGAACTCCCTCTCACGCCATCTACATAATCACCGCAAGTCCAAAGGGCATGCCTGTTCCGAGTGCAATGTTGTCTTCTACCGCCGGGACCTGCTGTCGCGACATATGAAACTGCATACCCAGTCCATCCCCAGCACCCGGCCGAGCCTCGAAGGCTCTGTTGCTAATACCGAAGGCCACCACAGCCATCGCAAACGATGCCACACGGCTTGCACGCACTGCCGCACCCTGAGAGTCAAATGTAGCGGCACTTTGCCGTGCGCAAACTGCCTCAGCACAGGGAGGCACTGCGACTATCAGCACTCTGCTGGAAGGATCAGCCACCCACAGGGGGAGCTGGGCGACCCCTCTCCTGCACCTGCAGATGAACCTGAACCTGTACCCCCCCAGAGCAGCCCCCAGAATAATGTGACGTTCTCCTACAATGAACCCACTGCCCAGTACCAGACGCTGCTCACTCCTGACAGTGCCCTTCTTGCCTCTTTTCCGGATGCAGAGCCCGTGGCCAGTTCACCAGCACCAGGAGGCGGAACTGAGCCAGCTGCTTCACCCTCGGTCGCCGGCGTGGGGCTCGTGACCGAGGTCGCGCAACCGCATATCATCGATCTTGCGGAGCCTTTCCAGGACAACCCGATGCTAGATCTTGATATCCTCCCTTGGTCGTTACTTCATGAGAACCTTTATCTACCAATGGAGTTTGATTTTGTCACAACCACCTCCTTTCTCGATCATTCAGCACAATCTGAGCAGCTTCCGTCAGACGGTGCTGTTGCGGACGCGATGACTATAAGACAAGCAGGGATTTCCCCGCCTCTTTTGTTTGCTGATTCCGCTCAGAGCGGCCCTCATCCTGGTAAACCCGCCCTCCATCCCCGAAAGCAAGGCTAATCCAGCGGCAGATTACTCAATAAATGCGATATTAGATACTCCATCACCGCATCGCCTTGTCCGAAATCTTATCGCGTATGGTCTTGAAACTCACCAAGGGGCGACGCAATCAGCCGCGGCGCGCGATCACTCGGCGTACTGGAGGAGCATCTCCAATCAGGTTGCCACTGCGTTTCAGATCTTCTCTGTGCAGGATCCATCTACTTTATTGCACCATCTTGCCGACTTGTACTTTGCAAATTTTGAGCCCCTCTGGCCGCTTTTCAGCCCGCAGAACCTGCACATCAACCAGCTCCACCCACTGCTCTTCCTCGTGCTCACCTCAATCGGAGCCATGTACGGGGACTCGGCCTGCAGCCACTACGGGACAATGATGCACAACCAGATCAGGGTCTGCCTCGCCGGCCCTCTGGAGCTTGATGACACCGATGGCGATTTTACCTGGCTGATCCAAGCCCGCTCCCATACCAAAGTCGCCGCCCTGTATTTTGGACAGCCCAAGGCCTTTTCATTCGCTCAGCATCTAGGTGCCCTCATTGTAGGCCAGGCCCGACGAATGGATCTCTTCTCCTCCAGTTATGCAGACGCCTGCCAGCGGCGCCTCTTCCAATCCGGAACACCTGTATCTGATCAAGATCGCCAGGCACTGTGGCTGCACCTAGAAGGCAGGCGGAGGCTGGCGTTTGCCATCTTTCGTGCCGAAACCTATACGAGCGTCCTGCTGCAGAAGAAACCCCTGCTCACAATGCAGGATATGCACCTGACTCTGCCATCCTGCGATGCCGTATGGGGCAGCGAGAAAGTGCCCGCCCGCCTGTGTCTGGAGATGATCAAGCATGACCGCACCCCGAGTCGCCACTTGATGGCCTCGGACATTATCCACATTGCGCTCGAGCAAGATGAGCCGCTTCCACCCCTCGACCCGTCCGCATACGAGATGCTCCTGTTTGGGCTGCAGTCGTGCATCTGGCGCTTCTCTTCTGACCCTGCCATCTTTCGCCGCCTGACCGGGGCGTCTACCGGCGACAACATGTGGTCCTGTCCGACAATCGCCCCCGGCGATGCACAGCACCATCGTCGACCGCCGCCGCATGAGCCCAGCACAGCAGCTCCAGCCCACAGCTTCGGATACCCTGAACTCCACAATCTCCGCCACAGCTCGAGAAAAATGCAAGACCTCTCCAACGACTACACGAGGCTCCTCTGCGCGCTGGAGAAATGCGAAGCCGCGCTCCCGCTCGTCCGTGCCTTTGTCTACACAAGCCGCGACCAAATGAGCCTGATGAGCAGTTTGATCCTCCTCCACCTGGGTCATCTCCTACTGTACACCCCCATTGACACCCTGCATCAGATCCAGTATCTGATGGCGGACGGGAAGAGGCCCGATCCTGATCTCTTGCAGCCGGCGTACGAGTGGGCGAACTCGCCGGGGGCCCACCGCGCCGCGAAAAGAGCAGTTGCCATCTGGTCGCTAATTGCTAGCGCGTCTTCGTCCTTGTCTTCCTCCTCATCCACCTCGTCCGACCCCTCATTAGCTGCTTCCTCTTCTTCTTCTTCCTCCTCCTCTTCTACGCTCGGGGGTGGCGACGAGCAGATTCTCAAGTTCAACCTCGTCGCGTTCCTGGGGCTGCATCATTCTGCTGTGCTTCTCTGGGCGTACTCTGGAGCCTGTGAGTCTCTGGGCCCAGGCACAATAGGGGAAGAAAGAGGAGGCGGAGTGGCACAGACAGCCACAGACACACCACCGGCTGGCAATACCTCATTATCGCGATCGCTTTCGCTATCGCTTCATGCCCCGCGGTCCCCTGCCGAGACTCCCATCCTAATCCACCGCAGGAATGCAGCCCGGGTGCTCGAGTGCTTTGTCTGGGCGTATACTCTCATCAGCCCGTCGCGTTGGTCATCTTTCGCGAAAGCGGCCACGGCCTTGTCCGATATGGCTTTTCCTAGTCGTAGGCAGGAATAAGGAAAACCCTTTAGAAGCCTGGAGTCCAATCTATCTACCTAAGAGTCAGAAAAACTTTTATTTCTGCAAACTGAATTCGCCGCTGTTCTGGGTCACTGTACTGGGACGTCCGCTTATTTACAGTCTTTAGCCACCATTTCCGATGCAGCGGCCTGGGTTTAGGGTCAGAGAGTGGGATAAAACTGAAAAAAAAAAAAAAAAAAAAAAAAAAAAGGGAAAAAAAGGAACAGAAAAGAACCCCATAACGCCCCTTCAAGTCGTCCGTGATAGCTATAGATATGTGACCCCTTCCACCCAGCGCCAATTTGAGATCCAAGTCATGAGCATGGCAAAAGAGCCCCCAGGATAACCACCTTTCCCGCGGACAGATTCTGTCCAACTGGCATACATATAGTGTCAAAGCACGCGTGAATCGAGGATGTAATCCAGCATTTCCTGTCAACGCGTGCAATCAGCGCAGCCGCAGCAAGATGGAGCCTTCCCGATTCAACAGTCCAATCAACCTTACCAGCGCTACACAGGCCAGCCTGGAGGGCAAGACTGCAATCGTCACAGGAGGTACGTTGGACCCCGCCACATGTATTCCCTCTACAGCACCTATCAGTACTGGTACCCACTACTACACTTGGCACAAGCACAGGAGCTAACCCCTGTCTCGCACCGACCGCTAGGTGCCAGTGGCATAGGCAGGGCGTATGTACAGCAGCTGCACGCGGCAGGGTAGGGCGTTCCAGGCCTAAGCCTCCACTTAAGTCTTGGAATCAATGACTAACGCCGCCTTGTGTGTATTGTAGAGCGTTTGTTGTTGTCGGTGACGTGAATGAGCACTTGGGCGCGGAGCTTTCCAAGGAGTTTCCCGGGTAAGCGCGTTGAGCGAGAGACTCCGAAAGTTGATTGGGGTTACACGGATACAGTTTAACACCCATCCCAGGGTCTTTTTTCAGAAATGCAACGTGACGGACTGGAATGATCAGCTGGCGTTGTTCAAAGCCGCTTCTCGAGTGTCTCCGTCTGCCAGGATTGATATCGTGGTGGCGAATGCTGGTACGCAGGTCACCCAATATCCTCAACCTTTCCATACTCTGATAAACGTGGGGCTTTTATTTACTTATTTCTGGCTACCTAACGCATTATACTCTATTCAGGTATCGCAAAGTCCGACGCTGTCTATGCATACGAAGGTAAGTACGATACACCCCTTAATGAACCAACATTGCTGCAGATGCAGACCGTTTCTAAACATTGTCCCCGGCCCAAAGACCAAGCCGAGCCGACGCAGCCCAGCCTCGACGTTCTGGACGTGAATCTCGCGGGGACAATGTACACCACCAAGCTCGCAATGCATTATTTCCGGCGCCAGTATGACGCCGAGTCAGAGTCACCCAGTTCACGGCAACAAACGTGCCTGGTTTTCCAGAGCTCCATCATGGGGTACTTTGACCAGGGCGGAGCCCCGCTGTACTCTGCGTCCAAGTTTGCAGTCCGTGGCCTGCTGCGGAGCTATAGGCGGACCGCGTGGTTGCATGGCACGCGCGTCAACTGTGTCAGTCCCTGGTTAGTATATATATTTATATTCGATTTAGAAATCAACCGTATGTGCAGTTGCTGATTGCGGCGTGGTTGGTAGGTACGTCCGAACGCCCATATTAAGCCAGCGCAGCATCGACGCGATGGACGGATCTGGCTATGGGTTCGCTGAGATTGAAGATGTTGCTTCCGCAATGATGCATCTGGTTACGAATCCCGAGATCAATGGTGAGCTTTGTTCACTGGTGATTTCCATCTACGAATTGGCACAGATGGTCTAACCGTAGCTGTCACAGGCCGCAACTTTCTTGTTGTGCCACGGCACCTGGCCCCTGGGGGGATCATCACAGACGGTGGTCTGGACGAGTTCGAAGAGGGGACTCTTTGGGCGAATCTGCAAAAGGGGGCTTTAATCGCGACACAATTGCTGGTCGCCCAGCATCTGAAGACGGCCCAGCCAGTGGTAGAATAAGCTATCGCTTTAGTTAATATTCCAAATGTATACTGTGCATTGCGATGTAGTCCCTTTGGCACCATCAAGGCATGTAATCCTGTTCATTTCTCGCACCCAGCTGGGGGTAGTACAGAGCCCCTGGTCTCCGTGATGATCTACAGGTCGTGACTGACCACTCTCTCCCGGGCATTGATCACAGATTACGGTTGAGGTCCTCCTCACCGGGTAGAGTGGCTCATGGTCCACGGCAGTTGATTGGAGTCTGGATCCGCCAGTTGTGGCCACCCTCAGCTACATCGAACCCCACGGCTCAGTTTCCCCACGGGGAGAGTATATACGATACCTACCCCTGTCGCTCTCGAGTATGGCATTAGCAAGATCCTGTTCCAAGCACAACATACCTGTCACCATGATGAAAATCATTCCCAATGCCTTTAACCTGGCTGTTGTCATATTCGTTGCCCTGGGCTCGACTGCTTGCTCCTATGGAATGGCAGTGATTGGGTGAGTTTTGATGATGCTGCAGAGTGGCTGGTCGATATTGACCTACCGTCTCACCAGGGGCACCATTGGCCAGCCGAGTTTCTTCAAATCAATGAGTCTTGCCATGCAAGGGGAGGATGGCTACTCGAGGACTGCCGATTACATCGGGGCCTTTAACGGTATGTCACACATTGGGTAGTCTCGTAATTACCTAGCCTCTGGAATACTTGTTCCGGATTACTGATTATGCTACAGGGGTGAATTGCGCGGGCTCCGCAATCGGGGCACTTGCGAGCTCGTGGTTCGCAGACAAATACAGCCGCAAGACAACCATTCAGGGCGCAACCGTCGTTCTCTCTGTTGGAGCTGCTCTGTGCGCAGGGTCCGTGAACCTCGCCATGTTTCTCATTGGGCGTTTGATCAATGGGTTGGGGATTGGAGCTCTCGTTACTGTTATCCCAATGTGAGCTGATCCTGACCACGTTATCATCAAGTGTATTGACTGCTAACTTGTGCAGGTACCAGGCCGAAGTCTCGACTGCGGAGAGCCGGGGGCTCATGGTTTCCATGCACGTACGTCTATTCACTGCCGGACTACTGCCCACGATGCAAGCGGGTGCTGACTAGTATGTGGCGAATTAGGGAGTCATGTTCGCAATGGGGTACTCGCTATCCGGATGGCTGAGCTTCGGCATGCATTTTATTTCCGCCGGTGGATCTACATCGTCATTTCCATGGCGCTTCCCCATCGCGTTCCAGATGATCCCAGCTCTTCTCCTTCTCGCCGGCTCACCGTGGCTCCCCAATAGTCCGCGCTGGCTCGTCATGCAGGACCGCCTCGACGAGGCTCTTGAGGTCGTCAAACGACTGCACCGCACAAAGGAAGACGCCAACGATACCCTATCCACAAGCGAGTTCCACCAGATGAAGAATCAGATTGAGCTCAGCCGCCGCCAGCGCGAGAGCGAGAGCGAGAGTTCGAGGTTCCAGCTCGTCAAGACCGCATCCAACAGAAAACGTGTCCTCATCGCCTTCTTCATGATGTTTAACAACCAGTTTACGGGCATCCTCGTACTCAACAACTATCTTGTCATCCTGTTCTCGGCACTCGGTCTCTCCGGGTACTGGCCCCTTCTCCTCTCTGCCATATATGTCTTCCTGACCTTCCCGGGCAACATCTTTTGCGGGCTCTACGTCGAGCGGTTTGGACGACGCACGTTTACCCTCATCGGCCTGATCGGCATCATCGTGGTCCTCAGCGTTGAGGCTGCGCTGCAAGCCGAGTACCTAGGAACCAACAACCGCACCGCGCAAAACGTCGCGGTGCTCTTCATCTTCCTCGTTGCAAGTGAGTGCCCATCTACTTACCAGCGCGCTGTGTCCTCGGTACACCCCTTAATAACCCCCAGACTAATCAAGTACGTATCAGCCCCCTTCTGGAGTTTCTTCCTCGACGCGACGCAATTCATCTACATTGCCGAGATCTTCCCCACGCATATCCGAAGCCAGGGGATCGCCGTCGGGATGGCTGGTTACTACCTGGCCGATATTATCCTGCTGTGCGCGGGACCGACAGCCTTCAACAACCTGGGGTGGAAATTTTTTCTCCTCTTCATATGCTACACAGCGTGTAATGCGGTTTTTGTCTATCTTTACTGTCCCGAGACGAAAGGGCGGAGCTTGGTATGTAATCTGTTGCGTGTTATTTATGGTTTCAGTGCCTTTCATATTACCTGTGAGCGCAAGTGAGCTGACTAGATGTGGTTCTAGGAGGAGATCAATGAGGTATTTGGGGACGCTGTGGCGCGGGATAGTGATGCCGTTGGGGAGGAGACAAAAGTGGAGTACTAATCTGGCAGCTGAGCTGTGATTAGTTGGAGATGGGGATTCAGGTGGGGGTTGCATGCAAGGTTGATTATGAGGCAAGTAGGTATGGTCGTGTTCTTCTAGCATGGCTACCCCATGTTAGCTGAACGAGTATAAATGTATTATTCAAGCCTAGAGGGCTGCCAATATTCTCTGCATCTCCACGCAGTCCAATCATGATTCCGCAGCCATGGCAATGGAAAAAGAGCTATGAACCATTCGCATACCGTGGGTGATCACCTGACGATCGTCCCCGCCTAACGATCGATTTTACTACTAACTTAGAAATTAAATATAAAGTAATTTAACCATATATAATTAATATTATTCCTTAAAGCTTTAGTGGTTTATTAAAGTGACTATATGGAGTAATTCTATGAATTTTAATTAGTCTAAAAGTGTTGTAGGAGCTAGATCTTATGGCCTTGTTAATTTACTATTAGAGGGGTCTTTTTAATAACTTTATTAGCTATAGAACTAGTATCCTATAGTTCTTAATGAGTTAAAGCTTTAAATAACTTTTTTAAAGTCTTATTTACTCACTAAAAGTTATTTTAAAGTTGCTTACTTACTTTACTACCTAAGGCTTTAATTTCTTCCACCTCTATTACTCTACCTCTAAGCGGCGTAATTCTTATTAAGATGCTGTCACAGCAGGTGCCTCAGGCAGCCCCGACAGGAGGCCGCGCGACCGCCACGTGGGATCCAACCTGTTTAGGCCTAACCCCTTTAGGCCAAGCCCCGAATGACTCTCTTGGCATCGCTGTACATAAAAGACCAATGGAGAATCACTAGTCTTCCTAATCCCTAGTGATTCGTTTCTGAATTAATTAGCATATAGCTTCTCCTTCCTCTTTCGTACATCCTACGTAGCTCGACATCTCGTTGCTTGCTAGGACCTCGCCGCGGGTGAAGGCCGACTGGCGTCCGCCACCAATCCGACCTCGCCGCTTACATTAAATTACTAATTAGTAAGGATTTAATTACTACTAATACTACTTAATTAGAGTTATATTTATTAAGATATATGAAGTTAAAGTTTATTAATTTTAAGAATCAGTGTATCAATATCAGTCGTCAGGTGATCACCCACAGTAAACCCAGAGGACCCCATTCCCTCCTAATCCCGGATAAAGTGGCAACGTGTGTAGACAACCTTCGACCCGTGACCTCACCCGCCGACCCTTTCCCAGATCCGTAAATCCACCATGGACTCCACCGGCGATATGATTTCTCCGGAGCAACCAATGATTCAGCGGCGTTTTAGCTTGTGGATACCAGGGCGGATGAATCGGAAGCCCGAGTTCCCCCGCCGCCCGTTTTGAATCCAGGGACCAGATAGTGGAACGCGCCAGGCCTCACTGCTCAGCTTTGTTGCTCATGGAGATTCGAATAGAACTCGTGTGGCGAGGAGAACGAGAGCTTCTGCCGATTGAAACTGTTTTTGATTTTATTTCGCCTTTTCCATGCTTTCTGTTATGCCTGTATATATGGATGTTTAGTCCCCGTTAAAAGTCTCCGTACGATTTTCGCGCGTTGGGTAGCAACGCATCTCCACTATAACTTTAAAAAATTATGCCTCCTCAACAAAGGCCTCTCGCGCCTCTTAACAAACGATCGTATACGAAATAATAAGCTAGGAATTTATTATACAGGTTAAATTAATAGCCTATAAAAAATTAGGCTACTAATAGCTATAATTAGTTACGTCCTTATTATTCTAAAATCCTTAATATAATATATAATTAAACTTTTACTTTAATACTTTAATAGCGCCTTGATATCTTGCTCTAGAAGACCTAAAATAATTAATAAGAGGACTAAAGCTTATATTCTGTAACTTATCTACTAAAATCCCTTTATTATATATAAAGAAATTTACATGTAAATCCTAATTACCCTATTAAACTCTATAATACTTTAAATAATTAAAGAGTTAGGTTATAGATATTAAAGGGTGAATTATATACCTAAATTTCTTAAGTAACACGTAGATATATAATATAATTAGTATTTAGCACGTAAGAATTAGCTAAAGGAGTAATAGTACCTAACTATATTTAGTAATGAATATTCTATTAAAGTTAGTGTCAGATAAGTGTTACGGAAGGTTGACCTCTCAAGCCTTCCTAAACCTTGGGATCGTCTTGACCTAAGCCCTGACAGTGGATTGACTTACCCAGGTATGCTCAACGTCCAACTAGTATGAGGACTAGTCACGGTCGGGGTTTGGCTAAGGCGTAACGAAGCAAGGCTAGCCTTCACCACGTATGATGAAGCCTGTCAAGAAGTACTAGACGAAGTGTTGTCGCAAGAGTCTTGAATCAGAATGATCTGAAGGTAGCACTTAGAATAATAATGGTATTAATCACGAAGAACAAGTAAGACTAAATACAGGTGGGTAATGAGTGTCCTTATATGTCCTTCGCTCCCTACTATCCTCCTACCATCAGATGGTATACGGCTGGTATATCTAATGAGCCGTCACTATACCTCCTACCGTCTTCCTACCATTAGATGGTCCTTCGGATGGTATACTCACGTGACCGCTTTCTGGCGTGCTGGGGTGCAGCCGTTTCCTGCGTCCCCTGCCCAATTCGGAATTATACCTTGTCAGAACCCCGTTTTTCCCTGGGCCACGGTTTGCGGTTCCCACGAGTCCCGCGTCCTAGGCCCGTGGTCTTCCCGGACCCTCAGTCCTGAGATCGTGATCCAGACTGGCTCGTAGTCTGTGCGGGTTCTTGGTCCTTGGCCGCTGGTCGTCAGGTGTTCGTGGGCGCTTAGCTTCCGGGTGAGCTGTGTCGTACAACAGCTCGTCTTTGGCGTAGCCCACAAGCTCTCGGCGTTTGCCTGTTAACACCGAAGGCTCGTAACATTATCACAGCGGTAAAGTTTTCGCAAGGCGAACATTAACCGTAGTTAATGTTATCCTGAACATAAGATTATCCCCCGGATAATCTTATCGTCGAGGAACATTATCTGCCCGATAATATCCTGACCGCTGAATGTTCTGCTGGAAGAACGTCTGACCGCTTGGCTAGGTTCATAACAATAAGCCCTATTGTTCCTACTTAGGACTGGAGGTCTTAAGGTATTCTTAAGTTGAATTAAGAAGACTGCTTCTTAATGTACTAAGAAGGATAACTAGGTTTTAAAAGGTAGGGTAGCTTAGATTCTAAAGATAATAGATAGTAACTAAAACTAATTATATATATAAATAAGTATTCCCAAATACTTTTCTTTAATATAGCTAATATATTATTATATTATTCCTACTATATCTACTTTATTAGTAGATATATTAAATATATCTCTTTTACTATATTATAATTATTACATAACTCTTAGTATATATTAATACTATTATATTACTATATTACTTAGATCAACCTTGTTCCGTCCTATTAACATGACAGCACGTCAACCATAATCTTACGAGGTAAATCCATTGGCTGACAGTATCCTGTGTCTTAGCGCGGCTCTCTGACAGTTAGTTAGGGAAAGTACTAATATTAGTACTTTAGGCTTAACCTACATGATAAGAAATAGAAGAAAGTCTTTATATTCCTATATAATAAGAGTAAGGGAATATCTATAATAGTTTACTAAGGCCGTTCGCTGAGCATCGATGCAGCAGCCGTCACAATTTAAATCTTATTAAGCATGCGTAGGCCGCTTAAAGGAGATAATATATTAGATTAATCCTAATATAGAAACCTTTAAGGGGACTAAAAAGGAACTCTATAAGTGATTTATAGAGCTTATTAATAAGCCTAGGAGTTAATTAGTTAGAATTACTTTAACTAGTTAATTAAATCAATGCCATGGTGAGTTACGGTCGTAATTACTGCGCGTGGTTAGTACATAAAGTATTAGGCGTTGAAATTAGTATTTTGAGATACGCGCGATCTAGATCTATAATATATATTTTTATAGATTTTTAAAGCTTTAATTCGTTAAGTAATTTGTAGTTAAATCGCGGCGATGAAACTATATATTTTGATGTGGTGGGGCCTCGTACGGAGACTTTTGATGCAGGACTGGTGGTTGTGATGGTAGAAGATGTGGTTGATCATGATTTGTCTTCCCGGTGCAAAAGTTGCGATATATCTCGCCAACCTCATCAAAGTCTTGTTTGCTGCAATACTTGAGTGCCGCACATCCATCAATCAGGCAAAAGACCACATCCTCTATTTTAGGGTTGAAACTAACAAGCAGAAGCTCACGAAGTATCTAGCATTAGTAGGGTAATTCTTACAACAGGCAAACAATTATAAAGCACGCCCTCTCCACTAACCCTACGCTAGTCATGGCGGCTACATGTATTCGGTTCGGTTATATAAGCTATCCGACATATTGTCAATTCGGTGAAGGGCCGGGATAACAAGGGCAGATGCACAGGCCTTTCATTCTTATTTCGTAGTCTGTTTTTTTATTTCCTAGCACTACGAGCATTTCCACCGCTGCAAAGTCTTACCCCGTCCTCCCCTCTGAGCCCGGGTGCAACAAGCCAAAGGCCCTCCACAAGTCGTACCCGGCTATGGCTACGGAGATGGCTTCAATGCTCTTGGATACCTGACTATAATCGGCCTCGGTTGCAACATGATGCTGTGGCATCCGGGTCCAGGTCAGCCAGTGAGGTCTATCAAAAAGCGGTATTATAGCATGAGCGAGATGGGATTTACCATAGCAATAAAAGAAGGCAGCTTGCGGGATTGGTGGCCCTGAAACCGGCGACCGAAGACAAGTTTGAACAACTGGATCCGTTGGTCGACACCGCTGGTCTGCTGCTGGGAGTACCAGTTGCGCACTGTGGTCGAGTCTGCGTCATGAAGCTCACTCGGCGGGTTGAAATGGGCAATTAGCAGCTTTGGGGTGGTGGTGCCTTGGGATGGTTAGCAGACATCTTAAGTATCCAAATAGGGAAAAATTAGAATAGGGCGAAGAAGAATAGAAAGAGAGAAGGGCTAGGGGGATATGGTGGAGTAAATAAAATGGTCCGTAGCCTACCATTATACAGCTCCCCTAATTGAAAATCGCCAACGCTTGCATAGTGTCTTTGGTCAAAGTCGGCGCAGTCCACACAGCTATGGTTAGGTCCAGGCAAAAGGTCGTCCACCAGAGGGATTGAGGCGAATTCTTCCGTGGTAAGGTACTTCAGGTCTTCAATCGGATAGATGGCGAGGAACGGCCAGTTAAGCTCGTCAGGTCCTGTGGAGGAGGACGAGGAGGAGGAGGAGCATGCAATGTATCTGGTTGCTGACTGGACACCAGAGGTCTCTAGAATATGAGGTACGTGGATCTCGTCGTACCACTTGTTGTAGGTCTCGTTTGTTATGGCAGTGGATGGCCTCGTCTTGGAGCCGACATACAGTAGGCCCGATCCAGTATACAAGTCCATGACGAGAATATACACAGTTGTTTAGATATTGTAGAATCAGTTGAGATTTCAAGAGTCACATTACCAGAGAATATATGAAAAAGCACAATTAGAAGAGCAAGCCAAAATGGACCCGGGTAATGAGCTGACGAACGATTCCACTTGAGCAACAGTGGTGGGGACTATACCACCCTATCCAAGCGGGCACTTTATCACGAGACGCCACGCTCGATCGCCGGCAATGAGACTTCTGAAGTTTATGAACCTGTATAATATGCCTCCAAGCTGATCAAAGCATGGAGTCTGGATAGAGTAATTAATGTCAAGGTGTTGCTTTGCGCCCGTTGTGTGTTCAAGGCGGGTTGCTTGCCATACATACCGCCAGGGCCATCGCCATTTAGTTAATGAGGGGGCCCAGCAGCGTCGAATGTTGATTTCTAATCCAAGGCTGCAGAGAGAGGGGTGGCGTAGTACATATTATTCTAGAGTTCCGTTCCTAGCGCTGCGAGAATGGAGGAAGCCCACATTGCCACCGATTTACCACAGGCATATCATTTCTCCTGAGACTACCAGGGAAAGAAGATGATACAGATAAGAGCCGTCGGTGAAAAAGAGGCGGGTGCATATGCAGAGCAGAGTCCGACGCACCTCCCCAATGATGTCGAAAAGGGAACCGATGCCCATACCCTCCCGACGTACTGCTCGGTGCTGGCCGACACACGACCCATAATCACCGAAACAGGTGAATTGCAGTTCGCGGCCGGCGACGCCGAGAATCCCAAAGAGTGGTCTTGCACAAGACGGTGGTACTGCACGGGGGTTTCAATCTTCCTCGTGGTCAACGCCATGTTTGCCTCGTCCGCGCCCTCTGGATGTCTGGAAGGGATCTCCGAAGAGTTTGATGTCTCGAGCAATGTGGCTGGACTCGTGATCACGGTATTCCTCTTGGGTTACTGTGCTGGCCCGCTGCTCTTTGCTCCCCTCTCGGAGTTTTACGGTCGCCACCCCGTGTTCCTAACGACCTTTACGGGCTACTTGGTCTTCAACTTTCTCTGTGCGTTTGCACCGACATTTGGCGCCCTCCTTGCCGGGCGACTCATCACGGGGATATTTGCTAGTGCCCCACTTACCACGGCGCCCGGGTTGATCTCCGACATCTGGAACCCGATCGAGAGGGGGAATGCAATGGCCGTGTATGCCATGATGACGGTGACTGGGCCGGCCCTGGGGCCCGTTATCTCTGGTTTCCTGCAAGTGACCAAGGATTGGCGATGGAGCTTCTACGTGCTGTTGATGATGGGAGCGGTCACCGAAGCTCTGGTATTCACGATCCCCGAGACCTTCCCAACGGTCATCCTAGCAAGGAAGCTACGCACGCTGAAGAAGCAAGGCACCATCCTCGACAGTGAGCAACTGGTCCTAGAACAAAGCGACAGCAAAGCCTTGAGGAATGCATTCAAAGAGATAATACGCAGACCCTGGGTCATCATGATGGACCCCATCGCCTTTCTCGTTGCAGCGTATACCTCCCTCGTGTACCTGCTGCAATACATGCTCTTCTCAATCTACCCGCTAGTCTTCCACGAGCAAAGAGGCTGGAACGTCGGCCTAAGCCAGCTGCCCCTAATCGGGACCGCCGTCGGCGGCTGGCTCGGTGGCGTAATCATGCTGTACATCTCGGCGCGAGAAAAGGAGCGCCTCAGATGCGGCGGTGTTCTCACGCCCGAAGACCGTCTGCCAACCGCCATGATCGGAGGCGTCGGGCTCGCCGCAACAATGTTCTGGTTCGCGTGGTCCTCCGCCTCGGACAGCATCCCCTGGATTGTCCCCACCCTGGCCGGCAGCTTCCTCTCGACATCCATGGCGCTCACCTTTATCGCCAACATCAACTATCTGACTGATACGTACTTGATTTTTACTGCGAGCGCGGTGGCTGGAAACACCGTGTGTCGCGCGGCATGTGGCGCCGTTGCCCCCTTGTTCACGCGGTCCATGTTTGTGGCGATGGGGGTAGGGCCTGGTGGCTCGGTTGTCGCGGGCACTGCCCTCCTGCTGGCCCCTGTTCCGTTTATTTTCTATAGATATGGCGCTCGGATTCGTGCCAGGAGCAAGTTTGCTTCCATGCAGGCGAAGAGACAAGATATGTAGTCGGGGGATAGAGCTATTGGGAGCTGTTTTATGGGAATCAATTTTATTCCTCCCATACACGAACCACATCTGTAGTAGTGTTCATTCGTCTCTATGGCGGGCACGAGAGGTCCTTGTGTTCTCGCCTACCTGGCGGGAGGTGCGTTCAAGATCAGCATCGTATGATCCCTCTTCCATAGCAGTGGTATGTATTCCGGTACTCGTGTCTCGACAGAGGCACCAACTCCAACAATACCAGGTTGTCCACGATCCGAGTCCGGGTAAGGTGGTATAAGCATTATCGACAATACGACAAACACCACCTCCGGACCGCCAAGCAGGGGGAAGAGGCCAGCTTCCTAAGTGAACAAGTCGTTTCTCCGAACAGTAACGACTGGTCTACTTATTGATAAACCGGCGCGGCTCAATCTCATCAGATGGCTACTCCTCGTCTCACAGCTGCTTCCGTCACAATGGATACACCGGTTTTGATCATTGGAGCTGGCCCATCCGGGGCGACGGCAGCTCTCCTGCTTGCCCAGATGGGCCTCAAATCCATCGTCATCTCCAAGCATAGCGGGACAGCAAACACGCCGCGCGCCCACATCTTCAATCAACGCGCGATGGAAGTCCTGCGCTCCGCAGGACTGGAGGAGCAGCTCAAGGGCATTGCATGCCCTGCCGAGGGTGAGTATCTATCTTGTGCAATGGCTCAAGGCAAGAATGACGGGCTAACAGTAGCCGCTGGGGATGTTTTATAGATATGCAGCATACATCCTGGGTAAACCAGCTTGCAGGCCAAGAATACGGGCGCATCTACGCGTGGGGCAACAACCCCTCGCAAAAGGGCGACTACGAGCGGGCGAGTCCGTGTCAAATGTCGGACCTGCCGCAGAGCCTTTTGGAGCCCGTCCTGGTCGAGCGAGCGACGCAGCTGGGTGCGGAATTCCGTTTCTCGACCGAATTGGTTCGCTTCGAGCAGGATGCGCAGCAGGTGGCCGGGGGGCGAGTGCGCGCTACTCTGAAAGAGCGCACGACGGGGCGCACGTACAATGTCGACGCCCAGTACCTAATTGGAGCAGACGGCGCCCGAAGTGCTGTAATCGAGCAACTGCGGATTCCGGTCGTCGGACGCCAACACAATTCGGCGTTCAATGTGCACATCAGGGCAGACTTGTCCAGGTATATTGCCCCGCGACCCGGAAGCCTCAACTGGGTTCTCAACGTGGACGCCCCCGACTGGTCTGTGGCGGGCAATTTCCGAATGGTCAGACCGTGGAACGAGTTTGTCGTGTCGATGCATCCAGCTACGCAGCGGCATACCGACGCCGTCGTGAGCCCGACCGAGGATACGATTCGGGAGCGTCTTTGGCAGATGATTGGCGACCGCTCGGTGCCCATTGAGATCCTGTCTACTTTTACCTGGACGATCAATGAGCAGGTTGCCCAACGGTGGCAGGAGGGGCGGGTGCTGTGCATTGGAGACGCGGCACATCGCCACCCTCCCATCAACGGCCTGGGTAGCAACACTTGCATCTCAGACGCCTTTAACCTGGCCTGGAAACTCGCATATGTTCTAAAAGGGTGGGCAGCTCCCTCGCTACTCGACACTCTCACGCCCGAGCGCAAACCAATAGGCGACGCGGTTGTCCGACGAGCCAACGACGGCATGGCTGCCCACCGGCGAATCTGGGAGATCCTAGGCCAGGACCCCGCATCGCGACAGGCAGCAGAGGAAACGCTCCGACTCGCAACTGCAGAGGGAGCCCGCAAGCGCAACAATCTCCGCGACGCATTCCTAGCGACCGAAGACGAGGTTCAGGCGCTGGGAATCCAGATGAACCAAGTATACTCGTCTGATCGCGCGGCCGTTGTCGTGGAGCCCGGCGACATCCCGCCAGTCTTTGATGATCTGAATCCCATTCGCGAGGTCAAGGTCAGCACCTTTCCTGGATACCACTTGCCCCATGTCTGGGTTGCATCGAATAAACCTGGCCGGTGCGAGAGGGTGTCTACCCTCGATCTGTGTATCCCCGGTGGGTTTACTCTGTTTACGGGTATAGGGGGGGAGGCATGGGTGCGGGCTACGGAGGATATGATCATGAAGCTCGGAGGGGCGCCTATACGTGCGTACACGATCGGCTTTGGATGCGAGTATATGGATTGCTACTGGGACTGGGAGCGGGTGCGTGGGGTTGGTGATACTGGGGCCGTCCTCGTACGCCCTGATCATTTCGTTGCCTGGAGATGCCAGGGGGCTGTGCCTGATGCGTTTGGGAAGCTGTGCGACGTTATGGCCAGTCTGCTAAAGGGTGGAGAGGCCCAGGTCTCACAGTCACATCTCTGATTTAGAAATTATTCATTAAAGCCTTGACTACCCATCTCCCTTGTCTCATGTTCGGGGCCAGGGTAGAAATGTAACAAGTCTTGTAAAATACAGCATACTTCGAATCAATCATGTTCCATCAAGACACCATGATATAGTTTCTCAGAGTCCCTGCATGCTATATACACAGTACTCCCCAAATCCCTAGGGCAGTATCTTGGGCAATATCATCCTGCAGTGGGAATGTTAACCTGATCCAATTGTAATGTAATATATCATGTCGATTCCATGCATTTATGTTTGCCCAGACTAGTATTACCTGACCACAAATGTCAATCTGTATTGTGAAATGGAATGCTAACATTGGCGCAGTGAAAGACCTGCAGCTGTTCGTCTCGCACCGTCGAGTGAGCTCTTACAGACGATCCCGAACTTGTTGAAATGTGTCCCGCAACGTCCGTTTCTAATCTCCTGGCGAGCTTGAACTTGCCCGTCAAAAGACCTCGGGTACCGGGGGACCCCAGACGGACAGCGCCTGCGGGCCTGCCTGCACTTTGGCAATGGTCGTTTCGGAATTGACCAAGTCACCATCCGCATAGTGCTCCTGAAAGTATGATTAGCGGGGAGAAAATGATAAAAAGCAAGATTATTCATGGCAATTTTGGAAACGCACCACAACAAAGTCGCTACTATCAAACCAGTAGTCAAATACCTGGCTGCCGAGCACATGCTGCGTGTAATGTTAGCTCAGCAGGCTGAATCGAGGGACAAGACGGGGCAATATGACGATAGGGTGAACGCACTCTGCCAACCCCCCAACATAGTTTATAACCCTTGTCGCGCAGGTGCTGGTGGCCCAGCTGCTGGATATCAAAGTCGTGCACCTCAAAGGCCGCGTGCGCCACATCAAGTTCCTGGCTCTCCTTGGCTGGCTTGAAGAAGAACGCGTGGTGATCGGTATATTCCAGGCCGCGGTCAATATGGAAGAAGCAAGTAATGGGTTCAGAGCCTCTGTACACGATGTCCGACGGGGCCAGTGCAAGTGTAGTCGTATACCACGCATACATCTCCTCGTACTTGCCAGCTGGATACGTCACCCCGTAATGGCCCCACCGGTGGACAGGCGCCGGGCCCAGACTGAACCGTTGGAAGCGACCTTTACGCGGCTTTTCGTCTTCATAGTTGACCGTTAGCTTCTCCATCTTTGGGGCTTCAGCCGTCGTTGTTTTCTCCTGCCCGTACACCAAATGGACCTTGTGGCCGACCGGGTCCAGCAATGTAACGATTTCCCCGCCGCCTGGGGCTGAAAAAGGTGCTATAGGCGTTGCGCCTGCCAGACGTGCGGCGTTTTCGAGATCGGCTCGGGATTCGACTTGATAAGCTGCGCCATGGAAGCTGCGCTTCCCGTCTTCGGCCTGCACTGCATGGTAGATGAAGGGTTCTGAGCCGTACCCTTTGAAGAATATTTCGCCCTCCCGCTCTTCTGCAATGAATAGGCCGAAATCCAGAAAGAATTGCCGGGCTTTGGACAGGTCTCTATGGTGGTAGACCACAAAGGCTGTTGCCAGTAGGCGGATACGATTGTCGGGGGCAGACTGGGTCATTTCTGAAAATATTCTTGTCAACTCTTCGAATAACGTGATGTGCCACTACCATGGCTGATCTTAAACACCTCTGTGTTTCTTCTCATGATATCCTTGACTGTAGATCCGGGTATTGCGGTAGTTGTGTTGGAGTGGGGGGGCATCGGAAAAGGTGGTGCAATTCACCATGGGAGCAAACGCGGAGCAGCGCCTGCCCCGCTTCAGAAAATGCGGATCATGCCATCATACATGATCTATAATTGATCGTTGCTCACACTTTATGGCACCCTCTCAGAATTTCGTTGCTTTGTCTTTACCATTGTGGAATCATGCCCTCCATCCGCCCTGCCTGGGATCGACTCGTGCGCTTTGTGCCCCGGGACAGCCAGCATATCCGGTACGGAGAACCTATCCTAGCCGACCCCGCGGAGCTCAACAATCTCGATGAGCTGGCCGATGGTGGAAAATTAAAGGTCAAGGTCCTAGATGGGGAGACTCCTCTTGCTGCAACGCCAACTGGAGAGATTGCCACGGTGGGCAAGCTACTTGGTCCGCTCGACGGTCGCACGGTTCCAATCATCCGATGCATCGGGTTGAACTACAAAACACACAGTGAGTGGCACGTAAAGTCCCCAGCAAAGTCCCCGAGCAACCTCTAATGCAAAATATTAGTCCTCGAGACCGGTCGCTCCCTACCGTCCTGTCCCACCATCTTCACCAAACCCGGCCCCTCCGTAGCCGACCACGGCGAGGACATCCCCATCCCAGTCATCGCCCAGGGCCAATGCGACTACGAAGGCGAGCTAGTCGTTCTCATCAGTCAAGACGCCAAGAACGTCTCTGAAAGCGAAGCATTAGACTACGTGGCTGGCTATACAGTAGGCAACGACGTCAGCGCACGCGACTGGCAGCGCGAGGCCGAAAAGGCTGGTCCTGTCCCCCAGTGGACATTCAGCAAGTCCTTTGACAAGTATGCCCCGCTCGGGCCCTGCCTTGTTGCAGCCCATGTCCTGGGCGATGCGAACAACCTGTCTCTGCGGACAATTGTCAATGGCGACGTTCGGCAGTCGGCCAACACCTCGGATCTGTGCTTCAGCGTGGCCAGGCTGGTGGCGTTCTGCAGCCAGGGGCAAACGCTGCAAAAGGGCTCGCTTATCATGACGGGGACGCCTGGTGGTGTGGGCCTGTTTATGAAGCCGCCTGTGTTTTTACAGGATGGGGATGAGGTTGTGGTCGAAATTGAAAACATTGGACGGTTGAGGAACCGCGTTGTGTTTGAGAAAGACTAGACTGGGATAGTTCTATGACTTCATAAATACTGTTCGGAAACCGCCATCCTTGCATTTGCCATATCCACTCCTACTGGCGGCTTTGTTTCTGCGGCAATCACGCCCTGTAAGGCCCTCGCGAATGTACTTAGATATTTGCAACCCATGGTAGAGGATTTCCTCTGCTTATAAAGGGTTAATTTAATCTAAGCGGCGAGGTCGGATTGGTGGCGGACACCAGTTGGTCTTCACCCGTGGTGAGGTCCTAGCAAGTAACGAGATGTTGAGCTACAAAGGATGTATAAAAGAGGGAGGAGAAGCTATATACTTGTCATAGTGGGTGCCTCAGGCAGCCCCGACAGGAAGCCGCACCACTGCTGCTTAGGATCTAACCTATTTAGGCCTAACCCCTTTAATTATTTTCATGGCGCGACTGAAAATTCGAGGCGTGGTCACCTGCAACCACCACTGGCAGAGCAGAGAGCGACTGTGATTCATGAATTCCAAGGAATAACTTGAATCAGGACTAGCTTAGGAGATTTCTTGCGATTGCTTGCTTGGGTATTTTGTTGTTAATGTATCTATCTCCTCTTTAAGGGAGAAGTGTTTCTTAGAGGCGAATAATGAAACATTACAATACAGGCCAACTGATATATTTTCCAACAATGCAAAACAATCACTACTTCTTCAGGATCATTTAAAATCACTCTTCAACTTCTGAGCAGGCGGCAAAATCCCCTCCTTTTCCAACGTCTCAAAAACATCCTCCAACTCACTCCACGTATCCGCATATCCCGTCCACCCAAATCGCCTCGCCTTACTCATACTCCCCACACAGCTCCAGTCCCTCCCCAACACAAACGATATAAAGTCCCAGGTAGCCTTTTCCCACGCCCTCTGGTCAAGCTTATACTTATCCCTCAGCGTAGCCCACGCCTCATTCACCTCCTTTCGCTTTGCCCACTTCTCCGGGTCAATCTGCAAAAACAGCGTCGGCGTCTCTTCAGTCGACGGGTTCTGCGCGACACCGATATCCCCCGCGCGAGCCTTTAGCGGATGCGTACTCGGCATTCGGACCGTGTTGCTCTCGTAGTGCTTATAACCCTGCGTATCCGCCGTCCCACCATGCGGGAACATGGGTTCAGGAACTCTGCATCCAAACCGCTCTGCAATCCGTGGCCACAGATTCTGCCACGACTCCGTGTCCCCATTCGTCACGTTGAAGATGTTATTCCCGACCCCTGGCGCCGTCGCAGCCCAGAGACAGAACCTCGCGTGCAGATTCGACGACGTCCACGTGTTGAACGCAAAATACCCCGCCTTGCACCCCGGGAACGGAAGCTCAGACCCAGGAAGCAGTTTCGAGACACACGCATACAGGCCCAGCGCGGTAGCCTCGTTCATGAAATTCCCCTTGGCAAACCCCAGCACATCCTCCGGGAGCGTGACGACCCAGTCCCAGCGACCCTGATTCCGCTCCGCGGCATCGGAGAGGATGCGCTGCTGCACGTAGTAGAAGTTGGGCGGCCACTCGACGCCGCCAAAGGTACCCTCGAGCAACGGATCGTCTTCAAACATGGGCTGCTTCGCGTTTCCGAGATGCACGCCGTACTGCTTGAAGCCGCAGGTGAGGATGAAGCGCTTCAGCGTCTTGACGGCACCTGTCTTTTCCAGTCCTTGGATGAAATTCGACAGCATCGTCCCGTTTATTCTGCATAGTTCGTTTGGATCCTCGTGTGCCATGTATGCGCAAAAGTAGACGTAGTCCGCGGAGAGGCCGGAGAGGTTGCTCGCCATGTCGGAGGCGGAACCTTGTAGGTCGATGGTCGCATGTTGGATCTTGGGGTCGGAGTAGCCGGGGTCGTGTCGTGAGAGGGCGTAGACCTTTTTGTACGAGGGGTCCTTGGAGAGGTGGCGGACGATTGCGCCGCCGGTTATGCCTGGGATGGGCTGTTAGCTGGGTTATAGTCAGAGGGGTGGGTAAATGTACCTGTGGCGCCGGTTACGATTGCAGTGGCCATGGTTGTTTATTTGATTCACGGAGCATTCATTATTGTTGAGAGGTAGACATTGCGAGGCCGTTATATAGTGTTCACATGAAGCGACACGTCTCTATGGCGTCATGACCACAACCAGTTCGTTCTCGGAAGCATCGGATGGAGGTACCACCAGTGATCTAAACCAGAGGTTCAAGACCGGCCTTTTATCAATAATTAAGTTTTGAGCTGCTGGTTTCGCTGTTGGACTGTGTGAGGCTTATCAGTCTCGGTCGTACACTCCTAGCCCTAAGAGGCGCGTGTTTTTGGCGCAATGCGGAGTACATGCCTAGGAGCACCTACCTACATTTTGCTGGGAAAATATCACAGTTACCTGCTTCTCTCAAGATCTTATATCATATTAAACTTAGCGAATCGGGTCCTTTGCGAGACTTGAGCTATGGCCACCATGTCCATCCCAATTGTTGAAGATCCATAGCCCTAAGTAGACGCAAACTTGTTACTCGAATTCAGCCCTGCACTCAATCGACGGTGTTCACCCACCATCTGGCTATAAGTCCTTTGTTAAAGCGCTCTGCCTAGAAGATGAGGTAGTGCTCATTTTACTCTAAACTGTGGCGTAGTTTGTCCTACAATGATATCGTGCATCTGTTCCCTTGTGACACGCTGCAAATATATATCTTGGCTCTATAGTCATGGCACCGTCGCCGTCGGCCTGAGATTTATCTAATTACTTACTAGGCTCGATGGTCGGATTACCGTAGCTAATAGAGTAGAATGAAAAATAAACTGCTGGTTTAGGTTTATCGGAGGCTGAAAACGCAACTTGTGGTGCGACGTTGCAACCGAGGAATGGCGGCTTCAACCAAGCTTCTCCGCACCACTTTCAAGCTGGTCTTCACCTGCACCTTTGCTTTAGCTTTGCTTCGCCATGGACCTTGAGCTTGGAGCATTTCCATCCCCCCTAGCACGGGCGACACTCTTTCATCCTTCCAATTATTCTTAATACCCCCTAATTCTAATTCTAATCATAATGTCTATTCCTGTGCAGTCCTTCCAAGATGTCGCGGGCCTCGGCGGGATGATCTCCCACGCGATCCGGCACCCACTGGACTTTCACGCCAGCATCGGCCCCTCTCTCAACGAGCTTACGGCGGGAATCCTAGGCTCACAGTTCAATCCAGAGCGCGACATTCCTAGTCTATCGGGGAAGGTCATCTTCGTCACCGGAGGTAAGCACTAACCCCACGTTCCGTGTCGTGTCGCGTCTGTCGCGCCTAACCGCTGCTCCGCCCGACCAGGTAACACCGGCCTCGGAAGAGAAACCATCCTCCAACTCGCCAAACATCGCCCCTCACGAATCTACCTCGCCGCACGAACAACCTCAAAAGCACACGATGCCATCGCCTCGATCCAGAAAGAACTCCCTACCCCCGCAGACATCCGCCACATCCCTCTCGACCTCACCTCGTTCGCGTCCATCCGCGCCGCCGCGAAGCGCTTCCACGCCGAATGCGACCGGCTCGATACGCTGATACTCAATGCGGGGACGATGGGGAATCCGCCGTCACTGACGGAGGAAGGGTTTGAGATTCATATGGGCACGAATCATGTCGGGCATTTTCTGCTTACGGAGCTGCTTCTTCCTGCTCTGCAGCGCACGGCGAAAGCGCCCGGCTCGGATGTTCGGATTGTTACGCTTACCTCGCTCGCGAACCAGGCGGCGCCGTCTTTTGAGATTATGACCTCGACGGAAACACTCATGACCCACGGCTGGGTAACGCGCTACGGCGCATCGAAAGCAGCAAACGTCCTCTTCGCCGCGGAACTCGCCCGCCGATACCCCGAGATCCTCTCCGTCTCCGTGCACCCTGGCACGGTCGGCAGCGATTTATACCAGCATACAAAGAACTCTGGGTTTCTAGGCGGGTTAGGCATCGCGGTCGTCTCGCTGCTGTGGCGGAGTGTGCAGACCGGGGCGCTGACGCAGATCTGGGCGGCCAGTGCACCGAGAGAGAAACTGGTTAATGGCGGGTACTATGTTCCGATTGCGGCGAAGGGGGTGTGTCGGTTTGAGGAGGATGTGGAGATGGCGAGGGCGCTTTGGGAGTGGACGGAGGGGGAGGTGCGGAAGCATTCTTAGCAGTCGGGCGTGTCTATGGGGTATCTATATTACTATCTATGAGGTGCTGCTGCCGAGCTGTTTTGATCCGTAGTGGTTGCGTGATGTGAGCTGCCCAGCGTTCAGGTTGCGGTTGCTGGCCGGGTAGCGCATACATCGTCCATCCATCACCGTATAGAACAAGATCGGCCAACGACCTGACCACTGAACCCCACCGCAAGATATCTTAGCCACTTGAGCATCCTCTTTACATTCCTGGCCTCACAGATCAAGCCGAATCTCATGGCCTGATCAATTCACAATTCCCCTCCCCTTCCCCAACTCGGATAATCCGTCACCCGCCCCCACAGTGGGGATCGTGGGGAAACCGGAGTATAAGAACCAAAGGCCCTCGGATTTCCCACTCGAACGCTCCCCTACTCCCCTCACTCTCTCTCAACAATTGCTGCCCTCCTCTACGCGACCAAAATGTCCTTCCGCGAGTACCTCCCCGACCTCAACACCCCGCGCTTCCAGGTGATGCGCACGCAAGATGCGCACGAGTACGCCGAGGCCTTTAAGACGGGCAAGATCCCGCCCTGGTTGCATGCGCTGTATATGCACTGGAGAGAGTTGTTGCAGGAGCCGTTCAAGGGAGTTACGTTTGATGGTACCATAGCATCCCCAGTTCAATTCCTCTAAGCAGGATAAAAGGATAGAGCAGAGCTGATATGGAACAGGCAACGTCCACCAAAACCTCTTCGACCTCCAAGACGAACAAATCCCCATCGCGCGCATCACCGAAACAGCCACACACCTCCTCTCCCTCCTAACCCCCACCCAGCAAGAGACGTTATGCTACCACATCGACTCCCCCGAATGGCGCACCTGGTCGAACCCCGAATTCCTCCTCTCCGACAAAGGTCTGCGCCTCGACGAGGTCTCCCCCACAATCCGCACAGCCATCCTCGCCATCCTCGAGGCAACGCTCTCCCCTGAGGGCTACGAAAAGGCGATCAGCGCAATGCGGATTAACCACTACCTCGGCGAACTCGTCGAGTCTCCGCGGGTGATGAACGAGTTCTCGTACAATTTTGTCCTCTTTGGACGACCGTCCACGATGAGGCCGTGGGGGTGGAGTTTCTACGGACATCATCTTTGTCTGAATATTTTTCTGTACAAGGGCCAGATTGTCGCGAGTCCGTGGTTTACGGGAGCGGAGCCGAATGAGATTGATGCGGGCCCCTGGAAAGGGACGAGGATTCTGCATGTAGAGGAGAGGTTGGGACTGCAGCTTATGCAGTCCCTCTCTCCCGAATTGCAGGCAAAAGCCCAGGTATACAAAGAAATGCACGACGCCGCCATGCCACCAGGCCGCTGGAACCGCGACGACCAGCGGCATCTCTGCGGCGCATACCGCGACAACCGCATCGTCCCCAACGAAGGAATCCGCGCCGCCCAGCTCTCCCCCTCGCAAAAAGACACCCTCTACGCCATCCTCTCGCAATACCTCCTGTACCTCCCCACCCGCGCCCGCGAACTCAAACTCGCGCATATCAAACAATTCGAAGACGAGACATACTTCTCGTGGATCGGCGGGTATGGCAACGACGACCCGTTCTACTTCCGTATTCAAAACCCCGTTGTTCTGGTCGAGTTTGATCACCATTCGGGGGTTTTCTTGAATAATGAGGAGCCGAGGAAGTTTCATGTTCATACGCTGCTCAGAACGCCGAATGCGGGGGATTATGGCGTGGCGCTGCGCGGGAGGATTCCGCCTGTGGAGGGGGTCGAGGGGACGGAGATTGTGTGGTAGTGGAATGGAACTGAGACGAGGGGCTATTTATGTGGGTGGGGAGGTGTGGGGTGTGTTGTGTATAGACTTGCTCAAGTGGTTGTACATATTGCATTGCGTGTATCTTGCATTTTTCTTCTCGATCGATTTGAAATGATCTACTGTATTTCCGACTCGGAATCCAGCTCCACAAACCGCCCCGCAACCAAGCTCCTCCACCCACGCCACGCCCACGCCCACGCTGCTCGGATATCCCGTGCCTGCGCAAAAACGTGGGTGAATCCGATCTCCACGATTCCCGAGCCTCTTGGATTCACACGCCACGCTTGGCCTGCTACAGAAGATGCTCAGACTGAGGTTGAATTGAATGAGCAGGCAGATGGAGACCTTGCCGCCTATCTCGCCGTGATAGTCCGCTGGCTTGAATTGCCATTCCAAGGTACGACAAGTGGCTGCCTAACGTGGGTGACTGAGATCGGATAGGTATCTTGGTATTCTGCTTGGAATCGTCCAATTTAGGCGGCTCTGGCCTGAGATGAAGCCTGTCGTGCGCCGGGATGTACGTGTTGCGTGCGCTGTACCACCGAGGAGGGGACAGGAGAGTGGATGAGGGCAGGGGAGGGGCAGGGCATACACTAAGCCACAGCTACAGTATCGTGGAGAGTGTGGTGGGGGGAGAGTAGGAAGTGGGGAGGAACCCTACCTCCAAACGGGTGCTCGTCGCTTGCTGCCACTGATGATGCGGGCGACTTTGCTATCAGCTCCTGTACAACCCGGCGGAATACCTTTGCGGGCATGGAGCCCGATCTTTTCGAACTTGGTGTGTCTTCAGAACGGGGTCCTACATAGGTAGAAGGCCAGTTACTTTGCCTACAGAGCCGAGGGGAAATGTCATGGAAACGCGTGGTACTATACAAGTGTACCATAGTCCGAGCGTGGCCCTAACTGCAACAACCACTCGCATCATTGCTCCATCCAACCATCCACGGCAAAAGAGCCCTTCCCTCCAAATAGCCCTGCTCAACAGCGTTCTGACTGTAGATGCCAGGGTGAAAACCCAACTAATAGGCCAACCGTGAATAGAACAAAAAGACTTCGCTGGGGATCCAGTGAATCGACCACCAACGGCAGGCAATGACAAGCAGAGCAGACAGCACAAACGCGGCTGTTGTTTGCCCTCCTTCACTACACGACAACCCACTAGCCCTTTCTTCACCTTTCTAGAAGCGATCCATTGCCCTATAAAAGGGCCCGTCGTCCTCCTGGCTTTCAGACTTCTTCCTTCTTTCCCACATCTCCCTGAATCCCCGATTTCCCCGTTTTTTCTTCTTCGACTGTCGTGATGACCGGCCCTATACCTGAACTGCCCATCTGCCCATGCTATATCTTCTTCAGGAGAAGAGCTTATGTAGTATCGTACCCAGGACGACACACTTCTATTGAGATACATACGTAGGGGACTCAGTCGACGATCCTCTCATCGTCCGACCGCCACGAAGAAGCCCAAGGCGTCCCTCGATAGAGAGCCCCAGCAGCCAGTGAGCAACACAACGAATGATCTCGTATAGCGTGGTCCTGGAAACGAGGAATCCGAGACCGACGACTACCCATCGAGTTGTATACGTAAACCATTTCTACGACGGTCCCCTCATCACCACGGAGGAATCGAAGAAATCGAAGGAATCGGACACGTCCCTCCCAAACGAAACAACGTGAGCCAGTGAACCAGACAAAGCCTCGTCTCGTATACCATGGCCCTGGGAAAAATGAAATCCGGGCCGACGATCCGGGTTGGTCTTCCTGTCGTGCTCATCATCGTCGTATGTCGGTCCTGAGTTTAGCGTATGCGCAGTATAGCAGCTAAACTTGGTCTGGTTCTGTCCTTAGGATGCGGTCTCGCTTGCTCGACTCCGAGAAGATATGTGCCCCCGTTCCGTTTAGGTTTTGGATAGGGATGCCAATCATGGACTGGCCCTGGAGTTAATGAACCTGGAATGGACGATTACACGAAAGTCACCATCGCGGTAGGCCTTCCTCTCTCGTTGAGGATAAAGGTATGCTAGACCTGAGCTTCGTATATACAAAATAGCAGCTTATATGGGCAGTTTGTCCTTAGAGCGCGGCCTCGTCGAAGAGCTTTCGAATTGGCCTATATGCCCGGGCCTGGTCCCGGGTTCTAAGATGGGCAACCGGGTAGAGTCATGGTCCCAAGATTGATGATTGTGGGATTAATAGTGCTTGGCCAGTTTCATTCCTGCTCGGCCTTCCTGTCTAGCTCAGAGTAGTTGAGAGGTGTGTTGACCCCGATCACCGCGCTTCACAGACTCGCAACTTATTCGATTAGACACCATTCGTCTCTAGAGCGCGGTTGCTGAACCGACCCAACCTCCTTTCAAGCGCTGCTCTGGTTCAAGAATCCACGCCGTCATCTCCGTAGCGCACCTAGAGAAGATCCCACAAATGAGTGACTTATTTGAGCGTGTCGCCCCTAACTTATGCGTTTCCACGTCTTCCGAGACACACATGGCAGTCCTACGAGATTGATCATCTGGCTGCGCGTTGGCCTGGAAAGTCCAGCCAGAATACGTGGACCGATGGGAGGGATGTGAATACCGCGATGACCGGCGCATTTGTCTTTGTCTCCCGGTTCAAAATGGAGATCTGGGATGGAAAATGGTCATGGATTGCGGGTACATGCGTGACCTTTCCTATGGGTTTGGAGCCGGCGTACTATAAGCGTCAATCGGCGGAGATGATGCCATTTGCCTGCGCCGGCGTGCCATGTCAACCCGGCAACCATTTTGCGTGCCCGCAGAGCTCAGGGTCTGCACGGCAGGTCCATATCACCGAGCCAGATAATGACTTTAGCTGCGCCACCTCCAACACATCATATACCGCACCCCATTGGTGTTTAATCGCAAAATGGAACGCGCCATTGAACTGTGGCCGTTGCCGCCACAGTCTCAACTCAATAGTTAGGCATCGTGCTGACGGATACTACACCAAACGGTACGGGCTCTCCGGGAAATGGAAGAGGACTGATACCTCCGCCGTACATTATGCCATCCAAGATCAAGCTCCTGTTTTTATTTCTTTTTGGTTTTATCCCCGCGCTGCGGAAGACCTAGTGAGCAGCACAAATGATCCGAACCCGCCATTTGGGCTGGGCTGGCGATATGAAGGAGGATTTCCTTAGGAAAAGGCGAGCGACAGGAATTTCTCTAGTAGCCTTCTCAGTGCCCCCACCCCTAAAGTCGAACAAGGTCCTTCTGGGCCCAAACAGAACTCCCCGTCCAGTGCACAGGGAGGTGGCCAAGTGCTACCTCTGCGAGGATAAAAATCATAGGGCGTGGAATTGCAAGAATTCCGCAGCAATGAATACTCTGGCTAAAACTGTCACGGCCCAGAAACCTAAGAATTTACCATCTGCTCAGACATGGAAAACGACATGTCGAGTGCGGGTTGCGGTCGCTCTTACGCTGGCCATGGTTCCAGTCTCCGCTAAGGGCACTGCACAGCACAGCACCACGCCGCGGGACGAAGCGAGGCAGACGTCCCCAGAGTCTGCGAGGGGCTTACAGCCTCAAGGGGTCGTCGTCGAGTTTCGAGATGCCACGGGGTTCTCACGATACGTATGCGCACGTTTCGAGGATTGTCCTCAGCCTAGCAGCCGCTAAATGAGATATAGAACCGATTCCGAGAGTATCGAGGATCCAAAGAAGGCCTTCAAGGAACATAAAGCGGGTATTACATCCAGACAGGGGAGACCCGGCCATGAGACTGCGGGTGAAAATGCTCACTCTCTGGGGCCCCTCAAGGAAGCTGCTTGAAGAGACGGGACTGCGAGCGTTTCCGCGGAGCCTTACGGCGGAAACCGCCCATGGGCGACTCTGACAGTGGAGGCCCGGCGCGCAAAATGTGACTCGAGGGTACAAACTCGATTGACAAGGTATGGTATACTTCCTTTGACTGAACGTACTGACGAAAGTGGAATGGGTGTCTGCGTACCTAAGGCATGGCCTTTTTGGCTGCTTTCTAACATTGACTAGTTGTCCTTTTCTGCACGCTCCGCTGTGCCTGTGCCTTCGGGCAAGTATCATTTAACTCTACTACTACCTGAACATAATCAGGATCTGGCTTACCACTACTACCTCTGGGGTAGTTAGCATTATAGTCTCTTTGATAGAGACACCATGCCTACTACAAGGTAGTAAAGTACTTATATACTATAGTAAGTATTCCGCCTATAGTTCCTTATCTTATAGTAACCTTGCCTAATTACTATCTAGTTTACTCCCGCTGCTTGGATAGATTCTACTATCCTCGCCATGAGCATCCACCAGGGCATCAACACGGTAATAAATGGCGCTCTTTATTAGTACCGCGATGTGTTGGGAAGGCCACGTCGGCCTACTTACCTGCTCCTTTCACTTATACGCGGACATGGTGAAGTAAGTATTCCTTGATGCCCATGTGATTATATGACTAATATGTTGTGGTCCGTAGAATGGACTTCTCCGTGCGCATTGACACAGCACTCTGAGTCTCTGAGTTGGCAGCTGATCACGGATAATGTGCTAAAGTACCCTGGTGATCTCATACGAGCCTACGCAATACGGGATTTTGCAGAGGCTTGACAGAAAGGAAGCCTTGCAGCGTGATAATATAGTGAGTGCGCTTGAGCAGGTTATCATGTCACCGGCCGGTTTAACAGATATGTCGATTAGCTCCAATTCGCAAAAAACTCTACGAATCATTGGGCGCAACGCTTGGCTTCAAGCGGAGAACAGGAGAATGCAGACAACGTTAGGAAGTATATATCTCTAACTTCTTTCTATAAATGGCAATTGTGTTTCCATCGCAGTGTCAGAGTCAGCTATCTAACTTGGTATTCTAGGTATTTTGCCTGTGCCGTCACTCCCACGCATTGCGTGCGGCGCTAGTACCCAGGCGTTAGGGAGTCCTGGTGGCTGTTATTCCTTCATTGGAGGTTGAGCGGGTCGCCCTCCCAGGATGGCTCT